AAAAATAGCATTTATCTATTTTATAAGATATAACGACATGCTTAGAGATAGCGACATGCCCTTATACTTTAGAGGAGACTAGATCTAGCTAAGTTAGTCGATAAAAGTCCTAGGTGTAATCCTAGACTAAGGGCTTCGATTTAAAGAACACCTAGCTAGAAAAGTAAAGAAAGTATTAAAAGTAGTACTAGCTCTAAAAAGGTTATAAGGTCTAAACTTATTAACTATACGTTAGTTATATATAGTAATAGTTGTACTAGTTATAGACTACGCGTCGCTAATCTAGTACCTAGCAGTATCTAATAAGACACTATCTATATTATATAGAGCCTAGAGAGTTATAGTATAAGCTATTATAGGAGGATTTAGAACGCTAGGTCTCGATGTAGTAGTCCTAGAAGTAGGGATACCGTCCCTATAATAAAGACTATATAAATAGACACTTAGATTCTAGATCTTAATCCATAAATTAGAAGCCTTATACATCTATATAAAGCTCGCTAAGACTAAACTAATTAAACGATTTAACTTACCTCTCTAGAAGGTAGCTAGGTTATTTAAGGAACTTAATATAAATAGAGCTAAGAAGATCCCTATAGTAGGGAGTAAACTATAGAGCCTAAAGGCTTATATATATATACTTAATAAGGAAGTAGCTAAACTTGCGATAGCGGAATAGCTAGTAATAATAGACATATATACTAATAGTTTAGTCTATAATGGACGGGTAGGCATAGGAATCTAGACATTAGCGTAGGAAACGTTAAGAATAATAAGAAGGGCTAAAGAAACAAACGTCTATCTAATAGAACTCGAAGCGATATAGATGGCTATTAAAGGTCTATTATATAAGAATAATAGGATAGTAAAGATTAGGGTCTTTTCCGACAGCTAGAGCGTGCTTTAAAGTATCTAGTCTATAAAGGTTAACGATAGCCTAGGCCTAGTTATAAGAATTAGAGAGAAAATTACTAAAGTAACATTCTTATTATACTAGGTTCTAGGCTACGAAAGAATTAAAGGTAATAAGAGGGCGAACGAACTAGCTTAGAAGGCGATAGAGGATGTCTCTCTAATGCCTAACCCTATAAGTAGCGTCCTAATTTTAGTAATATACGTAAGAGCAAAGGTTATAAACTTTAAGCCAAAACTCTAAGAGTTCTATAGCGTAACTATAGGTAAACATCTCTAGAAGATCGATAAGGCGCTACTAGGAAAACATATAAATAAGCTATATAACGTACTTAATAGGATAGTAGTAGCTATACTAGTCTAGCTAAGAACGAATATATTAAGACTTAATACGTACCTTTATAAAATTAATGTAGTAGACACCGATAGATACGAATATAGAATAAAAGAAATAGTATAACACTTCCTATTCTTATGCCTAAGATGGACAAACGAAAGATAAGCTATAAAGTTAGTATATAGCAATAGATACTAGGACCTATCGTATGTATTAGGAGAATACTTAATAGCAGAAAGAGAGGGGAAGAAGGTTAATGGTAATAAAGACAAATGGTAACTAGACCTAAGCGTAGTTAAGGCCACTATTAAATACGCTATTAGAACAGGAAGGATATAGAGGCAGATATAAAGTAGCGAAAGACAGAAGGAGCCTAACAGATTAGCATAAAAGTGCTCCTTATCTAACTATAATAATACTGCTACTACCTTAATCTAATCGCCTTTAAGTAGCGTTCGGCTAATAAGGAAGAACGCGACATAAGGAATCGCCCATATGGAGGAGGCTTACTTAAGGGAAGGAAGCGTGGAGTCACTCTTTAATAAGAGCACATTAGAGTACTAGGAGTTTGTAATGAGTTTAAGGTCTAAGAGACCTTCACCCTCCTTATATAACTAAGACCGATGGCTGTGATTGGCGGGAATGCTTGTTAATTATGGACAGCTCATACCCCTTGCGGGGTAAATAGCTTAAGAAAATCAAATCAAATCAAATCAAATCAAATCAAAACCGGTAGTTGATGATAATGCATTTGTTTGAGCCATATCAGATGGAAATCATAGGAGACTCATGCTCGGCCTCGAGATACTATTGTGGGCCCATGTTTTGAACTTATCTTGTCACAAAACTTTGTTCTGGTTAAACCAGAGCATTCTCACGTATGGAGGGGGCACCAGCCTTGACGGTATCCACCGACATTGACAACAATTGAAAGCACTCAAGGTATGGTTGTGTAGTCTTCATCGCAGCCAGATGATGGCGACTCTAATATGTACATATCTACCACTGACCCGATTGACGAACTCTTCTCGCTGCACGAGAGGTTGGCTTCTTCACGACCATCCAAAGCATGACAGATGTAGCAGCAGCCAAAGAATACCTGGCGATTATTAGACCCCGTCCGACCGTAACAGGAGAAATGGCATACTGACCATGTGAAAATGTACTGGGTGTGGTTGTTTCTGAGATTCACCTCGGCTGGTCTTCCAATAGGAATACCCTTTGCCTCTCTATCGTAGGACTCGACAAGGTCAGGCTTCATGGTCTCCTCAATCCAGACAGGCTGGCTACCTGTGAGATCAGCCATCTGCTGGACATCAGGGAAGTAGAAAGCATTCTGTTCGGGCTTGTTCTCTGGTGTGAACATGTTCTTCTTCCATGGCTCTCTCAGCAGACCCTGAACTGTGACTTCTCCTTGAGGCAAACCCTCGGGCCTAGCACGTTGACTCGCTTTGTCTTTCGGGATCCAGCCCCGACAGATGAGAATCTTTGTGTTGCCAGGGTAGCCTTCAAACTGACGTTCTAGGGGAGTAACAACCATGTAGCCATCGTTGCCGTCGTTGAGTCTTGGGCCGATGAGCATCTCCTGGTCGTGGCGGAATTTACCAGTAGCATAGACTCTTCTGTAATCAAAGTCCTTGATGGCAGCCGGGTCGATACTCGGCGGTAGGGGCAAAGGATCGCGAACGAGGCGATCTTCGAAACGGGCAATGAGTTCGGTCTTCCACCCTAATCTGGCAACCTGCCATGAGCCAAGGGCAAAGGCGGTGATGGGAATGATAGCCAAGACCAACAAGCCCCAGCCATGTTTCCTACCGCCGACACGAACGAGCTGAGGCTGAACATCGACAATCGAGGTGAAAGACGGATCATCAGCAGGCTGACTGGCGTAGGATCTTCGTTGCAGAAGAGGACGAGACTGTTGACATTGTCGACAGATCCAGGGCTGGATTTGTGATTGTATGCGAAGGCGAGAAGACAATGAGGCCAATTGGCGCAAGATGGGCGACGGTCGAAGTGACATTTTGGTGGAGGACGGAGTCTCGAATGTGCATCGCTCTTTCCGCCTTGGAGCTTGACGCTGCTGTCACGCGCCAAGGCGACTGCTTGATCATCGTGTGTTGCTCTTTCTTGATCAGCATCAACCCTTTCACTTTGATTTCTTGTGCTGCTCTTTCCTTCTGTGCGCATCTGTTTCGCAAGAGCAGTCAAACCAATAGACGTGTCTTTCGGGCGCCGCCACCTTCTGTTCACTGCAGAAGTTCGACTCTTCTGCTCGACACGAAACCGCGACCCACGCGTAAAGCACAAAGCACCCCCCATCGCAACTTCGACTTGCGCTTCGCCGCTGCCAAACATCCACCACTTTAACATCTGACATCGCCTTGTCGAACGACATAATCTGCCTGTTACTCCGTCAACTCAGCCTACCTGCCGCGACAACACGCTGCCAAAATGGCCGACGAGGTGACGATCGACAAGGCTACCTTCCACAACCGCCTTTCGGCCTTCATCTCGCAATGGAAGCAGGACAAGCGCAATGGCGACTCCCTGTTTGCCGGCGCCTCATCCATCGCCATCGTCATGGGCAAGTCGGATGAGTCTCAGGGCTTCTCCAAGACCAGTGCTCTACAGTTCTGGCTTCTGGGCTACGAGTTCCCCTCGACCGTCTTTGTAATCACCCAGGACTCCATGCACATTGTTACCACCAAGAAGAAGGGTACCCATCTCTGCGCTGGCTCTGACTCTCCGTCCAACGCTAACTTTCTGCAGCCACGTACCTCGAGTCCCTCAAGGACGGCAAGACCCCCGTCGAGATTCTCGTCAGAGGCAAGGACGGCGCCGAGAACGCAAAGCAGTTCGAAACTTGCCTGGATGTTATCAAGAACGCCGGCGTATGTGTCAAGTATCGGTTCCCAAGTCGACTCCACTGACACATTCTACAGAAGAAAGTCGGCATCATTTCAAAAGACCCGTCCAGTGGCCCCTTCATCAAGGAATGGAAGGATAGCTTCGCTGCCATCTCCAAGGATGTGGAAGAGGTGGACATTACACCCGCCATCTCGGCTGCTCTCAGCATCAAGGACGAGAAGGAATTGCGCGCAATCCGCGATGCTTCGCGCGCATCCAGCGGTATCATGGCCAACTACTTCGTCGACCAAATGTCTGGAATTCTGGATGAGGAGAAAAAGATGAGCCACAAGGCTCTGTCACAAAAGGTTGCCGACAAGATCGAGGACGACAAATTCTTCCAGAAGCTGAAGGTCTCGAGCGGTTTCGATCCCACCCAACTCGACTGGTCCATCTCACCCGTCGTGCAAAGTGGTGGCAAGTACGACCTGAAGCTCTCAGCTGCGGCCGACGAGAGCAACTTGCACGCCGGCGTCATTCTGTCTACCCTCGGTCTACGTTACCTCAGTTACTGTTCCATCATCTCCAGAACCTACTTGGTGGACCCCAACAAGTCACAGGAGAGTGCTTACAAGTTGTTGCTTGCCGTTCACGACAGCATCCTCAAGAACATGAAGGATGGCATGGTCGCAAAGGATGTATACACCAAGGCACTCGCCCTCATCAAGTCAAAGAAGCCCGAGCTCGAGAAGAACTTCGTCAAGTCGGTTGGCTACGGAATCGGTATCGAGACTCGCGACAGCTCCTTCCCCATGAACGGGAAGAACACCCAGACCTTGCGCGACGGAATGACCTTCAGCATCACCACCGGTTTCCACGATGTTGAGAACCCCAACCCTCAGGACAACAAGAGCAAGACATATTCGCTGCTGCTCACTGACACCGTGCGAGTAGGAAGTAGTGAGGGTCTGGTCTTCACCAAGGATGCTCCATCCGATCTTGAATCGACTTCCTTCTTCTTCAAGGATGACGAAGATGAGCCAGAGAAGCCCAAGCCCAAACCCAAGAAGGACTCCAAGGTCGGCGCCGTCGTAAAGGGAAACATCACAAGCACCAGACTCCGCAGTGAGCGTAGCACACAGCCTAACGAGGAGAAGGAAGCCCAACGCAAGGATCACCAGAGAGAACTCCATTCCAAGAAGCAGCAGCAAGGTCTGGAAAAGTATGGCGAAGGCACTGGCAACTTGAACGGTACCGAGGTGAAGAAGTTCAAGCGTTTCGAGTCGTACAAGAGAGACAATCAGTTCCCTTCGCGCGTCAAGGATCTCATTGTCTTGGTTGACGTCAAGAATGCTAGCATCATTCTGCCTATCATGGGACGTGCTGTTCCGTTCCACATCAACACAATCAAGAACGTCAGTCAGACTGAGGAGAATGCCTTCTCCTTCTTGCGTATCAACTTCCTCTCTCCTGGTCAAGGTGTCGGAAGAAAGGATGATCAACCCTTCGAAGATCCCCTGGCCCACTTCCTCCGAAGCTTGACTTTCCGTTCCAAGGACACTGACAGAATGAACACCATCGTCGCACAAATCACTGACATGAAGAAGGATGCAGTGCGCAAGGAACAGGAGAAGAAGGATCTCGAGGATGTTGTCGAGCAGGACAAGCTCGTCGAGATAAGAAATCGCCGACCTCAGCGTCTAGATAACATCTTCATGCGTCCTTCGTTGGAGAGCAAGCGTATCGGCGGTTCCGTCGAGATCCACCAGAACGGTCTGCGTTATGCCCACATGGGTGGCGTCAAGGTTGATGTTCTCTTCAGCAACATCAAGCACCTCTTCTTCCAACCATCTCAGCACGAACTCATCGTCATCATCCACTGCCATTTGCACAATCCCATCATGATTGGCAAGAGGAAGGCAAAGGACATCCAGTTCTACCGCGAAGCCACAGAGATGCAATTCGACGAAACGGGTAACCGCAAGCGCAAGCATCGCTATGGTGATGAGGAGGAGTTTGAGGCAGAACAGGAAGAACGCAGACGTCGTGTTCAGCTCGACAAGGAGTTCAGATCGTTTGCCGAGAAGATCGCCGATGCTGGCAAGGGTGACAACCTGCAAGTCGACATGCCTTACCGCGATCTTGGTTTCAACGGTGTTCCCGCTCGCTCAAGCGTTTACATCCAACCTACCACCGAGTGTCTCATCCAGATCACCGAGCCTCCGTTCACAGTCATCACACTTAACGACATCGAGATCGTGCATTTGGAGCGTGTTCAATTCGGTTTGAAGAACTTTGACATGGTCATTGTCTTCCATGACTTCCAGCGCCCTCCAGTGCACATCAACACCATCCCTGTCGAGTCACTTGACAGTGTCAAGGACTGGCTGGACTCGATCGACACACCCTACTCAGAGGGTCCCCTCAACTTGAATTGGGGTACCATCATGAAGACCGTTACTGCCGACCCTCACGAGTTCTTTGCTGGTGGTGGTTGGTCTTTCCTTGCTGCCGAGTCGGATGACGAGGGAGAAAGCGAGGAAGAGGAGAGCGCCTTCGAGGTCAGCGAAGAGGATCTCGCTAGTGACGAGAGCAGCGAGGACGAGTCTGACTTTGACGACGACGCTAGTGCCGATGCTAGCGAGGAGGAGATGAGCGAAGACGAAAGCGGCGAGGACTGGGACGAGATGGAAGAAAAGGCAAAGAAGCGTGATCGCGAGAGCGGTCTCGACGATGAAGACAGCCGTCCCAAGGCCAAGGGAGGCAAGCCCAAGAAGCGATAAACGACACAGACCAAGCTATGACAATGCTTGGTGAAGTTGTCTAATGAGCCCCTCCAAAGGTGGAGATATCTTTTCTTGCTTGCTTTTCGAGGAGTTTTGGGCGTGCAAAGGGCGATCGAGTAAGGGAGGATCCATGATTGGTACTGATAAGCGACTTGGGAATGATAAATATTTCAGGTAGTGGAAAACCAAGACCCTTGTTTCATTTCTTAAAGCACTTTGTGTACTTGTTTTATTCGTGAGAAAGATCTTTGTATAGAAAAGGTAAAGAACTGGAACCAGAAACCTCCCAACCGGGGTATATAATAACCATAAATCCATGCAAAATAGACTGCCCAGAACGCCATCATGCTATCATAATAGACATATCTATGTATATAAACACTTCGTCCTCATACCTGACATATGCCTTCTAGATCCTTTCTTAGCAGATCTAAAACTTTTCCATCAAATTCTTCCTCACCGTCCACATCCTGGCTCTTTTACCAAAGATGTACATGGGGATAGTGAAAAGCAAACATCCCAATTGAATGCCACCGAGAGCCAAAAACACAGCCTTGCTCCCATCGTGCTCCAACCACCGATTGAAAAACAACGAAAACACCAATCCGTGGAAAATATTCTTCGAAAAGTTTAGCGTCACCAAAGCTTCACCAGCGTATTGGCGATAAGAGTCTACGGCAAAAGTGATTGCGGTGGTGCTGCCTACACAACAGCCAAAGGAAATGATGCCGAAGAAGACGGTGGGGACGATCCAGGCGTCGTGTTCGGCGACGCTCCAGCCGTAGCCCATGAGGCCGATGACTGTGGAGATGGTGACGGGGATGGCCATGAGGAGGCGGAATTCGGGCTCGTAGACGCCGTCGTTGCGGCGGGCCATCCAGCGTACGATTACGTCTGAGAAGCGGCCTGCCACTGCTGTTCCGAGGATGCCGCCGATGAAAGGGGATATGTAGATGAGGCCGACTTGGAGGGAGGTGAAGTTGTAGGTAGAGCGGGATTTGTAGATTTCAGAGACGGATTCGGAGAGGACGATCAGCCAGCCTACAGATAATGCGTAGACTAGGGATGACCAGAGGATGGCTGGGTAGGCGAAGAGGATGAAGGGGCGGAGGGCGACTTTAAACCAGTTGTCTTGGGAGAGGCGGCCGGCGTAGGGTTTCAAGGTCTGGACGAATGACTTTGGGGGTGCAGAGCGGTAGAACGAAGTATAGCCAGAGCCGGGGTGGCTTGGGTCGACGTAGAGGCCGGGAGAAGGAGGGACGCTGTCGAATTGGGCGCTGTTGGATCTCGTGTGGTTGTGTCCGGAGGTAGGTCTATAGGACACGAACGGGTCGTCTCCTGGCGACAAGTGTTGGGGTCCTGGAGAGAAATGCGCCGATCCCGGCGATAGTGCGCTCGCCTGAGGTGATAGTGCACTCGCCTGGGGCGATAGCGTGCTCGTCTGAGGCGAGAGCTGAGCTCCAGACGAGACAGGCTGCAAGCCAGGTGAGAGAGGTTGCAGAGAAGCATCTGTCTGGACTCTGAGTGGTGTTTGAGGATGCTCAGGAGTCTCGGAAGCTTCAGGAGTCGGGAGATTCAATGCAGGTACATTTGGCTTTTCAGCATCTCCAGGAGCGATCTCGTCATCATCACTGGCAGGCTCGTTGAAATGCGCATGTCTTGACAACCGCTTCTCTCCTTTCGTCTTGGTGGGGCTCTCAGTGTTAGACAGGTCGTACTTTTCGCCCTTCTCCACTTCAGGCGCAGCCTCATGCGTATGCGTATCGGCATGGCCGCGATGGAAGATGGAAGCCAGCGAGATGTTACTCATAAGCCTTGGTCTGTGATTCTTGTTGTGTCGAGACGGCCTCGGTGTGCGGTCCCAAAATGTTTCAGGGACAAAGAGGAACAACAAGATAGCACCGAACGTGACTACTATGGCGACGATCCAAAAGACCCATCGCCAGCCAAGCGACTGTATGATGGCGGCACTCACCAGCGGGATGAGGTTCTTACCACCAAGAAGCAGCAGAGTGTATACACCCAATCGGTAGGCACGCTCGTGCAAAAAGTAGATCTCTGCAATGGTTGCAGAGGGAAGACACTCAACGGGACTGACAGCGAGGCCCATGAAGATGCGTGCAAGTACCAGAGAAATGTAGTTGGGCGACAGAGCACACCAAACAGCAGACAGTACAAAGACGACTGATGCGACAAGATACACTGGTCTTTTGCCATATAGAATAGCGGTAGGCGAGGCGATGACACTACCAAGACCAAGGCCCAGCATATAAAGACCAGTGGTCAGAGCAACCTCGGGCACAGTGACGCCGTATGTTTGCGATACATTGGCGAAGCCTGCAGCGAGGACCGGCGTCATACCTCCACCGAGCATGCAGAAGAAGCCCAGAGACAGCAGGGCGCAATCTCTGCGCCATTTCGGCCAGTTCAGCGGGTCATTCAGAGACTCATCAGGTTGTGGTTCGAGAACGATGCCGTCTCCAGTCTGTTTCTTGTCCGGAGTAGCAGGAACGAGAGAGCCTGCTCGTGAGCGAGGATTGATAGAGCCCGTACGAGAGCGAGGAGTGAGGGAGCCGTTACGTGATTGCGAATAAGGAAAGGGAGAGGGTAGAGACGAGGTCGATGTTCTGGCAGGAGTGTTTCGAAGTCCAAGGGGTTCGTTGCGATTCGCTACTTTGGAGAGCAGTAAAACAGAGCCTGATGATCCGTTAGTGTTGTGCATAGATACGATGCTAGGTCAACTTACCAGGAACTTCGTCCGTTTCTCTGTCGTTCAAGATACCCAGACTCCATTTAGCCGGTCGCTTGTTGATCGAATCCTCCGAATCCGTCTGCGAATTGCGATTCTGCTTCTTTCGTGGCCAGAAGCGGCTTTCCTGGCCGTCGATATCCTTCTCTGCGACCATGGCAGAGGGCAATGGACTCGTACGAATGCGATAGGAATAGGGCGAAGGCCAATGTCGTGCAAGCCAGGGATATATACAGCACTAGAGAGGCGGTGTAGCGTGAGCCCCGTGGAGGACGATCAGGAGGTCGTATAGATGGCAGGTACAGTCGTTACCGGTAGGCTATGGCGTGGGCGGTCTGTCTCGAGACTCGACTGTTATCAAACTAGGCGCTAGGAGCTGTCATGTGGACGATTCTCTGACAGCCTGATAACACCCTGGACTAACGCGACCCATGGGGCATGACTCTGCTGCAGGAGTCGAAGACGGCAGCGGGCGTGGCCATGGATGCTGTTTTGAAACGCTCAATCCTCCTCTGCCTGGGCGCGACCCAGAGCCACGAAACAGACGACTCGAATCTGCTCATCAGGGTTTCGTTTCCGTCATCTCTTGGCCTTCCATACGCACCCTTCTAGCGCTACTTGGCCCGGCCCTCTTCCGCCAATCATGTCGCGTAGCCGCCGGAGCCCCTAGCTTTCAGCTCATAACCACCCTCGCTCCTCATCTCCGCAATCAGACCAACAACACAGATACCTTTATATGAGCCCGTTTGACTCTTGCGCTATAGCACTCACACCGGCGCCGCTACACTCCGAATATCTTCAATGAGTACTGGGTACTTGAACACCTCCTCCTCCCCTTGACAAATGTGAAGTAGGTCGGCCCCCCAACATACTTCAGTCCAAGACTTGGTATTGGAAACTAAAATTTGTGGTCCTATCTCTTGTTCCCGTTAGCAACCGTGTGCGCCATCTTATGCAGTAAATGCTATCTCCGGAACTCAGTCTAGCTATTCTCTATATAAGAAATCTAGAGAGGCTGCGATGATGATGCGCTCAGAGCCATGATCAATGACTCGTCAGACGGAAATCCTCGAGTCCAGCTCATAGATATATCCCCTTATCTTAATCATCCTTGGTGTCCTGGCCGTCCTTTTTCTTGCGAGGTTCAAAGTTCAGCTGCATCATGTCAGTCGCTGCTGCTACTTCATGTCTGGGTGCTTGGAATTACTCACCTGATTCCCATTGTAAAGCTCAGGGGTTTGGTCTGCTTCTCGTCTCTGGTCACCGAGCGTGCGTATGTTGATGCCGCCGGGCCTGTTAGCCATTCTGTCTCCCTCCACGTTAGATGTCTCGCTCTCATCCGCTGTGCCGGACATATAAGGTCCTGCTCGGTCGTTTGTTCCTGATGCATAGCCCATGGCACCTCCTACAGCGCTCCCCAGCATGCTTGCCGCGCCTGACAAGAGCCCAAATCCAGCATTGAAGCCTTTCGAGACCAGACCGCCACTGCCACTGGCATAAGCGTCTGTGTATCCCTTGATGGGTACCAACACCAGAGTTGCACTGGGTGTCAAGCCGAGCGACTTGAGTGATTCGCTCTCTTCGCCTACTGAGATGTTTCTGCTAGGGTTAGGAAGCAGTATCTGTCGGAACTCGTAGGGGATCTCCGTTTGCGAGTTCTGTGAAATGTATGTCCTGACCGAGGTCGCAAGGGTTGCCGAAGGGTCGAACTTTGTTCGTAGCGAGCTACCGTCAAACAGTCTGATTTGAAGAGAGCAAGTGGTGGAGTGTCGTCCGGGAGCTGTATCAGTGTGTACTGGTGCCCGTGCAGCTGCTGTAGACGGCTCACCCTGGGCGGCAATTCTTCTTTGTCGTTCCTTCTCTTTTCTTGCAGCCTTGTCAGACTCGATTGACTTGAGAATTCTCTCCCTCTCGACACGAGCCTCTTTGTTGCGGTTTCGTTGCTGATCAGCCCAGTCTTGTTTGTTCTGAGGCATTGACGATGATTCGGCGGCTTGCTTGTCTGCAGACGCTTTTCGTGCTTTCGCTGTGGCCCTGCGTGCTTCCTTCTCGGCCTCTTCTTGCCTTTTGCGTTCGGCTTCGAGACGCGCCCCACGCTCGGTTAAGAATTGTTGCATTGTTGCATTGTTGCCCTGACTGGTAGGTGCTGGGATGGGGACGTTTGTCTCCGCGTTCTCCTGGGGGACTGTGCCGGAATCTTGTAGACTCGTTCCTCTTTCGCCGATAAAGGGTACATTCGACAAGACTTGGCTGACGTCCGCGGTGGCAGAGTCTTCGTTTTGAGGAATAGGATTGGATGCCTGTGGTAGCTGCTGCTGTGTAGGAGGTTGTAGTAGAGCAGTAATACGCTGCTTGAATTCTTCCTCGGTGACGCTTGCATCGATATTCTCAACAACCGAGCCTGCCTTGATGATCAAAAGCTTCGGCAAAGAGTCGAGAGAACAGAAGGCTCCCAGGAAGCCAGCCTCGACGGATCCTGCATTGATCCGAAGCAAGATTGCCCTTTCGCCCAGTTGTTCGCCCAGTGAATTTCGTTGGTCCGATTCTGTAGGTATGTCGGTCGACGCGTTCAGCCACTCGCTCTCCCACTTTTGGCTTGTCTCATTGTCATCTGCCAGTTCGTTAGACTGCATAGGATGGAGGTTGTGTCAGCTGGACCGTACGTACCTTGTCTGACGAAGCAGGCGACCAGCTTGTGCTCGTGGATCGCCTGCGAGATACCGCTCTGCAAATCGCCTTTGAAAAACATGGCGACAAGGTTGTGGTGAATGTGACAGCGAAGGAGGGTGGTGCTCTCGTACAACTGTCTCCACCCCAGCCAAATCACATGCTAGAACGTCACCGACGAAGTGGACCCTGCACCGCCAAGCATATCAGTGTTTAGACAATCTCCAACTTCGGTCTGGACCTTGTTGTCAGGGCCATGCATACACGATAGTCATCATCGTCGTTATCTCTGGAAATGACTACGGTGCCTCTTGGATACAGGCCTTCTTCCGAGGCCTTCAAGCGGCCTGATACGAGAGACAGTCCAGAAGACAAACGCCAAAACAATGCAACAACAGGTAGGATAGGCAGGACATACACACGAAGATATTCTGGAGGCTGAGTCTCGATAGGGGCGTCGGCCGCTAGTATGCGGGCTCTGACGGCACGCATGTTCGCTTTCTACTTCAGAGTGCCCGTGAAAGCATTCTTCCGGACAAGGATAGAGTAAGCGTGAAATCTAGTTCGATGTAGAATCCTGTGCTGACTGGTAGGCAGCTATCTTGTATGTCAAATCGCGTAGTATGCTTTCACCTCCTTTGACTGACCCCAACGAGGCATTTCCGAGGGCTATCAATCCTCTTCTGCAGACTTCTGGAAAGTGGTCCTGGAAAATGACCACCCCTGGGATATTAGCCTATGCCGTACAAACTCACGGGTGGTCTTTCATACCTAACCAAGTCTTGCCTCCGCTGCTAGCGAATGTTACGGTCGGAGCTGTCCTATACACATCTTACCTGGGAGCACTTGGCCTCTACTACGAACCAGCTTCACATTCTACCAAGAGAATCTATCCTCCGGCACCGTTTTTTGTGACGTTCGCTGCTGGTTTCTCTGCAGGCGCTTTCCAGAGCGTGGTTGCCGCACCCTTGGATGCTTTGACTATTCGATTCAAGACAACCGATCTTACACAAGGTACATACAAGAACATGTGGGATTACGCTTCGAAGAAACTTCAGACCATTGGAGTGCGTGGGGCATTCGCTGGATGGGCGCTTTCATTTGGAAAGGACGCCTTTGGATATGGGCTGTTCTTCGGTGCATTCGAGTTTATCAAGTCTCAGTGTTTCTATGAGTACGTGAGTCACTGGTACTCGAGATATGGTCTTCTATCCATGTTCCACAAAGAGCAGATCCAGCAACAAATACAGTTGCAGAGTGTCAGTGATCAAGGAGAACGACCAGTCATCAAGCCGCATTATCTAATGGAACCTTCGTTCATACTCCTTGCTGGTGCAACAGCAAGTGTGCTGCAACAAGCCGTCGCTCACCCTTTCACACGGGTACAGGAACTCCACTTCCAACGATTGGCGACACTGGACGAGCTGTTACAAGCCAGACCAGGACGACTTGACACCATGCAGCTATATGCGCGAGCGTATCAGAAAACATGGATACAGGCCGGCAAGCGCGCGACGAAATCGGGAGGTTGGATCAGATGGCTATATCGGGACTTTTGGATGACAACCCTGCGTCAGGTACCCTCGACTGCAGCTGGTCTGATTGTATTCGAGATCTTCCGTCGAAAGTACGGAATTGGAGAAGACGCTGTCAAAATACCCAAGGACGAATACGACATCTTGTTGCCCTGATACCGGACAGCCCTGCAGTATGTTATGCCAAAAAGTTATCGAGCGCGGATCGGATCTGCTCCCATCTGGCTTGCAGAAGCTTGAGTTTGTTCGCGAGGTCGCCAGTTTTTTCCTCCGAGAGAGGCTTCAAGGCCGCAATGGCTTCTTTGGCTTCTTCAACATAAGATTCAAGGGAAGGTTTCAACCAATCAAGCACTTCGCTTTCTTTGTCGTCGGCAAGATCTTCTCCGGATCCCATGAAGTGCTCCCACTCGTTGGCTGTCAGGAGTACGGAGCGCACGGCGACCTGTGTTTTGAAGCACAGTTCACCCGAGCTTGGAAGGAGAGCATAGCCACCAAGGAATCCCACATCTTGCAGAGCACTTTGCTGGCTCTCTGTCAAACGGGGTAGTAACACGTGGTCCAGACGGATCTCGTCATCATCTAGACTGCCATCAGGAAGGATGAATCCATCTATGCTGTGTGTCAGCTGTATGTACATCCACATGGAATACAATAGCCTTACAATGTACCAGGAGCTTGTCGTTGGAATGGGCTCCGTACGTAGCCAATATCTCTTCTCCAGGTTCTGTTAGAAGTCGTACTGTCAGCTGCGTGCCACTGTGTAGAGATCACACGAGGCACGTACCATAATCTCGATTTGCCCTCAACTCATAGCCTTGCGGAGACATTGTTACTTCACACTTCTATCTTTAGTAAAAGAACGTGACAGATGGTTCTTGCAGACTTACTCCTCGGCCGTTTGGACAGTGGTTCATATAGTCCAATGCGGGATTCATAATCATGGCACCCTGACTCACACCTTGAGGCTTCCAGTGGAAACTGCGTGTATTGACGAGCATCCAGTGATATAGGAAGTCACGCTCGAACGTTTCATCGTCGGAAGCGTGCATGTGTTTTGCAGATTCAATATCCCGTTCCAGGTCTGACAGCATCCGGTCCAGCGGTTTCTGTACACTTGGTGGAGCCCATTTGCGTAGTACATCTTCCAAGTCGTCCTTTGGAGACCAGGCAAGCATGCAAGCAGAAAAGTCTTCGGGTGTTGGCCAAGCAGATCTCGAGGCAACATATGTTGACGAATGGTTCTTGCACTCCAAGGTAAGGTATGCGGCTAATTGGGCCTGTGAAGATAGCTTGTTTAGCTTGTGTTTGCGAAGCACTGCCATCTCGGGTTTGATCATGGCCTTCTCAGGCACAAAAAACAACACGGCATTCTTCTTGATCTTTTCTTTGGCTAGCAAGCCAACACCTCGACCGGGAAGCACAGCGGGTGTGACTCCATGTATTTCGATTCCACGGGCAATTGCCCATTCGACATAGGCAGCATGGACTTCTGGTATATCGAAATCCAGGCTAGTCTTTAGTGTCTTGCGCTTCTTTGATGGGGGCTCTGAAGGCATGATGGCGTGTTGGCGTGTTATGAGGGATTATTTTGATTCTAGAAACCCCCGCAGCGAGCGATACAGTTTCACGGGCCTCGAAACGAGCCAACGGCTATCACATAACTCTGTACGGCAGCTGCGTAGAAATCCTCAGCTGTCCTAAAACCATGTCTCAGACTTCAGGTTCCGATCTTCACTCTTCTATGCTGCAGGCAACACAGCGGCTCCCTGAATGCTATTTACCACATGTTCAGGAACAAGCATCATGGGTTCGAAAATGGATCAGAATATGTATGTTGAACTATACAATCAAAGCTTTGAAGTCGGTAGATACAGGAGGCTACAGGATGATGACAAGTCAAAAGATACGCAAAGCAAGGAGTGTTTTCGAGGCGCTGTCGCTCAGGTTCCGAGATGGCGATATAGGATAATACGGCTGGCTCATGTGCGAATAACGTCGCGGCAGCGAGTCACAGTAAAGTGTAATATCTGAACAGCTCAACTGTCAGCTGGGTCTTGACTCGAAGAGTCCAGACGGGATCTTTCATGAGAAAGACGGAGTGGCCGTAAAGCAAAAGGCCCAGACTCTGGAGATCTTGATCATTGCGTGAACGGAGACTGCCGAGCGTCGCTGGGCAAGAGCGTCGTTGGGCTGCGCGACTCTCGTCTGAAGACCTTGCTTCACACCTCCTTCGAAGTCCAACCCCCCAACAGCGACTCTTTCGGCTATCCAGGTCGACCGCCAACTTCTTCTTGGCCCGTCGTCCTTCTGCCACGCCCTTCTGTCGACAATTGTCGCTTCGCCCTTTGCCGGCAAAGTCCAAGGTGCGTGACCCACCTGCCCCCGTCCAGTCAGCTGCGCTGCCACGCATATCACAACCCGCATCTTCACACCGACATCCGGCTTCTTTCATCGACACGTTGGACGCCGTGTCTGCCTATTGTTCTTTCACTCTGTCTTCCCCCAAACCCCTTCCTGCCTGCTTCTCGTCTGCCTCTCCACCCTGATTCGCTGGCTTGGGCCTGTCTCCGCTTACCCCCTTCGCCTTGCTGACGTCGCCGTTGTCTCTACAGATTCCTCCATCTCCATCACCAACCTACTCTTCCGCCTCAGCGACGGCTCACCTCCACAACATCTAAAGCATGACAACAATGGTACGACATAGCTTTTCGTGTTGCTTCACGACTCCTCCACTAACACACGACAGGACCTTCGCGTCGGTAACAAATACCGCATCGGTCGTAAGATTGGTAGCGGCAGTTTCGGTGACATTTACCTTGGTATGCAAATCCTGCTGCTCGTCATTCAAGAACGTCTTCTGACCCATTCCTACAGGCACCAACATCATCTCCGGTGAGGAGATCGCCATCAAGCTCGAAAGTGTCAAGGCCAAGCATCCTCAGCTCGAGTATGAGGCCCGCGTCTACAAGTCTCTTGCCGGTGGTGTCGGTATCCCCTTCGTCCGCTGGTTCGGCACCGAGTGTGACTACAACGCCATGGTTCTCGATCTCCTCGGCCCCTCGCTCGAGGATCTCTTCAACTTCTGCAACCGCAAGTTTTCTCTGAAGACCGTCCTCCTTCTGGCCGACCAGCTCATCTCCCGCATCGAGTACATCCACGCCAAGTCCTTCATCCACCGTGACATCAAGCCCGACAACTTCCTCATGGGAATCGGCAAGCGTGGAAATCAGGTCAACGTTATCGACTTTGGTCTGGCCAAGAAGTACCGTGACCCAAAGACTCACTTCCACATCCCTTACCGTGAGAACAAGAACTTGACTGGTACTGCTCGCTATGCCAGTATCAACACTCACTTGGGTGTTGAGCAGTCCCGTCGTGACGACATGGAATCCTTGGGCTACGTTATGCTCTACTTCTGCCGTGGCTCTCTTCCCTGGCAGGGTCTGAAGGCTGCCACCAAGAAGCAGAAGTACGACCGTATCATGGAGAAGAAGATGACCACTCCCACCGAGGTCCTCTGCCGTGGCTTCCCCAACGAGTTCGCCATCTACCTCAACTACACCCGCTCTCTTCGCTTCGACGATAAGCCCGACTACTCGTACCTCCGCAAGATCTTCCGTGATCTCTTCGTCCGCGAAGGTTTCCAGTACGACTATGTCTTCGACTGGACCGTCTACAAGTACCAAAAGAACGCTCAAGCCGTCGCTCAGGCTGCCGCCAACCAGCCTCAGGCTGAGGAAGCTGAAGAGAAGGCTGGTCGTACCCGTACTGCTGCTGCTACCGCCGGCCAGACCGCTGGTGCCGTCAACGACAAGCGCCGTGGCCCCGTGGCACCCCGTGCAGAGGGATCAGGAATGTGAGTTCAATCTCGTCATTCTGTAAGACTCCCCTGCGATTGAGTGCTCTTGCGTGAGGCTTGCCGCGGGGGATATTTGGTACGCATGCTGACGTGCTGGCTCCTCTCAGGCAACTCCGCTCCTCAAAGCGTGGCGTCGAACAGCAGGGATACAACAACTACTGATCGCTTGTCTTTTGTTGCGAATTTGAGTCCGGATTGTCTCTCTGGACACCTTGACTCTGATCAGCAACATGGTTTCTTAAACTCAACTTGTGTGGAGAAATGCAGTTTTGCCGTCCTGAACGTCTAGTGGACGGCGAAAGATGCATCCACACATTCTTATGTTGTCTGCAATTTCCGCTATTGGGGGTTACGCTGTTCCGGCGGCATCATCTACCCAGACAACCATGCTCAACTCGGAGTGGCCTCAAGTAACCTACCCTTCTCTTGGGTTGCATATGCTTCGAGACAGGCATAGCGGATCCGGATTTCATACCTGGCAGTGTCACTCGGCAGGCTTCTCGCTTCACGGCTGGTCGACCTGCAGTTTTATCCTGGCCACTCTCGGTACATCAGATTGCACCCTATCCTTTGGCAGCCCTAATCATCCACCAAACAATTTTCCCTTTCCTTTCTTTCTCTGCTTTGCTTTTGGTTGCTTGGGATCTGGAGGGCGGTTTGTGGGGAGGTTCAAGCATCCGGAGACGATATACACAGGAGAGGAAGACTTCGAACGATCCAGATTGATATCACAGCCAACAGAATTGAGCGATGGAGGATCAAGCTATTAGAGATTGGCCATGGACTCCATGTCTGTCGAAGAACAGCGGTCTTTGCGAAAGTCAGCTCGACGAAGGGTTGTTCCTCTGTTCGAAGGAAAGAAATGGATGCTTCTGGGTCAGTTTATTCTAGTTTAGTATGTAGCCAGTCTTTGCTCTTGCACTCAATTCTCAGTACTTTCATTATACATGTCTTTCCTCGCGCGAGACTGTAAACGCAGACACCAACCAGATTTAAGCATTATGCACTGAGGCGTCTTATAGGCGCCGGTTGTGGGTCTGAAGGCGGTGGCTGTCAAACAGCTGCTTACCGCCCGGCAGATTTCATGCTGACCATCAATTATTGCCGCCGCATTGTTTGTACGCATGCAAGGCCAAGTCGTCTCGAACCAACTCACTCGACCAAACAACAAGCTACTATCTGCAGCTTGGCCCTTCTCACAGATGACCTTCGCTCCGATCCATCAGTCGTTATGCAACACCTGCCGACTTCGATCTCTAGTGGCAGCAAAACAATGCGCTAGAGTGCGAACACCATCCGCACGAGACTGGACACGACCTAGACAACCAGCATTCGCACGATACTTGCATACCTCTAGGGTCTCCTCGCAGCAACAGAAGTCTGCTAGACAAGAAGACGATACATTACTCAAGCAATCTACTGGATTGAATCAGAGATCGGACAAGAAAGCTTCCCGAGCAGAAGAAATAGCACGGCAAGCAGAGGACGACTTTGAACTGGAAGATGTAGATACACTCGCCACCGAAGACACAAAGGCGCCACAGTCAATAAAGTCTCTTAATGCTTCGCCTGAAGATGTGGCGCGAGCGGCTCGTCAACGATTTGGAGATGCACTACCTGAGGATTTGCTGAGCGACAAGCAATACGCAGCATACGAACGTTTATACGGACCACCGATCGGACACACGAGTAACGAAACGGTTGACTTTGAGGAGAATGAGCTGGAAGGAGAGTTGGACGAAACAGCCAATGTTGGCACAGGCATCTTGAAGGAGAATGCAGATGGTGTGCTTGAGGAAGTCGAGTACATTGAAGAAGAGGAGGACTTACAGGAAGAGGAAGAACAAGAGCTGGTTGAAGAAGATGCAGATGTCGTTGCGGAAGCGGAGCCGAATATGGTTGAGGATCTGGATGCTCAGACTATCAAGGACATCGCTGCCCTGCGTGTGTCTCAAGACCTGCTCGACGATTCCCAGGAACAGATTGAGGAACCCTACGATCACACACGAGCACATCCTTTGACTGTTGAGAATCGATTCGGCACGCCGTCTTCTACCGTACAACTGCCGGCTTCTTCGTTTGTAGATCCTGTCACTCGGCTCGTGTCTGGTGTTCCCAACAAACACATCTCGGAGGTTGCTCATCGTATCTTTGGTGGTGTTGGCCTACCATACTCGACATCAACGCCCCAGCGTGCGGTGAACATGCCGCAGAAGGCTATACCTCTCAACCCTGGTCAAGGCAGAATGAGCGAAATGGACGCCGATATCTTTACGACTACTCTTATGCCCGGTATCTATGCCAGCGTGTTCAGCGTTTTGGTGGAAACCCGCAAACGCTTGGGCAGCTCATGGCTCGAGGGTCTGTTGACCAAGGATGGCGGTCCCCGCATCCTCGATGCCGGCGGTGCAGGTGTGGGTGTCATGGCTGCCAGAGATGTCCTTCAAGCAGAGTGGGAGCGCATGCATGACACGAGTGAAGACGAAGACCCCTTTATGGCTATCGCAGAAGCCGGCGGCAAGACCGGTGGCGAGTCCATACCTGCTCCTGTAGGCAAGGCTACCGTCTTGACCAGCAACGAAGCCTTGCGACATCGCTCCAGCAAACTCCTTGACAACACCACTTTCCTTCCTCGTCTGCCTGACTACATGCACGCTACTGATGAGTCCGCACGTGAGCGCGGCAAGTACGATATCATCATCGCGCCGCACACTCTGTGGCCGCTAAAGGAAGACCACATCCGCAAACAGCACGTCAAGAACCTGTGGAGTCTGCTCAGCACAGATGGTGGTGTCTTGGTGCTGCTGGAAAAAGGCGTTCCTCGCGGCTTCGAGATGGTAGCTGCAGCTAGAGAACTACTTCTCAACTCACGCATCTCCTCTCCTGGCAACGAGGCCATGTCCGAAGACGTTGAAGGACCAGGAGAAGGCACAGTGTGGGGCAAGCAGCCCAAAGACAAGGGTATGATTGTGGCTCCCTGTACGAATCACCTCGGTTGCCCTATGTACGTCAACCGTGGTATCAGCAAGGGCCGCAAGGACTTTTGCCACTTTAAGCAACGCTACATTCGACCTCCGTTCTTGCAAAAGATCCTCGGAGCCAAGCACAGAAACCACGAAGATGTCGAGTTTTCGTACGTCAGCGTCATGAGAGGTCGCGATCTTCGTGACAAAGACGAGCAAAACATCATCCAAGGTGAAGTCGCCACAGACCGAGCATTCATCGGTTTCGAGAACCCTCAGGCTCTGGCCGACGAGCAAGTCGAAGACGAATTCGATCCCACAGCCCCTGCCGTGCCAGACATGGAAGCAGAAACACCTGAAGGCGAAAACCCTCATTCACTGAGTCTACCTCGTATGGTTCTTCCACCTCTGAAACGACAAGGCCACGTCATCATCGACCTCTGCACGCCAGCCGGCACCCTCGAACGCTGGACAGTGCCCAAATCCTTCTCTAGACAGGCCTACCGTGACGCGCGCAAATCCTCCTGGGGCGACATTTGGGCTCTAGGCGCCAAATCACGAGTGCCCAAGAACGTACGCGTGGGTAGAGGAAAAGAGGAATTGGGAGGTGTGGAGAAGAAGAGAAGCAAAGCAAAGAATACGGTCGAGGTTGGCTATGATTCGGCAGGTAATATTAAGGAAGAGGATGTCAAGGTCAAGACCGGTGGAAGAATGAGACAGGGCAAGATCAAGGGTATTAGGGATAAGCGTGACAAGAAGGCCGATGGAAGGGGAAGAAGGAAGAACTTGGACAAGGAGTGATTGAGGGGGGACATCCATTGTACTATATCCCGAGTTTTGAAGCATCTCAACTCTTAGTTTTGACGACCAATTAACGAAGCATTTTTGAACAGATTCAGCTTTTGGAGCTGCGAAGCGTGCATTTGGTGGATTTTGAAGCCTTTGGCGCAATACGAAAGAGTTCAGACCCCGGGGTGAATCAAATGTGGTATTTTTGTACACAGGCTTCCTGCGGATCTATGGAGCCACATTCATAGCCCTTTTTTTCCCGATCTTTTCCCTTTCTTTCTCTCAGAAGAAACATATCTAGTGGGCGGGCTTGACAATGTTCTTGTTGGGGTTGCGGGGGTCGTTGCGGTACTCGTCGGCTGTGGGATATAGCTTGTCAGCTGTCTTGTTCTTTCCATGTCTTGTATGGGTCCACTGTTGAATGCGGCGCAAACGACTAGAGGGCTTCAAGAGGGTTGGGTGGAACTGACTGTTGGCGAGAGTAGTGGCGAGCGAGTTGATGCCGTAGAAGATGATGGCGCCTGTGACAGAAGAAGTATCAATATCCAGCTGTTTCTCGAGATGGCGCATGCGTATATAGGTATTCACGAACCGGCAATGTAGAAGGGAGCCATGGGGCGGGCTATAGCAAAAGGCGTCAGCAATCGTGAACATTCGACTCAAGAAGTCGCCGTGAGGACTAGCTGCGAAGGCATTGAGAACGCACCAACAGGGGCGGGGAACTTCTTTCCGAGGAGACCGGCCATTTTGACAGAATGTGATTGTTTTGGTGAGGGGAGTGACGAAGAGGTATAGACTGATTGAAGGTTGCTGTCGACCCGCGCGCAATCCTCAATGCTTGCTTCGACGGTCGTCCGCGATCCCGACGTCTTGGCATCACGGGACGGAGTCCCTCTCCCGCATTTCACATGCGGTTGCTTGCTTCAAACCATCAACAATAAACACTAACATCAATTCACGCACATCAGCACTATGAGTACAGCCAACACTCTGTCCAGCTGCGTCTCATCGCTGCGTTCGAGCATGCAATTGCTCGACTCATCCATCAGTATTCTCGACTCTGGTACCAGCGACTTCCCACGTTTGGCTAGAGTCCTGCAGGCCACTAGGGTAGGCATATCCTCACTCTTCGAACGCATCCACTACAAGTCAACGGCTGACACCAGTGTAGCATTTTGAACTCGTCTCGGAGCCCGAACTACAAACCGCTCAATCTGCTCTGCTTTCCGAGATCCAGCCCGAAGTCGAATCCATGCTCGATCGTGTTGCCGTCTACCTCGACAAACTCCAGCGTCGCGAAGAATCGTTGATCGCAAAGTGTGAACTACAGGAGGGTCGTCTTTCCTCGCATCGTCCCCAGCAACAATATCATCCTAGGAACACTGCACAATCGGCATCCTCACACGTTGCCAGCAATCCCATCCAAGAGCTCAAGCAGCAGCAGCTCAGGCAGAAGAAGGACCGTCTGAGCTATGCTGTTGGTAGACTTGAGTTGCAAGCAAACCAAAGAGAGAGACAGTTGAGGAAGAGCATGGCTGGCTTTTGATTGAACTTCTCTACAACACTTTTGCTTCGCATCCTCCACAGCCTGGCAAGCAAGCTGTATTACTTTCAAGCTTCTCGACGCTACTTGGTCTTTGCTGGATCGTCCTCAATCTGCAGAGTCACTCTTTGGATCCCGAATTCATGCAAGCACCGACCAAGGCGAGCAAGCCGTCCGTTCTGCGTCTCTTTTGGCTGCTCGGCTCGTACCAGCTCCTCTATTTCTGTGCTACTTCCCGACAACATCTCTTGGCTAGTCATGGGCGACATGACGATGTGTGCCGATGCAATCGATTCTTCTTGACTCAATTGCCAGACACAGAGGTCGTGCACCGACACGACTCCTGGTATCTTGCTCAACTCACGCATCACGGCTCCGCTCTGGGCGCTGGGTGGTGTGCTTCCAAGCAGAATGTGACCGCTTCGAAAAGCTGTCTTTGTCAGTTGCTAGCTGCATACTAGACGGGACAACTAACTGAGAGGGAGGGCGCTGCTTGCGATCATAATCGCTATGCCCATCGACACAGCAGGATCGGCGTAGAATCTGTTCGGCGATTGTACAAGCATCATGACGAGAGCTGCAGCGATGACCCCAAGATTGTTCAGCACATCTCCAAGGATATGGATGACGATAGCATTGACTCCCAAATCGCCATGCGCATGTTTTTTCGACGGATTCTCCTACTCAAGTCAGCTCGTTGTCGTACATCGATGGGTTCAAACATGACTCGCAAGATCCGACATCTCGAGAACTGGAGTGCCTGCTTTTGGTTCCTTGTTGGAACCGTGATGGTGGTGGCCGTGGTCTGCTTCTTGTCAGCGTCCAATTTGACAAGTACAGATTAGGCTCATACCATGAACCGTCAAGATGCATATCACATTGAGCAGAAGTCCAATACAACCCATTATGAGAACGTTGAGTGGTTGGTCGATGACTGTTTTGTCTTAGCATCCGACGACATGGGACCAGTGAAGAGCTTCAACCTTCGATATTTATGAATCTTTCAATGGCCTGTAGAAAAATGCTCAGACCTAGAGCGATAAGAAAAGAGCCGTTGAAGAAAGCACCAAGGACTTTGGCTCTCCCCCAACCGAAAGCGAGGCTTGCAGGGGCATTCTTGCGCTCGGATAGCTAAAAGGTGCATCAGTAGGTATCAAGATGGCTTGGAGGTAGTCTGTTCACCTTTGCAGCGACTAGAGCAACGCAGAATGCGATCAGATCATTCAGCTATTGACCAGTCAGCAGCATCATAGACCACAGGATGGTTGTGATACATAATGGAAAGCATCAGCAATCAGAGCCAGTGATTTGGTACGGAAACCAACTGTGATAGGTATCAGAAAAGAGAGGCCATGATAGAGCATCAAGACTGGACCTGTCTCACCAACAAGCTCTGCAACAAAGAAGGCAGAAGACAAGACGATGACGATGATCAATCTCGTCGAAGTAGATGAATTGCTACGAGCCATGTTGTAGGTTGCATAGGTAAAGGAGGCGATTGTAGGAAGAGACTAAAACTTGGGAAGAGGCTACGAAGAGCTTTGCACATGGACGGCGTGATGTTAATTCAGGGTAGAAACAGAAAGAGCACTCTGTAGCACAAGCATGCTAAATCATGGCGGACCGCCATGAAGAAGCAGTAGGACGAATACCACTAGGGTTGGAGGACAGGAGCGGCTGCCAGCATTTGTTTCGCTTCTACAGGAGCAGTACTACAGGCTTCCAGACGAAGAGCAGCAAGTATAGACTATTGGTTAGAGTCACAAGTCGGTGGTTCAAAGGGTGACCAAAGGGGAAAGAAGCACAGTGAGTCATGAGCGGTCGTCTTTGAGGAAACATGACTCTTAGTTACGAGTGAAGTGATTCATCCCACATTATTTGGAGCCAAAGCACAAAAGACCCCGCTCTGCTTGTCGCAAGAAACATTGTCAGACACAGACACACAATCATGGCCGACCAAGCTACACAGTCAATCCCCGAGAGACCCAAGGACACTCCCGCCGGCGAGGCCGGTGCCGTCGCACCTGCCGAGGGCGAGAAGGGTCCTTCCAAGAGCGCCCTGAAGAAGGCAGCCAAAGAGAAGGAGAAGGTGCGATATGAGCTTGCATCTCGGACGAACAAACAAGTCGCTGACAGCTAGACACAGGCCGAGAAGGCGGCCAAGCGCAAGGCCGCCGAGGAGGCACAGAAGAAGGAGCAGGACGCCAATGATGTTTCGTCCGAGGACTACGGCGAGCTGCCCATGATCGGCTCCCAGGAATACAAGCCCACTGGTGTCAAGCGCGTCACCCTCGCCCAGATTGCCGACAAGTACAGCGAGACCACTCCCATCGACGAGGCCGGTGGTGTTGAGGTCTGCTTCCGCGCCGTCGTAGAGAATGCCCGCAACCAGTCCGCCAAGCTGTCTTTCCTGGTCTTCCGCGAGACTCTCAACACCATCCAGGCTGTTGTTGCTGCCAGCGACTCGCTCAGCAGACAGATGGTCAAGTTTGCCGGCAGCGTTCCCTCCGAGTCCATCGTTCTGGTCCACGGTCTGGTCAAGAAGACCCCTGAGCCCGTCAAGAGTGCCACCATCAGCCACCTCGAGATCCACGTCAAGAAGCTCTATGTTGTTGCAAAGGCCGACTCGCAGTTGCCCATGCAGGTCTCGGATGCTGAGCGACCTCTGCCCCTCGAGGGTGAAGAGGCCAAGGAGGACGAGAGCGGTCGTCCCATCGTTACTCTCAACACTCGCCTCAACAACCGTGTCATCGATCTCCGTGGCAAGCACAACCGCGCCATCTTCGCCATCAAGGACGGTGTCACTGCTCTGTTCCAGGAGTTCCTCCGCGGACAGGGCTTCATCGGCATTCAGACCCCTAAGTTGCTCGGTGCTCCCACTGAGGGTGGTGCCAATGTCTTCTCAGTCGACTACTTCGCTACCAAGGCCTTCCTCGCGCAATCACCCCAACTGTACAAGCAAATGATGATTGCCGCCCGCTTCGAGCGTGTCATGGAAGTCGGCCCCGTCTTCCGCGCCGAGAACTCAAACACCGCTCGTCACTTGACTGAGTTCACCGGTCTGGATCTGGAAATGGCCTTCGAGGAGAACTACCACGAAGTCGTCGAGGTGCTCGAGAACCTGATGCTTTACATCTTCAACGGCCTCCGCACAAAGTACAAGAAGGAGACCGATTTGGTGCGCAGCATCTACCACGTCGAGGAATTCAAGCTGCCCGAGGCTGGCAAGGTCCCTCGCATTCCTTTCAGCGAGGGTATCCAAATGCTTCGCGACGACGGCCTCGAAATCGGCGACTACGACGATCTCAGCACACCCGATGAGAAGCGCCTGGGCGCTCTGGTGCTCAAGAAATACGGCTCCGACTTTTACGTCCTGGACCAATTCCCCCTCAACATCCGCCCCTTCTACACCATGCCCTCGCACACCGCACCCGCCCACCAGAAAGACTCCACCGACCCTAATGCAGGATACAGCAACAGCTACGACTTCTTCATGCGCGGTCAGGAGATTCTGTCAGGTGCCCAGCGTATCCACGACGCAGATTTCCTCTGCAAGCGCATGAAGGAGCATGTGAGTCCTGTGGATCCCAACAGCGATGGCTTGAAGGATTACGTCAATGCATTCCGCTATGGATGTCCTCCTCATGCTGGTGGTGGTATTGGACTTGAGCGTATCGTCATGTTGTGGTTGGGTTTGCCTAACGTGCGTTTGGCTTCGCTGTTCCCTAGAGACCCTAACCGTGTTGCTCCTTAAGCATGCATTGGCTGCAGCTATGAATGACTTGCATTCAAAACAAAAAAAAGGATCATCGATGGGTTCATGTAGACATGCAAAAGACACAAAATTTCGTTTTCGTTGTTCTCGTTATCTTTTCCATCGTTCAAGTCGTCGTCGTCTGCTCCTCCTTGACTTGCTCGCTGCTCGTCTCCTCACCTAGCGCAGCATCAACAGAAGCAGCCTTCCACTCTTCAATCGCCTCAGCAGCCACCTGTCTCATCTCCCTCTTTGTATCCTCGGTATCCTTGCCCTGTTTGACCACATCTTTCCACTCTTCCAATTTCCTCGCCGCCTCTACATCTCCCTCTCTGACCATTTTGATCATCCTACTCGTATCCTTGCCCGAACTCATGTACAAGCCCTCCCTCCCTTTCGCCAACAAGATCCAAATCGCATTCTGCAAAAGATCAGAACTGCGTTTCATTTTATTCATCGCTGCCATTTTTTGCATCAAGATTTCGCATTTGCGGTTTCGCAGTGCAGGGGCCGAAGGAGTTTCAATCTTCTGCTTTCGAGCCAGTTTTGCAGTCGCAGTGTTGAGTTCCTGCAACGTTCTCGCAGCGGTCACTGCTTCGGAGAATTTGTCGACGTCTCTGGAGACGGATTTTGTGGTGATGAGGTTTTGGTGCTTGATGGTGAGGAGGACTTGAGGGGTTAATTCTTTGCGAACGTAGTCGTGGACGAATTCTTGGACGCGAGGTTGGAGTGTGGAATCGGAAATTGTGTCTGTGGCAATGGTGTAGAGTTTCAGGGGTGCGAGGAGTTCGGATTGGATGGTTGTGACAAAGGTTGAGTGTGTTGAGGTTTGGAGGGAGAGGATGCGAGAGGAGAAGGCTGATGCGATTGTGTCTTCTGGATCGCCCGAGGAGAGAATTGCTTGGTCTAGGGGTGCTGAGGTGTCGTTGGAGGTGGGTAGGCTGGTGGGGTCGAAGGTCACTTCTTCGCCTGGATGTCTGGAGGACCATTGCTCGCTAGCTGCATCTGCGGCTCTAGCAGCAATGATGGATCGCTTGGCCGAAAGAGCATCTTGTGATATAAGGAATGAAGACTGTGGTGTGCTCAGTTCAACGATATTCAAGCTGTCATCCCCCAGGGCGATCGCTTCTCGGATCGCACGAGTAAGATTGACATCTTCGGCGTTCTGCAGAATCTGTGGTCTGGAGCTGATAGTGACTTCGACATATCCACTTCTTTCCAGCTCGGCGACAGCTTTGAAAATGTATGCATTCTGGGCTTGTTTGAGTTCGCCTTGCAGTTGTACGAGTTGAGACTTTGGCGTGAAGCGTAGCCTGCCAGACACCACTTCTACCACACCCGATGCATTGTTGTCATCCGTAGATACAAAGCTCTGGGCTGCAGACTCCAACCAGGAGATTGGAACTTGAGTGTAGGTCTCGCTTAGCACGACCGTCTCCTGCGCATCCTCGATATTCTTCTTGATATCTGTCTCGAGCTTCTGAAGGAACTTCGAATCATAAGTTTTTCCGTCTTCGAGGTCCTTGAGCACTAGGTTGGCATCTTGTGCAGCGAGAATGCGTCGGAGTGTGGTAACAGTGATATCTTTTTCAGAGGCAATGCTGTCCAGTTCAACACCACTACTGGCTAGTTGATTATGCACACTTTGGAAGATAGCTATCTGTATACTCTCGGGAAGCAATCGTCGACGATCTGTACTGTAATGAATGCGTTCATCTTCCTGCGTCAAGAGCCATTGTACTTCATGGACTCCCAACTCATTGTGCAGACTGTTTAGGAAGACGGGACCAGTCGCACTCTGAAGCAAAGAGTGGAAACGCTTGATGACTGCATCTGAACGAACAAGGTTGCGGCCTGAGAGACTGCGAACGAGAGATTCTTTTCCAGGCCGTGGTTCCGGAGGTGGAAAAGACAAGATCAATTTCCGGATATCGTCTTCGGTAAAGACAGGAGATCTGTCCACCTTCTTGGTGCCAAACATAGAAGGAATCATGACTGTGGTGGATGTGTTCTAGAGAAAAAAAGTAGCGATGATGTAGTAGAGCATATCGAAGGTTTCCTAATTGGGAATTTGTAGATCGGATTTCTCCGCTCGAGAGTCGTTCCATCAGCGTCGCCATCACTGCCGTGTATAGCAACGACAGGCAAGCAGAGGCTATTTGACAGGAATATCTACGACTTCTCACACATCCATACCGCAATCATGTCCATGTTTCGATCGAAGAAGCTGGACCTCGGAGGTTTCGTCAACATCAAGGTCATCCGCGACCACACCAAGCGCAAAGTCTTTGAGCAGAACGAGACCGAGAGGTCAGTGACTACCCAACGGGTGTCGTAGACAGCATACTGATGATATTGGACTTCTAGACAAGCACTCCGCTACATCATCCGCAACACCCTCCTGCCACAACGCGCCCGCGCCCAGGCCCAATTGCAATTGTCGCAAATGCACTGCTACACCCGCCCTACCCAGATCAAGAACAGATGTATTGCTGGTGGCAAGGGAAGAGGTGTCTTCCGTGATTTCCGCATGGCAAGAGTATGTCTTGATCCTCGAATGAGACCGGAGCACGAGAAACACAGCGCTGACCTGCTTTCCTACAGTACCAGTTCCGTATGCACGCCTTGGCTGGAGAACTGCCTGGTGTGAAGAAGGCCAGCTGGTAAATCACTCCAGCACATTCTTGTCTACTATACTGTACAAATATTCAAAGATCAGGGGGCATTGGGAAAGGCGTTGGTTTGGGACATCAAAGGATACGGGTGAATTCAAGATATTCAGAAGTCATCATTCTGCCATCATCTGCTTGGTTTGCAGAACACTTCGCCCTTCCTTTTTTCCTTGTCTATCGGTTGTTTATCCTTTGCAGCATGGCCAGTCTGGCGGGATGTATGCCTTCTGGAATTGCTGCATCGGCCTCAGGCTCGGGTGCTTCCTCTCCCTTGTCCGCACCAGGAGCACCGTTCTTCTTGGCTTCCTTCGCAGCCTTGCGCTTCTCCTGCTTAGCCTCTGCCTCTGCCCTCCTCTGTCTCTGCTCGTTAAGCCTAACATTCTTCTCCTTGAGCTTCTCCTTTCTGCCTTCACTCTTGCTGCCACCGCCTCCAGCCGTGAGCTCAACGTTGATTCTGCGCTTGCCCCTCTCGCCACCAACACCGCTGTCGAACATGCTGTGGTGGTACAGCTTCAGACACGTCTTCATGCGATCGTAGTTTGCGAATTCGAGGAAGGCAAAGCCTTTGCTCTTGTTCGTGCCCTTTTCGGTAGAGTGGCGCACGGATTGCGGTTGGATGGAAGCAAAGTGCTCGGTGATTTGCTCGGTGGTGGCTGTGAAGGGGAGGTTGCCGATGAAGACGATGAAGCGCTGGTTTTTTGCTGCTGCGGCTGCTTCATCGCCGTCTGCTGCTGCTGTTGTTGTTGTTGTGTCTCCTGCCTTTTTGGCTAGCGGTTCCTTGTTGGCCGAGGCTTCCTTCTTGCGCTTCTTTTGCTGTTTGGCTTCTACGGGTGCTGCGTTTTCTGTGGGTGCTTGTTGCTCCTTGTCTTCTTGCGATCGCTTGCGCTTCTTGGATGAAGACTTGTCTGATGTGGCATTCTCGTTGTTTGCTTCTGCGGCGGCCTCGTCGTTCTTTGGCGCATCGGCGGTGGTTGTCTCTTCGGTCTTGCTCTTCTTGTTCTTCTTGTATCTCTCCTCGGAGCGCTTGGCCTTCTTTGCCTTGCCGGTCAAGACCTGCGCGTCTGCGGCCTGTTGCGACACTTCTTCTGACATTTTGACTTGTTTGGTGAGGTAATGTTCTGATTGCTTGTAAACATCAAAAAAAGTCTCTGTCTCGTCTCGACGCGGTTTCTTCTCCGCACGGTTTAAGTCCGTGCTTTCTCCGTGTTCGCAAGTGTGCTACACTTTCACATGCTTGACAGGCTCTCGATATCGAGACAGTGAGACTATCGCAATTTTGTGGGAGATTAGAAAAGAAGTTAATGCAGACCATATGTACAGAACGCTCGAAATTCCCGAGTAAAAAGAAAGCGGTTCGTCAAATGCAAACCATGTCAAGAGACATACGAAACACCATTTCTTTGCCCATCTCAGCCATCGCTCCTGGTTTGTCCTCCTCTTGAGTCCAATCCGCATGATGGAACGAATCGGCGACTAACTACTCCATCCAGAGGTGACTTTGTGGACGCGAGGCCTGAAGCGTGAACCATGACTGTGTGTTTGTCTGTGTCCTGTGCGAGTCTGTGTGTATTGCTTGTGTCAAGTGGGTATCTGCGCCGAACACGCTGTCGCTGCTCCATCAACATCAAAGGATCCAACGCCAGCGACTCCCAGAAACTAGGCTTGGCAACGATATTAAAGAGATCTACCATGCCGTGAAAATGCGAATGTCGTGTAAACAAAGGAGATGTCGAGATGAGTGTTGCTTGCACGCTCAGAGGATGATGCATTTTTGCTTCTTGGGCTTCGAGGTAGGGCGAGGGCTCAGAACAGCTCTGTCATGACTTGTCAACGACTGTCATCTCCAGAATTTGGACTCATTCACATACCTGATGGCCTCGTCGAAGACACTCTTGAGGTTGCGCTGTGTGAGGGCAGAGCACTCCATGTACTTGACTGCCTTGATTTCCTTGGCAACGCTGATAGCCTGCTCGTACTGAATGGGTGCCATCTTCTTTTGTCTCAGGCTTTCCTTGGTGCCCTCGTCATCGCGAAGATCGAGCTTGGTTCCGACCAGGATGATGGGAACACCGGGTGCGTGGTGCTCAATCTCGGGGTGCCACTGTTTGTTGTGTCAGACACTCTTCTTTTTCCGAGCGTTGTATTTGCTTTTGCATTCCGTACCTTTGCCTTTACGTTGTCGAAGGAAGGAGGGCTGACGATGGAGAAACAGATGAGGAAGACATCGGTCTGGGGGTATGAAAGAGGACGCAGACGGTCGTAATCCTCCTGACCAGCAGTATCCCAGAGACCAAGACTGATGGGCTTGCCATCAACCATGACACTTGCAGAGTAGTTGTCGAAGCTGTCAAACATCAGCATATTAGTCGACGGGTTGTGCGCATAGCCGACGATCTCGTGTAACATACACAGTAGGAATGTACTCGCCAGGGAAGGCGTTAGTTGTGTACGAGATCAAGAGACAAGTCTAATGCATTGATTAGCTGCTTGTCACACAAAGGCAGAAGAGCAGTACGAACCTTGCCGACAGCACCGTCTCCAGTAACAACACACTACAACAGTATTTTAGTGACATGTATCTTCCACAGGCTTCGTTGTAAGGCGTACTTTGAGCGACTGTGTCTGAGGGTTGGAAGCCATTGTGAAGACGATCTGTTGGTTGTGGTGTTCTAGAAGGAGGACGGGGTGGTACACGAGGCGATGATGTCGTGCGAGAGAGGGGGCGGACGGGGCTTCGAAGCTTTCCAGATGCTTTTGTCCTTAGACCGTCACTTGGAGGGTCAAGTGAAAGTGGAACGGGCTTCGTGGGCAGTAGTCGTCACGGTAGAAGGCTGCTGGAGTGAAGGTTAGCAACTTGGAAGATACGGCTCCGGGCCCAAGAAGGCGGTAAACATGCCTTCTTTCACCGTCTCCACGTCTAGACTAGTGTCTTGTGATTGGGGAACAAGGCAAGACGTCAAGAAATTTGGCAGGTGAAGCAGCAATGGGCAAGGAAAAACCGTCTGGCTCCTGATATGGCGGTATGGCACAATGGCTCTGAAGTTCACTTTGGGGGCTGGACTCTCGATTGGTTGAGTTGAGCTCCTAATCCAATTATGCCGCCGGGACGAACCGAATCGCTACTGCTCTTCCTGCTTTTGCTTCTGCGGGGCGCTACGAAAGAGAAAGACCTTCTCGATTTGATTCAGGCCTCGAGAAGACTGCAGCCGCGTTGGTTTTTTTCTTCTCCGACCAGCCGTATCCACACGCTGTCCGCCGTCCATTTGCAGAACATTTCGACCGTTATGCGCGCGAGTCACGCCGGCCAGGCTTCCTGAGCCGACCGATCATCAATTGCTAGTGACCAAACGCGCCGTCTACCCCTGGACGCTATGAATGACGTCTGGCATGCCATTAATACTTTCCCTCGGCCAACTTCCAAGTCCCAGTGCAAGGTTACTTCGCATTCGAATCCCAACAGTGCAACCATCAACTGAGACCGTACTTTGATGCACTCTGAGGCAGCCCGAGTTCTGGTTCAAATCACGTTTCATGATTCTATTGTGTGGAGAAGGGGCGACGATAGACTTTTGGTGTTATCAGGCATCTCGTTTTACCAAAGAAAGGCTGTCTCGTTTCACTTTTGGTTATGCTCGTGTCTGAACTCCAGAACTGACCGTACAAGACAACCATGAGTTGGCTGGATTTCTATCGCATTTTCACATGGTCTGAAGAAGAAGTCAAATCAGTAGAAGCTTGTTTGGTAAGTGGGGCGCCACGGGGCAAAGCCAATCCGTCTCGGGCCTCTTTCATACGAGCAGCTTTGGAGCTATACTTTTTAGATAGGCGGGGTCCGCAAATTCAACTGTCCTCCTCTCTCATCAGCTTTTCCTCCTCTCAGCATATACGTATGTGTACTGGTGACGTCTTGTGTTGTCAAGTTCTTGTCACTAACATGACCAGTATTTCCCCACTATGCCTGTCCAACGCATCGGCCAATCGATCCGTCTTCGTAGAGAGTACGTTGATGAATATATCAAGATCCATTCGGAAGTCTGGCCTGGCGTTTTGAAGAGGATTGCAGGCAGCAATATCCACGATTACAGCATATTCTACGACAAGCAGTCCAGCATCCTGTTCGCCACGTTCAAATACACCGGTGATGATTTCGATGCCGATATGAAGGCCATGGCTGAGGATGAAGAGACGCAGAGATGGTGGAAGGTGACGGACAAGATGCAAGAGAGTCTGAATGAGGGTGCCACCAGCAGTGTCGATGGAGGTTGGTGGCGCGCATTAGATGAGGTGTTCCATGTCGAGTAGGATAATAGCGATAGTGATTCGTTCAAAGTGTTGTCCTTGGGTGTCGTTGCCTACCCCTTGCTCTTTCTCTTCTTCTTTCTCTTTGGCTCTTCCTCGGTTGGTATAGGGCCTTGCAATAGCGCTTGGAAAGCCGCTTTGTGGCCGAGAGGAGCCTTGTCGGATTTCTGTTTCTTGGAAGCGGCCTTCTTCTTGGAAGCGGCCTTCTTCTTGGAATCGGACTCGCTCATATCAACATCTTTGGCGCTACTCTCAGCGTCGTCATCGTTCATCTTCCTGCTCATAGCCTCGAATCGCGAGTGACTGCCAACTCTCTCGGTCATATCCTCGAACTTTCTCTTGGCGCCATTCTTTTCCTTCTCTTGTTGCTCTGCGCGTTTTCTGTCGTACTCGTCATTTCCTGCTAGGCCTTGCTTGATGAAACGTCCAGCGGCAGCCTTGTCCAGAGTGACATTGCGCTTTACGTGCGAAGTCTCTGCGGTCTTGATCTTCTCAAAATATTGCTTGACGCGAGTGAGCTCGGCAAAGACAGGATGCGTCTTTGCATCGAGACCGTTCAGGCGCAGATATGAGAATAGCAGTGACTCGATGGCGTATGTGACGAGAGTGTAGAGTTTGGCCTTGTCGAGCAGAGGCAATTTACTTGTGCTGGCAGACAAGGCGGTGTTGATCAGAGACGCAAGTGACTCTTCGGCATCGTCGATGTTGCTTGCGAGAGTATCGACCAGAGGGCGCAGATCCGTATCCATGGTTTGCAGTTGTGATGGGTGTTTTGCGATGGTAAGTGACTATGATGGAATTTTCTGGATAGAGATACTTCGGGCTTCTAGAAGCCCGCTTCGTACAAACGGGAAGGCGCGGCCGAGGCTGCTGGCTGGCTGGCTTTTGTCATAATTAGCTGCGTACCACCTCGACCTGTTTCGATACCTATCCCTCCTTCACCAACACAACTTTCAAACCAGCCACCACCATGCCTCGCAACAACCGTGGATCTGCAGCTCCCCCGAGAAGGCCCACCGCGGCCCCCGCTCGCCCTGCGCCACCCACTCCCCAGCAGGCTCGTTCTGCTTCCACTGCCGCACATCCTCCTCAGCAGCAACACGCTCCTCCTCCGGCCGCCGCTGCTCCTCAGCAGAGCGCTGGTCCCGGTCTCTTTGGCCAGATGGCCAGTACCGCTGCGTGAGTCTTCCCCCACTGGCTGAGAAGCTTCGATCTGAATCATGCGCTAACATTTGCATCATAGCGGTGTCGCCGTCGGTTCCTCTATTGGCCACGCAATCGGTGGTTTCTTCGGTGGCGGTTCCTCAGCACCTGCCGAGCAGCCCGCTCAGGCTGTAGCCAATCCTGCCGACAACAGCACCTACACTTCGTCCAACTACCAGGCTCCCAGAGCTTGTGAGACCGATGTCACCAACTTCCGTCGCTGCATGGATGAGAACCAGGGCAGCCTGACCATCTGCGGTTGGTACCTTGACCAGCTCAAGGCTTGCCAATCTGCTGCCTCGCAGTACTAAGCTCTCGTTTCCCTGTTTTGTACAATACCACATGAATCACGTTGAGCTCGTCATTTCACTCCTCTTCTTCTCTTGTTTCTGTAGCAAGACTGTATCATTATTTAGACATCTACATTTCTTTTCAGAAGAAACATGCAGAGTCGCATGTCTGCCACGCCACCTACACCCGCATATATCTCCTTAGCCCACGCTCGGCTAGAACTCCAGCTGCTCCAATTCCCACCAAATAGAGCGACCAAGGGTTGGTCACTTCCCTCAGAGCAGGCCAGAAGCTGTTCTTATTTGTGCGCCACTCCTCCAGCTGGGCATACTTCTTAGGTGCACTCGCCTTATAGCGCTGTTCCTGGGATTCCTCGTTCTGCTTGTCGCCACCGATGAAGCGTAGGAAGAGGTAGTTGGCCAGAGGTCCCATGAGACTAAGCGGATGGAACATGCCGTTTGCAGCAAGAAGTAGAGGGAACGAGATGTGAACCAGAGCATCACCAAGATAGTTGGGATGACGTACGATTGAGAAGACACCACTGCGGTCAAGGTCGTCGCTTTTTCTCTTGTGTTCTTCAAGTTGCTGATCGGCCATAGCTTCCATGTTGAGACCGGTAGTGTATAATCCAATTGCAAGACCATGGAGCAGGGCACCGTACTGAGGAGGTGTAGCTTCGATGCTTCCAATCGTTCCTTGCTGCAACACCATAGACCATGACAGTGAGATCAGAGCTTGGAAGACAGCCTCAGGTAGGAAGACAGTGAAGAATGCCTTGTTCCAGAAACTGGTGTCCTGATTCATATCGTCGTATCTTGGATCGTCCTTTCCACGCTTGACACTACGAGTAGCGATACGGGTAAACAATCGGACACCCCAGAGTGTAACACCACCGAGAAGAAGCTTTTGTGTCCAGCCGAGTGTCGATAGCGATTCGCTTAAACTGAGGCCGGTCTCTGAGCTGCGTGCCCAAACTCCGTGATACCAGGCATTGAGAACCATTCCTGAAGGCCATAACCAGTCTTTGAGTTCGACGCGACCAGTTACACGACTGGCTGTGTAGGCGATAAGTGCGAGAGACGAATGAAGGTTTAAAGATGGTAGTAGGCTGTCGTGCAGGAGACCTAGCACGTTGGTCGTTGCTGAAGCCATGGCTGGAGCATTGATTTTGGGCACATGTATATGTGACTTTCCAGCAGCAGCCGGATTTATTGAGGTTTTTGAGTTGTATGCCATCACTTTTCGGAAGTAGTTTAGCAACAGACGAGTTCGACGTGGTGGCCGTGTGTGGTTATAAAGCAGGTCAAGATGTGGAGCAAGGGTGACGTTATTATCTGGTGTGATCGAATCGATCCCCTTCATTAGACCTGTACCTACCTACAACTACCATCTGACAACGGTCCATTGTGCTCATCAGGCATTTGCTCCTCGCGCAGTTGGTATCCACGCGCAGCGTACCACTGTCTGGGGTATGTTCCCAACCACACGCTCTCATCTTGAGCGCCCATCCATAGTCTAGGTTTGACTCCATGTCTCTTCTCACGCACGGCCAAAATTATCGCACCGGGTCTACATATCCAATGGGGCAGAGCTCAGGATGAAACTACACTCTCACCTACGGTACAATGACTAACACTTGAATATGTGTATCCTCTCGACTTGGCGCTAATATAACGACAAAGAGGGTCATGCCAGACAGCTCCTACATGAGCAGAGTCTACTGACAACGGCCTGGAACAAATCACTTTACATGGCCTCCATTGGATGAGACTCAAGTAATTAAGTCTCAATTGACCGTGAGGCTATCAATAGAGACTCTTCTGACCACGAAACCACCGCACAGAGTCCAGTGCGATCAGGTCGTCTTGTGTTATACGATCCTACTAGAGCCTATCAGCACAGCCTCGTTGACATGCCGCCATTGAACAGGTGCTCCAGCATCGATCAGAACAACGGTCTACAGTGTACGGACTCCTTAGTCGAATATATCGACCCACGCAAGCAACACTGCGACCGCGTCAATGGTCTTCTTCACGCTACTCGGTCACGGAGCGAACAGCTGCCTCGTCATCAATAAGGGTTCCGTGTTATTTACTATACCTGGCTCTCCTGACGTGGAATGCTTCCATTTTGTCTGCTATGTCGAGAACACAGCCGGCAGACTCGTTCTTATGCTTTCGCAACACCCTCTCCTCGCCCAATCGGCTGCCGCTCGCGCAACGTTGCTGTCTGAATGGTACCATACCAATCATTTTACCGTCTCGTTCGACATCTGCCTGCCTTCGACTTCGCGCTCCGATCTTGAGCGGGCGTTCGACATCCTCGGTCCATCTTTGGCTGCATGTCTGATGTCGCCTGTCGCTGGGATCATTACCCCCCGCTTGCACATCCATTGCGGCAAAGCTCAACATGGCGCAACATTCGCCTCGATGGTACAATGGTTTGGGCTATTCTACAATGGCGTGTTATCTGAGGGAAGATATGCCGGCATCCGCACTTCCATGAGTACTGCAGCCCCCAATCCTGCGCAGTTCGAACTCACGTGGGATGACTCTTCGCAGGCGGCCTTTACGACATACAAGTTTGCGGCAATCAGAGTTTTGCATGGACTGCGCAAGGAGGCTGCTCGCCTTACAGCCGACCCAAACAAGGACATCGACGTCCCTCGTCATGTGTATAACTGGCTGGTCGACAGCAGGGTTCCAGCTGTCAGGGAGGACTTGGTACCAGAGGCAAAGGTGAAGATATGCCGTTCTATTGGACCTACCTTCCAGAAACTCGGATACGATGCTGCAACGAGGCTATATGTATAAATGGTCGGCGGCTTCGCCAAACAACAACAGTGGCATTGCTTTTAACGTCTATAGCTTCCCTTCTGAAAATAGAAAATACGAACCTGCCTTTTCGAGTGCAGCCCTTCCTCTCTACATTCGCTGGGGTGTTGTTTCCTCTTTTAGCTCCGTCGACGTTGATCAATCCATCGAGAGTTGCGACTTCCGCATGAACGCGTCCTTGCCTTTTGTTCGATGATATCACAGCCACGCCCGCTCTTTCTCCTTCTCTCCTCCTTCTGCACGTGCTCCGTCTCTTCTTCTTCGTCGTGTGCTCCTTCTACCTACACTGCAACAGTCACATGAAGCCTGTCTACCTTTCACGCTGTCTCGCATGACTGTTCCCGTCACACATTCGTTCCCATGCCTCAGGACTCAGTCATGCAGACAGAGGATGCAAGGCAATAGGATGCCAATCATCTCTACGAGGAACTGAAGGATCAACTTCCTCCTGCTCACCTGATCACCCACGGAAACATTGAGAGGGCTATTGTTGCCCTACCAGACTTCACTGGAGTTGATGGCAAGAACGCGCTCGGCAAGGCGGCCCTCAGCAGATGCTGCAAGAAGATACTCGCTCGTACAAGAGCAAGGTACGTTCACTACTACTAACCATCGCAGATACATCTTACTGACACACGGCAGCGCTTCAAAGAACTCCGCAGATCAAGTTGGGGTGGAAACCTCCTCACACAAGCGGACGAGAAGTAGTTCTGCCGCAGCCATCAAGCCACCTGCTGCTACGTCTGGAAGAGGACTCCACAAGAGGTCGCGTCCAGCGAGAAAAGACGTCAAAGACACTGGCAGCACCAGCAATCCGCATGCCGCCAACGGCTCAGTTCCTACTCATCAGGGTGCCGGCGAAGGTCCAATGTCAACTCGTCAAGACACTGGTAGCACCAACGATCCGCATGCCGCCAACGGCTCAGTTCCTACTCATCAGGGTGTCGGCGGAGGTCTAGCGTCAACTCACCAAGGCGCTGCCGATACCAGCCATGGACCTGCCTTCTACGGCTACACTTCACACTGGGGTACGAATCTGTCTTTTGGTCCTCCTCAGTATGGCATGTTCGGTACTTCTCAGTATAGCATGCTCAATCTTTGACGGTCAGGCACGTTCGATCCTTCTCAGTCCCGTATGTTTGATCCTTCTCAGTCCCGGATGGTCAGCCGCTCTCAGGATGGTATGCTTCGCTCTTCTATACATAGCGGCATCGGCTCCCCTCAAACTAATCCAGCGAGAGAGTCTCTTCATCAGAGGGAAACACTTTTCTCCATGCTCAAACTCTGGCGTTCAGATTGACATCTTCATCCTCGCTGCGCAACGACGACTGGCATACAGAAACGCACCTTGCGCCCTTATCAGAGACATCAACGCTGTTTACCAACACAATGCCCAGAGATCATGGTCAGTTGCCCGAAAGCCGCTTGTTATCTACGCCGAACCAAATTTCCTCAAAGGAGACAGACACCGGTGGCGGATTGTCGACGGCCCACGACCAGAAGAGAGGCCTACGGTCACAGAGCCTCACGCAGGTGATAACGACCAGTTCAAGCTTGTCGAGAGTACCGCTCCTGCTCTCGCCGATGGTGACACAAAGGCTCGCTTTCAGTGTCCACTTGGGGCATGTGCATGTCATCTAAGCGAAGCAGCCAAACTCAGAGATCTTTGGGTCCACTGTGTCTCGCCGGACCATGCACTTGCGCTTTATCACCAATGCCATTATCGGTGTGAGTTTGGATGTCTACTTGGCTTCCCTGACACACTAAGCAGGTTTGAGCATTACGGCGGACAGCGCTGTGGGGTAGGAAAGCTGTCTCCCAAAAGGTGCCCTGAGACTGAGTGCGACTACAAAGTGAGACCTTCCAAGAAATAGGCAGGATCGCAGGATGCAAAGCGTGGGCTTTACCTAATGCCCTACACCAACAACCGTGCCGCCGCTGCCTTCAAGTCCATATCAGATTATGTCCGAGGTGAGGTATGTAGCCTGGCTCTCCTGGATATGACAACGATGTACTTTCAGTACATTGAAGGTTCTAGCGATCATGGCACCCTGTGGAGGAAAGGCTCTAGGTCTCCGCACTGTGCGAACGTCCTTCGACGTTTCTGTATGAACGAGAACATTGTGCTTGCAATCTAGCACAACCCTGCTCTTCTTATAAATGTTGAGTAACCCGAAGCGACAAATATCGGAATCACTTACATACAAACTATGCCATCCTATCTTATGCGTTTAGACCACAATCTGTTAACGGGTCTCTGCTCTCCAAATGTCTACCGACCAGATTATGGAGCATTAATCTGTCTTTCTGGGTTTCGAGTGTGTTGAGCGTTCAGCTGGCATTGAGCCCAGAGACACGATCGACGTGGACCGAGGTGCCGTGAAGGCTTCATTAACACACACTTCCTCTGCGGCATCACCTTTCCGGAGAGTGCGACGGCATTTTTTATCACGGCAGACAGCCCGGAAGAACACCAGCGCTGCTGGATCTCATGGCGAGATTTGCGTTCGACAGCACGTCGGACCACAGATTCTCACACGTGTTCCGACATCTTCTGCACCGTACCAATGGAGCACGAACACTTTTTCTAATAGAGTACAGTGCTTGCGTCATAGTCGTGGCATTACTATGTAAAAACGCTCATTCCGATAACCATACAAATATCTGTAATTGGAAGATTGTCTGGGTACAGAGCTTTGGAAGCGAAAATACAGCTGCACGATTTATTGCTGCTTAACACGACAGACGTTGTGTATGCAAATCAGGGCAACAGTTATGAGGTATCTTCAGGCATATGTAACTCATACAAAAAAGCCCATCAAAAGTGTTTGGAGCGAGGCATGGCATGTCGCATGTCTTAATGAAGCCAGGGTCGCCCTGCAGCACCCGATCTTCGAATCGAAAAACAAGAATTGATATGACAGATGGGCCAAGAACTGCAGCAGAGAACACACATATTCCAATTGAATCAGAATCAGAATCAGAATCAGAGAAGGAACTGGTATATCACACGCATTGCAGTCATTTAGAAAGAATGGCAGCGGACGAGGAAAATATTTGTATGCTCATGCGGGAAGCTTTCAGCTCAGGGCTCATTACGCAGCCCTGGGTTTGGTGGCACACAACTGGTAGACTTTTGAGCCATAGACACCCGCAAAGCAACCACAGAAAGATCTAGCACCTGCACGCTGGTGTGCGGCCCGCACAGTTGGTATGCAGCGGGTGTGCTGCTTGAGTTTTCGTTAACTGCCTTGCAGGGATGCGGCGCCAGGGACAAAGCACAAAGGCAGCTTGAGCAGGGCCGCACAAGCGCACAGCAAAGGTCGAACTTGCGGTGTACATTCAGGTGCACACGCTCGTACTGCAGAACCCTTTCTTCTCACGAAAATAGTGAAGAATCACGCAACGGTGGGTGCATCAACGAGAAGCTCAAGGTCCAACTCCCCTGAAAACGGCGGCGAAGCTTTGCAGGAGGCACAACAACAACAACGATTGCCGACCGAGCAGGGTAGCTGGACCAGAATCGCGCCGAAGACGTGTAGAGGCCTGACAGTTGTTGTCAAATGTCCGCCCGAACTGGTTCACGCATCGGTCTTCGTTGAGCGATTTTGCACGCTGCAAGACCGACCCTGCTTTCGCTCTTCCCCCTTTCAACGGTCTCGTCCCCTTCTTGCCTTTTAACGGCTTCGACGTTTCGTCAACAATGCAGAAGCGTGGCCCCTGTTCACAACATGTGCAAGGTAAACAGAAAGCTTGCGCGAGGGAATACACCTGATGAATGTACAAAATCGATGTATACAGATGAAACAGCTGATCATTCGCTATAGGCATCACCCCTTGCAACCAGAGCTGATCCTTCGCCTTATGCTGCGAAAGCCTTGCAGTTACAATAGTTAATACACAGTAATCCACAGTGACCAACATGCACGATCGCTATGAAAAATTCACGATCAACCTGCATGCCGTTATGGGCCCTGGCTTCATGGCTTCAACATTCCATCCCCTGTCCTTAGTACCACTGTCCACAGGTGGGGAATGCTCTGGTCTTTATAGGAGGTATTACCCATGGGAGTCAAAACAAAAGTCTACATTCCCGCGACTGTTTGTTGTTTTGATACCTCATTTCCACCTCACTCTTGGGTATCGATACGCAGTTCGCTCCTCCTGGCATATCTTATGCATCAGAACCCCTTCCCCAATAGTTCATCCGATTAATCGATAGGACGAACAACCATGCAGAGCGTTGCAAATTATCCCATGGATATGAGTACCGCTCATTGGAGACCTCAGCCCAGGGAAGAGAGGCTTAGGATACCAGGGCAACCACAACAGCGTCAAATGAAGACAAAGTCTCAGCCTAACCTTAGAGCCATGGCTCGTCGTCCCATGCCTGGCACTGGTTACCAAGCAGAGAACCACAACGCATACAGGACTCCAAGAGTGGTTGCTCCTCCTCTTCCAAACACAACTCATCGTCGCAAGCATGAAGCCATGTTTATCGAAGAGCCTCCATTTGAACGACCTTTCTCTCCCGAGTCTGACTCGGAGGAACACATGATCTTGGACTACTATCTTCAAGCATCATACCACTCTCCTCTCTCCAGAGTTGTCTCGGCAGAGGAGCCTTACACTCAAGATGGAGCCATGGCCCAATTTGACTTTGGCCTCGAGCAACCATCAGAACCAGCCTACACACGCTCTCAGCCTTCGGTCGAACGACCAAGAACAGCACATGGAACCAAGAATGCTCTTTCATCATCCAAGAGATCATCAATCCCCAGACCATCTCCTCCTTCGCCTCAAAGACAAACGCCATCGTCACCTCAAAGACAATCTCCTCCCATGCCTCAGAGACAGTCTTACACTCTCTTCCCCAAAGAACAGCCTCAACCATCGACTCCACGCATCAGCATCATCAGCGACAACGGCAGCACCGTCTCCTCTCGCCAAAGCCTCATCAGTCAACCTCGCCCCCGCACTTCTTCCCTAGCATCCTCAGAGCGTTCGCGCTCAGACTCATGCATGTCTGTCCGCCTCCAACCCTCTGCCATGCCCTCTTCCCCCTCTTCATCCCCCAAGCGTCCCCAGACCTCTCCTCGCATGCGCACTCCCAGTGCATCTTCCGTCCAGCAAACCAGTGTTTCGGACAAACCTCCATCACGCTGGTCAGGAGACACAGTAGACATGACCCTCGAGTCCCCCAAATCAGGCAGAAACGCCGTAGACAGAAGCAGAGATTCTTCTTCGTCGACCTTGGTGGCCACCAGCCCTGCATGGCCCACGGGGAGTTTCTTCGAGGATGACGACGAGGACAAGTTGCCGCTGAGACGCAAGGTGGCGCAGAAGTTGAGGAGCTCGCGTTCGAGCAATGCGTTGAGGTCGGCGAGCAATCCTACTACCACTGGCGCCAATGTCGAGCAAACCCACAAGAAGTCTCCTTCGTGGGCCAGGCGGTTGGTTACCTGGCATCGTGCCTAAAGAGGAAACAAGTGTATATAGATTCATGATGCTTACGATATCTGATGAATTCACGTCTTTCGAACAATCCTCAAAACCTCACTCCTCCTACCTGCGAATCATGTGATTGTAAACCGAAATATTATTATTCTTATGGTTGTTGTTCTTAGAAATGAAAGTAAGCATGTGGGTATAATTATGTTCCTGGCACCCCCCCATCCAAAACGCCGATCTTGTCTTTTGTATCTCTAGAGACTTATGCCAGTATGCTGCCCCCTAAAATATGCCTTCGTGATGCGTTCATTTCGTGTATAACATTAAGAGAGCATGCCCTCTATCGAAGCCCTGATTTTCATCCAGGTGCTTCCATCTTTCTTCAGCTTGGCTTCGCTGATGCTGCGGACTGTCTCGACAGCCTTTTGGCCGAGTATGTTCTCTTCAGGGAACCACGTGCCGTGAAGTCCGTAAGGTACGCGTTGTGGGAGAGCCACTCTGCCAACGACTGTATTCATATCTTTGGCGTCGATGATCCAGAGTTCACTCTTTGCTCTGACTGTGGCATCTTCATCAGAGGGTACCTCCCCGTCAGGGCCCAGCTGAGACTCGTCAAAAGCATATGCGAGGAGGAAGCCGTCATCTTCCGCCGACGTTTGTCCCGGAGAAGCCTTTCGTGGGACAAATCTGGGTTCCTGCGCGTACCAGCCGGCAGGCATACGGAAAATCTGGATTGGATCATTTTGAAGAGGATGATCCGCAATCTCTTGAACAGTGCGAGTATCCACACAGCCGGTCACTGGTTCCAGCTTTCCCAACTCAGTCAAGCGATCGCCAGTCTCAATCAGCGCTTTTGTGTCAATCTTGGCCAGTGCGTCAATCTTGACAGAGCGACCCAGAGCGGCGTTGAAAGAAGAGATCGATGTAGTACATCCATAGACATAGCGAGCTTTCTGCATGTCGAACTCAGGATGTACAGAAGGGAACTCGAAAGAGATCCCAGACAGTGCATACTGGGCAGTGATCTGTGAAGACTTGAGAGAGAAAGCATAGTGGTATAGTCGGCATTGGTCGTCCTCGATGGTCTCCTCATCGTCGTCTTCTTGTTTGCCAAAGTATGACGCATCATCCTGGTGATTGCCTGTTATTTGTATCAAAGGCTCGCGCTCCAGACTAGGTGATTCCAACCCAGGTGCCCCCTCATACAGACATTGTTCATCTGCGTTATACTTGGAAAAGAAGGGCATGCTCTTCTTGACAGCCTTCACAGTGTCGTTTGTAGGACGAGGCGCAGCGATGTTGCCGGCACTGAAAACCAGACAAGCAGATGTCAATCTACAGGTTAAAAGGTGAACGGTCTCGACTTGGCCCGAAGCATCAAAATCATCCCAAGCGTTGGCAGTATGAAAGATGCAACAAGCGGTAGTCTCAAAATACTTGACTTGTTCCGGGTGGTGGCGAGGGAAGACACCAAAGCGTGCAGGCTTCGTGGCGTCGTACTCGATGACAGGTTTGTTCTTTGCGAGGTTGAAAGGGTCGAGAGACAGTGGAAGATCCATGATAATAGTGTGCTTGAGAGATACGCCAAAGTCGTGCATCATTTTAGCGCCAGTGATTCCAGGAACTGGTCGCTGCACAATGCCCTTGTTGGTCTCGGAGCGAGCAGAGGTCGGTGAGATGATAGAGTACTGGACGTATGGCGGGAGGAAGGTAGAGTGGAACAGCATCATCTCTTTGGTGATCGGGTCGACCTTTGGATGAGCAGTAGTCCACTCACGCAGGAAGCCGAGTAAACCATTGCCTGAGAAGGAGAGATCGTTCTTGTTGTGCGACTCTGGCTCGCCCTCGGCGCGATTTCCGTCGTACCAGCCAATGGTTTCCAGTCCAGGGAGGGCAATGCGCATTGGTGGACCGCTCTCGCATGTTGCCAGTGCCCTGCCGTCGTGATAGAGGATGGATGTGTTGGCGACACTAATCCTTTTGATGGCGCGAGTAGAACCTGGCAAGAAGGACAGGATGACGAGCACGACGGTACGGAGGATACGTAGGACGATGGCGACGAGGGACGAGAGAGGATTAACTAGAGTTGCAATGCTGGGCAGGATGGGCGAGCGCAGGCGTGGAGAGGCGGCAGTTGACAGGAAGATGTCTGTTAGGATGTACTGGTTGACAAACTCGGGCTGAACAGAACCGTCTGATTGTCTGGTGAACGACACACCACTGAGCATACCGTCGCCGTCGAACCAGTGGGCATCACGACCCAGGTCTTCATTCTTCACAGGGTTTCCACCATTGCGGACATATTCACCACCCGCGAGCTCCGAGGGGATGGTTCCTTCGTATGTGCATGGAGTTAGAGGCAGCGTCTGGTCGATAGGTGCAAAGTTGCCCGAGAGATAGCTGTAAGTGGTCAGTCGGGGGGTGTGTCGAGCGGTCACAGTCTAAGCATACGCGTGTTTGTGTTGAGGTGGATCCTTCTTGTTGTGCGCAAAGAGAGGCATGGCCCTGCGATATACGAGGCCAACAGTCTACAAGACGTTATAGATGAATAGACTTGTGCTCAGGCATGAGAGGTGACACTTTGAGCATCGAAAGGCTTGTAGGACGAGAAGCTCGGAACAAGCAATGGCATGATTCGGGCTCGGATAGGGCGAATGACAGTTGGACACGCTCCGGCGCCAAAACCTGTCACATAAAGTGCGTGGTGTAACCATGACATCAGTCGCGACATCATCGCTTGCAGAAAGGCAGTTTTGAGCGGCGCGGCTGGCCGGAAGATTGCATGTGAATGTGCTTTTGTTCCAAACTTCGGCAGGTGCGACCGCTCCCGCCAGAGCTGCCAGCATCGCCGATCGTTCCGACTTGCCGGAGACGGTCTTCTCTGCCAGTCCTGAGTCGAGACCTCCGACTCTTGACCCTTGTATACAGACAGAGTTGCGCAACTCCACCTCCGACATATCGTGTCCTGTGTGCTATGGCTCTGCAACAGCCCTTCGTCTAGCAATTGTTTCAACATCATGGGCTACGACTATGCGCTTGTGTGAGAAGGCCCCTTTCCGCTCATGCCCCTCATGCCATTGGCAGAGTACTGATGTTTTGTACAGACACGTCAAGTACACGATTCCTCCCGCAATTGCCTTGACTATCCTCTACCGACCTCTGTTGACTCGTCTTGACGTCTACAAGATCCTCTTCCTCGTCACCGTATGATCTTCGACTGTACACTTCCAATCCACCAAACTCATTTTTTGCCAGATCGCTCTTGTCTCGACCACGCCATGGGACTCTTACCTAATCCGCACTCGTATTTGGTCTTATCCTGAGGACGTTGTCATTGGTCCCAAGCTGTTCGACATCCCATTGGAAGAGGTCTTCTTCTTCATTGTCCAAACATACAATACTTCGCTTCTATACCTGCTTCTCAGCAAGCCTACCTTCCATCCCATCTATCTGCGCCGTCAGGACAAGAATGATCGCTGGAAGTACTTCAAGCTGGCTGGGAATCTCCTTCTTGGTTTGATCTTGAAGAAAGCTATCAACTTGATAAGAGATGAAGGCGCTGGTACATACATGGGTCTGATCCTTGTGTGGGCTGTTCCGTTCTTGATCTTGCTGTGGTCCCTAGCATATCAGTTCATTCTTGGTCTGCCCGTTACCAACACTCTTCTGCCAATTGCTCTCCCAACTTTGTATCTCTGGATTGTCGACACACTGGCTCTTCGAAGAGGCACATGGGTAATTGAAGCCGGCACGAAGCTTGGAACACATCTTTGGCCTGGACTCGAAATAGAAGAGGCCGTCTTCTTCCTACTCACCAACACACTCATTGTCTTTGGCCTCGTGGCATTTGACAACGCCGTCGCCATCCTGCATGCTTTCCCCTCCCATTTCCCTTCCGTGCCCGCTCTGCCTTCGCCTGCACTCTTGGTACGAGCCCTATTGCTCCCAGCTGCTGCTTACGATGAGGACCGTATCGAGGGCCTGTCCGAAGCTGTCGAGAGACTTCATAAAAAGAGCCGGAGTTTCTATCTGGCCAGTGCAGCATTCTCTAGCCGCCTGAGACTGGACTTGATCGTCCTGTACTCTTTCTGCCGCGTGGCCGATGATCTAGTTGACAATGCTGCCTCGCCTCTTGAGGCCCGCAAATATATCAAACGTCTCCGTACTTTCCTGGATCTTTCCTACAAAGCCAAGGATCCCATGGCGCACGACCAGAACGTTGGTAGTGTGGTTCGCCATGTCGTGACCGAGTTCCCCCGGAATACTCACACAGCATTATTGCAACTGCCTACTTCGCGTCTTTCTTCTAAGCATCTCTACGATCTGCTGAAGGGGTTCGAAATGGACTTAGGGTTCCAAACAAGCAAAGGAGCCTTGACTTCTGCTTTCCCTATAAAGTCAGAGTACGAACTGGATGTCTACTCGTCGCGGGTCGCCGGTACAGTGGCTGCTATGTGCATCGAGCTCGTCTTCTTCCACTATCCTGGAGAAGCGTCTTCGACCTTGCAAGAGCAGATACTGGATGCTGGAAATACGATGGGAATCGCGCTGCAATACACCAACATCGCTCGCGATATCGGCACGGATGCACTGATACAGCGCGTCTATCTGCCGACCAGCTGGCTCAAGGAGGAAAATCTGACGCCCGAACAGGCGATTCAGGTCTTCACCATTATGGAAGGCAAAGCCATGCTCGGCGCCGAGGATCAGATATTTGTAAGTAAGTTCGAACGTCTAAGGAAGCGTCTTCTGGATCGGTCGTTCGCGTTGTACGAGGACTCACGCAGTGCCATCGACAAGCTGCCATCAGAAGTACGTGGGCCTATGCGTGTCGCATGCGAGAGCTACATGGAGATCGGGCGTACATTGCGACAGCCGGGCTACAGAGTGAGGAAGGGAGAGGCAACAGTAGACGGCTGGCGCAGGTTGACAGTGGCTTGGAAGGCGCTGCAGTAAGACATAAAAGTAGAGATACCCTGTTGATATGTATGCATAATGTAATTACTGCTCGATCACTCGACGATGGTCTGACCAAGGTGTCGTTCAACTGGTGATACAGTTTTGCTATGGATCGGTGGAGCACGGGCCGAAGCGTGATAGTGGGGTTGCATGTGAAGCACGAGACTGTCGATGGTCGATGAGGCGTGTCCGGAGGTGCACGGCAAAACGCCATGTTGAATGCTTGGACATCGTCTGCTCTATACCATGTAGCCGCCTACTGTCACCTGCCTAGTTCCTTGTAGTAGGCAGATCGATACTCGATTCAAACATGAGTGCAAGCACGAACCAGAAGACAGCCATTGTCGTAGGTGTGTGCTGAGAGACGTTCTGCTGCCAAACACAAGACGCTGACAGATGGTACTACAGGCGCTGGAGCTGGAGGAGTCGCGACGGCGGCGCGATTGGCAAAGGCAGGGTTCAAGGTCACGGTGTTGGAGAAAAACGACTTTACCGGAGGTCGCTGCTCCCTTCTGCACCATGAGGGCTGGGTGTGTATCCGCTATCGACTCACCTATGCCTGCCTTTGACTGACGACAACGTTCTAGCGGTTCGACCAAGGCCCATCTCTACTTCTCCTCCCGCGCATGTTCCACAAGACCTTCGCCGATCTCGATACCACCCTGGAAGCTGAAGGAGTACATATTGTCAAATGCGAGCCCAACTACAACATGTGGTTTGGCGACGGCGAGAAGTTCCAGCTCTCGACCGATCTGGTTCTGATGAAGGAGCAGGTTGAGAAGTGGGAAGGCAAGGATGGATACTCGAGATACCTGTCGTTCCTCAGAGAAGCACACAACCACTACGAGCTGAGTGTCGAACATGTGCTATCGCGCAACTTCACCAGCATCACATCTATGCTGCGACCCAGCTTCCTCAGCCGCGTCTTCGAACTGCACCCCTTTGAGAGCATATACAGCCGCGCTTCCAAGTATTTCTGGACTGAGAGGCTACGCCGAGTTTTCACTTTTGCGAGCATGTATATGGGCATGAGTCCATTCGACGCTCCCGGAACATACAGTCTTTTGCAATACACCGAGTTGACCGAGGGTATCTGGTATCCCGTTGGAGGTTTCCACAAGGTCAGTACCCTAATGCGAACCCGTGCGAATCTCGTCATGCTGACAGCATTTTGCGCAGGTCATCGAGGCACTGGTCAAGGTTGGCGAGCGTCTAGGCGTGACCTACAGACTTTCAACCCCGATATCCCAAATCACTCTTTCTCCTGACGGTCGGCGAGCTACCGGAGTTGTTCTTGCCAATGGCGAGACCTTGACCGCCGATGTTGTGGTGAACAACACTGACCTAGTATATGCGTACAACAACTTCCTACCTCCCACCCCGTACGCAGAATCGCTGGCCAATCGCGAAACATCATGCAGTAGCATATCCTTCTACTGGGCATTGGATCGCAAGCTGCCAGAACTCAACGCTCACAACATCTTCTTGGCTGATGAATACAAAGAGAGTTTCGACTCCATCTTCAAGAAGAACCTGATCCCGAATGAACCTAGTTTCTACGTCAATATTCCCAGCCGACCAGACCCTACAGCTGCTCCTGAAGGTAAGGAAGCAGTTGTTGTACTGGTACCGGTCGGACATCTTCTTGGAGAGCATGAGAACCCAAAGTCAGCTGCCACGGCTACAGCCAAGGACATTCGACAGAGCGATGCTGATGGAAAGATGACGAACTCCACATCAGCAGAAGGCATCAAACCATCAGAAACCCAAGACTGGCCCAAAATGATTGAGCTCGCGCGCAAGACGATCCTCACAACCATTGCCAAGCGCACAGGTGTCGACATTGAGCCTTTGATTGTCCACGAAATCACGAACGATCCTATCACATGGCGTGAATCCTTCAATCTTGACCGTGGAGCTATCCTTGGTCTGTCGCACTCTTTCTTCAACGTGTTGTCATTCAGGCCAGCCACGCGTGCAAGACGAGGTGGTTGGTTTGATGGCCGTCTCGGAGGCGGTATCGTCGGCAGGATTGGCGAGCTTCTCTTCAGTGGAGGTAGCATTGAGCGCCTGTACATGGTTGGCGCCAGCGCTCATCCTGGCACAGGTGTACCAATCGTGCTTGCAGGAGGCCGTTTGGTCGCGGAACAAGTATGCCAGGACCTTGGAGTGAAGATTCCATGGCAGACTGGACCACAAAAGACTGAGCGAACTGGCGTCCTTGATCGAGTGCAGACTACGCTCACGCTTGAGTGGATCGTGTACATGTTTCTTGCATTACTCGTGCTTGCTCTTGGTATCCTCCTCGGCAAGCAAACTTGAGCCTTCTCATGCCGAGGTATTTACCTATATCTCTTTTGCAAATAGACTTTATAATATTACAATTCACATGCATTCTCCAATCGTTGTTCCTTGATCGATCCTCGCTGAGACGACCGTTCAGTTCGAGTGCAGCTTGAATCGGGTGAGCTGGAGCTGGTCCCGCAGGATGCCGATTCTGAAGGGGTTCACAAATCCTGAAATGCGCCCTGTGGGAGCTGCGGTGAACCCTTCGCATGGATTACACAAAGCATCTCTTGCCGAACTCATCTCTCCCTACACCTCGATATCAGTACACCTCTATCGGCAATTTCGGCACTCGTGAAGACTCGCAACTATATTCTATATCTTGATTCCTGGTCCCTGACAGAAAGTTAGTTTTTCTTGTTCGATGCGACGCGACAGCTAGTTGGTTGTAGATAGATGAGATATGAATAATCGACGACGCATGTTTCAAAAATGAACAATCATTGCCTATGAGTTACGTACTCTTTGTGACCAGGTTTGAACATTGTGGCATGAATTATCATGCCACCCCAACCTCCAATGTGAATATCTCTCTTTCACATGCATCGGCATACAGGTACGGTTGGCACGACACCACGCGACACATGAATGGGAGCACACGTCATGGGTGATCTCCAGGGAAAAATCCCTCCAACGTCTACGAGAGCTTAAAGTCGGAGAACAGCACGATGAAGCGTCGATGGCAGTTGTTTCTCGATGCCGAATGACCATGGATCGAGCTTCCAAGCAAATTGAACATGATCTTCAGTCGAATCAAGCTTTTCTCGATCGGGCTGCGGAAAGGGCTTGGACTGCTTGTCGGCCGGTGGCTTGACGATTTGGCCGGACCCCGGAGCCGCTGATGCCACTGATGTCAATGATGTCAGAGATATTGTAGTTTTGAATCGATATTGGTAAGATTTTTTGCACGTTTGGTGACGGCAGTGATGTTGTCCTCGGAGACTTCGGACGCTATACTGGTTTGGTGGCCGCTGGAGCCGTGGAAGGACAGGCGCTGTAGTGCGATGGTGGTTTCTTGATGGCGCGTTGGGCCTGTGCGAGTCAGCGGCTACCCGTAGATCACTTTGGGGGTGGTTCGTCAATGTGAGGTGAGTGACGGGGACGAGGAAGGGTCGGTGGAAAAGTGAAGCGCTGTTTCCTCAGATCTCGTCATAGGTGATGCCAAAACAGATTGGCTTGACCGCGCTATTCCGCGCATTCCTGCCGTTGTGTTTATAAACTACATCTCCCCTCGACTGCTCACCGTTCATCCATCCACACCTTCACATCACTGAGCATTGCTTAATTGGTCTTCATCCACATCACTCATCATGGGAAACGACGCTCTTAACGTTAACCGTAAGTTCATGTTATCGACCTCACCATCGACATTGTGCTGACAGCCTTCGCAGCCAACATGGTTAATGACAAGACTGCTGCCATTGCCATCACCGTTCGCGGTTCTGACTGGTACTGGGCTGTCTGCGCTGTCATGACTGCTTGCACCTTCATCTTCTTGGGTCTGGGTATGACCAAGCCTCGCCAGCACCGTGTCTTCCACTACATCACTGCTTCCATCACCATGGTCGCCGCTATTGCCTACTTCTCCATGGCTTCCAACCTCGGCTGGACTCCTATCGACGTCGAGTTCCGCAGACCCAACATGGCTGAGGTCCGCGGTATCAACCGTGAGATCTTCTATGTCCGCTACATCGATTGGTTCATCACCACTCCTCTCCTTCTCCTCGACTTGATGTTGACTGCTGCCATCCCCTGGCCCACTCTTCTCTTCATCATTCTCGTTGACGAAGTCATGATCGTCACTGGTCTCGTCGGTGCCCTCGTTCGCAGCTCCTACAAGTGGGGTTACTTCGTCTTCGGCTGCGTTGCTCTCTTCTACATCATCTGGGTTCTTGTCTGGGAAGGTCGCCGTCACGCCAACGTTCTCGGCAAGGATGTCGGCCGCTGCTTCACCATGTGCGGTTCGCTCACCGCTCTCCTCTGGATCCTCTACCCTATCGCCTGGGGTGTCTGCGAGGGTGGCAACGTCATCTCGCCTGATTCCGAGGCTGTCTTCTACGGTATCCTCGACTTGATCGCTAAGCCTGTCTTCGGTGCTCTTCTTATCTGGGGCCACCGTGGCATTGACCCCGCCCGTCTTGGTCTTTACATCCACGACTACAACGAGAAGGACCCTGCTGTTAAGGACAAGGTCGGCGCTCCTGGACCTAACGTCCACCCTAACACCAACAACGGTGTTGCTACCGACGGCCAGGCTGCCCAGACCGTCTAAGCGTGCAAAACACAGCTATCTGCTTTGCGCTTCGATTACACGATTGTTGGAGAATGCTTCCAACATAGTGCTTTGATCATCTTACCACCAGCAGCGAGTCTGCTTCGGATACCCCTTGAGTATGCATGCGTGCATGCTCAATATTGATTTCCGCGTTTCTTTACACGTCCTTTCATGATCACGACTGGGATGGATTCGGGACAAATACCTTACTCTGTACAATAATAATACACTAATTCATGACAACTGTTACTTAAACATGTGCCTGTCTCCTGTTACTCTTCAACCACAAGTGCCAGACCCGAGAGTTCGTTGACCCAGCCTCCGGAAATCATGCCCATAAGTATGAGGACTGTGTGACCAATCTTTGTTCATCTCGCAAGCGAGCTTCCAAGGCGCTTGCGATCCTTCACCGCCTCCCCGCACCTCCCACGTCGCTCAACAGTTCACCATGTATGGGTATGACAAACAGAGCATGAAGCGTCACTAGACTCGTGCCGCTTTCTGTCTTTGTGTGCTGGTTTGCGTTCAGAGCTATTCTCATATGATCAGGCTCCGACGACAACCATTTGTGTCGTGACAAAGCATGTCCCTACGACCAGAAGACCACCGCTCCTCGCGAACAAGGTCCAAATCGCACACGCGACGAGACCGATCGCGTTCACACAGCAATGTACGCAAAACACACAACGTTACTCCAGACCGGCCTGCCGAGTATGTATATGCCAACATCCCGGCCTCGGTGCCACGTCACGTCTCGACGGTGGTAACTATGCCTGCCATGCCCGCCATGCCGGGAGACTTTGACGACGAGTATACCGTCAACGTCAACCGCGAAAGCGGTTTGCGTAGCGATGGACAGCAGCACTTGCCATATCCTGATGGCCCTGATGTGGGACAATTGCCTTACCCCTCTGTACCACTGGATCCCATTGATATGGGCGGGTACAAGGATTTCCCGCCAAATGAACGACCTGGATATGTTGCCAACAAGTCTAGGGATGTACGCGATGATGATGATGGTTTGGCATATGGACATTTGCCTTTGCCGGAAGTCAGAAGGGGCAGAGGCGGTAGTGTGAGTAGCCAGAGAGCACCTTCGCCATCGGGGTATACCTCTACCTCTTATCGATATCCGTGTTCAGGCACCCCTCAGGAATCTCAGTATACGACTTCAAGACCTCCAGCAGGGCAGTCTCTTCAGTACCAATGTTCTCAACCTAGACCTGATCATCCATCGTCTCGCCATGAATACAATACTCAGACGTATAATTCAGCTGCTGCTGGTAATCAATCTCAAGGCCCTTCTCTCAAAGCTCAGACAGTCGATGTGACACCTGGTATCTCCAGGCAGGCCAATCTTGGTCTGAATATGCGTATGGACCGCTTGTCCGTGAGTGGAAACAGGCCAGATACAGCCGGGACGCTGCCTCCTCCCAGTCCATTGCTGGAAGCATACCGCGGAACCTATCAATCAGTCTCTCCAATGATAGCACCCATGACCTTGTCTTCAGACAGCGATCTCGACAAACTATCTTCACTCTCACCCGGTCCCTCGAACGGCAAACACCACAGACGCTCCAGAAGCAGTAACAGCAAGAACGAGTTTATAGGCTCAGGCTCCGAGTCCACCTCCAAAGGAGCAACCCACAAGAAGCGGGCACGACTCTACGACGCAGAAAAAGACGCTTTAGCCCTCAACCAAGCAATCTGCCACCACAAAATCGACGTTGACATAATCTGCAAGATCTTACCCTCTCTCACTCACGACCAAACACTCGAGCTTCGCAAAGAATACAAAAAACACATCAAAGTCCAAGGCCGCGGCATCAACATAGCCAAACACATGAAAATGAAGCTCTCGGGTAATTTTGGAAAAGCAGTCTACGTGTGCGCATTAGGACGCTACGAGTCCGAAGGCTACTGGGCAAACTTCTTCTACCAATCCCACAGCAGTCGCCGCGAATTACTCATCGAATCACTCATGGGACGCAGCAATGCCGAGATTCGCCAAATCAAGGAGTCGTTCAGGGATAAACGCTACAATGATGATTTGGTGCGGTGTATGGAGAAGGAACTCAAGCCAGACAAGTTTCGCGGGGCGGTGTTGATGGCTCTGGAGGCGAAGCGGCAAGAGGAGAACGAGGGGTATGCTAGGCAGTATGTTGACGGTGATGTCGATGTGTTGAATAGGTGTTTGGCAGCAAAAGAAGGCGGCGAAAGCACAATGTTGGAGATTGTGGTGAGAAGAAGTGATGCACATTTGCGAGATGTGCTCAAGGCATATGAGCGTAGGTACGGAGTCAATTTCGCAAGAGAGGCGTTGAAGAAGAGCAATAACCTTGTGGTGAGTAAACCCCATCAGCCTTCAACAGACATGCTCTTTTCGAATAGCATGTCTTCTTGCAACCGACCTTCCTGCGCGAAACATCAAACTAACGCGAAGAGCAAACGCAACAGGGCGAAGTAATCTGCCACATCCTCAACGGAGCAATCAACCGACCAGCCCGCGATGCCCTCCTCCTCCACCACGCCATCTCCGACATGACCTCCCACAACACACACGAAGAATTGCGTCACGAGCTCCTCATCTCAAGATTGATGCGGGTGCATTGGGAGCAAACCCATTTCGCTCGTGTGAAAAGAGAGTATGCGGAGAAATATCGCAAGGAGCTCGAGCGTGATGTTGAAGACGCGACAAAAGGCGATTTGAGAGAGTTTTTGTATGAGGTTTGCAAGGCGTGAGCGAGAAGGATGGAAGACAGAGGAGATGCATGATATGGAAGAAATGATATGAAAAAATGAGATGATGGGTTACGATGTTCACGAGAAAAGGTTCAGCCATTTTCAGGTTCCTTTCAGATACATGACACATTTTTCCGAAAGTTGTGGTCCTTTATAGTTGTTTTGTGTCTCTTTGAGAAAAGGTCATGGAGATGAGGAAAAAGGAAAGGAAGGGAGATTGAGATGCAAACGAGATGATGGGTCATGAAGTCTTATGAAGTTTTGTCTGCTATTTGTCTAGTCTTCCCAAACTCATGTTGAAGTGCCGTGGGTATGTTTCATGAAAAGTCGTCTATCATACATAAAAGGTTGAAAATTCGCTTTCTTCGTCTCTTGCCTACCAAGCTGTGATATCACCAACTTCGGCCTCACCAAATGTCGATGTCTTTACTGCTTGATCGCCCTCGACACCCTGACCACTGGCGAAGTCGACTGGCTCTCTAGCCATGACGTCGGGCAACACTTCATGCAAGAAATCCAACACGAATCTATTGACCTGTTCAAACTCGAGCAAGAATGCATCGTGGCCTTCGGGAGAATCTATGTTCTTGAGTGTGGCATTGGGGATGGCAGCTGCTAATTCTTTTTGCTCGGCATAGGTGAAGAGGCCATCGGATTGAATACCCAGTACCAGTGTCGGTTGCTCGATCAACGCCAAAGCGTCGGCCACAGGTGTGGTTGTTTGTGTATCAGCAGGAAGACGGCCCCGTGACACATCGTGGGTATCTAGTTTGCGAGTGATGGCAATGTAGCAGTTTGCATCGAAGCGCTTGATGAATTTTTCGCCTTGGTAGCGTAAGTAGGATTGGGCGGAGAAGTAGGTGGGTGTACGTTTGAGGCGGAGGCTTGCGGCAGAGGGAGGAGCGGCATTGGTGGGCAGCGGTGTGGTGCCGTGGAATTGAGGGTCCATAATGGTCATTTGGGGAGGTGTGTTGGCGAGAGGTAGAGATTCGATTGAGGTGGACAAATCGGCAGAGCTGTTGACGCGGGAATAGCGAGGAGAGCCGGCGTTCTTGTGGCCTTCGTTGTGGATGGCAAAGTGGTCGCCCGAGGGCGTTGAAGGTCGGAGGGAACCATTGATATTTTGTCTGCGCGAAGGATCGGGAGTGTTGCGACCGAATCTGGATTCGAACGAGTCGCGGCTGCGGTAGGTGAGCAGTGCTGACATGCGAGCGGCCGAGAGACCGGTGGATGGGGGGTCCTCGAAGGTGTAATATCCGTCGTCGTACTTGGGGTCGCTGTAGATGCTCTGTCTCTGAGCCTCACCCCAGCTGATGCCCCAAGCGCTGTATTGAGCTGATGTAGCAATGGGTACGATGCAGCGCACGTAGTCTTTGCCAAAGTAGGCGAACTCCAGCACGAGCATACCTCCCATGGAACCTCCAACCACAGCAGCAATCTGTTTGACGCCCAAGTCGTCCAGCACTAGCTTGAAGATGTTGACGTCGTCTCTGACAGTGGTCAAAGGAAACTCTGGTCCGTAATGCTCGTTCTGTGAATTGCCGTCCTTGCTCGTCACCGGACTCGCGCTTCCATACGGACTGCCCAGACTGTTCAGACAAACAACGAAGAAGCGCGACATGTCAAAGGCCTTGCCAGGACCTCCAAGCAGAGGACCCCACCAGTCGCCAACATCGGCACTACCAGTCAAGGCGTGGCAGATGACCATGGCATTGTCGCAGGCAGGCGACAGAGTGCCATACGTCTTGTAAGCTATCGGCACATTATAAAGCACACCGCCGCTCTCGAGGTCGAACTCTGGAATAACGGCAATCTTTTGTTCGGGGATGAGTTTGGAGTATGGATTCTCGGGTTGCGATGTCACTCGTTCTGTAGCTCCAGATTAGATCAATGCGATTGCCAATTGCTGTGTCGGAGCATACCGTATTTCATCGTGGCCGTAGAGTAAAGATGGGTTGATGATGCAGAAGCCAGGAACTCTGCTAAGAAATGTCCATTGTTTGTCTTTGACAATATGAGTCGAATGACTTGGCCTATTTTTCTGGCCCGCAATCGCCTATCGCTCGTCATTGGAAGACCGACCTCGGTCGTCGCTCCTCGATTCTAACCCCCACTTCCCGCCCCACAACCCTCGCTCTTGCTATCCATACAGCTATTCGAACATGATCTGTTTCTTATCAGAACCTGTGACTGAACGTGGAATGATTCGAGAGTTTTGTGTTTGTAGACTTGATCGCATTTCATGTTTCTTTGTCCATGTTCACTCAGACGAAAAGAAGAAAAACAAGTTAACTAGTGGATATCCTTAGAAAAAGCGCCCCAGCATGCCGTGAACCAGAACAAAAACGAGAAACCCCAAAATCAAAAGACGCAACAGCTTAAATGTCGTACTCGCTTCTGACCTTCTTCTGCGCCCTCTTGTTGGCCTTGAAGTGCTTCTTGCCCGACGACATCAACTTGACATCATCAGGATCCATGTCCTTCTCCAGGGCCAACATGATCTTGGCTTTGCGGCCGGTCAACAATCTGCCACCAGTGTTCTCCACTTTCCTTTGTCCTTGCTCCGTGTACTTGTGGTGGAAGGGCATATTTTGCTCTCCTCTGCCCTGTCCCGGCGCGAAGAATTGCTTGTCCATGCGTGTCGTCTTTGCGCCACTCATGGGAACCATGTCGAGCTCATCGTTCTCCATGAGCGATGGCTCATCGCCGGTTTGTGTCTCGGGGTGCATGGCAGTCGAGTGCATAGCTGCAAGCTGGGCTCGTCGCTTTTGGGGCAGGTGGTTGTAGTCGTAGAGTTCACGGTTGAAGTGCTTGTGGTCGATCGGCGGCTCGGCAGGGGGAGGGTGTACGAAGAGCAGTTTGCCCTTGACGTAGTCCTTGAGAACCAATCTGGCGGCTCTGCTCTCATCGGGCTGACCGAGACCTTGGGTGAAGAAACCGCGGGCGGCGGCGTATGCGCGGAGCAGCTCCTCACCGGTGGGTGTACCGGTACCTCCTTCTTCGCGGGATCTGATGTTGATGTTGATACCGTAAACAGCCTCGAGGAAAGGCTTGGGGATACGGGTAGCGACGAGGGTGGCAGGACCGGTGAACTCGCGCATCTGATCGATGGGCAAGACACCGTTACATGTGAGTTCTGCCTTTGTGAAGGCGAAGTTGGGAAAAACGAGACCGGGACAATCGCAAAGCACGACCTGGTCTGAGTAGTGGATAGTCTGGAAGTGCTTCGTCTTACCAGGTGTGGCAGAGACGGACACCTTCTTTGCGCCGAGCAGAGCGTTGATGGTCGACGATTTACCAACGTTAGGGTAACCAACCAAACCGATCTGTACCTTGCGAGCAGGCTTGTCCTCGGTAGCGGCAGCCATCTTGGGAGCGTGCTCCAAGAAGAGAGCTTCCAGATCCTCAGTGGTCAGAATGCGTGTGGCCTCCTCAAGCGACATAGGGATGACGTCGGATACGGGTGCAGCGTGTTTGTCGTCGATTGATTCCTCGTCCACCCACTTGGCCTCCTCCTCTTCCTTGTCTTGAATGTCGAGCTTCTTAGCCTCTTGCTCGAGAGCGTTCTCCTCTCCTTCCAGAGCCTCGGTGATCTCGTCTTCGTTCTCGTCCTCCTCGCTGTCCTCATCGTCCATCTCTTCAGCTCGCGACTCATCCTCGTCAGCCTTGGCGTCGTTGAGCTCACGAGCGAGCTCTGCGGAGAAGAAACGGAAGTTGATTTTGTGGTCGATGAAGTATTTGGCCCAGGTCTGACGCTGCTCGAGAGTCATCATATCCGACTTGTTGACGAGCAGCAAGTTGCGCTTCTTGGGGTCGACCTCCTTGACGTAGGACTCCATATCTTCGGAGCGGAACATGAGGGGGTTTCTAGCATCGACAATCTGGACGACCAAGTCGGAACGCTCAATGACACGCCACAGCTGTCTCCAAACCTCGAGATTACGCTCGAAGGGAGTCAGGAGCAAGTCCTGGTTTTCTTGCAGCTCGGCAAGGTCTCTGCGCCACTCAATCATAGCTTCCTTTTCGCGTGTGTTCAGCTCCTCCTTGGTGGTGGTAGAGTCCCATTTCGGGCGACGAGGGACGGTCAGACGGCTCCTGTTCTTATTGTGCTTCTTGGTGACGTTGCGCTCCTCGGTCGAAGACAACAGGTAGGGATTCTTCTGGTCCTTGTGGATGATCTTGACGTTGTTCATCTTCTCGGCGGTAAAATCGGTGCCGGCCAGCTCTGCGGTGGACAAGAACTCGTCCAGGTCGCCCTGCTCGGTGACGGAGCGCATCTTCTCGTAGGCGGCGGCCTGCTTGTTGTTGGTGATGTATGTCTCTCCATTCTGGCCCTTTCTCTGAATGCCTCCGGCGTTGGCCTTGTGCTGGTTGGAGTTTTTGTTCTTGAAGCGGTCGTTCATAAGGGCATTGCCCAGACCGACCGATTGCTTGCTCTTTGCCAATACCATGGCGACGGGTGGTATTGAATATGTGAGGTGGATGTGTGTTGGATGCGCACAGAGAGGCAAGATTGGGTCCAAGAAAATAACTAGCCCGCTTAGAAATGACGCTTTGCGCTCTGCAAAAGTCTCGTCCATGCGCGGCGAAGCCCGCGCCACTGCGGTGGCTTGAGGGTCAGCTCGTCGAAAGAATTGTACCTTGATTTCAGAGCAACATTGTATCACCATAATGCTTGCAGTGTCTGCCAGAGCGCGCGTACCCTGGGGCCATGTGCCTCGAGTGCGGTCAGCTGTCCTTGTGCGCCGCACTTTTGCTACTGTAAATGAATCTACCATAGCGTAGGATAAAATGTTCAGTCTAGACATGCGCACGCGACTGACTGCCATACAGTCCCTACGATGTAGTCGTGATTGGAGGCGGCCATGCTGGTACTGAGGCATCAGCAGCCGCTGCTCGTACTGGTGCAAGAACAGCTCTCGTTACTCCCTCGGTCGACAATCTCGGTGTCTGCTCATGTAACCCTTCTTTTGGTGGAATCGGCAAAGGCACCATGCTGCGGGAGATTGATGCTCTGGACGGTGTCGTTGGCCGCATAGTCGACAAAGCTGGTGTCCAATTCCGCGTCCTGAACAGAAAGAAAGGCCCAGCAGTCTGGGGTCCTCGTGCTCAAATCGACAGAGCCCTCTACAAGAAGCACATGAAGGAGGAGATGACAAACTACAAGGGTCTGAGTGTGCTAGAGGGCAAGGTCGCCGACATCATCGTGCAAAGAGAAGGAATGACAGACGGCAAGCATGGAATCATTACCGGAGTCCGACTCGAGAGCGGCGAGGTCATCTCTACAAAGAACGTTGTCATTACCACTGGCACCTTCTTGGGCGGTGAGATCCACATCGGCTTGGAAGCGTACCCCTCGGGTCGCATGGGAGAAGCAGCGACGACAGGTTTGAGCAAGTCTCTACGAGATGCAGGCTTTACTCTGGGCAGACTAAAGACAGGAACTCCGCCACGTCTCGACGGCAGAACCATCGATTATTCTGGTCTCGACGTCCAGCCCGGCGACGACCCTCCAATGCCTTTCAGCTACCTCAACCCTCGCGTCACTGTCCAAGATCAACTGAACTGCTGGTCTACCCATACGAATACTGCCACTCACGACATTGTTCGCGCAAACCTCCAACACAGCATCCACATTCGCGAAGAGGTCAAGGGTCCTCGTTACTGCCCATCTCTCGAAAGCAAAGTCATTCGCTTCCACACAAAAGATGCCCACATCATCTGGTTAGAGCCCGAAGGCTTCGACAATCACGTCATCTACCCAAACGGCATCTCCATGACCATTCCTGCCGATGCTCAAGAAGCCATGCTCAAAACTATCAAGGGTTTGGAGAACGTCAAAATGTTACAACCAGGTTACGGAGTCGAGTACGACTATGTCGATCCTCGCAGTCTGCGCAAGACTCTCGAGACCAAAGCTATCGGAGGTCTGTTCCTAGCAGGCCAGATCAACGGCACAACAGGCTACGAAGAAGCCGCAGCTCAAGGTGTCGTGGCCGGTATCAATGCTGGCAACTCTGCACTACAAAAGCCACAACTGCAGTTGACGAGGGCGGATGGATACATCGGCATCATGATAGACGACTTGATTACAAAGGGTGTCTCGGAGCCATATCGCATGTTCACCTCGAGATCAGAGTACCGCATGTCCGCTCGTGCCGACAACGCCGACCTGCGTCTCACGGCCAAAGGACGAGAACTCGGCGTAGTCTCTGATTCGCGCTGGTCACACTTTTCTTCGCAAAAAGCACAGATGGACGAGCTGAAGACGATATTGGAAGGACACACTCTATCTAGCAGCGTTTGGCAGTCCCATGGCTTTGCCGTGCGCAGCGACAGCAGCAAACGCAGTGCCTTTGACCTCCTACGTCTCGCCTCCATCAGTGTCTCCAGTCTCATTCCCCTGTTGCCCGAGATCGCGAAGTTTGATCCATACATCATTTCACGCATGGACATCGAAGGCACATATTCTCCTTATGTCACTCAACAAGAAACACAAGCCAGACATTTTGAAAGAGACGAGCAATTGCTGCTTCCTGCAGACATCAACTACGAGAGCATCTTCGGACTGAGTAATGAAGAAAAGAGAGTGTTGAGTGTGACCAGGCCTGAGAGCCTGGGTCAGGCTAGAAGAATAGAAGGTGTTACGCCTTCGGGCACACTTCGCTTGTTGGCTCATGTGAGAGGGGCAGGCAAGAGAGCGGCTGCTGTTGATCAAGTACTTGCATCTCAGGAGAGGGAGGTTGTGGCCTAATTATCGGAAGGCCTGGTAAAAGGATCATTGGCATCATGGGAGGTATAGGCGCAATATGGGTGTTAAGCATTTGCATAGGTGTGGTGTCACGGTAGGGCTCTGTACAAAACCATTCTCCTCATAGTCCTTCGGACGACAGTGTAGGATTGAATAGCAACCAGGTTGGTTCAACCGATTCTTTGTTCTACTGATTAGGCTTCGACTGCCTCAACCGTGAACAATATCAAGCACCCGCCTACACATTCCACAACCTTCGACCTTCACATTCGAACAAAGAAAGAACGACCTTCCTGCCTAATCAAACAACAGAAGCTACCTTCAGAAAGCACGATTCCGTTTAGATGAGTCGTTGGCCATGTTTCTTTATACCAACAGAGGCCGAGATCATGGACTACAAGGCAGAGGCCTTGTCCTGAAACCGGACGCTCAGACTCGATCTCTTTGACAGTAGGAGATTAGTATTGTGAAGTTGATGGTGATAAAAAGAGGCATGCCTTACGACCGCGACTCAGACACCTGATAGGAACAAGTCATCGAATCCTTTTCCCTCTCTCTTTGTTAGATCTCTGCAGAAGATCTAGAAACACCATCGAGCAAAACAAGCCTACCAAGCAAAACACACAATCATCACCACCACAATGCTCAGCCGCAGCCTCAACATCTTCCTCGGCCTCATCGCCCTCCTCTCCCTCATCACCCCCACCCTCGCCGGCCCAGACTGGTGGCAAATGTACCAAAACGAACTCGCCTGCGCCCGCAAAGACGTACACGTACTAGGCGCCATCAACCAATTCTGCAACACCAACGTCTACACGGGCGGCACCTACGCCTCCGAAGGAACAACTGTCAGTGGAGCTAGAGTGGGAATCGGTGCAAGCTGCAAATGGGGAACCTATGTGCCGCAGATTTGGTGCCAGAGCCAGTTTTACGAGACGTGTGCGTGGGGCAATGGAAGGGGTAGGGGCCAGAGACAGTATGATGGTGGGTGTCAGCATTTCTGGATCATCAATGGTTGAAGAAGGGACTTTGGTTTCGGCTTCTATTTTTTGTAGAGGAGGAATACCTTGATTAGTGTTTTGTAGAGTCGCGGAAAGGTTCTGTTGAATATGCTAGTCAAATCATGTGAATCATGCTTTCTCCCAAGTACTATATATGGGCCTCCATCGTGGGGATTTATCAGGTCACTCGAGATAAATTGTTGCTCATTAACTGCATCTAATGTGCTTCTACGATTGATGAACCTATGTGCTCAACAGCACGGCTCTAGGGTGTCTCTCGTCCGGCTGTTCGCTTTGTCCTTCGTCAACGCTCTGTCCATCATCACAGAATGCAAGTCCTAGTCCTGGGTAAAGAAAAACGTAATTTGTTCACAACCGGAATCGCAGAGTATCTGCTCAATAAGGTTGCTTAGGACGTATGGCATTGTGGATCTGGGCGTTGAGTGCAATCTCGTTCTCTGCGAGCATGTGATCCAGACCTCCTAGGGCACCAATGGCGCCGTCGATAGCAATGGAACCGCCATATCTGCCTGTTTTTATGTGAGCCAATAAGTCCTCCGAGGTGCTTAGATGCTCAACGATTACCTTGGCCGTGAGTGTCTTGCATGGCATTGGAGAGGTTTTCATGATAAAGAACTTGCTGGCGACGATTGGTAAGGATGCGTTGAGCATTGCCCACCGCTCTTCGCATCTGGCCGACTGTCGAGGCGATGCTGTTATAGTTGTCTTCCAATTGTCGAAGCATTCCTTCTTCGAACATTGTAAAGGCTTGCTCACGCTCGTGGTTTGTTTGGTCATGGGTGGAAAGCGCGTTCCTAGCCTCCAAGAGCGCTTGTTCACGTCGCTGCATTTGCTGTTCGCGCACGTTCACTGCATCTGTACGTTCTCTTAGATCGGCTTGTGCAGCAGCAAGGCGTTGCTCTGCGGCGTAGACTTCGGCACCACGAAGGTCGAGTTCTTCCTCGCGTTGGCCGATATTGCCGATCATTTTCTTAGCTCGGTTGCCGCCCATAGCTTTGCCGTTGTACGAGATTGGTGGTTCAGCAACTGTGCCGGTGTGATAGTGTGCATAGCTGTATCTAGTCAGTACCTGTGGCGCAATGTCACGTTCATTAAGCATGGCTGCAGAGCGGTAATGTTGACTCACAGACACCTGTTATCAGATTTCTTGCAGACCCCAGTATGATACCAAAAGAAGCAAGTGAGGGGGATACGGAAGTTTTTCGGCTGGATAGCATGTGTGTTGTGGGACGCTGTATGCCATTAGCGAAGCTACACTCCGACCGATTGTCGTGGACGTGCCGTTCGATGATGTTGGCGTCTCGGCGCAGACAGGTCTGAAGCACCTGGGAGAGGCACTACGCATGTCCTTCCTCGGAGAAGCGCTGCGAGAGTCACGACGCTGTGCGTCGACATAGCGTAGCCTATGGTTTGGAGACGCACTGCGATCGTTGCGGTTACGGAACGGCACTAACCAGAGATCAGCTCACCAGCGCTTGTTCAATACCGCGAAGTACGCCTTACTTCTATCTCCCTCCATGTCTCCCTGATTGTGGGTTGACAATGTTCGCCGCTTGTAAGGTGTGTTGGCAACAAAGCTGTGCTCTGATGGTCCACGACGTGAGTCCTCCTGAGACGAATCTCGTGTGTCCGAGCTCCTTGAACGCATTGCTGGCTGCTAAGATACGCAACAAGATCCGAGCATGCAGATGAAAGAGTGCATCTCTGGGATATATGTGCTAGGTTGTCTGATGTTTGCCCCTGTTCGACCGTCTGTAGCAAAGAACAAAGGTCATATGCCATACAAACAGCACAGGAAGCATTCACATGATACCTGATGCTCGACTGGGAACACTAATCACGGTGGTGGACATTTGTCTCTTTATGTGGTATGTGCAATGCGATAAAGAGATGGGCTTGAGTGATAGGAACATGAAATATGCCAGTCCATGTCGACCATAAATTTGCTTACTATCTTCGGGAACACCTTGTATACCATAGGTCATCAGGTGGCAGCTAGCATTCGACTTGATCAAACACAGCAGCATGGGCATCGGCACCAGAAAATCATACACAGATGCAAGGACATTCGGAAGAAGATCAGGAGCGAGGCATCAAGACATACGCACTGCAAAACCATTAGACGAGTGAGAGGCTGGACGGGCGATGACAGCGATGTCATAAGTCTAGGCTGCCGATGTGGCTTCTTTTGGCGACATATTGGAAAATGTCATCAACGATGAGTTCATTGAGTTGAAGTCTGATGGACTGGTGAGAGCTTCGAAGTTCGAAGAGTGAATCGAGGTCCCGGCGCACGGACACTCTTCACGCGATTCACTTTCACACGGCGGCGCGTCTTCCCTCAGAGCCCGCGTTTGCGTCTGTCAGACTTTCCATCCGACAACCTTGACAAAACAGTCTTCTACGCAAATCATCAAAATGTCAGGATCTGAGAGTCCAGAGAACTCCGAGCTGGTCTCCGCCATCAAAGACCAAGTGGAAGAATGTAAGCATCTTCTATCCACACATCCCAGCACCAACCTAACCAGAGTTCAGGGTCGACCAGTAGTAACGATGCGCTTCACATCTCGCTCTACCGCGGCGACAAGGTCGTGTCAGAGGTCGAACCAGCTTTTACATATCCCATATTCGGCGAGGAAGAGGTTGTCTTTGGCTATCGTGGATTGGACATGTCGCTGTCCCTGGCTGCACACAACCTGAGACCACACATGAGCATCTCCTGGACAGAGCAGTTCCCCCAGTTAGGCGATATCAAGGCCTCCGATATCCGTGGAGCTCTACGAGACTTTGTCCCCGAATCAGCCTTTGCTACCGAGTCACGAGCTGAAGCTCTCGCCGATTCCGACGCCAATTCTTTCAGACCTCCAGGCACACTTCTGCATTCCTACACACACGAAGACCAAACCTTTGAAATCTGGAAGGCCTCCTTGGCTGACGACGGAGCCAAGGAAATCATGCAAAACGCCCAAATACTGGTCCCTATGTTCATCGAAGGAGGCACTATCCTTGAACTCGATGAGCCCTGGGTCGCAGCCCGCTGGACCCTCTTCATGCTCTACCAGGTCGACCAGAAGCAGACAGATACTTCGCCATACACATTTGTCGGTTTCTCAACATCATACCGCGTGTTCACATTGCCTGATCGCCAGGCATTTGCAAAGAGCGATCACGTTGTGCCCCAACGCAGTGAATCAGACATGGATGCGATCCTCCGCCGATGGAACCCGGACACCATGGACGAGGACACAGAAGATGTCAAGTCTCCCCTGCAACTACCAAGCCGCGAACGCATCTCACAATTCTTGATTATACCAACCCATCAAGGATCTGGACATGGCGCTAGACTTTACAACACCGTCTTCACCAATCTCATCACTCCCGATAACATCTACGAGCTGACAGTCGAGGACCCGAATGAGGCTTTTGACGACATGCGCGACATCTGCGACTTGCTTTGGCTTCGCAAGAACAGTGATGATTTCGCTTCCTTGAAGATCGAAACTCAGATTGACAGCGCGAAGCTCAAGATGAACGAGAAGATCCCAGTTGACGACATTGTCTCGGGCGATGCTAAAGCTCGCATCAAGAAGACAAGCAAGATCATGCCTCGCCAACTAGGAAGGCTGATTGAGATGGAGACATATTCAAAGATACCCAAATTGAACCGATCGGTCAATCGCATCACGAGGAAGGAGAAGAGCACCAACGAGATGGATCGTGCTTACTACCTCTGGCGGCTGTACGTCAAACAACGCCTCATGATTGCCAACCTCGACACACTCGCACAACTTGACCGCGAAGAGCGTATTGAGAGACTGGAAGCAACCGTCGAGAACATTCAAGTAGACTACGATCGCCTCCTCGAGCTTGCCCGAAAGCGCGCTCGCTCCCTTGACAGCCAAGCCGGAAGTACGCACAGCAGTTCGAAACGCAAGAAGAAGGTCGTTGTTGAATCCGACGAAGGAGAAGATGATGCAGAGGCCGGCGATGTGGCACCTGTGTCTTCCAAGAAGAAGAGAAAGATTACCTAGAAGGCAAAGCAGCAGCAGAGAAAGCGCCGTCGCAACAACGATCTCGAGATACTGTTTGCAAAGTTCGCATTGACACCACGAGGACGAGAGCGACTGTGAGAAGCTATAATGCTCCAGAAGTCGTTTGTCGAGACTACGCGGTCTGACTTGAAGACACAGTCACTCCCTCGAGTAGTCGCTTGACCAAGTCTGGACAATCATTGCTAAATTATGCACACGGAGAGTTATTGAAAGTACCTATAATAATCAACAGGTCAAACCCCAAATTCACATCCTTCAGTCTTCCAAAACATGCTCCGTGTGAGCACAAGCGATGATCAAGTAGACCGAGTATCTGTATTCCGATATGATGTTGCGGCAAACAAACATTTTCGGGAGGCGAGCATCGGCGGTGTGAGAAGTCCCGCATTCAAGCACAGTCAACCAGCGACATCTGACAGCTCGATGCTCGACCACGTGTCGAATACTAGAAGACAACAGGACGTTAAAAGCAGGTTGATGGTCGTCAATGATCAGGTGAGAAAGAAGTATACGACTGCTCATAGTTATGCAAGAAGCCGACAAGTCGCATTCGGAAAGACAAGGTCGAGGCTTTTGCGCGATTTTCTCACTTCTTATATACTCGTACACACCGCGCGATTGCGGTACCTCACAGACACATGATCTGGATCGTGGCAGAAGAGATGCATACTCGGGTCGGCAAGCTGCAGGGAAGCGGTGCCACTGAACGCATCAGGTGAAAGGTCAGTGAGCTACCTTACATTTCCGGGTAGAGAGTAGGCAAGCAGTTTTAGCGAAGGGGTTGATGCGACAACGTTTTGAATCTCAAGTTTCAACTCCGCTGTCGCGTTTGGTCAATGGAGCACAGTTATTTCCGGGGAAAAGTTTGTCCAAAATGCCATTGGAGAGGCGCAGTACAAGCATAATGGCGTCTACGAAATGCGACTTTCGGAAGAGGGCGGTACTCCAGCATGCGTTTACGAGTTGAGTTTATTGATTTGCATGTCTTGCTGTGATCTTAGTGGCATACATGGATCCTCAATGACGCAGCAGGTTTGACGATTCAAACTCGCTTTCTGACGGAAATGTGGAGAGCATGAGGTAGGTTATGCATACCACGTGTGTTAGCCTCGGTCTCTCTGCTGTGCGAAGATGGGGCTGGGAGTGAGCGGAAGAGTAGGAAATGCACAGAGAGCCAACAAGCAGTTGCTGCTCGAGTCCAAAGATGGTTAGCGATGGCGGTCAGTAAGCGGTTGGTTCGTAAAACCCCTCGGACGGGAAAAGGTGAAATGTAATAGACAATTGCTTGTTTTGCCAAGCGGCATATGAGCGGTTTTTGGGCCATCTGCATTTTCTTCAGTGTTCAAGCACCCCATTGCCGGCTGACTTACCGCTTAACCTGCTCCATAACTCCTCTCTGGTTTTCTCTCTTATACCAAGAACGGTGCCGTTGGCTTTCCTCACATCTATATACGCTTGCTTGCCTTGAGACTTGTCTCTGGCTCGTCGGTTGGCTGCCAGCGTTCCGCTTCTTGTCGCGCCCCGAAGTTTGTCAGCAGTCAAAGCCAGACGTCACAGCCACAATCCAAGCCAGTCGCTGTGGCCACACCCTCCAGCATCTTCTACGTGGCAGTCATCAACACATTTCATCTCGTATACTGCGCCCGTCTGACACCTGGATTTGCTGTCTGAACGCGAAAACGATCGGCCTCCGCGGCCTCCTGCCTCATCTATTAAACCATCCAAAGACGTCACGTCGTCTTCACATCTTTCCGCAATGGCCGTCGCTACTGAAGACTTGAAGTCTCAGGGAATATCTCCTTCAGTAACCCCTTCAAATCCTTCCTCGATCAGCTCTCAGTCCTCTCTGCCCGCCTCTACCGCAAAGTCCCCTCTCAATGGCGACGCGCGCCCAGCCGGTCCGCCGAAGAAGCCTACCTTCACTTCGCGGTTAAGTCGCATGTTCTCGGCCAAGGATACCAACGAATCTTCCAGGGATCTTTCAATCAAAGACAAGGTCGCCGATAAGGTCCCCGAGACTGCCGTAGAAGAACCAGAGGCCGAAGCCATGCCGCCTAAGCCCTTGAGACCAGCAAATCCTTCTAGACAATCATCACAAACCGACAAAGCCAGGCTGGCTGGAACCGTCTCCAGAAGCGGCAGCGACGCGAAGAAGGACAAGAAGGAGGGCGAAGTCGCATCCGCTCAACATCGTCGTTTCTGGATCGACGAAGACGGCTCTCATCACCATCAACTCAAAAGTGCTCGAAGACAGGAGAAGTTGACTGACATGGTTCGCGACTTCCTTGGAGGCAAGAAGAAGGAGCACCACGAAGAGCAGCCTTTGTCTCTCATGGCCAGTTGGGTGGACCAAATCAAAAACGAAAAGAACAGGGTCGCTTCGGACCAGAAGAACGGCCCTGCCGGTACCGCAACGCTTGTTCAAAAATATGGCAAGTGTCAGGAGATCGTCGGCCGTGGTGCTTTCGGTATCGTCAGGATAGCGCACAAGGTGGATCCGAATGACTCGAAGCACGAGCAACTCTATGCCGTCAAGGAGTTCCGCCGAAGACCACAGGAAGACTCAAAGAAGTACAGCAAACGCCTTAACTCGGAGTTTTGCATCTCATCGTCTTTGAGACATCCCAACGTCATCCATACCCTCGACTTGCTTACCGACGCAAAGGGTGATTACTGTGAAGTCATGGAATTCTGCGCTGGTGGAGATCTTTACTCGTTGGTCCTCGCTGCGGGCAAACTAGAAGTCGTCGAGGCGGATTGTTATTTCCTGCAGCTCATGCGTGGTGTTGAATACATCCATGAGATGGGAGTCGCACATCGCGATCTGAAACCCGAAAATTTGTTGCTCACGACACACGGCGCCCTCAAGATTACAGATTTCGGCAATGGCGAATGCTTTCGCATGGCTTGGGAGACAGAACCGCACATGACAGCAGGTCTTTGTGGTAGCGCGCCATACATCGCACCAGAAGAATATACTGACAAGGAGTTCGATCCTCGTGCAGTAGATGTCTGGGCATGTGGTGTCATCTACATGGCCATGAGAACCGGCAGACATCTATGGCGTGTAGCCAACAAGGACGAAGATGAGTTCTATGACAATTACGTCCAAGGCCGCAAGAGCGACGCTGGCTATGGACCGATCGAGTCATTGCATAGAGTAAGTCATGTATTGTCACGAGAGAAAGAACCACTGCTAATCAAGAGCATCAGGCGCGATGCAGAAATGTCATCTACTCGATATTGGATCCCAATGCCAGCAGACGCATCAGCGCACACCAAGTACTGAACTCTGAGTGGGGTAAGGGCATCAAAGTGTGCCAGGCCGGCGAGGAAGGTCTGTAACAATAGTTTCAGGGCAAAAGGCCCTCTTATGATTTTCTTCAAATGATGGCTGGTTGGTTGTGGGTTATGGTTGCGACGGTGAGCCAAGGCTCTCTGTTTTGCGCGGCGTTTGGGCGGTCTATTACCGATATGGCATGAAACGGAAGGCACGACTCTGGTACATCTTCCCTGGCTATCAGAGCCATTCTGTCGTTTCTCTAGAATATGAATATCACGAGCGATTCATGACTGAATTGAGGCTGTGAACTGAGGTCAAGGCTTTTCGTCGATCGAGCGGGTTTCGAGTCTTGACAGGCGAGACAGGTTCCTTCCCCACACTCGCGGAAGTGACGATGCAACGGTCCAGAAAGTCGATCCAAAACATGTACAACGCATCCCGTTGATCTTGCAGGACGATGCGCCCAAGAGATGCAGTACGCTTTCAGAAACGGCAGAGCGCTGGCGGTACTGCTGTTCGTGCTCTTCCATCTGTGTCTTATCGCCTCGGCGCAGCATGAAAACAGTAGTAACAAGACATCTGTCCCTGCCGTCAGCAGCAGCAGCAGCAGCGGCAGCAGTAGTATCGCCAACACCAGCGTCTCTTCAACACAGGATGCACGAAACAGCGAGTTACGCCAAACAACATGTCGCACTGGTACGGTCAACTACATCACCCACTCCCTGCCTCAGCAGTGTCTGAACCGCTCTTCACCGACTTCGAACTCGACCACCAGCCTCACCCCTACCGTCACTCCTGCTCCGGTCACTGCAGACTCGACATCCATATCAAGCAGTCTTACTCCAGAAAAGCCACATACCTCCTCCACAGAGATTCGGCAGCCTTCCGCGATACAACCCGAAGCCGAGGTCGAGACAGACTCACCATTGGACAATGCAAACTTCTTGTCGTTCGAGGAATGGAAGAAACAGAACTTGGCCAAAGTTGGTCAGTCGCCTGAGCATGTCGGCCAGAAGTCACACCTCAGACAGGACAAGGTCGTTCGCGAACCGCGACCCATCGACAATGCCCTCGATATTCTTGGCGAAGACTCCGAAATCGAGTTGGACTTTGGTGGCTTTGGAAGGCAGGATAGTCTTTCGTCATCAACTGCCAGTGCTCAGCCTGCGGCGGCTTCTGAACCCACTCTTCGAAGCAAGGATGCTGGCAAGACTTGCAAAGAACGATCCAACTATGCCTCGTTTGATTGTGCCGCAACCGTGCTCAAATCCAACCCTGAATCCAAGTCTGCGCACTCTGTCTTGATCGAGAACAAGGATAGCTATATGCTCAACATTTGCTCGAGCTCAAACAAGTTCCTGATTGTCGAACTTTGTAACGATATCTTCATTGATACCATCGTCCTGGCGAACTACGAGTTCTTCTCCTCGATTTTCCGTACCTTTAGAGTCTCGGTATCCGATCGGTATCCTGTGAAAGCAGATCGCTGGAGAGAACTTGGTGTATTTGAGGCGCGGAATACTCGTTCAGTTCAAGCTTTCCTGGTTGAGCAGCCACTGATCTGGGCCAGGTATCTTCGGATTGAGTTCCTGACTCATTACGGTAAAGAGTATTATTGTCCGGTCAGTCTTCTCAGGGTACACGGTACTACGATGATGGAAGAGTTTCGACACCAGGAAGAGTTGGCTCGTGGTGAAATCAGCGATGATCTGGAGGAATCCGTCATGCCTGATGCTTCGCTGTCTCCTGCTCAGGATCCTCCTCAAGAACCTCTTCAGTCTTCGAAAGAAGCTGACAAGTCTATTGCTGTAGAGTCTGCAAAACCTGTCGAGACTGCAACTGAAAGCTCCACTGTTTTGCCATCATCAGGCGCACCTAGAGAATCTTCAAGTGCTTCGAGAGTGTCTACATCGACAAGCTCTGAGGTACAATCTCCCATCGCTAACAGGGAACATACATCGACCATCACACAACCCCTCACAAAGAGCGCTTCCAAGGACGCGTCATCAAACAACAGCACCACACCAGATACAAATGACATATCACAGACCACTGCAGACTCTAACACACAGACAAGCAATCTTAAGAACACGACATCGACGTCCATCCGAGTCGCCTCAAGCCCAACCAATAGCTCGTCAGGGGCGGTGATATCCTCTGAGCCCATCGTCACGCCTCAAGCAAAAACATCCTCTACAATCGCTGATGCTGTTAAGAATTTTTCGCAACAGATACCGCAAGATTCGAGCAGCAAATCGGTGTCTGTCAAGTCTAGCATCTCCCAGTCTGCCAACTCTAGCGCTCACATCAAAAGTGCTAACGCAAGTAACAAGCAGTCGTCTCCAGCGCCTGAGGTTCACCAAAAACCCGGTACATCGACTGTCTCTTCAGCTCATGCGAATCCCAGCACTCAAGAGTCATTCTTCAAGTCGACCCACAAACGTTTGCAGATGCTCGAGACCAACGCTACGCTGTCTCTCCAGTATATCGAGGAGCAGTCTCGCATCCTGCGCGATGCCTTTATCAAGGTTGAGAAGCGACAGATAAAAAAGACTGAATCATTCCTTGAGAACCTGAACGCAACTGTATTTGCTGAGCTCCAAGACTTCAAACAACAGTACGATCAGTTGTGGCAGAGTACCGTCATCGAGCTTGATAATCATCGTGACCAATATCAGAGGGAGATTCATGCTGTCAGTGTTCGGTTGAGCATCGTCGCTGATGAGTTGTTGTTCCAGAAGCGTATGGCCATTGCTCAGATGACGGTTTTGATGGTCTGTTTGAGCCTTGTCTTGTTCGTACGCACAGGAGCCAGTGCCAGTCTGGACATCCCCATTATTCAGCAGATGGTCAACAAGTCACAATTCGGAAGGGGCGCTTACGACTCTCCTCTTAATTCACCCTCACCAGACCAGCAATCTCCTCCCTTTACCAATGGAGAGGTCAGACGCAGGAGAGGATTCTGGAGAGGCAGTTTTCATTCACCTGCATCCCCCAGACCTATTTCCAGAGGCAATGGGAATATATCTGAGGCATCTATGGAGGAACATCCTAGGGTTGAGAATCCTGACCTTAGGTTCCAGCCACCAACGCCAACTTTGGGGGTCGAAAACACGACAGATGGCGAAGACGGCATTATAGTGGCACCTTCGGCATCATCTCTACATGGCGAAGGCACGTTTGTCGAGGAGGGAATAGAGAGTGACGAAGAAGATCAGGGAGAAGAAGAAGACTTCGAGAGTTCTTCGGCATCGTTACCACAAGAGACACAGTCATCGCCCTCGACACCAAGTGGCTCGCGAGACCTCAAGATGCAACCTTGGCCGGCTGGAGATGAGAGTGGAATTGGAAGCGATGATTGAGATTATACCTGTATCATGACGAGTTATGTCCAGTAATTCATGTACGACAAGGAAGGTAACCAAGAAAATGCCTTGATCTGATGACCTTCAGTAAGAAGCGATGTTTCCATTAGACGTAAACGCAATCTTATTCTCTTTCTCTACCAAAGCACGCCATGGCCCATGGTGGGTGTCCTGGTTGCTCTGTTTCCTTGAACTTGAACCGAAAGATGACGGATGTGTGGCTTGCTTTGAACAGAGCCACTGAAGATCATGTGCGATGCATTTTCCCACCGGATAGCGAGGTCAAGCGAAGTAGGCAAAGCAACTAGATTACCAAGCAGGTTTTCTTCCAGCCAGCTCAGCCCACCTGTCTTTGGTGGCTTTGTGTGTTGCGATGAAGGAAAAGGTTCTGGACCTGTCAGGCTGTGCATTCAAGTTCCTGAGACATGACGGGAAGCGGGGGAAGGGCAGAGCATGTGAGGGCTCGAAGCTTTTCGATTGGAGACCCTGCTTGTTTTGTTGTCGATCTTTTGTTCACCAAACCAAGTTCGCGTGAAACCCAAGGGTCGGGAAGGGGGAAGCGTGGCCAAGTTTGCTGCGCTTGCTGCTCCCTTCGCTATCTCTCACGCGGCGGGGGTGTTTTTCTGTGGAGCTTGTCCAGAGATATGACGCAGCTTATGGTGTCCTCAAGATCTGAACCTGCGATGGGCGAGCAGCTACCTCCTTATAAATGCATTAGCTGCCTCCCGTATTTGTGTGGGTTTTTCTAGCTATTACTTCTGGGAATACTATCAACATCACGAATATCTCATCACCAAACACATCCATCATGTCTTACAACGACTACAACAGCAACAGCAATGATGACTACGGCAGTGTATGTTCCATGTTCCTCGTCTCTTATCTTCCTATAGAGCTACCTACAAAGCTCTGTGGACCTATCATTTCTGCTATCAATGACCCCTCTTTTCTCAATGTCCATCACTACGTCTCCCAAGCCTTTGTAGCTGACCACCTTGTCTGCAGGGTCGCCAAGGAGGTCTCAACGACAGAACCACTGGCTCGTCAGGCTACGGTGTAAGCATACCTATCTATTGCCAAGCATGATATACACTCTTTTGCTGATCAACATATGATAACAGCAAGATTCGAGCTACGGCAATGACAACCTGAGCAGCGGAAGAAACCCCGGTAGCGGTGTTGGACGCGACGAGTTCAACGACTCTTCGAACTACAACCGTGGTGGTGCTCTTGGCAGCGATGACATTGCCGATCGTAGTGGCTCTGGACTCGGCAGAGACGAGTACTCGTCGTCTGGTCGCGATGATTATGGATCTTCCAACACTACTGGCAGAGATACCTACGGCTCCTCCAACACCGACAGAGATACCTATGGTTCCTCCAACACCGGCAGAGACACCTATGGCTCATCAAACACTGGCAGTGACAACTTCTCTTCGTCAAACGATACCTACGGTTCCAGCAACACCGGTTACGGATCAAGCAACACCGATACCTTTGGACACCACCACAAGTCTGCTGGAGAAAACATTCGCGATGATGACTTGAAGCCTAGCCACGGTATCGAGAGAGACACACACCACACCACTGGTGGAAACTACCCTGTAAGTACCTACTTTTCTGCATGATGGGAATCCTTCCATGATCTCTACTTGCCTTATCTTTTGCACATCTTGTCTTGGCTTTGAGCATGGGTACAGCATATTGCTTGAGCTATCTTGCCTTGTTCCCTGTTATTGCCCTCCCACTTCATTACCAATCACATCAACACCACGTCAGAAAGAAACAATCATGTTGAAGAAATTGATTGTATGAATTTCTTGATCATGCTCCAAGTTTACAACTCGATTCGATCAAAAGCTGACCTATTTAACTTGACAGTCCACCGACGACAACTTCGGCTCAGGTGCCACCAGCGGCGCCGGTTACGGCAACAAGTCATCGGCTGACCGTGACACTTATGACGACTCGAGCAACACGCGCTTTGGCTCATCGAACGACACTGGCGCCTACTCGGGCAGCAACGACTTCGGCTCCGGTACCACTGGTGGTGCTGGCTACGGCAACAAGTCCACCTCTGGTCGCGACACCTTTGGCGACTCTAGCGATACTCGTTTCGGCTCTTCGGGAGAGACTGGCGCATACTCGGGTAGCAATGAATATGGAAGCGGTGCTACCAGTGGTACTGGATACGGCAACAAGTCTTCCAGCTACGGTACTGATGAGAGCTCCGGGAAGCATGGCGGTAAGTTTTGAGCCTTTGTGATCTTTTGGCGATGAATATGTGTGCTGATACAACACTTGCAGATTCGACCGCTGGAAAGTTGATGAGCAAGCTTGGTGGTATGATGAAGAACGAGAAGATGGTCGAGAAGGGTGAGGCCAAGCGTGAGGCTGCCGGTGCCTACGGCAATGAGCGTTCTGACTACTAGGGGCCTGATTAATACAGGAGAGATGTCCTGAGAGGGTAATAGCTCGGTTGCAGCCAGCACCAGAGTGCTAGTTTTTATGGCGTAATGACCAAATTGCAATCATGATGTTTGTATGAATGATGCTCTCAAGTCAGAATGGTGCTTGTGAGTGTTGGAGATGAGAGCTTCTAGCGGACATATTTGCTCATGAAACGTCTGTGGAAGTCTGATCTCAGCAAGTCGTTGACAAACTCCTTGCCCTTCTTGTCTTCGGTTCCTCTGGCCTGGTTTTTGAAGACGACATCGTCGTCCCATCTTCGCTTGACATCGTATGCTCCTGTGATATTGTCAGCACTTGGTAAACGCTGCATTTTGAAGAGAGAGTAGTCGTACCTTTGTTGAGAAGCGGGTTTCCAGTAGCAATGTCCCGCATCTGCTGCTCTTCCTCCTTTGCCGCTTGCTCTGCAGCCTCTCTGGCAGCCTGTTCTGCACGCTCGGCCTTGATCTTAGCCAACTCGCGCATCAACTCTGCTTCATCGTCATCGTCGCTTTCCTCGTCGGAAGAATCGTCGTCCTCTTCTGAGGCATCGTCCGAATCGGCATCGACATCGCGCGTCTCTTCAAGAACCCTCGTTCGCTTAGCCTCATAGTCTTCCTCATCTTGCTCTTCTCCTTGCTCTCCCTTCTCCAGACTGCGCTTCTGACCTTTTGCGCCTTCGATTGCCAAAGTCACTTTCTCTTCCTCTTCTTCTTCAGGAGACAACTCGCGACCTTCCTTTTTGGCAAAGTGGCGGCGTTCGGCGCGCAAGAGTTCGGCGCGGAGGTCGCGGGCTGAGTGCTCGTCGGTGGTTCCTTGGGTTACTTGACGGAACTTGAGGGTTTTGTGGGCGGGGAGAAGGCGTTGGTGGTATCCGGGACCGCGAAGGGAGTCTTTGCCGCGGGCGGGGTCGAAGGTGGGACGATGGGCGGTGGTCATGATGAGTGTGTTGTGTGTTGCGACAAAGTGGTTTGTATGGAGTAGATTGACAGAAGGTCGGTCGCAGAGTGAGAGTTGGAGATGCAGGCGGGAAACGCCGTCGGAGCTTGCGGCGGGCAAGCAATGGGGAAATGTTCATGGCCAGTAAAATAATCGAGAAGAACGTCATAGTCACTTACACACATCACACACATTGCACAGCATGCCACGAGAAGTCGAGCCCTCGCTGAACGAGCGTCAATTCATCCGCGATGCCCTGTTCGAAAGCATCCGTCTCGATGGCCGTCAACTCGACCAATTCAGAAATCTAGACCTTCAATTCGGCGACGACTATGGCGTGGCCGATGTCCGCTTGGGCAAGACGAGGTATACACCGACACCCCACGATACAGAAAAGAGACGATTCACTAACAAGCACCACAGAGTCGTAGCAAGGATATCCGCAGAAGTCACCACACCCTTCCCCGATCGCAAATTCGACGGCGTCTTTTCCATCTCGACCGAACTCTCACCCATGGCCTCTCCCGCCTTCGAAGTCGGCCGCCCCAATCATGCAGAAACCGTCCTCTCACGTCTACTGGAAAAGTCTATCCGTCGCTCTGGAGCCCTGGACACTGAGTCTCTGTGCATCATCGCCGGCGCAAAGTGCTTTGCCGTGCGTGCAGACATACACGTTCTGGACCACGACGGCGGTTTGATCGATGCTTGCTGCATTGCCTTGGTCGCCGCCCTCCAACACTTCCGCCGCCCAGAGGTCGAGGTGCATGGAGAAGATGTCACGGTGTTTGATGCCCGTGAGCGCGAACCCGTGAAACTGGCCATGCAACACCATCCCTTCTGTGTGTCTTTCTCCTTCTACCACAACGGCGAGACTGTGCTGCTGGATGCCAATCTAGCTGAAGAAGCCGTTCGCGATGGCGAGATGATTGTTAGCATGAATCGTCACGGAGAGGTGTGCCAGATTGCAAAGTATGGAGGTGTGCCTGTGGATCCCTTGACTACGCTCAACTGCTCAAACGTTGCGCTGGAAAAGGTCAAGATTCTGCATCAGTTCGTGCAGAGCAAGTTGGAGCAGGATGAGAAGAAGAGGGACAAGGGTGGTTTGATGGCTGAGTTGAATGCTGCAAATTCAAGAGAGCTTGCCAACATTCCTGGTTGAGCTTCTGAGAAGTATCGGATACCACCTACCACTAACTCACTCGTCTCTCAAGCTCGAGGCTACGAGTCTACGAAAGCCAGCCCACATCCGCCCGACCTTCGGCCCGGAAACGGGCGCGAAAACATTCGAGGGCCATTATCTGCTATGCTCGTTGCAAAGACAAGAATTTGCAGATTGACATTGCACAAATACATGGTTGCAGCGTCGGCTATGGTCCGCCTTGTGTATAGCATGGTAACATCGAAAGAACGTCACACAAGACGGAAGGATATAGATGAATAACAAAAGTCTAAAATTGTCGTTCTGATACGACCTTGATCATCGATTCTAATCTACCATGCTTGCAATTTCATATGCTGTTTCGTTGCGCGCCTTGACTTCATGACCGTTCACGAGCTGGCTCAAGGGAAAGCTGCTGCATACGCGAGACGGGAGTTTGGCTGGTTAATCGGGGGTGACAGAGCAACGAAGATGTCGCTATTCCCCTGAAGCGCAACCTGCAGAGATGGCTCGACCTAGACCGAAAGTATCCAGCCCTTTTCCTGCCAGCCCCTCTCTATCGTGTTTATTCGTCTGCGGAATTTGTCATGGTGGCTTTGTCAAGCGGCAACCATTGGTGCTATCAGGCAGTTTCGCGCCAGGCATTTCAGCCTGCAGTAAGTCCTCGGCGTCCTCCAGATTGTGATTGGCCGTCCTGCGTTCTCAGAACGGCGTTCAAGGGTGCTAATGATTCCGGAAATTCTTTTTCTGGTAAAACAGATCTGTCCTCGAACTACCCAGATTTATAATCTTGGGGCAGCCGTCTCTGTCCTTTTCCAGACGGGTGCATTCAAAGCAGTAGAAGGCGTCGGAGATTCCCTGAGGGATTGTGTTAGTAACACGACGGAAAGAGAAGAGGTGTAGAGTGTGTTCCTACCTCGCCACCGCAGACAAGGCATTTGTTTTGGTAGTTGCCGAAGGAGCATTCGTCGCAGATGCGGACGAGGGTTGTGGGGCGGACGTAACTGTCGCATACGGGGCACTTGCCATCGCACTTGTCGCAGAGGCGGCCGATGGAGATGCCTGCTGTCTTGCGACACATTACCAAATCGCTGTGTCCTTGTCAGCTTGTGCCTCTCTAGGATTGCCTTGTACGAGGAACGTACGGATGATGGCGCGACATGATGGCAATGTGGGAGGGAGCGCTCGATGATAGATCTGGAGTCGCCGAGACAATATAAAGAGGGTCGGTTCAGTCGCGAAGAGGTGCTCGAGGAAGGCTCGTGGCGTGCGAGTGAAGTGGTTTGTGGTTTGTGGAAGTTGTAGAAGCTTCTTCATGCGGAAAGCGCGACTGAGGCACACGCGGAGATAGTGCGGGGTTTAGATTGGACTGAACTTCCGCTCAAACACCGACGTAATCAGCTTCACCTCCACCAGTCTGTGACCAAACATCGTGAATACCAATCCACCACTGTCGCAATCATGGTCGAGACGGCAAGCAACTCTCTGCTGTCCAGCAGCACCTCGGACTCGTCACTTTCCGTCCAGCTGCATCCACTGGTCCTCCTCACCATCTCCGACTACATAACGCGCCACTCTATGCGCAAGCAGGAAGGCCCAATTGTTGGTGCTATCATCGGTCAGCAAAATGGACGCACCATCACCATGGAGCAAGCCTTCCAGTGTAAGACCAAGGAGATAGGCGACAAAGTCTTGGTCGACGAAGAGTGGTTTGCCGAGCGTCTAGAACAGTGTATGCCTCTGTTCATCCGCTCTATCCCAGGCTGTCATAGCTGACCACGAAACAGTCAAGGACGTTCACAAGGCCCCTCCGCTCGATCTGGTCGCCATCTTCACCCTCGCTCCCCCCTCAGGTCCTCTCCCCGAACATGTTCCTATCCTCCAGCAGTTGCAACACTCGTACAACGACTCGCTCATGCTCCTACTCTTCCATCCTCAGACCATCCTTGACGGTGCCCTCACTGGCGGAAAGCTACCCATCTCTATCTACGAGTCCTACTACGAACCTGGCAGCGAAAATGCGGACAAGGGTCTACAAGTCGACGGCTGGGCCATGGGTCGCCAACTGCAGATGCGTTTCCGCCAATTGCCCTTCGAGGTCGAGACTGGAGAGGCCGAGATGATCGCTGTCGACTTTGTTGCAAAGGGAAGCGGCTCCGCTGCTGTTCACAACTCGGCCACTCCTCCTTCAAAAGCCAAGGGTCGTGCTGAGGATGGAGCTGCTTCCAACGACGTTCAACTCAGTGCCGCCGATGAAGAAGGTAGACGAGACAAGACATGCGCGATGTCAGAACCACACAAGCTAATAATACCTAGTCATCTCGTCCCTCACCGCCAAGTACAACGCCATCAAGATGCTGCACCAACGCATCAACCTCATCAAGGCCTACCTTGCCGAACTACCACAATCATACCTCACCGACGCCTCCATTCCCGCCGGCCCGAGCGACCCTCCCCTCAACCACCAACTCCTCCGCGAAATCTCTTCCATGCTCTCTCGTCTTCCTTTACTCGCCCCTCCCACCACTCAATCATCTACCACAATCCCCGTGCCAGGAATGCTTCAATCCGCCCTCGCAACAGCTTCTGCACAGGAACAGTCAGACGTGCACATGGTGTCGCTGCTCGCCTCTCTCACTCGCACAGTAGCTCAGGCCAAGGACATGGGCTCCAAGTATTCAATTGTGCAAAAGGCAAAGACGGATAAGAATTATGCTGGTATGATGAGGGGCGGTGGCGGTGGGTTCGGCGACTATGGCCCTGGCCCTGCTAGTGACCCCTGGGATACCCCTGGCGAGTCCAACGATTACGGCTTGTTGACACGTGATGATCTCTGATGGGGATAGAGGAGCGAGTGGTTTTATCTTTCTTATGACTAATCTTTATGCATAGCTGCGGAGGCGTAATGGCGCATTAGACATGCCGAACATGGCGGGCCTCTTCTTTCCCTTATGACAGACCATCTCGTGTTATGGAGATGATTTTAAAACATAACAAGAATAAAATCAACATTTTCTAAAGCTCGTGTCTACTCGTAACGTAGTTCTATATAGATCAAATATCCGAAGTCACAAAAGACATGACCTCAGATAAAAGAATGAGGGTAGATCCAGCAAGTAAAAGAAAAGGAGCGCTTTCTATGAGCTGTGATTTGACAAAAGAGCTTATACCCAGACTCCAGAATCCAAACGCGAGAGCCGTATTCCTATACCTTTCACAAGAGGATATCAGATTACACCTCCGCAGTCATCCGAACACTCAGCAGCCCTTGCCAGGGACATAGGTAGTAACTTTGAGACTGGAGAGAAATGTCAGTGAGCCATGGAGAGACAATTCAGAGGAGCAAGAGAAACATACGTTGCAGTCACCGTCTTCGTGATCTTGGACGTCGTAGTCGTGCGTTTTGTGATTGTACGAGTGGATGTTCCGGCAGTCTTTGTTACTGTTGTCTTGGTCGCTATGATAGTGACGGGTGCTGGAGTGATCGTCGTTGTGCTTTCCACAGTTGCTAGTATGTACGTCAGCTGCTTGCACTTGACGTTATGAGGGATGGGACAAGACTTACTGTATGCTGTGAGAGTGACAGGGGTAGCAGTATAGCTAGATGTCACTGAGATCCAGTTGGCAGTGTTGGTATCCGTCGATGTCACGGTTGCGCTGTCAGGTGCACGTTTGGCGAGATTGACCAGGTTGCGTCTTGCAACTTGGATGACTTTGGTAACGTCGCGTCTGATCCTGGCGCGACGGGCGACCGCTGGGGTTGGGCTTGCAGAGGCAATGGCGGCTTGAGCGATAGATAAGAGAGAAGGGTCCGCTGAGGGATCCGCTGTCATGGCTGCAAAGGCAACTGCACAGGGGTCGGTCACCGTGTAGGTCTTGATAGTGTAAGTGAAGCTTGTGGTGGTGCGTTTGACCGTTGCTGTTGACGATTTGGTAATGGTCTCGCGAGGAGGGTAGTAAGTGACTGTCTGTGTCTGTGCATTGCTGGCCAGACTGGTGATCGATGCAGGTGCAAGAGTTGTGGATTCCAAGTCTGTGATTGTAGCATTTACAGTAGATGTTGGGGTTTGTGTGACAGAAAGAGTAATGGTTGGGATCACAGTCGAAGTAAATTGTGCCCCAACACTGAGATGCAAGTGGCGGTTGGCATTGAAACTGCTGCCGTTGCCATTGTTGTCCAGAAGTACCAAAGTCCAATCACCAGAATACATCTGGTTCTTCAAGATCGGACAAGTAGAAGTGACATCGGTATAGTCGGGAGTGGTCACAACGTCTGAGCAGAATATTGATTCATTCTTGGGAGTGATGAGGATGACGCGAGCAGGTTCCGCGCAGTCATAGAATTCTGATACGGAGGTAAAAGATTCGTTGGAGTTGATGTTGATGAAGTAGTTCTTGTTGTTCTTGAAGTCGATGCCGTATGATTCGCAGGCATCGGCGACTTGGAAGAGAGCAAGTCCGATAGTAAGTAGATATTTCCACATGATGTTAATACTCGGTAGAACCTTTGAATTCCAGAAGACTTCCCCGTCTTAGCTGCTTGATGAGAGAATCAAGTCGTACCCGAGTCCGCTTTATAATACACCTCGAGGCCGCGAGACATCGGGTGAAAACAGCTCCATGTTGTTCATATCAGACCTACGACAGCAAAAATAGCACATGCTCTTGGATTGCCTCATCAGTACCCCTACACTGCCTCGCGAGAGGATTCTCGTCGCATGTATCGAGGACTTGCAGGCTGGAGTCTGACATCAGAGACCCGAACGAGGCAGTCCTAGGTCGGCGGACTGGAGTGGCCAAAGTGCCGGACCTCCTGACCGGAAGTTTTGTTACCCATTACCGTGTTCCAGCACGCAGTCTTACCCAGGCACGTTTGTCGAAGAGTTACGAACATGCTGCGATGCAAGGTAGGTGTCGGAAGAGGGCGGTGTGGCACGCGGCAGATGGACGACGATCCCGGAGGCTCCGGAGAACACCAAATATGGAAACCGCGACTCCTGACTGGCTTCCTTCCACTTCAACTTCACGTCAGCATCCGACATCATGGAAATCCAAAGCTACCAAAGACGTCACGAGTCATCACGAGATGCATACTGGAGCCTCATACTCCGGTGTGTATCTATTGCCTATCGTGACACGTGGCTGAGTCTCGTCCGGGACCTCACTTGCGAAGTGGTGAGAAAGCAATCGGAACATGGCGCGTGTCGAACCAGACCCGTGGTATCTTTCCCTGAAGAGAGCAAATCGATCAGACAGCCATTCTGCAAAGCAGATCCACCTGGCGTGTTGTCAATATTGATTGCCTGCAAAGAATGCTTGGCTACGACAACTTCTGACACAGAAGCTGATGACAATCTTTCGTATACACGCATTTGATGCAGAGTTGACGATTACCTCGTGAACTCTCTAAAGATATCTCCCGAGCGACCCCTTCTCCCGGAAAGAAGAAGGTTCCGCCGCATGCGTGCCCTTGACAAAGTACAATGTCACGCTCCAGCTCCTGCGAGTCCTTGCATAGCAGACAACGACATGGTTGGTCTGTTGCAAAGTCAGCCTTGATATTCATCGAACAGGAATATCTTCCAAAACTCTGATTTTCGAATGGGGCGAAGGGATTCACGATGTACACATGGTGAGGACCGTGTAGCTATCGGAAAATATGATCTTGTCTCACCACGTAAAGTTCTTATGGCAGACCGGTCATCCGATAACTGGCACGCCAATAAGAATCGATTCATGGAGTTTCTTCGTGCTCTCCGTATCATTTGCTGGTAGAAACTGCCAGCATTCTCTTGTCACCGGATGCCTATGTATTGAATGGTCAAGTGGGTCTGCGGATTGCAGATGCTGACTTTACAGCAGTCTATTGGAAAACAGGCAGACCATCTGACTTGCAGCTTTCCCTTTCTCCTGATCAAGCATAAGGGAAATATTTCATTTCGTCCATCATGGTCATCGATTCGATGCTTCTGGTGTCTACGCAACATCCGCGATTGTTCCGTATCTAACTATTTTGGTCTTTTCAGCCCTGTAAGCAGCAGGCTGTACATGATAAGTCTACCAGGCAAGTCTACTAAGCAGCTTGGACAGGCAAGTATTTGTATGCGTATAAAAGTTGCTTATCCACCTGAAGATGACTACAACACCTCAATCTTGCTCAATCATTCGCAAGCATGTATCTCTTGCGTACTCTTCCCCTGTTTGCTTCCTTGGCCGCTTACGCCTCTGCCTCAGTGGTCGTGGAGCGCCAGGCTTCGTCAACTACCACTTCCTCTGCTGCCCGCTCTTCCACGACTTTGACTCCAGACGATGCTGATACAGAGTGTTCGAACACTGCCAGCAGTCGTGCATGCTGGGTACGAGACTTCGTATCCTTTCCCCACCACACACTAACTTGTCTAGGGCAATGGTTTCTCGATTGCGACCGATTTCGATAAGAAGTGGCCTGACACCGGAAGAACTGTTCCTTACACGCTGGACATCACAAACACTACAATCGATCCTGATGGTACTGGAGAGAGAAGGGTCATGTTGATCAACAATCAGTACCCAGGCCCAGTTATTAGAGCTAGTTGGGGAGACTGGCTCGAAGTCACAGTCAACAACCACTTACCCGACAATGGTACCGGTATCCATTGGCATGGAATTCGGCAGTACGAAACGTGCGACCAAGATGGTGTTCCCGGAAGTAAGTCTATCGTATGGTATAATTTTGGACATCATAGACTAACGTGCTTATTAGTAACTGAATGTCCAATTGCGCCAGGGACGTCCCGCACGTACAGGTTCCATTGTACGCAGTACGGCACGAGCTGGTATCACTCGCACTGGAGTAGGTCGACCGATATTGGACTCCTGCACTAGCATTGACAATAAAAACAGGTGTTCAATATGGTGTAGGAACTCTTGGTCCGCTCGTCATCGATGGTCCTGCTACGGAAAACTATAATGAAGATCTTGGACCTTTCGCAGTGACGGACTGGTATGACGAGACCGCCTTCTTCAACAATCCTCTGGCGCGCAGCATACCTCCACAGGCTTACACCGGTCTTGTGAATGGTATGAATGTCAGTCCTGACGGAACCAAGGGCAAATACTTCAACGCTACCGTCCAATCTGGCAAGAGATATCGTCTACGACTCATCAACACATCTGTTGACAGCGCCTACATGGTTTCTGTCGATGATCATCCTTTCACCGTTATCACCAATGACTTTGTGCCCATCATGCCTTATGTCGCGGACCGAGTCTTTGTAGGAATCGGACAAAGACTTGATGTCATAATTGAGGCGAACCAGACAGCAGGCAACTACTGGTTTAGGGCAGATGTTCCCGCCGTGGGTGGCGCATTTCCTGCATGCGGGAATAATGCAAACCCCAACGGCATCAGGGCAATCATCCATTACAGCAATTCAACCTTCGCAAACCCTACTAGTACAGCCTGGGACAGGACTGGAGTCAACGCAGATAGATGCAATGACGAGTCCTACCAAACAGACAAGCTCACGCCTTACTGGGACAGCTTCGTTCCTTCTGATGCCTTGTTGGCGAACCCTGAACTCTTGAGTGTGCAACCTCAGGAGGCTGGCGTCCGTAGCGACAACGCGACCATCTTCCAGTGGGCCATCAACACCACCGCGCTCAACGTGGATTGGGACAAGCCGATTCTTGAATACGTTCAAGAGGGCAATACAAGCTATCCCAAATCGGAGAACTTGATCAACGTGCCTGATGTCGACTGGACGTACTGGGTGCTCCAGGAGATCCCGACTCCAGCAGGAGCTCATCTGGACATTCCTCACCCCATTCACTTGCATGGGTAAGTCAGAGCTCTAGCACACATATTATTACACTACTAATCAGGTTCTAGACATGACTTCTACGTGTTGGGTGCTAAAGAAAGCAGCAACTACACCAACGATCAAGCAAGCGAGTTGAACTTCAAGAATCCACCTCGTAGGGACACTGCGATACTGCCCTCAGGTGGGTGGCTGGTCATTGCCTTTGAGACCAACAATCCTGGTGCTTGGATCATGCATTGCCACATCGCATGGCATGTAGCCGATGGTTTGGCCACACAGTTCCTCGAGACGCCCGGTCAGATCAAGATCGATTCCGGTTTCAACGACATTTGCTCGACGTGGCGCGATTACTATCCTGAGGAGTCATACTGGAAGAAGGATGACTCTGGCGTCTAGTTCGAAAAACACAGGGTTATCTATCGATCGCTGGTCAGCCTTTTCGACTGTTCAAGTTTTGATACAGGAGGTGTCCAAGGATCGTCTGTCGGTTCCGTTCCTAATAGTATGCACGACATTCATTATCAGATAGACAAAGACCATGTAAAAGAAGACTTCTCTTCTCACCAATGAAAATCTCGTTCCTTTATTGGTTGTCCTAACACATCATCATGCCATACCGAAGATGGAATTAGTGGAGGTGTACAGCAAGGTAACACCCGTCAGGTCTCTGGCTCAACCGAAAGGTCAGATCCGGGCAACGCGAGATCTTGTTCGATTAGAACAAAGATTCGAATACTAGGCCTGCGATACACAACACCCGTACAAGAGTTGGTGGTACAGACGTCTGATATCACGTCCCGAGTCTTTGGTTTTTCGTCGTGGAGTCGTTGTGGCTGTCACGCTCCAGACATCGAAGTGCAGTGTGCAAACACTGATCAAGGTCACTCAAGCTTAGGCAAAAACGCCCGACAGTTTCGTCCAAGAAGAAAATTAAACCAAGTTCCGAGAATCTATATCGCGATCCACATCTAAAGTTTTCCCTTGGCCATATTTGACAACATCTCTCTGCCAGTAATTCTGGTGGTGTGCCACAAAGTAGGGAAATCGAGAGTACTGGTAAGACCATCGGCGAAACCGAAACCAAGCATGGGAGGAATCCAACCACGAGCGTACTCGAGAGCAAAGCAAGCATCGTCCATCTTGTACTGCTTGACCTCGCCACGGCGCAAATGGTGTACACTGCCTTGAGAGTAGACCTCGGGTTCGTAGTGTCCAGCGGCAGGTGAGTATGCAGTTTGGGTACCCTTGAGAATGTGGAAGTAGTCGTCTGCAGTGTGGCGACCAGTATGTCCTTCAGTTCCAACGGCGGTGCCTGACGATATGTTAATTTCTGTTAAGTCGCCAGATAGCCGCGTAAGATCTTACCGAAAATGATCAAATACTCAGTAATACTGGCGTGAATGATGTACATGCCACCCATCGCACCACCGGCATTGTTGAAGACCCATTCCTCATTCAGGTTGACATATTCTCCGGCAGGACCCTGGCTGAGTTCGCCGACGATCTGTGCAACAACAGCCCTAGTGTCGTTTCCATGGTTTGCGATTGCTCTCTGCGAAAGATCGTGCAGTTGTTTTGTGTCGAAGACGTAGAAACTCTGGAGGTTTTGTTCCATGAAGTAAACAATGGCGGAAAACAGGGCGATAAGGACTGCGATGATGGAAAAGGTGTTTGCTCTGGTGTTGCTTTGCGCGCTCGACGAGCCGCTGTTCTTTCTGACCGCCATTTTTGGTTTAGGATGTTGTATAGAGGAAGGAGAAGCGATTCCAGAGTTCCAGTTGCCCTCCTGAATCTCTATTGGTTTTGTAACATCGAAGACGACATCAACAAAAAAATCAGCCCATTTCGTATCTCCGAAGTCAATCTCCGGGTATGCGGTTGAGGTCCGTGCATGATGTTTATAGGGGTCCTCCGCCGGCATCCGCGGGTGTGGTAGGGCTGCATGTTAACCGCTTGATTTCTTGAAGTCAAGAATGCTTGTTTCGAACAAAAGAACATTGATCGTAACGAGGCCGCAAGACTCAACTCATCCACCAGCTTTCCAGAAAACCAGATGACGAGAGCTGTAATCAACATATGGTCACCATGTCATGATGTCGCTGCCTCTGACACGTGCGTGATTTGTTCAAGATGAAGGGACGGATCCCGTTGTTCCTGGACCATGTATGTTTAGAGAATCTTTGTGGTAGTAAAGATGGACATATTTACGGCGCTCAAGCTTTCCGACGAATGTATGCACAAATCGGTGTAGGTATATCGAAAGACATCGGCCAGCTCACAAGGCTACCTCGCCTATGCCATCAGCACGGCACATCTCTACTTGGACACTAGTCTTGGTCCAGTCAGGGTGGCCGCCCATTCCTCTAACAGAATTTGACCGTCAGCTCAGCTCATGTATGCGCTGCTTACTATTGACTAGAAGTCTCGATGCCTCTATCGGGATATGTCGACCAATAGCGAACAGTAACAGTCACTCGAATCTGATTTCGAACTACCCTCTGAGTATCACACTTTACAAAAAGGCCGCCCAAACTTGACTGTGCTCGAGCCTCTCTCTCACGAGAGATGTCCTGAGGTCGATTCGTGGTTGTAGCTCTCTCTGGCTTTCGATCCTAGGTCCAGCTTTCCCTCGCAGGCAGCCTGTCGCTATCGAAAAAGCAAATTGGAACTCACCACGCCATTGCTTGGGCCCCCATAAAGCTACATGGTCATGTATTGCTCGTCCGACCTGGTCCTTCTTTGAATTTAGCAGCAAGCGGGGAAGGAGCAGCCTCCATGCATGAACCCGTAGCTGCATGATCGATAAGCGAATCAACTTCGCTCGACCATCAGCCTTGTCACTCGAGTATGCTCAAGGTACACGAGCGTGATGTGTCACACCCCGTATTACTGCAAGACCAGGACAGGACCATTTACTTTGTTCATGCAGCTAATATTGGTTCTGGTGGTGATAATGCAGCGTCTACCCTTCTTGTCTTACATCTTTTTTCTCCGCAACCTCATACTCGAGAGATTCTCAGATCGTGTTACACCAGAATGTCCAACCAACCAAGGGTTTCTGGGTTCAGGTGCGTCTAGCGAGATCCTTCATTCTACATGTTCTAATTGAACAAAGGGAGGCGATTTCACCTTACGGAGAAGAACTACACCCTACATTGTCATCTACACACTCAACTCATCCCCCATCTTATCAGCAATGGCCAGAATATAACAGCAACAATGTCTCGCCACAAGATCCTGCCGATATGAGCTTCAGCAGCAAGTATCGGCCGATGGACGACGTCGCCGTCTCGCCAGGTCTCGAATCGGTGTGGGCTGGTGAAGGCGACAAGGAAGTCGTGATAGGAACGATACCAACAGAGATGCCTCCAACGATATTACCGCCTGACAAGAAACCAGCACGTGCTTGTGGTCTTAGGCGCGCAATCTTCTGGTCTTTGCTCGCTGCTACATTCGCAGTAGTGATAGGTCTTGCTATTGGTCTGGGCGTAGGACTAGGGGTGAAGCATAATAACAAAGATAAAAAGGCGTCGCTAACAGCGGCCAAATCTTCCGACTACTACATCGGCGGCGCGATCGATCCCGCATACTACTCGAGGGATGGCGCTTTCAATGGCAGCGGCTTGGCATTGGCTTCTCAGTCCTTTGGCTCAGGCGAGTACGGCGAGCTCGTTCTATACTTCCAGCATTATTCTGGATCCATTCGATGGCAAAGACTGACGCCGGACAATGGTTGGCTCGGAGGAACCGCATCGGAAGTCGTGGCAACGGATGCCAAAAACAGCACACCTCTGAGCGCGGTAGCTTACAGTTTGAACGGGGTATCGAAAGTAAGACTCGAATTGATCATGACTACTTTCTGTATAGCTGACTGGCTCTAGTGGCATCTCTTTTACATCGACAACAGCAATCGTCTTCGAGAAAAGATAAACAGCAATTCAACCAACATTTGGATAGAAGGCCCTTTGACTGGAGAGAACCACACGGTGATGGACGCTGATCAAGTAGGCATGCAAGCTTGCTGGTATGGGAACGACTATGGCGATGCCGACTACAAACACAGTCCTTTGCCAAATCAAGGCAATAGCACTGCAAACACCACGGGCTCTGGTACCGACGTCGGCATGCATCTGTGGTATGCTTCTGACGCTTCCACATTCCAACAGCTTGGGTGGCGGAATGGCGACAGCAACTGGACCTACCAACAAGGATGGCAAAACAAGAACGGACACGCAGGTCTAGGATGCTACTCTTGGGGTCCAGGCACGACGACCTATGTCATGATGGTCAACTCTCAGAACACAGTAGAGGTCTGGTGGAAGGACACCAATACAAACACTTCGACCTCTACCGGCCATCCCATCAACCAATGGACAAACAGCTCAGTCGCAATCAACAACGTCCATCCATCCACGAGTTTAGGATATACGAACGCTTTCTACGCTCAAGGGAAAGATGGCTGGATCACTGGCTACAACATAGACTGGGCATCTGAGAACACCACCATCAATGGTAGCTTCCCAGTAAACAAACCTGGGATATTAGGGACTCATCTGAGCGTCACTACCTTGCCTGACCAGAGTGGAGGAGACAGTCTGTGTGTCTTTTATCAGACTAATGGAAGCGATGTTACATTTGCAACTCGAGATCTGGTTCAAGGTGCTTGGACGGCGGCAACATTGGAAGTGCCAAACTCATGATTTCATGAAGATATACAGATTGTGTGGTGGTGAGTATCTCTACAACATATATCTTGGAGGGTTGCCTTGCATAGAGGATTCGTTCGGATTATATTGTTCACTACCTTGGTACGACCTTTCTGATCGAGTTATGCCTGCTCATGTGCACCATATTTGCAATTTTCCTCTGACGGACTGCTCTTCACAGCTCGATTGTGACTTCTTCAGCTCTTGCTTCGCATCGGATTGCACGTTGAGTCAAGCGTTCTTTTCATTGACAAACATCAGACATCAACAACTACTTGATTCCGCTACTTCTTACAAGCCGGCAAAGTCTTGACTTTTGTAGTCTTCGTCAAGTTCGCAACATCCTTTACATACTGCCCCCAACTAGCCGAAAAGTCCTCATACCCACTGCTAGTCGTGATGTACGTTCCATTATACCCCGCCGCAATGATGTTCTTGGTATCCGCATTCAACTTGCCATTCGCATTTTTCGGGAAATCATGAATAATCACCGTACTCTTTTGCCTCAAGCATCCAGGAATCTTCTTGTTGCCACCGGCAGCCCAATCAGCATACGAGTTTTCGTATGCGTTTACAAAATCGGCGTAATCGTAGAATTTTGCGTCGATGGGGATACCCGGGTTCGTCCAGACTTTTTGGTGTGATTTTGGCATGGTTTTGTGGATGTAGGTGTGCAGGTCTTTCATGTAGCCTAGCTGCTTGAGCTCATATGGTGCTTCGTCTACGAAAATGCCATCGAGATGGATGTCGGACTTTGTGGTTTTTTTCCAGGTCGAGTAGGTTTTGATGTCCTTTTGTACGGTGGCGGCTTTGCGTTTGCCGTATTCGATGTGTACGTAGCCGAAGAGTTGGACGTTGGAGTAGGAGCGCAGGGATGTTACTGCTGAGATGATTTCGGGCTGGGAGGCGCCGTCTGAGGGTCCTGAGTCGGGGTTGATGATGATGTTGAAGGTGGTGTTTGGGGATGTCGAGATGGCGTTGTAGAGGGGTTGCCAGGCGTTGATGGTTGGCCAGATGTACAGAGGTACGGCGACTGCCATGGCTAGATTGACCATTCTGAAGAAAGGCGAGTGTTGTGCTTTCTGCTGAATGTGTGTTGCCAGGCGAGTTGAGGGCTCAAGAGAAGCAGTTGCGGATTATTGCTGGATATTCAAAATGCAAGAACGCGACGAGACGATTTGGGAGGGAAGAGCGATGTTTAGCTTCTATATAGCGAGAGACCTACTCAAAAGCATTCGTGCTGTCACTGCCTCATCCTTCAAAGAGAATATTCGCAACGAGATGGTCTTTTAGGCTTCCAATATACTCGAAGGGGTAGTGAAACGTTCTGTGTAACGGTTGATAGCACATGCTCCAGACACACGTGCCATGCGACTCCCGGCGGTAGTTGACCTACAGCAGCCCATCTCCTGAGAGACATCAGTCTGTGCATGCTTGGAGAGAAACACAGGAATGGTCGAGATGTCACGTCGCGTTCATGGCTCGCTGGAAGGAAGGATTCTGGCGCAGCAGCCATCGAGTGCGACATCTTCAGCATCGCCTCCACCAACAGACGTCTGTCACAAAGTAAGCAGACGCCAAAACTTTGGAATGCCACAACATCAGAACGAAGTCAAGGCGCAGAGTAGCCAAGCCTCACTCAATGACGAATAGTAGGTAGAGTTCGTGGTATGGACAGGAGACAAGGTTGAGTGGACTCCGCCAACGCCAAGCACCTTGACAGCCTCGTGCTATTTGCGTCCAATACCTTCCGATGCTATCTGTTGGCAACGTGAAGCAGACAGCCGGCGTCGATCTTCTATCGTACCTTCCCACCAATCGATCTCTTGCTCTTCACGATCTTGATGACACGTTAGCCGCATGGTAGCTAAATTCAAGCAATCCAGCATATAGATGACCACAAACATCTCACTCTGTTCAATCTGCTCAGCAAGGCGGTGACATGGTTCACGCCTCGGTACAGCCACTGTCGTTTGGGACCTGTGGATTCATTTCACTCAGAATCTCGGATGGTTTAAAGATGGCAACTGCTATCTTTCGAATGTCCGAGCCACATTAGAAGACCTAGATCTCCTCGAAGAATGCTCGAATGCTCTATGAATGAAGTGGAAGCAATCATAGCGCCATGGAATCGACTTCATAACTGCGGCCAGGGTGATACGCCTGGCGAGCAAAGGTTCGAAATAATTGCATCTCTGCAAACCATCCTAGTACCAGGACTCGAGAGACGAGCACATTACTTGAGGCATGAAATAGAGGGCTGATTGCAGAGTCATCTGGGTACTAGAGCACATTTCACTATTCGATTTCGAATGGAAGCAAAAGCTTGCAATGATGTATGATGTATATACACAAGGCCTTACTAGACCTTCTCTTCCTTTACTAATGATCTAAAGCATAACAATGCCGAAAAATAATACTAGGTGTAATCACAAAACAAACAAGCCGACAGAAATCTCACGTTGAGACAGCCAACTTAAGCATCAACATCGACCAACTGGCGCGACTTATGCGCCTTTTCAGCCTCCTTGATCAAGATATCAAAGTCGCCCGACATTTCACACATGCCCTTGAAGATGCCGTTGTCCATTCTGATGAGGTCCCAAGGAGCGCCAAACTCAATCAGCTCGCCCTTGTCGAGGACCAAGACCTTGTCGTAGTCAACAATGGTCTGCAGACGGTGAGCAATAGTGATGGTCGTGTTCTTAATCTCACGAATGGTCTCTTGAATCTTGGCATCAGTGGCGTAATCGATGGATGCAGTTGCTTCGTCCATGAGCAGGACCTTGGGGTCCTTGAGCAAAGCACGTGCCAGACACAGGAGTTGACGCTGGCCTTGCGAGAGGTTGCTACCAGACTCTGCGACCGGCGAGTAAAGGTTGGTGAAGATGTTCTTGTTCTCCAGAGTGGCGGGAGAGTCGGTGGCAGCTTCGGCAGATACGACTTCGCCATTTGTCGGTGATGGGGCACGCGACGGCTCGGCAGAGGCAGCACCAACAAGCTGTGTTCGTCGAAGTGCGGTGAAGATCTCTTCGTCAGTGAACAGCCCGAAGGGGTCAAGGTTACTCCTGATGGTGCCGGTGAAGAGCGTGGGATCTTGAGGAACCATGACAATGTTCTCACGCAAGTCCTGAAGGCCGATGACACTAACATCAACATCATCGATGACGATGCTTCCCTTCTCGGCTTCGAGAGCTCTGAAAAGAGCAAGAGCCAATGAACTCTTACCCGCACCTGTTCTGCCCACAACACCGACCTTCTCGCCGGGCAAGATCTTGAAGCTGAGGTCCTTGAGCACCATGTCGAAATCGCTACGGTATCTAGTGCTGTAGTCTTTGAACTCGACAGCACCTTGGCTGGGCCAGTCGGGCAAAGGCTTCTTGTCTTCAATCTGGTATGGCGCTTCTTGCTCGACCTCGAAGTATTCCTTAATACGCTCGACAGCGTTCATGTTTTGCTCGTTCATCGAGTAGAGTCTGACAAACCACAGGACGTTTTCGGTGAAAGTAACAGCGTACGTCATGGCCAGACCAGCAGCACCAGCATCGAGTTTACCGACGCTCATGATAACGAAAGAACCAGTGAAGAAGGAGACCAAAGCACCTGTTACATCGACACGGAATGCGAGCCAACGGTTAGTGCCCCAACCGTAGATGAAAGGTCTCGAGTGAGTGTTGACCTTCTGCATGTTTTCGCGGATGAAGCGGCGTTCGTCACCATAAGCTCTGATGGTTGTCATGCCTGACAAGGTCTCACCGAACTGCTGGTACAAAGGACTGCGCTGCACAGACTCAAGACGCTTGAGATCACGAGCAGCATTGATGTAGAAAGCACCAATCATGAAGTAGAGAACACTGATGAAGACACCAGCAATCAGGAAACGAGGAGTGATGACCGAAATAAGAATAACAGTGGTGATGATCGAGGCCATACAGTGGACTACTCCGACAGCAACAGGGGCGATTTCTTGGTCAATAGCCTCGACATCCTTGGAGAACCTGTTCATGATCTGACCCAGAGGAGTAGAATCGAAGAAGCGGAACTTGGCGTGAGTGACAGACTCCATAAGCTTTCTGTGTATTCTCTTAGAAGCAACCAAAGATCCGTAGAAAAGGACACCTTCGCGCGAGACTGTGATGAGCATGTAGATAAGACCGAGAACACCGTAGACGCCGAGGTAGTAGGAAACGTCGACATCGTTGGAACTCTCTGAACGAATAGAGAACTGTTCGGTGACATTGGAAGTGCCAAAGGAGGGCAGACCCCAGAGACAGGATCCACTTTTGACACAAGAAGCTCCACCGCCAATACCACTGAACACATGAGTAAGCTGGCGAGGTTGGGTGTAGACGCCCATGACAGACATCTCGCGCTTATCAGCGTAGGCGTTGGCCCATTGACGAATCCAGACGTTGGTCGAAACCTGCGAAACTTGCTGAAGGGCAAACATCATGGCAGTCACGACCCAGTAGTACCATGTACCCATGTAAGAGAAGTACATGAGGATGACCTTGAAGCTGACACTTCCAGTAGCCTTGGTTTCGACAGGAGCGGCGACATCACCAATGTCCTTGTTCATGCCAGGAATATCCTTAGTGACGACCTTGTGGAGAGTGTTTTCCTCATAATCGATTGCACCGTTCTCTTCGGCGGCCTCTCCATTGGCATTTCCGTTCGCACCGAATGCCTTGTCACCACCGATCCCAGAAGGTACGCGAGATGGGATGACTGATGCTCCGCCTTCGGACTCTTCCAAGGCCGTGCTAAGGTCTTCAGTGAGCTTTCCAGACATAATGACATCCCTGGCACTACCTTGTGTACTGACTCTGCCGTTGTCCAGTACGGCGGCAAATGCAGCATGGGGAAGACAGAGGGTAGTGCTGTGAGTGACCAAGATACAAGTCCTGTTGAGCATGAGAGGGCCTCTGAGAGCCTTCTCGAAGATCCACTTGGAGGTATGGGCGTCGACTGCGGAAAGAACATCGTCGAGGAGAACGTGTCTGGCATTGCAGTAAAGTGCACGAGCGAGAGAGATACGTTGCTTCTGTCCACCGGAAAGAGTCACACCCTTCTCACCAACAAGAGTCTGGTCACCACCGTCAAGAATCTCGAGATCACGTTGCAGAGAGCAAGCGACGATGACATCCTTGTAGCGTCTCGGGTTCCAAGGGCTAGCGAAAACAATGTTTTCCTTGATGGTTCCGTTGACAAGCCAGGCCTGTTGAGCGCAGTATGCGACACTCTCAACCAATCCAGTATCCGGGTCAGTCTTGAGTCCCTCCCTGCTTGTACCACCTGGCAAGTACACATGGCCATCAAGTTTGGACATTTCACCAAGAAGAGCCATAAGAAGAGATGTCTTGCCACTGCCAGTGGGACCGACAATGACGTTCAGTTCGCCAATTCGGAAGCGCATGTTGAGATCAATCATCTTGAAGTCATCGGCTTCAGTGCCACCACCCCAGCTGAAAGTTGCATTCTCGAATCCAATGACATGGTTACCGTCTTCGTCAAATTCCTTGTCTTGGAGTTGGTTGTATTTGTCGGTCTCGGGCTCGTTGAGATATTCCTCGATACGGTCAACAGACACCTTGGATTCCTGAACGTGTGCGACCATATCGGCAAGCTGGTCCAGGGGGATGCGCAAAAGACTGAAGAGCGAAAGAGCGGTGAAAGCGACAGATGGGACCAGATCCTTTTTCTCGACCATAGTGTAAACGAGGAAGGTAAGGAAAGTGATGACCATGGGAGCTCCTCCCCAGATGGTGGCTGCGGCGGCCCAAACGATGTATCTGTTACGAAGGTTCTTGAGTTCAATTGCTCTCTTCTCGTCGACCTGACCAAGGAAGCGCTGCTCCCAAGCAAAGTACTTGATAATACGAATGTTGGTCAGCACTTCGTTGGTGGTGTGAATACGAGCATCAGTAGCTGCGAGAATCTTCTTTTGCGCCTTGGTGAACTGCTTGGCGATGAAGAGGTTGATAGGAAGGAGCAATGCCATCATGGCGATACCAGCAATACTGCTGTAGCCCAGAATGCTGTAGAGAAGGTAGATGGCGAGGGCGAACTGAACAGGTGTCTCTGCCCAGAGGAAGTGCAGATAGGCGCAGATTTCACTGACCTTGAAGGCGTCGACGGCCATCAAGTTGATGATTGTACCAGAATTGACCTGCTCGGTGTTCTCCTCCTTCTTTGGGACATCCTTGGTGGCCTCCGAGGTCTTCTTACCCTTGTAAAACGACTTGACCTTTTTAAGGAGAGCATCCTTGACAGACCCCTTAGGTGCAGGAGGTTCGTCGACATTCGTCTTCTTCTTTTCTTCCTCACCAAGAACCTTGTCACCCGCTGCTGCAGTCTTACGGCGCAGAGCTTTGGTATAAATTTCACCAATGATGATAGCACGCAGACGGATACAGGTCTTTCTGCCGACCCAAAGAGCTTGACCACCGGAGAGAGCAGAGACGAGACCAGAAACAAACAGCAAGATAACGTAGAACCATGCAGCGTTGACTGGGGTACCGGCCGGGTTCTCAACGTACTCCAGAATGACCTTGAGCAGAAGCGTGGGAACGAAAAGGTTGACTCCAGACAGTGCGGCCCATGCAGCTTGGACGAGCAAGCCACGCTTAAAGTACTTCAACAAGTGCCATGCGAGAATCGAGGTTTTCTTGACCTGGCGGTAGTCGGAGAGGACAGCTTCAGCCTTGTCTCTGGGGTTGAGGTTCCAGACGTCCGACAACTCGGTAGTCTTCTTGTAACCCCTCCAGATGATGGGGTCAAGCCAGGAGAAGGTAGCGAGAGAAAGTACACTGGCCAGAGACTCTCTTGATGGCTCGATGTCGCCTTCGTACTCGAGTTCAACGGGCTTGTTACCCTTACGTGAGGTGAGCATGATCAGAGTCAGCAGAGTGGTAAGCGCAAAGTGAGTGCTCGTGAGCGCTTGCGCACCCATAGAGACTGGGTGGATCATTGCTGAGCGGAAGAGGAGGAAGGCGCAGACCCATTGGGTGGCGTAGAGGAAACCGGTGTGGTACCAGAGCTTGTTGAACGAGTAGTTGTTGGTGCTGGAGAAGTAGAGACGCAGGGTAGTCAAGACTGCAACGTACGACCACAAAGCAGTACTGCAGATGATTGTAACCCTACTCCAATTCCAAATGCCAGTGGCGCAAGCAGCAGCATTGATGCCAACCTCGGCCAGGACAGCAAGCTCTTCAATGACGGGGAGGACGAGTTGGCCTCGAGGCTTGTCGACGACAGACATCTCGGTGTTACGGGTGCGAACGGTACGGATGGCGAGATGTTCGTTTCTGTCGAACTCGTCCGAGTCATCGTCGGTATCTTCGCCATCTTGAGCGGTGGGATTGCGAGAGTCCCAAGGGTGGGCATTTTTAGGATTAACAGGTTTATAGGTAGAAGAGGATTTCGAGTTGACGGCGGTTTGGATTAGTTGGTAGGTAAGATATAGTATTGAGACTGCGCTCGCGATGAGGGGGATGATTCCCATGAGGTAGCTGGACCATGGTTAGCACTCTGTCTCTGAGGCGAGACATGTCTGTCTCTGATTGGTAGCAAGTATAGGGGAACTCACTCATTTTGGAAGCAGTCGGTGGAATCATCACTCCGCCAGACAGGGCCCTTGCATTGCCCCCAGTTGAACATGGCGGGGATCGCGCCAGGACGTGGCAGCGTGGATGGTGGGATGTATGTGTTTCGCCGCTCTCTCAAGCAATGATTCTGATACGGCCAACTGCTCGGCTCGTGCACGTCTCGAACACTTTCTAGACGTCAACGACAACAACCACCAGAACTTCGAAGTGTTGTGTAACAGCGACGCTGCGATGAAAAGGTTGACGAAGGATGCAAGAAGCCAATTGCGCTCGGTTCGGCCTGACCGTCTGCTAGCTTTATCTGCGTCACTTCGGCAGGGCTTGACTTAAATTAAGCTCGCCAATCCTGACCCTCTTGACTCGTCCGCTCGTTATGTCGTGCTTTAATCGTGCTTGAACTCCTGGAGAAAGACGCCGTCTGAAAGAGAGAACCGCAACCTGAGCGCGGCCGCTATTGTCATATTAAAACATGCCATAGGTGCCCTCCTGACCGACGCTTATCCTCGATGCAACACGTACTACCGCTCTGGATAAATTCTCCTCCTGACTCATACAGCTACCGCGCAACGACCTATCACCGGCTTCCCAATCAGGCAGGACCCAAAGCTTGCGGAGTCCAACACGAGAATAGCACACCAGCACCTCAGGATCCAGACAGACGGAATGAGGATTCAGAGATACGGCAAAATTTGTTAACAGACCGCTATACGCCATTTGATATTGACAAAGAGAATTTAATTGGTTCGCTGGGTGACGAGTCCAGTCATAACACCCGCAGAGTGCGCAATGCCGCAATGCAACAGCCACTCTCTTATCAGCTTTCATTGCTCGGGTTGCGCGTAGACCGTCATCCTTCACGCCCTTTACGCCCTCCCCGCTACTGAACCCTAGAAAAATGCCGCGCGTGCATTCGCTTAGTTTCTGGGTGCAGCAACTGGGGTCCATGGCTGGTACTTGTTCTTGACACTGTTTTGCGTTAGCTTACCCACCCTCATTTGATGTAGGCTGCCTCATGACTTACGTGTTGAAGGGTCTGTATGCACTTCTGCTCCAGGTCAAGCAGGGACGGTGCTCTGCAGGCTCCCATGGGCGAACCTGTCTCTGGAGGAGGGGGTCTTGGGATGGTGCCTTGTCAACCATGTATGACATCCAGGCGTGCCTATGTCTTGTGAGTGGATTGCACCGTGCAACTTCCTGGCAGAATTTCATACCAGCCGGGCTCGATCTGGTCACTGTTTGGCATTGAGTCAGTCCTCCTGCTGCTTGATCGGGTATCGTTGTATGTATACGCACGGGTTGAACTCCTGGTCCTTGTAGTCGCACCATCTCGTTCTCACTATGACCGGCATATCAGATGCAAACTCTTTCAATGTCTCGGTTCCAAATCGACGTACAGGGCAGGTCCTCCATGTTCTCATAGTACTTGTTGCCGTAACGATCTTGGCCGATCAGAGTTCCAGCCTTGGTGTCACCTGTACTCCTTCAGTTACGGTCGCAAGATGTCGGCATTGTTTCATGTCGTACCCATGTACTATAGCAGCGAGAGATCCAGTAAGTTGGCGTTCGTAGAGGGCCATTCGTAGATTCCGGAGCGGCGGACGTACCTGCATCTGGTGGCCATATTCCTAGCAAAGAGTTAGCACAAGCAAGTGAGAGAACGGCCGTAATTACTCACCTTGAGGCCAATTGAGCGCAAGTTGCGCAGCGTTCTCATAATAGTCGACATGATGTGTAGCGTGTGATTTACAGTCCTCACTGCTCTCGTCTGCGTCGCGATCCAGGATGCGGCGGCAATCGATGGTCAGCAGGCGTTTGACTTGTTTGTTCCCGGATTGATCGCCAGCCTTGGCATCAAATGTCAATCGAAACATTTATCTATTGTGTCTACCAATCTAACCTTGGATCGTTGTCCACAGTTGGAAAGATGTTTGCAAGATGTGTTCCGAGGCAAGCAGCCCGTAGGGTAGTGAGATCGATCAGGTTGTCCCATCAGATGCCCACGAAAAGACGCTACTCCAACTCAAGCATGGCTCCTACAGCCGATGCTCCGTCTCCTGGAGCAGCTTTGGGAGGTTTGAATACAGAGCTAGACAAGTTGTCCCCTCGCTTTGATATCTCATCCTCACAAATTGAGATCCTGAGGTCTCCGTCCGATTTCTATGAGACCTTGAAGGCAAGTTGAGCAATCACAGTTTTTTGTCTTTCCTTTTCTCTTTCCATATATCTTCTTGTTTCTTTTTAACCGTATCTATGGTACACGAGCACAATAATTTCTCTGTGTTTTGGTCTCTCGACACAATAAGCCAGCTTTTGAAGCCTCCCGACTAACTAGTAGGACAGACCAAGATCAGAACAGCTGAACGGAGAATCTACCTGTCCACGCTGTACATTGGCAAGTCCGAGCACGAGTTGGTATGTTCGATTGTCGGTGTCCATGTACTCCAGTCTAACGGCCGACACAGATCCAAACCATCCAAGAATCTCTGAAACGCAACCCCAATCTCAAAGTTTCCTTCCTGACGGATTCCCTCCGAGGAACCAGAGAGACACCAAAAGCATCATGTGCTACACTGCTAGCAGCTCTGATCGACGAGTTCGGCCCAAACCGTGTTGAAGTATGCATGTACCACACACCAAACCTGACCGGAATCCGCAAATCCATCATCCCCAAACGCATCAACGAAGGCTGGGGATTACAACATATGAAACTCTACGGTATTGACGACGAGATCATCATGTCAGGCGCAAACCTCTCATCCGACTACTTTACCAACCGTCAGGATCGGTATCATCTGATCTCTTGCAAACGTATCACCGACTATTTTGCCAAGGTGCATGATACAGTGTGTAGCATCAGCTACCGCGTGGTACCGAATGCTTCTGCACCTGGAGGCTTCAACCTAGCCTGGCCGACCACAAACGCTCATCCGGCTCCCTTGACAGATCCCAAGGAGTTCATCATTCAAGCCACCAACCTACTTGCTCCTCTGCTAAAGCCTGCCACCACATCTCTTGCACAGACAACCCAAACGGATACACAAATCTATCCTCTGCTGCAACTAACACCTCTCCTCAAACCTGATACATCGACCGAACTGCCAGCTCTCACCACAATCCTCAAGAAGTTGGCCACACCAGCGTTCGCAGGGAGCAAATGGACCTTTACAGCCGGCTACTTCAACATGACACCCTGGCTGCGTGACTTGCTCTTAGCTTCCAACCCATCGTCTGCAAACGTGATTGCCGCCTCACCATGGGCCAACGGCTTCTACGGCTCCCCAGGCATCTCAGGCATGCTACCAGCGGCTTATACCCTTCTGGGCCGCCGCTTCCTCTCCTCGGTCCAAAAAGCCGGGCTCGCCAACCAAATCACACTCAAGGAATGGAGAAAAGGCACCGTCAACACACCAGACGGATGGACCTACCACGCCAAAGGCATCTGGGTGACTCTGAAAGATGAGTGCGGTCCCAGTGTGAGTTTGATTGGCAGCAGCAATTACACAAAGAGGAGTTATAGTTTGGATCTAGAGGCGAATGCGTTGATTGTCACGAGGGATGTAGGCTTGATGAAGAGGTTGAGGGAGGAAGAGGAGTGGTTGCAGGAGTATGCTACCAAGGTTGATCAGAGGACGTTTGAGAAGACGGAACGCAGGGTTGGGTTGCATGTGAGGATTGCCATGTGGATCGTGACGCTGGTTGGTGGTGCTCTGTAGGTTGATGTATGAGCATCCGTACGGATATGTGGAAGAGAGTCTGGTTGGTTAGAGCACTTTATCTCAGTCAAAAGATGGGACCAGAACAGCCTCCCAGCACATCTTCGGCAATGTCCATTCGAGCATAAGAAGCACATCACGAAGACACAAGCAACCACAGGGGAAAAGCGTAGATGGCCTTTTGAATCATTTTTTGTTTTTCATTCCGGCAACAGCATAACCAGCCGACTAACACCTCGTGCCCTTTTTTTGTCTATAACCGTACAAAATTTACTGCTTCTCAGCAGCCTTGCGGGCCTTGGAGCCACGGAGCTTGGTGGCCTTGACACCGGCCTTGACCTGGCGGGTGCTCTTCTTGACGGCAGAGGCGCGCTGGACGGCCTCCATGTGCAAGTCGGAGCGGTAACCGCGCTTGGTGGAGCCGGAGACGGCGTTGTTGATGAGCTTGCGCGAAGGGGTGGTGGCCTTGAAGGTGGTCTTGTTGTAAGACTTGGCGGGCTTGTTCCAGTTGTTGCCGAGCTTGGTGGTGACCTCGATCTTGTTGTCCTTGGCGTTGATGCCGATGGCCTGGGGGTTGGCGAGCGAGGAGTACTGCGCATCTTGTATTAGTGCCGTGTCTCTTGCGACTTGAAAGCGACACAAAATGCTCACCTTGCGCGAGTGGAGGTTGGTCAGGTTAAGGGGGTCCTTGGAGAACTGAACACCGCCAGCCTGGTTGCGCTTCACGAGGAAGGCATTGTTGTGGCCTTGAATAGAGCATGCGCGTCAGTTACGAGTCCCTCAAATCGTTGTCCACTTGTTCGTTTCGCCTTCCTCAATGAGCTGTATCTTTCCCTTGGAGCAATTCGTCGAAATTCCCTTCTTTCGTCCAATATTCCTCCTCTTTCGGTCTATCTTTTGGGGCGAGCGGAGTAGCACATACGGATGGTCTCCCAGATGAGGTCGTAGGAGGTGTTTTCGAAGTTGGTGGCCATTTTTGCTGTATTTGGAGATGAATTGGATCTTGCAGAGTGCAAAGTCGCGAATATTCAAAGGCGCTTGTGTGGGCTTGACGCCCGGCTAACCTTCCCGAAAGCAGTGACTCTGCCCTAAAGTTGCTGTTCGGTTGCTGGCTGCCGAGAGAGAGAGAGAGTCGCCAGAGTCTGGGGTTCCATGGTACAAGCAGCATGCGTAAGCTGAGCCCCTTCGCCGCAGCCCGTTTGACGTCTTCTTTCAGCAGCAATCTCCCAGACTCTAGTCAGCCCTGTATGTGACTGCGTATACCTCTGGCCTCCTAGGCCTCGAATCGATCATCCATCTACACTTGGCGCTCCATCTGGGCAAACACTCGGATCGCTATATCCCCGGCCAAGCCGCTGCTCACCATCTATCTATCCGTCTATTCCGAGTCCGCCGCGACCACACATAGCACCGCGCATTCTTTCTCTGCCTCTCACTGCTGTCACCACCACAAAACCATCATAATGGGCTATCTATTCTACTCGATAACCTTCCTCTTCCTGGTCAGCGCAACCGGTACCCATCACACCATTCTCTCCCTCTGCTTCAGACTGCACAAACACTAACACAACCCCCACAGCGCTCTACCTAACCAAACACCTCTGGATCGCCCACGCCCCACCAATCCCTTACCTCACCGCCCCCGGCCACATCCCCGAGCCCCTCTGGCGCCTCTCCCAATCCCTGCAGCGTCTAAACCCCTTTGCTCAAAACGCCTACATCAGTCTAGGCCAAAGCAGTTTCGAAGACGACATTGAAGCAGGCTTCAGCAGTTCAAACTTCGACTTGCGCGAGAATGTGGAAGGCGGAGATAGTAGACAAGGTCTGGATGAGCAGGGCAAGCAGAGAGTAAGGGCGATTATGAAGAGTAGGGGTTGTGGGTTTGATGAGGCGAGGAGGATGGTCATGGAGGAGAGGTTCGGGAGGGAGAATATTGATAAGGATGGTAGGCCGAGGGATCCAAAGGCCGTCATGTTTGACAGGCTGTGATGCTTGGACTTTTCCTCTTTCTTTCACTTTGTTCGGTTCGTTTGTTCCAGCCAGCCATGGGACCTGGCCTGGTTTCTAAGCCTTTCTTTTGTCTGCTTGATCTTCAATATACCATGGTCCGTTGACCAATATCATTTTCTGGTTCTGATCGAGGGTCAGGCTCCTCATGCTACTTGTTTTTCCTGGCTCAATACACATTTCCGTCTCCGTTTACCATGCAACCAAATCCCGAGCATGCCCATAAAACGCCTCGCTAAACACAACAGCTTTTCCCTTGAATCATAGACGAGGCTAACAAGTTCATCAAATGCCAAACTCATCGTCTCTGGTAAGCATTTGGGGGCATGCCTGGCGGCATACCCGGTGGAGGAGCAGGGAAACCAGGAGGCATACCAGGCATTCCGAAACCTGGCGGTGGTGCAAAGCCAGGGGGAGCTCCATTTGGTGCGAAGCCTGGGGGAGGGGCGAAGCCTTGAGGACCATTGTAGCCGCCTTGCGGTCCGTTGTAACCACCAACGCTGGGAGGCGGCCGGGCAGGTACACCAGCAGCTGCGGGAGGTGGTGGAAGCTGATTCCTGGAGGCCGGAGGAGCACCGTATCCACCAGTCACGGGCGAGACACCGTACGGTGCAGCAGACATGGGCGTAGGTGGCGCGATAGGGGTTGCGATCTGAGGTGCCAGCAGTTGTGGGGGTAGAGGTTGGACTTGAGGCTCGATATTGTGTTCGCGACCAGCAGCAGCCAGGGCACGCTCTGCGGCGTCTCCGTGACGTTCTCCCTTGCCATCCTTCTTGAAGGCGTACTGAACGGTGATCTCCTTGTTCATAAGGTATTGGCCGTGCATGTTTGCGATGGCATCGTCCGAGGCTTCGAAGGTGGTAAAGGAAACGAAAGCGTAGCCCTTTGTGAGGTTGGCGTCGTCGCGGGCCACCTGGAGTTCTGTTAGTTCCTCGCGAGGCCAGACTGATTGCAGAGCGACATACCTTTGGCGCAGAGGTCAAGCTGCCGAAGCGACTGAAGGTTTCAAACAGAACGCGCTCGTCGACCATGGCATCCAAGTTTCCAACAAAGAGCTCAGCACCCACGTCCAGAGTCTTCTGCTTGTCGGCAGAGGCCTTGTTCACACGGATAGGCTTTCCCCATAGACGGATCTGGTTCATGATTTTGGCGGCATAGTCGGCATCCTCTTCGCTGACAAACTCGACGAAACCGAAGCCTTGATGTGTTTGGGTGACGCGATCCTTTGGAAGATGGACGTTGACGATGCGGCCGGCCTGCAGCATCAACTCCCAGACGAGTTGGTCGGTCACGCGCTCATCGAGGTTTCCAACGTAGACGGTCGCTTCCTTGTCTTGTTCCCTGGACATGACGTTAGCTTGGTCTGGACCTGGTGTAGTATGCGCCGTCGACGGTAGGCAGGATTGGAAGCGGGAGCGAGTCGCAAGAATGACGGGGGACAACACACCAATGCTTTCCTCCCGAAGCCATGTTTGCGCGTGGACTTGAATGTGGCTGACAGAGCTGTGTCTGGTTGCTGTCGCATGCGCTGGAGAAGTTCAGGAATGACCATGGATGAACAATGCTGCCGAAGGTCCAAGCTTCGTCCATTCGCCGCAAAGGCCGAGTGACGATTTACGGGTCGACGACTTGAATCTGTCCAGCAATTTTCATATTCACCACCGTCTTCATCTACTCAACATGCAGCTCTCCGAAGAGACCAAGGTACGTAGACTTTGCATAAACCATTCGCGTGACATTTGGCCAACTCTGTTCCAGGAGCGCATCTCGCGCGTCATCGAAGTTTCCCGTGTCGCTGTTCACTAGTACGTCCTCCCTATCTTTCGAATACCCTATACCCTCTGGAATCTCTCGTTCTTATCTTGGTCGCACTATCTGGGGTCTGAAGATGAGAAAGAGCAAGGAAGCGGGAGTTTTCAATTATACGAGTCCTCGTACATCACATATTTTCACGACAACGCCAGCAACGAGAGGATCCATTGCAAAAGGACATTAGCTGACAAGTCGTCTTACAGCGGCTACCTTCCCTTGATCATCTACCTGGGCTACACTCGCAGCGTGCCTCGCCCTTCGCTCATCAAGTACGGCTCCACCTCAACAGACGTACAAGCACGGCAATCTAACAATCTGACAGGCTCTTCTCTCCTCTCGCCATCTAAGCAAGAAGAACTAGCCGAGAACTGTACGATAGACGAAACGAGTCCATGAGGCTGTCAGGAGGATTCACGGCACAGCCCAAGGAGATGCAGGACAGCAAGCGGCTTTGACCTTTGCAGGCCGCTGCCTGCCACTTTTTGTACAAGATAAAACATGGCAATTGATGAAACCACATGACTTTCTCCAACTATACTATCTGTGGCTATCTGTTGACTCTTTCCTTCGAGCGTGTTTTCAAATCTCCTCTCTACGAGGTGTCCTTCTTGAATCTGCTCGCAAAGGCTGGGAAGTTCATGGTCGACTTCTTCTCCACAGGACTTGCAGCCTGCGCAGCTGCAGCTACAGTCGCCTTCTGTGCTTCCGCTCCCTGGCTGACCTTCTCCAGCAACTCGGCTCCATTCATCTTGTCCACCTTGCCGAATCTCTTGCGTCCCTTTTCGACGTCGAAGAATTCTTCTTCTGCGCGTCCTTCGCCTTCCTTGGCTACAGCCATGAGATCAACCGTTTGGCGAAGCTCGTCGAGACCTTCCATAAGCACTGGGTTGTCGAGGCTGCGAACAAAATCGATCAAGTGCTCAGTGTCAAGGCGGAAAGCCGTGACACTCTGCGGCGACAGACGACGGATAGATGGATCCAGCGGTAGCGCGAGGATGGCATTGCTGATGTGTGCGAGCGCGTCGAAGTAGATGAGCTCTTTGATCTGCACAGGCAACCCGAGCAACACGCTAGACATGACGTCGGATAGATAGCGTGTCAATTCCTGCATGTAAGGTGAAGCAGCTGGTGGCTCGTAGGTAGAACTCCAGTCATACTCGGCCGTCTCGATCAGATCGTCAATCTTGCTGTTAACGAGTTCGAAGATACGCTTCTCGGCCGCTTTTTTGGCTGTCGTGAACTCTTCTGTCGCGGCGAGCACGATAGGACCAGCCGCGCTGCTCGACGAACGGGCTTCTGCGAGCAAGTCTTGCAACTCTCGGCATGCTGTCTCAAAGTGATCGAGATTAGTCAAAATTTGCACAATTTGACCGGGATATTGTGATGATAGTCTCTCGACCAATGACCTGCACACTTTGTGGCAGAGGAGTTCATCTAGAGACTGTTTTGAAGCATTAGTCAGTCATGTGCTTGTTTTAGGTGAGGAGCGTCGAGTGGCTTACGCTCTTTAGTGTATCGTCAATGACACTTGAGTTTTGAAAGTGATCGTCAGAGAATAAATAAATCTGGTTTAGAAAGTTCCGGATGTCGATGCAACAAAGCGGGTACATCTGTGAAAAGGGCAGAACACAGGGGAAGCTACACGAATTAGCGTCACACTCGTGCGTATTCAAAACGCGTACACATACTTTTGCTGCTCGCGGTCCTTGTCTGGCGTATACCAACTGACGTTGATGACCTTGTCGTACTCGTCGGGGTTGTTGATGGGCATAGGCATGTAGTCGTCCGTCGAAACGATCTGCGTACGCAAGTGAGCCTACTGAACGCGAACCGCACGACTGGGCTTCCGGAAGCCTCTACATCACTCACCTCCTGGAAATCCTCGCTGAACCTTTGCTTGAGCAGCTGCGCGTATTTGTCGAATATTGTAAGCAGCAACTGGTCGAGACTATCGACTGAATACCCCCAGCTCTATCATCACTTATCAGCATCTTCCTGGACCTCGAATTAAGCGGTGGTGAAGATTGAGCGAGACTTACACCCATTGTTTGGACGAAAAGCGCAATGACGCCTTTGATTTTCAACAGCCTCTCGTCGTTGTCGATGGTTGGCAAGGACTTATTGACAAGTGTAATAGTGCTCTGGCACATTGAGTCCCACAACTCTTCGACCTGGATACCGTCAGCGACACCTACGGCTGGCTCAGAAGACTGGACATACATCTGCTAAGGACCTCAAATTTTCTGTCTTCATCATGGTGGCTTTTTCGACAATGGCAAACCCAGCAATGCTCTCCAGCAAAGTGCTTAACTCTCCGGCGTCTTCGTCCAGAAGATTCAGACTCGCAGGTAGGAGCAGCTCCTTTTGCCTCCTTCTGGTCGCTGAGTAGTCCTGACGAAACTTGTCGCTCTGGCTCAAGGCGTCGTGTATATGAATGGCCTCAAATAGAGGAGAAAAGTCGACCTGTACCTCTTCGTTGTTCAGCACATCGAACTCCTCGCTCTCGTCAGCAACAGCTTCCACCGCAGAGTTCAGTTTGAAGTTCCCAAGGTCCGGATTTTCTTCAAATCTCATCTTGTGTCTGGTTCGACGCATCTCTGTGTGATAGAATGCAACCTCACCCAAGAATTGCGAAGTCTCACGAATACGGAAAAGCCATGTGTTGAGATCTGCCATGACGGCCTCGGCTATCAAACGCTGAGTTGCAGGCACCGAGCGCTCAATCATGCCTGCAATCATGTAGCGGGTTACTTCTCTCAGATGAACATTCTGCAGCTCGTCCAAAGCTCGAAGTGCTGCATAACGGTTTTTCTCCTGGAGCAAATCATGCACTTGGTTTGCCAGCCTCAAAACCTCGAGACAATCCTTCAAGGCCTGGGTAGCATCATCAATATTCTGCCGAACGCCCCTGGAATCGACCAATGCTCTCTTCTGCTCTGCGAGTTTCTCGGTACTAGCCTCGATCGACTGGCTGAGACTCATAATCTCGGCAGTCAGAGTGACCGTTCCTTCTCGTACCCGCTGGAGCTGATTGACAGAGCTGATGAACTCTTGGTGGTTGGTGTTGCAAATGCGTTCGATCTCGGCTTGTCGATCGTTCGAGACTTGTGTCAACGCCTGGATGAGATGACCTGCACGCTCTGAGTTTCTGACATCGCGCATCACCGGGATCAACTGGTCGATGTAGTCTGTCTCGGATGATGACAGAATGATCTATACATTGTTAGCTTGCGGTCAGATTCTCAGAAAGACGATTTTGATACCTGCTGAACAGCGCCCATGAACTCATCATGAGGCTCAATGATTGCTGGCATATTCACTGCAACCGAGATCTCCTCGGACTGGTCTGCACAAAGATGATACCCCCTGCACAAGACACGTTCTTTGACACGTATCGACTTGAGGAAAGAGCACAACAAGTTGTTCCCGAGCAAGTGAAGTCACGACAGTGACGGACTAGCCTTCAGGACAAATAGGAAGGAACCGAATGCTGTTAATCTGCTAAATCGACTTGCTGGACTCGAGAAACAGAAGTACTCACCTCATGCTTTGGAGTTCGAGAGTAGTATGTGGTCAAAGCGTCGCGCCTTCCCGCTTCGGCTTGGCTCCCGCAGAGCCTCATCTCTCTCTCCTGCATGCAGTGCACATGGCAGGAGATTCAGGCTGCCAAGCAAAGCAGAGCAAACAGATGTGACTTCCAATAATGCTTCGACGTAGAAAGCATGAAGCCTCTTTGAACGACATGTGGTACAATTCCTTCCAGCAGTTGGACATGTTGGAGTGTACCTGGCACACGAACGTGAAGGAAACTCTGCATTCGCTTTGGTCACTCAAGTGTCGAACTTACAACATGACGTGCGAGCTCACCATCAAGGTGGAAGTACCTACCCTTCACGTCGTCGTTTCGAGGGATCGCTTTTGCACATCTCAACCTCCAACCCATACCGTCTTCCACCTTCCCTCTTCCATAGAATTGTTCGAGGTTTTACGAGGTCGAGCGTTGGGCCGTACTGATCGAATTGGTATCCACGATTGCCTAGTTTCGTCCACCCTGGGTCTCATACGGAAGGAGCGAACATTCGAGCCTTCCTTGAAAAGTAATTTCGTCGGGCACCTTCCCCAGTCCACCTATCTCACCCCTACCACTGTCGAGTTCGTTCAGTCTCCCTCGAACCTCTCTTGACCCTCCTCACCAGTGGCTACAGTTTTCGATCACTTTGAGTAAACGTTCACTGTCTATCTCGTCGAGAGCGTCGGGTCGGGTCCGTACCGGTTGTTGGATGCTATATAAGAGTCTTCCTCTACTCGCCAACTCTCCTTCCTTTCCTCCACGACCTTTACCAATCTTTGACACCACACACCTTTTGGAACAGTGTGTCTCATCCTTGGTCAAGGTCATCTTCCTTCTTCTTCATCATCATTACATCTTCCTTCTTCCAGCATCGAACCACCAACATGCACACCAATCTTCCACACCAGTCTTCGGACATGGTTCGCAGAGACAGCGGCAACTCTATCGAGGACCACAAGATCCTTCAGAGCGCCGCGGCCTTCGCCCAGTTCACCCCCGCTTCAAAGGTATGTCTACTTTCCTTCGTCTATCCTCTGCGCGCAGCTTTTCAACATCGCCCCTCTTGTATACAATGTCATTTGTCTTGGGTGTGCGCATCCAAGAACTTCCTTTCCTCCAGCACATCTTGCGCGCATCGTATCGCATTCATCTGCTACAAGACTCTGACTCTCGGCCATGGTGGTCCTGTTTCATGAGCTCTTCGCTTCGGTCTGTCTTGTCTTTGCCATTTGTCCTTGCCTTTGGTCCTCGCCTTTTGTCTTTGCTTTTTGGCTTTGTTTTTCTCATTCATCTTCAATCATTACACACTTCATCCTATTTTAACATATCTCTTCCACAACTCTCACCTTGGCTCGATACGCATCCCTTCTCACTCATACCTTCTTCTATCTTGTTCAACTCCCACACTCTACACCATCCATCTTGCCTCACCACACCTTTTTCTGTCCTAACCCATCTCCATCTCATATGTTTTTCTTTTTGTGCCTTTCTCATATCATGCCTTTCTCATCTCATATATTACTGTACTTTTCATCGTTGCTGACTCTATGTTTCCAACAGCAACCCAGTAACATGTCTCCTTTCCGACCCGTGTTCACTCCTGGTCAGAGCTTCTCGGCTTTCCAGGGCAACAGCAGTGCTACTTCCAACACCTTCCGCACTCCCTCGAAGGCCAGTGCCATGAATCTACTCAACATCGGTTCTACTCCTGATGGAGCATCCACTAAGGCCTCGTCCTTGTCACCAGTCAAGCCCATCGGCTCTGGCTTCTCCACCCCATCGCGTCAGCCTGTGCTGAGAGACGGTCCTCCTTTCAGCACCGACACAGATCCCAATATCACTGAGACTCGCTTCGTGCGTTTCGGTATGATCCCTGCCGAATGGTTTGAAGATGGTACCCTCATTGAAGTCCTCCATGGCGTAAGTTTCCTTCGCATCTATCACAACTGTCAACTAACCTTCTCATAGACCGGCCTTGTTGGCTTGATCGACAACTGTGTTCCCGCAGTCGGTGACACCCCTCACCACGTTTGTCTCTATGCCCGCTTCGACGACTTGCGTGCTGCTGCAGCCTCCAAGGAGATGTTCGAGAGTGCTCTGACCACAGTCACTTTCAACTTCGTTGACCATCATGAGTACTACGACTTCGATACTACTCATCCTCGCGCCCAGGCAGTCTCAGCCTACGATGGTCAGGTCGAATTCATCGCCATGCCCAAGAGCATGATGGAGTTCAACATCAACGCCATCTTCACCGAAGTTCGTGGTCTTGCTCAGGCTTTTGGACCCGTTCGTGCATTCGCATACATCGAAACCAAGGGCTTCCGGGCTCCGCGTTTCCGTGCCGAGTACTTCTCGGTGAAGACGGCCGACGAGGCCATCGCTATGTCTACCGACAATGCTGATGGCTACCACTCCGTGAGTACTCCCTTTCTGTCTTTTGATGCATTCTTCCATCATCTTCCACCTATCTTGTCGAGTTCATCACTAACAAATTCAGGATTCTGTCACTGTGTCCATCAAGCCGTACGAGCCTGCTGGATACAAGCGCTACGTCCACCCTGCCGCTTCTGGTATGACTGACCTGGTCGCTGCGACTGATGACCTTGCCATCTCCGGTGACTCCGACGATGGCTACAACAACTACACCACTCGTCACCACAGGGATGGTTACGGTGCTCTTCCTCGTGGCGACTACACCCCTCGTCGTTTCCGTAGCGGCTACCGTGGTGGTAACCGCCATGAGACCAACTGGGTTTCCAACGAATCTTCGGTTCATCAGACTGACCTCACATTCTGGCGCTGGAACCAGCCCCAGACAGTCAATGTCAACAAGATTGAGGCTGGTATCGATGTTCGCACTACTATCATGTTGCGTAACATCCCCAACCGCGTCGACTTCGAGGACTTGAAGCTCTTCCTTGATGAGACTTCGGGAGGTCATTACGATTTCTCGTACCTTCGCATTGACTTCTCCAACAACCTCAACGTTGGATACGCCTTTGTCAACTTCGTCCGCCCAGAGTTCATCACCAACTTCGTCGAGCGTCGTGTTGGTAAGGAGTGGAACATGTACGGCTCTCTCAAGAAGTGCGAGGTCTCGTATGCCACTATCCAGGGCATCGACTGCCTGCTCGCCAAGTTCCGTAACTCGGTCGTTATGGAGGAGATCCCCCGCTACCGACCCAAGCTCTGGTACCATGTCGATTCACAGGACCTTCCTACTATCGGTGGCCTGCCCGACCTCGACGCCATCGGCACCGAAGTCGCTTTTCCTCCTCCCAACAATGAGCAGAAGCGTCGTCGTTCTCGCGACAACGCCGGTACCATTGGACTCTTCCCTCCTCGCCGCGGCAGAGGCGGCTACGGCTCTAATTACCGCGAAGGTCAGTATGACCGTGGTACTTCCTTCGCCATTGCGGAGGAGCGTCAGATTGAGGAGCAGCGCCAGCTACGCTACAACGAGCGCCGTGCCATCGGCTACCACGGAAACGACCGCGTTCATCACCATTACGGCTACCGTAACCGTGGTGGATACCACCAGCAGCTCCGTTTCCGCAACGGACGTAACTACGACGATGAGGAAGATGACTACTTCGACGAGAACGACCCTTCTTTCCGCCGCGGAAACCGCCACTTCGACTACCGCCGTTAACCCCTTCTGTGGTTGACAACGCACTCTTCGACCATTGACGGTCTGAAGTCTTGGACGTCTTCACCGCTTGGAGTTTACCTTCTCCGCAACAAAAAAATCATGCAGTAACGAAAAACACCAATTTCCTTTGTTGATCTGCCACAAGAGTTGGCCTTTTCGCACGGAAGCGAATCTCACAAAGAATAAAAAAATCCATTGAAAAGCACAAAAACAACAATTGGCGGTATGAAGAAAAGCAAGCCTTCCAGGGGTTTGTGTGGATAGCACACCATCGACAAAACAAATGTTCTTTTCTTTCTTCCGGAGACTTTTGGGTTTCTGGGGGGTTTTCGGACAAGTGGGTTTGGAGGATGTGCTTTGCTCTTCTTTTCCTCAACAAGCGGATTGCAAAAAGGGAAAGGATTGATGATGAAAAAGATGAGATGGAAAGTTCAGATGCTTTGCTACAACAGAAAGAGAGATGAAGATGGTTTGAAATCTTCCTTTTCTTTTCCGAACAAGACAAGATAGTTTTAGCTTAGATTTGCTCGCTCTTCTCAGAACATAGAGAACAATGCACGAGGTTGCCTTGATAAACTTCTTTCTCGTTCTTGTATGCTTTGTGATTTGAATGTCAAGCATTCAAGCTCCGCTGCTGTGCAGTTGTATAGTGTGACCTCTACCGGTGCAACACTATGAAGTCTGTATAGCTATGAAGATGCACTGTATTCTGTAGAAGGAGTCTAGTAACCAAAGAGAGGTGATGGCCTCTTTTCCTTAGTTAGATACGCCTTGCGACGAGAAGCTATCGTGCCTTTCTATAAATCCCACCACTCCTCATCGCTGTTAGAGAGTAGGCAAGGGCTGCGTAATGTAACCGACTTTCACCATGTGCAGAGGCTGTACTTCTATCTTACGCAACCCCCGGTGTAAGATCATGCGAATTGTGTAGCTGTGAGCTACAGAACAGTCTCCAGAAAGAGTATGATTTCCCTAGGGGAGTGCTGAACTCTCGACTCTCGTTGGTTGCATCCTCGATTAACCAAGTATCGTGCCTTCCTCTAGAATGCTTACTACTCCTTGCCATAGTGTAAGGAGAGATAAGGCTTGGAGCCATGGGGACTCTTAGCAGAAGGTAACCCCTTCAAGACTCGAAGCACGCGAGAAAGAGCTGCTGATTGTGCTATCTGTTCAGGTAGATGAACAGAAGTACGTGAATTCCTCCTGATGCAAACCCATGTAGAGAGCTACGAGCATGCTCGACACTATTCAGAGAGAGCAGTAACAATGGAGGAACTATAGGTACCGCCTCTGCATGAGCACATTTCTACTTGAGAGAGTATCAGACATTCTTGTAAGGTGCTCACCACTGCTCACAATATGGAAAGAGGCAAGTATCGAAGCTATGGGAACCTTGATGAATTAGGTGACTTCCCCCCTAGCTCGAAGCTCGAAGCACGCGGGACGTTGATGCTTATTGCGCTGTGTGATGTAGAAGGAAGAAGAAATATGAGAGGTAGAGGGGAAGGGGAGGAAACATTGATAAATGGGAAACATCTCACCAATGTATCAATCCCAGTACGACGACATGGAATTCTACTTTTGCCCATCAAGGTATTTGGCGATGGTGTGATTTAAAAACTTGCTCATGGAGATCGGTGAGCTTATTCATGGATACTTCAATTTGATCCTGCACTGCCTCAATCAGGTCTTCCAAGACTCACCTTTGCTATTCAACTCTACCAAACAACACCAAGAGCAATATCATTGGAAGTGTGCTGAGTAAAAAGACCTCGAAGGTTAGGCAGGGTGTTGACGTTGACTTTATCGGCCGATTCTCGGAGATCCGAATCTCCGCGCCACGTGCGGGTCGGCTCGGCAAACCTTCTTCCAAACGTTAACTTTTGCAAAGAAAAACTTGATAGGAAATCAGAACAAAAATCTTGTTACACCGAGCAACACACCGGCAAAAGGATGATCACGCCAGGGGTCGAACCTGGAATCTCTTGATTCGTAGTCAAGCGCCTTGCCATTGGGCCACGCAACCTATTTGATGAGTGATGGTATGGTCAGAGGCAATAAGTAGTTGTTGTCTCTAAGTGTATCCTGTCCATTGTCTACTTCCAATTGGGTGCAGATCAGGTATGTACAACAGTACCAATGGTGTGGGGTTGGCGTATATAGACTGCCTGGCAGGGCAGGTAGTAGAGGGCTCAACCACGAGCTCTAGGACCATGTCCTCTTTCACCCAGACGCTTGCCATTCAGCTCGTGAGGGGCAGGGATCTGTGGTTGAGGGAGGGCCCCATCTTCCTTGTCACCGTCGACATCTTGTGTCTTTTCCTCCTCTTTGATTTGACCAGGCTTCTTGTTCTTTGCGAAAGATTGGACACCACTGCCGATGGCACGCATCTCGTCTGATTCTTGGTCTTCCTGACCAATGGGCTTAGCAACGTGCTTGACTGCAATCTCCAGCTCTTCCGACTCGTTTTGACTTTTGCGTTGTTGGTACCAGTCCTCGTACTCTTGCCACCACCAGGTATGGGTCTCGCCATCGCGACCGAGGTATCCAGCCACACCGTTTTCGGTCACACGCTTGGCCCAAGGCTTGTCGACAATGTAGTGAAGACAGACGACCTCCTCGTCCCTCCAAATGTTCTCATGCCAGTAACGCATGGTCTTCAAAGCATTGAACTGCCAGCCGACGCTCATCCATTTGTTCTTGAAGAACTCGGCCAGGAAGTCTTGGTCGGGGAACTTGAACTCACCCAGCAGAGGAGTGGTGTTGAAGAAGTCGATCATGCGGTCCCAGAGCTGCTCCGAGGCGACAAAGAGGAACATGCCGCTGTTGAGAAGATGGTAGGTGCCTCGCGAGTCTGGTGTGATAGGGGTAGGGTGGTCAAGGGCGCCTGGGTGGGACACAGCAGTATAGGCACAGTTCTCTTTCGTCCAGTCTTCCGGGGCCCAGACGTCCTTGTCAAGGTTGCAGACACAAGCATGGTTGGCAGCTATCCAGTCGTTGGCAGGTAGCTGCTTGTCAAAGACATGGTCCATGTTCCTGCGTAGGATCATGTCTGCATCGAGATAGCATATCTTGTCGTAGTTGTCAAGCTTGTACAGCTCGAAGACCCTTAGCTTTGTCCAGGTGTCGGCGAAGCGTTCGGCGATAAGGTGAACATGGACGTTCTTGCGTGGCAGTAAGGCTTCGACACGGTGGAGTATGAGGTTACTGTGAGGGGCTTCGAGTTCTAATGCGCGTACGGCAGGAGCAGACAACGTGTCCGTGTAGAGAACGATGAGAGGATATGAGCTCTTGTATTTAGCCAAAGTGTGAGCCAGAATCAGCACACCGGCGAGATACGACGACCGAGTGATCAGAGTACAGTAAGCGTAGTTTTGGCCAGCCATGATGGGGAATTGATCAGAGACAGGACTTTCTGTAAAATTCATGGACGGGAAACAAAGAACGAAACACCATGAATGACATGTGGACAGAAAGCGCAAAGTCAATGACGCTGTGCTCAGGGCCGCGCTTGGACTTCAAGCCAACGGCCATCGAAACAGCGATTGCCATGTGGGGGTACGTGTGGGCCTTGAGCTGTACTGATGCTCTGGTAGACTGTTACTCGGTAGACAATTGAGCGCTTTTTGTTCATCGACAATGCGCCCTCACCAAAACACAGCTCCAATGGAGTGAGTGCCAACGGGCTCATGATCATCGGGCACCCAACTGAGCTACGACGCGTCGCGATGTCGCGTCGAGGGCTGCCGTCGCTGCCTGCTCGGGTGTTGACGATTGCCGAGTCGTTTGGTGAAAGTTGATACCATTCCATCGACCTCTTGAAGATTCTTCAACTTTGATCCAATCTCAATTCTCATTCAGCTTCCTCCAACCATCTTCTCTTTGTTGCACACTGTGACACATCCGCACCTGTCAACAAGCAACCACTCAAGTGACAGCCCAGACCACAAGGAACAGGCCGAGATCTGCATTGTCCCGGATCTCGGATCTGACTCGCCTTGTCACCCCTTGCACCGTTATCTCCGAAGGGCTTTCTCCAACATATCCCTGGGTGGCAACACACAAGGTTTCTGTGAGTGAGAAGCTGGTCTTTTCTTTCTTCAACTTCTGTTGTCCCTTCATTGCAAGCCCGTTTCTGCCTTGTGTTGGGTGTTGCCTTGATCTTCCTATCGTTTCACCCTCTTTTCTTTTCATCGTTCCAACTTTCCACCATGGCCCGCCAAACTCGTTCCTCTCTCCGTGGTCGGCAATGTATGCTCACTTGCAAACATCTGTGTGAAAGTACATTTGACTAACCCGTGTTAGCCCTTGCATCTGACACGCCTACCTCCATGTCTCCTAGAAAAGCCACATCCCTTTCGAAAAGATCCACAACCATTGCCGACTCGGACCAAGATACCAGTGATCACGACCAGATTCAAATCGCCACTACCAGACCCAGAAACAAGTCTCAAGTTCAAGTCGTCATACCAGTCATGTCTTCCCGCGCAAAGGCAGCCCTTCGCTCCAACAGCCCATCATCACTTTCTTCGGCTAATAGCCCTGACGCCCAATCCATCGACACCCCTGCCACCAGTGCTGGTGTCACTCCAGAACCCCCGGTACACGGACGCTTGGGAAGCAAGAGAAAGAGAAACACCGATGATGATGCTGCCATTGCCAGACAATTGCAAGAGGAAGAGTGGGCAGAGGTCGCACAGCCATCCAAGAAGATCAAGGCCGAGCCCGTGGACATCAAGAAATCCAGAAGATCATATGAGGTTGCTGTCATCGAGGATTCTGATGGTGAGGACATGAGCGATCTTTCTTCTGTCATGTCTTTCAAACCTGAGGTCGATTCTGAGGAAGAATACACCTTCAATAAACCCAAGGGCAAGGCTGCTCGCAAGACAGTCGTTGAGACAGAGGACGAAGACGAGCCCTTGAAGTACAAATCACGCCTCTCCAAAGCACGTGCTGGCAAGAAGCCGGTTGTGCCTCAGCAACGAAACTCGGTCGTTATTCCTGATAGTGACAGCGAATTGTCAATCCTCTCGGGACTAGATGAGGCCGACATGCACACCGAGGACGAGTTTCGTTCCGAGGATGCACAGTCAGGCGCCGCTGAGAGTTCTGACGAGGAGGATGACCAACCGTTGGCACTGACGAACATTCGTCGCAGAAGAGGCCAGGCTAACCTCCAGGGCCGCGATCTTGGCGCTGAAATCAAGATCAGAAGGGGTATGTCGAGAAAGGATCGTGAGCGACTGAAGCTGGAAAAGGCACATCCTCAGATCAAAACCATGTGGCAGGATCTTGAGGCCATTCCCATCATCAAGGGCGTCGCTGGCGTGCAACCACCTTCGATCAACCGCAAGCTCAAGTCGTACCAGCTCGAAGGTGTCGATTGGATGATCAAACAGGAGCAGTCCAACTACAAGGGAGGCCTTCTGGGTGATGAGATGGGCATGGGAAAGACAATCCAGGCCGTCTCTCTCATTATGTCCGACTACCCTCAAAAACAGCCGACTTTGGTTCTGGTTCCTCCAGTCGCTCTGATGCAATGGTCCCAGGAAATTGGCGAGTACACTGATGGAAAGCTCAAGGTCCTTGTATACCACGGCACCAATGCCAAGTCCAAGAACATGACGGTTGGTGAGCTCAAGAAGTACGATGTCATCATGATCTCGTACAATAGTCTTGAGTCTTTGCATCGCAAGGAGATCAAGGGATGGACCCGCAACGGAGATATTGTCAAGGAGGCATCACCCATCCACGCTCTGACTTACCATCGTTTGATCTTGGATGAAGCACACAGCATCAAGACCAGAACCACCCAAGTCGCAAAAGCTTGCTTCGCACTCAAGGGCAAGTACAAGTGGTGTCTTTCTGGCACACCCGTGCAGAACAGAATTGGCGAGTTCTTCTCTCTCCTTCGCTTCCTGGAGGTCAGACCTTTCGCAGACTACTTCTGCAAGAAGTGTCCCTGCTCTCTCCTGCACTGGTCTTTGGACGCTCAGCACATGTGTACCGAATGCAAGCATACCGGCATGGAGCACGTCTCCGTCTTCAACCAGGAGCTGCTCAACCCGATTACTCAATCCGAGGACTCGCAGCTGCGCTCAGAAGCCATGGACAAGCTCTTCCTCATCACATCTCGTATCATGCTCCGCCGTATGAAGCGCGATTATGTCAGCTCCATGGAGCTTCCACCCAAGGAGGTCATCGTGCACAACGAGTTCTTTGGAGATATCGAGCGCGACTTCTCTCAGAGCATCATGTCCAATACTGCTCGCCAGTTTGATACTTACGTCTCACGTGGTGTCATGCTGAACAACTACGCCAACATCTTCGGTCTCATCATGCAGATGCGCCAAGTATCCAACCATCCAGACCTGATCCTCAAGAGAAAGGCTGCCGAAGGTATGAACGTGCTGGTCTGCAACATTTGCGACGAGCCCGCCGAGGAACCTATCCGTTCCAAGTGCAAGCACGACTTCTGCAGAACCTGCGTCAAGAACTACGCTCAGACGGTGGAGGAGGGTGCTGATGATGTCGACTGTCCTCGCTGCCACATCCCGCTCTCGATCGACTTCGATATGCCTGAGCTTGAGCAGAATGAGGAGGCTGTCAAGAAGAACTCGATCATCAACCGCATCAAGATGGAGAACTGGACTTCGTCGACCAAGATTGAGATGCTCGTCTACGACCTTTACAAGCTCCGCAGCAAGAAGCAGACGCTGAAGTCGATCGTCTTCTCGCAGTTCACATCCATGTTGCAGCTTATTGAATGGCGTCTTCGTCGTGCAGGTTTCAACACTGTGATGCTTGACGGCAGCATGACACCTCAGCAGCGCCAGAAGTCGATCGAACACTTCATGACGGACCCTGATGTCGAGGTGTTCCTTGTGTCTCTCAAGGCTGGTGGTGTTGCTCTCAACCTGACTGAGGCTTCGCGTGTCTTTATCGTTGATCCTTGGTGGAACCCTGCGGCTGAATGGCAGAGCGCAGACCGCTGCCACCGTATCGGTCAGAGACGTCCTTGTGTCATTACTCGACTTTGTATCGAAGACTCGGTCGAATCTCGTATTGTCATGTTGCAAGAGAAAAAGGCCAACATGATCAACGGCACGATCAACAACGACAGGGTGGCTATGGAGAAGCTTACGCCTGAGGACATGCAGTTCTTGTTTCGTGGCAATTAGAACGCAACCGAACAGGCCACCTTGCTTTGGTTCTTATGCCACGTGCTAAGCGATTGCTCTTCATCTTTTCTCCTCCTTTTTCTTTTTCTGCAAAAACCCACAGCTCGAACATCTTAGAGGATGGTTCGAGGACACGGTGATGGTAATGCATCAACTGCAGCATGATTATACGGCATAACGATTTTGCATTGTTTTATTTTTCGGTGGTGGAAGTTTATCATTTGCTACCCTCAAGCGCAGTTCCAGACATTTGTACACTAGAATAGAATTACACAAAAGCACCAAATGCGAGTGTCGAGTTTTGTTAAAGATGCTTCCAGCATGCCAGTGTGATCAAAGTGACAGGATCTGATAAGGACCGATAAGCGGAGATGGTCGGTGGAGCGGGTGGGGGAGTCTCTCCCCAATTGAGAGAGACCCTTGAATGTTTGAGTTTGGGAACGGAGTTGGCGCAAACCGGCTCCCGCCCACGGTCCAGCACGACGTGAACGTGCCTGACTCTGGTTGAGGCTTGGAACGATCATGTCCGGCGTCCATCCTGCACTCATAGCCATGTGCAAGTGAAAACTTCTGGCCATCTCTCCTATTTCGACAAGAGTCTGGCCATGTCGACACCGTCATCGCGTCTCGCAGGAGCTAAGGGCTTCCTGCCATTGTCCGAGGAAACGGCCATCTCGACCCGAGGCCAGCACCTTCCACAGCTGATACGCGAACGCTCCGCCAACAATGTGCCTCGCCGCCGCCGCTCGTCGCTGGACGGCAACTTTGCCCCTGCCACCTCGTTCGAAGACACCGCTGCCGTCAGCGACAACGAACTAGCCACACCCAAGCAAGCTCGTTTCAGAGCCACTGCCACCGACGCGAACCCAGATGCCTCGCGTCGCCTCAGCTCGGGCGCTGCCGCCCTCATGACCCCTCAGATGCGCAGTATGCGCTTGATTGGCAACAGCAATCCGCGTTACCGCTGGGAAAGGTACTTTACCTCGGACGAAGACCTCAAGAAGATGAAGAAACCCATTCGCGCATACTACGAGCGCAACAACTTCTTGATCCAGCAGTATCTGTATATCGACAGATTGCTGGATTCGAGTTTGCCGCATGACTTGATTCAAGAGTATCAGTACAATGTGCATAGCAGTTCTGTAGCTGCCACCGTGCCGCCAACTATCAGTGAGGAGAATGGAGGTACTAGCGCTGATGCTTCTGCGAGGCCTTCTCCTTCCATTACTCCTATGGATGGCAATGGCAACGGCAATGGACATGCGTCAGCGAATACGAGTTATAGGCTCAAGAGAACACCCAAGGCTTTGTACCGTGTCAATGACGAAGAGACGCCGTTGTTGGCCGAGGACGACAGTAATTCGCTGTTCAACACAGGGGTCCCTGCTTGGGAGCCTGACGACGAGTCTGACAGCCAGAGTCGTGTTGTCAGTGTAGCCATCTACTTGAACCTGGTGGCCAATACTGTGCTTCTTGGTTTGAAGATTGTCGTTACCATTCTGACTTCTTCCGTCTCCGTCTTGGCTTCTTTGGTCGACGCAGCGCTGGACTTCCTCTCCACCGCCATCGTATGGACCACCACCAGACTCATCAGTCACAACGACATGTACGCCTACCCCGTGGGACGCAGACGCCTGGAACCAATCGGCGTCCTAGTCTTCTCAGTCATCATGGTAACCTCCTTCGTCCAAGTCGCCATCGAAGGCCTAAATCATCTCACCTCAAAAGACCACACCATCGTCCAACTTAGTTATGCCGCCACCGCCATCATGGCCGCCACTGTCGTTATAAAATTCGGCTGCTGGTTGTGGTGCAGACTCATCCCCAACAGCAGCGTCCAAGCACTCGCTCAAGACGCCATGACCGATGTCGTCTTCAACATCTTCTCCATCATTTTCCCACTCTTAGGCTACTACTTCAGTATCTGGTGGTTGGACCCTCTGGGTGGCATCCTCCTTTCCTTCTACGTGATCCTCGGCTGGTCATCAACCTCACTCTCACACATCCGCAATCTCACTGGCGCGGCGGCATCAGCGGACGAGCGTAACGTGCTCCTCTACCTCACCATGCGCTTTGCAAAAACCATCAAGCAAATTCAAGGATTACAGGCCTATCATTCGGGAGATAAATTGAACGTCGAGGTTGATATTGTGCTTGATGAACACATGAGTCTCAGGGACAGCCATGATTTGGGGGAGAGTCTGCAGTATGTGTTGGAGTCTGTGCCGACTGTTGATCGCGCGTTTGTGCATCAAGATTATGCTAGTTGGAATTTGCCTTCGCATATGACGCAGCAGGATTAGAGGAGGAGGTTCTGGTAGATGGAAGAGAGAGAGAGAGAAAAGAGATATGTAGACACTCTTGCTGATCGCATCGCTCTGCCCGTCTTGTTGCCATTGTTGTGTGGCTTCTTGCTTTTCGGGGGCTTCGTTCATAGACAGTAAAAGATGATTCAAAACACATTCGCAGACCTTGAAGTTCTTGTTTCCCAAAGATGATAATGTTGTTTGCTTCTGCTGAATATTTAAATGCTTGATGTAAACACATGCCTTTTGCTTTGGATATAGAAAATGTACTGGTCTCTTTCTCCTTTTTCTTCACTCTCGAGATTTATCGCTTCAGAAAGTTTGAAAGTCCGTCCACCCCGGAGACCTACCCTTCTTATCAAAAGCACGACGATTCTGCTGCGATATTGACGGGATATGCATGCCTAATACGGTAATGAAATGACTGGGCACCCACTCTCTCTCTCCCTCCTGCGTATAAAACCACATCCTCACCCTTTGAATCCCTAGACTCTCGTTTCCCCTTTCCTCGGTCATTTGTGATGGGGAGAAGACCGAAACACCAAACGCACAAATCACAACAAACTGACAAGAAAGTAGGCACAAGCGAATTCACAGGTGAAAAATGGTTTAAAGATTATGGGGAAGCCACGAATGGCTTCGACTATCCTCCTCGTTCCTCGATCGAGAATCCAACATCCGGACATGCTATCCTGGCATGACAGAAAACTACATCGAGCTTTAAGCAGAAGCAACAGCCTGAGCGACTTCCTTTCTCTCAGCCTCAAGGACGCTCTCGAGAACATTTACGGCATCATTGCCAGCCTTGTTCAATTCAGACTTGACCTCAGCGAGACCGAGCTGCTCGTCAGTCCAAAGGGGCTCGACAGAAGTCTCCTGGCCGACGCCGAGGAAACCGCCCTGGGCGGCCCAGTCAGAAGTACGCTTAATGCCGAGCTGCTTCCAGACGGTGTCGAGAGCCTCGACCAGGTGGTCGCGGTACTCGCGGATGTGGCCGGGAGTGGGAGTGATGCGGAGACGTTCCTGGCCGACGGGCACGGTGGGGTAGTTGATGGCCTGGACGTAGATGCCGTGGTCCTCGAGGAGCAGATCAGAGGCCTTTCTGGCGACTGCGGCATCACCGACCAAAACGGGGATGATGTGACTGGGGTTGGGAATCACGGGGATGTCCTTGGAAGAAAGTGCATCCTTGGTGGCACGAGTGTGCAGCTGCTGCAGACGACGGTCACCCTTGTATGCCATCTGGTATTCGATGGCAGCCTGGGCACCGGACATGGTAGCTGGGGGAAGCGAGGTGGTGAAGATGAAACCGGGAGCAAGGGAGCGGATAGTGTCAACCAGCTTGCTGGAACCGGCAATGTAGCCACCAACACAGCCATAGGCCTTTCCGAGAGTACCAGTGATAATGTCAACGCGGTCCTGGACGGTGCCCTTAGGCGAGCCGCCGTTCACGTAGGCTTCGTAGTCGAGGTGCTCAGCAACACCAGCACCGTTCGGGCCGTACATGCCGACGGCATGGACTTCATCGAGGAAGGTGATGGCGCCGTACTTGTCTGCAAGGTCGCAAATCTGCTCAATGGGACCAATTGAACCGCACATGCTGTAAACACTCTCGAAAGCAATGATCTTGGGGGTCTCGGCAGGAAGCGAGGCCAGCTTCTGCTCAAGATCAGCCATGTCATTGTGCTTGAAGACCATCTTCTTGGCGCCCGAGTGACGAATGCCCTGGATCATGGAAGCGTGGTTGCTGCTGTCAGACAGAATGACACAGTCGGGGAACTTTGAGCCCAGAGTGGCCAAAGTAGCGTCGTTGGCGACGTAGCATGAAGAGAAGACAAGAGAAGCCTCCTTTGCGTGTAGCTTAGCGATAGTTGCCTCGAGACCCATTGCGTGCTGGTTGTGGCCAGAAATGTTGCGAGTGCCACCGGCTCCAGCACCGTACATGTCGAGCGTCTCGTGCATCTTCTTGAGAACCTGAGGGTTTCTGCCCATACCGAGGTAGTCGTTGGAGCACCAGACGGTAACCTTGTCCTCGGGGGTGTCCTTGTGAGCGCGAGGGAATTCCTTGGCCAGACGGTTGATGTTATTGAAGTAGCGGTAAGACTTGTCCTTGTGCTTCTTGTCCAATTCGGTCTGGTAGAAAGAGTCGTAGTCGAAGCGAGAGGTGTTCGGAGGCGCTGGGGGAGCACCGTGCATTTCCTTAGAAGACTGCTTCTGCGCGGGTTGCTGCTGACGCTGTACGGGAGCAGGGTAACGGACTGATTCAAGAGTCAGCAAAATTCAATTTGAAGCCGGATCGCAATTTTCTGTACCTTCATCACGTCTCAAGGGGCTGCTGTCGACGGCCTGTGCCTTCTCAGCACGGGTAGTGTGCAAGTAAGCACGAGGAGCGCGGGTGGTGCGAGTGCTGTAGGCTCGCGAGCCACCAAAAGCACCAGAGAGCAGAGTGTTGGTGCGAGTGCTCTGGACAGCCAATGCCTTGCCCATGACGGGACATTGACCGGCAGTGACCTGCAGGTTGGACATGTTGGCCTGGATGGCATTGGTGCTGGTGCTGAGCGAGCGAAGCGTGGCGGGCGATGTCTTGTGCAAGAACGGACACATGCCGCGCGATTGACGGAGAAGGGCCTCCATGTTGACGTTTATTGTTTTTTGTTTGAGTATTGGAGGGGGCGAGGGGTGGAGGTGTTAAGGAGAGAAAGAAGAGAGGACGTCGGAACGCGGATGCAGGCGTAGTGATGTGTAATTTTGATCGAGCGCCGGCTTGGAAGCAGCGGGAATGAAGCATTCTCGATTCGAGACTCCGAACGCCCACCGGTCACGGCAAACGCCCTCCCGCTGCCCCATAAGACGATATTTGCCACTTTTGATTGGTCCAAATCCATCCTTTTCTCGGCGATCCCTCGCTGGTGACGCTGAGAACAAAGAGAACGCTGTGCCTCGGCGCTGATTCATGAAAGTCCCATCTCCTATTTCGCACCGCGTTCCGCCGTCTGCTTGTCCCTTGCAAACCCCGATCTTGACCTCTCAAATTGCCTGCGCTGTCTGTCATTCCCCGTCATTGACTCTTGATCGTACCACGTCTGGAGATTGTCCTCTCCCAATTCAATCAATCTGGAGAGTCGTACCCCTTTGCTACTTCCACAGGTACATGGGCGCTTTTAGCCTTTCGATCAACGCATCTGGCTCACAAAAAGGGCAGCGCACGCCGTGGACATGTGCGGTCTTGCCTTTTTACCCCTCGCTCCCGATGGGGAAAGCGTTCATCCAACGCTCTGGAGGCGCAGGTCTAGCATAAGCTTACTGAAGGCTTGACAGTTGGCTTACTGTGCCTGCTTCCTTTGGTGGAGCTGTCTTTTGTCCTCCATCGTTTCTCTCTGTCGCCAACATCCATACAAGGCTCTTGGATACAGACAGCCATTGCCGCCGTCAATTCGGACTGCACAGGGAAGCGTGAAGCTCTGCTCATTACTCTGCTGCTTCAAATCTGTCATCGACAACTGATCGTCACGCGTACATATCCTCGTACGTATCCCTTCATGCCTCGGTAACTTCTGTCTTTCTGCACTCCCTCTTTTCGAAAGCTACGAGGAGATGTAAAGTGGCCATTCCAGTGATGATCACTCAAGAGACTATTGATACCCTTCTTTCGCGAGGACCTCGGATCGACTTAGCTTTGCTCAAAAAAAGCTCTGTTCAGAACCAGACCGCTTGGGACCATGAGAACTCGAATACACTTGATCTGAGGAAACCGCTCTTGCCTCAGCTCTGAGTTACAAAGTATATAACATCATCTTCCTACATACCAATTCAACCCTTTTCTGTTCTTATCATCCTGTCAGTCGCTCTACCAACGAAAGGGCCATTCAGAGTCCTCAGTAATGGCACCGCGCCGCCGCTCGCTCTGCCAGCAGCGAGTCTGCATGGACCCCCGATGCCTGTATAGTCGCGCATCGGGTCGATATCGGCATGCCTGTCTGCCATGTGTTCGCTGCTGGCATTGGGGGTTAGATAGGTGACGGAACAAGTGCACGAGGCTTCCATTTCAGATGGAGAGAGCGGTTACGGGGCATTTCATCTCTCCCTTTGTGACATGTCCTTATGTCAAATGTGTTGGTCGTTGACGAAATACACAATGGTCTTGTGAATTTGAATTGGAACCGAAGAGATGTGCAGGCTGGTCAGCCGGTTCAACCTCGTGATTTCCTTCGAGCCGGGTACTCTGATGATCAATGATCACCTTTCGAGTTGTGCTGTATCTATAAGTACCTGTTAGAAAGCACAATGATTTTACGAACAGATATCTATCCGAGAAGGGGTGTCACGCTGTAGGACTCTCTTTAGACGCATGTCCCGATCTTGTGAGACGAGTGTTGGAAAGAAGGTAATCAGAGTAAAAAAGGTTCATACAACTCATTAATGCATGCTGTCCATGGAGAATGTGCAAAAGAAAACCATCCGCCCGATATGCATACTTTGCCAGAAAGGCAAACGAAACCAAACTCCGAGCGCAATGCAGGTTTCCAGCCCATATCCTTCGTGCCGTTTCCATCTCGTTCCCAGACCTAATCGTCAATAAACTCCTGAGAAAAAAAAAAAGCAGAAACATCCAGAAAACAGAAAAAACCAAAGACTTCGTACAGAAGGCACAAGAAAAATCACAAAATCCACACCTTAGAAACACTTTTTGTATCGTCTCATCGGGAGTCCTCCTCTTTTCTCCATTTGTTCGTTTCGTATGCAGGGTTGTTGACTGTTCGTGCTGCTAACACAGCCTCGTAGTCGTGGGTATCGTAGTTTGATGTTCATGATCAGTATCCTGCGCAATCTATACGTTGGGATATGTAGAGGCTCCGGGCCTTGTCGTGTCGAGTCTAGAATCTCGAGGTGATGCTTCTGCTGATGCTGGGGCGCTGAGAGCGCTTGGCGGGGCTGCCTGTGCTGTTGCTTCCAGTGTTGGTAGGCTGGAGCTGAGGCTGTTGCTTGGATCCAATCTTGCCAAACTCTTGGAGGATGTCGAGACCCTGCTCGTCAAAGATGTCATCCTGGATGCCCAGTCCGAACAGCTCCTGTCCGTTGTGCTGAGGGAAGTAGTTGTCGAGAGACAGGTCCAGCCACTCAGGTGCACTGACAGTGTTGTCGGAAACACCTGTGGAAGGAGGAGCCATAGTCACGCGCTTTAGAGGTGAGCCGAGCATGACAGGGGAGCGCAGCTGAGCAGGGTGATTAGCCTTCAAGGGCGTGAAGTGGAAGTTGAATGGGCTGTCGAAAGCCATAGCATTGCCCTTGCCCGAAGTGATGTCAGCCAGGACACCAGTGGAGGTGACTGCACGTTCAATGCGAGGACGCTTCTTGCCAGGGCTTCCGCGAGCGCTGAGGTCGTCGATAGTAGCATTCTCATCGAAGACATCGTTGTTGTCGTTAGATGGGCGCCAGGGAGTAAGGTCCTTGGCGGGAGTAAACTCGTCGAGGTTAAAAGCAGGGGAGAATGGGACCAGAGGAGTCCAGCTCTTTGCAGGAGATTCGCCGAGGAATGCCTTGATGTTGTTGCGGTGGTTACGCAGACTGGTGTTAGGCGAGCATGATTGTGGGGGCTTGGCCGGACGCTTGAAGACAACAGCGGGGGTCAAGGGAGCAACAGCTGCAGCAGACGAGGTTGGACGCTGGGGAGAAGTGTACTCAAAGTGGACAGAAGGCTTGCGCTTGTGGAGAGCGGTCTTCTTTGTGGGACTGTCGTACGATGAGCTGCGAATGCGTGCAATTTCCTCTTCGGCGCGGCCGCGCTTGATGCGGCGGTGGTCTGGGTCGGCATCGGAAGTGAGAGCGACGTGCGAGATGGTAGGGTTTCTGACAGCCGACGATTCAATCGAAGAGTAGTAACCACTGTCCTGAGGAGCGTTGAATTTACGCTTACGAGCGCCGCCGGAGTGGGTGTCGGTAGGGAAACGTAGGCGTGAAGCGCGAGGAGGGGTGTCTTGCATGGGTGGAGGAGATGAGCCGAAGGCAGGAGGAGGAGAAGAACGCATAGAAGCGCGTGCGGCGGGAGGAGGCATGGCAAGTTCGTCATCTTGAAGAGCGGGATCGCTGGCAGGGATGGTGCCGTCGGAGGAGAAGTGGTCCTGAGGGAACGAGGCGGAGTCGACAGCCTTGGTGTCGGTCTTCTTGACAGGGTTGGGGCCGAGAGCGAAGCGGCCAATTGCAGGGGTGGTGACTGGACGGGGGGCGTTGCTGGGAAGAGTCTGCAGAGGCATCATCTCGGAGGGGATCTGGACCTTCTTCAAAGGACGGTCCTTGCAGAACTGACGCTCCATACCAGGCTCGATTGCCCAGTAGTTGCCCTTACCAGGGTCATCCTTGGGACGCTCCTGCTTGATGAAAGCCTTGTTCAAGCTCAGGTTGTGACGAATGCTGTTCTGCCAGCCAGTCTCGGACGCGCGGTAGTACTTGAAGTTGTCCGAGATCCACTTGTAGATCTGGGCGAGTGTGAGGCGGCGGTTGGGTGCGCGCAGGATGGCCATGCCAATGAGGGTTGCGTAGCTGAAGGTGGGCTTGTTTCCGTCGTCGTGGACTGACGGCATCTCTTCGGGCTCAGGCAGGACAAAGTCGTATTGCTCTGTGGCCTTGACTGGCTTCTTTGTGGTCTTGTCGGCGAGTGCGCGCTTGATAGGCACGGCCTTTTGGGCGGCGTAGAGGTGGTGGTCGTAGGGCATCATGTTCTCCTTGTTCAGGGTGTTCATGGCTGAGAAGAAACCCGGTTTTACGGGTGAGTCGGAGAGAAAGGCTGATTGCAGCGGAGAGGGAACCGAGATGCTGTGGAGCGAGCGTCTGCCGAAAGGACCGTCGGGCGAGCTCGAGTGCTTTCTCGGAAGAGCAAAGCTGGGCGAGTTGTGCGAGGGACTGAGCAAGAAGCCCGGTTGTCTGAAAGGTTGTTGGCCAAGGGCGCTTAGAAGGGCTGCCTCGACCGAATCCTGTGGGAGATCTTGGAAAGTCGTGGACGGCAGAACCGGCACGGGATCGTGGTAGATGTTGAGCTGGTGGTAAGTCGTCCGACGCGTCGACGCCATGGACCAGGTGTGCAGAGTGAAATCTAAGTGGAGGGAACTGCTAGAGTGCGTCCGACAGAGAGGGACGGAGCTGAGCTTTGCGTGTGTTTCGAGGTCAGACAAGCCAAAAGATGGAGAAAGTGGTCGGGCTTGGCGTGCTTTGTGCTAGTCCGTTTGGTGCGCTTCGAGTTGAACAGGCCGCTTCAGTCTTGGGGTACAGCCTTTTTTTAATCTTTCTGCAAGTCTTTCTGCAGGAAAAGGAGCTTGGTGGGCACGAAGACCGCCGGCAGGCCCTTACAGGCTTGCGACTAAGATTGCACCCGTTAAGGGCAGAAGGGGTGCCTCACGCTTGGGCGTTAAGGAAAACCGCCCTGCCTTGCTCCCAATCACGAGCTCGGGCCAGCGATCAGAACGAGATCTGAGAGTCGGACAGCGATCGACCACGCCAATTGTCAATCCGCGTCACGCCAGAAGTGCAAGCGGTGAACAATGGGAAAACTGACCGCGCTGGTGGTACACTGTGCGAGGTGCGAGAAGAAACCTGCAGACGACTACTGCCGGCAGACGAGGGTCTTTTGTTTATGACTTTGTTGACACGGCAAGCTTTCGTCTGCCGCTCTCTCAGCTGCACCTCTTCCCCAGCGCATCCTTCCCTTCTGCCCATCTTTTCACAACCTCAGCCGTCTCTGGTCCTCTATCTTGCACAATCTGCACGACATGCAATCCGTCTCGTCAACCGGCGGGGCATGTCAAGTCTCGCTCCTTCCCGAGCGTAGCCATTGATGTCATTCTTTGGAATGCCTTGCATGTGCTTGGACGCTAGCCGCTCGTCTGTTACTTCTTGTCGGAGTCCGTCCGTCCTGTTCCTATCGATTGGCTCACAGACTGGCAAGATTGCGGCAGCACAGGCCAGACACTTTAATTATGCATTGCCCTTGAACACTTCCCTAACCGTGTCTTTTACTCCGCCTTGCTTGCATGAAGCCTCGTGAACCGACATCGAGATTCTTCGACCCCCTCTCTGTTCCATGTGCCAACAGCGGCTCGATGCCAACATCCAAAACCCGCTCCTTGTTCCATCTTTCCTGCTACCCAACCCTACTTCGTCTGCCGAGATGTATCGAGAAGAGAGTTGTGCGAGAGGCCGAGAGTTGAATCAGGGGAAGACGTTAAGCGCCGAAGCCGTATGCTACCTCTGGTGAACTCGAGTTTGGCGTACATTCCGCGTGTACGACTATCGACCGATACAACATTTCTTTCCACACCAAGCCGGCCTCGACCTTCCAGCAAAGCCAAAGATATGTAGTTAAGGAGGTCGGCTGGTCACTACTCTCTGGGTAAAAGACCATTTTTCCTTCGTCGGCAACGCGCGCGCTTGACAGCCTCATCCCCTACGTGTCGCCGTTTTATCCCAACTTCCCACGACCAATGACCCAGACCATTTTTGAACATCATTCCCTTCTCTCGCCACTCGGTCATCTCGGATCAAAGGGCGTTGTTCTCCTTCGCTAGCCGTCCGCCAGCGTGACCTCTCGACATCGATGCGTGCTCATGCTCAACAAACTGTTCATGCTTGCCGTAGTAGCTCTCGATTCTTTACCGCCTACGTAGTAGCCGCTTGAATCATGCTGGGTCCGCGCTGAAACTACCGGCGTTAGGCATCCATAGATTTCTCAAACTTGGGGAAGCCGAAGCTCAATAATTCTTGACATGTTCAGGTTCCCTTCGAGAAGGAAAAAGCAAAGAAAGGTTCTGCATCGGTATGGTATTAGCCTTCGTCGATTTCCATGTCCCCATCTGCGACTTCAGCAATTTCATCGCCCGGTGTCAGTTGGTGCTGTGACGTCGAGTCTTCCCCTGCAGGTTGCGGTGTCTGCTGGTCTCTCTCATCGGCGCGAGGAAAGCTTAGATGTTTCCAATCTTCGATCTGTACACGACTATCAATAGATGTATAATAGTGCGCTTACTGGGTCACTCACCTCCTCTATGATGCAGCGCAATCGATCGCGGATACTCTCAACAGCGAAACTACCCAATAGTAGGCGCAATGGTGGAAATGAACAATGACCTAATTGCCAGGTAAGTTCGGCGCTCTTGACAGCACTGGTGGGCTGCTTGTTGCTGAGCCATTGCACCACCCGCTTGGCGTGAGCGGCAGGAGCATTCTGGCTCTCGTAAGGCTGAGACGGCGACTTGACCAGGAAATGGCCATAGGTTGGCAGGCGGCTCTTGTCAGCTGAGTCCGAACCCTTGTCATCCAGTCCCGTGGGTTCGTCGAGACGGAGATGACCTGGGGCGACGAGGGTGGCCTTGATGTTGAAAGCATCGACTTCGTAGAGCAAGCTTTCAATCAACCCTTCGACGGCATATTTGGTTGCGCAATAGGGACCGAGGCCCGGGACACCGAGTGCGCCGGAGGTTGAAGAAAAAATGAGATATCGGCCTGCGTTGCGTTTCCGAAAGTAGGGAAGAGACTGCTGGACAATGTTGAGACAGCCGAAGAAGTTTGTCTCGAATTGTGCACGAAGATCGCAAACATCTTGGTCTTCACAGGCCCCAATGACGCCGTAACCAGTGCAGCTGCGGTGGCATCAACGATGAGATCGAGGATGTGTAGGAGATTCGAGGAGGTATACTGACTTGACAATGACGTCCACGGCGCCGAAATGGCGAATTGTGTTCTGAATGACAGAGTCGACTGTTTTAGATACTCTCACATCGCACAAGAGGCCGAGACAAGAGTCGTGCCAGCCTTGCATCTGCTCAAGCGTGTGCTCGCCAACACGGCCAACAGCAGTGACCTTGTCGCCATGAGAGAGACACGTCTTGACGATGGAGCGGCCCATATGGCCAGTAGCACCGAAGACCTGTAACAACGCATCAGCATGCAGCACCTAGGCAAGGAGATGCGACAAAGACGGACAATCCATGTTTTCTGGACGGGAGGGTTGTCCTCTCCGGGAGGATCACATGTTGAGGGCAAGGTCAGACCAGAGGTTGCGGTTGATGGAGACGGGTAGTCTCTCGAAGCAGCCATTCGACCTGCAGTGAGATATATAGGGGAAGATAACCGGCCTGTGAGTACGAAAAACAATCTATGGCGATATAATACATTATAGAGCAGAATGAAGCATTTGTCGGACCCCCGCGTGGATTGGCCGCTGGCTGGCGTACCGGGGTGCTCTTATCGACAAGACAAAGTGCGTCATGCAATATATCTTTTCGACACGTCGAGAGTTGCACATGCGACAGAGGCTTCTGGCTGTTTGAGCTAGGTCGAGGAAGCTGCCTGAACATGTCCAAGGCAAAGCAAGCGGCATACGGTACGGTAGCACTCATCCAATCGCGTTCCGCAAGGCGTCACTGACTCTAGTATAGCGGCATCGCCTGCAGCGCAGTCGGGAAGCAGTGCGTCCTTTGCTCAAGGCTTCGTTCTGGGCCAATTGACACTGGCCCTGATCCTGATATTTTTGATCAAGTTCTTCATCTTCGGCGAGCCCCCGACGGCCGACAGTCGCGCAGCAACTCGAGCAGCCCTCCGCCGCCAACGAACCCTCTCGCATGCCTCGTCCTTGCGCCGTCGCTCCTTGTCCGACCTCCGTCTTCGCAAACGCAGTTCCGCTGCTGTCCTCGCTCCACGAAACATCTCGTCCGGTGGCTCCGTTCTCACGACAGACCAGATCTTGGAAAAGACCTACTACAATGTCGATGGACACCAGCCTGAGAGTCTGGACTGGTTCAATGTCTTGATTGCGCAGACAATCTCCCAGCTGCGCGCAGACGCCCTCGAAGGAGATGCCGTGCTGAATTCCCTCACAACCGCTCTTAATGGTGGACAACGACCACACTTCATCGATGAGATCAAGGTGACCGAGATCTCGTTGGGAGAAGAATTCCCAATCTTCAGTAACTGTAGAGTCATCCCTGTCGACGAAAATGGTCAACCCGTCAAACCCATGCCTACTAGGAAGGGTGCGAACAGAGGAGGATTGGGCGAGAGCAGATTGCAAGCACGTATGGACGTCGATCTTTCAGACGTCGTCACCTTGGGCATCGAGACAAAACTCGTCCTGAACTATCCCAAGCCTTTCTCCGCCGTCCTGCCTGTCGCTTTGGCTGTCTCGGTTGTCCGCTTCTCTGGTACTCTCTCCCTCTCCTTTACCCCTTCGCAACAACCAGATGCTCCCGTCAACGAGTCCGAGTCATCCTCCGCAAACCCATCAGCCTCGCCGACTACCCTAACTTTCACCTTCCTCGACGACTATCGATTGGACCTTTCTGTACACTCTCTGATCGGCTCCCGCGCTCGTCTGCAAGACGTACCCAAAATCGCTCAATTGGTAGAACAGCGTATTCATGCTTGGTTCGACGAACGCTGCGTGGAACCTCGTTTCCAGCAGATTGTCCTCCCCTCACTATGGCCGCGTAAGAAGAACGTCCGTGGAGGCACCGACGAGGTTCCCGAGGAAGCCATTCTATCAGACGCAGAGATGGACGCGGCAGCTTCAGCTTCTACGCCTCGCAACCGTGAGCGCAGCAGAGATCCATCCACTAACAAACGCGAAACGCGAGCTGACAAATCGCCCGCTGCTGCTGCAAGACCAAAGCCTTCGAGACAAGCTTCACGGCAGACCAAGCCGGAAGAGCTGATGACGGAGGAGGAAAGGCTGGCTGCTGCTGGCGAGGAGCTCAGAGCCGCTGAGCAGAGAGAGTGGTCGCGAGAGCGAAGGAGCAGAGAAAGACACAACAAGAATAATGATGAGACGGTCAGACGAAGAGCGCGGCAGAGTCAGCTGGCCAAGGAGCTGGATGTACCATCTTAGGACGACTGGTATTGATGGCTTCTCACAGCTCCAATAGCACGAGTGTACGATAGTGTGGAAATAGTTCATAATTATCTTGTATGAACCACCCATTCAATATATCTCGTTGTCATCGATCGCCCCATTTTTCGGTGAGGAAGAGCCAAAGTTGCCATGCTCTTGGTGCAAGCAAGCCAAAGAGTAAAGCACAAAACTCAAGATATTATTTAATACCTTACAGCACCCAGAGATGCACAACTCTATATCCCGATCTACTATTCAGCAGTACAGCTACTGTACGAAGAAGAGTTTGGGAGAACAAACCTCACATAGCCGTCGCTATGTCAATCTCACGCTCAAAAACCATCGTTGCGAGTACGACCCTGATCCCCTCACCACGTTCCCCTCCCCCTCCCCCTCTACCTCTACCACCCACCTCATCTTTCTCACACGTCACACCCGTTTCTCACACCGTGTCAGCACCGTTCACCAGCTTCTCAAACGACCAGGTGAAACTGCGGAGAGCACGACATCATCAGCAAACGAGAAAAAACGATCGCGATTGCAGTGATGTCTGTGGAAATTAACCCATCAAACGGGACGTGCATCATCTTTTCTACATCATATGCCACCGCCCTTTGTTAAATATAGCCTCCTAAGCTCCAACCGGTCTGCTTCTAATCCCTGTTTATACCTGCTACAACTGTCTCTGCTAACGGTGTGGAAGGGTTCGCCAATCGATCGATTGCGGGTAGATGATGTTCCATCGACTTTTGGTGATAGCATGTGAATCTTGGATCGTTGGCGGAGGGTTGGTCCGCTAGAGCAAGTAGGATTACGAATCATGTGAAAGCTACGAACGAGTCTCATGATGAAGAAGCGGTCACACGAGGGAAGGATGGAAGAGTGGATCTTTCTTGCAACGTTGGAGGGTGATGATCACTTTATCGTAGACGGGGTCATGCGTGCGTATGCTTGCTGCCTAACAACCGTCTCGTGTCTGATGCCATTGGGATGATCAAGTCGGCGGACAGGCAAGTCTTCTCTCGACATCCTTTTGTACAATGGTTGCTACAGCAGCTTCGCCATCTATACATCATTGATCTTCAACTGCTCGCCTCCTCCTCAAGGCAAGATGTAACCTCCATCGATGACAGTATCACTACCGGTCTGATAACTGCTAGCATCACTAGCAAGGTACAGATAGAGAGCCTTGATCTCTCTGACATCACCCTGTCTGCCCATGGGTGTCATGCGGTAGGCTTCGTTGATGACGCTTTCTCCCGCTCCCATCTTGGTGTTGAAGAAGCCAGGCGAGACGATGTTAACTCGAGCGAACTCGCGCCATTCTCTAGCTAGAGACTTGCCTAGGTGAGTAATGGCTGCCTTTGTGGAGTTGTAGACCTGGGAATGTCTGTCAGGAAGAGCATGAAGATGTGAGAAGAATATCTGCTTACAGGTTGGTCCACTGGCACGTTGACGATGTGTGCTGAGATACTCGACGTGATGATCAAGTTACCCTTGCCTTGCTTCTTGAATTGCTCTCCGGCATATTTGGCACAGTAGAAGACACCGTCAACTGTCGTCACGTCAGCATTGCTGTACTTCGCCCTTCCACACTGGCTTCCTCTTACCATTGACCGCAAACTGCTTCTTGTACTCCTCCACACTGGTCTCCAGGATCGGCTTCGAAATAGCCATACCGGCATTCGCAACCATAACGTCCAGTCTTCCAAAGTCCTCTACAACCTTAGCGACCAGTTCTTTCACCTTGTCCGGGTCGGAGATCTCGATCTGGTATGCCTTGAACTTATTTCCATGCTTCTTTGCTAGCTCTTCGGCTTTCGTGATGGCCTTGTCGTTGCTACGGTACCAGAGTGCTACATTGGCACCAGCTTCGGCCATGGAGTCGACCACGGCACCGCCAATGCCTTCAGCAGCTCCTGTCACGACAACAACGCGGTCTTTCAGGTTGAATTGCTCGAGCACATTGTCCGGGCCAGATGGAACTGGGTTTGGCTGGCGGGGCACTTGGGCTTCTTCGAGGGTCATGGACATGGTGGGCGGCGGTTGATGGTATCAGTTAGGTGCGTAGTTTGGTGTCTTCTGTGTATCGAGGTGTATTCGAATATCAAAATGGCTGGAAGTACAGAGCGAGGTTTGGAAAAGACCGAGCAGAAGCATGACGATACAGACAGGACAGGGAGATAGTCAGCCCTGCCATTCAGCCTAATTTGTCTGTCCTTGTGAACCTTGGGAAGCTTTGAAGGGATGGTGGGGGTACCTGGGACTGGCGGGGCAGACGGCTTTCTTTCCGTGAGAGTTCGGGAGAAAGCAGCCCGACTTGATTTCATGTTTCAAATTCTTCTTTGACACCACATACGCACATCAGACTTCAAGCAATAGGTCGTAAGAAGTGTCGTTATCATTAATCTTTATCTAGACGTGTTCGTGAAGCGGAGAGTAAGTCGTAACTCCGTCTTTGTAATGCGTATGCTTCCGCCATTAGGGCTCAATGCTTGATGCGTCCGGCTCCCACATGCTATGCTTGACTTTTGCAGTCATCTATCGTCATCTCCTGATTTCCTCCCAGCTCAACAGTCCTCCGTCTAGGCGAGGTTGGCTCCGACCAGCTTGACATCAGCACAATGAGAGCTGGTCGAAGCGTTGTTCTCCTTCCAGAACAGCTGGAATTGGCGTCCAAGAGTGAAGTAAGGAGCGGTACCGTTGACTTGGCACACAGCGAAGCAGCCGTCGAAAGCTTTGGGCGCGGTCGTAGCGTTCGAGCCGGACCAGGCAAGAGCGGAGTCCTTGAAGTAGAAGCCGGTGGTAGCTACACCAGTGACACCCAAGGAAACAATCTCGTAGCCAGAAGGAGCATCGGATCCGTAAGGAGCCGCCAAAGGTAGACTGAGATTGTATGCGAAGCCGGCAGGGGCGCCCTGAAGTGCAATGGGCTGCTGTAGGATCGAGTCTGAGAGAGCTGTATGTCGTTAGTATTGCCGTCCGATCTGAGAATCACCGCTAAGACTTACTCCATCCGATAGCCTGACTGCTATTGGCACTGCCCACAACGGTGTTCTGAGCAGCACCGACGTGGAAAGACGTCAAGTACAGGTTGTTCAATGCAGAAGTGCCATTGGCGACTTCAGTGTGGAGGGTGAAAGGCTTGGTGCTGTCGAAAGCGGCCTCGGCACGCTGGCTGAGAGGCAGGGCTGCCACAAGAGGCAGAGCAACGGCTGCGGCCAGAGTCTTGATTGAGGTGTACATGGTGATATAGTTGTAGATTGTAATGTGAAGTGATTGATGAGGCAATCTGTGTCTTTGTAGGGTTGTGCGATGGGAGGAAGAAGTTATGAGTGTTCTCAAACGGAAGGATTGAGCAGAGTTTATATTCTTGTACAGGCGCAAAAGGTAGGGAGGTCGGTGAGGAAGGCACGGCCGCCAAACGGAACGTCACCGTACCTGCCAAGAGCGTCGCTCCAGGCTTTCCCAGCCGCACATGCGTTGCGCTTTTATTGCCGGAGTGGCGCTGGTCGAACCTTAACATGCAACCACAGCCTATAAGACGTGTTGAGAACGTGTTCAAGCTGAAAATAGCTACGTGCGATAGAAATCCTTGCGGGCACTCCGCGAACACCACACGAAGCCAAAGTTCTCAACTGAATACGCTGCCAACTTACATCTGGATCCCTGCAAACACCGCACGACATCGACCCACCAAGGCTGGGAATTGAATCATACTTACGATGATTCTCGGCAAGAAAGCTGACGACTTCTTCGTCGTTGTCAAGCAGCACCTCGACAATATCAAGCCTGGTCGATTGGACAGCAGCCTCGACGCGTTTCAGCAAGCTGCTACGACTCTCGTTGACTTGTCCGGAGATCTCAAAGGACAGGATCTTGCTCACCTGATCTACAATGCCAAGGCGACCCTGCTTTTCACACAGATCTACATTGTGCTTGCTATCGTGGTTGGCGCTTTGCTGATCAGGAGGTTGGGACGATTCATTCACCATGTCCGCAAGAGCCTGAGGAACCTTAGTGACGTGACTGAGATTCAGAAGAATATCCATTATCAGACTCAGTTCGCTGGTGCGGTCCACAGGTTCATTGAATACCAGCATGTCTTGCACAGCAAAGAATACTTGAACGACCCACAGGATGCTGTCTACTTTGTCTATCATCCTGGAAACGACTGGCATGCCTCTTTCCATGCTGAGGACGTTTCTATCAAAGGGTTCGGTGGTGTCTATGATGATCTTCCAGCACTCATTGAGCATCTTCGCACTCTTCGTCAAGATCCCGAGTTCAGCGCTGTCATATACATCTTGCTTCCTTCAGCTCACCGCTACGACTTCCTTACCGATCTTCGCTCTGATACAGCTCTTCTACCTCTCAAGATTCGCGGTCAAAGAGATTACAGTGGCAAAGCGTTATGTCGTGGTCACATCAAAGGCATGCCCCTGGGCGTGGATATGAAAGACGTTGATTCTTCGCCAAAGAAGCCAAAGACATACTGGCCTTTCATTTGGCCCCTGATTAGCTTGATCGTGGTGTTTATGATGTCAATTGCTACTACAGGCTACATTGAGAATTGATTGAAGCATTACTACTGGTTGGGCAATCCTGCACCGGTTTCACTTGTACATACTAAAGATGTAAATCAGACTTGTTCGAATAAGACTCTGTCGACTTGTTTCCCCCCATCTGTACAATGAACCCTACTTGAAGCAGATCGCACGGCTTTTGGCAGTTTCATGTTTGCGTCTGGATCTGTCTCGTTGCTTGTCGCTGCATTGTCGCATACATCATGACTAGCAAGCAATCGCTGCATATATCTGTCCTAGCACTTCCACACAACCCAAGGACCATTCGCAATTTACCTACCAATCTCCAAGACCGCCATCATCATGGGCCAGTCTATGTTGGGCTGGAAAGCAGACGAGTTCTTCGTTGCTGTCAGACAGCATCTAGACTCCATCGGTCCACGGGGTATGGAAGAGTTACGCAATGCACTCTCGAAAGCGGCTGACAGTGTCGGATCTGTTTGTAAACGCCTGGACAACAAGCAGCTTGATCGAATTCTTGGAAATGTTCACGCCACGACTAAGAACCTTCAACAATTCGATGTCAAGGTTATCCATGAGGCTATCAAATCGATACAGCGTACAAGCAACATCGTGACAGACAGATTGACGAAGCTCGACACCAACCATCTTCAGGACACGCTCAAATCTTTCCGGCAGTTCGCCAACAGCATTGCTCTGACCACACAGAACGTCCCCAAGACTCTCGATGCATTCAAGTATACCTTGCTGTTCACCGGACTGATGGTCGGCTTGGTTACTTGGACCTTGATCTGTTTCATGGAGAACCTGGACAAGCGCGCCGACAGACTGTCTGCCAACATGCAAGCTCTGAGCACTGAGATCACAGTTCAAGGCAACCTGCATTACCAACGTGAATTCGCCAAAGCAGTGTACAACTTGATCCAACAGAAACGCGCCGAGCAGATTCTGTATCCGGACAACTATCCCACCACGAATTACACGTTTCAAGCTCGATACACCATCTTCCACCCAGCCTCCGATTGGCATGGCAATCTCTTCGCACTCGCGTCCAAAGACTGGTGTGACGAATACTTTGAAGCGGATCATGAAGACTGTATTCTTGACCGTCTGCGCCTCTTCAACAACCCTGAGAAATTTGCAACATACCTCCACGAGTACGGCACGTCTGAAGTCATCAAGAACACCGACCACACTCTCTCAGTCACGCACATCCTCCTACCTTCAGCCCAACCCCACACTCTCCCATTCATTCTGCGTGTTCCCGAGGAGCTTCACCCAGTCAGAATTGTGGGACAGACAGACCGCAATGGTAAACCATACTGTCGTGCCTGTATCATTGGAGTGGATCCCTCAGACATCGTCGATATCGAGTTGTTGCCAGAGCACGAGGCTCCAGATTACGTGGCCAGCAAATCTGCTACCGACAAGCGACTCTATCCTATCCTCTGGCTCATCATCGCAGCACTTTGGTTGAAGATGGTGCTGGGTGCAGTGGTCGACTTTGTTGGAGATGTTGCGTGGAATGTTTCGAACGCCTATCTGGGGCTTACCGAGTTTCTTTCGTTCGGTGTCACCAAGTTCTTGTCATTTGGAGCTTGAGGGACATGGTGTCGTTTACCGGAGTTGAGCGTCCGAACAGCTGACAAAGAGCGCAAGAGGAAGAGGTATTGCGAAGAGTTGTATTATGTATAGTATCGCAGACTCATGGGGCTCTATCCACTTCTGCCCAGTATAGGAAATGAAATCGATCGTGACACGCATCAAGGGTATAAGAAAAAGAATGCATCGTGATGACCATCTCTTTAAACGCTGTCACCACTGCTTGACAGCTCCAGACCGGCTTCCTGAGCCTTCTTGTTCTTCTTGCTTTTCTTGCTCTCCTTCTTTGCCAGCTTTTGCTGCTTCGAGAGCGCCTTGTGCTCCTTGAATTCGGGGAAGAAGATTCCGGGGTGGGCGACTGTGAGGGCGATGGCGGCGATACACACCATCCTGGATTCATGTCAGTAAATGTGCTTCTTGATGTTCATCTTGGTAGTGGTAACTTACATTCCGTCGAGAATCAGGAACTCGGTCTCGTTCTGCATCAGAGGGTTGCCCCATCCACCGACCATCTCAGGGATACGGTACACGGAACGAATGAAGACGGTGACAAAGGCAACACTCGCGGCGCCAACGTAAAATCTGAAGCCAGGGGTGGAGCGGGTCATAGGGTCATCGAGGTTGTTTTGTGCTTGACGAGATCTGTAGCGGCGGAAGAAGAAGTCGGCAGCGACGAGACCGCAGAGAGCCATGGTAGCGACTTGGACGCAGATACCAGCCACCATGATCGAGTTTCCGATCTTGACCAACTCGAGCTGCTCGCCGGCAGCGATACCACCTCCAGCAGCCTGGACGAGAATACTGGCGGCATCGGCGGTGATGAAGATCCAGGTGTAGAGACCAGGCCTCAGTCTGGAGTATTGAGGGCCGAAGTGGATGACCAGATGCTTAATCGTGAGGTAGATTCCAGCGGCGAGGAAGGACGGCGACAGAATCAGGCAGACAATTTGAATCTTGAAGCCTGTTTGACTCCAAGGGTTGTTGTGCATAATCAGTCGTCCGATATAACCGACACATTCTCCGAAACATCCAATGACAACAGCAAAGGTGAAGCCCTTCAGACGAGCCTTGATTCCGAGGAAGAGCTGGGCGAGGAACAGGATTCCGAACACGACACAGAAGAAAATATCTCCTCCGAGATTAGGTCGGTATCCATAGGTGGTTGCTTCTACCGGACATTCCGGTGTGACTTGTGTACAGTAACCGCGAGCCATCTTAGAAAGTCGCGACGACGTTGTTTACGTGTCGTTAGATTATGACGACTGGGCTGAAAATGAAGGTTCAACAAGGATGCAGCTGAGAAGAATACTTCAAGACGAAAACAAACCCATCGCGGGGGGTAATCAGGATATGATATATAAGCGATGTGTTGGCCTGGAGGGCTGGACGGGCACCATTGCGACATTCATCTCATCCTTTTGCCGTTTCGTGAAGATAGCGTGCGGTAAACGAGCTACGAGCGATCCTCGTTGAGCGTTTCTCGTACAGCCGGAGCCAAAATCGCGATCTGCACGTGAGAAGCGCCGCATAGCCTGTACTCCGCTGTCAGAGACTGCCATTTAGCGGAGGAAGAGAGCCCGCCGCTTCCTTCGATGCACGGTGTCAGACGAATTTAATTCCGTCGGGACGCGCGGGTCTTGTCAAAGGATCACTGCCGAGCAAATCAAATGGACGGGGGGTGAGTTTGTCCGGTGACGCGCATGCCGCTTGACATGTTCCTCTATACCTGCGCAAGAAAATAGCCCGAGGGGCATCGGTCTTGGGCGTTTATCCTTATCCACATTTTCACAACATAAACCCCCACGCGAGGGCTGGCCGCAATGTCCTCTCGCCGTTTTCACAGAAAGTCGCGTAGTGGATGTGTGCATTGCAAGAAGAGACACATCAAAGTAAGCTGGCGGCTCGGTGTGACGTGAGATTTTTGGTTGCTGATAGTCGTCTTTCCAAGTGTGATGAAGGTCGTCCGAATTGCGCCAACTGCCAGAGAGCAGGCGTAGTTTGTACCTATGATCAGCTCAAAGTTCCCACTAGCCCAACGCATAGTGCAAGTGCTAGTCCTGCTGGCTCGACAGCATCAACTCTGGTATACGAACAGTCTCCGACTTTTGATATGCTCGATCTATCCTTGATGCACCACTACACGGTATCAACTTCTCTTGGCCTCTTTGCTGGTCACGGCGCTCGAGAAATCTGGCAAGAAATGGTCCCAAACCAGGCCCAATGTAATCCCTTACTCATGCATGGTATCCTTGCTTTGGCTTCAATGGATCTTGCCCGGACACGACCCAACGAGCGGCAAATCTACGCGACGAGAGCGCTGGCACATCAAAATTCAGGCACGCGGTTATTCAGAAGCATGCTCGAGCAAGTTCGCCAATCAGACAGCCATAATGTTGTCATGGTCTTCAGCATGATACTAGCAATTCTGGCCTTTGCACTACCACACGCTCGTGACGACCCACCGGATTTTGATGAGATACTTGACCTATTCAGTTTAATCAGAGGTTGCAAAACTGTGTGGCTCTTGAGCCCAGAATCACTCGCTGGGACTTCGTTAGGACAATGGATCAAGACTGTCTTCGCCGGACGCCCAATCATGGTGAAACCTGAAGTCGATCGTAGTTTCCAAATCCTGCGAGCACGTCTCACAGATCCAGCGGATATCGTTGCCATCGATCAACTCAGGGAGTTCATACACGGCGAGCTTGCCACATCCTCAGGTGGAGTCGCAAATCTAGGCCGTTGGCCCACCATGGTGTCCGACGCCTATTGGCAACGCGTGCAAAACCATGAAGTCGACGCTTTACTCGTACTTTCGCATTATTCTGTTGTCCTGGGTGCGCCTAGCCATCAATGGTGGAGCGCTGACTGGGATTCAATCTTGCTGCAAGCCATCGACAAAGCTCTGCCACAAGTCGACAAGAAGCTCGTGGAGTGGAACTTGTCTGCGATGATGAAGATCGCCAGATCTTACAACGAGAGTCAAGTTTGATCTGACATAACAACCAACACGTCGGCCCATGAGCTGGCGATCATGCGAAATTTGCATACGAAGCATCCGCTATCTCCATGAATCGAGCAGTCGAGCAGTCGAGCAGCCGTAAAACTCGACTGCCCGCAGTTCCTCACTCACCGCCTGAATACCCTGTGCGATCCTCACCACGAGCCCAAACTGTCCATCTGATATCGACTGGAATGTTCAGCTGACATCTGGTACTTTCCCTAGACCAGAACGTCAACGACTTGGTGTGCAGGCAAACCACTGCGAGAGAGACATCTTGTTACTAGGGCTCTGGCATGACGGTGATCGCAAGAGTACCCAGGTCGCCTCAACTGTCTGTACATATTCCGAGGCGATCCCAACAATCATAAGGCAACTCAACCACTGTCAATGGGAAAACAACCAACATATGTTTTCTTCTCTCGGGCAAGACGATGCGGTTCAGATCAGTTGAAGGAACAGCAAGTGGCATTAGGCTCGGCTTCCTGTCAGGAAGAAAGTAGGAGCAATCCATAGACATCATGAGTAATAATAGGACATCCCCGAGAACTGCTACTCGCCGTTCTCAACCTCATCATCTTCCCCATCCTCTTCAATGTCTTCGCTCTCAGTTTCCAGTTGGTCTTCGTCAACTCGATGCTGCAGCATGAGACTCGCGAGCGTTTCCCGAATATTGCCATCGCTGGTCATCTGAACCTTGTTTCCGCTCACAAAGCTGAGGGTTCTGGGATTTGGGGTCTCGACCCGTATGTCTTCCAAACGCAAGTAGGTTAGACTGTCCGCATGCTGTGAGATTCGCGACAGCAGTTTATATAGTGGCGTGGCTGCTTGGCTTCCTCCGAAGAAGGAAGTCAAATGCATCAATCGAGAGTTTGTGACCGAGATGCATGATAGAGGATTGGACGGTGGTCTGGCAGATAACAAAACTCCGTCTAGCTGTTCGACAAAGAATTGGCAGTTTGTCAGATATATCTCAGCCGGATGCTTTTCTTGGATCCATTGACCTATGCCGTGGAGGTCGTGAGCTGTGATCTGAGAAAATTGAAGACATTGGCGCTGTCGGTCAAAGATAGTCTCGCCGTGTTTGAATGCCACAACAAGAGACTGCACTGTAAGTACTTCTGTCTCCTTCTCCTGGACATTGATCAGACCATCGAGTCTGCATAACATTTTGTCGAGCTGAAAATCTGGATCCCAGTCTTTTGCTCTAACAACAAGCCTCTTTATCAACATCCGTGATTTGAAGACCTGTTCCACGATCCCAAGGATATAGTGAACGATACACGGTTCCGAGATCCATTCGTTGCTGCCATAAGGACTAAAATTCAGCTCCAGAGAAACATTAAACGTGCTCAGCTTATCGAAAAGCTGTTGCACCAACGTCGTCACTGGCCATACATTTCGCCAGTCTCGTACAAAGTCGAAGGTCACAGATTTGACTGCATGTGCGTGTGCGGGACTCGATATGATTTCCAGCAATCGCGTAAGGTTGTCCTTTTGTGATGGATCTATGCGGAGGAGTTCCAGATGGCGGAGAAAACTGTCATGGCAAAGTTGCTCTACAGTCTTGCTGACTAGACGAAGATCGAGAAGTGTTCTTTTACATGCACTATCTGCATGCTGTATGATACCGATAAGGACTTCGGTTGGTAGACTCAGCAGTGCGATGCCCATCCTGTGCTTATAACCAGGTTCTCGGGATGCGCGGGGGCTAGTGTATTGAACCACTGGAGAATTTGTTGGTTGTCGATCTTGGGCAGCTTAAATCATGCGTCTTGTATCTATCAGATAGCGTATCCTGATGTTTGAGGACGATATCAAAAGAAGTCGCGAGTCGATGGTGACGTAATATTAGCTTTGGCGAGACAATTCGATAGTCGAGTGACTTGACGGTATGGCAGGAGCAGTCATCGCATAAAGGGAAAAGGACACAAGGTGCTTTGGGACTGTTGATGAGTTAGACGTAGTAATTTAGCCAGAGCTGTTCGAGATTAGCCAGTTGGTGCCGTCAGAGGTGTTGTTATACTTTGCCCCAGTATTCGCCAAGCCTCAGCAAGATACAGCATTCGGGAGTAATGAGCCGAGTATCTATACAGTACTCAATCTTCGCCCGTTAAACATTCACTGTAGATCTTCTACTGCCCTTCGACTCTTTTGAGTTTGATATCTCGGGATTTTGGATCGTTCGCACTTCTTGCTGGTCATTTCTTGGTTAGCACTAGGGCATATCGGCTTGTTACAATAGGGAGATCGGATCTAAGACATCTGTCATGATTGCACCCGATTCAGTATCTAGATTGCATGGACGTGAGGTGAGTATGCGACCACAATGCTACCAACATGTCATGAGTTTGCTGCAATGAGATTTATGGTTTGAAATGTATAGAATTTCAGATTCTATGGTACGATGGTTGAAATCGTGGGGGGTATCTCTAATATTATAAAACAATGCTTTTCGTTTCGTATCCCGTCATTAAACAACTGTTAAAGTCAAATGTGTCGTACTCAGAAGGTGCTACCCTCAGTAGGAACCTGGTGCTTAGGAACCTTGATGAAGACGTTCCTGGTCCAGCCTTCAGCATCCTTGTGAACCTCCTTCTCGAGACGGTAGCCTCCGATCTTAGGCAGAAGGACAGCCCAGAACACCCAATAGACACCTCCAGCTGCGATGATAGCCAGACCGACAACGCAGTGAAGGTAGTAAGGTAGCGACTTGTACTGGTTCAATTCGGGAGTTGGGGGAGGAACAAATGGTGCGATGACGAGGTAGACGTTGCTGAGGAAGAAGAAGATGGTCACTGGAAGAGTGGCCTTGACCGGAGGGTTCCAGTTGAACTGCTCGCGGTGGGTGTAGATCCAGATGAGAGCGATCGAGACGAAGACGTTGACGACCGAAAGTGGGTAGGAGATGACGTTCAAGATGAAGTTGTAGGCATCACCGGGAGGAGGAGCCAGCATGATGATGACCGAAACCAGCCAGTGCTCAAAGAGACCCATGAAGGGAGCGTTGAAGGGCTTGTTGCTGGCCCATAGTCTGCTGAATGGTAGAATGCCTTCGCGACCGAGTTCCTGCACAAGTCTGCCCTGGGAGAAGATAACAGATAGCACATTTCCGTATGCCGAAAGAGCAACGAACACACTCAATGCGCGTTCTGCTCTAGGGCCAAACATGTTGCGGAAGAATTGGGCGGCCAAGATACGGCCACTGCTGATGATATCTTCCTTAGGGACTGCAGCGAAGTATGCGATGTTGGCCAGAATGTAAAGAGTGCCGACGATCAGGATAGCGCTTGGTGCTGCGATCTTCAGTGTGCGCACTGGGTTCTTCATTTCGGACATAGAGTAGTTGGCGTTGCTGTAGCCGATGAAAGACCAGATGACATTGTACAGCGCGGTGACTACTCCATATGCGGAGCCAGTAGTACCTTCGAAGGCGTTGTCGAAGTTGTTGGGCTTTTCGATGCGTAGCTTGCCTCCGAGTGCGGCAAAGCCAGAGAAGACGATGATGAGCAGAATGATAAGCTTGATGACACCAAGAACATTTTGCAGACGAAGACCCCACTTGAGAGCGAGACCGTGGACGAGGAAAGCCGAGGTGATACATGCGAGACCAATACCTCTCTGGTTCCAGCGGTTGACAGGGACCTGGGCGGCGTTGAGAATGTATTCGCCGAAGACGACACTGTTGGAGCCAGCCCATCCTAGGAGTACAACGTATCCAGTCTGTTCTCAGGTCAGTCTCATGTGAATTTGACAAGCTTGCAGCTGAACGTACGTAAAGACCAGTGACCAAGAATCTAGGCTTCTTGAACACGTGCTCGAGGTAGTTCTTCTCTCCACCGTTTCTGGGAAGTGCCGTGCCAAATTCGAGGTAGACGGCCATACCGGCTGCGGCAATGATCAAACCGGCTACCCAAATGAACAAGGCAAGACCAATACTTCCACAGCTTGCCACAATACTACTGGGTGTAGCAAAAATACCAGTTCCAATCATGCGGTTGAAGATGAGAAAGATGGCGCTCACAAGACCGATCTGTCGGCGGCCTTCGCTGGTTTGGTAGACATCATGACCATCATCGCTTGATGTTTCGTGGTCCACAAAGGCCGAGGGATCCTTCACCTCGGCCTCAGGGGCTTTCTTTGACGACGAGAAGACCATGTCGGAATCCCAAGTATAAGTAGCTATCGAGTCGGCTGTCAAAAGAGCTGTGGTAGAGTTATTGAACTCCAACGAGTCGATGCCTCTTTGTGCTTTTGTAGAATGGCCACGCTCTTGCGTGAACCTCTGTCGAGAAGGCGTCATTGTCACTAGTATAGAAGCAGTAACTTCTTAAGTAATACAAACAACGAGAAAGAAGCTTGGTGGTCTGGAGTTTGGGGTGCACGGCGTGACTTCGCTCTATTAATTTCACCTACTTGAGCTGTTGGCGGGCTCAGCACGCCCTACGAGACTCGCTTGAATGCTTGGGGCGTATTGCGCATTGCTCGGCGTAAAGACGTGATACAAAAGTCCTGTTGTTCTGCTGGCGTTATTGGTTCACATGCTCCTTGAGGATTGCGCCTCGATGAGATTTTTTTCCCTTGTGTAGAATGCCATGACTCGCTTGTACAGTACAAAGGTCTTGTTCTTCAACGCTTGTGTGATTGTGGTCCCAAGAGCTTGGTGGAGATCCACTTTTTTCCGTCGTCAAGCGCATTGGTATTCGAGAAGCACATGGCCAGATTTTTTGATCCAAGGATATCGGCTAAATTCGGGTCTCGTCTTTCAGTCAGAGTGCCTGTCAGACCTGACAAGAGATTCTGGAGCTGCGGTCGCATGGTGGGGTACATGACTTTGAGGATGGATCGAGAGCGAGTTGGAGAAAAAAGGGAGACAGCAAGTGCGAGAAGCCAAGAGGTCGTTGCTTGAACAGAAACGGTAGGCACAGCCCTGGCTAAACGACCCCCTAGCTGTAGGTCAAGAAAGCATATGCGAGTCGACCCTTGTGACGGAATGGACGATTAAACAACCAATCTTTACATGAGCGTCACATATCCATGATGTCTTCAGTCCAAGCTCGTCAGCGACAGTGGGGTCGAATCATGGTTCGAGTGCTGATGCGAAGTCACGACCAGGGGTGTTCGTACTGACGCGCACCTCGAGTGCTCCACCAATTATCCGTAGTAACCAGCCCTACTGTTCGAGTACACCAGCGTCATGCTGATAATGTCTATACCGACCGTGTCTTTGTGAAATATACACACTCACTTTTGAAACAGCGCAAGATGCGGCGCTCACTCTTGCTCTGTACGCGGTCGCTCTGGGCGATCCCTACAACCACAAGCAGATATGCACGCCTTCTCCACACATCGACAGACAGCACGTCAACCTTGAAGTCAACAAATAAACCGGCCTCACCCTTGGCAAGCCGTCAAAATGCATACAACAAACGTAATCAAGGCACTTCTACGACCTCTGGCTTCTATGATTCGAATTCGGCTTTCCAATGGCAGCCAGGCAGTGAGCCAGGAATCGACACTTCGACCGACGGTGTCGTGTCACATGGCAAGACCTTTCCTGTAAACATACCTCACCCGTCGAGTCGTTCGATTTCATGACTAACCACATCAACAGTCGCAAATAACAGCAGTGGACTTCAGCGAGGACCAGATCGAACAAACCGAGCTTGACAACAACTCTTTGGAAGGCTTTCTCAATAAACCTCGGCCAGAATGGGCTAGCTGTCGCTGGATCAACGTCAATGGATTGAGTTGGGATGTTATCAAGCTGCTAGGCAATTTCAAAAAGCTTCATCCTCTGGCTATCGAGGATCTGATGCACACGGGGAACCGAACGAAAGCAGACTGGTATCCGGAACATGCATTCATCGTCATGACTCTTCAGCGACTAACCAAGCTCTCCTCTCAAAATGGCCATAGAGATGCTGATATTCAGAAGGCTCTGTCAAGTTCGGAGTCCCGCCACTCTACGCAGAGCCGCAGCGGTATCACATGGGGAACAGAAAAAACCTTCCAGCCACCTGACAACCAAACACACCTGCGCAGCTTACAATCATATCGTGGAGATCGCTCACCTGAGAGAGTGGCATATATGGAGAAGAACTCGATCTTGACAAGGAAAAGCCTAGGTGTCTCTATCGAACAAGTTAGCGTGTTCCTCTGCAGCGACAACACTGTCGTGTCATTCTTCGAGTACTCTGGCGATGTTATCGAGGAGCCCATCCTGAAACGACTGAATTCACCAGAGACAATCCTTCGCCGAAGTGGCGATGCTTCTCTGCTGGTACACTCGATTATCGATGCTATCACCGATCTGGCCATCCCCATCGTCAGCACATACGAGAAAGCCATCGCCGAGCTTGAGATGGACGTCCTCACACAGCCCGCAATCGGACATTCAAAAGCCCTCTATATCTTGACATCTGAACTATCAATGCTAAGACAGCAAATGCAACCCATAGCCTCTTTAATCAACAGTCTACGCGACCATCACAGCACAGCACAACTCCTCAATCATCGACCCACCTCATCTGCTGCCAATCCTGTGTCGGACATAGCCCGACGCAGCTCTGGTCCTGCAATGATCAAGTCGCAGACTCAATCTTCAGTCAACATTTCCCCTGCCGCACACACATATCTGGGAGACGTAGAGGATCACTGTATCATGATTATTGCTTCCCTCGATCAGATGCGCACGCAAAGCGACAACATGATCAGTTTGATCTTCAACACCATGGGAGCATATCAGAACGAGAGTATGCAGCAACTGACCTTTGTGACCATTTTATTCCTGCCTTTGACGTTCTTGTCCGGTTACTTTGGCATGAACTTTGAAGAGTTCCCACCGTTGAAGAACTCGCATATGTATGTTTACCGTTCTCATCACATCCTCAATCTTGCTAATCGTGACGACAGGTTCTTCTGGTATCTAGCTTTGCCCGTGACATTCGGCATGGTGGTAGTCTTGCTGTAAGTCAGCAAACCTCGAATGCGTAAAAGACAGTACTAATCACCGAAACAGACGACAGAGACTCTTCCGTACAGTGAGAAGATGGATGAATCCAGGTACACGCTCCCACAGACACGCGATGCGCGAGCAACGCAAACGACTGTGAACCATCACAATTCTTCGTAGCTCAGTCAGATGTGAATGCTGTCTAGGCTGCGGTTGGACTCCAACAGTCATCTCTTGCCTCTTGAGCATGCATGAACCGTCTCCTCTTTCTCTCACGCCCCGTTTCTGGACTTTCATTGCATACGAAAGCAGCACAGATCAGATAGATACTTACACAGCATACTCCCCCCTCTCTCTCCGCGTCGCAATTTGTTATAGCTGCATCGTTGTGTCTACATGTACCTTGGACGTTCGCTTTAACATCAGCAGGCCAACCAGGAACTGATGGGAGAAGAGAAAACCGTGTATAAAGCTTGTATATCATGCATGCGAACAAAAAAAAGAGACAACCCATCAAATCATACATGACCCCACAGAGCACCTCCCCATCGATACATGTTTCCCTTCTCACACCCTCTCGTAGAGTCTAAACTCGTACCTGACCTTCTCACCCTTGACTTCCTCCTCCTGAATCTCCTCAACATCCTCACCAGTAAACTCATCCAGTCCCTCCTTCTCCCGTCTCTGCCACCCCTGCTCAGCCTCCACATCAACAGGGAAATCCGTATCGCAATCCCACTCTCCCTTAACTCTGGTTAGCAAGATATCCTTTGCCTGTTCCATATCCAACGCTTGTTTGTATATAGCAGCGCCGCCGATAACAAACACTCTTCCCAAAGGAGCTGCGTTGCCTTCTTTGGCCTTGGCAGCAAGAGAAGACAAAGCAGAGGAAATGCTGTCACTGATAACGACGTCGTCACCCGCACCCTCGAGTTTTGAAGATCGAGAGATGACTACATTGGTGCGTTGCGGCAAAGGGCGGAATTTGGGAGGAATGCTTTCCCAGGTTTTACGGCCCATGACGACGACGTTTTGGGGTGCTTGTGTGGTGGGATCTGAGGAGGTGGAGGTGGTGGAAGATGGGACACGCTTGGTGATGCGAGCAAAGTATGCCATTTCCTTCTTGAGCATTGGCCAGGGAAGAGTTCCATTCTTGCCAATGCCGTTTTTGGCTGTGGTAGCGACGATGAGAGTGAGTGGAGGAATGGATGTTGCTGCTGCGGCTGCCATGGCGTAAGTCTTTGGTGGTCCTGGTAGAACGTGTTCTTCGGTGTGCTGTGTTTCCTGGACTGCGTTCTGTGAGTCTTGAGCCTCGGGATGTTGTGAAGATGATGACTCGGGTGCGGGAGCTTGGGCCACTTGGCTGTAGGTCGGGGCATCTGGTGCCGATGAGTCTGCAGTCTGACTTCGACTCCACACGTGATCCATTTCCTCAATGGACAATGCACCTGCTGATGCTTGTACGTTTGGCTCTTGAGGTGCCTGTTCAGCTTGAGTCGGTGCAGATGTGGTAGGGACATCAGCGGGACCGGTGGCGGTTGCGTAGTCGGCTTCGTTTTGCTGTCTTTCAGCTGCCTCGAATTCGAAGTTGGACGAATAGATGACAGCAGCGAAAGCCTCAAGGTCCTTGACCTGATCGATAGCCGCAAGGTATTCGTTGACTTGAGAGCCGACAGACTCGGCAACTGCAAGATCATCGGGCTCGCTACTGCCGGCAGCGATGCTATGGGCTTGACGACAGAAGACAGCAAGAGTCTGAGCGAACTTGCACTTCTTGTCGCTGATCTCGGTGATGCGTGACAAAGAATCGGGTGCTGGGGGGCTGATTTTGAAGGCTTCTGTTGCGACGCGGTAGTCGATAAGGTGAGAGAAGGTAGCGTTAAGGACTTGGGTGAAGACGTGGGTGAAGGTTGGCGAATCGATGAGGTCTGACGTCTCATCGAGCAGTCTGCGAAGGGAGGCATTCGAAGCAGCGGAGTTGGCTGCGTACATGGGATCTTGCGACGTCTCTTGTGGTGCGGGCGATGCGGACATGGCATCAATACCAGACTCGGACAGGACAAAGTCCTCCTGGTCGCGAGGAGGAAGCATGTACGACAACCACCTGTGCTCACGACGCTCACTCTCGGTGGCACCCTCGACCTTCTTGCGTACCTCGAGGATGAGCTCGCTCAAGCGTTCGAGTGTGATATCCTCGCGCGGGCTGACAGGGCCAAATACCTCCTTGACAGCGGCGCTGACCTTGTCGACAATCTCTTTGCTACCCTTGTGCAACAGCCACCAGCTGAAAGTCAAGTATTTGCGGTTCGTCTCGAAGTCGTTGCCGTAGACACTGTCGTAGTTGTCGTCATCGTTGTTCTCGAGGGAAATGTGGGTAGATTGCGAGGGGTTTGGAGGGCTCGCGAGCGAGACCACCGAAGAGAGGTATGTGCGACGACCGAGCAGGTTGAGCTGGATACGGGTGAGGAGAGTCAGAAGCGAGAGGGTATATAGGAGAGTCAGGGCTCTTGTGATAGCTGCAATCGACTGTCAGTGGGCTTGGTCAATTTGAGCATTGATATGCAGACTTACAGCTGATCTTCATGTCGTTCCAGAGTTGTGCCTTGGACTTTTTCTTCAAAAGCGATCTGGCATCCTGACTGTCGCCCATCTGACTAGCGTGGATATAGCTGCCAGTCTGGAAGCTGGACATGCTCGCAGAGTCGTCGATGGTACTGGCGGGTGCCGAGGGGTATTCGGAGCTGGCAGCTTCTGAGGGACCAGCACTCTTTGCCAGCTTTTCTGCCCGCTGTCGTTGCAACTCATTGGTCATATCTTCGACGGGGAGGGCACTGATGATCTCTTCTCGGATGGTAGGGAGCAAGGCGAGTACCGTGTAGGTGCAGTCTTCCTGGTTCTGTTCGAAGCGGCGGCGAAGGCTGTTGTCCTGTCAGTCTCCTGTCTCTTTTCCACATGGTCTGACAATGGTTACTTCTCTTTGGACATGATCTCATCGGCCATGCGCTGGCGTGCCTCGAGCCATTTGCTCCAGGCATATTGGCCGGCCAGGTAGACCAGACCTAGCGTGCCTGCTCCAATGGCGAACCTGGTGCGATTGCGCCTGAACCACCGGCGCGTTCCTTCTAACATGGCGGCATCCGTCTATGTGTCTGCTGCGCGATTGCTGCTATACACCCACGTTCATCTGTTCGCAAATTCGTTGGATATCGTCACACCTGTCTTGACACGGGAATGAGAGAGAGCTTCAATATGGGGAGCCCGACGTGGAGTTGGACCTCGGCCTCTCGGCAAACCTTCTCTGACCCTGATAAGAGCATTCTGTTATCGTCATAGGAAACGTCTCTGTATGCTAATCTTCTATCCTCTCTGCCTATCCTAATACGGTGCGCATTCCCTTTCGAGCCACTTCATCGTTCTCTGATCTTGGCTGAAGTATCCCTTCGTCTTCTCATACACCTTTGAGTGGTAGTCGTTCAACCACTGCTTCTCCTCCGAGCTGAGAAGCGATGCATCCGTGAGCTTCTTGCACATTGGTGTCATTGTGACATGCTCGAAGCCCAGGTAAGGCTTGTCGCCGAACTGATGCGTCGTCTTCTTTTCCGTCACCATAAACATGTCTAAATTCGCGTTAGCCAGCCGTCTCTGATGTGCGACTTCTCTCCATCCAACTTACTCTCTATTCTGATACCGAAAGCGCCATCCTCATAGTATCCAGGTTCGTTCGAGATGACATTGCCGACAGCCAGCGGTACCTCGCTGTAAGCAACTCTAGTGCCAATGCCGATAGGTCCCTCGTGAACGTTGAGGAAAGACCCTACACCATGACCAGTGCCGTGACGATAATCGAGTCCCTCGGCCCAGAGAAACTGTCTAGCTAGAACATCAATCGCATACCCAGTAGTACCCTTGGGGAACTTGACATTGTCCAATGCAATGTGACCCTTGAGGACGAGAGTGTATGCTTTACGCTCCATGTCTGTCGGCTCGCCGAAGTGCATGGTACGAGTTGTGTCGGTTGTACCATCAAGGTATTGAGCGCCCGAATCGCAAAGGTATACCGCCTTGGGATCGATGACACTGCATGCGCCAACCTCTGGCTTGTAGTGGATTACAGCTGCGTTCGCGCCAGTTGAAGAGATCGTGTCAAATGAGAGACCAACAAAGTGCTTGTGCTTTGAGCGGATCGATTCCAGCTTGTCAGCAGCCTCGACCTCGTCAATCTTGGCATTCTCGCCGACCAGTCGATCTTCAAGCCATGCAAAGAACTCGCTCAAAGCAGCACCATCACGAATATGGCATTCGCGCATACCCTTCATCTCGGTCTCGTTCTTGACAGCCTTAGCGTCGCCAATCAGACTGCGTATCAATTCGACCTTGTCCTCTCCACCGAGTGCCTGGTACAGAGCCCAAGAAGCTTTGTTGGAAACGAGGTACTTGTTATCTCCAGTCGAAGACGACGAGAAAGCTTCCATGTCGGTGAAGATAGATTCGTAGGGTCTGACCTCAACGCCTGAGAGATGTGTCTTTGCGGCAGCAGTGAGCTTCGAGTCGTCGATGTAGAGAGTACTGGTCGTTGGGGTGACCACGGCGTAGGAGAAGAAGACGGGGTTGTAGGGGATGTCGCTTCCACGTAGATTGTATAGCCAGGCAACCTCGTCGAGCATCGAGACGACGAAACCGGCGCTCTTCTTCTTATCCAAATCTTTGCGGATGTCTTCGATCTTGTCCTGGAACTTCTTGCCGGCAAAGTCGAGAGTGAGGACGTCAGCCTTCTCGTTCGGCCTAGCAGGTCTTGCTGAGCCCCAGACCGAATCTACGAGATTCTCCTTGACAGCGATGAGGTCTTTGCCGCCCTTTTTCTTGATCTTCTCGGAGAGCTTGCGCGCATCGGCTAGCATGAAGTTAGCAGTGCTCATTGAGAAGCTGAGAGAGACGTACGAGCTGTGATGGTGGTCGGGTCAACACCAACAGTCTTGCCGCCTTCTGCTTGCTCGGCGGACCACTCCTGCCAAGTAGGTACATCTTGAAGGCCCTGTTTGAGCAGAGTCCAATTGTCGTCGAGTTGCTTTTCAGCTTGGTTGAAGTATCTTCCGTCTGTGGCCAGAGCGGCCTTGTCATGAGTGATGACAGCAGTTCCAGCGGAACCAGAGAAGCCAGAGATGTATTCTGCGTTTCGTATTAGCGTCGAGTCGCATGACTCTTGAGTATGCAAGTTGACTGACCTCTACGAGCATCGGCAGGTGCTATGTACTCGCTCTGATGGCTGTCTTCCGAAGGCACAACTACGAGAGTCAGTCAGTTGTCTGTCGATGTGCATCCAGACGGCTTACTGTAGATATCTACCTTGTTGCGCTTCATGAGTTCTCGCAACTGCGAGAGTCGCTCGGTTGTGATTACTTTCTCCATATCAATAGGATATCTTCTAGTTGCCGAAGCGTGGAACAATCTTCCGGCAGTGATGCCTCTTGAAAGTGTACTGAGTCTAGCGAGTCCACAGAGCATCTGCAAGTCGCGTGTCGATTCGATGTCTCGCCGTCAATTGGACACGCTATGACGGAGTTGCGGCGAGCCAAAACGCCGGACCATTTTCGGCAACCTCCGTCCAGCAGGACATCGAGGTAGCGTCGGCGTCTGCGTGCAAACATGATCCTCACCTCGCAATCAACCATCAAAAATAATCGCCAAATCATACGAGAATGCTCTAGGACATCAGTAGGTGTATACCCTCTACCTAGCTACCTTCCCGTCGTGAGATTTCAACATCTCCCGCACTACCTCACGCTCCTTTTTGGCCATCGATTTCCTTGTCTGTTTCTTCGTGAGTGACTTCTGCAAAAGGTATCTCGCCTTGGATCCTCAGGCTGAGTCGACGATGATAGCAGTCTTTCCCCGGATTCAAACCATAGAGGTAGGTGATGTCGTTCTTTCTATCACATGCCGCCGGGAATCCTTGGTTCGACAAGGGGCGTTACCGGTGCTTCAACATTCAGACTCGCGTCTTGGGCGACGAGGATCTCTCTGCAGCTGGCAGCGCCCTATCTACATCATATCGACAAGATGCCATACTCGGCAGTGTGGAGGACAGCCACCCAGCCCAAATGGCCTCGTGGCCCAATTCGGGAAGCAATCGAAACAGGAAGACTAATTCAGATGATCGTCCCAGACCCCAACATGAGCGCGGCTGAGCAAGCAATCGAGCTCGTACGCCGACTCAATGACCCCAGATTCGCAGCTGGCGCCTCGCAGATTTCGCGAGAGCTGCAGGAAATCCAGTTGTCTGATCACGGATGGGCTGCTGCAGACGCTATGCTCGACCATGCGGATGCCAATATCAAGTTCTACGGAGCTCTGACTCTGCAAATCAAACTCAACAAAGACAGGTCGGTGCTCCTCAATCAGCACAGCGTATCACCCGAAATACTGACACCAAGAAGAAGCACACTCAACGAACAAGCAGCAGCTGAATTGAGGTCCCGTCTGGTCCTGTGGTTTGTAAGTTTGCGTCCTGTTCCTTGCTCGATTCGACCTCTGATTGTGTCCCCTCACAGGTTCGCCTTGCACTAGGTGATCTACCTCCCAAACTCATCATCGACAAGCTTTGTTCCACAATGGCCACATACTTCATTCAGACTCCTCTACCATGGACACAGACTGTTCGCCAAGTCATTTGCTCACTATATGCCAGTGATGTGGTGCCTCATGATATGCTTAGCTCATATCCGGATACCAGCCAGATCATTGGCGAATTATCAGGCTTGAGGCTATTCATGGCTGTCCGCTTCTGCAGAGTGTTGGCCGAGGACGTACAGAACAGCTCTACACTAGGGCCTCAGTACTATCATCTCGATAGCATCTTCAAGAGCAACACTACTGATTCCGCCATACTCATGACCTTTGTCTTCAACCCATCAACAAGATGTTCACCAGAGATCGCGGTCGAAGCTGTGAATTGCTTCTCCGCTTGGGTCGCCTACAGCTTCGCACATTGGAACACAGATCCTGTAGCTCTACAGCTTCTACAGAATCTCACCCCAATGGCTATCCAACACTTATTGCATCGCGAACAAGATGTCAGAGATCCGACTGTGGAATTCTTTGTCAACACCCTGGAGTATCGCTCAAAGTTCCTCCAGAAGAATGATCTTGAGTCTCTGTCCCTGCTAGTGCGCAAAACCATTGGTCCACAATGTCTAGCGCAGCGCCCAAATTTCTTGAATCCAGCAATCGTAGCATTCAGCAAACTGGTCACTGCGTATGGTAAACTGATTGTCAAAGATTTGATCTCGGAGAGAAACCGCGAATCATCTCAAGAAATAATCGGTCAGTGCACGAGAATCGCTCAGTAAACTTGACTCTTGAACTGACACAAATTTAGACCTCTTACAGCAGTTGTTGACTGCCCCTGGTTATCCTGCTGAAGACGACCAAGTCATCCTCAACGTCACCGAGTTCTGGATTGAATTCGCCGAACAGATCGCCGACACAGTAATGGACTCGCCAGAGGACGAGATCACTTTCCTGGCAGTTGTGAGAACCGATCTTATGCAAGCCGTCCAGACATACATCCCAAAACTCCAAGCGCCACCTCCATCAGAAATGTCTGAGTGGGATGAAGACAACGTTGACCAATGGCAGTTTTTCCGCGATAACATCAGCGACTTCTTTGATCAAGTCAATGCCATTCCTGACACGCACCTCTTAAGCAACATGGTTGTTCTTGCAACCAGTGTCTTACCTACTCAAAATTGGCTGCGTCTCGAAGTCATAATTTTCTCCATCAACTGCATCTCTGACTCTATCGTACTGTCAGACGAGAATACCCAGGCCCTTTCTGCGCTTATTGGTTCTTCGTTGTTCAATGACATCTCATCCAATGATGTCGAAGTGCCAAACAAGCTGAAGCGTGCTGCCATGACGCTTGTTGATCGATATTCTTCATTCATCAAGAAGAACCCCCAATTTCTACCTCCGGTTCTTACCTTCCTCTTCACGATTCTGGCATCTACACCCGCAGACCGCGTCAAGCTTGCAGACGCCTCAGCGAGAACTCTCGAACAGCTTTGTTCTTCGTGCCGCAAGTCTTTGACACCACACCTTGGAGAGTTGCTTCAACAATGCCCACAAGCACTTTCCGGCCCCTCAGCAAACAGCTATCAGAAAGAGAAGATCATGGCAGCTCTTGCCTCAATCATCCAAGCTTTACCCACTGAAGAAGCCAAGGCTGCACCACTGGAATCGCTGATTGGAGTGATCGAGAATGACCTCAACACAGCTATCACAACTCTAAATGCAGGCAATCTGGAGGACAGCGAAATGCTAGGAACGTCTGCTTTACAGTGTCTGGCCAGCATCGGCAAAGGTATTCAAGCACTTACCAACGATGTTATCGATGTGGACAGCGATGACGAAGAGGCAAATGACGACCCAGCCGCCACAAGCAACTTCTGGACTTCGTCAGCTGGCGTCGAGATACAGAACAGGATCGTGCAATGCATCAACATTGTTGAATTCCTGCACAACCCGGGCGATGCCATGGATGCCGCCTGTGCGATCCTGCGTGCCGGTCTCAAGGAGACGAAGCCGGGTCCCTTCGTGTTCCCACCCCAGGCCACTGTCACCTTCATCAGTAAGGCACAAATCAGCACACCCCGTATCGAGGCCATCATCGGTACAGCGTGCAGTTTTGTCTCCAACTGTTCGCGCAAGTCGGCACCGCACATGTTTGACGAAATGTCGGCAGTATACCAGAGAGTAGCGCTGGTGATGCAGCAGCTCGGCGACCCGGCCAACGACCCCCAATTGGCCCAGCTATGCATCGACTTCTTGCAGAGGCTGCTTGTCAGCTATATTGACGTTCTGCTCTCTCCTTCAGACGACGAGATTGCTGCTGTTCTGCAGTTTGTCATAAACTGCATGGTAGGCAATGCGCCCATGCTCAAGCGCAACGCCTGCAACTTCTTCGTAAGCCTCCCTGTCGTCTCGGCCTTCGCCCGATGACTTTCCTTCCATGTACCCGACGCTAACGTACGCGAAACACAGGAAACCTTGCTGGGTCTCGCCAACCCACGCACCGCCAACTCCCTCCCTCCCTGCCGTGTGCCTCCCCTCTCCGTCCTCTCGGCCTTCGCCGGCCCTCTCTCCCAGGCTCTCATCTTTAACATCGGTGGGCTGGCCCAGCGCTCGGAGATTGAGTCGCTGTGCAAGCCCCTGCGCGCGCTCGTCTTCTCCCAGCCTGGGCTGGCCAAGCAGCACCTTGAAGCCTCTCTGCTGGACCCCGGCTTCCCGTCCACTAACGTGGGAGAGAAGGAAAAGCGGGTCTTTGCGGCCAAGGTTCTCGGGTTGAGGGGAGGTAGGCAGACGGTGGTAGTGGTCAAGGAGTTTTGGGCCTTGTGCAAGGGCACAGTGACGTCGTTTGAGTAGGGGTGGGGAAAGAAAGAGGAGAACATATAGCTATTACAATGCACAAACATCTCCTAGTCATGACCTGTATCCAAAGAAAGCCCCTATTTTCATACCTCTCAGTGGGCAACCACTCTGTATCATAAACCTTTGTGCATTTCTGTAGCTTCAAACAACTTATCTCGTGGGTAGGAGTATGTCTAGTTCCCACTATGAAGATGCATAACGATCTTCAAATGGCACCTTGTGCAAGGAGAACAGAGAAAAATATGGCTCTCAATGGAACATCAATCTGTTTCAGAAAGCACTGTGCATTTCTATAGCTTTCCAAACTCCTACAACACTCCTGTGAGATGGATGGAATGAGAGGTCTCTCCCATGGATAATCTTGTGTTTCTATACATCTATAACAATGCACAAAAATCTTCTAATCACAGCTTGTATCCAAGGAGAGACCCAAAAGCTCATAGGTTTCATCGGAATATCATTCTGTTCCCGAAAACACTGTGGTCTTCTATAGCTTTATCCTGGAACTCGATTTGCGCTCGAGAAAGCACGACCTTTTCAACGTGCTCGAAAGTCATAATCCGGGAACGGGAACTTGTCGGCTGCACCACCAAAGCTAGGCAAAGAAGGCAGAGACTCGAAAAGTTTCTGGAAGCCTGGTCGCGCAATGGTTCCGAAAATCGACCTGATCATCCAGATGCCAAAATCTGATTGCGGAGCGGCGAGTTTCGGAGCTCTTCCTCCCAATGGTATGGATCCGTTCTCTTGAACAAATCCTTCGAAATTCTTCTTGTAGTTCGTGAATGCGGTAGCTGGGTCTTCAGGGTTCTTGGCTAGTTCTCCGGCGAGCACGTAGCTGCCGATGAGTGCCATTGTGGTGCCTTGTCCTGTTAGGGGTGAAGGACAGTATCCTGCGTCGCCAACCAGAGCACAACGGCCAGAGTGCCAGGTGTCGAGTTTGACTTGCACTACTCTTGTAAAGTAGAAGTCGTCGGAGGCGTTCATCCCTTGTACAATTTGATCTCTGATGCCACCAACGCCTTCAAATCGCCGTTCCAGGAGAGCCTTTTGTTGCTCCACTGTTCCATGCCGAGCTGCTTGTTGCAAATCTGCAGCATCGGTTGTTGTGACGATTAAATAACTCGAGGCTCGAGTGCCAGCTCTGTCGATTGGTCTTCTCCAGAGTACGCGTCCTTTGTTGGCATGCTGTAAGACTGAATACGTGGTTTGTTGTTTCGGGCCCACTTGCATGGAGAAGTAGGCGCAGTAAGTATCGGTCTGTCGGAAGCAATTCTCGGTTGCTGCTTTGTCGAAGGTGAGTTTGCGTACTCGCGAGGCTACGCCGTCTGCGCCAATGATGGCGGTGAATGATTCGGGTTTGTTGGTATCTGATAGGGTGGCTGATACAGAGTTTTCTTCTTCTTTGATTTCGTCTACTGTGCATCTGCTCAATAGTCAGCGCTTTGTTCTCAAGTTGATATGGATTGTGCAACTCACCCATATCGAAATTCCACCCCCTGCTCTTTGGCCGCATCCATAAGAATATTCGTCAAAGTTCCACGCATAATCTGATCTCGAATCAGCAACAACTCTCTTCTCAGTATACTCTCTCCACATACCTCAATCTCATTAGTAGGTGAGAAGGCCATCTTGCTCTCATCCGCGGGATTGGTTCCTACACTCCCAATCTCTCTTCCGCCATCATCCAACATGGCAAACCCACTCTCTCCAGTCGTACTGGCTTTGATCTTCTCCCACAAGCCCATTTTCTTCACGATATCGACGGCTGGGCCTGTAATGTCTATGCCTTGGCCATAGGGAGGTGTGGTTGAGCGTTCGATGACTGTAACGCGAAAGCCTGCTTTTGCGAGGAAGAAGGCTGTAGTAGAACCTGCGGGGCCGCCGCCGACGACGAGGATATGATGCATGGCTGATTTGGTGGTATGTGAGGAAAAGGGTCTTTTGATGAAGGTAAAATTGGTCGATTGTCTGTATGTTGTGCTTGGATTCAATATCGATGGTGTGAGGACAACAGCTCTTGTCTTTGAGCAGCAGACTTGCTTTTGGAGTATTGAATTATGCCGTAGAGCATACATGATGAACCACGAGAAGATAGGAAATGGGCTACTTGTATTTACATGGAAAGTTGAAGAGACATTTGTCTGTGATGGTGATGATGCACGAAAGGGACTTTACTCGCGGTCGGTAGTGTTCCCGAGCCATTTCGGTGCTTTGTAAGACCCATTGGGCAAAGATCGGCGGTATATCTCGGGGACTGGCCCCCGAGCTGCCTCTTCTCTGTCAGCACCAGCATGGATCCGATGATGTAGTTGGTAGATACTTGGATCTGTTTCAAGTCTTGTTGATCAGAAGTCAGCTACTCGTATCTAAGCCAATACGTAGTTTCGACACCGAAGTTTCACGACAAGTGCAGTGGGAATGCTTTGCATGAAGCACGCACACGATAGAATAATAGCCAGATGCAGTAAATCGCTACACTGCCAATATCTGGACTCTATAATACTCCAGAATGACGGAGGAGTGTCACTGATAAATATTGCTGATCCATATTCCAGTTGTAGGCGATGCTCTTGGTGATAATGCAAATACTATGAAGAAACAGGGTGACCCTCGCAGCGTGTGTGATGTCTCCGGAAAGTCAGACCAGAATGCTCTGTCTCTTCCATCTCAGCCACATACGCAACAGTGGAAGTATTGAGGGACAACACGTTGGAAGCAGTGATTGAAGTGAGCAATGACAATAGCAAGGATGTTGACGGTGTGCGTATTATGCATGGTCATAAGAGTGCCAAGTCTGCACAACTCTTGCCAAGTTGCGTTATGAAAAACCAAGGGTCCACAAATTTTATGTCTAAATCTTCAAAAAGTCGATTCTTGACCAACTTCCACCTTCTTTCTTCTGTTCTCTGAGATAGTGGTATAACAGCAAAAGGATAGTGACGAGAGTGGGATTTGAACCCACGCCCTTTCGGACCAGCGTATTGGAAGAACCTTAAGCTGGCGCCTTAGACCGCTCGGCCATCTCGCCGTTGATGTTAAGAACAGCCGAGGGTGGGTACAAGACGGAACGATAGAACACTGCGCATTGACCAGCACCTGGGCCACTCCATGTACACACCCAGTACACACCAAGCGTATGATGGTGTACAGACTGCCATCGAGTAAATTCGTCGTCAGTGATGATTCAAGCGCTCCTTTGACGTCCTTGTCTACCCGCTCGCAGCTCTCGTAGATCAACAGCTGAGCCATGGGCAGGAGTGAACGTGTGTATGTGTGAGGTAGAACGACTTGTGCTGCTATAGCTTCTCAGAGCCATGTTCGAAGAGTGCTGGCCTCTGGGCTTCCGGCGAGGGCCATGGCCTGCAAATCGCATGCCAAAGTTCTGCTGTGAAGGATCGCGTAATGCCGAAGCTCTTGCAAATGCTCGACCTATCATCGAAGCATTATACCTCTTGATAAGCTTCGACTTCTAGAAAATGCCCATACGTTGACCCCATCCGTCGTTCTTGGGGTTGACAAGGATATGGTATGGGAAGGTGTTGGTGTCTTGGGTGGTGATCGGGGGCACGTGGTCTTTGTACTGTTGAACGATATCGGTGACTTTCACGACGGCGTTGCTGAGGGACCTCTCTATGGCTCGCCGGGAGGTTGTTGCTTCTGTACTAGCATGTCAACTCTAGACAAGCACCACGGATGAAGGGACTGACCTTGATGAGTGCGTGGAGAGGCAAGAGCAATGTTCAGTGTCCACGTTTCCCAGACCAAGTCCTCGTCCTTTGCGCCAAACCAACCCTTCTTTCGTCTGCGTTCTCGTTCGCTGAACTGCACGACAAGCTGACCGCGAGTGTTCTGATTCTGGTCGTTGACGTCGGCATCCGTCTGGCGGATGAACTGATCAACACGTTGTTCGATGAGCGTCTGCAGGTCGACGTCTTGGATCCAGGGGATAGAAATATCTAGCACATCGTGCCATGTGGGATCGAGGTTGGCAAAGATGCGATACCAGAATATGGTGTGGAGAATACCAGTGACGACGTCTTTGGCGTTGGCCTTGTCGGCGAACACGTCGATGCTGAACGAAGCAACCCGGCGTTCTTCCATGTCAAAGTATCGAATATCGACTATTTCATGTTGCGAAGAAGACTGTCGAGCTTAGGCTGTCCATATCTCTGTCGAGAACACACGTCGCTTCCTGATGATTGTAAGTGGATGTGATGAAGGTAGCTCCTTCTCGATAACACATGCGACTGGTGCAGACTGTGGGGTGTCCCGGCCCGAGCTCCCTCACTCACATGTCAGCGACGCCGGCTCCGGCAACGGCGTGCTCGAGACATGCAATGGCATCAGCAGCTTAGGTTGCCAACCTCGTGTCCACCATTCAACTTCACAAGCACATCGCACCAGAGATCTCAAGGGTGTCTGATGAGTTCTGCGCGTGCCTGCATCCCCACCATCATCCATATGCCTCTCCGGCCTCCAGACGCCTTCGCCTCGCCAGGCACATGCCCCCACTGATCTACGAGCGTACATATAGGTCGACGTTTAGGTCGGACCTTCCCGCTCAACAGCAAGCACGCGCGCTGCCCTCTGCCTCGGACGGCAACACATATGTTACCTGTGCCCAGCATATCGCCTCAAGTAAAGCCAAACCTTGCGCAATATGCCGTCCATGCTGTGAATGTACCTTCTGTCAAGTATTTTCTTCCACAGAAGCTCTCGTGCGTAAGTGCTTGTCTCCTTCCTTATCTGTTCCAGCCAAGACACGAGATAGACTGTGCGTCTTCAATTTCAACCAGCGTCCTCCTGATCTACACTCCATCAAATGTTTGCTGCCGCCCTCGCACTCATTCTTGTGTCTGTTCCTCTTGCCATTTGCTGTTCGTTCTTCGGACTTCCGCGTGCCAAGTCGCTTCCAACGCGCTTTCCACGCTAGGAGACGCACCTCAATCTATCATTACCTCAAGGAAAGTGTACCATATCGCCTCCAGACCCTCTGCGGTGGCAACATAGGCTCATGAGGCCATGCCCTTACAAAATATCACCATCGTATACTGCTTTCAGATACGATTGGCGCCTCTTGGCCCTCGTCTCCTGCAACATGCAGCTTTCAAGGTTACCTCGTTGAACACAAACCCCTCTTGTTGAACTCCCGCTTTTGGAAGGAGACTTGAGATAAGAGTTGCCATCATAGTGTGTATAAAGGTAGCTCGGCCTGTAGGATTGTATGCTGGTCCAAGGTTCAGCTTCTCTCGTTTAGCACAAGATGTTGTTCAACGTCGTCACTCTTTTGGCTCTTGCCCCTTCTGTTCTTGCTGCAATCACAGACAATGGTGACAAGAAGAAGCGCAGTGTTGTCCCTGGTGGATACATTGTCGAATTCGAGGATGTCATGTCCATTGCATCTGATGTTCGTGTGTCTTGATCTCTTGATTCGAAGTCTTGCCATTAATATGTTTGATAGACCAAATCCAGTTTTTACTCCGATCTTTCAGACAAGCAAATGAACCCTACTCACCGCATGGATCTCTCTTCTTCCATCTTCAAGGGGCTCTCGTTCCACGTTGATACAGGCCTCGACCAGGCAGTGGTGGCTTCAGATATTCAAGCCATGCCCATTGTACGCAAGGTCTGGCCTATCTCACTCTACGACAAGCAAGATTTCGCAACCGCTCCTTGGACCAATGGATCAAACTCTTCATCCTCTTCTGATACCTTCTCTACTCACATTATGGGCCATGTCGACAGACTGCACGCTGAAGGCTTGACCGGAAACGGCACTTTTGTTGCTATCATTGACACTGGTATTGACTACAACCACCCGGCCCTTGGTGGCTGTTTCGGCCCTGGATGCAAGGTCGCCCATGTGAGTGATCCATCCAAAGCTTCGGAAACAGTTGCTAACTTCCAAAAGGGATATGATTTGGTCGGTGATAACTATGATGGTACAAACATCCCTGTGCCCGACCCTGACCCGTACTCTGGTTGTAATGAGCACGGAACTCACGTTGCCGGTATCGTAGCGGCCGGCACTAACCCTTACAACTTCACTGGTGTCGCTCCCGATGCAACTCTCGGTGCTTACAGAGTCTTTGGATGCTCCGGAAGCTCTGGCGACGACGTCCTGATCGATGCCTTCACCCGTGCATACGAAGATGGAGCCGATATCATCACTGCCAGTATCGGTGGCCCCAACGGCTGGACTGGTGAGTTGTTCCAAAAAGCCTCAAAAGTAAGATGCTAATACTTTGCAGAGGAGCCATGGACTGTGGTAGTCTCACGCATCGTTGCGGCTGGGACCCCTTGCACTCTTGCCGCCGGCAACGACGGCTCTGAAGGCCTATTCTACGGTTCATCTGCCGCAGACGGTATTGGTGTCATCGCTGTTGGATCTATCGACAACATCGAATCTCCCGTATTCACCACTTACGGCAGATACAGCATCGATAACTCAACTAATGGTCAATTCGGCTACCTGGCGGCTGCTATCGGCATGCCCAACGTCAGCCTTCCCCTCTGGGCTGTCAGCAAGGACAGCACTAACGCTGCCGATGCTTGTGAGCCTCTGCCTGCCGATACTGCCGATCTTTCCGGAAAGCTTGTTCTTATTCGTCGTGGTACCTGTACCTTCGATACCAAGGCCGCAAACGTCGCTGCCTTTGGAGCACAGTACATCCTGTTCTACAACAACGCCCCCAGTCTTACTTCTCCCAGCGTCACTGATCCTGATATCATTGGAGCAGCCATGGTCTCCGCTGACCAAGGTGTCTCTTGGGCTGCTAGTCTTGCTGCCGGTTCTGCTGTCCAGGTCAGCATTGACGGCAAATTGACTGTCTTCTCCAGCCCGCCCAACAACGTCACTGGTGGCCACATGTCTACCTTCTCGATGTGGAACCCTACCAACGAAGCCTACGTCAAGCCCGAAATTTCTGCTCCTGGTGGTAACATTCTGTCAACCCTTCCTCTTGAGCAAGGCGGCTACGGTGTCTTGTCCGGCACTTCTATGGCCACTCCTTTCGTTGCTGGTGTTGTTGCGCTCATGAAGCAGGCTCGTCCTGACCTCGACCCCTACACTATTCGTAGCATCCTCGGCACTACTGGCCATCCCGTCACCTTCAACGATGGCAAGACCACCTACAACTACCTAGCTCCTGTCGTTCAGCAGGGAGGCGGCGAGGTCGACGCTTTTGCTGCCGTCCACACGTCAACCGTTATTGACGTCGCCAACCTCGCTTTTAACGACACAGCTCATTTTGTCAAGGAGGCAAACTTCACCATCACCAACCGTGGTAGCAGCGATGTTACCTACAACTTCGACTATGTCAATGCTGCCACTGCTTACACGCTTCCTGATGATGGCAGCACCCAGCCTCAAACCTTCCCTCCGGACCTCGTCACCTCTGGAGCAACCGTGCACTTGAGCTCTGGTAGCTTGAGTGTCGCAGCTGGCAAGTCCGAGGTTGTTATCGTCACTCTGGAGCTTCCCAAAGATCTCGCAACTGCTCGCATTCCCGTTTACTCTGGGTTCATCGACATCAAGGGTAGCAACGGCGATTCTCTTAGCCTGCCTTATGCCGGTGTCGCATCTTCGCTCAAGGATGCCACTGTCCTTGACCCTAGCACTGGATACCCCTACATCACCAGCACCTCCGACAACACCTTCGTTCCTCTGAACTCTAGCACTGTCTTCACCATCTCGATCGCCAACACCACCATTAACGGCACTACCGACAACTCGACCGGACTCCTGATCCCCAACTTGAGAATCGGTCTCGTCATGCCTTCATCTCTCATTCGTGCAGATCTTATCCCCTCAAACTCCACCCTCGGCACTTACACTAACACTACTACTATTCTTGGTGTCAAGACCCTTGGTGCTATCGCCGGCACACCCTCCGTTTACCAACCTAGAGCCAATGCCTGGAGTACCGCTTTCTATGGTGTTCTTGACGATGGAACCAGAGTTGCGCCCGGAACTTACTCTATCCTTGTTCGCGCCTTGAGAATTTTCGGAGATGCGACAAACCCTGATGATTATGATAGTGCTCAGACTGATCCTTTCACGATCAGATATGTTCATTGAGCGCTTGTTGATCTTTGTCAAATATAGACAGTCGTTTGCAGCATAAAACTAAACATTTTCTTTTCTCAATTATGCCTTACGCCGTGCTGCATCAGTCTTTTCGTGCGCCAAATACTGATCGTACAGTATGTGTGATAGACAGAAACGTCATGAGTAAGCAAAAGTAGTCGTTTGCCCATCCCATGACCTCGATCATGAAAAAACAAGTACCCCCGACTCTCAAGATCCCAGCGTCTCAAGCGGGCGCACTAGCTTTGATCTCTCACATCAAGATACAACCCAAAGACCAACCAGCCGAGAGAGTTTGATCATGACCCTTGGACCTCACTTCCTCTGTCTGCTCGGCCCTCAGACTCTCAGCCATCGTTTCCAGGATGTCTTCGAGGTGATTCAATTCGAAGGCAAGGTCTGGGTTGACAGATTTTCGGTGGTCAGCGTGGTCGGTGTAGTTTGCGGATGTGGTCTTCTTGACACCGAAAGCATCAGCGAGTACTTGGAATCGAGATCTTGCAGCGTCTACAGATCTGGCCTTCTCGTACGATGAAGTCCAGTCTCTGTCCTCTTCGGCTCCAAGCACTGCATCCTCTTCCTCGTATCTGGTCTTCTCGACATTTTTCTGGTGGCGGATTTCGGCGAGGAGTTGGTTTAGAGTATCCAGGAGATCGTTGGCTTGTTTTGCGTTTGCAATATCTGCCTTCTTCTTCTTCTTCATCTCCTCTTGAGCTTCTTTCTCTTTTTTCTCTTTCTGTTTTCTTTCCTTGCTCTCTTGCTCTTTTCTTGCGGCTTCCTTCCTTGCTGCAGTTCGTGTAGCGTCCCGCTCCTCCCTCTCTTGTTCCTCTCTCTGTCTCCTTTTTCTGGCTTCTACCTCTCTTCTTTCTTGTTCTTTTCTGTTGGTTGCCCTGGCTTCCCTTTCTCGTTCTTCTCTCTCTGCTCTTTGGGAGTTGCGATACCCCCAATTTGGTTCTGCGTCTTCGCAGACCGAGTTCCACATCTCAAAGTCTTCGTAGTTGGGGTTCGAGTGCTTGTACCAGCCGCCGTATCTTGAGATTTCGTCGCTCATTGTTGGTGGTTTTTGAAGGATGGGAGGAAGGCTTTGAAATGGGTGATTGGTGATGTATAGATTGAACCAAGGCTTTTTTTTGATGGGTTGGATAAGGATCGTTTTGGTAGCTTGATGGTCTTGACTGTGTGTGTGTGTTGCTGAGTTGAGTTGAGAAGAGGTGAGTTGAGTGTTCATATATCCGAACTCGTAGATTGAGAGACCGGGTCTGAGTTGTGACGAGACAAAGAAAGACTGTAGCAATAAATTATCAGACATACGCTCCCCAACTGAGACACATCATGTATCCTTATTGTATATCTGTCACTAGTATATGTTATTTTGAGCATAATGACCAACTCACCCAACACTTGATTAGAATCATCACTAAAGACACCCAAGCTCCACACTCAGATACATAATCTAACACTAAACATCGGTATGCCAACCCCAAGCACCTGTATCTTCTTGTCATCGCCAATCACCCTCTCCATCAACCACATCACCTCCATTCTCCTTTGGATATTCATTCCATCCAGATTGCAAAAGCAAGCATCTGAACTCGATTTTCCGGAATTTACATGAACGGTGGTTGTAGGGGTGGCAGTGGTGGTCTGGGGAGCAGAGGCTGTGGCTTTGGTATTCGCTGAGATGAATGTGCCATTTTCCGACAGTTGCTCTTGTTTGTAGTGGGAAAAAGAATATGAGGTGAGAATCGAGGATCTGAACCAACGGTGGGAGAAGAGTCGGGTGCAAAGTCGCCGAGTCTGGTTAATAGGCCTGACTCCTGGAATCGAGAGTGCTGTCTTTCGGATGGAAAGGGAAGATGTTGTCTTGCGAAAGTACTGAATATGTCTATGTAGCGAGTCTAACGAACGCAAGACATGAGGTTTCGACATCGTATGCTCAAAATAGCAAAAAGACATACATCTCAGACAAGACCACCAGTCGGGCAAGAAGCAGCAAGTGTAAACTGTATGCCAGGAGAGTGTAGCCGGGGAGCGAAAAATCATATTGTTGTCAGATTGATGGCTCCGTGATGCGAGAAATGCAAGAGATCCCTTCGCCCGTATTCGTAAAGACAGAAAGTGTAAGCTTCAGGTCCGATCTGAACCGCGAAATTCGCCATGCGATGTGAACTCTAGCCAAGAGGACATCCGCCGATCTCGAATACCACAATCCACCACATTGAACGCATCTGCTGCCTGTGAAACACAAAAACAAATGTCCACCAGAAACGTGATGCAAAAAACAGGCTCATCTCCCTGTGGGGTCTCCTGAAAAAACTCATGCATACACATTCAAGAGAATAGGCCAGTTTGGCGTCCCAAGCTTCCTAGACCACGTGACGGTAGCATTGGTTTTTGTTGGCGGCGCGCGCACCCGCTGGGCCACAGGCGTCCCTGTAGCTAGCTTGGTACACACCGCTGGGAGGATGCCAGAATTGTCTGAATATATACCTTTGACAATAGGGGGCGCGCGTGGTGGCAGCCGTCCCAAAGCGCAGGCGTCCTTCTTGATCACATCACACCAACTCTTGCAACATATCTTCCAAGTCTTCTCTTCCAAATGGCACGGCCAGTCTTTCGACACCCAGCGCGTCTTTTTTGCTTTCCACCATGTCGTGATCGTGAAACTCTTTGAGCAAAGTTCTGAAACTCATCTCGGAGGAACAAACAAACTCCTCGACAGCCTTGTGATACAACGTCCTGTACTCGACACCCACAAACGACGAAGTCTTGTGAGCTTTGACTTTTTGTGCTGGCGCCTTCTTTGGCGGACGACCACGACCGCGAGTAGGTTTTGTGACATTGCCGTGATCCATGTCCATGTCCATGTCGTCGCCAGAGTGGCCGAGGATGCTGTCTGAGTCCGGAGAGCCGGGAGGTGCCTCGAAGGTAGAATCGGCGAGAGCCAGTTGCTCGGCGACCAAGATGCGGAACAAGTTTCGTGCGTTTTCTGGCAGTGAGCGCAGTACATATGCTACACCATCCTTTCCGCCTATGCGACGACCGCTGCGATTCAAGAGTATGTTGACCTCTTCTACCGGGTCGAGCTCTGCAGTAAAGGGCATAAATGTCGTGGTATCGTGGAAGAGGAAACGGAGGGAAGAACGCTGAGATATATCCCAGAGCAGTGGGAAGGTTGGTGTATCTGCTGATGCGACCAGACAGATGCTAGGGTGGGAGGCCAGAGCTGAGATGGTAGATTGGAAAAGGGGTTTGCGGAAGAAAGGACTGTCGATCGAGTGGACGAGGATGCAGATAGGGACAGAAGGAGGGTTGGCTGTCAAGGCGGAGAGCAATGCGTCCAGGAGAGCCTGAGGCTGGAGAGGAAGCTTGTTGGCTAACGAGGAAGGCAGAGATTGTTTCGCAATGGTAGTCAAGACGTCTCTGACCGAGATGTTGGGCGAGTAGCCATTGACGATGACAAGGTTGGGCTCGTCTGTAGATTGGTAGTAATGGTCAGCAAAGTCAAGCAAAAGATGACGCTTGGAGCCATAGCCGTAGATGCAGATGTTGAAGCCTTGGTCGAGTTCAAAAAGCCATTGATTAAAGCTGTTCTCATGCAGACCAGCCAAGAATGTTGTGTCTGCAGCGTGTGGATCTTGGTATGCATTGATCTTGGCAAAGTAGTCGTCGTGGTTGAGAAGAGCATTGGCCGGCAGGGTATTGGCCGACGTCTTGACACCTCCTGGCCTGTTCTGGAAGAAGTACAGCTCATGCGGCGGCATGTCTTGTGAGGTGGGTGAGGGTTGTCTCTTCTTGCCCTTGGGTCTTCCTCGTGGACGGGGAGTTTTTGACGGAGTGCCTGGTGTAGCAGTGATGTTGTCCCCCTCTACCATGTCTTGATCTGACTCGACTTCGTCTTGCAAAATCTCGCGAGCCAATGCATCTTCCAAGCCGGTGTCGTGTTCAGCAGACTCGTCATGTTCCTGTGGATCGAACAAGGTCTTGTGGCTCTTGCGCCTGGCAGAACGGTCTGCGTTGAGAGCGGCCGTCAGGGGAGAGTCCTTAGTCGGCGCATCTTGGACGTCGTAGTCGGCAGATTTGGCTGGCGTAGCAAAGAGGACCTTTCGTAGTGACGTAGGGGTTCCTTGTTCCTTCAAGGTGGATTTGAGAATGGAGCGGTGTTTCGAAGGCGTGTCTGCACTCGTGTGTCGTGAGGGCGTTTCTGCGTCGATCATCCTCCTCTTTGACGGGGTCAATTCCACGTCCGCCTCTTGGGCACCTTCTGTGGCGTCTTCCCCATCTTCGCTTCTCGTTCGTTTGGGCATTGATTGTCGTGTGTTGGCTGTGTTGGCCAACTATTGTTTACTTGAATGCCTGATTGCAAGTCGGACAAAGAAAGCAAGATTAGCCGGCCGACTTCTCCACACTTTGGCAAGATCAGATGGATAAGATTAACCGCGAGTGGCTGCTATCTCTTATCGTACCGTTTGAGTCACTCAGGCTCGAGGTTTCGATATGTTTTCGCTTCTTTTGATTCATTGTCTGTCCATACCAGTCAATTGACAGTCGCCGGCACCATGGCCACCTCACGAACGTCAGCCGCTCGTCGGTTGCTATCCCTCTCAGTACAACAAACCCGATGCTACTCGGCTCCCACCGACGGCGCAATCCCACCCAACAAGGCCAAATATGTCCCTACCGAAGGAACCTACCCCAAGGGCTTCGTTGTCGGCAGTGCACACGCCCAGGTCAAGGCCTCAAACACAAAGTTCGACGATCTCGCCCTGATCGCTTCCGAGGTCCCCTGCTCCGCTGCCCTCGTCACCACCCAGAACCATTTCCAGGCGGCTCCCGTGAGCGTTAGCAAGAAGATCATGTTCCAACACCAGAGCAAGAGCATCAGAGGTGTCGTTATCAACTCCGGTTGCGCCAATGCTGTCACCGGAAAAGGTGGACGTGAAGACGCTGTCCGTATGGCCAAGCTCACTCACGACCTTCTGAACAAGCGAAACCCGAGTCCTCACGACAAGACTGCTGAGGCCGAGGCCAAGACGAACGTCAAAGAGGGTGCTGTCAAGATAGCAGAGGATGACCAAGACGTATCCAGCATCCGTACTCTGGTCATGAGCACTGGTGTCATTGGCCAGCGTCTCCCCATCGACCGCATCGAAGCAAAGATTCCTACTCTCGTCGAGTCCCTAGGCAACACACACGACCACTGGCTCCGATCAGCCCGCGCTATCTGCACCACCGATACCTTTCCCAAGCTTCTTTCTCGCCAGTTCACTCTCCCCTCGTACCCCGGCATCACCTTCTCCCTTGCCGGCATGACCAAGGGAGCCGGTATGATCCACCCCAACATGGCCACTCTTCTCGGTGTCATCTGCACAGACGCTCCCATCCAAAAGACTGCTCTGAAGGTCCTCCTCTCCACTGCTACAAACTCTTCCTTCAACCGCATCACCGTTGATGGCGACACAAGCACCAACGACAGTGTCGCTCTCTTCTCAAACGGCATGGCGGCTCCCAAGAGCGAGCCGGTGCGTCTTATCAAGCTCAGCTCAAACGAACTCCCCGCTAGAGGCAATTCCCTGGTCGGAGACAAGCTCGAAAGACAATCAGAAGATTACAAGGAGATGAACAAAGTCTTGACATCCTTCATGGAGGATCTGGCCAAACTTATTGTCCGTGACGGCGAGGGAGCCACAAAGTTCGTCACCGTCAGAGTGACAAAGGCTGACAACTTCAACGCTGCCCACCTTGTCGCAAACTCGATCGCTACATCTGCTCTTGTAAAGACAGCCCTGTACGGCAAAGATGCCAACTGGGGCCGCATTCTCTGCGCCATCGGTTACGCTCCTGGAAACACATGCATCCGTCCCCAACAGACCTCTGTTTCCTTTGTTCCTGCCGACGGCTCCGAGGAGCTCAAGTTGCTGGTCGACGGTGAGCCTCAAGCTGTCGATGAAGCCCGTGCTGCGGCCATCCTTGAGATGGAGGACCTGGAGATCCTCGTCAAGTTGAGCAACAGAGAGCAAGACGTTGCCGAGACGGCCGTCTACACCTGCGACTTTAGTCATGAATATGTCACCATCAACGGTGATTACAGGACGTAGCGTGTCTTCGGTGATATGACATGCTCTTTTATTGTAGATGCTTGCGCTCTTGACGATACTCAAACATAAAAGGGGCTCCTTTGAGATATGATGAACTTGATGGAATATCAGGCCGCTTTAGGAAGACTCTATATACTCTTTTATGCTTCATGTGCTCAAAGCTGTGTTCATGTACACTCTACAGCTCTACAGCTGAGCAAATCCGGTCAATGCAAACGTAGCTCCAAAGGCCAGCTTGAAGGCCACGTTCTCCTGCATAGCCGAGCGCAAATTGATGCTGGTAAAGTAGCGTTGCAAGCGGTTGTAAGGAAGAAGACTGACACCCAACTGTGACTCTGCAAACTGTTTTGACGTCAAAATCAGCAATTGCGAAAGGAGTGTAAGGACTAGATTGGCTTGGAGAGAGGTATAGAGTAGAAAGACAAAACATACCTGTACACCAATGATCAAAAGTCCAATGAGCAAAGTCAACGGCTTGGAGAATAGCGATATAGCGAGACCACCCAGAACACCCGTATTGGCATTAGCATCATCCCCCTTTGTCTCTTGTACATCGGGACAATCAGAACATACCAGCAATGCTTCCACTCGAAATCTGACGAACGGCATTAGGACTAAGACCGCCCTTGCGGTTTACAACCGGCGTCTTTGCCTTGTTCGAATATGAGTTGTTGAACACAGCGCTCGAGTCACACAGAGCCAAGAGGTTTCTTCGGGGTCTGAGCAGAGAGTAGGATGTGAATGCTGCGCCGAGACCGAGTCCGACACCCAATGGGCGAGAGGCCAGTAGGAATGACATTGTTGGTGTTTTGGATTGAGAAGTCTAAGTGGTGTGATTTGTTGAGTGGGTGAGTCACTGGTATGGATGGCTGATGGCAATGATTCCCGATGACTGGTTGGGTTGATGGTAAGGAGGTGGTGCTTGTTAGTGGTTGTTCGCAGCTTCAGATTGTCGTCGGATGTCAATGACGCTGCTGATCTTACGCTTGGACCCTGAACATGCGGAGAATGGTGCGCTGAACGTGTGAGATTTACAAACTGTTTGATTGAACTTGGGCTCGTCTCGAAACTTTCGAAGTGCTAGCAAGCCTACATCCTGCTGGCAGTCAGTGCGCTTAGGTACATCTATGCAGAATCTGAATATCATACTGCAGTGACTGTAGACAGGTAAGGCAATACAGTATGCATATTCCGTACTTGTAGCCTGTCTCCAGAGCCAATCGGTGTAGTTCGGTGGTTCGGCGTACATGGAGGGGTCCGCCCCTTCCGACAGCGGGGCAATCGCGTGGGACATGGATTGTTCTCGACGGAGAAGCAGCACCTTGGCACTTCGCCGCCCTACGCCTGCGTGTTTTTCTTGAGTAATAATGCCTTCAATAGGCAGGTGAGTCACTCGAAAGCAGCGCGAACTTCCCTGGCAAACAGATATACTTTTATAAATCTTGGGAAGCCAAAGACCCTTTCTGCTTTCTCTCACGCACATCTTTGCCTCGATCTTTGTTTCCTCTGCATCTCACCATCTCATATACATACTCACAATGGCCACCACACTACCCACTACCAACGGCAAGCACGACGGCGCCAATGGCACTGACGGAGTCTCCTCGTTCGCCGTCAAGGCTGGTCTCGCCCGCATGCTGAAGGGCGGTGTCATTATGGACGTCGTCAATGCTGAGCAGGTGCGCTCATCTTTTGTGTGTCAATCGCCTCAATGTCACTAACGACCACTCAGGCCCGCATCGCCGAAGAGGCTGGTGCCTGCGCCGTCATGGCCCTCGAGCGTGTCCCCGCCGACATTCGCAAGGACGGTGGTGTTGCGCGCATGTCCGACCCCGCCATGATCAAGGAGATCATGGACACCGTCACCATCCCCGTCATGGCCAAGGCCCGTATCGGTCACATCGTCGAGTGCCAGATCCTTGAAGCCATCGGTGTCGACTACATCGACGAGTCCGAGGTCCTTACCCCCGCCGATCCCATCTACCACGTCGAGAAGCACGGATACAAGATTCCCTTCGTCTGCGGCTGCCGTGACCTCGGCGAGGCTCTGCGCCGTATCGCAGAGGGCGCTGCCATGATCCGTACAAAGGGTGAGGCTGGTACCGGCGATGTCATCGAGGCTGTCCGCCACATGCAGACTGTCAACCAGCAGATCGCTCGCGCTGCCGCCATGTCCGAGCCCGAGCTTCGCGCTTTCGGTCGTGAGATTGGTGTCCAGTACGAGCTCCTCAAGGAGACCGTCCAGCTCAAGCGTCTGCCCGTTGTCAACTTCGCCGCTGGTGGTATCGCTACTCCCGCCGATGCTGCCCTCATGATGCAGATGGGCTGCGACGGTGTCTTTGTTGGCTCCGGTATCTTCAAGAGTGGTGACCCTGCTAAGCGCGCCAAGGCCATTGTTCAGGCTGTAACTCACTACAACGACCCCAAGGTTCTGGCAGAGGTCAGCATTGGACTCGGTGAGGCCATCGTTGGCATCAACTGCGGCTCCATGGACCCCAAGGACAAGCTCCAGGGCCGCGGCTGGTAAGGGATGTCAGCTTGTCTAGCGATCACCCATGCAAGACAGCATGTTCATTTTTTGAGAAAAGAGCAAGAGGCGTTTACAAAATGGAAGGTCGGACTCGGGCATTGCATAGATGCAAGCAAGGCTTCGAAGACATGACCAAAAAGCAAGGCGTCTTAGCGTTCTTGGGAGGTTCGCTTCAACAGGGACTAGGGCTTTTATAAGGAGTTTTGGACGATAGTAGCCAGCAGTCAAAAAACACGACCGAAATGACAATATTATTACATGATCTGACTCGGAAACCCATGACTTGGGTATCCAGCTGTATCGACATAAGGAATGTGTAGTGTTGCACAAGGAAGCCATCCGTTTCCCAACAGCACTGCGAGCGGCAGGGTCAAACCCATTGGGTGATTAATCTGTTTTCGATCGGAACTGGGACCGAGCGCGCCGCGGCATTTTCGCAACCGCTTCGCGTAACCATATGTAGCGGACGGCAGCCCGAGGAAGCATGTATCTTTTGAGTCGTGAAATGCACTTGTATGCAGTACAGTACAGATCGTCAACGGCGGGATGGAAGGCGACCGGTCATGTCGCCGGCGGCTGGTCAAGACGGCGAGTGTACGGGGACGGTCGCGGTCAAGGCGGAAGATCAAAGGGAAAAGTGTTAAGCGGCTCAAGACAAAGACCGCCTAAATCCGGGGCAGATCGTCGATGGGACAGGGTTTGATACGCCGCAGCCATGCATAGAGCAGGTCCAGGCCATTTTGGGGCGAGGATGTGAAAGGGCTAACGTTAGCAGAGTCAAGTCTTGCACCTTTGCTCTCGGTCCTCTCTATCCTTGATGCCTCTGTGCAAGGCGTGCGTACGTGAAAATGGCCAAGTCGGAACCTGCGCATACCAAACCCAGCGAGACTTCGCGTGTTCGTGAGGTGTTTAGGTGATTAGGCTCAGCCCAACCGAGCGTCAGCCAGGCTAACATGTCGACTTGTGTAGATGCCTAGAGGCCTTTGGCACGACCATCCACCCTCTGCAGCTCAACAATGGCGAGATCGAGGACAGATTGGCCGTCGGCAGCGACGACACGGCTCTGGCTGCATTCGCGCAGTTAGGAGCACTTCGGCTCAAGGCGCAGCGCTGTATCATCTCGCTCGTGTCCAAGGATGAGGAATTTGTTCTGGCCGAGTCGACGCGAACCCTTTCTCTGCAGTCGGATCTGGTTCACAACTCGCGCGATGCTTTGTTCTTGGGAACCACACGCTACCCCCGTGACGAAGGTCTTTCCGTCGCCGGCCTGAGGCAATGGATAACGACCAAGGAGCGCCGCGAGAATCCAAACGAAGACGAATACTACTACACCGATGGCATCAGTCCACACTGGTACATCATCAGCGACCTGCGAAAGGCCACCGACATGCAAGGGCTCATGGTCGTCAAAGCTGCCCCCAAATTGAGATTCTACGTTGCGGTACCCATCCGAAATAGCAATGGTCTGGTCATCGGTTCTTATGCCATCTTGGACGATCGTCCTCGCCTCGGCATCAGTGCTGAAGAAATGGTCTTCATGGAGGATATCGCTGATACTATCATGGGCCATCTCGATGCCAAACACACTGCTTTGCAGAGGCAGCGTGGCGATCGTCTGATCAAGGGCCTGGCTCTGTTCAGCGAAGGCAAGGAAAGTCTACGTGACTGGTGGCTGGATACACATAGTCGCAAACTCCGAGGCGAAGGCGCAAGACGTCGCCGCAATTCTATTGACGACGCAAAAGCCCGGAACGACCGTGCCGATGAAGAGCTGGGAATGACATACAACGCCGATCAGATCCCCCACGGCCGCAACCATGCATCAATTGACACGCTCAGCATCCAGCCAGCCGGTCAACAACCCAAACCCACCCTCAAATCTGGTCATATGGCTCAGGATAAGCACGAAGGCTTCGATCTCGACCGTGAAGTCAATACCGCGTTTGCACGAAGCAGCAATCTTATGCGCGAAGCCATGAGTGCTGAGGGTGTGGCCTTCATCGATGCTGACTTTCACCGTACTAAGGAGTCAACCAAGAACCAAGACTCGTCAAACACCGATGTCGAAACTGACACTTCGACCAACTCTTCCAGCCCCGAGTCGGCAACGCCAAAGCAGAAAACTCCCATCTCTCCTGACGCTCAATGTGCCCTGCTTGGTTTCTCGACAAAGGTCAAGTCGACAATTCGTGGCTTCGATGCTTCTGCAAGGCATTCTAGTCTTCCAAAGGCTTTCATCCGGAGTCTGATTCGTCGCTATCCCATGGGAAAAGTTTTCAACTTCCACGACGGCAAAGCCTTGTCAAGCTCTTCTGGTACAGACATGTCTGACGACGTCAGTGAAGGCTCTAAGAACAGCAGGTCACGCAAGCGCCGCAGCCGCGAATTTGTCGACGCCATGACCCTAGCTGAAGTGTTCTCTAACCCTCGTAGTATCGCCTTCCTACCCTTGTGGGACAGCAGGCGAGAGAGATGGCGATCGGCCGCCTTTGTCTGGAACGCAGCGCCAAACAGATTTTTGAACAAGGCCGAGGACATAACATACCTTGCCGCTTTCAGCAACAATCTGATGGCCGAATTGTCACGTCTCGATGCCATTGCCGCTGATCAAGCCAAAGCCACTTTCATCAGCTCTATTTCTCACGAACTGAGGTCCCCACTACATGGAGTGTTGGCAGGAGTTGAGCTCTTGCAAGAAAGCGATCTCAGCAACTATCAGCAGGAAATGACGACTACCATCAGCATGGCTGGTAAGACGTTACTAGACACGATCAACAACATCCTTGACTTTACCAAAATCAACAGCTTCTCAGAGCCAGAACGAAAAGACAGAAAAGAAACAGATGCTAAAAGGCACCATGGATTCAAGACTGCTGACATGGGAGAAGTTGGCGTCACGAGTGCTGTAGACCTCGCTATTCTGACAGAGAATGTGGTCGACACAACCGTCACGGCGAAGAGCTTCCAAGCAAGCAAAGCTAAGCAAGAGGACGAAGACGAACTCGCTGCAAAGATACCAAAGCAGGTGGCTGTAGTGTTGAACATTGCTAAGCGAACTAACTGGAATCTGGACATATCACCTGGAAGCTGGACCAGAGTCATTACCAATCTTCTTGGTAACTCGCTCAAGTATACCAAGCAAGGCACGATCACTGTGAGCTTACAGTACAAGAAGTCAGAGGATCCGGATAAAGCTCTAGTGTCCTTGACCGTCGAAGACACGGGTCAAGGTATTGGAAGTGAATATCTTCGCAACCACTTGTACACCCCATTCATGCAGGAAAATACCCATGCCGTTGGTACCGGACTTGGACTTTCGATCGTCAAGCAAATCATCAAAGACTTTGGAGGACACATAAGCTTTGAAAGTGAGCTCGGCAGAGGAACCAAGGTGACCGTGTCGTTCCAAGCCACATTCGAAGAGGATGCCGAGTCTGATATTCATATACCGAAACGTTCTGATGGTAGTAAGCTCAAAGTCGCGCTTTCCAAATCTTTGGGCAAGACCGATGGGGATCTGGTGCGCGACAAGACAGTCAAAACAAACACTTCCAAGACCTGCAAGGAATGGTTAGACTGTCAAACTGAGCTGGTGTCCGTTTCTGACGGTGCTGATGCCTTTGATGTCTGTATCTTGTCCGAAGGAGATTACGACCAATGGCAAGAGAAAACGAGAAATTCGAGCAACCCACGGCCGACACCAATCATTGTGCTAGGATCAATCTCGGCCTCTTCTGTTGTCAGACAGAGCGCAGCCAAGAACGCGATCTTCATCAATCAGCCATTTGGACCAAGAAAGATGTCGAGAGCACTGACAGCTGCTATGCAAAGCCGATCTCAGTCAAACCCAGATTCAGAGAACCAAACCCTAGGCGCCATCGCCACCTCCCCATCCGCCCTACACATTCTCACGAAACCCCCGAACGTCAGCTCCAACAGCGATCCTCCACCTACATACACCGAATCCAAGCCCCACGTGGGACATGACGTCTCCTCCATGCCTCCGACACCCACAACACCCGCGAAAACTCCGACCTCACGGGATAGCGAACTCGAGAACTCAAATCTCCGGAAGGTGTTGCTTGTAGAGGACAATTCAATCAACATGAAGCTCCTCGTTGCAACCATGCGCAAACTGAAACGACCTCACACCTGTGCAGCTAACGGTCTGGAAGCCGTGAGCGCCTACTCAACCGCACCGGCCTCATACGCGCTGATCCTCATGGATATCTCAATGCCAGTAATGGACGGCTTCACAGCCACCGAATTGATCCGCAATCTCGAAGAAAAGAACAAATGGAGCCGCTGCACTGTGATAGCACTTACGGGCGTCGGCGATGCCGAAGCAAAGAAACGTGCCTTCCTCGCGGGTGTCGACGACTTCATGACCAAACCCGTCAGCATGGCCAAGCTGGGCGGCATTATCAATGACCTCGAGAGCGGAAGTGATAAGAGCAACAAGGATGCCAACAACGACAACGACACCAAGAACAGCAATATGAGCAAAGACGAGTGTTCGGAAAAAGCCCGTCAAAACGGCCAGCAGCAAAATGCGCAACAGCATGCAGTGCAGCAACCGGCATGACATGATCGCCGGAAGCAAGGTAAACACGTCGAGGTAAAGGACTTTGCTTCCGGCACACCAGGTCCAAATCAACAAGAAGCAAGCAACAAGAAGAGAAGGAGGTCTGACGATAGCGCAGATGGCTATGATGACAACGAAGACAAGAGAAGAAAATCCATCATCGAGGAACGAGCTACAGCGGCATCGCGAACGACGACGACGAGTAAGAAGTGAGGGGATTTGATTATAATGGGACCAACGGCCGACTACGCACACAGGTTTGACTGGATGGAAATTTTTGTTCTAATGCTATGACTAGCGAGTTATATATCTACTTCTTCTTTGATCGAAGTGGAAGGGGTATTGTCTGTATAAGCGAATCTATTCACTCTTCTTATCCAAGTTTCATCCTTTCTGGACAGATACCTTTGTGAATCGGTGCATCTCTTGGACACAAAGCTGTGGTTTGAAGATGATTGTGCATCTGGATGGGTAGACTTGGATGCCGTTCTCTGCACACGAGGGAGTTGTGATTCTTCGGTTAGAGAGTAATGCAGATGGTGATAGTCAAAGCCAAGGTCAGGGTGAGTGCAAGGAAGGGGAGCTTTCCCCACAAGCGCGGACCGAGAAGCGCGTCATGGCGCTGGACAAGAAAGTGGAAAGGAGAGAGTACGGAGTCACGTAATTGATTTACAACAAGTCTTGGGGCGCGATTGGCCGGCAATGGATGACAGAGTGTAAGATCAGACCTTAGAGCAGACCAAACAACGACGACGACCATGTCGAAGCGCATCGCTCTCGCCCTCTCCAACCTCTTGATACCCATCGCGGCACTCGTCTTCGCAACAGGCTTCTTCCCTTACAAGCCATTTCTGTCTGGTCTGGCCACCTTTGAGGAAGTCGAGAATGAAGAGCTGGGACTCGGGTTGCTCAAAGGCAATGAGCGGCCACAGAGGATTTTTGACAAGGTCATCTTCATGACCGTGGACGCGTTGAGGAGGTGGGTACGTTCGCCTGTAGAGACATGCTCAAGGTCGGATTGCTGACGGCCTGCCAGTGACTTTGTCTATGGCCATGGATCGGGCTTCACCTTTACACAAGATCTCATTCGCTCGGGCGCCGCGCTGCCCTTCACAGCACATGCCACTCCACCGACCATCACCATGCCTAGAGTCAAGGCCTTGACCACCGGTTCTGTGCCTTCATTCCTCGATGTTATTCTCAACTTCGCCGAAAGTGACACGACCTCATCTCTGGCTTCTCAGGATACATGGCTCGCTCAAGCCAAGGCAAATCTCGACAACGGCAACCTCGTCTTCTACGGTGACGACACCTGGTTGAAGCTCTTTCCAGATTTCTTTGCCCGACACGATGGCACCAGCTCCTTCTTTGTCTCTGACTTCACCGAGGTCGACAACAACGTTACGCGACATGTCCCGAGAGAGCTGGAACAACCTGACTGGGATGCCATGATTATGCATTATCTTGGTCTGGATCACATTGGTCACAAAGCCGGTCCCTTGAGCCCAAATATGCTCCCGAAGCAGAAAGAGATGGATGCTATTGTCAAGAAGATATACGAAGCTATGGAGCTCAACAGCCACCTCGATGACACCTTGCTCGTTGTAGCCGGCGACCACGGCATGAACTCCGGTGGTAATCACGGAGGGTCTGCTCCTGGCGAGACTGAGCCTGCTCTCGTCTTCATCTCACCAAAGTTCGTGGATTTGGAGAAGCCAGCATATGCAGCTCCTACCGATCCGAAAGAAGGTACCGAGTTTGAATTCTACCGCAAGGTCGCTCAAAATGATGTCGTTCCCACACTTTCCGCCCTTTTGGGCATCCCAATCCCTCGCAACAACCTTGGTATCATTCTGCCCGAGTTTCTTGGCTTCTGGAAGACGAAGACTAGTAGCACGGGCTTGAATGCTGCGGCCGAATTGCTCTACAGGAATGCTCTTCAAATGCTGGGCATCATCAAGGCCAAATTCGGTGACTCCGAAGCCTGGAGATACGATCCGAAAATTGAGGGTTCGGTCCAAATGGACTGTCAAGGTTTTGAGGAAGACGAGCAAAGACTAAAGTGCCGCTGGTTCTTGGTCAGAGACGCACTGTCTCGCAGTCGACAATCGGGGGAGCTGGTCGCTTCGATAATTCATCTGAACGAGGTCAGCACAGCATGAACGCCCTTTGCGACTTGAACTAACACCTTTACAGTTCCTGAACGATGCCCAAGATGTCCTAAGTACTACTGCGAGTAGTTACAAGGTTGAACTCTTGGCCAAGGGTGCCGCTATCGCCGGTGTCTCCCTCATACTGGCTGTCAACTCTAGGCAGAGTAATTGGCCATTTACTCCTGCTGGTTTGGGGTTTGTCCTGATAACCACCTTCTACGGCATAATGATGTTTGCCACCAGCTATGTCGAGGAGGAGCAGCACTTCTGGTACTGGGCTACCGCAGCATGGATGGCTTATCTCTACGCCGCAAAGTGAGTACGCAGCCTTCGAGCAGGGAAGCGGCAACTGACCAATTCTATCCAGGACCAAAGTCATTGGACTCCAAACATCGGTAGTCTTCTCCACCTTCGTCCTTCTTGCACTCCACCGTCTATCGACACGTTGGAACCAAACTGGACAGAAGCATGCCGGTGATCCTGATGTCGCTCACACCTTCTTCCCCGATCACTTCATCATTCTTTGGGTACTGATCGTTACGGCATACATTCATCTAGCTTTCCGCATTGGTCGACGTACTTTCGCCGATATTTTGGCTCCCGAGTTCGCAACCATTTCTGCTATTTCTCTGGTCTTGCCTTCTTTTGTGTTCAAGCTCAATTTTACTCAGGCCGATGCGCCAGAACTGGTTGGTGGTCTCGCCGAGACTATCAGAGAGTGGACCTCCGAGTTGGATCTAGTCACCCAAGCCAGAGCTTCCTTTGTGGGACTGGCTATCGCCACTACTGTCGTCCTTGTCATGGTCGTTCTGGGGTATGGACGTCATGATGAAGCAACGAAGAAGAAGGGCGCGAACATGTTCACAGAATCTCGTCTCCCATCTCGCCTCCACGATCTTTTGACACTTTTCATCATCACCCAAACACGCGCTCAGAACATCCCACTCTTTATGTTCTTTGATTTGCAGTCTCAAATTCTGTTCCACCTACTCTCACGCCCAACCACACCCCTCGCCGCCAATTCTCACGCGTACACGAGGCCTCTTGCGATCCTTCCCACCACTGTTTCAGTCCTTCTCATGGCACATACATCCTTCTTCGCTCTTGGCAACTCCAACGCCATCTCCAGCATTGATCTTAGCAATGCATACAACGGTGTCAGCGGGTACAACATTGTTGCCGTTGGTGTCCTTCTCTTTGCATCCAACTGGGCAGGCCCGGTATACTGGAGTACTTGCGCGGCCGTCATGTTCACCCTGCCTTCCGCCGAACAAGAAGAAGCAGCATTCGAGCGCTCAGAGCAAGCAGCTGAAAAGCAGCGGACTTTGGGCAGCAAGAAGTGGATCCATGAAGAGAGAGACTTGCTGCATCGACAAGCTGTGGCCGCTTCTTTTACCTCCGCGCCTATCCGCCAGAGTCAGGACGAGAGCATTTGGCATGAACACATCAGTATCATGACGATCTTCATCTCTGCAAGCTTAGTGGCTGTGATGGTGGCCTGTACAGTGCTGAGAACGCATTTGTTTATCTGGACAGTGTTCAGTCCAAAGTATCTTTACGCCATGGCTTGGGCTGTTGGGTGGCATCTGGTTGTGAACATCGGATTGGGGGGACTTTTCTGGATTGTTAGATAAAAGTGTTGATATAGATGTAAGAAAAGGTGTACCGTAATGGCTATGTGCAATTATATCCCAGAAAAAGGTCACTCAGCGAGTCTGTTTTGACCAAAGTTGACGGTATTCGTTTTGATTCATCGTACATGTTTCCCATGCAACTTATGTTACAGAGGCAGGCCCGTCGTATCTCGCAAAGACCGGCTCGGCACATTGACGGCAAGATTTGCCGATCTGTCGCCCGTCAACGACAGGGCGCGGCATCATCTTCGTCTCGTTCCAATTGAGTGAACCTTTTACCTTTGTGACTCTTCCCATCATTGGAAAGACTGAACGGAATCACGAAGTACTCACGAAACAATGGTAGGTTGGAGTGTTGTATCAAAAAGACCACATCTCGATTATGGGGACGTTCATGCCAATCGAATGTCCTTTCAACATCAAACGTCGATTGATTCGTCGATAAAGTCTAGAAGTAAAATGTCCAATCATACTGACAATTGGTATAGGCTGCTCCCACAAGAACTTATCTTGCATTCCAGCACAATGCAAAGTTGTACTCTCTCGCAACAGCAGTCCGATCAATACGTTCAGCAACTTCGCTGGAAGAAGCCAACCAATCTCTATTCAAACAAGCCGGCGAAGATGACCGCGTAGTCATCACCGAGCAAACGATTTTCCACCCTCAAGGCGGCGGTCAACCCTCGGACGTGGGCATCATGAAGACATCAAGCAGCACTTTCAACGTCAGCGCCGTACGCATGGATGCAGTTTCCTCAGGCCAAGTCCTGCATTTCGGACGTTTCGAATCCGGACACGACGCGTTCAAAGAGGGAGAAACAGTCACCCAGGAGATCGATACAGAGAAACGTCTGCTCTACTCACGACTCCACACCGCCGGTCACGTCTTGGGAGCTGCGACCCGCAAACTTCTCGAAGACAAAATCGAAGGATTCGACGAATTGAAAGCTTCCCATTTTCCCGACGCCGCATCCTGCGAATTTGCAGGTTCCATCGAAGGAAAATGGAAAGAAGCGATTCAGAAAAAAGTAGACGAGTACGTGGATGCGGATTTGCCTGTTGAGATTGAATGGTGGAGTGAAGATGACTTCAAAGCAAACGGATTGGAGAGATTGATTACCGAGAATCCGAATGTGGTCAAGGGAGAAAAGTTTAGGGTGGTCAAGATTGTGGGTGCGGATACTTATCCTTGTGGTGGTACGCATGTTGATAGCACGCAAGCTTGTGGGAAGACGACGGTCAGGAAGATTAGCAGGAGTAAGGGGACGAGTAGAGTTTCTTATGCTGTTGCATAGATGGCGTGTGGATATAGATCTGAACAAGATATTGGAAATGTAGATTCAGTTGGATAGATTTCTGTCAAGTCGACTCTTGAAAGCATTCTCCTAATATGCATCTTGTCTCCTTCCATTGATCTCAATACTGTACTTAGCAAAGCCAGATACGAGCAGTGTTGCCGTTGATAATCGGTTTTGGCCCTTCCAAGCAACAGAATCGTTATCTCCATCAAGAACTTCTTACTCCAGTAGTATCACTGTGTCACTGCAGTATCAGATCTCGCGGCGATAACGTCGCCTCTCGGAGTAGTCGCGGCCGGGATCGGTACGAGAGCCCGTGCTACCCGCAACTTTAGCCGCAACGTCGGATATCCTGGAATGACGTGACCGAAAACCACCTTCCTCTTTGACCGCGATACTCGAAGTCGAAAGGCCACACGGCCACCATCAATTTTCACCCTGCTCTGTCGCAAGGTACTAGAAAGTTTTGGAGCTTCGACGAATGGCCATATCACAATGCTCATGGCGCAATTGACACTTGTGCTCTCTGTCACAGGCTCCACGAGGTTGAAACAAAGAAGCAGAGATTGGTAAGCGATTTGTGCACGACCCGAGATCTCGGCATGCCATCGCCTCACCGTTTTCTCTCGAATTCTACAGATTGCTTAATAAAGCAGAGGCCTGGCTAGCTAGAACATTTATATAACCTAGATGCCCATAGACGATTGCCTTGAATACATTACCACTTTTTCCACAGCGACTTCAGCGAGCGTCATATCTTTTCACTCCCAATCCCGGATCAAACTCAATTCACAATGGCCTCCAAGCTTTTTCAGCCCATCCAAATTGGCAAGGCCAAGTTGTCAAACCGTCTGGCTATGGCCCCCTTGACCCGTTTCCGCGCCGACGATGATCACGTTCAACTTCCCTTCGTCAAGGAATACTACTCTCAGCGTGCCTGCGTCCCTGGAACTTTTCTGATCACCGAGGCCACACCCATCTCCGCTCGCGCTGGCGGCTACAACAACGTCCCCGGAATCTACACCGATGCCCAGATCAAGGCCTGGAAGGAAATCGTTGATGCCGTTCACGCCAAGGGTGGTGTCATCTACATGCAGTTGTGGGCTCTGGGCCGTGCTGCCGACCCTACCGTGCTCAAGAAGGATGGCTACGATTTCTGCTCTTCCTCTGACCTTCCCATGAGCGACAACTCGCCCAAGCCTCGCCCTCTCACCGAGGACGAGATCCAGATCTTCATCAAGGACTACGCCAATGCCGCCAAGAACGCCGTCGAGGGCGCTGGTTTCGACGGAGTTGAGATTCACGGCGCAAACGGCTACTTGATCGATCAATTCACCCAGGACGTCTGCAACAAGCGCACCGACAAGTGGGGTGGCAGCATCGAGAACCGCACTCGCTTTGCTCTCGAGGTCACCAAGGCTGTTGTTGATGCCGTTGGTGCCGACAAGACTGGTATCAGACTGTCCCCTTGGTCTCCCTTCCAGGGCATGAAGATGGACGACCCCATCCCCACCTTCACTCACCTCATCAACGGCCTCAAGGAGCACAAGCTCGCTTACGTCCACTTGGTCGAGTCCAGAATCCAGGGCAACGCTGACGTCGAGTCAACCGAATTGATCGACTTCGCCGTCGAGGCCTGGGGCAAGACCTCTCCCATCTTGATCGCTGGTGGTTTCCGCGCAGACAGCGCCCGTCGTGCTGCCGATGAGGAGTACGCCGATAAGGATGTTGTCATTGTCTTTGGCAGATACTTCATCTCCACCCCTGACTTGGTCTACCGTATCAAGGAGAACATCCCCCTCGCCGATTACGACCGCGACACCTTCTACGCCGCTAAGAGCGAGAAGGGCTACACCGACTACCCTTTCAGCGAGAAGTTCCAGAAGGAGGCCAAGCTCTAGATTATACCCTTTGACGTTTATGCTTGTATGCGATACCACTAGATCTTTTCGATAGACTTCATAGATCTTAATGATTAAATGATATGATATTTCTCAAGATTGCCTCAGTTTCTTGCCAGCTTGGTTGAGATTTACAGATACACTGGGGAGAGAACGGGCACACTGTTTGGCACGTATGGAATGGTATGGAGTTTCTTAAAGGGTCAGCATGGCGCTGCTTGCAATAAGGGACATCGACGCGGCGTTACCCTGCTGCGACTGTGCATGGCGGTAATCAAACGATCCTCTGATCTCTTCTTTGACCCAATCCCTGGTCAATGGGTGCCAGGCCAGGATCCTGCATATGACGACGCCCTATGAAAAGGTCAACATGATGTTCGTAAAGTATCTGTCTCCCTCTGTTTCGGAGACGGTCACAACGTACCAAAGCCAGGTCGAATCCTTGGGCGACCTCAATCTGCCAGCTTGAGAACTTGGAATCGGGCTCGGCTTTGAAACGTGAAGCTCTTGCAACAACGAGTCCATCTATGGTGGCATGATACTGGTCCAGATCGCTCTGCGGTTGGTTTATGTGGATGATGAATGGCCTCCCATCCGTGACCATGTTCTCAATGTTCAGATCGATTCCCGTACTCCATGACTTGCTCTTTGAGGAGTTTGAGAACCCGACTGATTTGAGACCTTTACCATCGGCTACTCTGATATACCACTTGGTTGCCATCCCTACACCTCTTGTCTTGAATTTGAGGCGGAAGATGACAACATCTTGCATATTCTTGATCGTCAAAAATCTGCTCGTGATAAATAAGGTTCGCCAGCGGACGTGTGGGCCGAGTTTGAGTATCGGAATTTTGGATTCAGCTGGACCCTGGAGACCCGGAGACACAACATGCACTTCCTAAGTGCCTAGATCGAGACGAGTATCCTTCATGGTGAGTATCATTGTCGTTGAAGCAGTTGCGATGCAAGATGGGAATATGCCGATCGGTGATGAAAGAGGGTCCAGAGCTGCGTCGGCCATATTTCGTCGGGTCTTGTAGATAACAGGGATCAATATAGGATATGAATGGTGATGGAAGACTCAGGTATCTGGTGGATAAGTGATGGTGCTCGAACCAAGAAGCCAGGTTTGAACAGCAGTGTTGTGCAGATTCACTCGGGCTTCAAAGGCAAGCGCGAAGGGCCTTGCGATGCGAGTAACAACACACGACATCTTCCACAATCAGCTTGGCATTCACCAAAATCCGTTTAGTCAGTGCCTTCGATAATTGTTTTGCTCTAGACGAACATATGTCGTATCATCACTTGCACCATCTCGGCCATGCCGTTGTCCTGCTCTTGCGTATTCTCCGAGCTTCTAGGCTCACAACGACCGTCAATGTCTATTAATTGAGGCCTGGAGAGAAACTGAATCTCATCTCCGTGGTTCGCGTCGATCTTGCAACACGTTCTGACGCTCTACGAAATCGGATTCAGAGATGTAGAGGTTGGAGAGTGTGTGACACTTTTGCAATGCGTCACGATGAACGACTAATTCACGGGCTCTTGGTCAACGACGTACATACTATTTCTGCGAACTATCATGGAACCTCATGGTCGTTATGTTCAATGTGCTAATGATTAGGAGTTCGTCCAATTCACAATAATATGTGTAAATCAAACTTCCAATAGCCCACAGCCGCCATGACGATCCGTAGACATGGCTGCCTCAGCCTTTATATCGCTGCCTAGCCACCACAGTTATGAACCGCTCTCTTCTACTCTGATCTGACTTGCCGACTCCCTTGAACTACTCCCAGAACCCTCTCCCCGACGTGAATATGGTCAGAAGACAGGTATCCAACACCAACACCTCGTCCCCACATCCTCGTGTTCGCATCCGGGAACTTTTGCCAACTCTCTTCCTTGGAGACAACCCTCCAGGCCCACTGAATTCTATAACCGACGTCCCTGGTATCGGAATCTCGACTGAAGAACTTACGTCTCGTGATGGAAGCATAAACACTGGAGTCACATGTATTGTTCCACGCAAGGACTGGTCCCACAAAGCCTGTTATGCCGGTCTCTTTAGCTTCAACGGCTACGGAGAGATGACTGGATGTCACCTCATCGCTGAAAGTGGACTGCTAGCCTCGCCCATCATCTTGACCGGCACCTTTGGCATCGGAGCTGCTCATCAGGGCGTACTCGAGTATGGCGTCAAGACTCAAGGTAGAGGCTTCATGGCATTGCCCGTGGTCGCAGAGACATTCGATGGCTATCTACATGATTGTGCCAAATTCGCCGTCAAACCAGAGCACGTGAGCGACGGTCTGAAGAACGCGAGAACCCAAGTCCCGGTGAAGGAAGGCAATCATGGGGGTGGCAACGGTATGATCTGTCACGGTCTCAAGGGCGGCAATGGATCCTCCAGCCGACGCGTCAAGATACCAGACCGAGACGAAACTTTCACAGTCGCTTGTATGGTCCAAGCAAATTATGGAATGATGAAAGATTTGCTCATCGCAGGCGTACCGGTCGGGCGGATCCTGGCCGATGAAGCACAGAAGGACGAAGAGAGGAAGAAGGCAAAGGATGAACTAGAAAAGGCCAAAGAGGAGAAAGATGGCAGCATCATTGTCATTGTTGCCACAGACGCACCTCTCTTGCCTCATCAGCTCACTCGTATCGCCAAACGCGCCACTGTCGGCTTGTCTCGCGCGGGCGGCATAGGACGCAACATGTCCGGCGACATCTTCCTTGCCTTCTCGACGGCCAACGAAGTACCGGTCAACCAACCACCACCAGCGGAGGGCGAGTCCAAGACAGCGATCAGAGAAGCCAAGGTCGTGGACGAATCTGCGATGTCCTGGTTGTTCGAGGGTACTGCAGACTGCGTGGAAGAAGCAATCTACAACTGTTTGTGTATGGCAGAGACCATGGAGGGGTTCGAAGGACACAAGGTAGAAGCGCTGCCTCTGAAGCGAGTCAAGGAGATCATGGCGGAATACGGTAGAGCGTCATTGGATCGAGTCGTGACCGGCCTCGGTCATTGATCCATTGGTAGTAGTACAGAGCAGAATCTAACGCCAGTAGTTGCCTGAACATGTGCTCCGAACGATTTGTCTCATCGCTGTCACCTCATTCCTCCTGCTGTCGCTCTTTCTTCGCCCTGGCCTCGCTAGCAACACCGGGAATGCCCAAACTCTCAAACTCTTCTTCGTATTTCCTCCAAACAGCAGCATCACGAGCCATGATTTTCTGACGCCGTGAGTAGTCGCCATAGATACGTAGGCGCTCGTCTGCTTCTACGACACCACCAAAGATCATGCCAGACATTTGGAGGAAGCTGCCGCAGTGTCAGTTTATGTGTACTTCTGGATAGTGCCAACAGCCATTGATTGGAGAGGGAGTAAAGGTTTCGGGCTCGTAAACGAGCGAAAGAATAAGGAAGTGTTTGCTCGCGAAATATGGTTGAGCCGTTTTACTCGTCTGATTGCCGCAACATCTCCATTCAAGAAGCATGACTTCGAATGCAGCACACAGACAGAGACGAATAGAAGAAGCAGACTTACACTTTGAATTGAATCGTCAAGCCACGATATACTGGTGAATAAACATATGCAATACCAGCCGCAACCGCAGAATAGATGCCCCACTATCGAATTTCATCAGCGATTTACTCACAGGTATACTATACTGTACAGAAGAGCTTGAAAGATGGAACCGTTGCAACAATCGGCAACGATCAAAGAAATGAACATACCCTTGCTGCTCCAGTGACAGCACCTCTCGCAGCTTGCCACGCTGCCGCATCAGTCTCTTGCTGATCCATCTTGCCATGGGCACTTTTTGACGGCATTTTGAACGCTTTGCTGATCGATCGATAACGAATGGTCTAAATGCAAGCAAATTTCTGTCTTGTCTCGTGCCCTGCAAGATTGTTTTGGTGGTTCGGGATTAGGTTCGGGGTTTGAAGGTGAGGATGGAAGGAGATGGTTGCGTCACGATGGAGTGACTGCCAAGACCTCACACACCATCTCTTCTCAGAAAGTTTGTCACATCCCGAGCTATCGAGCTATAGAACGCGTGATCATCGTCAGGCCAGGCTATGTTCAGGAGGAGCCGAAAGTCCGGCGGCTCTCACTGGGACATATAGCACATCTTCCAGAAATTCATCTGCAGGCATGCGGAAAAGGCTATCAAAGTATGTTCTCGATTATGTATATTTACAAAAGCTATTGTTGTCCCTGAGCGAAGAGCTCTTGTCCGGATGTTTCAACGCATGTCTCAACCTGGCAGCAAGTCCTTGTTTGGTTGCTTCGTTCCTTGTATCAATATCTTGTCTTCATTCTGCTTGGTGTAGGCGGTGAGCCAGTCGGGTCCGTAGGCTTAACACCTTGAATCTGCGCCCTAAAACGTCTGTCTGCGGCTTCGAAAGCCAGGTCACGATTGAATTGGCCTTGAGCCTCAGTAGCGAGATCTGACCTAGGCATGGTCGGAAGATCATGAAAGGCAGAGCCGGAACCAGAATTGATGACAGCGTCAATTGGGCGCAGACCAAATGCAGGCGGAGGAGGCGGGACTGGATCTACAACCGGCTTGCGGATCTTCGCAGTTCTCGCTCGTAGGACCTCATCTGCTACTTCTTTCATCTCCTCTGCCGTCAAAGCTTCATCTTTGGATTCCTCCATGAGAGTCTCCATAGTCTTGATGCTGCGAATGAACTCATCGTTACCTTCGACCTGGCTCGTGATGATCTTGTCCATGACATGCTCGTCTTTTCCAGCCTCGACGCTGATATCTTGCTGCAACACGTCGCTAGGTGGTTTCATCCACTCTGCAGGCTTCTTGTTTGCGTTGCGCTGAGGGTTCTTCTTGTCGACGACCCGAGAAGAGAGGCCAGTTTTGAACAATTGCTTGTCGTATAACGCGAACTCGAATGTGCCTCCAGCAACAAAGCGATAGACGAATACAGGTTTCGTCTGTCCGAGACGGTACGCTCTTCCGATGGCTTGTTCCTCCCAGGTTGGGTTAAAGGCAAAGTCAAAGATGATGACACGGTTGGCTTGCTGAATGTTCAAGCCAAGACCTCCTGCACGAGTTGAGATGAGCAAAACATCGAGCTTGCCATCGGCCATCTGCTTGAGTACCCTCTCGCGCTTATCCTGAGCGACGTCTCCTTGAATGCGTCCATAACTGGCACCCATACTCGATAGCATACGATCGAGGAAGTTCAAAGAGGGTATGCTCTGAGAGAAAATCAGAACCTTGTCGCCCGCTTCGATCGAGAGACGCATAATCTTTCGGACGAGCAAGGTTTTGTAGGACAGCTCAATAGAATCGTCATCAGGAACGACTTCGAGCAAAGCATCGACTATAGCTTTGTTGATGTCGTACTGAGAGATGTGAGCGTCTGCGTATGCTGCATCTTCTCCGGCCGAACCCTCTCGCGCGCGGACAGCCCCAGAAACCGTAACTGCCGTTGACGATGGAGTAGACGACTCTTCCGGGGGTACGCCTGCTGTAGATGAGTCTACCGCAGTCACAACTACTGTGGCTGGGCTTGCAGGTACTTCAATCTCTGCAGGATTGAGTGTAGTCCTCTTGCCCTTCTTGTTGTTGGTGGTGGTGGTTTCTTTTGGGGGTTCAAGCAGCTTGCGTCGGAAGACAATTGGGTGGTTGCACAACAGCTGCAGGATGGACAGCCACCCAAAAAGCTTGGCCTGAGTGATTGTTGTCCCTTCTTCACCAGCCTTGCCACGGAGGATTTCTTTGACATAAGCCGCATAGCCTGATCTCTGCGATTCGGTCAGTGGAATTGTCAATACGAACTCCACTTTTCTCTTGAGAGAGCCTTTGAGCACAGTGATGTCGGCGCGATTGAGCTTTGGATCAATGATATCTTTCAGTGCTGCCAGCTTTTTCAGTGATCTCCGAACTTCGGACGGGCTGCTGTCGAAATATGTTCCCGCTTCGATTGGTTCCTGGTAGTGAGCTTTGAACTCGACTTTGTTGCCTAAGAATCCAGGCGCTACCCAGTCGATCAAAGCAAAGATTTCGGTAGTGTTGTTGCTCATAGGTGAGCCTGTTAGACCAATGCGGCGTTGAGTCTTGATTTTGTGAGCGGCTAGAGAAACCTTGCTTGAATCGCTCTTAATAGTGTGTACCTCGTCGGCGACGACAATATGAGGCTTTTCCAGAAGGATCTTCAACACAGTCTCATGCTGTGCATCATCGAGGGCTTGCGTCTTGCCACCCTGGCGATTTATCAATCTGGTAAACATTGTATAACCGCAAAGCATTATGCCTCCTTCTCGACGCCAGCTTTTGAGCTCATACAGTCTCAATTCCTTAGCTGTTACTTCGCTGCTCAAGCTGAAGACTTGGAACAGCTTCTTGGGGCACCATGTGGCAATCTCTTGCTTCCAGTTTGCCATGAGAGATGGCGGGCACAGTACGAGGGCTCTGAACTTGCTTCTAGCCTTCTTCAGATCTTCGGGAAGAGCATCGCGTTTGTTCATGTCCTTTGCTGTTTCGGCTACTGCCGTAAGGAGCGCAAGGCTCTGAGCTGTCTTGCCCAAACCCATCGTGTGAGCTAGCAAACAGCCTTGGCCGTCCTCATCTTGAGGAGCAGTGATTTCTCTCCACAAGAATTTGACGCCCTCGAGTTGATGTGGCTTCAGACGTTTGGCGATATCCGCATTGAGGTACACATGTTTGGAGGGATCCACACCATCTGGGGCGTAGAGGGGCACCTCGTTCTCTCCATCCTCACCAGGCATGAACGATCCAGTTTGGCTGTACTGATTCTGTGACTCGAACGCAGCAAATCGCTCAGCTGCATTAAGTCGCTTTCTCACAGCGTCTTGATCTAGCTTCACGACCCTCTTGCGAGTACTGGAGTGACCTGGAACGTCTTTCTCGTTGAGCTCGCCATCACTGTCAATCAGAATGACGGCTTCGTGATCTTTGACAGCGTGGTCCGTTCTGAAACGCTTCAGTGCTCTCCAGGTAATACCGTGCCATTCACGCAAGTTAGCTTCGTAACCCTTTTCATCACCATCCCATGGCCAGTCATGTCCTAGAGAAGGAAGGTCCGATATGTCCGAATCGAAATACCTATGATCAATATGGATGTAGCACAAGTAGAGTCTGGCGGCATATCCCATGGCTCTAGTGTCTGTGTCACCGTAGCCATCGAAGTATTCTTCTCCATCGTTCGCAGCAGCGATCGCAGCTCCGATCTTCTCGAGACAGGCCGTCATGTTGCCAGTGAAAAGACGCACAAGTGAATCGAGTTGATCTTCGCGGAGTTCAGACACCAGCTTGAGTATCAGTCTTATTTGATCTGATTCATCCTCGAGGTTCTCGTACTCCCAGCCTTGGATCTGGGCCAGAGAGTCGTTATATGGGTCTGCCGAATAGGCGATTTCTGTCTGCGTCCCCTGCTCCTCCTTGACAACAAGCTCGTTCGGAGGATTTTGAGGTGCGGTATGCGCCGCGGTGGGTAATACAGGGCTCGATAGAATTTCGATGTATTCTATGTTCTTCCGTGCAGTTGAATTTCTGGACTCGAATAATGTCCTCGGCGAAGGCAGACCAGGGGATTCTGGTCCAGAACCAAGACCTATAGCAAGTCTGCTTTTCTGTGGGGTTCGGATGGAACTGAGAGTCTGGTTGATGCCTGCCAATGTCTCGGGCGGCTCGCTGCCAATAGATTCATGACGGAGAATCTTGCTCGAGTCAGCGGGCCTCTCGGTAACATCTGGCATATCTTCGTCGGCGGCGAGAACAATGTCGGGGTTTTCCGCGCCAGGACTTGCCAATTCGTCTGGTGGATCACTCGGCGACAGCGACTGAGCCATGTCGATATCAGGCTCAGACTCATGACCATCTTCAGAGAGGCTTTCTCTGGCATCTTCAAAATTCTCGTCGTTGACGACGAAGTCCTGCATGTCGTCGTCCGAGATGTTTCGCTCGAGAGCTTCTTCCACAGCACCATGACGGCCTCTTTCGGATGGTTTGACCTGTCTCGCTGCGGTTGCAGGCTCGACTTTGAGTGCCCAAACGCGGATCTTCCACTCCTCTTTCTCCCGGTCATTGACGGTAGGTTCCAGAGAAATGCAGGCTTGCTCGACTTCTTGCTCGGTCTCCCATGTGCTTTCGACGAGTCTACTCTTGAACTGCTCGAGCCTGGCATTCAAACGCTCAATTGCTTGTGTAGCACCTTTGGTCAAGGCGCGAGCTGTCCTCATGTTGCCTTTCGCAAGGCGCCACACACTGCGTGCTTTGCTCTTGTCGAGCTTTGGTTGCTGGTCGGCACGCCAAGCAAGAGCTTGTAGCTCGAGGATTTTGTCAATCAGTGAAAGGACCAGTTCGCCAGAGAGAGCAGGGGCTTCAACTGCAGAGTCTTCCTCTGCCATCTCGTCGTCAGAACCGCTTTCGGATTCTTCAACTCCAGCAATTTGTTCGTCTCCCTGATCTGAGCCATAGTCTGACTCTCCATACAAGGGCAGGACTTCATCAGCTCCTCTATATCTGTCAAGGAGGTAGTTGAATTCGCCAGGGCTCAACTGTGTGTTCACTGCCTCATCTTGTTGAAAATGCAATGTTTGTGCTCTCTCGCGAATGACCTTGACGCCCTTCTCTGATGACTTAAAGACAGTGACTGATCTGGTGTCCTTATCCTCGAGTAAGCGTTCGGGGTATGGATAGACTGCGAGGGCCGAGTTCCGGTGATACTTGATGGGCTGAGTGTCGGACTGCTGGAAGGCATGCTGTAGCCGACGGTAGACGAATGAAGCAGCTCCCATGAACTCGGTCTCTCCGAAAACAGTAAAATTGTCGTGGGAGTCGTCATCCTCCATCTTGGTATCGTCGATTTCTGCGCTGTAAGGAATGTTTCCATAGAAGACCTTGTCGATCGGAAGCTTCTTGTCGTGCAAGAAGCCAGAAGGTCGATGTAAGGGCTCAGGCTTGGTTGTGGACTGAGGTGTGACGGTTGGACTTTCGGCGGCTCCAGGCCGAGTGTCGTCGAGGGTGGTGTCGAGATTCAATTTACGGCGTTTCCGGCCGCCAGAATCCTCGACGAGCACCTCTCCCTTGCGAACTTTGGCTCCGGTGGCTTGTGTGGGCGTCTGAGGAACTGAAGCATGGGGAGTGGGTAGCGGTAGCGAAGACGGCAGATCATTCGGAAGCAAGCTCTCAGCATAAGCCACGGAAGACTTGCGCAGTCCAAAGATCATTTTCATGATAACCATACGCTCTTTGATGCCAGCAATGCCGAATTCGTCCTTCAAAAGGGTAAGATCGACAAATTGTAGCAGCATGTGGCCATCGAGATCGTTAGTAGACCATTGCTGAGCGAGGTTGCCGAATTGATTCTGCTGGAGAAACTCGACAGTCTCTGCAGAAGACCACTTGTAGGGATCAATCTCCTGCATCGTGAGTCGATTTGCTGTTTGATGGGTTCGAAAACGATGTTGGGTTTTGGTGTTCTGAAGAGCGTGAGGCTTAGAGGTGACCGAGGTTAGCGTCTGTGGAAGAAGGGGCGTGTGAGTCTGTGGATCGTTGCCTGACGACTAACCTAGAGAGTAGCTAATGAAGGAGGAATTCTCTCTCAATGCATTTGATTGTTGCAAGGAATGAATCTGATAGCGCTCACCAACGTTAGTCGCTAGCGAAGGACAATGTCGTGATGCCGTCGAAGCGCCAAAAGGTAATGAGAGACTAGATGAGTGAGACTCGAAGATAAGAGGCTTTGCGTGTAGCGTAAGAAGCGGCAAATTGGTCTGTCGAGTGATGAGCGCTTCGGATGAAGTGGACGTGGGTGCGAGTCGATTTTATGTACATGGGATGGGTGTTGCAAGGCGTGTTGTTCGCAGGTGAGGGAAGCAGCGTGTTGTCTGCGATTGCGAGAAGTGCAGGACACTGATAGAACAGGTCTCAGAGTGACCGTCGCCTCGGCTGTTGAAGTCGAAGTGATGTGTCTCTTTTTCTGCTTTGCATCTCCTCAGACCCCGATAATAGCTGAAGTCCTCACGCGTGCGTTTGATGCTGTCGTTTGGACACTTTCATGTAGTTTTGACACGACAGCAACAGAAATGAGCGCAGATCAACTTCAGTGAAGACGCGCGATAATCTGTCGAGATAGCGACAATTAACGAACCTGTGTTCACTGCGGGTCGAGCTGGCGCTTGAGAGATGGTGGAAGAGTCCAGGCAGCACTTGCCGTGACGCGATCGCGGCAACGGACAGCTCACCGCCCGGCATTTCATCCGTCAAACAGACCCCCGGCACTACCAACTCTTCCTATCTTTGCATGCAACCAAGTCTTTCATAATTATAAGCTCCTTTCACCTGTCCTCGATATCCTCGTCTCTACCATGCCGCGCGAGATCTATCCTAAGTACCCTCCGGATCTCAACGAGGAGCAGCTCCAATACCTGATTACTAATGTCAAAGACTGGTCCATTGCAAATGGTCTGGCTGTGAGACCGCTGCCGTCATGGGTTACGAAGGAACAGGATCCAGTCGGCTCGCTAGCAGTGACTGCTCCCGTTACTCTCTTCCCTAGTCTGTTCCCTAGAAACTGCTTTGAGCAAGGCCTTGGCATTCAGACGGCATACAACGAGCTCTATGCTGCCATTGCAAGCGATGAGACTTGGCTCAAGCAGATTGTTGAGGAGTGAGTTATTCCATGTTCTGAACAAGAGAATTGACTCTCGCATGTATGTTCGCTGCTGACAACGTGGTCAGACTCGTCGAAGTGGATGATTTTATTGCGGAGCTATGGAAGGTTCACCAGGCCGTGAAGAAGGAAGGATATGTCCAGGTAGATACCACCACATCTGAAACATCTCAGCCTCATTTATCTGACAAGTTCCCAGGGCATCACTCTTGGACTGTTCCGTTCTGATTACATGGTTCATCTCGATCCTGCTCACTCTGATGCCAAACCTACCATCAAGCAGGTAGAATTCAACACCATTGCTTCATCCTTCGGTGGACTTTCCACGCAGGTCTCAAGACTACACAAGCATCTTCTCTCTATGGATGCCTATCCGGAAGAGACTCAGTCAACCATCAATACTGCATCTCTTCCTCCAAGCACATCGGTTCCTTCGCTGGCTGGAGGTCTGGCTGCCGGCCACCATGCTTATGGTGCTTCGAAAAGTGGTTCTCCTCTTTGCGTCGTTTTTCTCGTTCAGGATCCGGAACGCAATGTCTTCGACCAGAGACATCTGGAATACACTTTGTACAATGACCATCAAGTCAGAGCTTTCCGTGTACCCTTCAACAAGATCATGTCTCATACCAGAGTTGACGAAAAGCGAAACCTACTTTACACCCCACCCCAAACGCCTAACAAGACTTGGGAGGTTTCTCTGGTCTACTTCCGTGCTGGCTACTCACCTGATGACTATTCCGGCAAGGCCGATTGGGACGCTCGTCTGCATATCGAGCGTAGCGCGGCCGTCAAATGTCCCAGTATTCTGACTCACTTGGCCGGCTCCAAGAAGGTTCAACAGGTGCTCGCAACACCCAACTCGCCTCATCTTGCTCGCTTCTTGCCAGACAAGAACAAAGCGGCCGAGGTTCTCAAGACGTTTGCACCAATCTACCCACTCGACAAGAGCGAAGCAGGTCTAGAAGCTTGCAAGCTCGCACAGAACCCAGAAACAGCGACGCGCTACGTCCTCAAGCCTCAGCGTGAAGGTGGCGGCAACAATGTCTACCGCAAGGCGATTCCCAAATTCCTCAAGGACACTCCTGAGTCGCATTGGCCGGCTTATATCCTGATGGAGATGATTGAACCACCGGCACTGACCAACTCCATTTTCCGGAACGGAGAAGTACAAAAGGGCGGTGTCATCGGAGAACTGGGTGTATATGGTGTCTGCTTGTGGAAGACGAAGGGTGGTGAGGATGGCATACAAGAGATGCTCGAGAACAAACAGGCTGGTTACTTGCTCAGGACAAAGGGCGACCAGAGCGAGGAGGGTGGTGTGGCAGCTGGGTTTGGCTCTGTTGACAGTGTCTGTCTTGTCGATGCGTGAAAAAGATTCGACTATTACTTTCTTGACACAAACTAAAGTAAATACTTACCATAAGACCTCTCCTGCAAAGTAAGGGACCTGTGTATGTGTTCCATGACTAGACTAAGAAAACAACCACCTCGTGGATATTCACAGCATGGTACCAGATACAGACAGGGTCATAGTCAAGGCACGCATGTGAAAGTTGATGCACGGACCACAAGTCAGTGATGGGCATCTTGTCCAGACCATTGGATGTTCGCGACAGAGAGCCCAAGATGACATTTCGACCTCCGGCAAGCCCGGTGCCAGTTGGTTTCTACTCACGGTCGACCCCAAATCTGCCGACTTTAAGGTCATTCAAGACCAGTGACCACGAAAGTGGCGCCGACCCAACACCATCAACCTTGACTTCTCCCTCCGAGGCGGCATCCATCGAGGACTTCTCCCTGGACGCTCCTGCCTCGATCGACTCGGGCAGTGAAGACGAAGATGGCGACTCCATGCCCTCGCCGCGACAGCCCATGTATCAACACAAGCAATCCCAATCGCATACGTATCTCGGCCCTGCCACCTTTGCGCCGCCCTTCTACAATCGCCCTCCGACGCCTCTACCACCCAGCCCTTCGTTGACGAGTCTGCTGCGCCCGACCTTCAGCACGCATGCCTCAAGGCCTACAACGCCAGACCCCAGCAGCGACGAAGGCACCTCGCAGACTCCCAACAGTGCAGCTGCAACCACCCTCACAACGTCTTTCCGCACCGCAAAGCCCATTCCTCGCGCTTCGCCCAAAGTCCCCACCTACGAGTACTATGGCTTTACCCTGTACCTGACATCCACCCTCACCTTTGCAATCTATTTGCTCTGGAGCTACCTGCCTTCGCCATTCTTGCATCAGCTGGGCATCTACTACTACCCCAATCGCTGGTGGAGTTTGGCTATCCCCGCTTGGTTGGTCATGCTTGTCGTATGGATCTACGTCGCATTGGCTTCCTACAACACCGGATACCTGACTCTCAAGATGCATGCTGTCGAGTGTCTGGTCGACGATGCTGCAAACATTGCTGTCGTGGATGCAAAGGGAAACATTATTCGCAAGGATGATGAGGGAAGGTGGAAGTTGCATCGGAGGGACAACAGTACTGGAAAGAACATACCTCCGAAAGATTTGCAATGGGATACGCTGTGGAATGAGGGTACGGATGCTGTTATGGATGTGCCTATCGGTGGTGTGTGCGAGATACTCTATGGCACAGCTGATGATGATGATGATGATGACGATACGATGTTATGATTTACAAGCATGCGAACAATACTGAAAGAGAAACATACCCGTATCCTCCCATCTGCTAAGTCTGTGATCTATGCAACTGTGAACACGCACCATGGTATCGAGAAACAGGCCAGTACCCATTGAGAAGCGACTGATCATGGGCTCTCTCTGGAAGCATCTCTGGCTCGGAGAACACGCAAAGATGTGTTATCAATCATCTATACTTCAGCTCCCAATCCATAATCGCCCTCAACAACCCTCCACGATTCTCCCAGGCACCACCGTATGCCATGCATGCGTCCACAATGATCTTAGCTTTGCAAACGACCAGGTCCCGCACGACAGGACGCTCAGGCTCCGGCGAAAAGAGCACCGGGTAGGGCGACTGCGGGGTGGGACCAAGGCCCTGCTGCCCTTCCCAGGCCTTTGTCGCTTCGGCCAGCTGCTCCAGAAACATCGTGTCGCCGGTATCTGGGTCCAGCACAAGAAGCCACGACACCAGGTCTTCAACCTCGTCTCTTCCAGGGGTGTTCTTAGGCACCACCTGGTGGCGGAGGAGGGTCGCCACAAGCTTCGCTCTCAAGCCCCTGATGGCCCTTGCATCGCCTGCTTGGGCCGCCACACCCAAAGCAAGCAGGTCCGTGGTGCACGTATAGTGCATTAGGGGGTATCTGGCCAGAAGAGTTGCCAGCCAATTCACCAACACGTTGCGATGACCAGTCGCAGTTGGTCCTTTGGCCTGGCACACCGGCAGATGGTAGCTGGGCGGTGCCTCCTGAGGCTGGACAGGCGAGAAAACGAAATTCGGCGACAGTGGGAGAGGGGTTTCGACCACTGTCGGAGGAGAAATTGAGCGACCCCTAGGGTATATCTCGGACAAGACAGACCCCTGACCAGACTCCTGGCCGGATGCAGCATCCTCTTCGAACAGGATCAGGGCCATGTCGAAGGGATCGGTGGACTCGACTTCTGATGGAACCCCTGGTGCAGCCCCTGATGCTGCGGAGTCATATGACGGTGGTAAAGGTCCACCCCCTGCCATCTCCTCGTGGCTTCGCTTCACCCCCCTGCCACTGCTGACCTGTACCCCTTCCTCCTGGGGCAACCAACCCTGGCACCTCCAGGCACCGACGACGGCACTTCTCCCACCCGGATAGAACCGATAGTGGTTGACGTTGAAGCCAGTCACGGCTGGCTCTGCGAGGATGGCCTTGGCTCTGAGAAGGCCTTGGTAGACCAGAGGATCGTGGGCGGCGAAGAGGTCGAAGCGAGTGGCCTCAGACAAGCTCTTGAGCTTGCGCAACGTCGACATAGCATCGTCTGGCACGCGGCCGAGACGTGGCTGGTTGGGCATTACGACCCAGGATTCTTTCGCAAGAGAAAATGAAGTGCGTAGAAGACGAGATGACTGGTCGTCTCTTGCATCGTTATCATCGTCGACGGTGCGGAGTGGCACGATGCCATCTGACAACTTCCAGGACGCAGGTTCGGCAGTCTCGATGCCCAGCGACTCGACGGGAACAAACATATATAGAATACGTGGTTTGCCACCTTGGCTTACGATAATCCTCTGGCTCAGGAGAACCAGGAGCTTGTTGTCTTCCTCGTTGTGGGCAACGGAAAGTAGGAGGCTCAAGTCGCCTTCGTGACGGCAAGGTTGGCCCAGATGCTCACGGTCAACGTTGGAGTACTCCGAGTTGCCTGACTTTGAAAACAAAGCGATAACGGGCTGTTCGTAAACGAGCCATTCTAAGCTGACACGCGGCGACAACTGTGGCTCCAGAAGCCTTATCCATTCGGATTGTTGGGACATCTCGCGAAGATTGATGATGGAAGAGTTCTGAAGAAGAAACAAACGATATCGAAATTGATTGATGTAAATTGATGAACGGACAACACAATGCTGGGCTTGACGTGCACTACCAATAGAGAAACAGTCAGTACAAGTCTGACAGAACACAGTCTTCATGAAGAGGTGGAAAAGAGCAGAAGCCCCGTACGAGTAAATCGTACGCCCACCCACCCGGGCTTTGTTTAATGAGGCAGCCCTGACCTAGTACCAAGAAGCTGACACAGATGAGACACCCTGTTTGGTATGAAGAGGCCTAGACGAACAGAACAGGGACTGATCCAGCCCCACAGGCTTCGAACATAACTGCGGAGATGGTAGGAACCACCGGGCAGCGCTGCAAGAAGGGGTGTGGGAACCGGGGACAGTATGAACTGACGCGGTCGGGTAGTCTTCCAGGGATGGCATCAACCGGAAAACAGCGACTGTACCCACTGGGCAACTCGGGTAGACTGGGGGCAGTGCTACGGGGAGATTGCGGGAGTGGGAAACAGCTAAAGACTCACACGTTTACTTTGCAGTCGGGCAGGTTGAATGCGGGGACAGAGAAGCAAGGTGATCATCCGGTACGTGGAAGAAAGAAAGGAAGGAGCATTCCGCTGACGCGCGCGGTCGAAGTTATAGTAGGCAGGCGCGTGACGCGTCGGCCTTGTTTGCTCGCAATGCAAACATTAGGACGCCGACGCGTCAGGGTCCGATTTGTGCCGTCTCCCCACGTGCACAGGTATGCAACGCAGGAGCTATAGAAATGCACAATACTTTCGAGAGATAGAATATATTCCACTGAGAAGCGGTATATCTTGGACTCTCTTTGGATACAGCTTAGATGTCGAAGTTATTGTGCATTTCTATAGTGGAGATTCTCTCCTGATACGTGGAGAGATGACAATGTTGCAAACTTCCAGGTGCAGTCAACAATACCAAGAAGACACAGAATTTATTTGCCAGTCGAAGCTGGATATTCGCTGGGGCCCTCTTCTGATGCAGCTCTAATCTAGAAACAACTGTGCATTTCTATAGCTTGGAAACGATCAACAGAGTTGCTACAGAAGAGACGGGTTGGCGAGTCAGAAACCGGGCATGTCGGTGCGGCTGCCCCATGTTTGATCTGATATGTGGCATCAAGCTCCCCCCTTCGACTCGAGGGGTAACGCGTACACGGCTTCTGCTTTTAGGAGGTCGCGATTCCATGACTGTCTGATGGCCCAAAGAAACCTGATCCAATTCACCAGAAGCTGAGAGACAGCGCACAAATGGATGCAGTTCGGACTCAAGTCTACAACCTGATAGACCAGGTGCAACAAGTGCCGACACAACTGTTGCTAGCCGTTGCTTGCTTGTCCGTCTTCTCCTTCGCAATTCTGGTATTGTTTATCCACATTCAGCAGACGCACGCAACTCATTCTGACATGCAACTCAGCTGTACCTCGGTCTGTTCATTGTCGCTCCTGTTCCCCGACCGCCGCACGAGTCCGAGAAGAAGTACACAACCATCCTACCTGACGGGTCTGTCAGCGACCCCGAAACGCAACCATGTTGGTACGACCACCATGTCTCGCTCAAATCACAGGCTCGCACCGGCAAGATCGCTACAGGTGATGCTTTCAGACCTACCCAGCCCGAACTCTTGGTCACCGTTGTTGTGCCTGCATACAACGAAGAAGAAAGAATGAGCGGCATGCTCGAGGAGGCTGTCGAGTACCTGCAGTCAACCTTTCCACAACCGCTACAATCGCAGTCGACATCAGGCGACAAGCCAAAGGGTTGGGAGATTCTCGTTGTAAACGACGGCTCGACCGACAAGACCATCGACACGGCCCTGTCCTTTGCTCGCAATCATCAACTTTGTTCTACCCCTCCCACCCCGGCTGGTCCATGGTCTTCTAATGACGGTCCCAAGACGCGGTCCAAGTCTGCTCCAAAAGTCGAAACAGTCCCTACCAGTATACCTCATGGCAGCATCCGCGTCATATCCTTGGAACAGAACAGAGGAAAAGGAGGAGCTGTCACCCACGGCATGCGCCACGCAAGAGGAGCATACATTGTCTTCGCCGATGCCGACGGTGCTTCTCGCTTCTCAGACTTGGGCAAGCTAATAGAGAGCTGCGACCGTGTCGCTGATGCCAAGGGCAGAGCTGTCGGCGTTGGGAGTCGAGCACATATGGTTGGCAGCGAAGCTGTCGTCAAGGTAAACAAATCACAATCCACCGAGCTGAGCATCATCACTAACTCTCCTACAGCGCTCCTTGTTGCGAAACACCCTCATGCATTCCTTCCATCTTCTGCTACGTCTTCTTACGCCCCCAGCCACATCGTCGATCAAGGATACCCAGTGCGGCTTCAAGCTATTCACTCGCCCTGCTCTCCCATACATCGTTCCGTACATGCACAGCGAAGGTTGGATCTTCGACGTCGAAATGCTCATGCTTGCAGAGAGTGCTGGCATTCCAATGGCCGAAGTCGCCATCGGTTGGAAAGAAGTCGGAGGTAGCAAGCTGAATGTTGTCTGGGACTCTCTGGGCATGGCTTGGGGACTGGCTGTCTTGAGAGCTGCATGGATGGTCGGCGTCTACCGAAGGGACGTGTAATCTGCATTCTCAATCTCTTCGCCACCGTGTACATCGATTTTACCATAGACAAAAGCAGCATTGAACCACGTCATTCCACCCCATGGCTTTGGGCACAAACATGATCAACTCAAACCATCCTAAATTAACAATCCGTCAACATCGAACATACGAAACGGAATGGCAAGCGTTTTTCTAGAACATTATACAATAAGATAGACACTTTTAGATTTTGAACTTTGATTTGGCAGATACACTACTTTCTACATATTATCAGATGCAGCAACTCAAAGGTTGGCGCAGGTCTTGGGGTACTGAACAGATCTCTTGACAAACTTCTTCAGTCTGTTGCCATCGACCGAAACAACCATGTTGACCTTCTGAAGGTTCTGAGCACTGGGCTTCAGAGCCTCCTGGTAGGCGTGGATGTTGCCGTAGTTGGGGCTGGAAGGAGCAGTGTCGACATCGAGGTAGACTAGATTGCAATGTTAGGAACAAAGATCAAAGTTGGACACACGGTCTTTGCGTACAGCTTGTGGTGTTTGTGACAATGGTGGGGTCCAGCATGATGGCGGCGGCGGTCTCATCCCCTAGTTGTCGTTAGCATCTGTATCTCTCGATGGATGGGCCTAGAATACATACAGAGGGGGAAGATGGTGCCGTAGTACTTGTGCATCAGAGAAGAGTAAGGGTTCTTGACCTTGTAAATGTCGTCGAGGTACTCTTGGGTAACCATGACCTGGTTGGCGACGTTACCAGCGATGGCTGGACACACAGTCAGTATTTGTACTCGTGTGAAGGTTTCAGCCTCAAGATATGGGAAACCTACTGATGTTAGGGAAAGGAGCAGTAAGAGCAATCTTGGTGCCTTCGGGATCAATCATCAAGTTGATCTGTTGAATTGTCAGTGAAAATCACTCGTCACCTTCTAGCCTGAACTTACGTCAGAACTCAGGTCGGCCTGCAAGACACTGCCGGTAACTTGCAGAAGGTTACTATCAATGTAGCCTCCCTAGAAGAAGTGTCAGTCCAGCTGTCAATTTTGAAGTCCTCAAGGTTGCCATACCATGATGATCAGCTCCTTTGCATTCTTTGCAAAGTCGGGATCCATGCGGATAGCAAGAGCAATGTTGGTCAGAGCACCGGCCGAGTAGATTGAGACCTGACCAGGGTATTTGCGGACTTGCTCAATCATGAACCATGCTGCGTCCTTGGAGGCGAATGTGGTGTTGGGGTAGCCCTCGTAAAGAGCGGCCTTTGAGACGCGAGTTGGGTCACCCGAAGTAGGGTCGTTGCCCAATGCCTCGTAGGTAAGGTTCTCTGGCGCAAAGGCACCTTCCCATGCACTGGAATGACGGTCAGAACAGTTCTATACATCCACTTGCAGAGTACAATGACTCGGCGACTTACAGCTTGCCATGGACCATCTCCCAAGTCTGGAAAAGCTCGGGTGTGTTGAGAATAGGGTAGTCTGCTCCCTTGTGAACGGGAATACAAGAAAGGTTGCCAACTTCCAGGGTAGCCAGAGCATGCCTACAACCATTGTGATTAGTACAGAACATTTCAATCGCGGGTCAGGTAGAATTACAGTCCAGTCTGCAAGGCCCACGAGTTTGCGGTGTCAGAGACAAGACCAAGAACGTCCCAGCCGGCATCAAGTGCCATAAGGAAGGGAATGAAACCAGCGGTTCCCCAATCGTTGTCCATGATAACCTTTGGTCTACTGATGTTCTTAGCCGACCTTTCCTGAAGTTGCTCCAGAGGAGCAGCTCCAGTCAGGCTGGCAGCAACCAGAGAGCCAGCAGCGAAGAGCTTGGAGAACGAGAGAGACATTGCAAATAGAGAATCAGACAAAACGATCGATTTGAGAATCAAACTCCACTTGCCCTAGAAAGCATTCTTATAGTCACATCCACATTAGCAAAAAATCCATAAATCTTGGCGTGCTTATCTTTATCAATATTTAGGTTCGACATTTTGGCAGGTCAATAAGTTGCGGGTGAAGCGCCTTGTCGCGTGGTCAACGGCTCGGACAGCGGAAGGGACCTCTGTGGCCCGTGGTCGTATGCCTTGGCTGACAGAAGGCGTACTCTGAACCGCGTCTGCTTGGATAGCCGATGGAGAGCCACTGATCGGGCAGATAACAGAGATACACATGTACGCTGATAGGATGCATATGCGATTGCTTCGGTCACGTCCGTGGTGCCAAGCTACCAAGCTATTTGAGATGTTTAGTCAAGATAGACGACTACTCTATGTTGTATCAAGATAGCCGAAGCAGTCACCAAAGAGAGGTACAAACCCAGCTTTGTTCAACTCGAAGCTTTGGTCATGACTCTTGGTGCCAGTCCATGGACCAAAAACCTTGCATCACTGCGGTAGCAACGCGGCATATTTGCCGGTCAAGAATAAATCCAGTGAGAAGTGCAGATCTTCGGAGACTGTCGGACCGTAAGGACAAGGACGACAAAAGTGCTCACAAGTCGCGCGACTTCTCCAGTTGCAAAGATATGTATGTCATGCTCCTCAGTAGAAGCTATGGGCATGCACAGTTCCTTTGGTGCACAAGAAGTATCCATCGAAGGTCGCGATCTTATAGGCTCTCTGTGAACCTCTCCACCGTCTGGAAAGCACTGTGCATGTTCAAAGGTTGATGGCATTGGTCTCACGCTATGCGTTGAGTGAGAGACAAACAGTGCCCACAGGTGCAAAACGACAAAATTGTCGCAGCCGTGAATCGAACACGGGGCTCGTGCATGGCAAGCACGAATTTTACCACTAAACCACTGCGACTTGGAATGAAGCACAAACATTTGAAGAACTATATATCCACAAAATTTACGTGGGAAGCGCGTGGTTCGGCAAGCTCGCGCCAGTTCGGTGAACTAAACTTGCATGCTTCGTCAAGACCGCGGTCATAATCATTCCACACATCACACAACATGGTGAGTTCATTTCGATATTCGATCGCAAACATGATCGAATGGCTAACATGCGCAGGCTCGTAACGCAGAGAAAGCGCAAAGCACACTGTTCAGATGGAGGGCGCAACAAGCAGCAGACCTGGGCATCCTCGACACAACCCGCACGCGGCGACCAAAGGCCATATCGCAACAAGAATCCGTACCGACATGTGAGCGCTGGCGCGGTCAAGTGCTCAAGGAGATATCGCGCAAAGTCTCAAAGATCCAGGACCTCTCGCTCTCTGACTTTCAAATTCGCGACATCAACGACGAACTGAACAAGCTCTTCAAGGAAAAATGGCAGTGGGAGATGCGCATTCGCGAATTGGGAGGGCCGAACTATATGAGAGGAGGTGGTCGGGTTGTCGATGAAGAGGGCAGGGAGATACAAGGAGGTGGAAAGGGCTACCGCTACTTTGGAAGAGCAAAAGAATTGCCCGGAGTGAAGGAGCTGTTCGAGGCCGCAAAGATCAAACCACAGGAAGACAAGGCTCTGGAGACGCGATCGGATCTACGCCAGAAAGTCGATGCCTCCTACTACGGCTACAACCTTGACGAAGAAGATGGCAAATTGCTAGCCTACGAGGCACAGAAGGAAAAGGAAGCATTCGAGCATACTATGGATGATCAAGACGCGGAGGACACGGACTGGGAGCCGTTACCTGGGGATTCTGGAGATGGTGTTGCTTGGAACCTTCCGACCGCAGAAGAAGTTGAGGCCGAACTCATCGAGAGAAGGAAACGAAAGCTGCTTGATAAGCTGTGAAGACCTGGTGGCACTCTGCGCAGTCTACGCAACATGCTTCATCATGCTCCATTATGGCCGCCGATCGTCGCATCATACTAGCCATTCCTGCATCCAAACGGCACCCAATATTCACGCGTCAGCTATGAGAATCCACACTGCCAAGGGTCCATTCGCATGGACTGACCCATCTCGAAAACCTCGTCTGGTCCCTGGTCCTGCTGTCTTCTGCAGATAAATCCGGCCTTTGTAAATAATGAATCTGAGATCTTCCTGCCCTGGGATCAAAAAACTCACATTTTCAACCCATCGCGCTCTCGATACAACCACAATCATGGTCTGCCTGTGTGATGTACTCTATCATATATATATAGAGGTCTAATAGAGCTGTTAATAGAAAGGTCTTGCCTTCGCCATATATCATGCACTCAGGAGTGTGACCCTGTGTGTAGTTGACTTCCGAAGTACGAGGTGGCTTAAAGCGCTTCTAAAGAAAATGATATCCCAGAGAACAAAAGAACAGGTCTAGAAGGAATTTGTCTCCGGATACTTTTGGCCATCACAAGATGCTTCTCCACGGTGGTTGCCCTTATCTCGGGCATGGTGCACGTCCCATTCTAACCGACTTCGCTCTTGCCCTGCTCAATCACCCACCCCGGTGCACTCCGCATAGCGGCCACGGCCGAACGACGGAGAGAGAGATACGGAGTCAACGGCATGTTATCTTCAAGCTCCATGACAATTCCTCGCAATGTAGAGCAACTCGATCGGAGGACGTCGAGTTATGCATCGGGCGTCTCCGACTTCCATCAGGAAAGAGAATATGAACTTGATGAACCTCAACACACTCTTCCCTATATAAACTACCTACTAGATCATGTCTCGACTCCTTCAATCTGCCTTGCACACTGCTCTCTCTAGACCGTCGTTGTCGCCAAATCATATCAAGCTCAATCCCCATCAACTCTGTTCATACGCCACAATGGCTGTCAAGATAAACAAAATCTCAGTACACAAGATCCGACCATCGGATTCCCAGATAGATTTTGTTGCTGAGATCAGGGGAGCAGACTTGGAGAACCTCTCAGGTAAGTCAACCATCTTCTAAGAAGCATGGACTTGAACTAATATTTTTGTTCGATAGAGGAAGATTTCAAGATCATCAGAAATGCTTTATACGAGAACAGCGTGATTCTATTCAAAAACCAACAATCACTCTCACCCAAAGCTCAATTCGAGCTAACACAAAAGTTCGACCCTTCAGCTGGAACTTATGGACACGGAAAGACTCTCGACGCGAAAAGAAGCGTGCTTCACCCTGACCTCAAGACCATTCCTCACCAACCCCAAGTACAAGTCATTGGAAATGGCCCGGTTGCTGAGTTTGAAGGTTTGAAAGATATCACTCTCAAGCACCCTCATCACAAGACTTTCCACAAGACACCAATCAGCGAAGACGATGACCGCGAAGCAACGAGATTCTACCGCTGGCACATCGACGCTGCACTATATGATTTGTCACCACCCAAGGTCACCAGTCTTATGGCTGTCAGTGTACCCAAGACCGAATACCAGACTCTTCGTTATGATGACGGAAGTAATGACGAGATGAGAGTGCCTCGTGGAAGCACGGCGTTCGTTAGCTCATACCGTACATACGACCTTCTCTCAGAAGAAGACAAGGAGTTTGCTAGGACGACAAAAGTGCAATATGCTCCCCACCCTTACATCTGGATGTCGCCTGCTAGATCCAGGAGTGATGGCCTCGGTCTGGTTTCCGATGGTCTTGAGCTGTCTCGCGATGAGTTGCCGCCAATCGACGAGAAGAAGATCAAGATCCTGCCTATGTGCTGGCGCAATCCCGTCACTGGACGATTGGCTCTGCAAGTTCACCCTTCTGCGGTCGAGAAGCTCCATCTTGCTGATGGTACCGTTATCAGCGATTTGAAGCAAGTCCGAGATATCATCCACAGGCTTCAGAGACCTGGTATCGCTCCTGAGCTAGTATACTCAGTCAATTGGGATGAGGGAGACCTTGCTCTATTCAATAACGAAGGAGTGATTCATTCAGTCACGGGCAGTTTCTTGCCTGAGGAAGTTCGTATCTTCAGACAATGCAACCTGGCGGCCTCTCAGGATCCTCTTGGTCCAGAATGAAGCCTATATCAGAGTGCCGGAGGGTGACAGAACAACACAGATAGATTTACATCCACTAGACGAACAAAATTACAATCGTAACAGCGTCCACAAAACTCTTTCATGGTGCAAGGCGCAAGTGATGTGACAATCTGTCGAGAGGATCGCGTGGTGGATGTGCAGAAAAGAAGCGATGTGCGCTGATACTGCATTGGATGAACTCCTGCGGGCTAATTATATTTGAATGAATCATGATTTTTCTACGGTCTCTGAACCGACTGTCGGCGTCGCATCAACTTCTCGGCATTTCTTTGCATGAACGATTCTCCCAAGCCGCCACTGCTCTGTTGCTTACTGTAGCTCGGTCGGGAAAACGAACCGTACAGCGACCCAGGAGTAGGCAATTCTTCTGACGTTTCACTGAGGTCCAGCTGAGGGTCCTCCCGCACAGACGGTCTTGAGAAGCCTGGTGAGATTGGCTGGGCTGATGAAGAAGACGAAGTTCCGAAACTCCCAATAGGGATGTTGAGGCTGGGCGCATCGGTGATCGGTGATATATCTTTATCGCTGGGACTAGCCGGACTTGCTGCGCGCAAGGTTGACTCTGAATCCAGACCTGAGTCCAGATCTGCATCGATGTCTTCTATTTGGGTTGTGTACATCTCGGAGGACTCAAACTCTTCATCCATGGAGAACGGCGAAGCCAGTATTAGGTCGCCGCCAGGATTGATCTTGGATGGTGAAGAGTCGTTAGCCAGGCCGGGACCGCGGGTGGCCGAGGCGAAGCCCAGGCTCAAGCCTCCAGGTTGAAGTCCGGTTTCAATGCTCTGAGGAACACTAGACTCGATTTTGTCCAGTGAGGGCGATCGTGGTGGGACTGCTTCGAGCGTCGCTGCTGGCGTAGGTTGGACAGGAACCTGGAACTCGATGTGTTCAGCGACCAGATCAGTGTCTGGAGGTTGGTCAGAGGGTCTGGCTGCACTCGAGAAGATGTTATCACTCGGGGCAACGACGGCATCGCCCACAATGAGCGAGACACGTTTCTTGTTGGACAGTCTTGGGCCAGCCGATGGCGACTTCAGAGCGGAAACGAGGCTTCTCCCTTGATCGGAACCAGATGAAGGGGTCCTTGGACCTAAGGCGCGCCTGTAGGATGGGGACTTGTTATGGCCAGCAGGGTCGGTGTTAGCACGCTGCAGAGTCTGACGATCAGGTAGAATGGGCGTTGAAGTGGCAGGATCGCTGAGCACAGGAGCAGAAGGAGAGCGGTCGAGACCAGGAGGTCTACTTTCCAACAGAGGAAGATATGCAGGAGTGAACAAGCCTAGCAGCTCACTTTCGCGTTCGTGGTCCTTTTCCTTGGAAGGCTGTGCGTCTTGGTTGCTATCGGCAGCATTGGCAGGCGGATCAGCAGGTACGGTGGGCGAGGCATCTCCAGGGGATTGTGTAGAGAGAGCAGTCGGGGATCGATAGCGAGTTCGCAGCTCGCGCTCGTGAAGTTTGAACTCCCTCTCTTTCTGGGCGATGAACTTGTGGATCTGGTCGTCGAGTTGGCGGCGCTTCTGGTCGAGTTCCTTAATAAAGCCATCTACATCGCCGTGGGCGCCGGCGACAAGTTCGAGGCTTCTGCGTCGTGAAGCCTGGCGTCCCTCGGTTGGGCGCGGACTGGGAGACTGGTTCAGAGAGGCCGACAAGGGTGGGTCGGTGGATATGGCGGCAGGTTGGTCTGAGGGAGCCGAGGGAGTTGAAGCAGATAACTGTTGCGATGGCGTGTCTCGGTCGTCGTGTCGGTCAGCTCGGACAGCTTCAGCTTCGGCTTGTCCAGGCATTGGCATGGATGCGGGGCCGGCGGCCAGGCAGTCGAGGATGTTGCTCATATGCGGCTTGTAACTATGTGGACTGCTGGTCTGATGGGGGAATGGTCAGTCCAGTCGAGGCCGTCGGGGTCAGGCACAAGGCGTCGAGTACCATGTGCTCAGCTGCCCGAGAGCTCTTTGTACGAGATGGGGGACAAGGAGCGTATCAAGGGCAATTCGACGTCCAGTTCACAGCAGAGAGAACAGGGCAATGGATGAAGGATGTCTTGCAGATTGCCATGAACGAGTCTGGAAAAGGCCATGTTCTCAGCACATGCAGCTCTGCAGCCCTGCACCACACGAGTGCTGATAAGAGCCGCATCCGAGCTAGCCTTTATACGTACATATTCCCCATTGGGATGTGCCTCCTCAGCGTGCGTCACACCCATGCCTGTCGGCGAATCACGCTCTGGCCAAGTTTGTTTGCGCCAAACTCGCTCGCCTCCGCTTACCGAGTAGCTAGCTCGTGGACCGTGATTACCACGACTGCTGTGAGCGTGCTAACCAGTCTGGTGAACTCTGTTGTTGTCCAAACATCTGCTGCGAACGGCCAAGACTAGTCCCCCAGAGAAGCCTTCTTCCCCGACGTTGCTCGCCTATAGCGTTGCTGGGAACCAGTGCGAGCCCTCTCTTTCTACCCCCGCCGTGCCGCTGTCCACCACAACCTCCGTCAAACCCATCTTTTTCCACCACGCCGCCTGCGCGCTGCGGCTTTGCGACCAACCATAGTTTCATTCCCACTCCGTTCAACCACATATGGAGGTCGAGCCTGATGGCAGGACGGATGTGTCCTTGCGGCGAGAGCGTGCCGTCATCGCCGCGCAAGCTTGTCAAACCTGTCGGAGCCGGTAAAGCCAAACAAACCACTTTTCATTTTGTCAGAATGCTTTACTGACTGCTTTCTTCTCCGCCAACCAGAAAATCAAAATGTGATGAGCAAAGGCCCAAGTGTGGTCTCTGCAGGAGGCTCAGTGTTGACTGCGTCTACCGAGAACCTCAGCCTACAAAGTATGTCTGCATCCGAACGACGCAAACCCCTTGATACTAAGACGTTCGCCATGTAGAAAGGACAAGACCATGATCTATATTCTCCAGACTCTGCAGCGTCTCGAGAACAAGTTTGATACTCTCTACGTATCGAAACCCTCGACTCCGGCAAGCAACACTGACTGGAGTGTTCCACAACCTGGCCCACGCCCTCCAGGAGTCAATGGCAATATGGGTGCTGTCGGTTCCAGCGAATCTCACATGTCTCCAGATAGCGAGGTACGCCCAGGGGCGCGTGTGGGCTCTCAAGCATCCTCTCCCCCGGACATGTTGCGCACTTATCAACATCTGACTGTGGCTTACAAAGTGTTGCTGTGGCCATCGATTTATCTACATATTCTGAATTCTGGAGTTGCCGTAGCCTCTGATCTGCAATATGTGTTACAAGAAGGAACCCCTTGGTTCATCCATCTCGAATTGCAGAAGCACCCGAAACCACTACCTTGGGACACAGACATGCGAACATATCCGATGCCTAGCAGTACTGGAGAGATGAGAGCGGGGTTCGTAGGTTTGACGCCAGAAAACATGCGAAGGATGTGCGACGCTTACTTCAGTACCTTTAATATTCTCTTCCCCATCCTTGACAGGCAAATGTTCCTCGAAGATGTTCTCGAACCCGTCTCGCGGAATGGTTTTGCAGGCTGCGATCCCCAAAGCTGCCTTGTTCTGCTTGTCTTGGCCCTTGGTCAGACAGCCATCGATGGCGTTTGTGGCTCACCCATCAGCATTGTCGAGGGCAACCCCAGCGGTCTACGAGGAGGTACATCCGAGAGACCACCAGGTTTGAATCTTTTCAATGAGGCTCGAAGGTGCATGGGCTTCATCATGCATCAATGTACTCTCGAAAATGTGCAGATCCATCTGCTCGAATCGTGAGTAGTGTGCTTTTGGTTGTGCGTGATTACAGCTGACACAGATCACAGCGCATACTATGAAGCTTGTGCTCGACACATGGTAAGCAAGGTATGAAATGGATCGAGAGGGATATCCTGGCTAACAAATTTGCTCAGGATTTCTGGCGAGCCACTGTCGCGGCATCCGCGTCTTGTCAAATTCTCATCAAATGGTACGATATATTCCGGCAAGCCAACGACACATGAGCTGATCTTCCATTAGTGAATCTATTGATTGGTCTACGCCACGTGCAGATCTCATCAAGCGCGCCTACTGGGCGTGTATGCTCAGCGAGGAGTAAGACGTTTGATACGCGTTTAATGTAAAGCTGGCACTAACATTCAACAGTATGTATCATCTTGAGTTGGACCTTTCACAAACGGGGATTCACACCCTAGAAGACCAAGTCCCACTTCCTTACTTTCACGGCTCAGAAAGCAACTATGGCAGTCCTCCGGACGGAAAATCGCATTTCCAATACCACTTCCTTGCGATGATCGCATTGCGTAGACTAGTGGCGCGAATCCACGAGTCGATACATTGCTGTAAGTGCCTTTTATCAAGAAGGTGAGAACGCAAGCTCACCATATACAGCATCCAACGCAACGGCCGAACTATCTGAGGACTATGGCGGCCCACCGGTGCATGTCATCAAGGAGCTAGCTCGACAGCTCGAGTCGTGGCGCTCACTACTGCCCCGACCTCTACAATGGTCGGATAACGACAAGACAGAATTTCCGAACATGGGGTCTGCAAGCAGGCAGAGCACAGATTCGCTGTTCTCGATGGACCAAGGATCTGTTCCTATCAACCACCGAAACAACTTGGACATCATGACAGCACAACTCCGGACACAGTTCTACTATGCACGATTCATGATTTACCGGCCGTTTGTTTACAAGGCGTTGCACTTCCCGGAGTTGATGACGGAAGAGGACCAAATATGCTGTGCTCTGGCGATACAGTCGGCATGTCTATGGCCACTGATACTTGCGCCGCCCAAGAACAAGAAGCGACTGGTGCCGCACCTGTTCACATGGACACAGAACTTTGTGGGGATTTTGCTGATACTGCGGATGACGACGGAGAATGAATGTTTGAAGAAGATATGCAATGAGAGGGTGAACAGAAAGGATTTGGAGCAGACGACGACGTTGATGTTGGAGTGGATCCAGGACATCAAGCAGGTAGACGGAATTGCAGAATGGAGCTGGAAGATGCTGGGACCGCTGTATTCGAGGCATGGGTAGTTGGAGGCGCAAGAAGAAGAAGAAGGAGAAGAAGAATAAGTCTACCTGGCAATCAAGTCACTACCCAAAGGATTCATCCACAATGTTACATGGTGAGGTGTGGTCGTGTTCTCGGGGGTCTGTAACATGGGTAGGAAGGGTGGATGCCAAGCAGCGACGGGCGGCGTTCGAGGCCGAGCCGGGCAGTTGGTACAAATTACGAACAGGCGATTCGCAACGCAATCGAAGGCTCGACGTAACAGACGGATACAAACGAGCATGAACTGAGGCAACCATGGACTTGCCATGTTCCAAAGCCGTAGACGTGTGCCTTCAGAAGGAGCGCTCCGGGTCCTGCGCCAGCTCGCATACATCTCGTCGGGTACCGCATGCGGCGCCGCCGCCCTCATAGCAGAAGAACGCCGCCGCCAGACGAACCTCGTGTCCAAGATCGCTGAGAACTCGCGCCGCCTGAAGCAACATCCACGCTACCAGCACACCCGCGCCGCCCACCGCAGACCCGCCGAAGACGATGCCCAATCGCCCGTTGCCGCCCCGGCTCCCGATGAGGACCCATTGCCAGACGATAAACTGGTTCCGCAGGCAGACACGTTCCGGAACAGTTTCTTGCCCTCCGAGGTCGAGAGAGGCTACGCGAAACTCGACTCACACCAGCCGCCCAAATACAAAAAGAGTCTACCAAAACTCGATCCGCATCGGCCGCCCAAGCACAAAAAGAGTCAACCCGAACCCGCTCACGCCCACGCCAGCTCTCGTGCATCTTCCAATTTTTGGACCAAGCAAGACGCTGTCCGTAGATACGATCTGTCCTTGTTGACCACAGCTCTCGAATCCCATGCTTCTCTGAAAGCAGTGGACAGTGCAGTGGCCGATTTGAACAAGCGCTGTTCTAAACTCATTGACCAACAACAACTAAAGGCAGCAGATCGCCTTCTCAAATCAGCAATCGACCTTTTGAGGTCTAAAGACACGAGCTCACTTGCACTACGTCCTGTCGGCTCTCGTCTGTTTGATGCCTACCTATCCGACCAACAAGTCGAGAGATGCCGTAAGCTGCTGGGCCTTATGCACAGGGCAGGATGGCCCATCGCACACCCGTTAAACAGGCTTGCACTTGTCTGCGTCGAGCCTGTTCGCCCAAAAGAGTTGCAGTTCTTGGACCAGACATTCGGCGACGAGTTCGCTTTGCCTCCAACCATCTACCCTTCTTTGTTAGCAGCATACTCGACACACAATTCCGAACTTTGCGCCCTGCTATTCGCGAAACGTATACCCGCCGACGATCGTCGTTCAGTACTACCTCTTTGCGAACCTGCCTGGCCTGCTATCATCCATCACATGTGGACAGTCACTCACAATTATACCCTTGTCGACTCGCTTTTCATGAACATGTGCAAAATGACAGATCATCCACCTTTGGCTCTATACAATGCCATGATCAAAGTCTGTATCCAGTTTGGCAGAACCGATCGAGCTCACCATCATCTACATACCATCCAACAGAGTCAACAACTCCAACCGGATGTCGTTACCTTTGGTCACTTTGTCTTCAAGACTTCTTCGGATGCTGATTGGCCATCTATAGACGAGTTGATGACCATGCTGGTCCGAGCGGGAGAGACAGATGCGCCTCCAGAGAAACGTACTGATCTGTTCATTCCTGTCTTGAAAGCATACGCCAAGCGTCATCGTCCGGAACAAGTCTGGGCTTTTGCCTTCAAAGCGATCGATGAATATGGTGTCCTTCCAGATTCACGCATCCTGAGCACTGGTCTCGAGAACCTTGTCAGAACTAGCCGCTTGGGTTTGTTACCCGCATGGATCAACAAGATGGGAATCTATGACCAAGGTGCACAGGTTACTCCAGAAGTGGTCTTGACCATGGTGCAGCATTTCTACTTCAATAACAGACCCTCCCATACCATCATGGTATGGCTCTGCCGTCGTTTGATGAACGAGGTACCAGAGTACTGGTCTCCCGGTGTCCTCACTTTGTTGTGCGAGGCCGTAGCATATGACCTTCGAGGATACCGAGCAGGTCAAGCCCATAGGATACCGCATGCAATGCGCATGCTTGATATGCTGCAGGAAGTCAATCCGGAGTCGCCGAGCTTGCCAAAGCCTCTCTATTGGAATCAGCTACAGGGACTCACGGACCAAGATCAACACCAAGCATCTGCGCCGCTCTCGGACTCAAGTTCGCAACAGGTCGTCAAGGATGGCGTGCAGGTGGAAGACGATTCAGAGCATATGGACGATGTTGTGCTGTCAGAGGATGGTTTATCCCTTGACCAACTTCCTGAGGTTGTACTAACCACCGCTATGTTGAAGAAGTCGTTACAGGAGCACGAGATGCTCATGGCTTTGTCGAAAGGAAACTATACCGACCTTCTAGATTCGTACGAGAGCAGCCTTGGGCAAAGCGGTCTGCCTGCCTCGTCATACTCTTTGGAAATGGCCATACAAGCTCGTGCAAAGTTATCAGATGATGCTGGAGCGCTCGGCGACTATATCAATACAGCAAGCGAGGCCGGTATGGATACAACAGCGGCGTTGGTGCCGTTGCTGAACTACCAAGTCAAAAACTCTGTGATCGGCTCGCGGACGCACGTTGATGAGCTCTGCGAAACCGTGCGGTCTTTCTACGAAGAAATGGTCAAGAACAGTGTCACTGTCAGACACCATCTAGCCACAGCAGCGGCAACGGTTCTGCTCAAGAACAACAAGGCCAACGACGCCATACAGCTGCTATCGCAGATATATCACTCCAAATGGGCTCACAAGGTACCTTTTGATCTGCCAGCCATGACTGTGCTCTTGCAAGCATACACCCACGTATCTCACAGTTTGGGCATTGAGTGGGTCATCAAAGAAGTGCTGGACAAAGACTATCGCATCGACTATAGTTTCCTAGCCGTGATCCGAAAAGCGAAAAAGACAGCAGAGAAACGCTCATTGGCCGGAGGTGTCAAAGGTACAAATAATCTCAAGCTGTCAAAGATGCTAGAGTACTACACAGACGTCTGCAAGTCAAAGCAACAGACACAGATCAAACGAGCCTCGCGTCTGGGCAACCGGCTTGTTGCTACCTTGATCAAGATTGCTAGACCTGAGTCAACAGACGCACCATGGCAGCGACAAGCAGAACGTGACGGTATTGATCCTGCGATGTGGTCACGACGTGGGACCTCATGGCGAGTCATTTACCGTAAGAAGATTCAACGACGAGGATGGAGACGCCCATCAGCTGTCGCATAAGAACAAGTTCAGGCTGCAGCAAAAGAACAAACTGAGACAGAGCAACTCGAAACAGAGCAATTCGAGACGGAGCAACTCGAGACAGAGAGGCTTGGGAAGGAGCAGATCGAGGAACAAAGGTTCAAAGGTGCTTCGACATGAGTAGAGAGTATTTGCATCAGCGGATTGGATCTGGGAAAGAAGGCGTTATCAAGGAGTAAGCGGAAAAGGCATCTCACGAAGCCGACAGGGTTGTATATATCCAAAGCATTTTGGGGACACGATTTGTCAATGTAAGAAAACTCATGTAGTCATATCACTTGTATGAACAGAAGACACTTGTTGCGAAAATTACTCTTTCCTCTTTCTTTTCAGGGTATCCGTAGTCGTCAAAATACTTTCAATGATAGTTGAGGGTGTGATATACTGCTTCTTCCTAGTACACAAGACCATCACATGAATTCGCTTTTTAATGCTTCAATCGTTTCACCGCTCAATCCTCGTCCCAGTTGGGGTTGGGACCCGGCGGCTTGGGGCCACCTGCCTGGCGAGCAACAATGATCTGATCGACACTGAGGACCGTTCTGGCAGACTCGGTAGCAAGCTTGATGGCCCATTGCTTGCAGACCATCAAGTCAAGAATACCCTCGTCTTGAGCATCAAGCACACCATCACCATTGTTGTTCTCGATATCGACACCAGCACCGCAGACACTGCCGTCCTTTGACGACTTTGCGCTGTGGGCAGTGTAGAGGGAAGCGAGGATCTCGGTGGCGTCGAGACCGGCGCTCTCGGCCAAGAGACGGGGTACCACTTCAAAGGCCTCTGCGTATTTGCGGATGGCGTATTGTGAGAGACCAGAGGTCTTGTCTGCGAAAGCGGAGATGCGCTCGACGAGTTGCATCTCAGCGGCTCCGGCGCCGGGTACGAGACGGGCGTCTCTGGTGATGGCCTTGACAACGTTGACACCGTCGTCGACGGCGCGCTCTACGTCTTCGAGGTGGTTCTGGGTGGCGCCACGGAGGACGAGGGTAGCCGTGCGGGTGGTGTCGTTCTCCTGGCGGAAGACGGTTACGCGGTCACCGCCAATCTCGATGGTCTCGACAATGTCGACTGAGCCCATCTCGTCGGGCATGGGGGCACCGAGACGGGCAAGAGGGGTAGCGCCAACGACTCTGCAGAGGCGGCGGAGTTCGAATTTGGACATGATCTTGATGACAAGGATGCCGTAGCGGTTCAGGTAGTGCATGGGCAGCTCACCGACAGAGTTGCCGGCTACAACGACGCGGACGCCCGAGTCGTGCAGCTCCTTGATGGCCTGGTCGATTTGCGACTCCTCGCCCTTGGTGAAGTCGAGCATCTCCTGAGCATTCTTGAGCAGCACGGTGCCCTTGGTCTCGGTTTGTGCAATGTCGATGGGGCAGCTGAAGACTCCGACCTTTGCCTTTTGAACGTTCTTGATGGTGCCTTCGGGCTCACGACCAAAGACCATACCCTTGACGACGCGGGACTGCTCAATGGAGCCACCCATGATCTTGACGACACGGACGTTGTCGACGTTGAAGTTGAAGGTGTTCTTGGGCAGGACGGCGAGTACGGCCTCGGCGACCAGGTTGGCAAGAACGTCCTCGTGTCCAGACTGTTTGGCGGCGATGACGGTACGTAGAGCCTTGGACAGCTCCTCCTGGTCGCGCATGTCCTTGACACGGTCGACTTCGAGTTCCTCCAGCACTCTCAGGGCCTCCTGACCAGCACGCTCGTAACCAACGACAATGTCGCTGGTCTTGAGACCCATGCGCAACAGCTCCTCGGCCTTCTTGAGCAATTCTCCAGCCAGCACAATGACCATGTTTGTAGCGTCGCCCATCTCAGCCTCTTGTTGTTGACTGGCCATGACCAGCAACTTGGCAGCGGGGTGCACGACTTCGAGTTCTCTAAGGATGGTGGCGGCGTCTGAGGTGAGGATCATCTTTTGTAAGTGGTTGATGACAATCTTGTTGCGTCCGTAGGGGCCTAGCGACGTAGCCACTGTATCTGAGATGGTTCGGCATGCATCGATGTTGCGCACGACTGCGCCATCTTCGGCATCGTAGCTGGTGTTGTGTCAGTCGTCTGTGGTGACTTGTGCTGGTCTCATATCCTTGAACAGCGGCGGAAGCTCCATGATCGGTGAGCTCTGCCGCCATGTGGGTGTTCGAGAGGACGGATGGGGGAAACTGGACTCACTTCTGGTAGCCGGCCTTGAACAGGCCGCTGTTTGGCGCATTCGGTATTGATAGTGACATAGTGGCGCGCGTGTTGTGTTATTGCTGCTCAATTGCTGGGCCCTTGGATATTTTGTTGCGATCGCACACGCTCCGAAGTCCTTGCCAAGCCCGCATTTACACATGCCTCCGCCGACCTCACTTACTCATAATCCTATCTTCTGCCATGACTTCTGTCACAGTTCGTACCAAACAATGTGCCAATGTGCCATGATATCTCGAAAAACAGTTTGCCATACAAGAACAAATGGTGAATGAAACAATAACGAAGCCAAACTACAAAGATCAAAAGTGTAAAGGGGTATTGCGCCTCTCTGGCTACAGCCTCTGCTGCTGGCCACTGCCGCCGTCCGTCTCCTGCTGACATGCCTGCTATGATTCAGCCCTTCCAGACGAATTAAACATAAGAAACAGAAAAACTTATCCGCACACAGGTATGAAGAGAAAAGAAAAAAACCTGGTGCCCTCCACTCTCCCTATCCAACAACTTCCACCAATCGATTATCCTCCGAACAGCTAAGAAGAAAAAGAAAAAAAAAGGAGAGAAACGAAAATTATTCTTCTTCCACAGCGTCATATCCCCCAGTCCCGCCAGGGAGGGCCTTCTTGTTTTTGTACACTGGGTGAGCTGCACCTCGCCCTGTATTTCATCCAACGTCCTGCGCCATCCAACGCCTTGACATATGCTCTTTTTCGGGCTTTTGCTTGTCTCTTTAGTCGTTGCATTACAGCGCCACATCGAGCACTAGGCTGACGTCGCTGACTTGGGGCCCGGCAAGGTCTTCCAGCACAGGAATGAGGTCCAGGAGTTCGTTGTCGTGGGCATCCGAGAACCAACTGCTGATGGGCACAGCGTGCTGGGGATGGAAAATGTATGAGGTGGGTGAGTTGTCAATGATGATTGTCTCCTTGAGATCACGTCCGACTTGCGAGAGGTCCTTGACATAGTTGCCTTGATGGTTGTAGCAACTCTCGCGGAACAATCTGTGGTGTACTACGCCGTGAATGTCCAGCTGGTCCAGAAGTGGATCTCCGTACTGTGGTTAAAGTCAGTCTCCAGATTTACCAAAAGCGAGAACAACAGCCCGTGACATACCTTTGAAACCGAAGCCGTGAAAACGACGACTTCGTACAACTCTCCCACTCTCTTCATGAATGCATCGACTCCTGGTCGCTTGATAACATAGACATTATGATATGTCCCCTCTATTTCTACAGGTATAGTCATGTCCGCCTGGTGTAGGATCTGTTTTGCGTTGTGGTCAGTATTAGACGTTTTTGATATTCGAGGCCATGACCAACCTTGAAACTACTGTGGACAAGAGTCTCATCCAGATCCAAAATTAAGCACTTTCTTCCCTTGTGTTCTGGCCTCACAGCTGGCAACAACCACTTCTGAGGCTCGGGGCTAGGGACCAATGATGTGTCGTGGCTAGCCGTGTGCGGGTGGGCCACCTGTGCCTGACGCTCCACCAATGGCGGGGGAGGAGGCAGATCAACTCGTGTGCCAGACTCACGGTGAGCAGGAACGTGGCCTTCATCTTCAGAGGTACCAGCTACATCGTTGGCCGAGAGAGGTATCGAGGGGCCGACATCCGTCATTTCAATGTCCGTGTCTCTGGCCTGTTGTTCCGGAGTGCGGTCCGAGATGACGAGATCTTCGTCTGCGGTGGTTGCGATAGGAGTGGGAGCCTGAACAACGACTTCGGGCTGTGTAAGGTAGGGTGCGTCCGAAGAGGTCTGCGTTGGGGGGTCCTGGCCGTGCACAGATCCGGTGGAGGGCATTCCGGTTGTCATCAGAGGGGCCGCGAAGCCACCTTCACTTCTGGACTCTTGTTGACTTTGACCAGGGATAGACAAGTTCTCACTTCCAGCGTTGGCTGAAGTACCGCTCGGTTCAGCGAGGTAGGGGGTGGTAGACGGCTTCTCATCGATCGTGTCCACTGATTGCATGGTTGGATTGGAGTTCATTGACGGTTGTTGGTCGACCTGAGAGGCTTGCGCAGGCACCGACTGGCGAGAAGGCACATCCTGTCCACCATCTTGGGCGTCGTCCGAGGAGCCGCAGCAGTTCAAGAAGGAAAGGAACTTTGATTTCTTTTTCGGGCGGGCCGGGTTGGACTGCGTGGTGGCTCCAGAGAGCGGGCGGGTGGGTTTCTCGCTCATTGAAGGACGGGCGCGGTGAGATCGTTTGCTGCTTGCGTTGCTTCCGGCACGGGCACGTGAACGCAGACTACGTTTTGAGCGACGAGGAGTGACGGCGGGCTGGGCGGGCGACGAGTGGTCGGAATTGACAGGCGAAGGTGAGGGGATGGCAGTGTCTGCGCTGCTGGCGGTGGTGTCGAGTGTGGTGCGTGGAGAATGGGGAGGCTGGAGTTCGGTCTGTCGAGATTCGGCCATAACTGCATAACGTCAGAATGGGAAGCGGAGCGGAGGCAGACTGGCAGGATGCTCGCGAGGAACAGGACATACACAGGAGTAAATTAATCTATCGTAACTTGTTGATGCGCAGAGGCAAATCGCAGGGAGCGGTGAGGATAAAGAACGTCGAGTCGTGGATTGCGGTGGAGTGAAAGAGTGACTTGGGGTCGAGCGTCGATGGCAGAGACGAGCAGGTGCGTGCAGGAGGAGAGATGCAGGCGCTTAACAGGGCCGGACAAGACTCGACAAGACGCTGTGGGCCGGGCTTGGAGCGACCAGACGTGTCGGATGCGGCGACGTGAGGGTCGAACAGGCAGAGCGGAGCTGGCGAGGCAAGCGGAATCAAATCGGTCGCAGATCAAGGTCGCAGCGATGGATGGTCCATGTCGCATTGTTTGGAGAGGCTGGTGTTGGCGGCCTCTGTGCCCGCCCGTGCATTCGAACCTAAACTACAAAGGGAGATTACCTTCCACGACCGACATTATTGAACCTCGACCCGCCCTGCTTGCTCAAGCCATCCGTGCTGTCTGGTGAATCGTGATACATATGCCTGCCCAATCCATGCCTGTTCCTGCAGCTGCTCTCCCGATCTGCCTGACCCTCTGCCACCTGCCACCTGCCTCCTGCCTGCCATGTCGTGACCACAGTCTTGCTGCAAGCCGTGATAAACACCGACAGCTTCCTCTACTCTAAATTGTGCCCGACGCCCGTTTGGCCGCGCCAACGCCTGCTCTTCTCCCAAACACTGCGCCGGCCGTCAACCCACTGCCTGCTCCACAACATTAGCTTTACCTCGTCTTTCGTCATAGCGACCTTGCTGGGAGCTGCTTACCTCCTGGGTAGTTTGCATAAAACAGCCCGCCGACCATCTCCCCTGCTGCAAACAATCCCGGAATACAGGACCCATCATTCCTCACCACATTTGCCGTACTCGGCTCAACTGCCAATCCTCCAAATGAAAAGGTTATACCCGAAGTTACTCGGACCGCTGTAAAAGGTCCCTTCACAACAGGCAACGCCCAGTTTGATTTGGGCAGCTTCAACGCCATCCGAGATGACTGCGTCGAAAGTCCGTCCTTGATTGATGGATCGAGCTTCGCGTCAGGATACTCTTCTCGGTGCGCGCGAACCGCTGCGTTGTAGTCGTTGATCGTCTCGACGAATGCTTGTGAGTCTCTCAATCCCTCCGCTGCGAGCTTCTCTGCCAACTCCTCAATGCTCTCTGCTCGAATCTTGCGAACGATGTCATCACGGTATTCTTCCTCTCGCAACCAGCCAACGGCGTCTGCGTCCCACACCTGGAAAGCTAGTCCTTCCGGCTGCTCGAGTATCGCTCTACCGAACATGGCATACGTGTAATTGCGGAGGTCGAAGCCTTCGTCTACGAAACGTTGGCCGCGGATATTGAGCATGAGTCCAAGCGGATACCCGCTCTTGGTAAACTCATTTGTCTTGTCTCTATCGCCTCCATCTGGAGACGAGTCCGCATCCCAGCTAACGCTGTGGCAACCTGTGTGGCTGTAATCGCCAGCTTTTCGTGCATCTAGGTCCAGGGCTGCCAAAAGCATATCTCCTGTGTTGTATGGTGTACCTCGGACGTGGGCGAGCTCCCAACCAGGTCCCATGAAAGTCTTTCTGAGTTCTCGACTTGCTTCAAACCCACCAGCGCACAGGATGACGCTGGGTGCGTGTAGCTGAGAGGTAGAGTCTGCATTGCCTGATTTGGTGGTTTCGACTCCAGCGATGCCTCCACTCTTGTCGAGAAGCAAGCGCTCGACCTTTGTATCGAACGAGGTAACGATGCCCTTTGCCGTGACAGCTTCAGATAGATTCTTGATCAGACCTTTTCCTCCGTCCTTCACGGTAAGCGCCAGACCGCCCCAGAACTTCCACCTTCCTTGCACTTCGTAGGCCTGACGTCGGAAACTGAGCCACCAGACCACGTTTCCATTCTCCTTTAGCCATCGTACAGTGTCCAGACTGTCTTCGATAAGCACGGCTCCGAGATCCTTGTCGCTTCGCCCTCCTGTCACGCGTTGCAAATCGTTTCCAAAGTCCTCAGCGGTATAAGGTGCCAGATCAATCTTGTCCTCTAATTCTGATGGTACATTAGACACCAATGGCAGAAGAGAGGGAAGTCCATCGTGAGCGGTTCGATATGCACCGGCCGTGAAGTAGCCATTGCCTCCTCGCCATTCACGTGGTGCCTTGTCGACTACAAGAATGCGGAGGTCGGGATTGGTGACTTTGGCGGAGAGGGCAGCGGTCAATCCAGCCGCACCTGATCCGACAACAACAACGTCGTAGCAACCTGTATCCAGTGATTCTTGTGTCATTTTGATATGAGTTCTTGACCATTACGAAAGTCTGAAGTCAAGAGCATAGAATAAATAGTCGCATGTCACATTTGTCCTGCGGCATATGTTGGCCCGCCTTGGCTAAGGCTCGGAAGGAAGTGCGGATAGTTGCATATCGAGTAGCCATACTTGCCTTCATGGCTGTAGTAACACGATCGCATGGCTCAAAAGTCTCGATAATGTTACCATTGCACTAGGGGAAGTGTACCAATAACAAATAGAACATGGCCGAATTTATGAATGCATTCTTCGAATCGCTCTAGCAATTTGGTCCTTTGATAGCGCACACAGACAGCCTGCTGCCATTGTTCACCATCTGTCCCGTTCCATTCACATCGCTCTTTGACTCATACCTCAAGCTAATCTCATACAATGGACACGCAAACAACCATCGGATGATCCAGCTCTTCTTCAGGTAGACAGTCCCTGCGACACCCGTTGGAAACTGACGAGCTCAAGTTGAGGTACTTCTAGCATCTGGACCTCTTTCTCATATTCGTGCTCTTTGTCGTTCATCTGTTTCCACCAGGCGACAAACTCGGAAGCAGTTGACTGCGACACAGGATGTACACCATCGCATCTGAGATCCAGCCAAAGCCTATCCACAGACTTGCCAACGTGCCTGAAGCGAACCAGTGTCTCAGTGCGTAGATGCTCGAGTTCGGCTTCGTATGAACGCACAAACACATCCCAGGCACTCTCGTCGAACTGCTGATCGATATCAAAGGCGAATTCGTTGGAACATTGCTGAGAAATCGGACTCATGATCGGGGATGGAGAACCAGCAGATTCCGAGGCACGTCGAACCCTGGTGGCCAGCATGGCATCAACGTGCTCGAGACTGATCTTGTCGCGGAATGACGTGCTGATCTCATCAACCTCATCGCCCATGATGCTATCTCGTGGAGTAAAAGGTGGTGTATCTGGACTGGTCGACAAGATGCTGCCAAACCTTGTCGGGCGCGAAGAGAAGGGAACCTGTGTCTGGGGGGATGACATCTCCAGAAGGCCTATGGTGGGAGACTGGGGCGATCCAATGGCAGAGCAGTCAGACGTAGTACGCGAAAGATGTAGATTGGATCTGGACGGCCAGCCTCTATGAATACTCTCGTCATCGAGCTTGTCGATTCGAGCCAGAGCCGTGCAAACAGCGGCGCCTGCAGCTTGCCAGTTATCAAGCTCCGTCAACAGAGACTCGGGAAGGCGGAGCCTGAGGTCTGCCGGCATCATCCATTCAACAACGAAGGCGGCATTGTAGTAGAAGGTATCGGCGTCGGCAGCAGCAGGTATCTCATGTTCCTGCTTGCGATCGAAGTCTGTCTCTAGGCTTCAAATATTGGTCAGTAATAGTGCATCCGAGCAAGTTTGGTCACCCCAGCTCCTATGTCTCTACATCGCGGGGGATCTGCTCAAAAGCAGCATCTTTGTGGAGTTTACGTACTACGTGCGGTGTGGAACGCGTGACTGTCTCCACGAAGGACGGCGATGGCGAGGTTGAGTTGCGGGAGGCATAGTGGATCTGTTCTGATGGATACAAACAGTCAAAAGACGGCAACATCAGAGGTGGGAATGTCCTGAGGGATAGAAAGTAGAGAGAATCTGGTTAGGAGCTTCGAGGTAATGATAGGTAGAGACGGAGTCGTAGAGGAAAATGCCGAGGGAGGGGAACTGTCATTTATGTGTAAGGAAAGAGCTCCGCAAGGTTAAACAAAGTAAGAGCTGCCCGCGTAACCAGGCATTAAGAAGAGCAAAACGAAGCTGCTTACCATCAGATATCTTGTCTCCAGAGTTAAGGAAGGAGTACGCGATCACTTCCGACAGCTCTCAGAAATTTCAAGGACTATCCCCTTCTTGTAAGATTTCCTGCTGGTGAGCAAGCATGTGTCGCTGTTTTCCCACCGAGTGGAACGACCTTGAGGTAGCATAACAGTTCGGATAAGCTTAGTACCCTGCTTTGGCCTTGGCCCAACGAGAAACGCTAGTGCTCAGGGTGACATCTTAGTGATGTATGACTCCAAACAAACTTACATCTGTCACTTGTCGAAAAAGTGACCGGTCTTGGATCAAGACTTACCCAGCCATCATGCATAAAGATAGTCTTGGCCTATGGTTCGTTTGTTCAAGATGTTAGAAATTGAGTTTCGGCCAACGAACATTATTCAAACACCAAAGTCAAAAGGCACAACAGGCCTCTCGATCATGTCGACAAGCATCACTTCTACTGCCAGCAGGCCAGAGTGTGAGACAAATGAGCTGGTCTGCACCAGACACGGGAAAACAATGGATTGGCAGAACAGTCAGGATGCTTTTTTTTTACACAGAAAAGATGTCGAGACCGGACAATTATGAAGACCGGCGTCGGACGCTGAGAACAAGTCCAAGATGGTATATCGCGAGGAGGCAGAAGGGACAAACACACAAAATCTACTCCAGACTGCAAGGCGGAGAACAAACAATCAGCAAAGTCATGGGTAGATGAGACAGGACTTACCGTTCAATCAAGTGCAGACCAGAGGCAGTTGCGACTACATGGCTGACCTCGCCAGGCTTCAAGGCAAACGCAGCGTCTTCAAACTCCTTTTGCATGTCGCCCTTGGCAAAGAAACCGCTGTGGGAAGGTCAGTGAATGGAATGCAAGCGAGGCGGTGCAGGGAAACGTACAGGTCTCCCCTCTTCCTGGAGCTGCTGCAATCACTCTCGGTGGTAGCCAGGTCGCCGAGGCTGGTTGCGCCGCTTCTGATCCTGGCTTCATGGCCGAGAATGATGGTCATAGCATCGTCCTTGGAGCGAGTGATTTGGGCTTCACGCCAACTCGAGGGACGACGAGAGTCTCTGTGCTTGACGAGCAGATGCGATGCGCGGATCTTGCCCTCTTGTTGGCCTTGGCCGTCAGGTCGCAGGCTGGCAGAGCTGTGGTAGGTGCCCATGTAATGCTTGAGGGTCTCGCTGTCGGTGCCCGATGGAGGCTCCCATCTGCTCTCCTTGGTCGAGGGGTTGAAGTAGTAGGGAAGATTCTTTGAGTTGGAGTGTCTAACCTCCCAGCCGCTGGGAAGACCGGTAGCCTGGAGACATGGGCGTGTTAGAGGCAGTCGCGTGAGCAGAGCGAGGGAGCGCGTGAATGGCGACGAGCGGAGGGCGACGAGCGGAGGGCGACGAGCGGAGGGCGACGAGTGGAGGCTACGAAGATGGCGGGGAAAAGAAGCGACTCACCATGATTCTGGAGATATGCGGATTGGGGACTGGATTGGATTGGCTTGTTCAGTGACAGAAAGATGTGCGGGGAAAGATGGATGGTTGCTGACAGGTCCTTGTCACTTGTTTCGTCCGAGACGCTTGGCAGTTGGCACAACACCCGCCGCCGCTGCCTGCCGGTGCCCTAACAACCGGCCTTTGCAGCTTTCATCATACCTCCAGCTAATCCTCCGACGCCGTCCATCTCGCGCCTCCATCAACATCGTCTGTCTTGCGCCTGCTCCACTCTCACCGCCTGCGCCCTCTCAGTATCGCATACACTCAAGTCACGCGACTCGGCATTCGACCTCCTCCACTGCCCCTCACTGATCGCCATGGCCTCTCACGACTCCCCCTCGGACGATACCACCAACGCTCAGAACGAAAAGATCAAGTTCAGATTCTGCCGCGAATGGTACACATGATACATGCGTGTCTTACTATGGCCGCGTGCTGACTGTCTGCGCCAGTTCAAACATGCTCTATCCGCGCGAGGACAAGGAGACAGACCAGCTCATCTTCCAGTGCCGCAACTGCCAGTGGCCCACCGCCGTCGGCCCAACCTGCATCTACCGCAACGAAGTCATGGGCAACTTGATCGAAACCGCCGGTGTCGTCACAGACGTCGCCTCAGACCCAACAGTACGCTACTGCTATGCGCCAACCTACGTGATCCACGCTTACTGGTGATAGCTGCCTCGTGTTGAGCGCGACTGCAACAACCCGCGATGCGGAGGAAGGGAAGCCGTCTTCTTCCAGAGTCAAATGCGTAACGCAGAGACGGGTATGAAGCTCTTCTACGTCTGCTGCGAGTGCGGAAAGACGACCACTTAACGACTCGACGATTGTATTTCTGGCGTTCAAGGTTGCATGGGACATTGGAGTCTTTGCTTCGGTCGGTCATTCTGCGAAAAATGAAGTGAGAGGAGCCGAAACAGGCACATATGGAATAGAGCGAAGGGGAGAATCAAGAGACAGAAACAGAGAGGCATTTTTACATTCATGCGCCGAATTGGCAACCGAGCATGGTCGGTTCAACATCAAGGTGGATGCCTTGGTCCGCCTGATGGGTCTGGGGGTATGTCCAGAAACCCTCCTAATCGTACACGGCAACCTTCTATGCCAAAAGCAGTATCCTTCAAAACCGTGTCGCCCGAAACGCCTGTGCTATGCTCCTAGAAACCCCGTACTTTTGCCATGTCTTGCAAGTGCATGTCTTACAAGTGCATGGGAGCCAAACTCAAGATCTTGGACCATTGCATGTTGCGGAGCTCGCTTCCGACGATACCTGGACAGGGTCAGTTGATATGCGAGGGCCAGAGTGACAGAGTTGCGCACCGTTCAGTCTTGAGCCAATGGGCTCTCCGCCCTTGTTGATGAGGACGCAGGCGTTGTCGTCAAACTTGACGACACTGCCATCAGGCCTTTGGTATTTCTTTGCGGTACGGACGACGACGGCGTGTCTGATATCGCCACGGCGGACTTTGTTGGCGGCACTGATGGACACACTGCCTCCGGGGCCGGATTCAGGACCAAAGTTGCGCTGCTTCTGGACGACGACGATGATGCGATCACCTGAAGAACAGAGTCAGAACACTGGCAAAGACAGTTCAATGGCTACGGGTAGAGTGCTGACCGATCTTTGCGGCTCTCTTCATCTTGAGCACCTTGACACACTCGACCAGGGCGGCGCCCGAGTTGTCAATGCAGTTGAGCATAGACTGGCCACCGAGAGTCAGCGCGTGAGAGAGACATGGACTCGTACAAACAACCGACCTTTAGCTGAATCATGTTTGCGGCGGATCGTTCAGTTGTTCCTACAAGCACTTCAACTGCCTGACCGCGATGGATAGAGTGATTGACTGAACTTTGTACGGAATTTCCTTGGCGAGCGCGTGGTTTCCCCATTCATGCCCGCCGCCCTTTCCTCCGTTCTCCGTCATGCTCCGCGTTCGCTATTGTCTTCACACTGTTGTCGTCTGTATTGTGACTCGGTCCAGTATTCACTTCCGCCCGGTCGCATTGTGGTCTAGAGTAATCATGCCCATAAGGTGACACCTCACGCGTATTGTCTGTTTCTTGGTGCTATTGTCGGGTCCGGCGCATTCCTCTGTTTTCATTCATCCTCTCCTCCTTTCCTGTTCCTTTGCTTCGCTCTTTCCAGCCAAACCCCCTTTTGTTCGACTCTTTCTCTGTTTCCTTACACACTCAAAATGCCGTCGCGCACCCCTTCTTCCGAGGACGCGCTGCCCAGGAAAGGAGCCTTGACTTTGACCCGACTTGTCGACTATGATGATCGCATCACAGACGCACTCGTCGATCGCGTGAGTACTCGACGCACTTCACAAGTCCTCCGGCCTGGACACTCACTGTCTACAGGTCTACTACTGGTCTACTATCCGTAAGCTGCGAACCCTGCGTCCGCTCGGATCTCGGGGCATCAGAGAGGACGACGTCGTACGCATCCTGCAGACTCATGTAATCTTGAACAAGGATGCTGCTACTGCCGCACAGCACCTGCTGCAGCTACCTGCTCTGGCGAGCTACCTCAACAGCCTCCCCTCCAAGGAAGAAAAGAAACACTTCCAGGACCACTTCAGGAAATATGTCAACATCTATCTTCCCGACTGTCCCTTCGAAGTTACCACCACCAACCGCTACACCATCATCACCCATGAGGCTGCAACTGTCGCTCGCAAACCTATTCGGAAGAACGAGACCATCAAATACTTGACGGGCGTCCAGGTTGCCATGTCCGAAGCCGATGAGAAATTCCTTGGTATGAACGACTTCAGTGTCGTCATGTCCAGTCGCAAGAAGCGCCCGTCTCTGTTCCTTGGTCCAGCGCGCTTCGCCAACCATGATTGCAACGCGAACGCCAAGCTTATTACCATGGGTCACAACGGTATGACAATTGTCAGCGCTCGAGAGATTGAGGTTGGCGAAGAAATCACGGTCACATATGGAGAAGACTATTTCGGAGAGGACAACTGCGAGTGCTTGTGTGCAACGTGCGAACGTCTGCAGCGGAATGGCTGGTCGAAGCGACCATTGGCATCTAGGTCCAGCAGCGACACACCAGGACCGGAGTCGTCCACGAAGACCAAGCGAAAATTCACCCCAGATGTCACACCCGTTGTCGCAAGTCCTGCTTCGTCAAAGCGTCAGAAAACCCAGCATCCATCCTCCGCATCGAGGGCATCACCACAAGTCCCTACCATTAAGAAGGAAGTCAGCATTTCCTCAACCTCAGAAAAACTGCCGCGAGTGCCGGGCGTAAAGAGAGAGATCAGTGCTTCTTCAGCCCTGCGGGTAGTCGCTACCAATGACAGCGAGAGCGATATCTTGGGGTCGGCATTCTTCAAACCAACACAAAAACTCAAACATCGCTATGGAAAGGTTGGCCGACCACCCAAGCGAACGTACGAAACCGCTCGCTCCACCTCTCCATCATCGTCCACCACGGAAGACGCCTCACAGACGTCTTCAGTCACCACAGATCCCACGTCCGTCGACGAGCCACCGGCCGAATCAGATCTGTCAGACCTTTCCGAAAGCTACGAGTTGGACGACACCTTGCGCGAAGTGATCCAGCGGAAACCCAAGCCAATCAGGATGACCACAAGACAAACCTTACGGAAACAGCTCTCCATACCAATACCCACTATCGAAGGCACTGATTCGGATCTGGAAGATGATGTATCGATAGACCGAAGGAAGCCTGGCGATTACACACTGACACCTCGCCTACTAACGAGTGCGGTGTCGCGTTGGGTCGAGTGCCGCAACTGTGACGATTATTTTATTCAACACGAAGCCAAACTGACGCGTATCAACTGCCCCCGCTGCGAGAGACATAGTAAGCTCTACGGCTACGCCTGGCCAAAGACGGACAAGGAGGGCAAGCACGACACGGAAGAAAGAATACTTGATCACCGTACTGTCAACCGCTTTCTGCATCCAAGCGAGGAACGCACCACCAAGAAGAGTCGCAAAAGTTTGAGTCAGATGGTGTCTGAAAGAGAAAGAAGTTTGAGAGAAAGTGAAGAAGCCGAGTCACTAGAAGGTCGTAGGAGAAGTCGAAGACGGTATAGCTCGTAAATTCTGCAACATCTCGCATTATGTATTATTTGTATTGATATCTAAGGGCATAAAGATTGCTTGTTTCTACTCCTGCTTTCTCCTTTTTTTACATGCTGAATTTACTCAACTTGCGAATGCGTGCACCATATATGAAGAAGAGGATCGGGACTGGGAACAGTGCCACAGTCAGGAAACCGAGAAGGGACATGGCCTGCGCAAACTCGTTAGCTCTGGCTGCGTGAAGAGAAGCAAACAACTGGTATCTTACCCAAGGGACGCCCAATCTTTGGAACATGTAGTTTGCGAACATGGGGAAGCCTGCTCCCAACCACGATCGGAAGAAGGTATTTGCAGCGATGGCGGAATTCGCGTTAGCCTTGTACACCTGCATCGGAGTCAGTAATCTGTACTCAGAAACTCAAGTTCTGAAATCACAAAACTTACATCGATGATATAGTTCAACCCCTGCAAGAAGACAAGCAACACTCCAGCACCAATGAAAGCCCCCGAGATGACTTGCGGCACCCAGATGATGTTTGGGTTGCTGGTCCATGCGAACCAGAACATGCCGATGGGTAACAGAGCACCACCAACAATCATAGGGATCATTCTCTCTTCTGGCACAACATCGCCGGTCTCTTCCATCTTCCTGGCGAATCTGGTTTTGGTGAAGTAAGCGATGAAGCAAGAGCCGAAAGCGACTCCAACGATGATGGCAGCGAATGGCAGAGCACCCACGCCAGCGTTCCAGCCACGGTGCTCTTGGAATGCAATGGGGTAGGCTTCGAAGCAGAGGTAAAGGAATCCGTAGATGAAGCCCATGTACAGAGTTACCTTGAGGCAGAAGTTTAGCACGAGATCTCGACGTCAGGATGAAGTTGACTCACAAGAAGAAGGATGGGTTCCATAGCAAGCATCTGGAAAGGCTTCAAGAGGTAGCGATGTGCAAGATCCTTGAGGCTGACCTCGTTTTCATCGGCCTTTGCATGGATGGCCCAGTTCTTTGTGGCAAAGCGAATCTTCTTTGCTCTGCGCGAGAGCAAGATAGGGGCAAGAGTCTGAGTATGTCAGCATGAAAGTTCGTAGAGGCACGAAGGAGACGTACCTCGGGGATGACAATGAATCCAATAATCCCGAAGAACATGGCCATGATCAGTGTGATCCAAGCAGTCCATCGCCAACCACTGTCACGAAGTTAGTCTCAAGTTCAAAACATCAAGGCTCGAATTAATGCTTCTTACAGGTAACTCATGGTGATGAATCCTCCTACGATAGGTCCAGCGACGGGACCGATGAAGGTTGCGGATGCGAAAACGGCAACTGCGATACCTCGATCAACTGGTCCAAATATACTGAAGGGCTTGGTCAGCAAAATCTTGGGAATAAAGCATCGTGCTCCTTACTCTGCAAGCAGTCCTCCAATGATTCCCAGAGGAGCCGATGCTGCGAAACCTCCGAAGAATCTACAGATGAAGATTGTGTAGACATTTTGAGCGACCTAAATGGTTGGAACAATCAGCATGGAGTCTTATACAGGAGCAGTCCGAGTCCGACTGACCGCAACAGGGATCTGGAAGATCGCGAATGTGAAGAATCCGATGAACAGAGGAATCTTGCGGCCATAAAGCTCCGAGAAAGGACTCCAGACAATTGGTCCTAGTTGCCGTCAGGGACATGTATTGCACAGTACGTCGTTCATACTTACCAAACGCAAAGCCCAGGACGAACAGAGAGGTTCCCAGAATCATAACCTCACTGCTGACACCGAAGAGCTGCGATGTGACGGTGGTCGCAGTACTGAAGACTGACGAAGCGAAGGTCACGGAGAATGTCATCAAACCGGCAACGACGGTGATGATCCACTTCTTCCATTCAGGGAAGTTCATGGGGTTACCTGGATCATCAGGACCGTCCCAGTCAACCAGATTGGGATCATTTTCCTCTTCTTCTCCATCATCCTTCTCGTCATCGTCATTATTCTCATGAAGGCTGCTGCGGTTGGTACGCTCTCTCTGCATCTCGACATCGGCTTCAGAGCTAAAGTTTTCTTCGTTAAATCCTGCTGTAAGACCTGCTGGAAGGCCAGTCTTGGCCTTGGGCTTCAGGTTCTTGTCGTCGTCTTCAGTTGTTCCACTAGGACCTGAGATGCTCGATCTGGTTGAGTGTGCAGTGGTTGTTCCAGAAATGCTAGCAACCCTGCTTTGGTACTGTGTTTGCTGATCCGTGTACTGAGGGATGAAGTGGTTTGCACTCAATAGTCCATCCGGAGCATAAGTTTGGCGACCACTGGCCGTCCTGATAATGCCATCTCCATAGTGCTCAGCCATGACAATGTCGACCAGGTCTATCCAGATATAAGACCAGTGAGCAGGTATAGCGAAAAGCAATGGATCACCTACATCTGAGACGGGCGCTCTACCCTTTTTCATCAAAGGTCACCTACACATTCGGGATGCTCGGAAGCATACCCCCTACAACAATTCATCATGAATCGTAGTGATGGAAGTTTGGAATGACGCCATGTGCCCAAACGTTATCGACAATGGTTTAAGAAGGGCAAATAGGGAAACGCCGTTAGACTAGCTTTCCCTCGGAGCATTTTTTTGGTCTGTTGGCTGCAGCGCGCACGCCGCCAGGGCTTCAGGGACCTGATGACAAGCAAAAGGACCTGAGATGACATGCGCCTTCAATTATTCCTGTCATTGAGACGCTCGTGCAATATCGTCACGCTCGCCTTCAAAAACGACTTCAACAAGCTTGTTATTCAAGCAGTTTGAAATATCAGTAGTAGAAATCCAGAATGACGACATTGTCGTCGCTCGTCGCTTTGTCAGACCCGCCAGACTCGTGGTTGAATGTGGGTGGTTGGTTTCCAATTCCAAAAGTTCGTGCCGCAGAGCCTCAAAATCTCGTCACAGTATGACTTGCGCGAACTGGGAACGCCCAAACTTTCCTACTGAATCCTTCGGCGGACGAGATACGGAGCCCTCGACGGACGAAATACGGAAGCGTGTGATGTGCCATCTGCCGTATCGGACCAGGCGGCTAGATCACGTTTGATGTTGCGCAATGTACAGCAGATTCGCGTTCAATTGACCAGATCGTGTCGAAGTATATCCAAGATAAGCCATCTTGGGCAATGCTTGAGTGTGGATACATGGTACAGATATAAAATTACATGAGTCTTTGGCAGTGGATAGCAGCCTCTACTGAGAGCTCAAGCTTGAGAAGCGACAGGCGTGGACTCTGTGAACGGCTGCTTCATGGCCTGAGACTCTCTGTCAACGATAGTGACTTCTCTGGCAGGATCAGAGAAGGTGATGTCTCCGCTAGCGATCTCGGAATCGTGGATTCTGTCAAGATCTCTGAGATTCTTCTTCATGTAGCTGACGACACTGGCGACGGCAGCAGCATCGGCGTTCTCGTCACCGCGGAAGACGTTTCTCCAGACGGCAGTAGCAAGGACGGCATCTCCCTTGACCAAGCCCTCGTCGTAGGCAGCGAGCACACCACGCCATTGCACAAAGAGGTCTTTGAGGTACTTGTTGCGCACACTGCGAGCGGCAATGTTGTGCAGGGTGACCATGCGATCTTCGGCGGCATACGAGTAATGATCGAGCAAGTTCTGATGCCAATGGTGGGCGTGCTGTTGAGGGAACATCCTTAGACGTACTGTGAGGAGGTACATATGTACGTAGGTGATTTGAGCCCATGTATTGAAAGTAGGAGTCAGACCCGCCTCTGTCGTTTGGAGTCAGCCAGCTGCGTATCGCAAATGCGAGTGCAAAAGTGTATTACCCTCATACCACCAGCCTGAGCCAACGCCCAGGTCTTCGCCCTGTGCCGACCTCAGCGGCTCTTCGCCTTCGGCAACGGTAGGCATTGTGTAATCTCCAGCGCGAGCGCATGCGCGGAACAGGTCCTCGGTAGCACCGTAGGCAACGTATGGCTCTGTGGCAGCCGCCATCTGCTTTTGTGCTCGCATGCGCTGGGCGAACTTCTGCATGGTCGACGCATCCGGGCCATCTTGACTCTTTCCTGCTTCGAAGCGGTTGGCAGTAGTGGCGAAAGTGCGTCCTAGGAACTGGCCACGAGACGAGAGAGGAGTATGCACAATGCGGCCCTGAGAAAAGCGTGGTCAGAGGCTGCTTGGTTCTGTGCCTGGGCTGTCGGAGCTAGCTTACATTGATCTGTCGTTGAGCAGACTGTCTCAAGGCGCGGATACAGCTACCACAGACGTTGTTGGAAGTCATTGTGTGTCGTATAGGTAGTGTTGTGTATGCTACTTGGCTGGTCAAGGGCAAAATTGAGCAACGGGGACAAATGCAGCTATGACATAACCATATTTTTGAGCACCACCAATCTGTTCTGACTCGCAGATCAAACAATCCTTGATCCACCTTGATGGCATCATACAAGGCGCTTTGCACCATGTGTGTATTGAGCATTCAGTAGCTCCAGATGCATGTGTTTGTGTGTCACAGCCATCACCGACATCACTTTGGGGGAGGGTAAGCAGCAATCCGCAATGCAAGAAACATCTCATACGAGCAAAAAACCAAATATGCAAAATGAATGAAGCTCGTCACTAGATATGTTCAAAATCCCAGTCGCCTACGCTTTTTCCGCCCAAAACACTTTGACGCCCTCCTAAACTTTCATACAGCGAAGGTTATTTATCTATCTCGTCAAGCAGCCAGCGCTTGACAAGAGCCGGTCGTAAGAAACCAATCATTGAATCATCTCTGCATCCCGTTAGCATCTGTTTGATCGAAAGAACGACCTTGACTTACACGTCCTCTGCGCTGCCCACCGCCACCAACCTGACCTTGCTGCTGAGGATAATAGCCTACAGGATACTGGTATCCACCCATGCCCACATTGGGGTTAAATCCTGGTGGACCGTATCCGTTCTGCATCGCATGTGCACCAGGAGCGGCAATCGGCGAGGCGTTGAGGCTTCCTCTTCCATAAGGGTCCATCATCTGAGAGCCTCCAGGTCCGAAACCATTCATCGGAGGGTAAAATCCACCAGGTCTCTGAGCTGCCGCGTGCTGTTGGGCGAGCATGGCCTGTTGATACTGCATCTGCTGAGGCGTGACTGGTGAAATGTTTGACATCGCAGGACTATGCGTGTAGGCCGGGGTCATGAGGCCTGAATTTCCATAGGGGTCGAAGGCGTTGGAGTCAATGCTGGCGGTTCTTTGGAGCGTAGGTCCCATCATGTGCTCGAGAGGCTGTTGAGGCGCCATACCTCCGTACTGCTGACGTCCATAAACACTCTGATTGTCAAGATGAGCCATATGACCGTTTGCACCAGGACCTCTCGATGAGGAACGGGTTTGGCTAGCATCACGGCTAGCGGATGCTCCTCCATGACGGGTTGAAAGACCAACCTCGTCCATCAATCGCTTGTAGCCTTGTTGAGGTTGTGCTTTGAGGCGCAGCAGCACATTGCGAACATTTTCCAAAACCTCCGGGCGCATCTTTTCATCCAAGAAGGGTGTAGTAAGTACCTTGAAGATGAAAGTCGCTCCGCAAGCCGAATCACTGAGTACGTCTTGCAGAACGGCATCATTAGGGGAGAAGAACAGAGCGCGCAGAACCGCTTCGCGAGCGTCTGCTTCACTTCTTTGGTTTATGATCTTGAGCACTGTCAGGTACGCGACCTTGTGTGTGCACAAATGGACCAAGTGAGGGATGAGTCGGGGAGCGAGTACAGATCGGCGGCGAGGGAAAGTGCAAGTATCGAGGAACCAGGTCAACAGCAAAGCACCGTTGGTGTTGGTTGCAAGCTGCACGCTGTGAAGAGCAATGGCGGATGCCAACATTCTCTGTTGGTCTCTCGAAGCAAAGTGGCTTTCAAGACAAGCCCTCATAGCACGAGCACCGAATCTGCCCTGGGCAACCTCCCACAGCCTTTGAAGCATGGCGTCGAAGATGAAATCATTGCCAGGAGCCTGGAAACGCAAGCAGCACTGGATAACGTAGTTACCATATTGATCCAGGAATAATGCCAGTGTGTAGGGACGCAACGCATCGACAATCATGTTGACTTGAGCGGGTGTTTTGGCCACATCGATGATCTTCTGGGCAGCCCAAGTGCCGTTCTTGTGAACACCAATCTCGGCAAGGTGAGGAGCAATCTCGCGCAGCATGGCCTCTTTGACGGGTTCCGAGCAGTATTCGAATAGCTTCTGTACGACCGTGTTGCCCAGGTAGTCAGAGGCGAGTTCGGCGATCTCAGGCAACATGTCCATGGCGATGTTTTCGATCTCAGCGGGTGAGCAGCTGTTGTTGTCGATGCGCTTCCGAATCTCACGTAAGCGAGGGGCATCATGGACACGGTTCGGGCTGGGTTCTGGGACAGCAGGAATCTCAGGGTGGTAAAGATCGTAGCTGATAGCTTGCTCGACGTTGGTGTTAATTCTGACTTGTTCCTCCTTGTTAGCACCTAGTTCCTGGATAATGCCGTAGATTTCGCTGCGCATGTCACGGAGGTTCGGGGTGAGCAGAGCGGCAGCTGCAGTCTCTGCGTTGATGTTAATTGGCTTGAGACCGGCTGAGTCGCCAGCGTTACCAATCTGGTTGTCACGAGCGAATGGATCAGGACTGGGAGAGTGGAAGGAACCCGGTGCACCAGGAGTGACCGTGTTGCTTGGGACCTTTGCGTAGCCGATGCGAATAGGGCCAGCTCCAGGGAATATCTCCTTGTTGTTAAGTTGAGACTTGGCCTGAACAGCGCTCTCCAAGGTTTCGAAGTTTACGAAACCGCAACTTTTATGAGTGAGGACCCTGGTGGACTCGATGGGACCAAAATTGCCGAAGATGACATTCAACGAAGAGACAGTTGTCGAGGGCGGGATATTGCCGAGCCAGAGAGCACGTGTTGGGTTCTCAAGGAGACTGTCGTCAGAAATATCGAGCATTGGCTTTTGATCCAGGTGCATCTGTTGTACAGCATCGGCGAGTCCACTGTAGTCGAGACCTTCGTGCTCTTGGAAGTCGGATGCAGAGATGCTATTATCCAGACGCGAAGGGGTGGGAATATAGTTGCGAAGAAGCCTGGAAGAAGGGGAGTCGAGTACACCTGCAGTCCTGGCACGAGGTCTGCTAGCACTGGCCAGATTTGTGAAGGCTTGAACCTCGAGGTTGTGCTGGCGAACGGCCTCCTGAACAGCCAGAGCTTGTGCGGCAGTGATGTCTGCTCCAGATGGAACACCGTACATGCTTGCATAGGCTTCATAGTCATCCTCCTCATCATCTGCGTATTTTTCCTTTGCGTTGACCGAGTAGGATCTGAAGCGGTTTGCATTCCTGTTGTAAGCGTTCAATGCGGCAAGATCAGCAATAGTAGGACCTGGTATGCCCGATTGAACGCCACCGATCATGTTAGAATGATGCGGTCTACCAGGCTGGGGTGTATCGACAAGACCAAGGTAGTCCAGGGTCTTGACATCGTTGTCATTGAAAGAGTCACGCGAGGAATGTGCAGGAGACGAGGGGCCATCGGAAGAGCGAATGCTTTGCAGCGTGGACGCTCTCTCCCGACCAGAGGTCCATCCGTTGGAAAAGTATGGTGGCCCGAAGCCTCCGGGCGTGTTGTTGAGAAGAGCGGGGCGCTGGGGCATGGAACCTGCTCTCAAGCGTGAGAGCAGGGACTTCTGAGAAGGGTTGATGGCGGAGGCTGTGGCTGTGCTCGAGTCTGGAGGCGTGCCAATGGTGGCCTGAAGAGGGCTGGTGGAAGGCGTCGGACGTGAGGTCTTTGGCAACAACGAAGGCTGAGAAGATTGGTGACCAAGAGTGCCGACAGGAGGAAATCGCGATGGCACAGTACCTGCTCGCACGCGGCGGCCGGTAGCAGGTGCGGCACTTAGATCGGTAGCAGATTGGTCAAAGTCTGGAAAGCTGTCACTGCTAGGCGACTCTGGTATGATTTCGCGTAGAGGTGTCGAGTGACCGCTGCCTGAGGTTGGCGGACCCCAAATCTGGGGGCTCACGCCTTCTTGGGCCTGGATTTCGCGAGCTCTGTCACATTATTTGTTAGTCATGGCGGTTGCTGAAAGGGTTGTAGACAAGTCTCACCTCTTGCTAAATAGACGGCTACCATATTCTTTCGAGGGAGAGCCAGCTCCAGACCTGTTGACCAAGCCGATGGCACCAGCAGAGGCCAAGCTGTTGCCTAGCGGGTACCTCAAGCCTGAGCCCGAGGGAGGCTCGTTGGGTGAATTGGCAGTCGTGGACGAGGCGGAGCGGGATTGGAAGTTGACTTGTGGCAGGTTGTCGAGGTTGATCTTGTGTTCGGGACGCGTGGAGTGGGCCATGACGATGTGGACAGGGCGATATGATGCAGGGGTGGGCTGGTTTGCCAGAAACCGGAGTACGATGGAGCGTCCAGTCTAGCTGGTTGTCGTGAATGCGTAAGACTTGATGCTTTGTAGACTCGAGGGAATCGGTTCAAGTGGGCAACAATGTGCGATCGAGGGCGGCGATGAGGACAGCGTGTCAAAGCTTGCGGGCAGAGAAGCTGTAGCTTCCGAGACGGATCGGGGAGATACGACAGCGGTTCTGAGGAGGAAAGGCAGGGCGGAGACAGAGTGACGCGCGCCTCGATGAGAATAGTATGAAAGCGAAGGTCTTCAGGGGAACGCGAGCCAAGAAAACGGTGACGAGCCTGGAGAAGCCACCGGGAGCGCTGAATGAGGTCGGGTGTAGAGTGTCAGCTCGACTCTATGCAGATGCAGAAACGAGATGAGGATGCAGATGCAGTTGGACTTGATGCAGAAGATTGCACAAAGAATATGTACTGAGAAACCAACGATGAGTGCAAGAAACAGCTTGTGGAGATGTTCGTTCCAGCTTTTGTCAAGTCCAAAGTGTGGGGTTCTGACATCGACATGTGGCTTTGTTTTGAGACAGTCTTGCACATTGTTGCGTGGCATGTTCACCACACTTCTTGATCACAACCAAGCAGAGGTCTGGAGACATGCCTACAGTGGGCGGGAATCCTGTTGTTCGGTTCCGTCTCGTACTCTTGCTCCAGCACCAGTAAAGACATGGGTAGTAAAGCTCGTCGGGAAGCTATGGCATGGCATGTTTATATAAACCACAAGAATCGCGGCTGAGCAGACTCGCGAACGACTAGGTGATTGATTGGCAGACAGTTTTGGAAGACTGACGCCGTACCTTGCGTGAGCTCCTCGAAAGGCTATTGATCTGCTCAGTACTGTGTAATTGTAGCTTTGACGTAGTGTTGTGTGTCCTTAGAGGATCGTAGTATGATATATACAGAAGCTAAGAGTGGAGGCAACTCGATTGCCTCCCAGGTTTTCATCATCAGACGTTAAAGAGCTACTCAGACAGAAGTTTGCGTTGGATGTTGTTGGTGGTCAGAGCCAGACTCGTTTAGGGACACCGAGTCTAGCCGTTATACCAGCCACGAGCACCGACACCTCCATTTCCACCAGCCCCACGGTGAGGAATCATCGGCTCTGTGATCTTGAATGCCTGTATCAGGCGCTGCCACGTGCTATAGTCTATGCTGAAGACAGCCTGATGCCGCATTTGGCTGTTCTCACGCTGTTGTGCTACTGTGTGTGGTTCTGATGGTACTGTTTTTTTTGTCAGGCTCCATCTCCGAACAGACTCCTTGTAGCGACTTACCAAGAGTAGGCAGCCCATCGTCGTCCATATCCAGACCGACATTACCTTCTTTGATCAGAAAACTGATGTAGAAGATGTTTTCTACAGTCTGGCCGAAACTGTGAGGGTTGATAGCAAAGTCGAACAGACTCGGCCCACCAGTGTGAGTGATCCGGTGCCGCTTCATCTCTGCCAACACTTGATCATCGTCGAGGTCGCCGGAGTCGTTAAGCGCGTCTACCGCAGCGCTAGCAGTCTTACAGTGGGCATCAAGGATCTTTTTGATGTTCTGGCATAGTGTTGTCAGGGCGTTGTTCTCACTCGTTTGAAGATCACGCTCGGTCAAGGCTTCAGGGCGGACTTCCTTGACAGTAGAGTCCTTGCGTTGACGAGCACGGCGTTGAGTTTGCGCGCGAAGCTTCTTCTGAACTGAAAGTGGGCCAAGCAAAAAACTCGGGGTAGGTGGGCGGAGGTTGAAGGGGAAACAGGCATGTGTTCCAAGATGGGCCCAGTCAAGAATGTCGTTGGCATCGCGGTCGTCGTCTTCATCGTCGTCGTCATTGTCGTCACGGCGGCTCTGGCGCTGCCTACGTCGCTGAGTTGAGGTAGCAGAGGGGTTGGCGCGGTCATTCTTCATGAACAAGATACATTTGGAGACGAATTCGTCAATGTCAACACCAGTGGAATTATCGCCGAGAGTGAGCTGAGCGGACGACTTGTAAAGCATGTCGGAAATGCCGACGAACAAACGAGAGTCGACAGTAGCATCGGATGTTTGCTTGACTCCACTGAAGACTTCATTCGCTCGGTCAATTATGGACTCGAGCTGACCGCCATCTTTTAGGTAGACATCTCTGTTCTCTGCAACAAGTTAGACTGGCTGCCATTAGGGGCGGAGGTTCAAGGAATCGCACCATTGAACTCGCGCTCGAGAGCACGAGACTTTTTCTTTATCTCCTGGCGCTCATGCTGGTCTTGTGTAGGGTCGTAGAAGCGTGATTCGTCGAGATCTTGGTCGTTGACAGCGGGAGCGGTAGACCGAGGGTGTGTTTTTCTCCTCTTTGCAGAGTGAGAATCGGGGACGGTCGACTGCATGCGACCTTTTCCTTTGTCGCGTGGAGCTGCTGTCGAGTGGTTTTCTTTATCGGATGAGGGGTCTGGCGAGGATGGCGGAATTGAGGAGGGAGCAGCAGGAAAGTCGGATGAACGAGCGGGAGTATCAGAAGGGCGTTGATTGACACGAGCCATAGCTCAGCGAGGGTTGCGACGGTGAACAAACAAGGTGCGAGGGAACAGAACAAATCCATCAGGCGAGCGCGCGCATCTTGAGAAGCTGCGGATCAAGGTACGCGATGGGCGCGCGATTGAGCACGCGTCCCCGCCAATCAGACACCAGCTGGTAAGCATCACGCGCTATGCACGCCTTGGCGCATCGATCGTCATAGCCAGATGCTCGCAAGCTGCGATCGAGACGAGACATTCTTGTTGCATACTAGATTGCCTGCCCTCTCCCTTCCTTTGTCCCAACACCACACGCACAAGATGAGTCTCCGCACACCTCTCGGCCTCTCACGGCGGGCATTGCCTGGCCAAATCGCAAAGTATGCCGCCTCACAGCACCAATCCATGGCCACCGTCGTCCCGCCTGTCACCCAAGACAACACTGGTTCCAAGGGCCCCACCGCCATGGTCTTTATGAACATGGGTGGCCCCTCGACTACTGCTGAGGTCGGCGACTTTCTCAGTAGACTATTTGTAACTTCGCCGCCGACTCTGCTTTGTCCTATCATCACCCGCTTACTCGTACACAGGCAGATGGCGACTTGATTCCCCTCGGCAGATTGCAGAATTACCTCGGTCCCCTGATTTCCAAGCGTCGTACTCCCAAGATCCAGAAGCAGTATGCTGCAATTGGTGGTGGTTCGCCCATTCGTAAATGGTCCGAGTACCAGAGCTCCGAGATGTGCAAGATCCTCGACAAGATTTCGCCCGAGACCGCCCCTCACAAACCTTACGTCGCTTTCCGCTACGCCGCCCCTTTGACCGAGGAAATGTACCAAAGACTGTTCGACGACGGCTTTGGCAATGGAAAGGGAGGCAGAGCTGTCGCCTTCACCCAATACCCCCAGTACTCGTGCAGTACCACTGGAAGCTCCTTGAACGAGCTTTGGAAATGGCGCCAAAGACTCGAGACCAAGCGCGCAGGTGGCGAGATTGATGAAGCTGGTGCAATCACTTGGAGCGTCATTGACCGCTGGCCTTCGCACCCTGGCCTTGTTGAAGCTTTCGCCCAAAACATTGAGGCCAAGTTGCTCGAGTACCCTGAGGAAACAAGAAAGGATGTTGTCTTGCTTTTCTCGGCTCACTCCTTGCCCATGAGCGTCGTCAACAGAGGTGATCCCTACCCGGCCGAGGTGGCTGCCACGGTCTACGCAGTCCAACAACGCTTGGGCTTCAAGAACCCTCACCGTCTCGTCTGGCAATCTCAGGTCGGCCCCTCCGCTTGGTTGGGAGCCCAGACCAGTGATACTGTGACAAACTTTGTCAAGAGAGGCCAGAAGGATCTCATCCTCATTCCTATTGCTTTCACGTCGGATCACATCGAAACACTGTTCGAAGTTGACCAAGAGATCATCCACGAGGCCAACGAGCTTGGTGCAGAAGGCCGTGTCAAGAGAGCAGACTCATTGAACGGCAGTCCTGTATTCATCAAGGGTTTGGCTGAGCTTGCAAGAGACCATTTGGCGAGTGGCGATGTTGGCAGCAGGCAGCTGGGTCTGAGATGTCCCGGATGCACCAGCCAAAGATGCTTGGAAACCAAGAAATTCTTCATGAAGCAAGAGGCATTGCTGTAATCGCAGGCCTGGCATGACTCACACTTTGTAATATTAGCAAAATCATGATATACCATTCTGTAGATGTTTTAGTTGTTTACATTCTCATCCCTTGCATAACCCCATCTTCACGCAAGCTCTGTTTCCTCGTCGTGTTTCGAAGCATGTCACATCCAGCTCTGCGTCAGCTCTATGCAGATCAACACCAGAGCCACAAGATAACCACAAGTGACATAGACACTACGCGTCTGCGAAAACAAACACACTGGAAAATGCAATCAGAGTAAATCAGACAAGGGGGGGGACGTTATAAAATTGGTCGTCATTAGATTATCTACATTGGTTCATTGCTCTGAAGCTGCTGCTCTTTCTCGACAGTAATCATGAATCTTCGTCTGCCGAAGCCTTCTCGAGGTAAATATGCGGTCGGATGAAGAAACTGAGGACAAAGGCCAAAGCAAAGGTGGCAGTGAGGCAGACGAACACGGTCTGCGTGAACTTTCCCACAGTCACCGAGTATATGGCGTTGAAAATGGTGGGAGCAATAACTCGGGCCAAGGCGTGCAAGAGTCCAGACGCACCCAGCAGCTGACCGGTCTTCTCGTGCGGTACATGCTTGGTCAGGGCCGATTGAAGTGTAGGCGAGCCTATCCCTCCGATGCTTGCTATGCTACCAGAGAGAATCATGAGCGGACCGGTACGAGCCAGAGTGTATCCGAGGTATCCCAGAGTGTCGAAGAAGACTGCGACTCGGACGACAACAAGATCAAAATTGTCACTGCCCGAGCTACGCTGCTTGGTCTCGCTTGCCTTGCCACGAACATACCGGGTGACAAGTGGTAAGACAACAATGAGACACAGAACTCGGCAAGTGTTTACAATAGAAAGGAAGATCCCAGACTCGAAAGACTCCCAGTTGAACTGGTAGCGAGCGTAAATGACGATGATGGTCATGCTTCCCATTGCGACACCGAACAGGATAGTGTCGACAGCAGCCAGTAGAACAAGATTGCGCCTGAGTGCAGGTGAGGAACCCTCGCCAGTGGGCCACAGAATCTTGAGCGGCTCCAGGATGTTGACGGCTCGGACTCGATCGATCCAGTCGGATGAGCCCCTTTGAGCCTTGTCTTCTTGGTGCTTCTCCTGAGCAGCTTGCTGGCGTCGCTTGGAAAGAGATTCAGGGACGCAGAAGGCGATGAAAAGGATGAAAGCGGCGTGAACGGCAAGCGAAGCATAGAAGATAGACAAGATTTTTCCTGTGGCCTTGACGATCAGTCCTCCCAAGATGGGACCCAGGGCGATGCCGGTAAAGAGACAGCCATGGAGATAACCAAAGGAGATGTTGCGGCGTGCTGGAGGAGTGCAGTCAGTAGCATAGGCATTGGCGATTGCCATAGCAGCAATGAAGGAGCCAGAAAGACCATCAAGAGCATATCCAACGAGAATCCAGTTGACAGGGAATGTCTCAGGCTTGGTGGCCGCAATGATGATCAGGGCGTCTCCTGCAATGATGCCCATACTTGTCAAAGCGAGAATCTTGGTACGGCCAAAGCGATCTGAAAGGGCGCCCAGCTTGGGACTGGTGATGGCCGATAGAAGTCCAGCTATCAGGTTACCGTACAGAGTGAATTGGGCGACCCTCGCTTGGACTTCCGGGGACCTGCACTGGGGGTTCTCGCCGTCGAACAAGATGGGCAGGAAACTGTGTGCAGGGTTCTTGGACTGCTGCTCGGACATGTACTCGCGACAGACAAGGTTGAGAATGAGATTGATCCTGGGGGATATAATGGCACCAAACGCCAGGGTCATGACAAAGAAGGGGGCCAGGACGAAGTAGATCGAGGGCTTGCGGTACCATGGGAGATGATCGAAGTCCTCAGCACCAGCCCAGCCGTGGCCGGAACCAGCATCACTGGCTCTTCGTTGACGCGACTCGAGTGGCAGCAGCGGGTCCTGCTCGTCGGTTACCAAGTGTGCATCTATGCCTCCTCTTGCGATGGTTGTGTTCTCTTCGCCCGAGCGGGCGCTTGCTGGTCGTGACCCGGACACATTGGCATTCTTCGACCTGATCTCGGCTTCGCCAATGAAGGCTGCATCTGTGTCGTTATCCATGCTATCGCCCTCAGGTGGTCAAGGGTATGCCAGGGGTTAGCGACGAGTCGTGGAGGGCTGGACGAGGTTATGGGGTCGCAGCAGATACTCGAAGACGCAGACAAGCAGCGAAGAATGTCAGGAATCAGGATTGGTCATCCATCAGGGAATATCTTCGAGTGCGGCAGCTGGCCAACACCTTGATCCCTAGCTCTAATGCGCCCCCATCCCAGATAACGACGCGGGCCATCAACTCCCCGAAAGTCTACACGTAATGATCCGCACATGTCTCGACCATACGCGAGCCTCCTTCCGCTTTTGATCTGGTCTCCGCAACAGCATCGCACTCAATTGTACAGAATCGCATTCCTCTGTTAGGCCCAGTCTCTAGCGGAGCATTGTGTATTTCGGTGGCTATGATGATCCGACAGTCTTTGACCTACAGGGAGCTCATCCAAGATCCATCTTGCTTCTGCGGCTCTGCATCTCCGATCGGATTTGTGGCGCATATCAACATGTACGATGACGCTCCTGATATCGGCCTTTCTATAGTCCCGAATCCCCGACCACGTTGCGGCTGTTGTGACCCTGGTCTGTGAAATATTCTGTCTGAACTCCATGATCCTTGACCATAGATCTGGTCTTTCGGTATATGCACATAGTGACGAGTCTTGTTAGTGCCCAGGTCGCTTCAGCCATCATCAAGCGAAAGGAACGCTGGCAGATTGAGATGTTATGTCGAGTGGATGGTCATATACAATATACATACAAGTGTAACGACCACGTATCTCTATGATCTAACACAGTCATTACCATGTCTCCTGTTTATACCGGCCATCTTTCTCCATCTGATCTAGGTACTCGTTCGCCTTTTCCAGTTCCATGTGACCATATTCCCGAAGCACATCTGACAGTGCCTCGCGAACTCCTTTAGGCATATTTCCAGAAGATCCACAAACGTACACCTTGCCCCCGTCTCGCTCGAGAATCTGGTAGACAAGACTTGCTTTCTGGCGAATCAAGTCTTGGACGTAAGTCTTCGGCTTGTCTTGGTCGCGCGAAAACCCGGGAAACACGGTGAGGCCTTCGACTGCAAGGTCCTGCCACTCATCTTCGAAGAAATAATCGGCCTTCTCATTGCGGCATCCGAAGAACAGTACACTGGATTGTTTCGAGTTGTTTTCCTGTGCCCATTGTACGCGCTCATAAGCCATCGATCGCATCGGCGCGACGCCTGTGCCTGGGCCGATCATAAGCACAGGTGCATCGACTTCGTCTGGGCTCACATTCAAGTAACCCGGCTGGATCGTGAGGCTGAGTTGCTGTCCAGCCTGCAATGTTGCGATGTACCGGGTGCAGACCCCATAGCGCTTCCGTAATTTGATGATGGGATTGGGAGGATTCGCGATCGCTACAAGCAATTGCACTCTGGTATTACCATCTTCGAAGCGTTTCAAGATACCTCCGCTTGCAATGCTGAACTGGCGGCCTCGCATGACTGGGATTATGTTCAAAGCATATTCCCACGGAATCTTGACGCTCGGGAACTCAGGCATGATCTCCAGAATGGTTCGTTTTGGGCGCGTTGTGTAATCCCATAACTCATCAATCAGCTCGGGGTTGGCCAGCTCCAGGATACGTTCCTTTTGGTAACCCTCGTCCTCGTTCCCGTTTTTAGTGAAGTGAGCCAATGAAGCGAAGAATGTCCTCCGAGGTATGGACAGTATGTCCAAGTAGTTTGCTAGGAGCTCGCGCATGGTGAAGGCTGTTTTCGACGAGTCGAGATATCTGAGAGGCGAGGGGGGATATGTAGCTAGATCCGAGACCTGCACAGTAGGAACAAGCTCCAGAGACGTATCAGCCATAGATTGCCAGCCCATACAATCAATAAATTGATCCACATCCTTGGGGAAGTTTTTGGGGTATACGACAGCAACAGCGCCAGGTCCATAATCGATGTTGGAAGGCACACGACAATCCAGGAGTCGTACATCTTGACTGTGATCTGGAGGAGTCAGGCGAGTGTTCGCTATGAGGTCAGCAGTAACACTGTCTCGTATTGGTAGAAGGTCACTCGCTGGCGGAGTCTCCAGAGTAAGGACTTCAGAGGAGGTTCCAGTTTTCGGTTGGTTATTGGCGCTAGCGTCAGTCCTTGTGGCAGAAGCCCGTAGGTACCACTTTGGCTCCAGGAATACGTCCTCGGGGATAACATCCTGCCCCTCAGGCAAGGGGAAATGCTGTAAAAGTCCTTGCTTCAGATCCACGATCCATGCACGAAAGTCGCCGTTGTGACCTTCCGGGTGTTGCTCGTTGCCTTCGCCACGCTCAGAGAACAGTTGTGCGCCCAGTTGCAGCATACGATTGTGTAGCATACGATGAGCGACATTGTACTGTGGATACGAGCTATCACCAAGACCAAAGGTGGTGAAGTTGACGCGCCTTAAAACACCTGGACGAAGTTGACTGCTCAACAAGACTTTCCAGAAGGAACGGGCATTCTGTGGGAATTCGCCTTGTCCAGTGGTCGATATAGCGATTATGACTATAGTATGCTTGAGCAGATCACGCTGTCGAAGGTCAGAGAGTGCACGGCTAGAGACGACAGAATGGCACACACTAGTTCTATCGAGTCAAGATCTATGACAGTAGTATCGAAACGCAGACGCTCAGTCAAGCGAGCGATCTCTTGGGCTACATCTTGTGCATTGCCTGTCTCGGAGCCATACAGGATCAAGGCAGAGCGTGGCCTGGCAACAATTTGTCTGAACTGGTCAGAGCAGTCCTCGTGGAAGGTGCGTTTCTGACAATCACCTTCTTGCGGGAGATTGTGAGGCCAATGTAGCATTGTGCCCGGAGACACCATTCTGAAGAAGTGTCATGCAGAGAAGGCTGTTGTCGCGTGACGGACTATGCTGCGGCAGAGGAACGGAAACGGTCGTGAGAGGAAAGTGAATCGAAGACGGGGTTACAAGCACGAGTAATCCCAGCCGCGAGGTCAAGCAAAGCAATCAACTCACCTCACAGCCAGATTCACGACTGAGAGTGTTGGCTCGACTAGTGAGGCGACTTCGGACTTCGAAGGCCTTCCTTTCCCCAGCCAGAGCGGCCTGCGAAGCTACGCCAGCCAAGGCAAGGACGTGGACCCTGCTTAGAGCTGCTACTTCCGAAATTCCACCGTGGCCAGCGGTGCCAAAGTCAAGCCAGGTTACGAGACAACAACACCTTCCATTAACACCACCTACCTCCAAACAAAGTGATAAACTTGTCACTCTTCCCTCATCCCCAACACCACGAATCGGGCACCTAGCTACCCAGAACTCTCCCTCGTCAAGCCAGTTTCCTCCACAACAGGCGGTCTCGACAATCCATCCAACCTCCCCAGACCTCACAGCTCCAGCGTCATCTACAACCCAACGTCATAATGTCTGTCGAAGCTGCCACCGCCCAAATGGCAAACACTACTATCTCCGAGCCCACCTCAACTGCCGAGGGCGCTTCAGTCGGAGCCGGCGGCGACAAGCCCATCAACGCTTCCCAGAACGAGGCCGTCATCGCCAGCGCCGCCGAGGGTAGAAGACTCTACATTGGAAACCTCGCCTATGCGACCACTGAGGGAGAGTTGAAGGACTTCTTCAAGGACTACCTTGTGTGAGTTTCTTCGCCCTTTTCTCTTTGGTCTCCACCCCCTGACTCTGGCTACAGTGAGACAACTTCCATCCCCACCAACCCTCGCACCACTCGTCCTGTTGGCTACGCCTTCGTTGACGTCTCGACCCCCTCTGAGGCCGAGCGCGCCATTAGCGAGTTGAACGGCAAGACCATCCTCGACCGCAAGGTTTCGGTCCAGCTCGCCCGCAAGCCCGAGCCTGCCCAGGAGGGTAACGAGACTGCCGAGCCCGCTCGCCGCCGTAGCTCTACCCGCGGTCGTGGTCGTGGCCGCGGTCGCGGTGGCCGTGCTGGCCGTGGTCGCGTAAGTCACAACCCACAAAAGCCATTCTGATCAAACGCTAACCATAAGCACAGGGTCGCAACGCCGAGGGCCAGACCACTGACGCACCCGCCGAGTCTACCGACGGTCCTACCAACATCCCCGGCCAGGTCCTTCCCTTGACCGATACCACCAACGAGGCTCTCTCTGCTGCTCCTGGTGACAAGGACGCCATCACTGTTGACCCTAGCAAGGCTGGCAAGACTGATGCTCTTCGCCCCCGCAAGCAGCGCGGTCCTCCTGAGGACGGTGTTCCCTCCAAGACCAAGGTTATGGTTGCTAACCTCCCATACGACCTTCGCGAGGAGAAGGTGAGCTTTCGGAATCCAAATTTGTCGCGTGACCACCTGGCTAACGTTTTTTGACAGCTTCTCGAAATCTTCGCCGAGTACAAGCCCACCTCAGCCAAGATCGCTCTCCGTCCCATCCCCCGTTTCATGGTCCGCAAGCTCCAGGCTCGCAACGAGCCCCGCAAGGGCCGTGGCTTCGGTTTCGTCACTCTGGAATCCGAGGAGCTTCAGCAGAAGGCTTGCTCTGACATGAACGGCAAGGAAATCGAGGGCCGTGAGATCGCCGTCAAGGTCGCCATTGACAGCCCCGGCAAGGAGGACGAAGACCCCAACGCTCCCATCGAGGGCGAGGCCGAGACTGATGGCAAGCCCTCGACCGCCGAGGGATCTGCCAACACTTCGGCTGCCGTGGCCGAGTAAACGAAGTTACCGAGCATGATGGGCCGAGCACATCTGGATGCAAGGCCCTGTTCCAAAACACGACCAGAAGCACCAAGCATTACAGCGGCCGTACAAAACGCAGCATGAACTGGGTGCGCCGTCAAGTTAACTGCGGACCTTGTTGAAGCCGGTTGCGCAAAAGATATGATTTTCCACATGACATTTATATGGCCTACCATTCCCTCTCTATTCTGCATGGTAACTTGACGACCATCGAATATGTATTAGTATGACGAAAGAAAAGCGATCATGATTCATCTATCTTTTTGTTCAATGAGTTCGTATGTGCATTGTGACAATTCGAGGCTTCGAATCTAGACCTTGGCATGACTTGAACCAATGGCGACAAACAGCTGATGGACAAACCAATTACAAGAGTACTCCGTACATTTGCGCCTGTTAGACGGAGCGTCCGGAGCAAGGACTGGCGAGCGAATCAAGCCGAGTGTTGGATGAGGACCCCTCATGAGTTGTGCAAGCCAGCACAGCACAGGTGAAAGCCGAGGTCGGAATCGGCTGCCAAACTTGCTTGTGACGGCGGCGGATATTGACTGTCCATCCCAAGTTATTTCGCATCACTCTCCAACACAACATGTCTGGTCTACGAATCCTGGTGCCGGTCAAGCGCGTCATTGACTATGCTGTCAGTCTGCTCGTGTACTCGTCTGCGTCGTGCAAGCTGTGATTGACACCGTCTACAGGTCAAGCCTCGAGTCAACAAGGCCCAGACGGCCGTCGAGACAACCGGAGTCAAGCACAGTATGAACCCCTTTGACGAGCTCTCAATCGAAGAGGCCGTCCGCATGCGCGAGCGCAAAAGTCCCGTCGAGGACATCCTCGCCTTCTCCGCCGGTCCCACAAAGTCTCAGGATATTCTGCGTACGGCCATGGCTATGGGTGCCGACCGCGCACTCCACGTTGTCGAAGAGAAGACCGAGTTGGAGCCTCTGAGTGTCGCCAAGTTGCTCCAGAAGGTTGTCCAGGACGAGAACCGCAATCTAGTCATCCTGGGCAAGCAGAGCATCGACGACGATGCCAACCAGACTGGTCAAATGCTTGCTGGTCTGCTGGGCTGGGCTCAGGCTACCCAGGCCTCCAAGGTCGAGGTCGAGGGTGACACATGTACCGTGACCAGAGAGGTTGACGGCGGAGTCGAGACATTGCGTGCCAAGCTACCCATGGTCATCACCACCGACTTGCGATTGAACGAGCCGCGCTACGCCAGTTTGCCAAACATCATGAAGGCCAAGAAGAAGCCGTTGGTCAAGAAGACCATGGAGGACTATGGCATCGATCTCACCAAGCGACTCAAGACTGTCAAGGTCACCGAGCCTCCGGCGAGACAGGGAGGTGGTAAGGTCGAGGACGTTGACGGCATGATTTCCAAGCTCAAGGAGTTGGGTGCGCTATAGAGAGCATGTAACGAGCTCGATCTTGAAACGATACCAATGTATTTGTTCAGACATGAAAATGTAACTATCTGCTTCGACCTAGTTTCTGTTTTGACTGCACGCACCTACCAGTCACCCCAGGTGTCATCGCCAGACTTTTGCTGTGAATCTGAAGGCTTCTTCATGGCGCTTGTGCCTATACTAGACGAAGCTGCTTTCTTCTGTGTCGCAGTCTCACCGGCAGCAGCAAAGTCATCCCAGAAATCCTTCTTATCGTTCGTAGGACCCTGAGGAGCTTCACCGAAACTGTCCCAGAAGTCTCGCTTGTCTGCTGCTGGACCCTTGGCTGCTCCTCCCCTTGGAGCCAATCTCTCATCACCTTCGACAAATCGGTTGAAGGTCTCGGCGGCCGTCTTTGTGCCTGTTTGAAGACCTTGACCTAGTTGTGCTGCTGTCATGCGTGCCTGAGCAGCGAGATCGGCTTCTGCCAGCTGTCACGATGTCAGTACTAGGCAACAGTGACATTGATATGTATCATGACGACAAACCTTCTGCATGTTGGGCTTGACCCACCCGTTGTAACCAGTCTGTGCTTGTTTGGTCACAGTGCTGCTCAACCAACCAAAGCCCTTTGTCAGAGCAGCAACGGGATCCTTTTGGAAGTCGTCGACACCAGGAATTGAGGTCGAGTTTGAAGAAGATGGGGGAGCGGGTTCACTGCCAAAACCGGCGTACTTGCCGCCCTGATTAGGAGGCAGAGTGTCAGATCTGTGTGCATTTTCGGCGCCCATGCGGGCAAAGTAGGCTTCGTTCTGGACCTTCTGCGAGGGTGGACCGGTAGACGAGATAGCCTGGGGAGTTTGACTCCTACTGGTGGTAGCGGAGGTAGCGGGCTTTGCGCGAGCAGCCATGCCACTGCTCTTTGTGCCTGGTACATATTCCTTGCCCTCGACCTTTGCGGTCAGACGCTCTTTCCACTCTTCACCAGCATCACTGTCGTAGCGTTCCTGGATGGTACATTCGTCAAAGGTACGGCCCTGGAGAGCGTTCGATTCGTGAGCATCGAAGAAGTCTTTCCATGGCTTGTTGCCGCCCTTGGACATGCGCTCGACCTCCTGGACCTTGAAGGAGTCCATGGTGATTGAGCGTACGAAGGAGATGTGGACACCGAGGGAGCGATGGGTACCAGAGCAGGACAGACAGAAGAAGATGCCGAACTTGGGAGAAGCCTTGGAAGAGTGTGAGCGGCAGGCTGGCTAAGCTTCTCGGAGGGATATGATTGGCATACCCATTGCGGGCTGGGGGCGCCGCAGTCGACACAGCGGTTGTTCTCGTTTGTCTTTTGGATGTCTAGGAGCTTGCTCTTTGTTTCGGGATCAACCTGCACACATTGTCATTGGCACAATGGCAACCCGGACACGGAGCAGCTAGCTGACCTCCCACATTTTGTTGCTCATCTTGGAAGTGAAGGTGGCTGTGCCAGACCCGGAGATACGACTCGCGTGTGTTGTGTTGTGAAAGAGATAAGGTAGAGCGAGAGGGTGAGGTAGTGAGCGGACAATAAACGTTATCGTGGTCCCCGTATGTTCGATAGTCCCCTTGGTCGCATCTCGACGCTCGAAACTCACGTCATTGCCAAGGCCAGCCTTTTTGTCTACCATTTCTCTGCCCTCACTAAGTACTACTCTCTCTACTCGCACAGCCAATTTCCGTCAGTGACCAGTCGACGCAACCATGGACTATAGCCAGCTTACCGTCGCCAAGCTCAAGGATGAATTGAAAGAACGCGACATCCCTAGCACCGGCCTCAAGCTCAAGAAGGACTTTATCGATCGTTTGGAGCAGCACGACCTGGAGAACACTTCCGCAGAAGACCCTACGTCTGCTCAACCTGCTGATTCGGATCCGCTCACTACCACCGCTTCAACTACTGCGACGCACCCTCCTACTGCTACCGATCCTCCTGCTTCCACGCTTTCACTACCAGTCACCGAGCACAAGTCAGAAGAAGACAATGTGGACCCCGCTCAAGAGACAACTACGGTCCTTGCTCCATCATCACCCAAGCCTGGGGTCATGGACCACTCACCAACCGCCGCTAATTCTGAGCCTGCCACACTGGAAGAGTCTGCCTCAGCCGACGCTAAAAAGAGAAAGAGAAGCAGTCCCAGTCCTGATGAACCTCAAGACCTTGTCCACAAGAAGCTGAAGCAAGACACTGAAGGCGGCCAAGATGCTGTCGAGAGCGACGTAGCTATGCCCGACGTTCCACTGGAGCAATCCGACATCACCCTTCAGCCCATGTCCACCAGCGACGACTTGACCCAGCCATTCATCAACGACCAAGACAAGCCCAGATCAACACGGAGTCCCAATGAGCGTCGTTTCAAGAACCTCATCAATCCTGCCGAGTCCGATTCCGTCCAGCCCGCATCCGAGCCCGCCGATGTTGCTGTATCTCCTGCGATTCACCCTGCCACTCGTGCTCTGTACATCCGTCATCTGGTTCGTCCAATCAACCCTAGTGCCTTGAGAGATCACCTTGAAGACATTGCCAGACCTCCGGACCATTCTGACACATCCGCGTCCTTGGTTGAAGAATGTTATGTCGACGCTCTTCGCACACACGCCTTTGTCCTGTTTACATCCATCTCTGCTGCCTCCAGAGCACGAGCTAGCACCCACGCTCGAATCTGGCCATCAGAGCCCATGCGTAAGCAACTATGGGCAGACTTCTTCCCCGAAGAGCGCTTCCAAGAATACCTTGATACTGAGCGGGCAAGCGGTGGCTCAAAACCTAGTCAGGCAAAACGCTGGGAGCTTGCTTACAATCCCCTCGATGACGGTGTTGATGTACAGCTTATCGAGGCAGGTCCTGCTGTCGTTCACCGTGCTTCGACGCATGCTGGCGCACCAAATGCTCCTCCCACTGGGCCAAGGGGCAGCATGTCGAGCGGAAGACGTCCTCCGTTTGCCCAGGGTGAACAAAGACGTCCCTCGTTTGCTCAGAGTGAACAGAGACGTTCTCCTCAGCCTGTTCTCGCACCACCACCTCCACGTCGCAGCTCGAGGGTAGTCGAAGAAGCCACCGCCCCTTTCCTTGAGTTGGACAAGCTCTTCAACTTTACCTCAACCAAGCCAAAGCTATACTGGCAGCCAGTAAGTGATAATCTCGCCGATGACAGGCTCGACGAGCTCGATCGTGAGACCAGTAGAGACTGGGATCCACGAGCCGACATGAAGAGGAATGGTGACTCGCTGGGTCGCGGTCTCGATCAGCTCAAGCGGTATACCTTCGAGGATGGCGATGTTCTTGTCGATGGAGGTCCAGAGTTTGGAGGAGGTAGAGCATTTGCGCGAGCTGGCAATCGTGGACGTGGTCGAAGGAACGGAGATAGATACCATGGGCATTAGAAAGCGCCCGTCCCAGGTAGGCAGTCCATATAAACCTTCGCTCCTCTGGAAACTCCATCATCGTTGCTCTTTACCTTTCCAACCCGTGTATCGACGCTTGACCTCTAAAAAAATGCTCGAGCACTGGTGTTGTCGGATCAGCCACGTCGAAGTCTCTCGTTGAGCGTAGGTGCCACGCCATAGCAATGACGAGCAAAAGCCCATCTGCAACGGCAAACACGCATGCCACGATTACTGAAGAGAATATTCAAGCGTCGAGGTTCATCTTCAGATTTTTGTTTCTCCAAATTGTTGTCTTTCGAGAAGCTCACTGGTTGTACTGTTCCTACGAGAAGCAGAGCAAGAGCATGTGACTCCCTAGCCCATTCAAGTTAGCTGCGATGTGTTGGCAACAGATTGGATCGAAGCGAACAACTTCCTTGGCTCATTCAGTGGAAATGGTGATCTACGTTGATGTTTTCGAACAGTGTCTCTTGATGCATCAATGGAGAACATGTGCGTTTACGGTCGAGATGCAGTCTCGAAAGAGTCATGTAATTGGATGAGTTGCATTAATCGGACCAGAAATTCATTCATGTTGGAGCGAAGAACTCCAGAGGACAACGTATAACAATATGACACCGGCGACTTGCATTCGACGTATTTGGGGAAAAACTGCAAACACAATGGGTTCGCACGGGTCAAAAACGTGGAATAACTGTTGTTGTGGATTGCTTTTTGTACAGATTTTGGTATCTACCAGTCGATGACGTTGAACTCCTGAAGAAGCCCTCTATTGTGTTGGTAATAAATATAGGGAAATAGGGGAAACATGGCATTCCCCACCCAAACGCCCGCTAATGACCCGTAAGATAGATGGACAAGAAAAAAGATCTTCAAGAAGAATAAAGGAGAAATATGTGTGCACATGGTCGCGTGAGGCGGTGTTAATAAGTGTAGGCAGTGAAGCCATTAGTCGTCGACTGGGTCTGGGTTGGTGACACCTAAGGGGCGGGAGTAGTCCCTTTGGTCCTGCATGGTGCCGATGCTCGCGCGACTGCCGTTCATCTCCCAATGCTGCATCAGGGCTGCAGGATTGAGCCGTTGATCATAAACAAGTGGACGACTGTTACGTCTCTCACCGTCCGGGCTGGTGGGAATAGGTGCAGTCGATTCGCTGCCATGGTATTTGTGGCCGTTTGCCGAGTCGTCGTGGAACTTTTCCGTATCGAGACCAGCGCCCATAGAGGAAAGCAGACCAGTCTTGCTGAGGACACTGGTGTTACGCTCCATCCTTCTTCGAGCGGAGGAACCTGAGCTGGAACCTGACCTAGGAGATTCTGGATCGGATGCCTCGGTTTGTTTCCTGCGCCATAGGAAGAATGCTCCTGCCAGAAGAAGAGCGACACCAGCAACAGAACCGATGACAGCGCCTGCCACGGTTCCACCAGAAACACCTTTCTGCTCAGTGTCGTTTAGTGACCCGGCACCGGGAGTTACAACAGCGGTACTTGTGACAGTTTGGGTCACAGGACCGCCTGAGACGGTGACTACACGAGTACTGACGAAGGTGGTGTGGGAAAGCGAGCTGGTATCGGCAGTAGAAGAAGAAGGACTGCTGGTTACTACAGCTGCTTGGGTAGAGGTAAGGGACAAAGATGTTGATGTTGAAGATGGTGTCGATGATGGTGTGGTGGATGAAGGCGTTGAAGAAGTCGATGTTGATGAAGTCGAGGAAGACTGAACGACTTTCGTTAGCACGGAAAGCAGACGAGCAGGAGCACAGCAGAAAAGCAAGCGTTTGATAAACAAAGAGAAGTGGGGTAGGCGTACAGGTGTGACATAGGATATGACGACCGAAGCACTCTGCTTGACGGTCACGGTGACAGGCACAGAGGTGAAGACGGTGCTATCGCTCTGGACAGAGGAAGAGACCGGCGCGGATGAGGGAGAGGGTGATGAGGTGGTTGTCTAATCAGACATGCGGTTCAGTTGTTTTGCAGGGCAGTGGGGGGATTTATTTGCAAGTGGTGGAGAAGCACATCCAAGGGAGTCACGTTGTGGCTTACCGGTTGCTGCTTTGAGGATTGAGCGGCACTGCTTGTGGAGCTGCTGGAGCCTGAACCTTGAGTGCCTGAAGGGCTGAGGTTGAGCTTGATGTAGCCGTACAGACCACTGTCCTTGTCACCACAACTCTCGTCGGGATAACCAGGACAAGGTTGACTGCACTGCGAGACGTCGAGCTGATTGGCAGGAGCGTAGTTTGAGCACCAGCATTGCTGGTACTGGACGACGGCAAAGGCATAGTTGGCGGCGCATTCTGTCTGACATGCACCATTAGACTGGTAGATGTTGGTCACTGCATGCAAGTCAGCAGGGTGGCATACATGGAGCCGCAACATGAGACATTGTGCTCAGTGCTCAATCATCAGTGCTCACCAGCGTCATAGTCGGATCCGGTATTTTGGCTCGAGCAATATTCCTGGCTCAGAGCGTGAGCGTGTCGCCAGAAGTTGGACATGAGAGCCAGCGGCAGCAGCAGAAGTTTGCCATTGCGAAGGGTGCCTCGAGACAACATGATGATATGGCAAATGCCAAGACAGCGATCGAGGGGACTTTGAGGGGCCGGTCGTCAACAAGTCACACTGCAGCGACAAAGCGGCTTGCAGCGACTTGTTCTTGGGTGGTACAGGGATCTTGGATGCGCAAACTGTCGATCGAGCGGACGCGCAGCGAAAGAGAGTGAGTGACTGAGTGTCGGACGTCGTCCAGGCTCGTCGCAGAATTACAAAGTCGAATCGTCGGAGTGCGAGCGGCTTGGGCACATTTCCATCAACTGTCCTTGGCCAGGGGGAGAGCTAGTGCGCGATGCGTGTCCAGACAGGGTCGACGACTGAAAGGAGCAGCGAAGCAAGGACCAGAAGGGCAACGAGAGAAGAGCTCCAGCTGTGTGCTGACTGCCTAGGTATGGGTTGTAAGTGGAGAGAAGGGAGGAAGAGCTAGCTCAGGTAGGTAGCTACGACAAAACAAGAGACGCCAGCAAGCAAGCAACCAAGCAAAGCAACCAAGCAAACGAGGCACAAAACCGCACACAATGTTATTGCAGCCGTTGGGTAATAATGTTGACTCGCCTATTTGCAAGGCTCGAGTCGTCGAAGCCGCTAACCAACATAGCCAAAGTCTGTCACCTCTCTTGATTGTGATTTGCGCTCACCCGGCCCGCTGTTTCATCATCTCGAGCCCCGCTGCCAAACAGGTTCGCCAATTTCTTGTCACCTCGTCATCCGCTGAGACATGTCCAATCGACCCAGAGCCTTTGCTGCCTTGGCTTCCGCTGTCCAAGATGCACGTCTGATCTGCCGCCACGCGTGTGCTCATCATGCTTTCCTGCTTGTCCGCCGTGTCACTCTTTCTCGTGGACAACCTTCGCAAAACTTGCTCACCTAATCACACCAACGGCTTGATAATGCAACCCACAATTGCCTCCTCGAGAGCTTGATTTCGCTCCTGCTACTGTATCTGCTTCATGCACCTACGATCCATAACGACTAGAGACGTTTGAGCACAGACGCTCACAATCTAATGCCTGCCTACAGCTTGGCCTTTCCACCCTTGACGCCCTCGACAACCTGTCCACTCAGGAGGAAGTCTGGGTACTCCCATGTAGATCCCGGTCCGCCTGCGTTGACCCTCCAGCTGCCTCCGTCCACGACCACCGTCGAGCCATTGACAAAGTTTCCTGCATCAGAGAACAAGTACACGGTCGCGTCTGCTATGTCCTTGACCGACCCCAGCCGGCCCACGGGAACCCTCTTTGCCGACTTTGCAACGCTCGCAGGATCGCTCTTGGCCAATCGTTCCATGCCCTCTGTGCCGCCGATGGGACCCGGTGCAATGACATTGGATGTGACGCCTAGTGGCCCATATTCGATGGCCACCGCATTCGACAGAGAATCCACGGCTGCTTTGGCGGCTGAAACATGAGTCTGCAAAGGCAGACCGGTATAGTGGATTGTTGCCGAGACGAAGATGACTCTGCCGCTGGTAGTGCTGCGCTTGGCGCTCTCGACAAGGTAAGGCAGGGTTGCTTTGACAGTGTTGTAGCTGCCGAGGACATCGATATCGATGACGGACTTGAAGGCATTGGCACTGAGTTGTGACAGTGGCGCAAGGAAGTTACCCGCTGCGCCAGCAATTACATAGTCGATTGAACCCAACTCTCTGGCTGTTCTGTCTGCAGCGTCTTGAAGAGCCTTGGGGTCGCGAACGTCGACTCCGGCGATTGCAAGCACACGAGCGCCAGGGCGGGCTGTAGCAATGTCGGCGGCCATTCGCTCCGTCTTCTCCTTGTTGCGGCCAATGATGGCAGCAGAGGCTCCTAGATGGACAAGAGCTCTGGTTTGAGCGCTGCAGATAGAACCAGCACCACCTGTGCAGAACAGAACCTTGTCCTCTGTTAGAAGGGCTGGTTAGCATTGGGCGGACTCTCTTCCGATCAGCATGAGAACACACTAAAGAGGCCATCTTTCCAAGCGTCGCTCAAATAATCTTTCTTTTGTTGCGGCATGTTTACAGAGGGTTTTGTTTGTGTAGTGTGGAGCGATCAAAGGGGCAGTGGTGCGACGTGGGTCTCGCGACTACAAAGAGGGGAGAAGGAAGAGAAGCTGGAGTAAGATCGTGTTTAGATGCAAGGTCGTGTCAGGGCCAGCTGGACGGCACGAGGCTGCCGAGGTAGACATGTTTCAGGGCCAGACCACCGAGGTGAATAGTCATCAGTAGGAATGCTGACACGAGACGAGTAAGTTGAGCTACAGTACGAGTAGACTACACTGGCGATACCGAGACTGTGGCTTCCAAGCAGAGTGCAAGTAGGCAACCAACACCAGAAGCCCAAACTCTGGATGTGGGTGCGTTTCTGTGTTTGCAAGGTGCAAAAGTCAGTTGTGCTTGTGCTCGATGCAGGGACGTTGGAGTGTGGAGATGCACGGACGTGACGTAGATGATGGTATGGGGAGAGGTGAAACGCAGACACAGGCCAGACAGACGACGACACATCGAGTCTGCTGCAAACCATCTGCCGATTACCTCACAATGCCCTCCACCATCTCCGCATCCAAGTTTGTGGGCACGACGAGTCTGGGTCTCTTCACCGTGAGCCTCAAGCCTCTCTCTGCACAGTCGACTTGGTCAGTCAACTGACATGGATCTATTCGAGTAGGGCGCCTCGTACGCGCTGGCCACATTGTCCATACCGTCGCTGCTCGCCCTCCCTTCAGCAAAGCCCGCCCACCATGTTCTGGTCTCGCTGAAACAGTCGGCCTCCCTGCACTTGCGCTCGCTTGCCGTCATCTCAGTCCTCTCCTTCAACCTTGCCTACGCTCTTTCGCCAGCCCGCGCTAGACACCCCTACCTGCTCTGGACTTCTCTCGTCGCCGGTCTCGCTGCTGCCTCGGACCTCATTCCTGCCGAATCACTTCCCTCTCTGCATCAGGACGACGTCAATGGCGAGACAGTCGAGAAGGCTGTCAAGTCCTCCCAGACCCGCGAGCAACTAAGAGCTACCATCGGTTTCGCTGCCTTCGCCATGGCTGTCATTGGCATATGGGGCGACGGTGCTTGATCCACGTCTCGGTCAGCGCCGCCGTAGCCTTCGCGAGAACCAACACTTGCGTCACGGCCTCCAGTGCCTCGAGCTCTTGAAATCATGAACAGAAAAGGACACTGTGTTTCACGGTTATGCAGAGATACGTATCTATTGTAATGAACAGCAGCTTTACAAACACTCGCATGCTGATCTCAATATGTCACTCGCCCGTGCAAACCCTCCACTCGAAGCTTTTCCTCGTACGCTCGTTCGTCATGCCTGCTGCCGGACATCTCCCATTCTCCAGTGATCAAGTGGGAACATCGTCTGCTGACCGCGTCTATCTATTTCTGAGCTACGCTCATCTTTTCAAAACGCAAACGAGAATATTGCCACATGCGGTCCTACGGTCAAGACCTATACCCACTGTGACGCGACCTCTTGTCATCACGGACCGAGCATTGCTGTGTCAACAAAAGCGTTCCTCGGTCATGCGCTCTCATCCTCACCCAAGCCCTCGAACACAGCCTTGACGAGACTAATGAGTACTCAACAACTGCAGCTTCAGATACATGGCCGCCCTCTACCATCGAACATCTACCGCCGCAAGGTCGCATGTCATACAGACTTCCAAGACCAGAAACCTCGGAGGTTACCATACCTCGGCTTGAATCTCCCTCGTAATTCTCGGACGGCTTACACGTTTCTCACTGGCCGCGACAGACGATTCAGCCGGCAAACGCATCCTCCTTCGAGTAGTCATCCGTTCATAGGTCTCGCCGTATGCTTTTCCAAGGATTGCTCAAGTCCACCGTCTCTGTTGACAAGCGAGAACAAGAAAGCCACGGTTGCCAGGTCCGAGACTACACTGCCAGGGCCATTTGTCTGTGCTATTCAAAACGCATGAAAGAGACGGAAGTGTACACTGGACCTCCTACAGATATGGAACTGCTGCAGACCTCATTCGTGGACTCTTTTCCTCCCTCTCTCCCTCCCTATTCAAGGGTTGGTACTTGAAAAGACTGGTCGGAGGACTACTAGGTACACGCATAGCCGCTCTATGTGCAGGGGTCTAGATCCTTTTTGCGACTTGAGCTGAATTACTTTTAGTCACGTAGTAGATCTATGGTGCCTGGCGCCTTTAAAGACAACAACTCATCCTATACCGAAGTTCTCCGTGATTACTCGATACTGTCAAACATCTTGATAGTTCTCCGACTATAAGAGCTTGAAGCTCTGTACTCGTTCTCTTGGTTCTTTCGCGAAGCAACAGGAGTTTGTTGATAAAGTCTTTGACGTTTTCTTGCGTCTTGTTCCACCTTGCTATCGACGATCAACATTTCAATGTGTTTCGATACATGTCTTAGGCCACAAAAGAGTGCCTGTGGTAGAGCTCAAATAGTATTCAACACATGTAGCGGGTGTACAGGACGAAGACTTTGTCAAGCTGTCCTCAAGCAAGACAGGTCAGTCTGGCCAAACAGTGAGTTAGAGTGTCGCCATGTATCCAGATTGTATACAGTATACTCTCACTGATGATTCTAATGATTGTCGACGGACTTGAGTCTCTTTAGTCGCTGACTCGCGTGAACTCGAAATCGACAACACCGTCTGCGGTGCTTGATCAAACCATCTTGTGCTTCATGCCGCTGGGCGAGGGAGATGGACAAGAGCATACACGGCACACACGATGATGACAGAAGACAAGCACATGAAGAAGACGATGAAGAAGAGGCACAATTATCATATGAGAAACAAAACAAGACATGCATTGGTATCGAGCGAAGCGACGCATACAGAACATTAACGATAATAACCCTGCCGACAACAAGCAATGCTGAGCACCTTGTGCTGATGAGAAAAAGACAACCTCCGATGGAGAAAACAAAGTGAAGAACAGAAGCAAAGCCTCCTTATCATAACAGATGCGAGGCAGCATGGTGTGAAGAAACGAAAACAAAAGAAACAAGTCGTATCAACTCAAAGACAGAACCAACTCCTGCCGATGATCATGAAGAGTCATCTGACTCATCGATGCAAGGTGATGCCTCAAGCGCGAGGAGTCTCGTGGACGTCACAGACCATGTAGGTGGTCTTGTAAGGCTTGGTCACGGAGTGAAGGACGGTAGAGACGTCAGTAGCGACGCTGGTGATGAGCTGGGTGCTGACACGGGTCACGACCTTGGTCTTGGTAAAGACACTGGTGCTGACGTGAGTGACAGGCTTGAGGGTGATGAGGCTGGTGACAACGTCGAAGTAGTGAGCGAAGTCAGTGGTAATGGAGCATGCCAAGCTAGTGGTGGCAGTGACGGTCTTAGTGGCGCCGCCGCTGATGGCGGTGCTGGTAGCTGCGGAGGGACGAGCCTTGGAGTGGTGAACCGGCTTCAGGCAGTCGTCGATGTTCTGGCGACCGCAGATCCACTTCCAAGAGTGACCAGCAATGGCGGCGACATCCTTACCGTGGTGGAGAGTGACGTTGTGGCAGACACCGAGAGAGGTAGTGTTGAGGAGGTTGACAATGCTGGCACCATCTCTTCTGCACTTGTTGTCGCTGAAAGCCAGAACCTCACATGGCTGAGAACCTCCAAAGACGCTGTTCTCGTCTGCACGCTTGACGGAAGCTCTGAGAGAGAAGAAAGGCTTGTCGAATGGATGACAGTGACCTTGAAGCTTGGTATCGGTGTCGCGGTGCTGAGCCGAGTTGCAGTTGAAACCATCAGCAGGAGAGACGACAACGTGATCTTTACTGTGTTCGGGATCAATGGATCTGGCTGAGATGGGAAGGTCGTCGTCATCATCATCATCATCATCAGAGAGAGGCTGGGCAGGGAATAGATCGGCCCAAGTCTCGTCGATCTGATATTCACAAACCCACTTTGCCGAGTGTCCTTGGATACGGTGACCGTTGCGCTGCGTCCAGAGCTCCGAACAGTCTGGCTGTTCCAAGAGGCGGGAAGGATCACTGAAAGGTTCGAACTTCTCCTCCTCGTCGGGACCGAGTTTGTAGGAGTACTGCGAGATGATGGCACCATCAGTGGTGCAGTTAGTGTCGCTGAAGGTGACCAGGACACAGCGACCGATGTTTGTAGCGCTCAAATCTCCTGGAACGAATCTGGAGCGAATGGTGGTAAAGGGCTGGTCTTGACCGTAGCACATGTCGATGTGCATGTAGTGCTCACGGTCAAAGGTAGTCATGTTGCAGTGCTCGCCGGTACCGAGAGAGATGTGGACTGCGTCGAAGGCAGTGACTGGGATGTCGGGGATGACGGTGACAGCAAACAGAGTGGAAGTAGTGGAAGAGCCAGTGTGAGAGATGGGAGAAAGGTTGCCAGTGATGGCAAAAGCTCCAGTGATGAGGGCAGAGATGCCGAAAAGCTACGTGATGGTCAGTGAGTGCGAGACACGATGGAAGATGATGGACGATGATGAGATATGGCTGATGGCTGATGGATGATGGATGATGGATGAGTGAGAACGTACCTTAGAGAGCTTCATGGTGACTGAAGCGTTGGTGTGACAAGAGCGGCGTGCTCAGAGTTGAAGATGCTGAAGAGTTGATGGTGCAGCCTAACGGTGCGATGGAGCAAACAGAGAAGAGGGAATTGGTGATGCAGAATGGAGTTGTGTTGGATGATGTTGTGATGGAAGAGGAGGATGGAGGATGGCAGAAGGAGAAGAGGCTTTTGTACAGCTGCAAAGGAGGCACCCGCGCTTTCCCTTCGACGCTTGTCGCCAGCGTTGTGTTGGGATTGGCGTGACGCTTTGCTGGACTGCTGCCTGAGGCCTCCTTCCCTCGACGGCAGCCAACAGCTTCGCGTTCTCAGCGACGCGTCAGAAGCTATTGCCCTGAGTGGTGACTTCCGCCGAGTGCACCAGAAACAAAATGCTTGCTACTCTCACTGAACAGCGGCCCAAGAGGACCATGTTTACACGCTTTCAGGGGCAGTTGCGTGAGATTTTCCGCAGTCGATGACTTCCTTATAACGCCAAAGCAGAATATCTCGTCTGTCTTTTGACAAGTCCGCCATGTGTGATAGGTATACTCCTGAGTTCTTCTGGCTGCGTCTGAGCGACAGAGTATTCGTTTCTGTAAATGTAGTTGCTGTGTGCAGTAATGGCTTCAAGTGTTCTCGGTGCGCCACATGTTGGTGCCATGACTGTCATCACAGACGATGCTTGAGATAGGTATGATTTTTGATAGAGCTTGTAGATGGCCGCTGTATGCACTCGGCCACCATCCCCTGCAGTGTCTTGAAGGCGAGCTCATTGGTCCGAGGATTCGTTATGCTTCTACAGTTGTTAGCTCAAGGCGTCCATTCTACACACCGCACGACAGTCGATGTCGCTACACATGTTCTACAATCAAAACATGGTCGCGGAATCAAAGATGCAAGGCAGAAAGACAAGTTTCATAAGGGGTATCTCAACATGCTAAACAGGGGATGCAACAAAGTGATAGAGGGCCATGACATGTAACCGGGCTTCTCCAAAAGATCTATCATGGTTGAGAATACCATGAAGCTTGTTGGCCAGCATCAGCAAACATGCCTTGCGTGGGGAGAGTCGACGTGTTGTTTGGCAGGGAGGTCTGGTTCACGCGGAACACACCACGCCCGTTCTGCGAAGGTTGCACTTGAGTCACGTCAACGTTGGATCGTAAACCAGACAGACTCCGACCTACCTTGTACCCAGCGCGAATCTGGAACGGGCGCCTTATCAAATCTGAGGACAGAGGGATAGTTGCAGACCGTTCCTCGTAGCTGGCATGAGTTGCAAACAGGCTGCAGACCATCGCACTTTTGCTGTTAATGAGCTTCGAGTTCAGAATAAGAATGTCAGTGGACGTACCTGAGTATGCGCAGCCTTGCACTTGAAACAAGGAACAGCAAGCTTGGAGAAGCGGCCAACATCAGGCGGTTGTGGTTGCGAGTAAGCTTGGTTGAAGCTCGTACGGCTCGCTATGGGGGCATAGTTGCCAGGAAGAGTGTTGGACGACGCGGCAACGGGAGCCGAAGGCGGTGTCTGCCAGAGCGGCGGAGCTGGTGACGGCGATGGCGATTGATTGGGGCTAGGCCGGTGGTTGGCAAGGGAGGTGTCAGATGGAGCCATTGACTGTTGAAGAATTTCAACTAGCGACAAGGGACGTTCGACTTGGTCCGCTGGAGGAACGGGCTGTATCTTCTGACGCTTTGAGCGTGGCTGGGTGGCGCTGTCTTTAGACTTGCGAGGAGGCTTTTTCGTAACAGGAGGCTCCACAGGATCAAGATAGGGCTGGAAGGCCGAGTGGTCGACGTCGTGAAGGATGAAAGAGCTTTCATGGGGATCATGGTCTGCGAAGGACAGCAGACTCGCATCGGGGGTGGCTTCTGAGACGGGTTGCTGTGTGACGGACTTGCGCTTTGAGTCTTTGCGTGGAGGCGGACGTCTCTCGGCGACTGTCTTGTGAATGGCGTGATGCTTGTAGACGACTTCGACTGATTGTCGCATGGCGGAAAACTTGACGGCAATCTGGCCCTTGCAGTCGTATGTGGGCTTGCGGACACCTCGAGTGTTTGCACCCGGACGCCGGGTCGCAGCATTGGTAGCACGGAAGCCGTTGGCGTGTCTGTCTTTGTTCTCCAACGAGTCGAGACATGTGTAGGAGTAGCGATAGCCGTTGTCGTCTTTGCTGGACCAGTTGTTGTTGAAGCAGTACTTGAAGCCATCAAGGTGTTGGATCTGCTGGACAATACCCTTGGCTGCAGCGCGCTGCCATATCTGTCGCTGTTTGAGCTGGTCGATGTTCACCAGCTCCAGCACCGTCTTGTACTCTAGCTGCTGCTCTTGCTCTTGCTCCTGTTCTTGTTGGTGTTGCTCGTCGATAACGGAGCCGACGTCATGGCCGCCCAGATCTAGCTCGTCACCAAAGCCCTCGAAGGGCACGTAGCTGGGACGACGGCGGGAGCGAGGAGTATCGGTAGGATTCTTGAGAGGCAGAGCAGCGTTGGTGGACAAGGTCATGGCACACGAGACATATTGCGGGAGGGCGTCGGGGGTGGTGGCATTGTCCATGTACTGGCGTAGGGCGGTTTTGAGGTCGTCGAGCGACTCGAATACCGTGTCCAAATTGGTGTAGTCCTTGCGAGGGCGATGCGGTCGCCGCGCTCTGGGCTGTTGTTGCGCCTGTCCAGTCATCGGCGCTGTTGACGTGTCCATATTGAACACGTAGTAACTCAAGATACTCGTTCGACCGGTAGCTTGTTGCTCCACCAAAGCAAAATCGCTGTCGCATCGACGGCCGTCACGTTGACTCTACCATTTCCCCGCTATCCACACTGCCGCGTCTAGCCCGATTAGGCGATGCAGTATCGTAACTCGTCTTCGCTTCCAAGTTGCCTCTACTTGCCTCTACCTACTGACATGAGGCCCTCGCGCGTCTTTAGACCCGAGCAGACCAGGTAAATCCAGACTTCGTGTGTCTGCCTGGTCAAAATACACCATGAGAACATAGAAACGTATACGCGTACTGTTCAGTAGATGATTGGCTGTTCTTGCTCCCAGAATCGGATGATACTCTCGAATTGTCACAGTATCAAGAATAAGATACCTGATCAAGTGCCAATTGGAACAGTATGATTGTGGTCCTATAGTTGTATACATGCTACAGGATATCTTCAGCAGGAAATCCATCCGAGGCACCCCGCACACTGCTACAAACCGAGGTTGATCTATGAGCATTCAAGAGTCAACACCGATTATGTCCGCAGTCAACAGCAACAATCCGCCTCTTAGATGGACACACCTTCTCGTCAACGACCAACACCCATGCCGGTCGACAAGATCACCCCCGACGATAGTCGTGTGTCTCATCGCGAGACTGTTCTGAACGGACAAAAGTACCGTATGTGCAAGTCTTTGACTCGAGCCTCTACCAGTCATTGATCAGGCAGACTATATACACGGTGTCCCGAAGCATGGGAAGTTTAAGGCTACCGTCTTCCTCATTCACGGATGGCCGGACTTATCGTATGGCTGGCGATATCAGATACCGTTCCTTATTCAGCAAAACATGCAGGTCGTTGTTCCGGACATGATGGGATATGGTAGAACTGTGAGTCGAGTGAGGCAGTTCTCTTGCCTTCCAGTAACTAAGCATCCGCATATCAGGATGCTCCACGCTCACCACCTGCTGATCTACGTCTCTATTCGATCAAACGGGCTGCCGACGACATCTCGGAACTGGCCAAGCAACTGGGAGCCCCCAAAATCATTCTGGGTGGCCACGACTGGGGCGGCATTGTGGTGTATCGAACTGCACAATGGTATCCGGAGCTCGTTACCCATGTCTTCTCTGTATGCACTCCATACACGGCTCCCTCTAGACGTTTCATCTCGCTTGCCGAAATGGTACATGGGCCCTTGCCTCAATTCGGATACCAGATGCAGCTCGCTGGACCAGAGCTGGAGGCCAACGTGACATCCTGTGATCAGGTCAGGAACTTCCTCAGGGCTTTGTACGGTGGGAGATCCGAGCAGGGGAAACCTTACTTTCGGCCGGAAACTGGTATAGATCTTGATGGGCTGGAGACGATTGGTGTCGCACCCTCGCTTGATGGAGAGGCATGTTCAAGTGAGATGAACTCGCAGATCGTTATTGACTCAAGATTACAGGAACTCGAATACTATACCAGAGAGTACATGCGCCATGGACTACATGGACCTTTGAACTGGTATCGAACACGTCGTATCAATTTCGAAGACGACTTGAAGTAAGTGACATCTGGAGCATTGAGTAGCCTGATCGCTAACAACTTCAGGCTGGGTACGAAGATGGTCAAGCAACCAGTACTGTTTATCTCTGGTAGGCATGATGCAGTGCTGACACCCGAGATGTCCAAAGGTATGGAAGCGTTTGTTCCACGTCTGACAAGGAGAGAGGTAGAAGCCAGTCATTGGGCCTTGACACAAACCCCCGAAGAAGTAAATAATATTGTGAAAGAGTGGCTTCGAGAGGTCGCTCTCGGATCGAGAAGTTTATTGTAGGATCAATCACTTATGGCTGACAATCACAAACGCGCGTAGAAGAAATTTGCAGTTCATTTGAGCTCGTATATGGATAGAATAGGTTGCTACTGACGGTCTACCTCCATGGCGCGCTTGAAATCTTCCCTATACCATGATCTTGCTAGAAGCGCAATGAGAAAGGCGCCGAGGGATTTGAAGCTGAACAGTCTAGGAATCTACGTATCAACGGCTGCACTCTCGAAATGACGCTCGAGCTAAGTATTTGCTCCTGGGCCGAATTCGATCACTGCGAAACAGCACCCGTTGCGGCCGGGTGAGATTTTGCACCTGTGCCGTAGTCGATATTGCTGGTGACAGTTGACAATTTGTACACCGCTGTAGCTGACATCTGACCTTCGACGTTGATCTTCTTAGTCTCAGATCTGACATCGCTCGCAGCTTTGCTCAAGCCCGTACCAGCTTCGACTTGAACCACATTTGACGAATTCGCTCCGAGGTTGGCCTGTGCCAATGACACCTGGCCGTTGTCGAGGTCAAACACAAAATATCCTGCTCGCATGACAGCCGAGCCTGTGATCATCAGTTCGTCGCTTTCTACAACGCGTAGCCAGCACATAGGTTGGCCATCTCCATCGGTGACGACGCTTCCGTGCTCAGACGTCAGTGGAGTGAACAAATTAGCTAGCTCAAGATTCAGTGTGCCTGTGTTAGTTCCATTGCCAGAAAAGGTGATGTCAAAGCGCGTGGTGTTGGCGGTGCCGTAAGCCACATCTCGACAGGGCCTAACATACTTGCGGTGCTCAAAAACAGAGCTAAGCGGTACATCGTCTGTCGATGTCACTCCTGCTTGTTTAATGACCTTACGGTATGCGCTGGTGGGCAAGTACCAACTAGGAGTACCTGTATCGGGTACAGTTCTGTACCTCCTGTGTTTAGTGGAGCGGACAATAGTACGATTCTGCCCACCATGAGGCCGCATTGTAACTGATTCCAGATACAAGTAGAAGTTGCCGGCAGGTTTCTCGTCCTCAGCCACCACGTTGAGTGTGGTTAGCGGACCACGGTACTTGGCGGTATCAACGCCGCCGAATAATATGGAACCTCGGAATCCAGTGAATTCAAATATATACTGTAGAGGCGTGAAGAGATAGCACCGGCTTGGACAAGAGCTTCCACGAAGCTCGGAGGCAAGGCCACCTTCTTGCTTTTAGTGCCCGGCCAAGCCATGTGACTCGAGTAACCAAGACCTAAGATCCCGGTGTAAGGGGCAAAGAACAATGCCATCCTATTGGCAATTCCCATTGGAAAGTTCGTGATCGCGAGATCATCTGGAAACATTTTAATTAGTATTCTTGGACCGCAGGGTACCGGCTGCTGACTAGCAATCTCGAACGTCAAGGCTTTACACATACTCATCTGGACCCGGTCTCCAAAATAGTCCCCTTCGAAGTACTCATGATCGACGTAAGACTGCTGAAGAGCTCCGGAATCGATGGTTTCCAATGTCGACGCTGCGGATAAGTTCAGAGTACCACCAGCACAGACGGAAGTCTCGCAGAACGACGCATTTGAACCGAGAACAATAGTGTTACTGCTTCCAGTATCGATGGCCATTGTCTGCACTTGCCCAGGGGTACCGATCGAGATGTTCATGTAATAGCGTTCGCCTATTGTTTTCGCAAAGTTGCTTGTCAGAGCAAGCTCGATAGTGTTGGGAGTTGTTGCTGCTCTCGCACAGCTTGACAGTAGTCCAAGACATGCAAGGACTCTGATAAGAGAAACCATCGCTGCTGTGGATGTGGTGCTAGAGGTAGGTATTGGTAAGGAAAGCAATTTTAGAGACAAGAAGCGAGCGTGCCAATTATATACCGATACCTTGCCTGTTACTCAACACGTATACAAACTGTTGGCTATCAGATCACCAACAGCGATGACTCCTTGGCGTCCATCACACGAGAATATCCTGCTCATATCTTGCTCACTATTCAGGGCGGAGTCGTTGATTGACAGGTACAGGACTCACGCAATCGTATTTTGAGGCTTTTTCGATCTCATTGATCTTTTGGCACCGTCCATGAAGTTGATGACTCGACAGAGACACGATCTCTGCCTAGGATTCGAGTTGAGTTGGGTGGAAACCAAGGCCATCAGGCGTATCATCTCATACTCAACATTCGCAATGTCAAAACTCCCGATTCATTCGCAGAAATTTGCGCCACATCTCTGCGCCAGATTCTTCCAAGGATGCATGCGACGACCGTGTCGTACTGCTGAAACAGATAGCATACACAACGCGCAGGTGACTGATGTAACCACTATGTGATCATGGAGGAGTGTGTTAGCAATGAACACGAAACTTGACGAAAGGTTTTGCTACAGTGCAGTGCTCAGAACAGCGGTTATGGGGAGGACCCTGTTCTTTGATCTTCAGATGACGTAGCGCTTGCCGTGACTGTCGCCGCCTCGACAACATTCACACATCCATCCACTTTTTACTTCCGGCCATCAGATACAAGCCACACCGACCGCCTTATCCAGTCTGACTTTCACTCGCGTAATTCGACTCTTGGGCGCCAGGATTCAACATGGTAGACGCAGAAAGAGCGGTGACGCCGCCGAGAACAGCTCGACCGGGCTCTATACCACGGTCACCGATGACGCCAGAAAAGATTCGACGCATGGTACGCAAATTGATTGTTTGCAAAGTGAGACAAGATGCTGAGGTGATATACAGGAAGAAGCGCGTCTAAGAGCGAAAGCCTTACGATCACAGCAGCTTGCATCGAATCAAGAAGCACCGACAAATCGCACGCCCTCAGGTTTCATCGCCGGACAGAAACGAGCGCACATAGCTCTATCTGGATCCTCGGTAGAACCAAACCAACGCGACGCTCGGCAGACTCTTTCTAGCGACAAAGATGGCTTCAGCAAACCGGCACGCGATTCAGGCATCGAAGCAGCCAAAAAGTTTCAAAAGTTTGTCGAATATGACTTCAGTAAGATGACGGACACCAAGGGTGGATTCTTGACAGCCGAGGACGATCCACACAACAGAGCACTTCATACACCAAATCAAGAGCAGAAGCCTGCCAACATGACGTTGAAGGAATGGGAAAAGGCGCAGCTGATCAAGAAGTTAAAGAACGAAAGAGCTGGCCCTTATGAGCCAGGACTCAGTGCGCTGGGGGCGGCGAAGGAGCAGAAGAAATGCAGAGAGTGCGGCACTTTGGAGATCGATTGGAAGTGGGACGATGTGTTTGGGTGTCAGGTGTGCAAAGCGTGCCAGGAGAAGTTCCCTGACAAGTACAGCTTGCTCACCAAGACGGAAGCACGAGAAGACTATCTCCTCACGGACCCAGAACTCAAAGACGAGCAACTACTACCACGGATGGAGAAGGCAAATCCGCACAAGTCAACATGGAACAACATGATGTTATATCTACGATACCAGGTTGAAGAGTATGCGTTTTCAGAAAAGAAATGGGGCAGCGCGGAAGCACTGGACGAGGAGTTTGAAAAGAGGCAGGCCGAGGCCAAGCGGAGAAAGGAGGCCAAGTTCAAGAGCAAGTTGAACGATCTGAAAAGGAGAACACGGGTGGATGCATACAAGCGCCAAAAGGCGGGGGTCGAGGGAGGAAAGTTTGGAGACAAGCTTTGGGGCTCAAAGCACGAACATGAATGGGGTCGAGCGGTCGAGAATCCAGAGAGTGGAGCAAGCGTCAAGACGTGCGTCGAGTGTGGCATGGAGGTTGAGGAGCTGGAGTTCTGAGCAGAGCAGACATTACAGTAGTCATGACAATCCCAGATAATGCAATAATCATAGCGAAGGAGATGCGAGACACTGAGACAGATGATGAGCACGGAGCTGATTGATCTGCATGAACCGAGGCGTGGCTGCATTGTGGCATGTCGATCATGATGCTTCTCAACAGCTGGTCGAGTAAGCAGGTGCTTTATTTGTCAATCAACTGAAAGCCTACACATGCCCATCCCCTGTGGCATGCATCTCTTCCTCAGACAACAACACAAGACCACCAATCCGAGCAAAAAGTGCGCAATCACTCTGAGACGCGTGCACGCTTCTCCAATCGCAACACAGCAAGCTCCAGCCTCCATCTCTTGACCATGGCGCAAGCAGCTGTGGTAATTACTCCGCAAAGGCGTAAGCAGGTGCTCAAGGTGCTCTTCATCTCGCTTCTGCTTGATCTGGTGAGTCGCGTCGTCCATTGCCCATCTGCCAGCATCTGTCTGACCCTCGTGCCTCTAGATCTCTTTCACCTTCATCCTCCCGCTGTTCCCCAAGCTCCTCGAGTTCTACCGCGCCGTCGATGCCTCTACCTCGTCTTCATCATCGAGTCCGACCCTTCTCTCTCGCGTCCTAAGTCTCCTCAATGCATACAAGAACACTTTTGCCAAACCGATCAACGACCGCTACGACATTGTCCTGTTGGGAGGTGCACTAGGCTCGCTCTTTTCCTTTTGCCAGGCCATCGCGTCACCCGTCATTGGCCGGCTGTCGGATCGCTACGGCCGTCGCACTGCCCTGTTATGGAGCATGGTCGGTAACATCCTCAGTGTCGCTCTCTGGGTCGCCGCCACAGACTTCCGCACCTTCCTCGCCAGTCGTGTCGTTGGTGGCCTAAGCGAGGGCAACGTCCAATTGGCCATGGCCATTGCTACCGACATCAGCGACGACAAGCAGCGCGGTGCTACCATGGCTCTGGTTGGTGCTTGCTTCAGCATTGCCTTTACTTTCGGTCCTGCTCTGGGTGCTGCTCTGTCCAACGTCACCATCGTCCAGAGCAACCCCTTTGCTACTGCCGCTGGCTTCTCGCTCTTCCTCATCGTTAGTGAGACTCTATACCTCTACTTCTACCTACCCGAGACGCATTTCGTCACTGCAACTGCCCTCAAAGAAGAAAAACCAGATGGAGCTAAAAAGCCTGTGACTCGCCGCACGAATTCGCACGCTCTACTCAACTTCACCCACCTGGCCTTCATCCTCTTCTTCAGCGGAATGGAGTTCTCTCTGCCATTCATGACCTATGATCTCTTTAACTATGGCAGCAAGGACACTGGGCGCCTCCTCGGCTTCATTGGCATCATTGCTTCCCTCCTTCAGGGCACCGTCACCCGCCGTATGCATCCCCTTCGCGTCGTTCAGCTGGGTGTTGTATCATGCTTGCTTGCTTTTGTTCTCCTCGCTCGTCTCACGACTCAGGCTCAGCTTTACGGTGCTGCTGCTCTGCTCGCCGTTACCAGTGCCACCGTCGTGACTGGTCTCAACAGTCTGAGCAGTTTTGAAGCCGATGCTTCCGAACGCGGCAACAAGCTTGGAAACCACAGATCCTTTGGTCAGATCGGGCGCACCCTAGGACCTCTTTCCTTCTGCTCCTTATACTGGTGGGCTGGTCGCGATGTCGCATATGCTGTTGGCGCTACCGGCATGCTTGGAGTTGCCGCACTTGCATTCGGTGGTCTTCGTAAGCCTTCGCACGCGTGATATCGCCAAGCTGCACACGAGACCCCCGAAGCCAGGTAGTCCGTCTTCAATTCACATACTCGCGATGCTGATTCCAGAACAAGTTTTGCTACTATTGACCCGTGACTGTTTTCTATCTCTCACTTTTCTTCTCAATCCTGCAAAGAACCGCCTATCCTCAGTATTGTATGCCTATCAAGAAACTTCTTGCGAACTTTTGCCACACTCGACACGCTACGCACAATGTCTTTTACAAGACTCTCATGATAGGATGTCCGCCTTCTTGGCAATGGCCTCAAATCGAGTAACACGCGATATGCTGTCCCCGAGTCTCACCGTTGTGACTCAAGATTGTGAGTCAACGACCGCTTACTTTCTTGCACGATGAGCAATACCCAGACCGCATCTCAGTATATAATCCACCCTTTGGCATCTCCCCTTCAAAACTTCTTCCAAGAACACTTAACTCTAATATCTGGTCTTTATCGAAACTCAGTTTCTTCACCAACAATCATGAAGCCCTCCGGAGTTCCCTTGTCTCTCTCTCTGCTACTCTGTTGTGCAACAGCAGCAGAATCCCGTTCAAACACCGTCGAGCTTGCCTTGATGAGTACAGTTGGCGATTTGGATAATTTGCAGTACTATGTCAACTTCACCGTTGGCACTCCCGGACAGCCGCAGTTAGTTTTTGTTGATACTGGAAGCTCTAACACCTTTGTCTTGGCTTCCAACGCGTCTTTTTGCAAAGTCTCTGACTGTGACGGCGTCACTTTCGATCTATCCAAATCCTCGACGTATGAGATGATCAAGCGCGGAAGATTTCAGCAACTCTTCATGGGGACCAAGACCTGGTTCACAGGTGACTACGTCAGGGATGTGGTTCAGATGAGTATGCAAAAACTTTGCCGAGGCCAAGCGCCGATCTGTTTGGTTTCATGAGCATCTACTAACATGTTTTTTAGACGACCTGGTGATCTCAAAGCTCCCGTTCGGACTTGCCAGACAATTTGGAATAATCTGGACGCCCCATACAGGTGTCATGGGTCTCGGCTATTCAAGGCACATGAGTATTGACCACGACAAGAAATTGCCCCCGAGCTTCCTTGAAGGGCTGGTCCAGGCCGGTGCCATCTCTTCACGCCTTTACAGTATATATCTGAACACTCTGGATCAATACGGCTCGATATTGTTTGGTGGACTTGACACAGACAAGTATAAGGGCTCATTGACCACGCTAAATCTCGTGCGTCGTTCGCGCAAGGTGAAGAAAGTCGATGACTTCCATTTGTACCTCGAAGAGGTCAAGATGCAACCCTTCAATCAACCAAGCCAGACGATCCTTCGCTCTACCAACGACAGTAAGATTATAACTCTGATAGACACAGGAACTCCCGATTGGCGATTGCCGAGGGATGCGTTCGTACAGGTCGTCAGACATGCAGGGGGAAAGCTCTCATCGGACAAGCACGAGGTGATCAGGCCTTGCAGTGAAGTTGCTCGTGGTATGGCCGACACCACCTACTTCGATCTCACCTTTGCTGGGAATGGAAGTAACACTGCAACTTTGCGCCTTGAACTAGCTGATCTATTCTCCCCGGTTCCGACGAAGGACGGCAGTGTAGCAACTGACGACGCTGGTCGACCAATGTGCGAGCTAAGAGTCGTTGAAGCAGTTAGTGATCAGTTTCTTTTGACCTCTAGCTCAGTGATGCGAGCAGGATATTTTGTGTTTGACCTCGACAACGGCCAGGTGTCATTGGCACAGGCCAACCTCGGAGCGAATTCGTCAAATGTGGTTCGAGTCGAAGCTGGACCACAGGGACTGAAGAAGGCCGCGAAGAATCTCATAGCTGAAACTCAAAGAGACGAGGTCGAAGGGCTGAAGCAGGTTTCGATGGCTTATGAGTTGTCCACTGCTACCAACACCGTCGGCTATGCTACAGGCATCAAGTCCTATTCAGCTCCTACCGGTACTGGAGCTCGTGAGCCATTGAAGGTCCACAACTCGTCTCGTGGCAGAGCCGATCCACGCGTACGCCGTGCTGAGAATGCCGCTGCCATCACGATGAGTTTCGGGGCTAATGTGTTCTGGGCTCTCTGTGCCGCTGTTCTCGTGGCAGTGGGTATTATCGCAGTCTAGAAATGTAGCGAGGAAGGAAAGAATGTGGAGGAAGGTGTTTCAAGTAGTTCAAGTACTTCGAATACGAGGACCAGATTGACTTGACTGTTGTCTTGGTTGTGGGTGATTGCTGAAGGTGGATCCAAAACTCAACTCGGTTTCTTTGACAGATTTGATGCACCCTGGGCTCTGATAAATATGTCAAGTACAGTCACTCCTAGAGATTTATGATCATGATCATCGTAGTTATTTGACTAGCTAATCATCCTGGAAGTCTGCGAAAGCATACATGACTCCTCGATAATTAGAGATCACTTGACAAGAAAGTGGTTTGGCTCATCCTGCTCTCAAGACAATGATATCGAATAATATAGTACAAAGAAGAGTGTGTAAAGCACACGCTCAACCGATCTGTGTACGAATTGTCGGCGGCGGCGTGACTTCTTCGAGCTCGACTAGTTCGATGTGAGAATGAGTGGCCCAGTCCTTGCCATTCATGCTGCTGTCGTCGTGATTCCTCGACCTGTTCTCATAATGCTCATGTTGCGTGACAGTTGTGTGAACAGTGATAGGTTCTGTGGACCCTCTCTCGGCATTGTCGTATGTGTCCACATAACTTGCCACTCTCTTAAGCCTGTAGTCCTTCATCTTGTCCAATGCTGTCTTGAAGTCGTCGAGGATGACGGTATCGGTCATGCATTTGAAGATAAAAGACAACTTCCAGAATGGGTTGATGCCGTCGGGTAATCCTTTGCTTGGAATGACGTGGGTCACGCTGAGGATATCGACGAAGAGGAACAGGACCGAAAGAGTCATTACAACAAGAAGCACACCGAAACGTGGCGATATGCGTACGAGCTCGATGAAGCCGAAGTCATATCTTTTCTTGATGTTGTACACAAGATTCAAGATTGTGAAGATCCACCATGGGTCCCTAGTGTACATGTTAGAGGTTGAAGTGACTCCAAAAGTGAAGCGTCTGCATACCTGAACAATGCCTCGAAGGGTCGGAGATGTTCAAAGACCTTGTGGTTGATGTTGTTGAAGTAGAGAAAGTTTGCAGCGATCTCTGCTACCCAATAAGGTTGGACCATTATGACAGTGCCGATATAGATCATGGACATCTTTCGGCTCAAGAAGGGCTTGTTCTTCATCCATGAGATGACATTGTGTAGACTCCAGCTGATGTTGAGAAACAAAGCTCCCACAGACTCATACCATCCGTAGTACGGTGGATCGGGGAAGATGAACGTTCCTTGGAATAGACCGAATATCAACTGTCAAACTCATCGTGTCAGTGGAATGTATGATAGTAGTAAATGAGCTCAGTGATAGAAGATCATAGGTCTAGACTTGTAGCACCGCGGTAAGACCGAGAGTGACAGACGCACAGAGGCCTCCCCCAACTTGGGGAAGATGGGGAAGAAGACGGGGATTTCATAGTGAACGAACCTCTATGAGAATGAGGTGGTGGAGGACGACTCTTTTTCGCATGTTTGCGATTGTGATACATGCCATGGTCATAAGACTGCCAAACATCAGGCCCTTTTTTCGACTGAGTTAGCTATGTCCTCTGTACAATCTTCGCTCTCTGACTTACCTGAGCCCATGCCTCGAGCGTCAATCCGTGAGGATCGCTAGGCTTCTCGATGAGACCCATGTTTCCCGTTTCAGTCCGTCGCAAGCTGACAAGGAATAGAAATTGATAAACGAGGGTTCAAGCTTGATCTGGTGGCTATGCTTCGACAACTTGAAGACAAAGGAGGACAAAGGAAAGAGATGAGACTGTTGATGACCAGGACAAGCGTACGTCAGGAATAAGAGTCTTGGGGTAGAGCAACTCCAAAAAACTTCTGGTGGAAGCAATAAGACCTATGTGCCAGAAGGATCATGGGTGCCAGCAACTAATATTGACTAACCCATGTGGAGATCGACGCGTAGATCGCGAAACGACCATGTCAAGGGGATCCTCCCCATGGCTTACCCCATCTGGAGAGGGCAAACGGCTGCCCTGCGGAGCGATGGGCAATGCTATTGGTGAGCGCTTCGGCACTGACTACTCGAGGCTGGAATCCCGTAGACGAACTAGACCGCGCCCAGCGATGGCGCCCTAGAAGATCATGAAATTTGGACGGGCTGTGGGCAGGTAAGCGATGTACAGTAGTTACGTACGCTTCAGGAGCCGACAGTAGGCGCCGTGCGGATTATACTTTGCCACGAGGATGGCCAGGGCTAGGGTCGAGTCAGGGTACGTCCTTAAGCAGCGCCATGTTGCGTTCTCATCGACCTTCTACGCCAATTTGTCGATAGCGAGCTCCATTCCACGGTGAGCTATACCAACAATGGGCAGCGCGGTGTCTCTCATGACTTCAGATAGTTGCTTGGCAGGCTGTCTTATCATTTTATGCTGCGATTTACGGCTCTCGTGTCGGCCACTACTCCGAGAACCGGCAACCAGGAACCCTCAAAAGCGAGGTCTCAGAGGTCTGAATTCTTCCGATCGCCGTGATGATCACCGGACAGCTTGCGGTCAAAGAGACTCGACCAGCAGAAGGCTTGACACGACAGCCGAGCATCGCGTATTAGTTCTGCATTCAGGATGCGAAGGAGCTCTGTCTGACAGCATCTTCGAATGCCCTACAAGTCGGGGCTCCTTGTGCCGGCTAATTACCTCGGCTTCACAGACATTCGTCTTATCAGATTATGATTGTATGCTCAACTGCTATAGACAAACTGCCTCGAGACTTCTCTCCAGGATATATAACTTTCTGAACGAGAAAGAACCAATGTCCCGTCTAAAGCCTTTCGGCAGTCTCTCATTATTATTATCGACTTGTCATGCAAGTAAGAACCCAAGTTTGCTCGGCTGATTGGCTTGTCCAGTCAAGCCTCCAGATATGTGGGTTCGCAATTTGAGCCGAAAAGAAAGCTCTCTAATAGTTTTCTCACCTCCATCACATTTTACCAGAAAAATAGCTCGTCGTTATTGCACGTGAACACCGACTCATGGACCAGAATCCTTCGATTGCACAGGGTCCGAGGATAGGCTTGGCTTCCTGCCGCAGCCACGATCAAGTCATTTCTTCCATCGCTCAGCTTCTGGACCCAGGTGTCTTATTATCACAATTCATGGTCCTACATGCATGGAGCATCGACGTCTTGTTGCATCAGATTCGGGTGAGTATGCTTACATCAGATCATAGCCTTTGCAATGCTCGATGCTCGACGCTGTGAACGCGGCAGATCGGCCTCCGTGTCCATCATCAGAATGTCGCGACTTCCGAACCAAGTCGAATCAGCTTGGCAGCGCCTCGTCCATGGCAGTGTGTCTGTATTATGAGAGATTGCGGTCCGAATATCTAATCGAGTGAGTACGTCCCTCGAGACGACTTTTGATTCGCCATACACAAGACTTTCTCGACACCCCTCACGATTCCACTGCCGACAAGTAACTGGAGACGATTAACAGACAGACCGAAAATATCCTCGATTCCATCAAGCGAGATGCAACTGTGAGTATTCAGACGTTGTTCAGCTCTAGTTAGATAACAATCTGTCTCTTCTTCGCAACGGTCGCCCGTTGATCATAACATTTGCCGTTGCCAGAGTATTACTTGTGTGGACATGGCCGCTCTGCGTTAGCAACTTCTATTTTTCACGTCGACCACGAACATGTTCGGAAGTTCGGCATATACTTTGATATGGATTCTGCTTTCGATTTTCGGTATCGCTAGGTGTGAAGTTTCGACAAACCAAATATCGCTGTCAAAGCGAGCGACAATCGACCTCGTCATCACAGCCAATTTTCCGGATCCAAGTATCATCAAGGTCAACGGCACATGGTATGCGTTCGCGACGCATACTAGAGGTACCGATATCAAGATCCAGGTCGCCCAGTCTACCAACTTTGAGGACTGGACGATAGTAAAGAATGCAGATGGCTCGCAATTTGATGCTTTACCTGTACTTCCACCTTGGGTGCGAATGGCCAACTATTTGACATGGGCTCCAGATGTCAGCCAGTTGGTGAGTACTATATGTCTACAGGCAGATTCTTGTTTACTGAATTTGCGTCCAGGACGATGGTTCTTTCATCATGTACTACTCGGCGACTACTGCCGCTCGACCAGATGGATCAAAGCATTGCGTCGGCGCTGCTATATCGCCAACAATCCTGGGTCCATATACTGGGCTGGCTGACGCGCTGTTCTGTCCGTTGTCCAGAGGGGGTGCTATCGATGCCTCCGGCTTCAAGGACAGGGACGGGAAACGATATGTCGTGTACAAGGTCGATGGCAACAGTATAGGCAGAGGCGGCGCTTGCGGAAACACTGTCGCGCCCATCGTCGGTACGCCACTGATGCTTCAACCGGTGGCTGCTGATGGCTATACCTTCACTGACAACGCGGTCGCAATTCTGGACAACGACGGTGCTCCAGATCAGGGCATTCTGGAAGCTCCAGTTCTGACACGTTCTCGAGCTGGTGTCTACTTCCTCTTCTTCAGCAGTGGCTGCTTTGCGACTTCAGGATACACGGTCTCTTACGCAACGGCGACAAACCTAAAGGGACCCTACACTCGTGCAAGTAGTGCACTGTTCAGGACAGGAGACGGAAACGGACTGAAAGCTCCTGGCGGTATGTCGGTGTGGGGCGACAATAGACACATGGTCCTTCATGCAAACTATGGAAAAGGCCGTGCCATGTACACCACGTTGATAACGTTGAAAGGCACAGAGGTCGTTACTATGTAAGAGAACGGGAGCTTGTTGCTCAGATGCTGTCCGTTGGAGAACAGCGCGGCCGATCAGCTTACAAGGAGAACACAACAAACCTTCGTGAATCAAGCAGAGCATCGGCTTGACGTGTAAAAGCAGATCATAGAGGCATGCTGCTTCAAGAAAAGGATATGCTAGTCATGACAGCATCGAGGTCGCAGTAGCGAGTCTCACCGAGCTGTGGGCTTGCGATATTGTTGGGATCAGACTTGCACAAGCCGGTCTTGTTACAAGAACGAAAAGGAGCAAGGCAGGCGTGTTATCTGCAGGCAGGGTGCAAGGACAGGAAGATCAGGGTATAATGAGGTGACAGAATGGATCAGGAAGGGGACGAGGAAACTGTAGTGCGGCTTGTATAAATCACCCAGGACATCCGGGAGTACATTCAATGGATAGCGCATTGTAGGCTCGCGATATACCACCAAGACATTATTTCACAATGCTTGAAAAGCAGATTCTACGAGGAAAGACGCCTAGAAGAGGACGCCCTTTGTGCTGGGAATCTCGCCTTCACGGCCGACGACAGGTGTGCTAGCCATCCTGATGGCAACAGCAAGAGCCTTGAAAGCACTCTCGGCCTTGTGGTGATCGTTGTCACCTCTGATAACATCGACGTGCATCGTGACGCCAGAACCCTGGGAGAAACTTTGCAGACAGTGAGGCAGCATCTCGGTGCTCAAGTCACCAATCTTTTCACGGCGGAGCTTCAGATCGGTGACGCAGAAGGGACGGTTGGAGAGATCGACGACTGCACGAGCGAGGGCTTCGTCGAGGGGGGCGTATGCGTAGCCGAAACGGGCGAGACCGGCGGTCGACTTGATGGCAGACTTGAAGGCCTGGTTACTTGTGAGCACAATGTACTACTGCTGTGACATCGATTCTCCATCCAACGTACCTGACCCATGGCGATGAAGACATCCTCGGCAGTGTGGTGGTCGTCGATGTGGAGGTCACCGCGACATCTGAGCTTCAAACTCCAGCCAGAGTGCTTTGCGAGAGCGTGAATCATGTGGTCCAGGAAGCCAATGCCAGTGTCAATGTCGATGGTTTGTGATTTCGAAGCTTGGGCAGCGTGTGACTTGTCTGCGCCATTCTCCTCGGATGTGATCTGCTCCAATGAACCACCGTCGAGGTTAAGAGCCAATTGGATCTTGGTCTCGTTGGTGTCACGGTTGATGACGGCACTGCGGACTTGCTTGTCGGACATGTTGATTCTGTGTGTGATGGTGATTGTGGTTCCAAGTTGTTGAATTCACTTTGGCTCTGGAGAGATGACGATCATCTTTCCAGAAACCGATGGTCAGCACGGAGATGCAAGATCGATAAGATAACTTGCTGCTTGGCGTCAAACTTCTCCCGCCTGCGACACTATATCGCAACACTTTTGCTCATCATAAAGAACACAGAACAAATCATGTCTACCAACGGAGATCTCGAGATGGCTGATGCCAATGCCGGTGCTGATGTGAACGATGCCGAAGTTGAGCTCGTCGAGCCTCAGCGCATCAGAGTCGTAAGTTCTCTTTTCATGCTTTTTTCTGTATCATTTCTTTTTTGCATATCTTGTCTTCCAATGGCAAAGACACGCAGCGAAAAACCACAAACGGATGTTCAAGTACAAACCTGATAAAATATAGCTGCCTGGATCTACCGACACTGCCGCTTCATTCGAATTCACAAAGGAAGACCACACTCTTGGAAACGCTCTACGATACATCATCATGAAAAAGTGAGAGACTATTCTATCTATCTCGGGACCACTATACTCATGTAAATACAGCCCCGACGTTGAGTTCTGCGGTTACTCGATCCCCCATCCCTCAGAAGCAAAAATGAACTTGCGCATCCAAACTTGGGGTAAGGATGATTCTCATGTATGAAAAGACAATTCGCTGACCAGCCCACAGACGAGGTTAATGTTTACGATGTTCTGGAGAAGGGCCTGAACGATCTGATGGATCTCTGCGATGTGGTGGTTGACAAATTCACCGTGTCAAGGGATGCATTCGATGCGTCCAAGGCATAATATGGCCAGAAGCATGCATGTTACAGGCGTTTTTGTGCATATGGACACAAGGGGATTGCGGTTTGAAATGGTATCATTATGGAAAGGCTGGGGAATATCAAAAGGCGCATCATGATTGTTTTGTTCTCTAGTTGCGTCCCTAGAGATAGCAGCGTCAATACAAGCAGCTTGCATTTGATTCGACAAAAGGGCAATGCGTACCTCGAGGAAACCTTGGATAAAGTTCTTGGGCAGAGCGGACTTGGGGTCCTCCTCGGCGCGGAAGTACTTGAGGACGTGGGTGAGTTGCTTCCAGAAGTTGAGGGTTTCCTGAGGTGAAATAGGGTCAAAATTTCGCTCGATCGAGGCGGTACACGGTAGCGTACCTGGTATTCCTGGTGAGAGTTGAACAGAAGGACGTCGACGGTCTTCAATTGCTGGACGTAGCGGTGTCTCTCGAACTCTTGTCTCATCTTTGTGCGAATGGTCGAGACGGGCATGTTGAGCGAGTACATCTGTTGGATCTCGGGGGCCTGAGAAGAATCAGAGGGATATGCTAGAGGCGTTCGTGTCGGTACAGGGCATCATACAGCGCGGACCCAGTCGCGGTAGGACTTGATGACTCGCTTCTGGGCGTCGTTCCAGTTGACGGCTGTAGGAGGTGGGGTCAGCGTGAGGGCGCATGGGCGCGGGAGGACAGATCTGGCGTACACGAGCGCGTCCTTTGGGCAAGGTAGGTAGGGTTGATCATTGTGTGTGGTGAGTCGAGCGAAGGGGAGTTCAATGGCGCATTCGAGAGCTTCGACAGCGTGAGCGAGGCCTACGGAGACCGGCCGCCCGAGAGGCCGCCGGAGGTCAGCAGGCCTTGGCATCAATCTGGCAGCGCGTCACTCGATCTTTCTCTTGTCAAACTACTCACACACGCTGCCATCGCCTCATCGTCCATCTTCTTGTCGCCATAGCCATATCACCCGCTGTCGTCTCGATCGCCCATTTCTCCTCGTCGTCTACGCTCGCTGCGTTTCACAAAATCAATATGCCTCCGATCCGTAGCTCCAGAAACCGCAAACCCCCACCCGATGGATTCGAAGACATCGAAGACACGCTGCTCGAATTCTCCAACAAACTCAAGGACGCCGAGAACGCTTCGCATGAAGGAAAGAAAAAGCAGGAAATGGTCTGGCCCGTCTTCCAAATCACCCACCAGCGTACGTGAGCCAGACACCTTCCTGGTCCGTCTCTTGGCCCTTGGCCCATTGCTCGACATGGACGCTTGCGCAACTCTTTTTTTCTCCACCACATGTGCTGATTCTGTCCACCAGGCTCCAAATACATCTATGACCTCTACTACGAGAAAGAAGCCATCTCGAGACAACTCTACGAGTGGCTGTTGAAGAACAACTACGCCGACAAGAACTTGATCGCAAAGTGGAAGAAGCAAGGCTACGAAAAGGTATGCTACCATCTCATAGCTCTCTCTGTACTTCACACGCTGACTATCCTCTTCTAGCTCTGCTGTCTACGATGCATCCAGACCAAGGAGACCAACTTCAATAGCACGTGCATCTGTCGCGTGCCCCGTAAGAACCTCAAGGAGGATCAGGTTATCGAGTGCGTCAACTGCGGATGCCGAGGATGTTGCAGTGCCGACTAAGCGACACGACCGTTGCATTGTTGCCAGTTACGGCCCATCACATCATACCCCAGCAGAGAACCCATGCCCTGGGTTTCGGCACCACATAATCAGCCAGATGGCAGCATCGGTTAGAAACAAGAGGCACATCCTCGCACGAACATCTGCCACATCACATACTGGCTTTTCCTCCCAGGACGGCTTCCAATGCAGAAGAGGCACGTCCTCCACCAAAGACCAAATAGTTCTCAGGTCACTGTGGCCGGGTCAATTGTGCGCCATCACTAATGAGAAATGAATTTTCGATATTCTAATCTAATCCTAGCTCTTGTCGCTCAGGCAGTGAGCATTCTTGGACCCACTCCTTCCTTGACCATAGTACGTACCATCGATTGTAGCCAAGTGTTTGCTTGACTTAACCTTCCAGCTCGCTCATCTCCGCCATGGTCTCACGAATCTTCTTCTGCACTGCTTCTCCTGCTGGCGGATATGGTTGGCGAGGTCTCAACTTGGCCCCCGCATCTTGTATGCCAGCCTTAGGAGCCGAGAACACGCTCGCCGCATACTTGGTACTCGCGATACCTGCTTTGCAAGGCTCCTCCGCCAAACTGGCCACCCGATGCAGCTTCAATGCCTCCTCATGCTGCCCTTCGGTCCAGAGCTTGTAGATACGACTCAATGTTTTGGGGAACACGTTTGCAAAGGCTGCGATACAGCCAGCGCTACCCACGCTCAACCCACCGATGAGGAAGTCTGATTGTCCACCGTACACGCTGAATCGAGAAGTGGGAAGTTGTGCGGCTAGCCTCGTAATCTTGCCCACACTACCACAGGTCAGCTTCACACCAACAATGTTTGGATGTGTGTTCGCTAGCTCCGCAATCAGGGACGACGAAAGATCCACGCCGTTGCACACTCCTGGAAAATTGTAGAGCACGATTGGCAGAGCAGAAGCTTTCGCGACTTGAGCGTAGAAGTTGCGAACAACAATCTCAGTGGTCGCTGGACCGAAGTACGCAGGTGGCAGCACGAGAACGTAATTGGCTCCTGCCTTGGCTGCATCTGCTATGTATTCCAGCACCTGTTTTGTCGAGTGACCGCCCACGCCTGCCATGATGGGGTAATCAGAGCCCACGGCCTCGCGCGCGCATTTCAGTAGCGAAGCACGCTCTTCCCTGGTAAGGAGGAAAGTCTCCGCATTCGTGCCTAGAATGACGAGTCCCGTGAGGCCAGATTTTGACAGGTAGTTGTAGTACGTTTTCTGTGAGTCGAGGTCGAGATCGTCTGTCGCCGGGTCGAAGAAAGTAATGGCCGGTGCCCAAACCCCTGGGGCTGGAACTTTGGACATGTCTTTGATGTGTTCGCTGATTGTCGAAACTTGTACTTTGCTGCTAGAACGTGCTGAAAGAAATGAACGAACACTGCTGCATCAATTGGGCTCTATAAACATTTTACCCCGCTCGCCTTTGCCCTATCCCGCAGGGTGGGTCTGAGGAGGCAGCATATCAACCGGGCGGCCAGGTCTGAGAGTGATGTTACTCGGAGATAGGCGGCTATCGTCGGCATTGACTCTTGTCAACAAGACTGCTAATCATTCATGATGTGGTGGGAGTCAAGCAGGTATACCAGAGCAATTCCGACCTCGTTATGTATTTGTAGAGCAATCTAAAGCGTGGTCAGGTGAAAGCTGCAGAGGCAACATGAATAAAGCCTTGGCAAACATTGATTAACGCTTCGTGTCTGATTGCAAGCTTGCCTCATTAACATAACTTCAATCCTCCCGAGCTTGGTCAAAACATCGAACACATTCGACGAGAACCAGTTAGCGTTGTGATGGAGCCCCTCAGAAAAGCTGGTAGATATTCACACGCATGTAAGCACAGCGTCCACCATCTGACTTGATCAGGTCCAAATGAGCGTCGCTGTATCGTCCGTCAAGCGTTAGGCTACTATCGCACTCTGGTTGTGGGAGGAGTTTACACATTCGAAGAGCTCTCCTCGAACCTTCCATTGGGAAGTTCTCTCATCAAAGCCTTGAAGCACTGTGTCGCTTCGCATCCGATTCTGTCCGCCTGTATCGTTGGTGAAGAGACAGAAACTCCGGAATTTGTTAGACCATCCTTCTTGAACCTGAACGACCACATCGAAATATTGGCTACGCAACATTCTCCGAATGTTGTGGGCGAAAAAGACCTGATCAAGCTGGTCCTGGCTCAAACCAACGATCATGTATTCACCAGCTGTGATAAAACACCCCCTTGGAAGATCACTGTGCTACCTTTACCAGCCGAAGAGCAACAGAAGACGAGCAGATATCTCATACTTTTCGGATACTACCACTCACATGGCGATGGTAAATCAGGACTGGCTTTCCATAAAACCCTACTTTCTGGATTGAAACAGGCGCACGGTGCGAACTGTGCCTACGACGATGCTCCCAAGTTTGCGACCCCCGGTAGCCCCCTGCTCCCTACTCTAGAGATGGCGGGACGGCTGTCGATCTCCTGGAGTTACCTGCTTTCGCCACTGCTGGGGGCATATCTGCCATCTTTCGTAGCGAACCCACTTGGTATTCGTGCATCAGCCACGCCAGAAGCAGATGATCAGTGGGCAGGCAACAAAACATTCTTCGACTCCGATGGGTACCAGACTCGACTTGAAGTCATATCTGTTGACCACAGTCATGTTAAGAAGATTCTTCAGGCATGTCGAGAACGTAATGTCAAGTTTACAGGCCTTTTGCATCAGGTCATAGTACAGGCCCTGAGCAGGGAACTGCCTTTTCAGAAAGCGGGCTGCTTCGTCTCGCAGACTGCTGTAGATCTACGCTCTCATCTAGATGGAATTTCTGACGACGATATGGCGCTTTGCCCAACAGCCTACTATGAGCTGTTTCCAAGGACTGTGCAAGACGACGCATCAATGGCACCCAATGCTATGTCCGATGCTGTCTGGGATGCTGTACGCTCCACGACCCAAAGCTTAGCGCAGTGCGCCAGCACTTTGAATGATCAGCCGGTCGGATTGCTGTCATACCTTCGCAACATGTATCCATGGACCGAGGGACAAATCGGGAAGCGCAGAGAGTGCTCATACGAAGTCAGCAACATTATGTCCTTCAACCCAGGCCCCTTCGTTCCGGAAGAGATGTGGAACATTGAGTCCATGATTTTTTCTCAGCCTGCCAATGTCTCTTCTGGTTGCCTCAATATTAATGTCGTCTCCAAGCATCAGGGCGATCTGACAGTGGTCATCTCGTGGCAAGCGGGTGCTCTGGATGTTCAGGATGAGCAAACTCTTGTCGAAAACGTGGGCCATCATATTGTCAAGATTTTGGAGTCAATTGGCCAGTCGTAGTGTTTGCTTACCACAATGGCCGATGTAAATTCCTCGAGCTCTCTACCTACCTTTTCTACAAAGTGGTCACAAGTACCAGACGTCACCGCCACCGAGAGCCTGTAAAATTGTCCACTATCTGTGGTTAATTACACCAAATAGGTTGTGGGCTCGCATAAGAAAGCATTGAGAGTGTAAGTCTCAAATGGGATCTGATCATATCTTCACTCTCCCAGCTCGCATTATGCCTATGCTCACCGGTAAGACTATGTGTGAGCATATCTACCTAGAGAAGTGATACATCTCAATACCACATACTCCAATACTCCACTCACTACCGCTCCTTGCTCTCACAGAAGCTCTGCACCTTCCTAATTCATCTCAAAGTCCGCCCAGGGCGCCCTCTCCCAGGAGAATCAAGAGGCCATCTCGAGTCGCAGCGCATCAGCTTCCACTAAGGGCTATAAAAGCTTCCCTCTCTACTGAACCAAACCTCTTCCACTACACCTCACTCCACTTCATACGCGACATACCACCTCACTTCTTACGCGACATACTACTCCTTCCACATCTATCCTTACATCATAACCTTATCCCATCTCGCACTACAAGCACTAACAGTCTTCACCATGGGTGCATCAAGCAAGATCATCGATGATGTTCACGGTATGTCAGTCTAACGTTTCGGAAAGCTTTCTAATCTTTCAGCAGGCAGCGTGATGGACATCGCACTCGGCTCCCTTCGGGCGCGCAACACACCTATGCTCAAGGTCGAAGGCTTGTACTGGATCCTCGACGAAAACCTGCGCCCTGCCATCGTCGTCGGCTACGGAACCAACGACCCAGAGAAGATGTCGAGCATCCACCACATCATCAAGTTCCACGTTCGTAAGCGTCCTATCTTCAACGTTGTCTCCGCCATGGAGGACTATAGTGTCAAGCACACTCGTGTCGCCACGCCCAACGTGGTGCTCTTCGACGAAAAGATCCCTGCGCCAAACATCAAGGCGGCCAGAGATTACCTCGAGGCTCAGTACAAAGACTATGTCCTCGATGTTGTTGATGCCTTCCGCGGTCGTAAATTCGTGGTTCAGTTCGAGACCAAGGCAGATGTCGGCAAGGCCAAGAAGAAGGCCAAGATCGTCAAGGCAAGAGCGGTCAAGCAAAAGAAAATCGCACGCACCATCGTCGAAGACGACGACGAGGATGGTCCCTTGCGCTGCTTGACCCCCATCAGGAAGTACGCCAGCGCTCAGCCTGAACGCGCCGACAGTCTCATGGGCGAAGCTGGCAGTCCCAACTTCACCTACAAGAATTCTGCCGACGGTCTGACACTTGTGATTGACCCTAACGTTCCCATCATCTCGATCGAAGACGGTGGCCATGGGCTCAGCACCTCTAACAAGCCTGACGACAACTTTCACGGCTTCACCACCCCGATCAGCATAAACCACACTGCCTGCGACTTGCTGAACAGCTCGCCCACTGCATGCACTGCTCAGCAAGCTCTCTTTGAGCCTTGCTGAACAAACGGCGACAGAAAAAACTCGCTTCTGGGACAGACAGACGGAAGGAAGTATTGGATTTGAACCAGATTTCTGAGGGCGAGGGAAATGGAGAAGCCTGAAATTACGCTGGAACTGCTACCTCTTGTTTCCAATTGTTGACTATTCGATGATATCTCTTTACTCTTTTCAAGCTTTGCGATATGTATTTGCATTCATTCTTGCGACATCTGCAGCTTTGCGACACACCATACTTAATGAGTGCTTATTTCGCATGTACTTACACGAAAGGCAAGAGAGGAGGGTAATTCAAGTGTCAGGATGACTTTGATTTCGACGACCACATCCATGTTGTTATGCATGGATTATTGTGCATTTCCATAGCTCAGCATCATGACTTTGTGAATGCTTGGCAAGTCGCGAATCATGGTCCGTTATCACGCGGTACATCAAGGTCGAAGACGTGACATGTTGACCGAGTCGTCGGTTCCGATGGACCCATAATCGCGCCTTCTCCCCAAAACGCTCTTTCCGCGACGACAGGGCCTACCGAACATCGCAAATACAGTATGGATCGTGTGCGCAAGATATGGCAACAAGAGCAGGAATATGAGCCTATCGAAGGAGGCTCGGCCGACGAGGAACAAGAGAGGCAGGAGCTGAGGGAGTCCACGTCTTTCTCATGGACGGAGTACTTGATTTTCATGCTGCTGGGTGTGGCCATGCTGTGGGCATGGAACATGCTGCTCGCGGCAGGGCCATACTTCCAAAGTCGATTCGCATCGAGTGACCGCCTCTTGGACAACTTCCAGGCCTCCGAGTTGGCCGTGTCCAGCATCACCAACTTGGGCAGCATGCTCGTTCTTACCAAAATGCAGGCCCGCGCCTCATATCCTCGACGTATTGTCATGTCCCTCCTCATCAATCTGCTTGCCTTTGCATTGCTTGCTCTCTCAACGTGGTTTGCTCTCGGCGTCAGTCCAAGTGCCTACTTTGCTTTCCTGATTCTCATTGTCTTCGTCACCAGTCTGGCAGCTGGCCTCTGCCAGAATGGCGTTTTTGCATTCGTCTCCGGCTTTGGCCAGCCGCGCTATACGCAGGCCATCATGACTGGACAGGGCGTTGCTGGAGTGCTCCCTTGTATCGCCCAGATCGTCTCGGTACTTTCTGTCACAAAGCCAGATGAGCCATCCGATGATGGATCTGCACCAGTCCCTGGAACCGCCGCTTTCGCCTACTTCCTTACCGCAACCGTCATCTGTGCTTCTACGCTGGTTGCTTTCTTCTACCTTCGTCGACAACACAATGTCAAGAGCGCTGCCGCCCATTCAGATATGGCATCCAGCGTAGGAACTCCAGAACAGCCCAAGAGAAACACGGTTCCACTCACCGTACTGCTCGGCAAGTTGCGCTGGCTCGCAGCTGCAGTCTTCTTGACCTTTGCTGTCACCATGATGTTCCCTGTCTATACTCAACGCATTCTGAGTGTCAACGCGACAGACTCGTCGTCGCGCATCTTCCAGACACCGTCTTTCGTCCCTCTGGCCTTCCTGTTCTGGAATGCTGGTGACCTACTAGGCCGTTTGCTGCCCGCCGTACCTCGCCTCTCCCTGATCCACCGACCAAAACTCATCTTCGTACTTTCCGTTGCTCGTGTCGGCTTCATTCCGTTATACCACCTTTGCAACATCCGTGGCCAGGGTGCTGTCGTTCATAGCGATGCGTTCTACCTGGTTGTTGTACAGTTGCTTTTCGGCATGTCAAATGGCTATCTTGGAAGTATGTGTATGATGGGTGCTGCTGAGTGGGTTGATCCTGAAGAACGGGAGGCCTCAGGTGGCTTTATGGGCTTGTGTCTTGTGGCTGGTCTGGCGGTCGGCAGTTTGATCAGTTTCTTTGCTGCAAAAGCGTAGATAGATCGCGCAAAGACAACACATCACTTGGCCCAAGACCACCTTTTTGACAAAGCATGATGATGTGGTAATCTAACTCTGTCTAATACTCTAGTCCGGATGCAGAGGATGCCCTCAAGGTCAGCAGGTACAAGCCAACATCATCGTACCTCCACCATCGGGTCTACCTTCCACTCAACACGTAGGCTCAATAGAAAAGAATGTCTCACGGTGTACGCTGGCTTTGAAAGTTGTGTGTCCCCGGGTCTTGGGGTGTCTGCGATCACAACTCTCAATCACTTGATGGTTACAATCGGCACGTCCAGTCGCACCCGTTGTTGACAGTTGAATACCAAGATATGCATACGCAGAGTGTGCCCTGATAACGAATTGCATGGTGGCGTGCAATTTACCACCTTGGGTACCTGTTGCTACAGCCGGTCATTCTGGTGTTCTTCATTATGGACACCCGGACAGCAACGCCTTTGACGGGTGTTCTTCATAGGGTGTTCAGGGTCAACGACTGCGACACTGAGTACCGGTCATACGGTCACGTTCATGTTTGCGTGCACATCGATACACAGCAACATCGAGAATGCAACCGCACGACAGTCCGAGATCATAGGGCAAGCGAGTCTTCTGCGACATTCAGGCAAAGTTTACGCCCGGAGTCCACTCAGCCGTGGACTTGTCTCCGACTCAGTCAAGTCTTGCTGGCGGGATCCTGCAGAGGCAGGCGGTGATCAACGTGGAGCAAGCCTTTGGTATCTCCTGTAGGACATGAACTTGGAAGCCCACATCATCCGGCTAGGCTACAGACTATAACAGCGTACCTGCAGTCACACGCCAGGGAACTCGAGGGTGTGGAGCCGGCAAACGCTGTCAAGGAAGCTCTTGACGTTCTATCAGACAGGCAAGCCACAAGTATGCTGATGAATGCAAATGACAAGAGTCCTGCAGTTGTTTGAAGCTCATTCGTTATGTACACGATTTGTGTTCTACTACATTGGTGGCCCCTACTATGGAAGGAAAGTCCAGGAGCGCTTCATCTAATCAGATCATACCATATCAACCCCGTGTACTATCAGCCGACCATACTCTCAACACCTCTCGCGAGATCCTCGCACGTTGCTACAAAGCCCCAACTCTTGGCCGCATTGAACTCGATACACTGCTGCGAGAACTCTGGACTGGTCGTACCGCATGCATCTCTGAGCATGACACAATCATAGCCCTTGCTGAACGCATCTGTAAATGTCCCGCTGACACACTGATCGGTGTTGACTCCTGCAAAGAGCAAACTGCGTATTCCCCTTTCCTGCAAAAAGTCCTCGCAGTCAGTACGTGCACCCCACATACCGCTCATGCGGTCTTTGTGAATCCAAACGTCTGGGTTGCGAGTTAAGTCAAGACCAGAAGTATACAAGGTGTCGAGAGGAGGATATAAAGCCGAATTCCAGGCATCGCGCATGAGCAGGCGTCCTGCATCGACTGTTGTGCCATCCGCGAGCTTGACCTCTCCACACTCGGATCCCAGACCCTTGTAGATGCGCTTATCCTTGCCGTTCTCAAGGACAACAGTATCTTGAGGCTTGACTTTCGGGGTACCTGCCTCAGCATTATGTTCACGGAAGACATCTCCGTCAGCGGTCTCAGCCTCCACTTCTTCATCCTCATCGTCTACAACGGACTCAAACCCGAATGCACGTTTGATTGCAGGAGGCATGACTTCAATATCACGCTCCGTCAGACCCCAGTTCAACCATACAACCTGCATGCCTGCCTTCCTCGCTGCAGGGATAGCGTATTGCTCCAAGTTCTTGGCTGCAACGTGACCAGCGCCTTTCTTCCTTCCGAATCCTTCTGAGAGGAAGAAATTCTGCATGTCGATGACGACCAGGGCTGTCTTTTGTGGGTCCAGGGTGATGGGTGTGGTTGATGTAGTCAAGTCGAATCGTGGCGAGATTGCTTCGCTGGAGGAGGATTGAGGGTGTGTGAGGTCGAATTTGTTTTCTTTGGAGGAGTGTAGCCAGAAGTTGTCGGCATTGCCGATGACAGTTTTGCGTCCTTTCCCCATGGTTGTATGCCAGGAATCGCACAGCTGTATGTGATGCACTTGTCTTGATTGGATTTGATAGAGTTGTGCTTGGAGTTAGGTTTGAGGAAGATCAAAAGTTTCATGCCTTTGTGTTATAGAAGAACTTATCTATCTCGTTATCGCTATTATGCAACAGGCAGCTGTCCTCGGAGGTTGGTATTCTGGGGGCGGGGGAGGGGGACGGGCTGTTCAGCAGCTTCCTATTCTGGACTTGATCTGCCAGCGTCGGCCTATCTTCTTATATACTCTCCTCTCCAACCTCATCTGCTGTTGTGGAGTAGCTGACGGACACGCTCAATATATGATTACTGATCATGGGGTAGTTGTTGATTTTCTCATCCGCTATGGTTCAGTTGCAGGACAAATAAGGCATGTGTGCGACATACTGGAGTCAGACAAGACAACTCGAGTCTTCTCTGAGCCTGAAATCTGCACTCTATGGACTGTAGTTTTGAGCGCATCAATCTGCTTGAGTCTTGCGCTCACACAACATCGCCAATCGCCCGGTCTTGCCCGTATAACATGCACGACATCAGATTATGGAATTGTCTGTATGGCACACAACAAACCTGTTGGCATTCTATGGTATGGCCGTAGAATGTTAGTAATGTATGCACAAGCGCATCGGCGAAGGGCGCCTCCCGATCCAAGCCTGTCGATGTGGTAATCCTGCTTGACCATCAGAGCAGGCAGTCCGATCATGTCTCTTTGACTCGGTCTGGTCAGAGCGTCTAGATCTATAGACAGACAATCATCGGAACTGCCAGAAGGAGCAAGCCTTGGTGAACATGATTAATAGATATGCTATCGATCTTCCATGTATTTGATCAGGCGAGGATACCCTCAGGTGACTCCAGGTCAAGTCCTTATGCCGACGTCTAAGGCAGCCCTGAAAGCGATGTCGTTTTCAAGAGCACAAGAAATCCAGATTGAGTCTTGCTTCTGATCAGATGGAAGATCTGGCCTGTGCCGAGAAGAATCAGTAGGTCGTAGCCGAACGAGTACACCAGAACTCGCGGCAGGCAGCATGTGAAAGGGTTGGGTACATGTGGTGTAGGTCAGCAGTAAAACAAGTCCTTGCCATACTCTTCATGTACCATGATCTACGGTTTTGTTAAGGGTTTCAACATGGTGTTTGCCCCAGACCAGATGTAAAATCCCATCGGCCTTGATTAACCTATCGAGTATCTCGCTCGGGGGCATGTTACATTGCACTCTGGTCATACAGCCCTGTGGCATGTGGCTCTGATCTGTGGTAGCAGGTGATGCAGGGAGCGATTAGATAGCCGGTAGTGAGAGCGGGTGTTTGTGGGCAGGACGGTCTTGACAGGGCTACGAGGGCATTTCTGATCTTATGGTTCTAGCGTCGTGGCTCATTCCATCCTGAGTCGAGATCGAGCCTTTTGTGGCTTAGACAGTCTCTCCAGTAAAGTGCTGACTGCAATTCTTGATCGTCTTCATCAGCGACAAGCATCCCAAGAGCCGCGCATCTTCAGCGATCTTTACAGGCACCGAGCAAAGGGGTATCTGCCGCAGCTTATGATGATGGATGCTTCAGTGGAGGTCAGAAGCAGAGGGAAAGATGACAAGACCACGAACCGCACTTGTCTCGTACCTGAGCTGATGAGGGCCAGACTCACCAAATAGCCCTAGGCAGCGTACGTAGCACGGAAAGCACAAAGTGGCGGGATGGATGAGACGCATGCCATCGACCATATGAAGTGCGAATTTCTTTTTGACACAATGACACAGCTCATGGCGTAGGTCGAGTCCGGTCTGGTCTGAGGTACTGCCATGGACAATGGTTGTTCTGGAGATACAAATTCGGAGCTTACTTCCGCGGCAGGCCCGTGGAAGCACACCACTTTGCATTGCAACAGTGATCCCTGCTCGACGAGGCACGTCAAGCTTGGTGTTTTGATCCGAATTGCTGGGATTGACGCCTCCGGTTCCCAGTAGTGTTTACTCGGCATCTGCCATGTTACTGCCTTTTAGATAATGAGACTGGAGACGCGAGGGAGGACCACTTGACCTGACCTACTCAGAGAGAAGTCCGGAAACATCTCTGATCAAGCATGTTTGCCTGTGAGAGGAAAACAAGAAAATGCCATGAGTCTGGTACTGCCGTCAAGCCGGGTCCCAGTCTGCTGCCGGCAGTTTTTAGCCTTGGAGCTGTGTGCCACGCTATCGGGTTGCAAGTCGAGATGCTGTGAGCCGGCGATGACTCGTTAGGCGCCATCACAAGAGAGAGAAAGCGCTGTATGCTGGTCGTAGCCATCCACGTTGCACAACAGGTGTGTTGGTTGCCTCTGGTCCTGGCCTCTCTGGAATGGATCAAGCAGGCCCTTTGCTCTTAATTGTGGGGCGACACCACGCAACCTCGATCAGAAGATGCGCGACGTCCCATTGGGTGACATATTAATCTGGATGTTTGACCTTGCTATCGGCAGCGTGCATTGCCATGAATCGACAGGCGCGGAAAAACAAGGCGTATGGCTGGCGATTGCTGACAATGACGACGCGACAAACAGAGTGCAGCATTAGTAGCAGGAGCAGCAAGCAACGGCAGCCGTCCTCTCTTCCTCCTGTCTCCCAGTGACCGCCTCACCGTGTACGCCCATGGCATCCATTGCCAAATCTTGAAGCGTGCATTTGCAATTGGCGGTGTGTGAGAGATGTGTTTGGAGCGGGTGGGGACGGCTGTCAAACACATGTTTTTTCCGCTTCGACTTCGAGGAAAGCAACACAATCACGCATGCAGACTTGTCACAAGCAACGAATCCCAAGAATCGAGAGTCGTAAAAATGTGACACGTCAGGACTTGGCTTGGTGTATTCATCATGCCTTGCACCACAGTCGACGTTCAGCTGTGATATTAAAGAAGGTCCCTACCACCCACCACTTGGACAAGCCTCATAACCCTGTTGTTTCGTGATCTGTGTCCTCCGCTCTCACTCTCCCCTTCAACCGTATCTGCAACTGTCCGCGCTATGTATAACTCTACAAAGACAACTCCGGCTAGCGGCCACCATTACCACCACCAGCATCAGTCGGACCGGAGCGATCGTTGTAGAGAAATCATGTCGATAGACAACCTCCTGACACCTCAAAGGAGCCAGCTCTCGGTGCAGACAAACAGACTCCAGCCTGCGTCCTCCCAACTGCCAAGCCCTTCGGCACCCGACAGCGCATTCGAGAGAACGCCTCGAGAAAAGCGCGAACCATACTCGGACCAGGCGCAGTTCTACATCATATACGTCAGAGTTGGCAAAGAAAAGGACTGGAACCAGATCGAGCGCTCGTTCGAAGAAGTATTTGGCCAACATCGCGCGAAAGATGGGTTGACCGCCGTCTACTACCGCATCAGAAGCAAATGGGGTCTCCCACCAGTCAACAAGTCTTCGCAAGAGATATCCGAGGAAGGGAAGGACATGATTCGACAACGAGCGCATGGGTTCGATCATGGATTCCTGAAAAGAGTTGGGTATTTCGAGTGGTGTCAGTCGTATCAATCATCTGCTGCGCCGAGATGAAGAAAGTCTTCCTCAGAGCTCTTCGTCATCTTGTTCGGCAGCAGTGCCTTGGGTCGAGCGCATCCAAGGAAACTTCTTCCAGGGGTTCTGCATCGCATCGTCGCCATCGCTCCACTCGTCTGGATCTGATTCCCATTGTTCATCGTCAGAGCCTCCATGACGGTAGCCATATGCGCCTCGATCGTACTCGTCATCAGAAGCGACTTCATCCTCTGGATAATCTGCGGCATAGTAACCTTCGGCTGGAGTTGGACTCATGTGTTAGTACGTGGGCTGCTAGAATTGTGTGGGTGGGTGGATCAAATGCTTACCATTTTCGTCCTCGTCATCGGTCTCGAATTCTTTGTCGCTCTCGACGTCGTCTTCGAAGTATGTCTCCCACAAGGGCTGGTCTTCTTCAGAGATGACGATGTACCCAACCTGGATATTGGAGGAATCTTCGGACTCGAGGTTTGCAGGGACCACAGGGTCTTTTGTGCGGATATATGTATCGTAGACATAATCATCGTCATCGCTCATCATGTCAACATCTTCTTCTGTCTTGTGGGCTTTCTGCGGCTGAGCAACAAACTGCTCAGGATGACGTTCGCGATATCTTTGAACAGGCTTCTTGGGGATCGAGGTGACCTTTGGCTTTATGCGGGCTTCTTCCCGAGCCTCCTCCTCCAGAGCGAAACGGTGGAGAGCATCAGCCAGACGGTCCGGAGGTGGGTTTGCTGGGCTTTGGAAGAGGGCTTCGGCAGTTTGTTTCTTGAGCCTGGAGCTTGCGCCGGGTCGCTTGAGTGTAGTGGGCGTGGACACGGGGGTGTGTGTAACGGCTTGGGGAGCATCTTCTTGACCGACCCGGCGACGCTTGGGGGTGGCTTCGACGAAGGTGGGGATGTCGTCGTGGTCCAATTGGGCTTTGCGTTTCCTGACAGATTCAATGCGCCTGTGGAGGGGGCGAGTCGGGCGGGCAAGGCGGAACTCGCGACGGACCAGGGCGTCTTGGTGGAGTTGTTGGTGGAGCTGCTGCTGGAGTTGGTGGGAGTCGTCCAGGGCGTTGGTCGGAAGGGCTTGTTCAGACACACCGCCTCGTGGCGTGTCAGATGGCAGCTGCGAGGGGTGTGCCTGCTGCAGACGGAACTGCCACACTTGCTGCTTCTTCAAGGTGCGTTCTTCCAGAAACAAGTCGGCCGTGGGCTCTTCGCCGCGTTTGCGCTTGACGCGTACCAGCGATGGAAGCTCTGCCATCTTGCGAAGAGGTCTTGTGCGTGAGCCTGTGGAAACAGCGGTCGACCGAGGTGAAGGCTGGAAGTAGGGAATTGTTCTTGTCTTTGTTGTCACTCTAGCTAACTATTCCCGGAGTGCGGCTCGTCCCGCCATGCGGCACGTCATCCTCCAAATTTACTCTATACTGTACTCTCTACCGCTCACGTCCTTCGATCAATCTCACTTGCTTTCACTTCCATCACTTTCTATTGTTGCATCGAAAACACCCTTGTCCTGTTTCGGCACGGTGGACATGAGCCTACTCTAGACTTGAGATGACTGCAAGCTGTAAGGTGAGAACAGTGCACCTCAAGTGACTGCTTATACTGCTCTCACCAATCAATACACACACTGCAATAATTCGGATAAGTACAAACAGCTCCTGATCAGGTAGTTCTTCCAGCATTGTGTTCGCCTAGATTTGATACAATCATTTCACATCGGACTTCCTGAGCTCTAAGGAAGACAAACACGAGGCAAACGGCATTGCTCACAGTCGAGCTGTTGACTTTTCGCCTTCACTTCCTGACTTCATTGTTTCGTTCATCTGTCTCACAACCACTCAAGAATCACTACTTGTGGATTTCTCTTATACTTTCCTCCTTCCTGCTTCCACTTTCTATCCCCTACTTTCCGCTTCCCAACTGCGCCTTCATCTCTTACCTTTACCTCATCATCCCTCTAACATCTTCCCCTCTACCTCGAATCACACACATTTCAACTATGAAGAACCAGCCTTCCACTTGGCCCCCTGCCCCAACCGTCGAGGACGAGGTCCCCGGCGAACAAACCACCCCTACCACCATGCCGGGTGCTCAAAACAACGGAGACTCCGAACCACCTGTCAATGGCGACACCACAACCCCCGCCCCCAACGATGATGCTGCTCCTCACACTCCTGCCAATGCCACTCCAGCCCCAGCCACAGATCGCGTGCAAATCGTCTTGAAGGACCAGGGTGGCACCCAGGTTGCCTTCGGCGTCAAGTCAAACACTCGCATGGAGAAGGTCATGAACGCCTATGCCGATAGGGCTTCCCGTCCCGTTGGCGCTCTGCGCTTTCACTTCGACGGCGAACGCGTGCTCCCTGACGACACTACTGCTTCAGTAAGTCATTCCTTTGAGCAAATCCTTTCGACATCCGGTACTGACTACAGTCCCCAGCTCGGCATGGAGCAGGACGACATTATCGAAGTCATGACTGAGCAGATCGGTGGCAACGGTAAACATAACATCGCTCCTACTAACCTCAACAAATACATTGCGAAACACGAACCCGAATTCGGCGAGGAGATGTCGTTCGTGGTCAACGCTGTTGAGGTCGGCGGTAAGCCGATCAGCGAGATGGAGTTCGTGATTGGCCGCAACACTAAACCCAAGGACTTCATGAACGCTTGGGCTATGCGTGCTGGATGCGCTGTGGATGATGTCGTCTTCCGCTTCAATCCAGACAAGGAAGGACCTGGACTTCCCTTCGAGTCTGAGGACGAAACTTTCGGGGATGTACGTCAATCTTGATACGATGTCTCGATTGCGTGTGTCGTGCTAATATCTCGTCAGCTTGACTTTCTTTCTGGAGACGAGATCTTTGTCAACGCTCTCACTGACGAGCCAATCAATCTGGTCCATCCCAGAGAAGACCTTCCCGTCAAAGAGGCAGACACCAGCCCTGGAACTCTCAGAGACTCAATTCTCATCAATGTCAAGTATCTAGCCGAGGATGATGTCCATCGCGAGATTCACTGCAAGATGACCAAGACCATGTCTTTCGACAAGCTCATCAGCATGTACTCCAAGCGCTGGGATCTCGATGCCTCAGCACAGCGCCTGACCTTCAACGGCAAGACCGTCTTCCCCAGCGACACTCCTGCCCTTGTAAATCATCAAACCCCCGTCTATGTCTATGCAGATACTTACGACTTTGCAGATCGGCGCAGAGCATGGCGCGATTCTCAACATCGCAGAGGACACCAACTTCTTCGCCATGGATCTCACTGTCAACTAAGCCATGGCCCTCTCGGTCTGGTGCAACACATCCATTCCTGTTCCACAACGAAGCCGACCAAGCACGGCATTAACGTCTCACATGACTTTCGAAAATCCGAAACCTTAGACGACAAACGCCAGTAGGAGGAGAGACGAGAGGAGGAAAGAAACAAGATATCGGTTCTGCCCAAATTCCCACGACGGCGCAAAGAGAAATAGCAGCACATATGTACACTAGCAGAGGCAGAACCAGAAGAATCCCAAGATCTTGCACACACACTTCCTGATCCTAGTCTCCAACATTCCTTCCCTGTGCCTTTGATCTTTGCTCGTTGATACGATTTCTTCAGATGCCTAATCGAGTAAGAGCAGTAGTCGATCCGCGCTGTGCAAACGCGAGATTGTTTCAAATGCAGGAACCCGCGACTCGCATGCAACCACGCAGACCGCTCTTCTTTGGTGTCACGATTGTGCATTTGCTTTTTAGAATGCCGGAAACATGCAGAGGCTTCGCTACTTCCCCGATGGTATCCATAGCGCTTTACTACATGTTTGTTGCAGACGGCCCGGCCTTCTACCACGGGGATTGCACATCACAAGACAAGACAAGCGGAAGATTAGATAGGATATGAAAGTTGTTTCACAGCTAGCTTCGAAGCCTCCTAACAGTCGTGATTCGTTTCATCATCATCAACATCCATGCCTACAAATCAAGATGTGCCTACGCTTTTATACGCTGCATAAAGTCGTGAATACCATCGATGAGCACGGGGCCCCATGCCTCGAACGACCTGCTGATGAGGTTGTCAAAGAATGTGATGGCTTCCTCTTCGCTGAGCTGCAGACAGAACCTCTCTTCGACCTTCTTGACCGCCTGATCACCAGCAAGCTTGATATCAGGGATATTCGCGTCCTGCATGAGTGCGAACAAGTTGAGTATAAGATTTGACGAGCGACGTAGTGTGGTAAAGGCAGTAAAGCAGTACTGCTTGAACTCGTCGAATCGACTGTCGGGATTGCTTGGATTTCGGTCGGGACTACCGCCCAGACCATCAATCATCTCGACACTGAGTCTCATACTAGGCGCTAAAGGCTTGGGATCACGGCCCAAGATGTAGCCAAAGTCGGCATGGAAGAAGTGGCCATCTGACGCAAGAAGCAAATTGTCCATATGACGATCGCCAACACCCAATAAATATGTTATAACACAGTAGCCAGCCAAAGACTTGACGTAGGTATCCATCACCTCTTTGCGGACGCCCATGGGAGCTGCTCCATCTGGATTGTGTTCACGGAGGTAGCCAAGGATCGAGTTGTTGTATTTGGCATTTCCAAGAATTGTGGAGAGGGGACTGGACGAAACGAATTGAACGGCGCCAGACAGCGCACCAGTCGCTAGGATGCGATATGGTGACAGTTGAAGATTGAGATTTTCTTTCAACAGTAGCTGATCCATCAGAGTGATGATCTGGATGACAAGTTGATCTTGACGCAGATTATCGCCGACCTTGAAGATCAAAGGATAGATGTCTCCTTTGGTGGTTCTGAAATGGAGTAACAGCGGTGACAACGTTGATTTGAAGACATTGACATTGTCCGGCACGGCACCTACAATCTCTACGTTAGGATCGAGAGGAAGAGGAAGAGGTGGATCAATTTTGACGAGATCGTTCTTTGGGTCCACGAGAGCTTTCTTGAGCTTCTCGACCTTGCGTATACGATCAATATTCTTGCTCCGGGCATCTTCGCAAAATTGAGAAAGAACAGTGACAAATTCACCTTGACGCAGCAGAGTCTTGCGACGCGCTTGACCTTCAGGTGTCTTCTCAAGCTCTTGCATGAAGTCGTATGACACACGAGCATAAAGCTTTTTGAAAGTGGCTGCTTGGGCGTCATTTGAGCTTTCGTCCAATTCGACCATGAGGTACCAATGTAGGTAATTGCCAAGAAAGATGTTTGCGGCTGAGCGAGCTACGAGGAAGCTGGCCAGGGATGAGTCGTATTGATCGAAGTTCGCATTTGACTTGACTTCGGGTTCGAACTTCAAAGCCTGGACGAGTTGTAGCAGATACAGAAGCAGCTCTTCGTCCCCAGCCTTACGTAAGCGATCGACAGCATATGCGCGGACTTCCTTGTTGTCGAAAGATGGGCCGAGCAGTTCAAGGGCATCGTCAATGTCAATCTCTTCCCACTTAGGGAGTAGTTGGATGACTTGACGGACCTCGTTTGAGTCATTCCAAGAAGTCGACTTGATCAGCTTGGTGAGAGCACGTTTGTCACGAGTGAGATAGTGTCTGAATTTGAAGACCTTGTCCCTCTCTTCTGCACTCAAGTCGGTGGTAGGTCCGTATGACAAGATGTGATTGAGTTGATCTCTGGTCTTCGGGTTGGGCTTGAGATGTCGATCAAGCATGCCGATGCGTTGGTTTCGCACCAGACTTCGGTGCTTGATCTCAGCAGGATTGTCGTAGAAACCAACTTCCGGGTCGTAGATGCGAATCAGATGGGGGGCATGCGAGTCGCCGTAACCAGGATTTTTCGGATCGATGCCAGGGCCAACATGAATCTCGGGCGGAGGTTTGAGACGAACATCTGAACCTGGAGCGGTGCGCAGGCGAGCGCTCGAGACGGGAGGAGGAGGATATTCGTGGTCGGTGAAGACAACAGGATGATCAAAGCGGGGAAACTCAATGTAGAGGTAGAAGATTGAAGCGTCTTCTTGTGAATGGCCATTGGTGGTGGGCTGAGCGTGTATCTTGTTGTCGTCGCGAATGTTTGCTCGCTCCATTCGCTCAATCTGGCGAAAGACCATTTGATCCAGCCATTTGTGCTCGGAGAGTTCACCCATCTCATGCTTCTTCAGTAGACCTTGTAGTCTTTCGAGCTCAGCAGCCCTCTGGCTGTGCTTGTCGTCAGCAAAGAGTTGTTGGTTGTCCTGGCTATGGCGACGACGCTTGGTAGAGGGGGCGCATGGAGTGGTCGAGTCGGAAAAGGCGTCAGCCTGCTTGTGCCTCCAGAGACGGCACTTCTGCCTGCCTTTCCTCAAGGTGCCATGTTCGTCGAAGAGTGAGATGGTGGCACCGCCGAAGGGGATGTGATGGCCTCTTGCACCGTGATTGCCAGCCGGCGATAGGTCCCAGACAGTGATTGCGAGCTGAGCATTGAGCGGGAGGAGAGCGTAGTCAATAGGCAGATGTAGCCACTCGTTCCAGGCACGTGCGTTCTTGAAGGTCTTGTATGGGGTTTGAGCGTGGACGGTCAAGGGTTTGCTGTCGGCGAAGACTTGAGCAGTAACGTAGAGCTCAGATGTCGGACTGGGTAGGCTTCAGCTTGCGTGTTGTAAAGGACTAGGATGAAATTGCGATTACCTCAGGTTGGATCCCCGGTGGCGCAGTTCGGGCTGGCGAAGCAGAGTCGAGTAGGCCAAGGCTTTCTCATAGCCTTCGAGACGGCCTCTGTACGATGGTTAGTATGCGGGTTGGGTTTGGTCGAGAGCGGCTGTAGAGCGATACCACACCTTGATGCTGACACTGGTCTTGACCTCTGACGCACTCGCAAAGGTAAACGTGTCCATGACAGCCTCGCCCATTACCGATACAGGAAAACAAGGACGATGCGGGAGTTGCAAGACGGAAAGTGCTACCTTATGTCACATGCATGTCGTCGGCGCGATACCGACGCGTCCTCGATAATTCCGATAGCTCCGACGCTGCTTCGCTGTGGTGCCTACCACCTTGATTTTACTCAGCAACACAGCTTCCATTGTCTTTTTCTTCGTTGCCATAGCCCTTGCGCGCTGCCAGTCGGCTGTTCACTCCATGGCCGACTACTCAAATCACAATCGTGGTCAGGAGGACGAAGAGGATGAAGAAGACATTGACGAAACAGTACTGCACTTTGATTCTCCACCATGTAAACACACATAAACTGATAGTTGACAGGGCTACAAAACAATCAAAGATGCTGTTCTGTTTGCTATCGATGTCAGCTCGACCATGCTCACCAAACCCCCCCAACAAGACTCGAAAAAAGCTGATCGTGATACTCCTACCATTGCTGCCCTAAAATGCGCCTATTCTTTGATGCAGCAGCGCATCATATCCAATCCCAATGACATGATGGGCATTCTTCTCTTCGGTACCGAAAAGTCCCGCTTCCAAGATGAGTCTACCTCATCCAGAGGTCTCTCCTACCCACATTGCTACCTCTTGACCGACCTCGATGTTCCTGGCGCCAGAGACATCAAGCGTCTGCGTGATCTTGTCAACGATGAGGACGAGGCCAACCAACTCCTTCGACCTTCCAACGACCCTGTTTCAATGGCCAACGTCTTGTTTTGCGCAAATCAAATCTTCACCACAAAAGCTCCCAATTTCTCCTCGAGGCGCCTGTTCCTGGTCACCGACAATGACACCCCTCACAACGACGACAAAGCCTTGAGGTCTGCCGCCGCTGTCAGAGCAAAGGATCTGTACGATTTGGGTGTTGTCATTGAGCTTTTCCCTATCTCAAGCCCCGAGCATACCTTTGACCGCTCCATCTTCTACAACGTATGTATTGCTTTTGACTGCTGCTCTATCCGGCTTTCACTCACCTATAACAGGATATTATTTACAGCGCTATTCCATCAGATCCGGATGCCCCTGCACCTGTTACCAAGGCCTCTAGAGCTTCAGCCAGCGGTGACGGTCTCACTCTGCTGCAGTCGCTGTTGTCCAACATCAATTCAAGATCTGCCCCAAGACGTGCCTTGTTCTCAAACATGGCTTTCGAGATTGGCCCGGGTCTAAAAATTTCTATCAAAGGTTACATCATAATCAAGCGTCAAGAGCCCGCCAGAAGTAGCTACGTTTACACTGGAGGAGAAAGGCCTCAGCTTGCTGTAGGCTCTTCGACACTCCAAGCAGAAGACACGGCAAGATCTGTCGAGAAGGTTGAGATCCGCAAAGCATACAAGTTTGGTGGCGAGACTGTGTCCTTCACACCAGAGGAGATCGCAGAAATCAAAAGCTTCGGCGATCCTGTGCTTCGCATCATCGGCTTCAAGCCCCTGAGTATGCTGCCTATCTGGGCAAACTATCGTCCATCTACCTTTATATACCCCTCGGAAGAAGACATTATCGGCAGCACAAGAGTCTTCTCCGCCCTACAGCAGAAGCTTCTCAAAGACCAAAAGATGGGTCTCGCTTGGTACATTCCTCGTCGCAACGCAACGCCTACACTTGCTGCTGTCATTCCAGGAGCAGAGAGGCTGGATGACGACGGAGTGCAGGTCATGCCACCAGGCCTGTGGATTCATGTGCTTCCTTTCGCGGACGATGTTCGTCAAATACCTGACACATCAGTGGTCCAAGCACCTGATGTCCTTGTCGATAGGATGAGGATGGTTGTTCAGCAGTTGCAACTACCAAAAGCTGTGTACGATCCCAAGAAGTATCCCAATCCCTCTCTACAATGGTTCTACCGCATATTGCAAGCTCTGGCTCTGGAGGAAGACATGCCAGAAAAGCCCGATGACAAGACATTGCCGCGTTACCGTCAGATCGACAAACGGGCAGGCGAGTATGTTCTCGATTGGGGCGCTGAACTCGAGGAACAATACGAAATCTGGAAGATGGCCAACGCTGGTCGTCACACCGCTACAGGTGCGACTAAGCGTGGCTCAGCAGCAGCGGGTGAAAGCGGCAAAAGAACCAAGACTGTCGCCGAAGCAACGTCCAAGTCGAGTGATATGATCAGCGATGAAGAGATGCGCAAGGCCTTTGAGACGAACAAGATCAACAAACTGACGGTTGCGGTGCTCAAGGCTTGGTGTAAGCAGAAGGGAATCAAGCTGCCGACAGCTGCAAAGAAAGGTGATGTCGTTGATGAAGTCACGAGTCATTTCGAGAACAAGATGGTTCTCTGAGGAGATGCTTGAGCAGAGGATGAGTGTAGAAGAGTGCGAAGGCAGGCAACAAGCATAACGTATACCCTAGCTTTACCTGACACAGAGTCACGAGAATATATATGAAAAGAGTCTCTCTCAATGCAACTTTCCTTGGGTGTGGTAGTACAATCTCTTTCGAGTATCATGATACAAGCTCTTTAAAAGGCCAAGTTGTAGCCGGTCAAGCCAGCGTTGACAAACAGGCCTAGCTGAGCCAGCCAGAAGAAAGCACCAGCCAATCTTCCCTTTCCGTTGTCCTTGTTCTTAGCGGTGTATCCGACAGCGTAAACAATTCTTCCAAGCGACCAGACGACACCGAAAGCCGAGCTGAGAAGAGGGTAACGGAGGCCACCGATAAGCAGTGTTGTGAGGGCCATGTAGTGGTTCTCGAGGTAGTTACCGTGGGCACGCTGTGTCGCCAGTCAGAGACATGCATTTCAGATGTGAGAGATCTAAGCGTACCTGAGCACAGTTGAAAAGGTACAACTTGTGCTTGTCTTCGGCCGAGGCGGCGCTCAACATTGCAGAGTCGGCGTAGGGGGTAGGGTAACCGAGCCCGGCGGCCTTGCGGAATGCACCGCACCTCATGCCATGCCATACACTCAGAAAGCACGTGCCTGTGGCGGTAAGGACGACATAGCTATATGGGGGGTTAGCTAATGAGCTCCTTCGAGCACGCAATCGCATATGCAAGAGGCGAAGCGATTGGTGGGGGCTTGCTTGGGGCGTGGTTCGGCTTACCCGTATTCGGGAGAGATGTTGAGAGTGACCATTTTGGGCGGGTAGATTGGTTTTGGAGAGGTATAGAGAATTGTCCAGATACTTGCAAGAGAGGTGGTATAGAGGTTGCTGGAGCTGTTGCTCTCCTTTCACAGGCCGCTTTTCGGAGACAGCTCCTACTTATCTCCGAGGCTCTCTGCTTGCTAAGCACTTATACGACATGGCCATCCATAATATACAATCTTCACGTTTCACAACTTATTCTTGCTATTATGATTCTCGCTAGAGTTGTCACATACGTTCATACACACTCCTGTCAGTACAAGCACAATTCACGGTCCATGGCTTGAGAGCCTTCAAGCTTGTCTTACAGTACACCTGATTTGGGTCTTGTGCTTCAAAAGATTTGTCTTTGATCTCGATTTTTTCTTATAACGTTCCTCCAGCTACTGCTGAGTGATATCACCTTGCCCTAGGGTATTTTCCTCTCCTAATCTCCTCCTGCAAACTCTCACTCTGACTCGGTAAAGGTGCTCTCCTCCTGTTCTGTCCCTGTAGATCGGGAGGTGCATTATTGCCTGGAGGAAATCCTGGGAAGCCTGGAGGAGGCATGGGCGGCACACCAGAGAAGCCAGGGAAAGGCATTGGCGGCGGCGGAAGGCCTTGTGCACCGGGAAATCCAGGTGGTGGAGGTGGTGGGAATCCTTGCTGTGCTCCTGGTGGAGGCATCGGCGGAAGTTGCCCACCAAACATCTGCTTGAGTTTCTCCATGTCCATGTTTCCGGGCAGCGGTGGTGCGCCACCATGTGGTAGAGTGAACGGCAAGCCCTGAGCTCCGAGCATCGGGGGGCCACCGGGGAAAGGTAGCCCATTGCCTCCCATGCCTAGCATCGGTAGTGCTTGGGCTCCTCCAGTACTTGTTCCATCTGGGAATGCCGGTCGGGGTGCAGAAATACCAGGCAGACCAGCAAGACCAGGCAACATGTTCTGTCGCGCGGGCATTTGTTGATCGACGAGACCATCCGCCTCGTCTTCCTGTTCTTCTTCCTCATCCCTAGCTGCTCGATCTGTTGTACGCTTCCACGTTCCTTGAGCTTCTGCTGCTGTTTGACCAATATGCCATCGATCGTCCTTGTACGTGCTGTCTCCCGGTCTTGGCCTTGACCAGAATCTAGTTGCTCTGTCGTTAGATCCAGAAGCCAGAATGTGGCCAAGAGGATGCCAATCCATACTCCAGATGGCAAAGTCATGGGCGTAGGTGACACGGTGCGCAGGGTATATGGTTTGAGCAGGCGCATCCGAGTTTTCTGGCGCGTCGTAGGGCGACAATGTGGGCGCTGAGCCAGCCGGTAGGTTTTGCTCGTCTAGCAGGTAGTGATGCATTGCACCATCAGCACCTCCAGTCGATAGGAAGTTTGAGTGGATCGGGTGCCAAGCAAGCGTGCTGATATCCTTTTCATGACCACGCAGTAGGAAAACGTCTCTCATCATACGAATGTCAAACACTCTTGCGGTCGAATCACGGGCACAAGACGCCAGCAGCACACCATTTGTCGGTTCAAACAAGGTCTTGCTCACAGTATTCTTGTGTCCGTGAAGCGTTGTAAGACATCGCCCATTTCGAGGATCCCAAAGCTTGATCTGATGGTCTTTTGAGCCAGATACCAACAATCCTTTGGTAGGGTGCCAATCAACGCACTTGGCGTCCCATTGATGGCCTTCCAACACGAGCTCCTCCGCGCCGCCGGCAAAATCGAAGATCTTGAGATGAGCGTCATCTGCTGCCGTTACGAACTTGGTGTCAGTAGGCGCAAATGCCAAATCTCTGACTGGGTCGTTGTGCGCTTGTAGAGACTTGACGTTGTTGAAGTTTGGTTGCCAGTATTTGACGATACCAGCTTGTTCGGCGGAGATGAGCCAGTCGTTGCTGTGTGAGTATGCCACTGCTCTTACCGCGCTGTCGTGAGCCTGCAAGTATCCATTAGCAACGCGCTGCATCGAGCTTTTGCGAACATTCGTACCTGCATAATGGTTTCAAAATTGAACGCCGTTCCGTTCCAGAGGGTGAATTCACCACTTGTTGAACCAGTAAGCAGACGCCTTCCTTCCGGCGTCCATTTCACCACGTTGACAGGATGGCGCATCTTGTTCAGAGACGAATGCAAGTGTCTAGCCGGTACTGAATCTACTGCATTGCCTCTGCGGGCTGGTGGCAGGAGCGTCTACGGGTTGAGTCAACATACAGCTTTTGATTGCGTCGTCTATCTGAGCAGACGTCGAGCACAAACTCACGTCTATCACGTAACTAGCACTGGGTCTCTCCATCTCGAATCCCATGGTTCCTTTATACTGTGGCCGGCGGTTGTGCACAAACTGTGCCATGTTCGCGCTGTAATCAGTAGCAGGACCTGACTTGCGTGTTAGTGCCTGTTCGAGGCGCGCGACTTGACGTGTCCTATAGGGAACGCAATAAAGATAGTCGAAGGGTAAGATACGTACGTCGAGAGAGTCTAGTCCTCTTGCTGAAGCCCTCATGGCCGCCGCCTTCTCCCTGATCCATGGTGGTCGGCTTAGATGTTTTGTTTGGCTCGTGATGGTACAATAAGAAGACCGACTCCAGTTACGCGTTGCGCAGGGCTTGAGCTTGAGCTTAGGAATAAACACTCGTACGCGACACACAGAGATGATGTGACGATCAGCCCAGAGATGCGCAGCGACAGCACTTGAGAAAGCTCAAGCTGGGATCGGATGGTTAGCAACAAATAGAAAGACTCATAACAGAGCCATTGTCTTGACCACGATGACTAGCGGCATAGTAGATGTGAAGTTGTCGCGAGATCGGGAAAGTCGGCATGACAAGCTGGCCAACAACAGCGCCGGCGAGTGTACCTGCGTCACTAGTGGGGCTTGGCTGGTGCAGGGCTGGGGCACTGGGGCACTCGGCAGCGTCAACCGCATGGCAGCTGCTTCTCGACGCGTCGACGATGCAACTTGTTTGCTCTGAATCCCTTCAAACATGTTGAATCCTGTGCCGCTGACACCCCTCTTTGTTGCTTGGCTCTCACCAAGGTGATCACTCAATGTTAAATTGATCTTGTGCTCTTGATATACACATCAATCCAAGTTCCCTGGCTGTCTTCCAACTTGCCCAAGCAGCTTCGAAGCTTCGAAGCCATGGCGTCCCTCATTGACACAGCCATTACAACCAGTCATGAAATCCCAACAGATCGTCCTGAGAAATCTGTCATGCGGCAAGACACTGGCGAGAGAAAGCAAGCAGAGAGACTTGGAGTACAGCCCCCCAAGAAGTACAGACACACCTTTGCCGTTCATTCTGCCACCAGAGCTTCATGTCTGAGCCAGGATTCGGCTGCACCCACCAGCTTTACTGGCTTCAGGAATCTAGGCGCCCTGGTAATCAGTCAGTAATCAACAGTCAGTCGCCATGCCGAACAACTATTAACGGTCGCAGTTGTATCTAATTTGCGCTTGATGATTGAGAACTTCAAAAAGGTAGCTCAATCTTGTGAACCACATTATCGCTTGTTCTTGACTGACCAAACAGTACGGTGTCCTGATATGTATCCATTGTCATGACTATCGCCGGCAGGATGTCGTGTACGGCAGCATCCTCTACTTCCTAGTTCCTTGTCATCTGTTCGTTGCCTACATTATTGAGCTTGTTGCTGCTCAGCAAGCCAAGGGCGCTCTTGCTAGAGCCAAGAAGATGGGTGTCGACTCACCAGCCAATTCAAGCCAACGAAGACAAGAACTACGAGCTTTCCGTACCGCATGGCATCTGATCGCCTTCGCACATGGTGTCAATGCCACCCTCAACTTGGCCCTTGCAACATACGTTGTTTACTATCATATCCACCATCCCGGTATTGGCACGTTGTGCGAGTTACATGCTGTCATTGTATGGCTCAAGACGTGCTCGTATGCTTTTACCAACCGCGATCTACGACATGCCTTGCTCTATCCTTACGCAAGCGAGGTTCCAGAGCTGTACAGCTCTTGCCCATACCCGCAGAACATCACTCTTCGCAATCTGACCTATTTCTGGTGGGCTCCAACTCTAATCTACCAGCCAGTGTATCCGAGAACTGATAAGATTCGCTGGCCTTTCGTCTTCAAACGCTGTGTCGAAGTCGTGGGTCTCAGCATTGTCATTTGGATCGCAAGTGCCCAATACGCAGCTCCCCTCTTGAAAAACTCACTGGGAACTATATCTTCGCTGGACCTGCCCTCCATCGCCGAGCGTCTCATGAAGCTGTCAACTATCTCGCTCTTCTGTTGGCTAGCTGGATTCTACGCTCTCTTCCAATCCTTCCTGAATGCCCTTGCGGAAGTCATGCGCTTCGGCGACAGAGAGTTTTATGGTGAATGGTGGAACAGCAGTGGAGTAAGAGGATACTGGTCTTCTTGGAACAAACCAGTCTTTCAATTCATGAAGCGACATATCTACTCCCCAATGGTCGGACGAGGCGTGCCACCGCTCGTCGCTCAGATCATGACTTTCCTTTTCTCTGGCGTGCTTCATGAGCTGCTGGTCGGTGTTCCGACTCATAACATTCTTGGTCAGTCAGCATATATTCCGCAACACTGATCGTCGATGCTAACTAGAAACAGGTGTGGCATTTGCTGGTATGATGTTTCAGTTACCGTTGATCTTCCTGACAGATCCGCTGGCTAGGATGAAAGGAGGCAATGGAAAGCTTCTGGGCAATGTCATCTTCTGGGTGTCTTTCTGTCTCGTCGGGCAACCGTTGGCTGCACTCATGTACTTTTTTGCCTGGCAGGCCAAGTATGGCAGTGCCAGTAAGCCGCAGCTCTGGAGTACTTCATAGAGACAGACAGTCAGTCGCTTGGTCAGACTCGCGGTACCACACGACGGGGTCTTCCAAAAACACTTGTTTTTCCAGAAATTACCTATGTACTAGAGTCTCTTTCACGTGTAGCTGTAATACACTCATTGCTTTTAAAACACAATGGCTTTCACAGATGACCGTCATATTGCCATCCAACTCCATCACTGCTGCGGAATACGTGGGCAGCGGTGTCGCTTTGACCTACAAATGACAGATCGCGAAAACAAAAATACACTTTATCTCATAGTTGCACCATAAGAATGATCCGACAAGAAAGATCAAACGCCTCGTCAAATGTCGTGATTGTCTGATTATGAAACTCGGGCAACGACCTTGCTCGGATGCAATTCGTTATGGGCCTCCTTCTTCACTGTTGGTCTTTCCTGATAGGGAAAGCGAGATGGGCCCGATGCTTATACCCTTTCGTGGTCCCGGACTGCCGTCCTTGCCGTGCAGACTGCCTTTCCTCCTTAGCGGGTGCCCTGCACCATTTTGCTGCTGACTGGCAGTGGGCGAGTCCAGGTTTGCGGCCGACATATCGCTGCGCACACTGCTTATACTGCTGACTGAGCTACGACGTTTGGCTGGGATCGCACCTGCCAGTTTCTCTAGGTCGTCTTCGTCGTCGTCTTCACGTCGCCGCTTTTCCGGCACGACCGATGGTGACGATTCCAGTGTTTCTTGTGTCGTCGTCGTCGTCGACTCGACACTGGCATCTTTCTTTTCAGCCGGTGTGCCCGGTGATGCTGCGAGCATCTCCATTGCGTCCTCATCCTCGTCTTCGGGATATGAAACCAGCGGCCGCATTGGAGGGCCGACTGCAGAAGGCTTTGCACCAACAGTCTCTGGTAGCGAAGCAGCGCCCTCGTCCTCTGTCTCTTCGTCCGAGTTGGTGTTGAAATACGCTTCCTCTTCCGCATCGGCGTCCTTGAGTCCCTGCCATCGCTGGCCGCCAGCAACAAGACTGCGATTCGGCGTCTCCCCGCCCTGTGTTGAAAAGCTGGTTTCATCAGGGTTGAATCCACTCTGTATTTGCTCGAACTTGACAACGAGGGCTCCGAATGTGCTAACATAGGTGATACCAAGCAGCTTCTCCCTATATCCCTCGACTAGCGGTATGAGCAATTGCTTGAGGTTTTCACGCTTGATGAATTCAAACAGTTCGAGACAGGCAGAATTGAGGAGGTTGTCTCGAGGCATTGTCTGGTAGACAATGTCGAGGATCGGGTCGAACACGCCTTTCGTGATCATGTCTTTGTTGTGGTGTTCGTCGTTGAGCGCGACACATGTTCGGAACCACTTAAGAGCCGCTAGGATTTGTCAGCATCAACGCCGCATTGTCAGGTGTTTTTGGGAAGAACATACTCAGTTTCAGATGCTTCTGTGGGCAAGATAGCAGCTGCGCTACACGGCAATGTAAGTTCTCAGCAAGAATGTAATATTTACTTCGGAAATTATGTTGGCGAATGAAGAAACATAGAATTTCGACCAAGTGGACGAATAAAGAAGCCTCCTGTGCGGATATAGTGTGTACTACAGAGTAAATTGTCAGCGTTTGATCATATTTCTGGAAATTCGTGGACTGACAGTTTTGGTTGTGCTCAAGATCTTTTAGGGGCTGGAAGAGGCGTTTGGCACCGTCGTTGTAAAAGTTGTCAACAAAACTCTCCATCTGAGCGCTAGAGTTGGGATTTGCACCCCTCATCTTTGCCATGAAATCCCCATTGGTTCTGCCCAGCATATCCATAGACGTAGAACTAGCATGAGGGTCCAGGAGAACTTTGATCGCATCCGCCATCTGAGCCTTGACTCCCAGGTCGACCTCAACGAGCAACAGCTCAATAAGAGTGTCTGTCAGCGGCTTGGTCTTCTGGTTGATGGAACGGAAGATGTGAGAGCGCATCATGACGGGATCGTGGTCGATGAGGGCAACGAGGATGTCGGTGCCAGCAACACGCACAGAGGCATGACGGTGGCGCAAAGCATATGTGACGACGTCCAGCAAACCGCCGTGAATAAAATTCTGAAACAGGTGAGCACGCGATTGTGCTTGAATACTTTTGGCGACGGAGCAGCACGTCTGAATGAAGTGCACAGCGTCCTTCTTGCGTTGGTCTTCTGAGTCAGGAGTTGTAAAGATAGTAAAAAGCTCCTGAATGAAGTCTTTGCTAGACTGGATGTGGTTGACAATGTCGACCTGGTTGTAGAATATGAGAGAGTTGAGGACGGTGAAGGTGGGGTCGTCCAGAATACGGGCCAGCACCACATCCTTGAGGTACTGCAAGCGATATGTGGCGTGAATTTTGTTCTTGATGACAGGGTTGTCAATAGCCACGACCTCCTTGAAGCGAGATTCATCCGCGAGGTAGTGGCGGTGGTTGGCCTTGTGACTTGGGAAATCCGGATCGTACTCTAGAGCACCCACGACACCCAGGATGGCATGGTCCGAGACTGTCAAGTCTATGATGGACGTGTCGTTGAGCAGGATGAGCGTCTTCATGATGGTGCACAGACGATGCAGGGCTTGAATGTCCTCGGCGTCTTCGGCAAGCTCGACCAGGGGCAGCAGCTTGGAGAGGTACTGAGTTTCGGGGGCCATGACGAACTTGACCAGGGCATCGCGGCCGTGGGTTGTTTGGCTGGCTGCGCGCATCGTCTCTTGTACTTGGTGCAAGTTGGCTAGCTCGGGCATGGGTAGCAGCAGACCTTGACCATCTACCAGTTCGTCCGACAGACCGTCGTACTCGTTGGGGTGCATTGCGAGCATGCGCTGCTGTATGTCGGTGATAAACTCCCTGCCACGCCGTCCATGTCAGTCGCGTGCCATGTCTTGTATCGGGGCAAGCTCACTCACCATATCTGTGCGCATCCGTCTGCCTCTTGAAAGCTCAAGGCCATATCGATGCCGCTTGGTTCGGTCCATACTATCAATGTGTCTGCGCAGTGCTTGCATCAGCTCGTGTCCAAGTGGTTTGGTGGGCTGAGTGAGTGTACCCTGTTGCCTCTGGTAACCATCGTCGCGCGAGATTCTCGTTTCGAGCAGCAAGCGCTGATTGTCATCCTCGGACTGGACAAAGATGCGGGCTTCATCATTCTGTAGCGGCCATGTCAGCGCATTGCCACGAAACAAGTCGTGGTGAAGCATGGGTCCAACTTACGGCAAGGAGCTGGCCGGCGCAGAAGCCGGTACCACGGTCATACCAGTCGTTGTTCTTGAGCTCGTAGACCTTGACGCGCTTGCGATCATTGAGCGGAGGAGCGGCAAGTGCCATCATCAATTAGATGCTGCGCACCGCCTGGCTCCACTGCCCCGGGAGAGGGCTTGCTGGGTGCTTGTGTCGTAGTGTTCCAAGTCCGTCTGTTTCCTGTAGACGTGTCGTGCCGAGAAGACGCGACGCGTATTGTGCTGTATAGATGAGGCTGCGTGACAAGGATGAGGCTGACGACGGGAACGCGGGCAATGCGCAGTAGCTAGTGTCGACGGCAGGCGCGTCTTGTTTCCCAGAAGCCTGTTGGACGCGCCGATTATGGCGTGGGTCAGTCTGGCGATTGTGCCGGACTCGTTGTTTCAATGCGCGTGTCGCTCTGGCTGTCGTGTGTGGCATTCGAGATGGCCGTCGAGCCCAGGTCCGGCCAGTGCCAGAGACTCCCGAGCACGGACTGCTGCTTCTTGCGCAACAACTCTCAAGACCTTTGATTGACCGCGATATCAACTCGTCCTAGAACAAACTGCATCTCCCCCAATCAACCCATGCACTCTGATTAGGGATATAACACGCTTACTTCTTGCAACTTCATGCTCTCGCATCTCGTGAATCGCTGTCCTCGTCCTTCGGTCCACGGCGCGATCCAAACCCTCAGCACGTCATAGCTACTTCTATTTCCAGCTTCTCACGTGATTTTCGAACGCTGTTCCGCGGTTTCCTCGCGCCGCTTACAGTGCTCGCCGGAGCATCGACGAGTTGAGCAACTTCGATCGCTGATGTCCACTGTCTCCGCTGCTGATCTTGATGCTTGTCCCCATGGGCCATGGCCTGCCTGCAGAAGATTTACGATCCGCGATCGTCGACATGGCGCTCCATCATGCAGATGCCAACTCTGTTTCGACTCGCTCGGGTTACTCGTACATACCATCTGCACAGACTTTCCACCCAACCTTGATGCCTCTATCACTGAGACATTGACGCCGTGCTCCGTCCCTATCGAGGCTATCGGCATGCATTCCTGCTCGCACTTGCCTAGCTATCGTTGCTTTTGTGCATACCCCGCAGCTTTTGTCGGCCATACTCGTCACTGCTTACAACCAATGTTTCAGTTTGTGGCTGCTCACCTCGCCCAAAGTGAATCAGCCCATGCATCTGTGTGATAATCCAACACCGTGATGACCACCACGAAGCCACAACGTCGAGCCTTCTCCACGCTATGTGTATCAGGGTGCTGTTCCTCGTTTGTGTCTCATCCCCATAGTCCTGGCCAGACATGACATGAGCCTCCCACCGTGGATGACCGTTGTATAGGGCCAGGCCAGATTCCCACATCTCAACGCCTGCCGTCACGCCGTGAGCCATACCATACAAAAAGTCAAGTAGCTGACCACAGCCATGACCCCACGAGCTATTGACTTATCCAGAGATGCCACTGCTGGCGGCGCTTTTGGAAGAGGGCTGAATCGTGCGGCCGGACACCCTTGACGGCACTGAACCTTGACCCCGTCTCGATTTCGAAATATTGCTAATGACTTGCAAACAGAATTTGGCAAGTGGCACGTCGCCAGCCGCTGAGCAACGGCAAACCCGAGTCTTCAAGCGTTGCTGTGAGCAATCTCGACTCAGCGTCCTCTGCCAAGTGTTTCTGCAAGGACAGGAGCAATAATGTTACTAACACGACGTCTGCATAATGACGAAGCTCATGCAAGTTACCGAGTACATCTTAAGGTACGAACTATTGATAGCTGGCTTGCTGAGAGAGGCACAGGGAGCGCGCTGCCCAATCTGAGGCCGCACGAATCCTTTCTGGCCCCTCTTCGCTGCTTTGTGTATCTTCAGCTTCCAGATGCAGCTCCCAATTCAGCTTCAGCTGCTGTACACGTGGATACGATTGGCACGTTCTTATGAAATCTAGCATGCGCCAGTCTCACAGGCGCCACAGGATCTGTCAAACTCTGATCGCAGTGCACGTCCTCTCTGTTCCTGGATAGAGCTTCCGTCTGTGCACCGTGCTTCTTGGACTTCCCAATGTGGAAAAGTCGACGGCACGTCCGGGTATTCGACAGTTCAAGGCTCGGTTGCATCTTTCCAGCTGGCGATAAGGATGACAATTTTTCAGCCACCCTTCATCATGCCGAGACTATTGCTTCACTGCCTTACAGTCGAGCTGTTTCTGTGTCTCGGATACCGCTGCCCTTCAACTGCAAGATCGTCATGAAACCAATCGTTCTACCGTAGAGGTGGGACGAACGGCATGACCGCCGCAGAATTTCAAACTCCGACAACGCGCTCGTATCGTGTCAGTCGTTACCATGCATGTATGCTAAGAGAACCACGCGCTCTATTTCATGTGCATGCAATAAACCTGTCCCAATCGAGCGGAACCACAGCCATCAGCCAACCTTAACAAGACCTGATAATGACCAACTCGAGGTCTTCTTAATGGCGGTAGCATATTGTGTCTTCCGGCCTCAGCCAACCCTGGCTATAGAGCTAGCCATTCGAGGTAGTTCTTGGCCGTTACTAGATCCAGTGGATCATCAACCTTCCGCATGGTTTGGCCTTGTCCGTCAGGTACTTTATTTTTGGCGCCACGCTAGATTCAGAGCCGTGTAATCAAGGCCCCTGGCCAAGCTCGGGACTTTCTCTTTGGATCCGTTCAGCAACTAATCAAAAGGCCGTCGTCCCACTGCTTCTTGAGCTCTGCTTCCTGGTGAACCGTTTCTTCTGTCCCATCCAACAATCCACCTCCAGATTGAAGACGTAGGATTGCCACGATACCCTCTATCCCCCTTGCAAAAAAATCAACCCATATCTTATTCATTGTACTCGACCAAAATGTCTTTCTTTTCGAAAGTCAAGGGCGCCAAAAAGGCGGCAGATACCCACAAGGCAAAGATGGAAACCGAGGACAAGCCTGCTGCGGCTCCTTACAAACATGTTCCTACTCATGCCGCTACCGATGCCATGACTAGCTCACCTGGAGGTTGGAAGTCTGAGGAAATCGCATACCAAAACAAAGCTCGCCTCAGCAGGATTGGCAGCGACTATTCTACTCGTCCTTCTACGTCATACACCACCACCACAACACGATCAAGCAGCAGACCAGGATTCAACAGAGCCAACAGTGATTCATCCTTGGACTTCACCCCATCTCTGCATGGTTTCTCAGCACCTCTCAGATCAACAGGCTCATCCATGAAGTCGGCTGCCATTTCACGCAACACCAGTTTCCAAGGTCTTGAGAAGGTCATGGAAGCCAACGATCGCGACCAGGAGCCTGTTTTCGCTGCCGCATTACTAGCCAACAGAACCAAGGCATCACGCTCTCCTCGTGGCTCGACCCGAAGCTCGCTAGGCAAGAGCCCCTTGTCCAGTGTTGGTAAGTTTATCGTGTATCCAAAGCATTATCCATCGACTAACCTTTTTTCCAGAATCGTCAGCCGAGTCGTCGCCCGCTGAGAGTGAAAACAGTTCCCCAACAGGATCAAGCAGTAAGTTTGCTTACGATCTCCAATACCAAGTGCTTTGGCAGCTGACATTCACATAGGTGGTCAAATTGAGCTCAGATCAGCAGCAGTTAATTATGCACCTGTTCTTGAGATGCATTCCGATCGTAGAGCCCACCAGATGCCTGATGAGAAACAACAACCTCAACGCAAATACTTCGGACACAACAAGGGACCTATGTCTGAGACCAAGGACATCCCTGCTCCCGCACCTGTCGTGGTCAAGAAGGAACGTTTCTCCTTCTTGAAGAGGAACAGTACTGTTGCTGCTCATTAGAGTGCTCTCCGGATGTCCATCTCCTTCACCATTCCCGGTGACCGCAGGCTACGGGTGCCTACTCGAAAGCGCGAGTCGTAGATCAAGAACGTTGCGACACGCGAAATGACTCCTCTAGCCAGAGGGAAACGCTTTCCACGATTTTCCTATGTTTTCGTTTCTACTTTTGTTGGGTTTTTGTTGTTTAGGATGAATTGGGTTCAGGAGTTGGAATTGATATCCGCAACAACAGCTGTTTGCGGATCCGGGTTCATGCTTTGACATTTCCCGAATGCAGGGGTGATGCTGCAGATAGCCAGCGACAGCACGATACGAAGACGATACATGCAATTACGATCACACCATTGTTTCGATGATTCCTTCTCTTTTCTTTTTCCAATATCAATGCGGCTTCACATGCAGATACACATGCTTCAAAAGCTAGCTTTTGCGTGCTTATATGCGCGTCTGCTATTATACGATCGGTAGAGAGGGCGCTATTGAAGTATTCGTGTTTTAGGTTTCAGGAAGCGAGCGGGGAGGATGCATGAGTTGTTTATCGGGAGGCAGCGAAGACAACCATGATGGATAGGGCTGGCTGTTGGGAAGTTGGGATCTGCTAGACAAGAAGGATTGTTGACTGCTGAGCGCATAGAATTCAGGTTGCGGTGCAAGAAAAAGTTGGTTGGCAGGCTCGGCTCGCCGACACGAGATTCCAGCTGCAGGTCCTCGAGCTTGAATACAGCCTCGTCCGTGAACCGCGCTTCAGCCCGAACCGCGCAAACGGCTATCTCTCGACGCTTTGCTCAACAGGGGGAGTCACTATTTTACTGTGGTTCGACGACGACCATTGACCGTGTTGGTGAATAGAAAGGCCGAGCAGTACACTCGGACTCGCCGCCTGCCGCGCCCCCTGAACGCAACGTGGTTGATGTCTCGTCCCGGTGCTGGCCTGCATAAATGCTGTTAATTACCTATGATTGACCTCGAGGCCGCACAAGGCAATCGGCGCTTCGGAGAGCGACCCGCTCAACGGTGCTGGACCTTGAGGCTCAAGTAAAGACGGCACATGTGGCAAGCGCGTCCTTCGCGTGTGGAATCAATTGATGAGTCTGGACCTCGCTTGGCAAGAGATTGAACCAATCAGACGAGCATATTGCATGTTTCCATCAGCTGTAGGGCTTTGACTCTGCGAAACAGAAAAAAATCCATCACCACAGCTGCTGAGCTGCTTCGCTTCCAGACGTGCTGTATTTGGCGACGAATACGACTGGACGTTAGGTGACTAGGCTCTGTGGCCCCTTTTCCGGACTTGTTCGATCCACCATCCGCCTTCAGTGAAGCGAGTCAGGCGCTGAGCCCGTCAGCATGAGCCACCAAGATGAGCACCAGCGGCAGCGCGAAGTCGACCACGCCAACGATATCGACGAGATCGAAGCTCCAGTAGAGCGTATCACTGTAAAGACCAAAGGCACCAACACCACACCCGAGCCCTCCACGCCCAGCTCGAGCATCAATGGCAGATTTCACGGCACTCCCGAGGTCCTCGATGACGGACAAGTTGTACACAACTATGAAGAAAGAGAAGGCGCCAAGAAGAAGAGATTCGCATACCTGAGAACAAGAGACTTTTGGATAGTGCTCCTGCTCACCCAGATCATTGCACTGGCTCAGACTGGAACGAACACCCTTACATCCTTGATCAATGCTCGAGGCACGAGCATTCCGGCTTTCCAGACCTTCTTCAACTATGTTCTGCTGAACGTCGTATACACCTCCTTCACCATCTACAAGTACGGCTTTGCCAAATGGTGTAGAATGGTTGTAAAAGATGGCTGGCGATTCTTCATACTGGCCTTCTTGGATGTCGAGGGTAATTATTTCATCGTGCTGGCCTACAAGTACACGAACCTTTTGTCTGCTCAGCTTTTCAGCTTCTGGACCGTCATTGTGGTAGTGGTCATCTCGCTGGTCCTTCTCAAGGTCCGCTACCATCTCGCACAGTATGGAGGCATCGTACTTGCATGCGGAGGCTTTGCACTTCTCATCGCGAGCGATTACATAACCAAGAGTAACAACTATGTAAGTAATCAATACATCAACTATTCCTATATCACAGAGAAGCTGACGATGTCTATCTGAAGGCTCCGACGAACGCTCTCAAGGGAGATCTCTTCTGCCTACTCGCTCAGACCCTCTATGGTTTCAGCAACACATTTGAAGAATTCTTGGTCTCAAAGCGACCCATGTACGAAGTCATTGGCCAACTCGCATTCTGGGGCATGTTCATCAACGGCGTGCAGGCTGCCATCTTCGATCGCCACTCCATCCAGGAAGCACAGTGGGATGGACAAATCATCGGATACATCGTTGGTTACACTCTATTGCTATTCATCTTCTACTCTCTGGCACCAATCGTCTTCCGCATGAGCAGCGCTGCTTTCTTCAACATCGGTCTGTTGACGGGCACTTTCTGGGGAATTGTCGTCGGAACTCAGGTCCTGGGCTACCACATCCACTACCTCTACCCTATTGCTTTTGTTCTCATCATTCTGGGTCACTTTGTCTATTATGGAACAGAAGGAGTGCTAGGAGAGGCCAAGAAGCCATGGTTGGGAGAAAACCAAGAGCTTGGAGAAAGTGGTCTGGGAACTGCTAGACGTAGGGCTGAGCACCCTAACGCCATTGTTTGATCGTTCTTTGTCGCAAATTTTGGAGCTTTTGGCTCTTTTCCATGCATCTCGGCTATATATTGTATGTAATGCTTTGCCTGTGATTGGATGCTGTATACATGATTTGAGATTATCTCTTGGTTGAAGTGGTGCTTTCTTGCCCTTTTGTTGTGACTGATCACGAAATTGATGATGGATTTGTCTTGAGACCACCAACCGAGGAGAATACACAATTACAATGCGACTTTCTATGGCTACTCATATATCCACCGAGTACAGCTCTGTTCGACAAGAATAGGTATGCTCTGAAGGCACATATGAGGGTTTCGGGCAGAGCGGGCAGGAGATTTTTTTGAGAGACAGGGTCGTACCCGCATCCATGTTATCGAGCAGGGTCACCCCGAAAAGTTGTGCACATGGCGTTTTTGGTCCGAGCACAAGACTACGACAGTTTGGGGAGATGTAGTGGTTTGTTGTACTTGCTAAGATGAAATGGCCATCGACAGTGGTGGTCACAGCTTCAAGATAGCGAGGCTCGAAACCAATACTATATGCCCGACAACCATCACTATGGAAGCTCTAGACTTATCACGCTTTTGTGAATTCGATCAAACATGTGTGTTCCTGGAAAGTCGTCAGAATCTTACTTGGGTATCCCAGAACAATATGCACTTACCGCTATCTTAGGGACGCTCTCATCATAGAACAGCTCGAATCGCGATGTGATGGCGGGTGACTTGTCCTCGAATCCTGGCGCAATAGATGTTGTGTACTCTCGATAAACAGCAACTACCAGTACTGTCATCTCCGCCATGGCCAAGCTGTAAGTCATGTCAGCATGATGCATAAGCGGGCAAAGTAAATATGCGGTAACGTACTGCAAGCCAATACACATCCGGCCACCGCTCGAAAAGGCCCAGAACCATCGATTCATCAGTGCCACTTTTTCCGCCTCATCGAACCATCGGTCTGGGTTGAAGTCGAGCGGTTCCTCGAAGACATCGGCGTTGCGATGCAGAGAGTAAGGCGACATGTTGACGACAGTGCGTGCAGGAATACTGTAGCCATCGATAGTGCAGTCGGTAGGCAGCGAGCGAGGCTCTGATGCAGGCAATGGGGCGTAGAGCCTGAGCGTCTCTCGGATAACTGCATCGAGGTATGGCAATTTATCAATGACATCGAGTCTAGGCATTCCGCCTTCGAATGCATCTTCAGATAATGCGCGAACCTCGTCCACCAGCTTTTGCTGTATATGCGAATTTTGCGGTCGCGACAATGCCCAGATCAAAAACATCAGAGAGTCTGCTGTTGTGTCGATGCCGGCAAGCAAGTGGTCTGCACATTCGGATGCAATGTCAAGATCACCGAGAGCAGAACTACCCGATCCTTTGATGCTCTCATGCGATTTCCATAGCCGTGAGATGATAGTCGATTCCGTAGACAATGTTTCGGGTTCGGTTTGCGCTGCATTTTGGAAGCGGTGGAAGGCGTCCAGTGCATGCTTGCGGATTCCAGTGTAGGTAGTAGGCTTCTTCATAGGAATCACTGGTTCTAGTATACGCTCCATGAGGCCAACACGCGTGTACATCCACTTTGTCAATTTGGGGAGATGTACAGCAAACCAGCTGAGGTAGCGACGAGTCGGGTCGATTATGTCGTTGAGCAGAGCACGGTCTTGAACATTTCCTTCTAATGCAGACGTACCACCGTAGGACGGCCCGTACAGAAAATGTGTGATGGCATCGATGGAGAAGTAATGGAGACTGCTAAAGATCTCATGTGGTGCATCACCTTGTGCCTCAATCAATGCCAGGTATTGGGACACTTTATCTTGTACCATACGTGCAGCTGGTCCCTTGAGCATCAGAGACTTCGAGTAAGCATTGGCAACCAGTTTCTTGCGTTCGCTGTGCTCTTTGACAGTGCTGAATGTGAAGAGATTCTGCTTGCCGTATGCATCGAACATACGATAGAACCACGTTCTCTCGAAACCGCTACCGGCACCATAGATTGTGCGAAGAGCATTCAAGCTGTTGCAATGAATCTCGTCGGGGCCGATACGCACAATTGGACCATATTTCTGATGGAGTGCATGGATAGTTCTTGTCCTGCTTCCTTTGTAATCCTCTAGAGCCAGGCGCCATTTGGTCAGAGCGAACAGTTTCGGTCCAGGGATTTTGCTTTTGGGGTTGAGATATAGAGGTTCGATGATCGAATGATATGCTGCTGCTACCACGAGAGCAAAGAAGACAAGGAGAGTTAGCATCTTTCGGTGTATGCAATGGCAAAGGATTGCTGCGGAAAGGAATCAGATTTCGATTGTCAGGTGAGTTACTGGTATCGATTCATCAACGGGTATTCGACAGATCTGATACCAACCCATTTATGAGTCTAATCATGACATATTTCAGAGTGTATTTTGTGGACAGCTGGGTTCTGTTTGACTAGGAGAGATAAACGTACCCCGCAGATGCGCGAGTCTCTCCGATCGGAGCGTCCGACATGGTCAAGATTGCCGATGAGTTGCAACATGCGAAGAAACATTCGTCGAGGGATTTCAGACCTGAACACTTATCTTGACTTTCCCACTGTATAGATTTCTGATGACAGTAGCGGGAGGGAAACGTGGTGATAGAATGATAGGTACATAGAGGAGAGCGTTCAATTGTGACGTCCGATTCTCCGCGGCTTATTGCCGGGTCGGACTTCCCGAAATGCAACCCCACCTTTCTTCCATTTTACACGAGTCATCGCCAGCTTCATGGCAATATACCGAAAGCAAGAACATACTTCTTCACAACTTCTTCCGCGGCCCATTCGGGTTTCAACATATGCCCATGGATGAGCGAGACAAGCCACTCGAAGCGTTTTGGTCTTGGCAGTACTAACATATGTCGTGCATCAATTCTCAGAGTCTCACTCTTGCCCATTTGCGACGAGAACGCGTCCTCCGTCAACACAGATAGAGACGCCATCGATATATGCCTGTGATTGTGTCAGCGTGGTGTGCTTGAAGCAAGTACGAGGCACGGCTTCAAGCGAAGGAACATAACATACACCTGCTCGACTGGCGAGATAAATGACAGTCCCGGCAATGTCTTCCTCATTTCCAGCTCGTCTAGCCGGAACGCGATCGAAAAGAGAGCTAAACATGTTCCCGGCTTCACCAACTGGATTCATCTTGCTTGGAACGACTGTTGTCACGATCAGCTGGACGGTTTTTCGTGACGCAGCAGTTGTGAGACTTACATCCAGGGTTGATACTGACGACTCGAACGTAGAATCGACTGAACTTGGCGGCTAGTAGTTTGACGAGATGGTCTGTTGCCGCTTTACTCGTGGCATAGCTGGTCAAGTCTACGTTCGTGGCATTGTGCATACTTGCGCAAGAGCTTGTTAACACAATGGCACCACGACCATCCTCTCTGCCCATACGTCCATCGGTCGAGGTGGTTTGCGAAGCTGCGGCCAAGAGTGGTAGCATTGCTACAGACAAGAAGTAGTGGGCGGTCGTGTTCACAGAGAAAGTATCGGCCCAGTCGGAATGCCGTGACGACCACATGGAAGCTTGCAGCTCAGATAACGGAGCCGAAAGAACGTCGCAAGCAACTGGAGGATCTCTTCGTATGCCAGCGTTCGAGATCAGTACGTCAAGGTGACTCTCTCGACTGCGAATCGTGGATGCTAGCTCTGCTATAGAGTCCTTTTTACTGACATCGCAGGCAAGCCTAGAACATGCGTGTCAGTAACTGAGTCGACAGATGAGACGTCCTAGTCGCTTACCCGATCGCTGAGCCACCTGCGGGGCGTCCAATCTCATTGAGTTCCGACACCTTTTCTGCAATCGGTTCAGTGGGTAACGCGACTACGTATACCTTCGCGCCATTCGTCACAAATCCCTGATAGATGCTGGTCAGTCTCGGGGTCTTGTCTTTGCGATAGAATACGAGCTTGAGGCACCCCCCCCCATACCTTGCTTATCATGAAGCCCAAGCCACTGGTTCCTCCTGTGACGAGAGCGACATAGCCTCTCACTCCAAACAGTCTTTCAATGTTGAGTGTTGACATGATGGTACGGAAACGATCAGTGCTCACAGCCCACTTACTGTCTAGTATAAGTACTAGATTGTGCTAATTACGCGACTTGCCTTGAGCTTTGTCGGACAGGCCGGACAGGTGCATGAAATATACCTTGCATATGTGGATCTCAACCTCTGTGAGCAAGGCTGGGTTGGAAGCTAATGTAAGCCTATCTTTCTTCAAAGTGATTGGGTCTTGTCGGAAGCTCCGAAAGATCATAGTGGTGTTGATAGCCCTGTCACTTTACCCCGCGATCCTCTATCATCGATAGGCTTCTTATCTAGCTACACCGACACCCATCAGGTCCAGCTCTGATGGCTTGTCGTACCACAGTACTGTCGCCCAGGGATATCAATGCCCAAGATTTCCTCCATTGAGGTTGTGACCTAGTATGTGAGGCTTTCGGTGCCTTTCCTTTCATAAGCACGGACAACTTCCCAACTGTCGATCTCTGGTACAACATCCAACACGAGCATGGAGAAGTCAAAGCAAGAAGCTTCTGCAGAGACTAACCCAGTATTCAAGATCGATGAAGATGTTGCTCAGGGGTCCGTCGCAGATATTACCTCTGGGTCTCAACATCTGCATCGGAGTCTTCGTGGTAGAGAAGTTCAGCTATTTGCCATCGGCGGAGCGATCGGTACCTGTATGTTACCTTCACGAGAAAGCAAGCTCGGCTTGACAGGAGCATGGCTGACTTTTCTAGCTCTCTACGTTCAAATGGGCTCGGCGCTCCCAAAGGGCGGCCCTGCCGGGCTCTTTATCGCCTTCGTCATCTGGGCATGGGTGATGTGGGCTGTCAATGAGTGCTACGGCGAGATGGTGTGCTACCTGCCAGTACCCTCACCTTTCATCCGCTTCGGTAGCGAATGGGTAGATGGCGCCGTCGGCTTCGCCATGGCATGGAACTTCTTCCTGAATATGGCAATCTTGGTGCCCTTTGAGATCGTCGCCGTGAACATCATGATTACTTTCTGGACGGACCGCGTTCCTGTGGAGGCTATCATTGTGGCGATGATTGTTCTCTATGCCTTCCTGAACACCATCACAGTGCGTTACTTTGGCATCTCCGAGTTCTACATGTCCATCTTCAAGGTGTTCCTGATGATCGGGCTGTTCTTCTTTACCTTCATCACTATGGTGGGCGGAAATCCTCTTCACGATGCGTATGGCTTCCGGTACTGGAACAATCCAAGCCCCTTCGTTGAGCACCTGGAGCTTGGTGCGACCGGAAGATTTCTCGGCATCCTCTCATGCTTATATCAAGCAAGTTTCTCGTAAGTTTTCACAATGTTCGTTGTGGCCTCTCCTGTTTTTCCGCTGACGATCGATAGTATCACTGGACCAGAGTATATATCGATGGTAGCAGCAGAAACCGAAAACCCCCGCAAGATACTACCTCCAGCCTTCAGATCATTCGTTTGGCGCCTTCTTGTGTTCTTTGTCGGTTCGGCGTTATGTATGGGAATCGTAATACCTTCCAACGATCCCACTCTCTTGGCGATACTCGGTGGCGATATAGCGGGTAGTGGCACAGGCGCTGCATCGTAAGTCTCAGCTACGTATTCGGTTGCAAGCGAAAATCCTGACCATCATCCTAGTCCTTACATCATCGCAATGCAAAGACTCAAAATATCCGGGTTGCCTCATCTCGTCAACGCCCTGGTCATCACGTCTATCTTGAGTGCCGGTAACGGTCTTCTGTACTCGGCAACCCGTACACTGCACGGCATGTCGCTTGAGGGTCACGCCCCGAAGTTCTTCTCATATTGCACCAAGAAGGGCGTTCCATTATGGGCTCTCTGCTTCTCGTTGTGTTTCTGCCTTTTGGCTTTCTTGCAGGTAAAGAGTTCTTCGGGGGTAGTCTTGAGCTACCTTGTGGATCTCGTCACCTGCTGTCAAATGCTCAACTATGGATTCACGGCATTGACATACCGGCACTTCTACGCAGCACTGAATAAGCAAGGAATATCCAGAGATACGCTTCCCTACAAAGGAAAGTTCCAGCCATATACATCCTATCTGGCTATGGGAGGCACTCTCTTCATGCTTCTAGCAGGAGGCTACGATGTGTTCCTCAAGGGTGGATGGAGCATAAAGTGGTTCATGCTTGATTATGCGATGATTGGCTTCTTCATCGCAACGTTCATCTTCTGGAAAGTTGTGTTTAAGACCACGTATGTCAGACCTGGAACTGCTGATTTGAGTCTGGGCGGATTGAAGGAAGAGATTGACAACTACGAGGCGATGTTCATTCCACGAAAAACTGGCAGGATTGAAAAGGCACTCTTCGAGTAGTGAAGGCTGGTAAGTGGATCGTTGTGATGCGCAGAGATATGAGCCCAAGATATGGTGCGTCCTTCAAATGCAAGCATTGTTTCGTATAAAGATATCCTTTACGATTTGTAGAAGCTTAGGCTGGCAATCTCGCGCCGAGAGAGTATTCTGTGGCCTGTCTAATAGTCGACAGGCTTACCACCTGGGGATAAATTGCAAGCTATCTTGTGAGAAATGCAGATAGTGGAGAGCGAGGAGTGCGTCTGTTCTCTTCACAGGTGGTGAGAGCGACTCGGTCTGGGCAAAGATGAAGGAGCCCGCTACTATATATCACCGTCCTCTCCTCCAGCTCTATCTCGATCATTCTAGTACCACTGCCACTCCCTTGACCTCCACTACAAACCGCCTGTCCGGCAAGTCCTTCACGCCAACCGTAGCTCTAGCTGGCGCCACCATCCGACTTTCGAACACCGTATTCCAGATCTCGTTCATGCCTGCATAGTCTCGCTCCATTTCAGTGAGATAGACCACGGCATCAATCAGATTATGGACACCTCCTTTCCCCTCAGTGGCGCCTTTGATGATTTCATCGATCGTTTTGAGGATTGTCTTGGTCTGCTCTCGAACATCAGGTACTTTGCCATCTTCAATGCCCGTCACAGTGCCATCAGGCAGTATGCTGGCAATGCCGGCAATGTAGATGGTTCGACTGCCGCTTGACACTGATCGTGCTTGAGGAAAGCGAGTGAGGCCTTCTGGTGCATCTGGGTCGAGCAGGAAGGCTTGTCCGTTGGGTGACATTGCAATGATGGTAGATGGTTGGAATTGGACAAGTAGCTAGACGATAGTTCGTATGAGAGGCCAGCAATATCTTGCTGAGAAAACCACACTTCTTGATTTAAGTAGTAAATTCATGTCATCGCTTGGTACAGCACTTGTTATAGTGCGCCAAAATCTTGCGTCGGAATGTCCGACACGCTGCATGAGCCAAAATGTTCAATCTCTAAGGTTCCTTTCCACACCGTGCAAGGCGACACGATGACACGATAAGACAAAGATCCTAGTCAATATTGGTTTTCGGACTTTCCGCTCACCGATTCTCAAGCTGCTAAGGATCCAGCAGGCTTCTCTTGATAGCACAACGCACAAACTTCTGTAACACAGTCATATATTAGGGACCGACACTGTTCTCACAGTAGTTTACAGCTCTCGCTATACTCTTTCCGACTCGATCAAAATGCAGTTGCTTCAATCCTCCTACTCAGAGGTCTTGCGCACCAACAGCGCATACATAATCGGATTCGTTATCATTGGCTTGGTGGCACTCCTCATCTCTGTACGTCTACTGTGCATTGTTTGAGCTACGCCTTAGACTAACACTATTGAAGTGGGCATATGGCACAGATATCAAACGAATCAAGGGCATACCCGAAGCTCCCGGAGCGATACCTATATTCGGTCATCTGCTCAAACTCGGAGAAGATCACGCTTCTTCGTGTGAAAATTGGTGGCGCCAAAACAATGAGCCAGTTTTCCAAATCAAGTTGGGTAATACGCGAGCCGTGGTATTCAATTCGTTCGAGGCTTGCCGCGATATCTTGGTCAAGCACCACAACGCAGTGATAGATCGTCCTAAGCTCTACACTTTCCATGGAGTCATCAGCAGCACACAAGGCTTCACGATAGGGAGCAGTCCTTGGGATGCTAGTTGCAAAAACAAACGCAAGGCAGCTGGAACCGCTCTTTCCAGACCAGCCATGCGCAACTACCATCCCATGTTTGATCTGGAGAGTTTCTGCATCGTGAGAGATATGCACAAAGACAGCAACTTTTCAGACCCGTCTGTGGAAATCAGCATCCGACCTTACATCCAAAGATTTGCTCTCAACACGACGCTGACGCTTTGTTACGGAATTCGCATGGACGATACTTACGACGATCTTCTTCGTGAGATCCTGCATGTAGGATCAGCCATTTCCCTTCTACGAAGCGCATCGGAGAACATGCAGGATTATGTGCCAGCACTTCGATATCTTCCAAACAACGAGAAAGATGCCCGTTCTAAAGATCTCCGGTCGCGTCGCGACGCATACCTCAACCTTCTACTCGACAAAGTGCGTGAGATGATCAAGAATGGCACGGATAAGCCATGCATCAGCGCAGCTATCTTGAAGGACGAAGAGACCAAGTTGACCGGAGTCGAAGTATCTTCGATCTGCTTATCGTTGGTCAGTGGTGGATTCGAAACCATCCCCGGAACCTTGACCTCCTGCTTAGGATCGCTTTGCACACCGGAGGGACAAATCTTCCAAAAGCGCGCTTATGCCGACATCGAGCGTCACTATCCGGACATTCGCGATGCCTGGCAGAACAGCTTCCAGGAGGAGAAGGTGCCGTATCTCAAGGCAATCATTCAGGAAGCCGGTCGATACTACACCGTGAGCTCTATGAGTCTGCCACGCCGAACCGTGACCGAAGTGAACTGGAACGGCGCCATAATTCCACCCAAGACGATGATCCTTGTGAATGCACAAGCTGGCAACCACGACGTAGACCATTTCGGTCCCGATGCTGGAGTGTTCAATCCTGAACGCTGGCTCGAGCCTATTACAAAGGAAAACGACACGGGTCCTTTCCAGGAAAGAGTTCTCACATCTCAAGCTCATTTGTCGTTCGGGGCTGGTACTCGAGCTTGCAGTGGCCAGCTCATTGCCACCCGTCTACTGTATGCCGCCCTCATCCGCATCCTGTCTTCTTACCAGATCGTTGCGTCTGAGTCCGAGCCTCCAAACACAGACTACGTGGACTACAATCAATTCAAGACCGCACTGGTCGCTATACCGCGAGACTTCAAAGTCAGACTTATCCCCCGCGATAAACAGGTTATGGAGGAATGCATGCAGTCGGCGTTTGAACGGACGAAGGAGCATTATAGGGAAGACATCAAATCTGTGTAATGGGATCTTATCGGTCTTTGCCATTAGTCATCGACCGGGAGTGTGAGCGCGAGCAAGGGAGGTTGGACAAGATTTGCCGATTCAGGGTCCATCCTGCCCACGTGCTAAAGTTTGTAACTCCCACCATTATTCCATGCGACTCCCTCGAAGAGGTAGAGCGTATCATTCATCGCAGAAACGCGTGATGGCTAGCAGAGTAGAGACTTATCCAAAGGAACTTGATGTGGTGTTATCATCCGATGAAGATAGTTTATGTCTCAGGGAAACTGTGCATTTCTGCAGTTGTACGCGTTACAAACTTTAGCATACGGGAAGGATCGAAGAGCCGTCACGGTCGAGAGATAAGCAAGCACCACCACCAGAGACCTGGTCAGCGACAATAAATATACAGACCGGATTCACAATGATTGTTTACCACTAGAATGCCGTGCGAACCTCGCATTCACGCATCAGCGCGTGCCAAAGTTTCCTGTACGCGTTGCCATCGGCGCAAGAAGAGATGTGATCGTACCATCCCCTGTTGTGGGAATTGCGCAGCTGTCCAACATTCTTGCAGTCTTGCAGAAGAGACTCATGACAGCGCAACGTATTCGGTCGCGTACGTTTCTCATGGCGGCATTGAATATCTTCTAAAAGTCTTGGTTGACAATTTCATAGATTTGTCCAAAGCCTTGAAGAGCGGATACGCGAATTGGAAGGACAGCAAGCCATCCTGGCGTCACCCGGGGTACATCAAGATCCAGTGACTGAGTATGCACCAGAAGGCTCTCTGCCTGAGATCGGCGAGACCACCGGGCATGAGGATACCGCGATGGAAGTCTTGAGACAAGACGCAGGCCTCCTCTTCGCTGACCAACACGTATCGGATCTCGTTTCCAATGTCGACGCCGGTATCGTGCCATCACCAACTACATCAGCATCGCGGAATGTCGACGAAACACTTCGCAATCGTCCTCGTACAGCAGAGACCCTCGATCAAAATTTGAGAGACGTCTCCCTCGCAGCCGTGGCAGAGCCCTACTTGGGCACCATTTCTGGGTTGACATTCGCAAAGTTGACGCAAGCAGTGCTTCGTAGACTGTCCCCAGATGGTAGGGATTTCGTGTTCAGGACCAACATAAACGGAAATACAGTGCCTATCGAAGGTGCTACGAATCTGCACCTGGATCTCATCAGCAGCATGTATTTTGATTACGATCAAGCAATTGACTTCTCTCTCATCGCGGAAGAGAGCACGATACCTCTGTTCGATATTCCGACTCAGAGGGAAATGATCAAACTTCCCACTCGGACTGAGGTCCTGCGTCTGGCGACGTTCTACTTCGATCATTCTCACACTTTGTATCCCATCGTCCACCAGCAAGAAGTCATGTCAGACATTTATTTAGTCTTGCAAAGTCCCGACCACCAGCTCACGATGTCTCCACCGTGCTTGTTTCGCGTCTGGATGGTCTTGGCCATTGGTTCCACTACACATTCTTCAATCGCGTTGACAGAAGAATCTGTGTCACAATTATACTATGAGAAGGCCATGACATATTTTGATGCGTCTATGGACCACGGTGATATAGTAAGTAGGTATGGTCAGCTGAGAATCAAGTGCTAACACAGGCAAGATTGCATTAGAAGTTATCATGCTTCAAGTATCGTTTTCCTTCTTCAATCAATCGGGTCCAAGTATGATGACTACCATGACAGCTAATGCACATACTCTCGGCTAACAGATTGCTCTACAGACACCTGGTTTCTTGTAGGTACCGCTGCACGCTTAGCCCTTGGTATGGGTCTTCATTGCGAGTCGACCTACCAATCTTTGTCGAATGCTCAAGCTATAAGGCGTAAGCGATTATTCTTCTCGATATACATGATGGACAGGTGAGGTGCCATAGCTTGTTGACTCGTGTAAAGCTATCAGCTACTGACACCGCCATGTTCAGGTTGGTCTCCATCACTCTCGGTAGACCATTTGCCATTCACGAGGATGACGTTGACATTTCGGTGAGTGTGCACTCCAGGTTGCGACTTTGAGCGACCTTACTGACTTCGTACGTGATTAGCACTTCGCTATCGAAGCATGCGAGGAGTTGGATCACAGTCCCTCTGCTCCTTCCAGTACTCTGTGCAAACCACCACTCACCGTCACTGAGCATATTTTACGACTGCGAAAGATTGCTAATGACATCGCCACGAAAGTATACTGTAAGCGCGTGGTTTCACGTTATTCAGCAATAGAGCGGCAGCAGACCTTGGAGGCACTCCACAAAGATCTGGTACAATGGCGACAAAGCGTCCCATTCCCATTGCCGAACTTACATACCAAGGTACCACATGGATGTACGAGCTGGTACGACCTCAATTTCTACACACATCTCACAGCACTTTATCGTCCATCGCCTCTTTTCCCAACACTAGACATCGACAGAATCAACCTCCTCACGGAAGCGGCAGCCATGGCTATACGCCATGCAAACAGTATGCGCTTACAAAAGCGTCTAGCTTTCAACTGGTTGACTCTGCTCACGATATACAACGCGGTTATAGCTCTTGTGTATTCCGTAACAGTACGTCCGGAAAATCTTGCTACTTCGCAAGAGTGTATGCGTGCAGTAGAAGATCTAGAGCTAGCGGCTGAGCTGTTCACCGTCCTGGCCGTGAAGTTTCCCGCCTCGAGAACAATTGGTGCAATGGTGGCACAGATCATCGATCGCTACAGACTACTGGGCGCTGGTCCGCCAACTTGAGCTGTTGTTGGGTGAGAGTTTAGCTTGAAATTATGACTCTGCTTCTCCATCGGACAAGCCGAAACATCGAGAAATCAGTCATCTCCACAATCATCCATGGCGGAGAGAAACGACTTTGCATACCAAACACAGCCATGACAGAACCTATCGCTGCAACGTCAAAGCTCACTTCTGGTTGATGCATGTGGTAAAGCCCTATCTGGAGTCAACGAGGAGTTCTTTCGTCACCACGGCTAGTTTGGCTGGTGTGAAGCCTGGAGGTAGTTCTCTGCCATATGCGATCAGCAAAGCAGCTCAAATCTATCTCGTCAAGACGTTATCCAAAGTTTGCGCACCCAATATTCGAGTCAACAGCGTGAGCCCGGCTCTCATGCTGACAGATTGGGGTATGCATTTCGAAGAGAAGGGACAGCTTGCGCAGGCGGCGCGCAACGAACTCAAGCGTCCGGTCACGATACAGGTATGTGTATTTACACAAATTTGCTAACAACTTGGTATTGATATCGGCTCAGGATACCGCAAATGTCGTTCGAATGCTGCTTTTCAATGACTCCGTGACCGGACAGAACGTGGTAGTAGACTGTAAGAATGCAGCTGATACAAAATTTGACGGATTTCTTACTGACAGCATTTGTCTTGATGGGTGACTCGTAAATGTCGTGAAGTACTCTGGGATTCTTCAAAGTCACCTTGACATCTGCTAGACTACATCATGAATTAAAAACAATCTGCAACACGTCTTTCCAACCAAGCATTTAGTGTTTGAAGTCAGGGTTGAGATGCTCTTCGAGCATGTAACTCGGCTGGAACTCGACGAACAGTGTTTCCTGAAAGAACAGTCAGCAGGACTCGCGGATCAGTAAGGTTTGTTAAGACTTACAGGTTGACTGGCCGATTGGAATGTGCTCATCGCTTCATCATCAGGTACGATCACCTTTGGAAGCCCCGTAGCTTCAACCATGAGCTGAATCCGACAACTTTTCTCTAATAGTGTGTAAAGATATGCTGCCTCGTCGACCGTTTCACCAACCGTGATCAAGCCATGGTTGACCAAGATCGCAGCTTTGCTGTCGCCAAGCGCACGCGCGATATTGGTACCTTCGTCCTGACCAAACGCTATGCCTCCGTAGTTGCGATACACAGAATGTGCTTTGTAAAAGTAACACACATCCTGGCTGATCATGTCAAGCTCACGGCCGAATGAAGCCCATGCTTTACCATATAGCGAGTGAGCATGACATATAGCGTGTGCGTCAGGACGGGCCAGATGGCAAGCAGTGTGTATCGAGACACCTGCAGCATTCGCTGGTACGGACTAACCAATAGACCCATCATTCAGCACTGATAACCAGAAAAACCCACGGATTGGAGAACTCACCCTGTTACCATCCACAATGTTCCCTCGCATATCAAGGCAAATCAAACCACTGACTTTCATCATGGAGAAATGGACACCCAAGGGATTGATCCACAGCCTATCGCTGAACTCGGGATCTCGGACGCTGATATGGCCGGCGATACCCTCTGCATAGCCCTCACGGCCAAAGATTCGAAAGGCGCCGGCGAGGTGTTCAAGTGTCCATCGTCGTTCTTCTGCGAACGATGCAAATCTGGGAATGGTAGCTACTGGCTTGCCGGCGTGACCCATCGCTTCGAGTGGCGTGAGTGGCTTCGTGGATCGTGCAAGAGACTTGATGGCTGGATCAGTGACCCCGAGGGCGATTGGTGACATCGTAGGCGAGTGGTTGTGTGATGTTCTCACGGGATATCAACGAGTACAAGGAGAAAACGAGTTCACTCTGATGTGCTTGCTGGGATAGACAGTTGCCATTCTTGCCGTCATCTTATAGCATATAACTTGGCGTCGTCTCGGAACGGAAGTCACTCCAAAGTTATGCGGTCGGCCATGCCGCCGGACATGCCGACACCGCCGTGACATGCAAAGATAAGCAAAACAACTCCAGGTTATCGCTTTTGTACCGCTATCTGCATGTCGTAGAGGCTTACTCTGTGCTGTAGTAGACTTTCTTGCTGGAATTGGCTCAGCAACTCGTTGACCGAGGAACAAAAAATTGCGAGAGTGTTTCATTCTAGATACAGTCAGAACCAAACAACGAGCTTGCATGATAGTATTCATAGTCAGTAGTGTAAAAAGATGCAACAGCTAAACAATTGATGGTGCCATAACAAGGTTTACAGATGAGAAGTGCAGAACTAGCAGCACAGTATAAGTTCCTTGAAATTGAAGCGTCGTGCAGTCAATTCAGCACGATGCGATGTTCGAGATAGCATTGACATGAGGTCGGCGTCGTCAAAAAATCAAAGTATCGAGGGTTATATGTTTGCGTGACAGCAATTTGAGCACATACGGCCACAGTCAGCTGAAAACTGGGCATCCCGTCCGCTCTGCCATACATAAGCAGTTGAACGGCAGATTAGTACTACGGTGGGTGACCACGTGGGAATCCCTGCTGCTGTATGTTTTGCTCATCTTCTTCCCAAATGTTTTGTCAAGAGAGTCCCCACATAGCTTTTGACAAGCAGTTGAGAAGTACATTCACCCCAGGGATCCGCAGGGTGACCCAAGCGTAGTCCTTGTTTGTACTTCCAAATTCCGACGTTGAGCATCGATACAGTTTTGGCACATAAACATCGTCATCTTTGTGTCTTGATTCTCGAAGACAATCGGGATGATCGGAAACCGCTAATTTCCATCACTGTTCCTTCATCATTGCCTGATGATGTTGTCACCTAGCTTTGCCGCGCTGTTTACCGGAAGAGCCCAGGAACCCCGAAGCAGGTTCGTGAGGTTTCAGAAAAGGCTTGACTGCAACATCGTCATTCCACTCCCATCTATCATACTGACATTCGTCTTGAGGTCTTAGATGGATTGGCAAGGGCAGATAACTTTGCATACGAGTCCGCTCAAACGTCTGGGTATTTTCTTTCCTCTTGGCAGGTACGCAAGCCGTTTGACGGTGCAGAGTAGTCCCCAAGACTCCTGAAGTCTATGCCTTGTGTGCCTTGCATGACGTTGATCTGATCGGGCCGCGCAGTTGCATGGGATAATATCTTATCGATCTTCCATTTGCAGATTAGTTGTTTTGCGTCGCGTCCTTCTTTTTCAGCAGAGGCATGACGGATGTCAAGTCTTGATGTCGAAGACATATTCAGTCATACTCTATTCTTGGACAGTGTACACATGTTGAGAGGTTGATGAAACCCCACAGCCTTCTGTGGGATATTGCTGTTGCGAAGCTGCGTGGCTTTGCAGCTACATAGTTGGAGAGAAGTCCGTCCTCCAACTTCTGCTCGCGCTCGGGACCAGGTCTGGCACTGCCAGAACTGGTTGTGCATTGCCCAATTCGACCATGCAGACGCTGATCGATGCGGTTCAAAGCGGCAGTGCGTCACGCGATAGTTCTGAATCACATCAACGGGACCGTACAGTACAGGTCAAGATCATGGTATATACTACTATTCGAAGTGAAGCCATTTTCGTGTTCGTGTTCACGTTCACGCGCGTCTTCAGAGGTTTCTACGTGGAAACGTGGACGGTGGGGTACCTTTCTGGGCAGACCGGGATTAGAGCTCTGGAGGCTGGAGCTGACGAGTACGGGAGGATTGTGGACCTGTGGAGCAGTGAAGGTAGCGTTCGTGCGGAGAGATGGATCTGGCATCTGGCTGGCGTTACAGGAAAACAAAGAACCGAGCAAGTTAAGAGCGAACAGGTAAGCTCACGGAGCGCAGAAAGAGACCTCCTATTCTTCCGGCCGGCGGCTATGGCTATGGTTGAAGCCATCGGGGCTATTGTGCCTGGCGAGTCAAGCACGTAGAATCAATCTGAAGACGATGCTCAAAGTCTCACAAAATTGGCCATGTTCTGATGACTCATGGGCGAGCGACAAACATTGTGCAATTGGTGTCGGTTCTCGCGGTACGAAGTTCTGGACAAAGAAATATCCGGTCGACGAATACGTACGCAACCTTGCTCAGTGATGCCATAGCACGTAGACAGACGCAATTCCACGACATTTAGAATCCGGCGCAGGAAACAACGCTTCGTTACTGAATCTCGGACAGCGTATGTTGTGACAATGTATGCCATTTGATGTCGGCTGTTCTCGTGCGTAACACTGTAGTTGATACTGGTGGATGCGTGTGTGGAGAGTGGAGACTCGAGCGGACAAAACAGTCTGGAGTCTGGATCAAATCAAATCGACACGAGTTCTGCCGAAAGGCCAAATGCGGGCAAGGGTCTTTCTCCAGAAGCGCCAACGAGCACGCATCGGCCGCATCGCCCACTGCGTCGTGGCCGCTTCAAGAGATGTCATGCGTCCATTTGACAAAAATTGCGAATCGCTCCACTTCGCAAGTGCAGTGGCCGATGAGCCAAGGGGGTCAATGGGTCACAGGTAGCCCGTTTTATCTTGCACCATCGTGCTGTCTAGAGGCGCTCTTCAATTCTATTTGTACATACCAAGTCTGCCTTGCTCAACCTCGTCCAACCCTCTGGCACACCGCGTTTCCACAGACTTGCATTATCAGCATCCATCGCTCGCTTGTGACACCGCTCGGCGTACCTGCAGCAAGCGCTTGAACTGTCTCGGATCGACGACGCCCTATTGGCGACCCTTATCAAAAACTATCTCGCCCAAGCCTCACCGCTGCAGCAGCAGTTCTCGACGACAGGTACGCACACTATTCGTTTCCTGTTTTCTTGTTTCTGCCCCTCCGAGGAATGAAATTTGCTTCTTGTCGAGCATCGAGCAGATGGTGTGGAATCTGCGCCAGCCGTGTTTCCGATGGTCTGCAAAGCCGATTCAGGGAGCCCGCTGACACATGCGACGACAGTTAGATTCTCGGGCGACAACTATCTTCAGACTTTACATAGATAAGCACGCTCGCTTCTCTGCAAGGCGCGCCCTGTCTGTGTTCAGTGCTGTAAAATACCGCTGTTTGCTACAATACGCCAATAATCCCTCGGCCACCCTCGGCTTAAGTTGCATGTCAACCACATTCGTTTTATCTTAAATCGCGCTTCCTGCTCGTCTGATAAAGATGAGTCCTCCGCAGCAACATGCTCGTACTCAGACGTCCAATACCCGCCGAGCCGCTCCCACACATGCTCGCACGCTAAGACCTCCTCCACTGGGTCCTAGAAAGAACAGCCACTCGGGTCATTCAAGAAAGACTTCTATCGGCACAAAGACTATCACCACTTCTGCCAAGAACAACCACAGAACAGATACAGCTATCGCCCCAGAGGACGAAGACATGGCCGGTCTTCCTCAGTTCTGGTGAGTGGACATTGTCGTCGCTGGCCCTTCATGCACTAACCAGTCTTAGTGCTACCTGCGAGAAGCAGATCCTCACACCTGCCTGTAACTCGATCCTCTACTGTTCAGAGAGCTGTCGTCGAAAGGACCACAACAAGCCTCTCAGTCATTCGATCTTGCCCTCAGAACCCTCGCCGCAACCCACCACTCCTAGAAGCTCGTACTTCTTCGATGACCACCAGCATGAGATCCTCCCAATGCGATCACCAACCGTTGTTCGTCCCCCATCGTTGGCATTCTCGGACGACAGCTTTGACCTGTCCGGCAATGAAGAGCAACCTCAATATCGTCGCAGCGAGAGTGATGGGTCTCGCTACTTCTCGCACTACAACCATCACTCTGCCGACCACAGTCCTCGTCGCGCGAGCTATGATCCGTATACCCCATCGTTGTCACACACACCGGCTTCGCTTCTCAGTACTGTCGGATCATATCTGTCTACTCGCCCACTGCCAGGTCGCAAGAACCCTTACAGTGCTTCTTTCAGCTCTCTCTCTGTTGATCTCGTGACGCCGGTCGTCAATGCAGAGTCACTGGCCCCAACGACCGACCTCAGTCATCAGGCCGCTTCGCTTCGCAGCACCGCAAGTACAAGCACTGCATTCCGCGTCGTCGAGGGAGAGATGAGCTATGGCAAGAAGGATTACATGTCCGGCACTTCGCCCAGCAAGGGTAGTCTTCGACAACTTTTCTTCCACGAGGCCATGCAAGCTCCTCCCAGACATGAGTAGCATGCATGCATCCTCCGTGTTTCACTTTTGCATATTGAGTTTAATTTCACGAAGTTTATGATGGATACAAGGTTATGGAACAATATCGCGCCATCTTGATAAAAGAAGGTATCAGCATAGGGCATTATAAAAACCATAAAGGCCCGGATTTGGTCTTTCGGAGTTGGGCATTACAAAAAGTGTTTTAGAATCCTTACGAATAAAATATTGTCAGCTCGAATGATAGCGTTTGTCATTCGATCGCGTTTGTTCAACGAAAGCCATCGTCATTGCATCTTCCCATGAGATCAAATCTGAATGAATCAATCAAGCATTGGTCTCTCGTCTATCTCATCGGTATTCTACCATTCAGTGTCCAATCACATGCGGTGACATTGGTGGTGGGGGTTGTATACAAAAGACGAGAATTTGTGCATGCATATCTGGCCCGTGCCGCGCAGACGCGCCTGTGCCAAAGCATTCTCGCTTTCGCTGGAAGCACATAATCTGTGACTTCTGTTCGACTTGACAAATGCAAAATGCAATGCGAAGGGTAGTCATAACAGGCCTGGGAGCCGTCACACCTCTCGCAGTTGGTGTGTCTGACCGAATTGTTGTTCACTCGCAGCGGGAATGCTCATGGAATGTACAGGCGTTCGACCGACTTGGAAGCGACTGATCGATGGCCATTGTGGAATAGCAAACATCAGAGACAGAGACTCAAAGTTTGCGACTCTGCCATCGCAAGTTGCGGGTGTCATTCCTCCTGGCAATAGAGTGGATGGTGGGTGGAATTCCAAAGAATGGTTACAGCTGGGCGTGAGCGACACAGGTTCCTTTGATCATTCAACGATTAGTTGACAGTGGAATCAGGATGACCGGAAAATGGCATTATTTTCACAGTATGCCATGGCTTCAGCGGAAGAGGCCCTTCAAGACGCTAAATGGATGCCTCAGTCCGAGGAGGATCTTCAAGCAACGGTATGTTGGCAGAGTATCGTGGGCCACAATGTAATACAATCCTAAATCTGCTTGCAGGGTGTCTACATTGGCTCTGGTATAGGCAGTCTGGATGATGCCTACAACACAGCTGTAGAGTTCGAAAAGGGTGTACGCCAAACCTTCTACTACCACATTGGAGGGTGGAAAACTCACACTACCGCAGGGCTACAAGAAAGTATCGCCGCTATTCGTTCCCAGACTTCTGATCAACCTGGCCGCAGGTCACATATCCATGAGGTACGGGTTCAAGGTGCGTGTGACTTTACCAGAATGATGACAGACCGATTGGACTGACGGTAGCAGGGGCCTAATCATGCAGCGACAACGGCTTGCACGACAGGAGTCCATGCCATCGGCGATGCTGCCCGTATGATCACATTCGGAGATGCAGATGTTATGGTTGCCGGGGGTGCAGAATCTTGCATTCATCCACTCGCCGTTGCTGGGTTTGCTCGCGCCAGAAGCTTGGCTACAGATTGGAACGACAACCCACAAGAGGCTTCAAGACCATTCGACAGATCGAGAGCGGGTTTTGTGATCGGCGAGGGAGCTGGTGTTGTGGTGCTTGAGGTGAGTATTACTATTGTACTCTATAGTGCGATATGTTCTAACCTTATTCGTCATACAGGAGTTGGAGCACGCAAAAGCACGCGGAGCCTCCATTTACGCCGAAGTCAGAGGCTATGGCCTCTCGTCTGATGCACATCATATGACTGCCCCTCGAGAAGACGGTCAGGGGCCATATCTCGCCATGAAGCGTGCGCTAAAGCAAGCCGGCATCAAACCTGGCAGTGTCGACTACGTGAATGCTCATGCTACCTCGACTGTACTTGGTGATGCCGCTGAGAATCGTGCCATCAAGACACTCTTGCTTGGTGAACAAGGCTACACGAAAGCTGGCGAAGTCAATATCAGCAGCACCAAAGGAGCAGTAGGACATTTGCTGGGAGCTGCTGGAGCGGTAGAGACCATATTCACTGTACTGGCCTTGCAAAATGTATGTGCCAGACTCCAAACACAACTGAGTTCGACTAATTTGACATAGAATATTCTACCACCAACTTTGAATCTCGAGCAGGCAGGCGACCCTGCGACCGACTTCGATTGCAATTATGTACCAAACACAGCTCAGGGTCACAATGTGCAAGTCGCTCTATCCAACAGCTTCGGATTTGGGGGAACGAATGCAAGTATTTGTCTAAGCAAGTACCAAGACTGAAAACATCTTTCCGAATCCGAAGCTTATAGCATTGTCGGAAACGTCCGCGTCTATAGAAGAAAAATGATCTTGATGGAGAGAGTGATTCTTGTTGCTCGATGGAAACTGTCAATCCTCACGAAAAGCGGCGCGCCCCAGGTTTGCCCAGCGGGCCGCCGCCCACAGATGCCCCACCTTGGGCCGATAAGTGACGGGACTCCAGGTCATATCTCTATACCGCGATTTTTCTTCTTGCTGCTTTGCTTCTTCCCTTCTGGAGAAACATCACAAATCCTTGTGCGTCCTCCAGAAAACAACAATGTCTTCTCCAGCCGGGCCCTTGATGCTTGGCTCAAATGATGAAGGCAGCCAGAACGCCATTTATCTTCGGCTGAAAAATAGAAGCCAGCGCTATCATGCAAAGATTCCGGTGCTGAAACGATTGCCCTTCCCTTCCATTGCGATTATCTCGTTGCTGGTGCTCGTCAATGTTCTGGTGTGGATTGTTGTTGGTATAGTCCTTGTGAGTAGACCCTGACTTGACTGCTTGTGGAATATGACTTCTAATCTGCAATAGAGCTATCACACGTAAGAAATTGTTACGGCAAGGAAGTATCGTCATATTGACTGTCGATCAGATCGCTGGTCTCTACTGCTGTACTAGCATATTCCCTAGGCCTCAGACATGCTCTCGACGCAGATCACATCTCGGTATCGATAAAACATGCACTTGGATTTTGATTTCAATGCTAATACAGAAAGGCGATTGACCTCATGACACGCCGTCTCATTGCAGCTGGCCAACGTCCAGTAACAGTTGGCACATTCTTCTCACTGGGCCACTCGACGTATTTGAGCCCTACATACACCTTTCCATGTCAAGCATACTGATCTGTGCCTAGTATCGTTGTAATAACATCCATCGTGGTGGCTTCGACAGCAGCCGCCGTCTCATCGCGATTTGGAGCATTCTCTAGAGTTGGTGGCATCATCGGAAGCAGTGTCTCGGCCACCTTCCTGATCGTGCTTGGTATCATGAACGTGTTCATTTTGTACAAACTTATCAAACAGCTTCGTGAGATCATCAATTCTCCCGCTGACTCGCCTGAGCCCGAGTTCACCATTGAAGGCGGAGGATGTCTGTTTCGTGTATTGAAAGGCATGTTCAAGCTCATTGATCGGTATGTTGTTGGTGGAACGAGAGTCAGATGTAACTGGAGCTGACAGAAATTGTGCAGTCCATGGAAGATGTATCCGCTAGGTGTTCTCTTCGGCCTAGGATTCGACACATCATCAGAGATCGCCCTGTTGGGCATCAGTGCCATCTCCGCCAGCCAGGGAACATCCATCTGGCTCATCCTCATATTCCCTGTTCTATTCACCTCGGGCATGTGCTTGCTAGATACTATCGATGGATCTCTCATGTGCGCCGTCTACACTTCTACCCGTCTCGCAAAGGACCACATCGCTGTACTATATTACCAGGCTGTTCTCACTGGTGTCACCGTGCTCGTGGCTGTGGTGATCGGTGTTATCCAATTCCTCGGTATGTTGCAGGGAGCGGCTGATCTCGAAGGCGGATTCTGGGATGGTGTCGAAGTTGCAAGTGACAATTATGACATTATCGGTAAGTTGCCCTTTCTCGTGTCACATCTAGAACTGTACTAAAACCATTTTAGGTGGTGCCATCTGTGGCAGTTTTGTTGTCTTTGGTGTCGCGAGCGCTATTCTCTATCGACCATGGAGAAAACGTGTGGATGCAAAGCGAAACGCGCTGGTTCTTATGAGACCATACGAAGAGGACCAAGACCAAGTGAGAGAAGCTCATGGACAACCCGAGATCATGCTCGAGGAGATCTCAACACCACAAGTTCGTGCTGACAGGAAAGGAGATATTGTGGTGTAATTAGGACCAACTTACAAGAACCGATTCTATCTCCGATCTGTTTCCAAAACACCTTGCAGCATAACAACTTTTTGAGATTCGGAAGCTCAGTGCTTCAGCTTCTTCCCACTCAGTTCAAAACATCCGGCACTGCTTCAATACCTTCCGTGATATAGCGCTGTACGGTATCTGCTTGCTCTGCATAGAATTTGTGCATAGTCTCATCATTGACATAGCCCATGTGGGGTGAAAGAACCACAAGTGACCGGCCATCTTTGCCCCAGGCAGTGTTACGCCAAGGGCTGTTTAGAGGCAGTGGCTCCACGTCAAAGACATCCAACGCTGCACCCCTGATAGCACCCTGGTTGAGAGCATCGAGTAGCGCCTTTTCGTTGATCAGGGGACCGCGAGAGGTGTTGACCAGAATGGCATTCTTTTTCATGATGGCGATCTCAGCTGCGCCGATAGTGCCTCTGCTACGATCCGAGAGCACATAGTGCATACTGACGACATCTGCTGTCTTCAGCAGCTCTTCTTTGGTCACAGCTTTGATGGAACCTTTGGGAAGGCCTGCCTTCTCGGCTGCTTCGTCAGCTTTTTCTTGGGTCAAGTTTGCACTCCACGAGACGACCTTCATTCCAAATCCTAGGATGGCTGTACGCGCAGCATTGGTACCAAGCCTACCGAGACCAACGGCTCCATAAGTCTTGTTGGAGAGAGTGAAGCCAAGACCTGTTTGGAAGGCACCACCTGAGCGCAAAGCGGCATCCTCGATTGGTATGCGAGAAGCAAGAGCAAGGATGAGGGCGAAACAATGCTGAGTCGTAGCGTCATATTCAGGTGCTGGAGCTATCAATGAGGGGAGGTCCGCATGAGTGATGTTGCGATTGCCCGGAGCGGTAGCAACAACGATGCCGAGTTCTCGTGCGGCTTCCATGTCGATAGCACGATTGCGTCTGGCGGTGGTAACAAGGAGTTTGAGGTTGGGCAGCGCAGCGAGCAAGTCTTTGGGAAATGGAGTCCGCTCCCGCATGGAGCTGATAATTTCATATTGACCGAGACGAGTAGCCAGTGCTTTTATGTTCTCCGGGCTGTTGGGCGATATGGTGTCGGGGAAGCTGTCGACATTGAGATTCTGGATGTGCTTGAAATAGGTGGGGCCTATGCCAGCATAGTCGTCCAAAATGGCAAGAGAAGGCATTTTTGCGTGAGAGCTGAAAAACAAAGTGTTGGAAGAAGAATGGCTCAGAAGGTGTAGTGGAGCGGGACAGAACGGTAGTCAGTCTGGTTCTTACGATGATGTGCTGAGGGGCAGGAGCTTCCCCCGGATGCTAGCAGCGGTATATACGAGAGGCTTCATCATGTCAGTGCCGAGGCAATGATTGATGGTGGATATATGAGCAGTATGAGCAGGAAGAAGCAAAAGCACCTCTTCCTGACATGCAACAATACCGAGGCCACGACACGAGGAGACGTTTTTGACAGAGGCAAAAGAGGAAGGCACCAAGGCGCAAGAGCAAGTGAAGGCTTGGCATCGGATTGTGATTGTCGATTGCTCCACACTTCGCGACAGCCAGCTCGCGCGAGCTTCTTCTTCTTCTTCGTCTTCCCATGTCTTGGTAGTAATCAGCTTCCATTCTTACAGCAGGATCGCCAGCGATCATGGGCTCTCTGCTACAGTTGTCCGACGTCGCCGAGTTGATCCCACGACGTGATGCTAACTGCTTCCGCGAGAGTGTCGCCGACCTGCTTGGCCGCACGTCAACTCACTTCCCTGGCGCCCAGCCAGTGAGCTTTTCGCGCCGCCATTTCCGTGAACTGCAAGACACCGACTACTGGCTATGTGAGAAGACCGACGGCATTCGCTGCCTCCTCTACTTTACTACCTTCCCTGACGGCAACAACGGCCATCGAGAAGCCCATATGCTCATCGATCGCAAGAACGACTACTACAATATCGATAACGAACATTTTCACTTCCCACTCCCCGACGGCCCCGACGCCAGTTATCATACCGAAACTCTGCTAGATGGCGAGCTTGTTCTGGACACGCTACCCAATGGTGAACAACAGAGAACCTACTTGGTCTTTGACTGTCTTGCTGTCGACGGCAAGTCCTTGCAACAGCGCACATTGGACAAGCGGCTGGGTTATTTTGTCGAATCCGTACTCAAGCCTTACAACAAGCTTCTGAGCCGATACCCTGAGGAGAAGGATGAACAACCCTTTGTAATCACTGCAAAGAAAATGGAAAAGGCGTACGGTGTCATGATGATGATAAAAGACGTCTTGCCCAAGCTACCACACGGCAGCGATGGCCTCATTTTCACTTGTCGAACTTCGCCCTACACAAGCGGTACGGACCCAAAAATACTAAAGTGGAAGCCGCCACACGAAAACTCAATCGACTTTCGATTACAGTTGGGCGAGTTTCCATCCATCACAGAGGACGGTCAAAGATTCACAGATTACGATGCATGTCCACCAATGTTGTTGCTGGTGTTCCATGGCGACAAGAGAAACGAAGTCTTTGCCAACCTTTACGTGACCGAAACCGAATGGGAAAGCATGAAAGGCATGCAGCAGATTCTGGACGGGCGGATCATTGAGTGTTACAAAGACGAGCAAGGCCGATGGCGGTACAAGAAAGAGCCAAACGGCGAGCCGCGGTTCCGAGACGACAAGACGGAAGCCAACCATATCACGACGGTTGAAAGCGTGCTAGAAAGTATTGAGGATGCCGTGAGCGAGCAAGACCTTTTGGACAACGCCAAGATGATCAATGCACAATGGAAGAGACGTGAGGCAGAGGCGTCAAGGCCACAGGCGAACGGCGCGCCACGTTAGCTGCGAAGGGAACACTGATGAATTGACGACTGGGGAAGAAACGATTGGGGATTTGGAGAGAGAGGATTCGCTCTATGGATACAGACGTTCACAAAGATACCCACTTACGGCACGGCGTATGGTAGTGCCAAAGCAAAGAATACGATGATTTACGCACGACATCAAGTCGAGAACGAGTCGTGTAGAACAAAGCGAATGGAGTGACTGTAAGGGGTGAGTCGAATCTTGCTATGTACCCAGCTACCTAGTTAGCTACCTAGTTATTACTGCAGTTGAGGTAATCATGTGTTAAAGTAGGTAGACTTTCGTGTGCTTGACGCGCCACGGATTTGCGGAGACGCCCAAAGTCCAAGCATCACGAAACGACAATGATCTAGAGTAACGACAAGACTACTTCACTTCGGCTCACACGGACAACTCTGGTCCAAACATCACATGAGCGTGCTCAAGACCCGCAAACAAATTCCCAGACCAAACCAACCTTGATACTCAAATCCACCCTCTGGCCATACTGCGACCGTCCTCATTGTCTGCTCTGCCTGGCCCCGCCACCAACACTTGTTCCTCTTTGGTTCAGAATATCACCTTGATTCCAGAAAAGACAGTATCGGCATTCTCAGACAACACACCATCGTCCTGCCATTCGGCCGCTACAAGTTCAGTCCGCGACCGCATATAAAGAGCAAGGAAGACGACGGTCAAGACTCAAGATTGTCTAGCCGAAGGAGGTGAGGGAGGATCGAGAGGCAAGCAAGAGCTCTGGCCTAGTGGTGCGTGGAGGGGCAGAGAGTAGATGGATCCGCAGAGCGTGGCCTTTGTTCCTCACAACGACTCGTGGCGCTTGTGCAACGACTTGCTGCGTCTGCAGCAGGTCCAGCAAGACCACACCGACCGCCTACTACGTCTTGAACGCCGCCACGAAGACGACGCCAGGATGAAGTCGGTTTGGGGCGCCACCTCTCCTTTCCCCAGCGTCCTGAGTAGCACTCCTCAGCAGGCTCCCGTCCACCACCTCAAGGACTTCGACGATGAGCCCGTCAACCTGATTGGCAGCCTCCACCTTGATCCTGACGACGAGCCCCGCCGTATGGGTGCAACCTCTCGCGCCAACAGCGTCCGCTTTGACGAATCTGCCAACCAGGGCCATTGGGCTCATGCCTCGCGATCCTCGATCGACTTCCTTCCACGCAGTACGAGCAGCTTGGCCGGTCTCGGTATGACCGAGCGCACTTCGTCTCACAAGTCTGATGGCCGTGCCAGCTCGGTTCATTCTGTGAGATCTGCCGCTTCAGGCCGTGCCAGCAGCATCAATCTAGACGCTGGCTATGCTTCTCCCGTCGACACTCCAGCAATCGCTCCTGGCCTGTTGATCTTGGGGCCCGTCCCGGCCATTGTGCGTTGCTGGGCAAACACGAATTTCAAGCACGACTCCCTTCTGTATGCTGCTGTGTCTACCGCATCTTACAAATCTCAGGTAGATGAGCGTCTGGTCCAACATCTAGGACTGGAGCACTGCATAGTGGAAAGCGCTTCTGGTGGAAGGTCGCTCGCTTTGTCCGTCTACTTTGCAGAAGCTGTCCCACACCCCGTCTCAACAAGATCGAGTAGTCCAGCACCACAGGTTCCGTCAGTCACAGTCGAGTTTAGCATTGTCGCCTCGACGCAACCAGGGCTTGACTCTAAGGCTATTCAGATCGTTATCGGCAGTGATGTGCTTCGGTCACATAACGCTGACATTCTGTTTTCATCCAACAGCATGACCATATTTGACGACGATCAGTGCAAATTGTCTATTCCCCTTGTTCGACCTGAGAATGAGGCAACTTTTAACTCGTTGTTCATCTCGTCTTTACAACCAACAGAGCTCCACCAACATATGATGCCAGAAGAACCGGCCCAGCTCAATGGACTGGGTCAAACGGAACCGAACACTCCGTCTAACGAGTTGATTTTCGAGGATGGACTTTCACAACCAGTCGCTGACACTCTCCAAGAAGCAACCGAAAACTCAACGGTTGAGGAGGACTTCAAACCCAGCGGGCCACAGTCATCTGCTTCAAAGGGTGTCCGGTCTGAAAACAAGGATTCCACTTCGTCGACGCAAGGCCCGACTTCTGCACCACCGACCTCATCGCCATCTATATGGAGTAATTGGCGTCGTGAGACATCGAGTCAAAGCAATGGTTCTGAGACGGCGGGTGCTACATCCAAGACCAAAGACATGGGCTATCAACGGCGAGATGCTGGCATCAAAGTGCTGAGACCAACAAGAAGTAGCGGACGGACGTTTTCCAGTGGGTCGGTAGCATCGTCGCCCGCTGGAGAGGGAAGATCGCGTTATTTTGACGATGGGAAGAAGAGAGGGCTGGACACTGTCGCGGGTGAGGAAAAAGGTACGAGAATAACGGGAGATGTGCCAGTCGAGGCAGTGACGAGTAAGACAAGGAGCAATCCAGCAGGCGGAGCTTCAGCTTTCTCGTGGCTGCATTCGGGAAACAGAGCCTAAGGCAGCGAAACGCAAGAGCATGTGCGGTGCAGACGATTCTCTTTGCTTTTCGAAGAGGACTATAGAACAAAGTATCTTTATTAATGGTCAATTAACGCCTTTTGAATAAGCTTGAGGCTAAGCTGCTCGATGACAATGTCACTGTGAAGGCCAAGCTATTGGGAATGTATAGACCGGCAACGTTGGCGATTGCGACAAGTGAAGTGGACCAAGTTGATCTGTTTGTCTGTTCCTGTAGGCAAACGGAGGAAGCGGCTCTGTAGCGTGGTGGTCGTGACAGACAGGTTGGCGCAGATCACAGCTCGTTCAAGCGACCATCCCCAGGTACGGGATCTGAAGGCAGATCAAAAATCTACGTCAACGCCCTGTCGCAGGACAAATTGCACCTCGTTAGCACCAGACAAGCACGTGCAGCAAGCATCGCCGGACGTCGTGTCGCTGTATATCTACGGCCATCTCTTTGATCCAACAGAGCTGCCCTCCAGCGGCGGCTCCCCCAGCGTCAAGACGGCGTCCTCAAAGAAGCAGAAAGTCGTCCACCCTGCCGCAGACGATCCGAGACACGCATACCATCACTCGGTCCATGACCCTGGCCGCCAGCCGTCGTCGCCGCAGTCCTCGTCTTCGCCCTCCAGCAACCAAGCTGCAAACACTCCTTCGTCGCCGCCGCGCTACATCCCTCCCCACCTGCACGCCGACTCACGAGCCAGCTCTCCCAGCGACGCCTACGCTCAGCTGAACCTGGCCGAAGACATGACCCACTCCACCGGCCAAGAGGACGCTGATGCTCCCAATCCCACCCAACGCCCTGCCTCGCCCGCCAAGCGATCTGCTGCTATCATGGAAGGCTTTGACCCTGCCCAAGACTCCCTCACCTCAATCCCACCCACAGATGCCCCTCCGGCATACCACGCCGACCAACAGCCTGCTGATTCACCGTCCACACCGAGCATCCAAGAGCAGGTCACACACATCCAGTCTCTACTCAACACACCCATAGAAGACGGTTCAAAGGGCTTCGTCGTGGCATCTAGATGGTTCAATCGCGTCGTGGCTAGAACAGAAGGTGCTAACCAGAAGGACTTTGATGTCGATTTGTTGCAGGGGGAGATTGGCAAGGTTGACAACTCATCTGTCATTGCTCCAGGTAGGTGCAATGCTGTTGCCACGTCAGGCCATCGCTAAAGCTGTATCCACAGGTGCATTTGACGACCCGCTCGCCTTTCCCGGAAACCCCGATCAGCCCTTCATCCCTCTGCGCGCCGACGTAGAAAGGCCCCTTGACTACGAGATATTCACCGAAGAAGCATGGCGTCTGATCGTCGCGTGGTATGGCACAGTCGACGGTCAGAAGTCCATTGTTCGTTTTGCACACAACTCGGCACCTCTAGGTGCACCATCCGCTCATATCATCTACGAACTGAGCCCGCCTGTCTTGACTGTACGCAAAGTAACAAGTGCCCCTCAACCCACTCAAGTCGATGCAGCTGCTGTCAAGCTGGTCGCTTCACGTACTGAGCGCTTCCAAAGCTTCCTCGCTCGCGCAAAGGAAGCTGCCGGTATTCCCTTGCAGCACAAGGTCAGGATTTTCAGACAGCTAGACCCTACAAAGGTTTCTGGTGACATGCCTGCGATCGCTCCACCGGGTATTCCGAGCCCTCCGACTTCACGAAACCCTTCTCCATCACCTCCTGCGTCTTCGAAACTTGTCGTTGAGAGCTCTACTTTTGCCAAGTGGACCGAAGGAACAAACTTCGAACCGGTCGATGGTCAAGATCACACTGCGAACGAGAAGTACAACGGTAAAGTGGACCTCGGTACACTTGGCTTGATTTCAAATCAGACTTTGATTCTCGAGGAACAGCAGCGTGGAGCAGGCTTTGTCTCAGACGTGGCTAAGAAGCAGAAGAAGAGCACGGAAACCACGAGCAAACAGACCAGCCCTGCTCCCACAGCCCCCGTCACTCGAGGACGCACTCGCAAGGATGGCAGAACCCGTGGCACTATTGGTCTGATCAATCTTGGCAATACGTGCTACATGAACTCAGCCCTACAATGCATAAGTAGAGTTGAGGAGCTGGCCGTCTACTTCCTTCATCAGAAGCACAAGCCTGAGATCAATGCCGACAATCCGCTTGGCTACAACGGTAGAATCGCAAATGCCTATGCTAACTTCCTGGCTGGACTCTACAGCGACAATGCCACTTCTGCCTATCGACCCAACGGTTTCAAGAGCGCTCTTTCCATGGCACAGCCTATGTTCTCAGGTTACGGGCAACAGGACTCGCAGGAGTTCCTGAGTTTCCTGGTTGACGCTCTGCACGAAGATCTCAACCGCATTCACAAGAAGCCCTACATTGAGAATCCAGACTCCGACGATAAGACCGTTCATGATCCAGAGGCCATCAGGCAGCTCGGCGACACGTACCGGAAGAACCACCATGCTCGCAACGATTCTATCGCTATGGATCTATTCAACGGCTTCTACAAGAACACCATGGTCTGTCCTGACTGTGACAAAGTCAGTGTGACCTTCGACCCATATTCTCTTCTTACTCTACAACTACCAATTGAGAACACGTGGCAAGCGAAGATCATGTTCATGCCCGTCACCGGATACCCTTCTGCTTTCGAGGTGGACGTCGAGAAAAACATTTCTGTCAGGGCGCTGAAGGATATCTTTGTTGGTAAAATCGGCCGTGGGCTTACCCGTGAGAGACTCATCTTTGCCGAAATGTTTAGTCATCGTTTCTACAAGATCGGGTACGACAGCCAGACTCTGTCGGAGCTCGACTTCTCGAACACTGATGTTCTCTGTATGTACGAGCTCCCAGAGGTGCCGACGAATGCAGCCTTCGTGCCAAAGAAACAGATAGCCTACCGCTCGATGTACCACGATTCGTCGGATGATCCTTTGCCAGGAATGGACTCGCCCCTAGCAGAGACTATGGCGATGCCCGTCTTCCACTCCAAGTCGGACAGGCGTTCGTCGGGCTTGGTCCTTAACCCAACTCTGATCACCATCACGAGAGAGGAGGCCAAGGACTATGATGCAATCTTGAGAAAAGTGCTTGGTTCTATTGCCACCATGACCACAAAGCGTATACCCGAGCACAGTCAGAGCAAGCAGGGTCAAAGTGCGGCCGAGGATGTCCAGTCTGACGCTGATGTCTCCATGCGCGACGGTAGCCAGACACCCTCGGCGCAGCTGTCAGATACCCTGCAGTCTGCAAGCTCCATCTCCCAAGACCCGAGAAACATGTTCGAGCTTAAGTATGTTCAAGCAACTGGCGACATGTTCATGACAGGAACAAACAGCATCGGCAACAGTCACCCCATACAGAGCCGTGTCCGGACCGTTGAGCGACGTAGAGGCAGCACCACTTCAGTGACTTCAAACACATCTGCAAGGAGTAAAGACTCTGGCTACGATGGTCAGGGTAAGAGCTCGTCTGAAAGTGACGAGGATGCTGACCCAATGGTGGATTCGTTCAAAGCCAACGATCAGAGCACATTCTCTGGTGATGTACAGAGCGATGATGAGTTAGGCATGGGTTCGCTCGAACAGTTGTCGGCAAAGGACAATCGCAGACGTAAGTTTGACAAGAAAAAGCTCAAGAAGACGTATTCGCGCAAAGGCGGTCGTCCAAACAACAAAAACCGAGCGCGTTCTAACCCACTTCGCTCTATAGCAGCAGCAGATGAACCCACAGCAGAAGACAACGAGTTCTACGTCAGACTCGGCGAAGGTATTCTGGTAGAGTGGCAGTCAGACGCCTTCGAGTCCATGTTCGGCGGTGGCAACGGTAACGGTCAGTTTACATTCAACGAGAAGGAGGTTCCTTTGGTAGACGATACCGAGCTCCAGGTAAGGAGAAACAAGCGTATGCAACGCAAGAAAAACGGCATCACTCTCGACGACTGCTTCACCGAGACCGGCAAGACCGAAGTGCTATCAGAAGACAATGCATGGTACTGCGGCAGATGTAAGGAGCTTCGCCGTGCCAGCAAGACATTGGAGCTGTGGACAGTGCCCGACATTCTGGTCGTCCATCTGAAACGTTTCAGTGGCGAGCGATTCAGGCGCGACAAGGTAGACGTCCTAGTTGACTTCCCCATCGAAGGACTCGACTTGACCAAGAGAGTTGGGTGCAAGGAAGAAGGCAAGGAGTACGTTTACGACTTGTTTGCTGTCGACAATCATTATGGCGGTCTTGGTGGAGGCCATTACACAGCCTATGCCAAGAACTTCTATGATGGTAATTGGTACGATTACAATGGTAAGGCATAACAGGTGAACATCATTCAGATTTGCACGATTGCTAATTCATGCATAGATTCTTCCGTCGGTCGACAGAACGCAGAAGGAGTTGTGTCTACAGCTGCGTACTTGCTCTTCTACCGCCGCCGCTCAGCCACGCCGCTAGGCCCTGCATACCTTCAAGAGTTGGTTCTCAAGGCACGCAACCCTGATGAAGCCTCCGAGGCAGAGGACGAGTCGGGGGAAGGCGAGCGTCTCGGCGACCACTCCTCAGCTACCTCTCGCCTGCTTGGGTCGTCGAACGCTGGAGCAGTCGAAGCAGGAGCCAGAATCACCGGGACGCTTCATCGGGGAGCCAACGCAGGTGGCCCTGGCAGAGGAGTGAGCCAGGCAGCGAGGTTGATGAATGAGGTCGATGACGACGAGGGCATCTCTTTGAACGATGAGCTCTATGGCAACAATAGCAACAGCATTACTGCCGTTGCGCTGGCCAACCAAGATGCCACTTGGGGGTTTGACGGCTTGGGTGAGGAGGATGATAACACCACTTCTGTCAACACACCTGCCGACACTTCTTCGGATCGTCCGGACGTTGGCTCGGACATCGAAGACCGATTGATGGACCTGGATCGTGATACTAACTTCGACGACAATGACGATATGCCTTCGCTGGCGGGTGATGAAGTGATGACTACAGAGGGACCCGGACAATTTGACGAACCTCTCTCAAGCGTACATCAAGACGAATAGACGTCGACCTGCTCGGTGGTTTGGCAAGCTTGGCTGGTGGCAATTCAAAAGGTCAAGGTGACTTTTGCAGAAGCGTGTGTCTCGCAAACAAATGATGGTCTGGGTCAGAGATGCAACTAGAAAAGCCAATCATAGAAGTAGACGGAAAAGAAGTCCGATTCGCTGGAAACATCAATGCAAGTTTCAAAGATACCTGGCCAAACCGATGATACTCTATTCGTGAACAACATCTTCCATGAGCCTCGTTTGCTTGACCTCAAGTGACCATGATCTGAGGGCACGTCTCGTAAGACCAGCGTCATACATGGCTCTCTTGTCGGCGAATGCGCTGCAGTAACATATTCAAACTCGGCATTCAACCACCTGCATCACACATTCTCCGCACGAATCCAAGTCAAGGTCACTCCGCAATCCCAGCATTGCTGCAAGAGAAGCCGGGGAAGGACTACCCTCGGTGGCTTGATGTAGAGGTCAAGAATCTTTCAGCCTGCCCCATGCTGGCTTGACATCCACCGAACCATGCTCGTCTACAATCTTGCCCCGATCCCATTCTCGGCCCTCGCCTTTCTTTGTCCAGACGACATCCTCTTCTGACTTTTCGCCGCCCTTCTCCCATTTGCTAACCTCTTTCTCGGTGAAACCAGCTGCACGGAGTCTGTCTGCGCCTTGCTGTTTCCATTTCTGGCGATCCCGTAGAGCTTCAAGAGCCTGGTCCCAGTCATCGTCTTCTTGTGGATCTGGTCGCACATCGGCAGACGGGTCGTAATTCGAGGAGAAATGGGAGTCGATGGCCGAAGCATGGTTTTGAGTGCCACGACCTCGTAAACGGACTGGATGATTTGACGGTGGGGCAGGACCAATAATGGCATCTAGAGGATCGGAGTCGGAAGCGTCGGATTGTGGAGAGTGCTTCGCGCTGCGGCGACGAGTCGTGTCCTCTGACGACTTGGATGGTCTAGTCGAGGCATGGCGATTGCGTGGCGAACGGGAGCGGTGTCTAGTGCTTGTATGGCGGTTGCGTGGTGAAGATGAGCGGTGTCTTGTTGATTCGTGACGTTTTGAGTCGGGCGAGCGACGGTGTCTATGACTACGGCGTGGTGAAGAGCGGTCTGGTGATTCGTGACGACGGTGGGAGCGGGAGCGTGTGGCCTTGGCATCAGGAGAAGGGTGACGATGGGAGCGAGAGTGTGTGGCCTTCGCATCAGGAGAAGGGTGACGATGGGAGCGAGGCTTCTGGTCGGGTCTCGAGTGGTCTTGGGCAGGGTCAAGACGTCTCCTCTTGGGGTTGTGCCTGTCTCGGGCAGAGTAGAGTTGCTGAGCAGGACGCTGGGAGTGAGAGTTGGACAGGTTCTGCAGACGGAGTCTTGATTCTTGGGCTTCTTTCTTGAGCAGGGCCGAGTTGTGGTTGTCTGTGTGGCGGAGGATGTTCCTTAAGAAGGTGGTATTTGGTTTCGGAGCATTGGCGGATCGCGAGCTGGTAGCGAAGGCATCAGCGATGCGACACACAGGATAGTAGCGCTCACGGATGGCACCTTTTGTCAATCAGTGAAGCGAGTCTCGACGATGACGAGGACACGGCCTTTGCGTCTCGCTTGAGCATTTCGGTGACATAGTCGTCGGTGATGTCGTCGTGTCCAGACACGGGCATGTTCTCTATGTTGTTGATGGACTTGAGGAGAGTTGATGGACTGCACCATGTACAAAAGGGAGGGGCCAGAGCTTTTGAGACGAGAAAGAGACGAGCATGTGAAAGAGGAATCGGCCAGGCCGTGACGTTGATTTTGTGGGGAAGCCGCCCTCGGTCGACAAACATGTAAACAACAAAACTGCGACCAACTTGAACAATTCGATACACCAAAATGGCTGAAACTGAAGATTTGTCGCTCACCATTCTCAGCCTAGCTGAACCGCTGCTCTCTGCCCATGGTGGCGGCGATGGCATCACCAAGTCATCGCTCGGTGCAGAGCTCGAGCACTACAAAGATCTCTTTTCCAAGTTGCGCTTTTCATATGTTGAACAAGTCACCAAAGAGAACTTTCTCAAGGCCATAGTCGCCAACCCGCCACAGCTGGTCGATGCTGCTGAGAATGCCCGGCTGGAACAAGATCTGGCTCAAGCAAAAGCCGCTCTCAAGGCAAAGAAAGAAGAGACCAACCAGAAAGTTCGAGAACTGCAAGAGCTGGCATCTCGTCTGGCACAATGTAACCCCTTCGCCCTTTCCTCTTGCGCTCTGTCACTGACTCCAATCGTAGCCCATGACTTGATCCAACTGCAAACCACTCAACTGCACGCTCTGCCTGCCGACATCCAGAACCTCCAACTCACCATCGCAAACCTCAAAGCCGCCCAAGAAGCCCCCTCGTCCTTGCCCATGCTCAACCTTCCCCTCCATTCCACAAACGCCCTCCTGTCAGAAAAGGAATCAGAACTCGCCCGACTCGATCGTGAGATCGCTCAACTTCAATCTGCCTTGCCCGACAAGAAACGCTGCGTCGCTGCCCTGAAGGCTGACCTGGAGCCCATCGAGTCTCGTAAACGCTCCGCCATTGCAGACGCTCAAGACGCTCATAAGAAGCGAGGACAGCATTCTCTTGCACAAGACCTTGACGAGAGGGGAAAGTGGCTGAAGTCGGCTGATGCCGGTCTCCGTTTGATGCTTCAGATCTAATCTCTTTGTCCTTTGGACGTGTCATGGTCCTCTTCCTTCTTTCTCTTGATTACCTAGATACCCAATTCAACTTTGCTTTTCTTCTCTCCGTCTACACATCTTCTGCCTTTGCGCACCCATCCTACTGTGGTCCTGTGTTGTGTAGCGATATCTTTTGTGAAAGTCGAAATCGTGTTGTATTCAGAGTATAGAACCAAGTCGCAACCATTCTACAATCATTGCTACCGTGACTTCGTGTAAGACCCTAGTTCATGAGACAGATTACATTCGAGCGAAGGGGGTAAACGAAAAAAAGAAAAAGAAAAAACCAAAACTAAGGTATATCGCAAACAAGACAAGAATCAATCAAGAAATCGAAAGAGAGCAGGAGGCAGAAAACAGAAAACAGAAAACACATCGGGATCCGTATATCATCACGGACCTTCTCCGCCTTGCACCACAGCAGTTTTGTGAACAGTAGGTTACAAGGGTCAAGCTCTAGGTTATTCTGCTCATGCCCGTTCCTTGACTGGTGGGTGCGCGGCTGCCTTCGAAGAGGAAGTCACGGGCTGAGCAGCTGAACTCGAGGTGCTCGGTCGCTCGTCGTCATCATCATCATCACCAACTTCCAATCCACGTCTCCAGTTGTCCAGTCCAAACTCTGCCGGCGCGGTCCCGCTCGTCGGTGTCTTTTCGAACTCGAGGTCGCTGATACGATACGACTTGTTGGTCGTCTCCCACTGCGTACGCAGAGCGTCGAGCTCCGTGGCCAGATTGTCGAGTGCGAGGCTATCACGTCCGTCTGGGACTTCGACGTCACCGGTCTCTGAAGCTGCAACACTCTGCGAGTAGATGCTGTCTCCTCCCAATGATTCTCCTCGGGAATGGCCTCTAGAGTGTGCAGGTATGAAATTGGCAGTGCTGGCGCTCACGTTGCTTAATGCTCTATGATGTCCAAATCCGTTTGCAGCACCGTTTGGCATCGAGGATTGACGGCGGTAATTGTCCACAGATGACTCGACCTGATCAAGCAGAAGCTGCACCTTGTTCTCGGCATCTCGAGCGCGCTCCTCCAGATGCGCATTCTCCCTTTGTAGGCGCTCAAGATCCGCTCGTGAGGTCTCGTGTGTCGACTGGAGCGCGGCGAAACTCGATTGCGTGTTCTGATGAGAGTTGCGCAGAGTATTGATATCGGCTTCTCTATCGCCCAGCTGACGATGCAGAGTTGAGATTTGAGCCTCGAGGTCCGTCTTCACCTTTTCAAGATCCTTGCGAAGGTCATCTCTCTCGTCGCCATGGTTGACATTGATCTCGTGGTCCAGACTACGAGTGTCATTCTCTTTTGTACGCATTGTGTCCAGTTCCTTGGCATAGTCGGCGGCTTGGTTCTTCACGCGTTGCAGTTCCTGCTTCATCTTACTGAGCATCTTCTCAGTGCCACGAAGGTACTTCACAGCAGCCTGATGGTCGTTATGCAATGTCGCAAGTTTCTCCTCGTACTCCTTCCTGGTAAGACCCTCACGATCCTGCATCTCTTCGAGGCTAGTCTTCGTCTCTTCGTGCGCCCTGAGGTTGGCTTCCAACTGCTGCTCCAGTTCCTTGACACGCTGAATATCAGGGGTGCCAAATCTGATCTGCGACGAAGGCGAGTCAAAGCCTCGAGATTTGCGGACATCGACAGGGTTGACACCACGCTCAGACAGGATGTCCTTGAGCGCGCCGTGTTGCACAGCAATGGCATTTGTTTCCAGCTGTTGGCTCTGTAATTGCTGCTGCAAGTCGGCTCTTTCTTCTGAAACGGTTCTAGCCTCTTTGAGTGCTGCTTGAAGTTGCTTGCGAATCGTCAATCCTTCACGAGAGGCCTGCTCTTGATAAGACTCCAGTCCAGCAATACGCTCCTCAGCACGTCGCAACTTCTCTGAAGCAAGATCTGCCGCAGCCTGGTTTTGCCTGGCCATAGCGTTGGCCGTCTCAACCTGTCCCTGAAGGATAGAAACTCGCTCGTCGTCGCCGTTGCGTGTATCGGTGCCGCGACTGGAGATTTTGCCGAGGCCATCAAGAACAGCTTGACGATGAGTACGTGCCTCAGCTGCATGTTTCTCTGCAAGACCTTCTGCATCTCTGAGGCGCCGGCTGGTACTTTCGAGCTCCGTGGCACGCTCTTCGTGTTGTGTTCGGAGTTGCGAAACTTGCTGCTCAAGCTCATTGCGTTCTCTCTTCTCCTCTTCGAGGCGTTCCTCGAGGAGATTGGATTTGTCAGTCGACGCTGCCAGTGCTTCACGTAGGGATCCAAGAATTGCTCCGTGTTGCGCTGCCTCTGCGAGAGCATTCTCCAGTTTGGTGTTGAGCTCGGTCTTGTCAACGGCGAGAAGTTTGTGGGAGGTGAGTGCATCGGCATGGTTGGCAGAAGCTTCTCTGGAAGTCTTCTGAGCCTCGTGTAGTTCGTCGCGCAGTGACTCGATCTCTGCGGCGATGCGCTGTCTGTCGGTGTTGAGCTCGGTGACGCGCTGCTGAGCGGCTTCCGCAGTTTCTTCTGCCAAAAGTCGGGCCTGCTTCTCAGCTTCCTTCTCATGAATCAAGCTGTCGATTTTACGGGACAACTCGGTTTGAGCTGCGAGTGAGGATGCAAGCCGCCTGTTCATATCACCGACGCGATCTGTGTCGGGAGTACCATGTCGGCTAGAGTCCGGGAGGGGTGAAGCGCCTCCTTGACCTGCAAGCTTTGCTTTGGCGAAGACCGCTTCGCTGATGGCCGTGTCTCTCTGCTTTTCTATCTCAGCGATACGAGCGGCCGCGGCTTCAGCTTGGCTGTCAATAGAGCCTTGCACCTTGGCCAGCTCTGCGCGCATACGGAGCAAAGCTTCTACAAGCGGCCTATCGTCGTCGCCGAACGCATCAGTAGGGCGTTCATCGAAGGCTGGAGTGTTTGTAGTGCTCCGTGAGTAACCTGCTCTGCGTGCTAGTGTAAGCTCCGACGCGAACCAGGCATTTTTAGTCTTCTCTGTCTCCAGTTCTTTGGACAGACTGCTGGTGCCGTCATTGGATGCAATTGCCTTGTCCAGTGCGCCGTTGCTTGAGACATCTTCTCTTTGTGCATCGTGACGAGCATCATTGGTGATCATCTCTCTTTGGGCGGGATGGCGGGGGATGTCGACTGGAGTTCCTCTATCGACCCGTTCTTGCTGCTCAGGATTTCGCAATGATGGATGTGTGCGATTCGTTGGCTGATCGAGTGATTCTCCGACGATGTCGCGAGCTGGTTGTGGCCCTGCTGTTCTTGAACTAGTCCTGGACGGGGGAGAGAATGTTTGATCAATGGATTTACCGATCGAAGAAATGGGTTGGTGGGTTGGTTTGTACGTCTGCGGTGTTCTGTCTTGGTCGTCATCTAGGCTGGTTGGGTCAATGTTTGCGCTTGGGCCAGCCATTGTAGGAGTAGCGGTTGTTGGCGACATTGTTCTCGCACCAAAGGAGTCATTGTGGAAGGGTCCAGGAGCCATGCGAGTGGCAACAGTGGGCGATGGGCCGGCTTGAACTGGACTCAACGCGCGTTCTGGTCTGGTTGGTTGGCGACTCGGTGGTGTTGTGGGCTTGTTTTGTTGTTGTTGCTGAGGTGCTGGGCCAGGTGCCGGTGGCCCAGCAGCGCGAGGCAACCTAGAGCCCACAGCCATAGGCTCGGGAGCGCGATTGATTGGTATAGAACTATCTCTACCAGGACGTCGAGGGCCATCAAAGTCTGCTTGATCTCGAGGGGAAGCACGACTCTGTGGAATGCCGCTCCTGTCGCCGCTTGGACGTCTATGACCCTGGATTCGCTGATCGGCTGGCATCTGTGATTGAGAGTCGTTGGGGTACCTTATCTTACTGGTATCCAAGTAATACGCAAGACTTAGTTCGGCAGCATCGCGAGGGGCTGAGCTTGGCTCACCACCAGTAACAACAATGTGTTTGCCAAACGCGGTCATGCTGTGTCCGGAGCGAGGTGACGGTGAAGGGCCCATGTTCTGGAAAGTGTACCATCGCCGAGTTGTGATGCGGAAAGCAGCCAGATCGCCGAGATCATTGCCCTCTTCAGTGCGGCCTCCAAACACATACATGACATCGCCGACTAATGCAGCTGCATGTCCCTCACGCGCCACCGGAATGTAGCCAATGCATTCGAGCTGCGACCAGGAATTGGTTCGTGGGTCGTACGCCCAGACGTCGCTGAACCAAGTGACGCCGTCTGTGCCGCCAAAGAGATACAGCTTCTCGTTCCACGTTACGACAGTGTGGTTCGTTCGTGCTGGAGGAATCTGTCCGTGTGGCGGGCCTCCGTCAATGGTATTCTGGATCAACGTCTCCCACCGGTTGCTGGCCTGCTGCAGCGCATTGAGGTCAAACGTGACTAGATCGTTAAAGAAGAAGCCCTCGACCTGGCCACCGAAAATGTAGATCTTGGAGCCAATGATGTTCAGCGAGTGGCCATAACGACCCGGAGGACGGGGGCCTGCCGGAGCAGCTCTTGACCATTGCTTAGTGGCTATCAAAAGTTAGCAAAGACTCGAAACTCGACCAGGAGGTTGAAAACGCACAGGTGTTCAGCAAGTAAAGCGTATCATCGAGCATGTCGGTCTCGTCTGTTTTTGTGTCTCCTCCAAAGACAATGAAAGCGTTTCCAACAAGCAAAGCAGCATGGCCGACTCTGGGACCAGGGCCCTCAGAGGTGGTCGCTACAGGATAGCAGCTGAGGTTGTTGGGGGCGGATTCAATCATCCAAAGATCACCCTTGACGGTGGAACCGTGTATCAGACCACCCATGATGTAGATGGAGCCATCTTTGGAGGAGAGCGAGTTGGCAGCGGCGCCGTAACGAGGGAACGGGTGGTTCGTGGGGACGGTAAAGTTCAAGTGTCGCTGAGACCAGGGATACGGCGAGGAATCTTGGTGAGGTCGCATACGTGAGTGCTAGGAAGCCATGTCAGCGGGCAGTCAAGCACAGCAGACGAATGCGACAGCTTACCTGCAAGTCGCTGTCAGCGCGTTCGCGCAGAGCCTTTTGCTCCGGGCTGGGAGTGTTCGAGGGCTTGTCGGACGACCATTGTGGGCTATCTTGCAGCTTTTCTCCGAGGGAATTGAGCGAGTTGACGCTGGTGCCGGGTGTAGGGGTTTGCTGAGACTTCTCTCGTGGACTCCCAGCAGAGCCGTCTCGAGCATGACCAAGGGCTGAGGCAATGTTGGACGGAGAACCAGGGCCATCCGAGGACTTGATGTTGCGCGTCGCAGCAGGCAGAGCAGAGCCCTGCTGCTTCTTGGACGACTTGAACAGAAACGACATGGTTACGGGAGCGCTCTAGGAGCGCGAGGACGAGGTGAAGGAGACAGAGGACGAGGCAGGCATTAGACGACAGGGAAACTCCGGGGACACACGGCGAATGTCATGAGTAAGTTAGCGAATGGACGGCGACTATGCTCTAGGGGAGAAAAAAGGCAGGGAACGTTGTTGGAATGGCGATGAGCACGCGTGTAGATTAGGAGGCTGGCAATTGTCCTTTATTCATTTTGGCCATCTCTCCACCCCAGCCCGGGGCAACCATCAGATATTATTTAATGCAGGCTAATTCGGCGACCTGAAACACCAGCTTACTGCATGGAAGAAATGGCTACTGCCAGTCCTGCTGCTCAGCAAAAGGGTCTCGATGAGCATGCATGCCTACGACAAAGCGTGTCATGCCGAACGGTGCAAACAGTTGGACGATGTTGGAGAGGCTGGCCACCTCGAAGCCTCGACCAAGAGACAGGCGCTGGCTGCCCTGCTTCTCGGTTGAACAATACGTCTTTGTTGCCGTCACACGACTTGCAGGCGCTACGCAAGAACCCGGATGCCAACACTCTGACTTGACGACTCGATCCGCCCGAGATACATAGACTATGCTTGTCCATGCATCGCAGCCAATAATACTCGGGAAGTGAACAGCAATCAAAGGCCAGACAGGCCTCGAGAAGCGGACCCGAACGCCAAAGCCGGGGGGCCAGTGCTACAATCGAGAGGATGCCCGTGCGCGAGGTCGCAGTCAATGCGTGCTCTTGCCTGATTCATGCATCGCCTGTGTCTTATCAGATCAATCCCCGGAAGGCAGAGCAGCCTGAGTCGTGACTTCGTGCATAGTGACCGAGTGCCTGTCCTGCCTGCTGTTCGTTGCTGTCTACTCGTGCTCCAAGACCATCCGCACTTCTCGCCGTTCCTACGCGTCTGTCCTTCTCGTCTGTCAGCTCCGGACCTCCATCTAACCGTAGCATCCGGAGATGCGCTCGTGAACACTCTAGCACGAACCTGATGTCAATGCAGTCTGCCCTCGCCGCGCAATATGAGGGTGGGCGCGCCGCAAGACGATGCGGTCAGTCAATACCGTGCAGCGAAGCATCCGCAACCCGTTCTCGATCCCCTTCCCTCCGACTTGTATGAAGGCAGCATTCAGCAAGCCATCCATCCTAATGCCGACCCTCCGCCGGACCCTCAGACCCAGGCCATCAATGGCAACACCGTAGCCCATCTTCCACCTCCTCATCAGTTTTTCAACCACCCTTCAAATCCATCCGCAGCCGGCTCAAACATTACTGCTTCTCCGTCGGAAGATGGTCCGCTTGGTCCACGGTCCGAGCGGCCTCTGATGCTTCGCGCAAAGAGTGACTACGGTCCAGGAAAACAACGGCAGTCCCTTGCCTCATCATTCGAGCATAGGGACGGAGACGAAGCTTCCAAGTTCAAGATGCGCCACGGCTGGGAAGACCAACTCATGTCACCAGAGCAAGCAAATCTGTTATCGCAGACATTTTATATGTATTACACCGACAAGCGCCATGAGACTGCTGGCAATCCCAAAGAAGCAAAGGACGGTTATCATGTCCAGGAATGGCGTATGAAGGACCGTCTCAAGACCATATCCGCTCTTCTGACCGTCTGTCTGAACATTGGTGTCGACCCGCCTGATGTTATCAAGACGAATCCTTGTGCACGTATGGAGTGTTGGGTCGATCCCATGGGTACCGAGGGCCCCCAAGGCTCTGGTGGTGCTAATCCGCAAATCGGGAAGAACCTACAAACACAGTATGAGACGCTCAGTATGCGCACTCGCTACAAGCTTGTTATGGATCCCAGTATCGAAGAGATGAAGAAATACTGCACTACCTTGCGTCGTAATGCAAAAGACGAAAGAATCCTCTTCCACTACAACGGTCATGGTGTGCCAAAGCCCACCGCGGCTGGAGAGATCTGGGTATTCAACCGCTCCTTCACGCAGTATATCCCTATCTCTTTGTACGATCTGCAGAGCTGGCTCGGCGCACCTGGCCTATTCGTGTACGACTGTTCTGCTGCTGGTCTGATTATCAAAAACTTCCACCCTTGTATTAAGAAGCACGAGACCGACCAAGTAGAGGCTAGACGGCGGGACCCGACGTCGCCTCTGATGAATTGGAGCGATTGCATACATCTGGCGGCTTGTCGCGAAGACGAGTCTCTACCCACCAATCCCGATCTTCCCGCCGATCTGTTCACATCTTGTTTGACTACTCCGATCGAGATGGCTGTTCGTTTCTTCATCCTGCAAAATCCCTTACCCGGGGGTCCCACTCTTTCCGAGGGCCGCAACATTCCTGGCAAGATTTCTGAACGTAGGACGCCTCTTGGTGAGCTAAACTGGATCTTCACTGCCATCACTGACACGATTGCCTGGAATTGCCTCCCTAAGCCACTTTTCAAGAAATTGTTCCGACAAGACTTGATGGTTGCTGCCTTGTTCCGTAATTTCCTCTTGGCTCAAAGGATCATGAGAAAGTACCATTGTCATCCTCAATGTTACCCCGAGATACCGGAGACTCACAATCATCCTCTATGGCAGAGTTGGGACTACGCTGTCGAGATGATCCTCGCTCAGTTGCCTAGCTTGATTCAGCAAGCAAAAGAAGTCAAGGAGCTGGAATATCAACACTCCGAGTTTTTCGCGCATCAACTCAGCGCTTTCGAAGTATATCTCAGCCAAGGCGCACTTGAGCAAAAGGTCCCGGAGCAACTTCCGATCGTTCTACAAGTACTTCTGAGTCAAGTTCACCGTCTGCGCGCCCTGATTCTCCTGGGTAAGTTCCTTGACTTAGGTCCGTGGGCTGTCAACCTTGCACTCAGCATCGGTATCTTCCCCTATGTTTTGAAACTCCTTCAGTCTCAGGCAATTGAGCTCAAACCCGTCATGGTGTTTATCTGGACTCGCATCTTGGCCATTGATCAGTCGTGTCAGTCGGACCTGCTCAAAGACAATGGTTACGCCTACTTCATCAACATTATAAGCCCGCAGACTGGCATTCCGGTTGGCAACATGGCAGAGCACCGGGCCATGTGCGCATTCATCATTGCCATGTTCTGTAAAGACTTTCGTCCAGGGCAGAACGTGTGTCTGAGCACCAATCCAGAGCTCATTGAGAGTCTTTTGAGTCACTTGGTGGACATGGAAAACCCTCTCCTCAGGCAACATTCGTGCTTGTGCATCAGTATGCTCTGGTACGACTTCCCTGAAGCTAAATGGCAAGGTATACGCTCTCAAGCGCACATGCGCCTGTGTGATCTTGCCCTCGATCCCGTGCCAGAGGTTAGAACGGCAATGCTGCATGCTCTGACGAGTTTCTTGGGCATCCCCGATGTGACCGATCAAGTTGCCTACATCGAGGAAACCATCGCCTCGATCATTCTCGCTATGGCGAACGACAGTAGTGTTATGGTTCGTAAAGAGCTACTTGTGTTCCATTCCACCTTTATTGCAAGGTACAAAAACAAATTCATTGTAGCAGCGTATGAGCAGTTCACGGAAGAGCATGCGGCTCACCTAGCTCAAGATGCCAGCATTCATCGCCCAACAACACCTTCGGAGGTGAACGGATCGTATGATAGCAAGCGAGATTTGTCATTCGACTCCCACTTCTCAAGGGGCACTGTTGACTCTGCGGCATCTAAAAACACTGTGTTCTCCGCCATGTGGAAGCAGATTCTGATCATATCAGCTGACCCCCACCCCGAGATCGCGAGGAACGCAGGTATCATCTTGGACAATGTCCTTGGTGCCCTGTTCGACTCTCCGCTTGCTGTCTATGTCCATCAGATGCTGGACGATATGGCAGCACGGCCTATCCCCTATGCTCAGGCACCGGCCACTTTACCTGATGGGCCAATAAGATCACAGCATCCAGACGTTCCTCGAGCTCCACCATCTCCCACACCATCAATGAGCTCAAAACACGACGGATACTTCTCCGTTTCTGCGGGCCTGAGACGGACAGCCAGTATGGCCGCTTCCATCAAGAACCTCGCTTCCTTTGGTGTTGGTAAGGCGTCCCAAGACCCTTCGCAGAGTCAGTCTTTACGAGGACCAGGAGCCGGTAGACGATCCCAAGTACCATCGGATTGGAACAGACCACCGGACGCGGCTGATCCTCAACCAACCCGCGTTCGTGGTCATCAGATTGCCAAGTCACCATCAGTGCCCAATTTCGAACCTAGGAATTTCTCCCAACCTCCAACAATCCCTTTGACTTCTAGCTTCTTCCAATGGTCGGCTTCATACTTCAGGGAGCCTCAGATGCGGCCATCCGAAGCCGACGAGCCAGGATCTCTGGACTATAATGAAAGACTATGGCGACGCAACAGAAATGATAAGATAATTGCTTCGACACAGCCGCTCAAGGAGGTTGCAGGCACTGGTCGCTGGGATGTTCCTGCTGGAGTGCTTGCAACGAACAGTCCTCCGATGCGGATGGTGTTCCATCAATTCGAGGACCACCTTGTTATCAGCGATGACCAGGATGGTATCAGCGTATGGGATTGGCATCGAGAGAGAAGACTGGCACGATTCAGTGCAGGCAATCCTCACGGCAGCAAAATTAGTGATCTTCGCTTCATCAACGAGGACGATCAAGCACTGCTCATGACAGGTAGCTCGGATGGAGTCATCAAAGTGTTCCGAAACTACGAGAACGAGAAAGAGGTCGAGTTGGTCGCTGCGTTCCGCGCGCTCACAGATCTCGTACCGAGCACGCACAATGCAGGACTGGTCTTCGATTGGCAGCAAGGCCAAGGACGTGTCTTGGTTGCAGGTGATCTTCGCGTCATCCGTGTCTGGCAAGCTGGAACGGAACTGTGTACTGCAGATATTCCAGCAAGATCGGGGTCCTGCGTAACTAGCTTGACTTCAGATCAAGTAGAGGGTAACGTCTTTGTGGCAGGCTTCGGCGATGGAGCAATTCGCGTCTATGACCAGCGTAACCGACCAGCCGAGAGTATGGTACGGGTATGGAAAGAACATAAGGGATGGGTTGTGGGCTGCCATTTGCAGCGTGGTGGCATGCGAGAACTCATTTCAGCAGAACGTGGCGGTGCCGTCAGGCTCTGGGACATTCGTATGGATCGCAGTGTGGGTGTGGTTAAAGGCAAGGGCGAGGGCGGTATTGGCACGTGTCGAACATTAAGCGTCCATGAGCATGCGCCCGTGTTTGCGACGTAAGTTTTGTGGTTCTGTGTTGAACTCTAGAGACTTTCACTAACATGCGTGAACAGAGGATCGTCCCACAACGCAGTCCGTGTCTTCTCGACCAACAATGTGACGGCTACAGCAGCAAATTCGACGCCACTGTCAACCATCGAGCCCTTCAGCAACTTTTTGCATACCAATGTGCTCTCGTCTCACAGGCCGACACCGATTGCCTCGACGGCATTTCATCCACACCGGATGATGTTGGCGTGCTCTACAGTCAACGATGGACATGTCAGTCTGTTCAAGTGTGCGTCGAGAGACGGCTCGATACTGAGCGGACAGAATGGCATCGTCAAGGAGTGGGAGGCGTGAGATGTATGACCTTGCTCTGGCTACTGGTACCAGAGAACCATACGAAATGGCTCATGTTCAACAATGGCGAAGCTCTAGAGGGTAACGGCTTCTTGGCCAGCGATACAACAAGTGGGGAGTTCAAGCATAGCGAGAAGGGGACGAGGGAAAGGCGTTCGTGGGTTGTTAATAATCGCAACAAGTGTCTTAATGCTGATGTGAAGCGAGCGGCGCATCTTTGTTGCACATGTTTATCGAGATTTATCACCAGAGAGTGTAATTATTCAAGTCTTTCGCACAAAGAGCTCAATCATGATCCCGAAATGTCATAGTGTCTGGTCTGGGCCGTGATGTTCAAGTGCGTACGCTGGCGTGAAGCTTCGCAGGAAGTGCAGATATGCACGTAACGACAGCACTAACGCATCTGTGATGCTACAACTCACGAAGCACATTCAGAGCACTGACCAGATTAGGCTACAGTGGTAACAACTTGTATACATCCTCAGATAAGTGAGCAGACGACAATTTTTGGCCGGATCTGGTAGTTGACGGGGCGACCCTGTGCTATATGCCGCAAGGTCCTCCGATTGCTCGAGTCTTCGAAGCTTCTCTACAGAAGCGTTTAAACAATGATCGACAAGCTATAGACAAGCAAGTTTGAAAAAAGGATATCGTGATTTGACAAAGTTTTATGTATGATGTGCATTAAGATCTGGTTGCGCAACAGGAACCTGATCAAGATTCTCACGTTGAATCATGTTGGTCTTGCCCTCGACCAACTGCATCATCATGTAATTGCAAGGGAGCTGCATGCCCAACTCTTCGCCTTTGCGGACAATGTAGCCGTTGATGTAGCGAGCCTCTGTCTTCCTGCCGGCGCGCACATCGGCAAGCATGCTGCTAATGTTCTGGCCCGTCTTGTTGGCAATGCTGACAAGCAGCGTCTCGAGCCGCTCAGGCGAAAAGCGATCTTGAACGTTAGGCAAGCCTCGTAGCTCTGGCAAGGAGCGGATGACCAGGGAGATTTCGGCCAACAACAGACGCATGGTGCGGGTTATGGCAAAGTTGTACAAGATGGAGCCGTTGGGAGCGTCCAGCATGACGGTCAGAGGGTTGATGACGGCGTTGATGGCCAATTTCTCGAGCTGCAGCAGCATGAATTCTAGAGGGGGAAAACCGACGGCGGCAAGGACAGGACTGGCTGTCAATGTCCGAAGCAAGTAGCGAGATGTGGGTGCAAAGGGAACAGAGGCCGAGGGGTTGTCTTTCAGGTCGCCCCTGGGCATGGCAGCCAGAGCGATGGTACCATGAGCGGCATGGACGGCGAAGAAAGGGTCGTTGGGATGGGGAGAGTTCAGGCCGTGGGTGACTACTCCCTGGATGTAGTTTGGACGGGTGACGGGGTCCGGAAAGACGTCTCGGTTGAGGTGATCTATGATGCCCATACCATTCTGCAGCAAACAGATGGTCGACTCTGGTCGTAGGCGATGTTTGACAGCATCGAGAGCACTGGCAGTGAAAGGGGCCTTTGCTGTGACAATCAAGTTGTCGATGGGCTCCTGGTCCGAGGCATCAAGTGGCTCTTGGTCGTGCGAGTCGAGGCGGGTGGCATGGCTGCGTCTAGGTGGAATGGCGAGGTCGACGTCGAAGCCGGTACGAGAGACGCGGTGACCGTCGGATTCGAGGGTGATAGTCTTGTCGCTATGATTCCATTGATTCAACAGACGCGGGCGGTGGAAGAGCAGCGTGACGGGTGGAGGATGGTTGTCGGCGCGCAACGAGTGGGCAATCAGCTTGCCCACATTGCCGACGCCGTAGACGTGGATGCGCGGCGGGACACGGCTCTCACGCGCATACTGTTCGCTGGCCGCAGTGTATTTCCGCCGACCGGCAGCGCTGATGTTAGCGGAGCGAATGAGGAAGGTGCATGGCTGGTGCTGCAATAGCGTTCGAGAGGGAAGGCGCATGGTTAGAGTGGCATGCTTGGGCTCAGCAAGAAAGTCGCAAGCACTGAACCATCCATGACGCATCTCGTTCGTCCGCCCGCTAATCCATCAGAACTCACTTCTGCTGTTTCTCGACCATGCCGTTACGCATTCAGACGCGCTCTTTCTCGGTGCTCAACCGCCCAAAGCCAAACTATCCCGGCCATGTGCCTCTGAACATTGTCGAGCGATGCGGCCTGGCCGTCGGTTCTGCCCTGGGCTCCATGCTCAACCATCACCGCCACGGTATCGCCTACAAATTGCTCGAGCTAGACATCTTTCGCAGTCTGACTGACCCTCGCAGACCTAGTCGCTGCCCTCGGCGAGGCAACATGCCAGCCCTATTTCATCACACGCCTGCGACAGAGCATGCTATCGCATCCTACAGGCCGCCGTATCCTCCGTGACCGTCCCCGCATCTCATCCAAGACCATGTCGCTCCAATACCTGCGCACTCTGCCCGACAACTCGGTCGGCCGTGTCTACGCCCAATGGCTCGATCGTGAAGGTGTTACTCCCGACACTCGCGACCAGGTTCGCTACATCGATGATCCGGAAGAGGCCTATGTCATGCAACGCTACCGCGAGTCGCACGACTTCTACCACGCCCTCACCGGCTTGCCCGTCTTCGCAGAGGGCGAGATTGCTCTCAAAGCCTTCGAGTTTGCAAACACTCTTCTACCCATGACTGCTCTTTCCATGGCTGCCGTCGTGAAACTCAAGCCCGCCGCTCGCCGCCGTTTCTGGTCCACATATCTGCCTTGGGCTGTGTCCAATGGCCTGCGCGCTGAACATGTCATCAACATTTACTGGGAAGAAGTCCTGCACAAGGACTGCGCTCAGCTGAGAAAAGAGCTGGGCATCCAAATGCCTCCAGACCTCCGTGAACAAAGAAAGATTATGCGAGACCAGAAGAAGGCCGAAAAGGCCGCTCGCGAAGCTAGTCAAACCGTCGGCAAAGCTGTCATGTCAAACTAATAATCTCGTGTGTATACAGCTTCTTTGTCTATATATCACCATGTATGGGTATTCGTCCCAGAACGTTAAACACCTCCAGCCGTCTCTTTTAAAATCATGATATTGCGAATTCTGTCCCATTCCGTCTATCGCTTAGAGCTGGTCAAGAAGACCCTCGGCCTCGAGCAGCAACACAATTTGGTGGACAGCTGTGCGGACGCTGATCTTGGTCAGGTCAACAGTCAAGTTGGCCTCACCCTCGGTGGGGGTCTCGTAGGGATCGTCGACACCGGTGAAGTTCTTAATCTCACCACGGCGAGCGGCAGCATAGATGCCCTTGCGGTCGGTCTTCTCACACTCCTCGAGCGGTGTGGCAACGTGGATGAGGTAGAAAGATCCGTACTTCTCGACAAGCTCGCGAGCGTGCTTTCTGCTCGACTGGAAAGGTGCGATGGGAGCCGCAATGACGGCAGCGCCAGCCTTGGTCAGCTCACCGGCAACGAAGCCAATGCGGCCAACGTTGGTGTTGCGGTCCTCCTTGTTGAAGCCAAGCTCAGAGCTGAGCTCTGCGCGCACGGTCTCGCCGAGAAGAAGCGAAACAGTGCGACCACCCTGCTGGTTGAAGGTGACGTTCAGGGCACGGGCAATGGCGTCCTTGCCGCTGTTGGCGTAACCGGTCAGGAAGACGGTGAAGCCTTGCTTGCTGCGGGCAGGGTGCGACTCGCGAAGCACCTTGACAACCTCGGGGTAGGAGAACCACTCGGGGATGTCACCGCCAGTGCGCAGACGGCGGCGGAGCTCAGTGCCCGAAATGTCGAGGGTTCTGACGTCCTTGGGGACCTGGTCTCTGGGGCGGTACTCGTCCGAGTCGGGGAGGTAGCTCATCTGGAGGAAAGGAACGACCTCGATACCGAGCTCATCTCTGTACTTCTCAACGAGGTCCTGGGCGTCGTAAGGTCCGTAGAAGTCCTGGCCCTGGCTGTTCTTGCCGGGACCGGCGTGGTCACGACCAACAATGAAGTGGGTAGCACCGTGGTTCTTGCGGATAATGGCGTGCCACAAAGCCTCACGGGGACCGGCCATACGCATAGCCAGAGGAAGGAGGGCGAGGACGGCCATGCCGTTGGGGTAGCGGGGAAGGAGAGCCTGGTAGACACGGACACGGGTGAAGTGGTCAATGTCACCGGGCTTGGTGAGGCCAACGACGGGGTGGATGAGGACGTTGGCCTGGCGAGAGCGGGCAGCGCGGACGGTCAGCTCACGGTGAGCGCGGTGCATGGGGTTTCTGGTCTGGAAAGCGACAACTCTGGACCAGCCAAGCTTGTCGAAGTGAAGACGGATCTCTGCGGGAGAGTCTGTTTATTCTGGTCAGCTCGCTGTCGTGGCCAATTGAATTTCTGCTGCTTCTCACATCTAAGAGCGACGTAGTCGTAGTGCATCAGACGGTCAATGGCATCGATCTTGCCACCAATGTAGAAGTCACCGGCGGTCTTGTACAGGTACTTCACAGCAGGGTGGGCTTCGTCGTCGGCACCGAAAACCTCGATGGCCTCCTTCTTCTTGTCGGGTTGGTAGATGTCGTCAATGGTGATGATGGCCAGGTTGCGGTCATCTCTGAAGTCACGGAGAGTGATACGGGCACCAGCCTTTGCCTTGACTTCGTCAATTGTCTCTTGGAAGACATCGAGACAGATGGGCATGGAGAAAAGGTTGCCGTCAACGAGACGGTTGGTGTCAACAACGCTACACTTCAGTCAGTGTCTGCGGGTTGTGCTGTTCTTCTGGTTTTCCATGCGTACCTCTTGTAGTCCTTCTCGTTCATGAAGCCTGTAATGGACGAGTCAGAATTGCACTCTACCAACACTGGATTCTCTTCTTCAACTTACCCTCGAGAGGGGAGAAACCTCCGTTGAGGATCAACTCGAGATCACAAAGCTGACGCTCATTGAGGACAATGGCAGGCAGCTTCTCGGCCTCTTCGACGAGTTGCTGGCGGCGAGGAGCATCGCGAGCAATAAGATCCTTGAGGATACCACCTAGGCTTCAGTCAGTTCCCACAAGCCACATGTCTGTGCATTGGCGCCTGCGTACCGTGGGGAGGGTTGGCCATGGTTGTGTGTTGACTGAAAAGTTACAAGGAAGGAAAGAAGTCAAAGGAGTGGAGGAGGAAAAGAAGAGGTGGAGAAGTGGGATGCGAGTTTCGGAGCTTTCAGCACTTTAATAGTACTTACTACTCACGACAACGGAGTTTGTTGAGCAACGGATCGATCTTAATTCTCGATTGTAACTTATGCCCCGAACCTCGTCGTCCGTCTCCGGCAGCATGCCCCGCCTAGGCGAACGTGCGGGTGTACATTACGTCAAGAATTGAGTTTTTGTTCAGCGGTGCAGCGTTTGCAAGCCAACCATCAAACAATACTACTATATTCTTTGTTTCCGATGCACTGCACACGTCTTCGTCATTGAACTCATTGATAATTCAGAGCTTTTCGGTGTCGACTATCTAAAAGTGCATCTGCACATTCGTGTAATTCTGTGACTATGAAACGTGGGTCATGATGTATTCAACCCCCCAATGCAAACTCCACTAGGTATGCCCCATTGTGATCCGACCAACGCCTATGCTAAATTCGCAGAAAGATGTAAAAAGACAAGAAATGACAAGAAGGAGGAGAAGATCTACACAGTCTGCTCGATGTTCAAGCCCGACTGGATGGCCTGGCTGAGTTCGTCTTGACGCTTCTGCTCCTGCTCTTGCAAGAACATAGCGTAACGACTCTTCTTGTTGTGGATGCCGCACTCGGTCTTGTTACGACCCTTCCAGCGACCGGCTCTCTCGTCCTCGCCCTCCTTGACAGGCTGAGTCGAGTGCCAGTCACCGATTGAACGGTAACCTTGGGCCATAAGAGCGTTGACAGGAACATTGTGCTCCTTGATGTATTCGTTGACTTGTTGGAAAGACCAGTTTGCCAGAGGGTTGATCTTGATCATGCCTGCGTCGTCGAGCTCGACAATGTCAAGGTCACCACGCTTGCCTCCTTGACTGCGGCGACGACCAGTGATAACAGCGGCAACTCCCAACTCAGCATACGAACGCTGGGCAGGCTCGACCTTGGCGACATAGTCGTAAAGTTCCTCGTTGGTCTCCCACAGCTTCTCGCCGTGCTTGCGGTTGAAGTCTTCTACATTTTCACAACCCTCAGGCTTGTAGGTGTGGATGGTGAGGCTAGGGTAGTTGTCCTTGATGGCCTGTACGAGCTCGTAGGTCTCCTTGAATGCGTGCAGGGTGTCCAAATAGATCAGGTCAATGTTAGGCTTGATAGGGCTATCGAGCTTTGACACCATGTCGTTGATGGCAAGTCCAGTGAGTCCGAAGGCAGTGGTTTGGAAAAGACGGGGCAAAGTCATGATGCACCATTTCAGAATGTCTGCAACTCGAGTTAGGGCGAGAGTCCTGGCTCGAGATATACCATAGAATGCTTACCTTGAGGCTCGAGGTTTTGTAATTGCTGGTTGATGAACTTCAAGTGTGGACGAGAGAAGTAAACCTCAGGAAGGCTGGCACTCGAACTACCGCTGGCATAACCAGACTCTGCATCATGATCGGACGAGTATGAACGGGGCATTGTGGCGTGAATTTGCTGTGAGGTTTCTTTGTTCCGCGATTTGACAGGATGGAAATGTAATTTTGTATGAATAACTGCGGAATCGCGTATTGTTTGGATTTGTATGACAGACGGTTTGAGAGAAGAGAGAGAAGAGAATACTGAATTGATATTACCTGCGAGAGCCGGTCACGGCACCTGGGTTCATCGCTTTGAAATCACCATAGGAAAACTCACTGACGTGCTCGCTCTTTGCGATGTCGTGCTCGAGTTTATCCCTTTTTGAGCGCGCTAGCTGGATGACAACATCCGATCTAGACCCCAGCCTTGAATGCCGGACGTATATGAGTAGAGAACGTCAGCCAAGATCGTAGCTGCCCACAGTAGCTTACGGAGCAGAGCTCTGTGGCTTGCAAAGCCGAGTCGCCACCGATATGTGGTGAGGCCTGACGCTTAGCACGGCTGACAAAGATATCCCGACGTTGTCTGCTTTAGTACTGCCGTTCTGTATGTCCTTATGTCCAACACCATTTGCTGTTCGTGCCGAAAATTTGCGGGAGATCAGGAATCGGCATGTTGATGATGTGAAATCGGCTGTGTCGATTCACCATCTATGTTTCCAGTCTCGTCATCCTGCTTTGTGTCCAAACGAAGACTCCAGTCTCCAGGATATGTTTGCGGCTCTTCAGGTACCCCCACAAGTACACAACCTTGTTGTGATTAATCATGTTGGTGCGTATTTCTAGAAGCATACTGGGAAAGCGTGAACAAGCAGATATTGGATTTTGAATGTCTCGATTGCGGGCTAGGTATGGCTGGCAAGTCGTTCTCAACGATCGAAATTTTTGCCCTTGTCTACGCTTCCGACTTCTCCGTCGCGACCGGCTCATCTCCGTGGAGAGTCATTCACGTCAAATCCAACATGCATCGATGATGATGCGAGAAGACGCTGCTGCCTATCTACAAGCACGCAAGAGATGCTGGCGGAACGTGACTTGAGAATTGCCGTACTGGGAGTAGTATATGTGTTGCTTTTCGGATTCGCAAGATGGCGCCATGTGGTCGGTGAAAGGCACCATGCAGAGGTATGGGAAGCAGGACCTAAGTTCAACGTCCCAAGACCAGACACGTGCCGTGCTTCATGTCATCGCGTCGAGTCGTGCCAACATCGGTGCAACCTGTTAGATTGAGCTGAGAATTCCGTGCTCTTAGGACTGTCATCGGAAAGATTCGATTCCCTCCTCGTGTGCGAGAAAAGGTCACACGAATAGCTATAGAGATGCACAGTGGCTTTGCTATGAAGGAAGTCCGCAGAGAGTCGGGATGTTTTCGTCTCTCCTTGAACTTTGGTAACGTCTAGAAGACAGCTATAGAAACGCACAGTTGTTTGAGCGGACATGAGGCATCCACTGAGAGTCGTAAAATTATCCGCCCTCTGCGGATCTTGTCACCGTCTTTGGAAAAAACTATGCATCTCTATAGCTGCACGCGTGACATATCTTTGCGTACGGGGAGGTCAAAAGTATTATGATGATGATTAAATTGGCAGTAACCACAGGGTGTGATTATGTTCGTCCAACACTCTATAAGAACATTGGTGCGTCGAGCTTCGTAAGGAATAGGAGGAGGATAGGAAACAGGAACATTACATGAACTAGAGAAAGTATGGTGCAGAAGTTACTGGAAGGAGAGTGTCAGGAAACGGACAGCAGTGCTTCTAACCACCGATGACTGTGCCATTGGCCAAAGTGACGGAGTGTTGTTCGAGATTTGCACTGATATCAGCACCAAGGTCGATGCTCGACACATTCATCTGTTGTCCAGTACTGGTTGTCCCAGAGGTAAAGTAGCTTTGGAGATTCTCCTGAGCAGCGATCGCATTATTCAGCTGGCCTGATATCTGAAAGACAAATAGCACAGCAACACGTGCAAAGTCAAGCGTCGTCGAATCTGACAAAAGAGATGATGAGGATGAGGACGGTGCACTTGTGTCAAAGCTTGTGGAGGCCGATGAAGACGGCACATCGCTCGGTGATCCGCTTGCAAAGACAATTCCGTTACTGGTGACAGCAGCACCAGCAACAGATGTAGAATCTGCGCGTGCTGCCAGAACTTTGGTTGGAGAAGGTGTGATTTCAGTGACTCGCTCCGGAACAGAGCGGGCAGAAAGCCCATTGAAGGCAACCAATGCATTTTCCGAGGTGCACGTGAGCTTGGATGAAGCAAACAAGCCCAAGAGATTGGTAGCGTTGAGAGGAATGCTGAAAATGGTTGCTGAGTCAGTCAAGAGCCGTGGGATAGAATCTCCAAGCGTGACATTGTTCATACTGCCGACCGTCGTGGTGGTGCAAGATGCACTTGATGCTTGTGTGCATTCAGAGCCTGCAAAGCCATTGACACACAAACAGCTGCAGCTTCCATCACTACCTAGAATATTGATGCCACCGTTCTTACAATCTAGTGACTTTTGGCACATAGCGAGCGCGGAGGCCGAAGCACTGCTATGAACAGTGTTTTGTTGAGGAATGACGACAAGAACTATGGGAATGATGACAGCAGCAGCAATAAGAATGACCATGAGCAGAAGTATTGTGAGGAACAGCCACAAGGGCAGACCGCAGCACCTCCTACGCTGTTCGGGCTCCTCGCCGAGATCACTTGTGGAAGGGAGGGAGCTATGTTGTAGGTTTGAAGACCATGGCACTCTGGAGCCTCTGGAACCTCTCTTGGACCCTCTGGATCCAGTGGGAGTTGCAAGTCCCGGTGGGGGGAAAGAAGCAAGAATATCCGATAGTGAACCAGATCTCCTGTTATCCTGGTCGTGTGCTTGTTGCGCGTCGTCATCGAAGAAGTTGAGACCGAGTCTGCTCGCAGTCCGGCCACGATCGAGGTTGGACGCAACTTTGGTCGCTCTACGGATAAGGTCCGGAAGACTGGTGAGACTACCACGAGCTTCTGCCTCTCGGACGGCGTCCACATTGAGCCTCGGTGGGCGCTTAGAACCCACTCTATCGGCGAGTGTAGCCTGTTTTTCCAGATCGTGTGCAGCACTCTTCTCGGAAAGACCAAGAGTGGACAAAGAAGCCTTCTCTCTGATTGGCTTCTCAGCTTGAGGCACCATTGCGTCTCTGCCAAGAATATCGGAACTGCTTGTTCGTGTAGACAATTGAGGAAAAGACCTCTCGGAGCGTTCTTCGGGCGACATGTCGACCATCGGATAGCTCGTATCTTCGAGGTTACCACCGCGCCGAGATTGGTCTAGAGGTCGAGTCTGGCTGTCTGGTCGCGAATCGCCATTCTTTATCGTGGTCAAGACTGGTGTCGATTTACGACCAATGCTAGCCTTACGAACAGGAACGGGACGCACCATCTGTTCAGGCTCACTGCCGTCTGAGTCTCCATAGTAGTCCTGGAATGGGGAAGCCTTGTTTTGACGCATGTCATGCTGATTGGCAAGATGTCTCGAAATGCCAATAGGAATCGCATTACTGGAAGCAAAAGAGCTTTTAGAGTCATGTAAGCCTCTGTGACTGCCTCGTTGACTGTCTGTCTCCTCGATGATCGGCGCGACATGGTCTGCTTGTGGATAGTATGATGCAGGACCTTTGCGCGCCGAAGGGGGTGGGCCAAGCGGTGGGCGGCGATTGGGTTGATGCAATGGTCGAGCGACCTGTTGAGGGACTTGAGGAGCTTGATGGATTGGAAAGTCGGGGAGAGAGTAGACAGAAGATCCAGTAGAATCGCGGTGGGTGTCGGCGAAAGGTCGAGGCATGTCCGGTGATGGGTAGGTAGGTGAGACTTCATTAACCCACGAGCTTATGGAATTTTGATGAGCATACTGTTGAGCTGGGGGACCTGAGTCTTGACGGTATTGAGGGATGGCTCGCGGGTCTGGTGCGTCTCTGTTTGCAACTGGCCGTGGTCGACCCAACACGACAGGCACCTGATCCGGCCGAAGTGGTCTGTTGGGTTGCGATTTCTGAGACGGATGGGAAGAAGGATTAGGCGCACCAGGCCTCGTATGTCCACTGCTCTGCGAGGATGATTGGTGGTATGGACGGTGTGGTTGACGAGTATCACCTTGCGAAGGTGTTTGACCATCTCGTTGGTAGAGCATTGTATATGATGTATGCCAAGTATGTTTGATGAGTGTGGACAAAGTGCAAAGCCGAGAGGGTTTGGAAAAGTGTGTAAAGGAGTAGACCGGCTCTCCGAGGGTAACGCGCTTTCACTGTAGAAGTGTGGCCGGATTGAGAAAAGTGAACGTGGTGGTTGGAAACGAGCGTGATCCGTATAGAGTTATTGTGGTGTTTTGTAGCGTCCAGGCATGTGAACAGACATATCAGAAGAGAAAATGGCGCAGAATGCGATCTGAAGTCCTTAGCAAGAGCACCACCGAGGCGCGAGGCATGCGAAGATGCCGGACCAGGGCTGAAGTCACAGAAAGCAACAGAGTAAAAGACAAGTCGCGACCAGCGTCCGATTGACGAAGCAGCGATCTACGCGACCTTGGACGAAGCGACAGGCACCAAGAGAGAACAGAAGAGAACAGGAAGAGACCGACAAAACTTGATGCAGCACCATGTCTGCAGACTGCAGGAGACGCCTAGCTTAGCGAGGCATGGAATAATCGTTGGTTCCGCGCCGTTGCTCGGGCCACTTGAAACACGGCTGATTGTCCTTCTGATTCGTTGATTTCTCTCGACCCTTTCTTCAGCATTGATCCTAAAGTCAATCTATCACCTTCTCCAGTGTCCTGCAGGAATTTGTCTCCGACGTCTCCTCTCGTGACCTCGACTGTCGTTCTATACAGTACGCCTTTGGTGTGCAGACTGATGGCAAGACGTGTGCGACATTCGCAATCTGTTATTTGTTTGTGGACGGGACTCGTGGTGCAAGCTGAAACCAAGTTTCGAAACGGACCGCACCCATTTCCGGGGTTGGTCAATTTCCTGCTTGGGTGAATGATCGACACTTCTCCCGGGCCCTTGCCTTAAACTACTGATGCTATATGACCATGCACTGGGCCGCTTCGATTTGGGCTCTAGCTACAGCATTCTGTTGGCAGCCATGTTGTGGAGTACGTTTTTTCGAATGAGGAGCACAATACTGGACTTGAGTAGAGTAAGAAGCTGCAAACCTCCCCACACCCTCAAGGGAATTCAGATCGATGCTTTTGTCTAGTAGCTAGGAGCCCACAAAGCGGTTCGTGATGGGCTCGTCGAGATGTTGACTAGGCCCGAATTGTTGCACCAGATCGCCTCCATTGTTTCTTACTGCACTTTGTTGCGCCGTATCTGGCACTTTGGTGGGAAAAGTGGCCAACGCTCTAGCTTACAACATATCAAGGACTATCGTACGGGCCGCTTTGGGTACGTTTTTCAGGCAAGCTTTTTGAGCACGTACTGACCGTTTTCGAGCACCATCTCCTGGCGCAAAATCTCCGTCACCTCTTCGACAGTGTAGCCAAGAATGTAGGCCACATCCAACAAACCATCGGCGTTGATCTTTGTAGGAGCTTGCGTTTGAACCTTGGGCTTTGCATTAAACGCGATTCCAAGACCAGCCTGGTGCATCATCAGCAGGTCGTTGCTTCCGTCGCCAACAGCAATAACATTTTCCAACGGAATGTTTTCCTTTTCGGCGATAGAGGAAAGCAATTCACGCTTCTTCTCAGCATGGATAATGGGCATACCCTCAACCAGCTCGCCTGTCAGATTACCGTCCATCTCGACCAGGTGATTGGCATAACAGTAATCCAAGCCCAATTCTTGTCGTACCCATTCAGCCAGGGGTGTGAAGCCACCGCTTAGCACAGCAGTCTTCCAGCCAAGCTTGCGGAGTACGCGTATCAGCTCACGAGCTCCTGGGGTGAATGAGATGATGCCAGCACGTAGATGTTGCCAGATGGAGACAGGTACACCAGCGAGATGGCCAACGCGAGCGCGCAGAGACGCCTCAAAGTCAGTGTACGGGGCTTCTCCACGCATGGCGGCTTCCGTGATGGCAGAGACTTGGGCGTAACGGCCCACAGCGCGAGCCAATTCATCGATAACTTCTTGCTGAATCAAAGTACTGTCCATATCGAATACAGCTAAACCCGGGGTCCTGTGAGCCACGTACAGGGCTTGAGGTTGCAACACAATCTCAATGTTGTGACGCTGGCATAGACTGACGATTGAAGCAGTCTTGGTGATCGCAGAACATTCCAATAGAGTGGGTGATGGGTTCTTCTGAGGTAGAGGAATAGCGATTTCTAAGATCCGGCAACCTTGACCGTCTTCGGGACCATCCAAGAATCGGCGAGGAGTTGCGAGTGATCGTCTGATTAAAAGTTCTTCCTGTAGCGTGTAGGTGACAAATGCTGCAACGTCCTTCCATTGGGCAGGATCCAGAGAGCCCTGTCTGACGAACACCAGGCAGACGACCTGGTTCTTTTTGGCGTCCGATTTCTCGCGCTTGGCCCTAGGCTTGGGCTGTTGTTGTTCGGCGGGCTGCTGAGGGCTCGCAGCGAACGAGAACGTCTCGTAATTGACAGAAGACATGGCTGGCCGATCAGTTGATTGACAGAAGAAAAAGTGCAGCGGTTGGTGAAAGCGAGCGATATCGCCAAGTCACCTTTAAGGCTTGCGAAGAAGCGGCGTCTGTGCTCAACGCACCATCAACCAACTGCGCGTCTGCAACGACTATCTCCTCTCCTCTCGAATGACCATGAGCGAGTCTGTGTACACTGTATAGACCCATGGCTGACAGTCCTCGATCGGGTTCCAGGCCTGGGTAAGCACCATATTGGCCTGTCACAATCTGATGACAAAAGTACAATTCTGAATCAGCATTCTGTCCACAAGTTTTTTGAGGGCAATCTCAAAGCATTCCCAGAGTGCTAAGCATATCTACTCATAAGAAGAATTAACCGTATTTGGGATTAGGACCGGATCAGAAAAACCACTCCCCAAATCCAGATCTTCGTGCAATGGTTGCTATGTGATACCTAGCCTGAGTCTCAGTCAGGATGCTACATGGAAAACCAACTAACTACACTTATCGTCCACTGGAGAATTATAGAGCATCTGGATGGCGATTCTTGAGAGACTGTTACTGAACTACAAGCAGAAGAACGAGAGGCGTTGTGGCCATTTACGGCTAGATCTAGAAGCTGTACGGTCATGTGACCTTGGTGACGCGGACGAATACTGAGCAGAATGGATCTTCCTTTCCACCACACTCTCTTCGCTGGAAGCAGAAACTACATGTATCTGTGAGATAAGAGCACTGCAAGACCCACAGACAGCTTCACGGACTCCAGAATGTCTCACAGGAAGATGGAGGGCAGATTGCCCATCAAGGTATCAAAGGCCATCAAGGTGACCATCAAGGTGTTTGACGACATCAAATAAGATGCCACTCAATGTGCGCCTCGAGAGGGTATCGAACACAGTATGGCTCCATGTTCTACCCTCCACGATGTGCTGATAATCGGTGCAGGGCCGTGTGGTTTGGCGGTCGCTGCCAGGCTTTGTGAAAGCACACCTTCAGCCATCTTCTCTGACACGGAGCATCATCGATACCACTGGATAAAACGACATGGGGACCGCGCTTCCATCAAAAACAGACGAACTGGACAAATCAAGGCTACCAAGAAACCTGAAATCTGCCGTAACTATTCCACTCTGGTTCTGGATGGCACCGACAAGGATTGGATGACTCGATGGAATCACCTCTTCAAGACTTTCGAGATCTCACATCTGAGGAGCCCTATGTTCTTTCACCCTGATCCTCGAGATCGAGATGGTTTACTGTCTTATACGTATGAGAAGGAAAGAGACAAGGAGCTCGTGGAGATTCCGGAATGTGTGGGAAAAGAGATTAGCAAGCATAAAAAGAAGCAGCGGCTTAAGTGCAAGAACAATGGGTAAGTGTTGTGGCAGTTCGAGTGATAGTGAGCACTGCTGATCATTCTAACTAGTGCCAAACCTCCAGTCACGATCGATGAACGCGACCGCAAAGATTATTTTACACCCTCAAGCTCGCTCTTCCGGGACTATTGCCAATGCGTCATTGATCGGTATGGGCTCAGAAGAGATCTCATACAACAAGAACGAGTCGAGGATATCGACTTCAGCATGGTTCCAGGCGTCTCAGAAACGGAGCCAGTCTTTACGGTTCGCTCTGACCAAGGCGCACATTATGCCCGCGTGGTTGTGCTTGCCGTGGGGCCAGGAAATGCACCATCTATTCCAGCTGGACTGGGCAAGACTGGGCAAGGATGCTGCCATGCCATGCAGATTCGAGAGTTTCCTGATCCTTCCGTAAAAGCCAAGTTGCGACAGAAGAAAGAGGTGAACATAGTCGTCGTGGGCGGTGGATTGACATCTGCTCAATTGACAGTAATGGCAAGTAAGCATGGAGCAAACAAGGTGTTTCACCTGGTCAGGGGTCGGCTGAGAGTCAAACCTTTCGACGTGGATCTGAGCTGGATGGGCAAATTTCGCAACTTTGAGGAAGCATCTTTCTGGTCGGCAGATACGGATGAAGGTAAGAGAGCACTCGTGCCGCCTCCACTAGACGTGTACTAACAGTCGCCAGAGCGTCTTGAGAAGATCAAGGAAGCCCGTGGTGGAGGATCAATTACTCCTCGCTATCACAAGCTGCTCAAGCAGAACATCTCTGTTGGTAAAGTTGAATTGCACACAGAAACGACAATCACCTCCTCAGACTACCTAGACGGGTCGTGGACACTTACGACCAATCCACCCATCGAGCTGCCAAATATCGACTATGTCTACTTTGCAACAGGTATTGCCAGTGACTTCAAGAGCTTAACGTTTCTCGAGACCATGAACCGCAAGTTTCCTGTCGAGTCGTATGGCGGTCTCCCTGGCTTGACAGACGACTTGATGTGGAAAGAAGATGTTCCACTCTTCGTGACAGGACGACTGGCTGCTTTACGTCTGGGTCCAGGAGCGGGAAATCTTGCAGGCGCTCGCAGTGGCGCGGAGAGAATAGCTTGGGCGATCGAGGATATCTTGCCGAGAGATCAAGGTCGAAAAGAGGAGGACGATATGGCATGGGACTTCAAAACTGGTACAGGTAGTCAGTTTGGTAGTTTGGATTGTGAGGCATGTATCTAGCGCTAGACCATCAGCATACCTCTCTCGTCCTTGGATCTCTGTCATCTCGATTTGCTTCACGGATGGTACTGCTCCAATGGCTTGGTCGTTGAATTCGATCTCACCACTCCAACGTTCGGTTGGCCATACCTCAATTTGTTTGGGCCCAGAGGAAACGCATGGCTCCTCACCCCGATACCATCGAACATCTCATCCCGTCTTCGCATCAACTTTGTAATGTCGACGACAATTTGACATTCGCATCGCTGACTCAATGGTTCTCTTGTCCTTGTTCTAACAGCATCATCTCCGATGAGGGTTCTCGAATATCCGCGTTGGATTCGGGACAGCATCCTACCTACTTCCAGATTGTTTGGGAGTCTGATCATGGATTTACGCGGAATGAGACAACGATCAAGGCTGTGCTATACGCACTACGCGATGGAACTTTTCGTATGGCCACAGACCAGAATGCACCTATCAACATCGCCAGCCGTGTATATCAAACTGGCTCGTGGACGCTTATAAGGATATGGACGGCATCAAGTTGAGCAAAAGTGGATGATGAACTTTCCTAAGCTTGTAGTTGAACTCGCCAGTGTGACTACTCTGCTATTTCTAGATGTAGATCCTGGCACAGCGTTTAATGAGTCGCCATAGAGACCTGGCTCAGATGGATGAGATTTGAAACCGCCCCTATGCATGTCTGCGCTAAGAAAATCTCCTGATCAAATTTGTGCTGATCCATATTCTTTGTCAATGTACCTAGGTTTTCCAGCGAACTGATTTTGTGGTTGACGACAGGTAAGATCGAGTGAAACTGACTGTGTGAACATATCGGTATCTCGAGGTCTCGATCTGTACTGTGGCAATAGCCATGTCCAGCAGCTGGCGATTGTGTGAGAAGCAGAGAACTGATACCACGGGGTAGCGTTGGCTGAAGTGGACGTTCATGTATTGCGGGTATCATGATAATTATTGTGGTTTCAGACTCTCACGTATGCTATGTGATTGGTTAGTGTCACGACTGGAACACTCGAATTTGGGGTACTTACTGGCATCGATTTTTGAGACCTGAGGTAGTGCTAAGCGGACCTTGTTGCGATACAAAACTGGATTTGACTTCTGGAGGGGAGTGGCTTCGAAGTAGACTTCGGAAAGCTCTTTCTTGTCGCCAAGTTCTTTCTCCAGCTCATTGAAACTCTCCAGCTTGCAGCCTGTCGCCCAGAGATTCTCAATGTGGGCCAGTGCCGAAACACCACGTAGTGATGTGATAGGATTGTTCTGGACATCCAAGATTTTGAGTTCTGGAGCGTGGGAGAGAGGCTCGAGGGAGGTCAACAAGTTGTCTGAGATATACAGCTCCTCGAGCTGGGGTATTTCCTTGAGTCCATCCAATGACGTGATTCTGTTTGCCTGAATGGAGAGAGTCTTTAGCTTGGTAAGCGTAGAAAGTCCCTTTTACTTGTCAGCACCATGTTGACTTGATATAACTTCGGTCCCGTCGTACCTTGAGCTCAGTAATTTTGTTCTGACCGAGCCATAATGAGTCCAGGTTGACCAGAGTCTCCAGCCCAGTGATTTCCTGTGTGATGATAAGTATATGTTCTGTTGAGCAGGGGGTCGGGTAATAGATACCCGGATTCTGTTAGCTCCCAACTCCAGGTATGTAAGATTTGAGAGACCGTCCAAGCCCTCGATACGAGAGATTTTGTTCTGGACGAAGTAGAGGTGATGGAGATTGTTGAGGTGGTCGACGCGCTTGATGTGTTTGATCTTGTTGTAACTCAGGTCCAAGCTGCGCAGCTCGGTGAAGGATTCGAGACCCTTGACGTGGGAGATGAGATTGTCGTATAGCTCGAGTTCTTGGAGGGTGGCGGCGAGGGATTCGGGAAGCTGAATAGAGGAGATGGAGTTTTGGCGGAGGCACAGTTTCTGAGCGGGCATCAGTTTGCGTCTGTCGCTTGGTTGTGTGACTGGGTTGAACTGACGATGACTTTGCTAAAGCGTTCAAGGCGGAGATTAGGAATGGACGAGACTCGGCTATGCTGAAGGTCGATCTCCTACAACTTGTCAGCACTGGATCTCGACTAGTCGGCAGCGGAGTTGGCGACCTCGACGTCAGGGTCCTCGTCTTGGAGCAAGTCTTCATCTGCTTCGATCTGGTCGACTGGAGGGGCGTCTTCGTCTGAGTAATCGGGGTCCGACAGGGCCTCAGGGTTGGCCAGTACGGCCTTTTTGTTCTTATCCAGGCGTAGCTTGCCATCCCATCCTGACTTGTTGCTGTGCAGGCCGTTGGTGGTAGCAGCCGGTTCCCCAGATCCAGACGCGGCTGCCTGGGCGGTCACAGGTTCATCGGCCGGTGTCGACATGACGGTTGATCAAATTCTTGTCAAGAGGGAGAGAGTTGATAAGTTGGAGCATTCAAGCGTTGCAAAGCAAAACAGGCGTCATTGTGTGGGGTGAGTCGCGAGCGTGATGATCGTCAGCCACGACCAACGCGCCATGCTACCACCATCACATGCACCGACTTCGACCACACCCGCCAGTCATGTACCGTAGAATATTGATTAAAGGTATACAGAGAATGCCATCTAGAAACTACAAATCCCCATCTCATAACAACGCCGCGCTGTTTCGATTCATGCCGTCTATACGTAATCCATCGTACCCTCTGCCCTTGCCCTCTTCAACTCCTAAGTTCGCTGAAAATGTACGGGAACAGCACAACGCAGGCCTTGTACAGCACACCGATACTTGCCACTGCTCGGAACGGAATGAACAAAGCATTACCTGTTGTAATGTACAACCAGATTGAGAGGAAAGCAACAGCGAAGAAGTGGTAAAAGAGTACCATCGGTTGTCGGATAATGCCTGCCAAGAGTCCTACAGGTCCATCTATGCATTGTCCACCTCTCTGGAAGTAGCGGAAGCATCCTTGCTGGAGAGCTCGGAGTTGAGGATCTGGAGTCTGTCAGTATTCTTGGTCTGCATAGCCGCTACTCCAAGTCCACTCACCGTTTGCTGCGAAGAGAGAGTACAGCGCTTGTGCAAGAATGTTGATAACGCTGGTCAAGTTCTTTCTCCTCCAGTGGAACACATCCAACTGAGCCAACACAGCCTTGGTGTCCTCGAGGCGTGGCACTTGCTCGGGCGACAGGAGTTTCGATAATAGGAGAGCATCGTTGAAAGCCACAGTCATACCACCTCCTGTCAGAGGGTGACGCATGTTCATCGCATCTCCAAGCAAGATCACACCCGCATGCTTGTTTTTGGATGCAGGCAGGAATGAGTTGGGCATGGATCGCAAAGAACCACGGTCGAGGGCGGCTTCGAACGACGGCCGCACCTTTGCAGGCAATGAGGGCAACACAACATTGCGCAAATGGTTCTTGACGCCACCGTTCCTGACCGATGCAGAGTCAAGACCTTCGGGTATGTCTACAAGAGCCCGAGTCTCGTGTGTGCCGATCTGGTAGAGCAGAACCGGAGGGCTGTCACTGATCAGGACGTGACCATGATTGGGCATTGGAAGGTCGGCGTCAATCAACTCGAGTCCCCAGAACCTGGATTTGACGACGGGAGCCCGAGTATTGACCTCCTTGCGAAACTTGCTAGCATAACCATCCGCGACAACAGTGAGCTGACCAAAGTAGTAATCCTTGCGGTCCCTGGTGGTGCACTCGACTCCCAAGACCTGTCCGGTGTATCCACTACGCACCAAGTCGCTGGCCGTAGTCTCGACGACGGTCACATTGGCGCATTTTAGCGCGCGCTCTCGGAGTTTTTGAATGAATCGGCCATGATGGAATGACCGACCTTCGGGTCTTGACTTCTTCTTCTCTTCCTCTTTCGGATCAGTGGCGGTGGAGGCAGCATTTTCGGGGTATGCGATGGTCACTTCGTCGCCGTGGTATATAACATCGTATCCGAAGACCTTGATAGCATCAATGTCCTCCAGACAATCGGCTAGTCCTAGCTCTTCCAGAGCAGCAACTCCGCCAGGCTGCAGCAATTCTCCGACAATGCGATCGGGTTGTTTGAGAGATTTTTCGAGAAGAATGACGCTCCGGCCCTGGTCGGAAAAGGCGACGGCGAGAGCGCATCCTAGAATGCCAGCACCAATGATGACCACGTCCGCTTCGTGGTGAACTCGGCGGCGCGACTCCAAGGCGTCGGATACGGTAGGCGAGGGCGGCGGCGAGTCAAGGATGAGCGGCATCTTGTACGACGACAATATCTCAGGAAAAGGTCAAGTACGAAGAATCCAGCTAGGTGAATCTAACAATGCGACAAAGACCAACAAAAGATTCAGAAAGGAGCGATTGTCATACGATTGGGTTGACCACTCCCGGTAAATTTGACAGGGTCTTCTGCAACCGCCTCATACGTATTAGAGTCACCCCACCGCATCGCACCTCAGGCCATTTCCACTGGCCTTACGAAACCACTCTTTGGAAGAAAGTCATCATATTCTTGGTCGATGTGTTTTGCTTGTGAGAGAACACGATACAGATCACCCAATGTTGTGCTTCGAGGTGAAAAGCTAAAGATACCCCCCCCCCCCCCCCCCCGAAGTAGCTAGGCGGAGGCGAGCGGCAATCGAATGATCAATGTGCTATCGTTTTCTTATATGACAGTCGCTCGCTGGGGTTGCCCCTATCCGACAGAGACCCGATAGGAATACGTGTCTCTGTGGTCCCCGGAAGCGAGCGAATAGATGAGGTACTTTTCAAGTTTGGACACGCCTGCATGCTCGAGGCTCGGGCAACTGCACCAGGTCGAGTGTGCTGGGAAGCCAGATAGGGGACGTGTTTGTTGTTTTTGTTAGTAACGACTTCGGACCATCTGTTGCCATCTTACTGGTGACGTCGAGATTCCCCTCTCCTCTTTAGCAAATGCATCTGATGTTGCACTGCTGCTCATAACCAGCTATTTATCTTATTGCAACGAAAGAGAAGTTAGACATGGCGCCTGATCTTAGCAACTGCAGAGTGCTCAGAGAAGAGCCGCTCGATGCCTCCGATGCCAAATGGACTCAGCTGAAAAAGTACGCTTTCCAACCACCAATTGGCTTGCACCCGGTTACTGAATACAGCCAAGAATTACCTATAACAATGCGGAGAACGCCACGAAGATATGGTAGGACCGCTACAGAAGCCTCGTACTAGATCGGGAGCTCACCGAGAATAGGGAATCGGCCGTGAGACCAACCCGACCATCTAACAGCTCAATTGATGCTGTAGGCATCGTCGCTATTCTAGAGAAGCCCAGCGGCCCGGAGCTACTCTTACAGAAACAGTATCGCCCACCTATCGACAAGATATGTATAGAAGTTCCTGCTGGCTTGGTGGATGAAGGGGAAGATGCCGAGACTTGCGCCCTAAGAGAGTTGCGAGAAGAGAGCGGCTACGTGGGAGAAGTGATCAAAGGTGATCTGGGTGTGACTCCTGTCATGTACAATGGCAAGTCCAACCTTGCTGAACATTGCGGTGTCACGGCGACTAACCGTGTGGCGTGTAGACCCAGGCTTCTGTAACACGAACCTGAACATGGTCCACGTTCGTCTGGATATGTCAAATTCTGACAACCAAAACCCACGACCGCAGCTCGAGGAGAACGAGTTCATAGAATCGTTTACGGTTCCACTGAAGACGCTCTACGCAGAGTGCAAGAAGCTCGAGGCCGAGGGATATGCTATAGACGCCAGGGTGCTCACACTGGCCGAAGGTATTGAAGTAGCTCGACAGTTCAAAATTGTTTGATCGAACTTGGAATCCTCCGTAGCCATCGACAGACACACCACCTTTTCCCAGAATAGTGTAATGACCACCGGGGTTTCGCTTTGCATCCTATCACTAACCAGTGGCCATGGATGTCAAGCGACCATGTCTACATTCCATCGAATATCGCTCTAATGAGGGAGAGCTCGGATCGAATGCGATACCTACATCGACAGCTCCTAAGTCCCAAGTCTAGGTCATCCTCCATAGCTTTCAGACGCGGCGCGCGGAAGTAAGTATTAGCTTCCTGTACCCGGATTCGTTCGAGGTGGATTGTTTTTAATCTCTATGCGACTTGGCGATCCTCAACCACCGTGCCGCTTTTGCTTGCCATTTTTTGGTTCCTGAGCATGGAGACGGCAATATATTCTTAAGAGGGTATCCACAGCTGGGCTGGCTGTCAAGCAAAAGGAGGGAAATGAGGGTCTAGCCAATGGCGGTGCAGACGGTTCGGGAAGGCCCGCTGTCGCCAACGGGCGACCTGGAAGCACGTTTCGCCGAAAAAAACTTGATAAGAACAAGCTAGGATCACCCTTTATGCACCACCTGCGCGAATCACGAAGCGCTGTGTGTGCGATGCAGGAGTTCTCTGCGGTGTGATTGGGTGGCTGGGCTGTCAATTCTTGCTATCACCGAATGACTCGACAATGCAGCACAAGGTATATTGGAGCCATGGTACAACAATGGTGACATCTCCAGAACTGCTGTTCCCGGAGCCGACTGCTCATGACAGACTACGGTGTCCAAGAATAAACGGGCATCCCGTTGCTTGTTTCTGGAGAAAGACACATGAAATGCTGCGAACCTCGGCTCTACCAAAGCAGCTCTTCCGGTACCTTGGTCCATGCATCCCCACTTCTAAAACCCTTTGAAAACCGGGCGAGTTCATCAGCATGAGAAAGGGATATTGGTGGGTTTGACACCCTTGTCCGGGTACGCATCCATGCACGGGCAGACAGGGCTCGTATCACAGCGTACCAACAAAACGGGCGACGGACGAGGTGAGACTAGCAGCCGAGCAGTCTAATGAAATGCACCACCTTGGTGTGAAGATCTACTCGAGTGGCGTAGGAGCCAGCAGGTCATAAACTACCTCGTCAGAGGACCCTACAGTACAGGCGCCGGGCGCTACCCGATCCACAAGACGGGTCAATGCGACTAATAAACCAAAGCGTTAACGTGCATATGCTCTCTCGCGTTAGTTGTACTCATTCCCACCGTCAGACATTAAAGATAATGGGCCTTTCTTCCACCGCTCTCTCCTCTCCCCACCCTCTTCTTGGGATGCAAGGATTGCTTGCCTTTTTGCATGTATTTCTCGCAATCCACGCATTCGCTTCCCTCTCTGCCTCATCCTTGTAAGGCAACCTCTTCTGGTTCGAAACCGTAACCTGGCTTTGGGATTGTCTCGCAGCTGCAGTGCTCGATCGCCTCGCGCCCATTCATCCACGCCGATTGGGTGGCCGAGCTGTATGTGACAGGAGCATGCACAGTTTATCAAATTCGTTCCGTTGCACCTGTCTAAGAGATTGCCTGTACCACGCTCTGACGGGCATTTTCAAAACCACCCTGCTATCTCTGCATATCCCTTCGCATCAACATCGCTATCAAGACATCGGAGGTATACCCCAAATGCAGTTGTGATATTTTCTGGGTCGACAACACTCTTCAAATCGCACGACCACACGTATGTCCGGGTCGCGACCTCCTTCGCCTGTCCATCCGCACATTGTCAGCACCTCCTTCAGAGAGACGGCGGCGGAGGCTCAACGGCCACATCACTTTGCCGTCCCGGAGTTTCTTGGACATCCCGAACGACACAACTCTATTCCATACCAGTTTCCGCCGATACCTGGACAGGAACGGTCGAGTATATCATTCCATCCTCCGTTCACCACTCTGCCACCGCCTTCGTCACGACCAGGCGCTTCGACGAATCCACAGAATTATGTGCAAAGATCAGTACCAATAGCCAAGTTGCTATCCGATGCCCCGCAGGAACCACCGCTTCGTCCTAGACAGATATCCGTCCCTGGTCCCTTCTCTCCTGGACTACCGTCACCGCCTCCTCCTGAGGTTTATCAGCGGACTGCGGGTCACCCATCACAGCACTTGCCACTGCTGCCAAACGTGCGGACGTCACCCGTCTTCCGTGTACCACAATACCCGCCCCAGGCTTCGAGTCCTAAGCATGTCTCACAATACCCGACATACAGTTCGCCTGTCGCGTCCAACAGCCCCTCCTCGGCCTCCCATGACTCAGCAACCTCGCCACGAGAGGGTCCGCCTGCCAGCTCGCAAAGGTTCAATCGTCTGCCATCATTTTCTGCGCCGTCTCCAAATTTGAGGTACGAGCTCAACATGCGACAGCAACCTGTAGCTGCCAGAGCTTGTGGTTTTGGAGAGCGTGACCGACGTGTTGTTGACCCTCCGCCTATCCTCGAACTCAAAGTCATCGATGCCGTGACGGGGAAGGTCGACAGCGAGAACACTCCCTATGTATATACGACATTGCATTGTACTCTAATCAACTCCATGACATACAGAGACGAATCGCAGATCGAGCCAGCACATCCGAACGCGCCAGCCACGCAGCGCCTCATGGGAACTGCAGTCGCATCTCCATTTTCCGGCACCGACGAGACGGGAAGAAGAGGAACGTTCTTCGTGTTTCCTGATCTGTCCTGCCGCAATCCTGGAAAATACCGATTTCAGTTCCGATTGCTGATCGTAGACCCGCTGAACCTTTCTGTCGGAACAACCTCGCGTATACAGAGCTCGATCATCTCTGAGCCATTCGAAGTCTATACTGCCAAAGAGTTCCCAGGCATGCGAGCCAGCAGTGCTTTGCTCAAGGCGCTGAGAAAGCAGGGTCTCAATGTGGCTGTCAAGAAAGGCCGTGAAGCCACAAAGAAGGCGACCAGAAGACCTGGCCTTGTTGACGACGACCAAGACAGCAGTGGTGACGATGGAGACAACGGTGCGGATGAGGATGATCAGGACAGCGACGACGCGCGCTCTCAAGTGGCCACCAGTAGCAAGGATCGAAGAAAAAGAAAGCGAAGAGAGTGAACGAGACCACGAACTTGCGACGCGCCCCCCAATTAGATGTATGATTTCCTTCCAAGTACCTTATTTTCGGTTGTTTATACGGGCATCTCGGTCGGCATTTCTTTTTTCTTTTTTCGATTGCAGCTCTGTATCTTTTGCGCTTCTCCTCCCATATCTCCGTAATTGTTTGTCCCAATGACTACGGGTTTTGGCGGCTGCATGTAGGCACACTGAGTTTTCAGCTTAGTTCAACAAGACGACATTTCGGTTGGTGGAAGACATATCATTTCTGTTTTGATCACATGGCCTAGGATTTTGTCTAAGCACAAGACCATTGTGGTGACGCTCAGTTGAATGTTATACAGTTGTCAGAGGGACCCTAGGCCTATATGCCTTCCAAGCCTTCATACAACTTCACCTTCCACCCCTTACTCGGGTTGTTGAATCTGAAGGTATGCTTGTGGCCCAGTTTTGCAAGAACTTTTAGATCATCGTAGTCAAGCTCGATGTGCTTACTTGCCAGGTTCTCCTCAATCCTCTCCGCATGTGCACTCTTGGGTATGACACTCGTGCCTCGACTCATGCCCCAAGCCAACGAGATTCCTGCAGCGGTGGTGTTGTGTTTGTCCGCAAGTTTGATCATGGCCTTGTTCTTGAGCAAAGGAGGAGGCATGTTCTTTGCCTTTCTGTGGTAGGTCGGGTTGGTCCCTCCAAGTGGGGAGTAGGCAGTGACATGGATACCACGCATTTTGTGGTACTGGATCCAGTCTTCCTGTTGCAGGTACGGGTGAAGCTCCATCTGATGAGCATATGGGATATGAGATGTGTGGTTCAACAAGGTGTCTAGTTGGGCAGGTGAGAAGTTGGAGATGCCAATGCGTCTAGTCTTTCCTGACTGGACGAGTTGTATCATGGCTTCCCAGGTGTCGAGAAAATATATCTCGGTTCCCTTGCTCGTCTCTGCCACTGGCCAATGCATGTGGTATAGGTCTAGGTAATCAAGGCCGAGGTCGGATAGGGTCTTATCGATGGCGGCTTCGACTTTGCTAGGATCGTGATGATCATTCCAGAGTTTTGACGTGACCCATATGTCATCGCGAGACAGTCTAGCTTTCTTCAGGCCTTCAGCGATGCCTTTGCCTACAGCTTTCTACAGATTGTTATGGCTTGTCTAGGAGAGATGGGTAAGTCATTGATACCTCGTTGCCATATATGGCGGCACAGTCTATGTGCCTGTAGCCAGTGTCGATTGCATGGGATACTGCTTCTGTAGCATTGTCCTTCAGATTCCAAGTACCGAAGCCTATGATTGGCATTTGCCAAAGAGTAGATGGACCAAGAGGTTCTTGACCTTGGGGTTGTTGGGCAGCAACAGCTGCGAGAGCAGTTGCTGCAAATGGTAGAAGTGAAGGCAAATGCATCTTGTAAATGTCCTGCAAGTGCGAGAGTACTGTCTAGGTCAAGCAGGTGCGACGATGGCTCGAGTCGATCTTTATATCTGTTTAGCACCCCTGCGATATCTGATGTCATGAACGGCTCAGGTAGCTTTCCCCGCAGTTCATGTGCCTCTTGAGAAGGTGACTAGGGTGGAGCTGCAGGGAGAGAAACACACATATGCGGCATGCGATATGGATTGGTACATTGTATTCTGCCAGATCTGACCGGATGCTCGGAGAGTTGGTAGTTTCAAGGCCGCTCGAGGTCAGTGGTGTGGACATTTAGAGTGTGGACCAACTCCACACGACCTGTCTGAACCCCACCATGTTTGTTTGGTCTGTTTGCTTGGACAATGCACATGTCAGTATGCGCTGGTGTCAAGAGTCAAGAATGATTGATGGATTACGCAAGATTCTCGAGATGTGTACAAGTGGCTGCTATATCACGTATCCGAACAATCGACTATGTAAAGTGAAGAAGCAAAGACGGATGTAGAGCAGAAGACGCTGGGACCCACAGGGTCGGTCCCGTCTCTTTTGATTCAGAAGTGCTTCCCCAGAAACCTTGGGAGCGAACGCGTTTTTCTGGCGTTGTCGCGAAAAAAATTCCACCTTCCTTCCTTCCCGCTGGCATAAGCTAGTGAGGCGACCCTAAGGTGTTATCTATCCATCGCAAACATGAAATACGTATTGGTATCTGGAGGTAAGAAGCAATGCGTTAGCAGTCGAGCCTCGTATGGGCACTAATGGCTTGTCCAGGTGTTATCAGCGGTGTCGGCAAGGGCATTATTGGTATGACCTGCGTCCCTCGACAATGCACGCCGGGACTGACATGATTGCGACGTCAAGCCTCGTCGACTGGCCTGCTGCTGAAGACAATGGGTTTGAAGATATGTCTGACCCGTGCCACATGCCTGTTCTCGTGCTGACAAGACGCACGTCTCTTCCATCAAGATCGACCCCTATCTCAATGTCGACGCCGGAACCATGAACCCCAAGGAGTATGTCCTGTGTCCCTATCCTGCAACCCTGCAGCTCTGACGTATTCAAGGCATGGTGAAGTCTTCGTTCTCGACGACGGCGGTGAGGTCGACCTCGATCTCGGCAACTACGAGCGCTACCTCAATATTACCCTGACGCGCGAAAACAACATCACCACCGGCAAAATCTACCAGCACGTCATCGAGAAGGAGCGCAGAGGAGATTACCTCGGCCACACTGTCCAGGTGGTTCCTCACATTGTCGACGCCATCCAGGACTGGGTCGAGAGAGTGGCCAAGATCCCTGTCGACGACACGAATGAAGAGCCCGACGTCTGTATCATCGAGTTGGGTGGCACAGTCGGCGACATTGAGAGCATGCCTTTCGTCGAGGCAATGACTCAGCTCCGCGCCCGCGCCGGAAGAGACAACTTCATGCAGATCCATGTCAGCTACGTGCCCATGGTCCACGGCGAGCAGAAGACGAAGCCCACGCAGATGGCCATCAAGGCTGTGCGCAGTGCCGGTTTGATCCCCGATCTGATTGCTTGCCGTTGCGAGCACCCTCTCGACGCCGGCGCCCACCAGAAGATTGCTCGCTTCTGCCAGGTTCCCCTCCCTCAGGTCCTCGTCGTCCGCGATATGCCCACCACATACCAAGTCCCTATTCTTCTCCAAGAACAGGGTCTCTTGCAGAGTCTGAAGGATATCCTCCGCATCGATGCTTTGACCATTTCTTCTGCTCTTGCAACAAAGGGTGCCGAAATCTGGAGAACCTGGAACGACCTGGCCTCAGGTCTGGCAACCGTTACCGATATTGTCGAGATTGCCCTGGTTGGAAAATACCTCGAATGTCCCGACAGTTATCTGAGTGTCGTCAAGAGTGTCGAGCACGCCGCTATGAGATGCAAGAAGAAGCTGAAGATCGTCTGGGTCGACGCCGAGCACCTCGAGCCTCAGTCCGAGAAGGCAAACCCTGCCCAATACCACAAGGCCTGGCACGATGTCTGCACCGCTTCCGGTATCCTGGTCCCTGGCGGTTTCGGTCAAAGAGGTACCGAAGGTATGATGAAGGCTGCCAAGTGGGCCCGTGAGAACGGCACACCCTACCTTGGAATCTGCCTCGGTATGCAGATTGCTGTCATCGAGTTTGCAAGAAACGTTTGCGACATTCCCGTCCCTGTCTCGACAAGTCAGGAGTTCGACGCTCGTGATGAGGACCGTATCATTGTCTCCATGCCTGAGCACCACCCTGGCCAGCTTGGTGGAACCATGAGACTCGGTCTGAGACCTACCCTTTGGCAGCCCGACTCAGAGTGGAGTCGCCTGCGTGCCCTCTACGCCTCCACCACTTCCGCCGATGGCCAATCGCAAATTCTGGAACGTCACCGTCACAGATACGAAGTCAATCCCAACTACGTCTCTACTCTGGAATCAAAGGGTCTGAACTTTATCGGCAAGGACGAGACTGGAGTTCGTCAAGAAATCATCGAGCTCAAGGATCACCCCTGGTTCGTCGGTGTCCAGTACCACCCCGAGTACCTTTCCCGCGTTCTCCACCCTAGCAAGCCTTACCTCGGATTCATTGCTGCCAGTGCAGGCATGCTCGACACAATCACTGCCGAGATTGTCAAGGAGAAGACGGCAAACACCTCATTCTAGAAATAGAAGCGAAAGAAATCACGAGTATGAATGGTTGGATGCATCGCAAAGAAACCAAGATGGAATGGGGTCTGAAAAACAATGCATTATCATGGCGTTTGAAGGCGTTGTCGCACGTCAAAGGATGGGATAGACAATTCCTTGCAGTAGATATCACAGACCATACCATGTTGGACTTGGATCTGGGACGGTGTTTCATCAACAATAACAACAACTTAAGCCAATTTGTCTCTACTTGAACCGTGCCTGTCAGTGCTCTGCGATTCGAGACTTGCAAGTCACGACGCTCATCTTGTTTACGGCACGCTTGGTTGGTACAGTTGACATATGAGTCCGTTCTCGTCTGCTGGGCTTCGAATAATCATGACGTGCAATATCCTACAGTAACAGTGACAGTATTAACCTTCCAAACGACTTTTGAGGCTGGCAACCTCTTTTGTCAAGCTCTCGATGCGCTCTGCCTGGGTGGCCATGTCCTGAGCTTGTTGCAGCAACAGACCTCTAATCTCAGACAGGGCTCCCTTGATACCCTCGGCGGCACCCTTTGCTGCGCCTGCAGCTGTAGTCGGCGGCTCTGCGCTGCTAGATGAAGGTTTAGGAGTCTCGGCCACTGGTGACTTGATGTCGTTCAACTTTGGCTCGGCGATGGGCTCAGGAGCCGGGGCAGATGTCGTGTTCGTAGGAGTGTGGATTTGCGGAGGTGTACGGACGCCGGTCTTCTCCTCTTGCTTGGTGGCAATGGTAGAAGTAGGGCGCTGGACGGGCTTAGGTACTTCGTCAAACTCGTCGTTGGCATTGCCTCTCGATTGAGTCACCTCATCCTTGTCGGCGAATCTATCAGCCATAGCGGACATGCTGGCCTGGTTATCCTGCATAGAACCTCTGTTGGTGGGAGCAGGAGCAGGTGTGGGCTCAGGCTTCGCAGGCGAGGCAGGAACAGGGGTTGGGGCGGACGAGGACGACATGGAACCAGGAGCAGGGGTGCTCTTTACCTGGCTAGCAGAAGGGACCCTCTCAGCGGGGATCTCAACGGGAGTCTCACCCTCGTACAGACTCTCGAGAGAAATCTTTGGTGGAAGAGCGGCTTCCTTGCCCGAGAACCAGTCCTCGCTAGACATGGAAGGCTTGCTGCCAGTGGCAGGAGGGAAGATATCGGTTTGGAAGACCTCTGCACGGCGAGGAACAATGAATGAGATGGGCTCAATCAGGTTCTCGTTGACTGTCTTGTAAGCACGCATGACCTCATTCTGGTGCAGGTTGACACCACGCTTTGGCACAAAGGCGACACCGCGCTGAGGGTCGGCCGACTTGTACTCGGAGAGATACTCGAACTTGTCGTTCTCGTACTCGTAGTAGCGAATGTTGCCGTCACCTTTGCCAGCAAGGTACAGCATTTGGGTGCCATCATCCCAGAAGGGCATGCAGACACCGCTGATAGAATCGAGGATCGAGAAGCCACCGATGGGCTCCTTGGGGTTGCGCACATCCCACAGACCAAGTTGACGGTCGCTCATGCGCGAGAAACCGGTCGTGGCGACACGATCATGGTCACCCATCCAGACTGCTCTGCTGTTCTTTGCGCCGGGGTATCCCTGGACTTCGTGTGCTGGTCTTTCTTGTCTTACATCCCAGAAACGGATCTTCTTGTCGCGGCAAGTGGTGACGAGCATGCCGCCGTCAGCCGACCACGACAAAGACTGGACGATATCGTTGTGCTTGAGGGTAAGGCGGGGGTTGTTCGAAGCGAGATCCCACAGTTTGACGGTTGCATCGCCTGAGGAACTGGCCAAAACGTTGGCGGCCGAGGGGTTGAACAAGACGTGTCCGACCTTGCTGCTATAGATTAACATGGAGCACATCCAAGTGTGAGTGGAGTCGCATACCGAGTGTGGCCAGAGAGCTTGTGTACAGGGCTGATATCGGTAGGCTCGTCGGCGTCGGTGTGCAGGGTAAAGTCCTCGGGGACCTGCCAAACGAAGACCTGTAAAACGAGGGCGTGTTAGCGGAGGTTCTGGACAGCGACGGACCGGGGAAACGCACTTTGCCGTCGTCGGAACCAGAAGCGATGATCGAGTCGTCAAAGGGGTTCCTGTCAAAGCGTGTCAGGAAGCTGCGGGATCAGAGGCAGGGTGTAGTAGTAGGAGGCGCACCAGTCGGTGTCGAGGACGGCGGCCGTGTGGCCACGGAACAAGGGCATGACATCGGGGAGTTTTCCACGCTCGTCAACAGGAATGACAGCAAAGGCGCCGCCACCGCTGGCCTCCCAATTGACCGAGAGGTACTTGGGGTTGGCCTTGATCAAGTTGGTGTCCCAAGCATTCTTCGAGATGCGGAGGTTGTCGTAACATTGCTCCTGTACGGAAAAGGGTCGTCAGAGAGGGATCCAAGCGATAACGAGGGGTGAATTGAGGTATACCTTCTTGGTCGACTGCCCGAAGACGTGTCCTGGTTGATGTTAGACGTGTCGTGTGCTCGAGGTGGACGCGTCCAGGCGCTTACGGTACTTTGACGCTCTGACGAAGCGGCCAGACATTGTGAATTGGACAGGCGTCTACACCGGCTACAAAACAATACAGAGCGAAGACAAGGCAGCTTGCGACGGCGAGGTGGATGCGATACGATACGGTATGCGCGCACGGGACGCCCGGCCGAGGCGCCGCCTGCTCTCTGACCTGACGAGTCGTGACGACGCTCCACCGCATCATCTCCCGAGTCGCCAAAACCTTCCGCCAAGCCGCTTTCATCATCTGCTTCAGACTGCCTGCTCTCCATGCATTTGTTTACTTGCAACAATCTATCTACTAGCCACACTCTTGACCGAAATGTGGTTGTCATTCTCTGAACTTGTCTCTGCATTGCAAGAGTAGGATATCGCTTCCGTCCATCGCTGGCTCGTATTGAAACGTTTAGCCATGCTGTTCTTACAAGGTTCGTTTCAAACTTTAAAACCACCTTTGTTTATCAGCTGTTCGAACCCATTCCCGTACCGCCTACAACATAATTCCGTGACATTATTGCCCATTCAATCACTCGGACGAGAGCTCATCTTCGTGCTCCGGACTTTATGCTGCATCCTGAAACGTCGTGGCTCGCAGGCAGGTGGTATCAAGGGGATGACCCTGTGCCAGGGTCACCCTGTCAGCAACAATCTTCTTTCGACAGACTACGCTAGCCGTGTTTGTTCTTCTCGTACTGCTCCTCTTCTCGTCCCTTGCGCCATGTCCCGCCGCTTGAAGTTGCTTTCAGCCCAAGTCTTCGAAAGCAAGTTCACCTATAGTTTTCTTTCACAGCATAGTGATCATATCTCCTTCTTGACATATGTGACACATGCATACAAGACGGCATGGCGTTCCCGGGTGATAAGCTAAAGCGGATCAGTTTTGTGGGCAATATCTTCTCTTCTAGGAGGCTCACATCTCTCTGGCTGGACATATTATTGTTCACTCCTCTAACCTCACATAAGGTGCTTGGTCCTGTATGTAATGGCAGGAAATGGTCAAAAGTGATATGTTGAGCCAATAGCTTTGATATGGGTATCATAAATGAAGATGGATGAGATGAGATTTTACAGACTGTCTCTCGAAAACACTCCTTGGTCTAGATCAGAGCAGAGCCAGTAAACATGCCATCGCGTACTTCCTTGACAATATCTCTGCGATCTCCCTTGCCGACAAGAACGATACCCCGACCTCTTCTTCCCATACGTCCAACACGTCCGAGACGGTGAATGAAATCGATGCTGGTATGGGGTACGTCGTACAGAATGACGTTGCGGACCATCAAGGTATCGATACCGCGAGATCCGAGATCAGTCATGACGAGAACTTTTGTGTTGGTCAGTTGCCTTTTACCAGACAGTGTACGAGGCACCACTGGGCCGGGCTGGCCAGGCTTGGTGTCGACAGCGGCACCGGTGAACTCGGCAAGGACCTGAGCCTGCTTACGTTCGTCCGAGTCACGACTGAGGGCCATGGCATCGACGCCTTTGCTCTGGAGGTAGAGCGATAGTTCAGAGCACTTCTCACGCTCGTTGACAAAGACAATGACTCTCTTGACACTATCCTCGCCTGCTTCACGACCGAGGTTCCAGACAGTGTCTGCGCAGGCGAGATCTCTGTTACCCTTGTATGGATCCTTCTCGACGTCTACAACGCTGAGCTGGACACGACGAGGAATGGCATGCAGGTTGGGAGTAGCCAGGCGACGAATGTCCGGGAATCGCTTGCGGAGGTACGAATCAAGACTACGGGGGATGGTGGCGGAGCAGAGGACCAACTGCTTCAAGCTTGGAGTGGCACGGTCGAGGATGCTGCCAGTAATGGGCGCGAAGGAGCGGTCAAGAAGCGAATCGGCCTCATCGATGACCAGATGAGTGACTCGCGATAGCACATTCGGATCGTTTTCGCTGATGCTCGCGAGCAGATGTGGGGTAGAGATGAGGAGATCGACGCCTGAAGGTGAGAAGAGACGATTGCGAATAACGGTACCGGTAAAGTTGGCAGAGATAAGAGCTGCACGGAACTTGGTTGTGTGGGATAACGACTTGGCCAGGGCGCCGACTTGCTGCACCAGCTCTGCGGTGGGAACCAGGATGATGGCGCGCGGACGGCCCGTGGTGGGATGGGGCTCGTTGGACAGTGGCGGTGATTCAAGCTCGAACATGTTCTTACGCGAAGCTGCCTCCTTCTCCACTTGAGCATCCTCTTCGGCCTGTGCGATTTCAGCACGCTTCAGCGCATCGATGACTGGTAGGAGATAGGCCAGAGTCTTGCCAGATCCAGTTTCTGCCGCCAGGAGATATTGTTGCATCGACTGTGTGTCTTTAGTTCTTTTGCCATTTGTCCCGAGCAGCGCAGGGATGGCGAGACGTTGAATGGGGGTAGGAGAGGTATCGTCCATACCCTTCAATGCCTGAGTCGAGATAGACTGGTGGACGGTGGGCAGTAGAGCAAACTCGTTGAAAGATTCAGTATCGGCTATACTCTGCTTGACAGCAGACCGATGGCTGTATGAGACTTGACTGAGGGCGCGCTGCATCTTCAAAGCTTTGAACGAGTCTTTGTTCTTCTCGTCCCTGGGCTTGTACTTGTCGGGAGCATTTCGTGTTGCTCTCTTCTGTTCTGCGGTCGATGGACGCTGACGAGGCGCATTGCGAAAGTCTGCATGTGTGACGTTCATGGCACCGAAAGGACTATTGGTTCGTCGTCTCGGAGGTTTGGCATCGGGGAAGGCGACCTTGGGGGACAGGTCCATTCGATTTGGTCGAGGTTTTTGTGTGGTAGCCATGTGGCGCGTGGAGCGCATAGGAGGAAAGACCGAGCGTGCCATCAAGGCGGCGGCCTCGCAGAAGGGGCACAGAGACGGACGCATCCTGGGGGAGAGCATGTGCTCGTCGGTGGTAGCGAGAGTGGCAGCGACGGCGACGATGACAGCGGCAGCAACAGTGACAGATGACGAATACGCAACAAGTAGTTAGTTAGAGTCGGACCTCGAAAATAAATTCCGGATCCACCTACGCCAAGCGGTTTCAACTGCAGCGATTAAGTTTAGGTTGTGGAGTTTGCCTTAAAGAACGTGGAAAGCACGACACTTGACCTTTGCTCGAGTGTGAAGTCACGTTGCTCTCTACCCGTGTGTTGTGTCTACGATCTGGCACATCTCAAAACTGGATAGAATCTGTGATGCAATGACCAGGCAGATATGAACTTCCCGGTCCTTGGAAGAGTAGATAGCAGGTACTGCAGAAAGTGGAGGATGTGTGCCGTAATCAAGATGATGCTCTGTAGCTAGTCCCCCACGGACGTTGCTATGCAGAGTTGGCCATGTGCCGCCCGATGACAACAAACCTCCACGCTTGTTTTGTATACCTACTTAGCTAACCGACCCCAATCGTTCTGTTCTCCCAATTTCACCTTTGCTTTTTGCTTCTGGTCTGCGAGTTGACCTACAACAGCGATTGTAAAAACGTCGCTATATTGCCGTCTGCTGTTGGCCTTGTTCCAAATATCATTCGACCGCCCTCGCTGGACGGGTAAGCGCGCATTCCTCGTCAACAATGGCCACCGAACAGGTAGTCTAGTCTGCATCATCCCCTCTCACATGCGCTGACGTTTGGCCTAGGTGCAGCCGCTCAAGATAGTCAAGTCCAACTCGACTGCCTCGTCCATTGGCTCCCCCACCAAAATGGCACGCCCTCTATCAGAAATTGGCTCGACAGAGCGGAGGAGAAACTCGCCCAGCTACAACCAGGCCACCAAGGTAAGTCGACCGCCGTCGAGTCGACCACTACCGCCACTTGCTGACTGTTTGCGCCAGAAAATGGTCACCAGCAAAGACTCATCGCCCTTCGACTCATCACCACTCCAGCAACAGCGCTCACCGCGCACTTTCTGGGAGGACCGCGCCTCTCCCTCTCGTTTTGGCTCTGAGAACAGCCCCGAGCGTTCTGAGCGCCCCGAGCGCTCTGCCTCTCCCACTGGAAAAACTGGAGGTCGTCGCTCATCGATTGAGAACCTTAAAAAGGCATCCCGCGTCAAGAACAGCACCATGTATGCTCGCGAAACAAAGCACAACTACGATCCCTCGAGCTCGCCCGTCATCGAACGTCCTCTGAGCAACCGTGGCTGGGGAGGCAACTTCCAGAACAACGTCTTCACTCGCTTCGACAGTCTGCGCAAAGAAAACAGCCCCATCAAGTCTCCCACCGACGCAGATCCGAGCCCTTCGAGAATCCCTGGTCCGTCATCAGCCATGTCTGCCACAAACACATCCGCGCCCAGCTCTCCCCGTCGGGAGACTCCTTCGCCCACCAAGTCTTCTCTTACGTCCAATAGCCGCTTCGCTGGCTATTTCGAGGCTGATCAAAGTCAGTGGCCCGAGGATCTGGACGATGAAAGAGTCGCAACTCCTCGTGCGCAGCCACGTCATGCAAAGAGCGTCACCTTCGAGACAGCACCTCCAGAGGTCAACGAGTACGAACAGCAGACCCCAGAACCATCTTCCATCGCCTCAGGCTCGAGAGAAGGAAGTTACGATTCCGATGACTACGATGATAACAGCTTCGAACGTGCCTCGTCTGTGGAGGAGGACAGTTTCGATGCATCTCTCGAGGACACAGATAAGACTCCGGTGGTCCTTCCTGAAGACTGGAGACACATGAGCCCTGATGTCGCTCGTAACCATCTTGCCAATGACTACGACGACGTCTTCGCTCACGACGACGAGACCACAGAGAAACAAGGCTCCATCTCGAACAACGAGCAACGACCTTCTTCCAGCCGCTCCGAATCTGCCAACTCCGATGCCGAAGCAAGGCCTCTGCCTCCACTTCCTGGCGTACCCTCTTTTAGAAGAGAGCGTGTCGATTCTGGTGGTCTTGCTGCTGCTGCAGAACGCGCAAGTAGCATTCAGCGTTCGCTGCCTTCTCCGCCTCGCCCTGCTTCGGTCTCAAAAGATGAAATTCTTCGCATGAGAGAAGCCAACATGTCTATGGAGGACAGAATGAATCTTCTCAAGTTGCAAACATCTCTGTCTGATATGCGAAAGTCACAAAACGCAGAAGAAACTGTCGACGATCAGGCCAAGTCCGTTGAAGAGGATACTGCTGCCGCTTCAGAATACTCAGACGCCGAAGAGGATGATTTGGCTGGCTTTGACTTTGCACCAAGCATCTCCCGAGAGTCCATCCTGCGCAATGTCAAGTCTCAGAAATACGACCAATTTGATGCTGATCCGCACGAGGAGTCCATGGTCTCGTTCGCCGACAGAGACTACCGCGATCTCGCCAATCTCGATCCTGATGTCCCAATTCCCTCTCGTGAGACGTCAACACAATTCGACCCCGAGATTGGTGCCGCTGTCAAGGAAGAGGACGAGAACAGCTACCTCGACCTGAGTGCTGTCCCGTCTTTCCATTCGGAACTTGATGAGGCTGGAGCAGACGATTATGATAGGCAGTCTTCCGTTGTTCATCATGCCGATTACGATGAAGACTCTCAGGCGGAAGACGATGAGAGCAGATACTCCTCCCCCATGTCAGTCTTGATCAGCGAGCAACCAGAAGAGCCTACGCACATATCTCTTCAAGAGGACCAAGCATACCCCATAGAGGACGAAGCATTTGCGACTCCACTTGGCAACCCACAATCCACAGAGGAACCAAGCAGTATGGGTCTTCCTCTAAGCTTCTTGGGCAACGATGATTTCGACTTCGGCTTGAAAGACTACATCACTCCTACACCACCCTCCTCGTCTGGTACACAAGAGCAAAGCAAAAAGTCTGTTCTCGAGCCTCCCTTTATTTTGCAACCTAGTTTCACTACCGAGCCCGCATATGGACGAGAGGGTTCGACTGAATCTGATCAAACCATTGGTCGCGAGTCTTTTGGTTCCGTGATTCATGGTTCGATGATTGACATGTCCCCGCCTCCAGAGGACGCACCCATCATTCCAGAGCGCAAAGCTACCATCAAAACACAGGGCAAGCTCAAGGCTCGACCCTCGGGGACTCCCGCCGACCTCGAGGCTATGAGAGCTCAACGCCGTCATGTGAGCTACGAAGTGCCCGCGATTCCTGATCAGTACCGCTCCGAGACCATCGCCCAAGTAGATGAGCAGGCCTCTTCTGACGAGGGTGAAGATGAAGATGGCTCAAACAGCTCAGAATCGCTCTCAGAACAGGAGATGGCTGGTCAAGAACCTCATCAAGATCTTGCGGATGGCGAGCATGACAACGGACAGTCTCTCCAGATGGACACAAGTCCTGAGGTAACAGACGTTCGCTCTGAGCAGGATGAAAACAATCGACAAAGTCGCAACATGAAACTCGACCTTGACTTCCCCCTGGACTCTTTCAACGACGACATGGGTTTAGGCATGGATGCTGAGTTTGACCGTGTGATCGAGGCTCAGAAGGTATGACTTTGATTGAACCTCACCGACAAGATAGCATACTAAATGTTATAACAGAAAGGATATCTCATGCGTCAAAACACGAAGGTCATTGTTGCTAGCAACAGGAACTTCAGTGATGAAAGCCAACGCCCGCTTTCACCCAATGGTCAATCCAATCCGTCGACTTCCACCAAGAGCAAGCGTACTCCACGCAAGTCGAGTGGCGGCGAGAAGTACTTGACGACTGAACCATGGAACGGCAAGACTAGACGCAAGAGCTCCAGGAGATCCTCTGGTAGGAGATCTAACGTTGGTGGGCCAGCTCCTCCACTGCCTGGACATGAAAGCTCCCTCGGAAAAGTTGATGAGTATCTGACTACCGATGAAACTAACGAGGGCGAGGAGAGAGGTCGACTCTTTGTCAAGGTTGTCGGCGTGAAGGATCTTGATTTGCCGCTGCCACGCAGTAAGTGTTTGCTTGCCAGACGTTTTCGAACTAAACTAATTGATCATCCAGATGACCGCCTTTTCTTCCAACTCACCTTGGACAACGGGTTGCATTGCGTGACTACTGCTGATCTTCAGCTCGGTAGAGCTGCTGCAATTGGCCAGGAGTTCGAGCTCGTTGTCCTTCAGGACCTCGAGTTCCAACTGACCTTGACTACTAAGTTGCCTGCTCCCGCGCCAAAGCCCCAGATGTCGATTCCCGTCCCGGTTTCCCCCACCAAGCCCATCAAGTCGTCAACATCAAGATTCTCTCGCCTCCTCACATCTCCAAAGAAGAGAGCGGAGCGTGAGAGAAAGGAGAGAGAAGAGGCTGCTGAGATCGAACGTCGTCAACAAGAAGAGATGCAACGCAAGCGTGCTTCCGTCAAACCTACATCATGGGATATGCTGCGTGAAGTTGTCGATGCCAAATCTGGCTCGTTCGCTCGTGCTTACGTCTCCTTGAAGTCTCACGAGTCTCTGTGTTTCGGACGCCAGCTGACCGTCGATGTACCTTGCTTCAATGAGTGGGCAATCGAAAAAGATGCCGATGTCGTCAGCAGTGTGCGCAGCAAGCGCAACAATGGTAACCCCGGCTTTGGTGGAAGAGATGGCACCATCAGACGTCCGCCTTACGCAGTAGGCAAGCTCGAGCTGCAGCTCATGTACATTCCTAAGCCCAAGGGTGCTGGTGACGAACACATGCCCAAGAGCATGAGTTCAGCTGTCAGAGAGATGAAGTCAGCCGAACAAGTCAAGGAGTCCTCCTGGGAAGGATGTTTGAGTCAGCAAGGAGGCGACTGCCCGTACTGGCGCCGCCGCTTCTTCCGTCTCCAGGGTACGAAACTCACGGCATACCACGAGCACACCCGCCAGCCCAGAGCGACTATCAATCTCTCAAAGGCTACAAGGTTGATTGACGACCAGAAATCACTCGTCTCTGATCCCACATCGGGCCATCCTACAAAAGGAAGACGCAAGTCTGCCTTTGCCGAGGAAGACGATGGCTACCAGTTTGTCGAGGAAGGATTCAGGATGAGATTTGCCAATGGTGAAACCATCGACTTTTACGCCGAAAGTGCCGCAGACAAGGACGCCTGGATGAAGGCACTTGGCTCATGCATCGGCAAGCCGTCGACGAGCAGCACAGCCAAGTGGACAGATGTGGTGCTGACCAAGGAACGATCAGACGCCAAAGCAGCAAAGTCCCAGCTAAGCTCGCCAGACCTCAGTCAAGCAGGATCAGATGCTCACGATGCCAGGGGCGGCGCGCCCAAGCTCACGCGTACGATGTCGCAACAAGACAGTTCGCGAGATGCAACGCCGCCTACAAGCAGCCCACGTCCGGGACACCGTGACAGACATCAAGTCAAGAGCATGATCTTCTGATGAAGGGAACAGAACAGAACCGCATTTCTCTTTTCTTATTTCCTTTCTTGTTCTTTCTGTTACCTCATTTCTCTTTTGTCTTTTTTGCCTCTTCTTTCTGTGGACCAAAATTGCATGGCATAGTCAGCCGTTGCTTCCTTCTTTTTACTTCTTTTGATTGTCTCTTTTTGTCAGGACAGAGGGTCGGGGTTTGGAGAGTTCGGAGTCCACGATTGTGATGAAACAGAATGCATGTGCTACTACTAGAGCACTTTTTCCCAATCAACCAATTGCTTCATTCTTACCTCTCCGTCTCATACTGTTGCCCTCGCATGCAGTGCCCTCGTCTTATCAAGTTGTTCCAAGCCAAGTGGGTGTGATGAGAGAAGGGAATCGATCCTATCAAGGATAGGGTCGTATGTACACTGAACACATCAAGGACATGCATTGCATCTTGGATCTTTCTGGACATGATAACATCATGCCCTCAGTATACTCGTCGAAAACCACTGCTCTTGACCGCGGCCTAGTCATGGTCGATTGTGCCCGTCTCGAGACGCGGTCGTTGTCCGTGGCCAAAATCGGGTACTTCTGCGCTTCGTGTCAAAAGACATCATTATTTTTGCAGGTCCACAGCCCGCCAATTCGATCCGATATCCGCACAACTCGCACAACAGTCTACAGTCGCCCCATCACTGCTGTGAGGCCATAGTCGGTGATAGTAAAAACGTTCTTTGATCGATAGAAAAAATGGCAGATGCGTGACCCATGCCCCAAAGACGGACCAAGCAAAAGCCCTCTGGTCACGCGGGTATCTCAAAAGAAGTAGACAGATAGTATAAGAAACAAAAACAAAAAAACGCCGTTGAAGCCCCCCGTGATTCCTGCAAAAATGCTTCTTACTTTTGCTTTACAAGAAGAAAAAGACGCCATGCTGTAAAGAAACACAAAATGATGCATGCATGCGTATCGAGTGAATCGAGTGAGATTAGAATCTGGGGCCCGACTGTCAGCAAAGGATTGGGGCAAAGGGACGACACCGATGAACTTACCGGATCTCATAGCTGCCCGCTCGTGTCATGTACCGCACCCACTTGACACTGCTGTACTGGCTCTTTTCAAACACCTTGAGATATCTGACCAACAGGCCCGAACTCGTAAACATGAGTAACGAAAAGTTCAGACTCAATGGCGGTCTACTCCATGCTTTTTGATTGGTCATGGAAGTGAGCTGAGCCTCGGCGCTGAGTACATATTCAGAGCCACCGGTGAAACGAGCAATCTTCCAGACAATGTTGTTATGTTCGGGTTCGTATTTGGCCTTTCCTTGAGAAGTTCGTTCGGTGATGGAAGCAGTATTGAGAGGGGTTGGGATGCGGATGACGACGTTTGTGGCGAAGAGCTTTGAGCCGTAGTTGGCCTTGATAGCGATGCTGTACTCGACCTTTGTCTTTCCGATTTCGTTGACGATGGCGTGCACCTTGAAAGGCAGGTTGATGTTCTCGGTGGCACGGTATCGCATCAGCTCGAAGCTACCGTCTGGCGGAATGAAGGAAATTGTCCTATCGGTGTCGAATTTACCCAGACGCACACACTGATGGAACTGACAATCCTCGAGGGTAACACTACCAGCAGCAGCTTTTGTAGCCTTGGTTCCAGCCATATTTCCAGAAGGCGATGCCAGGGCTTCTTCGCCCAGAGTCAGACGGTCGTTCAGACCAAACTTGCATTCAGGGGTTCCGGAAAGGTATGCGCGCATCTCGATTTGGCCGTTGACGTCGGCGCGCAGGACGGTTCCGTTGGCGGACATGAGGAGGTTTACATCTTCGATAACGTCGACAAAGGCTTCGTTCTTGCGGTACTTGATGTTGTCTCGTCTCCAGGACATGGCACCGGTAGCTTGCATGGTGATCTTTGACGAGTCCTCCTGTTGATGGTGTGTTAGCTAGGGTGCAGGGGATTGGTGAGGGATGCGGACGTACGATGAGGAGGTTTCTCTCGGACTTGACACCCTCTGTGGTGATGTACATCTTGAGGGTGTCGGTATCGGTGTTTTGAGGGTAGCCAAAGTCGAGGATCTCTGTGCGTTTGGTGAGCAGAGTGTGATAGACTGGAAAATCGAATCTGACGAACCATCGAGCAGTTCGTAGATGAGGACAAAGTTGTTCTTGACAGCCTCCTCGTCGAACTTGGCAAAGTAGGAGCGACCCAGTTGGATCAGGCGGTACAGGAACTCGAAGACCAAAGCGGCATTGGCGTTGCCCTTTGTGACGGCGACAATGAAGATGTTCTCATGCTTGACATGGCTGAAGGTGGTGGATCCAAGAGTCAAGATGGGCGAACGGACTAGAGGGTTGGAGATGACCTGGATGCGGAAGACATCGGCGAGACGTGGGCGGCAGTCATTGCGGAAGGCGCGAAAGATGAGGTTCTCGCCCTTTTGGTTGAAGACGAGGATACCCGAGATCATGTCGACGCGTGGTGGCTGGTCGCTCGAACGCTACAGGATGCTGCTATAGCTACAGTACCCTCTACTCGGTGGATGATCGAGGGGTCCAACCGTCCAAAGGCAGCGGAGGTCGGGGAAGGTCTTGGCAGACGCGACCCCAAGTCCAAGTCCAAGTCGCTGCTTTAGCACGTCAGCTACTGCCATTGCCTGCTCCCAATCCACTCTCGTCTCGCATTACCCAGCCCTTCGCGACAACAAAAGACGCGAACTCTCCCCTCCCAAGTCGCCAGTGCCGTACTACGATTCTCTTCAACGCCGTACCTTCGACTCGACCGCGATCCGCCGCCTCGACCACTGCACGCCCCAATTCACCATGAAGCCCGTCGTTTCCGCCTTTAATGCCTGGACATGGTGCGCCCGCTACACCTCTCCTCCCTTCTGCCCGTCTGCTAACTTGCGACAGCGTTGTCATCTCCGTCTTCGCCATCGTCATCCTCTCCGTCATTGGTGCTCTCTTCAAGACAAACAACCACTCGATGATGGGCTCTGAGGAAGACCCCACTGATGGCGCTGCTGTCGCCGCTTCCGTCTTTGGTGCTGTTGCTATCTACGGTGTATGTCCCGCCCTGCTTCGACTTGCTTCTTCTCGTACTGACCCATATCCAGGCTTTCCTCGTCTTTTGCGCCGGCCAAGCTTATTTGCATCAACGAGACAGATCAAGAGGCGCCATTGCCCTGTCATAGATCTTTACCTCGTCCTCTGCTCCTCTCATGCTTCACAAGCCACACATGTCTTCGATAATCTGCCCCTTCGTTTTTCGACATCACGACCAAACACCACCACTTTTGCTTTTTCGGCGCGGCGTTTCTGTTTCTTCCTTCGAAGCCAGGCTTCTTATAGACACTTTCTGTTTGGGCGGCAACCTGGCGCAACACCCTCGTGTATACCTATCATCTATCTGTTGCAAATCTGCAGTCTTCTTTCATATCCCATCCTGTTCCGTAACGCCGCCAGCCCTTGTTATGTTGAATCTCGCCAAATGCATCAAAACGCCATCAACAATCAGAACCTAAAACTAAAAACCATCATCACTCTCATCGTCGTCCTTGGGCTTCAGCCATTTGCTCATGTACGGTCCATCGAGCCAATAGCCGAGCTTGGCGTAGTAGCTGCGTACTCCAACACCAGAGATGATACTGAGCTTCTCGCTGCCGTGTTCGTCACGCGCGATCCTCTCAGCTTCTTCCATGAGTAGTGTACCATAGCCCTGATGTTGGAACTTTCTGGGGTCACGTCCATGGACCGGCACCGCCGATCCGTAAACGTGCAATTCGCGCACCAAACTTGTAGGCTGTCCAGTGAGTTCCGGACGGAAGGTATGCGTTGAGCTGCACTTGCGTAGACGCAACAGTCCAATCAGAATGTCTTGCTTCGGGTCCTCGTAAGCCAGGAAAGTCTCCCATCCTCCGTTTGCTGTGTAGTCTCGGCGGACCAACTCGACTTGCGACGGACGGATCTTGTTCTTCACCTCGTTGATACCGACCTCGCGAGTGCGTACATCGCGACATGTCGTGCCAAAGTCCTTCATACGGGACAGAGCCAGCTCGCGCAGGTTGCCATTCTCAACACCCGATGTGACAAGAGGCATGGGAATATCGCGCTGTACACGGTAGATACGAGTCCATGGCGGTACCAGAGCCAGAATGCGAGCAACCAGATCAATCAGTGCATTGGGTGTGTAGTTCTTGTAGCGACCCGTTCTCCAGAGCTCGTACAATCCGGTTCCTCGAATAACCAACGTAGGGTAAATCTTGAGACCATCGGTCCTGAAATCAGGATTCTCGAAGTACTCTCTGAACTGATCCAGATCTCTCTCCATGCCGACATTGGGCAAGTCTGGCATCATGTGACTTACAACCTTGAAGCCTGCATCCTTGGACAGCTTGAACGTCTCTGCGACTGATGCAACTGTGTGACCTCTGTTGGTATCGCGGGCGACATCCTCGTAAAGCGATTGGACACCAATCTCCAGACGAGTACATCCATAACGCAGCATATCGCTCAGGTGTTGATCCAGACAGTAGTCAGGTCTCGTCTCAATTGTGATACCTACGCACTTTGTGCTGCTCATCTCGCCAGCCAAGACAGCTTCGTCGACATTTGTCGCCTGGAAACCACTCAGGGCGTTGTGCAGTTGAGAGATGAACTCTTCTCTGTAGCTGACAGGGAGTGACATGAAGGTACCGCCCATGATGATGTATTCAACCTTGTCGACCGAGTGACCAAGAGACTTTATCTGGTCCACTCTTCCTCTTGCTTGCTCAAATGGGTCGTATCTCGCGCGGATGGCACGCATCGAGGTGGGCTCGTATCCGGTGTAGGACTGGGTCGAGTATTCAAAATCGGAGTCGGGACCGCCAGGGCAGTAGACACAGATGTTTCCAGTGTAAGCAATATGCGGACATCTGTGAGGCTTGCACATGACGGCGACAACGGCAATACCAGAAGCACTTCTAATGGGCTTTGCGATCAGGCGAGGCAAGATGTATTTCTTGTAGTGTTCGGGGACGGCATTGATGATGGCGGTGAGAGGTGGTGTGTTGCTGAGGAAATGCTTTTTGGCAATGTTGTTGCGCAGGGTGTTGAGATTGAGGTCCTTTTTGGGTTTCTTGCCATCGAGTTGGCTTTCATAGTCCTCGACGAGGGCGCTGGCCACGTCGGCACAGGCGCGTATATAACGTTCATTCTCCGGCGGAAGTTTGACGCCCTTGGGAACGCGCGAGTGTTTGGCCTTGGGCTCGGTGGCCGTCATGGTCATGGTCGCCATGATGGATAATGGCTTTGGCGGGCCTGCAGCGGCGAAGGCTGACTATGCGGCGAGGACTGGACGTGCGGGAGTGATATTGTCGGAACCGTGTGGTAATCGGGCGAAGTGTCGAGTTTCCTGGCAAGGGTGTTCAAGATGCTGCGGTGGCTCGACAAGGATCGGGAGGCAGTTGCGGAGCGAGTCGGAGTTGTGCCTGGGACAAAAAGTTCTGAAGCTCGTCAGTCCCCCGCACGCCGAGTCGTGAATATGCAAAGGGCAGGCGCAGGCAGGCAGGCCGGACAGCTTCGGATTGAGCCGTGAGGTGTGTCGGCATCGGGCGTTCAAGGGTTGCGACGGCTTTGCTCCGATCGCTCTTCAAACTCGGAAAACAGCTGGGACAGATTATATTGTTTCCGACAAACAATCCCCTCATCACCACCACCACCTCTCTCCCGACAATGCAGAGCTTCAGAAAGCCCCTGGGCTCCGCCCTGCGCGCCGCTTCGCGCCCCTACAGCAGCGCCTCGTCGCCCTACCTGACCACCAACACCAACCTCCGCATCAACGACCAGACCAAGGTCCTCTTCCAGGGCTTCACCGGCAAGCAGGGTACCTTCCACGCCCAGCAGGCCATTGAGTACGGCACCAACGTCGTCGGTGGCACCAACCCCAAGAAGGCCGGAGAGACGCACTTGGGCAAGCCCGTCTTCGCAACCGTCGCCGACGCTGTCAAGGAGACTGGCGCTACCGCTTCCGCCATCTTCGTCCCTCCCCCGGTCGCTGCCAAGGGTATCGAGGAGGCCATCGAGGCTGAGATCGGTCTCGTCGTCTGCATCACCGAGGGAATTCCCCAGCACGACATGGTCCGCATCACCGACATCCTCAAGACCCAGAACAAGACCAGACTCGTCGGCCCCAACTGCCCCGGTATCATCGCTCCGGTATGATCAATGAAGACCCAACTCCTGGCCCACTACATCTCTGACCACCCTACAGGGCCAATGCAAGATCGGTATCATGCCTGGCTTCATTCACAAGCGCGGTCGCATCGGTATCGTCTCCCGTTCCGGTACCCTCACCTACGAGGCCGTCAACCAGACCACCCAGACCGGTCTTGGTCAGTCGCTCGTCGTCGGTATCGGTGGTGACCCCTTCTCGGGCACCAACTTCATCGACTGCCTCAAGGTCTTCCTCGAGGACTCCGAGACTGACGGTATCATCATGATTGGTGAGATCGGTGGTTCCGCCGAGGAGGATGCCGCAGACTTCCTCAAGCAGTACAACACTGCCAACAAGCCCGTTGTCTCCTTCATCGCCGGTATCTCTGCTCCTCCTGGCAGACGTATGGGTCACGCTGGTGAGTAAACCCTGCATTCTTGATTCAACTTGGCATTTCTGACCAGACAAACAGGTGCCATTGTCAGCGGTGGCAAGGGTGGTGCCGACTCCAAGATCTCGGCCCTCGAGGCTGCTGGCGTCATTGTCGAGCGCAGTCCTGCTTCGCTTGGTAAGACCATGCACGCAGAGTTCGTCAAGCGCGACATGATCTAAATCCGTGCTTCTACTCTGTAATACCCACTTGATTGTTTTAGTAGACCACCGGGACATGGTCTGGGGAAAGTTCAAGGGAAGGAGAGAGAGAAAGACCCATTGTGTATAAGCCGGCGCGACTCCAGTTACCTCCCTCGTAAAACCCCTTTTTCGTTCTATTTTCTTTTCCCGATTTTCATTGTCATGCGCGCATGGGTTCGGCAGGCTTCTTATCTGTTCGGGTAGTTCTTCTTAGATCAAATCTACTTGCGACAGTTTGGGATCCGGCATTGACTTTGAGACTTGAGTGTGATGTGCAATATGGCTTGAGATGCGTTCTATATGTCTATTTCACTTCAAAATTGCCAACCATGATCATTGGCGTCATCTTACAAAGCGAGACCAGTCGTCCACCATCTGTCTCCCTTGTGCCACCAAACGATGCCTCCCCACCAGCACCAGAATCCATCGCCCTTTCCGCCCAAGCCGAGCCCTCTGAGCGGGCTGAAAGGCAGCGGTTCGAAGAGCCAGATACCGCCACGTGCAAAATCGTCGCATAGCAGAGGTGCGGTATAGTAGAACCACACATGTACGTATACAAAGTTGGCTGTACGTTGTAGCCACTTTGGTGATCGTTGCACCACTCCGAGCCAACGCAAAAGCGAAGTGATTGCCAGCTGAGCACTTATACCTCCAATCTGCGAGATGAAGAACAAGAAAGGGCCAGAAAGCGGATAAGTGTATCCCAACTGTGTGTAGCTGCCACAAGCGTGCAATACACCAGATAGCACAAACGCGACAGTCAGCGATAAGAATTTTCCACCTGCTGACTTAGGGTTGAGCTTCAGAATCTCCATCAATTTTGACGCAGGAGCCTCGAAGGCGAAACGGAAGGATTGATGCCACCAGCCGCCCCACCAACCTGCGAGTCCTTTGTCGAGGACGTTGTCGAATGAGCCGAAGCTATCGGGATACATCCAGGGTTCGCCTCTCACGCCGATATAGCGGGGACCAATCATGCCGACGAAGAAAAGAGGACCCAGAGCGAAGATGGCTTGTAATGCTGTGTAAACTGCGGTCAAGCTGAGCAGCAGACGAGCGCTTCGCACAGTGACGGGAGAAGCCTGCAGAGATGCTGGCAAGTAGTCCGGTGTTGCCGAGACATTGCCGTCCCAGAAGTAAGCGTCATGCGAGATAAAAGTCTTGAGTATATCCAGAATCACAATGTCACGGCAAACAATCCAGAAGTTAGTTTTGAGCAGAGAAGCTTTGTCGTGATAGCGATAGACACCAGTACGGCTGACCAAAGTCTTCTTTTCTTCTTCTTCCGGTGGAGGTGCACCAGAGTTACCAGCGAGTTGTGCCTGTGCCCACAGCGGTGGTGAAGGCAGTCCAGAGATTCGCCAGTTCCAACCCATGCCGCGAAAGTTGGAGAAGATGTCTGCAACCCAGTCGAGACGCTCAATGAATGGAGCCGAGGGATAGCCTTGCCAGGCAAGCGTGCCAGTCCTCTGAGCTGGCGACTGTGTGGTGCCAACCTTGCTCGTGCGACTGTGTAAGGTTGAGCCGTCCTTGTAAGCACTGCCACTAGCATGACCATTGGACTCCGCAGTCTGTGGTGGTGCCGATGAGGAAATCATATCCAGACGAGATTCTTTCCTCTCGATCCTTGTAAAGTCTTGCTGCACATCTTTGACCACCAGCATCATGAAACACCACAATATCGACCAGGCAGAGATCAGACCCACACCGAATGCGGCGGCCGGGTTACGTGCTCGAAACCTTCTGATGTTCCAGATTGCAAAGACAGTTATAAATGCCCATGCGGCAAAACGAGCTCTGCGTAGCCATGGCCGTGATCGATGGTCCAGAAGAAGGTAGAGGATTACCACCGAGGCGCCCAGAGTTCCAAAGGGATAGGTGAATGGGTAGTACTCTCCAGATGCCAGCAATTTTGCGTACTGTTCATTCAGACGGTCTATAATGTCGTAGTGCGTGACCGGCAAGAGGACTTCCTTGAGGTACATGCCTTGCCTTTGTTTCGAGGTGATGTACACACCTACTTTCCGACGATTATGTGCTTCAGGAAGGGTTTCTGTGGCAAGTCGAGTAGGATACGAGGTCCAATGTTTGTGGCGTAGAAAGAAGAGATGCTACAAGAAACACAGCGTCCATAATGATCACATATCAACGATTCGGTCTAACCCATTACAGTGTTTGCAAAACAAGATGGCGTGTGGCACTGTTTTGCAGCAGTCTTGATGACGTTCGAGGTGCCTTTGAACATGGTCTGTGCTTGCGCGCGGCAGAGCTTCTTGCTGGTGGTGGCTGGACTGCAGTGGAGAATGTCTGCCAAAGAATTCGTGAGCTTTGCTCGCAGTTTGTATCCGAACGGCGACCGAATATCACTTTGTGTAGATTATCACCTTAATCGACTGTACAAGGAGGACAGAAGTTCTCAATAGCCGCAGCCATGGTCAATATTACGGAAAAGATCAAGGAGTGCGTCTTTGAGAAACAATATCAAAATCGACGAAAAGAGACTAATGCTTCCAAGGATCGAGGCTGAGATGGCCAGGACGCAGAGTACGTTAATCAACGCAGCAGAAACGAAACCAGACGGCTGATATGTACTACAGAGAACAAAGCAACAGGTGCGGATCCAGCATTCTCATCCAACACAACAGAAAACTGATATTGACATCTTGATCAGAATATCATTTAGGTCTTCTTAAAGGGTCAGTATGCGTGTAGTACTCACGCAAACAACTACTGACTGTCGCCCAAGAAAGCTCGCTCGTCTGAGAGCACAACTGCTAGAGCCAGGCCCAGGAGCAGGCGGTCCTGGCGGAGAAGGATTCGATGTCACCAAAAGTGGTGATGCTCGTATCGCACTCGTCGGGTTTCCTTCGTACGTCAATCTCTTTACTGTCCGAGAACAATTCGCTGAAATATCTATGCCAGGGTTGGTAAATCAACCTTCATGGGCAAGATCACAAAAACCAAATCCGTAGTAGCGGCATATGCTTTCACAACACTTACTGCCATTCCTGGTGTGCTCGAGTACGGAGGTGCTGAGATTCAGATTCTGGATCTTCCGGGTATCATCGAAGGTGCTGCAGAAGGTAAAGGTCGTGGAAGACAAGTCATCAGTGCCGCGAAGGTAGGTTTCCACAGCTGCGGTTTAGTGTCATGACTGACTTTGTGTAGACCAGTGACATGATCTTGATGATCTTGGACGCAACGAAAAGAGCCGAGCAAAGAGCTCTGCTAGAAGCTGAACTGGAGGCAGTTGGTATCAGACTTAACAAACAACCCCCGTGAGTGCTCACCAGGTGGGACATGCGATACAGAATACTGAAGCAGGAGCAGGAATATCTACCTGAAGCACAAGAAGGCCGGCGGTATGAAAATCACCTTCCAAACGCCTCCTAAGAATGGTCTTGATGAAAAGATGTTGTACAACATTCTCCGCGATTACAAAATCTTGAATTGCGAGGTACTCGTGCGTGACGAAAACGGTGCGTGCAGGCATATATCACTATTTGAGGATTTGTACTAACATACGAGCAGTCACTGTCGATGACTTTATCGACGTGATCATGAAGGACCACCGTACTTACATCAGATGGTCAGTATCGTACTCTTCCAGAAAGTTGAGCTTCCACTAAGTCCACAAACAGCCTCTACGTCTACAACAAGGTCGATGCTATCGGTCTCGATCATATGGATATGCTGGCAAGAGAAGCGAATACTGTCATCATGAGCTGTGAGCTTGATCTCGGCGTCAGAGACGTGGTAGATCGCTGCTGGGAGGAGCTCCGCTTAATTCGTGTCTACACCAAGAGGCAAGTGTTCTCCCACCCCTCGTGCCTTAGCAGTAACAGACTCTCTTTTTACCTGGGCAGCAGCTAACAAAGACAACAGGAAGGGTATTGACCCAGACTTCAGCGAGGCGCTCATTGTGCGTGGCAACTCGACGATTGAAGATGTGTGTGACTCGATCCATCGCACGCTCAAAGACAGCTTCAAGTATGCTTTGGTGTGGGGAGCTTCTGCCAAACATGTGCCTCAGAGAGTTGGTCTGAGTCACGTTGTCTGTGATGAGGATGTGGTGTCGATCGTTGGCACCAAGTCTGGACTTGCAGCAAAGTAGCAGGATTGAACCAAGAATCATATATTTTGACGGCAATTGATTTTTCGTCAGTGCATTCGTTTCTCAGTTTCCACATGGTGAATTGTCATCGATGTCTTGTACCTTATGGATGAAATCGTTTGTTTCCAAGGATAGATGACGACTTTGAGAAAAGCGTGTCTGATTAGGAAGGGCCAGGGCGTGGTTGTGACGAAGCTTCCCCACGCTCGTCAAGCTTCACATGGCGGAAGCGATTGCGGGCATGTGCTGTTGATTGATGCCGCTGCCGTTTGCATCTTGCGACACCAAGTTTCTGCAAACGACGTATACCAAGCAAAGGCTCAGACTGTTTGTTGAAGATGGCCGAACTTACATCGACCAAACTGCACCCTGAACAGCACCTGCTGCTGGTATGCGTCACCAGCCTGCCATCAATGTACTTGTCGACTGACACGGCCCGCAGGACCAACCCCTGCTACGAGTGCCCTTCGAACTGACGCGGAAGAACTTTGCCCAAGTAAGACGACATATTGAGAAGACGTCGGCCGATACTCTTGCTGCTCTTAACGCTGCCGCCGCCGCCGCCGCCTCTCCATCGACTACTCCCGATCAGACTCTCGCCTCGCTCGACGCCATGATAGCCAAAGCCCAGACCCTCAAACACAAATTGGAGTCCCTCCATACCGAGCAAGATATGTTGCATCGCCATCAGCGAGCCCGTATCGACCATTTGCAAGAGTTGCACGACATACCCAATCTGGCCGACGTCAAGTACGATGACTGGAGCAAAGTTCGCCTCGACCGTATGCTCGTCGACTATCTATTACGTCAGGGTTATACACAAAGCGCCAGTCAGTTGGCCAAGGAGAAGAAGATTGAAGATCTGGTCGACGTCCAAGCCTTTATCGAGTCTAGTCGCATCCAACAAAGCCTGCAGAACGGCCGTACCCAGGAGTGCCTGGCATGGTGTTCGGAGAACAAGCAGACGTTGAAGAAAATCAACAGCAATCTGGAGCTTGAACTGCGCTTGCAGCAGTTCATCGAGTTGGTCCGGAGTGCGGAGCCTTCAAAGTTGATCGAGGCCACGCTGCATGCGAGGAAGCATTTGGGCACACACCAAAACGACTCGTACGGCTTGCGTGCTGGGGGTCTGCTTGCGAACCCTCCCAATACCATGACAGAGCCCTACAAGGTATCACTCCGCCGACCCATGTCTACAACATAACCACTGACCCGTCCCTAGACCATGTACTCGACCGCTCGTTGGCAACAACTCTCTGAGCTATTCGTCAAGACACATCACGAAATTCTCTCCCTACCGCCACAACCGCTTCTCCACATCGCCCTTTCTGCTGGCCTCAGCGCTCTGAAGACACCGGCTTGCCACTCGCATTACGCCTCCTCATCCTCGAACGCTTCTTCGTCAACCACATCCGTCTGTCCCATCTGTTCCACCGAGCTGAACGAACTCGCCCGCACCGTTCCTTACGCTCATCACAGCAAGAGCTACGTGGAAGACGATCCAGTCATGCTACCCAACGGCCGCATCTACGGAAGAGGCAGACTCATGGCTCTGAACGAAAAGATTGGCACTGCTGAGGGCAAGATCAGAGATCCTACCGATCTGTCTCAGGAGTTTGATGAACACGACATAAAGAAGGTCTACATCTCCTGAGTCCCGTTCGGCTCTGGGCACGTGCATTTCAATATCGCATTGAGCGTCTTCATCACTTTATTCCTGACTTTTGAATTAGCGAGGGGCTTCTTCGATAGCAGAACATTTGTGCAGCATATCTGGAGGGTACGATCGATTTTGCTACTCTGATTTATGAATGAAACGTATTTATGACTTCTCTTCATCTTCTTCTTCCACGTTCATCCACCAAGCCGTGGTAGCCAGATTCAGCGGCTCTTTACTAGCCGGCGCCTGTTCTCGGTAGACTGGTTATAATGAACCTTTCTTTCGAACAAACCAAGCGTCTTAGTACTTCCAACGGCCTGCAAATCGGGCAAGAGCATTATACATGTTAGTGACTACGCATGAACAGGGGAAAACGTCTTGGTGGCACTTGATGTCTTCATTTCTCATCGTTCTGCTCTGTCTATGGATTATCTGTCCTGGGGAAACCATCTGCTCCTCTGTGAAAGTCATGAATTGAGAAAAAGCAAAGGGAAAAACGTGCAGTGCTGTGGAAAAGGTCTTTCTTTTTATTTCCCGAAGAACAAGCAGAAAGTGGTGTAAGAGTCTGTCTTCGTCCTCCAGCCTCCAAAGAAGGGCTTCTCTCGGTTCCTTTATTTTTGCAAAAAGGATCCATGGAAAGCCCAATTCTTCTTCCTCCTGTTTTGGAGTTTTCTTTTCGGTGTGTCTCGTGGGGGTGTCGTGGTTCGTGAAGTTGGAAAAGCAAAGGAAAAAGGCAAAGGCTGATGGGTTAATGCTGCTGGTTGGGTATCATGGAAACGAAGTCGCGCAATGCTCATGCTGATGTTGTTTTGGGGGATATCATCTGGAAAAGACTGAACGCCGTGCCGCAATGCTGGAAAAGAAAAAGAGACACCAAAAGACCAATGTGTAGACGAGTGTGGAAGCGCGACCTGCCGACTCGCAGTAGCGCTATCAAAGCCAGCTTGGAAGTGCTGCTGCGAGAAGTACCTGTTCTGTGTGCCCAGATGTATCTTTTATTGGTCTTTTGGTTGTCTGTGAAAAGTGTCGTGAAGTCATATTCGGTCTTGAGAAAGGTGTTTCTGCACTCGCCGAGATCGGAGCTGGCAGTAGGAGACCTTGCTGTTGAGAAGCGGTTTACTGGTGCTTGTTGTGAAAGATGTTGCTGGCATCGAGGTCCGAGATGTTAAATTCCCCAGGGTACTGCTCCATGTCGAGCTTGTTGTCGTTGTCATCATTCTGCATCTGCGAGGCGTAGGGAGCGGCGAAGATTTGCTGCTGAGATGCCAGATCGCTGGCGGGACCACTGGCAAAGGTATAGTCTCCTATGCCCATGTCAAGCTGAGCAAGATCTCTGGGCATCATAGCAGAAGACTCGGTGATGTGCAAGCCGTGAGAGCCATGGTCACGAGCCTGGACATTGCCATGAGCGTGGACGTTACCAGGAGCCTGGAAGTTTCCGTAGCTGTGGCTGTTGTTGTAATGCTGCATAGACTGAGGAACTGCCAGTTGCTGTGCGGAAGGCTCGAAATTGCCAACCATCTCCTGTCTGTTCATGTTATCCCAGCCATGGCCATGAGCAAAAGAAGGAACGTTAACGGACATCATCTGATGACCAAAGCCATTACCAGTGGAGTTGTTGTGCGAGTAGTTGACGCCGTTGGGCATGAACTGAGTAGGAGCATTGTGCATTGCGTGGCTGGATGCTGTCGACATGCTTGACAGCAAATCGAAGCTCTGGTTGGTCTGATGACCACCCATACGGAATCTGTTAGGAGGCAATCCTGCGTGCATGCTGATGAACGATTGGGCTGGCATGCCGGTAGGGTTCGTGTCAACCCTGCCATAACTTTGACCAGATTGCTCTGCTTCGTTGATGGCAACTGAGCTGGGTTCTGTGGTGAGCATCTCCTTGAATTCGGGCACGGCGGCAACCATAGCCTTCTTGTCGCCTCTTGCCTGCTTCGATGGAGTTGCATCAAGATCGAGCTTCTCATTGAGACAATCAGCAATCTTGTTCAGAGTTGCGGGTGTCTTTTTCTGAGTTGCAGCTGCCTTCTTTGACTTGGGCACTCCCTTCGGCTTAGCAGGAGTGGACGTGCTGTCTATCTTTGCGGCTGCCTTTCTCTTCGAAGCTGCGGGTGTGTTCTTGCCCTTACGAGCAGATTTCTCGCTGGGATGAACAACATCGTCTTCCTGTGCCTTAGCAGCCTTTTTGGTAGATCTGCCTTTCTTCTCAGTCGAGACGACAGGCACAAACTCCTCCTCTTCTTCCTTTTTGACACTGATCTTCACTGACTTGACCTGCCTCTTATCTGAAGCAGGCGCGGCCTTCGCTCCAGGCGTAACGATTTCCTTGCCGTACTTCTCGAATGCAAAACCGTCTGGCAGTGGCCACATTGGCGGATCCTGGGTTGGCTCGTAGATTGGAAGGTCGGGACGGCCAGGAATAGGAATGGGTGCATATTGAGCCTTCATAGTGCCAGGAGTGCCGGTCATCTTGTCTTCGTGGTCGGGTCTGATGAAGGTGAGACTGCGATAAGTCTTGATCTCCTTCTCGCTCGGGATCTTGGGGTCGTCCATGGTGCCTCTCTTGCCCTTCCTGGGTGGCGGAACAGGTAGACCAAAGAATATACGAGCCCTACGTAGCTTGTTGAGGTGCTGGAACACGGATCCGCCCTCTGCATCATCCCACTTGGCCCCACCATTCACGAGCAAGTTGAGCTCCTCGTATGGGACTTTGATATTCTCTCTCTCGAGGATATAGATCAGGGATAATAGGGTGAGTTGATCCTTGCTGGCTGCGAATGTGTTAGCATCGTCATCGATCGCAATAAAGGTAAGTAACCTACGGTCCCAACGAGTCAGGATGCGCGGCTGCTTGTAGGGCTTGCGCTTATCCTTCAACTTTCTCTTCTTTTGACCATTGTCGTCCTCTCCATCATCCTCGGCCGCCTCGTCCTCTTCATCCTCATCTTTGAATTCATCGTCAGAGTCGTACTCCTCATCCTTCAGGGGAACCTTGTCTTCTTCGTCTTCTTGTTCAACAGAGTCCTGGCCATGCTCAACAGAGTCCACAATCTCGTTGATTTCGTTCGGCATAACCGAGGAGTCTTCGTACTGCTCCACGCCCTGGCCAGAAGAATGGTCGTTGTGGTTCGAAATATTGGAGGGTTGGTGTACTTCGAAGTTCTGCTGGAAGTTCTGTGACGAGAAGTGGCCATTGAGACCTGAGAGAGTAGCTCCGTGGTGCTCGTCGGCATGCTCGAAGCTGTGGGAGAGAGAGTGGCCATCGAAGCCGGAAGGAGCAACGGGAAGTTGATGGGTCATGTTGCCATAGAAAGAGAGGCTACCATGGCCGCCATGTCCATTGTTGTCTCGGAAGGGATCCAGGTTCAGGTTGTTGCCATAGCTGCCGAAAACTCCAAAGCCGTCGGTTTTGAAGATATCCTGTTTAAAATCTCCCATATCCATCTCGTGCGAGTAACCTTGAGTAGGGACGGGCTCTTCTTGCTTGAGATAGTCGCCGATATCCATGATGATAACGACGTTTCTGTGAATAAAGTCAGCGGTATGTAAGAAGCGTCAAGAAAAGATGAGCTTACGAGGTCTTGTCGACAGTCTTGGTCAGCACTCAGGAAGCGATCAGGAGGTAGATAGTCCAAAGGTCAAGCAGGCTTAGTACTGTAGTTCTGGAAGAAACTGTTCGCTATAGCGTTAGCGAGTGAGTGTGAAACACAGGTCGACCACTGGTCGAACGAACAGAGAACCAAAGTGTGATGGAAAGTGTAGCCTAAAAGGATGAAAGGCAAATGTGGAGGGAAGAGGTAGAAAGCAGAGATGGAAGGTAGAGATGGAAAGTAGAGGTGGAAGGCAAGTGTGGTGGAAGAGAAGAGGAGAGTAGAGATCGAAAGATATAGTCCGTCGAACAACTCGTTCGTCGAACCCGGGCGCGATCTCAACGACATACCCCGACAGGACTACCGCGACGGATTTGAGAGTGAAGTGAAGTGAGGAAGATCGTTGCACGTTGCAAACAAGGAATCCGTCGAGACGATGCTATCCCAACGATGCTATCCCAACGATGCTATCCCAACGATGTCGCCCCGACGAATTTGTGCCTGAAGTGAAGCAGAGTGACAGTGATGGAGACAGACATCCCGTCAAAAGGCGAATCCGTCGAGACAACTTGACCGACGAATTCGCCCCGTCAAGTTTGATGGTGGGTGAAGTGGAAAACAGTGTACGGGATGCGAGTGGAGATGGGAAGAAGTTCCGTCAAACAACTCTTTCGTCGAGAGACATACCCGTCGAGTACCTTGACCCCGACGCATTTGCCTCCTCGACTATGCGGATGAGTGAAGAAGATTGATCGAGGCTCGAATGGAGATGGAGATCAAAGGCCGGGGAGCAACTCTTTTGTCGAAAGGTAGATTTGTCGAGACAGACCAGTCCAGACGGACTGGTCCCAACGAACCCGCCCTGACAAGTTTGCGAAGAAGCCAAGGAAGAGCGATCGGAGTAGGGCTGGAAAGAAAGGGCATAGATCATAAATGAACTTGTGTCGAACAACTCTCTCATCAAGACAATGCGTCCTCAACGACTCGAGTGCCAGAAGATGATGGGTAGGAAGTGAGAGTGGGGAGAGAACGAGGAAAGGGAAGAGGAAGGTGGATGCTGCCAACGAGAGGTTGTCAGGCGGCCTTGTCTTCGTTCGGTCGAGATCACTTGGTCCCAACGAATTGCCCTCGAGACACGTCGCCTTCTTCTGCGTCCCAGCGAGTAATGGGAAGAGTAGAAGGCAAGCATGGAAGATAAGTGTAGTGGAGAAGAAAGGAAGAGTGGAGATGGAAACAAAGCATCCCTCGGATGACTCTTTTGTCGAAAGACAATTCCCTGAGTACACTTCGCCCTAATGGAGGATAGAATGGGAAGTGATAAGATATGTTTCGGAAAGGTGTTGCAAAGAGAAAGGAGAAGCTTGGAATCCCAGTGTAGGAGGAAATTGCACAAGGGGCTTTCCAAAAGCTTGAAGGCAAAGCGAACAAAACAGCAGACGAAGGAGTAGACGCAGAAGGAATGCGGTTGTGGTTGCAGCAGCAGAAAAATCAACTTACGATTTGGGTGGGAGTAACAAGAGCAAGGCTGCCGAGCAAAGATGGTGTCCACGAGAAAGAACAGTAGTAAGCTGCGAGAGTGCGCGTCAGAAAGTTCGAGGTAGGCGTGTGCGTAGATGAACACTGGTTGCTGGCAGGCGCGAGTAGATTGAGGAGTGAAGGTGTGGAACGGCAGTTTGTGTTTTTGGGTTGAGCGAGATGCACTTACGAGTGGGACGTCAAAAGAAGGAGATGCTGAGATAAGATGTTGAGAGGAAGCAAAGATGAGTTGTGTGGCTGAGCGTCGAGTAAGTGCGCAGAGGTGTCTCGACAGTTTTTCGAGGCGTCGAGTGGAGCGACAAATGCAGCGACGGGAAGATAGCGACGGGGATATTGCGTTGGGAATAGCGTCGGGGAAAGCGTCGAGGTACAAGTGAACGAAGTGACAAACAAACTGTGTGCCGAGCAACCAAAGGTCCGGGCCCGTACGGGCCCGACAAGCGACGGCGAGCTGCCATTGGCCGAGCACAGACCGCCTGACGGTCTCAACAAAGACGACGACGATGCCGACGACGTCGATGCCTCTGTTATCCACAGTACTCCCGAAGCGAGCCTTGAGCGAGCTTCAACTTCATGCCTGTCTTCACGGCCATCGAGATCCACGTCCTTTGGAAAACCCATCTAGAGCCACATATTCAGATCACAAGTTGCCAAAGCTCGACCGCATTGCTTCTGCATAACTTGATGTATGCCTTCCCTGGATTTCGGAGCCTGGAGATCCCGCCAGAGATTGTACCAGTTTCAGGGCGGTCAAGACATGATCAGACCTTGACGACCTCTCAGCACTAGATCCAGTTACCCTCAAGAGCTCCCATGAGAAGCCTGGCTGACTAGTGTGAGATAAAGTGGTTGGTTGCATGCCGATCGAAGATATCCCTAACCACCATGCTAGACCAGAACATCCAGCAATCTGACATCCTGGACTCGACTAACGCACTTAGATTAACATCACCAACATCTTGCACTAGCGCCAGGAATGAACTCTGCGGGTATACTGCTGACATCATCGATGGGCCAGACCTTGTGGACATGGATCTACCCATGAGTTGCTTCCACTACCTATGCATTAGTCAGTCACTTCCATACAACCATGGAACGGTACTTATACTCACACCGAGTCCGGGAATCAATAGATCCTCCATATGGGCGCACTGGAGCAGTCGACATAGGACCAGCATGGAAAGACAACTGTTTGTGCTGATTGAGAAGGTAAGGCATGTCCGAAGGGGAGCTTTTGGAACAACGACGACTCCGAGTGAACGTGATAAGGAGCGTACTGTATATGGAAACTAACGGTTGGATTAGGTTGGGTCGAAAGCAGTGGACGTGTCCAGGGAGAGCTGTTAAGGCAGTGGAAGTATCTACAAGTGATCTCGTCACTCTCGTCGAGAACCGGGTGTTCGTCGAGCATCGATATTCGTCGAGCATGGGCATTCGTCGAGCATAGACATTTGTCGAGCATGGGATTTCGTCGAGCATCAGATGTTTGGGTATTTGTCGAGCATCGTGTAGCTGTCGAGCATTGAGTATTCGTTGAGCATCGAGTGTTCGTCGAGCATCTGGAAGTATCCACAAGTGATCCCGTCACTCTCGTCGAGCATTGGGTGTTCGTCTAGCATCGAGTACTAGAAGAATTAGCAAGTAAACCCGTCACTCCCATCAAGCATCGGGTGCTCGTCGAGAATCGGGTGTAGCAGGAGGTTGTGTGCTAGTATCGTCGTGCGTAAATGTTTCGATAACTATCGATATCGCTTGCGTTAGCACTTGCCACGAACTACGAGAACATGGACACCTTTGGAAAAAGGTCAAAGGATGCAGTGTAAATCGGGATGAGTGCAAGCTCTTTTGATTCGTGTTCGTATCTCTACCTGTTGATACCGCTTGGTGTAGAGGGGAAAGGTATGTGTTACAGCAGAAGGAAAAGAGAAGAAAAGGTGACAAATCCCACCAGACCTGACCACATTCGACGAGTGATGGTCTCAGTGCAATTCGTGGGTGAATCTATTCTTCCTCATCATCGTCGCCCTCAGTCTTGACCTTCAGTTCTTCTTGACCAGGAGCGGCCTTCTGGAGCTTCTTGGTCAGAGGGGTACCTTCGTCGTCATCATCCGAGTCATCAGAGACCTTGCGCTTGGAAGCAGACTTGCCCTTGCCCTTGGACTTGGGTCCAGCAGAGGATCCCGCGGTACTGAGAAAGGTTTTCGGTCAGCAAATTTCCTGGTGTGGGCATGCCTGGATACTGTAACGTACCCGTTGGCCTTAGCCTTTCCCTTCTTGGGAGCGGGAGTCTTGGGAGCTGAGTCAGAGCCATCACTAATACACCCGGAGATTAGCACAATTCAATACAGTCTTGTGAAAGAGAACATACCTGTTGACGTCCTTGACGGCGATCTTGATGCGAGAAATGTGCTTCTTCAGAGCTCCGATAGTACAGGTAACAGTGTCGGTGGAGAGCTCAGCAGCGAGGACTTCCCAGTTGATGTTGGCGGAGGACTCGGGGTCTCTCAAGATAGCGAGCAAGATCTTGCGATCAGCCTCAGCTGCAACAACGTGAGTGATACTGAGATGAGACGCGGTGGTTATTGAGGCTTACCGTCCCAGGTGATACCAGGCATCTTGTTTGATAGGGGTTGGTAGGTTTCTTAGTTGAGTCGTTGACGTTTGTTGATGAGTAGGAGTGTGGGTCGAAGACACAGAGAAGATATAGTGTGCAGACTGATCTTCAAAGGATGATAGATAGAAGAGAAGGAAAGGATGGTGGATAGAAGAGAATGAAAGGATGCGGAAAGCTGAGATCGTCTGGGTGTGAAGAGAGGGAGCGGGAATGTTCTGATGGAGTCGGTGGAATCTATTGGACGTGTGCAAATCACAGTGCGGAATGGTACAGACTTTCACTTGAAAGAACGACAGTGACATGCGTCGCACGCCAAGTCACAATGACCATAGTCACTGAGCGCCAGGCAACTGTCCACAGCGATCCGAAGGATTGCGTGTCCAACGCGAACAGTACTCGAGATAGAAGCTGGATGTTTGAGTTGGACTTACATCTGGTGGCAATATAGATGTCAAAGAACCTGCATTCTTCTGATATCAGTTTCCGGACCAATCGCCTACGACACATTTGCTCAAATCGGCTTGTGGCTTCCTTCATGTTGCAAGCATTTTGAGATACCAAGTATAGCCGTGAGGTTGTCCAGAGAGGGCTATACTGACCATCTATGTTCGGGCTTGGAACCAGCTCAAGGATGATAGCGATATCTATGCATCATTTACTGTGGTTTCCAACCAGGAGACATGACTTTCGTCAAGCAAATCTCGTCGAGTGAAGAAAGAGATGCAAGATCGAAGTACCAAGTGTCGTTGGAAGGAGCAGCGCGTCATGGCTTGGCAAGCATGCCTTCCAAGTCGAACATGAACTCCTTCCTTCACTCTCCAAATGGCAAGACTGACCAGATAGCATCGAGTACTGCGACACGTAGAACCAACAGTTGGAACACGACAAACATATCGGATAAACAAAGTGTGGAAGTGCAGTCTCAATTGTGTGATTGTAAACATTTTGGGGGCCGTTGAAGATGAAAGAGTAAAGAGAAAAGAAAAAAACATAGGCCTCCCAGTCGAGTAAGTACAGTCTTTCTTGCTGCAAAGGTTCGTTATTCTCGTTTCCTCTTGGTGTCCAGATCGCTGCTGTATTGCAAGCGAGACAGGTCAGGTGAGAGGGTGGTGTGTTGGTATGCGTTCAAGCAACAGCCTATTCTTACAGTCAGTCATCACAGCCGCATCAGCTCCATTGCGAACACTCGCCTCCTCATCGTCATCGTCGGCCTCGAGCTCGTTCTTGACAAGATGATTTTCGTCGTCAGCAGCATCCAAGGCGTCGTAGTCAACAGCCTGCTCAGCATCGCCATCGGCCTCATCTTCGTCTTCAGAGTCGTGCTTCATCTTGCGCTTCTTCGAGCTTCCTCCTTGTCTGCGCGTTTGGCGGCCCTTTCCTTTTGCTCTCGTCTGATCTTCTTGCGCGTCGCCTTGCTCTCCTTCTTCATTTCCAGCGCGATTCTTGGCACGAGCAGCAGGAACGCGGCCAGAGCCACTGCGCAGTACTCCACGGACCCCATAGTCATCGGCGAGTTTGTTGTAGCGCTTGGAACTGTTGATGTTCTTGTCAGTGATGTGTTTCCGTGGGATGGCTGTGAGCAGGTACGTACGCAGCGTTGGTGGTGAGTCCAGTGTCTGTAGCGACGCCGTTCCAGTCGATCTGGCCTGCGCCTTTGCTGTTCTTGATGCAAGAGAAGAGCAAGACGATGTGATCGTCCTTGGTGATGGGAGCCATTGTCAGTTTTGTTTGTTATGCGCTTGGTTGAGAATGTTTGCTTGAGGAAGTAACAAAGAAAAATAGAGTGCAGTGACTGAGGAAAAAAAGAAAGAGAAGCGGCCAGGTCGAAGAGTGATGGAATGCCTGCAGTGAGACACGCCGAAGGCGCTGGAATTGTGAAAGTGATGGAATGACCGAAGAACGCTAGAAGGCGAGCATTGGATGCTCCAACACGACGACAGGACAGAGGTACTCACTTGTAGGTATGCTTGTGTAGCGTAGATCCCTGAAACCTGTAGAGTCTTGGATGTAACGAAAGTTCTTGGAACAGGGGTTCGTCAAAGTGTGCGTTTCGAAGGTCAGATCTTCGAGCGGTCAGCCAAAGCACTGATCTAGGCATGTGAGGGCTCGATCGCTTAGTTTATCACTTATGGAAGAAAGTCACTTCCGGTACTATTGTGAGGAGCCACCGGCAAACATTGTTGGGATCTAGCTGCTGAAAGCACAAGGATAACTTGCATGGTCTTCTGAGAGGTTACAGCACATTCTATGATCCCATGTGAAGGCGATGAAACATGTAGAATTGATATCCGCTGCAGAAAAATAACTTATTTGGCCTTGGGAGTGGCCTTAGCCTTCTTTCCGGCCTTGTTCAAACTCCTCTTCTCTTTCTTACTCTGGGCCTCCGTTGAGATTTCAGTAGCTTCGCTGACAGGTGCTTTGACAGGCTTCTCGGCGGTCTTGGGGCTCTTTGGCGACTTCACAACCTTCTCCTCTATTAAATCCTCGGCATTTGACTCCTCAGATGTGACTGCCTTCTCTGCAGGCTTCTTCGTCGACTTTGTAGCTTTGGGATCGATACCCTTCTTCTTCATTTGCTTTGCACGAGCACGTTGGATGATTGCCTCATCTTCGGAGTCAGAGAAGCCGCCGAACACGTCATTCTCAGCCTCCTCGCTGATAGGAGTTCTGTCGACAATCTCCTCGTCTCCGTCCTTCTTTACGTTTTGCTTCTGTTCTTCCGAGCCTTGTGCCTTGATAGCGTTCGCAGGTGTGGGTCCAACCTTCTTGAACTTGGCGACGTAGAAACCGTCGACGTTGTAGGCGTGAGGGTAGTATCTTCTAGTCTCCTTCAAGCTGGGGTGGAACTTCTTGCCCATGAAGCTAGTGAAACCCTCCTTACCAAAGACAAGACCAGTGCTGACAAGCTTGACATTGGGGCGTCTGTTGAGTGCGTACTGAACGACTTGCTCGTTCTCCTCAACTGTCACACTACACGTTGAGTATACAATGTAACCACCAGTCTTTGAAGCATGGTCCACCGAGTCAATGGCGGCAAGCAAAAGCTGCTTCTGGAGATGAGGCAGTCGTAGGAAATCGGCTTCAGTCTTGTTGGTCTTGACACTTTGATCCTTGGCAATGACACCAGTACCGGAGCAAGGAGCATCGAGAAGGACTCTGTCAAAGCCTCCCATGACCTTGGGGAACTCGAGAGCAGAGTAATGGCATACGATGGTGTTCTTGACACCGAGACGGTGGATGTTACCGATCAAACCCTTGGCACGGACTTTGCTGGCGTCGTTGGCGAAAATGACACCAGTGTTGCGCATCAGAGCAGCGGCGTATGTTGTTTTACCACCGGGAGCAGCGGCCATATCCAGAACACGCTCGTTCTCCTGGGGTGCGAGGGCCATGACGGGCAAGAACGAACTGGCGGCTTGGAGGATGTAGTGTCCAGCGAGATATTCGGGGGTGGCACCCAAGGGGACCTGAGATTCGAAAACCTGCAGACCAACCTTGCTCCACTTGCCGACGGGCTCGAGAGTAACACCACGGTTGATCAAGGAGTGTGCGAGATCACGACGGTGAGTACGGAGGGTGTTTGTTCTGATGACCAGAGGACGAGGGGTCTCGTTAGCGTCGAAGAAGGCAAGAGCCTCCTGGGGGGTGAAGAGCCTCCACAGCTTCTCGGCCAAGAAGCGCGAGTAGCCGTAATAGGCGCAGATGTCGTTGAGGAGCGAGTTGATGTAGTCGACACGCGAGCGTTCGGGGTCAGACAGCTCTTTGAAGCTGGTCAGGACACGGGTGGTTTCGGTGATACGGGTACGGAGCAGCTGAAGGTCGGGAGCAAGAGTGGCTTTTCGTTGGGCAGTCTCATCGTCGTCTTCGTCCTCGGGAATGTCGGCGGCAGCAATGTTGGTCTGCATGGCGTCGTCCTCGAGTTCGGCCTGTGCATCAGCAGCCTCCTGGGCGGCTTCCTCGTCAAGACGACCTGAAAGACCAGCGATGTTGGCAGCATTCAGGATCTCTTCGGCATCCGAAGCGTCTTCATCCTCAGACCACATGGCGCGCTGGACATCCGGATCGTCTGAGTCCATAAAGTCATCGTCCTCGGCGGGCTCATCGTCCGACTCGAGAACGCCCAAATCGTCAGCGGCATCCGAGTCGTCTTCGATGTCTTCGTCATCGGATTGGACCAGTTGTTGGGCCTTCTTCGCTACTGTCTTTGGTGTCTTTCCGTTGGCCGCGAACTGGCCCTTGGTCGTCTTCTTTCCAGCAGAGTTCTTGGGCTTGTTGGGGTCGGTTCTGCGTTTCTTGTACGTTGCCTCTGGCGGCGGAGGAGCGTCCTTTCTCTTTCTTGAGACCAGCGATTCGTTCAGGGGTTCGGGAACACCCTGCTTTTGCATGCGGCGACTGGGGGCCATTTTGTGATGTGATGTCAAATGCGACGGAGAAAATAAAAATCAATTGCAGGAAAGCCGCTCTGCTCTTTCTCAAACTTTACGAGACTTTTTCTGGAAGCACTTTGTGGGGAAGCTCGCCTTCATTGGCCGCTTTGACAAAGACCGTAATCTTATCCCCGTTCGCAAGAATACTTGTTGAATCAAATCCAACCTATGTCTGAAGTCGTTCGCTGTACAATACAAGAAGCGTAGTGGGTTCTGACCATGAGGTCCAATATCAGCATTCCTCTCTGAGGCTCATACCTCAATCGCTATCATCGTCACTCCCATATCCGACCAATGGACCTGCAGGCTTATCCAGAGCCTTGCTGGCCGACGCGCCTGAGCCTGCCGTGAAGCCTTTCAGTGCACTTAATGTTGATCCTCCAAGAATCCCAGAAGGCGCACCCTGCCTCTTCATATCCTCGATCCGAAGCGGTGCACCTTCGTCATCCTCATCCAAGTCACCAGCTTCTAGCAGGTACGACTCTTGCGGCGCTCCCAGTCTGGCCTTCTCCGACGCATACCACACTTGATCGCTGGCTTCGTATCCAGCCAATCCAAATGTACCTTCAATCTTTCTCCTCTTCCTTGCGTCCTCCCAACCTTCACCACGCCCTTCGATCTCGGCAACATACTCTGCGGGTAGCGCGCGACGGATTGCTTCGGCAGCTTGTTCTTCGATTTTGCGCACTTCTCGTTTTTGAGCTTGCGGGTTGGGGTCGACAGTCGCCCATCTCACGTTCAGCGTCTCGTTGTTGTCCAGTGGCTGATGCGCCATGGCCTCTTTTGCAAACTCCTGTCTGATTGTTAGCATTTTTTTATGTACTGAAACATGTCGGAAGACTTGCGGCGTTGGCCAGGTGGACGTAGGTCACAAACGCTACACCTCTAGCCGGTAGTACACGGACGCGCTCGATCTGGCCCCATTCCTGGAAGTGTCTGGCAACGACTTCCTCAATGTCGTCTGATGTGTGTATCCTGCCCACGTAGAGAGTTCTGTTGACACGCATGAAACTTCCCACACCACCCATGTCGTCTCTGTAGTCGCTGAACTTGTCTCGTCCAAAGCAGTCGACATTGGATGGGAAGATATCGCCCAAACCACCCTCCTTTTCCACACGCGAGTTCGGTAGACGATGCAGGTATTCGCAGTCTTGACCTTTGGGACACAGACCACGAGCGAAGTAGACACAAAAGTAGCTGCCAGGAATGGTATCGGCTTTTGTGAAACCGGAGTCGGTTGCAACGTTACACCTGCCCTTTGCTTGTTGCTTGGAGGAGTAGGCATCTTCGCGATCACCGCCAGACCATTTGTTGTACCAGATGTTGAAGATAGTGCCGGTTTGAGCGGGCCTTTCTGTCGAGAAGCCTTCTTTTTGAACTCTGGCGGGTCTTCTCTTCTTCTTGACCATGATTTTCTTGGTTTTCTTTTTCGGTTCCAGAGCAGTGCTGTCTTGATTCGTGGGTACTAGTGCTGCCGAGTCTGTGACTTCCATGTCTGCGAGAGGATTTTGATCGGTCGTGGTGGCCTCCTGCACCGGAGGAGTATCGACGTCGGACATGATTGTGTGATGTATGGGGAGAGTCGCGTAGATGTTCGGTGTATGTTGCAACTGGCTGAGTGTGGAGAAGTCGAATTAATAGTCGTGGTTGTTGGATGGAATTGGCAAGAGGGCAAGGCTGGCGCGGCGGAGAAGTCGCGGAAGGCGCGAATGAGAGTGAGCTTGGGCCATGCAGGTAGGTGGAAGCTCTCCAGAATGCAGCGAGCCTGACACCATCAAGCACCATCATAACGCCCAGACTAGAATCAATCACCTCCCTTCCTCTCATACACACCGCCAACATGCCTGGATTCGACTTCTCGCTGCACAACCGCAACCTTGCTTTGCACGCACAAGGTGTCCCGCTGCCCAAGGCCACCAGCACCGGAACCACCATCGTCGGCTGTCTTTACGATGGCGGCGTCGTCATCGCCGCAGACACAAGAGCAACCAGTGGCCCCATTGTCGCCGACAAGGTAAGGCTGCTTTGATCATCCCAAACAACGCTCTCAGTGCTGACTCTACAATAAACAGAACTGCGAGAAGTTGCACTACATTGCCCCCCAGATCTGGTGCGCCGGCGCTGGTACCGCTGCCGACACCGAGTTCACCACCGCTCTCATCTCATCCAACATCGAACTGCACGCTCTATCCACCGGACGCAAGCCCCGCGTCGCCACCGTCATGACCATGCTCAAGCAACATCTGTTCCGCTACCAAGGTCACATTGGCGCCTACCTGGTCGTAGCCGGCTGCGACCCTACAGGCAGCCATCTCTTCACCGTCCACGCTCACGGCAGCACCGACAAGCTCCCCTATGTCACCATGGGCTCAGGTTCGCTGGCCGCCATGTCCGTCTTCGAGACCCAGTGGAAGTCAGGTCTCAACAAGGACGACGCCATCAAGCTCTGTGCCGACGCCATCCAAGCCGGCATCTGGAACGATCTGGGTTCGGGTTCCAACGTCGACGTCTGTGTCATCACCGCCGAGAAGACGACGCTGCTGAGAAACTACATTACTCCCAACAAGCGCGAGCAGAAGATGAGGAATTACAAGTTCCAGAGGGGCACCACCGCCGTTCTCAACGAGAAGATCATTACTCGCCAGGACATCAGCAAATACGTCACGGTGCACGAGCTCAGCGACAACGATGCTGGCCAGGCCGCAGAGAAGATGGAGGTCGACTCATAGACAACGTGTTATATGCACTGGACCAATGACTTTTTGACATTTTCTGTATTCTAACGGGGACCAACGATCGGGGGCTTTTACTCTTACAAAGCAAGCACAGGCATTTTTCGGGGAGTTTGCAAATTCAAATTCGGTCATAATTTTGTCTTCTTTCAGACGTGTTTTGATATGCTGTCCAAAAAGTCTATGAAGTGGATTGAATATCTATGGGTGGTAGCGATCGGGCCAGGTCCAGCCTGCCATGATCAGGACATTGACTGGGTATCAGATGCTGTCTGCTACAATCAATCGCGCAGTTTTGTATATTCGAAGAAGCTGTTGCGCCACAGGTCTTGTATGCGCAGCAGCGGCGGTATATGGAATCATATCCATCAAAACCATCTTGGTCGGATCAGAGACAGTCCCAATAGTAGTCATAGCCTGCAGAGTATTGTTGGTATGGATGTCATCAAAGATAACACACTCAGACGTCTCGGTGTCCTTTGTCGAAAGACGAGCTGGGAGAGACGTCCGAGTCGCAGAATTGAACGTACCATCGTCGGTTTGTGAGGGCGCTTCAGTCCCTGTTGCTAAGTGCGAATTTATAGACAGAACTGATGTTGACGCTACCGCAGAAGAAGAAGAAGCAGTTGTAGACGCCGATGTTGATGCCGATGCTGGTATTGATGACGATGCTGAAGTCGATGCTGAAGTTGATGCTGACATTGATGTTGAAGTCGAAGTAGAAGAAGGCGGATTGCCTATAGCTGCTGCATTCGTCGTAATTCGGGCACCACCGCTGGTGATCACCACTCCGGTTGCCGCATTGCTGCCAGAACTTGCTGTACAGTTGGAGCTATCGACACTTGTGCGATTGAAGTAGGCTTCCACTGATCGGATCTGAAGAATATTGTCTTGAGCTGGAGGGCCAAACGTCCAGGCCCATCCGTTCGACCACGAGTTCCACATCAGCCAGCCTGCGGCACTTGGAACATTTCTGTTTATTGACATGGTCAACACGCCATCGATGTAGAAATTTGTGCCTGTGGGCAGCCAGTCATAGCGGTATTCGTGGAATGCAGAGGCCATGGTGTCAGGTGCAGGCACAGCATACGTTGTTTCACCATTGCCTGGACGTGTCTGCTGGTTTGTGAAATGGATGTTGTTGGGATCGCCTGTACGGATCTCAATGTCTGTTTCTTGAGTATCGTTCATGTACATGAAGAACCCTGATGTTGATCGTCAGTATCTTGGACTCCCACAGTTTGGAGGCCAGCAACATACCATGAACTGTGCCGTTGACAGGACTGGCTTGTGCAACAGTCCGTACACTAGCATATAGCACATCATCATAACTGGTAACAAGCTGACATGTTTCTAGAGGATCCGAAGTCTGACCACCAGGAACGATCATCTGCATGGGCTGACCAGATCTGAGTACTATGTTACTCGGATTGAAGATATGTGCGTACGGAGCGTAAGGTCCGGGACCAACTTGATAAGTACTGGCGATCAATTCGTCCGGGAGAGTATCCATGGTGGTAAAGTCGAAAGCGAAATGGGAGCTGAAGGCACCAGCGCCCTCGACTTGATAGTGACAGCCATCAAAGGTCCCATTAGAGAAAGTTGCATCTGCAAATATAGCAGCGAAAGCTGTTAAGAAGGCAAGACATAATAAGTTCCTGGCTGGACGCATGGTGTTTGGTCGTCAACAGATGCCCACCATTGTTGTAAGTTGAATTTATCAAAGAACAGGAAGAGAATGCGTAAATCTTTCAAAGACGAGAAAAGAAGGAGAACTGAGATCTGGATCAGACGAGTGTTCGCACTGGAATCAAGACCTGGAACAGATGGTGATATCTATTCCACGGCCGGCAGTTGGGAGGGAGAAAACGGGCGAGGCGTCACCATCGGACGGAACTAGTAGACGTTTTACAGCACATGGGTCAGAGATGGCAACGGCAGAGGCTCAGAGGGTAAACATGTATGGAGCAAGACGGGACATGTTCAGAGATGGTGCTTCGAGAAGGGTGTTGGAAAGAGTCAGGAGTCTGAAGAAAAAATGGTGGCGTCAAGATCGTCTTGGTAGGGCTGCGAGGTTCAGGGTGATGTGCAGAGGAAGTGCTCCAGTGGACAGCAGACTGGCCCGTTACATTGCTCCAAATTGTCACAGATCGAGACAGGAGAACAATCGCTCACCCGAGAAATCTAGAAGCAAATACAGATACCGATAACAGATAGTCGAGGAGCAGGTCGGTGGTTCCCAAGCAAAGGCAGGAGACATGGCGGAAGATGGTCCCCGCATGTCCGAAGACGATGTTCCCGGGGCGTGCCTGCAGGTTCGCAGGGGGGCGGGCACCTTTACGCTAAAAAGGCAACCAAGAGAGAGCTCTGTGACGAAGTGACACGCAACGCAGCTTCCATCTGTAACGCTGTGACGATTGCAAGTCTCTTGCGTAGCATGATATGAACGCCCGCTCTTTTCCTCCAGTCCTCACCCACTGGCACAATGACTAAACCAACCTTCAAGACGTCAGCTCCTCCCTCGCCCGACGAAGCTTCGCAAACACCTGTCGCCAATGCATCGTCATCAGCTCTACCTCTGCCTCCTTCCTTGAACCTGCGTAGTCGCTCCTCGACAAAGACGAGTCCCACTACCGCCGATGGAACTCCTCCTATCCAACCTTCCTTCTCTCGCCGTCGCTCCTCGCTGCTCTCCTTCTCGAGCCTAGACGACACGCGACACTCGGCTGGTGACTTCATCCGTCCATCATTGGGCCTCGACCACCAAGATTCGACTGCTCCCGATGACCTGTCGCACTGGCACAGCTCTCCCTTGGCCTTTGCTTTCCTCCCCGCTCTTGCTGGTCTATTCTTCACCAATGGAAGTGCTTTTGTCACTGACATCCTCCTCCTCGGCTTAGCTGCTTTGTTCCTCAACTGGAGTGTCAGATTACCCTGGTACGTCTTCTCGTACATGGCTTTCTTCTTGGTTATACTGACAAGCTTTAGGGACTGGTATCGCTCCGCCCAGGCTCAGTTTGCTCTGGACGACTTGACCAATTCTCCTGCTGTGTCACAAGACCTGGATGAAGACGACGAACAACACCAACCCACCGAGCAACCGCAAACGACTCAAGAACAGGAAGATGCAGCTGCCAATCTCCGCCAACACGAGCTGCTTGCTTTGATCTCCACCTTCCTGTTTCCTGCCTGCGCTGCTTACCTGCTCCATGTCATCCGTGGTCAGCTCTCCCGTCCCTCTGAAGGCTTGGTCTCGGATTACAACCTGACTATATTCCTTCTCGCCGCCGAGATACGCCCCATCCGCCAATTGATCCGTTTGTTCACACATAGGACCATACACCTGCAGCGTATTGTTCGTGGTAACGGCGACTCTTCGGTGTTGAGCAAGAAGGACAAGGCCATCACGGAGCTTGCATCTCGCCTGGTCGTCCTAGAGGACAAGTTCGGCGATCAACTGTCGTCTCCGGGCGTCTCGATTCTCCAGAAGGACGAAGTCACCGCCCTCTCCAGCGATATCAGGAAGCGTTTTGAACCTCGTCTTGATGCCTTGGAGCGTGCTGTGAGAAGATACGAGAAGCGAGCCACTACTTTGACTCTACTCACTGAGCAAAGATTGCAATTCTTGGAAAACCGTTTGCAAGACGCGCTAAGCTTGGCTGCTGTCGCTGCTCAGTCTTCGAATAAGCCTGGCATTGTTGCTACAATTCTGTCCACTCTGGCAAAGACACTAGCAGTGCCTCTAGAGTTGGTCTGGTTCGTTTTTGTATGGCCCCTGAAGGTCACAGAGTCCGTGCTTAAGAAAGCTGGTGTCTTGGTCCTGGGCCCAGCACATCCTCCGCCTCGTCGCGGTGACTCTAAAAGATCTAAAGTAAGGTCGGAAAAGAAGAAGGATGACTCATATTTTCAGCGGCACTATTGATTGCATAGCTCACTCGCGTTGTGGCGCATCGCATTGGCATGGTTGCTCATATCCTATTCACGAATTTATGACCTACTCGTATCGGCAAGTATGTAGATCTGCAAACTGTTCTTGTCGGTACGTAACACGTGCTATTCTGTTCCATTGTAGCTGGCCTCCTCATTGGCGCAATGTTCGAGGCGATAGTCCTCATTGACTGGATGCTCTGCAATGTTAAACTGAGAATTTCGTTGAGAGGACGACCCTGACTGCGTATCTTGCTTCCTCCCATACCTCGTCAGAGCTGTCCCAGACACAGAGGAATTGATTGCCGACAGCAGTACGCTTCGTACAAGTCTGTGGCAGTTGGACTTATGCTGATAGAACCACCGAGGACACTATAGGTCACTTAGGGAGAAGAAGCATCGAGACAGCAAAGAGTGAAGCTTTAGCATTACACTTCGTCACCACAAACTGAATTCGAATTTACAAGATCGTGGTCATCTCCCGTATGTCAAACAGCAACTTGCATGCTTCTCTTGCGAAGAGCCAAAGCGACATTCTTGCTCAGAAAAGACACAATGATCTCCAGATCCGAGCTGGATGTAACGAGAGCCTATCACACTTTGATGTCTCGTCGATAGTATCCTGTTTCTCAAAACCACTGTGCATTACTACAGCCACTCATATTACATAGCTTTGCACATGGATGGAAACGGACAGCACCGAGAGGGAACGCTGAATTCTCATACGGTAGAAAACATAAGGAGTACCAAATCACAATCACAATCATAAAGGGCATTATCAGATAGACAACTGTCGGCCTAGCATCCACCGCCTCCTCCTCCACAGCCACCGCCACCGCCTCCACCACAACCTCCTCCTCCTCCGCCACAAGCAGCACCTCCTCCTGTTGTTCCTATTCCTCCACACGCTGCACCCATGGCACCACCAGCACATGATCCGCCAGCTGCAGCAGCCGCACCACATGTCCCTGCACAACAATTGCCTACCGCACCCGCACCTACCGCCATACATCCAGGATTGACAGGGTAGACCGCTGGTGTATACGGCATTATTCCATAGTAGGGAGCATACATCGGGATGTACACAGGATGACCATACGCATCAGAGTAGTAGTAGTCGTCTCTCCTGGGACGAGGATTGCCCTTTTTATCAGCACGCTCACAGGCCTTGTCATATGCTTTTTCGAGCTCGGCAAGGCGCTTCGCGACCCCTTCGTCGTATGCCTTGTCGCCGGTTGGTCTTACGGCATTGTGAGTAGATATGTGGACGGACTTCTTGGGATCAGAAGGTACAGAGTGGAGGTTGTCGGCCGCGGTGGCGTTGCTGGTACGGAACAGACGTGATGCGGTCGATGTGTGTGACTCGCGCACTGCTTCGCAGTACCAGCATGTACACTCCGAGTATGGCTCTCCATACAACTTTTGATATATCTTGCTGGTCTCGGCAAAGGCATCTGTGAGTCTGGCCTCCACCACCTTGTCATCATGGTCGATGAAGGTTTTGCTTTGGGCGACGGTGTGTTGAAGGTATTTCGATGGACTGAGTTGGTGTGTATGCCATGCTAGATCAACGTCGAGCGTGGGTACGGCCATCACGTTGTACCTGGCGATGATGGCGATGAATCGCGAATACTTGCGTATCAGACGCGGTATAGTGCTCGAGAGACCAGGCGAATGTAACCAATCGATCTCGGCCATCTTGCTCACGAAAGAGCCTTGACGTATCACAGCACCGACGAGATCGACAGCAAAGGGCGACGAGTTTTCCCAATACCTTGACATCATTCGACGAAGAGCCAATGCCTCGTCTGGGAATAGTTTGGAGCTGCCTTTGTAGTGTTTCGCTTGCTTGACCAGTTCTGTAACGGAGAGATACTCCTCGATGACTTCGCGGACACTGGACATCTGCATGTCGGAGCCCTTGAGATCGAGGATCCGTCTGCCCAGTCCCATTTTCATCAGCTTGCTCGGGAATATGGAGAAAGACCAGCTGCCAATGTCCGAGGCTTTGCCAACTTTGGTCGGTAGCCCGTTTTTGCTCAGAATATTTCCTGGTAACACCGCATCACGTTCGATGAGATTCACCAAGTCCTTGCGGAGCTTCCCTACACAGAGGTAGTCGTGCGTAATTTCGGACATGCATTCTTGACAAGTCAAGGTGAAACCCTTGTCGGCGTATCCGTGACAGGCACTGAGCAGAGATTGGACGTCTCCAAGGACAGAGGCACCGCTGGATGATTGAGACACCTCGGCATAATTAGTCCAAGGTGCAGTGTTTCGTGAACCACAGACGTGGCAATCTACATTCGCGCTGTGCAGACCATCTAGGTTGTCCCAGCCGAGCCCAGTCTGCTCTGTGAAGCTGACCATCACGTGCTTGGTCACTTCGTAGTGATGAGTCGAAGGATCGATGTGATTGGCGACCGCCTGTAATGGAAACGGTGTATGCCACAAGCGCATCCGACCCTCACGTAGACAGTCTTCCAGGTATGCTCTCGGGTTGAGGGTGTATGCATGCCAGACCATCAGCACATCAATGGGGGGTAGATTCTCAGTATCGAAAGAAAATGGTTTAGCCGTCTCAGTGTCCACGCGGTCGGCCAATATCTGTCCTTTCGTCTTGATGGCTTGAGCAAGGGTATAGCAATCAGAACTCGGCTCCAGGCTGTATCTCCACCTTGAGAAACGCTCGACCGCCCGGGAGACGTAGACTTGCCATCTCTTTTCTGCGAGGAGAGTAATGATTTCGTTGTTTTTGTCCTTGTGAGGGCCGGCACACGATGCTCCATGATCCAGCTCATCGACGAGATTACAAGATATGCCAAAGAGACCGTTGGTACTGGCAATGTCCTGCCTCAAACGGTAGAAACATTCAAGCAACTTCAGATGTGCTACACAATCCTCCGGACTGGGTAAATCTGGACTTTGCTGCACACTACTGCTGGCTACCAGCGGAGGGTAGTGTGCATGTTGTTCCTGTCGACTGGCTTGCTCATAAGTGGGAGGAGGCGGCGATGGGCTCTTCTGGACAGGCTCGATAGTGACTGCAGCCTCTTTCTGCTTATCGGTGTCTTTGGCTCTGGAAAACGCTCTTGTAAGTCGTCCCATGGTGACTTATTTGTGATTTGTGATCGGTGTTACGTGTTTGTGATATGATGCATCTAAGGTTGGGGAGATGCCCAGATATACACAAGTTGCTGTTGGTTGTGAAAGACCCCGCCCTTCTCATTTCAGGCAGGTCGAAGGATTCTGTGGTGGTTGCCACATGACTCGGCTCGAACACTTGCTCACCCTATCACAAGTCTGTCTTCCAGAACCCATAGAGGCGGCTGTGTTCGAGGTGGACTTGGCGGAATAGATAATGTGCATCGATATGACTCTGCTGGGTGTTAAGCAGCCTTCGATTGTTTTTCTAGCGTGCCTTTGATGAGGCTTGGACTGTTCAAGCATCCGGCTAGGCCCGACGTCACCCATGTCTTGAGGCTGAGCCTCGGATCGCCTAGAAGTCACAGCCTGCCGCGAGGGATTCAGGCATCTTTTGCTCAATCACTTCGAACAGCAGCGGCCGTATGGTGTTGCGGCGCAGTCCCGACATTGTTGTCATTGATGGAAGAATCGAGGAGGCTGCGTCGAAGCGCCATCTGAGAGGGGTCTTCAGCCCGCCGGGACCGAGTCCGCCAGCAAGCAGAACGGAGCTGCCTTATTTTTCGGCCCATATCAACTTGACTGCCTGAAACAGATCAAAGACAACTCAGGGAGCGGGCAGGAGTATAAGCGATACAGAATGTTCAAATCATGGACTCGATCAGCCACTAGAAGTCGTTTCGGGACGATGTCGAGTTGGGCAGCGTCAAGGTCACATCAATACGGCAGTCTGCCTTCAGTCTGCCTTGTTCGACTACAAAGCGATTTGTTCTGGCTGCATGACCATATGCTCCCCCTTCGCTCGCCATCTCTCCCAGTGTGATTCAGTCTCGCAGAAGTCCACCTCTGCCCGTGTTCTCTGCTTCGAACGTGGAAGCCAAAGATGCCCTTCTTACACTTGCCAGTGCTGCTGGCAACAAAGATAAAGATTGCGAGGTTCGCCGACATTCACAGTTAGGTCTGCATCAGAATCTAGAGTGTTCACTACGCCGATAAGGTTTGTCAAAACCCTATTCGCAGACGAATTGACCTTTGTGATGTAGGTTCAGCGATTGTATATCAGTCGAACAGTAGCAGATTCAAGCGTATGGAAATGGAGTTGCACACAATTCTTGATCATTTCTTTCTCCTATCGACAACGATATGAGATCTCGGACTATTGCCATGAGGGGTCTCGCATTGATTAATAATCGTAACGTCTTTGGTATACAGGGTGCAAGTGACTTCATGGCGGTGGGCGTTGGTCGTCGAAGATTCGGAGAGTGCTGTTGGTAATGGAGACTGCTGCATGGCGCCTCTATACTCTGACGGCGACTTAAAGGGCCTTGCCCATGAACTTTCTCTTGGTGAAACTCAACCACCACTGCCAGACTTGACTTAGCATTGCTACTTGTGTGCGGCAGGTTGTGTATTCTCACCTTGCTAGGAGCATCGCCGTCTGCGTATATCCTGTTCAACAGTCTGTTGGCCAACTCTTGTCTCATTTGACTGATGTACTGTCTCAAGACCTCTGCTTCTTGTCTATCCCGCGGAGGCTCGAAGGCCTGGTTTAGAGGGAATGTAGCGTCGCCAGGAATGGCAAAGTTTGTGTCGAGAGCGAGGTTCATGACGGCCTTTTCGGCGTCTCTCCTAGCCATCTGAGGCTTGATCTTCTGAATGACTTCGCTGACGAACAGGATACCGTATATGAGAACGCGGTCGGCGGGGCCTTTGACTTCAAAGTTGCGGAAGAAGGTGTTGGCACGGAATAGGGCCAGGGTCTCGTCCAGCGGGTCGTAGCTTTCGTGTGAGGCGTCAATGTTGAGTTCTGTTACATCGCCGGAAAGGGCGGGAAGTTGCATAGCGGGACCACGAGTTCTGGTACGGAGGGGCAACAAGGCAAAGTTGCCGATGACTTGTTGATTGGGTTCATCGAGGAAGACCGAGTGGTATGCCTGCCCAGCTAGCTGTCAGCAGGGGGTTGCAGGTGTTGTGTGTCATTGTGGCTCGTACAGGCATGGTGGAATGTGGATAACAGCAGTGAAGCTGTCGGATCGCAAGAGGAGTACGGTTGGGCGAGGAAGATGAATCAAATAGCTAGAGAGAACGATCAATCGCTCGACCTGGATGGATGCGCGTCGCAACCCGCGCCTACGTATGATGTTGTCGGTGGAGCTTGGCGCCCGCTACCTGCCAAGAGGCAGGACTCCCGGCCGCCGAACGCGGGGTGCTGTTGGGCTGGTCGAAAAAATATCCTCCATCGTGACTCCTTCGCGACAGCGAGCTTCCGAGATCGCTGAAATCTTGCATATCGCGTGTCAAATCCTGTCAATCTAGACGGTCTTCTCGCGGCTCTCTTTCTTTGTTTATATCAGGTTGTCAAGAATCCTTGACAGCCAGCTCTGTTCAACATGTCCTTCTCAATCAGTAGGGAGCATTGCTCATTTCTGCCCCACGGTCAAGGCTAATTTTCCACAGAGGTGCCGTGTTCTTCGGCCAACATTGGTATTGCTTACCAATTGCCTCTTGTATCTCTGCTCGTCCATTGACTTCTTGACCAGGCCCCGGTTTTGATGTTATCGGTCTGGCCCTTTCCGTCTGGCTCGAGCTACGCGTTACTGTAGACTCCTCCAAGAAGTCTTCCGAGCACCAGTCCAACTGCAACATCACCTACGAAGGCCTTGGCAAGGACAGTGTCGACCTTGTTGCTGACCGCAATTTGATCACTCAGACTGCTCTCTACGTTCTGCGATGCCACAACCAGCACGCCTTCCCTTCCGAGACTCATGTGCACATTATCAACCCCATTCCTCTGGGCCGTGGTCTCGGTTCTTCTGGAGCTGCCGTTGTCGCTGGTGTCATGCTTGGTAGTGAAGTTGGCGGTCTCAACTTGACCAAGGACCGTATGCTTGACTTCTGTTTGATGATCGAGAGACATCCCGACAATGTTGCTGCTGCTTTATTCGGTGGTTTCGTTGGCTCATACCTCAAGGATCTGGACCAGGAGGACATGAAGCGCAAGGAGATTCCCCTGAGTGAGGTCCTCCCCGCCCCTGCTGGTGGTGTTGACACTGGACTCACGCCTCCTATTCCCCCGATCAACATTGGCAAGCACATCAAGTTCAACTGGGCTCCTGAAATCAAGTGCATTGCTATCATTCCCGATTTTGAGGTCTCGACCGCCAAAGCTCGTTCCGTCCTCCCCACCGAGTTCCCCAAGGCAGACGTCATCTCTAACCTGCAGAGAATCGCTCTTTTGACCACCGCTCTTGGTCAGAGTCCTCCTAACGCTGACATGATCTACGACGGCATGCAGGACAAGATCCACCAACCTTACAGAAAGACTCTCATTCCCGGCTTGACCGAGATTCTGAAGTCCGTCACTCCCACATCTCAGCCCGGCCTTCTCGGAATCTGCTTGTCTGGCGCTGGTCCTACTATCTTGGCTCTAGCCACTCACAACTTCGAGCAAATCGCCAACCACCTTCTCGGCGAGTTCAAGAAGGAGAACATCAACTGTGAATGGAAGCTCTTGGAGCCCGCCTACGATGGCGCCGTCTGCACCAGAGATGTCGAAAAGCCCCAGGCTATGACCTACGCTGATGCTGGTGTGTCCATCGATGCTGGTAACGATCTGGTCGTCGCCATCAAGAAGGCTGTCAAGTCTACTCGCAGACCTGGTGCCGATGCCGAGATCGGTGGTTTCGGCGGTGCACTCGATCTCCAAGCTGCTGGTTACGACGAGGCTCCCATCATGATCCAGGCTATCGACGGTATCGGTACCAAGCTGAAGGTTGCCTTTGCCATGGACAAGTTCGACACTGTCGGTATTGATCTTGTTGCTATGAACGTCAACGACTTGGTTGTGCAAGGCGCCGAGCCTTTGACTTTCCTGGATTACTACGCTTGCAGCAAGCTGGAGATCAAGGAGGCTGTCTCATTCATCGAGGGTGTTGCGGCTGGTTGCCGTGAATCAGGATGCGCTCTCGTTGGTGGAGAGACTGCTGAGATGCCTGGCATGTATCAAGGTAACGAGTTCGATGCTGGTGGTTGCGCTACTGGTGCTCTCAAGCGTGGTCGCACCATTCTGCCTGATATGGCATCTATGGTCGAGGGCGATATCCTGCTGGGTCTTGCTAGCGATGGCGTGCACTCCAACGGTTTCTCTCTCGTCAGAAAGGTCGTTGAGCGTAAAGGACTTTCATACCACGACAAGGCTCCTTGGGCTCCCAACACTACCGTTGGTGCCAGCTTGTTGACTCCCACTCGCATCTACGTCAAGCCTCTATTGAAGGCAGTCGAGAAGGACCTGCTCAAGGGTATGGCACATATCACTGGTGGTGGTCTCTATGACAACATCCCCAGAATGTTGCCCAAGACTCTTGCTGCTGAGGTCGATGTCGCTGCATGGTCTGTTCCTCCGGTGCTCAAGTGGCTCAAGGAGGCCGGTAACGTCGAGTCCCGCGAGTTCGCCCGCACATGGAACACTGGTCTTGGCATGGTCATCGTTGTGAGCAAGGAGAACGCCGCAGAGGCCCAAAAGGTCCTGGAAGAGGCAGGTGAGAGAGTCTCCGTCATCGGAAAGCTCTTCAAGAGAGGCGAGGACGAGGTCGTCCTTAAGAACCTTGAGGCATGGAATTGAGGACGTTCCACAAAACCAGACACAAGGGGACGTGAAAATGCACCGGACGAATTTAGCATACGGCCATGGTCGGCCGCATATGCCACGATATAGGCGTTATACAAAACTCAAGGGTTGGCTGAGGGAGGAATAGATATGCAATTGTGAATTTACTACATCTTTCAAGTTACTGATCACACCAATGTCCATCTGAAGGTACCATGTTTGCTTCGGGCTCAACGATCTATCTGTTGGTAAGTCCCTCAGAAGTCGAAGTTCGACAACAAGACTGTAGAGCGGCAGCAAGGCTGCGCTGCGCGAACGTCGAACGCTCCTTCTGGCCAGACGTGTTGACGTCAAATTCGATGATCGGAAGGAGGTCCGCTGACCATTTCTTTCCAACTTCCATCTCTATCTCTCGCACACGAACCTTTTCGCATCAAGCATCTGATGCAACCAGCATCGTACCATCTCTGGACTTTGCCCTTTCTATACAATTTCTGTAGTTGCATGATGCCTCGACATGACACCAACACTTGACGACTGAGGAAGAGCAATTGACTCCGAGGCGAACCATGGGATGAATAAGCTTACCTTGACGGCGCATTCAGGTACGCCAGGTACGCTTCAATCCCTACACATACGTTCAGGGGTAGCTACCAATGGTCAGTCAAACGATTGACTCATCACCATCAAAGCTTGAGCTTCACCGCTGCCCCACGTCTCCAGGCTCCAAATATACTCATCTCGACCACAAATTCACGCTGCAGAGTGGAGAGAATGCGCCGTTATTTTTCACATTCGGATGGCGACCAGCCATTATGATGCTGAGGCAAAAGCTTGGGTGGTAAAAAATGGAACTTTCAGAAGAAGAGAGTTGTCTACTTATAGGCTCTACTTGAACCCGGATGAGTTGGATCCTTGACATCTCATTCTCTTACCAAATTTTCTGTCGCTCGCTTAATCTTCCGTTCATATGCACTCGTTCAAGCTCCCTCTTGTCTTTTTGGCTGGTCTGGTGACTGCACAGGACCACCTTGGTGTCTTTGGCGCAGATGGAGTCTCAGTAGGCTATCACGCTGATGCTTCCAGTAAAGTAGCACCTCCAACCGACTCAGACAAGACGACTCCCGACGTCAGTCACACTTCTCAAAGTCTGCCTCTACATATGCCTCCTGACGAGGTTCACTATCCTGCTCAGTTCACGGCTGAGGCCATCGCCATGCAACCCGCCGTGGTCTCAGCACCCACAGGAAACCCTTCTACTGATCAATCCGGAGTTGGAACTTCTGCCTCTGGTACTGCTCCACGCGCTGATGGTAGATGTGGGACTAGGTTCAACAATGCCGTCTGTGATCCTAACGGCATGTATGGTGGCTGCTGCTCGTAAGGTTTTATAGCCCTGGCGCATATACAATGCTAAGCAATTGGTCAGCTCTTATGGATACTGCGGTAGCACTGAAGAGCACTGTAAACCTCAATCCACATCGTCCAAGATTCCCGATGTCAGCGTCGAAGAAAAACCTGAATATGACATTGGTGGTCAACCAGGAGCAGACACAGCACATCCGATGGGCTTCTGGATACTCAACAGGAACGACGTGACGCACCACATCAGTGCCGATTGGCCAGACAAAGACCGCGGCGAATACGGTGCTCACGCGTATCTTCAGTTCTCTACAGCTACAGTAGGACCTGGTGAGAACCTCTGGATTCCCACACTGCCTCACACTAGCCCAAAGCTGTACGTAGGCGTCTCTCCAAATGAGAGGACACCTGAGGTTGGGTCCAACCGAAACCATGACACCCTCATCGAAGCGACCTTCTATGGAGGCTACGATCACCTCTACTATGACATCGATCTTGAGCGTGGCTTCTCTTCTCCCGTCTGGTGTCATGGACAAGGCGAGCCATGGTCAAGCGGTCAGGGCTGTGTCGCAGATTTGCTTGCCGTATGTCCCCAGAAAGACCAGCACCACAACCCCGTCACCAATGTGTACGACCAATGCCGAGGATCGGACGAAAATCTTCAACTACGCTATCAGCACTGTCCCAAGAGTTACATCGTGTGGAACGATGACTGGAACACCAATACTACATCTCAACAGGATGGTAAGATGACACTTGCTTATATAACTTTCCACTGTGAGCCATCACTAACTTTCCCGCAGTGCTCATGTGCACCATTGTTAGTACACCGTCTTCCAGCAAGCTCCAAATCGCCCAGATGGCTGAAGCTGAGAGGAAGGAGGCAGCTGGTTTCAAGCCAAACGCTGTCTTGCCTAGACGTGCTCTACCTCATGTTCACTCCAAGCACGAGCGTCTCTCTGGACACGCTTAGCCGACTGGTCATCTTTGACCACATTTACATTGATTCGAAAGGGAAACTATCGTTTGCCGTGCACATGCGAAGTCGTAATGCTGAAATGTTGGAAATGTTGGGTGAGAGAAAAGACTAGTAGATACTCTGATTCCGTAATTTTTAATCTCTAATCATAGAACGTAGCAATGGAAAGTCGTTCTGTTTTGCACCTTCTCGCATCCATTGATGAACTCATAACGACTCAACAATTACGGTCTTTGACTCAAGAAGTTTGGATCTAAAATTTTCGCTCTCATAAGGCACAGAAAGTGCAGAAAGTTTCTGTAATGACACTTGAGGTGCTCACGGGAACGCAGAATAGCAAATTGAAAGCTATGGTATTTGTTACACTACAATCACCAAAGTAGAGAAGCATGTTTTAGCCATCTGAAAAGCAAAAGAAGCCGCCACATCATTACCATCATCCATTACGCCCTTCTCCAGAGCTTGTTCATCAGAATCAAGAAACCTGTACAAACTGTCCGATACCAGGAACACCGTCCACAACCACATAGACCACATACGGACCAGGTGGCGCCACATTAGCGTTCGGTGGCATGGTCACAGTGAGGGTCTGCTGTGTAGCTCCCACCTTCCAACCACTGTTGTCCAGGAACAACATACGATGGCTCATGTGTACTGAGTGCGTCACAAAGCCACCATGATACAGTGACACCTTGACACTCTTCGCACCAGCAGGGACGGTGAACTCAATGTTGAAGGTTTGAGAGTTTGCCTGCAAGGCCTTGGATGATAGAGTGATGTCTGTGGGGCGTTTGTTCGCATTGTCACCGGCAAGGTATGGTGGCGTGTAGATTTCGACTCTGAACTCTGTGACGTAAGGGTCTGCGGTTGTGGGCTGGAGGATGGGCTGCTCGACTGGATTTGAGCCGGCGACCATCAGAGTGCCGTCGAGGAGCAGCAGAGCCACGGAGTGGTAGAGACGAGGGATCGTGGATGAGGCGCCAGTGGTGAAGCGTTGACCGAGTGGCTTTGCCGGGTCGTAGATCAAGGCCTCAAAGGTTGGATCGCGGGCAAGGCCGAAGCCTTGAGCGCCTTCGTTGCCTCCATTGACGAAGACGACGGTACCGTCGGGGAGTAGCGTACCTTCTACCATACCGCGGCCTTGGGGCATCGAGTCCATCTCCCACTTTGGTGTCGTCGAGAGTGGTTGGATGCGACCGCAGCTAGGGTCGGTGGGAGAAGTAATGTCTTGGTATGCGCCACCACCACAGATGATGATATCGGGGTTCCAGTCATATGCGGAAGATAAGGGAAGAAGGACAGAGCCACCGGTGTTGGGATAAGTACGGTAGTCACCAGGAAGGTCTGCAAAGGTCCGCAGCGTAGTGTTCGTGTCAACATTGAAGAGTTCGGATGATTTGGAGACGAAGATGAAGAGCGAGCCATCCTTCAGCTGGTGCATAAACGGGTACATGTAGTAAGGCTGATTTTTGACCAGGATCTCCATTGGGATGGAGACGCCAGATGATTTACCAACCTTGTCCAGAATCTCATATGTTGGGTTGTTGTTGGCCGGCACAGTAGGATCAAGACCGTTCAGAGATCCAGACGCAACAAAGAGTCTACCATCAGGGAGTGTTTGTACCGATGGATACCATCGCTTAGTGCTGAGTTTGTTACCCGGTTCGCTCCAGTCTTGTCCGTCCAAGGAAGCATCAGAAGGCGAACGAGTCAGGTAACGAATGGAGTCAAATCCATCTCCTACAGTGGGGTCGATGAAGTCGAGGGGAGCATTGCCGCCCAGGGAGATGAATTGGCCATTGGCAAGGAAAGAACCACCAGCACAGAAAGCGTTTGTCTTGTAGGCCAGAGGGGTGTACTTGTTGGTAGCAGGGTCGTACTCAGTTGAGTATGCGTATTGACCATTGGGAAGCTTAATCTGTGTGTAGTTTTCAACTTTGTCAAGGAAGACGACCTTGCCATTGGGAAGAAGACCAGCATGCATAGCAGGTGCACCAGAGTCACCGACGATATTGAAGGATCCAGGATTAGCATTGACTGGCGCAGGGCTAGGTCCAGGAGCTGCAACAACGGCACCGTTCAAGCAAGGTCCACTTTGACACCCATCACCGCAATGAGCAGTGCTGTTTCCGCAATATCCATACATGCTGGTAATAAACGTTAGCTGGTTTAGATACACTGGTATCCGTGAAAAACTTACGAGCAGCAGCTACCTTGAGCCCAATCACCACAGATGGTGTTTTCGTAAGTAGCACCACAAGTTCCATCCTTCGTGACTGTACCCGTCGAGACACTGCCAGCCGAGGAAGATGCAGCCGATATGACGGGCTCGCCAGTCGTACTCGAAGGAGCCGCCGAGTCAACTCTAGAGGAAGCGATTGATGACACGACCGAAGGCGTTGGAACAGCGCTCGTTGATGACACCGCACTCTTGCAGCCAGAGATACACCCATTGGCGACCGAGCAGTGGCTATCAGTGTTGCCGCAGTATCCGTAAGATCTGGTATATATATGTCAGCTTGAGGGTTGGGGGCATAATAATGTTCTGCTTACGAGCAACAGCCACCATATGCGCCATTGGGATCACACAATGCGTTACTGAATTGAGGGCCACACCTGCCGTCACCACGAGGAGCAGCACCAGAAGCAGAAGGTGCAGCTCTGACAACTGTTGAAGTCGGGATAGGAGATTTCGCGACCGCTGAACTTGCAGTGCAGCCAGACGAGCAGCCAGTTCCACAATGTGCTGGAGTATTACCACACCAACCTATAGCTTGTTAGACAGAACACAACAGCGGTATAAAGGCATGGAGGCTGACCATAAGAAGAACAGCATGTTCCTTTGTATGCTGTGCCGTTGGGATCACACAGCAAATTGCCATTGTTCGGACCACATTTGCCATCTTGTGAGTATTTGGGCGCTGTGGCCTTGTGCTTGAAGACGTGATCGAGGAAGTCAAAGATGTCTCTCTTGCCGTGATCCTGGAAGGACATTGGCCACGTGTGTTTTGCAACAGTGCATCTATCATTCTTAGTATAATCCTCTGATAGCGTGGACTCGCAACATACGTGTTGTCCTGTTGACAGAACTGTCCTTTCAAACATCCGCTGAATTGTAGGTTCGTGCTGTCACATGTCGGTTGGACTTTTGGGAAATAGATGTTGGCGAGTGCTGCGCTAGCGCTAAGGCCGAGTAACAGAACTGATTGCTTCATAGCTGCTTGGGATTGATAGGGCCAGGCGCAATCAGACCTGCTGTATTGGAGTCTCGGTTGGCGAGAAAAACCGATGGTTCGGCTCGCGGGCTGTTGTTGAGTGACAATGGGCTATTCGAAAAGAGCGAGACACTGTACAATGGGCAAGTCTCAGAAGCGAGTGACAACAAGAGCGAGCGAAAGAAGAGTCACGAAACGAATGGTGACTTGAAAGACAAGCGGTAAGGAAGGAGCGACAAAAAGAGAAGGCGGTAGTTACTGTTTAAATTTCAAAGCGTTCTCTCTGGCCACAGCGAAAACAGCCCACTACCTGAGACTCGACAAGGACGCCACACCTGCAGCATACGTGCGGATCCATCTTCTAGTCTTCCAAACTTAGCAGCAAGGTAGACCCTCGAGCCGGTCGCTCGCAGCATGCTAGTTGGTTCGATCAATGGCGGGACCAAGTGCCAATGCGGCTCTGGCGATCTTTTGTCTCGACACCTTGGCTGCCGCTATCCGCTCTTGCTGCCACTGTAGCACGTCAAAATAGTGCTCCTTCCTCTCGGAAGATTTAGAGGAGCGGTATGCGACGGTGATGCCCACGAGACCAACACTCGCGCGTGCTTCGTGGCCGCATTGTTCTATTGTCTCTGTGCATCACCACATGGTCAACTGATCCCTTGCAGCAGACATGAGGGGAGTGGCGCTGGAAATTCACCGTGGTTACACGAATCGCCCTCTGTTTCAAACCATTCGCTGGGGAGTTTCAAAGGCGCGTAAAAGATGCTTGGTCAAAGCTTGTCGGTGTGCTATTGGTGTTTGGACTTGCAGCGACATGCAGAGTGGGAAATGACCTTTTGGACAGCCCTCTCAGGTTGGTTGGTTATACGAGAGATAACCGGTCTCTTCTCTTCCTTTGGTCGAGGAGAGAGGTCGCATTGAGAGAAGTCACGGTCAACCGAGAAGGGGTCAGGGTTGGTCTTTTTCGCGGAGAAACGAAGGCAATGACGACACGGCAACGACATTCGCTCTCCCCTCTCATGCCTCAGGAAGTCATGCCGCACACTCAGTAAGTGGTAATATTTCAGTGCATTTTCCAAAGTAAACATGTCTTCATATCCTCGATGAGAATCATTCCAACCCTTTGACGTATCGAGACCACCACCTATCGAGCCCATTGGATTAGTCAACGCCGCTCCTGGTCTCGAGATTACCCAGTACAATCAAAACCGACGACTGGAGATAAAACAAAAAATCGCAACAACTGGCATCTTACAATCTCGAATCTTACCTATCCATCACCGGGTTATATTGAACATCACAATCGCACATAACGACAGTTCCAAAACGGCCATCGTCCAAAAATCCAACAACCATGGAACACGACTACTTCTCCTCCAACCCCCGACCAAAAGTCCTCCAGAAGCACTCCACCCTGGCCCGCGAATTTATCTCCCGCCATGCCTCCGACTCCCGCCGCGTCGTCCTCGTAACCTCCGGCGGCACAACTGTACCCCTAGAAAACCAAATGGTGCGTTTCGTCGACAACTTCTCCGCCGGCACCCGCGGCGCAACATCCGCAGAATATTTCTTGGATCACGACTACGCTGTAATCTTCTTGCATCGACAATTTTCACTATTGCCGTATAGTAGACATTACTCACACAATGTGAATTGCTTTTTGGACTTTATGGATGAGGGCGCAGAGGGCAAAGTTGTGGTGGGTGAGGAGTATCAGGATGAGATGGTCGGGGTGTTGAGGAAGTATACAGAGGCGAGGAAGCAAGGGAAATTGCTTTCTATTCCTTTCGTCACGGTGAACGATTACTTGTGGGAGTTGAGGGAGATTGCCATTTTGATGCAGCCGTTGGGCGGGAATGCTTTGTTCTATCTCGCGGCTGCTGTGAGCGACTTTTTCATCCCTAGCGATTTGATGGTGGAGCATAAAATCCAGTCCTCGGAGGACTTCAACAAGGAAAATCAGAACAGTGCTGATGGGACAAAGGCACCAGCTGCGCGTATCGAAGGTCAACGTTTGGTCATTGGTCTGGAGCCAGTGCCCAAGTTCCTAAAGACACTGGTGGACGGATGGGCCCCCGAAGGTATGATTGTCAGTTTCAAGCTCGAGACCGATCCAGCCATTCTGGTCAAAAAGGCCGAGTACGCACTCAACAAATACTCACATCATCTGGTTATTGGAAATTTGTTGTCGACTCGCAAGTGGGAAGTTGTGTTCGTCTCTGGATCGGGAGGCCAACAGTGGATCCGCGTGCCCAGGAGCAAACGCACCCCCAGCATTTCCGGCAAGGTCGAGCATGTGGGTTTGGCTTCTGGGGGCGATGCCGAGAAAGACGCAGAAGCAGTGACAGGACAACCTGCAGTCGAGATCGAGTCTCTGATCATCCCAGAGGTCGCAAAGATGCACGCGGCACACATGTCTAGAAGAAACTCGAAGTAGAGAGAAAAAGTCTGTTGTATAGATATTCCAATATCGTATGATACCCTTCATGTCTCTAGGCTCTCGTTGGATTCGTTAAAGAATAATACGCCACTGTGCAGTGCGATGGCGCATCTTAGCACCAAACAGGCTGAGAGGGATAGCAAAAAGCAGTATTCCAACGGCAATGGCCGCTTGCTCGCCAAAGCACTCTGCATATCCGACCTTGTATACCCAAGGCGTGATGGCATACAAGAAACCAAACGCCGCAACATTCTTCAATCCGTTGATCAACAACAGCGCATCAGGAGCGATAGGAAGATACTGTATGGGGAAAATATTAGCCGAGATCAAGAAAAGGGGTGACAGTATGACTTACACAATCCGATATATAAGTCATCGTAATGCAAGGAATGGTCGTCAGTCCCGTCGCAACCATCCCATACCCAAAGAACAGACTAGCCCAATGCAATGTATCCTGCACACCATAACCAAACGCCAAGCACCCAGCCGGTACCATCACAGCCGGAAAGACAAGCAACGTTAGTCTCGATTCTGGGTGGAAAACGCCTCCATTCTTTCTTGCGTGCCAGTCAGAGTACCAGTCCACCAGCGGCCCTCCAACGAGTGCACCACAGATGTTTCCTAGAAAACCAGGGATGTTGATGAGACCATTGACGGCAGGAGACCAAGAGTAGGGCGGTGCTTGGAGGACAAAGGAGTTGAGGATGTTGATACCGACTACCCATGCGAGTGCGAAAGCTGTTGCTAGAGTGGAGAAGATGACCTCGGGGTATACAATTAGTGGCCATGGACGTAGGAAAAGTTCAAACAGAGAGAGGTCCTTCGGCAACGGCGACCACAACTTCAGTTGCTGAGCCCATGGCTTCCTGGGAACGGTGTCCATGGGTGTCGTGTCTGAGGTGTCAGACGAACGATGTACGGGCTGCTGGTCTGGATTCGAAATCGTCTTCTCAAGTGTGTTTGCGTCACTGGCCGTTCTCGAAGGTGTAAGTGGTTCAGCCAGCCCGTGACCTGCACGGTCGTATCGGGTTTCAGGACATAGGAAGACAACGACCAGGAAGTTAATTCCGACGAGAATAGCTGCGATAATCTTGTGCCAACGCTGAAAGACAGTTAGCTGAGATCGTCGGGTCGAAATGCGAGAACTTCACTCACCCAGCTGAGGCCTTGAACAACAAAGCCACAGATCAAAGGCTAATAAAAGAAAAGTCAGCTTCGACTACCTCCATACAGAGTGCGAGAACTTACACCCAGAGTGTTGCCAGCTGAGATAGAGTTGACATACCAGCTCATCTTCCCAGCACGCTCATGCAAAAAGTACAGATCATTCACCATCGATGCAGCCACAGCTTCAGATGCACTGCCTCCAAAGGCGCCAACGATGTTTGACCAGAGCAGACTCTCGAACTTTTGTGCAGTGGCGCCCCAGATATAGCAAACACAGAGCAAAAGGGTAGTGAAGACGAAGATAGGACGCTTGCCGTAGTAATTTGCAAGAGGGACCCAGAGGAAGTTCTTTGAGCAGATTAGTATACATCTCTAGATGACGCGGGCACACGTTTCGACGTACAAAGACACCAAATACAAGAACAGGCCAGAGAAGCAGCTCGCTAGTCTGATGTTGTGACTTTCCAAACTCTAGACTCAAGATGTAGAAAGCTGGAGCCAGACCGCCGATGGCATAGTTGGACAGGAATGCGAAAGCGCATACGCTGCCGAAAGCGACATGTTTCCGCCACAGTGGCCATCGCAGAGGATCATTGGGATCGGTCGGCGAAGGGGCAGGGTATAGAATAACAGCCGTATCTTTATCGTTGTGCAAACGGACATTCCCCTCCGAGTCATCGAGCTCTCTCAACGAATGAAGACGCATAATTGCGATATCTTAGAATCCGTGAGAGATCCAAGATGCCAACCAGGCCGGGATAGAGGAAGTTGCAGAAGACGAAGTTGAGGTCGTGACAGGCTGATCGTCCAGGGAAATCCGGAGCATGGCGGTCGCCTCTTATATCACTCTCAATTGGCTTTTTTGATACTGTGTTACTCAAGAGCAAAGAACGAGGCGGCTCGGAGATGAGTGGATGTTTTGAGCAAAGATATATTCGGAATCTGGAAGTAAGCAATGTGGAAACACAACGACCTGCAGTGACACCGTTGAGGAGCACGAGTATCGAGATGTCGATGATGCATGGGAAACATTCTACTGTTGAGCAAAACAAATGTAGGCAATGCTTTGATGCTGACCCGGGTCGTGGAGAGCCGAAGTTGGATTTTGTTCAGCGGCGCAGATCCGCGCTCTGTCTTGACATCGCACAGAATTTGGATTCGGCCCGCTACGGAGAATAGTTGAAATAGCTGGAGATCAACGATTGTTAATCCGGGTCGGCCAAGATCGACAGGAGGATATGTGCGATGCTAAGATATAAGCAGCGTTTGCATTCACCACGATGTTTGTGCTTCGCAGGCGTCAACCAAGCTCGCGGTGCAACATTGCTTGATCAATGGTTTCTCGACATCAAGCAGAAGGATGAAAATGAAGTCTGGCTTACATTTCTAAATCTCTCGTCGTCCCCGTCCTCTAGGCAAGATCGATACAAAACGCTTGTCCTGCCTAGGGTTCCTTCTCCTGCCCAATCTTGAGCTCATGAGGTACTCCAGATGACATGGATCGCCAAAATAAAGAAACAAGAACGCCTCAAACAATCCATCCAGATGTTTGTTTCCTCATCATGACAAGTAAGAAAGAAATGGACATGTTCAATACTCATGATTTCTAATCCTTGACCTTCGCTTGCCTCTTCGCGGTTCCAATGTGAGTGTTATGCACCTAGTGGTTTAGTCAGTCTTGGTGGTTTCGATTTGGATAGAGCAAGGAACAAACCTTGGTAGCAAACTTCAAGCTGGTCAAGGTCTCAGACAAATGAGCCTGCAGAGGGCTGACCATAACAAACATCAATGTCTTGCTGTTTCCGCCCAGCGAATATTGCAAGAGATAGGTCAACTGTGAATGTGTTAGACTGGTAAGCAAGCATGTCTGCTTCGTCCAACTTACTTTGCTGTTACGATACGGGATGTGTTTCGCATCCTTCCCTGATCCTAGAGCACCAATAACATCTCCCAAACAGCTCAAACTCTTGTTGATGTTCTGTGTCTCCTTCAGACGATCGCCTGAAACTTGACTGTGGGCAAGACGTTCACTACCTGCCAGATCGACGAGGTTAAGTGTACCCTCAGAACGTTCTCCTGTCGTCGAGTTCTCTCCGATAAGTCTGAGGATAAAGACCGAGTGACTTCGTGATGAGCGCGAATTAGCCTGGGTGGCGGCAACCCGTCTGTTGCGGTTGGCTTGGTCCAAGATAGCGTTGACGCGTGAAGGTGAGTCTAGGTCGACTGTCGTCACATCCGTAATCGTGGTCTTCAGCTTGACCGGATCTTGACGAATCTCATGCTTTTTGTTGTTCCAATCCTCTGCCTTGCCGAGGAGATCGTTTACAGTCTCGTTGTATACCTCGACGAAACTTCCCTCCATGGAGTATGTCCAACCCTTATCCTCCAAGCTCTTGGCTGTTTCGTAAATTTGGGTCACGGCGCTTGGAATCATGCCATCAGCAGAAGACATGGTGTATGTCTTTCCTGAACCGGTTTGGCCATAGCAGAAAATGCAAACGTTATATCCGTCGAGCGCGCTCTGGACGAGCTGGCTAATCTCATCGAAGATTTCGCTGTTTTGTGAAGACGGTCCAAACACTCTGTCGAAAGAGAAGTTGTTGTTGGCCTTGGTCACAGTACCCATGGCACTTTTTTGATCCGGACCCTGCACAACGACCTCCTTGCTGTCTGTATCGGCGTCGGGGAAAGCGAGCTCTGCTTTTTTGGTCTCCTCGTCGCCCAGTGTTGGTCGTACTCGACAGAAAACTCGAATGTTTCCCTTGAGCTCTTGAACTTGATTGTGTAGTTTTCTTCTCAGGGTTTCCTCCTGGCGCAGCTTCTCTTTCGCCTCAATAGCCACAGCCTGGGCATCCAGCATTTGTTGATTGAGGTCCTGGAAGGCGTTTGACTGCGCTTGGTTGTCGGATTCGAGGAAGTCAATCTTCGCCTTCATAGCGCGCATCGAGGTTTCGAGGGTGAGAGTGTTCGTCGAGGCTTCGGTCAACTTTTCCTTCAAGTTGGTGTTTAGTGCATTTGATGACTCCAGGTTGGCCTTGATTTCGTTCAACTCTGAGCGCAAGCTCTGCAGCTCTCGATCTTTTTGCGTGACATCGTTGTCTGCTGTCAGCTTTTGCATGCTGAACTGTGTAGTGAGCTCCTGCACCTCGCGCAATCTACGGCTTCTCTCTTCGTCAAGCTCCGCCCTGAGTTCTCGTTCTTTCTCAGCCAGCTCTTCCCTTCGTGTTTTGTTTGCTCTGTCGGCATCTTCCTGGGCATCCTTTCTGACCCGATCAAGTTCGTCCTTTGCTTCGCGCTGGAACCGTTCGAGCTCCTTGCGATGATCGTCTTTGATGTCCTCGATTTCGTTGCGGTTCTTCCTTCGCAGATCGTCAATCTCAAAAGAATGCGATCGTCGAATGTCGTCGAGCTGCAAATTTGCCGAAGACAGTTTTACCTTGGTCTCGGTGAGTTCGGTGGTCAGAGTTTGGTTGGCGGTCGATAGTTGCAGGCGAGCCTGCTCCAGTTCAGATACTGTACAGCATGAGGTTAGCTAGTCCGAGGGTGCGAGGATCGAAGTTGGCGAGACGTACAGCGTGTTTTGTATAGGGATATGCCCTCTTCCATGCCAGTCTTCTCTGTGGCAGCGGAATCGAGTTGTGACTTGAGTTGGGAATAGAGGGTCTCCATGTCTTCGAGGCGACCTTTGGTATCCCATGCTGGAGCAGGAGTGTTAGAATTGCGATTCAAATATACGATCTTGCCCGGGGAAGCATTGTGAACGGAATACTTGGTGTAGGGGGTCTTAAAGATGTGCAAGTCTGGTTCCAGCGGACACGGAGTCTTTGGAGCAGGCTTGAGCTTGGGTATTTGCGAAGGAGTCTTTGGGCACAAAGGCTCGTCTTGCTGTGTTGAAGAGCAAGAGGCAGAGCGAGAGTCCGAGTTGTTGGAACTCAAGCTCATGTTGCGAGATGCTGTGGCAAGAGATGTATTGCGATCTGTCGAGAAAGCGAACTTCTTCGGGAACGGCTTGCAAGGGGAGGGGGAGGCTTCAGCAGATGGAACACGCGACAAGACCGAAGCATAGGATGCAGTCTTGTCGCGGAGTCGCGGGTGATGGAGAACGAGGGCAGTGGATTCAACAATGGGAGGTAGCATACCCTTGCGCTTGTTTGGAAGAATGCTTGACGAAGATAGATCTTCATCGTCATCTTGGTCGTCGTGTACGACGGATGTAGGGCGAGCGGCTAGAGCGCTACGGGAGCCAGTTCGAGGAAGAGCGGAATTGGTTCGATGGGTAGCGGCGGCGGATACTGGACGGATGGACGAGGTCGTGTGGGTTCCCGAGGTCTTGCGTGCGTTTAGGTTGTTGGTCGTGTTGGAGCGTTTCATAACGCGGGAGGTGTTGTTGGTGTTGCGAGCAGGAGGTTCGCCAGCGCGTTCGGCCAAAGTCTTTCTCTTAGGGGCGGGCTCGGGTACTGCGACAGATGAGCGGTCAATAAGAGTCTTGTCGGGTGCGGTAACCAAGACTTACAGGCTGAGCCTTTGTGCTTGAGCAGGTTGGCCGGAGGCGGGATTGCGCGCGCATTGTTGTCAGAGGCCGACATGTCAGTCAGGCCCGCAGTCGCCGGGATGCGACTTGGGGGCCGCAGCCCTGATGCGCGAACCGGCTGTGGTGTTCATATCAGAGATGGTGCCGAGGGTGTCGGTGGAAGAGCACGTACGCCATTTTCAGTGTTGGGGACCATGGTTGATCTCGTTCAATGCTTGTATCATCCGCACATGGCACTTGTCGGGGAAGGATACCGTTGAGTGGTGGGGCCTCTATGTGTCGTGGTCGTTGTCGCTGTTAGAAATGGCAGTCGCAAGGCTCGGGCTGGCTGGCTGGCTGGCTGTTTCCCCAGGGCAGCATCAACAAACACTCCTGCTGCTTTCCTAAAAGAATTTAGGTTGTCTCCAGCCAATCGGAGGCGCGACTCGATGCCGCCGACCGGAGTCCAATCTTCACATGCCAAAACAGCCTTCACGTCGATTCAGATGACGTCTCGTGAGTCCAGCCCAACTTTTCCACTTCCACCTGGACTCCCTTGTCTTCTTGTCTTGTCTGCCATATGAATCGTCATGGAGAAATACAGTGCTTTTCGTGATCGCGGTCAGTCGTATCATCTATCATTCTGCCTACACGTGCTGATATACAACAGGCTCGGGCATTGCGCCTTTCTTTCCCATCCCAACTCAACCCGCGGGATACGCACTTCCATTCCACCTCTTCCTCTTCGTTGTGCGCATTTTCTTCTTGATTCCTATCGCCGCCGCCTACTTCCTGTTCCTCTCATGGCTTCCCATTGGCTCCCTCGGCAACAAAGCTGTCTTCTGGTCTATGCTGGGTGTCCCCGGCATCTGGTGGATTGATCTCGGTGTTGATGGCGTAAAGAAGGGGTATGGTCATCGTGATTACCTTCTGATCAGAATCTCTACTAAACACGTTACAGCTCTCTTGGCCAGAATCAGCAAAAGCTGCCTCAACCGGGTTCTGTCATTGCTGCTTCTCACACGTCTCCAATCGATGCTTTGTATCTGGCTGCCATTTTCGACCCTGTCTTTACTCGCTCTTACCCTGGCGAGCGTAACGTCCAGCGCATCACTCTCCTCCAGGCTATGCTACAGGCCCTGACGCCACCTGTTCTCACACCACCCAAGGACGCCAAACTGGTCCCAATTTCTGAGATTCTACGCGAGTGTCCCGGCAGCTGTGTTGCTGTCTTCCCGGAGTGCACTGCTACCAATGGTCGGGGTATCCTGCCTTTCTGCCCTAGTCTTCTCACCGTACCCGCCAAAACCAAAATCTTCCCCGTCAGTCTCAAATACACTCCTGCAGATGTAACTACCCCGGTGCCTGGATCTTACTTTTCTTTCCTCTGGAACTTGTGCTCAAAACCTACGCATTGCATACGTGTCCGTATCGCAGAAGCCACTTTCAACAACCCTCCTGCCCCTGAGCCACCGCGCAAGAACTCATTCCAGACAAACCTTCTCGACGATCTGCATTCACGCACTACCAAGGATGAAGGTATGAACGGCTCAGAGAAGGAATCTTTGGACAAGATTGCCGAGTCACTCGCTCGTTTGGGGCGTGTGAAGCGTTTAGGTCTGGGACCTGCGGATAAGATCGCTTTCATCAAGGTCTGGAGCAAGAGAAGATGATGAGCATTATCCACTCAAGCTGTTTTTGCAAAGCGGGGAGTGTTGACATGTTGCATGGTTTCTTCAACTAGCATAAGTCTCTAGCTCTGCTAAGCACGGGTTCTCACTTTTCACTAGTCAGTCGCTTGACTAAACTTCATGCTATAAAAAGCCAAAGGAAGATTTCGGAATCAGTTTGATCATCAATAACCTCGACTGTATTTCTTCTAACGGTTCTGTATGAGATATGATTGAAACCGAAAACACACGAGTGGACAAGTCTCTCGTTCTTCTATGCGATGACCATGCAAACTCGTGACTTCCCAGGACTGCTCATGTTTATCCTCTACAAACCAACATCATAATAAACACAATTCGCAGTCCTGAAATTATACAAGCAAGCCTCCCTACCAGCCCCTTCCTCCTGCTGCTCCCACTTCTTCCTCATCTCCAACAGCAACTCATGCACCTGAGCAAGATACTGACGTTCCGCCAACGGCATACTCTGAATGAACTTCCGCCACGAGTCTGGATCGGATAGTCGGGTGTCGTCGCGTATATTGTCTACAATGCCTTCTCTGCCTTCAATGGCGAGAATAGGCGCGGATTTCCAGGTATCGATGTAGGTGGCCCAGCGTGACTGTGCTGCTTCGACAATGTGGTATTTGTTGCTCTTCTTGCCGCGGTGTTGAGCCATGAGGACTTGAACGTTGTTTTTGCCACGGTGCTCGCCGTTGCTGTTGCTTTCATTGTTATGGTGCGAGGAGTGGCGGATGAGTGAGGGATGGTGGCGAGAGCGATGGTTACCTGCTTCGCGGGACTCGCGTTCGCGCAACTCGGAGCGCATGTGTGCGATCAGGTTTGTGCTGGCGACTTCGGTCTCGGTGTCGGTGGTGCTGTTGCGGACTTTGAGGGTGCTGGAGGCTTCGTGCTTGACCATGACGATCCAGGGGTGAGATGCATCGCGCTGCTTGCTGAGCACATCGTCGATGGTTCGGGCGTCTGTGGCTAGTTCGGCGCTGAAGTCGTTGGCCCAGAGGCTGGAGAGAACCTTGATGCCTGTGGATCGGAGGACTGTTGGATCGCCTGAAGCTACAAGGATGTCGCAGCGCTTTGCGTTCCACACTGGGCTGTGCGAATCCTCATGTCCACCCTTCTTGAGATATGCACTGTTGACTGCGTTCTTCTTGTGTCTCATAATGGCAGCAATGAGACCGTCCCAACCGATGCTGACGCCAACAGCATGACAAGCTTCACTTGTAGCATGAGCACGAGAGCGGTGGGCGTCGATAAGTCGATCGTACCTTCCGCCCGCAGCAAAGACGTTCTTGTTCTTCTTGTCATATATGCATTGGAACAACACACTACCTGTGTAGAACTTCTCGTTGACGCTGCTCAAGGGACAAATGTAGATCTTGCGTCGTATACCGAAAAGCTTCATCGCATCGACCACACGCTTAATGTGCTCCATGGGTCTTCTGATTCTGCTCGCGTGTGTGCTGTCTTCTAGTATCTCTTGCAACTTTCTCAAAGCCTTGTCTGGAGTTTCACGGAAGTCAAACTGTGCCAAGTCATCGAGTGATGTGGAATGGATGCCAATCAAGGGTGAGCGAAGTTCAGCTCGGATCTTTGACCAGCCGAATTGATGGATGTTTAACTTGCTGAGGGTTTCCTTGACAATCGGTCGTTGGGATTTGTCGATTCGACAGAAGTCAAGGATGAGCTCCAGCAGATCAGAATGACTGAGATGGAAACACATTGGTTGTGAAGACAATGCAGGGATCTCATCGATGATCTCGTCGACCACTTTGAGAACTTCTGCTTCTTGAAGTGCAAGGTCATCGCTCTCTTTGGTCACGATATCAAAGTCGACCTCCTTGATGGTCCTGGGAGGACCTCCACTCAGAGTGTCACGGAAGACATTACCAAAGACGTAAGTCTTGTCGACTGCAGGTTCTTGTTTGGCAAGACGTCTAGCATGTGGTAGGACCAGATCATATGGCAGCTGCAAGAGGTTGCCAGTACCGTCCAAAAGCTGAACGGTATTCGGAGCTGTGTAGTAGCTGGAACGAGGAAGCAGCAAAGGGCGTTGTGTCTCCTCGGCACCGTGTCTACGGAATATTGAACAAAGAGTAGTTCTGGCAATGTCTCTCACACGGAGGTCTTCGGCTGTGAGTGGCTGCTTGCTGGCTTTGGCATCCCATGCAAAGTCCTTGATTCGTTGATCAGGGGTCTGGGTGAACAAAGCTGTCATCATCTTCTGATAATACTCCGATCCTGGATCGGTAAGACTTTGTAAAGCTTGTCGGATAGTCTCATCCTCGATCTGCACCGGCAGCTTCCCGCTTCTAAGGAGTTCCAAGCTGCTCGGGCGATCGCCAGGAGAGTGGCTGATGAGATCCATGATGATGTTGCCCTGGAGCACCTTCTCCGGTGCTTGGAACTCCGAAGGCAAGGCATGTTCCTTTTCTCTCATCCTTAACAGCACTTCGTGACGCTCCATAGCTGTTCGCAAAGGGAAGCACATCTCGAAGAATATGATACCAAGCGAATACATGTCGACTTTGTCGTTGTAGTTTACTCCAGAACCCGACTTGATCTCAGGTGCGACGTACATGGCAGTTCCGACACTTCTGGTCATATCAGCGCCAGTGTTGGTGCTGGCCAGGACTTTGTCAGCACTGGTGTACTGGCTTGTTGTAGCCAAACCAAAGTCTCCAATACGAGGATTGCCTGCAACATCGATGAAAATGTTGTCAGGCTTGAGATCGCGATGGATGATGCCGTGATTGTGGATATGGGCAAGACCTTCAAGAACCTGTCGGAGCATCTGCCAACCTTGTTCGGGCCTCGCGTACATGTCTTTTCTGATCAGATCTCGAAGAGTATGTCTCTCGCAATACTCCATCTGAATATAGAGTGTGGAGCGCATGAAGCGTCGGGACGAGGCACGATGCGTTCTTTGAGGTCGCGAATCGGTATCCTCGCCATCACTAATGGCACTCTCCGATGGTGCTCCGTGTCTGAACATAGATCTTGCATTCATGACACGACCATCAGTCTCGGTGCCAGATTCAGTGACCTCATCGTCTTCATCATCATCATCTTCTTCTTCTTCTTCATCTTCGTCACTATCTTCGCCGAAGACAATGTCATCACCAAGACCACTCGAACTGACAAAGTCCAAGCCACGGCTGCTCATGCCAAACTGAATACCATCATCGTTAGAGGTCGTTGTCCCGTCCTCAAACGACACAGATTCCTGGTCCAGCTCTACCATGCCGGACAAATCATCTTCGACCCAAGCTGAGTAGTAACGGACCACGTAAGCATGATTCAGTCTATGCAAGAGCATGACTTCAGACAAAACGTGCTCTAGTTGTGCAGCCGAGTCTTGCTTGACTTTCTTGATGGCGTAGACTCCGCCATCAAGCTTGTTGCGTGCTTTGACGACTTCGCCGAATCCACCTTTGCCCAGGCGACCGAGCTCAGTGAAGTCCTTGGTATATCTAGAGAATGAAGGAGCTTCCCCAATGCTCTGGGAATTTTGCCTAGAGCGTCTAGCAATAGGACTTTTGAAGTCGCCAGAAAAGCCCATTGAAGATGATTGCCTCCGTTGGCTTTTGGAATACTCTGCATTGATGATTGGCAGGTCGCTGCGGAAGAACTCGCTAGGGATCAACTCGAAGGCCGTAGGTCTGTTCTTTGGCTCCTTGCTGAACACTCTGCGCAAGACATCGCTCAGCGGTTCAGAAAGATCAAGAGACTCAAGCATAGCCATGGGGCCATTGTACTTGCGAGTCACTGCAGTACCAAAAAGCATCTGAACAAGCAGTACGCCGAAGTCCCAAACATCGCTTCGTCGAGTAAAGATGGCGTCTTCGCCTGAGCACTCGGGTGCAAGCCATGCTGCCATCTTCTTGCCCTTTTCCAAAGTGCCTGCTCGACCTTGCAGCCTGAGTAATCTGTCTTCATAGGCAGCGTCTGCTAATTTCGGTGCCGTAACTCCGGTGTCTGATCGGAGTAACAAAATATTGGCACTGTGTATGCGTTTGTGTACAATGCCGTGGCGATGGTAGTAATCCAAGGCTTCCAACAAATCCAGAGACCATTGTTTTGCTTTAGCGGGCGGCACCGTACCGCCGTCCTCGAGCATCTCCGCGAGACTTCCTCTGTTGGCAAGGTCCGACAAGACCGAGACGTCCCAATCTTGATTCAATCCTCCATCTTTCCCTTCAGATTTTTCAACCTTGAAAGCATAGACGTTGACGATGTTGGGTTGGCGAAGTACCTTCAGAGCTTCAAGCTCTTCTTCCAGAGCCAGCAGATGGTTTTTACTCGCGGCATCGCCATGTACAATCTTCAAGGATGCACGACGGACCGCAAGCATGATCGGCGGCATGAGGGAACTTCTGGAGGACTTAGGCTTAGCGGAATAGATGTCCATCTGTCCTTTGGAAGCAATGGGCGCTATCAACGCGACGCTATTGAAGGGGGCGCTTTCCATACCAGGTCCGAGCGCAACCTCTTGATCGAAGTTGAGAGTATTATTGTCGTCTTCGACAGAAGAAGGGTGTGGACTGGATCCCATCTGGGTGCGGGAAGACCGATCGCGCTGTTTGGTTTCACGGCGCGCAACCATATCCTGGACCAATCGTTGCATGGCGCGGTCTTCCTCGTCTTGTGCGGCCTGCACTCTCTTGGCCTCGTCCTTCTCTGCTTCCTGGGCTTGATCGAAGGCAGCAGCCTCCTGGTTCATGCGCTCATCTTCCAGACTGGGTAGCACACCCTGCTCTCTGGCTTGAACTGCATCTTCAAGAGCTTCCTGGACGTCGGTCGCTATGGCGTGAATCATGACTTCGCCGGCCATTTCGGCTGGTCTAGTCTTGACAATGTTCGAAATGCGCTTCCTGGCCTGAGCTTGTAACTTATCCAAACCTTCGATTTGAAGCACAGGCGCAGACTTGGGATAAGTTGCCGTCAACTTGGCAGAAAGAACGACAAAGGTGGATTCATCGGAGAAGGCTTTCAACTTGAGCTTGAACGCTCGATCGGAGCTCTTGCTCCAAGCAGACTTGATTTCTACTTCTTCATAGTCATGCATATAAATGGCCTGAAGAACGTCAATCTCTTCGGCCTGGACCTCTGCATAATTGACATGAGGGACATTTGGTGGGTCCGAGGCGGAAGGCTTTGGAGCAGTGGGTTCATTGTGTTTTCGGTTCTTGGTGGACGTCTTTGCAGGCGTTTTTGGAGCCATCCTTGCAGGTGGTCATGAGCGTGTGTGGTAAAAGTGCCAGATGACACTACCCAGAGTTATGCAAGAGGAGTGCAGCCGAAGCCACACTTCTTTACGCTGTGGCCGACATTATTTCTCTGTGATAATTATGGTATAGGGAAGAAAGGGAGTGGTTATCAGAGGAACATACTCGGATGGGAGCGTTGGAAGATGATCCCTCGTGGGCAGGCGGTGAGCGGAAGGCGGTCAAGTAGCGTGGCAGAACTGCATGCGCAGGTGCAATTGTAAACAAAGCAGTCGCGCTGCTTCACCTCAGGCGCAAACGCAATTCGACGACATCATCGCGAGCTATGCTTTCTTGGATTACCGGCTCCAAGGGCGATGAAGAGATCGAAGGTACAAACCTAACTCTGCCGACTATTTGACCGTGTCTAACTCACGACAGATCCCTTCCCCGAAGCACCAGAGACTCCAGCCCATGTCTTTGCAGCACGCGCATTCAAGCATGCCATTTTTGGCACTCCTGCTCCGCCCAACGAAACCAACTATGCACACGACTTTGTAACCAGAGAAGCTGTCGAGATCGATTTCAAGCCACGCACTGCGACACTGGATCTTCCCACCCGCTCGAAAGACAACATGGCTCCCGTCGCGTTGCCTTCTGCACCTGTGCTATCGCCCACCAAGCCGAATGGTATCCTCATGACTCCGGGAACGACCAGACGAAATAAGACCGTATCTTTCGGAGCTCAAGTTGTCGATAAGGACACTACGAACCGGGGCAGAGTCGCTTCTCTTGGAGATGGTCTGGCCCAATCTGCCTCAACTACAAACAGAGCACCGACCAAGCTCACAGCCCAATTGCAACAAGTTCGCAACTCGGCGCAAAAGGCCAAGACAAATCAGATGCAGCGAGCCAAAGACGACACTGATTTGACCATGGATTACCTAGAGCCACGATCACAGTCTGGAAAATACTGGAAGAGAGAGTACGAGTCGTACGCCGAGAACACTCAGCGCGAGATGAAGAAACTAGTCCTCAAACAGAAGGCTGCAAAGGACTATGCAAAGGAAAAGGAGCAAGAGGTCGCCGACTTGCAAACCCAGCTACGCCAGGAAAGACAAAGGGTCGAGAAGCTCGAAGCCAAGACCAAAGAGCTGGCTGTGCAGGTCAAGGAGTTTGAGAGAAAGATGCTGGGCCAGACAAGTCAGGATGCACAGAAAGAGATGGCCAAGTTCAAAGCCGAGAACGAACACCTCCGCCACGACCTTGACCAAGTGCTGGGAAAGAAAAGTGGCATCGCAAACAGCCCCAAACGCAAGACGCCAAAGGCAGCTCCACCAGGTGATCTTTGGGCAAACGCTGCATTCTCGAGTCCTTTCGTAGACGATGCTGCCGACAGAGATCAATCGCCTTTGCGAGCACGAGACATGAACATCCAAGGTCAAACACCCAGAGACGAAAAGCCCAAGGCAGTCAAGAGTGTCCATGCGAAACGGTTCAGCGAAGACACCGTGGACATGTCACTACCTCTTCCATCTCCTGAACCAGGTTCTCGCACTACGCCTCGTAGCAGCAGGAAATCTACAGCAGACATGACGATAGACGAGCTGGTCGAGAAGTATTCGCCAGAGAAACCGCAGTTTGATCGTCTTGCTCTGCCTCTAGGCGTCGGCGCGTTGAACTTTGGTTCAAGCAAGCCTGAGATGAAGCCTGTAGCCGATCTACCGAAGACTGGAGCCAGAATTGCCAGTCTGAGTGACGAGAGGTTGGCAAAGGCAAAGGCACGCATCGAGGCTAGAAAGCTGTCTAAGCTTGCAGCATGAGCGGAATCTGGCACGACGGTTCACACGAATTATGGCATTGTTGGGATTATTTCTCTTCTGTTGATACTCTTTTAATTGATACCCCCATTTTGACTGTTCTATCTCTTCCTTTTAGCTTTGTCTCGCAATGTTTCCCATCACCATATAGTCCCATGCCAAGAACGTCCAAAGTCGGTAGAATTCATGACGCAGCTCTAGGATCAGAAGAAGCTCTCCAACAGCGCAAAGGCAACTCGCACAACTACCACCAACCACTCATTGACCGTCTCTCATAGTACCAACACCACATTATCGCGAATCAAGCAACCACACATCAACACACGAAATGGACTCTCTAGGCAGCGGCAACATCGACATCTCCCAAATGTCCGACGCCGAGAAAAAGGACCTGCAACAATTCGTCGTCAACGAGTCGCAAAAGGCGCGCATCCAACAATGTACTACTAAACCCATACTTCCGCCCTCTCCAGCTCTGCCCTACCTCTATCCTTCCGCTGCTTCCTCTACACATCAATGCTGTGAACACCGCTGACTAGAGTCACACAGCAATCCACTCCCTCACCGACACCTGTTTCCGCAAATGCATCACCGGCAAGATTTCGTCGGGAAAGCTAGACAGAAGCGAGGAGCCCTGCATGCAAAACTGCGTTGATCGCTTCATGGATGCAAACCTTGTGGTCATCAAGAACTTGGAGCAGATGAGAACGCACATGTAAAAGATGTGAAGAAAGAGAATGGAGGAAACATCCAAGACTCTGTGTGGCATGGATATACGTCTATGGCTCTGAACGACGATAGGATGGGGAGACCAGCATGATTGGAGATGTGATTCGAAATGTACACTATGAAGAGATGTATGATATAAGGAATGACGGTGTGGCATTGCAAAACCAGTTGATGCATGAGAAGAGCAGTGGAGACATCAAGGATAAGCGACCATGATACTACAGCAGATTGACATGCAATGAATCAATACACGTCACGATACAAGTCACATGAATGAAAGAACAGGACGGCGAGGGCATGAATGAACTAGATTTGGGATCTCTCCCTGGTATCGAAAAGGGGCCTGCGTCCTTGCAGCCACCCACACCCACGGAACGCCAATGCTTTTTGTTTTGAGCAGACCATAATCATAACCACACGACACAAGAGTCTAGACCGTCCATCCTTCTTTGAGATGAGACTGATTTAAACAATGTTGAGCTTGGTGGCGGCAATGTCAAGGGCATCGACGTCGGGAGTAAGACGGGCGAAAGCCTTCTTGGTGCCGTCGGGGCTGTTGAAAGACAATTAGCGTTGTTCTGTTGGTGTGTTGATGGAGTAAAAAGCATACCGGATCAGGGTGTTGATCTTGACGGTGTCGACGTCGTACTGCTTCTTGAGGGCGTCCTTGATCTGGCGCTTGTTGGCCTTGGTGTCGACGATGAAGACGAGGGTGTTGTTCTCCTCAATCTTCTTCATGGCAGACTCGGTGTTGAGAGGGTGGATCAGGACCTTGTGCTGCTCGACACCGGTCTCGGCCTGGACACTCTTGCGGGGGTACTTGGGAGCGCGCGAGAGCTTGAGGGTCTTGGGCTGGTGGAAGGTGGTCGACAGGCGGACTTTGCGGACCTTGTGCGAGTTGACCTAATCAAAAGAATAGGCCGTCAGCGATGGGAGTGCTGACACGCCTCTATTTCAGGTAGTCCTTACGCCACGAAGAGCAGCCTTAGCGGCAGCGCCGGCCTTGGCCGAGGGCTTAGTGGCCTTCTTTGCGCCTGCGATGCGTGTTAGCGAGTGTCTTCTGGGTGGTATGCGAGTCTTTTCGCAGCGTAGGATCAAGGCCTGGAGTCGAACACGTCCGCCGCCGAAAAGACAATCTTTTTTGTCGCAATTGAAAAGTCCTTCGTCGTCGAGTATTCGCCTTCATCGCTCGTCCTGGTGAGTCGCACCTTGGGTGTTGTTCTTGGGGGCCATCTCGTTTGATTTGTCGGGTCGTTGCTACAAAAGTCGCTCGCTGGTCGAAGAATTCGATTTTGCAAAGTGTGGGAAAGCGAAAGCAGGAGCGACCCACTCGGTGGAACCCCGGGTCAAGTCTGTTCTTGCCTGAGCCGCCCGATCGCGAAATCTTGGCATATCAAGAACGCTTTTTCCTGCTAAGAAGAAGAAATAATCTGGAGTGACTGAAAGGTTCTGATAGAGAGATCCTGCGTCCTCTCGAAAGTCTACCGGGCTCTGGTTTCACTCGTGCGGGCGTCGAAAAGTCACACGATATTACTTCACTCTCAGACAGACAAGAACTATCAACACATCGAAACTCCACAAAAATGGTCAACGCCAAAAAGAAGCAAAAGCCCATGAGCCTTTCTCAGGGTAGACCGCCAGCAGTCAGGAAGCCGAAAGCTTCATTGTCATCAAAGGCTACGAGAAATCTGATCCAAAGTCACCATCGTCTTCACAAAGCTCTTGCAGATGCCACGCGTCAAGGAGATGAACAGACTGCAGCAGCCATCCGGCAGCAAATCGAAGAGAAAGGTGGTCTGAAGAGCTACCAACAAGCGAGCATCCAAGGCCAGTCCGGCGATCGCGGCGGAGACACTTCCAAAATTCTGCTGGACTGGCTGCCGAAGGACCTGCCGAAGGGACGTACCATCCGCATGCTCGAAGTCGGCGCTCTGTCTGTCAATAACGCATGTTCAAAGTCTGATTTTTTCGACGTGACACGCATCGACTTGAACTCACAGGCCCCTGGAATCGAGCAACAAGATTTCATGGAGCGACCCATCCCTGAGACGAACGCTGACAAATTCGACATCATCTCTCTATCTCTTGTGTTGAACTATGTCCCAGAAGCGCCTGGCAGGGGAGCGATGCTGCGAAGGACTTGTCAATTTTTGCGAGCTCTGCCCGTCTTAGGTTTCGGGGAATCTGAGACGGCGGCCGAATACTTCCCGTCTCTGTTTTTGGTCCTTCCAGCGCCCTGTGTGATCAACTCACGCTACTTGGACGAGACTCTGTTAAATCAGATCATGGTCACCCTCGGCTATGTCATGGTGAAAAAGAAGCTATCGACAAAACTCATCTATTTCTTGTGGCGTCACCAGGGCAAGGGGTCAGAGAAACGGCACAGGTTTCGAAAAGACGAAGTTGCTCCGGGCCGCACGAGAAACAACTTCTGTATCATATTGGAATGATATCATTTTCGGAGTGCTCAATTTCTTTAAGCTTCCATGGAGATCAGATATCATCTCCTGACAGTACTTCCTATACTGAGACACGACTGTATGCCGGCTGTTCACGTAGATGCAACGCACAAGACTCACCAGGTCGGGCTGCAATCGTCGAAGCGGGCATTAGACACAACATGCTCTCGACCGTGTGCCGATCGACATGAGCTAGCTTTGCTGTAAGAGAGGTACACGAACGAATCATTGATTGCGTGTACCGTAGTGATGAGCGGAAAAGGTCAGGAACAAAGGCGACACCAAGGATAGCTAGTGGTCACATGACCGATTGGTGCTGCATGCACTCTGGAAGGCACAGTATCATGCCTTGCAGGCGGTAGATGGAGGGTTTTCTTTGGCCAGCACTGCGTGTGTGCTGCAAGGAGGGATACCTTGTGCAGATGCGCGTGGCTCGCATGCATCATGCTCATGCTCCTGCACTGCAACAATCTATCACTCTTGACAGCAATTTCCAACGTCCATGCGAGTTCGACATTGAGACAGCGGGCACCGATGATGAATATCTTCAAGAAGCGAACCCTCGATTTTGAGGTTGCTTCTGAGGTATCGGCAAGGCTGATGATAATCTTCGAGAAGTCTCCGCACAAGTGACTTCATTTGCTGGATAGATTGAGAGAAGTCCCGAGCGGACGGAAGGATTCAGTAGAGGCAGCTTAGCGCAGCATGCTCGGCAAAGATTTACAACCGCATCTCTTGCTGCACCACCTCTGATTGAGAAGTCACAGTCAGAGCGCATCGTCTCTCGAAACAAGTTCTTGATGTCAAGATCCGGAGCGACGTTAAGAATCCATGCTGCATCTACATGCAAAGGGTACGGCCCGCTTGCCGCATAACGCAAGCAACAAATGAAAACAGCCGACGCATCTTGACCTGTCATTGATAGCAAAAGTGATGAAACGGCGTTCTAGAAGAGTAAGTTGAGGTCCGAAGGATTGCCAGAGTAAGCAGCACAGATGCTGGAACAGACCCTGGCGGTTGAAGCTCGAACGTCGACATGTGGTCCGGTCCATGGGCATCAAGCCTACAGCGGTCCATAGCATACATACTAATCAAGTAGAGTTCACGTTGCTTTTCTTTCCTGCGGGATATTACCGTTCGTATTCTCGTTGATTAACAAGAGCAGCGCGGAAGAAGCGGAAGAAGGACGGCCAAAAACAATAGCTAGGCGGGTGCTGAAGGTCAAGGACCTTTTCGTGGCCGGCGTGTCAAGAGTTGGAAGAAGCACATAGAAGGTCAAAGCATATGCCCACACGAGGCTTTAGCGCAGGGGCTTTGAGATCAGCTGCCGGCGTGCTGCAGCGAGGCAGGCTTCGAGATTGCTTGGGAGCTGACGGGCCAACTGGGTTCGACTGGTCACGATGCAAAGCAGCCAAGAGAGACAAGAACGAAATACAAAAGACAGGTCACTGGCGTTGGAGTGCGACGGAATGCATGATGGCATGTGTATGGAGACGAAAACCGACAGCACTACCGGGTGGGGTCCGGCGCCCTGTTTTAGAGTCGGTGGACAGGACTCAGGGTCGACCAGCATGGTGGCCTCTATGGATGCTCAGCGAGAGCGGGCGCGGACCTCTCTGCGACACTGTTCTGGTGAGCGAATGTGCTCCGCTGACGGCGGACAAAGTGCAGAGCTGGTGAAATTCTCTGTCTCGAAACAGGGGTCCGCATATATAGAAAGTATTGGTATATAAAGAGAGGCATACAGTGCGGCGATGGTAGATGCTCGTTGATCTGTTTCAGCATCAGATGCGTCGAGGATTTAGTTGTTACGCAGCGTGTGATATCTGACTCGAGGGTTCAACGGCTTCCGAAGGCAGAGGACTCGCAAGACGACACAAGGCTGTTTTGCTGCTGCATCATCATAACGCCAAGCTACAAAGTACCCACATCGACCTTCGGCGGCCATCGCAAAATCCTCTCTCGAAGACGACCTTCTCTCTCCCCCTTCTCCAACCCTCAAACCCTGCTCCTCATCTTATCGTCGACTGCTGGTTTGGTAGCGGCTCCCCCTGCATTGTTCTCGCGCTTCTGGTCTGAATCCACGGGCTTATGAGATCACGCCCCGCCACGAAAAAACGACTGACGACAAAGAAACCAAGACTTGGCCAGCTACAGCCACCACGCCGCCCGGCTGTTGGTCTTCGAAAAAGCCGTCCGCTGCTCTCGACGCCCTCGCGAGCTGCTCTCTGTGCCTGCGTGCATTCCAGCCCTGTCTACACTGCCTGTCCTGTAATCCATCAGGCATCCCGTTGCTGCCGTTGCAATCCCGCCCACTAGCTGCGGTCACACGTCTCGGTCACTTTGCTCTGCCTAAACGCTTTTGACATCACGTCCCCCCGACAACTCTAAACTCTTTTCCGTCGAATTCTCTTCCTTCGATCTCGTCTATCTGTCGACATCATGAGTCTTCAACAACCCGACATGTATTACGACAACCCGCCTGCGAGTCGCTCTCCCCATGCGCAGCGTCACCAGCCTCAACTGCATCGCCAGTCGTCGCGCCAATTCGACTCGTATGCTCATCTGCCCTCGGGCCTCTATGGCGCCGACGATCAGCACCACCAGCAGCAGCAACGTTTCGATGCTCCTCGCTACAATGACAGAATGGGCGCTCCTCCCAACATGCATCAAAACATGAACCAGAATATGAACCAGAACATGAACCAAAACTACGCTGGATACGACATGGGTGCTCAGAACTGGAACAGCGCCGCCTTTGGAGGAAACAACAACCCCATCGGTGCCTTGGGTGCTTCCCAGCGCAGACGTGGCCCGCAGCAACAGGCCCCGAGAAACGGCCTCCCCTCTGTAAGCTCCGACGCGCCTTCGCATCAATATGGTTTGCGTCTGACTAACGTTGGTGGACAGGCCTGGCTCGATCAGCCTCAACCTATGCCCCAAGTCTCTCCATACCTTGGTCTTGGTGGAGGTGTCCTCGGTGCTCCCTCGATCAGATCGGATCAGCTTGGATCTGAGCCCGACGAGGAGCTCATCCCTACCGCTATCGTCATCAAGAACATTCCATTTGCCGTCAAGAAAGAGCAGCTGGTTCAGTTGATGACTGACATGGGCCTTCCCCTCCCCTACGCCTTCAACTACCATTTCGATAATGGCGTTTTCCGTGGATTGGCTTTCGCCAACTTCACCTCGCCCGATGAGACGGCCGCCGTCATTGATGCTATGAACCACTTTGAGCTCCAGGGCAGAAAGCTGAGAGTCGAGTACAAGAAGATGCTCCCTGCGGCCGAGCGCGAGAGAATTGAAAGAGAGAAGCGTGAGCGCCGCGGACAGCTCGAAGAGCAGCACCGCCCTATGGCATCCCAGACTTTGCAGACTCAGACATCCATGTCCTCGCTTACCGGCCATCTGCCTCCCGCCTCTCCTTCGCCCGTGTCGGCTGGAAATGTTGGACTTGCTGTCGATCTGAACAACCCTGACACCCTCAAGGTTTACTCGGATCTGCTCATTTTCAAGGAGGATAAGAACAGAGATCTGTTCATCTTCCCCTCTAACCTGAGCCCTCCTCAGAGACGTGTCATCCACACTATTTCTCACCACATGGGTCTTGCTCACATCTCCAAGGGACAGGCTGACCAGCGCGCTGTCCATGTCTACAAAGAAGCTCCCCGCCAGAGACTCAGCCCCCCTATGCCTCAGATCCAGGCCATTCAGCAGGGCGAGACTCAAAGAAGAGGCCTCAACCGCGCTGCGACCACCGATTTCACCGATGTCCGCAACCAAGACGCTTTCTACAACCCTACTGGAATCCGCCACCAACAATCCGGTTATCTTGCCGGCTTCCAGGACGCCCCCAGCACCCTTGCCGCAGGTCCCAACCTCCGTGCTGCCAAGTCTTTCGCTGACTTGCGCTCTTACACTCCTTCTCCTGTCCCTTCTACCGCCAGTTTCCCTGCCACTCTTGGCAACAATGTCTCTCGCTTCGCCGAATACGCTCGCGAGAATGGTGGTACCCCTGCTATCACCCCTACTGGTACCGCCGCACCTATTGGTACCCGTGGAGATGAGAGCATGCTCGTCAATGGACTCGGGAACATGAACATTGGCGGCCCTGCTGGTTTCGCTAGCAGCCCTCGTGGCCTTCGCGGTATGATGTCTTGGGACCGCGAATCTAACCCAGGGCCTATCGGTGGCCACCGCTCTTTCAGCACCAACAACACCGGCTACGATGAGCAGCCCCGCGACCGCAACCAAGGTGCACCCTCCCGCCAGCCCCGCGGCCCTGTGCCCGAGCGTGGCTCCGGCTTCCCTCGTCGCAATGGTCACATGGCTCGTGGCAGTGATGAACTGTCACAACAGTCCGGTGTCGAGATCACTGTCGAGTAGATCACTCATTTTCTATGACACGTAACGGCAACTGTACACCCTCATGAGTATGATGCTTGCAACTCGAACCGATTTCAAGAACGATGAACAAGCTACCACGGCATGGGCAGACGAGACGACAGTGTCTCATGTCTTCTTCGGTCTCTCGACTGCCTTGATGAAGTCAATGACGAATGACAACAACGACCGCTACGAAAGTAGACCCCTTTCAAAAAAGAACATATCCTACCATTATTGGCTTCCAGCATGGCTTACAAGGTCATTCACACCAATCCGGAAAGCAACGCGCTGATTTTTGTCGAAATTGCATCAAGTCTAGTCTTTCCTTCTTCTCCGCCCATCTGCTGCACTTCTGCTTTTGTCATTTTCCCTCGTCTTTTTGAGCACGAACGAGAACAGGAGGAAATGAAACTGTTTGAAATCTCTCGAGAATGCGAAAAGATAGCACACGAATTCGAGACCGGCAAACACTTTGTCTGATTTTTCTTTTACTTTTTTCTCTTTTGTTCTATCGTTTTTCCTATCTCTAACTCTTTTTTCCTCTTCTGGGGATGGGGTCGTGGATAGGAGAATAGTCTGGCACTAATTCTTCCTACAACTGGATGTGTATTTTAGTATGCCCACTGGAGGGCAATGAAGGACATGGCGGGTTGGGTTTTACTCTTGATCAGCTTGGGTAATATTCAGACGAAGTGTATTATTTTGATATCATTGCCTTTTTTTTTTTTCGTGGCTCTGGTGACCCTGTTCTCTTATTTGTTATTCCACCTCTTGTGACTCGACGGAGCAGTGAGAGATGTAGAGCGACGTATTGCTTCTTAGCTTGTCAGTACTAACATATAGATATGGTAATGACCTAGGTTGTTTCTCGTTTATCGTTCGTCGCCGATGTGCACGATCATGAGCAGGTTAGCAATATTCTTCTCTCCGTGCTAGAGCGTTATGTCTCCTACACGAGGAAGGTAAGGTTGGCTACGTATGAACTGCACCATCGAACAACGCCATCATGACTGATGTATCATGAATTGTGATTCTCGAGTTCCATAGACAGATCGAAAAGATTATGCTATGCAGCTCGATAGGTACAATTGTGCGTGTAAATCTCTTTGAAGCCTTCGTACCTCGTATCGATGCACGACCACAAGCCCCGCTGCCCATTGCCGCCGGCAATCACTTCAGTCTCAAAGTGCTTAAGTGCTCCTCATCCACAGTACCTATTTGGTGATTCTCTTATTGATATCAGGAATTGGTCAAGCTGGTTATGGTCATCAAGGCATCACAGAATGGCCAAGCACCAATGAACGCCCACCAAATTGGTGATGACGGCGTTGTGATGCTGACTTCCAAACACGTCCAAACAACAGGGATCTACAACGGAACATGCTCCAGATAATCCACCCATTTTGAGACTGCCATTTCTCCAGCGACTCGGCGGAAAGGAGAGCAATTGTACTGACAATATACGGCGTTAACCGTTGAGGACATGTGTCGGCTGCCAGAAGTTCGTCACGAAGAGCCATATCAGTGAAAAAGTGAAGCGGTCATGCACACGGTAGAGAGACACAAGACACGAAACAGTTGCATCAATATGACAGCTTGGTGATGACAATAAAGGTCCCCCGCACGGGGTTGTGGCATCCCCTTTGCTTGTTTAGAGCTAGTGAAGAGCATCAAAACATGGTCAGCGGCTAGTTGATCCACCTCGACACCTTCCTGCCCAAATCATTAAAAGGAGGAGCGGCAGCACTTCCCCTTCACTTCCTTCTTGGAGCCCTATTCGTCCTTCAGTCTCCCTTCTCGACATCAACTGCTTCGTTGCAAAAAGGCAGACGTCTCATGCCTTTCTTACCACCATCTCTACTTAGCAACACACTACGAGCCAATCTATTCAACGCTCGATTCACAGTCAAGTTCACTTGCACGACGATCAGACGCGCAAACATGGCAACTGCTCACAAAACCACCATGGTCACGGCCCTGCCTGAACAATTCATGAGGACCTCGGGCTCAACCGATGCCGTCTGGGTTCACACCGAGCCTTACAGCAACTACCCCAAGTACCCTAGTCTCAACAAAGATCTCGAAACAGATGTCTGTGTCATCGGCAGTGGTATTTCAGGTGTCTCAACCGCCTACGAACTCGTCAGGAAGGGCGTTCAGGTCGTCATGATCGAGGCCCGCGACATCATCTCTGGAGAAACTGGGCGTACCTCTGGTCACTTGGCGAGCGATATCGACGATGGCTATACGGAGGTCAAGTCCAAGCACGGAGACAAGGGCGCTGTCATGCACTTCGAGAGTCATGACTGGGCCATCAAGCGTGTCGGCGAGATCTCGCGAGAGCTGGGCATCGAGTGCGAGTACCGCAACCTTCCTGGCTACAACGTTTCGCAGTACCCTCGCGGCGACAAGCACCACGAAGAAGATGTTAAGATGCTCAAGGAAGAGATTGCCTACTCCAAGACACTCGGCATGGACGCAGAGTGGAAGGAGGGTTACGCCATCAAGGGCTGGAACGGTCAGGTTGACCAGCGTGATGCTGCTGTTTTCTACAACCAAGGTACTTTCCATCCCACAAAGTACCTTCTCGGCGTCTTGAAGTGGCTCTCCCAGCAGCCCAACTTCAGCTGCTACACCCGCACCCGCATGATGGAGTGCCAGGAAAAGGGTATCGAAATCATGGGCATGGGATCCAAGGAGGTCAAGGTCTCCACCGAGGAGGGCAACACCATCACCTGCAAGGACGTTGTCATGGCTACTTGTGTGCCTCTACAAAAGCTCAGTGTCGTTGCCGAGATGGAGTACTACCGTACCTACTGTATCGCCGTGCGCATTCCTAAGGGTTCGTACGAGGATGCCCTCATCTACGACACTGCCGATGCCTACAAGTACATCAGATTCACAGAGTGTGATGAGAAGGACGACTACCTGGTCATTGGAGGTTGTGACCACAAGGTTGGCCAACACGAGAATGAGAAGACGAACTACGAGGAATTGGAGAAATGGACTCGTGAGCGCTTTACCCAGGTTGGCTCGACCGACTACAAGTGGAGCGGTCAGATCTTTGAGCCTGTCGATGCTGTCGCTTTCATCGGTTTGGACCCCGGAACCAAGCACACGTACATCGTCACTGGTGACAGTGGGAATGGTTTGACCCACGGTGTCATGGCCGGTCGTATCATCGCAGACCATATCACTGGCCAAGAGAACGCATGGGCATCCCTGTATGATCCCTCGCGCAAGGCCAGCATCGTCAAGTCGGCAAAGGAAATGATCACACACGACCTCCAGATCAACAGCCAGTACAAGCGTCTGTTGCAGTCAGATATCAACGACATTGAGGACTTGCTTCCCGGAACTGGTGGTGTGCTTAACCCCAAGACCAGCAAGCCCATCGCCGTGTACAAGACCGAGAGCGGTGAAGTTCGCAAGATGTCCGCCTTGTGCCCTCACATGAAGGGAGTCGTCTGCTGGAACCACGCAGAAGCTTCTTTCGATTGCCCTGTGCACGCATCCCGCTTCTCGAGCGACGGTATTTGCATCATGGGACCTGCCAAGGGTAACTTGCAACCTGAGAATGAGGAGGCCAAGAAGGCTGTGCAGCAGGCGATGCAAGGATGATCAGACGAAGAGAATATGATCAATCGGTGTCTATAGGCGTTTACGAGTTTGATGAAGACATAGTCGATAGGGTTGACGCGCATGAATAGGAGTTTCGATAGTTTGTATATCAATAATGAGTACTATACCAAAACACAGCTGAGCAGGTGTGAGTAAGTTTAGCTGGCGTGACTTCGTTTCGAATCATACCCTCCTCCTTCTCCCCGAGTGTACAGTATGTAAGGAGTGTAGCTACAGAAGCGCACAATGATTTCGAGAAACAGCACGTCTCGATCGAGATACGATGTTCTCTCGGCTGTCTTTGGATACACCTTAGATCTATGAATTTTCGTGCCTCTTGACAGCGAGAGCAAATCGGGGTCTAGGCCTTTGGAAGAAGGACGTGGTAGTTGCAGAGGGAAGAAAGAGTCTGTAGACAACTTTTTCTTGTCATACTGACCGAAAATATCATGAAGAATTGACCATCTATCAAAAATCATAAGAATGTGTCAAGAACAAGCCCCAAAAGCCGAGTATCGCCAATATAAAAAATGCAAGCTGATCAGTCAAACATCTTGCGTTTGCTTCTCCTTCTCCGCTTCACTCCTCTTCTCATCCTCCATATGCTTATTCTCCTCCACCAAACAATCCTCATCCTTCGCAGCAACCTTACTCTTCTTCCTCAACGTCCTTCCATACTTCAAAAACAAAATCGGCGTGAATGCAAACAACGTCGCTACTGCCGCCAAAATACTCGCCGCTACATTCGCCCCCAAGCCTGAAAACATCTGATATGCAAACAGAGGAAACACTGCTGCGGCAATAGTGCGACAGGTGCTCAGTGAGGAGACTGCAGAAGCAGCCATGGGTCCATAGGTATCAGTGCAGTAGCCGAAAAGCACGTAGCTGAAATCAGCGGTTGCGAAGCCAACGCAAGCGAGACCGATCATGGAGAATACCCAATGCACATTAGTGACTCTAGGCGGGATTGTCCAAGCGAAGATCCAAAGACCGATAGCGAGGGCAGGACAAGCAATAGCGAAGGATCGGATCTTGGTTTCGGGGAGAAGGCGACGTTTTTGTGCGCGGAACTTTTTGAAGAGGTAGTCGTCGTAGAAGCGAGGCAAGACGTCGAGGAGAATGCCGATGAGGATGGCGATGAAGGATAGAGAGGAAGAGGTTTGGGAAAAGGTGCGGTCGAAGGGCGGGTTGGTGTAGGAGACTGTTAGGCCCTCGGTCAAGCCGTAGATGAGACCGAAAGCGATGGCGCAGAGGGCAGAGCAGAAGAAGACGATAGGTTCTGTGACTAAAAAGACCAGGGGCCGGAAGAGTGAGTCTTTGACGAAGGACTTGAAGGAGAAGCCTTCGGAGGAGGATGGTCCGTTCAGGTCGTCGCGCCCGGTTTCGGAGTGTATGGCGTCCACCTTGTGTTGCAGGAGCTGTTCGGCCTTTGTCTCTTTCATGAAAAACGATAGGATTGTAGAAATGGCGGCTACGATGGCAGAGACGTAGAAGACTACTCGCCAGCCGTAGTAATGGGTGATGTATGAGGAATAGATAGGACCTAGCACGAGGCCGACGAAGCCAGAGACAGTGTACCAGTACACGACCCAGATCCTGTCATGGCTCGGTCAGCACAATGCTCTGTCTGCATGCTGAGCCTCAAGTCGACTTACCTGATCTGAGCACCCCACATGTCTTCAATACTGCCGTATGCTACACAAGCAGGTACAGCGGCGGCGACGCCTTGGAAGAAGCGACCAAAGTATACCGCAATAGACGAAGGCACAGCTGCTGTGATGACCGAGAAGATGCAGAAGACGGCCGAGGACACAATGTATAGAGTACGTCGGCCAAAGGTTTCTGATATCGGAGAGCAAATGATGCCTCCAAAAGTCTGGCCGAGCAGGTACATGGTGACAAAGGCGAAGACTCCGAGTGTCCTACTCATGTGGTACTCCTCTCGAGCAGAGTCAGAAGCTGCGGTCTGATTTCTTTAGTCAAGCATATGGGAGTAAAGGAGCAGGACCAACTCACGCCTGCCGAACTGATACCAGTCATGTATAATTCGACCCAGCAGATAATGATGGTGGTGTAGCATTTTGCGATCGGTCCCCAATTTCTCGGGTGGTCTTTGCTATCGTCGTTCCAGCATACTGTGTTGTTGTCCTCGAGATGGCATCCATGTTGTTCGAGCAGATTGTCAGTACTCTGCCGCGTGCCGGAGGGGGAAGGGGAGTTGAGTGAAGTCATGTGCGACGACCTTGTATTGATAATAATAGGTACAGTATTGGAGGTCGAACAACCCAAATCAACAGCAGTACTCTGTTAACACTACCTTTGGACTGCCAATCTCAATCGTTTGCCCGTCATTTCTTAGCCTCATCATTGTTCTGTGCCGAGAGCCATATTGAGACACCCAAGGGATGAATCATCGACGTCATCGCATTCGTACGCAACACGACCGCTGTGGTAAAGACAAAGAGTTCAAGCGGCGACGACGAACAGTCAGCCACCTGTGACCTGAATGGTTCACAGGATAAATTCAAGCGTTTGACCGTTGTCGATAAGCTTGTGACTCTAACCTTATTCGTTATATCTAGCCTGTCAATGACGCCAATAAAATCTCCGCTGTCAGATCTCCTTCCAGATGCCAGATGAGATCTCTCGTTTCCAAACTCATTCCAAGATGTGATCAGCATAAATCGGCCCATGGGGTAAAAATAAAGCGGCCGCATGCTAACATGCAGGTTACAATCCTCCGCGGCGGCCCGCGCCTCGTGCTCAATCGCTGATTCTGTATTGGATTGGCTTAAATGATCCGCCATTGGACTGCAGAGCGGAACAAGCAGTCAAAGCGATGATCAGATCCATTTCTGCCACGAACTCGATGCTGTCACCTGCTTTTGTGATGGGCGGCAACACCTTGAGCTCTCCCGAATCCGAATCGACAGTGACATACATGAAGCAGTTGAACGCGCAAGGAATACGATCGGGTGAGATGCCGTACTTTTCAATGGCGCCAGCGATGTTGCCAAAACATCCTTGGTGAGGGTCTTTGTCGCCATAGATGATGCGGAAAGTGTCCTTTGAGCACGGTGTCAAGAGAAAATCGTGCTTGCCAGGAGAGTTGTCGGCGACGATTTTGAGCATGACATTGCTGCGGTTCGAGTACAGCGGGTCGCCGGTGGTGAGGAATATCCGACTTGCGTAGTCGAGCGTTCTGCCGTTGCTGATGACTTCGTCGGGATCGTGACGGTTAAAGGCAACAAGGTCAGAGACTTGTACACCTTTGGGATCAATCACGGTCAAGCGCTGTCCCTTGTTCAAGGTGAAGGCAGTGCCGGTGCGAGGTGTGATTTCAATGTTGTCGGGCATGATGATGTTTCGTTGTAAGTGTGTTTGCGAAACCGAGGAGATTGTTGTGGTGCAACCAAAAGTGTGTATGTCGTGAGAACAGCAGACAAGCATCACATCAGCATCTGTCAAGTTTTCAAATATTGATGCCAAATCCCACTGACCCCAGACACGTCATTCTTCGTCTTTGTGTCCAACGTGCGGTGTGCCTGACCCTCATGGAGATCTAAACATGGCACTTGGCGATGAGATGCGGCTGAGACTCCGCAGGTGGTTGGCTCGGCGAGCCGGGTGCAGCAGAGCCTCCCCCCGCTCTAACCCCAAGCATCGATTTCTGTTACGTTTGTTAAAGCCTCGCGAGCGTTTAGCCAGACTGAATGGGGAATTGCGTGGCTCTCATGACATCAACATCTTTGTTTGGCGAAACCACCAAAGAAAGTGACATGCCTGGCAATATCTGTACTCGTCATTATAACGTGTGTGTACTAGCATGGATCCTCGAATAAAATCTTCGCGTGTGCTTTCAGCTGTGTTTGTATCCAAGCCATTCTCAATATGCAGCTCGCTCTCAGTATCATCTTCTTCTTTGTCGGGTTCGGCGTAGCCACCATTGTTGCTCTGAGGCCACAAAAAGCACGGAAAGACCTTGACAGCTTCACCTCTCAACTCCGGCATGTTACCAATGGGTTCAAAGGGCAGGGAGCGCATCCCGGCGACATTGAGCAGTCGGAGACCGAAGAGGAAATCATCAAAAGAGGTTCAGAGAATCTGTTGACCAAGTAAGATATTCCCCTGCCAATCGCTTGAGGCACCATCTGACTGTATTTGTTAGGGAGCAACTCGAGGAAAAGTACGACATGAACGCATGGCAACGCCTGGTCTACGAAGAGTTCAAGACCACCATCCTTGCGAAAGGCAGCGGTCTCAAAACATTCCCCTGCGTGTACGCAACCATGGGCTACCGTGCCGGCGACCACCGCTATGTCTTCCTGGAGTCAGACGACCCATCAGAACCAAGAAACGTACGAATTATCGCACCTGCTCTCAGGGCATATCTTCAGGTGTCGAGGTCGCTTGGACCTAATACCAGTCTGGTCATCATGGGTGCGCCGACCGAGGGCAACCTCAAAGAGGTCGAGCAATATAACAACGAGTTCTTCGACATGCTGCGTGGATTAAGAATCTGGGACTCAAAACCATGGCCCAAGGACATTCCTCAAGAGACAATGAACGAGAAATGGACCTTCTGCTTCGATGGCATACCTCTTTTCCCTGTTGCTCTGACCCCAGCGCACCAACGGAGATGGTCGAGACATGCTCCCGTACCTTTGGTCGCTTTGCAGCCGAAGTGGGTCCTCGACAACCTCATGAGCACACCGCAGAAGCGCAAGTCTGCCACAGGAAAGGTTCGAAAGTTGTTGGCAGAGTACGACCAGATCGATATCAGTCCCGACTTGACGCAGTACGGCGACAAGGGGACATCCGAGATCCATCAGTTGTGCCTAAGGGACGAGAACGAGACCATGGACTGTCCCTTCGAGGACTTCGACAAAGGAGGAGCAAGGTCCTCATCTTCTTCGCGCCGCTCTTCCATGGAGGAGACGGCAGCATGATATAGCCTTTGCCATATACACTAATTCTTTGTTCAACCAAGCTCTTGATTGTTCTTTGTGTTCTGTTGTAGTACACGTTTGTACAGAGGTGTGTGTGAGGTTTGGTGTATATTGTACGGATCCGAGTACTGGAGATGGACCGAGGCTGCCTTAAATTCGTTGAATGCTCACTCGAAGCAAACGAGCAGCAGACGCTCACTTTTTGTCCCTACGGCCTACACCACGTAATCGTGATGGAAGTATGGCATCGTAGCAGCGACATGTCAGTATGATAAGATTGTGTGTCTAGGATGATGCTGAACTTTGTCGGTACATGAACAAGCTGGTTAGCTTGGTCGTGTTCGTGATGTTCTTGCGTGCGTTGATCGCGAGACTTTTTGCCGCATCGTGAATGGAGAGGTTTTGAGTCTGCGCATTTCCATCCACACCTCGTTCGTCATCTTCTGCCATACTGAATGAACACGGCACAGCACACATATTCACTAGTAGTACCTTCGACTAGTATCGAGTCAGATAGTGTGCGCTGATCGCTACAACGTGGCGTGATTGCAGGGCAGCCTGAGGGGGGCTCGCTGCGGTGAAGCCTACTGAAGTCTCAAGCTTTGAACGGTTGAAGCTTGATACACTTTGATTATTTTGAGCTTCAACATCGGCGGCCAGGTGGCCGAGTGGTTATGGCGCCAGATTCAAGCGATCAAAAGCTTCTCAGTAATATGAGTCTCCTGGTAACGTAAGTTGCACGGGTTCGAATCCCGTCCTGGTCATCATTCTTTTGTCTTTTTGCTCTTCACGGTGCACAATAACACCAGCGCGTGTCGTCTGAGTCTGGCAGCGCCATAGGATATGACACCTATTGCCTTGGTGCAGGCAGACTTCGTTATGGTGGATTGCAAACAGCTGACAAGTCGATGAAGCCTCGATTTTGCAGGCTTCAAGGATAATGCTGTCCCAACACTTCACACTGCGAGCGTCAACTGCCCAAGCGTGCCGCGAGATTTAAGTGTGGGAGAACTAACCAGCTACCAGCCTGTGACCTGACCACATAGCCTAGGAGCGTAGAACAGAGAGCGACACCTTTAATAGAGACAGACACTGGTCTCGAAATGTTCCTGGAGCTGTCATCCCTTCAGCCTCGGAGCCTCCGAGGAATGTTCGTACTTTCCAACCTCGTGCCCACCCAACGCGCACTTCTCTTTTCCTAACTTCCCAGGTATTGATGAGCTCCACCAGAGACCAAGTCAACCCCTTCCTCTCAATTCCAGTCTCGAGCGTCACGAGACTCTTCGCGTCCTCTTCTACATACAGCTCTTCCCCATTCGATACTCCTTTGTTTGTGGAGCGCCAGGATGTGGAGCTTACAACAAAGACATCTCGGTCCACTCCTTGCTTATGGTGGCCTACACTTGAACGACAGGTCTTTGTCTAGAGCTGGCTCGTCTTCACTCCTTGCCGCCATGCCGACCCCGAATTTCAAAACCGGTCATCTCGGCATGCCGACTTTGTTCCTCGGACTTCGAGAAGACTGTCAAAGAAATGTTTCGGGTCATCTGGCATAAACAAGGCCCCTTCGCGATGGTCAACCCCTAACTCCATCTTCGCAACCAACCGCTGCCAGACGATAACATGCAGTTCAAGAACGCTATTGCCACGCTCGCACTTGCCGGTATTGGAGGTGTAGATGCTTTCTTCCGTATCAACTGTGCTAAGATCCAAGTTGGTCGTATTGATCCTATTGTCAACCCCGGTGCCCTGGCCGCACATTGCCATACAATCGTCGGTGGATCAAGTAAGTGTCGTTCGTGATTTATACTCTTAGCTTAGCATAGCTAATCTTATTACACAGACATCGGTGTAAACGCAACTTTCGATAGTTTGTTCAACTCAGAATGTACCTCTTGTGAGATATCTGCAGACAAGTCTGCCTACTGGACGCCAAATCTTTACTATCAGCACACCAATGGCTCTTTCGAGGAGGTTCCTCACGGCGGAAGTGTGATCTACTACCTGGCTCGTGGTCAGAATGCCAACGATATCATCTCATTCCCCAAAGGCTTCCAGATGCTGTCAGGTAACAAAGCCTTGAGAGCCGCCAATCAATCAGGCATGACTTGGGGAGACGCAACGCACCCCAACAGGCCTAAATCTGATGCCATTAGTTTTGCTTGTCTAGCCGAAACCCCTGGCCCTGAGACACCCAACCTGCCTGTCGATCCTCGTGTGTGTATTAGCGGTTTGCGTGCTCAGATTCACTTCCAGACTTGCTGGAATGGTAAAGATTTGTACAAAGCCGACAACAGTCATGTTGCACACATGTCTCAGATCGACAATGGAGTCTGTCCTCCAGACTACCCTTATCAGTTCCCTCACCTGTTCCTCGAGACCAACTACGCAGTTGCTCAAGTCTCCAATTTGAATGACGGTGGTCGGTTCGTCTTCTCCCAAGGTGATCCTACTGGTTATGGCTTCCACGGTGATTTCCAAAACGGTTGGGATGATGATGTTCTCAAGAGCGCCATTAACAACTGTCTTGTTGACGGTCAAGATGACTCCGGTACTCTCGATGAATGTCCCGTTCTTCGGCCATACTGGAATCCAAACGCCGGCGACAATTGCCCCGTGCAACCTCCTCAAATCGCCGAACCAGCCACTGGTATGATCAGCAGACTTCCTGGTTGTGTTCATGTCACCAATGGCCCTGGTGCCGCCACAGCTGCTGACATGGAGTGTCCGGCTGGCGTTCCTCTGGCCAGTATCGTCAGAACGGTTGATACGGTTCCACGACCCACCTACACGCCCACTGCTGGCACTCTCTTTGGCAATAAATTCAACAAGATTGTTGGCTGTGGTAACGACTCGTACGTTAACAATGGCTTCAGGAGTCTGAACGCAGTATACACGACTTACCCTGGACTGACTGTCGAGTATTGTCAGACTTGGTGTACCAAGCGTGGATACCCCTACTCTGGTGTTGAGAACGGCAATCAATGTTTCTGCGATCTTGTGATCAACCCAGCAACCATCGTCAAGGATCAGACAGATTTCCTCTCGGGCTGTAATATTGTGTGCCCTGGAAACCGCACTGAGCTCTGTGGTGGAGCCTTCTACATGTCCATCTACAATAACACTGATCCGAATTTCAAAAGGACAACCAACCTTGCCAACTCCGTTATTCAACTCACTTATCCTGTCGCTCCCTTTAACTCAGCATATGTGGGTTGCGCCAGTGAAGCCAACAACGGACGTACCCTGAACGGCACATCTTTGGTCAATGCCAACATGACCATCGCCCAATGTGCTGCTCTCGCCGCCGCCAACAACGCCGCCTTCTACGGCCTCGAAAACGCAGATGAGTGCTACACTGGCAATGGTTTCGCCTCTGGTGGTATGATTGTAGATAACACCACCGACTATACCAAATCACAATGCTACAGCCGCTGCGCAGGAAACTTTACTCAAATCTGCGGTGGTGGTGGAAAATTATCGGTATACAGCAACCCTGCGTACAAGCCTGTGACTGTTGTACCCAGTGTGGGTAAATACAAGAGCAAGGGATGTTTGCAGGAGCCGACCAGTGGGTCAAGGGCTCTTACTGGTGCTAGTACCACTGATATTCTGATGACTGTCGAGAAGTGCATCAAATTTTGCTTGGGCAATCGCCACAAGTATGCTGGGTAAGTCCTTTTGTCTCCTCTTCTTCACGTTATTGGTATGCTGACTGAGAATGTAGTATCGAGTACGGCCAACAATGCTACTGTGGAGACAGCATCTCTCCAGGCGCCGTCGCGCAGAAGACGTGTGATACACCAAATCTGATGGTCTGTCCTGGTAACAAGTTGGAGTACTGTGGTGCAGGTAACTTGCTCAACCTCTACTACTCTTCAACATTGTAAGGACGGTAGAAGCGCACATGAATCGTTGATGATCTTCATTTCCTTTCTTTGTTTCTTCTTCTTTGTTCTTTTGGAGTACGGACTTATGCTGAAAGCAACAGCTTGATGGCACGTTAGTGCAGACTGACAGTCGTCTTTTTATGTTTTCCCTTCGCTCTCCTTGTTCAGATAAGATATGTCTAACACATGAATGTTCACCGCTGACTCGCCCTCCGAACGTGTACTGCGGACTGTCACAGATACTGAGCCTTTACTTTCTGTCGATAGAGGAAGGAGTTCATTGGATCCATAACTTCCCCATCTTCCATCACATCCTGTGTACTGACTAATGCACTTCACAAAGGTCTGCAGCTCGATCCACCATCGGTCGGGAGTCAGGTCAAGCGTTCTAAGGTTCTTCGGATCACCGACCCGAGTCGCACGTTATTTCCTTGCTTCGGGCTCCTGTATGAGGGGCTCAGGAGTCCGGGCATACATTGCCTGTCGGCTGGTGTGTGAGATCGGTCTGAGAAGGGACTCGAGGGTTTTGGGAGAGGTCTGCCTGCAGCCACGTGCTATTCCTAAAAGTGGCAAGAGATGATATTGCATCGTTCTATGGTGGTGCATTGATGTTGTTAATAACCTAGGAAGTCAGATATCAGGATTTTCTCGATTGCTTTCCAATATGCTTGCGAGTCAGTAGACCGTGCCTCTTCCTGTACGACTGTAGAGATCCATTGAAAATTCCGCTGCTGGGTGTCTTGCTGTGATATTGTCTTATCTCGATCCGTTCTCTTCTCCAGTATCTATGATAAGTAGTGCTTCACGTGAACGGGGGGTGCACGTCTGATCCCAAGCATGACTCAGGGCAAGAGTGTAGCTTCTTCATGCAGCATGGAGTCATGGTTCACTTACCAATTTGACCACAATCCAAGGATCTCTGTTCCAACCTAGCTCGATCCTTCAGGATGCCCCACAAATCCAGTCAAAAGTGTGTTCTCAATTTGCAAGCATTGCAAAAGGTAAAACAGAATGCAGGAGCAGTATCATGGTATGAGAGAAGTTGATAGCGGCTACCTACCGTTGACCTGAGTTGTGTCATGTCCAAACCCCATCTCCTGATTTCCTGTAGTCATGGCTGGACATGCGTATCCCTCGCGTGCTAGAGACCGCCGAGTATACTGACTTACGTTGTTTCCGTGCGTGAGGAGCTGTTTCGTCCTTCTTTGGACTTTATGAATTGTCACGTGAGTCTTCTATGAGTGTGATGTACTCATATAGAGTGTGTATCATAAGATGTCGCTAGTATAGGCGCTTCTCACATACACGTAGAAGCTGTTTTGCTCCGAACGCTCGTAAAACCTCGCAATGAACGCATTCCAGATGCACTGACCTAGAACCATAAGCGTAGGATGTAGATAGGTACCTACGCTTCTTCTGTGCCTACCTTGGACATGGTGAAGCACAAGTGAGGCACAAGCCCGAGAAAGAAAAAACAGACGATCTGTCCATCTAAGAGATACTCTCTGCGCTGTTTGTTGAAGTGACGGCGCATATGTCTGGTTAAGAAGTGGCTCAGGCTGGACATATAGTACACATAACATGAGGTTGTAGAATCTTACCACAAATCCCTGACGCTTCGAACGTTTCCATTGCATTGGCCTAATGTCTTGGACCTCTAGACATCACTGCCCATCTTCCTCTCGACGAGAAGCACAAAGAGTGCCAAAAGCCATGGCAAAAAGTGATTATCTGTCCAGAGATACAATTGCCGATTGCCCGAATCGAACGAGCGATCTTCGCATTCCTGTTCCATTCGTGTGAAGGATTGTACAAGTGCGATGCAGTACCACTGTGCCAAACCGGCGGATCATGGATCCAAGAAGGACAGATGTGTTGACCGAGATGCGGAGGGAATATATACTGCAGGATGTCGGCCGCCAAACCTTCTGACAGCATTCTTCAATACACTTACCACCTTGACCTTAACAGAATCCTTGGGATCATACCTATCTTTGTTCATTCTGCAGTCGAGTGTACGTAAGGCTAGTCGAGTTCTGAAGTGGGGTGTCCGTGGGTCAAGACAGAATCTGGATCTACTGAAGCCTCGATCGGCTGTAGTAAAAATCGAGATCTGACTTACATCGAGCCAGCGTGGACGTGAATAGAGTCGAAGTACGTTTTGAAGTAAGAACAACCAGAAATATATCGTGTAGAGAATTCATTGAAAAGATGGTAAAAATTTCAGCTCAAAATTGCATCAATGAACGTTGTGAAGGTTGTGCATTGCACAAAGCCTTGCCAAGCTATTAGTCTTCAGCCAGACTTCGCGCACAAATTGATCATTTCACAAATCCTATGTCTGAAATTCCAAATCATTAATTTTTCGCCAATTGTGCCACCTTCTTGTGATCTTCGGGAGAGTCCACCAAAAGCAAAAGGAATAGTGACGAGAGTGGGATTTGAACCCACGCCCTTTCGGACCAGCGTATTGGAATAACCTTAAGCTGGCGCCTTAGACCGCTCGGCCATCTCGCCTGTTTGATGGAAAAGCACTTGAAAGGAGATAATATTGTTCTCTCGCTGTTCTAAGCACGAGCAGCTCCGTAGCAAGCAAACGGCAGAGCTGCTAGAAAGAGAAATCCTGGTTGGAACGAACCGTAGTGTTCCCAGACGATTGCGGCTATTAGAATGGCGCGACTCGGTAACAGGTTCTTGCTAGGAGAAGAAAGGAGGACTCGATGGAAAGTGGGAACAAGAATGACGGCCATGTCTGAGCACGGTCTCCTGAGTCGGCTGGTGGTATAACCCTGATTGCGTGTCTCTCGAGCCGGCAAGAGACGAAGATATGGTCTCAAGGGTGATCTTCGCGGTTGGTACAATGCAAACATGTAAACCATGATGCTGGTATTCTCATCGGGCACATATAAGTCGTGTTGAGCGTGGGATATGGGTTCCAGATATATGTCCATTTGTTTTGCAAGCCTCGCCCGAGAAGTGTGGGTTCAAGTTGAACTTTGACAAACATCAAGATACCAGATCCAGGACACTCGAAAAAAGTGTCAACGTGTTTTTAACATTAAACGATTAACAGCAAACCATGTAGTGTATGGAGAAAGAATAAGGGCACGAAGGAAAAGGTGGTAGATGAGTTCAAACTTATCGGGTCTGGCGCGCGACGCGGACGAAATCATGGCGGACGTGCGAACATGGTTCCAGATATACCTACAATATTCATGTCATTGTGTGAGGCGCTTGAACAATCAAAGGGGGCATAATGAGGATGAGAGGACGTTGGTTCTGACCAGCTCGGCCCGGGCACGTGAAGTTGGGCTGTTCTTTCCTTCCGTTCCTGGCCTGAAAAGTCGTAAACATACTTATCGAGACTGATATTATTTTGCGTACATGCTAGTTATAGGAAGTGTTTGCACGACTTCTTGATTGCAGGGATGACTTTCGGTCGTGACCAACGACTCTACCATTTCCTCCTCTGCTCACTCACTCTCTAACCGCAACACCCAACTCTCCATCCTCAATCGCCTCCTTGAACTCATCCATCTCTTGACCACGATCGCGAATAACCTGTTGCAAAGTCTGAACAAAAGTCTCGCCATTATTGTCGAACCAGTCGCCTTGAGCTCTAATGTAAGCCTCGACTTGGCTCTTGTAAGGTGCATTTTCCTTCAAGAAAATGAGTTGCTCGGGGTCAAGCTTCAGCATATCCTCGACAATGTAGTAGTGTAGGATATCGTCGCCCCAACCTTCGGCACCTGGCTCGTGGTTGGCTGTGGGGATGTATTTATTGTGCCATTTTGATGCAGCAACTTCGGAGCAGTAGTGTGTACCATCAGGCACGAAAGAGGAGGGCGGTGGGAAGTTGAGGTTGGTATTGAAGAGAAGTTGGTAGTTTGAGTTTGGAAAGCGCTTTTGGAATTTGCGACTCACGGTGCCGTTGGATGGACAGATGTTGTTGCTGATGGTGTCGCGCAGCATGTTATGGACATCGAGCATTTCGGCAAGCTCGATAGAGTTGAAGTTGTGCAGTAACAGAGTCCTCTCATGGTGGAGGGCGGGCATACTTCTCATCCAGCGGAGGATGCCCCCATCGTGGAAGGCGCGGGAGAAGAGCCACAGACGGTACAGCGCTCGTCGCAGACGGAAGCGCTCGTCATGGGATATGGAGCGTCTGTTCTCGAAGTCGACTTTCCACTTCTTGAACGGGTATATAGCCTCCCACTTTGCAGCAACACGGCCGACTTTTACAATGGAACGAATCAACGCGTCAGACAGTGGAACGGAGCGGCGAAGGTGTGCTGGTTGAGACGAGTTGTGGGTGACGATCTGAATGATGTCTTGTGTTGGGCCGAACTCGTTCTCGGCAGCTTGTGACAGGATGAGAAGTCTCTTGGAAGACGTGTAGATCTGACGAAAGTGGTGGCAGGTAGAGGATAGGGCGATGACGGACGAGATGGATGGCAAGGCGAGGAAGATGTCCGTCACCAGTTCGGATGGGAGGACTTCGATATGCATCGCGGCGATCTGCAAAAGGTTTGACGCGAGAGGAAGTATACTCTTTTTTGAGGTCGACTCGTTCGTTCTACAAGGGTTCGTGAGGATGTCTCGTAATTGGTGGGTGCCAGACTCGATGGCGTAGGAGCTCTATTCTGGCAAGTTGTTCAGGTACTTAGATCAAAAGAAGCCCTCCGTTGGGGCTGAGAACAAAGACAACATCTTGAGCACACGATTCGATATCCGTGGACCCCATAGGGTTTGAACACAGAATACTCATGTTTACCAAAGATGCATATACACAGGAAGGACGTCTCGACCTCGGAAGGGTCATCAATAGCTACCCCAGATCGACGGGCGTCAAGACTTGATATCGAACATTTCTCTGACTTAACCGTTTGATATCAATGCTTCGATGCTGTATAAGCTGACACCTCCGCATTCGACTCGTCACCCTGATGGCCGAGGGTAGCGATTTGGATATACTAGACATTACACAATCAATATCTTGGTTCGGGATAGAAAGATCCCCAAGCAACTGTCGCTATATCAATTGCCAATCAATCATGGCCGCTCTGACAGATACCGGCCATCACAACTGCCGCGACTACTATCACCCCCTCCCCGTCCCAGCAACAACCCACACCCTCCCGAAAGCCCTCACGATGACCCAAACAACAGCCCAAATACTGCAACTGCACTCGTCTCAAAAGTCTCCTCTAAACCACAAACCCAACAAACCAACATTTCCATTCTTACGCCTACCTTACGAGCTACGAAGGAAAATATATCTGTATTCACTACCTTATACGGAAACCAAGGTCTCAGCAGGAAGTCTGGTTTCCACCACTGGAGGTTCTAATGCAGCGTCCTCGGCGCATAAAATCCATCTGGCGAGTCTGCCAAGTGCAAAGTATACGGCGAATACCACCCTTTGGCATCGAGGCAATACTGCTCTATTGGCCGCGAGCAAGCAACTGCATGACGAGTGTGCGACACTGCTGTATGGGCAAAATGTATTTGTGCTCTGGGTGTCTTATGATACGATTCAGTTCCGCTTCCGGTGGGTGTTGGCTAGTGGATTGGCGCCGTCGTGTGCGTTTGACTTTTTGCAGTTGATCAAAGGGAGGTATTTGGGGTTGGTGAGGAAGGTTGTGGTTACTGTTGATGTGGTTGATGAGTATACGGGTATGATCAAGTTTAATGTTGGGGGTAGCGGGTTGGTGCATGGGTTGAAGCTGCAAGTTGCGAAACTAACCAAGGCATTGAAAAAGGCGGAGGGAGAGGAAGGGCTTAGTAGATTGACTGTTAGGCTGCAAAATGGCAGTGATGGAGTGCCTGAGGGAGAGAAGAGAGGAACCTGCAGAGTTAGGGACAGAGACTCCAGGAGTATTGATGAGGTGCAAGGGGTTCTTGAGCCGCTGAAAGAGCTAAGTGGACTGAGAGAAGTGGTATTGTGCGGTGCTGTTATGGATGCATACAAGGAAGACCTGAAGAAGAGCATGATGACAACATCTGACGACTAGGTCGACGGAAAGGATTGATAGGGTAGAACGACACCATAGGTCTCACAGCGATACCTACAAGAGCTCTCATAAATACTGTCCAACATCGTCTTCCTCCCAATCAAATCTAGGCAGTAGGGCCAGGTTCTCTTTGTCTTCCTTGGAACACAAGTCTCGCAGCGCACTGATACCAGTGTCTGTGAAATTGCAGGAGCCTGGACAGTGAGGTAGACCTCCTATGGAGAAACCGTGTACTGGTGACTTGCGTTCTGGGATGAGGTATCTGGGAGCACTTCCTCCCTTGCTCGGGTCACCGTAGTACTCCTTCCTTCGGCACTACTTAGCGGAAACCGAGGAGGATTGAGGTATGTCATCGCCATATACACTCTCTTCACGACGATCGGGAGCGGAGTCTGGATGTTTTGACTCCTGCTGCTCTTCTTCAGCATCATGGCGATCCGGTCGCTCCCCAACACTCGCCTCGTCACCCAAGGACGCGCCATCTCCTGGTGTATTCCACTCGTGAGGTTCATACCTAGTGTCAAACTCATGATGTGCATAATGCCACCAGGCTTGGCCGTTGACCCAAAGCAGAAACTCGAAGCCCCAAGGAGGAAGGGGGTCGTGGTTGAACATGCGATTCAGACCTAGAAGCACGAAAGCCCAGAACTTTTCTCTTCGCCATTTGTGTTTTGAGGTTTGGTCTGTTTTGGGCATATTGGTGATGTTGGTTTTGTGACTAGTCAGTTTGCTGGGAGGTAGAGATGGTGGTGGGAGAGGATGGGTTGTGATCAAAGGAGAGCATATTTTGTAGCATCTTTGAGTAGCGGCATCGACTTGTGTTGCGGTCAAGGATAAAGAGGATGTGTAAAAGTCACGTTGGGTTGTGAGACCGCATTGTGTTGGTGTCTGCCATGTCGTCTAGGAGGTATGTCTCAGTCATGAACAACAAAGATAAGCGACCAAAGTGCTTGAGACCTAGGAATCAAGGTCAAGAGGAAGAAGCATTCGTTGTCTTCCTCTAGTACAATAGACTTACTCTAGACACCCGATGCCTGGCGGGGTGTTATTTGCAGTGCATGGGCTTGCCATATATGACGAACAGGATGTACATCTCGACCGCGATGGTCTACATGATGCTCGAGACCTTGAAGCACTTTGGGTTACGGCGTCTTCCTGTGCCTGACGGCCCGTCGGAGCAACGGTTCCTAAGCCTTACGTGCCTTCGGCATTGTCACATGTTGGAGAATGAGGCTTCTATATCAAGTGACTTGTACCTAGAAATAGATGATGCATGGAGATAGAGCAGATGACACGACAGGTGTCAAGATAGGGAAGAAACGGGACCATCTATTGCGCGGTATAGCAAGAGGCAGGGACAGTTCTTATAACGGTATATGAGAACATGACGATTACGAACACAGAGGCTGGGGGTCGTTGTAGGGTATCGATATATTGATATGGAGATTGAGATTGAGATCGGCCTCGGGCGAGACGTTGGTAACGGGTTGGACGCCGGAACTCAACGTCTCGCGTGTCAAAGCAACCCGAGACCTTAAGGCTGTAGGCAAGACATTCAGGGCTTTTGGACCACTCCAGATGACGAGGGCGAGTGGAGCGGGTAAAGAAGAGATTTCAAGGCCATGACAAAGGCGAGAAACCGGGAACAACAAGGGCGGCGTCAGGACAACGAGCCCGAGTTGAGTGGAGCTTTGTATGCGTATGTGATGATGGCAGGGACCTTGTCGTCGGGGCAGGCAGCCGGTAGGAAACGTGCACGCTGCTCCCAGCCACTTTTGAAGATTTGGCCCCAGCCACGCACGTTTTGGCAGCAACAAGGCGCACAGTCACAGGATTAATATGCAGTTACGACAGAGAGACAGAACCCCTGATCATCCTCTCACATTCTACACACCAAAGCAGTAATCAACGCGCAACAATATCATACAGTCGTTCTTTGAAGCCTCGAGCAATTGCATAGCAAGGGTCAATCTCCACTTTCCAGCCGCCCCTCGAAGCTTAACCTTGTTGTTTGGATTGTATCCCCTCGACGACGTTGTGCGACGACGTCTAGTTGCAGCAGAAGGACAGGACGAAGACTACGGACTATCAGATCCAAGACTCGGTCGACGGTTGTTCCCCCAACCTCGTGCTTTGTCCGGACGTCAATCGCTAGAGACGTTTGTTCTTGAATCATCCGAGTACCTTGTCTTAGGTGCTGTAACCAAGTGGGGAAAGGCGCCGAAACTTCTCATTCGCAGCTGAAGCATCCAGCCAGCCATCGACGACTTGCTTCTTTCATCATGGCGACTTCCTCTTTTACTTCTTCACCATCGCCCTTTCCAGAGACACCTGTTGCTCTAGCTAGACCTTCGACTGCCGCCGTCCGCTCCACCAACTACGACAACTACAACCAAGCATTCTCAGAGGATACTTCTTATAGCAACACGACTTATTCGCCCGCTACCAGCAGTCCTCTGTCCAACTCTCTATCCTACTCATCGCGCACCGTCTCGGCCGCCTTTGGCAAGCAAGTCCTGTCTGCCATTACCGAGAACGTCAAGTCTCCCGTCGGCTCTCTGTCCCGCAAGGCTTCCCTCCACGCTCGTGCAAGGTCCCTGGTCAGCTTTGTACCTGCTCTCAACCCCATTGACACCGAGGAGCAACACGCTTCATCAAGGTCGCCGCCTCGCAAGGGTCCATCCTTTACCGACATCTTTACACCTCGTCGTTCCTCGCTAGCTCCCTCGGAGCCCGAAGAAGAGTCCGAGTACATCATGTCTTACAAGTCATCCTTCACCGGCGGTTCTGGTCGTATTCCCGAGCCTCAAGCTCCTGCACCCAAGCCTACCGGCCTTCGGAGCTTCTCCTGGTTCGGCTCTACAAAGACTGCTCCTCTTCCGACCCAAGCCGAGAGCACCGCAGGCATGGATATCCTGACCCCGGCAACCTCATTACTCTTCCCCGTCGGCCTACCTTCAGACAAGACCCCAGCCACCTTCGACGAACTCCTTCACAACGCTGAATTCCTCATCAACCGCCTTCAAACCGCCTACAAGGAACAATCATCAGCTCTTCAAGCCGCTCGCGCTGAGCGCGATGCTCAAACAGAAGAGACCGAAGAAGCCTCCACACGCGCCCAACACTTGAAGCTTCAACTCGAGAATCTTGCCGCTGTATCTGCCGAACAAGCAGCCACGAACCGCGCATTGGCAGAGGAATTGGCAGCAGAAAAGCAACGCCGCCACGAAGACCGCGAACACTACGAACGCATCGCCCGCCAAAACGACCTCACACCCCGCCGCAACCGCCACAGCGACGGCAGCTCTCTACACAGCGACAGCGGCTTTGAGAGTGAAGCAGACACTGCAGAATCTTGCTCGCGCCCTCTGACGCCCACCTCGCCGAATCCTAACAATTACACATTAAGCGACAATCGATGGAGTCATGCCATGGAGCCCATCAAAGAGGTTGTACGTCCTGTTTCTAGAGATTCGACCACGGCTAGGATCCCTGGTCGCACTTGCGAAATTGACGCCGGGGTGTATATGTTTATGAGGGATGAGAAGGCACGTCTGGAGCGTAGGGTACAGGAACTTGAGGGCGTGCTTGATGGATGTTTGGATTTGATTGCGTAGATGTATGTGCATCGACATATGGCAAGAGTCTCAGGAAACTCAATACTGGTATATCGTGACCTGGCCTTGTCATCCGAGGAGCGAGACCTCGATTGTTTATTTTCACTCATTGGATTGGCCTGGACCAAGCCGTCTTTTTTCTGTATATAGATTTTACATGCCTCTTTTATCATGGCCTCAATATCTCTAAGGATTACACATTCAAACGTATTTCAATACACGCTCTTCTTCACCAATCCTTCCTGTATCATTCCTCCGTCCTACGAGTCATGGCCGATGGGCATTCAAATGACTGAACCATCATTCTTGACGAATCGAAGTTCGTATATACTCGCGAGTACATTTCACAACTCCACGTCAACATCTAAATACTCGGGGATTCGTCATGGCTTTTAGTCGGATCTTTGCCCCAATACGTCTCTTGAGAATGGAACAAATGATTTGGAAGAAATAGGTTTATGTATATCAATTTTTGGTATTCCGATTCGGTGTTGTAGTTGGGGCGGCTCTCGATTGCAAAGAATCTCTCTGCCCGCTGGTTGCCTGAAACGATCCCACACCCTCCCCCCCCATGCAATACTTTCTTGCCGGGAGTTCAAGGAAGAAGAAAAACAAAAGTTAAACAAGGACGAGATAATGTGGAATAGAGTTGCACCGGAAAAACGCCCTTGACCTCTCTTGAAACAACAAGATAGAAATGAGGCCTTCGCTCTGTGGGATGTAAGAAGTGTTGTCTCTGCAACAAAACAAAAACATCCTGATGAACCCAGATCCCTGTGCGCAAACCAAAAAAGAAAGATGGGAAACAGAAAATAGGGGTTGTCTAAAAGGTACAAGCGGAAAGACGGTGTCCAGACTCGGAGCAGACAGGCCATTGCTTTCGTTTCTGCATTTGGTACGTGGAGGTTGTGAAATTCCCTCCTGTTTATGTGACCATGGAGACAGTCTAGATCTCGACAGTCTTCATCTCTTCAGTGTCAACTGCACCGCCCTTTGTCGCTTCGTCCGAAGATGTGATGGCCGAATCAGCCTTTTCCTTTTGGTCCTTGCGGTCTTGATCGGCGAAAGTCTCGACGGTGGGAGGGAGCGGCGAATCCATACTGAGCAGGTTGTCGTTGCTCTTGGAGGTTTCGAGTACGGCGTCAAGGTTGTCAGTGTTGAGAGGCGTGGGGGCCGATTCTTCAGCAACACGAGCAAGAGGGCTGCTCACGTGGCCTCGCGGGCTCTGGTTTGCAGGAGCCTTGCCGTTGCTAGAGAAGCGCTGAGGGCTTCGGCCACGGTCGCTACCAGTGGGAGAGGCATAAGGAGAGAATCCGTTAAGACTGCTGAACTCATTCTTGACATTGCTGTTGATGCGGAGAGGCTGCTGAGGGCGGGCGCCCTTAGGAATGCGGCGGCCGTACTTTTGGTCGGTGCGCCAGCGCAGGATGTCCATGTACGAAGGATCGACATTTTGGTTCTTGAATTCGCGGAGGGTGAGCTCGCCAGAATCCTCATCAACGATGGCCTTAGGGGTGCTGAAATCGTCGGCGACGCTGGCCAAGAAAGCAGACCACGAACGAGCGACGACGTATTTGCAGTCATAATCGCGACCGATCAGAATAACCTGACCCCATTTTCCAGCAGGGCCAGGAGCCAGATCGATACAGATGTTGTTACCGCCCCAATCTCTTGCAACAGGAATCCATCCGGGGTGGACGTAGGCTTTTTGTACGGCGTTTGGCGGGTGCGAGTCCTGTTTTGACATGAGCTCAGAACGCCAGCCAGCGCCCGAAGCGGATTGCGAAGACGATGTGGCCGAGGGCTGAGCAGAGGAGCCAGCAAAGGCCTTGTTGGGGACTTGCGGGGTTGCGAAGGGAGCAGACGAAGCGCGGAGGTAGTCGTCACCAACACGAGCCCACTGTTTCCACTCTTGAACAATCTCCTCGCAGTCAAGAAGCATGCAGCCAAAGAGAATACCGGTGGGTCTGCCGCCGCGTTCTTGGCCGTCGTGGATCATCAGCGATTCGCGCATCTCCATGGGTAGTGTGCAGTCAAGCTCGTGTTCGAGTTCGTTAACATCATTTTGAGTGCAACCTTCACACAGGTTCTCGAACAGCTCTTCGTGGTTGTTCTCGGCCCATTGGTCGATGCGTCTCCACGAGTGGCCGACAGGCGGTGGGGGAGGGAGGCCTTCTGAGAAACTCTGCATTTGGATTTCGCCTTGACCAACGCCCTCGAGGTTCCCTGAGCTGGATTGGCGCTGCATTGTAGAGCGGAGGCCGGGTGAGTAAGGGCCATTTGGCGACATGCGACCACTGGCGGGCATGAAGTCATTGTCTTGAGCGTAGGGGTTGTTGAGGTCGGTGCGAGACTCTGCGGCAGTAGCGACCGAAGTCAGGGGAGCGTGCCGACTTTGAGCGAGAGGAGTGTGAGCGCCGGTGCGGTAGGGCATGTCGGGCGAGGCGTGTCGGTCATTGGACGTCATGGTGTGCCAAAAGGAGCGCCAGACTCCAGTGATGCTGCACAGAGAGAATTAGCCTCGTCACGGAGAATGGTTGGAAGGAGCCATGTGGTTTGCAAGGCTTCGGCAGCGAGCAGTCGGCATGCGCAGTTGGTGCTTACCCGTTCGCCATGATGGACCGAGACAGAGGGGGTTAATAGGCGTGTCGTGGTTGTTGTGCGCTCTGGCTGGTGGACGCCAGCAAATCTCGACAAGGCGGGCTTTGTGTTTGGCAGAAGCAGTCGGTCGGGTGGAGACTGGACTGCAGAGAGTAGTGGGCGGGTTGTGTATGAGATGTGGGCTGTGAGTGCGGAGGATGAAGTGGAATGTCGGAGGAGTGGTTGTGGTTGCGGTTGTGGATGTGTTAGTGCATCAAGCATGGGATGGATGCGGGAGCGAGATTGCGGTCAACACTCTTGCAAAAGGGGAACCGCGTGTCAACACAGACTCCAACCCGTCAGGGAAGCCGTCTTCTGGAAGCCTTCTCCCTGGAATAACGGCTATAACTGTTTGCGACGACTCTTGTTGTTGCCTCTTGCCCTTGTTGGTTCAGGAAGCTGCTGTTGGCATGCAATTGTCGCTCCGCGCCTGCTCAAAACAACTCGCTCTTGCCGATTCTATGCTGCAGCAGGGTCCGGCTCCTGAATGTTTGCGCCTTCTTGCTACGGACAAAACAACAACCCGCCTGCCTGACTTTGACCTGCCAATCCTGCCCGCTGCTCATTACCATTCCGTACCACCTTTGTTGCCTCTGCATCATCTCAGATTCTGCTTATATGACGCGCTATAGCTCTGTGTATCCTCTCCGGCCACTGACGCTCCAAGACTTTTCACCATTTCGCAGCACGTCCGTCTGAAATCAAAGCGGAGACCCGTTGCCTTTCGCCGCAAAACTCAAACGTCCCTGCTGCAGGAGCCAAGCGCTTTGCTAGTCCCACTCTGTTTCCGGTGGCGATAACATCCTAAGAAAAGAATCACTCCATCATTCCCGCCCTTAAGCTGGTTTTGTTGATCCACAGACTCACCATGTACAAATCGCCTTCAAGAAGAACAGCCTTGATCAACAGACGCCTTCACAGCCCCCATGCGACGTCTGTTGCTAGAATTCTCCTGTCGATATCCGGCCTGATCATCAACTTGAAACAAGTTCTTGTCAGCCATGACGCTCATTGTGCATGCATTGGCGCACGACAAAATTCCCGATTCGCTCTCACAACTGGTCCAGTCCGTGTCATGTGGCCCTCCGTCGTCGCAATCCTGCAATTGATTTCAGGAACCTGATGACCTCTTCCCTTCCCAAGGCGTACATCAAGTTGCTGCTCTTATTGATCACCTTGTCTATCATGTTCGATTCCACGTCATCAGTCCTTCTGTCCTTGTCGCACAGGCTGGATGCACACGTCTGACCATGTCTCAATCTTCTCATGTGTCTGTCTCTCTGCCTGACAGTCGTTCATCGCGTCCAACACGGCGAATAGACCTGGTCTCGCCTCCCGTCATGCTCGTCTCTGTCACGACGACGTTTCTATTCAAGTCATGCTTGTTCCGTTAGAACAACGCGCTTGTCTCCTTCGCTTCGCCTCTGTCTCTTCAAATAGAGACACGCGCAAGACAGCTAGGAGCATACAATACCATTGATTTCATCCTTACTTCGCTAAGGGATAGGTGCATAAAGGTAGGTGAAGCATCCGAGCGAGCGACTGCTCTCATTCAATTTGCCTATTTCCTTTCCTTTCCATTCTCCATGAACAATCTTCCTCTTCCAAACATCACTGGCGCTGGTATCAGACACAGACATCGTCCTAGCTGTAGATTAGACGGAGGGCCGGTTCCTTCATGTCTATGTCCTCGATGTACGGCGAAAAATCTTGTTCGTGACAGCAAGACTTTTGTCGAAACCCAGGCTAAGCCGTGGTTTCGACGCTCATTCCTTTCCGTAATCTACTGGCGCATCCTAGAATTCATCGCGGTCGTCTCCACATTCTTGTACAGAGGTAAGACTCTGGTCAGCAGTCAGGTAGAGAATTTGCAAGCTGATTCTGTTACTTTAGTCCTGCAGACCATTACACCAACGAGCCTGGATACATCAAAATCCGAAAAGCTTCCTGCATCTTCGAGTGATACCACCTTCAAACCATCCATCCAGTACCTTGTGCAGGGCGTCGTCAAAAACCACTCCTTCACTCACTTCTTATTTCACAAAATCTGGCTATGTGACTGCGTAGATCTGGACGAGATAGCCAAGCTCAAACTCATCACCTTCCTCTTGAGTCACTATGAGAAGGACTACGGAGACTTTGACATGTTTGGGCCCATGGAGTACGCATTCGTGGCCATGAAGATTCTGCCATCTGGCGGAGAAGCTTCTTCTTGTGTAGTCATGCAACACATTCACACCAGGCGACTCCGGAAACTCTACGTCTTCAAGACTATCACGAGAGACAAGTCTTTGATTTCTCACCCTGAGCATGGCATTATCTCCGATGAAGCGTATATTCTGCTCGGCAAGCTCAAAACGAATCTATATCCTCATCCTAATATTATACAGCTGTTCAATTGCGTTACATCGAATGCAGTAGCAGGGATTCAGATCCATATCCTCCAGATGGAGTATTGCGATGGCGGCGATCTCTGGGAACTCAACAATCGATGCATCAAACATGGTAGCAGAATGCCGAGATCGTTTGTCGCGCATATCTTCAACTCACTATCCGCCGCTCTTGCATACCTCCATCACGGTCTCATCCTCAGCTCTGCTGGATCACTCAAGCATACACATCTTCCCGACGCGACAAATCGCTGGCGAACAATTCTTCACAATGATATCAAACCAGAAAATATCTTTCTTCGCTGGCCGATGAACACACCATCTTCTGCATCCTTATATCCAGATATCGTGTTAGCTGATTTTGGCGCTGCAGGAGTAGAGTCTCATATCAAAGGCCCTAGAGGCACTTATAGATACTCCGCCCCGGAAGTCAGAGAAGCCTTTGACGCTTCTTCCTCACTACTGCATCGCTTCCGAATTGCAGCTGCGAATCAAATGAGCAAAAACGTCGTCTTGACGACCAAATCCGATATCTGGGGTGTCGGCGCCGTGATGAGATCTCTGTTGTTTGAGTATCAGAGGGAAAGAGGTGGTAAGGAGTGGGAAGCCAAAGAAAGGGCGCTACAATGGAGAGAGTTGGAAATGGTGTATGGAGAAACAATGGTCATGTGGGTGAGGAGATGTCTGGGATATACGGCATCGGCAAGACCGAGTGCGAGGACGCTCTTGGGGTTGGCGGTGGAAGAGGTCAGGGAAGAGGCAGTAATTGACGAAAGGGTACAGAGGGTGCCCGAGTGGATCTGGAGTAGGGAACAGAAGATTTGAGTAGCTGCTGGACAGCTGCTCGATCAAGATATACCCTACGCCAAGAAAGCAAGGAAGGCTACACAATTTGTATCGTCGAACAAACAACATACTGCATGAAAACACTACAATGCAAAATTGTCACCTCCTCCACCACAGTGATCACTTAAAAAGCGAAAGGATTCAGCGAGTAGACGATTTGAACCGTCAACAAAAGAGATCGTGAACTTCTCAACAACACACACACCGCAGAGCCGTGTGTGTGCCGCTAAGAAGTTCACGACCTATCGATTTGTGTGATTGGAAAGTGTTTATGTATAGTATCTCCTCTCTCATAGATTGTCCAACCACACACATCTAGGTACCCACGTGTGACAGATTTTGTACAGGATAAAGGTGGAACACATCAGCTAAAGCAAGTGGTCACCTATATAGCGTAATGAATATGGCGAACGGACGAGTCGAACCGTCAGTCACTCATCACGGCCAAAAAAACAAAAGAGCGTGGACTTCTGCACGACATACCCACCGCAGAGCTGTGCATGTACCGCAAAGAAACTCACGCTCTACTAAGTGGGAGATTAGAAAGTGTGCAGATATGGTATTCGGACTCTTACAAAACGTCTAGCTAAGTCTATGCACCCCTATGTAACATTAGAACGAAAATCTTGATAACCCAGGTAGGTATTTCACAGGTCTTTGGTAGGTGCAAAGAGGATTATCTAAGCTATGATCACACAAAAGGCGAAAGGCATAGCGAGCGGACGACTTGAACCGATAGTCATACGGATAGCAAACAAAAGGGAGTGTTAATGATACTCAACGGCACATACACCGCAGAACCGTATATATGCCGTTGGCCATCATCGACCCCACTGAATTGTCGATTGAAAAGTATACACATATAGCGCTTTAGATTCTTACGAGCTTTGTGTTCCTACTTACCTTAGTACGGAGGTGTGTGCACCTTCCTATATTTGTCACGGCTGCGGTTGCTCCAGGAGTGTTTGCTGCAATCACGCTCTGTGTCATCTTATCGCTTGTCCATCTCTGACTGCCGATATTCCCACGATGTGGGTTACAGGCGCAAGAGGCGAGCTGTGGTTGCTGTCGTTTGCACCTGCCAGAACGCAATGCCTACCTTCTGGTTCTCAGAAACACAGATTGCCTACAAATGTACTCACCTAGACACTGACAGGCATCTTGTCTGCTGATTGCTCTGCCCATGGACAAGAAAGTGAGACCTCAGCGAAGATCTGAGCATAAAGGTAGGTCTTCCACTCACATGTGTCTTGAACTTGCAAACACTTCCCTCAGACCCTGAACAGCACAAAGTCCTTTTGTACACATCGCAACCGACAAAACCGAAAACATGAATCTGTTCATCCTCATCACCCTCTCTCTCTTCCTCAACCTCACCATCTCATCACCTCTCCTCCCCCGTCAAGCAACCAACGGACCCCACCCCCCAACAATCCTCTGGTCCTGCCTCGGCAACAGCAATCAAGCTCTCAACATCCCCTCCGTATGCGCAAACATGTGCTACGGTGCCTACTGTCGCGGCTACGGCAGCACACTGACCTGAAACATCACTTCTGAACTCCCTCCTGTTTGGATTGAGCTAGCTAGAAAGCACAGTGCAGGGTGCTATGTAGGTGTTGATGGTGCTGTGCTGCCGAATCTAGACGATAGATGTCAGAGGCAGGGAACGGCGTGTAGTATGTACCCGTACATGACTACAAGCAACGGTGATGTGGATGTCAAGAGGGGAGGGCCGGTGAGTAGGTGTGTGAATACTGGAGAGAATTATCGTAAGTGGTCTCTTTGCTCTTTTCCTTTGCATTCACCCCCCCCAGAAGATGCAGAACCTCTGACGATAGGGAGCGATGTAGGTCAAGCTGCTATACTCTACCTCCTCTACACTTCCACGGGCCCCTGGTCAAATGGTCAGGGTCTGAACTATTCTGACCAACCATCCACGTTCCAACAAATCTTTGCCAATGCAGGAGAAGTACCCTACTGTTCTGGATTACCCTCTGACTGCATTACCGATGGCGCAGAGTTTGATCGTGATGGAACGATATTCACTTATGATCCTCCTGTTGCACGTCAAGAACAGAGGAAGTATAGGTTAAGCGGAGGCACAAATTTCACGGTTGTGCAAGAAATGGAAGTTGGAAAGCAGGTTTTGGTGCCGAGAGTTAGGAATGAGAAGGCGTTTGTGGAGCTGAGTGAGAGACAGGGGATCGAGAGGGAGAGGATGATGGAGCGGTTAGGTGAGCTTTTGTACTTTGATGTTGAGAAGGTTGCGGAGGAGATGATCGAGGAGTCTGTATAGCTAGGGAGAGGTCGGCAGGACGAGCGTTTGTGGATCCGAGGACAGCACTTACATGAAACATCAAGACAGGCCCCTCTAAACAGAAACGCTAGAACCAAATAGTCCATTGGCCTTCTGGCTTGCCTCACGCTGGTCCATGTTGGAGATGTACGCGGCGACGTTCTCGCGGGTAGGAAAATCGAGCCATGGAACCATCTGTCTCGTCATGAACATCAAACCGTAAAAGTGTATGTCTGCAGCAGAAAATCTGTCGCCACAGAGCCAGGTTTTGCCCTCGAGCTCGTCATCCCAGAGATTAAGGAACTTGTCGATCGTGCTCTTGTGATTAATCTGCGCGGCCGGCGTGGGAATTCGATTGCCTATGTAATAGTCCATTATCGCTAGGTCGTTGCGGTACCACTCGATGGCAGGCTGGGAGATATCTAGATTCATACGACGTAGCCACATGCGCATTTCTGCGCGCTCCAGTGGTGTTGAGCTAGACAGAGATGTACCGCCAACAGCAACTTCATCGAGGTATTCGCAGATGGCTGTGATCTCGGTGAGGACAAAGGCATTGCTGATCCTAAGGGCCGGCACTTCGCCGCGTGGGTTGACGTGATTGCGGCAGGCAGGCTTGCGGTTCTCCAGTGCCATGACGTCGACTGTTTGGATATCGAGTGTGAGTCCCTTTCGCTCGAGAATGAGAAGACGGATCACATAAGAATTTGGAGCTTAAGCGTCGTAAAGAAGCATTGTGTATTCTGTCTGTAAGGTATTTTCAGGGTCGTAGGACCAGATATCTCGGTGAGATACCCTCCATATATGTCCCGTTCTCTGTGTTGGCTTACTCGGTAGCAATATGAAGAACATAGGCTCATTAAATCCAGCAAGGTAGTAAACTGGGCCGGATATAACACATACTCGCTTCGCCGGACTGAAGCTGGAGAGAAGAGGCTGGTGGTGATTATAGGTATTCCTTATACTACTTGTGAAGAGTTGAACTTCTTGGCTTCGGTTTCGTTAGAGAGAGAAGATGCAGTATCCGTTTGCTGGAAGCATGAAAGGTGGAACGACGTCTGACTAGAGGCAAAGATTGCTACCCGTTCAAGACACTTGTTGCGCACAGCCGTTGGGGATGATCGTTGCCCACGAGTGTTGAGAATTGGTGTTGGGCACAGTGTGTGCGCACCTCTCAGACTCAAATCGAGCTTTATGTTTCCACCGTCCTTTCCAAACATGCTTCAAGTATCATCAAACAGATAACACAAACCAAACATATCCAGACAGCGTGGTGTCATTAGTCAGTGTCAGCAATCTTGGAGTTCCCCAACACAGGCAAGTTCTGGTCGCACTCCCGTGCCTTGTATCAACAGCACGCGACACCTCTGTTGGACCGTCGAACCTGGCTCAACGTGCGTCGCTGCTGGCTGGCATTCCAAAAGGAATTATGCAAGGAACAGCTCAAGCTGTGTGTGCTTATGCGATGGCAAACATTTGCTTCGATAACTTTCGGCAGGCTACACCTTCAAGACACTCCTTCACCAAACTGCACCCCAACTTCGATCTGGGTATACAAGCCAATTCCAGACATGCCCTGTGCGTCTTCGAATCTTTTCAAATTGAGTAACACACCTTCATGAGGCATGCTTCGCTTTGCAAGAAGCGTGTGTCGCCTTCGGTGGTGTTTTCCCTATTGAGCACCAAATCCGGCAAGTCTGGGAGCCACGCCTTCTCAGACACCCACCTTAGCTCAATAGAGATGAGAAACACCTCTCGCAACTCAATAAGCAGCTTCCCAATACAACACTGCTATTCGTGACTTTTGACTCTGCTGTGACAACAGCGAGCAGACCTATTCGTCCTGTCTCAGGTTATTGATGCCTATCGGGCTTATTGAGTAGGAGTTATACTCGGTCAAGTACTCTTTCCAATGGGCTCTTCCTACCAACATTTCCTTTCATCCTCTTCAAAGAACCACGATCATCTGCTTCCATTACCCACAAGTACCTCTCGTTACGCAAAACCTTCTTTCAACACTGCTCGGCATTTGTTCATACGAGTCGGCAGCAATGGCCACTCAAGATGAGAATTACTTGATCATCGAAGACCACATCATACCCCAAGGGGTGATCCTCGCCGTGTTGGCACCATTCGTCTTTATCCTCAACTTTCCGCCACTGATATGGCATCTCCGCAATCGCAACACGGCAGCTGTCAGCATGGTCTTCTGGGTCATGCTGATGAACTTCCTTAGCGTTCTCAATGTAATTATCTGGCCATATATCGACATGCGCGACATGTATGATGGCCAAGGTCTCTGCGATGTCGAAATCAAGCTGTTGGGTGCTCGTACTGCTGGACTCAACGCTGCTGTGCTGTGTCTGTTACGAGCTCTGGCTGCAGTGTTGAATGTCGACAAGAACTTACTGGGTCCTTCCAAAGCACAGAAGAGATGGAACACAGCTGTCGAGATGGTTTGGTGCGTTGGGCTTCCGCTTCTGACCATGATTCTTCAGTATATTGTGCAGCTGAATCGATTTGCTCTTCTCGGAGTCTCGGGCTGTCAGCCTATGAGCTTGATGAGCTGGACAGGTTTCGTCCTGATCTTCTTACCCCCAATGATCGCGAATGCTATCGCTCTATACTATGCGAGTAAGTTCATACACCCATTCTCTGCACCGAATTGCGTCTAATTATACTTTTTTCTCTGACAGTCCTCGTCATCTACCGCCTCAACAAATACCGTTCATCTTTCAACAGCATCCTTGCCAGCAGCAACACAACACGGAGTCGCTTCTTCTGCCTCTTCGCTACCGCCTCTACACTCATCCTCGGTATCACACCTGTCCAAATCTACATTATCGTCACTCAATACCCACGTCAAAGCTACCCATTCAATTTTCGCAAACTTCACGACCCAGCGACATGGAACACATCCGTGGTCTTGCCTTCCACTGTTCTCTACGATCGATGGATCAATCTAGCATGTGGCTTCTTGATCTTCTTTTTCTTCGGCATGGGTAGAGACGCCAAGGGCATGTACAAGGAGTGGTTGGTCAAGATGGGACTGGGAAGATTGTTTCCGGTCTTATCGCTGGACAGTCATGGATCCTCTCAACGAGGAGGACTTTCCACGGATAACAGCAAAAGATTGCTGTGGAGAAAATCTTCTTGGATCGCAACGACGGAAAGGTAAGATATTTTGCATGCTGAACGTCAATCTTCGACAATAGAATGACTGACATCGAATTGTAGCTCGCGAGTTACATGTTCGAGAGCTTCGACTTCGCCTGGCATCATCAAGCATTCCGACAATTTGAACACTCCTGCATCACCCGCCCGCCCTCTGACCGCGTTCTTCCGTCGCTTCGATCCGAGACGCAGGCTCGAGCAGCCAGGTACCAAATACGAGTTACCAGTCTTCTCACATCGACGACAGACTAGCGATGGAGACGATCGAGGTGTATTGGTCAGCAAAGAGATCAAGAGAGAGAGCTTCGTTGCTTAATATGAAGTTCGGAGGATAAATGCATGGGTGATTGGCGTTTCGTATCAAAAGTGGGAAGGTACATCTAGTACAGTAATGGCATGATAGTCTCTCTGCGCATGAGATGAAGCTCTGGTCTCCAATTCGAAGACACGATGGTCGTTTGCATCGAACGAACGAAAAAGTTCGAGAAGGCAATTGAACGAATTGTGCTGTCCTGTTTTGTTTTTGAAAAGCGATCTAAACTTGCTCTCTTCCTTCCTTCGACTCTGTCAGAACTTCCTTGCACTGCGAAAAGACTTGAGTTCTCCTCTTCCTGTCCGTCATCTCTTTACAACTGCTCCACCAGTATCCGCATCCCAATCAACACAGAATCATCGCAAGCAGAGACGCGTGCGCAAAAGAACTCTCTAGGTAAGTTGCATTCAGCACAACTTCTCACTCGCGAATGGTCGATCAACCGTCCCTTTCCTTGTCCACGTCCTTCAAAGACCACTTGTACGCTTCCCCGATCGTACCTGCACATTTTGTACGAGCTCGTTCACTTTCGACGACTTGCACATTCAGTACGAGAATCCAAACACTCTTGCACATCCCATACGGAATCTCTCTCACCCCTACAAATCCCATACGAATTCTTGATCACTCTTGCACATTGCACACGACTGACGCCTCTCTAAGCACACTCAGCGCCCCGTCAGCCCAATATCTACATCCCCAATACCAAACAACGCAACGAACCGCCACAATGGTCAAGTGGGAGCCCACCTTGAACGCCCATATCCTAGCTGCTGCCCTCAGTGTTGCCGAAGTCACTGCCACCAACGAGATGGCTGAGGCTGCTCTCACTGCTTGGAGTGAGTAATCACATTTGCGTTTGATTTTGTTACATCTCATTTCATCCACACTCATTCTATATCATCTCAATCCATTCCATTCCATTCACTTTCATCCTATCTCTTTGGCACACGTACCTCCCTCATCTTCCGTTGTGGATTTTTATCGTCATCCCATTCCTGCACCTCACAAGAAGAAACCACTAATCTCACCCGCCCAACAATAGCCCCCAACCTGGGCGAAAAGCCCACTGTGCGTGCCATCACGGACCAGATCAGAAAGCTGGTCGCCGCCGCTCGTGTCTCCTCTTCTCGCAAAAAGACAGTCACCCGTGCTGCTACTGCCCAGAAGGGCAAGGGCAAGAAGAGAGCCCTCGACGAAGGCGCTGCTCGAGGAGATGACGTTGCTGAGCCCGGTGGTGTCGACGACGATGCTGGACCCGGTGGTGTCGGCAAGGGTGAGGAGCCCGAGCCCGAGCCCGCTCCCAAGAAGCAGAAGCGTGTGAAGGCCGTCAGCGGTAAGAAGATGGGCGACAAGAAGATTTGATCTTGGTCGCAATGCACGAGGATGTTGTCGCTTGTGGCTGCCGGGATGAGAGCGGTATAATGTCAAGAAGGAATGCGCACAGCAGAGAATGACGAAAGCAGAAAATGAAATACCAATGCCATGAACTCCAGAAAACCATATTCCATGACCCATAAGTTTGCTTGCCCAATTCGTGATAATGCATGTCCTCCACATTTCGCTATGCTTGTTCCTTTCTCAATCAATAGAAAGACTGTTGATATTTGCCCAATCGTCGCCCAGACAATCCGCATTCTCCAAAATCCTGCCTCCCTCTTCCTTTGTGCGTCCATCCAGCACGGTATTGAGAGCGCACTTTGCAACATGTGCATCAGAAATACTCTGACTGACTCCCATAGTCGTCAGATTATACACCGTTGAGCCTCCAGGCAACACCTTTCCCAATCTCAGAGCATAGCACTCCAGACTTCCAGGATTGCGTGAATCAGCCAACTCAAAGAGCCCTTTTTCAGCAGCTCCTTTCATCTTTCTGCTATCGGCACTCCACCAGAGGGAAGCGAAAGGGTTTTGCTCGGCGCCAGCGCAGGACATGTAGATGAAACGGAAGGCGATGCCGCGTTTGTTTTTCGTCTGGAAGATCTCGGCGGGGGAGGGGCAGAGGGTGGTTGCAAAGGTTTCGGCGGCCGTGTGGGCGAGGGAGATGTTGATGCGTTGGGCTTCTTCTAGAGAGGCGAATTTGTTGGCCCAGCCGCCGATGCACCTGGTGGGTAGGCAATTAGCTCTTTGCTCGTCATGCCTTCTTATCTTGTCCAATGGTGGTGGTATAGGGCTATGAATTGGAGGACAAGGAAGCTTACCAGATGCAGCCTCTGACGCCTTCATGTTCGAACAGCCTCAGCAAGTGATCGGGCCATTGCTCAAAGTCGTCGTGGATGATCTGGGTGACCTTGTTGTGGTCGGCAATCTTGGGGTCGAGAGGTTTGCGGGTGACGGCGTAGATGTGTGTGATGAACTGATGCTTGATGGCCGAGCGCACCACCTCGGAGCCGACCACGCCTGTGCAGCCTGTGACGATAATCTTCATATTCACTGTCTTGTTGTATGTACAAATGTGATTGACTGTCGAATGTCCAGATGGTGGAAACGTCCAGGAGACGCGTCGTCGTCACCGATGCGGGGTCTGGAGCGTCGACTCGGAGGAAGCTGCCATTCGTTTCCTTCAATGCCCACACTCTGTTGACAACGACTATCAGAACATCGAGCATTCAGTCACTCCACATCTCTCGTCATCAAGTACTCTGGGTAGTCATCTAAGGTTCAAGATGATTGATCCGGTATGAATGAGAATATATGCTCGGCTTCGTTATTCTCAATCGAGACCCTGGTTCAGGCATCCAGCGCGACTCAGGCGCCAGCATCATGTCCCTGCCGCCAAAACTCGTTCTGGCTTCAGAACTTCTCCTTACCTGTGGACTCTGAGCTGTAGCCAAGACGCTTTATTCTTCCTCGTAGGGCCATTACCAACGATCGTCGTGGATCGCTGACGGTCGCCAGACTTGTCTTCTCTTCCTGCGTCAAAGTTTCCTCCACACTCAGGCTCACGCAAACTTTGCAATGGCACTGGCAAAACCTGTTCGGACGTCCCGGCATGAACTGGACTATGGTATCCTCAGTCCGTCTTTCATTGACGCTCTGCAACATTGGAAGCTTCAGAACATATCTTTCCTGGACCTGCCAGGAGAACTTCGAAATCACATATACAATCTTCTCATTTCCGACACGAGTGAACATTACACAGAAGTGGTGGATCTGGACCCTAGGAGTTCTGCGGTACTGCCGGTCGACTATCTCGTGGAACAAGCCATATAAGAAGTTATGCCCAATTGGTCCTGGCCAAGACCTCACTGCAGGACGGGGCTGAAATGTATGATTGATGCTCTTGCGTCTGTGGAAATATGCGCAAAGAGTTTGGAAGCGGTTTGTAAGTATAACGAATCGATGGCCAATGCAATGCCAACCAAAGTATGAGAGAGGCTCCAAAGAAAGCCGTGCATTCTGCGATGGAGAATGCTGATGGACTAGTATCTTGGACTTACCATTTCTGGAAATAAAGTAGCTACAGAAGTGCTTGGATATTTGAAGTAACGTCTGATGGAGTAGACGATAGATCCGAAATCAGACGTCACTAACAAATGCCATTACAATGTCAAGAGCATCGAAAGCACAGAGTCGGCCGATGTACCACATTACAGAAGGTGGCGTGAGTCGCAAGACCGTGTCTGGCGGCGCTCAACCGTCTGTTCGGTCTGACTGGCAGGAGCATAAGCACCCTGGAGGATGCACATTCCTTTCGCAAGCTGCTGAGCCAGAAACTCATATGAGCCTTGTAATACGTCGATACGTGTTCTGTGTCCACGTCGCTTGATGAGATTGTAGTATACTCAGACACCCGGAAAACAGTCTTCTTGCTCTGCGCGTGTTCATCAGATCTTGCGTGTCTACATACGACAGTGTGACCTCAGGAAAGATGGGTTCCGATTGGAATCTGTGGACGCAAGGCAGACATCTATGGCTCTCGAAGAAAGCAAGGGGGTATCTTTTGCGTCCAAAGCAAAGCAAGGGGCTTCTCACACGACAGATATATATATTCCATTCAAACCACCCTTCGAGATCACGATAGACTTTAAAAGTGTAGGTCATAGTGAACATAGTGATCCGAAATGTGTATCTGTGTGCCTTGCGGTATACCTCACGGGTGCCTCTAGAGATGATCCTTTCTGCTGTCTACAGAAGCAGTATGCTATATGCATTTCGATACAAAGCTCACTTGTGCCTGTCGCTACTAGAGCAAGAGTAAGTCAAGCATCAAATAAGGGTACCGTATGATTACTGTTCCAAACCTTTCCATGTCGTCGTGATACGACGGGAACAACTCACGAGGAGATACTCACTCACTCGATTTCGACGTAGATAATCCATCGTCGACGGCACCATCGAATATCCCAGGTCTTTCGTCAACGACGACTTAATGTGACGGAGCTACTCACGAAGGTAGCCCACATCGTCAACGTCGTCAGAAGGTCCGGAATATTCGAGGAGTGCCCGTCGACGTCTTCGGACCCCTATATAGTTTGCTTTATTTACCCTCTCTCTTCTTTCCTCCTACCACAACACACGCGACTACTCTCTCGCGACCCATTCCTAACATGCCTGCTACCACTATCAGCAACAAGATGTCACTACACAAACCACTCACGATCAGCTTTCTCGATCTACCAGTGGAGGTTAGATACATCATCTATCACCTGTTGTGCGGCAACCGCAAGAAGTTTCCCACCCATCTCGGCCTTCTCAGTCCTACATGGAAAAGCCCTCAGGTACCTGCCGCCCTGATGAACACCTGCAGCTCAATCGCAGCTGAACTCATGCCACTCTACTTCGGTTCTTGCCTCTTCGTGCTCGATACCACTGGCAACCATCCCCTGCGTCAAGCAGCATTCCAATGGCTGGAGAAAGTTGGCGAACGCAGCAGTGCCCACTTCCGTCGCCTGCGCGTCAAGCACAGCATCGTGCCCGGCTACGACTATGAGATCGAGATCACCGTCGCCGACAACAACGAGATCACTATCAAGGAACTGAACGGAGGAATTGAGGCCCAGGGCGTGTACCTTGCCCATCGACGCCACCTTGACCACTGCGTCCAGCTTGGTGTCACGATGGTAGAGGATCTCAAGACAACACTCACGGAGCGCGTCAACTCCAGGAGTTATGGTGGTTTGGGCGCGGCAGAGTTCGAACTTATCTTGGAACGTATCGACTTCCATCTGTCATGGCTCAAGAAAGCCCACGAGAGAAAGCACCACAGCAACAGACGCCAGAGCTACTTCTCGTAAGGAGTTCACAGCGTACAAAGGTCAGTCACCCCTTCTCCTTGCTTTCGTGCGAAGACGTTCCAACTAATTTCTGCTCCTGCAGACTCATCATCCTCTACCTTGCTGCTGTCCATCAATCACTCGGTCGTTCAAGTCTCCCTCTACAAGCGGTGGTTCCGCAGCCAACCAAAAGTTCATCATACAGTCTTTCGTTTTGTCAAGCACTTGATCGTTTGGTGTTTTTTCAACAGCGGTGGCTCCGCAGACAGCCATAAACACAACCATCAGCACTGCAAAAAAACAACATCAACCAGAAAAATCGTCAGCCAACGGGCTTGGATTCTTCTCATCAAAAAACAGCTACGACGCATACATTCCATACTTTTCTTTTCTGATTCATGGGTCGGCATCGGGGTTCACAGAGGTGGAAAGGGTGGTTTATTTCGAGGTGAATGTTCACAGCAGATCGCTCAAGCATCGTTGAAAGATCGTGCGACAACGGTATTCATGTTTCTTGCAAGGAGATGGGAACGTCATTGACACACACATTCGTTTTTTGCTTGTCTTTTTGATTCAGGGGTCAGGATTGTGGTTTTCAAGGAGTCGGCGAAACAATCATCACGAGACTGAGATCCACAAAAGTCAGGCACTGCCAGTATACAGAAAGCGAATCAAGATCATTCAGACAACATCGTCTCCCGAGAAAAGCCTTGGGTCATTGTGATTAACTCGGGACAAAATATGGTCTTGCGAGAGCTTCGTCTCTACAGCGCATCATTTACTCACCCCACTCCAAGCAGAACATACGAACATAACGCTGGATTCTCAAGACTGTTTGGTTTCTCAAGATGGCGTGTACACGAAGGAGCGGTTGCCGTGGTGTTAGTCGAGTGCAGTACTGGAAACTCCGCTCGGCAGTATAGTAGTTGTTTATGCGTTGCTTCGTCTCGTCTTCTCCTCTCATCCCAAACACCACTCTCGTGTACCATAACCGCGTCTTGAACTTTCCATCTTCTTCAAGCTCACATCTCCATCATTGATCTCCTGTCAACCACCATGAAGGACTTCCTCATCGAGCCCAGGCTCGAGGAACTCAATCGAAAGCTGGCTGCCAGTACCACTGGCGACAACAAACGCGCAAAGCCGACGATCAACTTTGTGTGCGAGAAGATACTCGTGACCGACAGCATCTCCGTCAAAGTCCGCTATCCTGCTACCTTCTTAGAGAACAAGGAGGCCAAGGACGAGTGCGCTCCTGATCGCCGCACTCGCACTCAGCGCTTCCTCCGCGTGGTGTCCAAGCCAAAGAGTGGCAGGTCCGGCACTTGCGAGTTCTACCCAGACGTTATCGATATTGAGCACCCTACCAATGTCGTCTCAAGCCCTGAGTCGACTCCTCCTACCACTTCTCCTGACGGCACACTCAATAACGACAGAAGTGACTTCTGCAAGTCGGTTCCAGATTCTGGTGGATGATGCAAGAGTCTTCTACGACATACCTCTTGGATTGTCTTCTTCAGGGTTTTGAGCACATCAGCACACCTGCTCTCATCGCCACCACACCAACACTTATGGACTTTAACCTTGTGAAACAAAACGGAACCACATTTCTCTGATCCACGCTTCTCTGGACACGACTTGCACTTCTCTTCTCGTCTTGAACCCGCGGAACAACTATATCGGGTCACAGTCACCGGACAGATACCACATCATCTCCACGTGGCTTCCAACTTTTTTCCACCGCCAACACAACCGTACGACATCTCAAATCGAAACGGCCCTGTGCAACACCAACAAGCGTTGTGTCTCTAATGCTTCGCAATGTTATACGCTGCCACCACGACACCCACGCACTCTACCTTAAACCCTATCTCAAACAACTCGAAGCAGTGGTCCTGCGCGGTGTTGGAGATTCCCTGCAATTCGACATCTATAACGAAGAATCCCTCGGCTACTTCCTTAGAAGCGGAATCACCCGCTTTGGCTCATACACAGATGACTACGAGACTGGCTACTTCGAAGACGGCGCTGGACACTTCGCTTCAGGAAAGATCAAGGTCCGGGTTATGGCAGACGGAGAGAGTTCGTGTCAACAGAGAGGCTTCCTGCGACAATGTCTCAATGGACAACATCTTTCGCCAGCGGTGATTCAACTTCAAGAGAGAAATCAAGGAAGCAGTCGAGGCAAACGCTATGGAACTCGTCAGTTGGGAGTTGATGGAGCGCATCAACAACGAGTTGGAGAGTGAGGTCGAGGACTTCCGCGCCCGTTCAGGAGGAGACGAGTCGGAGGAGGAAGAAGAAGAAGAAGAAGAAGAAGAAGAAGATGATGATGATGATGATGATGAGATGGACGAGGAAATGGTTGAGTCGGGCACCACCGATGACGAGAACGAGACTGAAGACGACTCATCATCCAACGTCGCTGCTGAGAGTTCTGAAAATGAAGAAGAAGCCTCGTGCGTCACCTCCGAGGTTGAGGAGGATGAGGAGAAGTAGAGAGATAGCAAAGGGATGAAGTTGGGCCCGGCTATAGTTCGGGTATAATGCTGTTGCTCAAGTCAATATAATTATTCGAGATTGTTTTGCTTCACTTTTGCCTGTGTTTCATGGGCTCTCACTGGACTTTGTATCAATCGGCTAAACACTGTGCATCTTTATAGTATACCAATTGCTGGTACTGCCGTGATGAGAGCACATGAAATCCCACACTCGCGAACAGACAAAATCGATACTTTTTCCTTCACACTTGCCTGTGTTTTATGGGCTCTCAATGGACATCTTGTGATCCAACTAAACACTGTGCATTTCTATAGTCACTTACGTGATATACCTTTGCACGTGGAAGAGGAAATAATCATCCTTCTTCAGAGCTCTCAGCGAACAAAGGTGTGTTTCCAGAGGAAGATCTTGCATTTCTATAGTAACTATGCATCACAGGTTGTCCGATGAGACGGACGTAGATCCAGGCCCTCACTGGACTGCATCACACTCGTAAACACGACTTTGCATTTCCATAGTGGAGACACGCCATGGAAGTCACGATGGGCAGACGGAACATATTTGAGTATATTCAATATTTTTGAGATTTGGTTTCTTGCATCTAACTATGCAGGAATAACCAGGGGAAAGATGAAAGCCTTGTGTAGAAGGACTATTTGAAAAGGATAGACAAAGAAGTGGTTTGTAGTAATCGCTTGAAAATGGTGACACAAAAAAAAACAAGACAAGATGCTTTCGTCAATACACTCCAATCAAATCAAACCGATGATTTAGAGGAGAGCGGCAGCAGCAGCACCGAGGGCAAGAGCGACGGAACCACCGACCTTGACACCAGCGCCCTTGTAGGCGGAGGGGCTGGCGGTGGCACCAGCAGCACCAGGGGTCTGGTTAGCGGCCCACGAGGAGGCAAGAGTGGTGCCGGAAGGACCGACAACGACACCGTTGGAACCAGAAGCAGCAGCGGCGCCTGAGGGAAGAGCAGCGCCCGAGGGAACAACAGCACCGGAAGGAACGATAGCTCCAGCGATGGAAGAAGTAGGGGCCCAGGTGACCTGAGTCGACTCCTTGGTGACGGGAACGACCTTACCGGCAGAGGTGATCGAACGGGTGACAGCGTTGACAATGGTGGTAGGAACAACAGTCTGGCTGGTAGAGACGGTCGAGGAAACGGCGTGGGTGGTGACGAAAACAGTGGGAGTGGTCAAAGTGGTCTCCTTTCCAGAGATGGTGACCGGGCTTCCTGCAGGACATGTTGTGGTGTACGAAGTGGTGACCTCGGTGACGTAAACAACAGGCTCGACGGAGGCGGTGCCGTTGGAGCCAACCTTGATGCCAGCGACAGCAGCGTCGGTGGTAGAGGCGGATCCGGAAGAGGCAGTCTTGGAACCAGCAGCAGAAGACGAAGCGGCAGAGGAAGAAGATGAGGAAGAACCAGAGAGAGACTTGGCGCCACAGGTAGAGGCGTTGGGGCACTTGAGGTCGTAAAGAGCCTTGGTGTTGGCACCGTCAATACCGCTGGCAACCGAGAACGAGGGCGAAGCGCCGTCATCGTTCAGGATGTACCACCAGAAGTTGATGCAGCGGGCCTCAAGCTCGCAAGCAATGTCCTGCCAGAACTTGGCGGCATTCTCAACGCTGGGAACGGCCTCGTCCTCAGTGGCACCCTTAACGGGCCATCCGGTCTCGGTGACCCAGAGAGGCTTGCCGCCAGCAACAGCCTCAACCTTGTCGTAAGCCTTCCAGAAGAGGTCCGAGGCGTTGTCGATCGAGTTGCCCTCACCGTCCTGGTAGAAGGGGTACTCATCGAGACCAAGGAAGTCAACAGCGCCGAGAATGGCAGAGTTGGAGGTGTTGGTGTATGCGTTCCAGGTGTCGACGTGGCCGATGGGGACGTTGGCAAGGGGGGTGCCCTTGACGGCCTCGCGGACCTGGCCGATGTAGTCGACGAGGACGTCGGCAGTCTGGCCGTAACCACTCTTTTGCTTGATACCGGTCTCGGAGATGCGGTAAAGATCCTCAGAACCGACAGAGATACCGACAGTCAGGTCGGCAAGACCCTGGGAACCGAACTGGCTGATAGCAGTCTTGAGAGCAGTAAGCTCATTGTTGAAAGCGTCCTGGTTCTCGGAAGCCCACAGACCAAGAAGAAGAGTGGTGTTGGTCTTGATGGCGGCGGGGATGGCGGAGATGACAGTGTTGGCAGTGCCGTCCTGGATCATGGTGTAAAGACGGGCCGAGGCGTAGTCGGTGATGGCCTGAGCAGACTCGAACTGGTTGGTGAAAGTCTCGAGAGTGTTACCCTGAGAGCCGTAGTTGAAACCACGGGTGGCAGCCATGGCCGAGGCAGCGCTGCCGGCAAGAGCGTAGAAAGAAGCACGCATTTTGATATCCGATTGATCCTGATGAAGAGAGAAAAATAAAGAATGTGTGTGTCGAAAATAGACCCAAAGGAAAGAGTGACGATGGGTTGGAGATTCGAAGGTGGATAGAAAAAAGATGAGACGGCTTAGAACATCTGGCGACGTCCAAAGTTTTGTACCTGCGTGTCTTCGCCCTGATCTGCGCCATCACCCGGCGCCGGTGTGTCAGTTGGAGTCTGCGACAACCAGTGGAAGGATCCGCTCCGTGGACTTGCGCACAAGCAGGCAAGCGTATGCCAAACATAGTAAGATGAAAGCCAGGATCCACTTGCACCCGCGAATCAACCGGACGAGACAAGGCTTCTCGCCTTCTCCTGAGATCGGATTCAATCATGTGCAACCTGAATATTACTTGGTAGTCCTTCATATCGAGACATGGTCCTGTACCCTGTCGGTTGACCCAAGTAATCATATCTGCATGTCGCTTCGTTTCTAGTTATGCGTTATACTGGTCCGCGTGTCGTCCAAGACAAGAGCCGGCACAAAGCAGGTTGTGGCGCTGGAGAGGCGTTGACGCCGCGTACCTCGAGCTAACTTTTCGCCGTATGCGATCGTCAGCTCACTGTCAACGGCAGCTCAGCGGATTGGCTCTGCGGAAATTGTTGTGAGGCCTGTTGCGAAAACACTCGACTCAAGAGTCCGGGGAGCAACCACAGATTGGCCAAATCTCGCGCCCGCCGCTGCGCCTCTGAACTGCCTGCACCGTCCTCCGTGCGGCCTGCCAAACGGGTGTCCGGGTCATGTCGAAATTGGATGACTTCATATAGGCCTTCGCTTGCTTGTTTGTTGTGCTCCAGACTTTCCTTGAACAGTAACCGATTGATTGTGATTGTCTGTGGTGACTAGATTGAGATGTCAGTTCTGGCTGCAGATCAAGAAGATGAGCTGGACGCGCAAGTCGCTCGTCCCTCGTCTGTCGTACCTTTCCAACCAGCTGCTCCTACTGCTCAACAACCATCTCAGCTTGACTTCGCAAGCCGCAACCTTTGGTCTTGAGCTGTTGGCATCTGGCATGATCCAAGTCGCCGTTCGAATGCGTGTATCCTTCGAATCAGTATTGACATGGATAACGATAAGATTGGTATAGGGCTAACTAGTATCCGAGGAGCAGCTTCTCCAAGAACCATGAATTGCTTCAGGAGACGTCGACATCTAGAATCACTACTTCTTAGGGATAGGTTCACATTCCACAGCATCATGACGTCCAGTCTTCTATTGCGACCACTGTGCCATCGTACAGAGCGGCTGGCAAGAGACAAGAGTCTCAGCGCCGTCAGCCCATGCGACAATCATGTCGATCGCTTCAGCTGAGATACGTATACATGTCAAGTGAGTCTCAATTTCTCTATATTGTTCTTCGTCACCAATCTGCCAGATGAGTCCAGGAGTAAAAATAGATGTTAGACTAGTGATTCCTCATGAACACATCTCCTTTTTCCGATCAATCACTGGCACATAAGCCTCCCTATGACGGACTGTCCAGATCATTGTAACTGACCTGAACTTGCAGCAGAGAGCTTATTCACAACAACAACTAGCATGCTATTCGATGGCCTACCACGCACTCACGCCGATTATCCCTCGATGCTCGGGTAAGCCTTCACTGTCCGTCTTCAATTAGGACATATGCTTAGTCGACCCCGGCATCATCTGCTGTCGAGTCACTGTTCAGCGTCTGGTGATTACGATGGCGCATTCGAATAAGCCGTTGCAAAAGACACTGGAGCCTTCCAACGAGCGTCGTCTTGCCGACGCGAACGGCTTTGAAACGGTGGTTAAGCCCGGCGTACATCTTTGCATAGCCACCAAGAGCGCCAAAATGTAGAAGCACACTTGCGGTAATCAAGCATACATGACACCTCAAGGTAGGTATCACGATAGTAAGTTTTGTGCGTCAGAACTGCTTTGTATCTTCTGAACCAGACCGACGGCTGCAGCAAAAACACACCATGGGCGCTCAGAATGTAAGTCGAACGATGAACGTGGTTGTACTGTTCAAAGAGTCGGAAGCGAACAGCGTATTCGTTTGGCGTCTTCGGATGAGTCAACTTATGCGCCAACATCGTCGCACTCCTACAGCTGATTCAGCACACCGCTGAAGTACCTTACCAGTTCGATGGACATTGAGGTGACATTCGCTTAACATTACTGACAGAGTTTGCCTGCAAACGAGGTTTTCGCTTAATGTTACTCGCAAGAGTAAGCCGAGGCGAGTCTCGGCCTCGGCCCCGTCCCTGGATCGGAAGCTCTCCCCACGTTTCGCATCTTCACAGATACTTTTATATCTCGACAGTTCCGTTTCGAGAGAGAGAGAAGATTGTATCTACATTATCATCATACACATACACAATGTCTCAATATCAATCAGTACATCTTGCTGCTCGCCCGAAGAGCGAAATCGTTGCTGGAGAGACCTTCGAGGTCAGATCGAATGCTGCTCCCAAGGAGTCCGATCTCAAGGATGGTCAAGTCATCTTCCGTTCTCTGTACCTCAGTCTTGATCCTGCCATGAGAGGATGGCTCAATGGTAAGATTGATTTTGTCATCAATACCCGGCTGTTTTGTGACTGACTCAATCTCAAAGACACACGCTCATATGTCCCTCCCGTACAAATTGGCGAGATCATGCGCGGAGTCGCTATTGGTACCGTCGAGGCATCCAAATCCGAAAAGTTCCCGGTCGGCACACTCGCTACTGGATTTGTTGGCTGGACAGAACTCGCCGTGGTAGATGAGAAGGCTCTTGAACGTGTTGACCTACCTTCCAACGGCCGCACCACTGACGCCCTCGGTGTTCTCGGTATGACTGGCTTGACCGCATACTTCGGTATCATCGAAGTTGGTCAAGTCAAGGAAGGCGACTTTGTCGTCGTCTCTGGTGCTGCCGGCGCAACCGGTAGTGTTGTTGCACAGATTGCCAAGCTCAAGGGCGCCAAAGTCCTTGGATTGGCCGGTTCCGACGACAAGGTCTCATGGTTGAAGAACGACCTCGGTTTGGACGATGCACTCAACTACAAGGACGCCGACTTCACCACCAAATTCCGCAACGCAACCAAAGGCTTGATTGACGTCTTCTTCGACAACGTCGGCGGCGAGATTCTCGATCTTGCTCTCTCTCGCGCAAAGCCATTCTCTCGCTTCGTGTGCTGTGGCGCTATCAGCGATTACAACAATGCCGCACCTAGAGGACTCAAGAACTACATGATGATTATCTCCATGCGTATTCGCATGCAAGGTTTCATCGTGTTTGACTTTGCAGACAAGTACGCAACTGCCAGACAAGAATTGGCACAGTGGCTCAACGAGGGCAAGCTGCAGAGAAAGGAGACTGTTATCGAGGGTGGATTGGGCAAGGCAGAGCAAGGATTGAGAGACCTGTACAAGGGCGTTAACACTGGTAAATTGCTTGTTGAGGTTAGCACGCAGAAGGATGGCAAGGCTAGACTGTAGAGCCTGGATGTCTTTTAGCATAACATCACGAATGATCTAATGAGCTTGCGATACTACTATTCTGTTCAAAATCTTGTAATCGATAGATCGATAAAGATAGCGTCGCTCTTTCTTCGGCGGCGCGTCAAATAGGTATCCCAGTTCCATAAGTCGATCGCCTAAAATCTATTGCACGCCTGCAACGTTCCTTCTTGATTGTCATTTGTTCCACGATACGAGTCTTTTAGGCCTTGTTACACCCACAAATCCACATATCACCTTCCCACTAAATCTCCTCACCTGCATCGCATCACCTCAAAATGCCAGACTCCGCCAATCTCAAGCGACAGCTGATGATTTTCTACGCTGTCAGCTTTGGACTGTGGTTCATATACGTCTCCACGTCGCTCGCATTTGCAACCAACGACATCTCCAAGATGAACAAACGCATCAAGATTTTGGAGGATCTACTCGCTCAGAAGGTTATGAATTGATCGTCTCTATGCAAGGAGGTCTCGGAGGCAGCATGGCTGGTTCTGAACTGCTGAATCACGCAGTAAGATATGGTTGGTAGGATGGTTATGTTGTGGACGAAAGATGGACATGATTTTTCCGAGGCGGGGCAAATTGGGAGTCGCGAATCTTCTTGCCGTTCTTTGCTGCGCATCCAGAACGACCTTCCACTTCCATCTTGAGCACATACGGATGCCACGCGTATTATACAGTCCTGAATTACGACATCTCCCGGATCTGTACCACAAGGACAAGGGGAGGTCCGCTTGAACGACGCATTCTATGTACGCGCGATGAAGCGAATTCGCGACGCGACCGTCTTTGTATACACGTAGTCAAAAGAGCCGCTGCATATGCCAAATGGAGACCATTCAACAAACAGCAAAGCCACTTTTCGCAAGGTGTTGTCCTTTTGAATATGACCTTGTCTCTCATTTGAGGAAGCGACGTCCCTGGCTGGTGCGTTTGCGCTGCGACTTCTACCCCACCCTTCGCTCCCTACTGTTCCAGAGAACCGACAACATCTGCATGATGCCAACACTATAACGTACAGATCTGCGAGCTTGGCTGTAGATGTAAGAAGGTGTAAAGGCTCGAGGACGATTTTCCACGAATAGCTACTGCTTTTACGAGCCGTCCCTGATCGTCACCTCGGTGTGTATTCATCCGTCGCGGGTTGCGGGGCAATATATCTCGTATAGTCAAATCCACCAGCTAAGTTTCTACAAAAGGTGATCCTGACTTTTGCTGAACGTTGGTCTTAGGCCGTGTATCACTTGTTCAATATGAAGTTACCAACTGTCGCACTGGGCTTACTCTTGACCGGGATCTCTCTGGCCAAACAACATGGCTTCCTGAAGGACAACGGAGATGGAACTTGGATCATCGGAAATGATGTATGGAATATGACTCAAGAAAAGATCTATGGCTCCAAGCTATACTACAAAGATCAAGAACTCGTTGGTGAAGCTACTGGCCACTACGTCAGCTACAGTAAGCCTCTATTCATACTACAATGCCTATGCATTTCTAACATAACAAAACAGATGGAGCAGCCAGCAATCTCGCCTGGACAGATGCAAACATCGTCAAAACTGGAAGCAACTACATCGACATTCAATTCGATGCCGCAGAAGGAGAAATGCATTGGGTCATTTTCAACGGTCTTGCTGGCGCCTATCAGTATTTCGTCAACCGTGCTTTACCTGTTCTAGGGGAATTCAGAACACTATGGCGACTCGACAACGAGACTTTTACAAGTGCTTACAACGCAGATAAGGATGGAGTGTTGCCGCCATTGTCTGAGTATGCGGTTTCGACGAAGATTCAGGATGAAACTTGGAAGACACCTGACGAAGGATATTTGACTAAGTACGACTGGTCTGGATTTGTTAGAGAACAAGAATACTGGGGTGTATATGGTGAAAATTTTGGGAGTTGGTATTTGGTAAGTGTCTTCCTTCCCGTTACGTCTTGGGTGAATCTGACAGAAACAGCATCCTGGCAAGGACTACTTCAATGGCGATCACCTGAAGCAGGAACTCATGGTAACTAATGCTATCTTCGATCACATGTGTCAACACTGACATCTTTTAAGAACCACCGCGAATCAGCAACGGGTGATGTCGTCCAACTCAACATGATCCACGGAACCCACTTCCAAGCCCTCTCCAACGATACCCTTCCAAATGGAAAGATATGGGGCCCTTGGCTTTGGTACCTCAACAACGGTATAAAATCCGACGTTTCCCTCCGCTACAACAACGAAGTTAACAGCTGGCCCTACAAATGGCTATCCGATGCCTCCTACCGATCCCGTATTGCCTCCGTAACCGGCAAACTAGTCCTCTCAGACGGCAGACCTGCAGCAGGTGCCGCCGTATTTCTCGGTGACAATCATCCGAACAAGACTACGTTGGATATGGGAAGCACATACTACTATACCACCTACGCAGACAATGATGGCTCCTTCCGTTTTACGGATGTCAGAACAGGTGTCTACGCCCTCCAAGCCTGGTCAAACGGCAGTCCCATTGGTGATATCACAACCACATACCTCAAGAACGACATCAACGTTTCTGGCCCTGCGACCAGTAAACTCCGCTTGGATAAACTAACCTGGTCTGTCCCTGCTTCAGACACCGTTTTCCAGATCGGCGACTTTGACAGAAAATCAACTGGATTCGCCTACTCGGGAGGTTTTGGTGCAGGCAGAGTAGACAATTGTCCTGCAAACCTCACTTACGCAGTCGGCAGCAGTGAAACCAGCGACTGGTGTTTTGCTCAAAACAAGATTGGCACATTTCGCATCGCTTTCCCTCTGCCTGCCTCCAATATCACTTCCAACAACACCTCAGATGCTTTACTCACCGTCAGTCTAGCAGGCTACAGTCAAGGTACCACCGTCAACATCTTCTGCAATGATGTGAGGATTGGCAACTTGAGTAGTAGTGGTATACTGTCAGATCCTAGCTTGTATCGATCAGGCACGGTGGCTGGAGAGTGGCATCAGTTCGAGTTTCCCATCAATGGGAGTAGGTTGAAGACGAGTAACACGATTGATTTCAGGGTTGCAAGTTTGTCGTCGAGTTTGTGGAGGGGACCGATATATGATGCTATCAAGTTGGAGTGGATTTAGAAGTGATGGTGGCATGTAGGAGAGTCGACTTGGACATGTCAGAACAATGAAGTAGCTCAATTAAATGCATGTAAGCAATTGATGAGAGTTTCGTTCAAAAGTCCTGACTTCGTCTCTGTGCACATCACTCCAGCACGCCAAACCAGCTATTCGATTTATTCTCTACGAAGACATCTTCAATGTCTAAGGATGAGGTGTGCATCGCGCCAAACTTGTCTATATCTAGCAAACAACATGAGAGACTACCGGCTCAGGCCTCAACTTCCACCTCCTGACTCTGCCCATGAAACGGATAATCCAGATATCCCTGCTTCTGCATGGGAGCATAAAAAGTGCTCCTGTCATACTTATTCAAGTCCAACCCCTTCTCAATTCTCTTCGGTAAGTCCGGGTTCGCGATAAAATGTCTTCCAAACACCACTGCTGTATCATAGTCCTTATACTCTTCATCAACAGCATTTCTTGCTGACTCTGGAGAAAAGCCCCCAGCAACAAGGACAGGAGAAGTGTTATCCCAGATATGCAAAAAAGGCTCAATACCCTCCACTTTCTCACAATCCACACTATTGATAACGCGCGACTCGATGATATGCAGATACGCCAATTTCTGCTTCTGAAGCTCTTGCACCAGATGCGAGAATTGAGGAATCGGATCTTTCATCTTCATGCCTTGAAAAGTGCTGAAGGGACTAATGCGGAAACCGACATGTTCAGCACCGATAGCGTCAACACAAGCTTGACTGACTTCAATGCCAAAGCGAGACCGGTTTTCGACACTGCCGCCGTAGGAGTCGGTGCGAAGATTGCAAGTGTCTTGGGTGAATTGGTCGATGAGGTAGCCGTTTGCGCCGTGCAGTTCTATGCCGTCGAAGCCTGCTTTGATGGCATTTTTGCTGGCTTGGGCGAATGTCTCTGCTGTTCTTTTGATCTCGTCCTCTGTCAAGGCATGAGGGAGGGAGTTTGGACCTTCGGTAAATGGCGTTGCACTCGAACTTATCAGAGGGAAGTTCCCTTCTTCCTTAAGGATACCAGTGTCTGCTACTCTACCCACAGAGATCAACTGGGCATAGATATAGCCTCCTTTGGCATGCACAGCATCCGTGATCTCCTTCCAACGATTGATTTGAGCTTCAGTATAGATTCCAGGTGCGTTTCTAAAACCACCGTGTTCAGGAGAAATAAGCACTGCTTCTGCAATGATAAGACCTCCTGACGATGCTCTTTGCGAGTAGTACTCCACTGCCATGGGCAATTGAACGTGGTCCTTGTCGGCGCGAAGTCGGGTCAATGGTGCCATGACCACACGGTGCTGAAGCTGAGCCGTGCCCAGCTTAAGCGGTTCGAAAAGTTTTGTTGCCGGCATGTTTTTTTTTTGGTAGGCTTTGGTCTCCGGATGTGACGTCTTGGGTCGAGTTGGGAGAAATATCAAAGGTCACGAGAAGCTAACGAGACATCAGAGAGAAAAGGATGATGGGACCTCCATCGGCTTATCAATCATCATGAGAGAGGGTCTTTGTGCATCCACTGGCCAAGGAAAATTAATAACTTATCACGACTCTTTCGGCCCAAAACTCGCCGAATAGTCGGCTTCGCGTATCCGATCATTTTCGTTATGCGTGCTCCATTGACCCAACATTATGAGCACCCCGCGGTCGATGGCGGCCTCGAGCTCGTTGCGCCGCAGCCCATACAAGAGGTCGAGAACGTCGAGACGATGTCCAAGCCGTAGAATAGAATGTAATACTGGGCTTGTGATCTTCGTGTGCGATGGCCACTGGATCAAAACTTCCATGAGAACGTCGATGTCGTCTGGCTGCAGGGGCTCCAGGAGTTCGAACAGTGTATCGATCATGGCATAAAAGATGTGCTGCGTCATTTCGATTTGAGATCGGTAATCGTCGAGGAGTACCCTCCGACATTCCGTGCTGAAGTCTCGCGATTGGGTCACGAATATTAACATGGACTCCGTCACCTGGATCTGATGCGGGCGCTCTGCAAGGAGAAGCCTCAGGACGAACGCTCCACCAAAAGATGATGAACTAGCCAGAAGTGCTTCGAGGACTTTGGGTGTGATGTTTACTTGGTTTGGCCATGTCTCCAACATCATCTTGATGAGATGGAATCTAATCTTGTAATTGCAAACGGCTCCGATGAGGATTTGCTCATCAATCTGCGTATTCTGTGGATGGTGCTCGATGAGGAATTTGACATCAGCCACATTGCCTCCAAAAGTAGCAACGATCCGTGCAATACTCGCATAAGATTCCATAACCCAGACTTGTTTTTGGAGAACGAATTCTGTAAGACGCGAGGGAATGTACTCGGGCATGGGCCGAGAGCGACGTCCTGCGCTGTCTACGAACGCTTTGAAAAGCTTGTTAGCAAAAATGGTTCTACCCTTGTCGTGCTGCCAGCCCCAGAACTCGTACACCCTTTCAAGTGAGCTTCCAGTTCTCAAATCTTGAGAGAGATTATCAGTTTGGACAGCTTGAATGATGCACTCTTCGAGCTGTGGCGAAGACTGGCTTGTCTTGGCTTCGCACATCCAAGGTCTCATCACCTCAAGTGCATAAGGAAGGGTGAAAATCATGTTGATGACCTGAGATAAGGGAGCAGGATTATCAAGTCGTCTCACTGAATACCTGAAACGCAGAAACGCTCCCGGGGTCTTGGTGTTCACCTGGTTGTACTCGGCGGGCATGATCATCCTCCATGGTGTGCGCTGTGTCTTGTCAGGAGCATTCAACAGCTTCTGCACGTTTCTGTATGAGGTTGCTGGAGACTCCATAGGCTGTGGCTCTGGATTCAAAAGCCCCAAGATCGTCGCGATAGCCTCGATGTTGTTTTTCTCGAGAGCTAAGTGCAACGCAGTCCTGTTCATATCGTCTACAGCTGTCGAGATGTCAGGTAGGTGCTGCGCCCACTCAATCAGACCGTTAGTGTCGTTCAGTACAGCTGATCTTAGAAACTCTTGCTCAGCTTCTTGCAGGTTTATGTGTTGGTACCAGACTTCTTCGGGCAGCCCCCATCGAACACAGTCGACGGGTTGTAAGACCTGGTGGATGTCTCGGAAGGACTTACACTTGCTTACGAGAGATGCGAAACCTTCGGTCGACAGGTTCTTCTTCTGAGCTGTAGACGACTTCAAGAGTTTAGCCGCAGCCTTTGTTCTTCCCAGACAGCTCCGGCGGTTCAATTTCGCATAGAACAGATAGATTGCTCTGGCAACGAGCCCACAGACAACGGCCATGAACGTTGTAGTCTGGCCCCAGTCTTCGATGTTCCCAGGATTCGACAAGTCAAAAAGTGACAGCATCCGCTCAAGACTTGACATGGCTACAACTGCAGGCAACGTCCACAAGATCCAATCGGTTGACGTAGTTGCCGGCATTCGGGGAAACGCGTCCGGACTCCAGTCGATTGTTTCGCTGGCTTGATCATTGTTTCTCTGGCTTGATCAAGATAGACTATTATTGCGTCCTTGATGGGCTCCGTGAAAGTGATAAGCCTCAGGAAGTGGCTGCTCCAGCTAACTTCTTGGCTCGACTCCTCGCCTCTTGCTATACGCTCCCCAAGATCATAGAAGTGCATATGATGGAGTCCAATAGCGCATGATCGTAAGACGAGTAGAGTCCGCAGAGCAAAGTAGAGCGAAAAGGTCCAAGGCACCTTGTCACACGAGTCAAAAATACTCCACCAGATCACTCGCACACATGGTTAGCATGGGTCTTGCTGAGCAGAAGAGATAGGGAAGGTGTTGCCGAAAACAACGCCGATAGAGGCATGCACAAGTAATTGAGAGGTGGTATTGAGCACAACCCACCAGCGAGATGATAGGGTATCTTTCTGTGAGAGGGCCATTTGTACGGTCGCACTGGTAATGTCGAGAGACATGACAGCGACCATGACCTGCCAGAAACTCAGTGCCGTGTAAGACCTGAGCAGCGCAAACGTTATTGACAGCATTGCTAGGAGATATTGTTAGCATGGAGTAGATCTGAAGCACTAGGAAACTTACATGTAAGCTGGGCAGTACCGATATCTCTCACAGCTGTCTTCTCCTGATGGAAGTGTTCAGCGAAAGATGAAAGGATGGTCACTAACAGCGAGATATAAAGCGAGACCCTGATACCAATACCCCCTATATCTGCATTCATGCGATTCTGCACTGAGTTGCACTCCGTGTAAAAATTCGGTTCGCCATAAGCAGTATGTCCAAGAGGCCGTGGGTGATGAATTCGGTTAACCAGTCGAACGAGAGCAAGCGGTTGCAAGGGGATTGAGATATGCGGCAGGCCGCCTAGTCAGTGAAAAGGCAGCTCAGGTGATCAGCTTCGCAGGCTAGGGCTTCGAGATTGCATGTAGTGGCGCTCAGACAGAGTCTCTGATTCATCGTAGCAATCGCGACGAGGATGTGTGTTCGTTACCCGAGATTCATATGAGAAACAAGAGCGCCAGACAAAGTCTATGATGCTCAACCGTGGTAGGGGGTAGGCAGCATGCGAACACATAGCGGGCACCAATACCACGTCCACTGTCATCAGTGATCAATCATCGACGCAGGATAAGATGTTGAGGGGATCTTGCGCGTAACATGGCAATCATTCAGAGCGAAAGATGGCAACGATGTCCATGATTGTCAGAGAGATACCGTGTTGATGATGGTGATGAGGAAGCAGAAGCCTACCCGGTGACCGTCAGCCAAGTGCATGACTCGTGCTTGCCTCGTGGTGGACGACCCTGCTCGTCTTTTCACAATAGCCGTTGAACGTCAATACGATGGAAGACATGCTTCTAACATCGACATATACACTTGGAGACCGGCTTACTTCATTACTCATTATTCCACAGGGTCCGGTAGTGGTTTGATTAGAACATGGTGGGTTAGGCATGATAACGGAGAGTCCGCATTGTCGAAAACGCTGACACGATCTCCCTTGCATTCACGCATCACCTACTTCCGATACATTGTTCTGTTGTGATATCCTAGTACAAGAGTCGATAGACTGAATCTCGAGAGATCTAAGCAGGCTACGCTGCTGCTACGGTCTACATGGCAATGATGAGAGGGAAGGTAGCATTTAGCTCTTGCTATAACATCCGCCCTCTACACCGCATCACTTTCTAGCACGATCTGGCGAAGATCCATGACACGCACACGATAACCTGACCGCTATTCCCTTGACTGTCAATCAAGAGGACAGAGCAAGACCCGGCTTCTAACGATGCCTCTGCTTCCGACTGCCGAGTCTTGAAATGGTCTGACGGTCGCTTCGATCTCGTCTACGCGCGAAAGATCACGTCGGCCGTTAATTGCGTACAGCGCACACGAGTCCCGTCAGTAGTTCGACCGAGAAGTGAGTAATAATGCGCATGATTGATGCTTGCAGCAAGTCTCGAGTAGAGCAACAAGAGGCATTAATAGGACCATGCGCAACGGGTCTGGTCAAACGCACACTACTATCGCAAAGATCTCGCATGATTAGATGCTTAACAGGTATGGAAAGAGACTGGCCGGCCATTGGCCAAGTCAATTGTGCCAGTCTTGTGAGCATGTCCACTATGAGGCATGAGCAAGGCAAGAAGCTCGAGCAAGCATCACAAGAATACGCCATCCACCTCAGACCAAGCACCTGTCTTCTTGAAACCCGTCCGGACTCGACCGACCCCGGCCTGGACAGATGATGGACAGAAGTATGGCCTGCCCGCAACGACGAAACATGCCATGACCGACGCAGTGCGGTGGATGATATGGGGCTGGGGCTCGTTTCAGCGATGCACATGAGACGAACTGCAGGTCTATGAGCACAGGATCTGATCTTGAGCCCCCTGCGCCGCCGCATGCACGCAGGACGCGACGCGAACACGCTTTAGCTGCAGAGGTCGCTGTTGGTCAATACTCGAATCTGAGCGTGCTTGCGTCCAGAGGATCAAGAAGATGTTGGAGCGGGTAAGACTATAGATCACCTCCGAAGGATGTCCCATCCTCTTGAAAAGTAAGAAAATGTCAAGAGTTTCGGATCGGCCATATCCTTCGAAAGAGTGACCAGGCAGGGTAATCGACAGACTGCCTGGCCTTTGGAGGCGGAAGCGATTCATGTGAATTGAGTTTTGAGTTGGAAATGCCTGCTATAAACAGAGGGAGGTGGAGTCCAAAAGAAGAGACATCGCAATTTCGAATTGGGCCATGCACTAGACCTACAATCCATCGATTATTCAATCTTACCGACCGCAAGCACAATCTCATAAGACGCTATCCGAAGATAGTCTGTCGTCATGTAAGGGTAGAACCATGAATAGGCATTTATCCCGGTCGAACACGAGCGGATGGTAAGCGATGATGGGAGAACAAAGGAGTAGATGAGTGCTGTTCGGGAGATGTCGCTGCGATCAGGATATGCAGTCAGCCACCCAGCGACGAATTGCCATCTGGGGTGATCGACGTGTTTCCAATTAATCTCAAACAGGGCCAGCTGGACGCCCACCTCTCTCGATGGCTCGAAATTACGCGCTCCAAGCGTCGATGTGCGGATCGACTTGCGCAAACCTCGCGCACTTTTGACTTCTGAGGATTCCAGATTTCCAGCAAACCCTTGTGCATTTGGGAAGTGAGGTGCGATCCATGTGAGGATGTGCGCAGGGTTTGACAAATGGCAGGTTCGTGGTACTAGACGACAGCCCAGAAGCAGAGGACGCTCCTGAAACACAATCTTGATGGAAGAGAGGCGTCAAACCCAATCACGACTCCGGACTTCGCAAAAGCCAGTCTCAGAGGTGGATTTTGAGGTTTGGGGACAGCCAGGGTACCTACTCTATGGCGAAGTACAGCTGTGCTGCGCCACCATGTAGGTGGATGGCTGCAAGGTCACGACTGACATTCGGGCGCTTACAAAAAGCTCCGAAATTGGGGACATTAGCCAGTCAGTCGGCTACATAGTTGGTAGGGGACAATTTATGGTTAGCAAAAAGCACACGGCGCTTGGACCGATCGTACGTGACTTGGTTGTGGGCATCCCGGGTCGGGAAACGGAAGAGAAGCAGAGCAGAAGAAGCAAAAAATGAGCGGTGACGGCGATCGGGAAATGAGACGAGTGTTAGCTGAAGAGGCTAAGTGCAGGAAAGGGAGGGTTCTCATGGCCGAGAGTTAATAGTGCGATGGCCATGACGAGAGTGGGTTGTGGTGATGTGACGAGCTGTGAGCAGAGGATGTTATTCTTGGAGACGGAGTCGGCTGGGCCATGCCTTTGTTAGTGGGAGAGTTTGGTGGGATGCAAACAAGAAGAGGTGAAGCAGCGTGCAGTTGGCCGTTTCGGTCGGCGGCGCGTGTTTCAAGTGCAGAGCGTTGTGTGGATCAGCCGCCAGCAGCCTCTCCACCAAGTTCATGCAGGTACCAACGCGGATGCTACGATGTAGCGGGCGACCCAGGAAGTAGGCAAAAAAGCTGCGGCATCGACAGAGCGATGTGCTCTGCGTGGACGGCGAGAAGCAGCAGGAAGAAGCAGAGATAGGTGGTTGGCAACACGGGCGCCTTCTCGAAAGACAGTAAATTATCGAATCAGAATCAACGGCTAGAGATTGATGTGGCTTTTAGTGCGCGAGCGAAAGCGGTAGGCACTTGATTAAGTGTACGCGCCTTGGCGGAGAGACAGCCCAGCGACTATTCTGGGAGAGAGAGGTCGCTATACTGCAGAGATGTCTCGTGGTTCGGCGTGGCCGCGGAGGAAACTCTCGATGCGGACAGCAGACCAAATGAGGACGCGATGCTCAGCAGGTTGATATCAAAGCTCATCGAGGCTTCGAGGCTAGAGGGCGCTGAGGCTTTTGGCTAGAGAGTCTCAAACAGGGCACGGGCGGACTTGGCGGGTTTCGAGTCTTTCTTGCACCTGTTTCATGCGCCTCATCAACCTCTGCCCTCCCGCAACCCTCAGCCCTCTGTCATTCTCAAACACTTTCCATCACCTCCCAGCTCTCTCTCTGCGACACCCTGTCGAGTCGCACCTTCTCTCTCGAGCACTTGCTGTATTGCGTCTGCATCTGCATCTGCCCTCGTTCTTCTTGTATCACCTTCAACGGCATACCACGCTATCGCAGGCAGGCCCTCGATACTGACTGTCGTCCTCGATCTCCATCCATACCTATCCCACACTCGCTTTAACCATCCACTGCTCAAACATCTGTCGCATTCAGTTGCTACGATTCTTTGATTAGCACATCCCCCTTATTATTCTAATACCCTGATCTCCATTGCAATGTACTCGACACAACACGCCGTCATGGCCGGCCAACCCCAGGGTCGTTCGGTAGCACCGGAGACGTTCCTGCTCGACCAGGATGCCCAGCAGAGCTTACCTCCGGACTCGGTCGTCGCTCTGCAGCAAGTCGACAACCGTATGTCGTCGCCGTATCCCCCTCCCTAACCCTATTCTCTCCAAGCACATCCGTCTCTACTCCAATGGAGGCTTTGGCCCTTACTGACACTCACCCAGTCAAGTACTTTCTGATCTCTGCACCTGTCGACTGGTCTCCGGATCAGTACATCAGACGCTTCTTGCTACCCACCGGCGAATACGTGTCTTGCGTACTGTGGTACGTCTTTTTACGCTAACTGCTATGGCTGCGCCATGATTGCTCATATCATCTTCAGGAGCAACCTTTTCCACATCTCGGGCACCGACATTGTACGATGCCTGTCCTTCCGCTTCCAAGCCTTCGGCCGTCCGGTCAAGAACTCGAAAAAGTTTGAGGAGGGCATCTTCTCCGATCTGCGAAACCTCAAGTCTGGTACTGACGCTTCGCTGGAAGAGCCGAAGAGTCCTTTCCTCGACTTTTTGTACAAGAACAACTGCATTCGAACACAGAAGAAGCAAAAGGTCTTTTACTGGTACAGCGTGCCCCATGATCGTCTTTTCCTCGATGCGCTGGAACGCGATCTGAAGCGCGAAAAGATGGGCCAAGAGGCTACAACGGTGGCTGTCAGCGAACCCGCCCTCTCGTTTGAGTTTGACTCGAGCCAGTCGCTTTTCGAGCAGCTCACCAAGGCCCAACAGACCAATAGCTCGACCTTCGCGAACAGTGCTCTGCCAGCAACGTCGGGACCCATGGCAACAACCTCGGGCACACCGCAGCCCATGGGCCCGCCAGCCACGACAGCCGAGTCGATGGGACCACCAGTGGGGGCTATGATGCAGCCAACAAGTATGCCCCTGTCGATGCCTTCGGAGGAAATGTTGACGCAGATGCCAACCTACCAGCAGATGGCCATGCAAGCCCCCTTGCCAGCCCAGGTGCACAAGACACGTGAACAGAGCTGCGGTCCCATTATGCATTACGAACGCGCCATGAACGCCGCCGCCCGCCATAGCAGCATGCCCGCCTATATGGAGTACTCGCCCGCCCCCTCGTTCGTCTCGAGCCACTTCGAAGACTACAGCCAGCGCGGTCTCAGCTACGAGCCCATCACGCCGCCCCAGCACCAGATGCAGCAGCAGCCTCACCACGAGCCTGCCTACATTGCCAACGAGGAGACGGGTCTCTACGCCGCCATGCCCGACCCTGGAATGTCGCAGTACTACAACCCTCTGATGCCCGTCGCTCAGCCCATGGCCGCCCCTCAGTACCCCTCGATGATGCGCCCTCTCCACCATTTCCCCTCAGCCCTCGAAGGATCGCCCACCTACAAGCAGCGCAGACGCCGCTCGTCTTTGACCCAGCAACCTCCCAGCTCGACTCCCCAGAGCGTTACTTCGCACGCCGTCCACCGTCCCAGCGACTTGCGTCACTCATCTGTGCCTGTCCATGACGTCGACCCCGTCTACCACGACTCCCCTAGAGGAGCCACTCCTGTCCGCCAACAGCAGAAGGACTACTCGCGCCATGCCACTCCCGTTGAGGACTCCATGTCCATGGGTCAGGACGAGTACGCACAGGCATACTCGGGAGACCAGTACCGCCCTGTCAACTATGCCCAGGCTGCCGTCATGCGCACGCCCAACGGTGTTTTCCGCCGTGCTCGCAGCGCCACTGTCCAGGATATGAACAACCCTTACCCCTCAAAATCCCACTCGTGTCCCATTCCTATGTGCGGCAGGGTTTTCAAGAGGTTAGAGCATTTGAAGCGGTGAGTCCTACTTGCTGAGACCTGCACTGTTTCTGTACTAATTGTTTTCAGACATGTCCGTACCCACACCTCGGAACGTCCTTACGTCTGCCCCTTGTGCAACAAGGCCTTCTCCCGCTCCGACAATCTCGCCCAACACCGTCGCACTCACGACGCAAATCCCGATGGCACCAGCTTCCCCGAAGAAGACCTCGAAGAGCCTGAGGAAGGCATCGACCTCTCTGAAGGCGATGTCAACGACTCTTACATTCCCATGCCTGGCATGTCAAACGAAATGCACGGCGATATGGGTCCTCCCCCACCTCATATGCATATGAGCCAGATCTCGCGCGATCACATGGACCAGCATCACATGGAGCCCCACCATATGCAGCCTCACCATATGCAACATTCCATGCCTCACGGCATTGTTTCCACCGGCGCAGAATACCAATGAAGAAAGAGACCACCGATTCAGAACGATACGCATACCCCTTTCACACGTCTCTTTTGTTTGTAATGGGATTCCTTCGTTTTTCTATCTTCATCTGGGCATACAGGAACAGGTCTCGGAGTCGTTGTTTGATCTGCTGCTCATGCATTCAATGCATCTCGCAGCTGGGAGGGCGCCGGAGGTATTACCCGACAGATTTGATTTTTGCTATCTATTTTCGCTTTACATGCTTGTGTTTGTTCTTTTGCATTTTGCTTGATATGTTCGCAACTCTAATTTAGGGCGTGCTCGTTGCTTTGCTTGTGCCAGCTACAGAAAGAGGAAAGCAAGCAGACGAGAAGGGAAGACCAAAAAGAGAGAAGAGAAGAGGAGACTGGGCATGAGAGGAATGACGCCTAGTACTTGTACAAGAGAACACCACTACATATTTTCATTAATACCTACCAGAGAGAAGTTCGCGCAAGATGTCTATCGATTGCTTTAGCATAACAGAAGCGCTGCTGTGCGGCCTTTCCCTGCTTTGCTATGGCAAGCGAGATATTCTTTCCGTGTCCTTCTTTCTTACTACATTATCTTTTTCCCCCAACTATCCGATCTTTCGACCTGTTCTTTCTTGACCTTTTGGCTGGTCATCATCTACCTAGGTACTTCGCTCTGTGTGTGTATTCGTTTGTGTTTGTTGATTTGCTGTGTATGTGAGTTGCGTCCGACGATCTGCCTGCTTCCACTTGTGCCAATGATTGAAAGTCGATCGTGTCTTTGTTTCTTCTTGTCTTAATCTCTCTTCTTGCGTTTTGATCGGCTGTTTTTTTTTTCCTTTCCTGGACTTGTTGAGTGTCTAAATATCTCAGGCTATGAAGCTCTAATCCAAACAGAAAACAAAGAGACTACTCAATCACCACAATTCACAATCTCCTCGATGCCTCCTCCACCTCAACTCTACCTACATCCCCTTTCCCACTGCCCCAAAGTCTGATCAATTCTCTCGCTTCTTCCTTCGTTAGCACGCCTTCCTCGAATCCTCCTACCACACTCCACGCCGAATCTCCAAACCAACTCCAGAAATCCGCTGCTTGCTGCAAGGATGACGTTGCTTCGATATCCTTGAGCACATTCTGCAATACAAAGATATTCAAATGCATGCGGCCTATACCGTGGGAATCCATGGCGGGGATGGAGGGAGTGAAGGTGGTGAGGGCGATAGAGGCTGGGTGTGCGAGATGGAGGACCAGCAGCGAATGTTGGGCAGAAGGTAAGTGCAAAGATAGTGTTTCGTCAATATCGAGCAATTGTTTCGAGAGCAGTAGAATGGACGGGTCGGGATCGTTGTAGGGTTGGCCGAGCAGGTAAGTGGTGCTCAGTGCTCGAGAAACACCAGCCAGAATCTGCAGACGCATTTCGAGGTGCAGTGTTCGGAGGATTAAAGAACCTAGTTCGGACATTGAGGTTGTGATGGCGTCAAAATCGCGAGAGGACTGTGTGTCGAGAGGTAAGTAGATTGCTGCATGGGGGTTTGGCGATATCAGAGTTGTCCAGCGGCGGGTCTGATGGCGTGAAGATGTTGTGGCGGTGTTGGAGTTTGACATTGAGGACGACATGTGGCGGAGTTCGGTCGCGTGGGCGACAAACCAGCGTGTGCTGTTGTATAAGGTACATAATCCACTAAGACATTTGCGGTCGAGGATGAGGTCGGCGTCTGTGAGGGGAGAGGCCTTGACGTTGGCGATCAGGGATGCGGTTTGTTCTTGCATCAAGCGCTGCACATCGTCTGCGTCTTCGGCTTCATGGGCAAGCAAAGTGGCCACTGCGTCTCGCATGTCTGCGTTATATTCTGCCAGTGCGGCGGAGCGCTTGGGCTTCCTTTCTTCGCTGGAATCTTGCTGTGGTCGCATGACCAGTGCGCGATACCAATTGTAGCATTTATCGTAGTAGATACGCATTTGTGCCATTACTAATTGACTGAAGGCTTGATCATGAGGCAAACTGTCCAGCAGCATGCAAAAGGCTTTTATCAAGTCTAGGAAGTTTGCTGTGCCCTTGAAGACTGGCTTTTGTGCTCGTTGTTGCCATTTGGGGTCTTGTTGGAAGGCGTCGCTCTCTGCAGATGCGACCATACACATATCTGTCAATGCTTCTTCCAGTTGTGGAAGGAAGACGTTTATTAAGAAATCGTCGAGGAATGAGGTGAGGGTGCTCAACACAATCTCTGAGCTCGGTGGTACAATGTCTTTCAGTCTTGTCAAGAAAGATAACGAAGGAGGTAGCAGAATGCCCATGTTGAAGACGCTCGGCTCGACCAATAGCTTGTGACCAGTTGCCGAGCGATCTTCGTTCTTTTCATTCTCGGCATCCTTTGCAGCGGGTGTCGTACCAGTAGCTGCCAGACCAGGAACGGAGGATTTGAGAATGAAGTCGAGGTCTTCTTTCTCTATGGTCAACTCAGTAGACTTGCTGTCCGTATCTGCCAGCTTGAACAAACGCTTGTTGCGATCTCGAGCATGCGGTTTGAACATGTTTGTGGCATGGTGATGCTCGGGATGTGATGAGTTTTCAGGGCTGTCACTGGCAGCCAGATGATCGTGCAGTAAACTTCGGATCTCACTCTGATACAGCTTCCAAAGTTCGCGGAAACTGCGCAACAGAGCTGGCTCATCACTGCCTTGGCGGGACAATATCCCACCAATGACCTCATGGAGAACGCGGTGACCCTCCGCGATGGCCTCGAACTTGGCATACAAAGTAGACAACATGTCCTCGAGGATCATCTTCTTGTCTTGGTTGATGTCAGCGTTGATGTTATCAAGCTGGAAGTGCTGCTGTTTTGCGGCTCCACGAATCAGGCCAGGGTAGTTTTGCTCAACTTCGGTGTACGATCTCTCGACCACACGAAACAGCTCAACAGGTAGTCTCTGCTCGATCTGATCAATTGCAAGATCCAGACGGGACATACGATCTAATGCTTCAACTAGGAGTTGAATATATGAGAAGGTATCTGCTTCGGGATTGCGAGACGTGTCTTCGGTCAGAATTTGTGACGGGTCAAAAGACTCGAGGAAGCGGTACAGCTGCCGTCCTTCGATCTCAAACGAAGCAGTTCCGGTGGTAGTAGAGCGATTGGTATATTGCTTCCATCGTTCTTCGCAGTATGGACTCTTGAGGTAGAGATGACTGTGTAGTTCTTGGATGAGTATGTCCGTGATGGAGTGTTCTTGGTTGCTGAAGTAAACGCGCAAGTCACTCAAGGCACCAATGTCTTCCATATCAGGCTTGTGCATGAGTTTCAGGGCCTCTTGCAGCGTCTCAACAGCACCGAGGAAGCGCTTCTCTGAGATTTGAGCTTCAAGCTTCTCTGGCATGAGTTGTAGTTGTTCAATGTATGCCAGAGTCTGGAGCATCTGGTCGTAGCTCTGGCTTGACTGAGCAAAAGCTTTGAGTTCTGGGCGAGTAGTACGGAGGTTTCCCTTGGCCTGGACGAGAGACTGCTTCAAGGTACGGACTCTCTGCTGAGAGGATTGAATGCTGGATTGAATCTGATGGAATGTACCAATGGACGAGTTGAAACCTTGATGGTGTTGGTTGACAATGGCTTTAAGAGCATCCTGCAACTGTTGGTGTGTGTCTTGGAAACCTTGGTACTGATCGGCGAGACCCAGAGAGCTCTGATCCATGAGTTGCAGAGCGACCTTGACGGGCACACACGACTCATTGGCCATTTGTCCCCAATGGCGGTCTATGTAGCGCAGGATGTCCTCGACTTGTCTGCTGTTTTCTTGGGCACGCATTTGGGAAGCGGCTCTGCTCCTGCTCCGGCTCATAGCTCGTCCCTCTCCGCTGGCTCTCTTGCTGCGGTCGAGTCGCGCCGGACTCCCTACTCGGGGAACGAAGTCATCCTGTGCTCGTCCAAGGCCGCCATAGCCTCCTCCAGCGGCAGGGCCTCTTGATCGGCTCCTCTCATCGGCGCTGTTGTCTCTACTGGTGGCATCGAGGTCGTAGCGACGTGGGAACTGGTAGCCGTCTCCGTTGGTGTATGCTCGGTCGCCAGTGGCCGACGGGCGACGCATATACGACATGGTGTGATTATGTCCAGCCCATGGACCGCGGATCAGAATATACGTGCGGCAATAATGCGCCTCTTGAACAAGTATTCAGCCAATATCGCAAGTTTACTCGGGCATGAATGGTATAGCAAGGAACAGTAGGTAGGTGAGTGACGCGTCTCGGCTAAGTTGCCGTTGAGCGAAACACGGAAGTTGCGACTGTCGAGCTCGCGCTGGCCTCACTCGCAACTACCTACAATTCACTCATCGCCGTCGCCCTTTCCAAATACTGCCGTCTCTCCCTCGCTCCTTCTTTATCTCGACCCGCTGTTGCCAACTGGAAACCCGCGCAGCATCTACGACTTGAATCAGCCACTGCATCCCCCGTCGCGCCAACTGATGGCCCATTGATTTCGGCGCATCCACCCTCTTCCCTTCGCCATGGCTGCTGTGCTGAATGGCCATTCCAATGGTCAACATGACCACGACGACGACGTTACATCTGCTCTCGTGCGCTTCTCTCACATTCCTGCCGCCCTTGATGTGCCACTTTCGAGTGGAGACGCCGAAGAGGCTGTCGAAGTCAATCTCGAGGATTTGATGGACGATCCCACTGAGCTGTGCACCCTGCTCGAGAACGAGAATGTTGCTCGCGGATACTGGATGACCATCGCCCTGGCCTACGCCAAGCAGCAAAAGGTCGACCACGCAATCGACATTGTCACACGGGGCCTCAGCTCTCTGTCGCGCAATGCAAAGCCCGAAGACAAGCTTTCACTTCTGTCATGCTTGTGCTGGCTGCGCTTGTGCCAGTGCAGAGACGCCCCTCGTCTGAAGCCTGGTATCAATCGTCCCTCACCCAGCTATGTCGCAGTCCACTCACTAACTTATCTGCAGATACCCAGCTAGCTTCCGAGGCCCGCAACAAAGAGTATTACATCCAGCAGGCCACCAGCACCCTGAACGAGGCTTCGCGCATCAGCCCTACCTACCCTCCACTCTTTCTCGCCCGCGGCGTCCTCTACCTCCTCCGCGCTTCGCTACAACCCTCCAAATCCTCGTCAACAGCTCAAGAGTCTGAACGCCTTGATACCCTCCGCCAGGCTGCAAAATGCTTCGAGGACTCTTTGCGCGCTTCCAACGGTCGCAACATGATGGCCGTCATGGGCAAGGCCAGAGCTCTCTTCTCCCTCGGCAAATACGCCGATGCCCTGCACAACTACCAGGCCGCTCTCGAGCGTGCTCCGCAACTCCAAGATCCGGATCCGAGAATCGGCATAGGCTGCTGTTTCTGGCAGTTGGGTCACAAGGATGAAGCCCACAGTGCATGGCAGCGCGCTCTTGAAGTCAGCCCAACCTCCAAGATTGCCAACATCCTGCTCGGTCTGTACCACCTCGACCAGAGCGCAAAGTTCCCCACTACCGACCCCGAGTTCCAGCAGCACTACAAGAAGGCCATGACCGAGTACACCCAGACCGCATGGAAGCTCGACAACAAGTTTCCTCTCACCTGCGCCACCTTCGGAAACTACTTCATCCTCAGAAAGGCCTGGCCTACGGTAGAACGTCTTGCTCGTCAAGCCATCGAGGCTACAGATGTCAACGCGATCGCTAGTGATGGTTGGTACCTCATGGCCCGCAAGGAGCACACTGAGGGAAACGTCTCAAAGGCTACTGATTATTACAACAGAGCCGATCAAGCAAGAGGCGGAGATGAGAGGGGTTACCTGCCCGCCAAGTTTGGTGCCGCTCAACTCAAGATTCTTTCGAAGGATTGGAGCGGCGCAAAGTTCCGTCTGGAAAGCATCGTCCAATCTAGCAAGAGTGCTGAAGCCATGACTCTGCTTGGTCTTTTGTACGCCGAGGAGGTCTACGCCAACCAAGATGCTGGCTCCAAGGAAGACAAATCTTCGGAGATGAGGAAGGCTATTGGTCTGCTGGAGGGTGTTCGCAACTCGTGGAAGGACCCCAAGAAGAAGGCCACCCCGGACTCATACGTTCTCTTGAACTTGGCCAGACTTTACGAAATCGAAAATCCTGAGCGCAGTCTGCAATGTTTGCAGCAAGTCGAGCAGATGGAAATCGACGGCATTGACGAGGAAGATCGTCCCGACACCAAGGACGACGCCGAGCTCAAGACTGCTCTCCGCGAAATGCTCCCACCACAATTGCTCAACAACATGGCTGCCTTCCATTTCCAAGCCGAACGTTTCAGCCAAGCCAGAGATCTATTTCAAACTGCCCTCAATGCCTGTGTCAAGGCCGGCGCAAAGGACAGCGAACTCGACACCGATTCTCTTGTCACCTCCATCAGTTACAACTTGGCCAGAACATATGAAGCCGAACACATGCTGGATGAGGCCAACCAAGTTTACCAAGGCCTACTCGAGCGTCACCCCGACTACACAGATGCCAGAATTAGACTTGCATACATTGCACTACGCGAGAATCCCTCAGAAGGCGGTCAGATGGTCAAGAAGTTGCTCGAGTCAGAAGCAGGCAATCTCGATATTCGTGCTCTTTACGGTTACTACATTCACAAGGCAAAGAAGAGAACCATGAACCCCGCCGAGGATCAAGAGCAGAGACACTACAAGCATACCCTCCAGCACCATGATAAGCACGACAGATACTCCCTGACTGGTATGGGCAACCTCTTCTTGCAGGTCGCACGCGAGATGCCCAGAGATACCGACCAGCACAAGGAGAAACGCACAAAGACTTATGTCAGAGCCATCGAGTTCTTCGACAAGGCTCTGCAGCTTGACCCTCGCAACGCTTATGCCGCTCAAGGTATCGCCATTGCGTTGATTGAAGACAAAAAGGACTACGGAACAGCGATCCAGATCTTTACTAAAGTTCGGGAAACCCTGAAGGACTCCAGTGTCTTCATCAACATGGGCCATGCATTCGTCGAGGTCAAGCAATTCGCTCGCGCAATCGAAAGTTACGAATCTGCGCTTGCCAAGGATCGCACACACGACCCCAGCATCCTTGCTTGCCTCGGTCGCGTCTGGCTGATGAAGGGCAAGCAGGAGAAGAACATGCAGGCCATGAAGACTGCTCTCGAATTCTCCAACCGCGCACTGGAGTCATCACCTGAACAGCTTCACTTCAAGTTCAATGTTGCATTTGTTCAGATCCAAATTGCTCAACTCATCTACACCTTGCCGGAAGCCACGAGGACGTCTATTGATCTTGAATCCGCTGCTAACGGCTTGGATGAAGCTATCGAGAGTCTCATGGCTATCGCCAGAGCACCGAACCCACCTTTCCCCAAGAACGACATCGAACAGCGTGCTAACATGGGAAGAAACACTATGCGCAAGCAACTGGATCGTGCTTTACAAGGTCAACGTGACTTTGAGTCCAAGAACGCATCAAGACTCGAACAAGCTCGTCAACAGCGCGAGGCAGAAATCAAGAAGCGTGAAGAGGAAAAGCGCGCACTGGAAGAGGCAAAGGAAGAACGCCGAAGAAAAATCGCAGAGGAGAGACAGCGCATGCAAGAGCAAGACCGCGAGATTGTCGAGCAGAAGATCGAGGAGGAAGCTGAACGCAAAGCTCGCGAAGACGCTGATCTCACCACTGATGAGGAGACCGGCGGACGCAAGAAGAGAGAAAAGAAGCCCAAGGGTGCGAGAAGAAAGAAGAAGGGCGGTGACAGCGATTCAGACATCATCAACGATGAGGATGAGGGTTCTGATGCCGATGACAACGCCGAGTTTGGAGAGAGAGAACAGCGACAAAAGTCCAAGCGACGCAGCACTTCAGGCGCTTCTGATGACGAAGATGGCGAGAAGCCCAAGAAAAAGAAGCGCAGAAAGCTCGAGAGAAAGGGCAAGGCAGCCGAGCCAAAGGGCAAATTCAAGAGCTCTGAGGTTGTGGTGGACAGTGACAGCGACGACGATGCAGTTGCCACTCAAAACGAAAACGCAAGACTTGCCGAAAAGATCAACGATGAGGATGACGCTCAAAAGGAAGCTCGAGGGGATGAGTCGATGGTAGAGGGAGGAGAAGATGAGGACGCCGTTGTTGAAAGGCGGAGAAAGAAGCCAGCTCGTGTGATCGACGACGACGACGAGGATGAGGATGAGACTCCGGCCACTACCGGTGGAGATGTCTCGATGGTTGATGAGACTGTTACCGCAGCTGGCAACGAGAATGCTCCAGACTCATAGGTATCCCTTTCTCTTGTATAACAAGAATAGCTAGTATCTCGTCCGTGGCGGACAGGCGTGCACTATTGCTACTTCTTGATGATCTTTCACTACCAGAACTTGGACAGAACAAAAGCGCTACAGCATTTCTTTTTGGCTCCGCAGGTCAAGGTAGGAGGGAAAATGAATTACAAACAGAATAAAGTGTCGTTCCTGGGACACGCTTGAGGTGGTGCGAGCAGTGCAATATGGAGAAGGTTCATTGGAGCTTCGTTGGCTCCACCAAAACTCCACATGCCAGCAGCTACTTCCCCAAACATCGCCTTGTGGCCTGCTAATACTGTTGGGACGATCTGTCAGCTCAGCTATCGAAGCTTCGCTTGACTTTCTTTCTTCTTTGTTGTCTCCACTTGAGCAACTCGTCTATTGGATCTATAACATCTCCTCACCTCACAGCTGTCTCCATTGACTTTCCAAGCAGGAAGGCTCCTGTATTTAGCATCCATTCTATCCGTTTATCAATATTCTCATGGCTCTTTTGCACGGCCAACACGATGAACAACTCCACAGCTCAGCCTCTAGCGAGCACTTCGCCTCCACACCTCCATGATACAAGACGCAAGTAGAGGATCCTACTGGTCAACATCATGAAGAAGCTTTACCTTTGACGATTCAATGTCCACCTTTATAGAACCTTCTTCGAGTTGTGCCAGCTCCTCTGAAGCAAAGACCTCATGCTGACGTCTCGCAAAACTCTTCCATGACCTTTCGTCGCTTTCCGCTCATTACGATTGCTCCTATCGGTTCTTACATCTTTTCAGCGTCCTTACTGGAAACCGAAAGCTCTGAGTGATTCGACACGCGAAAAATGCGTCTTGCTGATGCTTCGTTGGCAGCAGCGTGCTTCGTGCAGCTGTTCGCCCCTGCTTGGGGTTGGCCGCAACCTGATCAATTGGTGAGTTATATTGTCTGCGTGGCCCTCCCAGACCAATCCTCACTCATGGGCGTCCCAATCCAACGTGTACCTGACGAACACTGACGCTATATCAGCAAACCGGATCGCCCGAAATTGATAACGGGTTTCCTGGTCCGCCATTGCATGTATATGCACAGCCTGTCTTGAGGAAGCGTCAATCGACTGCGGAAACTTCTTCATCTTCCTCAGAGTCATCGTCCAGCACATCATCAGTATCCGGATCCATGACTTCGAGCAAGAGCAGCAGCTCAACTGGAACCTTCACGAACTCCACAACGTCAAGCACCACGAGCTCTACCACGAGCTCCAGTGTCAGTCCGACTAGCTCCAAGAGCTCTTCTACAAGCTCTTCATCTAAGAGCTCGACGTCCTCGACATCCTCAACAGCCTCTTCGACTACTTCAAGCTCAAAAACTGCTTCGGCATCGCCCACCGTAGTTGCGGGCGTGACCTTCGAGATCCAGAACAACACAATCTACAGTGGCACCTTGCTCCAAATGATGAGAAAGCGAGCTATGGCTGGCAGTATCAACACGTGCTTGAACAAATGTGCAAGCAACTCGACATGCCAAGGCACGGCATACGACAACATGACGGACAGTTGCACGTACTACAGCTCGGTCGATCGAAACAGTCAAATGACCAGGAATGGCACCACTTTTGCTCTTGTCGAGAACCGTCCTGCCAACAGCACCACGACTTCCTTGTCGTCAACCATGAGCAAGTCTATGACCACATCCACGAACAGTACCTCGAGTCGTTCTAGTACCTCGAGTCACTCTAGTACTTCAAGTCCTTCCAGTACTTCGAGCCACACGTCGACCATGTCGTCGAACACGACATCGTCGACTTCAGCCACTCCAACAATGCCTCTTGGAGCACGTTCTTGCAACCAGATTGCAGCAAATGGAAGCACCTTCACTGACGGCAACAACGTCACCTACGCTGTAATCTGTGCCAAGTCGAAGAAGAGGATGCTTTTGAACAAGATCCCCTTGTCTCCCAGACAGAACAGTGATCTTGGCACCGTCCAATCAGGCAGCTTCGAAGGTTGTGCCCCTTATTGTGATAGCAATAAGCAGTGTAACTCATATAGCTACGACCCGAGTAGCATGACTTGTTATCTGATGAGCACGAGTACCGTGACTCAGCCTATTGCTGGACGAGACTACGCGTACAAGGTCCAAAGTCAGACGTCTACGAGCTCCAGTTCGACGACCTCGAGCACTTCTACTACGTCCAGTACTTCATCTTCGTCAACCTCCGACTTCGTTCCTGATGGTTATTCCATTTCGAAGACCACGATATGCAGTACTCCATCGAGCACGTCATCACCGTGTCCGTCAAGCACATCGACGCCCTGTTCATCATCGACGGGATGCCCTTCAGCAACGTCGTCGTCTTTTTTATCCCTTGGTAGCTCGAGCGCCAGCTCGGGCACCCCGTCGTCTACCAGCCCTTCTTCGTCGTCTAGCACCTTGACATCGTCTCTATCAACTAGCTCTACACCCTCGACAGTCTCAAGCGTATCATCCGCGAGTTCAAGTGCTTCTCCTTCTTCTACAACTCCTAGCACTACCTCGTCTTCGCCATCCTCAACATCTGGCTCGTCGACGTCTTCGACTTCTTCACCCTCGCCCGTGGTCAGAGTTGCGACCCAAGTTCGCATGGTCGCAGCTTCTACCAGGACCATCGATAGCGAAGCTCCTGCAGTCCAGACCGAAGTGTCGATACAAACCATGGGAGGTGTAGCGACATCCTATTCTATCGTTTCCAACGCCAGTCCGGTCACCGTGATCGAGACTGCAACAAGCGTGAGCGCCGTCTACACCTCGACCATGTCAGTGGCGTCCGTGAGTGGCTCGACCGTCACGGCGGTCCAAAGCGTACAAGCCTCGACCGTGACCGTCGGTGCCATCACCGTGACATCGGACTTTGTTGTTCCTAGCGGGTATACCACCGTCACTGCGTCTGGAAGTACAGTCACGGAAAATGTCGATAGGACCGTAGCTACAGGTGTGGCCACTGTCACAGCACCTGGCAACACAATCACCACGACTGAGAAAGAGACCGTGGCTACTGGTGTTGCTACCGTGACCGCGCCTGTGGTTACCGAACGCGGATCGTCGACGATAACATCTGGAATCAGTACCGTGACCATGCAAGCTGGTCCTGTGACATTCAAGACTGTTTATCGCAGAGACGAGAAGCCTTTGGTTGACGACAAAATCGAAAAGAAGCATCCAGCCAAGCAAGAAAAGAAGAAGGATGGGAGTGCAAGACCTTGGATTGCCTATGACGGCATGATGGCTGAGATGTGGATGTGATTGATTTCCTCATCATCCTCATCCTCCTCTCCACCCTGTCTATCCTTATCCTCTGGGAGGAAAAGAGATCAAAAAACCCAAAAGGATAATCGTAATCTGTTCAAGATGTAAGAAAAGGAGGGATAAAAAAAAAGGGGGGGGAGTCGTATATGTTTTGTTTATGCAATCATACTAACCACAGTCACTCTTTTCTGATTCTAATCACCGAAAAAAGAAAAAAGAAAAATACATAACAAACACCTAAAATGTAATCTGTAGTTCACATAATAGTTAGTCATTAGTTCTCAATTCGTATGCAACAAAAAAAGATTCGCTCTTTTTCAATAGAAGATCTTTTGTTTCAAAAGGTTGGGAAAAAGATGATTTGCTTGCAAACTTGAACTTTCGGATCTCTATCGTGCTTTTTGAATCTTCGGAGTGAAAAAAAAAGAAGTATCCAATTTCAAAAGGGGTGATGATATTGATTGATATTGTGGGCATCCAAAAGTTTCTACTGCAGCGACACGAGAAAGAAACATTTTGTACAATTCAAAAAGAAGAAATCATCGTTACCTCGACAGTGAAGTGGCTTCCTCCTAAAAACACTTTTCGAGAATCTGATGATTGCCGCGTGGATGAGGTAGCTTTGAGTATTCTTGAAAAAAAGGAACGCAGAGGGGAGACGCAGAATAAAGAGCGGTGCACTTCTCCTGCCTGATCTAAAAGCCCTTTGTGGTGTCGTCGTCTGTTATCTTTGACATAAGGAAAAAGTGTATGCATTGAGCTTTTCTCGTATCTCTTTTCTCGGTATACAAAAGGCAGAGAGGAACCAGCCTTATCGCAGAGGCAGCCTATGGCCAGAAAGGCAAAAGAGAAAATCCACATCAAACTATCTTCTCCTCTTACCCTCATGACCACCAGGTTCACCCTCTCCTCTCCTCTTCCTCTCAGAACGACCTTGTTGTCCTTGTCCCTGTCCCTGTTGCTGACCTTGACCTTGCTGCTGTCCCATCATATCCCCTTGCTGCCCACCACCGCCACCTCCTCCTCCTCCTCTCCTGCTATCATCATTCCCGTTTCCACCTCTGCGGTGTCCACCGCCATTGCCATCGTCTCTTCTGCCTGATGCTCCACCATCATTCCCACCACGGCTTTCGCGACGATGATAGTCGTTGTTTCTATCTTCGCCTTCGTAGCCACCTCTGCTTCTGCCTCCGTTGTATCCGGAAGACGGATCCATTTGTTGCGAGGGAGCAGCAAATCCTTGAGGAGGTTGGACCACAGAAGACAGCGTGGGAGTCTGTGGTGCAGTTCTGCCTCCGCCGTTACCACCATAACCGTCTCTGTCGTGTCCACCACGCGAAGAGCGAGATGCACGGGAAGATTGATGGCGGTAATCGTCTGAAGGTGGCGGTAAAGCAGGCAGATTGGCAGATGCATGACCGCCGTGGTTACCGCCATGGTTAGAATGGCGAGAATCGCCTCCATCGCGGCCGTGACGTCTGGAATCGCGTTGTTCGCGATCGTCATGGCGTCTGTTGCTGCCTTGATCTCTAGACGACGATGTCGGGGTGGGGAAATCATTTCGCATTGCTGGCGATGGCATGGCGGGTGACTGTGCTGGGATAGGACTGGGCTGTGCGGATGCAGGCATCATGGGGTTCGGACCTGAACCTTGACGTCCACCGGCGCGTCCTCTTATAGATGCGCCATTTGCATTTGCGCTTTGCAGTGTATCGTTCAATCCAGCAAATCTCCTGTCAGTGCCGTTCGCACGGCGATCACTTGCGGGTCCAACAGGAGCGCGAGGTGTAGCTGACGAAGGCCCGGAAGGCGTGTTTGGAGTGGACTGGCCACCCAGATTCATACGTGGTCCTGTAGGAGTGGGAGCGTTCTGCGGTGCAATCTGCGGCGGTGCAATATCAAGGCGAGGGAGACGACTGGGGTGGACACCTACAGCTTCTGCCTGCGGAGGATGCCCTGGCGGTGGTGGGGGAGGTGGAGGCTGTTGTTGAGAGAACTGCGCCTGTTGCGAGCCCTGACGATCATGTCCAGATCGTCTATTGCGGTTACTGCTGGGTTCCTGAGGAGCATTGTGTGGCACATCTCTTGCATCACCAGGACGACCATTGGGAACACCTTGTGGTCCAGAGAAGTTCCTAGGGTTATTGTTGTTACCGAAGCCCTTGGGACCTAACGGGGGTCCTGAGGGTAGTTCTGGCGCAGAGCTCAGGCGCCCATAGTTCGGATCTTGCATTTGCGTGTTGACGGCTCGTCTAGGACCGCCCGCAGGCTCAAACAAATCACTGGCGGCAGACTTTGAGGGCGCATCGATGCGGCCACCTCCTCTTCCACCCCTACCGGCTGCAGGTCCAGTCGGTGTTTCCACCTTCTCAGGTTGGGCACGAGGGTTCTCGCGTGCGGCGAAAGGATTGGGGTCAAGAGGTTGTCTACGTGGGGCTTCCTTCTCCCGCACAGGTGCTGGTGCTGGGAGGTCGACTGGCCTCTTGGGAGATTGTGGTCTCGAATCTCTGGGTCTTCTATCGTCGCGAGACGAGTCTCTAGATCTGCGGTCGTTGGGGGGAGGCACGTCGCCAGCAATCAGAGCAAGACGTTCAGGGTTGACACTGACTGCAGGCTGTGGCGTTTGGGCTGAATGGGAAGGTGCTCGACTCATGGACTGGCGATCGGAACGTTCACGATCAGTACGTTCAGGACGTTCAGAGCGCTCAGGACGGTCAGATCTATCGTAAGCTGTACGGTCAGGAGGAGGGGCCATTGGGCTTGGACCGCCAGGGTATCCTCTGTTGTCCTGTTGAAGGAGTGTTCTTCCCGGATGAGGTCTGGCAGGACCATACTGATCGCGCTCAGCCATGCGTGGCTCTACCACGGCCGAAGATTGAGATCTGCCGTAGTGATCGCGTCTGTCATCACGAGGTGGGTATTCTGGTGATCTCTGACGACTTCTACCTCCACGTGCTCCTGGGGGTGAGGCATCTCTCGGCATGCTGGTTGGATTGGAACGCATGGCCTCACTGGGTCGATCAAGTCGCCCATATTCGGGAGCATGACCACGCTCGCGAGAATCATGTCGAGCGGGTAGTTGCGCAGGGCCACGTCCCATAGCTTGTCTTGGGTTGGGTAGCTCTGGCTTGCTAGGCAGAGAGTGAGGCATCCTAGTCGGTTGAGCTGATGATGATCTTGAGTCGTCACGTTGCGAAGGCGTGTGAGCTCTGGACTGGCCTCCAACGGCTCGCGGCGGTGGTCTGAGAGCAGCCTTTCTCTCAAGCAGTGTGTCCGACTTTTCGTCACCGGTTGCTTTACTTGAAGATTGCTTATCATCGTCAATCTCTCCATCTTCTGATTCACCCGTCTGAGCTGGAGGAGCTTTGAATGCTTGTGCTGTAGGGTTAAGAGGCGTCGAAGTACGAGAAGCGGGAGTCTCTGCTGGGGATGGAACTGGCTTGGCGTTGGGGTCGGGTTTCTTGATAGTGTCAGATTTGTTGATGGCTGGCGGCGTTGCATTACTCACTCCTGTAAAGTGCTCCTTGGAAACCCAAGAAGACTGTCTCTTGCGGATGTCGCCCAGAGTACTTGCGGCAGCAAGCTTGAGATCGGCTCTGCCATCGGCCTTGCTGAGAGCAGTGACAGAGTCGAGAATCATCTTGCCCATTGGCTCTGCAACTGGGAATTGCTGGGCAACAGCCTTGAAGACGATAATGGCGTTACGAATATGCATGTACTCTCCAGATTCTAGACACATCTGGAAAGCGGCATTCAAGTTAGAGTGCCACTTGTACAACAGTACACGGTACTCCTCATAGTTGAGGAAGGTCTGTGGGGTGTTATCTGGATTGAGTTTTCTTGCAAACCCAGTGAGCTGTCTCTTTGCTCCGAATGCGTTCTTCTCGTATGCAGCCTTGTCCGCATGCCAAGATGAGAGCTCCTTCAGTACCTCGTTCAAGAAGCGGCCAAAGTTCTCGGACTCTCTGGGTGTGCATTGGAACATGAGAGATGACAGTTGATTCTTGCGCAAAAGACGATCCAACAGATGCATAGTACGGAATCCAGGAGCGCCGTTGTTGTGGAGGAACTTCAACATCATGTAGGTGTAGTGAGCATCCAGAGGAGAGTTCATCATTCTTGGGAGGAAGCAGTTCTGGAGAAGGCTGGTGTGCAAAAGCTCAACCTTGTTATGGAAGTCGTTGAACCAGTGATCCTTTTCCTTGTTGAGCCTGTTGCGGACCTGAGTGTAGGCGCCGATTTGGCTCTTCATTTCCTGAGTGAGCTTTTCCCTCAACTCAGAAATAGCCTTCTTTCTCCTGTCCTTCTCTTGCATACCTTTGCCGGTAACGTCGGTACGGTCGTTGTTAATCTGATTGATGAGATGGGATTGAGTGGCGAGCTCTTGATCATAGCTGTTGGTGTTGACTAAGATATCTTCTAGTCCCAAGGTCCAGAAAGTGACATAGAACGGAATACTTATGCTCTGCTCCAGCTTGTCACCCAGAAGGTCGCGCGTCTTTTCGATGAGAGGGGTCAAGACAGGATGCCAATGCGATTCGGGCGATGGAGTAGGGGTCGTAGTGTCGACACCATTGGCGTGTGCAACACTCTTCATCTCCGCGTCTGTCTCAGTAAGGGAGAGAACAGGCTTCTCTTCGGCGGGTGACGAGAGAATCCCTTCGGTCTTTACGTCTTTCTCCTCAACATCTGCCATAGTGACGTCGCCATTGGTAGCAGCTGACTGACTCGATCTCCTGGCTTGCTGTTCGGCCTTTCTGACTGCATCGCTCTCTGCAATAGCATGAGCGATACTTGCGCGGCCGATCATGAATGCGATTGATGGCTCGAGACCAAAGTCACCCATCAGGCTGACAGTGTCCGGAACGACGGCATCGAACTCGTCAGGTCGCAGCGTACTTCGGAGAGTCTCGAGATATTGGTTAAAGACCTGATAGAGCTTGTCCATGTTGTTTCCCAAAACTTTCAGAGGTGCGTCCTGAGTAGATTCATGGTGGGCGTACATCTGACTTTCTTGTGCGACGGAAATCAAAAGCTGACCAGCAAGTCCGGGTTCAGTAAGTGCTTTGATCAAACGACGAGACGGTTTCTCCATCTTGTGTCTTTCATCGAGCAAGGAGATCAGTGTCTGTGCCTTGAGCACCGGACCACCAGCCATAGCAAGAACCTGAGATTCGTTAAACGTCATGTCAGATTTAATACCAACCATCTCGGTGATGATTTGCTCAAGGACCTCGAGATCGGTAGAGTTGCCAGCACGAAGTTCGTTGGTGACATACTGCAGAATGGGCGATGGGTCCATGGCAGAGTAGCGCTTGAAAATGGAGCCGGCAAAGGTGGAGAGAGCACGCAACCAAGGACTGGTAAGCATACCGTCAGCCTGTACACGGTTTCTGCCACCACCACCTAGAGCGTTCATCAAACACCAAGTCAAAACATCATATCCGAGCATGCTAAAGTAGCGAACACATTCCACGACAACATCAATAAGATTGTCGTAGGATTCCATCTGATGAATGGCGACTTGCATGACAATACCAGGAGAGGAAAAGGCGACCTTGGACAAAGCTTTACCCATGGCTCGCACGTTCGTCTTGCTGATACGCTTGAGGACGTCTTTTGTCTCAGCCTTAGTGAGGTCAAAGGCGGACTTGATGTCAGGAAGACGGGAGGTGTTGCCGTAGTGCCACTCGGCATATATGGAATAACGAGTGCTCGTAGGGAAGAACTTGAGGAGCTCAAACATCTCGTTAACATCACCAGTATTGTGCTTTGTCAGACTGAGAGCAGGAACAAGGAGACGCTTGCAGAGATCAATCCAGCGAGCGTAGTTGGTGTCGGAAGGATCGTCAGTCAAACTCTTCTTGCCGATGCGAGCCAGTTTCATCAAGAGAGCAGAATCTCTGCCGATCTTGACACCCGTCAAGTTCAGGAACGTGCTGCACAATTGGAACACATCGTCCACCGTTTGGCAGACGGGAATGTTGTCAACCCAATCGTCCCAATAGAACTTGTACTCGACAGCATCACCATGGTCAGGACGATCGAGGTTGGCCCATCTCAGAGTCCTGGTCGGTGGTGCAGGAGTGAGGTTGAGCTGACCCTTGGGCAAGCCGGTCGGATCGCCGATGTGAGGTCTGGCATCGTTCATACCGGGCCTGTTCGCGAGAGGTCGGGCTGGCTCGTAGACCTTGGTAAGCATGTGATGGAGGATGCGGTGAATGTAGTCGGGTAGTTCGTGAACGAGGTCAGTCAACCAAGGGAATCTTCCAAGAATGTACAGAGCTTCAGGTAGACAGCCAATAGCCAAAAGACTTTTGACTAGCGCAACCTTTTGGTTGGCAGGCTCGGGCAGAGCTTCCTTTTCGCCATCCGCTGTAGCGGCTTCGGCAGCGTCAGACTCGGCCTTGGGGGTTGCTCGTCCAGAAGCATTGTCTCGTAGACCACGAACGGCGGCATGCGGTGCGGGAGCCGTGTCGTCTGCAAGAGCACCAGCCATGGCAAGCGCATTCAGAGCACCACCGCCAGGCTTTGCAGCCTTTTCCCGTTCCAGTTTCTCCTTTTCCAGTCTCTCCTTGGTCTCTCCCATCTTCTCGTCCGGGGGGTACAAGTGGGGGTATAGATCTCTTAAAGAGATGAAACCAATCTTGATGAGGAAAGCGGCAAGATAGATGAGGTTATCAGGAAGAACATCATGTTTGTCGCGAGCAGCAGAATAGTAGAAGGCTAGTTTGAAGCCAAGTAGTTGAGCAGCGTCGGAGTTGCCAGGAGGTACGATGCAACCGGTTTGACGCATCCATTTGCGGGCGTTGTTGGTGCGAAGGCGGCGGATCATGTTCATCTCACGACCTCTGGCGTCCAACTCGGGCTTGAGTTCGGTGTTCAGAAGATCGGCAACGGCAGAAGCATCCAGATTTGTGATGCGAAGAGCGCCAATATCGAAGAAAGCCTCCATGCCCACTTTGCGTACTTGTTGCCAGAAATCCACATCACGGGCTTCCTTGAGAGCAGCGAGTTGGGCACGCTGTTCCGAAGTCTGACTCGACGATGCCGAATGGGGAAGAGCCCAAGCTGGTAGAGAGGTAAAGCCCTGGCCTTGAGTCTGGAAACCTTCCGGAATATGCTGTTCTGGCCACCATGAACTTGCGCGTAGATACTTGATGAAAAAGCGGCAGTTCTTTATCAGTAGGTTTGCCATGACATCCAGAGTGATATCCAGGACTCGGCCAACGTCGAGATCGAAAGAGCCGACGAGAGCCTTGATGCGCTGGAACGTATGCTCAGCGATCAGGTCAGAGGTCAAACCAGCATTGGCGGCGTGGAAATATTCGGTGATGAGCTTTGAGTAGCCCTCTGACTCTTCACGCAGCAAATTGAAGTTAGCCTGGCGGTAGATGAGGTTTGTCGTCTTGCGGTTGCGAATAGTCGAGAAGGTGTTGCGCACGAGACCGAGTGCCGACAGGGGTTCGATATCGAGCTCGTTGCGGAGGAGATGAGCAGAGAGGCCAGCGTGGTGAACAAGTGTCTTGAGAACGGGATTCTTCCAGTCCGTGTCGTCGAGCAGAGCCAGCGTGTCGCCAAAGACAGACTGCAGCTCGTCGGTAGGGGCCACTTGTTTCAGCACTTCGGCGCACTCTCCAGCAGACAAACGGCCGTCCAATGTTGTCCTCAGCAGCTCTTGTATGAGTGTGTTCGACACCACATCCTTGTCCTCTGCGCTCTCCAGAGCGTCCAGCACCGACTGCTTTCCCTTTGCCTGCCACGCGCTCACAGCATCATCGGTCAAGTAGTCGTAGGCATAAGGAGCCGGGGGTTCCTTGGGCGTCGGTGGGTACTGAGGAAGGACGAGGGGAGGAGCCGGCGTGGCAGCGGGTGTCGGTTGCAGAGCAGGGCGTACTGGCTCTGGTTGCTGCAGCTGTTGCGGCGGTGGTTGCGCATTCTGCTGTGGAGTGTGTGGAGTCTGCGCGGGCGAGTTTCTTGCGGAGGAGGGTTGCGAGAAGTTGGCGTGGCGGTTGTGAGTAGGAGTCGAGTTGTTGGAGCGGTTCTGGCTAGCATTTCCATTGCGACGGTTGTTATTGTTGTTGCGCTGGTTCTGCTGGGCCAGATTGAGGTTCTCAGGACGGTGGGGTGAGGCGCGGTTCTGGTGGTCGTCCTGCGGGCGCTTTCTCTTTTGCTGTGCAGGCGCCATCTTTTATGCCGCCTTCATGTGTTGCAAGGCCTGTGTATGCGTAGCTCTTGTGTGGGAGAGCCTGTCTATGCGCGGTGCATGGGTCGAGTGTTTGCTGCGGGTGCCTGATCGCACCTTTCAGTCTTGAAGTTTTGCGCGTTACTGTAATTGCAGTCGCTATCCGGTCCAGGGTGATTCCAGGAAAGACGCGTCTATTCGAGTCGATGGGTATGCGCTTGGGTTGCTCCTCCTCGCTGTTCGTCAAACTCTCAAGCTTGTTCGACTGCCGCCGCAATGCACCATGGTCTGTGCTCAATACCAGAACTCGTCATTGTCATCAGCCTACTTATTGTGATTGACCTGTCGCCAGCACAGATACTATTATCACCTGTTCGTAGTGTTAACGTATAGATGTGAGGCATCATCATCGCTGTATTCAAGACTTGCACACGACTCTTCACTTGAGACTAAGTGTGCTGTCGGGCGGTATCCAGGCCACTTTTATGAGACAAGTACGAAAGGTATACACAAGAGGTCCATATCACACACGATAGACCAAAGGAAGATCATATGAGCATAGTAGAAAAAACAGCAATGTACCGCATGCATGATTTACTTTTTTCTAGTTCTCCCTTCCCAAGCAAAAATTTTCCCTTATCCAAATAAATCCATAACTGACCAAGGTGATAAGAAAGGTGAACAACACGGGTATCGACAAGAAACAAAAAACCGGGGATATCTTAGAAAGAAGATGAACAGAAAGAAAAAGTAAGCGGGGTTAGAGGGAAAAGGTCGTAGATCGTCGTGAAAGTCGCAGACATGTCTGCTTCTCTATGACTCCTCGGCAAGGAGCTCGTCTCCAGTCTCGCGCCACTCGCGGCTGCGGTCATTGAGACGTCTTGTTCCGGGCACGCGTGTGGCCCACAAGCTTTCAGCTGGAGTGCGCATGGTGAAACCACGCTGGCTGCTGATCACACCGATAGCCTGCAAGACAGCTTTACGACTGTCACGGCCGAAGACGGCAGGGTGATTGATCCACTCCAAGGAGGCAGCAAGCTCCGTATCGAGGGCTGACATGATGTCGGCATCAATGCCTGCGGCGGGAGTAAAGGGGCTCAGAGGCTCCAGACGAGGTGGTGTAGGGGTGCGTCTGGGCTCCATGGACACCGGAGTCCCCATGAATATGGGAGGCGGTGGAAGAGGTCCCGTAGGTGGGCCCGATGGTGGATAGTCTGTGCCGTTGCTGTGAATGCTTGCTGTAGGAGTAGGAGGGAGACGAGCAGTCGGTGGCGCTGAAGGTGGTGGGAGAGGAGGAAGTCCACCTTTTCCGAGACCCTTCAATATACTGCGGGTCTCTGTCAGAAGATGACAAGCTCTTTCGTGTTGGCCTCGGGAAACCAATGTCAAAGCTCGGGTGAGCATATCGGATGTTAGCAGCTCCATGCGTCGTTGGACCACAGACGGGTGGGGAGGAATTGGCGGAGTTGCTGCACGGCTCATCGAGGCCTTCTTCGAGACCGGAGGAAGCATGGTAATCGCAAGAAGTGACGGGCGGGGAAGCTGAGTGACATTGCCTTCGCGAAGAATGTCGCCCCAAGCAAGATCGGCTTGAATGAGAGGAACTTCCTCGACAGAGACTGGACGCATATCATCCTGGTCAAGAGGTCCACCAAGAGCCTCAAGTCCAGAGACAATCGTCTCCCAAGGATCTTGCAAATCCTGCTCGGGAGTCGAGTTGTCGGGTGAAATGGCTAGTTGCACAAGAATGTCTATACGAGCATTAGTATCGCAGATGAAATGAAGTTGGCAGTTAGCTCACCTCTCCTGTCACCGAAGCGCAAATCGCCCAATGAGGCCTCGGCATCGCGACCGGTGGCGCGCTTTGTGATTTGTAGCGCTCCACTGATTTTGACGAATTTGGCAGGTGAGCCTTCGGGCAAGCGCAGTTTCAGCTTAGCGTTTTGATGTGAAACGCTTTGCAGGGATCCCAGACAGCCAGCCACGCATTCCCGAAGCATCATCCAGTCTTTGACATATGTATATGTTGCCTTGGTGCGGGTTGAGAGTTCGATCATGGTGTCGGGCTTGTGCGTGAGACCTAGACCGAATGAATGTATCGCGATTCTGTGATTCGTTAGCTTCTGTGATTGGGCTTTTCAGGATGAAGAATGCTTACTTTGCGGCTTCGGCGCGAGAGACAACAAAATCGACACTCTCGATCTCGGACGTTGTGGAGTCGCTGATGAGCATGACTCCAGAGATGGGGTTGGCTGCCTTTCTCTGCATCAAGAGATCCATGGCTACGTTTGCGCCATCGACAACATCGGCACGCAAGCTCTTCTGTCCGATGGGCTTGATTGCCTCGAAAACTCTAGACCAGCCATTCCAGTTTTTGGATGTCATTCCCACGACAGGCATGCTGCCTCCGCTAGATCCGTAGGTGACAAGGCCCATACGATCCTGCTCGCCAAGATTGTTTACGAGGAAGCGCAAGACATCGCGAAGCAGAGAGATTTTGAGCCCTTGCATAGACGAAGAGAGCGGTACGACAACGACAATGTCCAGAGGAACGTGCATAGCCATGGGGAGTCTGAACCCATGTGTACCTCGGAAGGTAGGGCTGGTGTATTCCGTGGGTGCGGTGTAGGCGGATTTACCAGCACCGTACGAAGACGGGATAGAGGAACGTCTACCTCCTCTAGAGGCCAGATCTTCGTCTTCGGTGCCAGAAGTTTCAAAGTCTTCGTCGCTTTCGCCCATCTCGATGTTATTGATACTGATAAGGGCGCGACGCCAGATGTCCAGCTGCGATCGATCGTGGAATTGAAGGTGGAAATGCGGGAGCTCGGCGACTGAGAGATTCAGGGTGAGTATGTCGTGATCGGGAACAAACTGGACCTGCTTCAAGTGTCTCTTGATCAAGATGGAACCCTTGAGAGTGCACTTGGTCCTCATCTTGGCAGATTCCGAGGCCGTCTCCCATTGATTTTGAGGCTTCTTCTCCTTTATGCAAATGAGCATTTCGGTGAAAAGATAGCACTCCAAGTCCTGCCATGACTGGCGATCTTTGCCTACGCGAATGGTGCCATGGAGTAGCAAACGGCCGAATCTGTTTGATCTCACGTCAGCGTTGTACCAGAAAATACAAGGGGGAGCGTATTTACCGTGAAAAGTCCAGACCATGCCAATTGTCGACTTTGGTATGCAGATCCTCGGTGACGCGATCCAGTACGTGAGACGGTGTATGGGGCAGATCAAATTGCTTCTGGGGATCGGGAGAACGAGGCATTGACATATTGTCGAGGCTGTCGGCAGCAGGAGAAACGATGTCCTCGGGATCGGGACGCCATTTTCCATCGACAACTTCGACAGTAATCAGGCAGGTCAAGCTTTGCTGCTGTCGGCTTCGGTTCAGTGTGGGGAACTCTGTACGGACAGTGACAGTAGGAGCAGGTATGGGGTTCTTGATGTTGGGCCGCGGGCTCGGAATGTCAGCAGCGATGGACTGGAGATCGTATTCGATCCTGCGATTGCGAGACTCGTCTGTGGCTTGGCTGTTGTTTCTCTCGTGCTGGCGCGATTCGACAGATCTAGTGTGATGGCTGTTGGTGTGGGTGAGGTGCGTGTTGTGCGTGTTGACGCTGTTGCTGTGCTGGTGGGAACGCGTGAAACTGGCTTGTGTTGGTGGACGCGGGCTCGGATCCAGGATCGCAGTCTGGACCGAGTTGTGGCTGTGGTGGGCATGGCTTTGGACGGAATCGTGACTGTGATGAGCATGGCTTGGAGTCGAGGCATAAGTTTGGTGGGTATGGCGAGGCGGGTCGTCCCAGGGCGTGGGATTGTTATCGGAATCTCTTGTGCGATCGCGCAAGTCGGGGCTGTTTGCGCTGCGATTGTTGACGAGGTTGTTAAGTTTGGCTGAGAGGTTGTCAGCGACCGACAGAGCGGTCGAGATGGTGGGGTTTGTGTTACCAAAGTTCAGGTTTCCGCCTCGGCTGGTGTCAAGGCCCAGTGGAGCGTTACACGAAGGGCATTCCTGGGACTCAAACTCCTTGATAAACTCGTAGAAGCAAGCTTCGTGAGCGACATGGCCGCACGACAGCTGCAGAATGCGCTCTCCGCGCAACGTGTGTTCCAGCGGCTCCTCGCATGCGGCGCATTCGGTGCCGATCAGAGTACGCTCGCGTCTCGACTTTGGACCGGTGGCATCGATCATGTCGCCGAGCTCGTCGTGCGAGGTCGAGGGCGGGGCTGGAGCGAGGTTTTGGGCCTGCTGCTTCTTCAGACGAGACGAGTTCGAGCCGCCTCTCAGCGAGGCAAACCTTCGAGTCGTCGTCTTGGGCGTCGTTGTCGGAGTGGCCGTTATGGTGGCCGTGTGAGTACTGGGACTGAAAAATGTACTACTTCTCGAGCCGGGACGAAAGACGGACGCAAAAGAGTGTTGAGGAGGGTCCGCCATGGATGTAGCGCAGAGTCGCAATTGCCAATGACGACGAGCAGGCAGCTGGTCTGAGATGCCGATAGTGTACGAGGCATAACCCAATTGCTGTCTGAGCGCTCACGCTTGAATCGACGACGAGCTCGGTCCTTGCAAAAACGCTCAAGCACCAGGGTCTCAGAGTCAATCTAATCTTCTGGCCCAAACTCTGATCCTCTCTTTTGCTTGGGCCCTCCCACATTATCATCTCATCATTATTGACCCGAGGCCTCGCCTGCTTGATTCATTTTGTCGCCTGCCTATCGCCCAAGACTGCAATCTGCAGGCGTTTCTCAATCTCGCCTTGATCACTTCCATGTATCGACACGTGCATGCAGGCTTAGGCCAATATTGAAAAACTTGTCATGAATACCTATCCAACGGCTAAGCATCCGTTCTATGCTACCGAGTACCGGATCCGCGACTCCCAGTCGAGCCGTTAACTTCAGAAACAGCACCCAAACCATCTTTGTGCTTCTCTGCCCACTTCCTGTTTTTTGTCATGCCGAATGACCGAGTCCACTCTTTGCTCTGCTCCCTGCTCCGAGCGCCTTGGCCATGCTCCGCCACGAGTCGCGACTTCCTAGCTTAAGCCCTGCACAGATTATTATTGCCATAACCCTTCCCCGAACCGCCAATCCTCGCTCTAACCTGCCGCTTGTCTCATAAACATGTCTATCTTTCTCTGTCACGCGAACTCTTCCCATCGCTCGCACACTACAACTCTTGTCTAGAGCTGTCTATTTTCATTGAAATATACTCCTACTCCTTCTTCTACACATTATCACCAACAACACTCGGCCGTCCTGCGGAAGCCATGTGCAAGGCTTCTGTATCAGCCAGCCGCTTCATGCTTTGGTCTCGTCGAAACTCACTGCCTCTCCACACCGGATGCACAAACCTTAACCTGTCTGCCACCGTGCCACGCGATGCCACGCTCTACCATCGAAATCGAAACTTCTATGCTTCAGCGTTTCCCTGTTGTGTGATTGGACGTCGTCATTGCTTTGCCAAAATCCGTTCACTCTACAATCCTCATCATCATGGGCATATGTGCCTTGTGCTCGCCAGCGTCTAAGCACACATCCCAACTGTCGCAATCCTGTCAGGCCACCTTCTCTGGTCCGCCCAGTGCCGACCACGTTTCAGACACCAGCCAGAGCTGATGTTTCTCGCACACAGCCTTCGTTGTTATCGCTTATCTGGCCCTCGTCTTGGGATCTTTCAACAGGTACTACCTTTGAGGCCAGATAATCAACAGTGTCGTCTATAAAGTTTCGTTCTTGCTTTCTAGAAGCCGTCATTCTCCATCCTCAAGCTTTCCGGTGTACTTCTCCAGGGTACAATCCAAAACCGCGAGGTGGCTCATTCAGGCAATACCGCCTCCCCATCGTTCTGGTGTTCATGCTTCATCCTTGCGTGCAAAGCGGGAGGTCGCGATAACACTTGACTCTGCACTGACGATTTCCTAGAAGCAGATGCAGACAATGCCATGTCCTCCAATGCGTCGTTCTCACGATACAAGCAGCATACGTGAACACACAGCCAAGAAGTTTTTTGATCCTACGAAAGCGCCATAGAAACTTTGGTCCCCTCAGTGACACGTTTGGAAGATAGTTCACCAATTCTCTCATGGCTTTACGGCCGTTACTGTGCATTCTCCCTCGGTGGTCCCGGCTGCAGACCAAATCTCGAGCATGAATGATACCACGAATTTCGAGGTTCGATCAGTCCGCGATTCTGGACCAAGCTAGTCACACGCTTGATCATTGCCATGGCACCTCGGAAGAAGGAAAAGCATTCTGACACGGGAGAAGTATGGCAGCTGTGCCTTCAATGCCTTCATGAATCAGATGTCCGTACAATTCTCGTCAACCACAACCTAAATTAGGTAGAGGGCAGAGCTCATCATGAGGTACGCTAATAAGGTCCAGCTGGCTAAACCTGTATAAGAAGTCGAATGTGCTTTTAGGCGCCAAGTGGGCAACGACTAAAACGGCTGACATGCATCGAAATTCTGGTGTTACATGACTCTTTTGACTGCAACCCTGGTGCGACCACGCGCCATAGACCCAGCAATGGCGCAGAGTCCTCTGTGTCTTGCCATGCGCAAAGGAGCACAAACAGAGAGATTCCCACAGCACACGCTTGTTGCAGGATCACCCGGCTCCGCACTGTTCGTGATGGCCAGCTGGGAGAGGGTGCATCGCGTCTTTTGCAGATCTCCCGCACTCAGCCCTGACTCGTGCACAACTTCTATGCATGGAACACAAATACTGCACGGCTTCCACGCTTTGCTCTCTTGTCGGTATCTTCTCCGAATACGTTCTCGGTATGCACTCGGGTCTTTTTCACATGTACTCGCCTCCAAAGTCTCTATCTTCATGATCAGATGCATGACGAACCTTGACGCGGTAGCTGTAGTCAAAGGCCCAGATCTATGCAAGCAACCTTGGTGGGCAGGATATGCTTAAATCGTTACGTCCGAAGTCGTCCTCGGAGCGGGAGAACAAAAGTCTGCTTCCTGACATCGAAAAGAAGCTGTCATGCTGAATAGGAGTAAACCCAGATTCTGTACTCCGTACATGTCAACCTTAAGCGTGTCCATCTCGAATAGACACGAGGCACGTATGTTCTTGGGTGATGTTTCACAAGATTTATGTGTGAGCTTGTCGGTTGGGTGTCCGACGTCGCTTTCTTGCTCCCTCTTTGTGTGCCAAAGTGTCAGTTTTCATGTTCCTCTCATCGAGGATCAACTTGACGTGTCGGAAGGACAATGTACGATGAATCCAGACTAGAGAGGTTCTTGAGTAAAGTTGTTGCAACGGTGAATCTTGCTGAACATCATTCAGACTACGTGCGATGTGATGGCGTTCAAGCGTTGTCGATTCTCTGTACAGAAAAGACGAATTCTCAGGCTCAACCCAGACAAAGCAACTTCACCAGTTCACTTAACGACAATTAAAGTACCTTGTACACTTACAGACTAAAATTGATGTGATGTGACAAAGACAATAAGGATGGGAATTAGAAGAAGAGAAGACCAGGGTGATACTGTATACAATGTGTGCCAAGCCTTCGAGATGGCCAATCACAACTGACCGCTCTTGAAGTTCTGCAAACACGGCTCTTCCTTCCCTTGAACATAAACGACTCGGATCGTGAATTAACGAGATAATGGAAGGAAGGAATGAGGCATTCCAGGGAGTGTGTACCCCTAAGTCGGCAGTGATCCTGGTCATGTCGTTCTGACAATGTGTAGCTCAAACCGATCTGCATTGCCCTCAGCCAGTCGACCTTAGCATTTGCGGGCAACAGCAGGAATGTCGACAACATCATCAAAACTCTGGAAACATTATCACGGACACTAGGAGAGGTTACCACACGACCAGCTGCTTTTGACCACAAATTAGCCGACTATGTCTTCTTCCCTATCTCACAGGTCCTCAAAGCGAGCCGGGATCTTCCAGTTCAGGCTATGGAAGCATGTTTGCGGTGTTTGAACATCCTGATCTCGAAAGGCTGGACGAAAAACATGGACTCGAATTTGAGTGGTCAGCTTCTGATCTTTTTGACACTCACTTGCGATACATCTGGAAAGACGGTGCCGTCAGGGCTTGCTACGGATGAGCTTCGCTCGGTTGGATTCCAGTGCATGCAGGCACTCTTCCAGTCCTTGAGCAACAGTGCTGCAGGGAAAGCTTCTCTAGTTGGGGCTGCAAATGTCCCATCTTTGGGTCATGCTGTCTCTGTCATTCTTGATGGTATTACCAGCGGAGAGTCTTTTCAGGTCCAACTGGCGGCAGCAGAGGCATTGAAGTCATTGGTTGCCTGCATAGATGACCGGGAAGTGCTGTCAAGTTTCCTTCCTGGTATAGTTTCATCCTGGACCAAGGCTCTCACACCCAATACAAACGGTCGCCGACATTGGAGAGTTCTCGTGGCTGGTCTGCAGACAATTGAATCACTCCTGCAGACACTCCTCAGCGATGCAGTAACCGACAAGCTTTCATCTCCAGTAGAGGGACAAGCACTGCCGAGAGAACAAAAGACCACGAAGCTGGATGGTAGTTGGGTGAAAGCAACAGCAGCACAGTTGAAAGTTGCGATAGCGAACATCAACAGACTGCGTACACACGAACGTCCAGAAGTACAAGAAGCTGTTCTCGAATTTAACTTGACACTTCTCTCGGAGTGCAGCCACGCACTAGTGGACTCTTGTGCTTTAGCGACAGAAACCGTCTTACCACTCATCCAAGAAGATTCAAATGCTGCGTACAGAGACAGAATTGCAAGTCTGACTCAGAATAATACAACAATATCAGATCTCTTGTCGACAGTGTTCCGTAACGAACAACTCTCGATGGTGCGAATTATGCAGTCGAATGACGACCAAGCGAAAGAGCGATCACTCGGCAAGCTTTTTGGAGCATACACGATACTGGCTGACACAGAGGTTGACATGACCATGATCTCGAGGATGCTCGGAAGCGGGTTGAAAGATAGTGTGACGACTATCCTTCAACATTCTGTTGACCGTAATGCGAAGATTGCAAGAGTCACGCCCGTCGCCATATCTGATATGTCGCTGCAGACGAGTCAAAAGTCACTGACCTTCACATCGCCGCTGGCAGAGTTCAAGTCTCAAGAAACGATATTGAGTTACATCAGTCAGATGCTGAAGAAACTGAAAGCGACACATCCGTCTCCAAGGCTTTCTTCAGATCTCATGCTGGCCCTGAGAACTTCTGAGAAGACCACTCAAGTCGCGACTTTCTGGTTGATACTACAAGATCTGAAGAACACCAACGATCAAGTCGACGGCTTCATGAACGATGTGTTGGTCGGTGATCTTTACTCTAAGGACCACTCCATCTCGCTGCGAGAACAATTATACTCATTCTCTCTCGAAGTACTAGAGAACGATGAATCCGTTGATTGGCGACTCCAGAGTTTGGCTCTCGAAGCTGTCGCATTACATGCCCAACACCATGGTGTTGAGTTTCGCGATGAGCTCGTAGAAGCACTATATCCCATTCTACATCACCTTGGTGCCGAATCAGGATATGTTCGCGACCACGCAATGACATGTCTAAACATTGTCGCAGATGCATGTGGCTATTCTGACGCAGGCGCACTCATCGTATCGAATGTCGACTATCTCGTCAATGCCGTGGCGCTGAAACTCAATGCTTTTGATGTGTCACCTCAAGGGCCCCAGGTTTTGCTCATGATGGTGCGGTTGGCTGGTCCGTCGTTATTGCCTTACCTGGAAGATACACTGGAGAGTATCTTTGCTGCGTTGGAAGATTATCATGGGTATACGACTTTGGTGGAGCTTCTGTTCGCTGTCCTGCGGACTATGGCTGAAGAGGGTGTCAAAGCTCCGATGCTTTCCATCGCCAATGGTGTGGAATCCACGAAGAAAGACTCGAGATGGACACCCACTGATCTCCAACAACTTCTCGATACCATCAAAGATATTTCTCAAAAACCAATCGATACTTTGGATCCACCAGCCAGCCTCTTCGACCCCGAAGACGAGAACACACCCTCGGACCGACTCGAAGAAACAGATTCCACGCCACCACCGCCCCCAAAAACCTACACCCTCCTCCTCAAGATAACTGAACTGACTCAACATTACCTCTCCTCCTCCTCACCCTCTCTACGCACATCTCTCTTCTCTCTACTCAACACCACTATTCCCTTTCTCGCAAAACACGAAAACTCATTCTTGCCGCTCATCAACACATTATGGCCCGAAGTCACTTCCCGCCTCTTTGACACTGAAGCTTACATAGTAAGCGGATCTCTCAACATCATTGCTGCAATGAGTGAGCACGCAGGCACCTTCATGCGGACCAGGATTGAGAGTCTGTGGCCCGAGTTGGCGAGATTGCATAAGAAGGTGCAGAGAAATATACACGCTTCCTCATCAACATCAAAATCATCCCAACAGCAAACGAAGGCACCATCCTTACAACTTTCTGCTACGGCAAAAGCCATGGAAGTGGCTTATATCGATCCCTCCACCAAAACTCTGATGCAGAGTTTACAGAACTTGCTCGTCACGATCGTGAAATTCGTCGAAGTCGATGCAGAGAAATTTGACGATGTGTTGAGGATGTTGGGACCTGTGAATGCTTTATCAGAAGATGCGAAGGAAAGCTTGCAGAGGTATAATGGCGATGCGGTGTGGTTAGCCGAGTACAGGGAGAAGCCATGGCCGTTGAAGATGCCAGAGAGTGCGAGGTTTGTGTTTGCAAGAGCCTAGCTTGGAAACTACCAATGATGAATCTTCGTGATAGAAACCAAAGGGATTGCAGGTCGAGTTGTCTTGTAGTCATGAGACGTCGCTATGTGAAGGGTCGAATTTGCTTTTTGGAGAACAGATGATCTTGCGAGACCGGGATTGTAAGATTTGTTGGTACAATGATTGATCTATGGCTACAATTGAGACTTTTCTACAATGCAAAAAACCCGCCAATGCCGAAATGCCAGAAAGCAAAGATGCTGCGCTATGCCCATCGAAAACAAAAAAAAAAGAGACACCCAAACACACACACAAACGCTTTTTGCTTCCTCTCATACACTTCTCTGCTCTTGTTTCTCTTCTAACACCCATCCGGGAACCAAAACCATCTACGCGTAAGCAAAAAACCACCGCAAAGAGGCCAGACCCACACATGGGCATCTACGACTTCATCTTCCTCCTAATGGATCCAGAAATATGTCTCAGCATCTTCGGACTCTTGTGCTGCTCGCTCTCTCCTTTGGCAGCACTACCTCTCCTCCCCACCGCCGTCTCTTCATTCTGTGTCAGGTTGCCTTGCTGCAACGCTTCAAACCTCTCCGGTCCGATTGAAAAATCCATATCTGCGTGTTCGCGTGCCTCTGCAGTCATAGGTCTCACCTGAGCTCTGCCCAGAGTACTGGAGCCTTCGCTGATGGAGTGGGTAAAGTATTCTGGGCGAGAAGAGGGCGGGGGTGTGGAGACTACGCGGTGACCTGTGTGGCCAGTAGTGTTGGGACGTGAGTTTGCAGCGCCAGAGACTGAAGAGCGCGAGGAGCGAGAGGAAGAAAAGGGTGAAGAGACACGTCCAATAAAGGAGGAAAAGCGCCCGTGGCTAGTTTTGCGGCGGAGAGAGCCATGTGCCGACGTCGAAGACTGGGGTCTTGAGGTCATTCCTCCTGGAGATTCGCCGCGGGTGTTAGGACGATAGGTCTCGGTGTTGCGGTAGAGGCGTTGACTGCCGCCACCACTACCACTGCTCCCTTGCAACAGATGATCGATGGAAGTTTGCGAACGCAAAGGTCTGTGGCGTATCGAAGCTGGGCTGTTGGTAGCGCTGTGCAAACGATCAATCTGCTCGCTCATCTCTTCAAACTTTTCGGGCCCGATGCTCAGATCAGAGTCTAGCATTTCCTTTTCGCCTAGCAACTCGGTGATCTTCTTGTCGTAATCCTCACTCAGAGCTGTGAATTGAAGTCGATAGTGGTGTTGAACCTGAGATTTTCTGTTCGCGAGACGCTCTGCGTGCTCGAGGACTAAGCGGTTATCTTGTGCTTGGAATTCGTTGCTGGCGAAGAACGTGGATGTCGATGGCTGTATGCCAGTGTCAAGAGGTTGTGAGTGGCTTGCTCTCAATTTGTTGCGAGCAGCTTCGAGTTCAGAGGCATGCTGAGATTCGAGTTGTTCCTCACGACGGGCTGTTTCGTCGACCATGGCGTCGTATCTTTGCGTGTACACATCATTGAGTTTGTCTCTAGCTTGCTCCAAGCTATCAACCTGCTCTTTGATCTTCTGCACAAACAGAGACTCGTTCGCAAAAATCACTTTGCCCATATCGGAGACGTCAGATTCCGAACGGCCAAAGTAATCCTCGGCACCCGATCTCTGACTCAAACTTCCCACCGAAGCCGATCTACTGTAAGAGATTGTCTTGTTCGCAGGCGTCGTGGGTCTGAGGAATTGGCTCTGCTTGCTAAGTGCCGCATTCTCCACTAGCGTTTCTTGGAGTTTGTCTTCGAGGGTTTTGATCTTCGAGTCTGAATCAGTACCATTGTCGATGAGGGATTGTTTGGTTTGGTCTAACTCAATGGTAAGGTTCTCCAGTTGGGACGCCAGGGCATCGAATTCTTTTGAAGTGTCGTCTTTTTCTGAGGTTAGTTGTGCGATAGTGGCAGCGGCTTCTTGTCGCTCGGTCTCCACAGTGGCCAGTTTGGTCTCCAATCTCTTTTCCTCAATCTGTCTTTTATTCAACGTCATAATTCTTTCTTCTTCTGTGGCAATCTGCCGTTGTTTTTCACTCTCCATTTCCTTCCTTAATGCGTCCAAATCGATCGTCAAATTTTGCCCTTCCTCCGCCAAATTTTGCATCTCTGACTTTGTCTGCTCGAGCTTTTGATTGGTGACCGCAAGCTCAGCCCTCAACTCCCCAACTGCAGATTCGTGCTCTTCCTTCGCCTTGGCTAGTTGTTGCCTCCGTTCTTGCGTCTCTTTGATGATGTCTTCTTGAGCCCTCCCTTCTACTTCTGTCAGTTTTTGCTTTTCTTGCTGGAGCTCTTCTTGAAGGAGTTGTTGCACACGCACGGCCGATATTTGGGTTTCTTTCTTCTCTTCTTCGAGTTTCGAGAGTTGTTGCTCATATGACTGGACAGATTGTTGTCGCTGATCTTCAGATTGTTGACGGAGGGAGGCGAATTCTTCTTCGTGGCTCTGCTTCAGTTGCGCAAGCTTCTTCTCTGCTTCTTCCTGGCTGGTCGTTAGCAGTTGTTGAACCGTTGCTAGTTCTTGAGAATGGGTTGAAGCCATCTCTGTGAGTCTGGTCACGGTCTCGGCGGCTTGGACTTCGAGAGCCTTCTGGTGGCTGGTCTCGAGCTGCTCAAGGCGAGATTGAAGCTCTGCTTGAGTTTTCTCGGCAGTTTGTTGCACGTTGGCAAGCTTTTGATCATGCTGCTGGTTGGCCTCGGAGAGTTTAGTATCTCTGTCGGCGACATGGCTGCTGAGTTCCTTCTCATGTTGTTGGCGAAGACCATCAAGTTGAGACTGCAACTCCGCCTGAGCCTCCTCTCTAGCTCGCTGCGCATCTGTGACGGCTTGCTCGTGCTTGATCTTCAATTCAGCAATGTTCTTGTCATTTCCAGCGGCACAATCATCGAGCTCCTTCTTGTGCTGTCCGCGGAGAGTTTCCAATTGTGCCTCTACCTCGTCAGTCTTAGCCTTCTCAACCTCTTGACGGAAAGTGGTCAGGTGAGACTCGTGGTTACGCTTGAGCTCAGCAATCTTGTCCTCCGACTCGCGTGCATGAGATTCAAGTTTGCTTTGATGCTCTTGACCAAGTTTCTCGATCTGAGCTTGCAGATCGTCATGCTTTGCTTGAGCGTCGCTTTGACGGGTCGTGGCTGCTTGGCGAAGGCTTTCAATCTCCTTGAGAGCTTGCTGAGTCTCGGCAGATTTGGCCTCTACCTCTTCACGGAGCGTAGATACCTCAGTCTGGTTGTCTAGATGAAGTTTGCTGAGTTGGGCGTTCAGTTCGTCCACTTGCTTCTTAACAGCCTGGCGGGCTTCAGCGGTGCTCTTTCCCTGGACGTCGAGCTCTTCACGATGCGTGGAACGTAGCTTTTCGAGCTCCTGCTGGTGCTTCTCAACAGCCTCGGAAGAAGTCGCCTCAGAAGCTCGCTTGACTTCCTCAAGCTGCACACGATGCTTAGCTTCCAGTCCCTTGATCGCTTGCTTGTGCACCTTCGAAGTCTCTGCTAACATGCCCTCATAAGTATCCTGGGTTTCATCGAGCTGAGTGACATGCTTGACCTTCAACTCGTCGACCTCCTGCTGGTACTTTTGCAGCGTCTCTGCAGAGGCAGCCTCGGAACTCCTCTTGACCTCCTCAACTTCTGTACGGAGCTTAGCTTCTAGCTGTTCGACTTCCTGCTTGTGCTTTTGCGAAGTCTCTGCAGATATTGCCTCAGAAGTCTTCTGAACCTCCTCGAGCTGAGCTAAATGCTTGGCTTCTAACTCATGAATCTCCTGCTGATACTTCTGAGCAGTCTCGGAAGAAGTAGCTTCAGAAGCTTTTTTGGCCTCGTCGAGCTGCACCTTGTGCTTGACCTCAAGCGCTTCTATCTCCTGCTTGTGCTTCTGAGAAGTCTCTGCAGAGGTGCCCTCAGAAGTCTTCTGGACCTCATCAAGCTGAGCGTTGTGCTTGGCAATCAGCCCCTCAATTTCCTGTTGATGCTTTTGCAGAATCTCTGCAGAGGCAGTCTCAGAGTTTCTCTTGATCTCCTCGATTTCTGCACGGAGCTTGGCTTCTGTGTCCTTGAGGGCGGAACTGTGAGACTCTTGGAGCTGCTGAACGCGGTCCTCATGACGCTTGTTCAACTCATCGCGGAGAACACCAATGTTCTTGACGTGGTTGGTCTTGACATCCTTCAGAGCAGAACCATGCGTGCTTTCGAGCTTTCTGAGTTGCTCCTCATGCTTAGTCTCGACCTCGCGGAGGTGGCTGGCATGTGTTTTGTTGCTTTGAGCCAAGGATTCTTCGGCGATCCTGGCTTTGTCCGATGCTGCATCCAGTGCTGACTGGCGCTCTTGCTGCAGACGCTCTATTTGCTGCTTGAGGTCGGCTTGTTCGATTTGAGCGTCCTCGGCCTCTTTCTGGGAAGCACGAAGCTTCTCTTCGTTTTCGGCTTTTAGAGCTTCAATTTGACCTTGCAACTGATTCTGAACCTCTTTGGTCCCTTTGTCGTTCTTCTCGAGAGTTTCTTGGTGTTCGGTCTTCAAAGCGTCCAGTTGCTGCTTGAGTTTGCTCTGGGCATCGTTGGCATCCTTCACTGTTTTCTCGAATTGCGCCTTGTGCTCATCGTTAAGCTCCTGGATCTTCTGTGCTGAGTCTCTGGCAGTACTCTCTGCGTCTTGGCGTTGTTGTTGTTCTGAAGAAAGACGTTCCTCATGAGTCTTCGCCAGATCTTGTAAATCCTTGTCGTGTTTGGCCTTGGTGGATGCAAGCTTTTCATTGAGTTCTTGCACTTGGGCTTTCAGATCATCTTGTACCTCGACGACACGCTTCTCGAGCTCGCCCGCACGTTGCTCTGCAGCCTCAAGAGCTTTCTTGCTTCCTTCCTGAGAACCACGCGCTTCCTGCACCTCGGCCTCAAGCTGGCTTCGAGCCTCGGCATTTTTCTCCTCGTAACGGGTCTTGATGGCTGTGAGCATTGACTTGTGGGTTTGCGCTGCATCCTGAAGCTTCTTCTCCAAATCAGCATACGCAGACTCGTGAGCTTGCTTGGCAGACTCAAAATCTTTGAGATACTTCTTCTCATGATCGTTCTGCTCAGAGCGAGCTTTCTCAACTTGACGCTGGGCATCTTCCTTGACTTGTTTGAGTTCGGTCTCGTGGGAGGCCATGGCTGACTTCAATGCATCAAGTCGACGCTCGAGCTCCGAAACAGCGGTGTCACGAGCTTGCTTGATGTCGGCAAGCTCAGCACTAGACTGCTCTGCAGAAGCCTTGAGTGTGTTCTCATGATCGTGGCGTAACTTGCTCAATGCTTCTTTATGGCTTTGGTCTGCTTCCTTACGGAGAGCTACGTTGGACTTTTCGACCTCGGAAAGGTTCTCGGTTGCCTTCTGCAATGCTTCCGAGACTTCTGCCAACTTCTTGTCCTTGGCTTCACGCAACTCATCAAACCGCTTGCGGGACTCTTTGAGGTGAGTCGAGACTTTGGATAGCTCTTCTTCAACTTGCTTCTTAGATTTGCGCAGTGTCTCGTGCTCTTCAGAAGCAGAATCTGCTTGCTTGCGAGAAGATGCCAATTCTTGTTCGACTTCACGCTTGGAAGCGCGGAGTCGCTCGAGCTCTTGAGTAGCTTGTGATGCTTCTTCTTGAGAGGCGGTGAGCTGTTGCTGAGCCTCGTCCTTAGAACTGCGGAGTTGCTTGATTTCTGCCAGTAGGGTAGCAACCTTCTCACGGAAGAGAGTCAGCAGTCTTTCAACTTCGTCCTTGGACTTCTGAACTTCAGTAATGTCTTTAGACAGGGCAGCTGCATGCTCTTCAGAAGCGACCAAGCGCTGCTCAACATCAGTCATGCTTTGGTGAAGACGCTCGAACTCCTTATCAGACTTGTGTAGTTCTTCTCGCAGAGGTTCCAGCTGCTGCTCAAGATCATGTTTAGCTTGACGTAAGTCTGCAAGCTCTGTTGATGTTGATGAGTTTTCCTTGAGAGAAGTGGCCAACTTTTGTTCAACCTCTGCCTTTGAGTTTCGCAAAGAATCAAGCTCGTTGTTCAAAGCCAGCGCATGCTCTTGAGAAGTTGCAAGTTGTTTTTCAATTTGGTCTTTGGATTCGCGAAGATCCTCGACATTGCCCTTGAATAAACTCATTGAGGACTCGAGCTCGTGCTTGGATTGACGAAGTTGTTCGAGCTCCTCAGTGAGTGCCGATGCACGATTTTGGGACGTAACGAGCTGCGACTCAATCTCCGCGATATGTGCTCTACTTTGCTTGTCTGCCTCTTCTCGTTGCTTGACCTCTTTTAGAGACTTGGCAAGCCTCCCAGCGACCTCTGCTAGCCTTGTCTTCAAAGCGTTGTCAGATTCTGCTGCGTTCTGGCGAACATTGGCTAGGTCCTTGAGAAAAGCCTCGTGTTTTTGGTTGTGCTCATCGTGTATCTTTCGTGAAGATGTTTTGTAGTCATCGAGTTGGCGTGTGTAGTCATCTTGAGCCTTTGAAAGCTCTGAGCGGATGCTGTCCAACTCCTTGGTCTTGTCGGCAAGGGTTGTTTGCACAGCCTTTTGGGCCTCGGTGTGCTGGCTATGGGCTTCTTCAAGCTTGTGGATAGCCTCTTGACGTCCCTTCTGAGTAGAGGAGAGCTGTGTCTTGGTGTCATCGAGTTCTGCGGTGACGGTCTCCTTCTCGCTCTTGACCGACAGCAGCTCTTGCTCGATCCTACGCTTCTCCGCCTCATGCTCTCGAGTTGCATTCTCCAGAGCTTGAGTAGCGGTGGCTAGTTGCTTCTCCAGGTCGGTGGCTTTCTGTATGAAAGTTGCAAGCTCGGCGTCAATGTCGGCTTTGGATGACTTCAGACTGTTCAGGGCCTCATCAGCCTCTTTTTGCTTGGTATGACTATCCTGGACGGATTTGTGAAGATTTTCGGCAGCCTTTGCGTTCGCTTCCTGGAGAGCAGCAACCTCTTGTGACTTGCCCTCAAGAGACTCGCGCAGAGTGTTTTCTAGTTCTTCCAAGCTCTTGATTTGTGCCTTTGCTTCAACAGCGGTGGCCGAAGCCTCGGCGATGTTGTGTTCCAGCTCTCGGATCTTGTCATGGGCTGCTTGGAGGGAAGTTTCGAGACTCTCCTTGTCTTTCTCGGCAGCTTTGGAGGCGGCCTCGAGATTGCGGAGCGAAGTAGTGGACTCTTGGTACAGCTTCTGATAATTGTCGCAGTCTCCGCGTAGTTGTGACAGCTGGGTCAGGCTTTCTTCCTTCTCCAAAGTCAAGATTTTGTTCTTTGACACAAGTTCGTCGAAAGATTGCTTGATCTGCTGCTGTTGTGCCTGACTTCCTTCTAACTCTTTGGTAATTTGCTTCAGTTGAACAGCAACCAGCTCTTTCTCATCAATCAAGATATCGATGCGGTTCTCGGCGTTCTCGAGCCATTGCTCTCGCTCGCGCTTTACTTTTTCTAGCTCTTGTCTAGCATGGGACAGCTCTTGGAGGTGCTGGTCTTGTGCTCGCTCGGGGTCGGCGTCGGAGAAAGACTCATCTTCAGAGTCGGGACTAGGATCGCGAGTGGAGGGCCTTGACTTGCGCAGCCTCTTCTGTAGGGATTCGAGTTCTTTGAGGATGTGTTCTTGAGTGATGTGCGGGTGGAATGCGCTTCGGAAGACCTGGTGGCTAATGTTGGAGCCAGACGACAAGCGAACGAGCTCCTTGATACGCTCTACATCTCCTGAGAGAGCAGAAGGAGCTACCGGCAAGCCATTGGCCGTCTCGGCGGGTGACGACATGGCCCTGGTGTGGGTGATGATGTGGTTAGTTGAGATGATCGAAAATGCCAGAAATCATAATGCAGGCTAAGACGCAGAATGCAACAGATGCAGTAACTCAACGCTAAGAGAGATGTATACAGAGGAGAGAGAGAGAGAAAACACACCACTGGCGTGACAAGGGAAATTATTCAGGCAAGATGGCGATGTTGATTCTTGATTCAGGGTCCGTCCACAACTCCGACGCTGCCCGAAGCTTTGGCTGCTGTTCACCGCTCTACCTAGTCAGACAGCAGGACAACAAACATGGCCCATTCTTTGAAACTACCGAAGCAATTGGAAAAATGTTTTGTTTCGAACTTCTGTGCCCAGTCGCCAGTGCATGAACTCGTCGATCGTGCACCGACCTCCTGCAGCCACACCGCTGTTGCGTCCTCCATCTCCCACGTGCAGAACTATGTCACGCGCGCAGCTCTATAAACGCACGATACTCTCAAGAAACAAGATAGCATCTATTGAGAAGCTATAAATCATGTACTCTCTTTGAACTCATCACTGAATCAAAGATCATTATGCCTTTCTACCGCAAAGTTGTCGCTCTAGATCTCCAGGAGAATGCTTGGAGTGACAAACTTTGGCACTCCACATTGAAGCCTCAACCCTGTTGACTATGAAGTCATTGTACCTCGACGTTGAGTAACAACCAAGACTTCTCTTCCTTCAAGACTGAAAATTATCACAGTCCACTGTCTCTGCCATCACAATACGCGAAATCATCTGGAAAAACTGCTGCTCTCTGGGAGCTCGAATTTTCATCTACCAAATACAACCTCCTCCCGATGATTAACCCCCATGCTCAAACAATGCTTGATTCGGTCTTCTCCTTTTTCGACTTTCCAAACGACATCAGGCGCTGGTATGCTCCAGGAATACCCATCCACTCCTCGTTGATTGGAGATTCTCCAGTAAACATCAGCAGATCATAGAGGAATCCACCAAACGTGCAGCCGAAGAAAGGTGCTACCATCGGGATCCAGAAGTAGTAATTGCCTGCCGACCAGACTTCATGTCCATATCCAAGGAAGAAAGACATGAGACGAGGTCCGAAATCTCTGGCAAAGTTGATAGCGTAGCCTGTCTCCCAACCCCAGCATGCGCCGATACCGAAAATGATGAAGAAGAGTCCGAGGGGTGTAAGGTTGCCTGAGCCAAGGTTGGAGTCATCCTTGAGAGCGAAAATGAGGACTGTTCTGAGTCAGTATGTTTTGCATGATCACACATTTTTGAGAAGGATTGCTTACACATAAGAAGAGCACTGGCGATAAATTCCGAGAAGAACATGCCCGTCCGCGTCATGAACTCAGCAGGATATGTGCAGAAGATACCGGCTGTCGAGGTTGCGCTTCCGACCGTTCGGATACTGGCTCCTCCCTCAAACACATCGATGGCCGACTTGTAGTTTGCATATACAACTCCTGACGCACAGCTGGATGATTCTGTCAGTATATGGGAACGACACTGGACCATGGTCGACTTACAATGCTCCGAGAGTTTGGGCCAACATGTAGATCGGGAACTTCTTCCAAGGAAACTTTCGGAATACGCAACTCGAGAAGGTGACCGCAGGATTGAGATGGGCACCACTCTTGCCGCCAGCGTATACACCTAACATGACACCGATACCCCAACCCCAACTGATGGACTGGTAGTCACCCTTCTTGTTATCGGACAAGACCACTTGAGCAACGACACCGTCACCAAACATGATGATAATGAATGTTCCAATGAACTCGGAGAAGGCATCTTGCAACGACAAACGGATTCTAGGCCACAGGAACTTCGGGTCGGTCTTGTCGAGTGCTGCCGCTGTGGGACTTCTGTTGAGTGGGACACCCCTCTCGACGAATTTGGCCTGGGATGCCACAGTATCATCTGAGCGTTCTGAGTCCGATCTGAAATGTTCATTGTGGGTGATCTCCAAGTCTGATAGCTTGTCGGAGAACACCTCAGGATGCTGTTTGATGTCCGACATTGTGGATGATTGATTGAAGATGATCAAAAGGAGAAGGGAAGAGATGCTCGATGAGATGATCAAAACATCAACATGGCCTGGGGCCAGGCTTTATTAATGGTCTGACTACGATCGTTTTTTTTGCTTTCTGATCCTTCTGCGTCCGCCTCCTTGTCTTGGTCCCAATCCTGAGCAACACCCTTGGTCGTTCGGCATCCGGACGTGAGAGCACAAGTCACGCTATCATCACAGATCTTGATCAGCCCAACCACTCACCTGAAAGCGTACCAGGTGCCGTTACGTGTACGCCGTTGATTGTACCTTGACCGCGGCTTGACTACTGCAAAGTAAGCCACTGTCTAGCTGCTTGGTGCTTCCCTGCAGGTTTCCAGAGTGCCAATGCTGCCGACCGGTTCCAGACGAAGGAAAAAGCATACCAGGAACTCCCGTGCCTTCCCAACGTTGTTACCCCGCTGCAAGAATGGGTTGCAGGGCGCAATCACAGATCAGGAGCACTGTACCACTGCTTTCCGGTGTCAAAGTCTTGTACGATCTCGCCTCTGATGAACTCTATCAGACATGCCCAGAGAGCAAGTGACCAAAACGAAACGCCTTGCAACAAGAATGGCTCGTATAGGAGACAGAGACTCGCTTGTCCCACGCTATGGCCCCATTCTCATCCCCAATCCCATCTCTCCAGCTATTGCTTTCGGTCTCTCCGCTATGGGGCACATTGAAAACGGACATGTCATCCGAGCGCAGCAAGCATACCAGACTACGGCCGTGTCCCAAGACTCAACGCTTGGACTTGCATCTTTCGGGATACTGGAAGACGTGCTCTTGCCTCCTTTCAACCCCACGCTTGGTCAGACACGAACACGTACAATGGAGCAAACGTAACAGCCGCCATCGTGTTTACTGGCATTGGCCAGAGCGGATTGTGTCCGCTGGGCGCCTAGGCAGGATTGGGGTAGATATAGGTACGTATACTTTGGTGGCTTGTGACGCCACGCAGCCGCAATACTACATCGCGGCAACGCCGGTTGCGTTCGGTATGATCGCGCTTCGCGGACGTTTTTTGAGGGCTTTGTAGGCCCTCGCACGACTCGCAAGCACAGGGCGCCGGTGTGATTGTCGGCTGTCTTCTACCAACTTTAATGCTATACAGCTACATCTGGAAATAGGTGGCTAATTACCTTGTTGCGAGGCTTGAACATAGTTTTACGGCAGATTGTGATTGCGGGGATACCGAAAATTGCAGCCAGGCAGAAAGGAGAGAAAGCCTTCGCATCCTCTTTGCGTATACGCGCTTGGACGTCAGTTTTGCGACATTTGCTGATTGCTGACGGGTGACACTATCGCGATCATCAGAAGATCCAAGGACTTGGGTATAGCGCCTAGAGACCTCGACTCAGGTAGGAGCTGCAGTCTGTCGTTGGTCCAGCCAACGAAATGATCGGCGAATGGGGAGCCTGCCGAGCGTGGGGTTTGTCTGGGGTTGCGAGATTGAACACGGACCACACGATCGATAATGAATAAACCCGGAATAATCTCGAGAATCTCAACAATCCGAGCTCGGCAAGAACACCGTGACAGCGGAATCCTTCGACCGACGTGGCGCTAAAGGTCGGAGGGCATGTGATTGTCGCGATTGTAACCTCATCAAGCCAAACGACCCATAGCGCTAGAGGGGCACCGTAAGCGCACCGTGAGAGCTAGCTTGTAGGATCGTAGTATGGAAGTCTCGAAGCATTGGCACCTTCAATGCGGGGCTCCATTCTCATTGCGTGCCCATCCGTGCACCGCAAGCCAGCTTTTGAGAAAGATTTTGATGGAAGGATTCTGCTGAGACGCAGGCATCACGAGTGCTGCTTGGGCGGGGCACACGTTTGTGAGGATCCGGCAAGTAGCTTCGCGTCTTCTTCGAGGTTTCGCCAGACCTTTACCCCTCGGGGCCTCACGATAGGAAATGTGGAGGCTCAAGGGACGGCCTAGAGATTTTCCGTGTTGGCATGTGGTGTCAACAGTACCGGTACTTAAGTATACTCGCGCCTTCCCAAGCTCTCTGAAGCTATCTTTCAGAAGCCAGAGTCTATCCTTTTCCACGCGCGTTCGTCTTTTCTCTACACAGCACATCATGGCCGAATTCATTGGTAGCATTGATCAAGGAACCACCAGTTCGAGGTTCTTGATCTTCAACAAAGCTGGAGAGCCTGTTGCATCTCATCAAGAAGTATGCGATCAGTAGCTGTTGTTCTAGCTTGAGTGTACGAAGCTAACTTTCCTTTCCATAGGAATTCTCTCAAATCTACCCTCAGCCTGGATGGCACGAGCATGATCCTGAGGAGATTGTTTCTTCCGTGCACAACTGCATCGAGGGTGCTATCGAGACCTTCAAGAAAGATGGAAACTCAATTGACAGCATCAAGGCAATCGGCATCACCAACCGTGAGACATGATCCGATTATGTCATGTCTATCTTTTCACTAACTTATAACAGAGCGCGAGACCACTGTTGTCTGGGACATCGAGTCAGGAGAGGCACTTCACAACGCCATTGTCTGGACCGACACTCGTTCTCAGTCAATCGTGAAAGAGTTGAAGACTCGTAAGGGCGCTGACGACCTCATGCAAAAGTCTGGTCTACCTATCTCCACCTACCCCAGTGTCACCAAGCTTCTATGGCTGCTCAAGAACGAGCCAAAGGTGAAAGAAGCATATGAGAAGGGCACCCTCGCCTTTGGAACCATCGATGCCTGGCTCGTCTACAAGCTCAATGGACACGAGAAGAGAGTCTTTGTCTCTGATCCCACCAATGCATCCAGAACTTATTTCATGAACATCCACAACCTCCGTTACGATCCCGAGCTCATTGCCTTCTTCAGCGATGAAGAGTTCGATCTCTCGAGAATCCACATGCCCGACATTGTTAAGTCTTCGTGCGACAAGGCCTACGGCACCATTGGTTCGGGAGTTCTGTCCGGCTTCAAACTTGCCGGATGTCTGGGTGACCAGTCTGCTGCCCTGGTCGGCCAGAAAGGTTTCGATGCAGGTAGCGCAAAGAACACGTAAGTCACGCTTATGGTGTGTGTCACAAACATCCCAGCAAACTGACAAACAAAAAGATACGGCACAGGTTCCTTCATCTTGTACAACACTGGCAACAAGCCCGTCATCTCGACCCACGGTCTGCTCACCACCGTCGCGTACGACTTTGACGGCACACCCAGCTACGCCCTCGAGGGTTCCATCGCAGTAGCCGGTTCGGGTGTAAAGTTCCTCATGAACAACCTCGGTTTCAGCTTCGACTCGTCAAAAATCACCGAGCTTGCCGGCACGGTGGAGAACAACGGTGGTTTGGTGTTTGTCACAGCATTCAGCGGTTTGTTTGCACCATACTGGATCACCGACACCCAAGGCACCATCTTCGGCATCACCCAACACACACAACGAGGACACATTGCCCGCGCCACACTCGAGGCTGTCTGCTACCAGACAAAGGCTGTGCTGGATGCCATGGAGAAGGACAGCGGACACCCCCTCCAAGAACTCAAAGTCGATGGCGGCATGTCGAACAGCGAGCTGTGCATGCAGATCCAAGCGGACATTCTCGCCGAAAACAAGATCCCCATCGTCAGACCCAAGATGCGCGAGACCACTGCATTGGGCGCTGCCATTGCTGCCGGCTTTGCCGCTGGCGTGTGGAAGAACTTTGACGAGTTGAAAGAAGTCAACACTGCCGGGCAGACTGTTTTTGAAGCCAAGATGGAGGCAAAGGACAGTGCCAAGGGGGTCAAGCGCTGGGAGAGAGCAGTCAACATGTGCCGAGGATGGCTTGTTGACGATGAGTAGAGGTGACCTCGGTCTCTTCTGCACTGATGCCCTTTTACGGTCTTACTCGTTTGATTTTCCACTTCTTTGTTGTTTCCGCAGCTTTTGACTCGCAGCGCTTCGGCCAGCTGCCTCTAGATATCCATGATAAATTATACTTTACAATTCATGAAACACGTCCAAAAGCTATTGGTGAAGTTACGAGGGATGATGTTGAAAATAGGACTGCTCTTCAATGTCTTCGTTCAACATCGGTGAGCGCTCATACTCTACGCGGTATGCTTGCTGCCTCGTCGTCTATCATTCCCTCAAGCAACCATGACAGCTATTTGATCGCAGCCGTCATTCTCCCTCAACCGTCCATAGCCCAAAGTTTCTGCTTAATCAACAAAACCCCGCAAACGTGGAATACCACATGGCGATTATGGCACATGGCACATGGCACGCATGCGTTTCTCTCACGTGTCTGCTGACTTTACGCCAACCACAGTTTAACGCCATCTGTGGCAGCTCCTGGTACTACCAGCCACCAGCTAAAGAAGAACCGAGCCTCCATGGTCTTTGCTGTTGTTTGGAACGGCATCTACTGTTAATTACACTTTAGTCCACCAAGGTTTGCAATGATGATTATGTGATAGTCAGGGCAGATAAAGCAAAAGCGGGAGTTTGCAAGTCATACTCTCGCCAAAAGCCCAGGCGAGTCAAAAGTCCAACACAAGGAATGGAACAGAGGCGAGAGGGAAGGAAAGTAAAGTCCGTATCCGAGGGACTCTGGAGGCGTGACGGTATACCCGAGGCATCTATCACAGCCCAGCTAATAACCGAGTTCTACCTTGGTTTACCTTGGCTTTCTTTTCCATTTCTACGGGCTGCTGTCCAAGCATTCCTCAGACGTTTCATGGCTGGCTTACGGAATCATGGTCTTCCGTAGCCGAGTCATCCACGCCATGTTTTGGATCGTGATGTGTAAGTTTCTTTGCGATCGGTTTCCCCGCATCTGTTCATTGTTTGGTAGGTTTGCTGGTGGCGTCTGGGGGAGTGTGGAGATGGGTGGTGTTGGCGGAAGGGTAACCTTAGTCTTGAGCCAAAAAAGCAAGGCAAAACGGGTCAGAAGGGAACGTATACAGAGGTTTAAACACCCCAAAAAAGCGGAGGAAGGAGCGAACCATCGGGGATGGTGTTGGCGTCTGGGGAAAGGTACTGAGTGACCTGTGGCGAAAGGCTGAAGGCAGTGGCTACTCAGCGGGACGAGAAGGCAAAGAAAACGAAATAAATAGAAGGTTGGGTCATTGTGTCCTGCCCATGTGACGAGAAGAATACTTTGTTTGGGGTCTTTGAAGGCTTTTCGAGGCTTGAGGTGGCGGTGGAGAAATTGATGCCGCTACCTCTTCCACTTCGATATGTTTGGAAGAGAGTTCTGGTTCAGCACATCGATGGAATAAAGGACATGCTACCGACAACTTACAAGAAGTGCTGTTGGATTATTCAGCAGGCGATAGATCAATTCGTTCGGTAAATTTGGCTGCATGGTAAAGCTGACAAGAGAAGCATTGATGCAATCACTTTAGATCTCGATGCCCTGACATATATACATGCATAGAAAGAGACAGAAGATCCAGACTCTCTGGGCTGGATGCCCTTGCCAAGGTGTACGATGAAGTGGTATAGATACATGAGGATCTTGTATACACACGAGTAAATGCCTATAGTCCTATGGTCTGGAGCCTGTAAAGTGACCATCAGCGTGCGGCATGATGGTTATGGCCAGACAAGTGTACCAGTATCAAGGGTAAGGGTGACAGAGATCTGAGGATTAACAGCTCAGATCCAGTCCAGTAAAACACCCTTGACATCTGAAACTCTCGCCCTCGTGTCCTAGTCTCTTAGCACAATATCAACGTTCTTTGCAGTAAGCACAAGAGTTTGGTAACAACTGACCTAGACTCGAACATAACGTTCCTGACTGTCCGAGAATCAGCATGAGCTAGACTCGTGGGACTATCTGAATACACAGTACCTGCAAATGGACTGGGAGCATTCACTGAGAGTCATGCCATCGTTGGCTCTCTATGCACTTCCAGTGATGTGGGAATCTTGGGACCCTGGAATGGGACAACTACTTTCAGAGGGGAGAGCAACCCTGCACTACGCTAACAGGGTCTGTGAAGTGTGATCGAACAAGCAGTTCCTCGTCTTCGATATCGTTGAAGCTTCGGGTATGAGCCTTTGATAATCAGATTCATGTCTATCGTTCCGATCTTCGTATCAATCATATCAGTGATCTCGGATACACTCTTTTTCCGAACCTTGTTTTTTGATATGTTGCAGTTTTGGCTGTTCGATGTATTGTGTACTTGCGGCTGCAAAACCTGAGTCCGAAGATCAACAGATTCATTGACAGTATCACGAGCCAGGCTTTCCATGAGGTTGTTATTTGGAGCAATGTACGAGACTTGATATGTCGTCCAGGAACAAATGTCGTGGATTCGAGTCCAAGAGTTGTTGTTTTATAAGTCCAAACACAAGGACCTTTCTACTGGAGGCCCGAGTCTGATACAAAACATAGGCAGGTTATGACAGCGGTTGGGGCGACAGAGAATTCTCGCTGTGTGATCATGTTGCCTGAGACGGCAATCCGCAGTGGTTTGTCAGAGAACGAGGAAACACAGGAGTTAAAGCGACGACCTTCAATTCCTCCAATATCGTGACAAACATTTCTATCTTACATCAGCAACTTTCAAACACCCTTCTACCTCAAATCACGATACTTTGCCTCCTCCTTCATCCTCTCCTCAACCAACTTGATAACTTTAGCATCGTACACCTCCTCCGGCGTCTTATCCCCCTTCAACACCAACTTTTCATGCTGAGCAACCTCATCCTTGGTCATGCAAACCAAATCCTTCACTGCAATACTCGAACTCTTCTGCCCTTGCACCGACGTATCGATGAAATTGCTCTCAGGCTTGCGCCAACGGCAAAGTGCCAATCGACTAGCCAGTCCACTGACGACACTGCGACCACGGTAGACTTCTTCAACCACATAACCCACGTCGTCTTGGGTGATGGGGATGCGTAAGCCAAGAGGATCGATAGACATATGTCTTGCCACTCTCTCTTCGGATCCTTGCAGAGAAGCCAAAATGCCATCATACATTTTGTCCCTAGATTTTGAGGGTAGGTATTCGTGAGGATAGCCACTGAGAGCAAGCATGACGTGATTAGCCACGCAAAGACCAAAGATGGCTGGCATCGTTCCCAACACGGGCAATATCCTGACTCTGAATTCAGGCAACACGCCTAGTTCATTGACACTGCCTTTGGCGTGTTCTTCGTCGGACAGAGGAAGCAGTTGGGCTTTTCCAGGTGCGGTCTTTTCAGAGGAATAGACTACGGGGATATTATCTTTGATGCCTCTCATGCGTAGTCTGCGGCGTGTAGAGCGAGAAAGAGGATCGTCGGTACTGGTGGAGATATCACCCAGAAACACGCGTGTAGGGTCTGATTTACAGCCCGCGCCCATGGAGGAAATGACTGGGATGTTGTGGGTGTGGCAATACGCCAGCAAGTCAACTTTGCTATCGATATTGTCAATGGCATCGATGACAAAGTCCGGCTTGTGACCATCTGAGGTCCAAGGCGCGAGTTGGGCTTCGGCGGTTGATCCCACGAAGAGTTCGTTGCGGCAGTCAAAGTGCGTCCAGGGAGTGATTTGCTCGAGGCGTTTGCGTAAGCAATGTACTTTTGGTGTTCCCACGTCTGCGAGGGTGGCTACAGCGTGACGGTTCAGAGACGACAGAGTGACTTGATCGAAATCAATGATGCGCAGTTTTCCAGCTCCGGATCTGGCGAGGGCGGCTGCGGCGTGAGAACCGACACCGCCGACGCCGACAATGATGATGAAGGCATTGCGAAGCTTCTTCAGGCCGTCGTCGGTGAGGAAGACGCGGTTGCGGGCTAGTTGTTCCAAGATGAGTTCTGTATACCTGTCAGACAATCGTGCTTTTAGCCAGTTTTGGGATATGAATCAACCTTCGTCGTAGTCTCCCAAACGTGCTCTCACAGCAAGAGCAGCACCTCTCTCGTCTTCCTTTGATGACTTGGAGCCATCTTGCACAGCACCGCCGAAATTGTTTATCTCATCGCCAGAAAATCAGTACTCTCTTCCTCCACACCAATCTTTGAAGCATGTTCCACTCACTTGGACGACATTCTCATCCTTGTCAAGATCAGGAATCGAGCTCTTGAGATCAGAAACACGATACTCTTGCTTTGCCTTTTGCAACCCCAAAATCGCACTGCCAACCAGCAGGCCAGAGGCAACTGCTGTGGCTGCCAGTTGCAGGTTATGCGATGACCTGACCTGATCGATCCAAGTCGATGACATGGCTTGTATATACTACCTCTCTTTCGGCGGTCAATCTTTGGAATGAGCTGCACGAAAGGGAAAGAATACAGACAAAGCACGTGAAGCAAGATTGACGTTTGACATGCATCAGTTGTGGCTTGCCGCGCTTGTCTGTGGCCGCAGAGAAGAGTCACGTGTCAAAAGTGTGGCTGACGCTTGCCCTACGTCTTCACTTTTCGAGTCTCACTCTCTGCATTCCTCACAGAAGCAGAAACCCTCACATGGAGATTGGAGATCAGAAGTGGTAAGTAAACCCTTCTTCCTCCCTTGCTTCTCTCCCATGACAAAGACATTGTCACTTACAATACCATTGTCCAGCAAACCCCCGATGCCGAGAATCAATCACACAACTACAGTCGTGCAACACAAACGCATGCCTGCATGCCGCTTGACGCACAGTGACTGAAACAACGAACAGAGATCGTAGGGGGTTTGTGCTGCGCTTGCTTCACTGATCCTTCTATTCGTGGTTTCTATCTTTTCTTTTCCTTACCATCTTTTTCTCGCCCTTCCTTTTGCCTTTTTATTTTCACACCATCTTCTTTACTTTTCTCGCATCACAGATTCTCTCGAGTGTCGAAACCCCTCATCCCCACGAAAACAAAAGGGTATTGTGCTAAAGAAGCAGAGGAAAAGACATCAGAAAAAAGTCCGCAAGAAGAACAAAAAGACGTGTTTAGCATCCTAAGGCGCTTGCTTGACGATACATCCATTCTTCACTCGATGGCCCCTTATCTACCTTTGTCGGAGAAAGGGGCGATGAGATTGACTCAAACGATAGTTTTCAATCGGATTGGCGCTGGCTCCGTCTTTTCTGCTTTGGCGACTTTTTTTTTGCTTCAACTCTCTTCACGCGATGCTTTTGGTTTTGAGGGGAGTCGAGCTTCACCTTGAAAGTTCTTGAGAAGCGACGAGAGAAAGAGATGGTTGGAAGCATTCAGCGGTAAGGAGGAGAGAAAAGGGAGTGGTGAGGAGGGAGATTCTTCTTGCTTCTCTCTGTCCTGTGATGATATCAACACATAAGCCAAAGTTGACATGGCAGCCCGCTTGTTGCAAAACAAGATCTGTGGTTGTCCTCTGTGAGAATAAAATTTGGAAGAGACAAAAACGAAAATTCTGAGGACACAAGAAACAAAGAGCGAAGCGCAATGGATGGAGAAGAAATAGGGGGGGTTATCGGAGAAGTAATATATATATGCATGTAGGGTGGGAGAGCACTCGAGGGGCCATTCTCGTTCCACTCGTGCGCTTTTTGCCTTCTGGGGGGTTTTTTTTTTCTGCAGAACGACGAAAGACAACATTGTACAGAGACACATCCTCTGCCTCTCGCTCAGAATCTGTCTCGTCTTCTGTTTGCGCGCAACACCGTGAAACCAACATAAGCACCCACAACCACCAAGCCAAACAAGATGAACTTGAGGAAAAACCATCCCCAGCCTCCACTGCTTCCTTCCTTCTTATACTGATTCGGCTTGTATGCATTCTTGCTGTAGTCCTTTGGTGTGCCAGCAGCGCCGCTGGGACTGTACAAATTCTTGGTTTCCACCTTGATGATGTCGTGGTTATCGGAGAGTTCACCAGTCTCGGCTGAGAAACCGAGATAGGTGACACCAGGGAGCTTGATGTTGGGGACGTCAAAGCAGGGTGTCCATTCGTCTTCTTTTTTGTACTGAAGCTCAACCTTCAATGATTTTTCGGCAAAGTAGGTTACGCGGGCTTTGGTGGGGATGTTTGCGTTGCGGAGACCGCGTGCCTGTTGAGTCTGTGTCAGTGGAAAGAGGAACGAAGAAGCAAAGGTAGCAGCAGATTGCCATACCGAACAGCCAGCAAGTTCATTCGCCTTGCCGTCATGAGCCTGATCATACGGCGTATGTCCATCCCCCAACATAGCCATGACATAGGGAAACACAACTCCAGGGCGATTGTTCTTGTACGTATCGAAGAAAACACCCAACCCCTCAAAGTTATCCTTGTTGCCAAACACTGGACCTTGTTGAGCGCGATCGGTAGTCACCCACATGGCGAAGCCATCGCCAAACAGGTTGCCTTGGCCGTTGATGTCAAATTCGACCTCGATCTCCCAGTTTGTGGCGGTAAGGGGTACGCGCGAGTAGATCCAGCCGGACTGCGAGGGTCGGTCGGAGGAAAGGCGGATGTGCTTGTCGGCGCGGATGATGGTGTCGCCGCCAAAGTCCCACCAGCGGCTTTGGAGGTCAGAGTCGAGGTATGGTTGGACCAAGGAGTGGGTGCGGAGCTGGTCGAGTGTCAGAGGGATGCTTCAGGTAGTATCATCGCATGTTCATACGGGGATGCTCTTCACATCAGACGAGTCCTGAGCATGTGCAACCGCCGACCACGTCGCCGCAGCGGCTCCAAACAGAGACAAAACCCGCATTGCTGAGAAAAAAGGATATAAGAAAACAAAAAGGCAGCACCCCGTTTGGGCCTTGTGAGAAAGATTGAGGATGTTTCTATTTACAGCGCCAAGGGGGGTTGCTTTCGTGTCATCTTTGGGGGGTTTGGAGCATCTAGAGCTCCGCAACGCAACAGCACAAACAGTTCAAACATGCATGGCATGGGCTTCGAACATGACGTGCATATCGACTTTTGTATCGACATACTCGTAGACAAACACCCACACATATCACATCAATCGCATAACCATGTCTTTCCTCGGAGGTTCATCTGCCCCTACGGGCGCCAGCCAAACCCAGGCCATCAAGCAACAAGTCGCACAAGAAGCCGCCGTCGCAAACGCAAGACAGCTCGTCGAGGTACACCACAACCCTTTACTCTTCTCCAATCCCCCAAAACGCACACACACTGACCATTTTGCTCATCAGAAACTCAACGAACACTGCTTCGAACGCTGCATCCCCAAACCCGGCTCTTCGCTGTCGTCGGGCGAGTCGACCTGTTACTCTCAGTGCATGGAAAAGTACATGTCGGCCTGGAACGTCGTGTCCAAGCAATACATCAATCGCATACAGAGAGAGGCTGGTTCTGGAGGCGGTGGTCTGATGATGTAAGAACACCCAACAGCCATTTTACGACAATACACAAGAAAGAAAAAAGAAAAGAAGGAGAGCGAGGACAAATTTGTATGATATATGCATAGAGGAAGATTGCCCACGTCCAAAAAAAGAATAATTGTACAACTACCGAGCAAAAGCAACTTCCATTATAGATTGGCCTTGGGAGGCGGTGGAGGGTTGGCCAGTGTCTTTTGCCTTTGCGAGTAATCCTTGACGATGATGGAGCACTTGATTTCCTTGCACAGCGACTTTCTTTGTGCCGGAGGAAGCAGCGCTGCGAACTCAAGGCCAGATGCTCTGCAATTGCTGTCAGCTCGTGAACTCTCTGCACACCATCAACACATATACCATACCTTTCCACAGCCTCAAGGGGCACCTCAAAGTCTTGCAGAGGCTTGTCATTCGCAATCCTCGCATTAGGCAACACAAAAGCACCCAAAGCAACATTTCCGCCAATCTTTCCATCTTCCGCGAAAATGACCTTGTAAAAATGCGTGGGCACAGCAACGTTGGGAGGGTTACCAATGACCTCGTAGCTAACCCTCCACTTGCCATCTGCCTCTTTCCTGGGCAAATACAAAGGCCCAGTCACTATTCTCACAGAAGGATAGCGTCCAGTGAGACGACGGCAGAAATCCTCGAAATGAGCCCAGTAATCTCTGTTGAACCCCTCGCCAACCTGAGGACACATGTTGCTCAACGCAAATGTATCATCCATGGCTTGCTGCGACCACTTTGCGTCTGCAGCAGGAACCTGGTGGCCTCTGTCATAGCCGCTGCGGAAGTAATCCTTGAGCTTCGCGCGGAACTTTTCTGGTATGGCGTCGTCCTCGACGAACACAGAGTGCTTGCGGTCGGCATTGCTGTTCTTGAGCGATTCGGGGGTAATGTGCTCGACCACCCACGCCGGGTTTCGCGTTCTGCGATCGTATGCAGAGGTCAGGGATGCGGCTGCCCTCAAGTCCGACACAGGGCCAGGGAATCCGTATTGGTAGAGACCATTAGGGTCGACGGATCGGGCGACAGCAGCGAGAGCTTCCTGGACACCGGCGGGTTTGCCGACAGCTAGTGGCACATTGGCAGCGGGAGTAGGGAATGGAGCGGCGGGGGTGTTGACGCTGACCGGGCTGGCGGTCTTGCGAGGGAACAGGGCGGCCGTGGTTGCTGCTCCGAACGCGGCGCCGCCTGCGGCAACGAGAGCGAGCGTGACTTTGGACATGGTATCACGCATGTACTCGACGACGATACCGAAGAGAGACGGACGAGGGAGACAAACAAACGCGGTCCTGACAAAAAAGTGCTCGTGATGCTCGTTAGCGCCAAACAATCAACGCCAAGCCATCAATGTACAAAGTCGATGGTGTCTATATCAATATCATGCAAGAATCTTTCGATGCATTAATTACGTATCTCCTCAGATATAAGACACCTTGACCCCCATGCCTATCGTTCTCTGCACTTTATGTAACCCACCCTGGAGGCTCCGTTTGACTCTATCTCTGACATCTCGGCGCGCAAAGGCCAGAGTGAAAGCCATCAGAAAGAGTACAAACCGGAGCAGCATCATCGGGTTCTGGCTGAGAGACTTCCTAGCATTCAGTATGGCAGCCTGCATGCTCGCAAATATAGAACGATAAACGCGCGGCGAAGGAGGCGTGACTTTCTTCTGAGGTGGCTTCGCTCTCGAGGCGGGCGGGGTTCTGTTGGTTTGTCCTGCTCTGGCATTGTTGTTGCTGGAGGCGGAAGGTGTTCTGTTTTGCGAGCCAGCTGTGCGTGATCTTTCATCAGCCTCTCGTCGCCTTCTCTCCTGCTCCGCTCTGGCCTCTTCCTTCCGGCGTCTCTCGTCCTCAAGGCGTCTTTGTTGCATTTCTTCATCTTGACGGCGCTGTAGCTCTTTCTCTCGAATTCCATCGAGGGCTCTCTCCTCTTTCAGTGTGTGAAGTGCTTGTAGGAAAGCATCCCTTCTCTCATCATCCAAAACTTCGCTCATGCTGATGAAATCACGGGCATAGTCCCACTCGTCGTTTTGAGGCAGAACATGCAGAGTGTAAAGCTCGAGAAGCTTGAGACGAGTGTTCAGATCGCGTGGCGTACTTGTGCCATTGTGATGAGACGAGTTGCGCATAGATTGCTGCGAGGCTTCGAGGTGGGCAGCAATGTCGAAGCTGGGGTTGGACAGGGCGGAAAGGTATGTTTCAAGGCGCTGTTGGTTTAGCTTCTGCGACGGCATGTGTGCCAGAAGCAACGTGGCACTATCTTTGGTCAGCAAAAGTCAATTGGTATAGCCTAAGAAGCTTCTTACAGATTGACAACAACCTCAGCATCGACGGTGCCCTCGTGCCCTTGATAGCCCTGCTTGACAACGAGATCCCAGATGGTACCTGTACGAGCGTACGAGGCCAGTTCTCGCCATTTTGTATTTCCAAAGACTAGCTTGCCTTCCTCTGGACCTAGCTCTATGATGGCATTGAGCAGAGTCAAGTAGAAGCTCCACACTTTGACGCGGCTGGTCTTGGACGCGAATGCGACGGGTGCGACATTACGGTCGGTTTGGTCGTCCTGTTGGAAGAGAGAGTCTGGAGCTTCGGGCGAGATGATGGGATCAATGGTGGACAAGGCTTCATATAGTCTGCGGGTGAGGAACAATTGAGCAGCCTGGCGATAGGTTCTGGCTATTTGCGACGACTGCGCGCGAGCTGATGAGAGCGACGATATGGACGAGGTCAAGTATTGCGACGAGAGCGAGTCCTCGTACGACATGGTTGATGCCGTAGAGTCAGTGGGCATGTCGCGCAATGCTCTCTGTTCTTTGAGCAACCGGAGGAAGCCCCCTTGGCCGGCTATCGATCTTGTTGTTATCCTCGCTCTTCCCCAGTCATTCCTTCCTACACCGGCTTCTGAGAGCACATGGGCCGAGGTCCAATGAGCGCGTCCACGCACGGACTCTGCACGCTTACCGCCTTACTATCATCATCATCATCCATGATGCATCCAGCGCGACTCTGTGAGGCTATTCCTCATACCAATCATCTCTACTTGCAACATACTGTGTAGTCAGTGAATAGTATAGAGTGGCATAGTCAACGAGGTATTTGCTCTACACCCAGAGCATATTACGTCAAAACAATTGACTTGGCGTGGTAGGTATTCGTTTGCCTCTCAGTTCATTGTCTCTTCTGTCTCCTGCAGATCACTTTCATCTGCTACCATTTGCCTCTGCTCTTTGCTTACAAGATCCCACACCATCGGTCTTCACCCCTTCAACATTCTTCGACATGGATATAGATAAATCATCTTTTCCTTCTCGCCTCCTTGACGTCCTTGAGGCTATTGCAGAAGCACATTTCGTGTCTTTTGATCTAGAGCTCTCAGGCGTACCTGTCAAGGGACAAGCAAAGGAGAAGCCCGGCAAACCTTCGCTTCAAGAGCGCTATCTCGAAACTAAGAAGGCTGCTGAGCAATATCAGATCTTGCAAATCGGCCTCACATGCGTTAAGGACCATGTGCTTCACGGCGGCTACGTTTGCAAGCCTTTCAACTTCAACCTCAGTCCCGTAATCGAGGAGCGATTGGATGTTGATCGCACCTTCTCTTTCCACAGTGGAGCCGCCGAGTTTCTACTTGGAGTCGGTTTCAAGTTTGACCTGCCTTTCACATCTGGAGTTCCCTACTTGTCCCGAGATGAAGCTCAACTTGCAGAAGAGAGAGCGGCTGCACGAAATGATAAGTCATCCTTCACCGACATCGAGATCAAGCCGGAAGACATTCAAGCTCTGGAGTTCCTCAAGAGGGTCCGATCTGAGGTTGATGGCTGGCTAGAGACTGGACAGCCGAGCCCGTATTCTGTTGTCATTGGTCCTGTGCAGAGCAACGGAGATATCAATCCTGAGCTCAATCGCTTCGAGAGACGACTGGTGCACCAGATCGTTCGCGCAGAGTACCCTGATCTTGTCAGCATTCCCAACAAAGGTCTGGTCCGTGTTTCCAGACTCGATCCCGAACGTGAGGAGTACATCAAGGCTCAGCGTAAGCGCGAAGTTCAAGAACGCATCGTGAAACAGACTGGCTTCAGATGGATTGTCGAGGCGCTATGTGGGAACGCTCCCGACAGCATCGATGTCCGATCGTTCGCCCAAACAGCTGGTGGTGTTCCTGGCTTCGTTGACCTTGACATGCTCAAGTCGCGCTTCAATCGTGCTAAATACATGATTCGCAACAAGAAAACCGCTCTCTTCGGCCACAACCTATTCCTCGACCTCATCTACTTCTACAGAACTTTCATCGGAGCGCTACCCGACACCGTGGACGAGTTCGGCACCCTCATACACGAGCTCTTCCCAATCATTGTCGACACCAAATACATGGCGACTCACAATTGCGGAGATATTAATCCTCAATCTTCTCTGGAACAAATAGCAGAGAAGCTCGCAGAGCAACAGAAACCTAGCGTCATCACACACGAACACCACAACAAATACGCCGATACTACGGCATTCCATGAAGCGGGCTACGATTCCATGCTTACGGCTGAGGTTGCTGTGCGTCTGTCAGCAAAGCTTGAGCTTGCAGGAAGTCATGGCAACGACGAACCACAAAACACGATTCCACCCACACCACCAGATGTGGACGGTGGTGGTGTTCAGCTCGACAATAACACACCTTCTGTAATCAACTCTGCCATCGATAGCGTCAAAGGCCTTCTCCAAGCTCCTTTCAATATACTGGGCGGACAAACAAACACAACAGACCAGCAAAAAATCCAGCCATCGAACCACACAACACAAGAAGACTCACTAGCTGCCCAAACCAGCGAACTAGACATCACGTCCACCGACTCAGCAGGCCTTACGAGCAAGAAGTCCAAGAAGAAAAAGAAGAAGAACAAGAAATCTAGGACCGCCACTGCTGTTGCTGCTCCAGTACACCAAGGCGGCCGCTTCGCCCACGCCACAGCCTTCGATCATCTCCAAGACACCCTCGACGAAGCTTCCGAGGAAGAAGCAACACCCCCAACCACATCATCCGAAGAAGTGCTCGAATTCGACGCCTTGCCCTCTGAAACCGCACATGCTTCTGACCCAGTGATTGCAGACACAGATGGTGTTTCTGATCCTCAGGTCAGAGCGTCTTGGGATACTATTCCTGCGTTGGCGACAGAAGATGTGCAGGCTTTGGACGAGAGAGAGGTAGGCACTGTGATGCCTTCGTTCAAGTCGGACTTTTGGAAGGTATACGGTAATAAGCTGCGTGTCTTTGGCACGTTGGAGGGGGTTGCCATTCTCGATTAAAGATGGAAAATCCAAAGAACTCAACACAAACAAATGCGGAGCGTTGGGTTCATCGTAAGCATTGAGCTTCTGATCTTCCAAGCCCAGATCATTGCGGCAGTAGGACTCGACATGTCTCCTGCATATCGAAAGGCCTACAATGGCGGATGCAGTATCAGACCCTTCCGTTCGTATGTCGGTCTGGATCCAGTCATTCTGGTAACCTTGGCCTCTACTCGCGAGAAAAGTTCACCTCTGGAAACAGCAGGAATCCAGTAAATGAAGAACAAAAGATATTCAAGAACGATCAACGGCAAAATTCATAGTGTGTCCTCAGTGCTTCATGCCTATGTCTGTCTTGTGCTGTGTGCCCTGTGTCTAGATGCTTTGTTGCCTGTGTCATGCGTCTATATGTGTGATTGCCCGTGTGGGCGCATTTCATGTCATTAAAAATCGTATGCCTTTCGAAGCCTAATCTATCAAAATCCGATATCCCTGAGTCGCTGACGACAAGATGTCGAGTCCGGATATTTGGACCTCCAATATGGAATACAAAAATAGAACTAGAGATTAGAAAGAAAAAAACGGGAAGTGAAGCAGTGCATACGAGCAGGAGGTCCGTTGACAGAAGAAAAAAAAAGAAAAAAAAAAGAATCAGAGCTTACAATCTGTCCTCGCTATGTATTGGACTTTTATACGTGCAGACAGCTACAGAATCGCATAGTTATGTTGACATATAGAAAGAGATCATTGAAAGTTTCTGATTTGATCGATTCTGCTAGGACTCTACTACCTTCTGGACAGGGCTACGTATCTCTCTCTATAGTTTTCAGGTCCGCTCGTATCTTGTCGTGAGAACAGGGTGGGAGTGACAGAATCTAGCACAGATGACACAAAAAGGCTAGAAAGAATAACTTGGAGCTTTCTCTCGAGCCTGCTGTTTACTGCGCTACTCCCCCTTCTCGAGACAATATCTCTCTGGGTTTCTCAAGGAATCATTGATCCAAGTGATCGCGGTTACTAAAAGCCTCGCAAAGTGAGACAGCTGGAACAAGAGCGAGGTAGGCGTTGAATGAGATTTGATATCATCTGGAGGCAGCCATTGGTCAGAACGAGGAAGAAGATGTGTAAAACTTAATGTAAGTTTCTGAGATAGCGAAATATATACAAAGAAAAGCATCCCCCGAGGCTCTTTGGCCATCGGTAAAAAGGGTATAAGAAAAAAGGCCATTAAAGCCTCTCAAAGGCTGTGATATCATAAAAAGCGCCGACCCATGTTGTAAACCTCCCAGATGTAAAAGTCGTTATATGTACAAAACTTTTCTCATTCAGTTTTTGCATTTGGCGAGGTTGATGGTAGGGTCGATGGTGGGATCAACATCCAAGCCGCCTTTTTAGTTCTCTGTTTTAGTATTAATATCCATGATGGGTAGAAGAAAGAGATGCATCACTTACTCAAATTGATCAGGGAGTTGCCATCGGCAGAGTTGCCGTTGCCGCTGCCGTCGCCAACAGAGTTGCCAGTGCCGGCCTCGTTTCCGTTGCCGGCAGAGTTGCCATTGCCGTTGCCATTGCCGGCTGCGTTGCCGTTGCCGTTGCCCTCGGCGCTGTTGCCGTTCAAGGCTGAGTTGGCAGAGCCGGGGGAGAGAAGGTTGCCGAGGTCGCTGAAGATGTCGGGAGTAGCGGCGGCGACGGGGGTGGGAGCGGCGGCGACGGAGGCAGCGAGGGCCATCAAGACAGTGGCGAAGATGGTCTTGGAAAGCATAGTTGCGGTATTGTGTGGTTGTTTGGCGGCGGTGGTGTTTTAAGTAGCGATTGAGAGGATGTGATGTAGAGTGAGAAGAAAGAAACACCATGAGTGGGACTACTCATCCTTTTTATGTGTGATGTGCTGCCTCTGCTGTGTCGTTGAAGGTGACATTCGATCGACAATCAGTGATGTGCAAAATCCCACATACGCAATGTAGGTCGTTGCTGCTTTCGTAGCTTCGCCATGTTGAATTGTCTGTTTAGGCTTAGAGAAGACTGTTCACCGTAATGAGAGCCGCGGTGCCTGGTACCCCAAGCATGCGATGATGTTGCAACTCGCAGGAGGCGTGGTCGATCTGGGGGATAGTCGTTGATCACATCCCCGAAGTGAGGTTTCGACAACCCACCCGAAGCTTGCATTGCCTGTATTGGTCTAGTCGAAGCTGGATGATCGACATTCTGATTCGTGACATTCGGGTTGAAGAGCCGCTGACCCTTGCACATAGATCTTGGCCTGCCTTTCTTGACCATTGATCATCATCATTCAAGGACTTTGAGCTGCATTGTTCCTGGCTTGATGCTTGGTCTTGACTCAAGAATTGGAGAAAGTCTGAGAATGCAACTCCGAACGGCGCAATCACGAAGCCCATCTCAAGTCACCACCAGCGGCAGAAAGACCTGACTCAATGCAAGCCAGATGAAGTCACAGGAGATAAAGTCCGTCTGGTAGTGACGAAACAAGCCTCTTCCAAGAAACGCCGCATTCGAAAATTGATCAACAATGACCTCTTCGGAGAAAAGCAGCCTACATGAGTAGCGTAACCAAGAGACACACAAGCGTAGGAAGTGGATCGGAGAGAGGAACAGAACTCGGAACACCCTCCAAGAGATCTACAGAGCAACACGGCGTCACAATTTGACAAGAAAGGAAGGCCTCAAGTGATGGAGTGTCGTGCTTGTCATCAACTCGCGCCGTCCAAAGCGTCGTTCGCATCGGAGAATTTCTCAACCGATGAGATTGAGGTGTGTAGTTTGACCAACCATTGTCTCGGCATTCCTACTGTAGCTGATCTTTCCCCCACCTCGAGTTTGCAAACAGTCGTTGGAAACGTGCCTGCGGAGAACCGCATTCTTTCAGCCGCAACGGACTTCGTTGACGCTGGTGGCGCTTTACAGTTTTCCGAGCCTCAATCCTGCCTCATAGTCTATCCAGCATAGGAAAACAGAAGGATGCCTTTCTGTAGTCATCCAAGGTATCCACGAGATCAGCAATCGAAATCCCCAACGCGAAAGATGATCAACTCTGATCATCTCCTTTGATGTGACGGGTCTTGTTGATCATTTGTGGATTGGCGTTGCAAATATCCCACGCTCCGCCTGCTTTCCGAGAGCCAATGATCGTGGGAAATCGGCAATCGAGAAAAATGTACAATTGGGTGATCATCTAGCTGAAATGTCGCTTTGTCGCTGCTCTTAGGAGCAACAATGCCTCGGCTTGAAGGAAAGAGCAGGTCGTCATTGTTCTATTGTTGATAGGTACAAAACCGCGTAATCAAGGCGAAAAAGCAGTGCGCTCACGCTTGTAAAGGTAAGCAGCGGAAGGGGTATATCAATTGACTAAGGAACAGAAGAAAGAGCAAGGGAAAAGTCAAGTCGCCAATCGAGGCCAGGGCTGAAACTGATGAAAGGCGCAACCCGCTTTCTGACTACTACGCGCGATTATATCTACATCACATTACACCGTTCTTCGCGCTCGGCCTGGGAAATCCTACCACCAGAGCCAGGAGGAACATAGCCAGAATACTGTGGAGCAGGGTCAAGACCTGCACCAGCCTGGGGACCTTGGCCTTGACTCTGCTGCCTTCTAAGCCGCTGAGAGTTGCTGTTCGTCCGTCCGAGGCCCATAGCACTCGAGCGTCTGCGATGCATAGATGGTGGCTGACCATTCGGATTGTTGCCGTTCTGGTTGGCAAAAGGACCTTGTTGCATTTGCAGGGCTGTCAAGGCGCCTAAAGCGTCTCCCTGTCTTGGATTGCGTGTTGCGCCAGCTGGTCGATAAGGTCTGTCAGAAGCCGCTTGCTCGTACGTAGGCGGCTCCTCATCGCCGTCGTCTCTCTCGCGAACATAGGGTGCGTCTGCTGTTGGAGGCGCATTATTACGTAAGGAGTTGGAATTGGTGTTCATGTTACTTCTTCGAGGAGGCACTGGAGGACGTTGCTCCGAAGTAGGGCTACGTCCGGAAGACGCTGATTCGCGCTCAAGAAATTGACGTGAAAGCTCATCTTGTCTTCGTCGTGACGCTTCAGCCTGACGTTGCTGATCCTCCTCTTCTTCTTGAAGTTGTAGAGCCAGAGCTAGATCAGCATCCTCCTGCTCCGATCCATGTCCACGAGGCTCCGCAGGTGCCTGTATTTGAGCAGAAGGAGTTGGATTAGCAACAGCAGTACCACTCTGTGAGTTGTGACTGTGGCCCAAAGGTACAGAAGGAGTGTTTCCTACAGGCCTGAAGTCGCCTGAGAAGAAGCTGCCAGCTGCACCACTAACATCAACCAAGCTTTCCCAGACGATTTCGTCATGAGACGAGTAGCCTGCATCCGTCACGAGGTTCATGAGTGTACCACTTCTCGGCTGCTTGTACAGTGTCGAGAAGTGGTCATTTCTGAACAAGATGGCGATTTGGCCAGGCTTGAAAGAGTCAGTCATGAGCTTGAGCCCGTGCTCGGTCAGCTGAGTAGGGTAGCTGGTCATGAACTCTCTAATGTTGATTATATCCTCAAAGAGTTGCTGCTCGTGCGCCGATAGTCCATCGGTTCCCAGCTTGTGCTCAAGTTCAGCCTGAGCGAACTGAATATTTTGAGCATCATCGAACGTTTTGGCCGAGCGCTCAAAGGCTTCATAAGCTGATGACGAAGAAGTTGGAACCCAGCCGTGAACCAAAGGTATTTCAAAAGCGCTGTAGAGGCGCATTTCTCTTGTATCGTCAAACCCTCCAGGCTTTCCTTGTGGGGCATTTGGAGGGCTAACGAATCGAGGGTTTACGTTCATGCCAGTGTGTAAGGTGATAAGAAAAGAGTAGAGATCACCAACATCAGGGAGTGCTTTGCTTGAGATCTCAGTCCTCCTAGCGAGTTCCTCGAAGACAGCATCCAACAGAAGACCAAGGCTGATCTGCTCGCGTGAACTCAGAGTATCCACCAGGATTGTCTTCGGGCCCTCAGGAGCGGACAGAGTTAGAGCGTTGACAAGAGCCAGCAAGGGACAAGGACCGTTGGCGTTTTGCGTCAAGATGGGACAGCGTCGCATAGAGCCATTGGGCCCTACGGCGGCGTCAAACCAATTGATCTGCTTGATCTGGTATGTCACGTTTCGCTGTTTACTGAGTAATTCTTCGGCAGACTCTATAGGAGCGGCAAGATTGGTGCGTTCGGGCTGCGGGACGCTGACAGGCTCGGGATTTGCTGCTGGCAGCGGAGGAGCATCATTGGTGCCGAAATCTATGAGAGATTCTTCTTGCGGAAAAGGAGCACTGACAGTAGGCTGTGAGAGAGGAGGGTTGTACTGCCGGTTCATGGGAGGAGGTGGAGGTGCAGGAGGAGCGGCAGTGACAGCGGCGGGCGGAGCATTGAAAGCCAAGGGCGGCGCAGCAGAGTTGGGTGGCGGAGAGGGTGTAGACTGATAGTTTCTACGTGGAGGAGGCACGAGAGAAGGTGGTGGTCCTGGAGGCGGTTGGAAGATGGCTTCGAGTTGATGCGGCTGTGGACTGGGAGTGGACTGCCACGGTGTCTGGACGTTTTGTTCACTGTCGAGGTCTTGCTGCCACGGGTTGGAAGATGTTTGTGAGACCAGGCTTCTCCTACTGCTCTTCTGAGGTATCACCGGCGGGGGAGGGCCTAGACTCTCGGTGTTTGAGTTCTGCTGGACGTGATCGTCTAACGATAAGGCCGCGAAGGTAGGCGCAGGAGGCAACGAAGGAGGTTGGTGAGATGGTGGGAGTGGAGGAGCGGTAGTAGGCTGGGCGGGTGTTGAGCTCCATATGGACTGGCTGTCTTCTGAAGGGTAAGGCGGAGGCTGCGTCTGTGTTTGAGACTGGTTGTGCAGGTTGTGGTATGGGTTGTGCGATTGGAACGATTGTTGAGGTGGAATCGAAGGTTGAGATCGACCAACTCTTAGCGAGGCTGGAATGTCGTTAGACTCGGGGTTTGGGTGATCATTGTCGTCGTTGTCGTGATCAGAGGAGAAGCCGGAGTTCCAGGTGTTGTGTGAAGAGGCAGAGCTGCTCCTAGTACGGTGCAGAGAGAGATGGTTGTCGTGTGGTGGTTGGTAGGCAGACGCGTGGCCGTCGGTTGCAGAAGGTGCTGTTGGTGAGGCAGGATACGGCGCTGTGGAAGCTGACTCGGGATTACGAGATGGAACGGGTTTTCTCGACAACATGTTTGAGCGAGTGTTGAATATACAGAATCTTGAAAGCTCGCGCAGGCTGCAGTCTAAAGACAGTGGCTAGCATTCAGCGTCATACTGTACAGGCGTGCGCGGCCCGACCTCCCGTACTACCCCACGGCATGTGAATATGTGGCTGAGTATACAAAAGTGTGGCACAGCCGGATATGACCACGGAGGAGTCAAGGCAGTGACGGACCCTTGGCCGAAATCGCGTGTGGCTGGTGCAGCAGCTTTGTCAAAAGTTTGGCGGGGTTTTTCGCACCTTCCTCACGACACAGCCATACACAATGTCGATTCCCAGTCTGCGCGTCTTGTTGGTAGGAAACGGTGGTCGCGAGCATGCTCTTGCATGGAAGCTCGTCCAATCACCCCACGTAGACCACATCTACGTCGTGCCTGGCAACGGCGGTACCGCAGGGTTCGTCCCCTCATGAGCAGCCAACCATTCTTCCAATACTCAGACGAAGCCTCGCAGTTTCCCTCAGAAAGTCACAAACGTCACCAATGTCAAGGCCGACGACTTCCCTGCTCTGGTCAACTTCGCCCGCGACAACTCGCTCAACTTCCTGGTTCCCGGTCCCGAGGCCCCTCTTGTTGCTGGTATTGTCGACTACTTCGCTCAGCACCTGCCTGAGGTCAAGAGCTTCGGTCCCAATGAGGCCGCTGCCCGTATGGAAGGTAGCAAAGCCTTCAGCAAGGATTTCATGAAGGAGCACAACATCCCCACAGCCGCATACGAGAACTTCAGCGACTACGAACAAGCAAAGGCATACCTCGACAGCATCAGCCACGACGTCGTCATCAAGGCCGACGGTCTCGCTGCTGGCAAGGGTGTCATCATCCCTCAGACCAAGGAAGAGGCTGTGCAGGCGCTCAAGGACATCATGCTGACCCGTGAGTTCGGTTCGGCCGGCGACACAGTCGTCATCGAGGAGCTGCTTGTTGGTGAGGAGTGCAGCATCTTGACCTTCAGTGATGGTTACAACATTGCCAGTCTGCCTCTCGCTCAAGACCACAAGCGCATCTTCGATGATGACAAAGGTCCAAACACTGGTGGCATGGGCACTTATGCTCCCACTCCTGTCGTCTCTGCTCAGGAAAATGTCGACATTCACAAGACTATCCTTCAAGCCACCGTTGATGGCATGCGCAACTCTGGCAACATCTTCATCGGCTGTCTCTTCACTGGTATCATGATGACCAAGGCTGGACCCAAGGTCCTCGAGTACAACGTCCGCTTCGGCGACCCGGAAACACAATCCGTCTTGACTCTGCTCGAGTCTGATCTTGCCGAGCTCATGTACAGCTGCACCACAAATTCGCTGTCTTCGCTGGGTCCCATCAAGATCTCATCACGCTCTGCTGCTACTGTTGTCGTTGCTGCTGGTGGCTACCCTGGCTCGTACGCCAAGGGCACTCCCATGACCCTGACTGCTACTCCTGAGGATACTGTCATCTTCCACGCAGGTACCGATATCAAGGATGGTCAGCTCGTAACAAGTGGTGGCCGTGTCATCGCTTCCACTGCCACTGGTTCCACTTTGAAAGAGGCCGTCACTCGTGCCTACGAGGGAGTGCAGACCATCAAGTTTGAGGGTATGCAGTACCGCAAGGACATTGCCAAGCGTGCGTTGAAGTAAACATTCACATGTCACGTATTTCTCTTTTTCACGTTATATAGACCTCCATTATGATCGCCAAGACACAAAATTGCATACACAAACTACTCAATTACAAAGGTGAACTGACGTTGTTAGGCGATTCCATTGTGACTCCGAATAAATCTGGTTTCACTCGCGCCTTTCACCACTGTACCACAACTTCACTACGCTCGGTCAACGACTTTTTTACTAGAATCACTCGGGCTTTCCGTTCGCTTCTGGTCTTTCACTTCAACTGCAATCTACTGTTTCACTCCTGCCTCCTCCATGGCAGATAAAAAGGCCATGCTCAACACATGATCTCTTCTTCTGCCACATCCAACTCTCCAACGATCCTTCCACCTACTTCATAACACCTTCACATCCATCCATACAAGCTTAGTCCCTTCCATCAAGGTGACTCTCGACCCCAATCTCAGCATAAATCCCCACATCAGGTCGCTTCATTCAACTCCACCAACCTTCGTCAACCAGCAATACAATTCACGTCATGTCTACTCCTGATACATGGCCGATCAACTACCCTGCTCGTGCCACCGGCAGATCTCCGTTGTGGATTAACCGCCAAGTCAAAAATGTCATCAAATGGCTCGAGATTGGCGAAGAATTCAGGGTTATCGCAAAAGAAGAAAATGTGTACGAGGATTTCGGCAAAGGATACCCTGAGCGTCGCAACCTCATCAGAATCCAGCTCCAGGATGAGCCTGATGGCACAGGCGGACCTTATGGCTTTGCACTCAGTGCCTATATGGCAATCGGCAAGACCGCCGACATGAACACGCCTATGACTCTGCAAATTCCCCCAAGGCCACCTCCATCAGCTCTTGTCTGGGACAACCGTAACGCAACGGGTCCTAGCACCGTATTCGGCAAGACCGTTCTTGGACTCGTCGAGCAAGACTACAAGCAAAGAGATCAGATGGCTACCTACAATCACGCCATGGACGACTTGAACACAGCCGAGAAACAAGCAGAGGTGGCACACACAATCTGGAAAGGATTTGCTCTCGTCCAAGTCGAAGGGTCAAGCCTTGCTGACGTTCTCGAGAAGAAAGACTTTCATGTAAATGAGCTGAAAAAGATTGAAGAGATCCATAGCGAATGGCGGCATTCTAAGTTGAGCGATGACGCTAACATCCTATACGGCGAAATCCTTTCCGACTTTGCCAACGAACCCGACAGAGAGGACGAGATGTATGGTGGTAGAACATGTCGTCCTCGCCAAAGAAAGGGAGAACATGTCAACGCAGCAGAGGAGGTTGCAAGACTCGGAAACGCTTCTCAATATGGACGCAGCGCACACTACAGAGCATCTGCTACGGCTCAGGAGAGAAGAATGGTTCCCCTTTGCGTTTTACCTAAGGATTGGAAGTACACATTCCTCGCAGAGCAGATTCTTAATCAGCTCTTCCAGCTGTACTCAGAGAACGTTCTAAGCTTTGGTCGCAATCAAAGAACGGCCGAGACCGGCACTGCTGCTGCCAAGTATTGGATTGATTCGGAACTGGCATGGATGCTACAAGAAATTGCATCAAAGGTGTTTGAGAAGACTGGATGGCCTGGAGCACTAAAGCGCCCAGCAACTCTTGCTCCTTTCGGAAGCACGGTCGGCCTTATGTGGAAAAGCCCGATTGCTGACGCACACAACTACCAGCGGACTCTATACACTCGGTCTAGAGACGGCGAATACTTGCTCTTTCGTCGTTCGCCACTCCCAAAACCGAAGGTTTTGTCTGTCTTCGGAAATAATCTACTTCTCGACGGTGCCACTTACCACGTTCCTGACGGCGTTCTTTTGCATCCGGTCATCGAGCTTACCGTGTCCGGTCAGGCTCACCCAAAGCCCTGGGCCTGTATTCCGAACTGTTTCGGCACCAATGACGTACAGCTGGCTAACTCGTGGGCTTTGAGGCTCGAGTGGCTTGAAGGCACTACCTGGAAGGCTATCTACGTTCAAAGTGTGAGCATGCACCCTATCTCTGGCGATAAAGGTAGGCCTTGCGCATTCGCAAACTACACTAAGAGCATTGTCATCAATCACCGCCTCCGTAACACGACTTTCACTCCAGGCCCTGGACTTGAGTTCTTACGCGAGCAACTTAAGAAGACTTCGCTTCTTAGAGCGGTCGTTGTAGAGACGGACTGGCTTACTAGGACTATCCAAGTATCCAGATTTAACGAGCCCCCTCGAGCCGTGACCCCGGCCAACAATCCTCGCCTCCTGACTGTCGCCGAAGTTATGGAAAAGTACCAAGCAGCTGCCCTTACCGACACCTATCGCTACTGGGAAAATGGCCCCCAAGAACGCCAAACGTGCGACCTTCACATGGCCCGAGGGACCCTAAGTCCCGATTGTCGCGAAGATTGTATGCTATGTCAGCGATTCAACACCTTGCGCACATTTACTCCAATCAAAAGCCTTAAGGATTCCAAGCTTTGGGCATTCTTAGCCAGCGCAAAGGCGGAGCACTGGGTTTACAATGTTCCTAACCCTGGTCTACAGACCTTTGACATGGAGCTGCTACCGGAACATACTGAGCAAGAAACAACAGAAGAGGCTTAAGCTCCTTCAACAACAAGAACTTTGCGCGTAGAGCAGCATGGTTGGCAGACCGAGCAGATAGTCAAAATTAACACATCACCCATAGAGCCACTACAAAGACCGAGTTGATGGTAAGGGACAGTGCAAATAATGCAAAACATACAACTTTTGATGGATATGATGGAAACACGGGATTCGCGCATTTCTTAAGCTCAGCGGAGCTCGCTTGCAACTTAGATGTCCTTTAGATTGAATGCACAACCTTTAACCTGTCTCCGGCTGGCTCTTTAGGTCGCATAACCAGTGATTCTGTGATCACCGTACGGCAAAAGGCACCTCAGCTAGAAGCAACATCCATACTGCACACATGTCTAATTAAGATCATTCCAGACGCAATGGCAGGAGGAGACGAGCCTGAGGCCGTGCACTCTTTCGAAGAAAACATCGCGGCTTCTTCTTACACTGGTCGATAGCTGTTTCCCTCTAGATGGCTAACATACGCTGCTTGCTCTTTCCACCTAAGAAACACTGTGCACATTATGTAGAAATTTCGCTCTGGTTTTTACACCTTTCCATAGATATGTCAAAATGTCGAATGTATACTGCACCTCTGGCGATTCGTTTGCTGCCGGCAAGGTCATCAAAGCGCCTACATATGCTGCAATACCTGGCCCTGATGAAGAATACGATCCGCACAAGCGACATGAAGAGACAGTATGCTAAAACAACTCTCATGCTAACACAACCACTATCAAGAACTCCAATATACTTATTATCCATCGCCAACCTTACCGATTTCATGCTCAAGCCACTACTATTGAGAACTCTAATATACTTATTATCCATCTCCAACACTACATGAATCTCTGTCTTCTCACTACTTCGTCCCCACTGACGTCAAGAGCATGGACATTGAGTCAGACACTGATGCATTCTAGGAGAGAAAGAGGAAGGGACTCCTGGAACTCGACGACCCAACGATGTTCGACGACCCAACGATGGCCCCAAAGAAGCAAAGGAAAGAAAGGAAAGACAAGGGGAAAAAGAAGGGAAAGAAGGAAGAGAAGGAAGAGAAGGTCAAGGCCGAAAGGCCGCCCCTCACAGACGCGCAACAAAAATGGATCGACGATACATTGAAGAAGTCAGCAGCAGAACGAGCCGCTAACCTCAGAAAAAATTATGTTCGAAGAAAACCCGACGCTTGGACCACCTCGTGATAGTCATCTTCACCTCACACATCACACAACACACAACTCTCGTCATCATGGGAGTGCAAAAGAAGACGCGCAAATTCGCCCAAGTCAAGCGAGTCATCGGCCAACGCGATGCCCGCCTCAAGAAAAACGAAGTCAAAGGCGACGACAAGCCCAAAAAGCCCGCCGAGGAAGTAGTACGAGACATGTGCGTATTCTTCCTTCCTTGCTCTCTTCTTTTTGCGCAAATCCACTGACACAGAGTCACAAAAACAGTCCACAAGCACCCTCGTCAATGTTCTTCCAACACAACACCGCCCTCCAACCCCCGTACTCCGTCCTAGTCGACACAAACTTCCTCTCCCACACCGTCCACAACAAACTCGAATTACTCCCTTCACTCATGGACTGCCTCTACGCCACCTGCCGCCCCATAATCACATCCTGCGTAATGGCCGAACTCGAAAAACTAGGTCAAAAATACCGTATCGCGCTCAAAATCGCCAGAGACGAACGCTGGGAAAGATTGGAATGCTCGCACAAAGGAACGTATGCAGACGACTGCATTGTGGATAGAGTGTTGAAGCATAGGATTTATCTGGTCGCCACGAATGATAGAGACTTGAAGAGGAGGTTGAGGAAGATTCCCGGTGTGCCGATTATTAATGTGGCCAAGGGCAAGTATGTTATCGAGAGGTTGCCTGATGCGCCGGAGAAGTAAGAGAGGGGAAGAAGATACCTTGGCAGAGAAGAGGAAAGAGCGAGCAAGAATCGCGCATACCATGGAAGAAAAAAGAAGTTTGTTCGCAGATTTTGCTGCTGCTGCGAGGTTTATTGCTGGGAACTGGAGTTTATAAGGTTGCATCACTGGAGAAAGGCGTTTTGTTCTGTTTCCAATTTCTCGGCCATCCGTCAAAAAAAGACGAAAGAAGCTGCTGGGTCTCGACGTCTGTCTCCACCGCATCGGACATCACTTTTGCAGGTTGCAGACATGAAAAAATTTGTTGTCATCGCAGAAGATACAGACGATTCGAAAAGATCATGTCCATCCACACCCCATGTCTTGCTCCTCGTGTTCGCTATCATGTTCACCATTCGAGAGAGAGGCTGATAAAGAATCTTGTCTTTTGTTCCAAGAACCGACATTCGATCAAACCTTTTTACTGTTTCTGACGAGGGCGGCCATCAGATGCGTTCGATACTGCTGTAGACAGATCCCTGCGCCTGAACTCGACAATTGGATCGTGATCACCCATCAGTGACCGCAGGTTCGATGCTCTGACACAGAAGATCGAAGCATCCATGTCGAGAAAGAATACAGACAGATACAGAGTGGAATGACCAAAGAGAAAGATGAAGCAGAGACAGAAATCAGGAGCATATGTACAAGAGTACGACCAATTAGTGGTTGAGGATATCGGATCAGACAGAGAACAGAAGGGAACAGAAAACCGCAAAACTGCAATGTAACATCTTTCAAAAGCAAGCTCTTGTCCAACCTCGAAAAAAAAAAAGCGATGGTTGAATCATGAAACAAAACTGGAAACGCATAAACTTCTTGACAAGCCTTTGTGATTGGCAAAGGTGTAACCGCATCCGCTCCCCATGAGAAACAAAAAGCAAGATAAAAAACACCAAACCAGGGCAGGTCGGCAACTGGAAGAGAGAGAGAGAGAGAAGAAAAAGTTGCCGACCTCATCATTATGCCCCTCCAGAATAGCCCAATCTTTCCCACCATAACCCCCACCTAACCGTCCATATCCATGGATCGAGATGCACGTGTGTCGGATTGCAGCATGAAATCGTTCATCTCCGTTTGATGTGTATTCGGACATATGCGACCTTCATTCGTGTATGAAACGCGAGCACGCGTCAAGGTAGTAAGGAACAAGTCGTAGTAATTCATGCAATGTCAAGGTCCGTATGTCGTAGAAGCAGCATGCTTGTGCAGAAGCGTCGTAGACTTCGCGTGGTCAAGCCGTACTCTCGGTCATGTCGTTGACAAGATTCATCGCTGGCCAAATTCGGATCGGTATCAGAGGACGTTGACCGACATGTCGCCGCTCAAGAGGCCGTACTTGGACATAGCCAGGTCGTCGTCGACGAGACCCATCCCAATGCCACTATCATCCAGATCGACTGTATCTAGGCCTTGACTTTGCATAGGCTGAGAAGGCAAGGACTGTTGTGGATGCGACATTGCGAACCTCTGCTGGGGCTGGGATGAGAGTTGTTGTGATTGGGACAACTGCATTGGCTGACCTCCCATGTCAAAGGAGGCATTGTAGGTGTGCATGGATTGCGTAGAATGAGCTCGTGTCACTTTTAGGCTTGGAGTCAGTCAGAGCTCTATGGAAAAGACAATCGGGAATAAAAAGTTGAGAACTTACTTTGAGCACTAGCAGGTCGGGACACTGGCTGCATCTTGAAGTCAACTTCGATGCTGCTCATTCTGCTGTCGCTGCCACTGCGCAAGCTGGCATTCGAGTCAATAGGCTTGACCTCCGGCGAGACCTGAGCATTCGATGTGGCGGGAGCTGCATGAACGGGATTGTGCTCGAGGAAGCCACCCATGGCTGCCAACCACAAGGCCATCTCATCGACAAAGATCTTCATGACCCACCAAGTCTGGTAGCTGGCACCTCCCATGATGGTAATGTCTCTTAGAGCTGCAGTTCCAACAGCACTGATGCAATGCAGCAACAGCCTCGTGTTGGCTTCAGGAAAGCGCGAAGGGAGGGATGTGAGGAAGGAGGACCATCTGTCAAGAACGTTTTCGGTCGAGACCTGTCCTGATTGGTCCTGAACCGGCGGTTGCTGGAAGGTAGGGAAATTGGCCTGAGCGTAGCCATAAGCTTGGTTGTCGTGAGCGAAGAGAGGATTGTCGGGGAAGGGTGGGGAGCTGAGAGGTTCCAAGAGACCTCTGATGTCGCAAGTCATGATCTTGTAGACCTCTTCGTAACCACAGGCAGGAAGTTCGGCCTCCATAACACGCTTAGGATTGACCATGGTCACCCACTCGCGCCACATCTGTTCACGGTTTTGGTCGACGGTGAGGAGATTCGCGGCGGCGTGAGCAGCAGCATTGACACGGATCAGACGATGCAGAAGACTGGCAAATGTGGCGGCAGGCTTAAGCTTGGCTTGCAGGACGTGGGTAGGATGCGAAGCAAATGTTTTCGAGATGTGAGCATGGAGGTTGGTCGAGATGTTGTTGAGAATGTTGATGACGACGGGCGGTGCAGCCTGGAGGGTGAGACGGGAGACGAAGCGAACCATCTTCTGGTACATCAAGGTATCGCAGGCTTGAATCCAAGGTGCAAGGTTAGGATGAGCCAAGAGCTTCTGCACAGGCACCGTTAACGTGCCATGGAAGGATGTGAAGAGGCGGAAGAATTGCTTCTCTTTGCAGAAGCGGATGCAGTCGATCAACGATGTGCAGTGAGTGCGGTACAGAGCGGTGAGGGCTTCAGCCGTGTCTGGGTCCGTCTTGACGGGGCAGAAAGGCAGGATGTTCGGCAGCACAATCGTGTCATTTTCTTGGAAGGGTGTCTCCTCCTTTGCAGGGAAGCGTAGATTCTGATCATACATGATGGAGCAGTCGTTGTCGGCCACCATGCCACGCGTATCTGGGTAGGCAAAGAGTCGCGCCGTTGATGGGGGACCACGAGGCTCGGCTAGTGGTGGAGGTTGCGACTCGGCTGAGCCATCGTTGCTTTCTGTCCCGTCGAGGCCGTGAGATGGGAAGGCGGCAGCATCAGCAGGTAGGCGTGGCACCTGGTTAAAGTCTAGAAGAGGGTTGGTCGAGGCACTACGGCGCATGTCGGCAGCTTCGGCGTGTAACGAGTTGGAATTTGAGCGTTGGAGGCTGAGCTGCGAGTCCGAATTGTCGTCGACAAGACACAGGTCGACATAGTGGTACTTGGACTCACCACGGACACCAAGCCGTCTAGTTTGAATGCCCGGGAATATGACTCGTACCAGCTTACCAAACGATGCTGGATTGAGAGGCACTACACGCTCCGTACCGCACCGCGTAGCGTAGTGTGAGTAGACTCGGTTGCGCGGCACCGAGGTTTTGGCCGCCTTGCACACCTTGCGCAACCTAACATTGTGTTAGTAAGAACCAAGTCAACAATGAACAGAATACTCACCAGAGCATAGCGAACAGTTGCTTTGTCTTTTCGGCTTGAGGAGTGCGCTCCTTGGCGATGACTTCTTGGGCGACTTCTGGTAATGAGCGCGCCTCGTTCTTGGACAGCAACTCGCGCAGTTCCTTGTCGTTGGTTGCAGTGGCGGATGAACCCTTGCGCCGGCGATCCTCTGGCTCATGACCACCGAGTTGGGGAAACGCGGCCATGTTCATGGGGACGGCGTACTCGGCGGGTTGGAACATGTAGGAGCCGTCATTGGTCGCGAACTGCTGAGCTTGGGCGGTGAATTGGTCCACGGGGATGTGTTGTGATTGAAAGGTGCGCTGCATCATTTGGGCATCCATGTGTGGTGCTGAGCCCTGGGCATAGTGTAGCAACATTGTTTCGGGGTTGTGGTGGTTCATGTATTGTTGTTGATGCAGCATGTCGGGAGCGGGAGAGTGGGCGCTCTGAGTCGAGGCGCGCGACAGCGGACGGTGTATCGAGTGGGCAGAGCGTGTTCGCTGCATGGTGGACTATGTCGATTGGTCTCTCGTGGTCATAATCCAGCAAGGTCGAGTTTGTTGATATTGATGTTGTTGATTTCCGAGTTATTTGTTTGTAATGATCCGGGAAGACTCCGACAAGGCCGCACGCGTAGACGTCGCTCAAACAAACCTCGAGTTACGAGATTATTTAGAAGGCAAGACTGAGCGCGTATGGAATATACACTGGTATGAAGCCGGGCCGTCGAGGACAAAAGGCGTGTCGAGGATGCACGAGTGGTAGCGATGCGATGAATGTTTGGTTGTGTTGGTAAACAGCCGGACACTGTACAACTGCCTAGTGACTGACCAATCAGGTGAGCTGCACGCGAGGCACGAATTGCCGAAGACGTCACCCAAAGCAATGCAAATAGCAGCTCCACGCCGAGCAGTGCTTGAGGTCGTTTGCTTAGAAGCGAGGAAATAATGAGCTTCAATCTCGGGGAGATTGGCCGTTGCTGTCTTCAGTAACCTCCTGCAACGTTGTTTCTTAAACCGTTGTCGCTTCGTTGGCAGGGCGGGCAGAGAGCACACCAAAGGCAGAGGATGTGCAATAGAGCCTTGGCATCGTGACGTATCCGCTTTTTCGGAGCTCTTCGTCTCTCCTGGCCTCGAACCTTTCTCTCCCCTAATAATCCATCAACCAAACCGCACCCTTTGCACCATCCTCATTTGCTTGCCGTTTGCATAGCTTTATTTCAGCCCGTTATCAAAAATGTCTTTCCAGGAACGCGCCCAGCAGCACATCTCGCAGCTCGACAAGGAGGTACGTCGTCTAGAGCTCCACGTGCCTCTGTTCACCCTCGCTGACCTGCCTGTCTACAGCTGTCCAAGTACCCTGCCCTCAACAACCTTGAGCAGCAGAGCTCCGTCCCCAAGGTCTACGTCGTCCTTGGTCTCGGTGCCCTTTACTTCTTCCTCATCTTCTTCAACATCGCCGGCGAATTCCTCGTCAACTTTGCTGGCTTCCTCATCCCCGGCTACTACTCACTCGAGGCTCTCTTCTCCTCGGGCAAGGCCGATGACACCCACTGGTTGACCTACTGGGTCACCTACGCCTTCTTGACCGTTCTCGAGAGCGCCGTCAACGCCGTCTACTGGTTCCGTGCGTTATCCCGTCCGCTCCCCTGCAGCTCGTTGACGTTTCACTAACACGTTCCAGCCTTCTACTACACCTTCAAGTTCATCCTCGTCCTCTGGATGTCCCTTCCCCAGACTGGGTAAGCTAAACCAACCTTCCTTTAGCCTATGCATCCATACTAACAACATCTAGTGGTGCCAAGATTGTCTTCAACTCCCTCCTCCACCCTCTCTTCGGCCGCTTCTTCACCCAGACCCCTGTTGAGACTGCCAAGACTCAGTAAACGTATCGTCCCTACGATAACAACATGGTGGTCCTAGGATACTTGTGAAGAGTCTGGCTTTCCTTGACCGGCTTCTTGCCTTTGTCAAAGCAGCCTTGTCTTATGGGAAACACGACTAATGCCTTGAAAATTGTTGGCGATCATGGAGACGAGCTAGAAAGAAGGCGCAGTGTTGTTTTAGATCGAAGCCTGTTTTAGGCTGTCGGAGATCACGTGTTTAGGTGATAGTATGATGAAGAGATTACAATGAAAGAGTTTGTGTACACCATCCATCGCCTTGCTAATGTGCATGTGTGACGCACTGCAACATGTCTATCGACCGTTAACATTCATGTACCTGCTGATCTTACAGTTGCGCCTATAAGCATTCTACACGTCGCTCGTATGCCGCTGAGCAGCAAACATAACACTTCAGATAAAGAGACCCGAGTCTGTGCCAGACACTATGCACTGTCTCATCAAATTCCAACATACTCGAATGATGGACTCGCAAGCCAAGACCGTTGAATTGTTACAGCTACCACCTGAGATACGCAACCAGATCTACCATCATGTGTTGAGTCAACCACGAGGCCTATTCCTGAACAGCCTCCAGCGACCACCACTGCTAGCGACGTGTCGTCAAATTCAGCAAGAGGCGCTGTCCATCTTCTTCTCCAGCAACCAATTCGAATTCCACCTCTCTCGACCATACCCAGCATGCGATCGGAATGATCGGAACATGATTCTCAAACCACAGACTGGCGTCTTCCTCAGGAACATACAGGCCTACATGACTCATATTGTCTCTATCAATGTGCACGCGACCATACGTTACAAGGACTGGAATGGATTCTTCACCACTTTTCGCATTAGAATCGCGGATGGTCGCGTTCATATCGAGCTCGATGTGACCAAGTTGATCAATAGCGCATGGTCGCTGTGTGAACCCATATTATCAGCTTTGGAGGAGCGCATCACCCAGACGGTCGAATTTCGACATTGCAAAGCTCTTGGTTACCATGACCTAGAAACTCTGGTGGATATATTTCGACCACATCTACTCAATGGACTGGTTATACATTTTGCTCCCTGACATGATGTAGCAGTACCGAAGCCACAAGACCGACCCGAATAGTACTCACTCTGCTGTAAGGACTCGCAATTGGTCGAAACGCATCGAGACCGCATGGCCGGATATGGCTTACGGTGTCTCAACCAACCAGCAACCAAACGATGATGTAGTTCAAAGACTCGCGCATCCACATCGACTACATAAGAACCTCGATCCCTCGAAACACTTCATAAAGAAAAAGACAGTGCTTGAACGAAAGGGCAAAGAGCAACGAACCAAAAATATCGAAAATGACATCAGCGAAAATCGACGACGCTACCGCTGCCGATCGCGACACAATTTCCGAGTGTAAGTCGCTACCCACCGACCAGGAAGCCGTCGCAACAGACAGCGCAGCTTCCTCTGTAAGAGCAGATTCCCCTACCTCGGTCGCAACTACCTCCTCTACACCTTCGACACCGAAAAAACAGAAAAAGCCTCGAAGGGCTAAACAGCGACAATCACCGCCTTCGCGCGTCGACACTCCACTTTCCGCTGCTGCTGTTGCTGCCACCGACGACACACCAATGTCTTCCCTACCTCTCCTCATCTGCAGTCTGGGCAACCCAGGCGCCGCATATGCAAACACTCTCCACAGCGCCGGTCACAACGTAGTAGCCGCACTAGCCACCCTCCTCCAAACCAGCCAATTCACAAAAGACCGCGCCTATGGCAACGGCACCCTCACACGCAGCTACGACCCAGAAACCCCCTGGACGCTCTGGCAATCCCCGACCTTCATGAACGAGAGCGGCAAAGGTGTGAGCAGCGCCTACCGCACCTGGGCCCGCGAAACAAATATGCAAGGAAGACTGGTAGTCATTCACGATGAGTTGGAAAAGCCTTTGGGATCAGTGACGATACGAGACAAGGAAGGGCTCTCGGCAAGAGGACATAACGGGCTCAAGAGCTGTTTGGCGAGCTTGCAGGGAGTCAAGTTTGTGAGGGTGGGCGTGGGGATTGGAAGGCCGGTTAGCAGGGCGCCGGATGATGTTGCGAGGTATGTGTTGAAGAAGATGTCGCCGTTGGAGAGGCAGAAGGTTGAGGGTTCGGCGGAGGATGTGTTGAATAAGTTGTTGGCTATCAAGGGATGAAGAAAAGGGTGACGACTCCCTTGGATATCTCAAAATCACTCTAGCCAGGAAAGTCGGAAGGACAGACATACCGGCACCCGACCAGGAAATCGAGGGCTGGCCTACGGCTCTCCGTCATCATGCGAATTGGAAGCTCGTGTGTGGACTTCTGCATAAGACTTGCACCAGACTCTGCTTAGCTGAGCACTCGGGTCAACACAACTACGACCACAGTGGTTAGATACTGGATTCGGCAGAATAGTCGCTTCATTCAGATCACGTTGGCCCTACTTTCAGACCCAGTTGGTCCATGGTGTACACTATAGTCTGTCTTATCAGGATGCTCCATAGCCACGATCCTCGCTCTTCTTTATTCGATCATCAGAGTCCTCACAAGCCTGTGGCAGCTATATCCCTCGTATACTTTACCATTCTTTCCTCACGTCAGCCTCTTTCAAACAAGTCTACGTCGCACCTGTTTAAAGAAAAATCCAGAAGTCCGCATACTGTAAATACAGCAGAAGTCAACACTTGCATGGACTCCTACAAGGAAGGTCAATCGCCAAAATGACTGATGGAAGAGATTTGCCTATCCAATACATGTCACGAATTTTCCTCCCACACACCGAAGGCCTCAGAAATGCTCTTCTCACTTCACTGACGAGATCAAAGAGGTTATCCCAGTGTCAAGAAGCAAAAATCTCACAAGGCCACAACAGCCACTCTCAAACCTCAACATCCCGAGTCCGAGGATATGTGAACAAGAATATGACGATGATTTTGGGAGGAGATCAACGATGCAGTGGTTTTTTTGTACAAATGGTTGATGAGAAGGCAGTACGTAGTGTTTTGCGAGAATTAAAAGAGTGATGGGGACTAGAATTGGATTTCATGACTTTTGAGGGAATCAAGGCGAGGTGAGATGGGGAGATTGAAGGGATGGAGATTGAGAACGAATGAAATGTAGTGTTGATGTTTTTGGAAAATGTAAAGGGGAAGTTGTGGAAATGGTTAGATGAGCAAGGAGTGAGGTATTTAGGATGTAGGTGCGGTGTTATCCAGGTGTGTTTAAATGAGTTTCGTGAGAGCGGTATGTGAATGTCGTATAAGTTGTGATGGAGCGGCCTATGAGTATTGTACGGGTGTGATATCAGGGTGGATTCTGGAATTGATGCATAGGAAGACATGAAGGTCTAGAGTTTTCTGTAGCCCTTTATAGCCCCTGGTCTCATGTCTATTTTCAGCGATCATAGTGGCGAGTCGCAGGTGATGCTAGACCTACCTATCCTAGACTTCGAGATCCAGTTTCATAGACCTCCAAGATCACAGAGCTGATCGGGACTGCGCTTCAGTATCTTACGAACGTTCTGGAGGATCGCAAGAAATTGCTCGTAGCTGGAGTGATCATTAATGATTGGGCTCGCCAGGCAGTTGATGTCTCTGCTTGTATCTTAATGGTTTCCTGTACTATAGCCTGCTCTCGTGGAAAAGGCAGCATATGTAGTCTGTTTAACCTACTCCAGCAGATCACATTTTCACTTTCTTGAACAGGCGCCCACGCGCGCGCTTAATGTTTTGACCACAAAATGCTTGGAATAATCGATTCCTAGACCCAGCAGCATGGTTAAAGTGCGAAAGTATTATTCATGGTTTGCAACTTGCAGGGGGGGGCAAGAAAAGATTATTTCATGCTTTCTCGGTACGGTTTGTCCTGCCGGTATACTTTCGGTGTTATAGGACCGAGCACAACCTTAGAAGGAAGAGATGCCGGTAGGGCAGGGCAATGCAGAGTAAGAAAAAAACACTATATGAGAGTTACGAAGGACAGATACCGAGAATGCTTGACTCTACTTTAGATTCGAGGTTGTTGCGATTAAAGAAAGTGGAGAAAGGGACAGAAGTTTGCTTTGATGTACCTTGAGTTTGCTATACCTGGTGCCTGAGGCATGCTTTTGCTGTAGTGCGGGAGACCCTGGTCTTGATTTTCTGGTGGTATGCAGTGATTGTCCTTATCCTGTATCGCGCTCACTGTGTATCTCTACGGCCGCAGTCGTGTCGTCGCAAGCCATATATGTACGGGAATAATCACTTCATCCTGAGGGATTGTGGTATTGGGATCGAGAAGGATTCTAGGGATGCATCTCCTCGTAAAAAGTTCGGCCATAGCGTAGCCACACAAGGCGGCTTTCCCAACTGGGAAGTTGTAAAGAGAACGCCGTTTCGTTTTTCGTTGGCGTTGTTGGCTTTGTACACAAAAGTTCTCGGAGAATGGATGATGCTGAGAAGCAATACCATGACACGTTCTTGGAAGCAGAAAGTCACTTGCGATATAGGAGATGCATGTCATGATGACTGACTCTGCCAACTCGGGGGCTTCGCCAAAACCTGGAGCCGAAGGCTTGAGTCCAAGGAGACTGACTTGCTGCAGCAAAGTGGAGAGAACCAGTGGAAATGGAACCGTGAGACATGGTCAAGTCACGCAGCACAGCACGGAGCCTCACGACTCGGCCCAGAATCTCTTTGAACACCACCGGGCACGATCTTGGGATTCGATTTATTGGAGATGCAACCAAGGGACCCGTGGACATTGTGAAGGGGAGTTGGGAAGGCACTGAGATTCTGGCTGCCCCGTCGCCCGAGGGCTATTGCCCCGTCGGCCAATCCTGACAAGACATTGTCTTTGAGCCCCAGCATTGCATGCTGCTCATGCACGGGAGACCAAGTTGCTTGTCGACCCATGAGTCAGTCGTGGACTTCAGCTCCTGATCTGCTTTTATTTAGTTGTTTGAACACTTTCTGATATGGAAGGTGCTATGTTTCCGCTGGGAGATCAAGCCCTGGTCCGCGGCAATGGCAAGGGTCGGCTTCTCGCGGAGTGCGTGAAACCTTTTCGTTTGATTGCCCGGCATCCTGATCAACAGCAGATTGCCTGCAAAGGGAAGGCACGGTACTGCGGTGTCTACATCCTCGAGCCTTCGAGGTAGGGCAGGCAGCATGTCACTTGCACTACCATACTTCAAACGACGGTGAGGTCGAGCAAGCGACGTGATGCTGTCAGGAGGTTGGGTCGCTGTTCCGTACGCGTCATCATGGTGTGTCCCTTCTTCAAAGTCACAGATCAGATGCAAGGATCGTATATGATGAGGATCGTAGAGATGAGATCCTGTCTGAGCATAGGAGTGGGCTCCTTGATCATCTCGAGATCCAACAAGCAGCGCATCGCTCTAGAGTGAGCAATCAAAATTTCGCATCGTAAGACCTGGTCGCTAAATGGCGGAGGCGGATGTTGCATGTGCATGCATGAGCCTGATAATCGAGCAAGCGAAACTTCCTTTTCACTGCAGTATGACACAGAGGCAAGTCTAGTACCCTCGATTGAAGATGAAGCACCTTGGAAGAACTTCCCTACGGTTGGTTTCTTGGAATGATCGATGGAGCATCGTGATCTGGTCAATGATGGTCGAAGCGCCGACCTCCTCATCAGCCAATGCCACCGGAAACCCTCTTCAACGCCATTGATTGCTTGTCGGCGCCACCGCACACCAGATTGGGCAACGTCAAAGCCGTTGACGGCAGTGCCGCGCACTCTCCTCTCGAGGCGCGCCCGAGCTAACCTCAGCAACCTGCCAACTAATGCAGCAGCCTCGAGGGCGCCGACGATGTCGGGCAACTCTGACGATACGAAGTACCAATGGACAGGGCCGCGACGCACATCACTGATCGTGGAACTGTGCTGACCCGTGAACCAGAGCCCGATACCTGGCTATGAGGGCCTACGACTTAACCCCACTCACCTCGTAATATTGCGCAACGAGATGGACGAACGGTTACAGGTCTAAGCGCGCTGGCGACGTGCAAAGGGGTGAATTTCCTTTTCTCCAGTACTTTTTCCCGGCCTTATGGATGGCACCGGGCAGGCAGGTGATCAAAAGCGGTATGGGGTCAGCAAGCGCAGGCGTAGCAGGCGCTCCGTGGAGCATATGCCTGGGATGGTGTAGACAACAAGCTTCCGCGATCATGATTCCATCATGTAGAGAAGTGATCTGCTTGCGGAGTCGTACGGTGAGCCCTCTACCAGTGGCGCAGCGCATTAGGCGTGAAGTTTCTCAAAGTGTTGAAACCCAAACTGAGCACAAGCTGCCGGGGGGGACGCATCAGCACAAGCCTCGCGACTTAGCCACGTCAGAAGGAAACTTTGTTCACAGAGGGAATTTGCAACATTCCAGGAGCATAACAAGAATCTGTCAAAAACAACTCACAAGATGATTGACTTTGTGACTCTCGTTGGATGCGAGGAAGCCGAGAGCTAATTCGAGGAGAGAAGGATCTCCACGTGATATCGAAGTCAAATAAACAAATTAGCTTTAGGATGCAGAATAGATTGCGTGCACCATGAGCCTTGAGGACGTTTGAACAACCAAGGTACTTCACGCACCCTGTTGACGACAGGTTCTCTAATCCATGCAGATCACATGGCTTGCAAGCGCGGGCTTAAAGCAGATCGAACAGAGGAACAGGGCAGATCAGTCAGGGCTCTGAAGGAAGCAACAGCGGGACGGAGGTCGAGCAGAGTGACAACACTCTGGCATACCTTCAAGTCGACAGGGCCACTGACAAAGACCAGATGACATCCTGACGAGCACTCGTATATCGAAGCCGCTCGGTACCGCGAGGTTCAACAGGGCCCAAAATGGAAACACTCGTGCGGAGGCCGCCAGTAGCAAGGAAAGACAAGGTCAGACGGCGGCTACCGAAGGGCTTGAGTGAGCTGGTACCAAAGTTATCCCCGCGGACATGTTTGATCGCGCCCAGGGGTCGTATTAGATGAACCAAATTCGGCAGGCCTCGTAACGGGGAGTGGTCTGCGACCCTAGGAGATACCGCCTTTGAGCGTCTTCAGCGTTCACTTCGGAATTACGCCAGCCGACGTCAGAATGTCTCTAGCAAAAGGATCCCCGGAGATGCAGTCCTGTACAAGTGGCTGTGAGAAACGGAGAGACATTCCAGGGCTAGTCCAGTGAGGTATGTGGTTAGGAGGCGTTGCGACTTCCGAAAGACATTGAGCGGCGATAGGAGAGAATGTTCTACAGCAGAGAAGACGTTGCGAGCGGAGGTGTCAAAAGGGGTATAGTCAGAAGAGAATTGGCTGGTATGCCGGTCCGAGTGAGACCTCAGTTTTTTGGGCCGGCAAGTCGCGGCCAAGGGTGATCACGAGAGTGCCAGTGTTGCGCAAGTCGACAAGGTTGACGGCAGCCGTTGCTTTGCGCCGGAATCGGGGTCGATTTAACATTCGGCAGACTGACCCTAAAGACCACGCGCCATTTGCTTTGCATGCACGCAAGATTTGGTTCAAGGGACGGTGCGCCTTGTCGAAGGAACAAAACGTGCGGCCGAAACCTGCATTGTACAAAAGAGGGAGGTACGAAAGTATCCCATTGAACCCACGTCCGATTACTGAGTAACAGAGAGAGGGACCGTGTTGCTCCGGCCGAGATGATTGTGTACCCCCGTGACTCCGACCAACCGATCAAATGTCTCGATTCAACAGCAGATTATTCCCGATCATTATTTGAGAATTGTACGAGCAACGCTGTATACGCGTGTATCGCATAGCCTTGCAGAGAGATACATGACCTGAATGGCATTTGCGTTTCGGCCCAGAACATGCTTTATGCTCCCAACACATGAGTTCTTCTCGACCAAACGAAGAACATGACGTAAAGCCAAGGGTGCTGAGTACAATGATACTTGTGAAATCCATAACGGCCCCTGCGGGCTTCGAGGTTCTCTCTGCAAGCCGTTTGCGAAGATCGAGCGTCGAACGCTCCGGGGCTTTGACCCAGCCAGCATGTGTCTTGCTCTTCGCCTGTTTAGTCATGGCAGGGGCGAACACTGTACGTACTTGCACGAGCCAGATGTATGCAGCACGCTCGAATAACGTCGTCGAGTCCATCGATGAGATGATATACCACGGCAGTCTCCGCCTAGATTATATGTCAGGGCTGACCTGCTCTGGAACTCTAATGGCACATACGGCAAGATTGTTATTGGACATCCACACTTCTCCTGTCGATCATTAATCAGACCTCGAAAGCTGAACTCAGAGGGGATCTCGTCTGGCACATATACGATAGGTAGCAATAATCTGCTGAGTGCGGACCATGACTTGTTAGCAGATACGTGAGCTGCGCACGTTGAGGTCATGCAGGATGCGATTCTCCAACACCACAAGCTGGCTCGCGGTTTCCAAGGCAGTGGATGGTCTGTGAGCTGCTCTATCCACGTCGTCATATTGACTTTTGACTACCATCGCTTGAGCGTCTTCTGGAAAAAGTGCACCCGCTGTGCTGGTACGAACGTCTGTCCTGAGCGTTTGACTTTTCTTCCCTCCTTGGCTTCCGTGTTCCATGTATGGGTGCATGATATCGCTCATTCAAGTATCGTCGTCAGCAGACCGCTGTTACGCGTTTGATTGATGATGCTATGCAAAGCAGCTTCGCTCCTTGGAGCAACTAAACCTATCGCCAGCCTCCGAAGAGATGGCTAGCGTCGCTGCAAAGACCTTGCCCGTTTTCGGACGAGCCGCTAGGATCGACTTCGCTGCGCAGTCGCACTAACTCGCTTGTCTATTCTGCAAAATCTCTGCACAGCATTCTGCAGCCAGAGAGCTCAGCATCCTCAACCCTACCTGAGCTCGCATAGTTCATTGGTGCGAGATAGATCTCTTGCAACCAGGACAATTTTTGGAGTCTGACGCTAGCATCAATCATGGGCGACGGGCTCGCGGATGTGTGATCGCGTCCGTGAACAAGACGAGTGTACGTAAAACGCTATGCAAGATGTGCCGAGGTAGTTAGGATCCCTTGAGGTTAGGAGAAAACGCTGGTCGGCTCGTATGGCCACATGGCTCGTAGCCGCTGCACCTTAGCCCGTCCTAGGGGCAGTTGCATTGCCTAGGGCAGGGCGTGACGCAACCAATCAGACGTCTGTCTCGAGTAGCTATGATTAGTGACCAGATTGACATCCAAGATGTAGCTCTCAAATGCATATGAGGGTCGCGTTGATAGTGAACCAGTGTTGCTGAAGAGATAGTGGCTGTGCTCCATGTTCGAGCGCGCCGCGGAGTCGAATACTACATGCTAGTTATTTGTCCAGGTGTGGGATTTTACTGGCCGAATGGAGCGACTCCGTCTGCTTAGCACGTACCAGCAGAGGCGCTGCTTGATCGTCATCCAATGAGTGGCTTGCCGTAGTGTTGATCCGAGCTAAGTGCAAACTCCCCAGCAGTCACCTTCAGTCACCGCTCCGCAGTAGTTTCAGAACACGGACAAGTGTACTGTGGACGTGTCGTATTGCTTTTCCGGACGACTGGACCCGGTCGCTGTCATGCGAGTCAACATGTCAGCCAGAGCAGTCGAGGATCGAGAAGATGTGAGATAGCATGCAGGCAGCTTGATGGTGGCGTGCTGTCAATGTCGCATGGTCAGGCATGCCAATTGCTCGCATGCGGAAGGAAGAGCAGAAGTGTCCGCTCGTAGGACTGCAGCGGTATGGGCTGGGCCTTGACCGGGCGGCTGGGTCCCCTGGGATTGTCTCTGCAGGTCATCATCATCAGCAAGAAGTGCTGCAGTGATCGGGTTCCCGCGCTACTGTATGCCCTTACCCAGATTGGACGAGCACCCGCTGGACTAGGGAGATGCTCCATCCAGTCAGCAAACGAGCGGCTTCACACCCCTTCTGGGGTCGCCCTGACAGACGTTTTCTCATTCTCACAAGAACCGCCGATGCTAGCTCCGAACCACTCCCGCTCGACTGGCACAATTCTAATTCAATTAAAGACATCTGTGCCTGCTGTCAAATCGCCCGTTTCTCTGGACTGTGTCTCTGATCTCTTTTCTACTGATTTGCAAATCTCGCCGAAGCCAAGCACCGTCTGATCGTCACCGGCTCTCGCGTCTTCCCTGAACAGAAGCGCTGCTTCCCCTCCTGCTAAATAGCGGCCTTTCCGTGCTGTTGTTCAGTGTGCTTTCATCAAATCTACGGACGCTCGCGCACACTACCTTTATTCTTGTTACCCTTTTCCCCACTGAGAGTCAATCTTCACTACCAAATCTTAACCCCTCACAACTCTCGAAGTTTGTTCGACGCACTCCCGCCGCACGCCATTGTCCGGTCCAAACTCTGATCGTCCACTCGGTGTTCAACCATTGGTTAACCCATCAACTCTCAATTTTTGATCACTGTTTCCATCCTGACCTTCCTCGGGCCGAACGTACCTTGCCAGCGTGATCACAACTCCATCACTATCCAAGCTGTGCCTCGAAGCCAATCTTGCTACACGTTTCCCTGCTTGCTCTGGTCGAGCACCCCTCTTGGTGAGCACCCTTCCGTAGTTCCAAACCAAATACTTGTACATGTGTTGACTAAACACAGCTCGTTCATTGCATTCGGTTCTAGTCCGCGGACGCAGCCACCAAGGACCACCGGTTGACAAACCAACTCCTCCCGACATCGTCGAGCCACAAGCAGTTGCTCGGTCGACCTTTACCACATCAGATCTCGACATCAAGCCATACCACTCCAAGCCTTGCTGGTCAGCAAACGGGTGAGTTAATTCGTGTCTCAACCTTTAGCACATGCACTCGATGACTGACGCGAATCAGAATATTGAAAGATCACTGTCGGTTGCGATTGCAGTCCCAGCTCGACTCGGAAAACCGTAGTCAACTCTACTTGCCGGTAAGTGTAAAGTTTATTCCAACGCGTTGCGCTTTCTACGAGTCTAGCGCATCTTCCCCAAGGCAATCCGTGCTCCCAGCCTGCTTCTTCCCAATATGCTATCACCGTTCTCTTCCCCTCATTCATCATAGGGCCGCTCGCACCATCACCACTCTGCTGCCCTGTTCCCTACTTTCTTCTCTCAAACTATATCACCTGCCCTGTGTACCTGTCGTTCGCAACCTTGTCAGGCCATCAAACCATCCACTTGCTCCACGGCATTTTTGCGCAAATTCACTCTGCCATCCACTCATTCATTCATTCATCCATCTTGTTTCCATCACGCGAAACATTCGCTGACCTTGCAGGAGATAAGAATTTAAATAAGGTCCCGAATCCTATTCTGGATTTGCTTTTATCTCCAGCTTTATCTCTCCAACCTTGTCAACTATAGTTGACCTCAATATCAACCTCAATTCTCGAGGTTACTGCCTTCATCAGACAATATGAGTGGCAGTGGCTCTGGTTCTGGACCACTCCAGCCTACATGGCATGGATTCATACAGAACAGCATGGATGGACTTGTCCTTTTCGAAGCCTGTCTGAGCGGAAAGCTTCACCATGTACCTCGTCGTCCTCACGATCGTGAGAGAGCAAGCTTGATCAAGAGCGGAAGTGTCTTCATCTACGAAGAGAATGCTTCAGGCATCAAGCGTTGGACAGATGGTGTCGCCTGGAGTCCCAGTCGCATCCTAGGAAACTTTCTGATCTACCGCGAACTCGAGAAACCCTTCCCTCCCGGCGAGAAGAAGCGAGCAATGAAACGCAAACGATCCTCGCAAGAACCCGAAGGCCGTCGTGAATCCGAGGAGAACGAAGTCGCCGAGTACAACAGACTTCCCCCAACACCACCGTCACCTGCGAACCCTCCGGAATCCAAATCTGCCGCCTCGGGCGCGACTGACAGCGAGAAAGAGGTGGAGCGTCAGCTCATCGGCTCGCTTGTTGACAGCTATGGCTTCAGACCTAATGGTCTTGTCAAGAAGACCATGAGCATTTCGTTGAACGGTGTCTCGCATCACCTGGTCTCTTACTACACAGTGGAGGATGTCAAGCAACGAAAGCTCCAACGCCCATTGACCGACAACCGCCTTAACGGCATAGCGATTCGCCCCGAGCTGTACTTGAAGCAAAACTTCCGCGCACCTGTCGAAGAACAAGACCAGTTTGCCGTCGACCATAGCGGACACGCGTACCCTCAACTGGGCGGCTACCCACACATGGTGGCACCTTCTGGCTACATGATGCGCCAGAGCTACGTCGCACCCGGCTACCCGCCTATGTATGCTGCACCTGTCTCTACTGGAGCGGGCGTATACAGCAGCTTGCCAGCTACAGCGCCTGCACCTTCTTGGCCTCAATCATACAGCGCAGCACCTTCTCAGCAAAGCTATAACGCCTATTACAGCCGCACGGATGCATCGACTCCCCAAGCACCAACGAACTCATACACACCTATGCCGCCGATGCAGTCGCAATACCAATCACCTATGAGATCATCTGCTCCGAGTTACGGCCCGCCAAGCAGCATGACTTCTTCGTCCACTCCAGTAGCAACACAGTCGCAGTACCAACCAACACAAACGGCTACAGCACCCCAGTACCAGCCAACAAGCTATGGTGTTCAGACGAATTCTCACCAAAGTGCTTCACCTCAACAACAGAGCATGAGGTCACCTCCAGTGGGACCACCATCTCAGTCGATGAATGTTTACCCCCCGCGCTCAAACCTCCCTGGGAATCTCCCTAGCATGTCAAGCTACAGACAGTACAGTACTCCTGGATCGCAAGGCGAAATGCCCAGCATCGGAATGGGTTCTGGATATGGCAGCAGCCATTCACAGGCTAGTAACGCAAGCTATGGTGCATCCAGCTACGGGCCCGCTCCTGGGAGCTTGAGCGCTCCTCAGAATTACCGACACAGCAGTGATTCAGCTCCTCCTGTTCAAAGCTCGCAATACTATAGCGACGGAAAGCCTGCCGTGAGCAACTATTCTTGAGCGCAAACAACGGTTCTTCTCTTCTACTGTTCATGTTAACGATCTTCATTTCTTCAGAGTCTTGCGTTTCAGCGAGTTCTTGGCTGTTTCATTATCTCTTTCCAACAACAGGTGGCGAGGCTTCCAAAAGCGAGGACTGGCCTGGGGTAGTTACGACAGTGTTGGGCATCAATTGTTCATACTGTATTCGGTTCAGGCAGCATTGCAGTGTAGAATTAAAAATGGCAAAAATTATCATCTGAACCCTTGCGTATCACTGCTTAATGTATCGTGATTCATCTATCTGATACAATATAAATTCATGACCGCCAACTTGAACGTCCGGGATGCGTCCCCAGTCTACAACAGATCGGGGTTCGACAGGTGAACGACCTGATTTCGATTTTCCTCGTGTGTTATTATAAGCAGTGCTCAAAGCTGTCACTAAACGTCGGGTGTGGCTGCAGTCTGTATCTCAAATGTTGCAAAATTGCTTGTTAGTGCGCGTCGGCTGATGTTGCTTTACACGTCGCAGATTCCCCTCGCATAAGAGTCAGCCCTGAGTGGTTTCAAGGATGTGCTTCTCGAACGCCTTGGACCTTGGGATTTGCAGCGCCTCCAAAATGACGATCATCGCGGAGCGTTGGCGTTCTCATGTGATTGTTCCTCTTCCATTATCGGAACACGGACCATTTCGCAAGCGCGCCGAACAAACGACATGTCGCATCCAACAGCAGCGGTCAATAAGACATTGTTCGCGAGCCATGGAAGCTGGTCAATGGCACGTCTTAGCATCTCGGGCAGACTGTCAGCTGTCAGCTCCGCCTCCATGAGTGGCCGATCACTGCCTCTACTGTGCCGTGGCCGTACCTTCGCCGCGGTCGCGAGACCATTCGTATCAGCATCAGCGGTATGCTCCACACGCCTTGCAGTCCGCCAGCCCGGCCAACAGCGGTATTGCAGTCCACAATACAGCTTTGCCCTGAGCTCTTCAAACGGGTAATGACCTGACCCATGATCAATTCGAAAGCTGTCGAGGCTGTGTGATCTAACCCTTGCTACTATAGCTCGTACTCCCCCTTGGCATCAAACAGACACCACTACTCTTCGACTTCGAAGGACAGTAATCTCAAGGATCCTGTAAGTGCTACTGATAGCCCCGCTCGCTCGATCACGCATCGTAATGTCTCAAGACGGTCGTAAATCAGGCAGCATATGTGCAGCATCTCAAACCTCTCGCTTGCTGCTTCAGGGCTGAAATCTCGTATATGCAAAATTGACTGACAGTTGTTTCAAAAGGAACTTTCGAGGCTCAAAGTGCTAGATACGGATGTCTCTCCCGAACAGAGTGTCAATGTCGCAGATCAGAAAACGAGCATCATCGGCGACAAGGTCCGCTCCTTGACACCACGCGAGCAAATTTACAATATCCCCAACATCCTCACCGCAACTCGCTTGGTCGCTGCACCTATTGTTGGTTATCTTGTTCTGCATGAGCAGCACAAATGGGCGCTAGGTCTTTTTGCTTATGCAGGCATCACTGATCTGGTCGATGGATGGATTGCTCGCAAGTACAAGCTGCAGACTGTTGTCGGCAGTGTTATTGATCCCATGGCCGATAAATTCTTGATGACCATTCTGACCGTCACATTGTCCATGAACGGTCTTTTGCCAGGTAGGTATTCCCTTATGCTGGAGAGAATGGGTGTGTCTAACTTATATTGCAGTTTCTCTGGCGACTCTCATCCTAGGACGTGATGTATCTCTCGCAGTAGCTGCTCTCTACTGGCGATACGCATCCCTGCCAGCCCCCAAGACCTTCAAGCGCTACTGGGACTTCTCCCTACCATCCGCCGAAGTGCATCCCACCACCATGAGCAAATACAACACCTTTTTGCAATTGCTGCTCATCGGCGCCACCTTGGCCTACCCTGTCGTCACAGCGGACAACCACCATCTAGGCATCATGCATGACATTGGTCTCGAGAAACTCGACCTCGCTCAATTCATGACTTACTTCCAGATCTTGGTTGCTGGAACTACTGCTTGGAGTGGACTTAGCTATGCTTTCCTCAAGGATGCAGTCAAGATTCTAGGCAAGGATGAGCAGTTGAAACTTAAGCAGGGAAGAAGGGGTAGGGCGATCATTGGTGTTACATTCGGTAGTGTGGTGATTGCCGCTGCGTATTTGGCATTGACCAAGGATTTGCCTAAGAAGAAGGAAGAGGGAGTGGTTGCTTGAGGTTGCGATTGATGTTGAGGGTCTGGAGATGGTAAATTTCATTCGATGTATCATCATCTTAAGCATATCTAGCGTACGAAAAATCACATTCTTTGTTCCATTGACCTCTCTGTCAGTCTTCGTTCGACATCGACAGCGGCAGGAGGACTTGGACACATGCGACTTCCTGTCTTGCTCCAGGTCAACTTGAACTTAGCTTTGGATTTCGGCTCTCTCTCAGCTTGTCTTGCTTGCCGTCATATAACATCTCTATTTTCCCAGCTCCGTCCTGTCCCTATTGCATCCATCTACCTTCGTTCGACCCCGGTTGCTGTTTTCCATCGCCCATCGTCCTTGTAACTTTCATCACCTTCATAGCCTATCCTGCTCACCGCGTATTGTCAGTACCCTTTTATCCATAACACGACGACTTCCCATCTACCCACCACAACCATAAAGACGACTAGCGTCACCATCAGCGACGGCCAACCACGCGACACCTTTGCTTGGACATCCTCAAGGGGACTCGAGACCCGAAAAAAGATTATAATCCAGGCCTTTTTTGTCTTGACTCGGGGTGATGTGGAAGCGGGTCGTTCGATCAAAATAGTAGACTTTCATCGTTGTGCTGTGTCTCGCCTCACCATCGTTTTCGTCTGCTGCTTGTTCGCAAGTGATTGCCTCGCTGAATACTGTGGTACACGGCGTCGAGAGTCTTCCAACCACGTCGAGAATTGTACCTTGCTACTACTGCAATCTACATTTCCTCGAGATTGCTATGTCGATATTGCAAGCATGCTGTCAGGACCATGACTATCAATGGAAGCACCTTCATACTACTCCTCGGAGATGCAGTATACCGAGCACACTATCACTTCACCTTGCAGCTTTCCAGCAATCTCGCTCTCATACACCATGCCGCCATAAGGGATGACCAAAAAGAGACTTGTCAACCGAGCTGCAGACCCTTCGATCGAGGTTTCATGCATGTTAGGAATGCGAGAAACGCACATACGAGAACGAAGGGGGGTTTTCAGGCCTCCCTCCCCCCCTACTATATATGCGCAACAAAACCGGTTCACCGCGCTGCAGCAGACGCACTGCAAGACGCAGGATACCAAACGATTTCCAAGGCCTTTCTCTGACCGCCACCTTGCTGCCAGCAATATATCCCCATGCAAGACAACATCTCGTATACGCATGGGGGCGGTGAGCTGGAAGATACCGAAAACAAGAGTTTCGTATATTGCATCGCCCCAGCAAAAGTGCAATTCTTGCGAGAATCCCAAGCCATCTGCGGGAATAGAGATAGTCTCGCATCCGCGGGAATACGGCGAATTGCTCTTCCTGTCGGAGTCATGTCCAAATGTGGGAATTTGCATCTCGTTTATGCGAGGCGCGACGTTTGTTGTGGTATAACTGCATGTTTGGTGGCTTGAAAGTGCAGTCTGAATGTCCAGAGCTGGAGTCCTGGATCAAAGGGTTCATTCCAGGGGACTACGGCTAAAATGTCTGCTTAGGCAGAATAAAAATTTCTGTGAACAATATGAAAATCACATGAGATACTTTGCTACCAATACAATATTCTGGACACAGATAAGAACGGTAAAGCGATGCATGCACGTTTGTGGAAAGGGACTATTCGTCCGTTTTTGAGCTGGTGTACTGTCAGGGTCTCTCGTTCATCTTACCTATTTATGAGGCTATACCACGATTGTCCCTTGCTAGTTCCGCCGTGTAGGGAAACGAGCGTTGATGAAGGGTGGGTGGTACAACGGAGTCCAACCCGAGTCCTTCGGCAGGCTGGGCATCAAACCCATCCAGCAAGACTGGTGCCAGCAGGAGGAAGATACGATCGAGCGAGTAGCCATCGGGGAAGTGATCCCTGACTTGAGGAATGTGTCACCATGCCTGTACGGTCGTTCGAGCCTCTGAGTGACAATAACAGGACTTTCAGAATTAATCACATGCAAACGCTGGAGAAGGTGAACTAGATGGATGGCTTGGGAACACTCGACTGCCTTTCTTTGAATATACACGCGTGGGGGTGGGTGAGTTGGTTGTAGAGAAGAAAAAAAAAAACCGGAAAAAACATAATGATAAGAAATAAGAAAATAACCAGCAGTCCACATGCTTCATCCCGTCATCGCCGGTCCCTCTTCCTCCTGAAGAAACATTTTTGGAATCAGGAAAGAAAAAAAGACTTTTTATGCAATATCATGGTCTTCCTCCTCCATCTTGGCATCAGCAGATTGCTCAGCAGCAGCCTTAGCATCGGCCTCGGCGGCAGCCTGTGCCTCAGCCTTGACCCTCTCAGCCTCTCTAGCCACATCAGCAGCTTCGATGGCGGCTTCGCTGACAATGGCCTCTTCGACAGCCATCTTACGTCTCCAGACCCTCGCCCAGCGCGCACCCCACTGCTGCAGCAGAGTCTGCTCGGCAGAATCGCCGTCAAAGCGCTCAATCATGTCGTCTTGAGCTGCGTTGGCCACGGTAGCCACAGCCTCGATGATGGCATTGAAAAGATCGCGCATGGTCTGGCGCTCGCGAACGAGCGTCTCGTCTAGCAAGCTCTTTTGCTCCTCAGAGAGATCGGCTTCAGCGCGAGCGCGAACGATCTGGCGCATGCGGTTGCTGACTTTGAACATGGTGGCCGAAATCATTTCGTAGATGTGGGTTTGGGCGAGTGCGCGGCCGTGCTGCATGTGGTCGTGGAGTGCCCACTCGATGACGCTCATGGGCGTGATGATGGTGTAGTTGAGCAGTTTGTCGATGATGTTGACGGCGGTGCCCGGGTGGTCGGCCCAGTAGTCGATGACTGATGTGATGATTTGGCGACGAGCGAGTTCAGATTGGGGGCCGATTGCGAGGAGGCGTTCCTTGCATCGCTCGATACAGGACAGAACGTGAGAGAGCGATTTGCTCCCGACTGAGCAGATGCTTGTCATGTATGCGTCAGTGCTGGGCACAAGAACATCCTCGACGCCTTGTTCGCTGGCCAGGGTCTGGATCTCGCTGATGACAACCTCGATTTCTTCTTCAGTAGCCTTTCTGCGGATCAGTGCATGCATAGCATTGCCTTGTTGCGAGTAAGGAGTCTGCTCGTCGAGGTACTTGAAGTCGGGGGTATCCTTCATCTTGCCCTCAGAGATGAGGGGAGCGTAGGCCTCAGGAAGAGTCTCTCTGATACGCTTGGCGAAAGAGAGACGAATTTCCTTGTCTAGCGAGCCAACGATGAAGGCCTTTCTGGGCTCTAGATCAGAACGCTCAAGCTCGTCGATCCATTCAGCCCACTTCCAGCGGAACTCAAAGTTACTCAGATGGTGGGCAAACCAGTCCATATAGCGATATTGAAGCTCGAGATCCATGACATCCAAGCTACGGAAGAGGAAACGGATAGCTCTACCCAGACTGGGAGCTACGGCAGCGGGAGCGATTTTGCAAGCCTCGGTGATGACAGAGTGGTAGTAGACGAGCTTGTGTTCCGAGGTAGGCAGGCGCAGGATCTGAGAGAAGACAGCATCGACAACCAAGTCTTCGGGCTTCCATGTCGAACGTCCTTCGGGGATATCCTTGAGCTTGTCGAAAGCGGTGGCACGCTTGACGAAGGTGTTGGGAGCCCAGTAGCAGTCGACATCGATGAGGAATTTGGCAGCAGCGTTGCGGTTGAAGTCGAGGATGTTAATAGTATCCGTGACGGCGTCTCGTAACAGGGATGCGGCAATGTTGGAAGTAGGAGGGACGGATTCGACATCTTGGTCGGCAAACAGCGAGAAGCAGACTTCGGGGAAGAGGGCGTGGGGACCAGGATTCACGGGCGAAGGGACCGAGAGCTGGGGGAACGAGTGCTTGTTGGAGGCAGCCTGTTCGCCATTCTCACCCTCAGCAGGTGCCGGAGCAGTGACACGAGTCAGACGGGGAATACAGGCGAGCTTCCAGCCCGAGGCAGCCTCACCCTGCAGCTGGCTCTGCAATGCGCTGAGGATGCTGGGGCAAGCCATGGGCTTCTGTTCGCCTTCAGCCGTAGGGTAGGGGTCGACCAGGGCCTCGAGGGCATGCGGTGTAGAGGCAACGATGTCGGTCTTTTCTAGCAGCTCGGCGGCGCGCTGTTCCAAGCCAGTGTCGGGTGCAGCCAGGACATAGGGAATGGTGAGGAGAATAATCTTGACCAGCTCGAGACCAACGGCGTCGTCTGACGAGGCAGTCTGGAGATCGACGGCGCGGTCGAACAGCTCTTCCAAGATAGCAAAGACACCATGGTCGCTGAAAAGAGGCTGAAGACAGGCCAGGAATCGTAGCAACAGCTTGACGCTGCGCCATTCACCAGCATCGAGGTGACGCTGCAGTAGAATCGATGTGCGGCCGAGAACCTCGGCGGCAGCGTCGCTCTTCTCGTTGTTGGCGCACAAGACGGAAGCGGCGACGAAGGGAATCTTGAAAGGTTGCTCGAGAACCAGGGACAGAACCAGATCGCAATACGTCTCCTTGACGTAGTTGTCGTGGTAGTTTTCGGTAACGAGCTTTGCGATTTCCGTCACTTCGTCCTCAGGGTTCTTCATTGGCGATTCAGCGACCGAGAGGAGCTGACGGCGCAGCCTTGTGCCAGGAGGAGCATCTTCGTATCTTCTGCGCTGAGGTCTGCGATCGTAACCACCTTCATCGTCGTCTGTAAACAAAGAAGATTAGCTCGGCAAACGACGAATTGTGTTTCTGCGGTAGGATACCTCTGTTGTAGCGTCTCTTGCGGTTGTTGTAGCCACCGCCTCCACGTCTGTCGTCGGCCATTGTTCTGTCTGGGTCGTGCAGTCGGACACGTTGATGGACTTGATCGCTCGCGACAGCTCTGTTGCTTTGGTAGCTGAACTTCGCTCTGCGGCGCGGACCTCTTGGAACCAGAATCCGACGCGCTTGCTTGGCGTCCACTTCCGAGATGCTCAATCGGGAAAGCTCCTTCGCAGCTACTTCGTCTGCATCGACCATCTGCACTTCTGCCATCTCGACATCTTCCATGTCCACTTCTTCGTATACCTTGACTGCTGTCAGTTCCTCGTAACCGACTTTCTTGCGTGCCATCAACACTTCTCGCTCTGTCTGTCTGGCCATCATGTCAGATCTCAGAGAGATGAGTCTCGGAAGTGTTCTTGTGTACTCAAGAGTCCACCAAGTAGGCAATATATATCAAGAGCAGAAGATAGAAGAGAAGAGGTTGTCGTCAAGTGACTACGAGAGAAGGTGAAAAGAAGGAAAGATCAATTGAGCCTGCCCATGTGGTAGTTACATCTGTCGTTGAAGGCCTATGTGAGTGTGAGCCACAGTACCAAGACTCCTGGGTCCTTGAGTGAGGCTGAAATGTTGCACTTGAAGAGATACTAGAAGCTTGTATGAAGCAAGAAGCATATGAAGCTAGCCATCTCAAGTGAAAGAAGATGAAGAAAGGCTTCAGTATATCTTTCGAGAGCGGCAGCAGCAGCAGAAGACTGATGAACAAGTCTTCGGTGAACTGTGAGAGGTTTCGTCACTGAAGATTGGTGTTTGAACATCCTTCAATACAGAGGTATAGCAGTAGCAATAACGAAGGTCGAAAGAACAAAATCAATTCTGGTCTAAAGTCAGATAGCCAACTGCAAAGCAACCATACACTTTTCGCCCACGTCTGTTTGACTATGCAACTCTCGTAAGAGCAGGAGCTCTAGACAACAGGAACCAGGCCGAGCATCGTCGAAAGGACTAATAGAAACACGAAGATAAAAGGAAATTTCCCTGCGTTACTTGATCCTCGTCAGAGTGCTCCACTCCTTGTCCGCTGTGTCAAAGACGGAGAAAAGGTCACCGTTCCTTCTGCTCGCGTACCATCAAATACCCTCAACCTCCATCATAACTTCTTTGCTCTCCAACTTGCTGAAGCTTCCGAGCGCCGCCTGCCATTCCCGAATCAGGGCGCAAAAGAAAACAACAGAGTCGAAAGAAGCATCAACCGACTTGACTGTTCATCTCTGCATTCAGAGACGCATGCAACGAGTGTCAAATCTTGCAAAAAGAGATCCCAAACCAGATATCTCTACCGCACCACACGTTGGGGAAAAGGAAGAAAAGAAACTTGCTCGGACCGCCCATTCGGCGTATAGAATAGAAAAAAAAAAAGGACAAATAAGAGAGACATCCACAGCGACGCCAGCGGCGAAAGCGGCAGCGGCATTAGCAGCAAAGCAATTACTCCGGGAAACCAGCCTTGTTCGACGTCTTGTTATCTGTTCAAGCCAAGGCTTGTCCACTGACCCTTTGTCGAATGTGCGAAATGATTTTAGAAGACTCCAGGGTAGATAGCCGATAAAGCAGACCGCTGATGGGTCGTTCGAAGGTCTTGGAAGCTTGAAATGAGTATGCATCGCTAATTCATGATCTGTGTATAGTTTTTTGCCGATGGTTTTTGTTCTTGTTGATATTCTTAATCCAGTCGTGCCATCATGGCATCCTTGGTCAGGGGCGTCAAGTTGTCAATGTCGAGACCCTTTGCTGCCAATTGAGGACGAACGTGTGGGGGAACGAGTTGGTGGTTCATGTGGGGTGCAATCGAGAGTTCTGAAAACATCAGCATGCTGTAATGCAGTATCACAAAAAGATATCCCTTACCATGGTGGTTGAAGTTGAAGAGCTCAGGCATGTCCTTGGTGGCACCTCCAGGGTGGCGAGAGTCAGGGAATCTGGTGTTGGGGTCTCTCAACTCGTCGAAGAAGGGGTGAACCATGGCTTCAATGGCGGACAAACGTTGTGTCGGCGTGTACTCAAGGAGCTTGGAAATGAGATCGATGGCACTGGGGTCAGCCTTGCGGAAGACCTTTGAAAAACGTAAGCGAAAATGCGAGACAAGCTAGCGAGCCGAAACTTACCTTGTTGAAGGGGTGAGGCTTGATCTGGGGGAACTTGTGTTCCATGTAGTTGGGGTTCATGGTGCGGATTTGGTCGCGAGTAGGAGTTCCCAAAACCTTGATGATCTCGACCAGTTGGTCAATACCCGACTCACCGGGGAACAAAGGCTGACCGAGCATAAGCTCAGCCATGACACAGCCAGTGGACCAGACATCTGCAAAAGGCAAGCAGGTCAGCCTGGATACAGCACATAATGCTTCGAAGTCTACGTACCAATCTTTGTCGTGTAGTTGGTTGCGCCGAAGATGAGCTCAGGGGCTCTGTAGTAGCGCGAACAGATGTACGAGACATTGGGCTCGTTCTCGATGAGAATCTTGGCACTTCCGAAATCGCAGAGCTTGAGGATACCACTGTTGGGGTCGAGAAGCAGGTTTTGAGGCTTGATGTCTCTGTGGCAGATGCCCTGGCTGTGGATGTAGGCAAGCGAGCGGAACAGCTGGTAGATGTACAGCTTGACCTCGAGGATGGGCATGGTTGTCTTCATCTTATTAAAGTAGCGGGACGCGCGGTAGACGGTTTCGGGGACAAATTCGAGTACGAGATTGAGGTAGACCTCGTCCTTCTGCAGCCTGCGTCAGTTACTGCGCCGAGTGGTCAAGTAATTCGAGACATACGCGATCGCCGTTGGAGTAGTAGAAAGCCTTCAGCTCGACAATGTTAGGGTGTCGCACTATCCTCATGATCTGGAGCTCTCTGTTCTGCGCAGGGTCAGTCGACAGGCTTGAAGGAGTGGATATCGGGGATTGGCGACCTTGAAACGCTTGTCCTGGAGCACACGCTTGATGGCGGCATCTTCGCCGCTGGGAGACAGCTTGGTCTGGAAGACGACACCGAAGGAACCGTTGCCGACAATCTTGCACTGAGTGTACTGCATCTCTTTTGTCTCTCCAGTCAAGCCATCCTGGACCTTTTCGCGAATTACCTCTGTACGGCGTTAGCACGTGCAAAGCATAGAGACAGGCCAATGGATGGAATCAAAGGATTGGCGAGCTGTATGGCGGATGCGCAGATGGCTCAAGGGGAGGAAATGAAGAGCGCGGGGGAGGTGATGGTATCCTTACCGCCCATGCGTAAGCTAGAGAACGCCGAAGGCCTGTTCTGCGACATGATTGCGACTGGTTGAGAGATGGAAGGCGGATTGGAGCAAGGTCACCGGGGGGTCGGGGTCGGGGGCAGCTGGGTGTCGGGAGCGTGATGTAGCGGAGGTGGTTGACGAGGACGGAGGATGCGTCGATGCGGGCCTGTGCTCGGAGCTTGTGTTGACGGGTGTTATGCAGCAATGCGTGATTGAGGGGAATTGAGATCTGAGACGAAGCCGAAAGTGAAGAATGCCGCGCTAGGTGCAAAGTACAAAAGGGCTGCTGTAGAGAAGACGTGCGGTCAGTCTTTGGTGGGGGGAATGAGGGCAAAGAGAGAGCAAGTGGGCAGGACAGGCAATGTGTGAGGGTCGAGAGTGTCACCTGCGCCGTGCTTTGAAACGAGCAACACCACGGCCCACGTGATTGTCCAGCTAGGTAATCGCTGTCTTACCTGAGATGGTCGTTGTTTCTTGCTGCGTTCAAGCGTCTTCTGGTAGCTAGGCTGCTGAAGGACTCGACAACGTTTCGAGGGCTGCTCTTTCTGTTTGAGATGTCCGAGTTGCGTTGTTGAAGACCTCAGCAGCTCTTTCCCTAAAACGTTGGTTTTGGCCGTCCGCTGCGCACCGCATCCCTCACCCCGCTTTGCTTCTCGCCCAATTGTCACTCATCTCATCATGGAGCTAATCCTGACCATGTACGCATGACCTACAGTCCGCTGCGATGAGGCTGCCATCATCGTCTTACTTTTCCGAATGCTTTCTTGCCCGTTTGAGCCTCCAATTGGCAAGCTTTCGTCCTCTATACAGCTTCTATACCCTCACGAATCGACATCTTTGTTTACCTCCTCAAAACGAGCCCATTACCACAGTCGCTGCTCTGCGTCTGGCCCTCAACGGCTCCCGCCCAGGAGTTCAATCTCTGCAGTCCATGTGACTTGCTCGGTCGCTAGCGTCGGGCCCAGGCGCTTTGCATCCTCGCTGATTCGCCAGGGTACCTAGTACGCAAGTGGCTGACACTTCTGCCGGCATCCGCACTTGACCAGCTCTCTGTTCGATCAAGTCTTGCCCAGCCCTTCACATGCATCATGATTCTGCTCTCAGGAAGAGAGAACCATTCGCAGTCTTCTGCCTTCACCCCGCAGCCGTGCAAATGACTGCGCCAGCGCCTTGTCATGTTACCGCAATTGCGTCAAGATGCTGTCACGGAAGAGCAGAGACAGCCATCATGACCATTGACCCCGTTCACAGCACTTTCGCGATCGCGACGGCAGCCCAGCCGAACAAATCACTTCTACTTGCTGACGAAGACCATTTGTCTGCAATACGAACCGATGCCTAAATTTGCATGAGATTTGGCTGGTGAAACGGACAATTCCTCCCGATTTTTGTTGAAGGACGTCGCCGAATCAAAGTTCACACTACATGGCTGCCGCATGTTCGTTGACTTGTTGTCTGTTGCGTGTCCCAGTCTTTCTCTCACTTCGCCTCGTTCTGCCGCCAACAACTACCAACCCAATTACTCTCTTGCCCATCTTGTTTGCGTTGAAGACTCAACGTTGAAACATCAAAGCCCAGATTTGCAGCCAAACCTTACATTGTTGCACTTCGGAGTGTCGCACGTCCGAGAACAGGAACGGACCTGAGACCCTTTCTCAACTCGAACCGTTGTCAATCTTCTGACGAACCACAACTGATGTGCGCAATCCCAGATTAACGGAACACCACAACTCTTTGGGCCTGACTAGTGCGTCGTCCCTCGCTGTCCACCAACACACCTTCTGACGGCAATTCAAGAGCATTCGCTTCGATAGATCACAGGTAAGCAAAATGTGCATTGTCGCATCTCAGCGTTGTCATGGTTCGGCTACGTGTCTGCTTTTGACTCTGTTGACCTCATGGCTGCGCTCGTGTGCATAGATGCAAGATGTCGATGCAAGCCGCGATGGCCGCATCAGTCAACCTGCAGGAACATGATTGATGATCTCGCAAATCAACCAATCCGCTGCCCGTCAGAATCTCGCACCTCAGCTCATGCATCTGCGCTGGCTTGACTTCGGTAACTTCATGCTACAAACACTAGCCCTGTCCCTTGATCCAAAGAAATACCTATACTTGTACACCTTGCGCTCGCTCAGCTATACCGAGAGCCACTGATTTTCCCTGTTCATGCAGACAAGCGAGCAAGGAAAGTACACAGCTCAGGGCGCGACCATGTACGGCACATCTTTAAGGGTCACAGCATTTGCATCCTTCAACGAGCTTAATATCGGTGCCTCTGACAATCCCCCACGTCTAGTCCTCATGACCAGATTGATTCGGCAGCTGCAGGCGGCCGGGACTACTCGCAGCATGGTGCTTCTCATCCAGCATTGACGACATATCACGAGGTGATGGTATGCGAGAGCCGCATACCTCTCCAAGCGTGCCGTGATCGCCTGTAAAACGGACACAGATATGCTATATGCATGCAGACTCTTCGGCCGTGCTCACATGTTTGCTCACAGTCATGTTCTGCCTATCTCGCATACTTGTCCACGACCTCATCATCCGGTCAACTCGTGTCGCGTGTCACTGATCCCGCGTACGTGCTCACAATATTGGCGGACAGTGTCCGACCGTTCTATACTGCTCGTATAAGGAGAGTCTTCAGGTTTCACAGCAGTCTCAATATTGTGCCTTACCATCGAGCAAGGCATGTGACCTGCTTTTTCATCGAACAACGTTCGTCTTGGTTTCCAACTACATGTCTTCGGTTCTTGAGGTAATTTCTCTCTTTGGCTGGCAATGAAGAACCAGACACCAAATCTGTTTCTTCAGCCAAAAACTTACGAGACTGATTCATTGGCCTAAAAATCATTCAACTGAACCCGACCATAGTATCCAAACTTCTTAGCATTTCTTCATACGGATGATCGGCATCACCCGACTCGGGACATTCTCGAACAAAACGTGGGTCTGCTGTTTATAACACGGCTCCACTCATGAGGAGCATTTTAATTAGAAATGACAACAACTGACGTAGCTTTGAGATGTGTCATAGATATCATTGCTGTGTCGGCGAATGTCATGAGGGCTAGGATTGCGACGAGGGTCAGGGTCGCCATTTGATCAAAAACTCTTTCTCCTTCTCATCTTCTCTCACAACTTGATTCGGTACGAATAGTAAGGGAGAGGAGATGTGATATAAGGATGAAAGTTGCAACAACGTATGAGTATCTAAACTGAGCAATTTCTAATGTCACTTTCCATGTCAATTCCAATGTCAATGTCAATCTCAATCCCAATATTGATTCCATTCCATTTCAAAGTCAATCCTAATGCCAATTTCAGACCGAATCCATACCTAGGCTCGCTGTCAAGCCCAGCTCAAATCACGATCAAACGTCGATGCTAACCTTACATGTCTACTCAAGAATAAAACGAAAGTCTTTGTGCTCTAATCACTTGGTAGACATGGCTCAAACGACCAAGTGATGGTAGCTAGAGAGTGGAAGCATGTCGATTTCAATGTCAATGTCAATGTTAGTCCCTATGCATTTCCGCTGCCAATATCATTGTCGACTCTGACTTCAATTCCAATTTCGCTTCCATTTCCATGTCTGCTTCAATGTCAGAGAATCCAATTCCATTTTCCGTTTCTGTGTCAATTTCAATGCGAAACTCCATTCAATTCCAAGTCCACTTGATCTCCAGCCCCAATGCCAGTTTCCAATGTCGATTTCAATCTCAATACTAGACCACACCCGCCTTCGAAGAAAGCAACAAGTCTCTAGCTCAACGAAACTCTGCAGATACAACTTAAAGAAACGGTCAACGAGAGTGATAGTACTCAGATGGTATGCCAATGCCAATGTCATACTGATACCAGTGTCATTCCCCTCCCAATTCCAAAGCCAATCTCGATATCGAATCGCACGCTCAACAGTATAGACCCTATACATATCAACATCAACGTAAGTTTACTTCTCACTTCACTCATGAACAACTCAAGGCCTCCAAGACTAGCAACTCCTAGGAATACGTACAGCCAAAAAGAACTTTTGCAAAAATGGATTGGACAAGAAAAAAAAAAGGAGGAAAAGAACAAAGCAGTGATTTTCTCAGTCCTGTCAAAAGTCTGTTCTGTCCAATCGACATCTCTGTGACACGATAACAAGACCAAAAGTATATCAGGAGAGAAGAATCGCCAGTTGTCAGTTACCAGTCGCTAGTTGCTGCCAGCAACGAGAATACTACTCGACAACGGCGATGTCCAACATGAGACTCACAAAGAGGATGGAAACGAACTCAGCAGACAATTGAAAAGCGGATAGATCAACACATTTCTGGACACAATAGCATCAAAGGAGTTCGAAGAAGAAAAAAAAAGGTCTTGAATTACTCCTGTATTCCCATGTATTTGGAGAGAATAGTAGAAACCTCCCCCCTCCAACGAAAAAAAAATAATGCATCTCTCCATGACAACCACATCAGTCTTTACCTATTGTAATCGTAGCCCTTTGCTCTTCTCTACCCCTAGAATGTCATGCTAGAATTGAAAACAAGAAGAATCAGAAAAACACCACTCTCTATGCTCAGTCGAAAGCTTTACTCATCGTCATCGCTCTGAGCCATGGACTCTGTGCCACCGCGGCTCTTGCGACCACCGAGACTCAGCTTGACGCGTGGCTGAGGTGTACCAGCATTGGAAACGGGTCGTGTGTTGCCAGTCTCGGTCTCCCAGTCTGCAAACTCGGGGTACTTGGCTGTCTCTTCAGCAAGCTTCTTGACAGCGGTTTCCTGAAGCTCATGTTAGTATTCGTTTGATCAACAGGCTGTAAGCGCAGAACACATACCTCAATCAAGTTCGCGTCTTGGTACAGAGTACTTCCATCCTCATTGTAAGTCCTGCAGTTGTCGCACAACTGCTTGATGTCCTGTCTGAACTGGCGCAGGTTCTGGTACTGCTTCTTGTTGATCTTCTTTTGGATCTGATCCATGCAAACAGGTGTGCGGATGAGCTGGTAGTAGTCGGGGTAATGCTTCTGAGGTGGCAACTCAATGAACGGGTCGATGATCCCTCTGTTGGCGATATCGGGCTCGGTCGACTCCTCCTCGAGGTCCATCAGTGTGTCGTGCACTGCGTCGAGAACCTCTTGCAAGTGCTCGCGTTCAGACGGCGGCAGCAGATCGGGCACCTTAGCTTGACGGCCACGCTTTCTCGGTTGTGGTGCTTCGACCTCTTCCTCGGCCTTGCGCTTCTGGACAGTCTCAGGCTTGGGCTTGCGACCACGCTTCTTTGGCTGAGGAGATTCTGAGCTGGCGCGAGACTCTGGTGGGGGCGTATCGTCCTGGCCTTCTTGTCCCCTCTTTTCCTTGTTACCGGCACGTCTGCTGATACGAGCCTGTTTACGGGCAACGGCAGACTCGATATCGTCATCACTGTTGTCGACAGCTTCGAGCCATTGCTCCTCAGTAAGACCATCGTCATACTTGACTCTGGCGCGCTCGCGGTTACCACGACCCATGGCGACCTCAACAATCTCCTCGATCGGGCCCTCTTCGTTCACATAAATGTCAGGAAGCTCCTGCTCACACATGAGACGAGGATACTTCTTTCCAGGGCCGTATTTCTGATCCCTTAGACGCTCCTTGTCCATCTGTTGGAAGAGTGTCAACTCCTCATCAGAGCGCATCATGATCACGTTCAGGTCATCGTCATCCATTTCCTCTTGCTCGAATGCCTCGGCTGCTTCGGCAGACTCCAGCATGACACGAAGCATCTCATCACGCTCTTCGTTGGTCGACCTGTTGTCGAATTTACCAGCCTGAATGACTTTGCCGTCCATAGCAAGCTTGTAGTTGGCACGTTCGAGAATCTTCTCTTCCACGGAATTGGAACTGATGAGACGTAGAATGCGAACCTCGTTCTTCTGACCAATACGATGAGCACGATCTTGAGCTTGAAGATCCTGATGAGGGTTCCAATCAGAGTCGTAGATGATAACGGTATCGGCAGTCTGCAGATTCAGACCGAGACCACCAGCGCGAGTCGATAGCAGGAAACAGAAATAAGGTGAGTCAGGCGCGTTGAAAATTCTGAGGAGCTCACTACGGTCATCAGCCTTTGTTGATCCGTCCAAACGTAGATACTTAAGCCCGCGCAGACGGAGGAAATCTTCCATGATGTTCATAATTTGTGTCATCTGGAAGAACATCAAGACACGATGGCCAGACCTCTCAAACTTGGGTAGAATTCTGTCGAGAAGCTCAAACTTTCCAGCTGTACGCCACAGTGTGTCGTTGGTTCCTTTGCCAGGGTTGATCTGATCCTCGACTTCTTCGAAGACAAAGGGATGGTTGCAAAGTTTTCTCAACTGCATGAGCATGTTGCTGAGACCACGCAGACCAGTCTTTCCACCCTTGCCATCACTGACCATAAGCCTGTTGTGACTGACGAGCTGCTTGTACAACTTGGCTTGAAGTGATGAAAACTGACACTTGATGACACGCTCCTGCTTGTCAGGCAAGTCTTTCTCGACATCCTTCTTGAGACGACGCAGAAGGAAAGGTCGAAGCACCTTGTGAAGACGACGAATGACAAGCAGCTGCTCTTCTTCTGACAACTCCATCTTATCCTGTCCACCTGTGTTGGCGAAGGGAGTGTTAAACCATTCATCAAACGACTTGACCGACTTGAAAATGGTGGGAAGAACGAAGTTGAGCAGGGCCCACAACTCGGGAAGATTGTTCTGGAGAGGAGTACCTGTCAAAATCAAGCGGTAACGTGTGGTGTAATACTGAGTGATGGTGCTGCTCAACTTGGAGTTGGCGTTCTTCATACGATGGCCTTCGTCGACAATCATGTGCAGCCACTTGATCTTACTGAGTACGGGTCTGTCCTTAATGATGAACTCGTAGGTAGTAAGCAAGACTTGGAAGTTGCCATATCTGATCTGGTTCTGGTGAGTCTTTCTTTGGGCCGGGGGTCCCTTGTAAACAATCTTTGAAACAGAAGGTGCCCATTTGTCGAATTCGTTGTTCCAGTTCGTCAACGTACTAAGAGGTACAATGACCAGATAAGGTCCTGGTTGACGCTTCTTCTCGATAAGGTAGGTAATCAAACTGATTGTCTGAATGGTCTTTCCAAGACCCATCTCATCAGCAAGGATACCGTTGAGGTTGTTGTTGTAGAGCGAGATCATCCACTGGAGACCCTTGATCTGGTACTCCTTGAGAGTACCACCAACGAGAATGTTGGCTTGCTGCGTGACCTCTTCCTTGATCTTGTGAGCAACTTCATAGTAGTCGACCTTTCTTGATATAGCCTCGCCATCTTCATCTTCTTCAACAACCTCTGGCTCTTCTTCCTCTTCGACGACTCCATATCTGCGAGCAGCACCGCGTTGCTGTTCCTTGACGGAGGCGGCAAGCTGGTCGAGGAAACCATCGGTCTGCTTGAGCAAGTGAGAAATACGGCTGTCCTTTGCCTGGCCCAGCAGCTTGAGGTAAGTCTCTTCGTCGTTGGCTTTGAGGGCTTGCAGACGTTGCTTGGCGGTTCTTTCGATGCGCTTTTGTTCTTCCTTTTCGATGTTTGAGTGAGTGGTCTGCATGAGACGGCCGAGCTTTTGAATCCTGGTTCGCTGGTTGGCAGCCGACGTCTTGAGTTCGTTGCCATGAGACAGCACAGAGCGAAGGAAGTCGTTGTGCTTCTTCTTCTCCTTTGACTCGTGAGCATCTTGTTGTTGCTTTTCGAGCTTCTCGGTGATACGAGCTTCGCGCAGAGATTGCTTCTTGATGCGGCGGTACAGAGCGCGATTAGCAGTCATGGCGAGGTTATCGGACTGCATCATCTCGCGACTGACATTTGCTCTCATTTGGCGCTGCTTGGGGAGCAAGGACAGCATCTTGTGCTCGATGAGAGCCTTCAGTTTCAACTTGCCGTTGTCGACAGGAACGGTCGATGAAGTCGTGTCCCAAGAGCCGATGTTGGCAGGAAGTTTGTCCAGTTCGCTCTTGCGTGCCATGATACGGTTGTACAGAATGGCCTCCCTCTCTTCCCGTGCTCTGTCAACATCGATACCTAGAGGCATGATACTGGGGATGATGTGACGCTGGTCGCGACGGGTGTGGTCCAGATATGAGATAGCATTGGGAACGAGGGTGTGAGGGTCCTTGAAGGACTGGAAGCGGTGGGTTCTGGTCGAAGGTTGAGTGGCAGGCGTTGCAGGTTTTGAGGAATCGATAGCAGTGGCCTTTTGTGCTTGGAACAGAGAGTCTTGGATGTTCTGAGGAATGGGCATGTTCTTTTGCAGGTAGTTGAAGGCAGACAGCTGTTGGCGCAAGGTGGTCTGCTGGTCGGTAGACAAAAGAGGCTCCTTGGATGTGGCCGAAGACTGTGGCTGTGGTGTAGATTGTTGAGCAGCACCATTGACAGACTGCATGGCAGCGGGACCATTGAGAGAGGCATTCTGTTCTGGGAGGAGCTGGCCGTTCTGCTGTTGTTGTCCCTGTTGCTGTTGACGCTGCTGTTGAGCCTGCATCTGCTGCTGCTGGCGCATCTGCATCTGCCTCTTGGCCTGCTCTGACTTGTTTCGAGCAAATACAAGGATTCTACCGCGCTTGATTTGTTCGGGGTCTGAGTCAGGAACACCTTGAGCCTTGGCCTGGTTATAGAGCTTGGTGTGATGTTAGCGATGTGACAACTAGGCAGCGGTGGTGGACAGCGAACCTGATAGATCTGTTGCAGATGCTCCTTTGTCAATGGTGGGTGGTTAGCCTGGGCATTCATGTTCATGCCGGGCTGCTGTTGCTGGACTGAAGCCATTTTCGGAGGCTGTCGCGCAAAGCCTTGTCGGACTTGGTTCACTTGGTCCGGGGGGCCAATTCAGCGACCGGGGGTGGTCGCGGGGCTGACGGGCTGGCGAGCGGCGACTGTAGATGGTTGTCGGGGCTGTGTCGAGTCGAGGGTGATGGGGGCTTGTCGGTGATGGCGGGCGTTGATGACTCGGGCTGTGGTTGGACGGCTGCTTGTGAGCGGTCGCGCTCTTGCCTTGCGCGTGCGAGCTGACCAAAAGCGAAAGGGAGCGTCGGGCGTCGTGGTTGGCTCGCTCGCGATAAAAGACCGTCGCGTCGACACCTTGGGATACGCGTTGCAGACAAGTCTTGATGGCAGAAGCGGGGTGGTAATTCCGGCAATGCTGTCGCTCGACAACCTGGACCGAATCTCGCAGCCTCCGACACCTGAAGTCGCGCTGTCCTTAGCTTGTGAGCCAAGTCTTGGCGTTCACGTGATGCTTCAGTCACTTCTCTTTTTTAGTTCGGTCTGTATTGTCCTCGCTAAATTTGTTTTCCTATGTGTGATGATCTTCTGTGAAGCGTGTGAAGCGTTCAAAGTATTGTCTACATTTGTGGATTCGTCATACAACCTCTGCCAGAAGCTTGATCACCAAGCTTCCCATCCTGCCGTGAGGGCTACCCTGATCCGATATAAATCACTCCCTCACCTCAATTCTAGTAGGTCATATAGAATAATCTTGCCATGAGACTGCTACAGTATGTGTGATCTTGATCACATTGTATACTCTGTGGAGTTACGCTACTGTGTGGGAACATCCCACACCTCTGCTGGTTCTGCTTGATGGGAAGAAAGATTTGGTGAACGCAGGAAAGGAATACACGCGCCCGGAAATATCATGGACATGGTTGAATGTAGGAAGAGAGTAGAACAGACTATTGTGTTATGGTTGCGGTTAAGGAAGAAACACAAAGAAACACCCCGATGACCTTCCCACGGCCTGGCCCCGTTCAAAATGCATGGCAGCTTTGGAATCCCTCTTTCCCGAACTCAGTACTCCCTTGTTGCACCAGGCTCTGATCAAAGAAGAGCAGCTGTCTTTGTAGTTCATAAATTCGTTAAGTTTCCTGTCTCGAGTCTTCTTAATCTGCCTTAGTAGCGAATGTGAGGTGCGCTGCAAGCATCCTCGTCAGGAATCAGAATGCCATCTTTGACTCCACCCATCTTCTCGAGCTGATCCATCCAAGTGGCGGGCTTCTTGCTTTTGGCTTTGAGATTCCACCATGCCTTTTTATCACCACCTTCTTTTGGCGGTACCGGTGGTGGAGAGCGGACTATGACGCGGTCCTTCGCATTGCGGTGTTTGTGATCGTGCTTACTCGAGGTCGCTGGTTTCTCCGATGGTTTCTTGTTGAGTGAACTACTGCTGATACTGCCGAGTGGGGTGGGTATGCTCGAGCTGTCGTAGTTGCGGTGTTGTGAGAATCCGGTGGATGGGGAGGAAAATGCTGGATTGCCTGGTGATCGCACACGTGAACTTGTCGAGTCACCGCCGTGATGGGAAGGAATGGCTCTTATGCTCATTGATGTTGGCTCCGGAGTCCGGGAGCGAGCTGCAGACTTGCTGCGTGGAAGAAGATCGTCATTGGTATAGGCGGCTCCAAGATTTGGCATCTTAGTGGCTGCTGTGTGACGAGGCGAGCGAGTGGGAACGTAAACCTCTGTCTTCTCTTTGACCGGCGAACCCAAGCGAGCTGCGACGATCTCGTCCTTTTCGCTCATTACACTGTCGACTGATTTGGTGTTTCTACTGTGCTTAGAATGCACAGGATGATGTGTAAGGGGAGGAGCCTGAGGGGGAGCTCGCGTCGGAGGTGCGGGTTGCTCATCCTTCCACTGATCAAGACTTGGAAGTGGAGGCAGCTCGCGGTTTAGATTGATCTCGGTCTTTTTCGATTTTGGCTGTTTTGGGCTCTCTGCTCTTCCTCTGCTCGAGTTTGACCTGCTGAGGTCGGTTTGTGCGTGTTCTTTCTTCAAAGTCTTCCCCCAGCTTCTCCAGCCGCCACGGATCTCTGGATCTTGGGACTTTGAATCGGATCGTAGTGATGAGCGTGAAGTAGACCTGCTAGGTGCTCGGCTATTGTTGGGACCTCCGGAACTGCTTGGGCGGATATACTCTTTAATGTTGTCGCGAAGGCTTCGAATGCTTCGTGCCCTGCTAGGAGCACGAGACAATGGCGGAAGTGCTGCCTGTTCTTCTTCAGCAGCTTGTTTCTGACGGCGACGCTCGAGTTCGTTGCGCATCCACTCGATGGCAGAAGTATCGCTTTTGATGGCCTGCTCTTGTTCAACAGGTATATGCGAGGAGTCTCGCTTTGAAGTGCCTGCAGGTGTGATGGCGGCCGAGGTAGGGGCTGTAGAGGTACTCCAGTGATACTCTGTTACGTCTGTGATGGGAGTGGAGCCATTGGTCTCGCCAGAGAGTGAGCGTTTGGCAACGTGAGGACGCGTACCAGCATCACTGCTGGGAGAGAGAAGATTGGGGACCGGAGTCTTTGCACGACTGCCCATTGGCGTGTCATGTTTGGATTTGCCGAGGAGGGATTGCACGGGATCAAGGGCAGGATCTGACTTGTCGAAGAGCTGATCGATGGGAGCGTCTGGACGATAGGCGTATTTCAGAGGGTGTTTATCGTCGGCCGAGTCGGTACGCGGTGGGAAGGGACGTGAGGCTTGTGCCTCGAGAGTGGATGCGGATCTCTTGATGGCATCGTAGTCGAGTGCTTGTTTGGCTTCTTGCGGCGCGGTGGATTGGGCGTCGGGAGCGACATAGTGATGTGATGGTTTGGTGTTGAGTAGAACTCCGGCACAGGCTAGACGCAGATCGGATTCGACCTTTGTTGACAGAGGAGCGCGATGTCCAGGATACGGCGAGGGCGGCGGGCTCTCTTTCGTGTTCGCGACGGGCATACGATCATCAGCTCTATGCGGGCCAATCTGGAGGTGAGAGTCAGCCCATGTGTGCAGTAGCACCGTTGTGCAGATTCGCGGCTTACGAGATTCGCCAGGCCCAGCGCCAACTTCTTCCCCTTCATGGTCGCGTGAAGTAGAGTGTGAACAATGGAAGAGACGGACGCTCGTTGACTTATCAGCAGCTAGAAAATCGGGCAGCAGCTGCAAGGGTTAGAGGGGAACAGGGCTAGATGGTGATGCCGGGAGTGATGGCCGTCGGGACTCTGGGCATGTACGGAGTACTTTGATGGATGTACTCTGGTCTAGCAGGTACGAAGGACCAAGTCTAACATCAGCCGCAGCTCGTGGTTAAGAGAGCAAAGAGGCGGCGTCTGGTCGCGGTCCAGTCAAAGTACGGGTGTGTATCAAACATGCTTTGTTCGTTTCAAGCCCGCTCTGTGATACTGACGCTCGAATGCAGGCCGTCACATGTTGCTCGCACACGGCGAATTGTCACTGCGCCCTTCTGCGATGGCCAGTCCGACCCAGGGAACGCGCCTGCCGCGCATCATTGGCCCGGCCCACGTTCCAAGAATTCCCAAGCGCGTTTCAGCCTCGTCCGAGGCGCCTGTTCCTGACACGAGTCTCACTCTGACACACTTAGACACGCAGACACACAAGGCCCCGTACACTCTTGTCCGTCCACAGCAACTTAAGAAACGCTCAAACTCCTTGCAATAACCAAGTTGCAACAACATCGTTGCCCGCCTGTCTCTTCGCCATCTATCTCGATGGCTCGCCAGTATCGCCGTTTCCAACTTTCTTTTTTGCCGACGATAAGATTGCAACCGTCAGAGCTCGGTCTCCGGAACCAGCCATCGCACCAGACATGCGGCTGATCCTCACCCCACCCGTCTTGCGTCTGACCAGTGACCGGCCTCTTTGGCGAAGTCTCAATATATTTCGTCAAAAGTCCATCTCGCCAAACTACCAGGAGATTTGATCAATATCTGATTCCACGAACCATCCCTTGCTCGCCTAAATCCAACCCTACCTGCTACTCTCGAGTCTCCACGGGGAGGCTTGGAGGAGCATTTAGCTTTGTCCGTCCGGCGGCTTTCAACAATCTAGCTTGCTCTCCTCGGCGAACAAGAGTCGTGTCCATCGAACATTGCCCACCGAGAAACTTGCTCGTCATGAGGTTGGGAGTCTCGATCTTGTCTCTCATTAGTTTTGCGCCTCGGCATCCAACACACAACTGCTCGTCTAGCAAGCGAGGCAATCATAATTCCACCAATGTGACTTTTGTTTGTTGTTCAGAGGTTCATCCTCATCTCATGTTCCATATCCTTGCTCCTGGAGGCGTCTGCACGGAGTGTTATTGAGACGATCGGTAGGTATCAACAAAACTTCTCTACGATCGACTAGAAGTGCTGTTCGTTCTGTGTCGTCAACCTGCCCAAGACTCCTCCAAGCTTAATGATATGCTATTCTCAAGGATATATCATACACTTCCATCTATTACTCCTCTCAATCCCTCAAACATCCAGCCAACGCCTTGAAGGCAACCACAGTTGAAAATGTGCCTACTACCCACATGGGCAACACGAAAGGCACAAGACCCCTATGCACCGGAACCTGCAACATCAATCCCATCCCCACTGACACAATTATCTGCACCGCAACCCAAAAGAACACTGCCCCAATACCCGCCCCCCTACAAATGCCCTCTCGATCATATCTGATCTCCAAGCCAATCCAAACAAGAAGCCCCAAAACAAGCACAACCAACAAGCAGATACCCATCACATCAACCCAGAAATAAGGATGAAAGTGATTGAGGCTCAAGGATGTTGATCCAAGTCTTGCAGTGTGTGCAACACTACTCAACTTCCTCCTCTTCCCCCCACCAGAACCATAGCCTCCTCCTTCCACATCCGCAAAATCATTGATATATGTCTGTACTCTGCTCAACCTCGCCCCATCCACCTCATCGACCTCAACACTAACGTCTTGCCTCCCTTCCTCCTCTTCCCCAGCACCATCACGTACAAGTCCCAACTCTTCAGCTCTTACCAACCCCAATTCCGCGGCTTCGTAGTCGCGAATGCGTTCGTGCCAGAGATCAATCTCTATGCAGTCGATTCTGCTCAATACATGTCTGTTCATTTCTTCTTCTGTCTCTCCGTCTCCTTGACTTGCTCTTTGAGCGGCGGTCACCGCTTCTTCTTCTGCGCGTGCAGCTTCCAGAACGGCGATTTGACGTGGATGAAGAGTTAGGATGTGGTGTAGAGATGCTGTTGCTGAGGATATTGTTGATGTTGATGGATGCTGAGCTTGCTTTTTCCCAGTGGGGGTTCGCTCGTGAGGGAGCAGTGAGGTTGCTTCATCGTGGGTGTAAGCGGTGTTGGAGGAGCTCGAGGCGGATGTGTTTCGCGAGGTCATGGCTGTGCTGGATGTGCTCTTTGCGCTTCTCTTGAGGATGCTGGTGTTGCTGTTGTGGCGTTGCATATGTGTAGTTTTTCTGAGATGCTTGCTTCTCCGATGTTCGTAAAGCTTCTTGATTCACTGGCTGTATGTATCTGCTACACTTGTCCGTCGATGCAAGAGAGGAAGGATCACAGACATTCAACTCACAAGCGGCACTTACCTCGCTCCATCGCCTCAGCTGTATCGAAAACGCTCTTCCAGCCTTCTAGCCATCAATCATACTGACCTCAGCTCCCCTCCCCACCACGTGCTGACTCCTCTATGGCACCACCGTCGTGAACTCTTAGCACCGATCCAACCTATCAGCAAAGCAAGAAAACCGATGGAAAAAAGGTCTCACCTTGGCAACTGAAACACCGGGTCATATGATCTCGACAGCTATATGTCAAAGGCTGCTAAACGGATGTAACCGCAGAAGGCAGAATTACAGGATTTCATGGACAAAAGACATACGACAGCAGGCACTACTACTATCGTGAAGATGTATGTAAATCGGTGTGACAAGCTGATACGAGCTGGTAGCCAAGTTTGCGAGAAGGGCATTTAGCAAAGCAAGCTCCGTGTAAACGACGGTCGGTATGAGCTTTCCACACTGCTCATGATGATGAGCTTGTTCAGCATTGACGTTGGTTCTTAAATAATCTGACTACACAGAGAAAGGACGCTTACGTGCATTGTCGAATATGGCTCGAGGTTCAATAGAGGAGCCAGGCCATATGAAACTCATCAAAGCATTTGCAAGCAGATGATGTGAAGTGCAATCAATGCAAGGGATGTGCTTGAACAAAAGTCGGACCGATGTTGATGACAGCACTGTGGGCCATCAAGGTCGCGAGGGAGAAAAAAAAATGTTCGGCGCACATTGGAGGTGCAGATCGATATGGCACACGATCACGAAGAGGCAGTCTGTAACTTTCACGCTCCTTTTGCGAAAGTCTCAAGCGGTGTCGGCAGTATAGACAGGCACAATGGTCTCGAGGGACGAGATAGGTCCTATCGAAAGCTTACAGTCTGTTGCTTCTCGATAGCTATCAATTATTGAAAGTGGTGTGCGTTTGATGGCCTTCGTGCGTTCTATGCGTCTGCCCACAGGAAGGCTAGGTCGTGTATGCGACATGATTATGATGTTGACAGGCGTATCGAGTGAATTCATAGTCGTCCTTGCGCATTGGGTAGTCATGGCATGTTCACATCACGATTGCACAGAGGAACAGAAAGATTTTTTGCGAATAGCAGTTTTCTGATTTTCAGAACAGCCAACCGCAACGGTAAGGCTCTTTCAGATCTCAAAGGTGCAGCCTACGAAGCATAACACCGGTGTTAGAAAGGTGAAATGGCGCCTCCCAATTGCCAGGCAATGAAGCACTCCATGATGATAGCTCGAGTGGAAAGATTGACCGACTCCTCCGTCCATTTCTTGTGAACAGCAGAAACATGCAACACCTGAAATTCTTCCCCTCCTCAGCTTCAAGCTGCCAACATGCGCCTTCCGAGCCAACCGTTGCCAGTCGGCTACAAAGATGGCGTAAACATGTGAGCGAATCCGATAAGGTGTGTGAGAAAAAGTGGTGGCCCTCCAGGTGACAGTCGCGAGTAAAGAAGTTGCGTTTGTCGACGTCAGTGTTGAGCGTTGAGCGATTGCTCAAAAGATGTAGTGGATATTTAAATTAAGGAGCCGTTATGATCGAGTTGTCGGGGCGAGTCATTTACTTGCTGTAATTGACGGTGATTAGCAAGTGCGCGTGGATGGAAGCATGCAGTGCAGGTAAACTCACGATCTGGCTCTCGTCTTTCTTCTCTTGCGCTTCAGTCTGCGAACTCTCTTCTTTCTCCACTTGGCTCTCATCTTGGCCTGCAAGGACAAAGATTAGTACTTGTCGAGGGCAATTGAAGATGCAATGTCAAAAACTTACAGTATTGTCGAGATAAGTGCGGTGATGAAGGAAGAGGAAATGAAGGAAAGGGCAAGCTCTCAAAAGATGCCTTTGGTGCGTCTGTGGGCTTGGCGTTGACAGCCGAGAGCTCGGACCGTTTCTGCTCCGCTTCCTCTTCTTTCTTTTTTTGTCTGCGCTCCTTGCTCTCTTGCTGCTTCTCAGCCTCCATATATCTAAATTCCATTGGTATCGTCGGCGGCTAGATATTCGTAAATCCCACTATAGTTTTCTAATATCTTTATTGTTAGTAACTTACAGATCGTATTCTTACACCAGAGTTGTTGCTTTCCTACAAGCCTAACGCCTCCGGAGGCGGTGGTGCCGAGAGGGGTTTTCTCGTCGACTCCAGTGGCGGCGTATACGGCGACCATCTACCAGCGAAAAGAAAGCCTTTGGTATCCGTGGTGATTCTAATTTAACATGTGATTAGTGCTCCGTGCTCATGAATTATTTTGTATGCATGGGAGCATGTTCATTGGGGAATGCAGTGTATTCTGGTCCACTGCTCTTCGACAGAGTCTCGTATCATGACTCGACGGTGATGCAGTTGCGTTTTGAGAGATCGAGAATTTTATGATGAGTATGTTTTGATTCGTGGGATGTATGAAGCATGGTGGTTTAGGAATCGAGTCTCTCAGCACCTGCGTGGGAAGGCAAGGCTGGCATTGAACAGGATACTCGTCCGGGTGATATTGCGAAAGAGCTTTTGATGCAACAAGAGAAAGGCCAGTAGAAAACAGAAAGATGACTTACTTTGGCATTTTGGTCCATGGCAGAAGAGAAGAGGCTTCGTGATTCTCTGGAAGCCTTGAGGTCATTTGGCAATACCGACTTCTGAACGAACATGGAAGGCGCAGTGGACACCCCACCTGCCCTCCTCTACGAAGAGGGCAAATGTCGATTTGATCTACAGAAATATTGAGCAGAAGGAAGTCTCTATTTTGAGTGCATAAGAGGTGATTATTGTAGAGGCGTTACCTCAGCTAGCCTAAAAACTACAAAACAATGAGAAAATCATAGCGTGCCGATACTACCTAAAGAAACCCCAAGAACGAAAACAGCGTGAACAACCGAGTGGCTGATACTGTGGTCGACTGAAGATCGTCTGTCATCAATCCATGGTTATAACCTGGATATCTCGAGCAGGAATTGCACCAGAAATGAACACGTCTGCATCGATATCTCCAAGGGGATGAGACAGAGTAGCGAAGTCGTCCCAGCTGGTGATGTTAGAGAAGGTGCATAGCATGTTGCGCTCTGCGCAAGTGATGCACGGCTTGGCTGTGTCATTATCTGCTTGATCGGCCGCCACTTGAGGAAAGCACCCACAGCCGAACCATTTACAATGGTCGCAGGCCTGCTGGTCTCCTGGGGGTCCACCAAATCTGGCATTAGGTACCTGAGAGAAGGCCTCGTTATACTTGTCCAGCTTTTCCGCTTCCGTAAGCAAGCGAGGGCTGTGGTCAGCATCGAGAATCTTCAAATCGTTGACTGGCTCGAAATTCATGACTCGGTTGAGGTAGTCAAATCGTTCTTCAACCACATCTGCAGTTGGAGCACCAAACTTAGCCATGAAGTCTAGATCCGAGTCGTCGGGATCAACGAGAGAGATCTCTTGGTGAAAGTGTGAGTAGACCGCCATTGCGGCCACATACTGGATGAATGCACATGGCTTGAACGGTTGAATCTTTCTGTTGTACTTGCGTTGAAGGTATGCCGCCCTAGGCGTATCTCCTTCTAACCATTCAACTCGAAGAGCCCAAGAGAGTGCTTTTTCGACATGAGTCATGCCAAACAGACTAGGAACTATTGTTCCCACCCATGCGTGGGGATGACGACGGGGATTTTGATTCGCGTCTTTAGCGAACTCGAACGAGATGTAAATCTCGGTGCCTCTAGGAATTTGCCCTGAAGGACATTGCAAGTTCCATTTACCGAAAGTAAGGAGTGCTGCATTGATTCTTAAGATTTTCGGAGGGCGTCGAAACACCAGACCGCTACCCTCTTGATAAGATCTTGTCCAAGTAAGCTTTTCATACAAAGCATCATCCACAGGATTGGACCAATTCTTGCCAAAAGAACTTCCGAAGTTGGGGTTGGATATGCAGCCTCCAGGCCATCCTGTAGCAGAGAAAACGTCACGGGCGATGCGGGTGAGCAAAAGAGCATCGGCTTGTTGGTCTTTTCTTTCTGAAGAAGCGCCTGAAGCAAGTTCGCGCAGTTCACGGCAAGAGGTTTCGAAAAGCAAGATGACCATCTGCTCGCAGTACCATATGAACTTGTAGTTCTCGAGGTCGAGCTCACAAACATGGTACATTGTGCTTTGTTCAGCTTGACGCGCTGCTCGGTAGTTGACACTCTTCGTAGGCCTGGAAGAGGTCTTCCAATGGTTGTGCGTGTATAACCTGAAGCCGGGACGTCTCGTCCTACCCATGTATGGTTCTGGCTTCCGGCCAGGATCGGCCTTTCGACCGGGGCGTGTTTCGGAACTGGAACCTGCTTCAAAACCAGGATCGACCTCTTGACCAGGACCGACCTCTTGACCAAGATCGACCTCTTGACCAGGATCGACCTCAGGATCGACACCTTCGTCTTCTTCTTCGAAAGCTCCTTGTTCAGACTCGACATCACTGTCAAAGTCTACCTCTTCATCTGGTTCGCCTCCAAAATTTTGTTCGTCAGTCTGTGTGAAGTCGGAATGAATCCAGACGTAAATGATGACTCTGTTGGGGGCATCCAAACGTTCAACAGCGCGACCCTGGCGGAAACTGTCGATAGTGTAATCCGGAGTGGAAAGACTTTCGTAGAGAGTCTTGGTTGTTCCTGGATCACGTTCCGGGTCTGCTGGTACAGCCTTGATACCGTCGTAAAAGATCTGCGCGATTTTGATTCTTTTCTCAGCAGTATCGAAATCTGTAGTCAGAGCCGAGTTGTAGTTTGTGAGGTCGTCTCTGTTCTGGTACAAAGCGTGGGGGAGCCCCAGGATGGCTCTCGCGAGAATGTGACCGTTTTCGGCGTCTTCGTCAATGGTGATGACCACAGGACGACGTTCGAGAGCTTCCAAATTGTTGAAGATATCTTCATCACACGATGCCTCCTCTCCCACATCGAAGGCGTCCCAAGGCGCCCAGCCCTCGTTGCCAGCAAAATCCCTTGCAGCAACATGACCGTCACTTTCTTGAGAGATGATAATGTATCGCTCACCTTCTTCGAGAGGAAGAAACTCTGATTGTGGAAATGCATCAATCATGGCTTGGGTTGGATTTACGTTGCGCACGGCGACTGCAGGATATCTATCCGGCCAGTTCGGATCGCTTTCTTGACGATTTCCACGATCAAGGAGTTGTGCGAACGGAGCACGACTAGCTTGGGCGATAGTATGAGCAGCTTGGAGAAGATGTTGACCAGCTTGGACAGGAGAAGCAGCTCGACCAGGACGAGGACCTGAAGGACGAGGGCCCAAAGGACGTCGATTCGGGACACGAGAACGGGTAGCTCGAACAAGACGAGTAGGAAGTAGGGAATTGAGCTGATCATCATCTGCTGGAGATACAGCACTGGTTGAGTGCGCAGGGGGAGGAGCGGCCTGAGAACGACGAGGGGCAGCTCGAGGACGAGCAGCTCGAACAAGACGGCTAGGAAGTAGAGAATCGGGCTGATCATCATCTGCCGGAGATACGGCACCTGTTGAGAGCGCAGGAAGATGAGTTCGAGGTGCCGATTCGCCAGTCTGAGGGGTGTCGGAAAGTAAGCTTGGGAAGACGCCAGGAAAGGGACCAGGAAAGGGGCTAGTTTGGCCAAGAAGAGGAGCACCTGGGTATGGAGCTGATGCACCTGGGTATAAAGCTGGTGCACCTGGGTATGGAGCTGATGCACCTGGGTATAAAGCTGGTGCACCTGGGTATGGAGCTGATGCACCTGGGTATGGAGCTGGTGCACTTGGATATTGAGCTGGTACACCAGTTTGAGCAGCAGGATAGCTTGATTGCACAAACGAATGGCCAGTCTGAACAGGGGCGCCGAATTGAGCAGGAATTGGGCCAGCCCGGAAGATGAAAGGGGTCAAGCCACGGGGAGCTGGAGTAGCTTGTTGCGCATGAGAGGTGCCATCTGGCGTATGAGCGAGGTCGCCGGGTGCAGGGGGACCGCCTGGAGTAGCAGCATGAGGATGGTAACCAGGCACAAAGGGAAGATTACCAGTGGTTGAAGCTAGAGCTGGCGCACCGAGTTGCCCAGGAAGATGGCCACCTGGTGCATAAACAGGGCCGTAAGGCGTGTTGTACGGAAGCGGTCCATTTGACGCAGTAAGAGGGCCGTAAGGAGACATGTAGGGAGGTCGAGCACCTGCCGGCGGAAGTAGAGAAGCAGCTTGTTGAGTCGAAGCTCCAGCTTGGGTAGGAAGTGCGTTACCGAGCCCTGGACCTAGAGCACCTTGTTGAGCGGCAGCAAGGTTACCGGGAAACAGAGCCGGAGTAGCGGCTTGTTGAGTTGGAGGCAAGCCACCTGGCGTAGCAGCTTGATGACTCGGAGGTCCAGCTGAAGGCAAAGGAGCGGAGATATTGGGCTGTAGAGCTGAAGCACCAGCCTGGGCAGGAGTGTTACCAGACAGTGGACCCAGATGACCATACTGAATAGCAGGAAGGTGACCTGCGACGCCACCTTGGACAGGAAGAAGGCCACCTGGCGCAGGTCCAGCACCAAGCGGAGGAACAGGGCCAACTTGACCGACTGGAGCAGCTGTAAATGCAACAGGTAACGGGACTGCCGAACCTGCTGCAGCACCAGCCTGCAGAGCAAGGGGCCGTGCTGTTCCGGGACCGCGAGGAGGATGAAGAGTAGCTGCCTGCGGTAACATAATAACGCGCTGATACTCGGCATGAATGGTGAGCCGATTTCTACAGCGCGCGCAAAAGATCGTTCGATGATAGGCAGTGGTAGTAGGAACAGACGATCCATACACAAATTGCGTCCAGTCTTGAAGTGCGCCAAAAGAGAGACAGGTAGGCCTCGAACAGACATTACCTTCGAAGAAGTTGGGAGGCCCCGCCAACAGGCCCCACCACGCCATTGTTGATTGGAGGTGCGATGCCAGATGAAGGGGGTAAACAGTTCTCTCAACGGTTGAAGGGCTGAGGGATGGAGTTGAGTGATGCAAAATCGATGAGGAGCATGGGTGATTTATGGGAAAGTCTGTGGTGAAGAAGCAATCCAGATCTCACCTGTGTTGTCTTGATCAATCGTTCTTGTTGAAAGAAGGTGTGTTGCCCTCAAGGCCTATGAAAGCGTCGTTTGTATACAGTAAACGCGAGTGTTTGTAATGTCGTGTATTGGCTGAGACGTGTTGCGACCCAGCTTTCTGGAAGAGTCCATCCTGGCACCAGTTCGGAAATTCCGTCGCAACACTTCTTTGTTATTCATTGCCGTTAGTATTGTCGCAAGACAGACTGCATTGTGTCTCCCATGGTTGCTGGTTTCGCACTGTCATGTCGTTCTGCTCCAAGTCCCGGATTACTGCCGACCGTGTAGACCCAATTCTCGCTCGATGTATTCTCAAAGCTTTGTCATGATTAAACCTTGCATCTCATTTCATGAACGATCTACAATCATCAGGGTAAGATTTTTATACAGATTTTGTAACGCTGGCAAAACTCTTCTGCCTCAATTAGTTGAAAATCCTATCATGCATTCTTCTGATGATAATCCGCGAAGAAGGTACAGGCTCAGAGGACATTGGGGGAAGCAGACTCACAAACATTCATCAAATCCCACAATATCTCTTCATCCCTCAGCCTTGCTGAGCCCAGCAGCATCAGCCTTCAGATCCAAATTCTCCCACTCCTCATCCCTAGGAAAGCCCAAATGATACCTTCCCGTGACCGCCCACTGCAACACAGCCTCATCTCCAGTCTCAAAGTCCAACACATGTCCACCCTCTGCATCCTTGCCTTGCTCAGGTTCAGTCATGAAATGGCAATGCACACCCGCCACACTAACACCTGCCATCCACTCCGGACTAGCAATGCCAAACATGGTTCCCTTGACATCTTGCACACTCCACTTCTTAGCTTTAGCTGCCACTTCAGCAAGATCCTGACCCTCATGTTCTTGAGGCCCTGCAATCCTCAAATGCAGCGATTTAAACTTGCCCTTTACCAAAAACGGCACAAAGGAATTCTTTCCACCGGCTCCAGGTCCATTCTTCTCAAACAAATCCACCAGTACCTCCTTCTTGAGTCCTGGCGCTTTGGTCTGAAACTCAGGTTGAAAGTTTGTGACTTGCACAAAAGGGATAGAGGTGTGAGGAGAGGCGGGCTGCACTTTCCCAGAGGGAAGCATTTGCCAGGGTTTGCCGTCTAGGAAGAGGAGTTCGCCGTTCATGCGAGAAAAAGTGCCGATGCCGTGGGTGCCGTAGCCGGGGAGTTGGCCGCAGGAAGGGCCGTTGTGGGCGAGACCGGCCATCAAGGCGCTTGCAGTGCTAAACTGAAAGATATCGTTGGGAATCTTGGAGACCATGGTTGTTGGATGCGGAAACTATCGAGCTTCGGTGTTTATCAAGGAACTGAGAAGTGGGAGGCTTGAAGAGGTATCCTGATTCGATAGTCGGTACTCGAGAGAAATTGAGCTGGGCGAAGTGTTGCTATGATAGTATTTTCAAGAAGAAAGTGGGAATGCTCGATGGTTTTGATGGCCTGCGATCTGCTTGGACTTTGCGTAAAGTAGTCCGAAGTCCGGCTCCAAGCGTTGACTGCTTGCGACAACACACTGTGTAACAACAGTTGATTCTTGCGGGCAGATAGCAATCTACTCGAGGTATGTAATAGACACAACCTGTTGTGTATCTGATACGACGTTTGGATGAGTTTGGACGGACGTCGAATGCATGACTTTTGGTAGGCGTAGCGAATTCGCTCTCTACCGATGATGTCAACGCTGTTTCGTTCTCCGAACATTTTTCGGCAACATGCATTTTTCCAGCACCACTTCTACACGTAGAGGATGCGGTTGTAAGTATCGTGCCTATGTATGCAAAACACTCCATCATAATACTTTTTGCAATGCAATCATAGTTTAATCTTGCTCAATTCCTTACTCCCTTGATTTGTTCCACTCGCAACACTCATCAAACTTGACTCCATTACCGCCAAATACATCCAATGCACTCCCAATAGTCAAATCTACCTTTCCACCACTCAAGCTCTCAACCAACTCCAAGTCTTGTAGATTGCGACCACCTCCTGCGTAGGTGACAGGGATAGCAGACCAAGCAGAGAGTTTGCGGACCAGCTCCTCGTCGATGCCTTGTTGAAGACCTTCGTTGTCGGCTGCATGAATCAGGAATTCTGAGCAGTACGGTTGGAGAAGGGAGATTGATTCTGTATTCCTGAGTCAACATGCGCTTTTGTGTGATACGAGACGCTAGAGATGAAGATCCAAGTTTGAAGGGTCTGAGTGGTTCAAGCAATAGCACAGCGCAGAACTTACCAGCGGTCAATTCCATATCAGTGAGGTCTTGCCATTTGTTCATGGCAACGAACCATGTGTCTCCCTTACGACGGCAACTCAGATCGATGACGAGTTTCGAGGTGTCGTTATCCAGAGCCTTGAGTACTGATTGCAGACGTTCCAGAGAGAATTTGCCAGAAGGAAAGAGGAAGGATGTAATGATGACCTTTGTAAGTCGCTATGTTAGCATTCACTCGACCCTCAGAATCATCTCACATTCATGGTCCTTTTCTCGAGAAGATACAAAAGGAGCAAACAACGTAAAGGAGTTGATGTCAGATCCTGAGGGAAACTCACCTTACTAGCACCCTTCTCAATCCACTCCCTAGCATTCTCATCCTTGATGCCGCCACCAACCTGCAAATGCCCAGGCCAAGCTTCACAAGCCTCTCTGCAAGCATCCTCATTGCCAGGTCCCAACATAATCACATGCGCACCTTCCAATGCATTGTCTTTGTAAAGTTTTGCATAGTACGATGAGGGCAACTTGGATGTAAAGTTTGTTTTGAGCTCTGAGTCGGTGGTTGTCAATGTGCCGCCGACGATTTGTTTTACGCTGCCTGCGTGGAGGTCTATACAAGGGCGGAATTTGGTCATGCTGTGTATTTGGCGCTCAGTTTCCAGAATTGTGTTGTCGCAGTGAGGTTTGAGATGTATGTGCGGCGCTCTGGGTGGATTGTGTTTTCAATGTCGAGTAGGGTGGTTTGGTGATGAGATATTCCGAAGTCGGTTGGAACTTGTCACTTTTTGTGGAGACTTGGCTCGGCCTTTTCATGAAGATGTCGTTTCATATATCTTCGACCACAACACAGAAGGAACAAGTTGGACAACATCGCTTTGGCTTAGTTCGTGTCTGATAAACAGCTATAGAGACTACGAAAATGAGGCGGAAGGTATTGGTCTGTTTCGAAAGCGTGTGGACTTCTCTCCAGTCGATGGAAGAGCAATGAAGCAGTTCATGACTATGCTTGTGCGCATGGATATCTAAGGTAAAGAGCGAGGAGCGCAGCAGATTTAGCTAGATAAAATATCGTATAGCAACATTGTGGAACAAAAAGCAACCGTCATCAAGTATCTTAGCAACATAATATCATGTCATCAGCCATGTCGTTCTTCTGAACACTCTCGCAAGATCATACTCATATCATTCTCGGGTTTCAAGACCAAGGAAATTCGGAAGATGGCAGACGCTTTCTGCGGTTGTTGGGAGGCGATGAAGGCCATGTGAACTCTGGAGACGCCTGCAAGTTCTTGAGCTGTGCTGATGGTTTTAGAGAGCCAAGGTCTTGGTTGGGGTCAGAAGATTGAGAGGGATTCTGCGTTGGCTGAGATGCAGGGCTAGCTGCCAGGACGATATTGCTATCTGGCTCGTGCTCGCTGAATCGACCAGGAGTGAAGGATGAGTCTCTCTGGCTGCCGTCAGCTTCTTCCTGGGCTTGGAAGAACTCTGACTGGACAACTGCAGAGTCGGATCGTTGGCGAACAATTTGTGAAGCACTGCGAGTAGGAACGGCAATATCACTGGTATCGATGTTGACAATAATGTCCTCCTTTTGCGTAGCACTCGGCTTCCAATCGCGGGTGGACGCTTCGTAGACAGCGTCAAAGCGTGCAGAGCAGATGTCGTGGGTGAACCAGTCGTGCTCAAGCGCTTTCTTGGCGGTTGAACGCTTGTCCTCTTGCAATTCGAGTAAAGACGTGACGAACTTTCTCGCTCTCTTTGGCACCCCCTCCCAGCTGTGATTGCCTTGGTCGATCTGAGTAAGATCATAGGCACTGATAGACCGTGAGTTGATCTGACCGATATCTTGATCACCGTCCCGGTGGTTGAAAGCGAGACTGCCGGTTAACATGAGTGCGCTGACACAACCGATTGACCAGAGGTCTATCGCACTGCTGTAACCTTTATTTTGTGGCATAAACGGGTTCAGTCTGTTGATCTCACTGTTCGTCATCGTTAGCCGAGTCTTTGGATGAGAGAAAGATGACTCACGGAGCTGTAAATCCATATGTGCCACAACTCGAGAACATGCGAGATATCCTGCCTGGCTGGCTGTTTGAGACGCTAGAGTGACTGATCCGCTTGGCTAAACCAAAATCAGTCAAAACGACGCGGGTAGTGCTGTGCCAAGAAGACATCAAGATGTTCTCGGGCTTTATGTCGCGATGGACGACTCCATTCTCGTGCAGATATTCGACAGCCTTGAGTAGCTGACGAGTGATGACTGCGCTGAGAGTATCACCGAGGGTGTCACCTTTGTAGTTGATGTATGAGAAGAGGTCGCCGCCTGTCATGAGTTCTTGCATGATGTAGCTGTGGAAGACAAATCAGTATTGCACCTCGACCCTGAAGTTTGTGAGCAGAACTAACATGTGATGGGTCGTGATGAACACCTTCCTCATGTCGATGATGTTCGGCTATCTAGAGTTAGTACTGTTTTGAGATCAAAGTATGAGACAGCATACATGACTCAGATCCTTGAGAATCTCGTACTCAACCTCGAGGCGGTGTATCTTACGCAGCAACTTTATCGACCGCGCTCTAGCAGCACGGCTAGTCGCGGTCTGCATTGAGGCTTCATTGGGTGCATCTTGGTGACAGCTCAGATTCACGCCAGCCAAAGAGACAGCTTTGCAAGCGACTTGCTGCCCAGCTTTGTGATCCCAGGCAACAAACACCTTACCTTGGCCACCAGCGCTAATGAGGCGAGGGTAAACTGCAAACTCTTCTTGGAACCGCTATTCAAAGGGTGAGCACCTGGCGACAAATTATGCGCACGAGTGCAACCTACCTTGACTTCGCAGTCCATGATGAACGACATGTTGAGATCGTCATCGGGATCACGCTTGCTGTATTGAACAAAGGTTGACTTTGAGAAGTACAAGCAATCGCCGTGTTGAAGAAGCACCGGACCCATTGATATGTTGAGCTTGTGGTCGAGTCTAGTGGTTGAGCCATCCTCGGCAGGACATTCACGAGCAAGCACGGTTCCATTCCTGGATATGTTCTCTGCATAGACCATGGGTGTGACGTTCCAGGCTGCTGCGTCCTCATCGAATTGCACGCAGCGAAGGACCAGATGGCGATAGGAAATAGTTGGGTCATGATCATCGACACGCCTGTAAGTTTGAGTACATGACCAAATTTCAAGCGTTCGAAGACAGCATACTGTTGAAGTTGCCTGGATCCTAGAATGATTTCTTGCTTGGGCCAGATACTGATTGCATCTAGATAGCGGAGGGTCAGGAAGTGACGAGCGCAAGAAATCATACCCAGTCACATACCTTTGTCCACGAGACGCCGATGCTGGTTGACAAGAGTCAACCTGCCAACAGGAAGCTGCTTCTGTATCCCTCTTAACTTCTCTTCTGCTTCTGCTCTGTCTGCACATACCTCCATTCTATATGTATTGTCGGCGGCTAGATATTCGTAAATCCCACTGTAGTATTCTGATATCTTGGTTGTTAGTAACTTACAGATTGTGTTTTTGTATCAAAATTGTTGCTTTCCTATAAGCGGCACGTACTCGCAGGTTAGTGCGCCGAAAAGTTTTCTTCGACACCAATAGCGGCGTGAACGGCGACCATTCTTCAGCGAAAGGAAAGCCTTTGGTATCAAGGTGACGAAGTTGGATGAATATCGGTAAGCGGAGTGGTCAGTGCGCGCACCAAGCTTGGCACTCTCGAAATACTGTGCGCCGAAATACCTTCAACTTCGATCTCCGACGACGTGACCAGACGAACCGCCAACCACATTCAAAATGGTGAATATCAGCCTACCCGGACCCAGCAATATCAGCGCGCAATGTGCTGACAGGATATCTAGGGTCGTGTTATTCGCAACCAGAGAAAGGGCCGTGGCTCTATCTTCACTGTACGTCGTTCCTTCCGCCTCCATCGCGAGCGCGCAAACATTCGCAAGCTTTTCATCCATGTACTGACAAACTCTGCTCGCAGGCCAACACCAGTACGCATCTCAATTCGCACGATCGCACACACTCCGAACGCTCCCACTGACTTAGACGCTTCTTAAAGGACTCAACAAGGCCCCCGCCCAGTTCCGTACCCTCGATTTCGCTGAGAGACACGGCTATGTTCGCGGTGTCGTGAAGGAGATCATCCACGACCCCGGCCGTGGTGCCCCCCTCGCCAAGGTCGTCTTCCGTGACCCCTACCGCTTCAAGCTCCACACCGAGACCTTCATCGCCAACGAGGGCATGTACACCGGCCAGTTCATTTACGCCGGCAAGAACGCTTCCCTCACCATTGGCAACGTCCTCCCTCTCGGATCCTGCCCCGAGGGTACCGTTGTCACCAACGTCGAGGAGAAGATGGGTGACCGTGGTGCTCTTGGCCGCACCTCCGGTAACTACGTTACCGTCATTGGCCACAACCCCGACGAGGGCAAGACCCGTGTCAAGCTCCCCTCGGGTGCCAAGAAGGTCGTCAAGTCCTCCGTCCGTGGTATGATCGGTATCGTCGCTGGTGGCGGTAGAACAGACAAGCCTCTGCTCAAGGCTTCGCGCGCTAAGCACAAGTTCGCCGTCAAGCGCAACTCATGGCCCAAGACTCGTGGTGTTGCCATGAACCCCGTCGATCACGTAAGGACTCGCCACAGCCAACAGAAGCATGAACAGCACACTGACACAATCTACAGCCTCACGGTGGTGGTAACCACCAGCATATCGGTAAGGCCTCGACCATCTCCCGCTACGCCGCCCAGGGTCAAAAGGCTGGTCTCATTGCCGCCCGCAGAACTGGTCTGCTCCGTGGTACACAAAAGACCAAGGAGTAAAGTGTCGGTTAGGGAAATGGAGTGTTGGTCGGTTGGGTCGTCATTCTCGTTTACTTTGCCAAAAAACTATGAGCGATGCCTGGCAATTACTTTGCTGTACTGTTCCAGGTCTAGATACCAGGAATGTCAGAAGAATCCATGAGCAAAATGGCTTTTCTTTTTCACAGGCAGCAGCATCATCGAGGAATGTCCAAAAATGTTTCATGAGCACACGACATGTTCAGCAGTGTCTACCTGCACTATTCAATCTTCGTGACTAGAGCAGTGACATGTGGAATGAATGAACCGCAAGAATTGTACTTGAATAGTCTTTGCACTTGCCGAATGTAGACGGTCTCTTGAACTGTCGGCGGCAAGACAGGCGACAGATGACGGGCCGCCACAAGTCAGGGGAAGAAGACGACGAAGCAGAAGAAGGCTGTGCCTGTGTCGTAACGGTGGGTCGAATAAGGGCGCGTCGACTTGTTTCGCCAGGCACGGAACGGCCGCCGTGGCCTTCTCTCCACAAGGTACTTTCACTGCCAAAGGGCACCGTTGAACAGTAGGCCGAGCATGTAACCCCCCACGCATCGCCGTTCGAATTCCTGTTGAGAAAGCTGGCAGCAAGGCACAAAGCTAGACCATTGACTTGTATCGAGATCATAAAATGTTTCTGGCAAGAAAACCTGGCCGCGGGTGAGGCTTTCGTAATGTACGCTGAACCAGCTTGTACGAGTTGTACTAAAAAAAGCCAGTTCGATCTGATCGAACGCGTGTGTTCGGCTGCCCCTAAACAGGACCCAGTGCGGGAGAGATTCTGGGGAAGTAAGTCCAAAAGACGGTTTCAATTATGTGAGAGAACAAGATCCCAGTCAAGTCGAAACCTTGGAGAAAGAAGTGGCCGTGTGTCTGGGACTAGAGTTGCGGGCTGCTCAACAGATGGTCGTTCGCTCCTTATCAACTGCTTTGCCCGCTGTGACCTTCCTGTTTGTTTTAAAGCGTGCCCGAGGCCCTGCCACTCGCGTTTCTTTCTCCTGCCACCCCCACTCGTGCCCAGTGCCCACTTGGATATCACGCCGCCGTCTGTACTTCGACGTCACAAGCAATCAAAACCAGTGCGGCAGTGCCCCTCTCTCGCCAGTGCTTGCCTTTCATTTCCCGCTACGCAGCACTCTCGCCAACTTGTCTTTCCATCTGGAATATATACACACACGACTCTCTCTACTCTTCCATAGCAGACAAACAACAACAATACCGCCAAAATGAATATCGGCAAGCGATTCGACCGCATGAAGCAATGGACGGACGAGAGAATGGGGAAAGAGATCAAGACTGCTGCGTCCGACGAGTTCAAGGCTCTTGAGCTGGAGATGCAGTTGAGACATGAAGGTATGCATCTTTCGAGTGTCAGGGGCACCTCGAGTCAATACTGACATTGCTGCTCCTGCAGGTATGGAGCGTCTACAGAAGAGTATGACGACGTACGTCAAGTCTCTGTCCAAAACCAAAGAGGCAGAAGACAAGGAAAAGACGCTGCCCATTGCCTACCTCGGATCCACCATGGCCAGCCACGGAGACGACTTTGAGCCCGACTCGGAGTTTGGACAGTGCCTCTCGAGTACGTCATGGCACTAAAGACACCACGACAGTAGACACCACGACTGACACTTTCCAGCCCTCGGTAGAGCCAATGAGAGGATTGCTCGTATGCAGGAGAGCTACGTCTCGAATGCCACAAACAGCTGGCTCGAGTCGGTCGAGAGATCTTTGGCTCAGATGAAGGAGTACCAGGTACGTTCTGGTTCACCAGGGTGTGGTGCAAGCACATCACTGACCATCCCTCCAGACCGCTCGCAAGCGTCTCGAAACCCGCCGCCTCGCCTACGACACCTCGATGAACAAACTCCAAAAAGCAAAGAAAGACGACTTCACCCTTGAAGAATCGGCACGATCCCAAAAGGCGAAATACGACGAGTCCAGCGACGACGTACAACGCAGAATGCTCGACATCAAGGAAGCCGAAGTCGACAGCATCAACGACCTCGGCACCTTCTTGGACGCCGAATTGGCCTACTACGACAGAGCACGGGAAATCCTCATGCAGTGCAAGAGAGACTGGCCCAGCCCTTCTGGCAATGCTGGAGCTGGCTTGCCAGTCCCTGGCGGCCGCAGGGTCCCTCGCTCTCGCTCCAACACCGGCAACTCTGCCTCCTTCCGCCAAATCGACGAAGACGAGCCTGTCCATGATTTCCGCCCTCCAATCCGCGCAAGAGCACCGTCAGGCACAAACTCCCCCCGTCGCGAACTCCCTGGTTTCGATCTTCCTGTTAGACCCTCTGGCCGCTTCGAAGGACCCTCCAGTCTCAACTCTCGTGATGCCTCTCCTATCTCCATGCCACGGTTGTCACGCGTACCAACTGATTCCTCAGTATCACTGAGACAAGGCATACGCTCCAACAAACGCAACGACAGCGCCAATTCAGACGTATTTGGCGATCAAGACGATTATGCCTTGGATGGCAACGATCGCTATGGCGATGAACGCTCCGTATCTCCTGCTTCATACTCTGCTGCTCCTCCCAGCTTTTCTCGCTCGGCCAGTTGGTCGCAGCAAGATGGCGGTGCTAAAAAGCTGGCTCCTCCGCCGCCCCCTTCGAGGTATGGTTTTGACGTGCAAAAAAAAGTGTTGTATTTGGATTGAAATGGAAGATGCTGACTTTCCATGTGCCCACAGAGCTAAGAAGCCTCCACCTCCTCCCCCCATGAAGCGCAGTGCGTTGAGTTCGTCCGATATCCCGCGACAGTACCGAGAGTGATTTGTTACATGGCATCCGAAGCAGCATGGAGAGGAGGAGAAAAAATTTTCATTTCTTGCGAGCATACATGGGAGGTTCTCTTTTTGCGAGGGGAAGCAGTATTATTCGTAAGGAGGAGTTTGTGAGGTACATATTCTTGGGTTTTTGAGTGAAAGTCGCGAAATTGAAAAAGTATCTTTTTTTTGCTCTTTCACCTTGTGAAATGCTCGCATGCTAGTTTTTGTGACTGTTGGGCTTCTATTTGAACTCGTTGGGGTGAGGTTAACATTTCGATGCTGGATACTCATGGTTCTCCTCTTGCTCGCCTCTTGTTACACTATAGCAACTAGTTTGGAAAAAAAGAGGCCAAAACGCGTCAATGTATGCAATGCTAGTTGTGATCCATGACGAACTCCCTGCCTGCTATTCCCTCCTCCTCCGTCGTCCCACCTCCAAACCTTCTTTTTATAACGAACCCCACGCCAGGCAAAAAAAAAAAAAAAAAGGGATATCATGCCGAGAGAAGAGAAACACCCCCAACTCCAAACCCGTCAAAGATAGAAAAGAAACCAATCTTGCTCAGATGCTGCCATTGGTTTGCTGGCCAGGCACGCTTCCATTGGTCTGTCGATCAGGCACGTTGCCATGAATTTGCTGGCCGCGCATGTCGACGGCAGGCAATGGTGCAGGTGGCGGGTGAGCGTGATATGTCTTTTGGGCGGCCGGTATCTCAAAGTCCATAGAGTCGATGGCTGCAGGATGGCTTTCCGCGGGCGGCACAGGTGCAGCCTCGTCTCTGGTTGACAAGTTCTCAAGATCTTGTCGAGCGACGGAAACGCGAGACGCATCGAGGGTGGCAGGTGGTGGTTTCTCCTCAACAGGCGCAGCTTCTGTCTTGACTTGTTGGGGTATCTTCACCCTGAGCTTGACGACAAGGCTTCTCTTCACATCCTGGTCCAGATCCATATCGTCCTCGTCTTCTCCGTCGGCCATGTCGATATCGTCCTCGTCGTTATCGTCGTCATCACCTCCATCCCATTCGTTTCCGCTAGAAGGCGCATCTTCCTCGTCGCTTTCGTCGTCCACAGAATTGTATCCTCTTGACTTTCTCTTACGGTCCTCGTGCAGGGGTGAAAGACGAGTGCTGTTTCTTGTCGCTCTTCCAGAAGTGCGCGATGTCTCTGAAGCGGCGTAGTCGGGTGTCTCGGCCTGTCCGCTGAGTAGCGACTCGCCGTATATACCGGTTCTAGCAGGTCGGACTTGACGGCCGCTAGCAGTCACGACTGGGCCCGAATCGGCGGGGGTGGAATGCCCAGAATATCTTGCGGAGCGGCGTGAGCCTGTGGCGTCTGACTCGTCTTCGTTGTCCGAGTAGGTGTAACGTATGCGCTTGCCACGAGTGCGACCTTCGTAAAGCGAGAAACCGAGGTCAGGCTTGGTGAATTGCGCCTTGCGCGCTTGGCGATATTCACGGCGTCTGCGTTTCTGTGAAGGGGTTAGTATTCGTCTACGACCGTACATTCTGCGTAGACTCACCTCCTCGGATGCCTCGAACCGTGGCACAGCAGCCTTCATCTTGTCGGCCAAGCGACGAGCAGCTTGAGTGGTATCCTTGGTCTCCAGCTTCTCGACTAGTGCGTTGACCTCGTCGATAGTCTCTGCAACACTCCACCATTGAGGGTGTTGGCTGAGACGATTGGCTTCGCGATATACACGGAAAGTGGTATCCTCTTGGCCCTCGATCAGATAGTACTTCCTCTTGTCACCATCAAAGCCCCAATGCTGGACGGACAGCGCTTGGTTGATATCATCGTCGCGGCGTGAAATCTTGTATGAGTCTTTGATTGTTTGTGAGACAATCTCGGATGACGTGAGCGACCAGATTGCGAGAGTGCGGAGGAGATTCAACCGTTCGGCAGGGGACATGTCTGGGAAGGTTCTGCTGCCTGCAAGAGGATTGACGCGGTTCCATGACAGCGGCCATTGATGTTTCTGAGTTGACAGAGCTTCTTCCATTGCGCGACCGTGGTGGCCTCGTCTGCTTGCATGTTAGTGGTGTGCTAGCGCGGAGCCGGGCTGTGCCTGGGACTCACTCGACAGGCTTCTTGCGGTTCAGAACAAGTGCGAGCATGGCGCACATCAGCTCTTCGATTTGCTGCGAGGGAGGAGATTCGGCGACACCCTTCTCAATATCTTGGGGACCAAAATGGGGTAGTTTGGACGAGAATGCATGGCTGAAACGGGATCGGAACATGACAAGGAACTGGTCAATTCTCCATTAGCATGCGTTCCAGGTGGCTTTCGGACGCGTCTTGGGTGAGCTCGACATACGGCAACATCGGGATTGTCGGCCAGGGACTCTTCATGAGGTGGGGAGGGAGATCGCTTGGGTCGCGGCGGTGATGGTGGAGTCGGAGGAGTGACCGGGGCCTTCTTCTTTCTGGGTGCAGCCTTCTTTCCCTTTGCCATTTTTGTGAAGATGGGGGCGAGAGGCTTCTCGTCGTCGGTCGGCGGTGCCGATGAGAGGCTTGAAGAGTCAGAGTCGTCCATGATGCGCCGTCGTGATTGCCTTGTGGATTGGTCAAAGGCACAGCGAAACTGAAGGGTAGGAGCGCGTCGCGTTCTGGGGAAGTGCATCCATTAACGCATCAATATGGTCCGTGCGCTCTCTGAATCATCTGCATTCGCCAACACTCTCTGGCAATCACTGTCAATCAGGGGAAGGGTGTGGGTATACTTCTTGTCTCAGTGATACATGTCTTGTTAATTGACTTGCAACATGTATGCCGGACCACGTGGTGAGAGAATATTTCTTTCGGAGTTGACGTCCACGGACGCTGAAAGAACCGTGGCTTTTCTGCAAGTTTACTATTATCCACCGGTATTTGAGCAAAAGCGGCTACACCTCCGACAGATGATCATACCGACACGCAGGAGCAAAGTTGAAGTAGACATGTTCCTATGCAAGCGTCTGTGATACTTCAACCAGAAAAATCCTTCGTAAAAGTTCGAATCAGTTTCGTCCACTATCGTCGTGACCACGACCCTGTCCGAGCGTGAGGTGTCTTGGCAAGGGTCTGCGGAGTGGAGCTCTGCACCTCCTGAACGGATGCAAGAGGAAGCCGCAGCCGTGGTTAGGGCAGTCGCAAGCGTGCTTGTTACGCGCAACGCTTCAGAACGAGGCAGGCCACAGCTACACAGCCCATTGCTATTTTCATCTCGTCTTCGACACATCGACCCACCGGAGAGCATTCATGCCCTTGCAACTCCATTCTGGCCGCCCTTGAACTGCTGTTCCTCAGCTGTTGACTGTCTCGTCTCTGTCAGCGAAGCCTTACCGCCGGCTACCGAATGCTCGCATCTGCCTCATAGTGATCCGCAAGCCACCTCACAGAAACTCCCCCCTCGACGCGACACCTAGCAACCGCGCGCGCATTGCCGACACCTCATCCACGTGAATATGGCCGGGAGACCCCATGGTCAGGCGTCTCCGTCTGCCAACTCCGACCTTCTTCTTGACTTGGACGATCAGCCAATCTACAATTCTGGCAAGCCCCCGCCTACCGATGACGACCATCTGCTCCTCCACCACAACATAGACGCTTCCGATGCCCCCCGTGCCTCAACCAGCTACGATGACTTTGTGGGTTCCTCTTCGACAGCTGGTCTGCCTGGAGGTCCTGGCGCCCAGACTACCGCTGGCTTGCACGTTCCCATGCACGGCACTATGGGAAGACAATACTCGCAGACTAGTGATTTGAACAACTATCAACCGTATTCAGACCTCGACGACATGCATGACGATAGAGACTACTATGCAGCAGGAGGTGGTGTCGACGAAGACAATATGCCAGGCTTGCATGAGTCGCGCTTCACCAGCCATGGACGCAATAGAAACAGCATAATGGGTATCGGAGGAAGCATTGTAGACCGCGCCAAGAACATGTTCGGCGCCAACACTGGCGGCTATTCAGAAATGGACCTGCCCTTGACCGAAGCTGGTGCTCGATCATCTCACATTGCCTCTGGCGGTGTTGACGCTCTACCATCTGCCCCTCCGCCTGCTAAGCGCACACCGGGAGCAAAATTCAAGTTTGGCCTTGGTCGTTCGGGTCCGGATCCTAATGCTGCTGGTCCTCGCATAATCCATCTCAACAACCCTCCTGCAAACGCTGCCAACAAGTACGTTGACAACCATGTCTCGACCTCCAAGTACAACTTTGCTACTTTCCTACCAAAGTTCTTGTTCGAGCAGTTCTCCAAATATGCCAACTTGTTCTTCTTGTTCACGGCAATCTTGCAACAAATCCCCGGTGTGTCTCCCACAAGTAGGTACACCACCATTGTGCCGCTGGGAATTGTCCTCTTGGTTTCGGCCGGTAAAGAGATGGTTGAAGACTCGCGCAGAAAGTCTCAAGACAAACAGCTCAATACTTCAAAAGCCCGTGTTTTGCGAGGCTCGACTTTCGAGGACAGCAACTGGATCAACATAGCAGTTGGAGATGTCGTTCGTGTAGAATCTGAGGAACCCTTCCCGGCAGATCTTGTCCTACTAGCCAGTTCAGAGCCTGAAGGCTTATGCTACATCGAAACAGCCAACCTCGACGGCGAGACGAATCTGAAGATCAAACAAGCTATTCCAGAGACTGCCAACCTTGTTAGTTCTGCTGACATCAGCAGACTCGGTGGTAAAATCCGATCCGAGACTCCCAATAGTAGTCTTTACACATACGAGGCAACCATGACGATGCAATCTGGTGGTGGTGAGAAGGAGCTTCCTTTGAACCCCGAGCAACTCCTCTTGCGCGGTGCTACTCTAAGAAACACGCCGTGGGTCCATGGAATCGTCGTCTTCACCGGTCATGAAACAAAACTCATGCGTAATGCCACTGCTACACCAATCAAGAAGACCGCTGTTGAACGCTTGGTGAATCTTCAGATTCTCATGCTTGGTGGTATCCTTGTCACTCTCAGTGTTATCAGTTCTATTGGTGATCTCGCGAAGCGTGCCACTTCAGGTCAAAAGTTGTGGTATTTAAGCTACCCGACTCACATCAACGGCGGAAAGCAGTTCTTCAGTGACTTCTTCACCAATTGGGTTCTTTACTCAAATTTGGTACCAATCTCGCTCTTCGTCACCATTGAAATCATCAAGTACTGGCAAGCAATCCTCATTAGCTCGGATCTCGATATCTACTACGATAAGACGGACACACCTGCTAACTGCAGGACATCCTCCTTAGTCGAAGAATTGGGCCAGGTCGAATACATTTTCTCCGACAAGACAGGAACTCTCACGTGCAACATGATGGAATTCAGACAAAGTTCCATCGCTGGCATTCAATACGCCGACGAAGTTCCCGAAGATAGACGAGCAACTGGAGAGGATGGAGATATGGGTATATTCGACTTTACTCGCCTGGAGCACAACCGAAGAAACCACCCATCCCGTGAAATAATCAACCAGTTCTTGACTTTGCTGTCCACTTGTCATACCGTCATTCCTGAGACAGGCGCTGAGAAGGGAGGTAAAATCAAGTATCAAGCAGCCTCGCCCGACGAAGGCGCTCTGGTCGAAGGTGCTGTTACGCTCGGGTACAAGTTCATCGCACGTAAACCACGCTCGGTCATGATTGAGGTCTCTGGCGAGCAATTCGAGTATGAACTCTTGGCAGTTTGCGAGTTCAACTCCACCAGAAAGCGCATGTCGACTCTCTTCAGATGCCCCGATGGCAAGATCAGATGCTACTGCAAAGGTGCCGATACCGTCATTTTAGAACGCCTAGGTGGTGACAACCCATTCGTTGAGGCCACACTACAACATCTTGAGGAGTATGCTGCAGAAGGACTGAGAACTCTGTGTCTCGCTATGCGCGAGGTCCCAGAAGAGGAGTTCAGAGAGTGGCAGCGAGTTTTCAGCGAAGCTGCGACCACAGTTGGAGGTAACCGAGCCGAAGAAATGGACAAGGCAGCCGAACTCATTGAACACGACTTCACTCTGCTCGGCGCTACAGCCATCGAAGACAAACTGCAGGACGGCGTCCCAGACACTATTCACACCTTACAAACAGCCGGCATCAAGATCTGGGTCCTGACTGGAGACAGGCAAGAAACTGCGATCAACATCGGCATGAGTTGCAAACTGATTAGTGAGGATATGACTCTTCTTATTGTCAACGAAGAAACTGCAGCCGCTACGAGAGACAATCTTCAAAAGAAGCTGAGTGCTGTGCAAAGTCAGTTCCAAACCGGTGCTACCATCGAGACTCTAGCACTTGTCATCGATGGCAAATCTCTTACGTTTGCACTTGAAAAGGACCTGGAGAAGATGTTCCTGGACTTGGCTGTTGTTTGCAAGGCTGTAATCTGCTGTCGTGTCTCGCCCCTGCAGAAAGCCCTTGTCGTCAAGCTTGTCAAGCGCCACAAGAAAGCGATTCTCCTGGCTATTGGTGATGGTGCCAATGATGTCTCGATGATTCAAGCTGCACATATCGGTATCGGTATCTCTGGTGTCGAGGGCCTTCAAGCAGCACGTTCGGCCGACGTCTCCATCGCGCAATTCCGCTACCTTCGCAAGCTATTGCTTGTCCACGGAGCCTGGTCGTATCAACGAATATCCAAGATGATCTTGTACTTCTACTACAAAAACACGGCACTTTTCATGACCCAGTTCTGGTACTCCTTCCAGAACGGTTTCTCTGGAGAAGTCATCTTCGAGTCCTGGACGATGAGTTTCTACAACGTTCTCTTCACGGTCATGCCGCCCTTTGTTCTTGGTATCTTCGATCAGTATGTCTCAGCTCGTTTGCTTGACCGATACCCTCAACTCTACCAACTCAGTCAGAAGGGTGTGTTCTTCAGAATGCATTCTTTCTTCAGCTGGGTAGCAAACGGTTTCTACCACTCTCTCATCCTTTACTTTGTGTCTGAACTCATCTTCCTCTATGATCTGCCACAAAGTGATGGCAAGATCGCTGGGCACTGGGTATGGGGAACCACTCTCTACACAGCCGGTCTCATCACCACTCTTGGCAAAGCAGCACTCATTACCAACCTCTGGACCAAATACACTGTGATTGCCATTCCTGGCAGTCTTGCAGTCTGGTTCATCTTCCTGCCCATCTATGCGACTGTCGCACCTAAGCTTGGATTCAGCATGGAATATGCTGGCGTTGTCCCAAGACTCTTCCCCAGTGTTACCTTCTGGCTAACAATCATTGTACTTCCAGTCCTTTGTCTTCTCAGAGACTATGCCTGGAAGTATGCCAAGCGCATGTATTACCCTCAAGCCTACCACCACGTCCAGGAGATCCAGAAGTATAACATTCAGGACTACCGACCAAGGTATGTGTTTTCCGTTTACGTCATATTCAGAATGTGCACTAACGTCAAAAACAGGATGGAGCAATTCCAGAAAGCAATTCGTAAAGTTCGTCAAGTACAGCGTATGCGCAAACAACGTGGTTATGCCTTTTCGCAGACCGACGAATCACAAGCCAGAGTGTTGCAGGCTTACGACACAACGAGAGAAAGAGGAAGATATGGTGAGATGGCCAGTAGCAGGAACTAACGGCCTCAAGGTTACTGTGTATATGCGATTGTATGGGATATGAAAAATCAAATTCTTTTACTCTGCATCCTTCTTTCTCCCATCGACCTCCCGCGATAGGTAAGCTATCAAAATGCACAGTAGTTTTACTAAACACGACAGTGTCCAGAGAAAGCCGTTGGAGTGATAGCTCTCAGTGGCAAGCTTTCTATTCCGGAAGATTATCGTGCATCTTGATAGCGTCAAGGTACGAGAGATACTTCCAGAGAGATAGCGATATGAGATGACATGTTCCAGGGCTCAAGATCGTCACTCCCGACCGGCAAACTGAACGATATATCAGCTATGGAAATGCACAAGTATCTTCAAACTCAGAGCTATGTCCAGAGGGAGCTCGTCAAAGTCATGGCTCCCAACAAAGGTCTCCGTTTCAGAAGAACATTGTGCATTTGTATAGCTTACCAAACACAGAACCACGCAATGCTAGGATGCAGCAAGTAATCCCAAGCAATCTCCTATCGCGAGCATAGCAATTTTTCCAGCCATCAAAATGCACAAAGGAGATCAGCCCAGAGGTGTGCTTAGAGAGACCCTATCTCGGTACAACACTCTGCACTTCGACAGCTACACGCTACAAGGTCTTCGAAATGTGAGATACAGGCAAATTGAGGTTTGTTAGTCTCACACAAAAAACTTTTTCAAGTATCTCACTGAATGTTCAGGACCAGTCTTTGAAATATGAAAATGCACAAATGTTTACGAGATCAGCGGTATGTCCAGAGAGAGCCTGTGGAGGTGTTGGCTTTCTTTGGCAAGCTGTACTGTTCCTGACAACATTGTGCATTTTTACAGTTGGCTTTGCGACGCAGTTTCGAATCGGAAATGATCGCAAATTTCACTCGAAACCGAACCCTGGATGCATTTCACTGATGGCTTTCACATTCAACTGTCTCGTCTGGAAATATTTTTCCAAGTATTCTCTCCTGGTCTCTTCTTCATGCTTCTCGTGTGAATTGGCGCGCAGCATTTTTTTGGACCTGGAACAGCTCTTGTCAGGAAACAACACGGCGAATGCCTAGTCATTGTGGGCCTCGTTCAAACAGAATGGCTGGACACTTTTCCTGTTGTACTCACAGCTCGTTGGACGCGTGACTTTTGGCGGAGCGTTCGTTATATCGGAACAGGTCTTGCCAAAACTCGTTACGACACCCTTGTTGACCTCGCTCGAAATGAGTGGCTGGAGACTTCCCCCATTGAACCAACAACTCAGTTGTCGCTCGCATTGGCGCGGAGCATTCATCACATTGGGAAAGCTCTTGTCGCAAATCATCACTGTCTGCACCTGGTCCTTGTCCACCTCACTGGGAATATTCGGCTGGGGACTTTCCCTACAGTCTCCAGCTCGCCAAGCGCTTGAATTAGCACGGAGCATTTTCAAAACGAAAGCACCCTGCATTAGAACTTGTCTTGATCAGCATGCCCCTCCTCCACCTTGCCTGAGAGGATGGGCTGGATACTTCTTCCATAGCTCCCACGGCTTAGCTGCCGCTCGAATTGGCGCGGAGCGTGATACGTAGGAACATGGCTTTTGTCAGAAATCGTCACAGCAGATGACTCCATCTCTTGGAGGATAAAGGTTTTTCGCGTTGGCTCAGTGCGGAGCGTAAGACCTCACGTCTACTTCCATCATGAGTCGCTCACTATCGAATTTACAATGATCTACCCCATCCCAGAGATTGACCAGGAACTCCTCTGACTGTATTTATACGTTACTTCTCGCTCAAATTATTACGGAGAGTTTTCGGGACTGGAACAATGTTCACCAGAACTCGTCACTGGAACAATATTCACCAGAATTCGTCACCGGCTGGACCTAATCTTCATTCACCTCACCTAGAAAGACCAGCAGTAGGACTTTCCCCTACCTTGGCTGTATGGGCTTTCATGCGTTGAAATGGCACGGAGCGCAGGTCCTCACGTCTGCTACCATCGTGAAACGCTCACTACCGTATTTACAATCATCCACCTCGCCCACGAAGACCGGCCGGAAACTACTCCCAGCGGTGTCGCACCTTAGTTCTCGCTCAAGTTGGTGCAGAGCGTTCTCCAACCGGAACAGTCCTTACAAGAAGTCATCACTATCTGTACCCAATTCTCATTTACCTCGCCTACAAGACTGGCAGCGGATCCCTCCTTGTCTTGATCATACAGACTTCTTTGTGTTGAATTGGCGCGGAGCGCAAGTATTTGGGTTTCCTGTCATTGTGAAACGCTTACTGCTGCATTTACAACCACCTACCTCACTCGAATAGACCGGCTGGAAACCTCTCTCATGGCGTTTACATCTTAGTTCTCGCTTGAATTGGCGCGGAGCGTGCTCCAACTCGGGAGCAGCACTAGTTGCAACACATTTTCACAAGCGTACCCCCCTTTACCGCGTGGCCGACTTCGATCTCGAATTTCTATACTCTGCCGACCGAAGTATGGCGGAGTGCGATTCACATAAAAACATCTTGATGAGAGTAGCCTTCCTTCAATTAGTTGCCAACTCCGATCTCGAATGACGATACTCTTCCCGATCGAAGTACAGCGGAGCGCGGTTCACATTGGGACAGCTCTGATCGCAACTCATGTTCAAGAGTGTAGTCCTCTTTCACCCCGCCGCCGCCGACTCCGATCCCGACTGTCTATGGTTTGCTGATCGACTTATGGCGGAGCGCGATTCACAACAGAGCAGCTCGTTTCGCAGCTCACATTAACGTGACTTTCACTCATCCCGCTGCCGTCCCCGATCTCGAATACCACTTATCTTCATCGCCTTACGGCGGAGCGCGATTCATAACAGAGCAGCTGGTTCCGCAGCTCAACTTCATTAAAGTGACCTTCACTCATCCCGCTGCCGTCCCCGATCTCGAATACCACTTATCTTCATCGCCTTACGGCGGAGCGCGATTCATAACAGAGCAGCTGGTTCCGCAGCTCAACTTCATTAAAGTGACCTTCATTCATCCCGCCGCCATCCCCGATCTCAAATCTCTCATCTATCTCGATCGACTTACGGCGGAGCGCTATTTACAGCGGAGCAGGTCGTTTCGCAGCTCAACTTCACCAACGTGACCTTCATTCATCCCGCCGCCGTCCCCGATCTCAAATTTCTCACCTATCTCGACTGAATTGCGGCGGAGCGCGTGTCACAACGGAGCAGGTCGGTTCGCAGCTCACTATCACAAGCGTGGCTCACCTTCATCCCGCCGCCCGACTCCAATCGCAACTCCCTTTACCTGTCTCGATCGACTTGCGGCGGAATGTGCTTCAGACTTTGCCGATCTCGCTCGCAACGTACCATACCTCACTACTCTTCTTCCGTGCCTGGACGTCTTCTTTGTACTTTGGATTGAGCGGGACACACCAAGTGATCCCAGTTTGGTTCTTCGTTCTTCACCAAGACATTCCGGTCATACCCTTTCCTTCATCGAGACATTTTTCGTCATACCCTTTCCTTCATCGAGACATTTTTCCTTTATCGAGATACTCTTCCTTCATCGAGACATTCTTCCTTCATCAAGACATTACGGTCCTACCTTGGGTCTATCAAGCCATTCTCGATCCATTCTTGCTCATCTTCTTCCAACATCAAGTCATACCGGATCTATTCTTCTTCTCTCATCATGGATCCACTCGATGGGTCTACGATCTCTAACCAAAAAGAGAGATTAAAGAAGCGCACAAGTATCTACACAGACATCGTGCACACCGACGAAGAGGACAGACAGTCCAAGAGGAATCGGATTTCTTCCCATACCAGTGGACATTCAATGTATGCCAGAATCCCTCCAGATCTATATCAGCAACCAATAACACAATCCAGACCCGATCCGTATTCTGCCAACGATCCTGTGGATGGAATCCGGCAACGCTACGCACCAATGGAGCCCTCCAATTATGATACTCAAGAGACAATACAAGATCGCCACCGAAGATACGAAAGAGTCGCTCCAGGACTTGGCAAATCGATGCTGGCAAACAATCCTTTTGTTGAAGAGAGCGATTCGAACGAAGATGGCCCTTCAGATGAAGCTGATGTTCAAGGAGAGGATGTCGAGCGCAGATCAACGCCGCTCTTCGTCAACAGCAGCGACAGTACTCGTCTGTCACAAGCCAACTTCCAAGATGGTCGCCAGTACGGCCACAGAGCAACAGGGAACAGCCTATCTAACGACACATCCGGAATCCATTCGAGTGACCAGCAGTCGCAGCCCATCCAGACCCGAGATGCAAGATCCGGTCAGCACTACTCATACCGCGTTCCGACTCGTGACGATCTTCCGCACACAATGCGCGGCCAACACGGAGGAGCGATGAATCAAACTCAGCCTGCCACGGCCCGTCGAGCTCATTTCAAGTTTGTAGACACAACCCAGATGCAACCTGCGTCCAGTCACGATCAAGCAAGAGACTCTCGTGCGGTGCTTGGAGGGAGACCGAGATCTGAACACCGACATGCACCCGAGATGCCACTTGCACGACAGCAACCCATACACACTCAAGCTCGAACGCAACTTGCGTTTGGGCACGAACCAGCAAGAGATTCTCGTGCGTTGCTCAGAGAGAACCTGAGACCCGGCCGCCGCTATGTACCCGAGATCTTGTCTGCTGGTAGAGGTGCAGTACAGAAGCCTCAGCCAAGTCACAAGCATGCAAGCGATCAATCCTTCCCATCGGGGATACCGCCATCTCCCATGAGCGATATCCGCCCGAGAAAATCCCTGAAGCTAGAAGGTTACAATCCTCCCAAGAATATCCTGAGCACCGTCAGACCTCGCAAGAGCGACACCGACAGACCGGGACATGGCCAGCTCAAAGAAGACATGCAATACCCGGCTCAGATCGCAGCTTCGACCTCTCCAGAATACAGAGCGCCCGTCACCCCTATCGCTCCCGTCGCCTCCTTCGCTCAAAACACTCCTACCGCTCCCATCATCCAACCTACAGCACGATACGATGCTCCTTCACCATCCTTGCGACCTGGGTCTTCCACATCGGATTCTATTCAAGAGAGAATCAACACGATTCCTGAAGAGCAGTTGCGCAACTTCATCCCTAACAGCTTGGATAAACAAGTATGGGAATACAGACACAGAGCGGATCCCATGGACTGGCAACAGATCAAGGAAATTCTCGATCTGACCGCACCACCCTACGTTCTCGACACCGTCAAGACTAGACAGAGGATCTACGAGGCAAAGCGTAAGCTTGACAAACAGGAGACAACGACAACAGCAGAGGAGATCGTGGAGCAAGCTCTCGCACCTATCATTCCTGAAACTGTGGCACCAGCTGCTACCACTGCCACTTCTGTTCTGCCGCCGACTCCTATCAATGCTAGACCTGTACCTCCATCTCCGGCAGTACAAGCTGATGCAAAAAGACTTTCAGAAACATTGGAGGAAGAGAGACTCCTTTGGGCAACAAAAGAAGCAGAATTGCAAGAGCGCATCAAAGCTTTGGAAAGCGAGTCTGCTACCAAAACCGCAGAGCTCAAGGAGCACGAAAAGCAACTTAAGCTCAAGGTCGAAGTACAGGAAAAGTATCAGAAGCTCAAGGAAGAAGCTCAGACATACAAGGAAAACTTCAAGGCCGAAAAGGATTCGCGTGTCAAGGCTGAGCGTGATTTGAGGACTGCTCAGTCTGACATCAACAGACGCGCTCTCGCTGCCGCTGGCGCAGCAAGAAACAAAGGCAAGGCAGTCGATAATGGCTTTACCTTCTCCAACGACGACGAGGACGAAGATGTGCGGAAGAAAACTCCCACCAAACGCAGCAATGCCCGCAAACCCGCTGCATCTAGCAATCTCAGAGATGATGGCCACCCCCAAACAGCAGGCAAATCTCTTCCGCCAGCTGCCATTCAAGCTCTGTACAAGCACCTCAACAAATGCAAAGACGAAGACGAAGAAAAAATCGAAGGGCCACCAGACTTCATCCAAGAAGAAGAACTCAGCTACTTCGTCTACACAGTCTTCCGCAAGCAATGGTCGCACGATGCAGAAGAACCAGACGACGACACCAAGATCGGCTGCGGCAACTTCACCTATCTGAATGAAGCCAACGTGGCAGTCACCAACGAAATCTTGCGTCCCCATGGCAATGCCTCAGCCATCAAAATCGACCCCAATGAGGAAAGAAGTCTGCACCAAGGAATGGGCGAGTTCAATATGGCTTGGGCTCAACTCGATGTCCCTGGCGGACATGTCAAGGTGTGGGTGGAGAGGCAATTGCACACCGAGTTTGAAGGCAAGCTACCTCTTTTCGAGGACAAAGGCATCTTGTACAAGCAGGTCTGGGCAATCAGACAAGAAACCACGTCGGCTGCTGCTGCTGCTGCTGCTTCAGACACCACTTCAGAGACCACTGGCCCCACCATCACCACAATCGAAGAATCCGACGAGATCTACACCACCTTCGACCTCGCCAACCGCAAAGCCAACGAAAAAGTGTTCAACATGCTTTGGCCCGAGGAGACTTCAACTCCGGGCAGCAGCGCGAGGAAGACAACTCTCAGTGCCGTCAAAGCCAAGGAAGACGCGAGACAGGACCGAAAGCAGAGGTTGGATGATTTGGAGGATCGTCGCGAGTTGTTTGCTGAGGAAGTTGATGGGGAGGATGGAAGCAAGGTCAAGGTCTTTGTTGTGCAGAAGACGGTCACTGGGCCCAGAAACTGAGGAGGGCGGTTGATGACGCTGCTTCCGAGGACGACAAAGAGGAATAGAGAAGATTGAAACAAGGGCTTGGAAACGGCTGAAGCTGAATGGAGCTTCTTTTGCTGCCCCTTTCTTTTTGGAATCTTCGCGAGGTGGAACGCCGCCTTTTCTCTTAGCACACAGTCATTGGGACTGCTAGTCATGTTGCTTGCACAGTCTCTGAGACTGTTGATACGTTTTGCTCTTTTGATGATTGTACAATATTTTTACAGTAAAATGGCGACATACCTGATGCCCTCCTTGCCTCCACCACTTTCCTCTGGCGCAGTGATTTATGTGAGTAAGCCAATCCGTGTGTATATTTGGCAAAATCTCCAGAAACAGAGGTTTCCCATCTTCTGCGTGGGTCTGCGCTTTCTTCTCCGTTCGTGTATGTCCGTCGATGCTCTTTCTTTCTCCGGTTTGCGAAGAGTTCTCCCAATCAAGGAGCCTTTGTCTTCAGCTGCACACCATGCCAACCCTTGATCTCATCCTTGAGCACGGCATTGACCAAGCGGTGTTGCTTGATGACCGACAAGCCCTTGAACTTTGCAGACACAATGTCTAGTGCGTACATGCTTCCGCAACCTCCACTGACATCTTGAACCTGTGATTCACTCCTGTCAGTGCTTGCTCCTCCACTCTGTCCGAACTGTGTCGCATACCTCTAGTTTCGTGGGTTGGAGCTCTTGAGCGAGTTTTTGGAAAATGTGGAGTTCTTTTTCGTCGAGGTAGTCTGGTGCTTCGACTGCTGAGGGGGTCTCTGCCGTTGCGGCATCTGTGGAGTTGTGTCTACGGAACGGTGAGATAGGTAGGGCGTTGGATGTGAGGAGAGGGCGAGCAGATAGACTGAGGTAGTGCAATTGTCTGGCTCTTGATGGTGCTGTCGAGGCCAATGTGCGGGAGGAGGAGGTTCGGAGGGCGGCGAAAGCGGTGGATGCGCTGCGGAAGACAGCTCTTGAGGGTGCCATTGTGAGGTGTGTGTGTGTGTGTGTGTGTATGTGAGGTTGTGGGGATGGTGTGGTGTTGGATATCTCGATTGAAGGTTCGATGGCAGACGTCAAAAGGTGCTGCTGGTCACGGATGCCATGTGTTGCGCTATTGGTCAGCTCGAGACTGAACCGCGCCCAACCCCGCATGTTTCCACTCATGGCACACGTCACTGATAAAGTCGCGTCTTGCTCGACTCGTATCTCATCCGTCTATTACTCGAGACCGTTCAATTCATCAAAAATGCCGGCAGAGAACTTCAACGTGCATCTCACTGCTCCCACGGGCAACACAGCCGAGCATGTTGCAACATCCACCACGCAACCCACCCAACTCGCAGGCTCCAAACGCAAATCCACACACACCTCCGACCTACCCACCATAAACCTCGACGACTACGACATCCCCGATGGCGAACCCATGGACTCATGCACCGTCGTCCGCGGCAAAATCAACCGTTTCCTCGAAGCCGGCGAGATGAAAGTGGGCCAATTCTGCGATGCCATCGGTGTATCAGGAAATGCTTACAGAAGATTCATGTCTCAGAATAGGAAGTTTGCTGGCGAGCAGTCTGATACTTATCGGGGTGCTTGGGAGTTTTTCAAGAAGAGGGAGATGGCTGGGTTGAAGATTCCTACAAAGAAGCAAAAGGTTGCTGCTAGTGGTGGGGCTTCTGGTTCTTCGACAGCGGCGGCAGCAGCTGAAAAGGATAAGGATGCCCATCCCGATATTTCCAACATTCATCTTGACGGTAAACATGAACTTAAATCTCGTGAATGTCTGTAGGCTTATGAAGTGATTGACACATGACAAAGGTGAAGAAACAGACAGCGTACAAGTCTACGACACCTGCGACGAAGTCCGCAAAAAGATATCCGCCTACCTACGCAAACCCAACACCACAGCCGCCCAATTCTGCCGCGACCTGCTCGCTCAATACCACACCGACGAAAAGAAACCATCCAGAATCCAATCTACCCAGCTCACGAAATTCCGCGGCTACAAAGGTGCAGATACGGGAAACACTTCTTGTGTGTTTTACGCTGCCTATGTATTTTTCGAGAAGGTGAGGTTGGCCGAGGGCAAGCCAAAGAGTAAGCATCGATTGAAAATGGAGGAGATTTGGGGTGGAAAGGGTGGATTTGACGTTTCGCGTGGACATCACAGAGGGTATGTTGCCTTTTTCTTTCTTTTACTTCTGTCGCTCCTTGCTTCCATTGGGCGTGGTTCGATTCTGACGGTGGTGGTGGAAACAGATACTTGGTCACGGCGAACGAAAGACCTGTGCAAGATCAGTACGGTCGAGTTACATTTCAACGTACTCGCTGATTGTGCTCCGCTGCGCGCGTAATGCCCTGTGGTTCTTGACCGCTGTGAATAAGGCGAGAAGCAGAGAACGTGATGGCGAGACTGTCTAGGGATTCCCCAGCCTGAGTGACGCACTGAGGTGCTAGATGTCATTAATGAGAACGCAAGTATTCCTTTGAGATTTTACCGGCAGACTAGTTGAAGGCAGCAAGATCGAACCACTGACAGCACACGATACCTCGAAGATCTGACGCATCGACCATGAGAGCCGTGATCTGGCGAGCCTTTCGCGGTACGCACCTTTGACTGTCAAATGCGCTGTGCTTTGTAATTGCCAGCTCTGCAACTCTCGACCTTTGACGAGATTCACGAGTCCTTCGTGCTGGTGCATCTGTAGCTACTCACAACTGCTAGTAGCTGCTTTGGTGACATGGAATGTCATTGTCGATGATTGCTTTTGATCAATTCCAGGCAGAAAAGGCATCTGGCGGCACGATTCACTTACCCAGCTCCCTTCTAAGCGCTTTCCAACAGAGACGTCCTTTCTTTCGAGTCCGAGGTATCTCGTCAATCTAGTCAAAACGACCCCGTCTTAGCCGATGGCGCTTGGAGAATCTCCCCTGGTTCCCCAAGGCGTTCGGCGTTCGATAAGTGCACACGCAGTCGTACCAACCGAGCGCAAGAATCGGTTCGACACGCCTTCTTATGAGCAATGCAGGATACACATAACCACAAAATAGTCAAGCAGAACACACAACCAAGCCGAGCACCACAGCAGAGCACAACACCACACCAAAGATGCATCACGTGGTTGTCTGATGCAAGACAAGAACACTCCCCTCATCATCTTACGACTTCCGTTTCCCGCAAAGGAAGGAGTATCCGGTCATTCCTTCTCATCTCTGATCTCTGGACTCGGGGTACAATGCAAGCACGACAACCATGTCATTCCGAAGACGCAGATCGAAAATGAACATCTCCCCACACACATGTCTCCTCACTTGTCACGCCAGAGCCCTCCATACCCGATCGTTGACATCTGCATACCGAGTCTGGGGTGACGGCGGGCACGTCAGATAACGAGACACACATATCCTTGGCCTGCATATCTCCGCCTCTTCGCGAGTCAGCGAATACAAGAAAGGAGGGGCACAAAGGCATGCATCGCGAGAGAGGTTCGTATAAAAGAAGGGTCCATAATTACTGATGTGCTGTCACTTGCTGCAGCTGTCACAATCCTCCTCTCATGCAGGGTTCAAGAGAAAAAAGGCCGAAAAAAGCATGCGGAGCGAGTATGCAGGTTTGCATGCAAGAAGCACGATTATGGCGCTTTTGCAACGCGTGCTGTAACGGAGAATTGATGGGAGAAGGGAGAAGCAGTGGTGGGTGAGACACTGATACGGTTGTGGGGATCTGTGATGCATTTGGGTATGCACTGCGATTACGTTGGCAGCCAAAGGTGTCACTTCACGTCAAAAAATGCAGTTTTTTGCTGTTGCTCGAGGTGGACTATTGGGAGTTCACTTTGAGTGCCCTTTTTGCCTCGTAGAGTGCCCACATTGATGCAAGAAGGATTGCGATGCAGAAGGTGGAGGGAGCAGTTCGTTTGCCCACGTTATTGTAGACCAGAGATCAACAACGAGACCTCTGTGAGTATTAGTTCCTGCTGTCTACGATGCACGCCCCCGAGTCGATGTCGTTCTGGTCACCATAGAATATCGTTATCTCTTTCTTTCACATGCAAAGTCTCAAAGGACACCAGCCACTCGACTCTATTCGTGACCACTGGCAAGTAGTCTTCTGCAAATCCGTTCATCACGACTCTCCCGAGATATCCAATCACTGAATTCTACCACTCATACCTTTGTTTTCTGATAGCGCAATCTCGACCCCAAAAGTTCGAGACTTTTGTACTAAACTCTATCTACAAGAGTCTCGACATCTGTTGGCAGTGCCGGCTCGGCCCCTCCGCGTCGCGCGACAGATTTAGGTTGAGAAGGATCGCGAACGAAGACCAGTGAAAACCACCGTTGGTGGTTGTTAGTCTTTCCCGCTGAACTCTCTGGTCTAGAGTTCTCCCTTATCCCACAGCACCAGAAGAAGATCTGCACCTCAACATTTGTAAAGGACAAATAGAAACAGGGTTCGGAAAAGTGAAGCGTCGCAAGCAAATGAGGTCAGGGTCGAAGGTTAGACATGGCAGAGTTTGGGAAATGATGTGATGGGAGTGTGGCAGTTGTGCAAGGGCTTTTGTTGCGCAATCGTGCTGTTCTGGTATCGCTTGGGTCGTGAGGCGCTAAGGTTCGTGAAGAGCTGAGTGCTGTGTGATAGACAGGGGGAGGAGGGGGTGATACGCCACAAATGTCATTATAGCGATCTTTTTTGGTAGCAAAGAGCGATGTACAAAGGTATAGTACAGTGGTGTGGATTCATTTTCTGAGAGCATCTCATGTACGAAGCGTAGTTCACCGCTCTCGAGCTATGATTACTCCTCGTTCATGCACCCCAGCTCTTGTACGAGTTTGTGGTCGGGGATTTCGCAAGTGGAGAAGCAAAGTGGATTGTGCGTAGTATACACATGTACAAGTGTAACTGCGGGTGAGGGAACAGCTGAAGGAAGTTACACCCGATGGTTGTAGCGCCTGGACCTTTGTGGTTGCCCGCTGTTTTTCTTTGGGGGGGTTCCATTATGTGAGAGTGTCACTTGTGCCTCCGTTCCAGAACTGATGTTGCAAATTTTTGAGTGGTAGGGTGATATGATCTGTCGTCTTATCACCGAGAATATGAGCGACAGGTTTGCGTGTATGGATGATCTCGACTTACCATGGAAGATCACGTCTGCGATGAACTGTGGTTGAATGGCTTTGGTCCGCGGTTGGTAGAGGGATAGCTACGCCTCACTACCTCATCGAGGAATTGCATGGCTGGTGTGGCTGGACCCAATAGCAAAGATGTACGGCATACGGAGGTTAAACTCTACCAATTGCAATGAGGTCAAGGACGTTTCTTTTTGAACTCTTACTTCGAAAGAGTCGTGTGCCAGTCATGTGCGGCCTGCAGGTGCGAAGCACGCATGGGCATCAGGGTCTACCTTTTCCACTTATCCGACGATGCTGGTAGAGAAAAGTATATCGTTCAGCCGTGAGACTTCAGCCTTCAGGGGTTCACGAAGGATTTGACAAGCGCGGAGAGCAACTCCATTCTTTTGCTTCTCCTCAAGTCGTCCTCCTCATTCTGCCTCCCCAACGAACTCCACATTGAACGACAAGCACGAGACACGTTGGCCACTGCCCTTCGGGGTCTCCGCGTCTCAATCACTCCACTCGATGCCAATCGGACCGAACGAGCCTTTGAGGTGTCAGAGTATGAGCGAAAGCAGCGCCGAAGTGTGGACATCAATTTCTCAACTCCACAAGAGCGTTGAGATGCTGGAGTGCTTGCGTGGGTGTGTGGGATCTACGCTCCAGAGTTCGAATGGTTCAACCGAAAACAAAGTCCCCGTGCTTGCCTTTCTTTGATAAACATGTTCGGCAGGGGGAGAGGCTTTCTCCACGGGTAGCATGACTCTCGTAGCCGACGAGTGTACATTTGAAGAGGAATTTGATTGACGCGTGCACAAGAATGGAAAAACTCTGGAGGAGCGATACCGTGGAGGAATGCCCGAGTTCGGAAGGTAGTCTTTTGATACCTTGTCGAGAATGTACCAGATGTACCCTGCGTGAGGGGAGTGCGGGGCATCGCTTGGCCGTGCAAACAGACCAAGAGAGACATCATCTCAGGTTCCTAAATCTGCTGTGGCCAGCGCGTATGCGTGTCGTGTGCTGAGTTGGCCCTTGTGGACCATTATCTTGTTCGCCACTCCGCTACCCCCTTAAAGCAATCCAAGTCTCAAATGTCGTGACGACGACAACAGAGGAAGGATTGAGCCAAGACCTTGAACCCCCGCTTCCCAAGGCAGAACTGCGAGAACCACAGTGCCAGGAAGGACGAGACAAGGTCTCTGGCTGCAGTTCAATGTGCTCGTATGCAGTGCAAGTCCACTCACGCAATCATGTCTTCTGTTGTACTTATCAGTGAGACATGGTGTGATGGACTGCCGCCAAGCCGATAGGCGTAGTCTAGCAGTCTATTGACGAGGTCTTCCCTTGGTCTCGACAACAATGTCCTCTTTCATGACAGCTGCACTCGTGGCTCGAGGCCCCATAAGACACTAATACATGTCAGAGAATTTGTATGGGACGATCAATAGTGTATTCGAGTACCCCTCCGAGTTCTTGCTGCACCCTGCAAGCCAGCGGTCTTCCCGAGTCCGAGGGCAGATGTACCCTTGTACATTTTGCTTGCGCGAGCAAGACGAGCCGCAAACCACTATTTCTGATACCTATTCGAGAAATGAGTTTGTGCGATATAGTGGTAGAGATATGCATCCGTTGCTGTGTCGATGGGAGTGTCTCAACTCAAATCAGACAACAATAAGCAAGCCAAACACTCAGAATCGATGTCTAGCAGAGCCCCAAAGCATGCCACAGCAACAATGTACACTGTTAATTAACCATTTTGCATGCATGGTGATGGATTTTTCTGTTGCATCTCCTCGTAAATGCAGCATCAACGTTGTTGAGATATTGCAGGTGGTTGAGCACGGACCGTATCAGTATGTAGGGAAATGGATAAACGCCTCCAAGTCTCACCAACGTCTTGTTCAACCTCCCCAAAGATCATCCTCTGCGGAAAACTGGTGGTGTTGCGTTGGAAGGGAAAGTTGTTGAAAAGAACGCCAGATTTGGCTGAACGTCAGAGGCGCGAGTGGCGCGTGTGCGCGCGCTAATACTGACCAACCATTAATTTAATCGGCCGGGGCCGCAAGCCGTGATCATTCGTGTGCTGAGGTGTCTGTGTGCCGGACGGAGGCGTTTTGTGTGCTTGGTCTGGCGAGAAAAAGTCGAACGTCCCAAAAAAGTTTTACGTCAAAAGATGCTGCATACAGCTGTTGACGCATGCGCGCTGTCAATAATATGTGTAAGGTGTACAGACCGGTCAGGATAGCCTTCCTCGTACTCGACAGGGTTGTTTGTATGCCTCGACGGGCGGTATCGGACTGGAAGCGCGCTTGTATGATAGCGCAGCACGCAGAGTGTTTGCGGTGAGAGACGAGGGAGATTTGTTGAAGCTGTTGAGATTTGTTAATAGCAGCAAAATGTGTGGTGCTATCGTATCGTGGGATTTGCTGGGCAGGTTTGCGATTGATGTGCTTCGTGTTCCATCGATCACGATTGCTTTGCTTACACTGTAATCTTGCGCTTTGACCACAGCCTATGCCATTGTGTCAATATCGCCTTTGTTCTACAACACGGAGTACGCATGTGGGCATTTCGGCTCCGCTGCCTACGTAAAGCCGCAATATGCCACAAGTTCTGGGGAATGCAAGATGGAGACTCGAAGAGTATGTCATTGCCTCGTGCTTGAGTGTCGACCATACTCAACTTGGTGCTAGTGCTGGGACAAACAAGCACAGTGTAATTTCAACGAAAGCTGGTATGCAAAAAAATCATAGCCGCTGGATGTGACCTTTTTCGCAGACCATGGTACAGCATAATCAGATGGACCGAGAAAGCGATCGGCCTGTATAAGAAGAGATTCTGTGTTTGCACAGCGTAAGCGGGTAGATCTTTTCGTTCCACAGCATCGAGGCGCGACAGGATGTCACTGCTCGGTAGATGCAAAAATTGAGCCCTCGAGGTGATGAAACGGCAATGACGCTGGAGTCAGCTATTTGTGCCGCTGAGTGGAGATGGCCGTTGTTAGAGCCTCCTTTTGACCACCGCTATGCGAGCGCCCTGTAACAAAATGAGTCTGTCCACGCTATCCATAGCACGACAGCGTCATCGCTGACAGACAACTGCGCACTGATGCCCATGAGCAAGAGCGTGCACGCGACGTGGTGGACCTACCGACAATCTTTTCACAATGTGTCTGGCAGAGATTTTACCATCGCGATTTGCAGAACGCGATCAGATATAGAGTGGATGCGATTGCAGGGCGCGGACTTGCCATGGCGATCGGCTTTCTTTTACAGCAATATGTCTTCGTTTAGGTTGCCTGTCACTACCACACGAATCAGGGATAAGTGGGATGCTGCTGCGGAGGTGAAGTGTCAATATCTTGGCCTAGCGGAGATGTGTGGGCGTGAAGGAGAAGAGAGACCGGTTTATCGCTGACTGGTTCAGCTCGGACACGCACCACAGTCCTGAGTCTTGACCGATTTGCCGGCCCGAGCTTAGCCGCTTGCGCACAAGTCAAGAGTCAAAATTCATCAAAGGTGGAATGTAGATGTTTGGGGATGATCTGGAGAAAGTAAGTCTGACCGGGGCCCGGAACAGCACAACGACTGGTTCTCCAGAGAAACCGCGTTTGGTGCCAGAGATAAGGAAGGTCGTTACAATCACAAGTGGATGGCAGCGTCAACTCGTAACGGAGCCGAGAGATGAGGTGCTGTTGTCCAGAGGTGGTGTTACCGTCAGCAGATATGCAGCGAGACAAGGTGTTTAGCAGGCATGTAGGAGTCAGCATCGCAACGGAGACAACATGACAACGACACAGGCTGGCCGCTGATATCCTCGGAGGCACGGATGCAGACTGTCACTAGCCACAGACACTTGAGCGCTTCTGGCTAGACTATCCGCCGCCCTACCACAGGAGACGTGATGAGCGTTCGGAAACGGCCACGGCCGCGCAGACCTGAAGCAGCTTCACCGAGATCGACAAATCGTCAACATCATCGGCTTGTGGTTTGGAATTTGCTGCTGGATGCAGAAGTGTCTTGCGTCGCGAGTAAAAAAAAGGTGGAGAGGAGCAGGGAAACAAAAGAGGCAGCCAAGTGATCGGATACGGCACTCGGTTCTCTCCTGGCTCCAAGATTTGTCGAGTGCATTAGTTCTGGGCTGCGCAACCGCTGGGGCATGTCGAGTGGGATGGTACAGAGAGACAAGATACCTCAGTAGCACCAAGCCTGCGGGCAACATGTGGTCGAGTACTTTGTCTGTGCCTGAGCCTTGAGCGCCACGACGGGCCTATGTTTCTGTTGTATTGTCCGGGGCCCGGGCTACCCCCTCGATTTGGCGTGGTGTCTGCTGTTGCCGTTGTGCCCGTCGCCGGCCAGCCCAGAACAGCAAGCTGCTGCAAGTCGCTGCTCACTACGATCCCCAACGCGCTGCAGGCGGAACGTCGTTGGAGCCAATCCTCGCTTGTCAAACCTTGTCCCGGCTCCCTGTTCCTGGTCGTGCATGGGGTTGAAGCCACACTTGAATCCTGCCGCATCCGTGATTCGCGCCCGCACCCGCTTCAACTCTTCAACGACCCTCAACCAACCGCACCACCCAGTTAACTGCCCACACTTCCCCAATTGATCTGGAGCTTGGTTCCTTGCTTTTTATCACTGCCTGTTCCCGCACATCGATTTTTCTTCCTCCCGGCTTGTGTCTTGACCATTTGATTGTTTGCTCGACTTTTGTTGCGTTGCTGCGTCTTTTTATCAATCGTCATAGCATCTCGCATCATCATTCCACCCAGCATCCGATTCAGGCAGTGACGACGCTTTCTCGGTTGGAACATACCAAGAAGCCGCAACTCCCGCTTTCGGATTCGATCAGGAATTGCTGTGCCTTTCCTCATTCACACCAGGGAATATCATCGAATATTCGTCCTGTGACCGGTGCGGCTTTCACTAGCTGATATCGCAACACTACAATCATCAACCCTATACCCACTTACCTACTCTCCCCCTCACCAGCCCCATTGAATATCTATCCGTAAGTATCCGGCCAACAGTCAGAGTCTATTTCCCCCACGTGCCGGGACTGACCAGCAACCACAGTGTTGCCCAGCCCTTCTGATGCTTGCCGGCCTCTGAAGTCCACACACCCCCTCTCCCTCTGGCATTCGCGACACAACTCCGGAAATGCCTTACACACCGCCCTCGCACCAGTCTCCTGCCTCGTCCAGGACGACGAGCCCGGTTATGAGCCGCTCATCATCATTCAGCGCAGAGAGCTCAGGAACGCGGTCTCCAGCATCGCCGAGACCTGCTCTCCCCCGCTCAGTATCATCGACCACTTATCTTAACAAGCAACGACGAGGACCTTCAGTTACCCAACAAGAGCCAGCTGGTCTGCCGCAATCGCCTGTCGACGACGACTCGTCCACTGGCCGTCACATCGAGGGTGTCATCTCTAACAATGGTAGCATCCGCCAGTCACCTTCTCCTGTGAACAATCTGTTGATTCCGACAGGTGCCATCTTGTCACCCCCCGACTCGTCTGAGAACTCAGACGGTGAAGACATTTCCGAAGCACCGAGGGGGCGCAACAGCTTTTCCCACACCTGGGGTGCACTGGAGCAAGCCGTACGGTCCATCGAACTTAAGCGGGAAGGATCCCCGGCAAGGAACGGTGTCTCCTTCTCAGAGCCCACCACTACCATTCACTCGCCCACAGCACTGAGCGCCACAGCACGCAAAATCTCACACTCGAGGTCGTCGACCGAGAACGCCATCATCATACCTGACCGTATTATCACCGAGTCCCCATCAGAAGAGAGCGACGACGACGAGTCTGACGATGGACTGCGGGTCAAGCCTCCGCTTGTGAGAAAGAAGTCTGGTGAATTGGTCAAGCCTGCCCTCCGACCCTCATCAAGACGCAGATACTCGAGCATGCCCGGCACTCCCACATACTCCAAGTCGGTCCACTTCAACGACAACGGCAATCAAACCAGACACTTCCTGCAGGTCGAGAAGCCGTCTGCTATCAGTGCCGGCTCCTCGCCTGTTGATACTTACGATGAGGAGACTGAGTACCCCTTCGAAGGCAAGGACAACTCGAACAAGGTTGAGTGGAACCTCAGGCTCGCAAACTTCCCCGAGGAGACTCACGAGCGTAAGCACCAGCCCGTCCGCGTCGAGAAGGTCTACCTGTCCACCGACACAAAGACACTCATCGGTACCGTTGCTGTTGCAAACATCTCGTTCCAAAAGCACGTTGCTGCTCGCTTCACTCTCGACTACTGGAAGACGACCTCGGAAGTCATGGCCGAGTACGACAACGATGTTCGCAAGCAAAACCCTCATGATGGCTACGACCGCTTCACCTTCAACATCCGCCTTTCTGACCAAGCCAACCTGGAGAACAAGACATTGCTGCTGTGTGTTCGTTACAACTGCGGAGGCCAGGAACACTGGGATAGCAACAACGGCATGAACTACCAAATCGACTTTGTCAAGAAGTTGGCCAAGTCAGCTTCTACCAGTTCCCTCTCGTCCCTCCACAGCTCATCCAGACCTTCTCGCAACACTATCCCCCGCAGCAGACATTCGCCTCCTGCGACACGTCAGGAACGTAGTCTGTTCGGTGATGAAGACTTGCTTTCCAAGAACTCGACCTACCACTTCGGTTCCCCGGAAAAGCTCACTGGTGATGCTGCTGCTCAGCCCCAGGTCAAGCTGAAGCCTCGCTCCAAGAGAGTCGACCTTTCTCGCGTCGGCTCTGCACCCGCGAACGGTCTCGGTGGAAGATACGACTTCGGAGCATCGCTCAGCGCCGCCTTGTCGACTGCCCAGGATAAGCTCGGAAAGCAAAGTGGACTACTCCCTCACACCCAAGCCAGCTCTCAAGCCCAGGCACACTACTTCTCGCCCAGGACTACCAGCGAAGTCAAGCCTATCGTACCGGAACGACCGGACACCATCACCACCGACAGACCCGCCATCGGATCCCAGCAATATAAAGACCTCGTGAACAAGTTCTGCTACGTAGGTTCCAACAAGACTTCCACCAAGGCCTAATCCCCATGGTGCTAATTATCAAATCAGTTTACCCCTGGATCTTCGGGCAAATCATCACCCTCTTCTCAAACGAACTCTGGATCGAAGCCTAGCAGCACCGACGGCTCCGGTGACGGTGCATCGCCCAACGAGTACAGCCCTCGATCTGGTTCTGTCACTCCCACACCTCCTCAGAGCCTGTCGCCCTTTCTCGATGGTGCAAACGACGGACTCACTAGCTGTAACACTATCAGCAAGTTGATCTCCCGCTCAGGCTCGCCTGCGTCTATTAGCAGCAGCAACAACTATGTCGCACGAGCCTACAGCTACCCTTACGCAAGGGACGGATACCTCTCGGAGTCCCACACCCCGACCGCTATCCGTGGCTGAACAACCAAAAGTTGATGCATTGATCAAGCATAATCAGAGCCGGCACCTGTCTCTTCAGATTTTGCAATGCTACAACTACGAACAACCTTTTACGAACATGGGCAATCCCCTTGTCTAATCTGGCTTTTCGTCTTTTTTCCTTTTCTTCTTCACTTTTCCTTGGTCTATCAAAGCGATTCGGCATTGATCATTACATCTTGCAAGGCGTTCCGGATCCTTCATGGTGTATAGATGGCTCTCGCAACAAGACCGCCGATAAGCGTGTTTTGTCAAGCTTGAGCCTGGTTTTCTCTTTCGAGCGCGATACCTTTTTCTGGAAGCCGTTCTCGCTCCTTTTTCTACCCTGGCTATTTTGCATTTTCCTTTTATCTTCTATTTCCTTTCTCTCTGTATTTGCTTACTTTTCCTTTCTTACGTACATTGACGGAAAATGAGGGACAGGTCGCTGTGCATGTGTGCACAGTATGGGCGCGCGCATCGACTCTCAACTCTGGTTGGCAGTTAATCCGGAATCATGGCAATAAGGGGACGGTTAGCTTTCTTGATGGCTGGCATGGGATTCTTGGGTTTCTCATCACGAAGGGACTCGCATTGCATGGATGCATACATGTTCATGCTGGATTCTGGATGGGCGGATAGGGCGTGTTTTCTTCAAGTTATTGCTACGAATCATTGCTTAGGAGGAATGATAACACGGACTGAAGGCAGCAACAGAAATCAACATTTCTATTCACTCTTATCAATTACCTTTCTCTTCTATGTGACTGTCTTGCTGCCAATGCTCGTGCTATACGACTGACGCACGTGCAATTTCCTGGCGTGTGCACGACATGGCATTGCTTCCTCCCTCCTTTTCAGCACTGCAATCGAGCAAGAGTTGTCACAAAACATTTCAGCCATGTCTTCATCCTCGGTCCCAACAGGACTGGTGATCGACCAAACGACTGTATTGTCGCTTTTATCAACACTTGCGATCCTCGCCGCAGCCTACATAACATCCCTCTACACTCTACCTACCGCCGCAAACTCCAAAACTCGCTTCCTCTTCATCTGGCACGCCTTTGATGCCCTCATTCATTTCATCCTTGAAGGCACATTTCTCTACAATTGCTTCTTCTCCTATGGTCCTACTCTTCTCACCGAACCTCTGCTTCCCGCTAACGTCCATTTTCTCGGTCGTGTGGGAAGAAACTATGGAGCTGCGTATGGCGGTAGCTGGCACAGTGCCCTCTGGCGTGAATATGCCAAGGCTGATAGAAGATGGGCGGGTACTGATCTCACGGTTGTGAGCTTGGAGTGCTTGACAGTGGGGGTGGGAGGTCCACTGGCTTGTTGGATCTGCTTGCAGTTGGTTCGAGAGAGGTGGGGGAGTGCGTGGTTTTGGATGTGTGTGCTCGCTACTGGCGAGCTCTACGGTGGTAAGTCCTGCTTCTTTCCATTGATTCGTCTTTTCTTTCTCCATGTCCATGGGAATCTGTGGTCTTGCGGCCAGGGTCGCTTCTCTGGACTTCGTCCACACAAGATGCTAATGATTGGACAGGGTTCATGACTTTTGTGCCCGAATGGCTCAGCGGCTCCCCTAACCTGGTCACTTCGAACTGGATGTACAAGTAAGTTTCTCCTATCTCCGAGCATGGTCATTGACAAGACCATCTTCCCGTTTCCATCCTGCTTGCCTCTATTGGGGATTGTCTTGTTACGAACTTTACACAACCTTACTCATACCACCCGCGGAAAGACGAGATTCCGAGGAGTGGCTGGTTGTGAGAGTTTGACCACAAGCATATCGCTATATGCACTATCGTCCCTCATGACCTCCACTCTACCCCGCTCACTCAATAGCCAAGGAAAAGAGGCTGACATTTGGACAGATGGGTATACCTTTTCTTCTTCAACACCCTCTGGGTCTGGATCCCCCTGTGGATCCTCTATCAAAGCTACATCGTCTTTACCTCTGCCCTGAACCCAGCGATTGCCAAGCAGAAGAAACGATAAGCAGCTCTTTTCGGGGATCGAGTCCGCCCAGAACCCCCCCAAAGAACAGGTTCAAATACTGCGAAAGCCGTTTATTCTATACCAGATCCAAGGAAGCCAAGTCCGAAACGACAATGCAGCGAAAGCCACAGCATGCATAGCTTAGCAAAACACAAAAGGTCTCAGATGATCTGACGATCCTGGGTTGTATAGAGTGGTGTCTCAAAACCGTTATGCCGGTCGTTCCAACTGCAAAAAAATAAAACGGGTTTGGGAACTATTGTATACCATTAAAAACGGGCGAACCTCAGAAGTCAGAACCGGGATCAAATTATATTTCCTTCTGGAAGGAGCAAGAACAAGTTTTCGACAAAACGGTGTTTGAGTTTCTGGCGTTTCTCACATGTGATTTTTTTTGGCATATGATAGATTCCACGTCGCTGTGTGAGATACTATGATCGTTGCAAAACGTGACGATGAAAGTGCATATGTATGGTCGTTGAAATCATAGGAAACAGATGAGAAAAAATGTGGTCATGTGTCTCGTGAAAAGCCATATCGTCCATCTCGCATATGCATAGCGTTGCATGCAATGCTTCGCCCACAACGATGCCTCATGCTTTCTCCACAACGACCAACTTGCAGCTTTTCTGCCTCGATAGATGCATGCATGCGACGACGGTTGATCTATCTCTGCTCTTCCAACGCAAACGGCAACACATCAAATTCCGGGGAAGCTGCATACTGCATCCAAGATGAGCTGCACCCCATGCTGCACCCCGTGCTCCTTGCTCTCTTCCCGTACCATGCACTGCCGTTTTGACATATGCATCTGCAGTGCACTGTACACAGCAACAAGCAGCAGTAGCAGTAAACCGCAACCGCAAGCTTGCGCATTGCAATTCAGATGACCCTAACGTAGTTACCAGGAAACAGTCCCTTTTCTCCGCAATAAACACCCCAAAACCAATCCCCGTTGATGTTTTCCACCTCTGTGATGATCGCATGGCGAGGAAAACTCAATTCATCTTTGACGCCGTCGCCGGGGAAATAAGACCATAGTGCTTGGACTGTCAGGCCTATACCTCCGGATGGTGGAAAGGCGTTTGCAGAGGAGACTTTCGATGACGATGAAGAAGCCGCAGAGGATGTTTTTGCAGTGCTGCCGTCGTTTTCTTTCCAGCGCCAGTGGTTTTGGTTTGTGGAGGTTGAGGAAGAGGTGAGAGGTGTGTCTTTGAGAGCCCAGCCGCCGATCATGTCATGTACGACTATACGGTGGGGACCGTGTTCGCGGTCTTCGTGGCCGATGACACTCATGCGGTGGGAACGGAGGCAGCGACGCCAGCCTTGAGGTCCGTTTTCTCGTGATATCTTGCCGGTGTTGACTATGGAGTGGTAGCACGAATTGCAGATGTCGTAGTTGCCTTTGTTGCAGGTGTTGCAGTGGAAGCGTGCGTACGAAGGTGGTATGGAGTAGTGGCAGATGTCGCAGTAAGATGTTAGGGTTATGGAGCTGTAAGAGGAGGAGTCTGGTACGTGTGGAAGCAGAGGCATAGATGTTGATGGGACGGCAAAGTGGAAGGCCGTATTGGTGGGTGTCAGTGGTGCTGGGTATAGGTCTGATGGCGAGTGTCGCTGGGAGGGATTTGGTGCCTGAGAGTCAGAGTGCGCTACAGAAGCCAGTGGATGGGTGCAGTGTTTGCCTTGTTGAACACAGACATTGCAGTAGCCCCAGGCTCCATCGTTGCATGTATTGCAGTGCCAGTAACAAGCATTCGCGAAAGCTTGACAGCCATCACAAAACAGACCTTGCTCCAGAAACGCAGTGTTCTTGTCATATCTTCTGGCTGATAAAACATGAGGTGGATCTTGGTCTGCGTGTTCAGCGTGAGGGCGGTACCGAGTCCATGCGGTACGACCAAACCCAAACCAATTGAGACAGCCTTTTCCTGTGAGATAGCATCCAAGACATAGATTGAAATTGCCTCCGGAGCACCTCTCGCAGTTATAATGAAGCGAGTGTTGTATATTAGGCTTCTCGCATCTCGAACAGTTGATTGAAGGAGCGGGCGCTTCCGTTACTGACTCTTGTCGAGGAGGAATAGGTAAAGCAGGCGAGCTGTGATTCGAGGGCCTTGGAACAGACACAGGCGCTAGATGACGATGTCGTTCAGATGTGGTGTCAATGCGATGAGAGCGGCTAGCTGAAGCAGCACGACGCCTAGTGGCGGAGGGCTGGGCTTCAATTGGAGTTGAGGCACGAGGGCTAAATGTGGTAGTAGTCGATGTAGTCCGGCGGTGGGCTGATGATGAAGGAGAGTGCCTGTGTGATGAGGTGTGAGGAGAATGATGATGAGCCGAAGGTCTTGGAGAGGGATGAGCAGCAGAGCGATCACGATTGTGATGACGATCACGGCGGTCTTGACGGCGACGAGAGCGATACGCTCGTGCAATGGAATCAGTGATAGCATCTTCCTGTTCCGGAGTCAGATTGTTGAGATCGACACCGTCCAGAAGGCCATGGTCAATGATATGACGCATAATCTCATCTTCCATATCACCCAGGTCCATGTCAGACTGGCTCAGGAGCGAGCGTATACTAGATTGATGCGAAAGAGCATCGACCTGGGCTGAGCGAGGCGAGTCATCACGATGGCGAGAGCGGTGTGCCTGCCTCTGGTGCTCAGCAGCAGTAGAGCGACTTCCGAGGCCCACGTCGTTAAGACTCAGCTCGCGCACCTGAGCCAGCATCTGTTGCTCTTCCTCGTCGTCTTCGTCTTCGGATACCTGACCTAGGTCTACTGGCGGTATGACGTTGTCTCCAGACTTGTATGTCTTGTCCATATCCAGCTTCTCTTGTGCCGTCTTGCCTTTGTCAGGGTGGGCCTGTAAAAACATGTCGAGCAGCGTGCTGAGGGTTGCATTCGGCCTGGTATCCCGTACGACAGCTCGACATGCTGGGCATGAATACACATGACCCTTGGATGAGGCCTGCCATGCAAACCATTCTTTCAAACAACTTCCGCAAAAGCTGTGCAAACAGTCGAGCAGCGTCAGAGGCCGGTAGAGGACGTCGGTGCAGATCTGTCACCAACCGTTAGCCTTTCTTCTGCCGCTCCTCCTCTCGATTGTTCCATGTCACTCACCGAACACGACAACTCCTTCTCCAGGTCCAAGTCGCGCCCTCCTTCACTCGCTCCGTCTGCCATTTGGATTGCACTTGCTTCCGTCTTAATCTTGTCCAACCTGCCGACGACGCTAGACGTGGGGCCGCATCTCTATTTATTCTACCGCCCCGCTGCCACCAACCTTGCTGATCACGCTGATGATTTTCCTGTTTCACCGCAAATTGACTCGAGACTCGTCTTGGACATCTAGACATCCTTCACTCTTGCTCTTCTTCAGTGCTTTTCAGCCATCTTTCTCATTCGGTTTCCGACCTGTTACTGATCTCTCCTTTGTCGGTTCGAGCATCGCATCTATTATGGTTCGGCGTATATCGTGTCGCCGGCAGCCGAGTACCCGTCCCACGCGACTCGTGTCTCAAACTTCTGTCCCTGCAAACTGACACTCAGGGTCGGCACTCTACTACAATTTCTCGACTATTCTCGACCGTGCCCGTCTTATTAATCTCGCGTGTGCTACCTCGTCGCTCCCACTGGTTATCGCCGACGACCCAGACTTTCGCACCGCTTTCTTACCGTGGGTTCAAGATGCTTCACATGCACGCCTCTCGGTCAGAGTACGTGCGTACCGTTGATCTAGATAGCCGAGCAGGCCTGTTCTCCCGTCCTTCTGGAAAACACTGCCGACATCTGCTCGCTTGCACACATTCCTCGTCTGTGCTCGATCTGCCCTCAAGGTAAATATATTGATCTCTCCGTTAGTATGAAAGGTAGGTGTTCGCTCTCGTCTCTCCTTTGCTCTCTCCGGTCTCTCTCTCTCTCTTTCTGTATCTTATCAAGTCCCTCGTTATGGCTCCTTACGCTGCTCTTCTTCAGCTCTCCCTGTTGGGTCTCGCTGGCCATGCCTCTGCCGCTGCCATTGACACCCGTTCTCTGACTCCCTATGCTCCTGTGTCGGCAAGCTGCCCAAGCACTCCCTTAGTCCGTACTGCGAACAGTGTTGGGACCGGTGAAGCTGCATACATTGCAGCTCGCAAGCCCAAGGCCGATGCTGCTCTCACTGCTTGGTTGCAGAAGACCGACTCTTCATTCGCTACTACTAACCTTCCTACCATTGGACTAAGCATCAGCGGTGGTGGCTACCGTGCTTTACTCTCTGGTGCTGGTCTTATTCAGGGTCTTGATGCCCGTGACTCTGACCTGTCTACCAGTGGCCTCTACCAGGCAATCACATACGAGACATCTCTTTCCGGAGGTGCATGGTTCTCGACTTCATGGACCGGTCTCAACTGGCCCACTGTTTCATACCTGAGGGACAACCTTTGGTCTGAATCTTTTGCCGACTCGCTTTTGGTACCTGCAAGACTCTTGTCTGCTGTCGCATATGCCGAGATTGTGAGTCCTATCCAGTTATCGACATGCATCCATCTTGCTAATACCATGCCAGGTCAAGGACATTGTAGACAAAGCCAAGGTTGGATTCTCGCCTACTCTCATCGATGTCTACGGCAGACTGCTCTCATACCAGCTTCTTAGCACGAACAACCAAGATCTCCTCACCGATGGAATGGTCAGCAAGACCCTCTCGAGTGTGGTCACTTCTTCCAACTTCACCAACCACGCCGTGCCCTTCCCGATCATCACCGCCAGAGGTGTCAACACCTTCGATGGAGAATGCATCCCTATGGAGAACGGAACCCAATATGAATTCGTAAGTTTCTCTCATCACTTTCTAACGTCGTCTCGACTGACTTTTCATCCAAAAGACTCCCTACGAGTTCGGCTCTTGGGACTCCGATGTCAACGCTTTCACCCAAACCGCCTACCTCGGATCCAAACTGACCAATGGCGCACCCACCGTGGCTGGCAAATGCATCAAGAACTACGACAACATAGGCTACGTCGCGGGAACCAGTTCCGCCCTCTTCAACAACTACTGCACCACCATCCCCGCAAAGAACAACACTCAGTCGCTGGTCCAGACTCTGCAAGCCATCATCCTCAACGCCCACAGCCCCGTCACCCGCGACACCTACGCACCCTACCCCAACCCCTTCTACCAATACCCCACCGCTACCCTCACAAACGCACAAAAGGAGATTTCACTGGTTGATGGCGGCGAAGGCAACTCAGCCATGCCCTTCTGGCCTCTGATCCAGCCCGAGCGCAATGTAGACGTCATCATTGCCGCCGACAATGGCGCAGACACTTCCGATGACTTCCCCTCTGGCACCGCCATCGTAGGAGCCTACCAACAAGCCCAAGCCCAAGGACTCACTCGCATGCCCTTCGTCCCTGACCTCGATACCTTCCTCGCTGCCGGCCTCAACAAACATGCTGTATTCTTCGGTTGCGATACCGTTGATACTGCTACTGTGATCTACCTTCCCAACAACAACTACACATATGCCTCCAACATTGACACTGTGATTATTGAGACTTCGGAGAGCCAGACTGCGGGCATCATTGCTAATGGCAATGCTATCGCGACTCAAGATGGCGACGAGCAATGGCCTGTTTGTCTCGGATGTGCGGTCATGAAGAAGACAGGGAGTGCGCTGCCGAGTGCTTGTGCTGCTTGTTTTGACAAGTATTGTTATTCGCAATAGACGAGAGTGTTGGTATGTAAGGAGTGGTTGATGTAGAATATGTAATGTTTATAGTAATGATTTTTTTTGATCCTTGTTAAATGTACACCTAGTGGCTCTAGTGTTTTGACTTCTCGCCAACCAAGATTTTGTAGAGCTGCAAACTCCCTTCTTCAAAGACTTGATTTGCATCCATCCTCTGTGTGTTGGAACCATATGTTTACCTCTCCAAAAGCATGGCACATCTGACTTGCTTTCACCCTCTTCCATGCTGAGTCGTACCACTGGCGTTCCTGCTGTGCATGATGTACAGAAAAAATCTTCCATTCGTGTGACTTCATATTGCTTGCTAAAACCCCATTATATGCTCATCCTCATGCTTCTCTCATCACAGGACTTCCCTCAATGCAACCTCATTCCTTCCATCCATCAAAAAGAAAAGCAGCAGAAAAAGGACTCAATGCTCCTCCCCTTTCCTCTCTGCATGTTCCAACTCCTTGACATATCTCACAAAAGCCTTCTTATGCACCAATCCCGCGAATTTACCCCCATCCAACACACACAGATACCGCAATCCCAATTTTGAAAACAACTCGTAGACTAATTCCAACGGAGATCGAATATCCAAAGCCATGGGTGATGGATCGACGCAGCTGGAAAAGTCAAACTCGTCATCTCCCAACATGCTGCCTCTGCGCGCACCAAACTCTGCAGAAGATGACAGCAGTGAGGTATCAAGGCCAGCGTCCCGCAAAGGACGACCCAGATAGCACATTGCAGCCTCCGAGTCATGGCCATCTTGCTGCAAGTGATCGAGGGCAAACTCTAGATCCGGACCTGGGATTATACCCATCAAAACTCCGTTGTCGAGGATTGGCAGCCCGCCGTCGAGTTCGCCGGCCATGTGCATGTATTCGAGTTTGGTGCGTAGTTGTGAGGAAGGTATGAAGGGGGATGCGGAGATGTCGATTAGGCGTTTGGGGTTCGGGGCGTGGGTTATATCGCCCAAGTCGCCGAGGAATGGTGGGTGGGATTTTGCGTCGAGGTAAGGGTAGGAGTTCATGTCTGTGAGGAGATCCTGGAGACAAGTTAGTGGGGGGAAACGGAAAGGAGGAAGAGGGGTGGGAACTTACGTAGATGGAGAGCGGTTCGAGGGCATCGGCTGTCCATTTCGATACCAGGACGCCGATCGAGAAGGGAAGGACGTGCTCTAGGGAGCCGGTGAGCTCGAAGAGGATGACGGCGAGCGTGACTGAAAGTCTTGTCACGCCGGTCATGGTGGCACCGGCTGCTACAAGGGCGTAGACGCCCGGTACTACGCATGATTCAGGGTTGCCGTTTGCAGGGCAATTGCCGAAGATCTCCAAGGATGGATATCTCAGGGTGATGAGTTGAACCGAGTGGCCGACAATGCGTCCAAGGAGACCGCCAACAACCATAGACGGAACGTAGATACCAGCAGGCAGCTTGACGCCAAAAGTCACCACCGTAAGTGCAGATTTGATCACAAATGCAATGCAAAGATATCCAATGATGTTGGGGATATTCTCCTCGGTGGGACAAAGTCCGTATCCAGATGAGCTGAAGGAGTTGCAAGGGCTAGCCAATTCAAACAACAGCTCTGATACTGGGATCCTGGTATATCTGTTCCAGAAGCTGACGAGTCCAGTGACCAGAGCAACCAAGAAGACCTCGAGGACCGGATACCGCTTGATGCTAGGGATGCGGCGGAAAGTATTTGCCCAAAGACGCGATGCTTTGATAAATAGAGCTCCCAGAGTACCGCCTAGAACGCCCAAAAGAATGAAGATGGCCATCTCGAAAAACTGCCAATCTGTCAAGTAGCGGACTTCGAACAGGACGATCTTGTTGGTGCCGTAGGGGTTGAGGAATTTAAGTGATAGTGCTGCAGCGATGCAGCAGAAAAAGGTTCGGAACAAAGTCTTTGGCGGGAAGTAATAACTAACTTCCTCCAGACTGAACAAAACACCTCCGATCGGGGAACCAAAGGCAACTGCAACACCACTTGCCGCGCTCGCACTGAGAATTTCACGTCTTTTTGCGTCATTGACATGATACTTCTCAAACATGCGACATGCAACATTGCCCACACAAGTTGCAATGTGCACGAACGGTCCCTCTTTACCGAGAGACAGGCCAGAAGCAACACTCAGGATCAAGCCTAGAGTCTTGAACATAAGAGTTCGCAGGCCGAGGTATCCTCTGATGATGAAACCGCTGAGAATGACCTTGACTTCGGCGACACCACTTCCAGCAGCTGGATAGTATACCATAGGAGGCTTCTGGGCAGCTTCGGCGAAGCGACGCGTAGGGCTGCCTGAACTGTCCTTTCTAGCTTCAGCCGTGGTTGGAGCATGTGCGGCAAGATTTTCATCGAGCGTGGACAGACTGACGGCCGAGCTGATGACCGTCTTCGTTTGCAAAGTGACCAAGCAAGCTGCCAGCGACAGAGCTATCACCCAAAAGACGAAAGCGGCATAGTCAAACCATCCATTCTCATCAGGGCCAGGTGTCAGAGGTATCGACCACCGAGACCATGCGTCGCAGGTACTGGCGCCTTCACAACAACTTCTCTTTCCGTAGTACCACGTGTGCGAGCAATAGCCCGTCTTCAAGTCGAAAATGACAGACTCGGATACATCGACGATGTATGCGATGCCGGCGGTCACGCATCCAATGACAGCGACCAGTATCCAACCTTGAGCAGAATCAAACAGGGCCTCTGCTCTGCCTCTGAAGCCTTTACGGCTGCGCAACTCTTTCAATCGAAAAGCATCGCTTATGCTGTCCTGTACCCAGTCGGTGCTCGTGTATTGATCGTACCATACGCGGTCGTCGTAGTAGATAGATTCGGATAGCTTCTGTTGGTCGTCGTCTTCGTCGTCGTGATCCTCTGCCATCTGGGTTAGTAAATTCGGTAGTGCTCAGAGCAGTACGCTTACCTTCTACTCGACTTGCTTCAGCGCCGAATGCCTTTGCAACTCTCGAAGAAAGAGTCCCTGAACGCCTTTCACCAATGGGGGCGCTGTTTCTTCTCTTGAAAGTCTTCTTTGGTGACTGCGGCGCTGAGGCTACGGCACGGTAAGATAGGCGGCCATCAGGGTTGTCGAGCAGGGAAGTATGCTCATCGAGAATCAAGCGTGAGGGCAGTCGACTTTTCAGATCCCAGTCGGAACCGAGACGGCGGCCATGTCTTCTCAAAGTGCTGCCTCTGCTACTCCTCGGGGTAGGCGGTGTGCTGTCCGGGTCGTAGGCGTCTGCGTCGTACGCATATGAGGATACAGGTTTCGGCATTAGGTGCATGTGCATGTATGTACGAGGAAGCACCACATCGCCCGAGGTGCACAGAAGATAACTTGTGGGCTACAGCTCGGAGATGAGAGAGGGCATCCAGTACCCCCTTGACCGCTGGCTAGTACTCCATACCTCGAGTCGCTACCTGACTATCATGCCCTCTGACGCGATGGAGCCGCTTGGCACATGATCACACACGATCGCTCTAGTGGATCCGGGCGCTCATGACATGAAAAAGACGTCTCAAGGGGCTGCTCTCCTGGCTTATCGTTCATGCTGCCAATCGTCGACAGGCGGTCATGGTACCTCTACGTTTCTTGGTGCATCCCGCTTCTAAAAAGAGTGCAGATGACCCTGCCGTTTAAGCTTCAGACCCTGCGCTTGCTGTGCCAAGGTCCTTCGGAGCGGTGTGAGTGGGCAGCAGGCTGAACAACACCTCCATAAATCGCTCTTCACGTCGTTTCTTCTACGCTACGCTTCTCCTGAATATGCCTGTCATCCCTATCCTCGGTACAAATGACATGCAGAGACGCTGTCCCTCGAGTCTGCTCCATCACGACATGAAACACTCGGTGCTAGGGAGTCGTAAAGACCGAGATACGTGATAAGCAATTCCTCCGTCGCTATCAAATATTTATCCGACGAGCCGCCAAATCCCGTTCGTATACATATTATCACCCTCAGTGATAACGTTACTAGAATTTGACCAACTCGATCTCGGAGATCTCGGTGGACAGCGGCTCATGCAAAATTGGCAACCCCGCCCACCCGGAGTCTTTGAATTCCAACAGTAATCGAGCGGTGCTGAAGGTGATAACATATGTACTCCACTGCCTCTCCACACCAAATGTCATAACATCGCGCTAGTGCTTTGTACCTCTCTTTGCTTGTTTCATCATTCGACACTTCACCACTTCTTCCCGCAGATCTACAGCACCATGGAACAATTCGTCCTATTCGGAGATTCCATCACACAGCAGTCTGCCAGCCAGGCTTTGGGCTTCGCTTGGACACCAGCACTGCAAGATGGTATGCGACCTGATTGTCATGTTGGTACTTAGCTAAACCAAAACAGCATACATTCGTCGTCTTGATGTGATCAACAGGGGCTTCAGGTAGGCGTGCTCGAATTATACAATCACGACATCAATCTCACATGTTGTCTTCAGTGGATACAACACCTCGCAGGCCTTGAGCGTCCTACCCCGTATTCTCCCAACTCCTGAGCAGGGTCGTATTCGTTTGATGGTCAGTCCGACTGATGATCTAGCATAGACAGTCTGCTCATTTATGCCTCTAGACCATCTTCCTCGGCGCCAATGATGCCCGGCTACCTAACACTCCAGGAGTCTCTCAGACTGTTGACCTCGAGCAGTACAAGAAGAACTTGACGGACATCATCAACCACCCTAAGCTGCAAGCACACAAGCCTCAACTCATCTTACTCACACCGCCTCCAACCGACGAGAGGAAGACACTCGCGCACGACAAGACGAACGGCATCAATGTCCAAAGACGCACTGCTGCAAACACGGCAAAATACGCCGAGGCAGTCCGCGAGCTTGGTCAGAAGTTCAATCTTCCTGTGCTCGATATTTGGGCAGCTTTTATGAAGCATGCTGGTTGGAAAGAGGGTGAAGCTTTGCCTGGTTCAAGCGACATTGAGCAGAACAAGACACTTGCAGATATGCTGCATGACGGTCTTCATCTGAATCCCGAAGGATACGAGATCATCTACAAGGAACTGATGAAAATGATTCAAGAGAAGCTGCCCGAGCATGCTCCTGACAATCTCCCATATGTGCTTCCCTCTTGGGATGATGCTGAGGCTTGGAGACAGTAGGGATGCCACGCAGAGGCATGTAGATATAGACGAGACTATAGCATAGAAAAAGCATATTTCTAAAGAAGCATTTGATTATCTCCAAATGATGAAGACGGTGAGAAGGTGCAGTGAATAAACAAATCTACAGAGCACGGACACTTGGTGACGTATTGAGAGTTTGGAAAAGATGGAAGTTGCGCCCAGCCTCGAGGGAACGGCTTTGGACCGTCCAAGACGATTGTGCCTTGGTTTGCTTGCAAGCTCTGTCACTTTCGACCATTCATAGTGGAAGAGACAGGCGTGCGTCGACATCCGACTAGATTGCCAACACTTCGGCGACGAACTCACACGCACAATCTTCATCATGGCGACACAATCCGAGTCGACTCCGCTCTTGCCTAACAAGCCCGCTCGTCCTGCTCGCAGCGTCACTTTCAATCCTACCATTGCGACGAGCAGTCCACCGACCCGAAGACCTATGTTTCCTTCGGCCTCTGCACATTCAACAGGCTCCGTCACAACGCTAAATACACCACCGAGAGATGGCACCCAGCCCATGCTCTCGGCTCTCAACAGCAAACTCCGCAGAAGAAATAGTCAGGGCGCTCCACTGTCGATAGGTCCCTCTGTTCCCGCTGCAAAGATCGGTCCTCAACGCACAACAAGAACTGCCCAAAAACTAAAACTCCTACCAAACCCGGAACATGGTGACGATGGTCCCGACGAAGAGAGTGGTCGCGACGTTTACTCGCAGTTTACCAGAATAAAGGATCCCACTGCTCGTCGTGATGCCGCAAGGTTAGGCAAGGACGATAGAGACAAGCTGCCTCGTGTCACAGCATACTGCACCGCCAGTTCATACCGCATGGAAGATCTGTTGCGCTTCCTCAAGGGTCGCAAACTTAAGAAGGCTGCACCAAAGCAATTCGACGAATGCATCTACACCCCGTATCAATACAACGCCAAGTCAGAACCGCAAATCGAAGACGCAAAGGTCGTACATTCTACTGCCCAACGTAGATTTTCCGACAGTGCTATTGAGGTCGAAAGTAATGCTGAAAGAAGACGGGAAGATTTGCTGGATCTGCAGGATGAGAGAGGAGAGTCGGCGATACTGGACAATCACGAGGCATCGACGTCAAGTGAAGCTCTCCACATGCCGCACAACGAAGGTCCCGACTTCGACACGACGGTCCACGTTCCCGAAGTCTTCTGCTTCGAGTACGGTGTTGTCGTGATATGGGGCATGTCTGTCCAACACGAGCAGAAATTCTTGAAGGAGCTGGCCAAGTTCGAGACCGAGAAGCTTTCAAAGGACGACATACAACAAGAAAACTTCAACTTTTACTATACCAAGGAGTACCAAGCTCGAATCTACAACGACTTTATCAGTTTGAGAGAGAAGAAGAACTACATGACCAAGCTGGCCATCAGTCATGCTTTGGCACAAAGCACAAAGGTTTGTACATTGATCGATAGTAAGCAGACAAGAGAAGCTAATTCGCGTGCCAGACATCGTTGTATGAGGACTTGGTAGACAACACGATCGATGTCAACAAAGAGATTCCAGCACAAATCGCGCTGACAGGTAAAGTCAATCTGTCACGCAAGGAGATCAACATGCAGATTGGAGAGCTATTCATCTTACGAATAAACATCCATCTTCAAGGATCAGTACTGGATGCGCCGGAACTCATGTGGGCAGAACCACAGCTTGATCCGGTTTACCAGGCTGTGAGAAGTTACTTGGAGATGGACCAGAGAGTAAGTCTCTTGACGGAACGACTAGACGTGATTGCGGATTTGTTGGCAGTGTTGAAGGATCAACTGACACACTCGCATGGTAAGTGTCGAACAAAGAAGGAGTGTCGGAAGCAGGCTAACATATGGCAGGTGAATACTTGGAGTGGATTGTGATTGTGCTGATCGCAGCCGAGATCATGGTTGCGGTCATCAACATTGTGGTGGATTTGTACGCAGGCGTGGATTGAGGTGGTAATGGCAGCAGAGTCGGGGTTAGAGCGGGTAGAAGTACAATGCCTCGTTGCAGGACAATATAGGCGTGGGCATGGATGAAGAGTCAGGAGGAGGAGGGGTATGCATTTGGTCGTAAACGTGCTCGTATCGGACTTGTCCGGAATTTTGAACCGATCAATCGAATGTTCTTCTGTGGCAGACTCGAAAGGGGTTGGTGATGGTTGAAGATATCAGGGGCAGTTGTATTGCGCAAATGCAAAAACGGCTGGTTCAAGTACTATGGTGATGTTGTTGGTGCATTGGTAAATAAGCGCGGTCAGGAGAAGGTGGATTTGACGTTCAAGTCCAGACCCCACAGCAACACGCAAGCAAGCAAGCGGACAGCCTCGGTGTCTTCTTGTGGTATACTCGAATCGATCTCGGATCATTGCAGTCGTGCGACACTCGCTTGTTACCACCCGGAATAATACTATGCTCAGTGACTGGACTCGATGAGTTGGAACTTGCTCGAGCGCTTCATCGAGTCGGAACACTTCAACCGGGACCCGTCGTTGACTGTGGCCTATCTGGCTCGATATGCCGACCATGTGGGAATCCAATACGTCCTCTGCTCCAAGCTGCGCCGGTTCAGCTATGAAGACATCGAGTTCTTCCTGCCGCAGCTATGCCACCTGGTCATGTCGCTGGACAACGAAAGCATGGCCCTCGAGGACTTTATCCTAGACCTGTGCGAGGAGTCGGTCAATGGCGCTCTTCTGGTACGATGCGCCTCCCTGACGCGACCCATCCATGCTTATACCATGTGCAGACTTTCTGGCTCTTGCAAACATACCTCCGCGACCTCGCCCAAACCCCCACCTCCAACGCCTTCAAGACGTGCCGCCGCATCTACAATCGAGTCCAACGCATCGTCTTTGGTTCATCTGAGCCCGTCCGCCGCGACAAGATCACCGAGAATGTCCTGCCCGTCACGCTGCTGTCTAGTCTTGTGCTCGGCGCCATAGCTGCGCCCTTCCTTCCTCGTCATGCTGGTCCGCTGGCTATTGCACAGGCTCGGAGGCCGCGTCCTGTAGAAGACACCATATCCGACAACATACAACCCCAGCGCATATCCAGGAGTCATACCGTCTCAGGTACCCCTGGTCGCTCAAGAAGACCTCGTCCTCCGCCGCAAACGACCAAAGAGGCTTCGACTCCCCCGGGAACCTCGACACCGAAAAGAGCGTCCCGACCCATGTCAATGCTGGTCAACGACTCTCCGACGCTCAGGAAAGAGTCATCCGGCAGTCGTGCCATGGCAGAGGCATTGCGCGCAACACAGAACAACCAAGCCTTTGCAAGCACATCGTCCCTCCCAGAGCTTCCCTCACAGCCTGCTCCCGAACCGCCGCGTCTCTCTCGCCAGCATACAGAACACTCTGTCCGCCGTCACTCCGCCAGCACCAAGAACATCAACATCTCCAACATGTCACGCTCGCAAAAAGTCCGCATGCTTCGCTCAAACTATTTCCGTAGTCAGACGCAATTCCTGAGCGCTCTCGAGGACATTTCCAACCGCTTGGTTGCTGTGCCGAAGCCTGCTAGACTGAGTGCCCTTCGTGCCGAACTTGCGTTGATTGCTCAAGATTTGCCTGCTGAGGTCGACGTACCTCTGCTCTGTCCTGCGACCCTTCCAGATGGCAGTGCAAGCCGTAGTCAACATCATCGTATCGTCAGACTTAACCCTGCCGAGGCCACCAGTTTGAACAGTGCCGAGAGGGTGCCCTACCTTCTGATGGTTGAAGTCTTGCGCGAGGATTTCGACTTCGATCCAGAGTCCGACCAAAATACCCAGCTTCTTACCAAGTTGGTACTCGAGAAGGGGAAACCAAAACGTCGCCTTTTCGACATTACAGATGCATCGCGAGAATCCGCTCGCTATGAGACTGAGACCACGGTCGAAGCCGACAGTGTCCTCGAACCTGCCCTTGGCGATCTGGGTAGTCCGGCTTTACTGCAAGAAGTTGATGGACGAACAACTCCTCGCAACATTTCCAGATCGCATACTCCTTCTAATACCGCCATGTTGAGAGAGCTTCCTCGATTGTCCAGCGGTGTGAGCACCCTGTCATCGATAAGCCTCACCACTCCTCGAACGTCTGATCTGCCATTGAGCAGATCTGTCAGTCCCTCTCCTTTTGCTTCAGCGGCTGGCCGCTCGCAAGCTCCAGACCAACCTGACTTTTCCGCTCTGGCAACACACATGCGAGCTGCTTCGTCCATGCTCTCACAGCTCGACCTGAGCAGCTCAAAACGGCCGAAAGCTGAAGTCGCCGCCATCAAGGCTAGGATCATTGCCAGCATGCAAAGTCTCGAAGAGCAAAGTTTCTACACGGACGATACCACGCACCCTACCAATTTCGACGCCATCATGGCCAATGCGAACAACATTGGCTCACACGCCGAGCCAGCCGACATCGAAGACCCTGCCTTGGAAGCCGCAGAAGCAGACCCAAATCTGAGCTCGAACGCCGGTGCGGCACGCATGGAAAATGACATCAAAACAGGCGGTGTCCAGCGCAAAGGCGACCGCGACGACCCCTCAGCCGCAACCTTTGGTGAAGCCTGGGAAATGAAAAAGGAGCGCATTCGCCGCTCTTCTCCTTACGGCTGGATGAAGAACTGGGACTTGATTTCCATGATTGTCAAAACCGGAGCTGATTTGCGTCAAGAGGCTTTTGCTTGCCAACTCATCGCCGTGTGCTCGAAGATTTGGACCGAAGCTTCTTGCGATGTGTGGGTCAAGAACATGCGCATACTGGTTACCGGCGAGTCGTCAGGTTTGATCGAAACAATCACCAACGGCGTTTCTTTGCACTCGCTCAAACGCTCCCTGACACTCTCCTCCATTGCCTCTGGCAGCAACCCGCGAAAACGCATGGCTACACTACACGACCATTTCGTCACTACATTCGGCAAACCCTCTTCTGCCTCTTACATCTCAGCCGTCGACAACTTTGCAAAAAGTCTAGCTGCGTATTCGGTAATCTCGTACATTTTGCAACTCAAAGACCGGCACAACGGCAACATCCTCATCGACAATGTGGGTCACATCGTACACATAGACTTTGGCTTCATGCTCTCCAACACACCGGGCAGCATGGGCTTCGAAGCGGCCCCCTTCAAGCTCACGCAAGAATACATTGATGTGCTGGGGGGCCTCGAGTCCGCCGCCTTCAACAACTTCAAATCGCACATGAAAGAGGCGTTTCAAGCTTTGCGGCGAGAAGCGGAGAGGATTGTTATGCTTGTTGAACTCATGGGCAGGGAGTCACGCATGCCGTGTTATTCTGGCGGCGTGGTCAATGTTGTCGCGGCGTTGAGAGCTAGGTTTGTACTCGAGAAGAGTGAAAAGGAAGCAGGGGTTTGGGTGGAGGAGTTGGTTGCAAAGAGTGCGGGGAGTTATTATACTAGGCTGTGAGTTTTTTTTGCTTCTCCCTCTCTGTCTCTTTCCCTCTTCAGGGGTGGGAGGAGTTCTTATCCTGACATCTGACAAACATGCTGACTTTGAGAAAAACAGTTACGACACTTTCCAATATCGCACCCAGGGGATCTACTAGAAGCATACAAAACAAGGCAAAAGAAAATATGACTGCACGAATTTTTGCAAAACTCTTTTCGTCCTCCTTGTTTGACTGTTTGAAGAATCTCGCATCGGAGCATCATGTGTTTTCACTTCTTCTTTTGCGAATCATATGGAGCTTGCAGTAAGCAGCAGGAGCAGGAGCGATACGCACGAAGGATATTATTTCTGAAAAAAGAGAACATACATACATTGCCATCCTTGAAAAAGGGTCTTTGTAGAAACTGAGCTTGACACAGGGCACTGGAATACACCAGAATGAGTTTTGGGTGCATTGCAAGAATGACTTTTCATTCAAGGTTACTTTTTTATTTTTCTCAGTCCATTATCTAATGCAGGGATAAAAGCCCAAGCTGATATCACTTTTTCCTCTCTTTCTACGCAAACCCTTGCTCCTTCTGCCACTTGTCCTCCCAACCCGGGAACCACGGATGCTGCTGCAGTGTCTGGACCTCCCACTTCTCGTCCACAAGACCCTTTTCCTCCTGCATCCTCTCCATCTCCTCCAATGCAGGAATCACCACATGCTCTACATATCTCATACCTTTACATTCCATCGCCTCCCTTTTTCCTTCCTTGAGTAACTTTGAAAGTAAACCGGGTATGTAAGGTTCAGAGCCAAGGCTGGGGATAGGGGTGAACAGACATTTAGAGTTGAATGCCACGGCGCCGGAGAGAGGCAGACGACGCAGTGTTTGCCAGTCTACGCGAAGGTTTGTGCGGGAGAGAGGTAAAGAGGGGTCTTCTTGTGGTAAGTGAACGCCGTTGTCATCTTCAGTCTCAAACAGTGGTTCGTCGACCGAAATGCCCCAAGAGCCGCGTTGGATAGGTGTATCAGTGGCGAGGGTAGCGAAGAATCTGCTACAGATTGATCAAAATCATCAAAACGTTAGCTGTTGTGTGTCGGAGGGGCAATAGAAACAAAAAGGAGAGAGAAGAAAAAACTTACCTGTCCGTTGAACATTCCACATTTTCCTTGTAATCAGGAATACCCTCATGGATTTCTTTTAGTCCTAGTCCCATTTTCGTACCCAAACTCCAGCCTGGAGAACTGCAGATTACACCTGCTCTGAAGCTGTAGTATCCGGTTTCTGGATTGCGCAGCATGATTGCAAAGTCCTCTGGTACATTATCCAGCAACACTTCCAAGGGATCCTTTTCTCGAAGGTCGGTGGTAGTGTTGAGGATATTGTTGCGGAAAGTCAGGTTGCGGGCGTCGATGGAGAAGAGGGTAGGGTGTCTAGCACTAAGGAATTGGAGAGCCATTTCCATGAGTTCTTTGCATGCAATTTCGGAGCCAGGGAGGGACTGGATGATGGCGGTGCCGTGTTTTGCGTATAGATCTTGGCGTTGCTTGATGCGGGAGATGTAGGTCTTGTCGAGTTCGAGCCACCAGTCTGCTTCTAGTTTCTTGTGTGCTTTTCGAAAAAGTGTGAGTGTCGAGTTACGGTCGTTAGGAGATGGAACTCTACTTACACATTGTCTGGTGGTTTGACCTTCGGAAAGGTCTGTATGGTCTGGACATGGCAGTCTTGATATCGAAGTCGGTGTAGGGCGCAGGCAGAGGGACGCCGCTCAAAGTAGCATAATCGGGAAAGTTACCTAGAGCCTTGATTTCCTCGACGGTGAAGCCGGTGGGCGTAAAGCGTTTCTTGTATTGCGGAGCCAAGACATTACGGTCGTCCGGAAGGCTTTTGTCGATGTTGTGAGGTAGTTCACTCAAGCCTCTGCCAGACTTTCCTCCTACGCTGAAGCGTTTGTCGGTGAGCTCTGCTAGTGCGAGACGTCTGCTAGGAGGGAGGGTGTCTTTGTACTCTTGGCCGGCGGGTAGAGTGGACTTCTCGGGTAGCTCATGTTTCGTTAGAGATGAGGATCGTTGGGGTGCCCACGGTAGTCTGTGTTGTCTATCAAGACCGAATCTGCCCAATAGCAAGGCCCTTTGCTTGTGATTTAGAGCGTAGTACGAGACGGTGACTGCAGCAAATGCTAGGCCGAGTATGTAAAGATAGAGACTAGCCATATTGCTGGCTGGCAAGCGAGGAAGGAAAGTAGTATGGAACAGGATATACGAGGATGGAAGATACGAGGCAGTCACGACAGCAATCTCAACGACTCAGGAATGCACTCAGACGGACGACGGTGCTGAGGGTGTAGAGTTATCTTTATATGTGATATGATAAGAAAGGGCAAAGAGAGATGGGTTCCGAGTACGGAGCAAGCAGGAGCTTCTTCATGGTACCGACTTAGCTTGGCTGGTTTAGGGCCATGTGCGAGACGACAGGCAATCACGATGACAGGACCGCAGCAGCGATGCGACAAGTCGCACGATAAGTGGCAGATATCAAGGTCGGATTGCATACCTGAAAATGGACAAGCAGGACGCGCAGCTTGGCATGACAGTTTGGCGGGGTATCGCGGCGGCAGCGGCAGCGAGGGGTGCGTTTCATTCAACTAGAAAGCTCCAGGGACTTTTCGTCTCGACAAAGATAAGAAAAACACGGTCGTCCGAACCATGGGTGACGCAGATCTCGAACAGGTAAGTAGACACGACTGAGGGGTTGCTCGGGGCTTGTTTCTGACGTGGCATGGGCAGATTAGGCGTGCGCGCCTGCAAGAGATGCAGCAGCAGCAGGGCCAGTCAGGCGGTCAAGGAGGTCAACAAGGCGAGCAAGAGCAGAAGCAGCAGCGTGAAGGTAACCATCCGCTCTAGATTCCTGTTGTTAGGGTTCCTGCGACTGACACAAGCGTCATAGCCGAAGCACGCGCAAGCATCCTGTCGCAAATCCTCGAGCCCGATGCAGCAGATCGTCTAGGTCGTATTCGTCTCGTCAAGCAGTCGCGTGCCGAGGATGTCGAGAACAGACTCATCATGCTGGCACGCAGTGGTCAACTCAGACAGAAGATCTCAGAGGCTCAACTCAAGGACATTCTCGGCGCCATGTCCGAGCAGCAAGAGAAGAAGGAGACTGTCAAGGTTTCGAGGAGAAAGGGAGGCTGGGACGATGATGACCTGGAGGATCTCTTGAACGATGACTGAGATGCTATGCATACCCACCGATCTTTCCTCAGCAAACGAGCCTATCTCCCAGCCTTCGGTCACTGAGCTGCCAAAGCCACCCCGAACACGCGACCACGAACTCCACTGTCAAACACAAAGACCTCAAAAGGGGAGAGCAAATTAGAACAATCGAACAGCGCTTCGAAAACACCATCGACCCAAGCAATCGAGAATCAAGTACAAAGAGCGGTCCATAAGGACATGGGATTGCTTTTTACATATTTATATACTGTATCGTCGTCCTTGTCCTATGCAAGGGCTATGTATGTCCCCATGGGTACACAGTAGGGGCTGGGTCAAGGCTAATCGAAAGATCCGGGCATCTCTGGCTGCAGCGATTCATCAACTGCTGCCTCACTCTCCTTCCCATCTTCACTATTCGTTGCCGAGGCAAACTCCCTCTCCTCCAGCTCTGCTGGACGAGCCTGATCTTCCTTCTGCCTATCTGCAGTGGACAGCGGCATAGCAATCGCCAGTCCAGTGCTGTCATTCGGTCCATCCTCTTGGTCTAGTCGTGACGTTTGCGTATCTACGGGATCCAGGCTGCTGACTGCGTTCTCGTGACTAGCCGGACCTGTTGGCGTATTGATCGTGTTGTCCACATCAGTCTGTGCATCTGCAAAGTCTCTCGTGTCTGAGCTCTCCGACGTCTGCAGAGAGGTCGTGCTGCCATCGCTGATGTTTACGGTCGATCTGCTGTTGTTCCGGCTCGGGGGTCGAGGTTCGTTCAGTTTCGGCACTTCCAACGCTTTGGAGTGGACGCTTTCGACCGAATCTCTCGAGAATCTCGGAATACTCGATTCTGTGCTGTTCCTGCGCAACGATCTTGCGTCTGCTCGACGCTGAGTTCCTGTTGGGCTAGGTTCTCTTCCAATCGCTGGAACCACACCACCTCCAAGTCTGGACCAGAACATCTTCTCTCTCAAGCGTACGCTCTCCTCCCAGGCGGTTTTGATGTCTTCTTCTGTAGATGCCCTCCAAAGTCCATCGCGAACCATTCTGAGGAAGCCCAGGAAATCGCCCGTGGCTCGCACACGGCCCAAACAGAACTCACACAAGGGGTATCGCTGGGCGTTCTCGTCCTCACTGGTACGGAATCGATGGCGGCGAGCATGAGCCTCTGTTCGGCGAGACTCTCCGCAAAGCGCGCATGCATAGGCGTTCCTATAGAAGCGCGATTGCGGTATAAAAGGCTCTACAATCAGGGTACCACCAGTTACAGCTCCAATTACCGTGCGTCGGGCCAGCCAGGAGAGGCCAGGGGCAAGGTCCAGACGTAATGTGGGTTCTACATCCTCAACGAGACATCTCTTGTAGAACTTGCTATCCTTGAGTGGAGGTACCGACGACTGGAATGACGTCTCGCGTGGTGATGCAGCAGCGCCAGAGCTAAAAGAACCTGGAATGTTTGGCGAGGACGAAGAGGCAGAAGCGACGAACATGCTTGAGCTGATGCCTGATGAATTGCGCGAGTGGTTAGGGGCAGCCGCTCTAGCGGATTTGAGAAGATCTGCAAAGTCACCATATGCAACAACATCGTTACGCATAATGGGAACAATGAGATGTGAGAAGCGAAGAGGCTGATCCGGAGGAACGTCGCTAAATGGTGTAGCGTTGGGAGAGAAGGGTAGCGAGTCAAACATGGTGCTCATCTTGTTCGAGTCGACACCTGGCGTCGATGGGGCCGTCGAAGAACGAGGTATTGTATCTGTTTCATCGCGGTCTCGGTCCTCAGTCAACTTTTCCATGACACTCTTCAGATCTTGTAACTGTTCCTGCTGCGAGGCCAGAAGCAATTCGGTGTCATTCAGCTGTGCCCTTAGTTGCGCGTTCTTGCGTTCGACAGCTTCCGTGTCTTTGCGAGCTGCGGCGACCATCTGATGCGAGTCAGCAAGTGAAATGTGCATACTAGAACTTTTTTACCCACAGTATTGGCTTCTTCGAACAAAGCACTGGTAAGAGTCTCAAGTTCGACCTCCATCTCTTTCCTGCCCTTTTCGGCGATATCTCTTTGCTTTTGCGATTCCGTCAACTCTTGTCTGAGCGTGTCCACCTCAGCTTTGTTGACAAGAGCACCACTTGAGATCATGAACTTGTGCTGTTGTGTCTCTTGTTCCAGCTGTGCTATGCGCTGTCTAGCAGCTTCAAGCTCATGGCGTGAGTGTTGCAACGAATCATCCAGGTTTGTTTGGTAGTTGATGGCGTTGATGAGTTTCGTACTGAGCATAGCAACCTCAATGCTTAGATCGGGATGCGGGTCCTGCGAGTCTTCTGCCGGGCTGGTACGCTGTGGGTTGGGACTGGGTGTTCGTGGATCGGGAATGGTGTTCAGGTAGTCGGAGTCGTTGTCAAAGTTGGAGCGACCGCGAGGAGGTGTGGAGAAGGTCTTCATGGTAGCAAGGTGTGAAGCGGATTTGGCCTTGATCAGAGTGGGAGAGTCTGATCTAGTTGGATTGGGAGACGGTGTTACAGAGCGTCCGTGACTCGAAGTTGGCGTGGCCAGCCCGCCAGCCACGAGGAAGCCGTATCTAAAAGTCGAAATGTCAGTCCTGAGTCACAGCGACCAAAGGTCTGTCACTTACTCGGCCATACTGCCGGTGTTGGTGTCGGAGTGCTTGTGTGGAAGCGTGTGGAGTACGGATTACAACAATGGTAGTAGATGCGACAAAGGAGATGCCATGCATGCAGTGCGTTACTCCTAGTCCATGGATAAGAAAGCTAAGGATGATGTTTATGCGAGATTGACCAGCTTGTACATGTTGGAAGTCGCGGCTCAAGAAGCGAAGAAGGAGCGCATGCCAGATGCAATTGCATTCTGGATATCACACATGACGATGACCGCGGTCGCCAGTTCCCAGATCGGCCACCAAGCCCACTTTGCTGCATTGACCCGCCATGTCAACGGTCCGGACCTTCGTCTCCATCCCATCCTCCTACCACTCGTGTTCAATCTTTGGATACGCGGACAGTCCCAGTCTCGGAAAGAGAGTCATTCTACTTCCTGGAAAAGTCACAACAAATCAGTAGTTGAATGTTCAGTTCTGGAAACATATTCATGTTCAATGTGCATTTCGAGCAAAGCGGATAGGCACTCCAGATATTTGGTCGGTTGCTACGGCATGTCTAGCAATCAATCTTGATCATCATCTCGGAAATGATATTTTACTGCTCGAGCTCGGTCGATACAATCAGACCACTTGCAAACCCTTTCGTCGGTGCAGCACCAGAGTTACGACCCGGTGAGAGACTGCAGTAGACCAGTACGGTAAGCGAGTCAGGGTCTTCCCACCGGCACGTCTGTACACAACTCAGAGATGCGCAAGATTGGATGCCTCCGTGTTGGATCTTGACGATGACAGGCACAAGTACAGGAGAGACAGCATAGCCACGGCGGTGTCATCTCAGCAACAGCGCTGGCCGTAGAAGACATGTTAACAACCTTTAGGCTGTCATGCCTTATAACAAAGAACATCACGAATGCAGGTATGGGACAAAACTATCTAGCTGGAAAACTTTGGGTTTAGAAGAACCGGCTAGCGAAAAAGTCGTCCATTTCGTTCTACGCGCTTTAAAAATGGTCAATATGCGGTTGAGAATCGAGGCAATTGATGATAAGAAACGCGTAAGGAAAGGAAGAAGAGAGACGAGAGAGGGCAGCTTTTTAAGCAAAACGAGCGGCAGACAGGTCCGTGCAGCCTGCCAACGCCAAGCACAAGTCTCGAAAAGTTGCAGCAGCGACGGCGCATTCGAGATAGAGTCTCTTGATCGTGTGTCTATCTATCAGTACAATTCGCCATGAACTCCGGTCAAAGAACTGCCAGACGATTGGTCGCATCATCGAGTGAGCCTCTTCTTGCTTGTCATCTTTTCCGAGTTGGCCACTCTAACTCATTCTCAGCCCGCTCGACACCAGAGTCCGTCTGCAACTCTTGCCTCGCCCGGATACCTCAATACCGTTCAGCATCCACTGCTGCAGCTGTCGCACCCGAGGCTTCGACTTCGTCTCAAATCTCACAGAATGCATCCGCCTCACCAGCCATCCGATCAACATACCAGCTACGCACCGGCGTAGTACTATCACGACCTCCCGTTCTGACACGCGCTCTCCATCCCTTCGAAAAGGCCTTCTTCCTCTACCAAAAACGATTGAACGAACGTCTGGCACTGCCTTTCACACGCTACTTCTACTACAAGAAGGGAACACCAGGAGACCGCGAATGGAAGCGCAAGATGCTGCTAAGAAAAACCCCTGCCCGTGATGTTGGTGTCTACAATGCATACAGCGAGTCTGGTTGGAATGACGAGGTTTTGGTCAACGACAAGACCAGTGAGCCCGAGTCGCAAGTCGAGGCTCTGATCAGGGACGCTGAAGGAACCGATGGCGAGGCAGGAGCTAAGAGAGAGACTAGCCAGGACATTGTCGTGCAACGGCCATTGCCCAGAGTCACAGAGCAAGATCAGAAGGGCGAACAGACCAGCTTGAACAGACTGCTCGACAGAACCTTGTACTTGCTGGTCAAGAACAAGAATGGTGTGTGGAGATTCCCCGAGGATGAGATCAAGGGTCCCGAGGGTTTGGACCAGGTAAGCTGGAGATGAATGCACATGGTTTACGTCCAGATACTGACAATACTAGGCCGCCGAGCGTATTCTTGTGCAAGCAGGAGGTATCAATATGAACACATGGGTCGTCGGAAACGCACCCATCGGCCACTACTCTGGCAACTTCAAAAAGACCATCACCAACACCGAGAAGAACATTGAAGAGGTCGGTGAGCGTACTTTCTTCATGAAGGCTCGCATCATGGCTGGTCAGGCCAACCTCAAGGCCAACACATATGGCGACAAGGAGTTCAAGTGGCTTTCGAGCGAAGAGATCCAGCAAACCGTCACGCCGAAGTACTGGAGCTCTATTGCCAACATGCTCACAGGAAGATAGACTGGAGACGGAACAAAACGTTTGTATAAACCCTGTACATTATTCAATGAGGCATACTTGCCATGGGACATTATGTTCATTTTCAAACATTCCTGCCAACAGACCTTGTGAGAAAACGAATCTTTGACCTGCAACTCAGAAGCGAATGTCGATTGTGATGAAGCCTTTGGACAGTGCGTTAGACCGTGCCGGGGCTACAGCATTTTCAGTGCCATCGCCACCCGACCACCTCATTCGCCTCATGCCAGGCTGATTAAACGTACTCCGCTTTACACATATCGGATTACTAGGTCAGGAAGGCGGTCAGAGAGTGTTTTGATTGTTCTTCAACACAAGTCCCTGCATGTGAACGGTGCCATGCTGGTCAAAAGTGACCCCGGCATCCCTTCATCAAGGACTGATTAATCACTACGGCAAGATCGAGATGTCACTCGGCCGTGGAGCCATTTTGAATTGAGGCATAGACAAGACGCTGTATGTAATTAAGAATCAACATGGCACTTCACCCTTGGCAGCACTCGGCCGCGCCACACCGTCCGTCTCCAAGCTTCTTCGACTGAGTGTTCCCAATTGAGTCAAGATGGCCGACGTCACAACAGCCAGAAGTTGGAGTTCCCACAGTCTCGTAGATCTGAGATGGCGGGTCGCGGGTTGTTGTCGGCTAAGGTGGCTTGTGTGCATGTCAATCTTGTCATGTTCCTGGTCTAGTCCGCCATGTTTTCCCCAGACACTTCTTCTCTTTCAGGCAAGGCAGGACATCAAGCGGGGCAGGGCACTCCACACGCCCCGCTTCGTCGTCGTAGATTTCCTTAACCACGGACTTCCTAGCACCCATGTTACATTCACGCTGCACGGTGTGTTGTGGGGATGCAAAGCAATTGCCGTGAAGAATGGCACCTTCTCGGCACAAGCTTACGGTAGGTGGCAAGGTCACAGCAACAGTATAAAGTTGGGGCTCTGCCCAGAGGTAGGTACTCGTGTTCTCCCTCCTAGCAGCATTGTATATCGAGCCCAACATGCATTCTTCTTGGTCATTACTATCGCTGGCGATCTCTGCCGCTTCTGCCGCTCCCTCTCTGTCACGTAGAGCGGCACCTGCTGGTGCACCTGTTGTCAACTTGAAGAATGGTTCATACTATGGTGTCCACAACAGTCAATACAACCAGGACTTCTTCCTTGGCATTCCATTCGCTCAGCCTCCTGTCGATGAGCTCCGCTTCGCCAATCCCGAGTCCGTGAACTCGACATGGACTGGTGCTCTGCCAGCAACCAACTATGCCTTTGTATGTTCCCAAACGAGTCTTGCGTACCATACAATGCTAATGCACGCTGGCAGGAGTGCGTCGGTTACGGAGGTGATCAGATTGGATACCAACAATCCGAGGACTGCTTGTACCTCAACGTCGTGCGACCTGCAGGCTACGAGAATGTCAGCTTGCCAATGCTTGTCTGGATCCATGGAGGCGGTTTCTACATGGTAAGACTCTCTCAGTCCTCTCCTGTGCTAAACCCTGTCACGGACAGCTATAGAAATGCACAGTTCTTTCTACACGGTAGCAAAGTTCACAGAGAGTGGATGCCCTCACAGCTCTCAGTGGATTCTTCCGGTCTATCGAAGAAATTGCGCATTTCTATAGGTGTCTGCGTCATGTCTTCGCACATGGGAGAATCAATCTCGCCTTCAAAAATTTTCTGATTATCAATGCAGGGTGGAGCTGTCGACAGAAGATACAACCAGACTTTCCTTGTTGAGAACTCTGTCAAGATTGGCAAGCCCATCATGGCTGCCAGTGTTGCTTACAGACTTGGGCCCTTCGGTTTCCTCAACGGTGATGAGGTCGCCGGTGCCGGTCAGACCAACATTGGTCTCAAGGATCAACGCAAGGCTCTGCAGTGGCTTCAGGAGAACGGAGCTGCCTTCGGTGCCGACACCAGCAAGATAACTATACATGGCGAGAGTGCCGGAGCAGCATCTGTGGGCTTCCAATTGACTGCATTCAATGGACGTGACGATAAGCTGTTCCGTGGTGCTATCATGGAGTCAGGAAATCCTATTTCTTATGGCGCACTCAACACCTCAGGGTATGTCCAAGCACCATATTGACTCTCAAGACTCTTAACTAACCTGATTCAGTGAGTATCAACCTAAGTTCGCAGCTCTCGGTCAGGCAGCTGGTTGTGGAAACTCGACCAGCACTCTTGACTGCCTGCGCGCCCTGCCTTTCACCGTCCTCAACAACGTCTTGAACACCACTCAGTTTAATAGCGGCTGGAATCCTGCTCTAGATGGTGATTTCATCGCTCGTTACGGCAGTGAGCAACTCGCCGACGGAGCCTTTGTCCACGTACCTATCATTGACGGCGCAAACTCGGACGAGGGTGTTTCATTCAGTCCCTATGGTATAAACTCGACCGCCGACCTCGAAAAGTACCTGAACACCACTTCCTCTACTCAATGGGCTCTCAGCCCTGACGTTGTCGAGGGCCTGCTCCGTGTATACACTTCAGGCCAACCCGATTACCTGATCCCCTCGACCCAAGAACTGGGCCAGAATGTCACTTCTCTAGGCCCTGCTTTTGGACCTTATTACCGTGCATCCGCAGCTTACTTTGGCGACGAAGTATTCATTGCTAACCGCCGCAAGACCTGCGAGATCTGGGCTGCCAACAACGTCTCAGCCTACTCGTACCGCTTCAACGCCATTCCCACTGGCTCTTCATACGTCGCCCATTTCCAGGAAGTGGCCTTTGTATTCAACAACCTCAATGGTCTGGGATACGCCGTCGACCCCTTTGCCAACAAGTCCTCTGCTTTCACCGAGCTGTCAGACTTTATGAGCAAGAGTTGGGTTACTTTTGTTCACGACCTGAACCCCAACGGCTATGCTGGCAAGAACTCGAGCTTACCCAACTGGCCGGTGTACAGTGTTGACGCACCGCAGAACATGGTGTTTGATGCCAATGTTACTAGCTACGCTGAGCCTGACACTTGGAGAGCTGAGGGCATCAAGTTGATTAGCGATAACAATGTTCAGTACCATAGATAAACGGAGAGGAATCTATGAATAATGGCATTTGAGGATATAACGAGATAGTCATGCTATAATATTTTTCATCATCTGGATTTGTCGTCCTGTCCAATGTGCATAAATGTGGTGATAGACGTTGTTGCCCTGGAACGCTCGGTCCACAAAACGTCATAAAGATTTATGCAGGATGGACGCTCTTTCTTTTGGAGGCAATCCACCAAGGTAGCTACCTCTTCAAGTCATCTTCGACGCTTCCGCCTTCGATAATCTTACTGGCACCGGCCAATAGCCTCCTCGTGGACAAGTCCACTGGCATCACACCATGTCGTCGCTTCTAGCCGCCAGCACACGAGCGCCGCGACGCATACTGGCCACCGAACTATGCCTTGGCTCGACTCAAATCCGCATGAGATCCAGGATAGCCCCTCGCCTACGAGATAAATATTACCGTGGCAGAAGAGTCTTGACACCTGAGACTCTGGCTGCGGAAGAAAAGTTCGAGCAAAGCATGACGTCCGCTGGCCAGGAACTGAAAACCGAATTCGACGAGTTACTCAGGAGAAAAGGAAAGGCGACTTTGCCGGAGAGAATGGGTCTGGTCCAGAGAGAAGAAGAGATGGCTTTGGTAGAGAAGATGGGCCTGGCCGAGACCACCGCTGCGGCTGCTTCGGAACTGTCTACCAAGCAAGCCCTCTTCATCTGTCTCTGGTTGGGACAATATGCCAAAAACCACGGTTCTCCTCCGTCTCCGGAAGCCTTGCGTCTGATTTTTGGAGCCCTCGACCCTCTGTCCCTCGACGATGTGTACGATTCGACTTTCATCCTACGTAACAAGGGAACGGTACAATGTGCAAAAACCGGCAGACGCTTGATCAACCAATGTGCCGAACTTGGTCACGCTGAAGCTGCAATCCAGGTCGTCGCCTCTGCCCTGCGTCAGGATGCGATTAAACCCGGTGTACTCAGAAATCCCACCGTCATGAAAGCTACAGAGCGCGTGCATGAGGGCGCAAAGACGGGCAATGTACGTGCTCTCGTCATGGAGGCCAACCTAGCCCGCCATATGGGTCAAGTCGGACGAGCCACTGCACAGTATCAAAAGGCCGTTGACCGCATAATGAAAGATGGTGGAGTCCAAGAAGGTGACAAGTACAGTCTGATCAAAGACGAACTCTCATCCCCATGGATCGAGCTGGGCTACCTCCGCACCACTCAGGGTCAAATGGTCGACGCCATGAAGGCCTATCTAGCTGGACAAGAAAGCGACGACCCAATGGCCTTCTTCAACCTTGCTCGTCTCGACTTATTCATGGCTGGAACTCACTCGCACGACTGGTTGTACAACATGACCAAAGCTGCTGCCAGTGGGCACTACCTAGCGGCACAGGAGCTAGGCGAATACTACGCAAACTCTGCCGCAAATTCCCCGAAACCGCAAGAGTCGTTACTCGTCAAACTATCTGGCTTCGTCGAGTTCCTTCGAAAGCCGTACCTAGATCTCAACCCAAAAACGAACATACATCACCACGATGCCTTTGCGAACACGCCACAGCTGCGCATCAAACTCGCACACGAATGGTTGTCGACAGCAAGGCACAATTATTACTTGTTCGCAAACATCAGTCTGGCCCAGCTGTATCTGCAAAAGTTCATGTATCCTCAGGGCACACTCAAGAAACCACTCGACCCTTACGGCCACAGCACGGACTCGGGCGCCATTGTCAATCCCCTGTTTGACCCTGCAAAGGCGCAGGTCATGTTGACCGAGGTTCTCACAGCATGTCGGAGAATCGCAGAAGCAAAGAGTGTCAGCACGACCAACGCGGAATACCGTCACAATGCAAGACCGTGGAGTCACCATCCAGAAGTGCTCGAGGCGGTGGAGAGCACCGAGACATTGCAAGAATTGGAGGAACAGGCGGAAATGATAGCCGATGCGGCTGGTATTGATATCTATAGTAGTACAGCGCTAGCGCCCGAGATTCCTCACCTTGGGTTCATCAGAGCTCATAAAGGCACAAGAGGCGAGGGCCTTGCCGAGTTGCCCAAGGACGATGAGCCTGAGAGAGCAAATCAAGAAGCGGTAAAATGATCTGTGTAATAGCATGACAGTCGAGAGGTAGGATGTTCCCCTCTCCTTTTGGTATGTATGCAGTGCCAAACAGCCTTGTTCACCACAAGTCTCGGTATGCAGGACAGCCTGCCTGACGCGCGAAGAGGTCATACGCTCCGGCAGCATTTACCCTTTTGGGCAGCGAGTTGGGCAGATCAATTATGCTTCAAAGGGTGCAGTTTGTAGCGTTGGTGCGCGCGGGAACGAAGATGGCCTGGACCGAAGCTCCGACGCATGATGACCGGCCATGGCTTTGTGTAGCGAGTAGATAACGACAGGCGGTATTGATGACCACCATAAGAGGATCGACGTGATGAATGCGGGGACAAAACAAACAAGTGGTGGATCGAGTACGAGGGTGGCTGCGTGTGTCGTTTGCGTGTCGTGAGATGCCAGGGACAGATATTATCAAGATATTCCTTAACTTGGTGCGACGATACAGGTGCAGGGCACCTCTTCATCGTCTGTGATGTTCGTGACGCGAGTATCTTTTCCGACGTCCACTGGGACACCGAATACGTCGTGGTGGATATTTTTACAGCAGTATTCTGGTTCTTCTTGCGGTCTTTAATCGCTGTTGGCGGTATTGTTGGTGTTGTTGTTTGTAGCTTTGCCAGGCCCATCGGTAGTGTTTTGCAGGCGGGTTGCAAGTTGCTCGAGCAGGAAAGCGCGTTCGAGGCGCATCTTCATGATTGCTCTGTTCAAGCGGGCTTTGCGCTGACGAGCGGCATCGTTGGCTTCTTCGACGTCGTTGAGGCGGCGCTTGAGCTCGATGCACTTTCTGTAGTAGGCCTTTTCGACCGACGGCGCGAGAGGTGTGTTTTGGGTTGCTTCTGTGGTGGGGATGGTCAGTGGATTGTTGGATGCCTGATGTATCTGAGAGATGTACCTGGAGGAGCCATCGTGAGTGTCTTGATGTCCACGGTGTGAGAGGATTGGAGATGGAGAGTTGGTGATGATGCGTCAAGCTTACTGCCCTTCCTCCTGGTGATGCGCTGTCATGGGCTGATCGGCTGTTCTACCATCCCCAACCTTGGCGCACTATTCCAAATCAGCTCTGTCGAGATCAGCATCCTCTGAGGCTTCGATATAACTTATAAGCTCATCCTCGGTCATGAATCATGTCTTTGCGTTTATGTTCTATCATCTTCAGTAATATCGGTATACTTAGTCCACCATAACCATGCTTACTGTACACCATCTACGCGTCTCTCAATCAGAACGTATCGTCTGGCTGTGCGAGGAGCTAGGCATCGACTACGATCTGAAGCTCTACCGCCGAGACCCATTCTTCTCTCCCCAAGCGCTCAAAGACCTCACTGAGATTGGTACTGCACCCGTCATCCAAGATGGCAACTTGACGATGGGTGAATCGGCAGCTTGTGCCGACTACATCATCCACAAGCACGGAAACGGTCGTCTGGCTCTGCCTCCCTCCCATCCAAACTACGCCGACTACCTCTACTGGTTCCACTACTCCAATGGCTCGTTGCAACCAGGAGTCAGTCGTATGCTCACACTCAAATCCGCCGGCATCGACACCTCCAACGACGTCTTCAAGCGCTACACAGAACGTTTGCACCAATATCTCCTTCACATTGACAACCATCTCGCCAAAGGCAATAAATGGTTAGCAGGCGATGAGTTCACAGCTGCGGATATCATGACTGTCTTTACGCTTACCACCATGCGTACATTCTACAGTCTGGATCTCAGTGCGTATAAGAATATCTTGCCGTATTTGGAGAGGAATGTGCAGAGGGAGGCGTACAAGAGGTATAGGGAGAAGGCCGAGGATGCTGACTTCCCACTTATGATTGAGGGGCCTGCTCCGGAGAACTTTTTGGAAAAGGTGAGGAGGTCAGCGAAGGCTTGAGTATGTTGTCTCCTCCATGTGCCAAATGTATGTCACGCCTGTGTCTATAATCCTGCACAATGGTCTTAGGAGAAAGGCTGATGTCCATGGAGGAACAATGGACTCTGAGCTCTCTTGAGATACATCCTCAGTATGTGAATTCTCTACGCCTTCCTATAGCGATGTCCTCGTTCTCAACACTCGTAGTAGGAGGGCGGAGTCACAGACTTTGGCACACAGCGAGACACGTATTTACTCTACTTTTTGCAGTGTTCGCAGCCGGTATCATCAGCCATTTCTGTCCATCAACAATGTCAACCTTTGACAACTCGGAGCATGCACGTTCACTATAAATGTGTTACACAGTTGCGAACCACATTTCTTATTATTCTCATCCTCAATGTCTTCCTGGAGTTGGAGATCGAAAATTGCCCAGTTTGGGAAGACCGAGGTTGGGCTTCCCCTCAGTCAAAGGACCAACCCCTCTTCCTCGGACCCTTTCACCCCCACCTTCGTCGACACCAACGCAAACAACCAAGGTTGAAGATCCATGGTTCGTACATGCATTCTGCTGCAAGTATGCAGGTCTCAAGTGGAGATGGTCATTGGCCGGGTGTTTGACATCCGAAGAGTGAATTATACTTAATCCTCAGCCCCATCGCACCTTGATGTTTTTCCAAACTCGAGTTCCTGTCAAACATCATACATACTCAACCGTAGGGAATCTATATACGCATTCATCCATCATGACTGGAGATAAGCCCTGGCCCGAAGTGCCCATTGGCAACAAAGACCACACCAATGCCGCCGTAGTAATAATAGGAGCCGGCATATCAGGTTTTCGTCTCCCTTCCTCTCCCCCTTCCCTGCCGCTCTGCCTTCTAATCCAATGCTTTCCTCAAAAACAGGCATGTGCACAGCCATCGACCTCATAAAACGCACGAATTGCAAAAACTTTCTCATCCTCGAAAAATCGTCCGGAGTCGGCGGCACCTGGCACGACAACAAATACCCCGGTGCCTGCTGCGACGTCTGGTCACCCCTCTACTCGTACTCGTTTGCCCAAAACGCACATTGGACACGCGAGTACCCCGGTCAAGAGGAAATCCTGTCTTACCTCATGGGCGTAGCTGCAGACTACAAACTCTATCAACACATTCGCTTCAACACCACTGTCGAAACTGCAACATGGGATGAGCAGAGTAAAAAGTGGAAGGTCAGTGTCAGCACGGCAAAAGGCAGCAAAGATGCAGAGTTCAACCCTGAATATGTCATCAATGCCGATTTCTTGGTGAGCGCGGTGGGACAGTTGAATGTGCCCAAATATCCTGATATCCCCGGGTTGAAAGAGTTCAAAGGCAAAATCATCCATTCGGCGAGGTGGGATTGGAGTTATGATTTGCAAGGCAAGAAGGTCGCTGTGGTTGGAAATGGTAAGTTTTGCCTTCTCTAACTGCTCTTTTCTTCCTCTCTTTCCACCTTTTTCCTCCCTTTGATTGAAGCAAATTACTGACAAGAACAACAATACAGGCGCCACAGCCGTCCAAATAATCCCCGAAATCGCAAAAGTAGCAGCCAAAATCGGCGTGTACCAACGCACGCCCAACTGGTTGATCCCCCGTCTGGACGCACCGATCGCTTCGTGGAGACGTACACTCTACAGTCTCGTCCCTCCGCTCATGTGGCGCAAACGAGCCCTGCAGATGGATTTCCGCGAAGGCTTCCACCAAATCATCGGAGATGTCTCGTCGGCAGGTGCGGACGAGATACGCGGCTTCAATGCTGCGATGCTGGATGCTGCGTTTGGAGACAATGCAGAAATGAAGGAAAAGTTGCGGCCAAAGTATCAGCCTGGCTGTAAGAGGATCATCATTTCCGATGACTATTATCCCGCTCTTGCGCTTCCTCATGTGCAGCTCGTCACCGAGGGTATTGCTGGTGTCACAACCACAGGTATCGCGACCGAAGACGGCAAAACCCAAGATTACGACCTCATCGTTTTAGCCACTGGATTCGAAACCCTGGACTTTATGCACCCAATCTCCATGACCGGCCACAACAGCACCCCTCTCTCCTCCATCTGGGCAGAAGGAGCAAAAGCCCTATACGGCATCACAGTCTCAAAAATGCCAAACTTCGGAATGTGTTACGGGCCGAACACAAACTTAGGCCACAACAGCATCATCCTGATGATAGAAGCTCAAGCCGCCTACATCACTTCTCTGATCCAACCAATCCTCACCGCAAGACAAGCTGGCAAAACCCTCTCCATCCGCCCAAAGGACTCGCGCATGCAAGACTTCAACGCAACCCTGCAGAAAGAATTGGCAGCGTCGGCATTCGCGGATGAAAATTGTAATTCCTGGTACAAAACCGCTTCTGGACTCATCACGAACAATTGGAGTAGAAATGTTGTCGAGTATCAAAAGATGGTTGAGGTGGTACATTGGGATGACTTTGAGACTGAGGGGGATGGTGAGGAAGTGCTAGAGGGCAGGAAAAAGAGTAGAATCGGCAGAGTCAGAGAGGAAAGTATAGTGGGTGATAAGACATTGACTTTGTTGGGTGCGGTCAGTGTGGGTGCTGTTGTGTTGGCTGGAGTGTGGGCTAGAGCGGGTGGCGCAAGGGCCTTTTCTGGGCTGTTGAAGGGTTAGATTGATCTTTTTTGATGGTGGTGATGTTTCTTTCTCGTCTTGTTCTCTCCCATGGTGTATGCACATGTTGAAATGTGCGGTTTGTACTCGCTTGCTGTTGTCTTGTTTTCGAGAATCTCTTCTACTTCTGTCACATTTGTACACACATCCCTGTCTCTTTAGTTTGACTCAAATTTAACTCTCGTCAAGGTCTTCGATTCGAAGAAAAGGCTGTCGATGCATCGCAAGCAAGAAGACACAAGGAAGATGGAAGAGTGCGACAACCCTTGCTCAACCTTGCCGTAAAGAGAAACATGAAACATGAGATTTAGTTGTCAATGGTTTCGAGAAGATAAAGCAATAATAGTAAAATAGAAAAATAGAAAAGATAAAAAAAAGAACAGAGAAATAACCACCCCATAGGAATTACACAAAGGTCGGTGAATATCCCAAATAAGGATGAGAAAACTCTCCCTGGCTTTTCCGAAAAAGCCTGAAAGAGCCAAATGTACTCCCTAATGCCATGTCACCGATTGGCCCCTCCACCTTCCTTGTTGTTCGTGAACACAGCCTCTCCTGTCTCATCACAGAGGTCGTTCTGCCAAACCCTGATCTGGCCATGCGTTTGCTTCGTTTCATGTTTCTGTGTTTTCAAGCGTAATTTCTGTGTTGCGCGCGTGCTTGTCTAGAAATCGGGGAAAAGACGACCGTGACTAGAAGAGTGGGATTGTCAGTCGTGCGAAGGTCAGATGAAGGACTGAAATCAAAACTTACGGATCGTCGCCCATGCTTCCATATGCTTCAGTCTCTTCCGGGTACTTGTCAAACAGACTGGCATCACCCTGGCCACCCTTGACTGGAGGCACATAAGGAGCATCTATATCCTTCTTTGCCAGTCTCTCCCAGGTGACTTCGGCGAACCAAGGGTGTTGCATGACATCCTTGCTGCCACCGTGCAAGTTACCAAGACGCTTGGTCAGATCGTGGGTGATGAGTTTGCTCAACAGATCTTGAGCGTCTGGGTGGACGTAGGGAGGGTACTTGACTCTGCCGCGGAGAATGTTTTCGTAAATCTTGAGAGGACTACCAGAGTCCCAGAATGGGGTGAAACCACACAGCATTTCGAAGATGAGGATACCGAGCGACCACCTGTATTGTTCTGTTAGTAAGATACCTGAAATCCGGAGAGCACAAACTCACCAATCAACAGACTTGTTGTAACCCTTGGACGAGACAACTTCAGGAGCAAGGTAATCTGGAGTACCGCAAAGAGTCCAAGTGATGTCGGGAACTTCTTTGGCGAAACCGAAATCGGTAATCTTGAGATGTCCATGTCTGTCGAGGAGCAAGTTCTCGGGCTTCAAATCACGGTAGATGATGTCCATCGAGTGCAGGTAGTCGAGAGCGAGAGTAACCTCAGCGGCGTAGAACTTGGCGACGGGGTTGGGGAATCTCTGTGCAATGAGTCAGTCATGCCATGGCGTGCCAATGCAGAAGAACAAACCTGAGACTTGCGCAGCAAACTGAAAAGCTCACCACCCTCGATAAAGTCCATTACCATGTACAAGTTCTTCGAGTCCTGGAATGTGCCCCAAAGCGTGATCAAGAAGGGATGCTTGACCTTCTGCAGCATGCGACGCTCGTCGTTGGTGTGCTCGACTTGCTTCATCTTGACAACCTGTTGCTTTTTGAGGACCTTGACGGCATAGAAGCGCTGGTTATGCTTGGACTGGACAAGGTGGACACGTCCGAAACTGCCGGTTCCCAGGGTGCGGTTGATGGTAAAGTCCTGCAGAGTGTACTTGCCCTTTGTCTCGCGGACGGGGTTGGAGGTGGCCTTGGGCTTCTCCATGTATGCGGAATCGTGGGGGTTGTTGTTCTGTGCTTGTGGCTGGTTGATGAGGTTCTGGATGCTGGCAGCATTCTGCTGCGGCTGTTGGGGCTGTTGCGACTGAGGGAAGGATTGCGACTGCTGTTGTTGATAGGATTGCTGGCTTTGGGGTTGCGCCTGCTGTTGCTGGATTGGGTAGGATTGCTGGTGCTGCATGGGCTCGGCAGACTTTTGTTGGTCGGATTGAGAAGGAGTCAATTCAATCGAGGGGACGGTCGACTGAGTAGCGGATTGAGGTTGAGACGGGGGCTGTTGTTGGAATTGAGATTGCGAAGGGGCTTGCGAAGCAGAAGCTGAAGCAGCCGTCGTCGTCCTGGACAGAGCGGGGGCTTGTTCTTTTGGCTGCTGCGTGTTATGGCTGGCCTTGGTGGGCGAGGCGGGCAGGCCGAAGGAGCTCTTGACGGGCGACGAGACGGGCGAGCTTAGATCGTCCTTGGTCTTCTTCTTTTTGAGGAAGCCGAGCGATGGCATTGTGTGAGGTGCTGCTTATAGCTCCGCGCCCCGCAGCTGTCGTAGAACAAAGCGTCTGAGACTCCGTGTCCTAATTTACCACAATGACGTCGAGGAAAGGGGAGATGTGCAGATAAGTGATGGACGGGGGACGACAACAGTGAGCTGAAGCTGGAGCTGGAGCTGAGCTTTGCGAGACGGAGAAAAGCAAGAGTGCGAGATGAGATGGTGCAGCCAGTTAACTCGACCACCAACGAACTAAAGAGCTAGTGGAGCCTGCGAACAACGTCCGTTATGCGCGCATCCAGACACCAAAAAGGCAATGAGATCGTTGGAATGCGGGTACCGCCAGAGGGCTTGTGCTCACAACCTCGATAACAATGAACAATACTCTGACAGAGAGCCCACTGCTTGACTCGACAACCACCACCTCAGTCGAGAGCTCTCTCGACCCTGTTTCGACCTTGATCCCTGTGCCTGTCTGCCCTGCCCGCCCCGGGCCACTCAGTCGTCGAATGACGACGTGGCCCGAATTGTTTCCTTGCACCGTGACCCCGCAACAGCACCCATCGGCCGTTCGCGCCAATCCCCCCGATCCGTCGTCCATTTCAGTGCGAGCTTTGCAAGCGCGTCGACCAGGAAACTGCTCTTGTCTCATACATCCGCCTATCCGTTTCACTCAAGCAGCCCTGAACTGTTGCTACCACTCCCTCTGACCAGTTCATACCGTCAGGCCTTTGGGAAGGGTTATCGCAGCTGCAAGAAACGCATCTGCACCGGTCCGAGCTCGCCCTTGTATCGCACCATCACTGCCAATAGATACCATTGAATTCTTTCCGTCGCGCGCGCGCGTTGTTGCTTATTGGAGGGGCCGGCTTTCGCAAACCGTTCAACTATTGGACTTGTCCTTGTTTATCCCATCATCCTACAACGCCATACCTACCTGTATTGAATCCCACTGTGCTTCTTTTACTCCTGCCAGTTTTGTGTTCGCTTGTCGATCTTGACGAGCCAAGCTGTCGAAATTGTCCATCTTGTCTACTTTTGCTGAAAATGCATTCGTCTGCACTTTTACAGTATGTTGATCATTTGGAGCAAACGACATTTATCTAGTACGTCACGTCGATCTGAGACTTGAGCAAGGCTGTAGGCGCTTGAAGGCGGCCACCAATGTTTGATGACTGTACATGCTACATATCTTCAACGAGGCTGTTGCTCAGAAGTAGCATTCAAGTCCTGCTGAAACTTGACAGCGGAAGTGACGGGTCGCATTGCCTTGAGATCATTGCTCGCTTGCTCACTACCATTTCGTCACTGAAGTTCATACAGTATACGAGCCTTGATGCTGCCGCTCTTTTGAGCAAGTCTAAGCATATCGCGGCTCACAAGGAGATACACGTACGTCGTTGAGCTTGAGGAAAATCTTTCTGGAACGATCGAAAGAGATGAAGTTTCCTTTCTACAGGCTACAATCAGCCAAATGCAAAGACATACACGCACCCAGAATTGTAGACTTACCTGTGACAAGCAGATGCTCAGCCGCATGACCCTATCAATCCTCACCTTGTTCGTGCTGGGCAGCTCAAGCAGACGACTTTCCTCGTCATGCTTTTCATCAAACCACCCAGATACAAAGTAGCCTCTACACCACACCAAGCCACGGAGAAGATAGTCCTCAGGCAATGGCTTGGGCGCGCCGTGTAAGAAGCTTCCCCGCCGACCGGCCTCTGCGACTCGGTCTTCGATCGGCTCGCTTTTGATAAATGTGTTGAGAAAGTCGACAATCTTCCCCCAGGGTATTGAATTCAGTACTTTTGTAATCAGCGCGGCCGGTCCGACCGTGAGATTGTAGATGCTCCAAAGAAAGGCCAGCATTGTATGTACATGAGGAAGGACGTTGAAGTCGTTCTCTCGAGACAGAACTAGTGCGAAGGTGTTGGTGAGAAGATAGAGAGAATTGTCCAAGACAGAGTCGACCTCCTCGTTAGTAGAATCCTGATGAGCTTGTTGTTAGCATAATAGTCTGCGATGCAAAAGAGAAGGTTTCTGTTACCTTCACCTCTTGTCTGTAAGCTTTTGATAAACAGTTGTCAAAGTGGCCGTAGCCGAAACAAGCTGAAATGTTAGTTACAGCAATGAAAACACCGTGGTCTTTCCACTTGAGTGCTTGTCGACGAATCTGCGTGTCGAGCCATATGTGGTATGTGGAGATATAGACATGGAGCTGTGAACCGGGTTCCTGATACCTCGAAGCCAGCATCTTCGCATGCAGACAGAGAAACATGGAGTCTGTTTCGTCCACGTAAGGGATTACCGCTCGCTCTGGCTCAACTTTTGTCAAGGGTGAAAGCAATGATGACAACGATTCCATGGCAGACTCGAATGGCTGAACACAAGTCAAAGCTCGACAGTAATAGTATGCTTGTTGAATCGCATTCGGACGTGCCAGTATGCCCAAGTGATGGTACAGTCTACCCACATCTGGGTTTCTGTTGGATGTTTTCGAGTACCAATCACGGGCTACCCCGCCCCAAATCTCGCGATCCCTCATATCTATGTCTTCAACAGCCATCCTGTAGCGTGCTAGATCTCCAAGGCATTCAATCCAGGTATCTTCGAAGGACGGCACTGTCTCATACAGTAATGTGACTGTCTGGTATGCCAAGTAGATGAATTGCAGCATGTAGTCGAGTGAGTCTGGCAGTCGACGACGCAACACCTCCAGAAACGAATGAATACCATGTTTCCACATTCGAGCTGGCATAGAGTATTTGGTGGCCAGCTTGCGCAAGGAAGAGCTGGTCGAAGGATGTTGTGATGCAGATAAAAAGTCATGATGTTCGTACAGCAATGTTCGATGCACTGCGAAAAGTGCCTGCCATTGATCGAAAGAGAGATTCTTAGTGCCACTCATCTGTGCAGCATCCAACTTGATGCACTTCGCTTCGACCATGACCAATGCAGCATAGATGCCCTTGATTTCTGCCGTGAACTCATCTTGAGACATGTAGTCCGTTTGACGCAAGGACCTCGATTCGTGTAGCCCTGGTATTGACTGTGCAATGTCTAAATACAAGGACTCTGTCGGACGACGACGATGCTTCAAACCTTCTTTGAACTCTTCCGGTGTTGGTGGGCCATACGAATCGGGGAACAAGGTGCGTCCGTCAGTGACACTAACCGATGGCTCACTTGTTAGGGGAGGACAGGCTGGGATGTTGCCGTCCACAGGAGGTCGTTTGATATATTTTGATGCTGCGATCGAGGTCCTGATAGCAATTGCTTTGTCGCAACTCCTGACCGATGCGGTTGCATCTGCAGCACAAACCTCTGAGCTTGCTGGTCGTTTTTTCGAGAGCGTGCTCAATTTTTGATTATCCGGACGAGCATGTTCCAGAGATAGTCGTCCAAATCTTGCCGCTGCTATCGTATCGGTTGGTGATACTCGAAGCGGGGCGTCTTGAGCCTTCATGATCCCTGTTTCGGCCAGTAGGGTTCTGGGTACCAGAAAGGCTCTGGCACTCTTTTGCAGTGGCTTGCGGCCTCGATCCTGAGCCCTAAAGCAAGTCAATCGAACTGTTTTGACAATCGGTCAAAGGAAGTGACCTAAGAGTGTCTGCTCTAGTCAAGCTCTGGGTTGGATGGGTCTTGACACATACGGATAGACTGATAAAGCATTGCTGTGAAAAGTAGAAGTCATCCATTCTCCATCATTGTTGCGTACTTTCCCCAGGTCATCGTGTGACTCTGGATGTGCTCGCAGCATTCGATAATCATCATAAAATCCGGCTCCGTCGTCAATCTCAATGCAACAAGAATCAAAAGATGGCTTGAGTGGATCGTGAATTCGGCAATGCAGGGCTTCATGTGGGTCCGCCATTACTATTAAATGATGGGGGTTGTAATTGCGACGTGGAAGGCAAGCTTCTTAGCAGACTCATTCGTGTACTCTGCCCGGGATGTACCAGTGTGATCTCAGAAAAAGAGAGGCCTGTATCATGGAGATGCAAACGTTAGTACGCGGCGGACAGGTGGCATCCCACAAAGTTTCCGCGTCACACCAAGTAGACTTGACACACGGGCACTCACCACAAACGGCCAAGCGAAAAGACTGGCAGTAAAGACTGTGAGCGACCCGGCAGGAACATGATGGCAGAGATTGGCAAATGTTTATATGTGTACACCGATAGTTGACTGGTTGATTCTTAAATTTCAAGGCAGACACACTAAGACGTATTCCTTGTGGCTTGCTGAGCAGGCAGACATGGTTTCCCGCAGGATCTTCGACACTTCACGCCAAGAATACCCAAATGGGCGGGGTCTATTGCATTATAATTGGACTTCTGAAAGGACTTTCTTCTGCACCTGTATCATGTTCCTGAGGCGGCTTGAGATGGTCTGCCTGTGCGACATGAGATTGTTTATTCAGCTCATCCACTCGACTTTGCCCAAGGATTTTTCAAGACGTCGAAAGATCATGCGCGTATTGTGCTGCCTCGCGCCAACCGGTCATGCAGCTTGTCACTCACTGGTCACGCCATGGTTTACTTATTCAACTTTGATGAGCGGCCACGAGTAAGTCGGTAGTGTGAATGGACTTTGAACGCACTGAGGTGATCACAATGCATACATCTCCGGCCAAGCACGGTCTCACCGCACCTCCATGGTGACGAGGCAGCGTGACCGTTCCCCATTCCTGGGTCAAACCCAGTCAAGTCCTCGTTCCCGGTCAAACCTGTAGCATGTCACAGAATCAGCCCTGGTGGGGGGAATCTAGCAATATGTAAGTCGCAAGCTCGTGGACAGCCTGCTGTGCGGCCGGACTCTCGTTTGGGCACAAGCATCTCTGGAGGTTCGGGGATTGTGCATGTCACTGTCTATGTAGTGCAGTTTGCAAAGTGACCTGCAACCACGATGCGTGAGTCCGTTGCACACGAGGCTTCGCGATCCGTCATGCACCTCTTTCAATCTGGGCATGCCCTCAACAAATTACGAGACCGTCGTCTTTCCTTGCAGTGTGTGCTGGAGCCAGCAAAACTTGAGCGATCTTCATCAAGAAACGCGGAGCAGAGTCAACATCTCTCAACGGACATGTACCGGTCACTGGTATGAGGCAGACCCCAAGGCTCATTTACGTGACTGCTTGCTTTCCTCAGTGATATCTTGGTACTATCATGCGAATGCAACCTCTTCAAAAACAATTGCGCGGGTTTTCATCACCGCGGCCAGCTCTACGATGAAATGCTGCAAGACGACAATGTTCGTTACGATATGGCTGAGGGTGGCTTCCCTGGTGTCCTTATCACCCTCGCCTTCCGTTTGAGCATGAGCCACTGGACTTGATGCGTACTCAAAGATGGTGGTGCTGGTCGAAGATTCGGTAGGAACAAAGCGGATATGGCCCCTCAATAGTTGTGCCTCATTCTGTTTGGACTCAGACTGGACTGACAAATTCTCGGCTGGCAGGTTCTCTGGTTCGGGAGATTCTGGCGGAGGTGGCCTAAATATCGAATCTGATTGCTGCCTTTGAGGCGCTTGTGGAAGAGAGCTGGATCTTGGTGGGATGCTTGCTAAAGAGCCATCTCTGGTTCTCGCAGGGGTCGATGATCTCGAACCGCTGGATTCCCGTGATGTTGATCTCTGCCGTGATCCTGCCTGGAGACGCTGTATTTGTCGGTTCTCACTCGGTCGTGAAGATTCGGTTGACTGTCTGTTAGGAGCGGCAGAGCTTTTGGGCTGAGTGAGCAATTCTTCCCTGCCAGCTCCGCCCAGGATCGCAATGCGTTTCTCAATCAAAAGATCGAGGATCGGAGTCTCAGAGCGTATGTTGTCGACCTGACGGTTTAGTGCACGCAAGACTGTAGGCAAAAGTGGGTCCTGAGAGTCTTGTCGACGCTGCTGAGAATACATGGATTGTAGAAGACGGAGACTTACAGTCTCTTCCTCGTCTAAGCCAGTGCCATCAAATGTTGGTTCGAGCGTCGTTGGCTGATAGTCAGTCCTGGGCACTGCAAGCCAGCCATCAAGACCGACACCAGCACATGACGCCAAACAGATGGTCGCCTCGGTCAAAGCAAGATTGACATCTACGCTATTGGTAAGGAACGACCCAAAAAGAGCAGCAAGTGACTGAATATACGGGTCATGAGGCAGGATTTTCAGCACGGAAGTGTCATCAGGAGCTCTGTTGGCGGCCTGGATTTCCAGAGGTATAGTGATGTCCTGGCACGCTGTGGCATACGCCTCCTCCACGTCGATCTCACCACCAAGAGCTGTGGCAATCCGCACAAGGTCATTCGTCTCCACACACAGTGCTTGGATGGTTCTCTTTTCTTCAGGTGTCAGAACCGACTTTGGTTGCAGGAGCGTAGGGGTCGTATATGAGCGGTGTCTCGTCAGCATGACAGATGAGAGCTTCAAAGCGGCGACGACTGTCTGCGAGTTTTGCGACCTGATGCCGTTGAGTATGAGATCAATCAGACTAAACAGAGTTGGCTCAAATTTATCTTCGTCGTTTCCAGATTGTGTGAGTAGCATGAGGGTACTTTGTCGCCTTTGAACAGTTGGCGAGACGGGTCCTGCTTGCTTGTTATCTGGAATAGCCAAGAGATATTGAAGTGCCATCCGTGTTAATTCAGGATGGTCCAGGCATTCGAATATGTTGGAAAGATAAGTAAGGACGGCGACAGAAGAACCGCCGTCAGTATCGGAAGACTGAAGCAGTGAGGGATAGAGAAGCTGTTGTAGGAAGAGGATTCGGAAATGATCTAGAAGAGTGGTTTTGACACTTTCAGACTTGCAGTGTTCCAAAACATCCTGCCAGAAAGCAAGGTGAGAGAGAAATGTTGCCATATGAGTAGCGTGTGAGGGTGAGAATATGCTCTCTGTGGACGAAGTTTGTTGGGCATCGACATAGTCGGATAGAGCAAGAATCATAGGTAGGCGATCGTGATCGTGCAGGATGGTCAACTCACGGCTCAGCTGGCTGTACAAAGCACCGAGCCCAGAGGCCATCAAAGTAGGCAGATCGCTCTCAATGATCCAGTCCTCGAGATGGGTCGAGTTGGAGACAGCCTCGAAGATATAAAGTAAGCCAGTCCGAGCAAAGTCTCCTATACGACCATCGTGATGAATGCGGTCAATCAGCAGATAGCACAATGGGAAGTCGTTCTTTTGGGTAGTGCCTGCGAAGTGGTTGGGATCCTTTTGCGAATCGACCTTGTCGGTGGAAGAGGAAAACCAGACAGCTAAAACGCTGGGTTGTATTCGGATCTTTGCGACGATAGCAAACAGGAGCTCGACGACATCGGCCTCGATGTCTTCGCCATAGGCGCCGGAATTTGAATCTATGACACGGAGGGCGAAGCGCATAAAAGATTTGGCAAAGGTAGGCGAGGCGACAAAGTCTTCATCTTCGCTCTCGAGCAGCAGACTGAACAAGGTGATGGTCTGACGTACGAGACGTGGGTCGCGAGAGGTCGAGGCAGCGCGGGCGACAACGCTGTAGATTTGCGAGGATTGAGTAAAGTTGAGACAAAGGTGAGGAGCAGGCGAGCGGCTCTCTTCGGCGAGCAACGCGGTAATGGTCTGCAGGGAGGAATAGAGCTGGTCGAGGGCAGGAGCATGTGAGGCTGTTGTCTGAGGACGGCCAGAGAGCTGAAGGATGGGGTTGTATGCTCGACGGAAGCGCTGCAGGCGTTGTTGCGGGCTCGAGGCTGCTGCTGGCGCAGACTTGTTGTTGCTCACGCCGCTGATGAGCTTCGTCCACTACGCGGAATGGGTCAGTAAGTGGGCGGCATGTGAGAGGTAGTCCGCACGCACAAAGTCCATGTCGGGAGTGGTATGGGTCACAGGCCGTCAGGGCATTCTGGTGTTTGCATTTGCATGTGAATCTGAAACGGCAGCTGCGACCCTCAAACATTCAAGGGGAAGGTTCAACTTCCCCACGTCCTCACCTCTCTGACGCAATCATTGAAGCGTCGGGCACGCCCGAGATCGCTCAATTGCATGCCGATGCCATCTACGGAGCACTTCAATCGTCTGTTTGCCTGCTCCTAGGCCGCCTCTGGTTCGCTATCTTCCCTTCTGCATCTCGCCCCTACATTCTCTAGCCTCTTTCTACCGCACTCGAGACATCCTACAGCCGCCACGATGGGCACTCTGACGGCTGACCTTCCTCGTTTGCCCGAGTATTGTGACCACAAGTTGCCAACCTCGTGTCGCCTATCCTCTATCCCCAACTGCTGTGCCTGTGCTGATGAACGAGCCCACCAATCAAGTTACTCGACATATGTTGACGGTGTTGGTTTCGTTGCTAGGGGTGCACGCTGGGATCGCTACTGTTGGCCTTGCTCTCGTACTGCACATGCCTCCCATAGTCTAGTCACACCGCTAACTACTCTCAGAGTTCTGGAGAAACAGAGTCGCTCAAACAAACCTCCTACCAACGCAAACACGCATCCCCCAAGTTCCCGATCAGTCCGGTTTCCTAGAACGATGGTATCAGTTTTACAATGGCTATAGAACCGTCAGCCGGCCTGATGGTGCTCAAGAAAGAGTTGCTGTCTTGGGTGAACGCTTTAGGGATGTTTCTCCTGGTCGTCTACCAAGAACGCTAGATGAGTTGAGAGCCGGTCAAGAACGAAGCGATGCGGATCAACGCCAACACGTCCAGATAGCGAGAAACGATGCCCCCGAAGGCCCTTCTCTGGAAGATGCCCTTGACCAGATGTTCGAAGAGGCCGAAGAGGAGGAACAAAACGTCCAACAAGAGTCTGTCCAACCCGCAGAGCAAGATCAACCTCCCACACTGATACATGCCCCGTTTACTTTCAATTCGAACGACGGCCATAGCAACAATCACATCGCAGGCCAGGTCATGAGAGCTGCTCCCTCGAGGAATCCCGAATACCAAGCCCGCAGAATCGCTGCTCTCAGACGCGAGCTCCTCAGAATGCGAAGTGGCATCGAGCGAGTCATATCCGGCCTTAGAGATCTCGGCGAACCTATTCCGGATCATACAGATACCACCAGTCGACTGTCCGAATTGGGGAGGTCACTTGACACCATGTCTATCAGGAATCTGCCACCGTCGTCAACACAGTCTGAGTCTGCCAATCGAGAGGAACGCGCCCCCATTGTTGGGTCTGTCTATCGTAACCCTGAGTTTACCAATGTCCAACAACGCTTCGATGAAGCTCAACGACAGCTCGAACAAGCTCAGAGGTTCCGTGATCAAGCCGCAGCAGAGTTCCAATTGGCTCGGGCTAGCCATACCGAAACCTCAGAGATTCTTGAGGGTGCAGAGCTGGATCTGACTGAACATAGAGAGCAGGTCTCTCAACTTCGGCGTGAACAGCGGACGGCCGAGAACTACACTCGCCTGTTTGGCTCACGAGAGGACATGGAAACTCAGGGTGCAGATTACGAAAGCCCTATCGGTGGCATGTTCACTCGTGCGTATGAACGGTTCAGAGTCGCCGAAGAAGTTCGACAAGACGAGAGGACTTTGCGACAAGTGCTGGAGCACGAACAAATGGCTACTGGGCCGCTTTTCTCAAACGACAGTGAAGAACCTCACCCAGCTGCCGATACAGTATACGAAGACCGTCTGAACGAATACTACTCTATGCTCAGACAGCAAGACTGGGTGCAGAACATTCGGCCACGCACAGAGAACGATGGTGCTAGTCCTGAACCCAGTCCCTCAAATATCAACGCCACAGTTCCGTCAGTAGCGGACGAGGCAGGAGTGGTTGCGTCTGAGCCAGCCCCTGCCGAAACTCAGCACAGATCCACACTGGAAAGGCTTCTACGTAACACCCCAGAGCCTCAAAGAAGCTCCATCATTGCACGCATGGAACAAAACGGGACCGCTGCCGCTATCCGAGAATCAGACAATGGCAACCACCTGGATGTGTGGCGGCGCCTTCGTGATGCATATGCCCCTTTCCGAGGCAACTGGGAGGAGGAAAGTGAATCATCAGAGGAAGAAGATCGTACTAGGGGTGGTCTCGATGCTGAAGACTCTGGACGCCCCGAACCTAAGGAGGATGGCGACATGACTCTCAAGCTGGATTGCAAGATTTGCTACACCCAAACCGCGGATACTGCCTGTCTTCCTTGTGGACATCTGGTCATGTGCCAATGGTGCAGTGCACAGCATTCGCCTGTCATGCAGCACGACAGAACGAGGCCGCGCAAACCCGCCAACTGTCCGGTCTGTCGCAAGAAGATCAAGCAGAAGGTGCGTATTTTCCGAGCCTGATCTGGCTTGACGATAAGTGGGACTTAATATGCCCTACATGTTGATAACACGCTCACTTCCATGACCTTGTCTGGAGATCCGGTCAACTACGCATACATCATCGTTATTCCTGGATGATTCGTCATGGGAAAACCACTCACGTCCGTGCAACACCAAAGTAGTCATTCTTGAATACTCGTTGATCTAGAGGGTGGGTCTATGATTACCTGTAATCGCGTGCGAGTTGTTACTCATAACTCCTGTGGAGTCGAAGTATGATATGGTTCCACGGCTCTACGAATACTCCTGAAGAAGGTGTGGCGTACTCGGCTGACCTTCTCTACCGGACTCAGCAGGAAGGTGAAGCGAGCGCAGCCCAAGAAACTCAGTCGGGGCAGCTCAATCGAGTAACGCCCCGCCGAATAGGACAGTGAGGCTCAGGATATTTAAGATGGCTACAGCCATTTAAATTCAAGAAACACTTTTTCCATTCTGATTATAACGCACCGTGTGAGAAAATATGGCGAACCAGAAAACACTTCTTTCCGAGCTTCGTTCTCGGAGCGCTATCGACTGCGACACCCTGGACGTAGAAGGTATGCTTCACATCGAGCAATACAAGATCAAAGACGACTTGACGCTTACATCTTTTGGTCAGTCGCTCAAGCGTTGGGACCTTTCGTGGATTGTACATCAAATCAGGTTGGTTGTGGGAAGATAGGTTTTGTATAGATAGTTCAATGCTTATGCTTCACTAGGCTATCGTGAACATCGAACTGCAGAAATCAAAGAACGAACCTCTTGTCGTGGAGTCCATTCAGCAAGCCAAGCAGCTGTATGAACAATATGCTTTGGAGGCCACGTTTGAACAATTCGCCTCAGAAGTTATGGTGGGTTTTCTTACACAAACGGGAATCAATCTGGTCTCTGGTCTGACAATATGATCTCAACAGGCAGTCAGACTCTCAGCCAAAATGCTTCCCTACCTTACTGGCCGCGCCCTTATTCAAACAAACCCCTACAACGCTTACTCAACCTCTGCTACCATCGCCAATGCTAAGCGCATCATTGCCATCTATAAGACCATAGCACCTGACCACCCTAGCAACCGCGTGTGCATCAAGATCCCTAGCACTTGGGAAGGCATTGCTGCGTGCAAAGAGCTCGAGAAGCAGGGGATCGTGACTCTGGCCACGACTCTGTTCTCAATGGAGCAAGCTGCTCTTGCTGCGGCGGCAGGGTGCTCGTACATTGCGCCTTATGTTAATGAGTTGCCGGTGCATTTTGTTGCTGGGTGAGTTTTACTTCCCTACCTCTTCCACTCTAAAAAGCGTGAAAGGTGCTGATATTAAGATAATAGACACATCGACTCAGACAAAGGTTTCGCCCTGACCCGCTCCTGCCAAAAGTTCTACTCTCGCATTGGCAACACCAAGACTCAAGTCATGCCCGCCTCTCTGACTTCAGTAGACGAATGCCTTCAAGTCAGCGGCGCCAACCACATCACTATCTCTCCACCTTTGCTTGCTGCTCTTGCTGCCACTCCTGCCCCCGCTTCTGCCGCGCCTCTCTTCTTTGATGAGGTTGTCGACGAGGCAGAAGGTGAAGACGCAGTATTGATGGAACTTGCCGACAACGAAGCAAAGTACAGAATCAGATATACAAGATTAAAGAACGGAGCTGCGGAGAAGAAGCTGACGGACGCAATCAACATCTTTGCGGATTGTCAAGATGCTACTGAGGAGTTGATTAGGAGGTATGCAAATTAATTAAGATTTTGCAGGTTCTTTAGCGGATTGTCTGTATAGGTGTATCCAATGCGTTCCTCAGTATAAACTAGCGACATGATATGCTTGCCATAGGGTGACACTCAGGCTAGATCAAGCAAATGACTTGACTGTTTGGCCAAAAGTTAGGAGACTTCAATAGACGCGGCGGAGGTTCCAGGACTCTCGAGCGGACTTGCTATAGCAACGATAGCAAGCCTATCGCAAAAGAAAAAAAAGAAAAAGAATTGATCAATTTCCAGCTTGATGCAGCTGGAGGGCGCAACGTGTGTGCATGTCGTCTATATCCGATAATAGCACCGTACCGTACCGCACTTCCTACAAACGTCCAAACATACACCAAATATCGGCTAGATCTTCGATTGATATACGCAGAAAGACACCAGGGCATTCGGTCGGCTGTCAACACATCCGAGTCGGGGTGGTAAGTACTGTCTTCAACTCGATTTGCATGTGAGAATAGGCGGCGAAGGTGTCAAGGCAGGATCAACGCCTTTGCAAGGATTCCAAGCAGGTATTCTTTGTACTCCTCTTCTCGACCCCGCTCCAGCACAAGCACTCGCGAGAGCAATGGCGCTTTTCAACGGTGGTGAGTCTGCAGCGGAGGATGCGGGTCGAAGTATAGAACGAGGCTAGGTTGTAGCCGAGCTTAAGACATGCTCATAGACAATGATGTGTTAGTCGTGGTATGCAATTATAAATCTGCAGATGATGGAGATGTTGGCGCAAACGGTAGGGCTTTGAACATGATTAGTGTGAGGCTCTGCCAGCGGCGCAGCGCCGAATCAATTCGGATTGGCCCGGATGGATAATTATGGTGACGATGGCCTGGCTCCAGCTTCTCCCCACATCATGCAACTCCGCCCGCGCGAGACTGTCATGAGCGACGGGTGGGTTCTGGAGATCGAGGTCTCTAACCCCAAGAAGGCACTCTGTTGTGTGTGTACATGTGCGATGGCTTGAACTTGTTCGGATTGGCGTGTAACGGCCAGGGGCTGGGGAAGTACACAAGAGCCAACTGCTGGGCAATGGAGGATGATGGTTGAGTATGTATGCAGCTCGCCGATGGCCCAACCAAAGCACTTTGACCTCCGCATTCCTGGTTTTCAGGTTTCTTGCTTGTCTCGCGCGCAGTAGAGCTCTCGACAGTTTCGCAACCAATCTTCTGCTTTCTTGTTTCCTTTCTTGCTATCGAGCGTCGTATTGATCTTTCCGCCTTAAGTTTCTGACGCGATACGTATCTACCTGGCCTCGATCCTCTGCTACCCTTGAACAAGATATACGTCACTGTGAGTGAGAGGTTGGTCACCGCGGGCTCACGCCATCTCACACGCTTACAGACAAGGAAAGCGACGCACATTCGACCAGGCCCACTTGCCTCGCATAGAGTCGATTAAATTCGAGACTCGGTACGTATTTCTGGTCCTTTCGACAGCCTCGCATCCTTCGACGGAACATAACATTCTGTCCAACCCTCTTCTGCGTTCACTCTTGAACCTACCATAATCCTATTGCATTGCTATTCTTCAAGCAACAAGACTGACATCATGGTTTCGGCAGCAACCACTGCATCCAACAATCTACAAGCCCCAATCTTCGTCGACAGACCAGGACGACTCTCACCTCGGCCCAGTTTCACATCCAGCAGACCTTCTTGGGTCGGTCCACAGCACGCAGCACAGCCAACCACACACGCATCTTCCACAATGGCACAGAAACACGAGATCCACTACAGCCATCCTGGCCTGCAGCCTCCGGTTTTCATCGCCGGCTCCATGTGCAATTGGGAACCGATAGAGATGAAGCACAAAGAGAAGGATGATGGTGAACTCAACTTTGAGCACGAGTTCGAAGTAGACCCCGGAGAGTACCAATACAAGTTCCGCCTCGGTCCTGGTGACTGGTGGGTGCTCGATGAGACCAAGCCAACTGGTAAGCACGAGACATTCCTCAATTGAGGGAGAGCATCACTGACGAGCGAACAATAGTCGACGACGGAACTGGCATTCGCAACAATGTCCTCGTCGTAAAGCCAAAGCCCGCAGAACCAGCAACGACAAACGCTCCCAAAGCACCGGCTGTACAAACTACTCAGGAAGAGCACAAACCAGCGTCGACACAAGTCACGGAAACTCAAGACAAGCATGTCGACTTGGCTGATGACTTGGAGGACGATGATGACATTCCCGAGAGCGAGAAGAACCTCTTCAGACACGAGACTGTCCAAGTTCCAGATGGTAATGGTGAGAGTGACAGGGAGGACGAAGACGTCGACAACGGTGACGAACAAGACTATGAGCCCCCACTCTTCGAACACGAAGCTGGTCCCGATCAGCGCGTCGACAGCCAGCACGTTACACCATTCAAGACCGGTAAATTCGACTTCGATGATGTTACCGACTCGCCCATTGAGGTCGACGACTTTGCCGATGACGAGCGCGATACTGCTTGCCCTCTCTTCAGACACGAGACTGGAACCTCGATCGATTTGGATCCTGACGAGGCACCGCTGTTCCGTCATGAGAGCATGTCTCCAGTCATGTCCGCAACCTCGTTCTCACCTTCAACTCGCAAGCAACGCAAGCCTGCTTTCGAAGACGTCAACGACCCATCTCTTGAACCTTTCCCTGTCGATGAGGCTGGCATTCAAGCTCGTCTTCACCGTGTCGCAACACGAAATCTTGATGATGAAGTTGTGTTCGAAGGAACACCTCCCTCGCCTTCCTTGGCCCAAACAAAGTCTTTCTCGCCTCAGGCTCGTCCCGATCTCTTGCAAACCGAGTCCAGCGATCTGAGTCATCTTGACGCTATTGACGAAACAGAAGAGACAGACGAAGAAGACACCATACCCGCCGTGAAGCTTGTTGAGAAGAAAGACTCGATCGTGCAACCCCTACCCATTAACATCAAGGTTAAGGACGTCGACGAGATTGACAACACCCCTTCGTTTGCAGATATTCCTGATATCTCAAACCGTGAGCCACTTACACCTCCAATGACCCCTACTGAACATGGCAGAGCCAAGGCCGTACCTCAAGACGGAGCAGTCGACTCAAAGGAAGCGCCTGTTTCTGTTGGAAGCCCTCGCTCTCGCAAGGATAATGTCACGGACCATATCGCCAACCGCCCCTCGCCTTCAGAGGCTTCAAAGCCCGCCAAAGACTCTAAGCAGACCGTTCCAGAAGAAAGCCTTGCATCCAAGGCCTGTGTCTGGTTCATTGGTCTTTGTGGTGGTAAGACTCGCGCAGCGTATGTTTATAAAGAACTCAAAACCGGACATCTGACTAACTTGTTGTACAGCGGTGTGGCAATCGCTATGGGGGTCGCCGCGGTCGCAATCGCCATAAACACACGTTCAGCTTGAATGCTTTGTGTTCATCAGGTCCTCGACCATGGACTTTTCTATTGACAAATTTCGTACTCCGCTTTCCTTTGTTATCTCTCATCTCTTATTTCTTTTGTTGAACATACCTCAGAATCGATTCTCCTTCACAGCGGGCGCAGGGCATGGGTCGGATACGGTTTGTCACGAAGCATACGGTTATAGCTGACTCTCATGACATTCCATAATGCGATGAATGCGGAGACCGCTGCCGAAGCGTGTGCGGTCCGGCGAGCACCAAGGTGCAAGGATGCCCATTGAAGCTAGGGTGGTGACTCGCTTAGTCTATTTCCTAGTCTCAGCCTCAAGTTCATATCTCATACGAGCGTTCTCTGCTCTACTGCTTGTACACTACCAGATCACTATCCATTGATCATCTACAATGGATGCATTGACCTCGGTGTCGAGCAGATCTCTCAGCGTCTGTCCATGCCCGGAGGTGGCCGACAAACCTACACGGAGACAAAAGCTTCGACAAAGCTTGAATCTTCGATGACCGCAAAAGCCAGGCGCCCAATTTCGAGAACCAACCCTTGCAACATCAATATATAGAGACAATGACAGTGATCAGTACATTACCAGGCGGCTGATTGTTTAGAGAAGAATGGGTATGGTTGCTGCCCTAACGGACATGTCGGAGCTTTTGCCGTTGATTGAAATGTGCCCGCTTCCTGTCAGGCCTGCCCGAGCTTCACCCCACTTGCTAGCTCTGAGCTGGGTAGTGATGCCCACTGTTGTGTTCGTGCTATGGCAGGTACCACTTCGCGAAACCATGTATTCTCCGGCGTAAGAGTTTCAGAGGGCGCATGATTGACGCCTGAAGAGCGGCTATAGGACCACAGGCTTCTCATGACATCTCCGAGGATGTAGTATAGCATCCAGGGCAAGCTGGGAGCGCGTTGTCGTATCGGCTTCCGCACTAGCATAGATAGCTTCAATGGAGCTAATACGGTTATCAGAGAGCGGGACAGGACGAGCTGTCACCGATCAACTTTTCCATGCGTAATAACGCTAGGGTTGCCCGCATATCTGCAATTGCCGGCTATCAATCCTGAGAGGTTTATAAAACAGGTAAGAGCCGCCTACTCTCTTGACCTTGTGCTTTGCTGTCCAACAACTCTCGTTCCAACCGTCTGCCAAAATGTTGTCCAACTCACTCGTCGCTTTGTCCCTCCTCTCTTCGGCCGTCTCGGCTGAGACCGTGCTGGGAGTATACATGTTCCACAGACACGGAGACCGCACACCCAAAGCTCTTGCTCCGGCCAACCTGACCGACCTAGGATATTCGCAGGTCTACACCTCTGGCGATTACTATCGCAACCGCTACGTTGATTCGGAAGCGTCCAGCAGAATTCTGGGCATCAACTCCGATATCGTCAAGCAAGCGCAGATTGCTGCTTCCAGCCCTGCTGACACTGGTAAATACCTATCTCCGAGGAAATATTGATTGAGCAGATTTTCTGACACACTTATCACAGTTCTCCAAAATTCGGCTACCGGCTTCTTGCAGGGTCTCTATCCTCCTGTTGGCAGTGCATTGGGTACTCAGACCCTTAGAAATGGATCCAATGTGACAAGCCCCCTCAATGGCTACCAACTCATCCCTCTGGCTTTGACCACCAGCGGTTCTGGCAGCGAGGACAATGGCTGGCTTCAATCTGCTTCTGGCTGTGCCAATGCTATCAGCAGCTCCAACGAGTACTTCTCCAGCCCCGAATACACCGACCTTCTCGCCAGCACTCAGGACTTCTACAACAGCCTGACTCCTGTGATCAATGCTACTTTCAGCACTAGCCAGATCAGCTTCAAGAATGCATACACCAGTGAGTTTCATCAGTCAGCTCGAATTTGCGTTAGGTGCTAATTGTGATGCTCAGTCTACGATCTGATCCACGTTGCTGAGATCCACAATGCCACCATCAATGATTCTGACGTCCTTACCGCTGATGTCCTTGGCCGACTCTTGGATCTGGCCAACGCTCACGAGTGGGGTCTTGCTTACAACTCATCCAACGACATGCGCGCCATCGCCGGAAAAGTTCTCGCTGCCGAGATTGTCCAAGGCCTCAACACCACCATTTCCACCCAAGGCAAGAGCAAGTTCAACGTCCAGTTCGGCGCCTACGCAACTTTCTCCTCCTTCTTCGGTCTCGCCGGCTTGCCCAACGTCAACAGCGACTTCTACGGCATGGTCGATTACGCTTCATCCATGACCTTTGAGCTTGTCACCAATGCCTCTACTTCGCCTTTCCCTGCCGCCAGCGATATTTCCGTTCGCTTCCTGTTCCACAACGGCACTGCCAGTGCTGATAGCGAACCTATCGCTTACCCTCTCTTCGGCTCCGGCGAGGAAGTTATCCCTTGGAATGACTTTGTTGCCAACATGGACAAATTCAGCATTGGCAGCACTCAGGCTTGGTGCACTGCCTGCGGTAACAGCACTGGCACTTGCGCTGCTTACGCCCCTTCTTCTTCCTCTGGCAGCAACAACGCCGGTACTCAGAGCAAGAAGACCAGTGGTAATGGCTTGTCTCCTGTCGTCAATGGCGTTATTGGCGCCATGGTTACCTTGGCCATTGTGCTTGGTCTCGAGGCTTTGGTGCTGTTGGTTGGCGGTATGAGAGTTGTGAGCAAGAAGACTCTTGCTGCTCGCTCTGTCGTCACCGAGACCGTTACTGGTGGCAAGGCTGCTTAAGAGCTTTCGAATGTCTGAGGACGCCTCACGAGGTGATAATGTATGCGATGGAGGAAGGGAATTACGACTTTTCAATTTGTTTTTTGCTCTAATTACGATCGGTTTCAGTTTCAGTGTATAGATGAATGAAACAATTAACGAGCATGACTTTCTCCCAACGAGGTTTTCTACCTTCTGTTCTTTGCCTGCAGTTACCCTTTCCTCTGCCTGAGAGAATCGCCTCTGCATTTTATATCAGACATGTCACAAGCAGTAAGCCTTGTTTGCCGAAGATAATGTTGGGAAGGCATACAACATCCTTGTTCCCCAACATCAAAATAGCCACCATACCTCCAAAGAAACAAAGAGAGGGAAAAAAAAAAAAAAAAAAAAGGCTCTGACAAAGGCCCCTCCTGCACGGTTAATCATCGTTGATAAGTACTGGGAAGGAAAAGATACAAGAGTCGGCGTACGTGTGTTGATTTTCAAGAAATGAGTGATGTGCGTAGAGAGTGGAAAGACTTGGTTATCATTCATACTTTGCATGGATCGTGCCTTTCGTGGCTATGCGCCCTTCCAACTGCTGAAGCTATTAAGATGTATTGTTGATTACCCATATTAGACAGAGGGAAAAGCAAGGGCAAAGAAAAGCAATCGCCTCCACGGAAAACGCCTGCATTGCAAACACCAAGCTATGCGTGATGAGTGTTTCATCCCTGATTGCCATTGTTGTTTTGTCCCTGCTCGCATAAATTCTCGTTGGCGTCGTTCTGTTTCGGATCCCGACTTCATCAGTAGTTCTTGTTGTTCTGTTTCTCAATATTTCTCATGGCTTGTCTCTGCATCTTGCTGATGAGATTCGCGTGTGCATTGTCCAGTTGTCCTGCTCTCATTCTCCCCTCGATCTCAAGCGTCCTGCGACGTTGTTGTTTGTCTCGTTGTTTGGCCTTGGCCGCTTCGGCAGCCATGCCCCTCCTCTGTTCTAGGAGTTGTCTCTCTGCTGCTTTTCGCCTCGAGTGCTCGTCAAACTCCACACGAGCCATCAAGGTGGGTTTTGCTCCGGGAGCTGATCGTCGTTGTGGCAGGCGGAAGTCGGCGTCTTCTGGGATGACGGCAGGTTGTTCGTTTATGCCATCGGGAGCAAAGCTGTGGCCGGGGCTGAAAGCTCCATTTGAATACCAGTATGGAGGGGCCGAAGGCTGGAAAGATTCACATGGTGGTAGGGGATAGGGATTTCGTAGTGGTGGAGCGACCATAACGAAAGGAGGACAGTTTTGAGTAGGTGAAGGCCCACTTGGAGACGTTGTTGGAGATACATAGACTGGTGAAGAAACAACCGGCGTGGTTCTTGCTGTCGTATCGGCGGGTGACTGTCCACTCATGCTGCTCGATGTGTAAGGTCCGTGAGAGTATATCGAAGAGCCTTGGCTGTTGCTCACTGCTCGTGTGTGCAGAGTCTTTCGTGCTTGCGAAAGTGTTATTTCGTCAAGATCGGTTGACTCCACAAGGTCTGAGCTGCTTTCTGCAAGCTTGCCATGAGACCCGAAGTATCTTCTCGCAACGATACCCTGATTTTCCCCGGCGAAGTTCACTGAGAGACAACGTTGCTTCTTCTGCACCTCTCTTCGTGCAGCAGCTGTGTCCAGAAGAGTAACTCCGGTGTCCAGCACTGGCAACGAGAGATTATGCTTGCTGACCCGTGCAGATTTGATCGGCATAGGTAGGATGGCTGAATTATCCTCAATGTCCGAAGTACATCTAGACTTGCCTTTATCCTTTTTGAGAGCGCTTGATTGTGACAGACCATGTTGCTGCTGTGACTGTGAGGCAGCTAGGTCGTCTTCCTCCAACCGTTCAGCAGAGCCCTTTGTTGCGTAAGTGCCCTCGAAGTCCTTCCACAAGATCGTCTCGTCTTTTGCATCGTACGATCGCACACTTGAGGCTCGTAGATTCGGCTCTGCGTCAACCAAGTTCTTGCTCCACTCTTGCGTCCTACTCATGACTTCTGCTCGTCCATGAGCTTCGGAGTTGGGGATTCGTGAAGAAGGCTCGACGGCTTCGTTAATATTGAAAACTTCGCTCGCGGGTCCGAGGTGAGCGTATCGAAGCGTCTCATTTGAAGGTTCCAGGTCTTCGGGAGTCGAGTGTTCTTTATTTGCGTTTCTCTCGTCAACGTTGGGCGTGCGGGTGATGTGCTGCTCCCATTCGGACAGGTCATCTTCGGACAGTGTGATAACAGTAGGCACCATTCCCTCATCCTCGTGTGATTCTTCGACATCGCGTGGCTGTTCCGTCGTGTCCACCAAGTCTGAAGCCGAGTTCAGAAAACTGAACCTTGCTGCGAGGGCTGGCGGTGAAGGGCTGATGGACCTCATGTTGGCATCTTCGGTCTCATCCCAAGGTGAGCCGCATTCGTAATCCATTGCTGGAAGAATTGGCGGAGGTCGTTTCGAGGTTGGTCTCAACGTATACTCAACCTCCTCACCATTCTCATTGAGGGCCTTGCCATTTTCGACCATAAGACGCTCAAGAATGGGAATGACGGACGAAGGGATTCGGGCCTCTACCTCCTCTGAATCAGGAACGCCTTCACTGATGACGAACGGACCCTTCGTTTGCGAGGTGTTCAATGCTGCTGGAGAGATGGTCTTGCGTGCTCCGAGAGGTGATATCTCGTCATGGTGCTGATGTCGAGCGTCACTTGATATCGGCAACAGGACATTATGATCGGGCTTCAACTTGTTTAGCACAAAGTCCGCCACGCCGTTGATCTTTTGGCCAGCTCTCGAAGCAAAAGATGGTGGATCCACTGGCTTTTGTTCGACATCTGGTTTCTTCGGATCCGGATCCTTGTTTCTCGCTTCCCAGGCTGTGAGGTCTCTGTCGGCCGCCATTCTGAAGGTACGTCCAATCTCAAGCGCTTGCTTTTCTTGGTCCTCTCTGAGGGCAGCCATTCTTGCGGCTTCTGCTTCCTTTCGAGCCCGGAGAGGTTTCCAAAACTTGTATTGGATAATCAGGGCGGCGACAAACAAGACAGGTATCAGGACATTCTCAACTATGATAAGATGGGTCAAAGGGTAGGTTTTGGTTCCGAAGCCGAAGAGCTCGACTCTATGCAAATCTGTATGGGGTCAGCAGAAGAAAAGACACAGTCCGGACCCAACATACGCCATGTGTAAGCCCAGAACTCCTTCAAGCCAGCACGGCTGTAGCAATCGATTCCTAGAACAAATGCCGTGCTGCCAGAAAAAGCCGAGAAAGTCATGTAGGCCGGATCTGCCCACTTCTTGAGCATGGGAATCGAGGGCGTGAGAGAAACAGCACACATGGCACCGATCAAGAGGGCGGTCATGGAAGACGTTTTGATGACACCTCCTGGGCACAGCGTTTCGATCCACATGGCCATGCAGAAGCCTCCCAAGACGCAACCAGCACGTCTCGCCAGCCATCCGACGAACCACTGCAAGAGACCGCCCACAATGATGGCAGGCAAGACGGCGGCGACCAGATATCCGCCCTGAGCACGGTCGCTAATGCCTGCGTCCAGGTGCTTTGTTGTAAAGAGTATTATTACCTGTGCGGTGGTGAGTGTCGTGGTGTCACAGGAAGGGTAGTACACATACGGTGATACCAATGCAGACGAGGTATGTACAACTGATGGACATGTAAAGCCTTTAATCATTGGTTAGCGAGCAAACATCTCCGAGTTCAAGGGCGAGCGAACCTTCCATATCTGATGCTGGCGAGGGCGTATGGGATGCTGGTCATTATGAGCAAGGCACCAGCTAGACCGAATGCAGGCGTAAGACGCGGTGGCAGAGGCAATGCATGATTTGTCGAGTGGCCTGCGACGTGTGGTTAGCAGTGATCCAACAGCGTAGTGGTTGGACCTGTTCGACGCACCTGGAGATGCTTGTGGGAAAGCATTCGTAGCATTGGTAATGATGCTCGAGTTGAAACCACTCGTCGAGTTGAAAGGACTCATGGTCGCGAAGAAGAGCAGTTGCGACCGAGAAGTCGGGGGCTCTGCAAGTAGATCAGACTGGTTTGTGCTGATGTTCAGCTTTCGCAGCCACTTCGTTCACTTTCAAAGAGGCATCCGCAACGAAGAGGTGATTGATGGAACTATGACGAATCGGACGCTCACGTTGGTCGCGAGAGGAGTGAGGGTTAAATGGTGACCGCTATGGTCAAGCATCAAGCTTTTAGTTCAGAACATTGAAACACTAGGCCCTGGCACTTTGGGAAAGCTTGAGTGAGAACATGCGAATTTGAGGGACAATCGACAGGAGGGGTAAGATGGCGAGAGGTCCTGCCCGGAGGGGAAAGGGTCTGAAGATATGCGGACACTCGCATTGCCTATATACGGCAGGAACGATATGCCTCGCGACTTCGACATTTGATGGCAAAGGCAGGACGAGGCCCGCGGACCTACGTGTACTGTAGGTGAATATGCATGCAAGAACTCTAAGGTCGAGTAAGCGTGCAGCATGATGAGCATCAGACTGCCCGTTTGGCTTTGGATAAACTTCTTGCCGCTCGCCGGAACGGACGTCTGCTCTATTCGACTCCACCCTGTGTCTCAAAAGAGGTGGGTGGTTGGACTTTGGACCAAACGAGCGGGTGCCGGGCTGCGCGAGCGGCTGCTGTCCGCCCGATGCCAGCAAATCATGACTGGGGCATGCTGCTGGGCATCTACCGGCCGCGCATGAGTGTATCCAAGTCTTCCAAGTTGTGGCTGTGACTTTTCCCAGGTGATGATCCCGGCGGAGAGGAAAAAGAGGCTGGTGCTGGAAAGCTGCAGATGCAAGCAAGTGGAGCACGGACACCGCTTGCTTGCCAACGGTTATCCGTAAAACATGCGGAGACATCAAAGATGCTGACGATCTCGCACAGACCTGGCGTGAGTCCTTGTCATTGTTACCCGCATTTGCATTCACATCCGGATAATTGACAAGGTTGCTCTGGATGCACAGAGCCCTGCCGTACTCAACTTTGCGCCTGTCAGCAAAAGCTTCCTGCGATTGAAAGTCTGTCCAAGGTACGTTGACCAAAGTACCTGCGAGTCTGGTCCTCCAACTCCGCATATCATTGCGCGTTTGCAACCACCCTGGTGATGAGCACAAGGTTGCAGCTCCAGAAACGACTGCCTCACCGGTGGTCTGATATGCGTAACTATCATGACGTGCAAAACCCACTGCAGACTTCTGCATACCCTCGAAGTCACCAGGAAAGATGAGGTTGTTACTCGTACCACGCAGGCTGGGCTGGTATGAGATAGCGTTTAACTCTATCTGCGTGTCGCTATCACCGTTGCAGTGCTTGCAATCCGGTTTGGTTAGGAAACTCTTGGAGACATTGAGCAGGTTCACGAAGGTCAAAACGAACGAACAATTGATATGTCTTACTATGCGGTATACCATTGTGAATTCTAAGCTCTTCTTCCTTCTAATGACTTGAAGCGATATGGGAGAAGCGAAAATGCACGACTGTCTTTGACACTAGAGAGATCTTGGAGGAGCGAGCCAAGAGGCCATCGGCGTTCGGTGCCCGTTGCACCGAAGCAAGTCCTCCGCTTCCGAAACTTATGCAAAGTTTTATGTAAATTCGTGCAGGCTTCGCTTGCACAACCCCCTCACACACCGCTATACCAGCAAAAAAAACTTCTTTCCAACCACCTCATGTTTGACATAGTCATGCAAAAAGAATATCATCAAGTGCTGCCCCCTGACGGAGTCGAACCGGCGACCTCGGCATTACTAGTGCCGCGCTCTACCAACTGAGCTAAAGGGGCTTGATGAGATGCAGTTCTTGTTGGAGCAGTACATGTCCAAGAGGTCGAACGGGCTCTGACGGGCCGAAACTGGCCCTCACCCCCTGAGGAACTCCAAGTCATGTATTTCTGATGTAGGATTGACTCGGTGGTTCGAATGTGTTGGCATGTGTGTATCGTGATATAGAAAAAATGCTACGCTCAAGGCAAGATGGCCTTTTTTTTGATGATCCATACATCTCTTTCTTTCCCAAACGCCACGCTAAACAAAAGGACACAAGGTCAAAGGTTGAACTCATTGGTGACGAGTGCTCTGAGCACGGGCAGACTTGCCCAAACGAGCAGGACCCAGACCGAAACGGATCTCATCAAGCTGCTCCATCCCAGTCTGGAAGCCAGATTTCTTGATATGGCGACCACGGTTACCAGCACGCGAGTGGCCGGCAAGGAAACCATCCATGATGCTGTCAAAGTCACTGCGGACGAGATTGGGGGCTTCCGAGTCGGTGGCTCGTGAGTATGAGCTGATGGCTGAGGCGTGAGACATGCCAGTCATGCCTGAAGCCATGGATTCGGCATCATCGAATTGGGAACCATAGTCATCGAAATCGTCTTCGGCGTAGGCTTCTTCGATCTTGTCGAAGCGTTGGTCCAGCAGACTTTGGGCGTCTGTGCGGACGAGGGCGGACGAGGACATAGAGTAGCCGGATGTCGAGGTCATGGCACCCTTGCGCTTCTTGCGGCGGCCAGAAGCCAGAGATGAAAGACCGGTGTTGATGGACTGTATGTCTGATGGTGCAGGCTTGGCTTCTTTCTTGGGCAGAGCCTTTGCGGCCTTGACGTCTTGCTTGAACTTTGTGAATTCTTCCATCCAGGCTCCTGCGCTGGGGTCTGAGGGCGGTGGAGCAGCAGTGTCGGCAGGCGGTGGTAGATGTTCGCCCTTCTCTCCCTTTTCTCCAGCCTTGATTGTGTCGTCGGATTGCCAGCCTTCATCGTCGTCGTCGACGTAGCCGTCGCCCTCTTCCTCGTCGAACTCGAGACCTTCCCAGTCATCGCGATCGACTTCCTCGGCGTCACCAGTAAGTTCTGCAAAGATGTCGTCCTCGTCGTCGACGTATGCCTCGTCGTCCAGAGCCTCTAGGGCTTCGCGCAAACGGGGATCCATGTCGGGCTGGAAGCCAGCAATAGCGTCTGGTACAGCCTGCATATCCTGGTAGGTTGTTTTGCGGACAAAGTCGCTAGGCAGCATGTCGTCGGGCATCAGACTTCTGGTCGAAGCAACACTCTCTCCACCATAACTCTGCAAGTCATCATCCTTGACGTCCATGCCGCGGAGCGCATCCTCCAGACTCATCTTCCCCTTGTTCTTGTTCTTTGCTGAGCGAGCCTCAACCCAAGTAGCGGCACCACCTCCAGAGCCCAGGTCGCGCAGATGTTGCATGTAATCGTACTGGGTGTCGTCGAAGTAGACACCGTGCTCGGCTGCCTCACCCTCGTTGGGCTTGTAGTCTGTACCGAACTCATCTTCTAGATCGCCACGCTCCTTGATCTTGCGGCTGTTTTTGGCGTATTGAGGACCTCTGAGTTCGGCAAAGACCATGGAAGGGGCGTCGGCATCGTTGATGAGAGGGTCGTTTTGAGCGCGGTGGACCAGGGCGAACTTGGTCGCATCCTTTCCGCTGAGATAATGTTAGACTTGGAGGAGAGCTGCGAGACATGTCGAATACATACAACTTGCGAGGAGCCATGTTGATTGCTTGTTGTGTTTGTGGAACAGAAGAGTCGGACAAAAAAAGTTTCAAGATTCGTCAGATCGGGCAGGCACCCAAGTGGCGCCAAGAGGAACGCGGGCTGACATGTGCCTTCCTCGACTGTCCACTTTCACCGTCGACATGTCAATCACCATTCTGCCATGTCGCAAGACCCTGAAGATGAGGTTCCCGCTGAAGAGCTCCTGGTCCATGGCCGCGCAAAGAGAGCCACCGCGGGCAACCGCATGCACTTTCTCATGCAACATCTCGAAGACGAAGACGTCCGCAACGACCTGCTACAAGAAGATGAAACAGACCAGATAGACTACCAACTCTCCGACACCGAAGATGTCGCCTTTGGATCCAGTGACGACTCGGACGATGAAGGCCCGCCACGCGAAGGTCAGGACGAAGACCTACAAGGAGAGAAAGAGTTGCAAAAGACCGAACGCCAGGAAGCCCGCAAGAAGAAGCGCAAGGCCGCCGATTTCGCCAATATGCCTCTCAATCCTCTGATGAAACGCCAAAGACTCGCTGCTACCAACTCGCTGCTTGCTCCCCGTCCGCGCAAAAAATCCGAACGCATCTCCTGGCTACCTACCCTCGACGATGCCCCGACGCGCCAGTCGCGTCGTCGCCAGACTGTTGCCAACAAGGAACAGACAGAGGCCAAGCTGAAAGAGAGTCAGAAGCGCTCGGAAAAGGCTCACGAATTGATCAAGATCGCTGCCGAGAAGAAGGCTGCTTCGGCCGTGCCCGCCCTCACCCAGGAAGACCGCATGAAGAGAGCTTTGAAGGTCGAGAAAGAGAATAGCAGGACACTCAATCGCTGGGAGAAGGCCGAAGAAGAACGACAACTTGCTCAACAGAGGAGGCTTGAAGCCTTGCGCGACAGACAACTCGAGGGTCCTGTCTTCAGGTACTGGAGTGGCTCTGTCATGTGGGAAGGAGAGAAGATCAAGGTCAAGCGTGTCCACCAACCGAGGATTGAAGCTGTCATCGAGACCAAACCGGATCCTCCTGCCGAAAAATCGTCAACCGAGACACTCCCTCAAACCACTGCCACCGAAGGCGACAAGACGCCCACTGCGAACGATTCCCAGAAGGTCAAGTCTGCGCAGGAGTCAGAGGCTCAGCAACCCGAAGACACAGTCATGGTAGACGCAACAAACGAACTCACGCCTGCTGGAGTACCAAGCCAAGAAGAGAAGGAACCTCTAAATACAGCAAAGGACGAAGGCACGTCACCAAAAGCCACCAGCAAAACAGCCGAGACTGCAGAGCCGGCTATAGCAGAGGTCGCCGAAGCGAATGTGCCAGAGGCTACCAAAGAAACAGCAGCTGAGCAGGATCCGGCGGAGAATAGCACAGCTGAAGACAAACCATCCGAACTAGATCAGGCTCAACCGACTTCTGGCCTTGGAGCGAAATCACAATCATTCTTGGATGGGATCCATTACTGGGCTTCGCAGTCGCCAGAAGCCACTGCACAAAAGAATAAGGCTTCTGCGTCACAGACTCCGGCACCGGCACCGGCACCAGCGCCAGCACCAGCTTCCGAAGGACAAACAGCAGAGACAGCACCCGTCCAGACACAATCTACAGAACCAAAAACGGCAGATCAGCCTCCTCCAGCGCCAGTCATGGATCCAGCCAAACCACCTACGACTCTGGACCCTACCCTACAGCCAACTGATCCCACACAACAAACGCCAACACCATTCGACGTATTTCCCCAAGTCCAACCAGAAGCCACACCTGCGCCTCCATCCATGCCCCTCGTCCGCGAACAAGCCCAACGCACCCTCATAATCCTCGAAGCTTTTCCAGAACTCGAACTCGCGCCCCCGGTCGCCCCCTCCAACAAAAAGTCGACCAGCGCATCAACCATCCTCTCCTCAGTCTTGATTCCCGACGCTCTACCATCTCTCACCCCGCAAGAATCCAAATACCTCTCCTCCAAGTCAGCGAAAAAGAAAGAATTCTTGCCTCCACCACCTCCCAAGCCTGTTTGCGCGATTACAGCCAAACCTGCTCACTACAAAGATCCCAAAACGGGAATGCCGTATCAAGGGTTGGAAGCGTATAAAGCTCTACAGAGAGTGAGTGCAGGAGGATGTAGGTGGGGAGGCCAGGGGTGGGATTGCTGGATGGGAATTTTGGGGCAGGGAGTTATGGGACGGGTCGCTAGAGGTGTGCCCGAGTGTTTCGTTACGGGGAAGGTTGTGAGGAAGGGTTGTGAGGAAGGAGAAGGAGAAGAAAGAGGGTAAAGAGGTCAAGAAGGAGGATGGAGCTGTGAGTGTGCCTGCCCCTGTTGCCGTTGCACCTACTGCACCTGTGGCGGCTATGACGGGACCTGCCTGTGCTCCTGCGGCGAACACATCAAGCAGTGCTACTACGTGAAAGACAAATATTGGCATACAGCATTAGCAAAAAGCATAGCATGATATCCATCACACGAATTAATGAAACACGACTTGTAGACACATCTTATGTCCTTATACCTCCATACCACGCACATGGGTTTTTTTCGACCTAGGAAAAGTGGAAGACCTGATAGATACGACATAGAGACATCACTCATCCGTCTCAATATCGAGTTCCTCTGGTAATGTCAAAATACCAGCCAAGGCCTTGTTTGTTAGATGGACAAGGAAATCTGACAGAAAGAAATTATCTGAATCCAAATGCCTTGAGTCAAAGTCGGCAGGGATGGGTTGTTTTGAGACAGGGTTGTACAGAAAACATTGTTTTGGTGGTGACAAGGTCAATCAGATGAGACGGAAGATAAACACAGTATGAATGTCTGCTGTGCTGTGCAGTGCAGTGCAGGTTCTTTACCTCAAACGAAAATACGATCTCTTGCCTTTGCGGTTTATTTGTTCGTAGACAAGCGAAGAGTGGATGATCAAGATGACATGAGAGATCTAAGAATGAAGAGAGGAGAGGCAAGAAAGACCGAACTTTTGTTTTTGATGTGATATGATCGTTAACTTTTTCGAAGTTTGGTTTTGGGTATGAAGGGACTACGAAAAAGCTAGGAACCACCGTGACGCCTTTCGTCCCCCATCCATGGACCACTGCATATTTTGGCAATTGGTGTCCTTTTAGATAGCGTGTGGTTGCTTGCGCTAAAGAGATTGCATAGGCAACTCTTCTCCACAGCCCAGACAAGAAACAAGAAGACGACAAGCGACGGACCACTACTCTGATTAGAGAGAGGGGCGAGACGCTTATTTGTCCTTCTTGGCCTTGGCACCCTTGACCTTTGCGGTACCGGTGAGGGTCTTCATGCGGTTCTTGCGCTGCTTGCCTGTGAGGGTGTGTTAGTACAGTGTGCGAGGCAGAGATGAGGAAGGGTGCATAACGTACGCTGCTGTCTCGAGGCCTTCTCGATCTTGGTGGCCATGCCAACACGGACAAGACGGTAGTGGGGCTCGAACTTCTTCATGGCCTCGTTGGAGTCGTAGATGAGAGCGAAGCCAGTGGACTTGCCACCACCGTACTGGGTGCGGAAACCGAAGACGGAGACCTGGTCCTTGTCGGCCTTGTAGAGCTCGGAGAGCTTCTGACGGAGCTCATCCTTGGAGACGTTGGGACGGTTGGGGTGGAGGACATCACTTGAGGGCCCTAGTCAGTACGGGTGGATCTCAATATAGAGGAGATCAAGCTGTGCCGGCTGCCGATGCTGCGTCTGTCGTCGACCTGGTCGCTGTCTTGTGCCTTTTGTCCATGCGGAAACGAGTGGTTGAATATTGCGGAGAAGATTTTGCTTTTGATTCTTTTCTTTCGCACACGGCGGCGCAATGTTGAATGTCGCAACGATGCGATAGACACAAAATCCTCCTCTTGCTTCTCGTTTCCACACAGGCGCAGGGTTGGACAGTCCTTGGTCGGCGGCAGATGCAGCATCGGTGCTCTAGCGGGACGGGGGCGAAGGAGGAGACTCACACGACCATCTGCTTGCGGGCAAGCAGGGGGTTGCGGATGAACTTGCGGGTGCGCAGAGTAACTTGAGCGTCGGCCATTTTTGCGAGTGATGGGGATGGGATCGATGGTCGTCGAAAATGGGTTCTTGTCGTCTCGAGCAGAAGAAGAATCCGGTCGCAGGCGCCCGCGCAAATTCGACGGCCAGTCTGGCTTTGTGCGTGGTCTGTGCGTTGAGCTTTCTAGCGCTGTTTTCCGATGTCGACCCGCTTTGCTCTATCCATATCTTATGCAGGCTTGTGCAACGTTGCCTTTCACTTGTAGATTCTGCGCCCTCACGTCTTCACGGCTTTTGGTAATAGTTCACTCTCACGATGACTCCGAATGTATCAGAAGAGGCACTTGAACAGATCGGTCTGTTCCGCAGACAGTATCTGCAACTACTCGATGCTCAAAACCTCACTTGGCCCTCTCCAGACACTCTCCGCGCCTCACAGGCTCAAGAATGGATATACGAGAACCTTTTCCAGACAGACGACCTTGACCACTTTCTGCCTCCGGAAAGGTACCGTCTGCGTATCTTGAAGCTGCTCATGTCCAAGATCGAATCCTCCATTGTAGACCCAGAAGAAGATGTAAGCGTCTTCTTGTCTCATCTTTTCTTGTCACTTGCCTTTTTCTGATTTCCGCTTCTTCGTTGTGCATTCAGGAAATATCGGATAATCTCATGTCTACACTTGCCGAACTCATGTTCTCTCCCATGCCTGATGATGCCACCGCTGCTCAACAGCGGAACTGGGTAACGTATACTCCTCTTGCTCAGGGTTCTCCCATCGTGGACAAGGAGCCTGAGTTGAAGTTGCTGGAGAACCGTGCAGTCATCTCCGGTGCTGGCACTACTGGGTTGCGCACTTGGGAGGCTGCTCTTCACCTTTCTTCATATCTGCTTTCCTCGCCTGATTTGATGGAAAGTGTCAAGGGCAAGAAGGTGATTGAGCTTGGTGCTGGTACAGGGTTACTGTCCATCTTGTGCGCCAGCCATCTGGACGCTGCACACGTCACGGCCACCGATGGTGATGAAGGTGTTGTTCAAGCTTTGCATGAGAATGCAGCTTTCAACGATGTCAAGGATGTTATGGACATTGGCGTGCTGTGGTGGGGTCGAGCTCTTAAGGGCTCTTGGATGTTTGACAAAGATCCTTCGTTTTCCTGTGATCTTGTTCTTGGTGCTGATGTTGTGAGTGGCATGCCTTTCTGTTGTACGAAAACATACTAACCCTAGTTTCAGACATACGACAAGGCTGTTATACCGGCACTGGTCGCTAGCATGCGAGACATGTTCGAGGCCTGGCCTCATGTACAGATCATCATCTCAGCGACCATTCGGAACACTGACACTTTCGCTGCTTTCGAATATGCTTGCGGTAAGTTTCGAAGCATGGTTACGCCCCACTTGGTAGACTAACATTTGACGAAGCACACAACGAGTTCAAGGTCCACGAGGTGGATTATCCTTTGATTCCTATGGAGCAGCAGACTTCGCTCTTCCATTCGACTGTGGTTCCAATCAAGATCTTCTCCATCACTGCACCCGAGACGCAGAAAGACCCTTACCAAGTATAACCGATCTACGACCAATCCACAGTAGTGAGAGGGTCGGCGAATACAGCCTTGAACCAAACACTTGAGCCGACGAGCGACAGGAACTCAAGCAGAATCTGCAATTTTTCGGATCTCTGCTCTATCCTCGGCTGTGGTGGTATTTCTCGGTGTCTGCTTGATGATCTTTGCCGGGTTGCCCGCCACGACCGTGTATGGTGCAACGTCCTGGTTCGAACATCAGCATACTTGACCACACTGGAAACAAACATCGCAACTCACCTTTGTCACGACACTACCCGCACCCACTGTGCTACCACGTCCAATCGTCACACCCGGACAAACAACAACATTTCCACCAATCCAAACATCCTCCTCAATGGTGATAGGTTTCCCAGACTCTGGACCATTTGTTCCATCTCTCAAATCAGGATCCAATGGGTGAGTGCCAGAATACAAGCTCACGTTTGGAGCTAGCAGGCTTCTTGCACCGATGGAAACAAGACAGGTGTCGATGATGGTGCAGTTGAAGTTTATGAAAACACCTTCGCCTAGACGGACATTGGTGCCGTAGTCTGCGTGGAAGGGAGCTTCAACCCAGGCGTAGGATGCTAGGAGTTCTTCATCTGCGTCTTCTGTGCTGTCTTCCTTGCGAGGAGGAAGCGGGGTGGTATCGCCCACGATACTATAAAGTCACATTTGAGTATGAAAGTTTCATAAAAGAGAAATATATACTGGTAAATTAGATAAGTCACTTACTCTTTCCACAATTCAACCTGTTGCCTTCTAGTGATTCCCTCGGCTTTGTTGTATGCAGTGCAAGCGCGTGCACATCGGCGACGCTCAGCGACTAGCTCGGGGGTAAAAGCATGATAGAGCTCTCCTCTAAGTGATCTAGCCTTATTCTCTGAGATAGGCATGATGATTCAAGAACAATATGTATAATGCTTCTCTTTGTGTGGGAAGATGAAACGTGGATAGAGAGACAGAGAGATGGCTTGGCAGGACTCCGGATTCAGCCAGGATGCGGGAAGAGACCCTGACCGATCGCCTTGATATTGTTCTCGAAGTTTGGACTTTCTTGCGCATCTGCTCGACTCGCGCGTGTTTCTAGTCCGGGCCAGTGTCTGTACTTCTTTCCTTGACACATCAGCAGTCCAAGATGGCACATCAAGACGACTCAGACACCTCTGCACCTTCGTCTCCCACAGAGCACAACAACAACAACAAAAATGGGGCAGCAACGCAATCACGTACACCCCTTGTGGACCCAACCATCTACCCCGGCAACTCACGTTCCATCTCTGCAATCGCATTACACGCACTCTGCTTAGGCATCGTGTTTGCCTCTTGCAGCATCGCTACTATCCTGCTTGCTCATCACTCACACCGTATCTGGCGCCTTGCCGAATTCATCGCAACTTTGTCACTGTTCCATTTCTTGGAGTTTTGGACCACGGCGAGATACAACACGCATAATGCAAAGGTATCTTCGTATTTGCTGACGAGCAATGGAGGCGCGTATCTCTCTGCCCACGTTGCTGCGATGGTCGAGATTATCATTACCTCTTTCTTCTTCCCTGCTCTCCAGGATGCCTATTCCAATATCTTCACCATCACTGCAGGAGCAGTGCTAGTCATCATGGGACAAGTCATCCGCAGTACTGCTATGGCGCAAGCAGGAGTCAGCTTCAACCACATTCCAGCCAAGAGCAAGAAAAACGACCATGTGCTGGTGACTTCTGGACTTTATTCGTGGTTTCGCCATCCGAGTTACTTTGGGTATTACTTCTTTGCTGTCGGCACGCAGGTTGTGGTTGGAAACAAGATTTGTTTTGTGAGCTACGCCATCATTTTGTGGTTCTTTTTCAAGGATAGGATCACTCGTGAGTTTTGTTCTGGCCCAATTTTTGTTGTGATGGTATGTTTGCTGACTTTTTTGTGCAGATGAGGAACAGGATCTGGTCAAGTTCTTTGGGGACGACTATCTTGCTTATCGCAAAAGTGTTGGTACTGGTATTCCGTTCATACCATAAAGATCTTGAATTGATCAAATCATACACGAGCAAAAGATTAATCAAATCGTGGGGAATTCTACTCGTCCAAGACCTTGAGAGTACAAAATAGTCATACACATCTGATAAATAGGAAAGATCGTAGGTATGCTGGTGTAAGATATAAATGCTATAACAAAACCCATCGCTATGCCATCAAAACCCAAAGACAATCAATCAATCAGAGGCCGTTCGATCAAGGCAGACCACATAAGTTCAGGTAAAGAGCGTTGCGCCAGTGCAGGCTACACAAGGCCTCCAGCCAGGCCTTTAGCCGTGCCCGTCACTCCGTCCGTCTTTTTGGCAACTCCATCAACCCCAGCCTGCTTGGTCACATCTTCCAGCTTGGCTTGCTTGGTGACATTGCCGACGTTTGCATTCTTCCTGATCGAGTCTGCTTGCTCGCCAAAGTCGACTCCGCTGGACTTTGCGCCTTGTAGCTTCCTGGGCTTGTTGCCATTCTGCTTTGGGCTTGCGTCGTCCTTGGCGTTCTGACCAGAGTGGTCTGGGTATTCCTGACGTGCGCCGCCCATGATGAAGTCGAGTCTTCCGCCAGTGAGCGCATTGATCTTGTCACCGATGGCATCGCCTTGTGCTGCGGGTGTCTCGCCCTTGTTGAACCACTTGAGAAGGTAGTATCCACCCATGCCCCACAGGAAGAAGAAGCATGCGGCAAGGGTGGTGAAGAAGACGGTGGGGAAAAGTATGACCAGAGCGACAATGACCATGAAGAGGGTGAAGCCAATGGCGACGAGCAGGCCGACCAGCAAGGCGACGACGAGCGAGAAGACGAAGACGGTAAGAGTAAATAGGATGAACAAGAACATGGGCGGGCCCGTCAGGGCGATGTTGGTCAGGAGGAAGGCCTGGCATATATGTTAGTGTGCGGCTGAGAGGAGTGAATCGAGGTTTAGCACATACCGACAGCTTTGGGTTCTTGACGGCAAACTGCTGGAGCTTGGTCAAGAGCTCCTGGCGGCGCTCTGGCGGAAAGACCGAGTCGAGAATGGACATGGCTTTGGTAGTCATGGTGCTGGCGAGGCCTTCGATGGTGCTCACGATGCCCGACATGGCGAGCAGAGGTGAGAGCTGAGATAGGTAGAGACTAGGTTAGGCAGAACGGCGGGGGACGTGTCTCAGGTGGGCAGGGAGGTGCAACGACGTTTTTGTCCAAGTTGCAGCGTATCTCAGGAAGGAGCAAACACGACTTATCTAGCTTTTACACAGACTACAGGGCAGCTGCTTTGTTACGCAACTCTCGACGGGCCAAACCGCAGCTGCTGGTGCAAGACGGCAGAGAAAGCAGGGTTTCATCTTGTTTGGCAGTCGCGACCCTCACACACACGTCACATGGCAGCGACAGGCTACAGCCCACTCGGCAGCGGCTGGCACGGGCCATCCCGCATGACTCCAGCCCCGGCCAGAAACTGGAGAAGAACGAGTCGCTCGGCGTAAAAAAGTTGGCTCCAAAGATTGTCCGTCGATTGCGAGAGCGCAACCAGACATTCGCATCCACAAAGACACAATGGCCGCCCACGACGACAAAAAGAGGAAGAGAGCTGCCGAAGGAGGTGATGCTCCCAACAAAAAGGCTTCCAGCGCCGCCATCAGCGTTCGCTTCCCGGCACCGCGAGACGAGTTGCACCCCGTCATCGGTATGCGCAGAGTCCATCATTGCAATCTACCGTCATGTCACTGACGCTTGTGTCCAGCTGCTGCACCCGGCCTCAATGTACCCACCGCTCCCTTCAAGCCCTTCGTCAAGGTCACCAACCCCAAGAAAGAAGGCGCCTCGCCCGCTCCCTCTTCACACTCTCTTCTGCTGCACTCAACATCACATGCCCGTCTCGACTTCACCGCACAACACGAGTCCAGCCAGGGTCTGTCCCACTACGTCGCCGTCTACGATCCTCAATCCTCGTCTCTCCAAGTCCTCCCTGCACACCCCGTCACTCTGCGCACCACCCTCCGCGCAGAAGCTCAAGAAGTTGCCGCTCAGAAGGCCGCTCGCACTTTTGCTCAACAGCGCGAGGACCTAGGACAGGCCTTCGGTACAAAGAAGGCCAAGAAGGCTCTTGCTTCCAAGGTCGAGAACGCCATCACAACCAATGCCGACAGGAACCGCGTCGGCGGCAAGCTCGATAACGTCGAGTCTGCCGTCTTGGACAGCGTCAAGGAGGCTTCGGATGCCATGCCCGCCAAACAGGCCCAGCAGGAGGAAATCCTTGCCTCGAAGCCCATCCCCAAGCCCAACCTCAATGCCACCGAGGCCGAGAACGTCTACCCTATCGGCATGCTCATTCCTGCAACAGACATGCGCAACTTGACAGTAAAGGAGTGGCAGGATGCTCAGGGCGAGGACCTCAAGTTGTCTTCACGTTATGTCGCACACCGTGTCAACCCCATCGCTGTTCGTGACGACGTTCAGAGACTCAAGGCTCTCAAATACCTCATGCTCCTGATCGAGTTCAACCTTGCCCTCAAACCAGCAGGAAAGGCCGGCAAGAAGGTGCCACAGAAAGATCAGCTACGAAGCAAGCTGCAAGACTGGCCGGAGACTTTGATCGAGAGTGTCAGGAGGAGGTTCTCGGACAACAACGAACTCAACAAATGGCACATGGACAATCTCATCACACACATGGCCGCCATCTCGCTGTTCATCGATGGCTACAAGACCGACACACACGACTTGCGCGAGGATCTGCGTCTGGAGAACAAGCAGTACGTTTCAGAACCCACCCGTCTATATCTGATCATGCTAACAAAGTCTACAGAATGTCACAATACTTCATGGAGCTGGGCTGCAAAGTCAACAACCCGACCGAAAAGGAGATGGCCGACTTCAAGATACCGAACAAGGCTGTTGCTGCACAACGCAGAGTCGCCAAGTTGAAGCTTCCCCTTGACTTCCCCAAGGTCAGGATGATGCCGCGCAGAAGATGATCGGCCTCTTGCTGTCCATAGTACTGTTCCGATGATCGGTGTGCGAGCATGACAGCCGCCAAAAAACAGACCAATTCCTACAATTTGATACCCCCTAGCTTTTGTCATCTCTTGCTCTCTTCCTCTCGGCTATTCTTGTTCTGTATGTCTACTCATAACTTGTTTCATGTCTCCAAATCATCCTGACCATAATCATGATTTGGGTCAGGGTCGTACCTCTCTCATGTGCTTGAATCATGTCCGACGACATGCTGCAGCAACCATGCCGGAAATTCATATTTATATACTGTGAAGCAACAAAGTTGATATTTTCTCATCTTATGGCTTCTTCAGATGGTCAATTTGCGACTCACTGTCGCTACGAGACGCGAAAATGAGAATTCAGACCTCGAATTTCGAGTTGTTCGCTGTGTCCAGCTTATTTCTTCACGGTAAATCTTGAACTGCACAACAGTGATACCATTTCTCGAATTTCGACTTTGATCTGGGTTTGAAACAGGCAGATATCAACTTCAGACTCTATTGATACTGGTGATATATAGTTTGATGAATGAGTCAGACTGTGATGCTGACGGCGACTCGGCAAACCAAGGGTCAGGGTTTCTCTTGGAGCAACATCTCGGTCTTTCGCTACGTTGTTATCCCGATCGTCTTTCTTGCGTATTCAGCGGTCACGCTGCTGGAACGCCGATGTTTCTGTAAGACGCGAAAAAATGTAAGAAATCTTGGTAAGCCGTAGAAAGTGTTTGTCGTTTGGTCATAGGCTTGTACTGAGCAGGCCGCTTTTGAGCCAAGAGGTAGTGCTAGCTATAAATATACATTTTCAATCCTGAGCACTGTACTTGTCCATCTCCTCCTGGCACTCCTCTGTCCATGGATGGTCTCGGCCGAAGTTGGATATGTGGTAGTCCAGGACGCCTTGTTGCAATTCCCTTGCTTTCTCCTTGTCGCCTTGGGCATTTGCGATTGAAGCCAAGCCCGCTATACTTCGTTGAGTGCAGTCATCTTGCAGCCCAAACTTGGCCAGACTCGTCTGATAAGCAGTATTTTGTAGCTGCCATGCTTCTTGTACACGTCCCTGCAAGAGGTATATGTGCGCGAGGCTATGGGAAGATGTCAGGGTGTCTGCATCATCTGGGCCGCTGATTTTGGTATACGCTTGCACTACTTTTTCGTACAGAGGGGTGGATTTGTCGTATTTGCGCTCGTTTTGGTAGTAGATGGCCAATTGCTCCATGCTTTCTATCGTGTCGGGATGCAGTTTACCCAGAGCTTCCTCCCTCTGGGCTAGCACTTCCAATTGCAGTTTCTCGCATGCATCGTCTTGACCCTGGCCAGATAAAATCATGCACAGCTCATGTGTACTGCGGAGTGTATCCGGGTGCGTGTCTCCTAGTGTTTCTCGTCTAGTGGAGATTATGCTGCGTTGTAGTTCCTCTGCTTTTTCCCATTGTCCGGCGAATTGGTGGCCGAGACTGAGGTCGTGGAGGGCTTCTAGTGTTTCGGGGGCGCTGGTACCGTGGGCACTTCGACATTGTTCGACTTGTTGCTCAAGGGCGGAAAGCTCCCATGGGCTTTTGGCATCGCCGCGGTCGGCGGTGGTGTCGGCATCGTTTTGTTGAACAGTGACAGCCTGGTCTGGCTGGGCGACGCGCGATGCTTCAACGTGAGATGTCATGGTATATGTGTGTTCAATATCGTGTCCCGGGTAAGTGGGCTACGAGATGAGATAAGGACAGGACGTGAAGGATCACTTTACCTCGTATACTTCGTTAGCCTCTCCACGTTCGTATATCGAGGCAGCAGTCATGGATGGAGATCTCTCTGCAGGCAACAGTCCTGATGACTGTTACCAGACCTAGTATATCTCTTTGCGAGGACTACATCGTGGTATCACTGATGAACCACGAAGGCTTCCAGGCAGGTCGATGCAGTGACTCGGGACTCGCTATAGAGGCATCCGAACACTTCCGACAGCCCCACAACACTGCAACCTCACCCCACTTCCACCCTGGTGCGGAGAGAAGGCCTAATCACCTTCTCCAACCTCCTCTCTTGATTGTCTTGTTACTCTCTTTCGTGTTGGACATCGTCTCAATCAGTCCGGTCAGTCTCTCTGCAGGCTTTTCCTCTAGCATCGGAACTGCGTCCCAACATCGCGCATCTACAGGTAGGCTGGATAGAACGATATGGCCAGCATGACTTCGATGTACATGACATCCCCGTCAGTGGCACATCTATACCGGAGGTGAGGTACAGTAGTCTAAGCCACCTTAAAGAAGATCGTCACTTCGCTACTCCGTTTCCCCCTCTGCCAAGGTGACCATCTTCTCTTGGTATGGAGCTTCATCACGTCGGCCGGCTGCACAATCACGTCTTGCATCTGCCGGCAACAGCTACTTAACGTGCTTGTCGCCCACCGGCTTTGAAGCTTGAACTCACCGTCTTTGATAACTACGATGAAGTCCGCACTCTCGGTCAATGCTCTTTTTGCATTGGCGGCTCCTGCTGCGGCGTATACTTCTTTGAGCTATACCAATGTCTCTGACCCTTACTATGGACAGAGTCCGCCTGTGTATCCTTCTCGTGAGACTCGAATCCCACCAAGGAAACTAAGCCTGGTACTGATATGACTTGCAGCTGTCGGCAATGGATCGAGTAGTACCCAATGGGTCAATGCTTACGCCCAAGCACGCGACCTTGTCTCTCAAATGACCCTGGAAGAAAAGGTCAATGCCACTCGCGGCTTCACAGGCACCTGCGTTGGCAACACTGGCGCCGTGCCTCGTCTAGGAGTCAAGCCTATGTGCCTTGCCGACGCCCCAGACGGCATTCGCGGCCAAGAGTTCGTCAGTGCTTTCCCTGCTGGCATCCACGTTGCTGCCACTTTCGACAAAGACCTCATGTTTGCCTACGGTCGTGCTTTGGGTGAGGAGTATCGTGGTAAGGGTATCAATATCGCTCTTGGACCTGTTGCTGGACCGCTTGGAAGAGTTGCTAGAGGAGGCAGGAATTGGGAAGGTCTTTCTGCGGATCCTACTCTTGCTGGTGCTGGTATGGGTGCTATCACTCGAGGAATTCAAGATGCTGGCGTTATCGCTACTGCAAAGGTACGAGATGATATGGTCGTAGGAATGCTCTGATGCTAAACAATCGTCAGCATTGGCTCCTCAATGAACAAGAGTTTCGCCGCAATCCCGCTCTTGGGCAAGGCGAATGTGAGTTTCTCCGTCTGAGAAGCCCAACACATCGAGGCTGACATATTTTTTTTTTTCTTTAGCTATGTCTTCTAATGTTGATGACAAAACTCTGCACGAGCTCTATGCGTATCCGTTCATGGACTCTCTGCGCGAGAACGCCGGAAGTGTAATGTGCAGTTACCAACGCGCCAACAACTCTTATGGATGCCAAAACTCCAAACTCCTCAACGGCATCCTCAAGACTGAATTGGGCTTCGCCGGGTTCGTCATGTCGGACTGGGAAGCACAGCACTCGGGAGTAGCATCTGCGAATGCTGGACTGGACCTGATCATGCCAGATGGAGGCTTCTGGGGCGGTAACCTCACACAGGCAGTCAACAACGGCTCTGTTACTGTAGACCGACTGGATGACATGGTCACTCGTCAATTGGCAGCATTCTTCTATGTCGGCCAGGGCGACGGCTACCCTGCTGCAGCCGTGCACAGTAACCTTCAGCTCCAGGAACCGGTCAACGTACAAGCTGATCATTCAGATCTGATCAGAGAAATTGGCGCTGCAGGCACCGTCCTTGTCAAGAATGTCAACAGTACTCTGCCTCTCAAGAACCCTCGTTTCTTGTCCATCTACGGCTATGATGCGACCATTAAAGCGAACCCTTGGGAGAATCCAAGCAGATACGGTGGCGGCTACGAAGTGAACTTCGGTTGGGACACCTTCAATGGCACAATGATCACTGGTGGAGGTTCTGGTGGCAGCACACCTCCCTATGTCATCTCACCCTTCCAAGCCATCCAAGAACGCATCGCCAAAGACAAGGGAACTCTCCGTTGGGACTTTTACTCAGAGAATCCTTCTCCACCTTATGTCAACACCGACGCTTGCTTGGTCTTTGTCAATGCTTACGCGTCCGAGAGCTTCGACCGCACAACATTGGCTGACGAGTTCAGCGACAACCTGATTACGAATGTAGCCGCGAATTGCTCAAACACCATAGTCGTCATCCACAGTGCTGGTATCCGCGTTGTTGACTCCTGGATTGACCACGAGAACATCACTGCTGTCCTTTTCGCCGGTCTACCCGGTCAAGAATCCGGACACTCTCTGACAGACATTCTTTACGGTGACGTCTCACCCTCTGGTCGTTTGCCTTTCACTGTCGCCAAGAAGGAAGAAGATTACGGCGGTTTGCTCAACTCGACAATATCCTTTGATCCTCACCCCCAATCCAACTTTTCAGAAGGCGTGTATATCGATTACCGACACTTTGATCTCTACAACATAACCCCTCGCTTCGAGTTCGGCTTCGGATTGTCTTACTCAACCTTCAACTATTCTGCCTTACACACCGCACGACTCACCGATGGAAACGTGTCAGAATACCCTGACCCCTCCATAGCCATTGTCCCCGGCGGCCACCCCCAACTTTGGGACGAGATCTTCTCTGTCACCTTTGACATTACAAACACTGGAGACGTGTTCGCTCATGAGGTTCCTCAAGTCTATGTGGGCATTCCTGATGCTCCGAAGAAACAGCTTCGGGCCTTTGAGAGGGTGGCGTTGAGGCCTGGGCAGAAAAAGAGGGTTAGTGTCCCTTTGACGAGGAGGGATTTGAGTGTCTGGGATGTGGTGGCGCAGGCGTGGAAGCTACAGAGGGGAGTGTATGAGGTGTGGGTTGGGCAGAGTAGTAGGGATGTCAAGTTAGAGGGTAGTCTTACTGTTTGAGATTCGTAGTCGTATGAAAGACCATCTCGGTGCTGTTTCTTGCGGATTTTTGATGTCTACTTCCTTACCCACCTCTGCCACTCTTTCTCACCCTCCACACCCCAGACTACCTCCTTCTCGTTGTCCATTGCTGTAAATCCCAACTTCCCCAATATCCCCGCACTACCCACATTCTCCACTTCTGTCTCTGCGATAAATCTCTCAGCCCCAAGAGTCTGTTCGCACCATCCCATTACTGCTTTTGCAGCTTCTGTGCCATATCCCTTGCCCCAATGTTCAGGATGAAAACCATACCGCAATTCTATCATTTGCTGCCATGGCTTTGTAGTTGGCTGGGCGGTGGAAGTTGCGTCGCGCACACCCACATAACCTATCCATTGCGCTTCTTCCAACTGCAACTCAGGCGCGTCTAGAACATTCCACTCTTCTTCACCGCTTTGCTGTTCTGTGGTGCGCGATGGCAATAACCCCACGCCAAAATCTCCCATGCTCCTTACTTGCCATGATCTCTGCACTTCGCGGGAGATTATGGGGTGAATGGTTGAGGTATCCCAATCTTTCACACCCCACGCAGCTCCAAAAGCCATGGTTGTGAAGTCTGACATGCGGTGCAGAGATGAGTATAGGTCTCTATATGCGAGGTTGTCGAGGAGAAGGAAAGAAGGTACGATTATCAATCGTGAAGATCGGATTGCGAAGGACTTAGGGTTTGCCATCTCCAAGGGGTCTGGCGGACCTAGAAGGGGATGCGAGTAGGGCTTGAAGGATTGACAAGATGCTCAGGGAAGAGCTAAAGGTTCGACTGGAGTTGATACTGTTTAGATACGGCTAAATGTCGGTGGAGGAGATTACCCGGTTCGGTCACCGCAGTGTAAGATCTCGTGGTCGGAGCTCCGTCCTAGTTTTATGCCTCAATCTCTTATACTTGAGTGTGATATAATGCTGTACCGAGTAGCTTGACATAATACAAGTGTTAGCAACGAATTGTGCTGCACGGGATAAAGCCATCGTATCCGGAAAGAGCTACTTGTCCGAGGCTTGGGAGAAGGTTTTACCGAATGCCGGTTCCACGTCAAAGCTTCGCTATAGCACCGTGTCCTATATGTCTATGACCACAATTGCCGATTGTCCTCGTATGATCTGGCTATGCAACTGTATGATTCTATGAAGGACAGATCCCGATCTCTGTATGTACTTGACTAAACAAGGTGGGCGGGCTTGGCAGGCATCTTGTGCTTCAGCTCTTGCAGGGTTCCTGAAAATCCCTTCCAATCAAGGCATGTCGAGATGTCTCTGCAACATACAAACCCGGCTAGAACAGATTGCCTTACCCCTTTACGGCACTTCAAGAGCTCTTTTGCTCTCCCTTCTCGGCTTTCCGATCTGTCACAACTGGAGAAAAATCTCATGGATGGTCCAGATGCAGTCCTGAACCGAATTTTTGGGCCGCACCTGCAGCAGAGACACATGGCCAAGACCGTCGTTCTCGCATCCTCAACATCATTCCGATGAACGAAAATTCGTAGAACTGTCTCGTGGCTTTCGGTGGACACTTGGCGTCGCCCACTCGCGGCTGGGAGGCAGACCAACATTCGGTTCGTGTGGCGAAGCAGCGGTTCGTGGACAATGAACCGCTGGACATGTCCGACGTCTTCTTCAAGATGACAAAGTCGGCGCATTCTAGCCAGCATCTAGAGCTTAAGCCGTGGAGCTGAAGTCTGTGAGACGTGCTCGATGCTATGGTCGACATGAGTCGGTCGATATCCTTGAGCGAGAGCTGACAGATCGTGAATTTGGTAAATGGTTTAAAGAGGCACTTGGTATCGTCTTCGGAAAAATATTCATCATCGCCCTGAGATCTCTCAACTCAACATCTACATCCAATTGGGAGCAAGATGCATTCTGCTATCCTGATCGCTGCATTTGCGGCTTACACCTGCGCTCAGAATCTCGATGCTGATGCCATTGCTCAAGCCGATCCCGTTCCTACACCTGACATTCCGGTTGTCTATTCCACGAGTTTCGACTATGCCCTCCCTACTGCAACTGTTATCGCTGAGACCATCGCTTACGATGCCTCTGCCGCAGCAGCATCTGCTTCGGCTGATGTCGCTGCCGAAGTCAACGAACCTCAACCTACGGGTGCAGTCCTGAAACGTGACGACGCATCTTGTGCGGCTCTCCAAGCTAAATTCGGAGACGTCTATATCTCGCCCGTCAGCCAGCTTAATTACACCATCAAGTGTGGCTTCGACTACAGTGGTTATGACCTCGCAGCAGTTTCGGGTTCCTCCTTTGCCAACTGCTACGACAAGTGCGATGGCTACCCTGGATGCGTCAGCTTCTCCTTCGCTGGAGGTTCTGGTGCCGGTACCTGCTACCTGAAGAGAAGAGGTGCCAACACTGCCAACGCCAATGGCGGTGTTAGTGGAGGTGCACTGGTCAACATGCCTACTCTCGCCGCCAATCTCTGTGTTGCCCAACCCACCGGTATTTCGCACACATCTTCTCCAGATTCTGACCAAGCTTTCCTTGCCGACAAATACTATTCGGACGCCGCTATGGCAGCTTCTCCTCCTGCAGGATACACCGAAGCCTTCAAGAACCTGACGGCATCCAATAATGCTCTTGGGTACCTAGGTTTCAGTTTGTTGAGCTCTTACGACACCGCTGTCTGTGCTGCCCGCTGTGACAAAGTGAATGGATGTCAGGCCGTGAACATTTACTTTGAGAGAGACCCTTCAGGTAAGTAGACTCGCTCCAAGCTACAGGAGACATACTAACAGTCTTCAGTCGATCCAAACGATGCGTCATGCTCAGACCCTACCTCATACGCTCAAATCAAGGTGAATATCGTCCTTGTCTAGACTCATAGAAGCGATACTGACGTTTTCCAGTGCGTGTACTGGGGAGGCCCCGTGTCCCAATCCAATGCTTTGAACTTTGGACAATATCGCAACAAGTTCCATGTGGTTATTGCGGGCAGCAACGGCTACGTCAACCGCTCCATTGACACGCCCGCTGGCTACACTGCCCCAACTTACCTTGGAAACTCAATCATCAACGCACCCAAGACTGATTGCGCCGACTACCCCAATCAACTCCAAAATTTGCTTTGGCCGACCGGTCCTTTCGATGCTGGACGCTGCGCGGCTGCGTGCTCAGCTTACAACGCCAACCTGCCTACTGGTAGTGTGGCTCAGACTTGTCAGTTCTTTAACACATACATCCTCAAGGGCAATGGAAAGGACGCCGGACAGTATTGCGCTCTCTACCAACAAGCTTTCCCTTCGTCGGCCTCGACCAGCTCAAGCGTTGTCATCAATGGTGTTACTTACACATACGGATACTCTTACACCTTCACCAATGCCACTTCGGCCGGCGGTCCCGCTATCCCTTGTGCGGTCGCCTCGGCTTCGAGGATCATCGGCTCTTCCACTCTTCAAGGATTCTGCTCCACGCTGCTGGGATTTAACGCACCTACCTCCACATCGACAGTGATCGTCACCCCAACGAGCACCGTTCTGTCCACCGTCGTGCCCGTCGCGAGCTCCGTTATCAGTACCAAGGTCACCACCACATTTGTCGCCACCTCGACACGCGTGCCTGCGAAGCGTGCAGAGCAGCTGCAGACCCCATCAGCTCTTTCCTTCCCTGCTTCCGTCATCACAGCAGCCTGCAGTCTTCAGGCTTCAAGTGCTACCACGACTGTCCTTACCACAACCACATCCACAGCCTCTACTGTCTTGTTCACCAGCCTGACAACCGCTACCGCATCCACCACCACTATCATCGTAACCAGCACAGCCAAGGCGACGGCTACAGCCAACCCCAACGGTTGCTCCCAGCCCAATGTCTGCAAGTCCGATCAGAAGGTCCCGACATACTCCTGCCCTGGTCAAGGCAAGAGCGGTCTTTGCGCCTGCGGTACCGATGCAGCGGGAGTCAATGTCTGCTACGCCGCTGACGATTGTACAAAGCAATGCAAGAAGACCAGCGATTGTGACAACTTTGGAAAAGTGGCCATGGTTTGTGTTTACAACACTTGCTGCGACAACAATGGCTCGCAGAGCTCGGGCATGGGCAATTGTATGCCTGCTAGCACCACTTGCATGAATGCTGGATCTGCTAGCAGAATGTTCAAGCGTGGAGAGAGAAAGTTTGGACCTGTGGTTAGGAGACAGGAGGTTACTGAGCAGGATGAGGAGTGTACGGCCTTGTCTTGCCCTGGTACCTGGGTGGATGAGACCACTGGTGTTGTTGTTCAAGGCATTGATGCTCAGCTGTAAACCGATGTTGGTCGTCCATGTTGATAAGACTTGCTGCGATGGTCACGGTTTCAGATAAATACAATCTTTGAGTTCGTCTTCAAAAGTGTGTTGTATTCAAGCGAAGTACGTACTAAGTCCTCAAGCCTCGCACTTGCCCTTTGATTACCTTGATCAATAGAGCTCATTGAAACGGAGCAGTGAACGAGTTCGTATGTGTATAAATTGCAACCTCTCACGAATACTTGGCCACAAACTCCGCAACAGCAGCATCAACCTCCTCAGGATGACTAAACGACAAAAAGTGCTGCCCACCCTCCACAACCCTGAGCTCTGCATCCTTACTCCCCACAAACATCTCAATCTCCCTTTTTGCATTGGCAACCGAATACACCACATCTTTCGTGCCATGCAGCCACAACACCGGACACTTTACATCCGCCAATCTGCCATGCAAACCATCTCTATCCCTCAAATTGATCGTTGCCATTCTAGCTCTCTTGCGCCCTTCCTCGCCGATATAGTTTGCGGCAATTTCGTTGCGCCAGAAGTCTCGTACGGAGGAGTCGCAGTCTTTGCCGAAACCGATGTCGATGAGGAAGTCGGCGAAGGAGTTTCCTGGGCGGAAGGAAGAGTCGGAGGGGTTGCTCCAGGCGTCGATGGTCGGTGTTAGGTCCGAGGGTGCGTCCCAGCAACCCAGTTCGCGGGTCTTGGGAGATTCAAAGTCGAGGCTTGTGCCGAGGGGGATGATGCCGGTGATCTGTGTTTTGGTGGTCAGGTATGTTTTTCTTGCTTGGTCATGTGGATGGAAGGGGTTGTTTACCTTGTCAGGGGCCAGTAGAGCCATACGCACAGTGATCCAACCGCCTTGACTGGTTCCGAGTACGAAGACACCTTTGCTTTGATCGATTTTGCCCTGCTTCTCTAGTTCCTGCAGAACTTGAATGTTCATCCATGCTGTGTCCCAGTAAGTCCAGTTTTCAACTTTACAGCGCGTTTGGCCGTGACCCAGCAACTCAATTGCGAGGAGGTTCATCTCGGAGGTGAGGGTTTTGTTGGCATATTGTGTTTTGTAGAGTTCGGATGAGGTGGTGAAGGAATTGACCAGGACCAAGGTGGGCTTGGAGGTGTCCAGGCCGGGAGTCTGATAGGAGGCATCGATGCCGCCGAGATGGGGGACACGGATGATTGAAGTGTTAGGCATTGTTCAGGAAGTTGTTCTTAAGTTCGGAAGTTAGAGGATCTGGAAAGCGAAGGCTGCAGAAGGACTTTTGGTATCTCTTATGTCAATGCGAGTTCCATTCATCCGTGGAGAGCATCTTAGGTGTAAATCGTGTAATCGGGTATTGATGTCTTCTAGAGGTGGGGAGATGTTATTGATACAAGCACCGAGAAGCGGGGGTGCATGACGGGGTATTGACGTGCCTGCCTATGTAGCAACCCTTGTACCTCGTTGACGTGAAATTGCCAAGTACGCTCGCTGGATATGGCATCCGTTCGACCATAGCCATGGCTCCCGAGTAGATATGTGTTCCATCGTCCATGAGCAAGCTCAGTGTCGAAGTATGAGATCCAGTCCGAGGCGACGGCTATGACATTGTTGTATGTGTTGTCATGAACACAGCGAACCTCCACATTGTCTACCTCGCCGTATTCAACTTGGGACTCATTGTAGCCAGGATTCACGCGATCTGGTTTGACAAGCTTTTGCAATGAACAAAGTCCACAGATCATAATCGATCATCTGTCGCGGAAATGGATTTCGAAAGCGTTGTCGCATGACAGGGTTTGACGAGATTTCCAAGCCTCAACACCCCGATATTCAGCGCATTGCCGTACGTCCTCATCTTATGTCTCGAGGTGAATAGTGGCGTTAGATAGAGGTGTCAGTCGACAGAAAACGAGTTTTGTCCAGGATTGGGTCTGCGGCTCAACATATCCGCGGCTCAACAGTCGTAATCCGGCCGCGAGAAGAGATGGGTAATTGCCGGAGCGGAGCTACGCAACAGACCATTTCTGAGCTGAGTCCATCCACTGACTTCAGGATGATTTCAATATCTCAACTGTTTGTGGCCTTGGCAAATGGAGCTTTGGAGCTCACATTAACTATAGCAGTTCAAGCGGGCTTTCAGACTTCTGCAGGTGCGTCTTCCGAAGGTCATGTCGGACCTTCCGAGCACCTCTGTTCGACTCGATGCAGCTGCGACAAAGGGTTCGAGACCGACACCACTTGCAGGACTTGTCTAACATGTTACCGATGTCATCAATGTCTTTTCGTTGTTGGTGAATTCTGCTTGCTTGCTGGTCCCTGCGCGATTCAGCGCCTTCGGATCGTCCCGAATCCCCGGTGGCCGCTTTTCCTCATCCCTGGAATTCTCTACCGTCCGTCAACAGAACGACACGCCCACCAGGTACCGTATGCCGTATCGTCATCTCGCATTGCTCGGTATCGACGCGTCTACAGAATTGCACAGGACGAGATTCTTGTCTCACCAACATCTTCTGCAAGATTTACAGATACAGCGATTTGGCCACCGTCTGACCTTGTCATGGAGCTATTGCATGATCGCTACGAGATGATAGTCTGTCTATCCTGATCCCAAGCTGGCGGTACTCACAATCTTTGCTTGCTCTGGCGGCTGGCCTATGTTGATCTGCCCATCTTCTGATGCGACTTCCCGATGCGCATGAGCGTATGCCGTATATGCGGGACCGATCATCTGCTTCCCCACGAAGAGGCATCGACTCCATGGAAAGAGCAGCCTGACACGACATTTCTGACAGGCCAAAGACGACTTGAGTAGCTTTCCAAACTACTTGGAGAGCAAAGCCGCCAACTTGAGCATACGAGTCATCCCTAGACGGCACCAGTGCTTGGCAGGCAAATTTAGCGTCTTCAGACCCTGGAGCCAAGCTTCATCTCCAGACCCGAAAGCGACAATCCCTCTCGAAGAACAACAACCCAGCCTAACGGAAGGTTTCGATAGGCATCTTGACCTTTTCGGGTCGAATACAACTGCTCGGTCAATTAGCAAGATGGACAGGAGTCATATCCCTTCCAACTTGGCGTCAGAGCTCGATTCATCAGTTTAATCGACAGTCAAACGTGGATGCATCTCGACTTTGAACTCTCAACTTCGACGTTTCGGCGGATACCCTATGACTCGCATCACCTTGCCTTTCGTCAATCAGTACTATGCTCCCCACGAAAGCTCCCCTCATTATGTTAATTTCAATAGATGTCTGCGATGACAGAGAGGTCGCTGCAAGTTGCCAGGAAACAGCACAACACTCTGAAGTTTCCTACTGCAGTGCGCTTTCACGCCGTTGAAACGGACTGAAAATCATCCCCGTCATGGCACCATCCGGGCTTCATCCCGCGCGCCAACTCTGTCGTCGGACCATCTCCCGAATACCTTAAAGGAACTCTGTTCATGAATCATTTCGATAACTTCCTACTCTCGACCACTCAGGAATCACGAATTCTCGGCCGTGAATTCCTCGTCGAACGATTCGCAGGAACTGCCGATGTTTACCGTCTCCGACGGCGTCTGCGCCAAACGATGATCCTGTCCGTCGAGCCTCATCTGAAACTAGATGAGTCTCGTTGTGATGGATCTCGGTTGACAAATCTGGCACCGCCATACTTTATTATGTTACACTGACTGATTCATCTGGACCCATCCAGCTATCTGCCTATAGATACCTACCTGTTCCCTTGGTCTGAACTTGTGTCCTCTCAGACCTGTCTTTCCCCACCACCCGACCATTTATCTGGAGCCGTCAACATGGCAAGTCAGGCACAAATCGCTCAGATTATGGCCCTGGTTGAGTCGGGCATTCCATTGAACGAAATTCCTGCTGGTCGCCCACCGGTTGGCCAGGTATCTCACATCCACAATGCGGTTGGCAGAACACATATGATCACGACATGCGACATTATCTGCATTATTATCGTTTGCACTGTCGTTGCTATGCGATTTTATACCCGCGTTCGTCTTCTCAAGAGCCTATGGTGGGACGATTGTGAGTTTCCTTTCGCAATACCACACAACTCAAATGCTAACAACAAGCAAAGGGTGCACATTATTCGCTCTTGCATGCTGGCTAGGTGAGACTGGATTGTTCCAATACGCCTGCAAGTTCGGAGCCGGCAAGCACATTTACGACATCACTGTCGCGGACCTCTACCCCAATCTACTACGTGGATGGGTCGTTTGCGCGATCATGTACAGCATTACCATGCTGTTCTCCAAAATGTCGATCCTGTTACTTTACCGCCGCGTGTTCCCCATCAACAACTTTGCCAAGCGATGGTGGGCTGTCGTCGCCTTCACAGTCGCCTATTCGCTCGGAGCTATATTCGCATCCTTATTCCAATGCCGACCAATGGAATCTGCCTGGTCAGTAGAAGCCCGAACATAGGTCAAGTTCGTTTCTCTAATAGTGATTGCAGGAGTATTGACATCACTCCAGAATACTGCATCAGCACTGAAAAGTTCTACACCGCCAACGCTGCCTTGAACGTCGTATCTGATATTTTGATCCTTCTACTACCTGTACCCATTGTCTGGGGTCTCAACACCGACGTCCGCAAGAAGGTCATCCTCACTGGTCTCTTTTCGATGGGTAAGCGCGACAAAATCATTGACATATCAAAACTCTCCATGACTAACACTGCAATACAGGATCCATCTCTTGCCTTGTCAGCATCCTCCGTATGCGTTCCATCATCGTCTTGTATAAGTCTGGCTACAGCGATTTGACCTGGGGACTTGTGGAAGTCGTGCTATGGTCGCAAGCCGAACTCACGGCAGCCATGATCTGCACATGCACCCCTTGTCTTCGACCACTATTCGAGAAGATCATTCCCGCATTGCGTTCGGCAACCTCGAGAAAGGGTACACATGGAAGTAGCACTGGAGGATACATCCGCACAGGCGACTCCGGACACAAGAGCTCGGTGAGCAAGTCAAAGTCGATTTCGGATATCGAGATGGATGCTGGGATTCGAAAGAAAGTCACTGTTGATGTCAGTGCGCTGGGGTCTGACAGTGATAGCCAGAAGAGCATTATCCGGCATCAGGCGTGATTTGGAGTGACGAGGCACTCAAAATATCACTTCAAGGAGAAAGACAAAAGTGATCGGAGCACCATCATTCCTGACGTATGTCGGTTGCCGCTTTCTGAGCGAGGAACAATGCATATGATTTGGCATTTTCGCCCGCCCATCGACTACTATCATTACCAGACAAGTCAGGACGCGGATTACGACTAGAACTGTGAGGACATCGAACAGCGTCGCCTGCATCTGACCAACAACTTCTCAAGAGTAAGGTGATGCATCTGCAGGACCCATGATGGTTGTTTGCAATGCCAACAATCCGACTCTTCCGGATGCATATTGCAGGATGTACCTAACCCAGGAGGCTCTTCACGGTAACACCGTCATTACTAAAGAGCTCGTTATAAGCTGCAAGTCCAGCAACGATACCCACTGTTTAGGATAATAACTCTATCCCACCAACCATCGGCATCCTGTACCATGTGTGATGTACAAAGCAGTGAACTTCTTGGATTGTCGATCGAACGGTGCGGCAGGATGCGCCGTTACTCTCAACGAAACATTGAGAATCACAACAGACCGTTTGCGCATTTGACCTTGCAGAAAGCTCGAGAATGTAGAGATCTGTGTCGAGATCGTGATTCGCTTCTTCGGGAGATAGGAATGTAATCAGCTGAGTGACGGAATAGCTCTTTGGGAGGTCGAGATCATGGCGCGGTGTTACTGGTAGATCGTCGGCCAGCGAGAGATTTCCGCAGAACAGATGTGCTGTATACAACCGCATCAGCGACAACGGATGGAATTGCTCAAGGAGCATTGCGTGTAAGGGTTCTCGATGTCTCCCGATCTTGTGAATGGTCTTGCGGACATGGAGACTATCGGGTCTGATTGCCATATCAAAGCTTGATCTTTCGGCGCCAGAATCCGGTGCGAATCAGTTTCGACGACCTCGAGATCACCCAGGTCGCTTTGCTGTGGATTGTGAAACATATGGACTGTTGGATAAGCACGCCTGTTGTGTATCTTGATGCTCAGATTCTCAAGAAAGGAGGTCCGATGCTCAGATTCTCAAGAAAAAGCTTCAGATGCCGGCATGAACAAGCAAGGCAAGACACCGGAAACGCTCCACCTGCTAGAAGAGAACGACGGCAGTTGCTGAGAAGGATGATAAAGATCAGAGCTGTGAAGATCCGACTTTGACGGATAGTGTCTCAGCAACCCATGGTGATAGAAATGGCGAAAGGCAGGACCGGAGAAACAAAGTTGCGGCCGGGAAAGTTTGCTTGTTTGACTAGGCAATTTATGTTCCGAGAAGGCGATTGCATGTATCGCAGACACTTGGCCTACTATCTCAATCAGTGAGGTTGTCGTATTTTTCTCGAAACTGGACGCTATTTATATCGTCGATTCCGGATATCCGGAACGCTGTAATGATTAAGTGTATCCTACATGCAATCATACCCAGGATCCGTCAACTCAGCATACCTGCACCAAACCGGATCCTTGTTCAACTTTTCAAAATGCTGCATCTCCATTCCAACCGCAATCTCCATACCCAGATGCTCCGGTTCACCTCTGGTGATCTGCGGATAGATCATACTGAGACCGTTAAACAGTCCTCCAGTGGGGAATCTGACTCTTTCGATTTGACCGATTGCAGGGCCAAAGTCAAGATCCAGAATGTCGAGTTTGTACCATGTGGAGGTCATGCAGTCGGTGGTGAGGAGGGAAGGGAAAGACGTCCATGCGAAGTGGCCATAGCCGGGGATGTTGTTGAGTAGAGTGACAAGGGACTCAGTGTATGCGGGTGTGCGTTGGTCTACTTGGTCTCTGATCGCGCGGGCCAGAGGAGCAAGAGAGGTGGTGCTGCAGAGCTCACGAAGATTCATGCCTGGTCGGGCGTAGTTCATCGGGCATCCGGGGTAGTGCTTTGAGAGTGGTGGGCTGGAGCGTAGACGTAAGTCGACAACGACGACGTGGTGGGACATGGCATCTTCAGGGAGGGTATCGAAATCGGCTTGAGCACGGATGATTGAGCGCCACATGAGTGCTGTCGCTGCGTCATTTGTCGAGATCCAGGAGTCGCCAGACTCGGTGCAGTCGTTCTTGAGTTCAGCCAGGGCTTTAGGTGAGAGGCGGTAAACGCGTTGTCTGTGTGTAGTCCTGAAAGCTGTCTCGGGCCAAGAGAGAGTGAAGGGGGCGACAATGAACTCGGGATGCTTTTCAGGATTGCCAACATCTGCCGTTGACTCACGAGTAGTGATATGAGCAGATCTCTCGAATTGTGCTGCAGGAAGGGAACAACGTGCTGGCACGGCTCCATCCTGTACGTGTCGACAATTCTGTGCCCACACTCTGAGAATCTCGTTGATAGCTTGAGCATCGTAGATTGTGTGATGGCTGTGAAGAGTGAGAATAAAACCTCCATTGATGATGTTCAGTTGAGGAATCCAAGCAGGCTGGTTCTCTCCCGGCCGAGGGAATACACCGCGGGCGCAAAACACATCTGGGTCAAGTCGTGATTGAGGAAACTTTTGTTGTCGCAATTCCTCGTATGAGAAACCAGTGCCTCGAACGTCCTTGACAACCAGATAGCCAAAATCACCATGTTTGAGAGCCACTCTTCCAGTCGGGGTCTTGCCATCCTCAACTGGCACAAACTCGCAAGCCAGCGATGGAATGGCTTCGAGGGTCGGCTTCAGGGCTCTGCGGAGGATTTCGACAACTTCCATCTGATCCACACCCTTGACCGCAGGGAACAAGAACATGGGTCGTGTGTAGCCACGGGGATTGGCCTGCTCGAGATAGGAGAGCTCCAGAGCATGTGCAGGCGGGCTGTTGAAGTTGATACTGTCGATGATCTCGGACACGGAGGTGCTCATGGACTTGAGAAGATAACCCGGATGCGAGATAGCATTGGCTGAGGGTAAGATAGTGTCCATGATGAGTGGTCTGAGTGACTGTTGGAAGGTAAAATGCCGAAGGTAGATGCAAGGCTGGGAACTTTTATACTTCCAAGGTTCAACACTCCAGGCCACGAAAGATTGTCATAGCATTCTCAACAACACAGACCCCTCCTATTCCTGTCTTGTAACTTAGCGAACATCTATATTGCAAGTTCATTTGGAGTGGACCCTCTGGTGATCAAGCTTAGGCCACCCCCAGAGTCGCGCTGCGACCTAATAGACAAAACCCACAAGTTTTTGACGGTGCGGAATTGCTCTGAGACATGGCCAGCATTCAGAATGGTCACAATTCTGTTGTTGAGGAGACCTGTTCTGTTGGAGTTCAAGGCGAAAGGGTAGAGCTTTTGTATGCATAAGTTTGTGCACCGCACTAACGGTCAAAAAGGGAGATATGAATGAATTCTGGGGTATTATGTAAATATGAAAAATCGAGATCGCTTACACGGTTGCGTCGCTGTTCGCAGGCTTGATCGCTTCCATTGTATGCGATGGGGCGCGGGAAACATCAGTGTCGCTATTGCTGTGATCGTGCCCACTCGACAGATCTTCTTTCGGCTCATTCTCTAGAGGCTCGTCCTCTTTTTCTTCCTCCGTCGGCTCCGGTCTGCTGGGCGACGTCGGTGCGAACTTCGACTTCTCACGGATCGGTCCTCCGTATTTGTAAAAGATGAAAGGAATGGGCGCAAGCAAACAAGCGATACCGGCGATGAGCGAGCCACCACCGCCAACACCCAGAGCGTCGAACATGTACTGAGTGAAGAGTGGCGCAGCGGCGCCCGCTGCTGAACGAGCAACTGTGTTGGCTGCCAAAGCACTGGCTGCATACATGAGATACGTATCGGTCAGGTAGTTGAGGTATGCAACAAAGATCAACAGGATAGATGTTGATAGGAAGACACCAGCAATGGTCGGCACAATCCAGTGTACGCTGTTAAAGTTTCCGGTCCAGGCAAACCAGAACATAGTGACAGGGAACATGATTCCACCAATCATCGCAACGGGAAGACGGTCCTCCGGCACAGCTTTGTGGCCAGCAGCCAACCTCTTTCTATCGCGCGCAGATACGGTGAAGATGATGGACCCACCAATTACTGCACCGACTGCAGTTCCGATAAGTGGAAGCTCACCAACTCCTGAGTTCCAACCACGCTTCTCTTGGAACACGATAGGGTAGATGGTGAACAGCATGTACAGCAGTGCGTACACGACCGCGAGATAGACGGCAACGGCGAACGAGATTGGGTCAACCAAGATTTTCCATGGGCGAGTCAAGGCAACTGCGAACATGCCCTTGAGGGTTCTGTCGGTGACTTCGACGGGGGCCTTTACATTCTCATATCCGGGGATCTTCAAGGCCCTGATTCTCCTTGCCTTGTTCAGGAGGACGATTGAAGGGAGGGTCTCGGGGATTGTGAACATCAAGAATTCGGTGAAGCCGCCCAACCACAGAAGGACGTAGAAACTCCATCTCCAGTTTTCTTTCAGCTCTAAGAATCCCGAAATGACAGGTCCAAGGGCAGGGCCAACGAAAGTCATCATAGAGAAAGTGGCCATGGCATTGCCGCGCTCGACGGGACCCCAGATGTCGGCAAGGACACCGGGGGCATTGGACAATGAGGCACTCGCAAAGGTACCAGTCAAAAAGCGACCGACAAGGAGGCCTGCAAAATTTGGTGTGAAAGCGCAAAGGAAGTTGAATGCCAAGTAGAAGGTAAAGGTAATGTAGAAGATCCATCTGCGACCGTAAAACTCCGAGAGTGGGGCAAAGACGAGAGGCCCTGCACAGTAACCAAGTAGGAACAGAGTCACGACTAGTCCAGCGGCTTCTGTCGAGACGTGCAGATCCTTGGCAATTCCATTGAGCGTACCTGACGGACTCGAAGAGGCGAAAGTTGCGTTAACGACCAGGATGACGGATGCGACGGTGATGTACCAGCGGCGAGCCTTTGACCAGTTTTTGGGGTTTTCCATATCGTCGGGGGAGAAGTCCAGTAGGCCGTCCTCGTTGAGCCATGGTTCTTCCGAGGCTTCAATATCGCGTGATCGGTATGGCTTCGCCGTCGGCCGTGAGAGCAAGCGTTCAATCCGCTCCATCTTGGCGAGAGAGATGCGTATGCTGTGATGGGAAGAGTTTGAGGAGAGAAGCCAAAGAGAGGGATGCAGGTTCGATCAAGACACTCATGCAGACTTAAGGAGCTGAATAATCTGTTTCAAGCCGCTTTCTCAGCGAACTTGAACTGCCGTTCCATCCGGGAGAACTTGTCAAAAACGAAGGCGAAGGGCGCTGCAACCCCGCGAAATGGTCGAAGATCGTAAGCGGCAGCCGCGGAATTCGGCACGCCCATGACGAGACTTTTACACTTTCGCAGATTACGGCGTTAAGACGCGAAATCTGCGTTGGGCGGTCGGAGTATTGTCGACACACATGGTTCCCATCGCTGGTCTTTGCTATACCATGAGATAGAACGGAGACGGTGCATTGCCATGTGGAGTGGCGGAGTTGTTCAATGGGTCGTCTGCAATCGAGGTTGCAATGGGAGCGGTGCTGCTTGACTGTTCGGACTGCGACAAGTGATACGACCAAGCAAATGTCAAGCGAGTGGAAGATCCTGTGAGCAAAACTCTTACATGTTTGCGGTTCTTGCTCGATTTGCATGCCTGTTTGACTCAATTTGCAAAGTGGAAACCCTAAGTAGGTCAAGTTGCATGGTGAATCCTATGAGGCCATTGTGTGCAAAGCGTAGATTCCGGTACATCTCGCTGGGATCCAAGTATGACACCAATTTCACTCGATGTTTGTATGGAAAACGTGTAGATCAGTCTCTGAGAGGTAGACCAAGAACCGTAATCAGGCACTTTCAGCTGGTACACCAATGTTTCTGAGCACGAAGAGAAAGAAAAAGGTTGAGGTCTGTAGGACCCTGTCACGCTTCCTGGGCGCAGGCCTTGTCGGGCAGCGCAAGCGGAGCGGAGTGAGCGGAGTGGGACAGTGCCCGGCGGAAACAGTGCACAGTGGAGGCGGCGGAGCATGATGTGACCAAGACTCTACGGGAGATCGACCGGGGACAATCTAGTGCGACAGAGAAGTTGACCATGGAGGTGTCGTAGAGCAGTTCTCTTCGTGTTCTGTCGAGCCTGGCAGCAATGACTATGGACTCTGTGGTCGCAGAGTTAAGCATGTCGCAATGACAGTAAGGCAAGGATTCCTTGGAAAGCGGTTGTCACATCGTCATGCGGCTTGAATTGACTTCACTGCCACAATGACGTAGCGTGGTTTTTCGCAGCGCTTGGTCTCATCACGTCGACGCTCCCAAGTCCCTTTCTATCATGCTCCATACCGCCAACACTCCCCCGAAATCCTACAGACCCGGAGACCCAGCACGCCCAAGCACAATGGACAAGCTCAAGAAGATCTTCAAGCACGACAAGCACGACTCGTCGTCGTCGTCGTCGACAGCCACGACCCCCTCGCACACAACCGCCGAGAGAAACAGCGCAGCCACCACCACCCACTCGGCGCCGCCACCCCAAGCCGTCAGCAGCACTCCTGCTCCTGCTGCCACCACTTCCAGCGCCCCCGCCTCCAAGGGCCCTCCCGCCGGCGTCCTGCTCGAGACCAACTACGGCAACATCACCATCGCCTTGTACAGCGACAAGACCCCCAGAGTGAGTCTTCACTTGATCCTGACCTGATCCAGCCCACTCTAACGCAGCGCAGACATGTGAGAACTTTGCAGGCCTCGCCGACGCCGGCAAGTACAACGGCGTCATCTTCCACCGCATCATCCCCGGCTTCATGCTGCAGGGCGGCGACCCCACCGGCACCGGCCGCGGTGGAGAGTCCATCTGGGGCGGCAAGTTCGAGGACGAGTTTGACAGCTCGCTCAAGCACACGGGCGCTGGTGTCTTGTCCATGGCCAACAGCGGTCCCGGCACAAACGGCAGTCAGTTCTTCATCTGCCTCGCACCTACTCCTCACCTGAACGGCAAGCACACTGTTTTCGGCCAGGTCGTCGATGGCATGGATGTCGTCCAGAAGATTGGAAGTGTCAGAACCGGCTCTGGCGACAGACCCATCGAGGACGTCGTTATCGTCAAGGCTCAGTCCTTCACTGCTTGAACGCCCCTATCGTAATTACCTAATGACAAGTCTCCTTCTATCTGTGCGTTGTATCCTCGACAACTTGATCGTGCATGTGCAACAAGTGTCCAGACTGAGTTTCGCAACCCCCACGCTATATTGAGCACTCGATATCACGCAAGAGGCATGGACCTGTCGCTCAAACGTGCGTGGTATTGGCTTGTACGAGGCTCCTGCCTGTTCGAGAAGAATAGAACGAGCAGTCGATCAACGATTGGCCTTTGACTTTCTTGTCGATATGAGCAGGCTTGCAGGAGGTTGATTGTGCAAAGAGTCACATGGAGTTTGACAGGCATCAAGCCTCGGCGGTCTGGCCCGCAATGTGATAAGCTTTTGATCTGCACGGGCTCATCTCGGCTAACTCAGCTGCTGTTGCCCAATGATCAACACTCGAGGGGATTTCTGCGTTCTGCCCTGCTTGCGCTCGCGCTTCAGCTGCCTGATTTGCCATCTGTCACGCCCATGACAAGACACGCCCCATGTGCCTGACATCTGTCGCAAACGCAAATGACCAACGTTGAGCGCAGGTATTGTGGCAAGCCGCACCTCCAAGCTGGTTTGGCCACCACGGCCGCGTCTCCCTGTTTGCCTCCAACATTCAGGCATCATGAACCGCGTCGGAATATTCACCGTCGCATGCATGCCAACACGTTCTATGATTCGAGAAGGTCCGGGGATGGCGCAATATTCGCTACAGACATGTTTCATAAACACAAGACGTCTCTTGCATATGGCGCCGTCTCGGCCGCTATTGCTTCTCCGTGTCGCCCCTCTAATTGGCTTCCTCAGTATTGCCCCCAAACCTCGCTTGTTCAGGGGATAGCCTATCAGACTTCCAACACATGCCACTTGCCAGTTGCAAGTCGACCGACAAAGATACCGAGGCCGAGAGTGTTGGACGTCTTTGCAAGCGTGCACGCGCTGAAACCATTCCAGCTTCCAAATCTGGCTAGGTATTTGACTGATAGATCTACGGCCGGTAGAAGATCCCCACACTCCATACGAACAGATAGCCTCACGGACCTGCGTGCCATGCACACTAGTCCAAGCTTACTTGTCCTTAGCTAGACCAAGCATGTGCCTTCACCACTCTTAGCACGTTGGCCACACGCACTTCAAGCGACTGCCTTTCAACAACCGAGTCTTGGGATGTCGATCTGCTCATCACTCCCCTACCTGCCCTGCTCATGCTGCCATGCGTTGAAGCTAATATGTGATTTAGGACCAGAAAGGCAGCTGCGGGTAAATGTTGCATCTATCCTCCGCATTTTCTTGCGTCCGTAAACAGAAAACCCTACTCTGTACAACACCATTGGCCGTTCAAGCTATGCATGTAATTCTACACACGACTGACTAGGACTCGGGAGGCGACCACTGCTCGCTCTTCAACCGAGCTGCCATGTCTATCAATCCTTGCCTCGTGGTATATAACCAGCCTTCCCTCTCCACCATGAACACCCATCATCACCACTCACTCACTCCTCCTTCCTCCTCCTCCATCTTCCTACATCATGCAACAAACTCTCGCTGCCCTTGCTGCAATTGCAGCTGTGGCTGTCGCCTCCCCCGTTGAGCCCAGAGCCAGCGTCGGCAATGTCAAGTTCTCAGTCCCTCAGGTTTCTACTGGCAACACCAAGGTCGCTGCTCCTCCCCTCGCCTTGGCCAAGGCCATCAAGAAGTACGGTGGTACCCCTCCCACTGTCGTCCAGGAGGCTGCCGCAGCTGCTCAGCAGAGCGGCACCGTCACCGCCACCTCTTACAATGGCGACTCCGAGTACCTCTGCCCTGTCTCGGTCGGTGGTACCACCTTGAACCTCGACTTTGACACTGGTTCAGCCGATCTCTGGGTCTTCTCTACTCTCCAGTCCTCATCTCAGAGATCTGGTCACGCCGTCTACAACACCGCCTCGGGCCGCAAGCTCAACGGTGAGACCTGGAGCATCAGCTACGGTGATGGCTCCGGTGCTTCTGGTCTGGTCTACGCTGACAAGGTCGTCATTGGTGGTGTCACTGCCACTTCTCAGGCTGTTGAGGCTGCTACCTCCATCTCTGCTCAGTTCCAGCAGGACACTGACAACGACGGTCTGGTCGGACTTGCCTTCTCGTCCATCAACACCGTCAGCCCTGACCAGCAGACCACCTTCTTCGACACCGTCAAGAGCACTCTTGCCCGCAAGCTCTTCACTGTCGACCTGAAGAAGGGCGGACCCGGATCCTACGACTTCGGCTACATTGACACCTCCAAGTACACTGGTGCCCTCACCTACGTGAACGTCAACACTGCCAACGGCTTCTGGCAATTCACCACCACCGGTTACTCCGTCGGCAGCGGCGCCACTGTTTCCACCTCTTACTCTGCCATTGCCGACACCGGAACCACCCTCATGCTTCTCCCCGACTCCGTCGTCAACGCTTACTACGCCAAGGTCTCCGGAGCCCAGTACTCTAACAGCCAGGGTGGTTACATCTTCCCCTGCTCTGCTACCCTCCCCAGCTTCTCCGCCGTGATCGGTGGCAAGAAATTCACCGTCCCCGGCAGCTACATCAACTACGCCCAGGTCACCTCCTCCCAGTGCTACGGCGGTATCCAGTCCAACTCTGGCGCTGGCGGCGGCCTTTCCATCTTCGGTGACATTTTCCTCAAGAGCCAGTTTGTTGTCTTCTCCATGGAGAACTCGACTCCTCAGCTTGGTTTCGCTGCTCAGTAAATGCATCATAATGCGATCTACGACTATTGTTACGACATGATTCTTGACGGCTGGCTGTCATTTGCATCTGCGCTTGCAGCGATTTTTTTATTTGTCTGTGGTGGAAGAAGTTTTTCTGCTTTCTCAACAAAGCATTTCTGCGATGAGATGAAGAGATGGAAGATGATTGAAAAAGTACTTAGCTTTTCTCAAAAAATGCAATCGCGCTTTTGTCCAAACTGTTTCTCCTTGATTGATCTCGTCTGTGACAATATCGCGGAAAACACATTTCTCTCTGATTATGCCAGCTGTACAGCATTGCCGCTTGATCGCCAAAGATCAGCATAATGCGCCTGTCTTTGCCTCGTTTTTCACACGCAGCTGAAGGTAGATCTGAGTTATCTGGGTCACCCGCAACTTTATCACATTCAAGCTCAAACTTTGAACCAGCTGCCGATCACGGGGATCTTGAGACAGTAGCAAAATGTTGAGGCTTGCCGATTTCCGATCTCCGGTATCGAGTCCATTTGATCGCCCGTCGAACTTTTTCTTCTCCTGATCTTGTCGCTCTCTTGCACAATGGTCGACCTGCAAGAATGGATCCGGACTCGCGCCTAACGCGTCTGCATTCCCCCCACGACGAAAGCCCGATATGGAGATCGAGCACACCAAAGCCGATATAATCGAGCGACAACTTCGACAAGGGTTTGGGGTTTTATACCGCTGCACGTACTCGAGCGACTCTGCCTGGGCGGGATTCGCGTCGCGCCTCGAATCCCACATACGGGAGTCGTTGAGGTTGCATGATGGAACAGGATGGAGGACCTTGACTATCACGATCTTGAGGATGAAGCTGTACTCGACGCTGCAAGCCCCGCCACCGGCAAGAGGCTAGTGCACTCATTGGAGAAGAATGTAAGGCCGAAAGCGCGCATGTGTGGTTGGGCCCAACGGTGAACATACAAAGGTTGGGATCAACCAACAACGAGATATTCGGACACTGCTGAGTCATTATTCCAGGAGCCCCCTAGGTGGGTGTGGTTTCGAGTCATACTCTGAGGACCCTTTGCTCAGCGGCCATCTCGCAGCAGCCATCATACAAGGCGTGCAGAAGCACGGAATCGCATCGACCGTCAAGCACTTCGTCGCCAACGATATGGAGCACGAGCGCAAGGCCGTTGACTGCATCGTCTCGCAAAGAGCCCTTCGCGAGATTTATCTTCTTCCTTTCCAGATTGCAGTCCGAGATGCTTCACCAATGGCTTTCATGACCTCTTACAATAAACTCAATGGTTGTCACGTAAGCGAACACCACCATCTGCTGCAAAAGCTGCTTCGAGAGGACTGGCGCTGGCAAGGTCTGGTCACCAGTGACTGGTATGGCACGTATTCAACGACGGAAGCCGTGAATGCAGGACTCGATTTGGAGATGCCTGGTCCAACGGAGTGGCGAGGTTTGATCCTAGCCAATGCAATCCGCGCCGGTAAGATCTCCATGAAGACACTTGATACCCGAGTGGGCGCGGTACTGCGTTTGATCGACCAGACTTCCAAGTCTGGGGTCTCAGAACGTGGGCCGGAAAGCACGAACGACACGACACAGACGTCAGAGAAGCTCAAGCAGCTCTCCACTGAGGGACTGGTGTTGCTGAAGAATCAGGATAGTGTACTTCCTCTGGATATAACCAAGACTGTAAGCTCAAGACCATCTATTGTGGGCGCTCGAGTTGAAGCTGACCTCTTATGAACAGGTGGCAATCATTGGACCCAACTCCAAGATATTGCAGTTCTGCGGGGGTGGTTCTGCTGCACTTCGTCCATACAAAAACACAACGATCTATGATGCCATGTTGGAGGCGAATCCAAGCACCAAGTACGCTCTCGGCTGCGAAACACATGCGCAGCTGCCGTCTCTGGGCCCGTTACTTCGGATACCCGGAGGAAGGACTTGTTTCTTTACCTTCAACGTCTATCTTGAGCCTCCAGAAGATGTCGATCGAGTACCAATTGATTCCCTCGAGTTGGACGATACCAATGTGCTGTTAATCGACTATCAGCACTCCAAAGTCAAGGAGGACTTGCTCTTTGCAACGATGAGTGCTGAACTATGCCCTGAGGAATCTGGAGAATACATGTTTGGCTTGACGGTTGCTGGGACTGCTCTTTTATACATCAACGACGAGCTCTTGATCGACAATTCAACAGTCCAAACATCAGATGACAGCTTTTTTGGGTCAGGGACCGTAGAGGAGCGAGCGAAGACGTATCTTGAGGCGGGCAAGACGTACGAATGGCGCGTTGAATTCGGAAGCGCACCTACATCGAAGACCAAGCAGAACGGGGTGACCACATTCGGACCAGGAGGCGTTCGAGTTGGTTGTACCCGCATCATCAATGCCGAAGAGGAAATTTTCAAAGCCGTCTCTGTAGCACGCCAAGTCGACCAAGTCGTCCTCTGCTGCGGTCTCAGCGGTGATTGGGAATCTGAAGGTTTCGATCGCGCCAATATGGACCTTCCTGGTCTTCAGAATCGTCTCATCGAAGAAATCTGCAAGGTCAACAGTAGGACAGTCGTGGTCCTCCAAAGCGGTACTCCCGTCACTACTCCGTGGGTGGACCAAGCTCCAGCGATATTGCAAGCTTGGTATGGTGGCAACGAAACAGCCAATGCTATCGTGGATGCACTGTACGGCAGGTCCTGCCCTAGTGGAAAACTTCCACTCAGTTGGCCTCGACTGAATCAAGACAACCCGGCCTTCCTGAACTATCGCAGCGACGAAGGTCGCTGTCTGTACGGCGAGGACGTCTATGTCGGGTACAGGTACAACGAGAAAGTGGGACGCCAAGTTCAATGGCCCTTCGGTTTCGGTCTCTCTTATGCACAATTCCAGCTATACGGGCTGACCACCACACGTCAAGGCTCTGATGTCATGAGTGAAAAACTCTTGGTCACTGTTCAGGTCAAAAACACATCTACAAAGCATGATGGCGGCGAAGTTGTGCAACTCTACATTAGCCCTCCGACATGTGGCATCGGACGTCCGCTCAAGGAGCTCAAAGCATTCTCGAAAGTGGTTGTACCTCACGGCGAGACTGTGACTGCAAGCATGTGCGTACAGTTGCGCCATGCGACAAGCTATTGGAGCGAGCGCGAGGATGCCTGGGTGTCACAAAAAGGACGATATAAGGTCTTCGTTGGCACAAGTAGCGACAACACTTCTCTTGAAGCGGCCTTCGAGACCGCGAGCACTTTCTCCTGGAATGGGATGTAATCATGTCGGAACGCGTTCCGCAAAGGCTTTGCGTCAACAGGCTTGCAATAGAACGTAGTACATTAGCGGCGTGGAAATCTGTCGAAGTTTTAGCGTCAAGCACACATGATTATTGTATGGATAGCTGTACAGGTACTCCACATGTAGCGTCCAATGCTTATTGCGGGTTGACCCACAGTCCGCTATCGACGGATGATCAGGCTGAATTGTTGGTCACAAAGCTTGGACACGGATTACACGATCTTCTTTCACGCACGCAGTATTCTCGCTTTCACGGGTGGCGTTCTCCACCAGACTATGCTGAGTCACTCAGTATCATGCTTGAGACTTGGTGCTGGCTTGGTGACGAGTTGAAGCAGCTTAGCTGTCACTACACGGCCTCTGATCCCAATTTGCTGCAAGAATGGCAGGAGCAACATCCAGGCGAACAGCAGCCACCGACTATGATACCCGACTCTCTGGTAGATCCTTTGATCCACAGCTGTCATGCGCTTCGAGCACTTTATATGCTGGCTCAACTGCTGTTTCGTGCTTTGTAAGAGAGTAGTGCAACATGGATGTCAGTAAGCGAAAAAAAGAGAGAGACTTGAGTTTCATCCCGGAAGCAGGCTCGAGTGCGAATATATGGAGATGCCCATGCGCAGATGCCGAGTATCCGGAAGGCCGGCATTACGAGACACGAACCCGACCCCATGGGTCAGGGGCCGTCTGCACTGACCGCCGTCAATATCGCGCTATCTCCTGCCTATCATGGCCCTCGACCGAAGATCTCCCAGGATGGTACATGATAAGATGAAAAGAGTCGCGTCCTAAGGCTCTCAGACTTAGCTGTACGAAACCTCTGGGAAGTCTGTATCGTCGACGAGAACATTTGCTTGTATCGGGATCGCCATGGTTTCGCGGGCGTGCGCTTGCTCTGCGACAAGTTTTGGTCCCGCTAGCTGTTCGGGACATTTTGATTTTACCTTGCTCTTCGAACAAGCGATTCTCGGCATCGCGCCTGCCTGTCTTTTTCTCTTCGCAACGCTATGGCGCTTCCAACATACTTGGAAGGCATCTATCAAGACAACACCCAGTCATAGGTACATACTCAAGCTCGTGAGTTCCTCTCTGCCGCCGGCCTCATTAGCCAAGTCCTCACAAGAACATGACAGTCCGCCATTGCGGTCTTGATAGCTTTGCAGCTCACTCTACTCATACTCTGGAACGTACGTACATGTGAACGCACCGCCACATCAACAGCGGCTGCTGTATTGGCATTCATCATCGCAATGGTCCTTATCCCTCTCTCGCATACGGAGCATACTAGATCAGTCCGGCCTTCGACCTTGATATGCGTATATCTCGTTGCATCGATCGTTTTCGACGTGGTTCAGACGCGTACTCTCTTTATCATCAAAGACAATCTCGCCATCTCAGTAACGCTGTGCTGTAATATCGCTACCAAGATGGCTGTGCTATACCTCGAAGCAAGTGAGAAGCGCGCATATCTTCGTGTACCTTACAACTCGTATCCACCAGAGACCATCGCAAGCACATTCAATCGCACGTTCCTGTGGTGGCTCAATCGAATCTTTCTCACAGGTTTCCGAAAAGTCATGACACTTGATGATTTGCGTTCGACCACTTCTGAGCTGCGTTCCAAAGGACCGGGAAAGAGACTCAGAGAATCTTGGAGATCTCGATGTCGAGGTCACAGTCAGCTGTCACCGCCAAACAAATGGATGCTTCCACTCGCTACGTTTTCCTGCTTCCGATCGGAGATTATCTCAGCCATTCCCGCTCGCCTTTTCCTCATAGGCTTCAATTATGCGCAGCCTTTCTTGTTTGCCAGGGCTATTAAGCTGCTTGCTGGGCCGGTAGACCAAAGGACAGCAAACTTCGGCCACGGACTTATCGCTGCCACTGCAATCATATATCTTGGCATCGCGGTAAGTCTAGCACACTAAATAAGGTCGCGTTTGGACTGACATCTTGTAAGGTGTCTACAGTCCGCTACCAGCAGAGTATGTTCAAGACATTGACAATGTTTCGGGGAGCCATGGTCACTCTGATCTTTAATCATTCTGTGGCATTATCCGATCACATGAATGCGGAAAACGCTGCAGTCTCGCACATGTCTACAGGTACATCAGCCCTTGATGGGACATGGATTTGTTGTTGAGCGTGTTCGCAGATATCGACTCTCTCTCACGATCATTGGTCGAGATCAACGAGTTCTGGGCCCGGCTCATCGAGGTTAGTAAGCCTCCTAGCATGTAGCTTTGTGCCTACTAATCGTGAGATCAACAGGTTGGCTTGGGGATCGGCCTATTAGCGAACCAAATAGGTGGAGTTGCTGTAGTGCCTGTCGCTCTGGTCGGACTTTCGACTTATTGCCAGAATTTTGTGTCGAGAACGATAGGTGCTAAACGGAAAGCTTGGAATGGCAAAGTTCAACAGAGAATCGGTCTCACTGCTAATACCTTGGGTTCGATGAGATCGATCAAAATCGGAGGTATGCGTCACTCAGCGTGATGACTTTGTCAATTGTGCTAATCATGGACAAGGCTTGGGCTCCGTTGTCGAAGAACTGATACAGGTCTCTTGCTTACAGGAGTTAAAAACATCTAGAGGATTTATGTGGTTGATCCTGGCAATGAACTTCATCGGTGAGATGCTAGAATATACCATGTATGTGACCCGTCTGACATACCCAGCTGTGATTCCTACTACCTGGGCCCCAACCATAACGTTCATTGTTTATGCTATCCAAGCCACGATCAGAAACACACGATCTCTCGGGATCGCCCAAGCATTTACATCATTGGCTCTACTGACACTCATCACGGCTCCTGCGTCAAAACTGCTGACTGTCTTGCCGCAGTTCGCAGCAGCCATGGGATGCTTTGAACGTCTACAGGCGTTTCTTCTTCTACCGGTCGTGCTCGATCAATCTGCGAGCGAAGATGACGAGACTGATAACGAGGACCCATCGACAATCTCATCCAGGCAACCGTCGGAGCTCGAGATGCAGACACTTCGACCCAAGACTGATGTAGAACCAGCGGTGATCACGGTGACAGATGCCACGATCCGCCCTACCGCCACCGCCCCAGCCGTTCTATCTGACGCCTCATTCCGAGTCGAGAAGGCTTCAATCACTGCCCTGCTTGGTCCAACAGGCTCAGGCAAAACTACTCTACTCAGGACAATACTTGGTGAGCTTGGCTCAGACTCTGGCGATGTGTCAACTTTGTCAGGTCCGATCGCATACTGCGCTCAAACACCCTGGATGGTCAATCGCTCTATACGCTCCAACGTCTGTGGACCATTTGTACGCGATACATATGTGGTCGAATCGTGGTACAACCGAGTCCTCCACGCTTGTTGCCTAGATACAGATATATCGATCTTTCCCCACGGTGATTCAACACAAGTCGGTAGTAAAGGATTCAGTCTGAGTGGAGGGCAAAAGCAGCGTATCGTGAGTAGTTTGTTACTTGAACCGAACTCTGTGACTTACTCATACAGGCTCTGGCCCGAGCGGTATACTCGAAACTGCCAACACTGATCCTCGATGACGTGTCCAGTGCTGTGGATCAGGATACAGCGCATCTGATGCTTACTCGACTTCTTGGCCCTGAGGGACTGCTGCGAAAGACTAAGTCAACCGTCATCATAGCAACGCATTCTCGTACGAATCGCTCCAACATATGAATGTGCATCGGTAGCTAACAACTTTGCAGTGGCTGTCCTGCCTTTCACCGACACAGTCTTGCGCATCGACTTCAGCGGCGCAATCCTTGCGACGCAGAGACCACCAACCTTTGAGCGGCAGATGTCCATATCAGGCCCAGACTACACTGATCTTTCACAGGACCAATGTGTACAGGGCCCGAAGCCCAAGGTGCCTCTAAAAGGACCAAGTGATGATGAACGCAAGGCTCTTACAATAAGCACTGGCGACAAGAGCATTTATAAGTTCTACTTCCGATCCATCGGAGTCAAATGGTTCATGACATTCGTTGCCACTACCATTGCGGGTACCTTTTGTAACCACTTTTCTCGTAAGTCCAATTGAGAAGCAGCTACTTATAATATCCCTAACAATGCCCTGGATAGAGGTTTGGCTTCAACTATGGATTAGCAGTGGCGGAGCGCGTTTGTCGTTGTATCTCCCAGTCTTTGCGGTGCTGGCTCTTCTGACTAACATCTTCACAAACCTCAACATGTGGTACGGAGATTCCTTCTATGTGGATATTTGATCATGGCAACTGACAAAGCAGGATCATGTTTCTTAACATCATGCCCAAATCTGTTTCTCATCTCCATGCGGTCTTGTTGAGGACAACGATGATGTACGTATGAGCTCGCAGGTCATTGGAGGCTGAGAATTGATGTTTTCGCAGCGCACCCTTATCCTTCTTTGCGTCGACAGATACGGGCAACATCTTGAACCGGTACGTAGCTTCAAACAGCACCTGGTCTTTCTCATACTGACTGTGACGTGAAGGTTCAGCCAAGACATATCCTTGATCAGTATGACACTTCCCACCTCATTATTGTCTTCGGGAATCGGTAAGACCAATGTCATACATCAACAGTAACCCTTTCTAACGACAGCATTAGCACTTTTCGATAGCCTTGCCCAAGCCGCACTGATCAGTACCGGCTCCGCGTATATGGCGACCACAATCCCTTTTGTACTCATTGCCATCTACTTGATACAAGCAGTGTACCTACGAACGTCGCGACAAATCCGATTCTTGGATCTTGAAGCAAAAGCCCCGATCTATTCGCACTTTCTTGAGGTAGGTGAAGGCGCAGCTACGGTTAGAGCGTTCGGGTGGCAAGCAGACGCAAAGGAACGCAACGCGGACCTGTTGGATGCCTCCCAATCTCCGTATTATCTGATGTACTGTATCCAGAGGTGGCTCCAACTGGTGCTCGATCTGCTTGTCGCGGTCATGGCCGTTGTAGTCATGGCTCTTGCAGTTTCTCTTCGCTCATCGACCAGCGCCGGGCTCTTGGGTATCGCTCTGAACAACATTCTGGGCTTCAATCAATCTCTCGGCAGACTGGTCCGCGAGTGGACCAACCTTGAGACGTCTCTTGCGGCAATCTCTCGAGTGAAGGCCTTCTCGGAAACCACGGTTCCGGAGACAGACTGCGGATTGTCCGACACAGGACCCTCCTCGTGGCCATCAGGAAGCATTGGTCTGAAGAACGTTTCGGCATCGTACAACGGTAATGATGTGGCCCCAGTGCTTGATAGCATCAGCTTCGAAATATGCGCTGGACAGAAGATCGGCATATGCGGGCGCACAGGCAGCGGCAAGAGTACCCTGTTGCTTGCAATGTTGCGGCTTATGGAACTGAGCTCTGGTTCGATCACGATTGACGGGGTCAACATCACGGATATACCCCTGCAGAAACTCCGCTCAAGCATAACGACAGTCGCACAAGATCCTTTGTTGCTGCCTGTCTCTATTCGACGCAACCTCGACCTCAGTAGTAGAATGACGGACGAATCCATGATCGGCGCACTTCGTAAAGTTTGTCTATGGGACATGGTGTCAGAGCGTGGTGGCCTTGATGCAGTTTTGACGAAGGATTCCTTGAGTCACGGACAGCTACAGTTGCTCACTCTTGCAAGAGCTCTGCTGCAGACATCGAAAATAGTACTTCTGGACGAGGCAACGAGTAACCTTGACCATGAGACGGATCAGATTGTTCAGAAGGTCATTCGAGATGACTTCGCGACATGCACAGTCATTGCTATTGCTCACCGAGTAAGCTTTGCGTCCCAGTGTGCAGCTTGACACGACTAACAGCTATTCGCAGCTCGAAACTATCAGTGCATTCGACAAGATCGCCGTGCTCGACCGCGGTAAATTGGTTGCTTTCGACTCTCCAGCTGCGATTCTGCGACGTAGCGATCACATCGCACTTCTTACAGACTGAACTGGTTACCTGGGAGACAACTGAGATGATCTGAGGAAGTGTATCCGTGAGTTGAAGAGCTGTGGCATGAACGGGTAACGCAGTAGGTTGTACACGGGCATGTGAGAATATAATACTCTGGCCTCTCTACCATGCCTCCTGGACGAGGATGCGGATATCCCGCAAGACCTTTTGTAATACCGAAATATGTTCTTTCTTGATGCCCTTTCTCTCCATGTCAGAAGTGTTGATGTGCAAATCAGCTGCATCAATGCCTAGATCGAAGACATGTTCAGCATTCTCGACTGGGTAGAGCCTCACTACGCCTGTATTTGAGCCAGAGTTCCGAGCGTTCTTGATCTTCTGTACTAGTGTCTCGCTCTCAGAGATGGGAACTTCGTAATCTGTTGTGCCGTGGACGATTATGGTTGGGACAGCAGCAGAGAACCTCTTGAAGTCAGCAAAGTCCGTTGGGAAGAGGACTTCGAGGTTGTTCTCCTCAGGCTCGCTGGCTCTCCGCTTTTTGATCGTTGCCTCGATGCCAAAGTTCACCACATCTGCCGCAAATCCCTCGATTCCAGTAAGATAGTCTAGCCATTTGCCAGATTGTAGGATCGCTCATAGGAGCGGGAATCGTTTTCGGGTCGATCTCCTCCTCTGACGTCGGAAAGCGTTCACCTAGACTGATTTCTGTGTCTCTGATGCGCTGTTCCGCGAAGACAAGATGATCGTGGACTGCCGCTTCACACATTGGTTCCGGCGCAGCAAAGATAGGTTCACACCATCTTGGGTTGCCGAGGCAGAGCATAGAGTAGAGTAGCAGAAGGGCTTTGGGTTTTAGGGAAACCTGGGACACAGCATCAGGTGGCTGCGCACAAAAGTGGAGCGCTGCGACGAGAGTGCACCATCCACCTGCACTTGCCCCTGCAAAGACGATATCAAGGCTTTGTCTTGTGCTCTCGGCGGAAGTAGTGCGACCGCATTCTGTTGGATTCTCAGCGATCCAGTGACATGCGGCGAGAACATCTTGGATTACAGCGAAACCGTTGGACTGCGGAAGGACGCGATAGTCTGGACAGACGACAGTCCAACCCAGAGAGAGGACCGAGTGTAACAGCCATGAGGGCACGGCATCTCGCGTCCCAGTGACCTACACGGATGGATATAGACTTTAGCAATCGCAATCGTGTGTTGAGTCTGATGTGCCCGTTCGCAATGAGCTGGACAGAGTGAACAGCAGGAGAAAACCCACGAGATAGCCACCATGAAAAAAAGAGAAGAATTGGCCTATGTTTGTGCTGTTGGTCCTTGGACTCACACGGCAGGGTCGGGAGAGGACGGTAGATATCGAGCTTTATAGGCGTGTTTGCATGTGTCTTGTAAGTGCTAATGTGTTTTTTGTGGAGAGGCGGCGTGGTCATGTCGGGCAACGACTTCCTGTCGTGCTCTTGGAGAGGCGGTGATGAAGAAGAAGAAGAAGAAGAAGAAGAAGAAGAAGAAGAAGAAGAAGAAGAAGAAGAAGAAGAAGAAGAAGAAGAAGAAGAAGAAGAAGAAGAAGA